CTGCCATAGCGAGTCCTTCTTGAACCAGTACTCGAACGACTCGTCCAGCGCGATGATGAAGGGCAGCGGCTTACGCCCCGGCCGCTTGTACAGCATGGCCAGCTGGTTCTCGTCGTCGCGGACGAGCACATCGTGCAGAGCCTGCGGATACGCCGCCAGAAAGTCGACCAAGAAGGCCTCTGGGCGATCCAGCTGCGTCTCATGCTGCAGCACAGCGCGCAGCCGCGGCTGGCGGGCACTCATGCGGCTCTCGACGCAACGCACCAAGTCGGCGGCGAACGACCGATACGAGGGGTCAATCCAGGCTTGCTGGCTCTTTAGGTAGAGCAGGTCGACGGCACGACGCAAAACCTCGGCGTAAGTCATCACGGCGATTTCAACCGGCTGGCCCTGGGCGTCGACACCGAACCACACCTTGGCGTAGTCGGCGTTGAGTCGCTGGATGATGCTGGCTTTGCGCTTCTGCAGCTCCTGGATTCGTTGCGGTGCAGGTAGCGAGAAGACCTCCTTGTCTAGCTCAGCCCACAGCAGCACACCACGCGTGGCCAGCTTGTGGATGGGCTCGCCCATCTCTGACTTGACTGTGATTACGCCTCCGGTCGCCCTCTTGTAGGTCTGCTCCCACTGCGCGTCCGGTACGCCCGGCGTGTTCACGATTGCCTGCTTGACCGCGGAGCTGGTGCCCGCCTCCCTGGCGGTCATGACGCGGCTGCCGACCAGGATGCCATCAAAGGGCATGGCCGCATGGCCCAGATCCTTGGACCACGCCCCTGTCAGGTAGGGATAAGTGTCGTCGCTGCCACCGAAGCCACTGCCTGCAACAAGGATGATGTTGGAGTATGCGCGGATCTGCGCGTAGCGGTCGAGGATCGGCTCGTGGAAGTCCTCGTACGAGTGATGCCCGCCGCCGCGGCCGCCCGTCCACTGCAGGAGAATGGGGAATGTGGGATTGGTCTCTGCGATGCGCAGCACAATGTCAATCGCGTCCTTGGAGCCCGGCTTGAAGGCGATATGCGATAGGCCGAGGTCCCGGATGTACTCGCTTGCAATCTCGGTGGAGGGCACACCTGCCCCGATGGTCAGACCCGTGATGGGCACGCCCTCCTTGCGCAGCTGGCCGAGCAGTGCGATCTGCCAGCCCATCGCCCGCGGGTTCGCGTAGATGAGGTTGCAGGTGATGCCGCGGCCGGCGGGGATGGACTGCATTAATTGTTGGAGGGCGGTGCGCATCATCTCGGCGTTGTGGTAGCCGCCGCCAGCGAATTCGATATGGTAGTTGGCGTTCATGACCTCAGCGACGAACTCCGGCGAGACAGTCGTGGGGGTCATCCCCGCCACCATGACAGGGGGCAGGCCTAAAATACGCGAGAATCGGGTGTCAACGAGGATCTCGTCCCCGACCCGCACCAACCGGGGGGCATATTCCTGCTCCCAGCTGGTGTTGTAGACGACGGAGCCCTTGCGGGTCATCAGTTCCGGCATGTAGCCCAGCGCCTTGCTGGGGCCGCTCAGCGTCGTCGAGAGGATGATGCGCGTCGCTGTGCCCGCCTTGGCCGAGGCCAGGAATGCCCCGATGCCTGTCTCGCGTCCGGGCCCAAAGTCCAGAAAGTGGGTGACCGAAGGGAACCGCGTGGCCTTCTCCCAGTCCACGGTGCCGCAGACCACCATGTGCACGAGCTCGGGGATCAGGTTGTCGTATTCCCGGAGGTCGGCCCCGTTATCAGTGCGGAAGACGGGAAAGAGGAGGCTGGTGCCGGAGACGTGCACGGCGCTGAGATCCTCGACGATCTGTGAAGCGGCGTCCTCGAGAAGGCGGGTGTGGAATGGCACAGAGATGGGGAGGAAGCGTGCAGTGATTGAGGGGGGCCTCTGGCTGAAGGGCACGCGGGTATTGTTTGCCTGCCCAGTGCTAGCGGAGTTGTTCGAGGCGGTGCGAACCTTGTTAGCCAAGGCGTAGAGGGAGAGAGGATCGCCAGCGACGACGAATTGCTGACGGCCGTTGAGCAGAGCCAGGGTGGCCTGCTGTGAGGCAGGGAGATACTTGTTGTGCTCGGCCAGATGCTGCAGCAACTGCTCGTGGGAGGCGCCCTTGATGCTCAGCATAGGGCTCAGCCGCTCAGCCTGGTCCACCAGACTGGGTGGGATGGAGCTGGGGGAGTAGCACTGTTGAGAGCGGCATCCAATCGAAAATAGCACCTGAATAGCCGTGCGTGCGGCCTCGAAGAAGGTCGGCCACGAGACAGCGGTGGCCAAGAGAGCCGCTACCACAATGCCTTGAGAGTGGCCTGCAGTACCACTGAGGTGCCGCGCAAACTCTCCGGGAGACTTGTTCAGAATCTTACATGTGATATAGTAGTTGAGTAGCTGCACCAGTCCAATCAAAGGCTGACTCACGGGGGCAGAGATGAGATAGTCGACAGATGGGCGAGCCGCGGGCTTCTCCAGCCAGCCGATAACATCCAGACCATGAGGGTACATGTCTTGGGCGCGGCTGTCGGCCGCAAGCCCCTTCAACTGTTCGCTTAGGCTGAACAGGGGCTCAGCCAGCTGGCCGGGGTAGGTATTGAAGAGATGCTGTAGTTCATCGAAGTAGCCCTCGACGCCCTGACCATTGAAGACAGTCACGATGTTTGCGCGACAACCAAGAGCATCAGACAACAGACTACTGCTCCATTTTGGGGACATGAACTGCGTCACACTGATTGCTTGATAGTAGGTTTGGATGATCTGGAACTTCTCCTCCGGCTCGAGAGGCAGGGAAGCCAGGACACTGTGGATATTTTCATCCTGGAACAGATGCTTGTTGAACACGCGCAGGGACTTCTTGAGAATATCCTGCGGGCCGTCCTCATGCACTTGGTCGGCACTGTCGAGAATCTCGCGCACAAAGGAGGCAAGGCTCTGGACCTTCGCGGTGAGGGACAGCTCGTCAAGCGGCCGAGCGCTCAGGCTATCCAGCGTCGTTGCAAACCGGTCATTGAGGAGGGAGGACTTTTTGAGGGAGGCTTGCGAGCGGAGGAAGGCAATCTCGATGTCTTCACGGGGGAGGGATATGGGAGAGGGGGATCCCATGGGGTATTCTGTCATGGGGGTATTCAATTCCATCATGGGAGAGAAGAGATCATCCGACGAAGCAGATGAACTCCTGCTGCCGGCTAGCATAGGACTGGACTTCATTCTGCGAGGAACGGCCCGAGCCGGGGTAGGAAGGTCTATCGAGGGACGGAGGCGTTGAGGCATTCTGGCTGAGAACAACAAGGCAAAGGAAATAAAAAGGCCAATGACAGCGTGGAGGAATTCCGACTGGATGTGCAGAAAATACAGTAAAGTCATGTACAGGAGACACAATGAGTGGGAAGCGATTAACAAAGGGCATCTCAAGGGTATACAGACAGAAAGACACGACGAGAGCTTGATATCGTGATGGTCAAGTCGTCTGAGTGCAGATGCCAGCCCAGCGCAGCTCAAACTCTCACGCCTACGACGAGTCTCGGACCACGGGGAAAGACCTGCACGTCGCGAAGATGATTTACAGACGAGGGCTTGTATTTGTAGGCTGCCCCCCCCCCCCCCCGGGAAAAGTCCCCACAAGTGAACTACTGGCCATCCTTCGCACAGCCTTTTGCGGCCCCCAAGAATGTCACCATCGGATCAGGAATGCATTTGCTTCTGCTGGCCGTCCAGCTCGCCATCATTTGCTCCTTTCTGCGCCTAGCCGCCAAAGTCTAGAGCTATGCTAGCGTCCTAGCAGGCTGGCTAGTGGGAAGCTGGGAGTCACCGTGCCAGTTGACCTGAGACATATGTCTTTTCTAGCAATCTACGCTCATACCCGCCAGATCCTACAGGAATGGCTGGCAAAGAAGCTAGGAGTCTGGTTCAGTCAAGGAGATGTCGTTGGATGAGAGTTGGTAATACGGTCGAGCCGAGCCCTAATTTACGATACTTACTGATTTTACATTCTCATCCCTAGCCGTCATTTACTGTTATTTTTGATGGTTTTTCAGCGTCATATATTCCACAGTTATTACTGTCATTACTCACAGTACAAGGCATACTTACAGTACATCACGTAAAAATCAAAAAATCAAAAAATCAATCCGACAGAATCCTGCAGAGACGCTAAAAAGATCCTTTGGTCAGGCTACGGAAGGCTATAGGGGCCACAGCTCGCATGTCTATTTGGGCCGCGCGGCAGAAAATAAAATTACTAAATACCGTTTGTCAAAAACCTGGCGACATAACGGATTAATTATAAAGCTGGGAGAATGGGTTCAATTTAAAAGATGGATCTGCTTAGATTGCACATGGGTTTATATTTCTATGGTATTATGATGGTGAATAGTGCTATGGAGAGGTTGAAATTGGTCACGGTCAACTGGTATTGGTAGGTAGTTGTTAGGAGGAATCTGGATAAAGCTATTAGTGGAGTACTACCTAGACTCTACATACCCACCCTAGGCCAAAATATAGCTTCAACTTGAAGTTACTAGTAGTCAGCCAAGTTACCTAGGTCCACAGATGATTCAAAATGTTCCAAGGTTTCCTTACAACATTTGAATATCTATACATATAGATCCATTCCATATCCTAATACCTATAGACAGTGACTAGTACCCTTCTCTTTCAAATATTCTAAATATTTTCATACATATATAATCCAAATGTTTTCAGTCCTCTAAGACCACAGCGCACCTTTCAAATTCCTTACATTTTATACTGTAAATATTTACAAATTCGATGTAGTTTATAAAATCCCAAACTACTAACACCTGGATTACAAGACATGTAAAAGTGGTGCTAGAAGCGGTCTAAAAACCAGTCCCAAATAGGTATGCGAGCTGTGGCCCCTATAGCCTTCCGTAGTCAGGCTGAGAATCCGGGCTGCTCCGTCACTTCGCGGAGATCCTTCACGCCTGAGACTAGCCAATTCCGACACTTGGAAAAATGTGGTGCAGCTTACGCGAGCGGAGGAATTTCCACTTCATTCGACCTTCGACTTTATGGCCTTGAGCGTGATCGACTTGAAGGAATTGCTTGATCTCTCTTTTGTCCCGTGTGGTGTCCTTCCCAGTCCGCAACCTCCAGCCATTAACTCTCCACTCTCCAACAGCGCAACCATGTTCCAGCTCCCAGCGTCGCTCGGCGACGTCGAGACCCTCCTCAGCACGACCTGGGATGCCCTCACCCTGAACAGGGTGCTTGTCAGCGCAGGAATGTTGTTTCTTTTCTCTAATGCGAAGGGATTACCCGGCGTCTGGCATGTAAGTTCTCGTCTTGCACTCCCACCAGATATTGAGATCTCGACCTCAGACAGACGGACAGACAGACAGACACTAATCCCACCCCCGCAGTACCGACTGTTCAAAGGCCTCCTCACAGAACTGCTCTGGAAGCGCTCGCGCCAGCCCGCGCCCCTGGTCGACGCGCAGGGCCGGCCCCGTGTGTACAGCTACCTGGTCACCGAGTGTGCCAACCCGATCATTGAGTGCGACTACAACCTACACAAGTCCAACAGCACCTTCTTCTCTGATCTGGACATCAACCGCACGCAGCTGATGATGGCGCACTTCAAGCACGTCATTTCGACCTCGTCCATGCCGCGCATCACCAACCGGAAAAGGCCGCTGCTTATGGCCATGGGCGGCGTCTCATGCCTGTTTCACCGAGAGGTCAAGCCGCTGCAGCGCTACGAGGTCTGGTCGCGGGTGCTGGCGTGGGATGAGAAGTGGGTGTATGTCGTGAGTTACTTCGTCAAGAAGGGGGCGCTTGCAAGTGATGGGAGCATCAGGGGAGACCCGGACGCCAAGTTTGTGTTGGCGTCAGGGCTGGCGCGATATGTGTTCAAGGAGGGGAGGGTTACGGTCAAGCCTGAGGGGGGTGCTACGTGAGTGTGGCTTATTACCGCCAGCAGGTGAAAAGGGTACGGTGGTAGATCAGAAGGGGGCCGTGGGTTGGAGCAAGGAGCAATTTGAGGCAGAGAACCAAAAGGGCATGGCGGTTGCTGGCGGATTTTCTGGTTTGGAGGTCTTGCCTTCTTTGACGAAGTTTAGAGAGTCAGCTGTGCTGGGGAGATATAGAGATTTCTGATCAATAAGCTGTGTGACTTGTGCAGAGGCGAGCGGTCAAGGGTGCAGTTTATGTGTCGGATGCTTGTATATAGACAAGATACCTGAATGAAGACATTAGAGTGCTATCTTCTTGCTATCGGTAACTGGAAATATTAGATTCTTGGGATCTTTGGGAGACATTGTATCATCGAGAATAACGGTAGTCAGCCGTATCGCGCTTCAAAGACCTTAATGCTATAGCCGAGTTTGACTGCTCCCAGCTCAAAGGATCAGACGTCTCCCATTTGATGCACCTTCCGAGCTGCCTTACTTGAGGCATTGAGATCAAATACTGAACTGCATACAAGAAATCGAAACACTGCAACTCAACTAGAAGCTTCCACATTGCAGGGAAGCGCATGTTCGTAGACATTATCCAGATAGTAAGCTAGCTCTCCCACTGATTTTGATACACCCTCAAACAATGTACTATCATTACAACGTTGTGGGAACTACACAAATCAACAGAACAGAACTATAAACACCCCAAAAGGCCCACAAAAGATACAAGAAACTCATCTATTGACCATCCCTGTCAAAATCCCCCGTATGGATCGTCTCCAGCGCAGAAATCTCCACCGACTCAACGTCCCACAGCCCCTACACCCACATTAGCTACCGAGCTGCTCACACAAGTCCGTTGCAGAACATCACCTACTTTGACAGCATTCTCATGAGCCTGGACAGCCTTGAGCACACTCTCCTCACTAGGCGCCTGGCACGCGAAGCAGGCTCCCAAGGTCCCCGCGGGGTCCGACTCCGAATCCAGCGCAGGCGATGCCAGCATATCTCCGGCGAACGTGAGGACAATATCCCGGTTCTTGAACTCGATGGGTTGAGGACGCTGGGACAGGTCCGCCCCTTGTGCGTTCTGCTTGTTGAAGACAACCACAAAGCTAAGACATGACACTGTTAGGATCACCATGATCGGCCGCACACGCGCACCAGGCAGGTTGGTGGGGTAGGGGGATGGATGGCATACTATTCTTGCAGCGGCGATCCCGTCGTTGCGAGGAATCGACTCGGTTGCCTGAGGCCACCGATGGAACTGCATACCGAGCGGCGGGCGCTGGAAAGGAGGGAAGTAGTCCGGTTGAGCATTGCCAACTGCATGTGTGCGTGCGTGTGCTGCGTGTGGGTGCTATGTTCTACTGGTTGGAGAAGTGCATCGCGCAGAGATGGGCGATTATATAGATTACAAAGCCGGAAGCAACCTGGTGAGTCTCGATGCCACTGGCCAGCAAGATGGGATCTCTTTAGGCATTACTATCTGACGGACATTCCTCATTCTCTGTACCCGGATGGATTCTTACCCCCCTCGTACGATTGTACTTCGTTGAGGCTGACGAACAGATCGAATTGGTTTATCGACTACCGGCTATAGTAAACTCCTGCAGGATTGGCAATTTCGTGCGCGTTCCAGCACAAAGCCATCCATCCATGCTCCGGCTCCGACGACTCGATTACAAGTCCGTCTAATGTATCCCCCGCAGGTTGAGTGCTTATGTCGCAGGATGCTGCAGATGGTTCTGATGCTGCATCTACTACAAAGAATTTTCTATCGATATTAGTGCTTATATTGCATGATTCGTTGCATGCAAGCTGCAGTAACAGTGATTGCTGTGCGTTTTGTTACAGGTACAGAAACAGACACCCGTACTGTACTGTCTACTAGGTATGTACTGTAATACATCCATAATGTACCTACTGTACGTCGTATGGTATGTATCGCTGTAACCGCCACAACCCTAACAACCCCACAGAGCTGAGACCCACACCTTTAGTGAATATCTGCCATGTACGCCGCTTTTTGGCCAACTCGGGGAGTTGGCCAGCGACACATCTTAACCATTGACACGTATTAACCACTTGGTATCTTTTATATGGGCCCACCATAGAAAAGGTGCATGACCACCGAAAAGTTTTAACTTGAATTTTTTTAAGAATGTCTAGTGAGGATATGAGTTTTTTTTTTTGATTAAAAGGGAATTTACGTAAAGAATTATATATTTGATATAGATTAATACAAGAAATATAATCAAAAATTGATTTAAATTTATATTAAAATTCTCCCATAGTAAAATTTTCTAAGGAAAATATTCTATTAAGAATTATTCTATACTAGTATGTAATATAGTCTTCTTTTTTATTAATTAATTTAGAAATATAAAATAGACTGTTGTAAAATTCCTTATACTATCATTAAATCATAAAGTTCCAACTAAAAATCACGAAGAATTTGCAGTTGAAAAATTAGGGGAATTATGTATTTTTTCTATGGTGGGCCCATATAAAAGATACCAAGTGGTTAAGATGTGTCAATGGTTAAGATGTGTCGCTGGCCAACTCCCCGAGTTGGCCAAAAAGCGGCGTACATGGCAGATACAACCGATCCTTCCATCTTCCTTCAATACTACCGTGACTGATACTTCCACGAATCAGTTCTCCAGCCGGCCTGACAGGAATCTCGGGGGATCCCTTGAGGCCGAATCGTCACGGGCCACCAAGGCTTGATCGCTGCAAGCTGAGATTAGATCCTGCGGTGTAACTGACCGCAAAATACCATACACGACTGCTGCGTACATGAAGGTGATACGTGCCTTCTTTTTCATTTGTACTCTTTTCTTTTGCTCCATGCTAGTAAGCCATGTGGGATCGGGATTTGCCTCGTGTTCAGTGGGTCATGCTCGATCGTCGTATCAAAATAAAAAATATAGCAACGTGCACAAGGCTGTGACAAAGCCTGGGTTGAGGAAGCCAAAACGAAAAAGGCCCCTAAGAATTAGCCCTAGCACCGAAAACAGCGGGTGAATGCGGCGAGGCAGGATGGATGAAGTGTAGAGGATAGTATGGTTTGACTTGGCTTTCTTTCGAGCTGTGTGAGAGCCTTTTCCTAGCGAGGCAGCAGTTGGTCAGTGTGGAACAGTCACTCGGCTATAAAAGTGCGCTTTGTAACGTTCTGTTGTACAATAGATCGCAACCAAAGCACCTCACTTCACTCCTTACGCTCTCTATCATCTCTCACGTCCAGCACCCAAGCAGTCCAGTCCACCGTCCAGCCCATCATGTCTACTTTTCCCGCTGAGCCCGCAGCTAATATCGGTATGCTGTACTGGACTCCTGGTTGTTGATGCAATGGCTGACATAGTGACACAGAATGGGAGAAGGTTGGCGTCTCTTTCTTGGACGGTACACACTACCCCCACATCCTTCTAGTCAGAACACCATAGCTAATCACACCAGTACAGTGAACGGCCACGTGGAAAGTGACTTCAACTTCCAAACCGGCACATGGTCGGATCCCGTCTTTGTAGAAGACCACTACCTCCGCGTCCACGGCCTGGCGCCAGGGCTGAACTACGGCCAGCAAGTGTTTGAGGGAATGAAAGGTACACCACCCCCTATAGCCCTATCTTCATCCTATCCATACCCCATCATGCCCCCACCCGCACAACTCGCAGTCACTGACCTGTTGCGAACCCCGTGCAGCCTACCGCAACAAAAGCGGGCAGATCCAAGTCTTCCGTCCAACGGACCACGGGCTCCGCATGCAGCGGTCGTGTGAAGCCGTCTCCATCCCATCCATCCCGGGGCCCCTGTTCTGGGACGCGGTGAACCTGGCCGTGGCGCGCAACAGCGAATTCGTGCCGGCGCACGAGACCGAAGCGGCGCTGTACATCCGGCCGCTGGCGTTTGGATCGGGCGGCTGGATGCCCGTGGCGGCGGGCATGCAGTACAAGTTCTGCGTGTATACGCTGCCGTTCTGCGCCTACCACGGCACGCTCCCTGTCGATGCGGTGGTGCTGGAGGAGCTGGACCGCGCCGCCCCGGTGGGTGTTGGCAACGTCAAGGTCGGCGGCAACTACGCGCCGGTGCTGAAGTGGAGTGACAAGGCGCGCAAGGAGGGGTTCGGCATCACTCTGCACCTTGATAGTCGGACGCGCAGTGAGATCGATGAGTTCAGTACCTCGGGATTCGTGGGGATCAAGTATGGTGATGGCAGGGCGGAGGGGCCGTATACCTTGGTCGTGCCTAACAGCCAGTGTGTCATCAAGAGCGTGACGAGCACGAGCGTGATCGACTTGGCTAGGTCGCTTGGCTGGAGGGTGGAGGTTCGGCCGGTGAGTGTTTTGCTTCCCTCTTTCCATACCACACCTTGGTGCGTGTGTGGCTGTGGCTGATTTACTGCATGCAGATCCCCTACGACGAGCTTGCTTTCTTTGATGAGGTGATTGCCGTTGGCACGGCGGCGATGCTCACCTCGATCCGGTCGATTACGCACCGGTCCAAGGAGCAGTTTTTCCAATTTAACACCAGCGACAAGCCGGGGAGTGTCTGCGAGAAGCTGTCGATCAAGCTCAAGGCGATCCAGAAGGGCGATGTGGCGGATCCGTTTGGCTGGTTGAGACAGGTGGTGGATCCAGAAGCCAGGAACCAGACGCAGCCTGTCAAGGAGGCGGCGAAGGGGCCTCAGGTTGAAGCAGTTCCGGTTGAGCAGGTGACTGTGCAGTAGAGAAAGGGCTTAGGCGTTGGCTTTTCGGGTTTATTCATGGCTATCGGTAATACAGTCTAAATTCTATCAGTTCATTATATCCTGTCGTTCCCTTCCACTTCTTGAAAACTACAGTACATCGAATGCCCGGAAATAGTTGCGGTAGATAGGCCAGAATCGTCATTCTAGACTTGTCTGCCCGTATGGTCAGTAGCAATGCCCTAAGCAGGATGCAGAACAATGTTCTAGTTGAGATTGTTGTAGAGTCGGAAACTTGAACTTGATAGAACATGTATGGCACTAGATGAAGATAGGTTTTGGTGACAACTTGATCAACTATGTGCAACAGCTGCCGTGGGATATGGATATTAACAAAGAAGAGGACAAAAAGACTCAAGAAGAAGATAGTAATCTCCCGAACACGCACTCATCTTGAAGTGTTACCGCCTGGATATCTGTATGTTGTATCTCTCGCAGATCAAAAGGAAATGACGGTTTATGAGCATTGGAACAAACAATGGTAATTAAAATAGGAAAACGGTAGCAAGGAGCATCCAGCCCGCAAAAATCAGACAAATCATATCACATCAAATTGTTTTACCCCACCCACCAAGAAATCACCGTCTAACCTCATTCCCCTGCTGATCATACCAGGTTCTCTGTGCCCTGTCGCCGCTAGCCGCAGGCATTACCGTGGTGCCGGCATTATACCCAGCATCGTCGCCAGCATCGTAGCCACGCGGGGTGCTGCCGAGCTCCTGGGCATCGAGCAGATCAAAGGCGACGCTGCCGTGCTTGCGGTGGCGCTTGTGGTCCTTGCGGGCCTTCTTCTCGGCCAGCTTGGCCTCCTTCTTCTCGCGCTTGACGCGCTTCTTCTCGCGGCGGCTGACGTGCGGGAACTCACTGTCAGGGCCCTGCAAGACGCGGCCGGGGTGGATGACGTTCAGCACAACCAGGGCGAAGAACATAGGGGTAGCGTCCCAGACGTACTCGTACCACTCGTGGGTGAGCACGGGGTTGTTGGGGTCGGTGCCCTGGGAGTACTGCGCCATGCGGAAGACGATGCGCACGGTGATGAGGAACAGACAGGCGTAGATGGCGAAGAAGAGCCAGCGCCAGCGCATGCTGCCGCGCGCCAACTTCTCCGCGTCCAACTGGCCCGTGCGCTCTAGCTCGGCCATCTTGCGCTGCAGGTGGATGAAAAAGCCGGTGAAGACCAAGATAAAAAACTGCTGCAGCCCGATGCCGCCCATGTAGATGTGCACGCCCATCATGATGGTGGCGGTAGAGGCGTCGGTCGAGCTCGTGAAGGCCGCGCCCACCAGCTGCACGATGAAGGAGATGATGTCCAGCCAGACGAAGGTCTGGCCGAAGCGTTTTGGCCGAGACCCCGCCGAGCCGGGCGTCCGGAATGAAGAAGTAGATCAAGCGGCCCAAGGTCATGTACAGGAAGGCGTTGATCCAGATGGGCGCCAGCAGGAAGAAGATGGTGTGCGGCGTGGCGTAGGCGTCAGAACTTTGGTGCTTGGCGAAGAGCGCGGCCATGATTGATGAGACCAATTCCCAGAGCGCGCCCATGATTACAACCCACGCGTAGCGCTGTTGAAGTCGGTTAGTTTATTTCTTGGAAGGCGTGCATGGGTATAGAGCTATGTGCGTGCGAATGGCGGATGGAGGGGGCGAGAGACATGCCTTTTTGAACATGAAAGCCTGGAAAACATGGACGGCAGTTGTAAGACCGAACAAGACACAAAACAAGACTGCGGCGCCGAAGCTAGCCTCGTACATGTCGATGTTGCCGCAGGCCCCCGGTGGCACATAGCCATTTTTGTCCGGGGTGACGGACACGCATGTTGCAGTGCTGGAGGTCGTGGCCGACGTCACCGTGACAGCAGTAGTGGTGGCACTCATGGTGGCGAGAGAGGTCTGTTGTTTTGGGGGGAAATAAAGGAAGGGTGTTACTGAGACAGAGAATGACAGAAACTATATAGTCTGCAGGAGAATGTCAGGCAGAAACATAACCGAAAACCAATCCCGCCAAAAGCTTCAACCACGCATCGTGATATTGGGAGATCGCCGGGACTGGCCCCTGACGGGCGCTTCGAATCTGGGCCCAGTCAGGCAGCACCATTCCAGGTGAGAAAAGGCTGCTGCGATCCTGCAGACAAAGAGAAAAGAGTAATGAAAAAATGAGTTTCATGGTACGGTACTAGTCAGATTTTAGCATTGCGTGGTGTATGTGTCTTTGTGGGTGTTTGGAGGTGAGATGGCGGCTGGAAAGCCATCGGATGATCCGCGTGCTGTGAGTGGTAGAGTCGGATACGCTAGGTTACTTTGAGGCAAGCGTCGGATAGACTCAGCCTTCGACCCTGGTTCGGACCGCGCGGCACACAGCCGCCGCTTAGCTTTATCTGGGCTAGCGTTTCCGACCCAGCGAATCAGGCAGCGCTGAACCCTGGATGCTTATTTATGTAACCCCAGTCCAGTTAGCCTCGACCCCGTGTTGTTAGGCAGACAGGAATGCCAAGTAAAAATAGCAGCAGCATCCCACGACTAGTGCAAACTGACAGATGGCGCGGCTGTAGTTAGTCTAATGACTTAGTCATTCTCCAGCACTGTAATCAAGTTGGTTACGGACTAGTCACATCCTTCAACCTGTATCCTTCTTCCTTCATCCTTCAGATTGCGTGATAGAGTGCTTACCAGTCCGTACTCGTGGGTGTGGTGGTGTTACTTACCGGTCTGAAACTGCCTCTCGCCTCCAAAAATCCTACGCATCACCACAAGTGATCAACTGTCGCTACATATACCCTCATACTTAAGATGAACAATCGGCAAACGTCCTGGGATACAAGTAAGGCTTCCCAACAAGTCATCCCATTGAAATTCCCCACAGTAACCTAACACCGATGGCTCTGGCACATCATCTGCTCCCCCGCCTGCCTCGCACGATCCAACCGATCCGCACGGCCTCACTCTATCACTGTCGCCACGCGTCGTCGCAATCCGGGCCATTCCTCCGCATCCAGAAGACGCAGTCGCCGAGTCCCCCGCCTGAGGCCGGACAGTTGCAGTTCGGGCGGGCGTTTACGGGTAGGTCGAGTCTCGGTCCCGTGATATGACGCACCCTCAGCCACACCCCCAGATCTAACCAAACAGCCGCCAACTAGATCACATTTTGACCTTCGAATGGACAACAGAGCATGGCTGGACGAACCCCCAAATCACCCCGTATGGCAAACTGCCCCTCGACCCGGCGGCCTGCGTGCTGCACTACGCCTTCACCTGCTTCGAAGGCATGAAAGCGTACAAGGACCCGCAGGGCCAGGCACGGCTGTTCCGGCCAGATAAGAACCTGCAGCGGCTTAACCGATCAGCGGCGCGAATCGCGCTGCCCACGTTCAACGAGAGCCGCGTGTTGGATATGCTGACGCGGTACGTGGAGTTGGAGAAGCGGTTTATCCCCGCCTTGCCGGGTTACTCGCTCTACCTGCGGCCCACGCTGCTGGGCACGGAGGCCAGCATCAGTGTGTCACGGCCACGATCGGCGCTGCTGTACGTAATTGCCAGCCCGATGGGGAATTATTTCGCCGGGGGCATGAGGGCTGTCTCGTTGCAGGCGACGCGAACGCCGGTCCGGGCGTGGCCCGGCGGGGTAGGTGAGTTCAAGGTCGGGGGCAACTATGCGCCCAGCATTGTGCCGCAGGAAGAGGCGGCGGCGGGGGGGGTTGCAGCAGAATCTGTGGCTTCTGGCGGATGAAAGCCGGGGCGAGGAGTATGTGACTGAGGCAGGGACGATGAATCTGTTTGTCGTCTGGGTGGATCCCCTCACCGGGCAGACGGAGCTGGTGACGCCCCCCTTGGATGGAACGATCCTCCCAGGGGTGACCAGGACGTCTATTTTGGAGCTGGCGAGGGAGAGACTGGGGCCGGAGGGGGTGGAGGTTAGAGAGACGTGCATCACCATGAAGGACCTGGCCAATGCCTCAAGGGAAGGACGGCTGTTGGAGGTGTTTGGCGCGGGCACGGCGGTCATCGTCTCGTCCGTCAGATCGATTCAATGGAACGACCAGACGATTGATTGCGGCCTGAGCAAGGACGAAGAGGCCGGCCCGGTGACTCTGAAAGTGAAGAAGTGGATTGAGGAGATCCAGTATGGTCTTGTGGAGCATCCTTGGAGGTAAGTGGTTTCCGCAAGTTGTGGGAAGCACACTGACCTAATGTTTATTTAGTTATCGGGTATGATATGCTAGGTGGTCGATAAGTATTACAGAAGGATCGATTCTTGCTCTAGAGGTTGATAGTCTTATAATCCAAGTCCGAGTCAAGAAGGCAAATGATGAACTTAATCTAAAGGCCATCTATAGCACTCCATCCTTAGGCTTTATACTTGTATCTCATTTTTAGCCTCGTACTAGCAAGAACCGGCTTTTTCAAATAAACTCTATACTGGTGATAATATGAGCCTGTGCTGTCAGACGTTGTCGTTCCCCAGGCCATGACTGGCATATGCGGAGTGATGCTTAAGATCTTGCTCAAGACAAGGGCAGTCTGCTCGAACAACTACCGAAATCATTCCAAGGTTGGTGTCTCTCCTTACCCTTCCTAGCCACGCAAGTTACCACTCGTCAAGTCTACAATGCCGCGGGAGACTGTGTACTGTCTGTCTGGCATCGCATTATCATATGTATAGGCTCCATGAAATATCTAGACATATATATCTGACAACTTGTACTCTGACCCTATATTTGGGGTCCAATAAGAGTAAAGGGTCAGGCTAAAGAATAATTCATGTTCGCTCTTCTCTCCCACATACTACAAAGGATATATACATACCATCGCTCACCGATATTTTAGATGCAATATTATCGGCGTAGCTGATAATCCGGCCATGTGAATTCAAGCGAGATTACCACATACATAGTCATGTCAGTCAGTTAGTTTCCAAGGTTCCAACCACCAAGCAAACAAGCATTCAAGAAAGCCCCGAAAAAAACCAAGAGGATCGTTCCAAGCAGTCATTCCCTGAGTTATATATATGTATCAAGATATCAACACAACCTTGGAACACTCGAGGAACCTTATGTAATCACATTCAAAAATTGCTTGGCCTTCTGTTAGCTGCTACCACCGAGAAACTTCGGAGAGTTTTATTCTGTATGCTCAGAAACGATATAACCACTGGCATCCATGCAGTCAGAAAGATGGAACTATTCATCATAAAACTCAAGCAAGTTGAAAAGACATTTCCCAGACCTAGATATTCAAGAGGCTTAAACTCGTACACTGATTATCGAAAAGCTACGAGAGAACTTCTAATTGAACCCCGGCCATCAGTCTATATATATATATATTCATATGTTTGACATGAAGCACTAAAGAACGTGAGCTGGAATAAAAAACATTTGAAAGCGAACAAGACAAGCCCACATGCAGAACCCAAACTCCGTGCCTCCTGTTGATCATATCTTCTTTTATAATATCTTCTCCACAGTGTAGAAGCGCACCGTTGGATCCAAAAGGGTCTCCAATTCCTTCTGCGGCGCCCAGGGCGTAGCAGTCTTCAACTCAAAGAGACTGTTGGCGGCTAGCCCGCGATAAAAGAAGGCATCCGCCTTCTTCTGCCGTTCAGTACGCTTGTCCACGTACATCTGATACTCCTGCTCTCCCTCTAGAGTGGCAAATAGATACTTGGGATGCACGACAATTGTCTGAGCGCCCTTTTGCCCAAACCCGAAAGAAGTCACACTGATGGCGCGGATGCCTCCAGGGCCTGTCGTCTCCAAGGACCGATTCAGGAAGGCGATCTGCTCGTTCTGCTGCAGCTCCTCGTCCACGTTATCCAGATTGCGGTTGCCGGGCACGATGCCCGTATCAAGAATCTGCAGCGCGCCGTTCAACATCCACGCGCCAGCCGCGCCTTTCGGGTGGCCTGTCAGATATTTCTGGAACACGCCGAGAATGACGTTTCCTTTAGCACGACCGAGATGCGAGAGCTGTCTCTGGATGACACCGCACTCGTTCTTCTCGTTAAGCTTGGTCGACGTCCCGTGGAAGGAAGCGACGCCAAGATCATCAACCCCTAGACCCCAGACGGCCAGGGCACCGCGCAGGGGCGCAATGGTCGGATCATCGGCCCAGAAGGTATTGCCGAGGTGGTATCGGGCGTTCTTGAGGTCTTTGCGGGCTTCGGCCTCAATCTGGGCGGTGCGCTCGCGGATGTACACGTCCACGTCCTCGGAGGACTCAAGACTGGCCACCTCGAGCTGGAGGTCCTGCAGAGCAGCCTCGCGCGCGAAATTGATCTGCTTCTTGCGTAACTCAAGGCGTTTGCGCCGGTTGGCGAGCTTGAGTAGCGGGGAGGCAATGCTGGAGGAGCTTCGCGCCTCACGCGCCTTGGACAGGATCCCCTTTCCGGGCGCAGGCACCGACCGGCTTGCCTTGTCACTCGAAGTCTCGACGAAGGCAATCACACCTCGGATGGGCAGGCCCATCTCCAAGGCGAGTTTGGCAGTTGTAAGGATCTGGATACCGCAGCCGTGCGACTCCATGAAGCCGTTGCGCGTGCTGGCGGCGGGCCTGGACATCTCAGACACATCGCGACCTTGCTCAAACTCATCTACTGCGTTGGAGGTGGCTTTCATATTGGCAAACTCGTACGACATCTCTTCGCCAAAGTCGTCGCCACCGCCGACGAAGCAAAACTGTGCTTTGCCGCTGACGAGCGTGTCATAGCCGAGCTCGACCGACTCAATAGCGGTCGCACAGGCGCCAACAGGGGTGCGCATAGGACCGGCGGATGACATCAGGAGCATATTGACCCAGGCACCGATCGTGTTCACGAACGACTCCTGGAGGATATCCTTCTGCACTTCCTTCTCGTGGTATCGGTCGCGATAGATCTGCTGGAGCGAGTTAATCCCGCCCATGCCGGAACCAATGCAGTTTCCTGCCTCGGAGATATGAATGTAGCGGTAGATCTCGTAGGGGTCTGTAATTCCAGACGAGAGCAGTGACTCAATCGAGCAAACCAAAGTGTACAGCGCGACCGTGTCAACCTGTGAGATGAGATCGTCCGATATGCCGTACTTCTTCGCATCCCAACCAGTGGGGATCTGCCCAGCCACCAGGCGGTCGAACCGCATCGCTTTGGGTACCAGCAGCTTCGCACCTTTCTTCAGAACGGCGCGATACTGGTCGGTCCCCGGCTCGCGAGCGATATGTACCTTGTCCCAGTGTTCCAGCTTCAGTTGCTGCGCGGTGGTCTCGGGCACCTCCAAGGCGGGAAGTCCTCTTGAATGAGTACCTCATGCAGCGTCTGCTTGCGTTCCGGATCGTAACCACCGAATAGATCCGGTTCGATAAGACGTATGCCTGAGTGAGTCAGGATGTGTTCTTCGTACTTCTGCTTGATCTGATGGTCGAGAACGGGCTCATTGGTCTTGGCGTCGACCCAGCCGGGCGTGGTGCCATTCTCGTAGCGAATTAGCCCCATCAGCCAGGCCATCTCGACACAGCCTTCGAGCGAAAACTCGCCGTAGGCTTCCATCTCCCAGCGGGTGCGGGCGTTGCCCCATGGGCCGAGCTCGGCGAACCCAGTTACCACGACTACGCGCTCCAGGTCAACCATGCCTTGCAAGTCGGCCGTGAGCGGCCCGATGTCGCTGTCGTAGTCGAGAATCTTGGGAAAGTCGAGGCGGACGTGAGCTTTCGGGACGGGGGTAGGGGCGGCTGTTTGGGAGGCAGCCTTGGGGGTTGTTGTAGCGTCAGAGAAGCATTTGGCTTCCATATCCAACTCTTCAAGAAGGGCTTTGCGCGTCTGCGCCGTCTCATTTATCTCCGTGCGCAATTCTTGTACTTTCTGTCTGAGGTCTTGCACCGCACCCATGCGGCCGGCTAGGTCGGCGTACAAAGGTGCCTCCTCGCAGAGGCTGCAGATAGGGTTAAACATCAGACAGAGGAGACACTGGGCCATTTCTTGCTGGGAGAAAGTTTGACACCCTAAGCGCTCAATCCCCTCGGCGACCAGATTGTTGCCGCTCATGAGGCCCGTCCCCCGAGTCCAGCCAATCACCGCACCGCATACCGACAGATAGTCAGACCAGTCCTCTGAGTGCCAGCGGTTGAAGAGCGCTTCAAGCCCCAGCTTGGACTCACTGTACAGACCGTCTCCACCAAAAATGCCGTGGTTTGGCGAGAGAGGTAGGATCACTTGGGTGGGTCGCGTATGCGAGTCTTGTGCTTCTTTGCGGCTTTTTACCGCACCCAACAGACGCAAGGTGTTGGTCATCATGGTTCGATGGGCTAGCTCGGCGTGCGGGTCTATCTTCTCTATGGTCCGTCCGTTTTCTGGGATCGCTGCGAAGGGCAGGATATGGTCGAGATCCCAGTGAAGCCCTTTGATGTCGTAAATATAGTCAACTAGCGCGGAGATATCCTGGGAGCTAGCTTGATTGAAAGGCACGACGACCAGCTCGGATTCGCGGGCACCGAATTGAGTGTAGAGATCCTGGTACTTGCGGACCACGCTGGGGGAGAAGCGGCTGGTAGTGACGATCACGCGAGCACCGCCGGAGAGCAGGCCCTTGAGAACTTCAGCCCCGATGGATCCCACTCCGGCGCCGGTAATAAGCACCGCGCGGCCGACGAAGGACTCCCCGGTGGTTGTAGCCTGTTCAAGCACGGCGTGATACTGCTCCGTGAGGTCGTGACTGTATCTCCAGGAGGAACCGGTCCGCTCCTTCAGGTGCAGATACGGCCCCAACGGAGATTCGGTACAGGGAAGGTATACCAAATCGGCGAGCGGAGTTGGTACAGCGCGTTCATGCTCGCTGTAAGAGATTTCTCCTGCGGCACTGATTGTCGTGCAGGGACCCCGACTGTCTGCTCGCGCCAGATACTTGGGACCGCGGTGCAAGGACTCGCGGCACCGCTCCGCCAGACGGGTAAACAACGATGAAAGCAAGGGCTGCTCGGTGAATTCACCGACGATGTGCTGAAGAACATCCACTAGCCTGGGGTCTGCCGCATCCTGAATATGCTCGCAGCGCTTCGTCGCCAGCAGCAGATCCGCACCCTCGCCGCCCGCCCTCGACACTTCGTAGTACAAATGCAGCAAGTCCTGCAGCGCCCAGCTCCAAGCACTATCAAAGCGTCTCGCCTTTTTAGCGCTGAAATGTGGCTGGACGCCAGAGGTGAAGTCTTCGCCCAGCTCCTGTTGGATCTGGTCCAGCGCTTTCCGCAGATCCTTCTCCACCGTCACCTGCAGGTCATCCAACGCGCGTCGATCCTGGTCCAGATCGATATCTAGATGCTTCGAATAAAGCTTCAACAGCGCCTTGGACAACTCTTGCTGACCTCCGGGTAACGCTTCCAGCGTCTTATGATCCAGCATTATCGAATGGCCTCCCGCGGTCTCCTCCGCCCCACCTCCCGTTGTGCCTCCCATTGTCAACCCGTGTTCCGTTGCATAGACCTGCACCAGCCCATCGAAGAAGATTTTTGCCTCAGGCTCCTCGCTGATCCTGCTCGCTGGTTGTTGCGCGATTGCGAGCAACAAAATCGAATCTTGTCGGCCGGACCCAAGACCCCAGCGAGACTGCAGGTATGCCCTGGTGGTTGCCACTGTGAATTGACCGGGCATCTTGGAGGCAAACATGGCGTGCAGCATCTTAAGCATGACCTTGCGCATCTGGCCGGTGAAAGTCTTCTGCAGGGCATCGCTGAGGTCGGTGACGGTGAGGTCTTCGGCGCGGTCAGGAAGGGAGCCGAACTCGCTGTTGAGATCGCCGATGATCTCATTTTCTAGGGTGGAACGTCCACCGGCGAGAGATTTGATACTCTGGGTGCCAACAATGTCGGTGACAGCGATCTTGAGGACTCGGGACAGGAGAGTGCGGATGACTTCAAAAGCACGGGCTGGTTGATCGTCGATGACTGCCTCAGGCACAGGGACCGCAACGGGAGTGGGAGCTTTAACTGCCTCAGGCACAACTGATTTGGTAGTGGCTGCCTCAGTTGCCAAGGGAGCGGGAACGGGAGCTTCCGCCGCCGCCGCCACCGGAGCGTCATACTCGTAGTAGATCTCCTTCCCCTGTTTTTCCGAGGCCAGCAGTTGCCGCTTCAGAAGGGAGGCTCGATCACTGTGCAAGAACTTGGACTTGACGGTCTGTGCCATCATGTTGGTCAGTGTGGCCGCCGGCCCGATCTCCACGATGCGTTCGGCCCGGTATTGGCTGAGGACCACATCTTGAGTTTCAATCCATCGTACGGGGGAGGCAAACTGGTATCTGTCGGATATACAACCATGCGCATGTCTGAGTTAGCGAGCCAGAAAACACCATGGGTGATCTGAACGGGCAGATGGGAGGAGATAACGCACGACATCAGTTCCAAAAGCAAAGTATAAGCCAGCTTCCGCTGGGCGTCATCATAGTCCACGATGGCCATGACGCCGACTTCCCCACGATGCTCGACAGCGAGGATCTCTTTTTTCGTGTGACTTCCACAAGCATGGAAGATGAGTCTTGACACTGATCTTCCTGACGTCCCTCTCTGCTGTTATACCTCGACGACACAAGGGGAATGGTGTCTATTTCGGATAATCCCATCGCCTCCACGGAAAGCTTGCCGTTCCTGGCTAGAACAGAGCTGACGGCAGCAAGAAAAGAACCTGCTGCACGTGGCTGGCCACAAGGCTTGTTCCTGCGGCGCAGGATTCATTTGCTGGAACCGAAGGAGACCGTCGTCCAACTAACATGGCGTGTATTGAGGATGTTTCACAGGAGAAGATGACAAGATCGAGGATACGAGGCAGAGCTGCATGTGTATTGTCGTATGTATGGTCTGACGTACTGTACGCGTGTATCTGACGTGGTGGTAATTCAAAACATACGACAATACGGATCGTATTGAGCGTATTGAAGCACCGACTAGCGCGTACGGGACTCGATCCCCCGACACTAAATCCTTCAAGGTTGAAGTGGCTTGGATGTAATTGGCAGGCTCGGAAGCCCTAACCAGGAAGATCGTCGGATCCTACCGGAACCTTATGGGCAGCCACCGTTGAAGTCAACCCAATAATCATTGACCCCATACGCCCTCCCCCCCGGCCGATTTATTCACTCGATCGATCCCGAAACTAGCTTGTCGCTTCCTTTAGCCTGCTCCTGAGGTGTTGGGGGCCAGAATCCAAGCCACGAAAACACCGTTAGGTATTCAAACTAGAGCTGAGTGCCAAGAGAAACGTGGTAAGCGGATCCGGGCCTCTGTGCTTCCGGGTTCTGGCTGCAGAGCTAAGGCTGCTTACTGTCGGTCACGAAACTCGCTCATGAGTTGGACGGGGGCAGTGAGCGACGTCAGTCCAGGCAGACATAGCAACAAATACCACAACAAAACAATCCCAATTAAACAAATATCTTCCCGGTAGGTACGCAGGCACTGGTCTAGTGCGGGATGAACGCGTGATCCCTTCTTTCTCTGCTTGCTTGCATCTGCCATTCTCGAAAACTGCAAAACATGGCGGGTTCTTGCACGATCGAGGTCGAAAACCACTTCGGGCCCATCGTCGGAGATGCCTGTTACGGGAGGTTGGACTTCACCTTGTACTTTGAGGAAGCCTTTCTGTCTATCTTCCCTGCTGCGACGGTGATCGTAGCTGCGGGCTTGCGGTGTCTCGTGGTTCAGAGTTTCAGCGTCAAGGTCCGGGGAGGCTGGCTGTACCCCCTGAAACTGCTGTGTCTCGCGCTCTACTCCATCTCGCAGCTGCTGCTCTTCGCCTTCTGGGTCACGTCTGGCACGCCGAAGACCGACCTCACCATTGCGGCGACCTTGCTCCGGTTCCTGGCAACCCTCTTCTGTGGGTATCTGTCGCTGTTGGAGCATTACCGATCGGTTCGGCCCTCGAAGATCCTGAATCTCTATTATCTTTTCTCGTTACTCTTTGATATCCCTCAGGCTCGCACGATATGGATTGTCCAAGGACTGCACAGGGTCGCGGGCATCTTCATCGCCGGCATGGCTGTCAAGGCCTTGCTACTGGTCCTCGAGACTTGGGAAAAAAAGCGCCTCGCCAAACCCATGTATGCCACCTTAGCGCCCGAGGACTGGACAGGCGTCATCAACCGCAGTCTCTTCTGGTGGTTCAATCAACTTTTGTTCCGCGGATCACGCAATGCGCTTTCGATGGGGGATTTGTTTCACCTCGAGGATTGTATGATCCCAGACCCAGAGGGAAAGGGCCGACTCGCGCAGCTCTGGGAGAATTGTACGTGCCCCGTCTCCACCATCACCCTTTCTCTGGCGTAACGCAGCTAACGATTCGCTTTTAGGTGAAAATAAAGAGAAATCCGGTGCCTTGATCGGCCCTCTCGCTAAAGCCTTCAGATGGGACCTGCTAGCCGGGATCATCCCGCGTCTATCCCAAACGGGTTTCACCTTCGCGCAACCGTTTCTTGTCCAGGCGGCCGAGAAGCTTTTCGCCAACAAAGACCTGCCTGATGCAAAAAGCAAAGGGATTCTCCTGCTCGGCGCTTACGCGCTAGTTTACGCCGGCATCGCTGTCTCCACCGCGACCGCGCAGCACAAGACCTACCGCGTGATTACCATGATGCGAGGAGCGCTAGTGGGACTGATCTTCGACAAGAGCACGACCATCAACGCGCATCTAAACGATGACTCCGCCGCCCTAACGCTAATGAGCACCGACATCGAGCGGATCACCAGCTGTGGACGCTATTTGCATGATACGTGGGCGAGTCTGATTGAGATTGCGATTTCCTTGTACTTGTTGTATAACCAGCTGAGTACGGCGGGAGTGGCGCCGATCATTATTGCATTTGGTGAGTCCCCGTCCTTTTCTCTGACCAAGGCGTGCCTGAGAGGTTCTAACCGTAGCTTAGCTTGCACGGTGGTGGCCATGAAGATCGCCATGGTGACCGGCGAGCGGCAAAACCTGTGGATTGAAGCAATTCAGAAGCGAGTGTCGGTCACGGCAGAGATGCTAGGCTCGATGAAGGGGGTCAAGATCTCGGGGCTTAAAGACCTTCTACATGACAAAATCCAAGGACTGCGCGAGGACGAGATTCTTGCTTCGCTGAAATTTCGCACGCTTTTGATTTGTGTTGTTGCGCTCTGTATGTGCTTATCTTCCCCATTGCATCTTGTGACAAGGGGAATTTGCTAATCTCAACTCTGAAAAGCCAACTTCAACACACTTATTACGCCGGTTGTGACTTTCACAATTTATGCCATGGGCTCGCGCGATGGGAAAGCGGGTTATCTTGACAGTGAACGAGCGCTGACCTCCTTAACGCTGTTCAACCTCTTCTCCGTGTTTATTGGCGCGCTGGTTGAGTCGATCAGCGACACGGCCATGGCGCTCGAGTGCGTTGACCGAATTCGGGATTACTTGGCAATGGATCCACACGAGGATTTGCGTGAGGTCGTCCGAACTCGGGACCTTTCGGATGAGAAGTCTGGCTGCGTCGAGGCAATTAACGTCGATGTAGGATGGAAGGGAGGCGAAGCTCCTGTCTTGCACGGTCTATTTTACCGAATTGAGCGCTCATCCTTGACAATGATCGTGGGTGCGGTTGGCTGCGGCAAGACGACGCTCGTCAAGGCGATGCTCGGCGAGGTGAACTGTATGACTGGTAAGATGAGAGTCAACTGCGACCGTATGGCGTACTGTGGACAAGAGGCATGGTTAACCAACGGCACGGTGCAAGAGAATGTTCTCGGGGGTTCAGCGTACGATCCCCCGTGGTATTCGACCGTCATTGCGGCTTGTGGCCTGGAGAAAGACTTTACGGAGCTAGGCAACGGCGATCAAACCGCGGTCGGCAGTAAGGGTGTTTCAATGAGTGGTGGACAAAAGCAAAGACTAGTTTGTCTTCTCTCTCGTTTGCCTTCCTCTCTTTAACACCAGCTCACGATCTTGCAGGCACTCGCCCGAGCGCTTTACTCAGGCGTGGAAACAATCATCATGGATGATGCCCTCAGCGGGCTCGACCCAGTCACTGACGAACACATCTTCTCTCACGTCCTGGGTCCGCGCGGGTTGGCCAGAAAGCAGGGCCTGACCATCATCATGGTCACACATGCAGTCCACAGACTCCCATACGCCGACCACATCATCGCCCTCAAGGCCGACGGCACTATTCTCGTCCAAGGCACATTCGACGATTGCTGCAAAAAGCTCGATTCTCATCCAAGGCTTTGCTATCGCCAAGCCCCCTGCCATCCAGATGAAAAGTGAGATGCCCAAGGCCGTGGAGAAAGCCAGCGTCCCTTACTCTAAGGAGGCGATCTCGGACGCGCGCAAGACCAGTGACTTACAGACGTACATTTACTACCTCACGACGGTGCCTTGGTATAACTGGTTGGTGTATTCCAGTTTCATGGCGGTGTTTGTGTTCTTCCAGGCCTTCCCGTCCGTTTGGGTGACCTGGTGGGCCCGGGATAACGACGAACGGCCCAACAAGAACATGAGCATGCGTATTGGCGTGTACTGGCTGTTCGGCGTGCTCGGAGCCTGCTTCCTCCTGGCCACTGCATGGTTCTACATGCTCAAGATCGTCGCCAAGACCGCCTCGGTCATCCATTCGCGGCTCCTGCGGACGGTGCTCAACGCTCCGATGGCCTTCTTCGCCTCGACCGACTCAGGTATCACCATCAACCGATTTAGCCAGGATCTGCAGCTCATTGACATGGAGCTGCCTTTGGCAGTACTCCAAGCGTGCATGGCGCTATTTCTGTGTGTGGCTCAACTGATCATCATCGCCGTCTCCGCCAAATACATCACAGCCACTATCCCGCTGTGCATCTTCGTATACTGCGCCATTGGCACCTTTTACATTCGCACCTCGCGCCAGCTGCGCATTATGGACATTGAAGCCAAATCCCCGCTGTTCTCCAATTTCATGGAGCTGCTGAACGGGCTCGTGACCATCCGCGCTTTTAACTGGGAGGAGCAGTACAAGGTCCGCAATCGAGCTCTGCTGGCCGAGTCCCAGCGCCCGTTCTACCTCCTGTACACTGTACAGCGCTGGCTGAGCCTCGTGCTCGACATGACCGTGACGGGATTTGTGGTAGTGCTCATGGGCATCGCCGTGGGGACGATGCAGAGTACGGACGCGAGCTTTTTAGGTCTGGCGTTGGTCAATGTCGTTTCGCTGAGTGCCAGCGTCAAGGCACTGATCACGGATTGGACAGTATTAGAGACAAGTCTGGGCGCTGTGACGAGAGTGAAACATTTTCTGGAAACAACCGAGTCGGAGGACACAGCTGAGGAAAGGGATCTGCCGCCGGACGATTGGACCGGCGGAGGCACGATTGAATATAGAAATGTCTCGGCTTTTTATCAGTGAGTACTATTCATCATGGCTCACTGGAGGGGTGACGAACGATCAGTTACTAAACGCAGAGTGTAGGGATCCGTCTGCACCGGTATTAAAGAATGTCTCTTTCCGCGTCCGTAAAGGAGAGAAGGTTGCCATTTGTGGGCGGAGTGGCAGGTATGTCAAAATCCATTTCTCGCTCACTCTTGAGAGCTTCCAGTGCTGAGAAAACACTGACTTTTGGTATAGCGGCAAGAGTACTCTCGTCTCCGCGCTGTTCCGCATGATTGAACTTTGCGACGGCTCCATTGTAGTGGACGGGGTGAACATCGCGACGCTGCCCCGGCAAGAAATCCGCTCGGCAATTATTGGTCTTCCGCAGGATCCCCTGCTCTTGGAAGACAGCACCGTTCGCGAGAATATCGATCCCTTTGACTACTCCCCTGATGAGGCGGTGATCAACACGCTTAAGCGCGTCGGCTTGTGGGAGATAATCGAAGGCCAAGGCGGGCTCGACACCGTGGCCAGCGGTGACCTTTTCTCACATGGACAATGGCAATTGCTCTGTATGGCGAAGGCCATGCTCCGCCAGGGGAACATCATCGTCTTTGATGAGGCGACAAGCGGAGTAGACCCGGACACGGATGAGATGATGCAAGAGCTCATCCGCTCCTGCTTCGTCGACTACACCGTCCTCACCGTGACCCACCGTCTCGATACGATCATTGACTACGACCGCGTTCTCGTCATGGACAATGGTATCCTCCTCGAAAGCGACCAGCCGCGTGATCTCCTCGCCCGGCCCTCGATCTTCCGCGAACTCTACAAATCCTCCCGTGGGTGGGAAGAGTACGAGCGTCAGGAACGGGCAGAAGCCGAATCCCGCGAGCGCGAGCGTCTGAAGAAAGAGAAGGAGCAGCGAGCTGAAGCTGAGCAACGCGACCAGCTTATTGTCACTCAGGTTTAATAGAAATGTGCCGAGGCCATCTGCTGAACTCACCGATATATGTACTTAGCGGTCTCTCGGGGAGCTCAGAACTAAGAGCTTGATCCTTGAAGCCCGGTGCTCGATAGGCTTCAGAAGCTATCTTGGTCTTACAATGATAAATAAGGTGCAGTTTGGAAGCTATATTTGGATTGACAACACAGAGAGAAAGAGAGTAGAAGAAGAAAGTCAACCTGTGGCTCAGGCTCAGCTACCTAGGCCTGTGCAACTCCCATGGGACCCAAGGTCCGAGTCCCATATGGGAGTCCCACTTACGTAAGTCCCATGGGATCTGGTCGTATGGGAGTAGGCAGAAAAGCTGGTCCCATGGGACTCGGACTCCCATTGAAAAGTGGGGCGGCCTATTTAGGTAATATTTGTTGTAAACTTGAACTTGAATCTTATAATCTACTACATAACTTTCTCAAATATATATAATCATAACAGAGACCACCACTACCACATTCTAATATATATATTTTTTCTAAAATTCCAAAAAATTACTAAACTACTTATTCGCTTTTCAACTATCCTATTCTCTTCTAAAAATATTAAAAGTCCATAAAGCTTGGCAAAAATGCATATATTTTTATGTAACATTTGAATATTATGCAATAACTTATACAGATGGGACTCCCATGGGACTCCCATGGGAGTGGGTCTAGTACCATGGGAGTCCTGTCCCGCTTAGCTAAGGTCCCATGGGAGTGGGTCCATGGGAGTAGGCAGAAAAGTTGGTCCCATGGGTCCCATTTGCACAGCTCTAGGCTCAGCTGATCAGGCGGTCGAGGGAGGCAGAATGCCCGCAGCACAGTGTGCCATGTATATCAAACAGGACAAACCAGTCAAACCAGCCAAACAGCTGCTCAGGTGACTTGCTTTTAACTACAACATTCATTCACTTCGTTTTACTTGTGCTTTCCACACTGTGTGCATTAGAGACTGTATCAACAACGACCTCGCTGCGAAAGATGCGGCGAAAGACACGGAGGGGGCGACGTCGGATTTGAGTTCGGCGGGGCCCCGTTTGGCCACGTGTGCGCGGCGATTGGTCCGTGACCGTACCGGCCGGCCGAACCACCGTTTAGTTGATGTCCCAGCAAAGAAGAATCTAGACCTGTTCAAGGGTCTCAGCAAGCCGTACACCTCGATTTTAGTGCATATTCGATCGATGAGGATTGGATTAAAACACTTCCTCTATAAGATCAAAGAGGTTGATTCGGATCAGTGTGGCTGCGGTGAAGGCTCGCAGACCCCGCGTCACGTGCTGATACAGTGTCCGTTACACACTGAAATCCGTAAAGACTTGTTCAATAAGCTGTCGAAGACTGATCTTCGGCCGGGAGACCTGGATTATGAGACCATCATATCTCACCCGCAAGCGACTCGCTACGTCGCTGAATTCATGATCAAAACAGGCATCCTGGGGCAATTTCGCACATGCGAGGTTGAACCAGAACCAGACCCCGAAGACACTGAACCACTACACCGGAATCGACCGGAAGGGCCAGGTAGCGAAGACGCTGCGTACACCAGTGACTAACTACACATGTCAGCCGAGAAATGACATGTACTATATCCAACTATGTATGCACACAATCTTGTATGTAAGCAAAACGAACCCCTAATCGAGGGGGAGTAGGAGAGCCCAAGGGGCCGGTGAGGCATATGTAAAAGGAGAAGAGGCCATCAGGGTAGACGGGGAGTCTACAAGCGTTCTTTTATTATGGGTTTTTAGTCCTTTCGGACTCTTTCTTTTGTGTTTGGGCTGTGGGCTTTTTTTGGCGAGACGCCACTTTTCTTAGATTCATCTGTATCTAACTGGCGTCCGGGATATTCTTGCTCCACCGGGCGAGCGCCTGCATTACCATTGCGACTCTAGCTAGGTAGCATCAGGTTAATAGAATATCATCATCATCATCATCATCACTGTATCAACAACAATGACCCAACTAAGATGAGTTTCATCACAGCCCAAAATATATACCGCCATTACAACCTACATATAGCAATCCGTGACAACAAATACTCCATCGACAACTGCTTAGACCACCGCACGTGGCCGGAACTCAACCCACGGACCCTCCTTGGCGGCGGTGATATGGAGCGAAAGCCGGTATTCGTCATCCTCACTGGTCTTGACGACCGGGGGCAGGCGCATATCAAAGGCATACAGAATGTGAGACAGGGTCAAAGTAAGCTCAATGTATGCCAACGGCTTTCCGATGCAACCGCGAGGCCCGATGGAGAAAGGATTGAAGCCTGCGTGGGGAGAATACTCGCTGCGATATGGCTCCGGGGTCGCCTCTGGACCGAGCCACCGCTCGGGGACGAACTTGCAGGGTTGCGGGTAGATCTCCGAGCTGTGGTGGATGCTGTAGACACAGGTCGCAACCTCCAGCCCCTGGGGAATGTATTGTCCATCCACAGTGGCTCCGCCAACGTCAGCCTGGCGCCACAAGGGTCCAGGGGCCGAGGGCGACAGGCGCATAGTTTCTTCAATCACGGCTCGGAGGTAAGAGCAGGAATTCACTTTCGGGCCCAGACGGATCTCGTCCCGAGACTGGAATGTGCTGCGAACCTCTTGCACAGCGCGTTCATATACCTTCGGGTGGTGAGTGAGGTAATACAGCGAGGCCGCAAGTGCGGTAGAGGTGGTATCGGTTCCTAGGCCCCACGAATCAGCTTCGCTGATCATTCATCTAATCGGAAGGAATAGGAGGGTTAGGCCTACCTGCGACCACTAGTGTTGCGCTCTCGCCGCAGAGCTCCTTGAAAGAGAGAGGCTCCTGGGTCTCGGGGTCGACGGCATCTCGAAGCAAGGCGAATGCTCCCTTCATGGATCCCTTGGCCGACATGGCCATACCCTGCCGGATGATATCGTTGACAAACTTGACGAATTGATTGCGTGCCGCAATGGCTGCAGGAAAGAGGTATTTATCGATTTTGAGGTTCTTGGAGCCACCAGCTTCGATCAAGCAACCGACGCGTACATTGGACACTTCAATAGTGTGCGGGATGTGGCGGTATTTCTTTTCCGTCAAAGACGACCAAGGTACACCGAAGATCACGCTGCACATCACATCGAAAGTGAACCAGTCGCCTGTCCAGTCAGGGTTAGAGCATCATTCAGGCTGCGCCAGGGGTCAAGACTTACACCAATGAGACATGTTCTTCGCCGTCCCCCAAGTTCCATCCGGAACCACCTCTTGTGAGTCGTCATCGTGGCAACGGAGAGCTGTGCACAGCTGCGAAATCTTTTCCTGGATGGTTTCTTCGTAGCTCCGAAAGGCTGCATCAGAGAAGGCTTGGCTGATCAAGCGGCGCTTCTTGCCATGCTTGCGCTTCTCAATCGTTGTCAAGGTGTTTGCGGCCTGGTGTACCATGGCGTTGTATTTCACCGATTTCTTGAAGTTTCTCCCGTGGGCGTAGATCTCTGCCTAAGGTCAGCGTGGCTTCTCCACCGTCAAAGAACAGTGTCATGGAGCGTCGAACCTTTCAGTCCTGCCGCAGTGTTGATGCTCAACTCGTTAGGTCCATAACGGACATACGGACCTAAATAGCAGTGAACAAGTCAGTTCAAGCCTCATGTATAATTGGAGAGTTGACTCTATAGCAAGGCGCCCTTCACCTACCATACTTCTCGTGGCAGCGCCACATGTCCAGGTGCTGGTCCCCTTTCCACGAGTGGTAGACAGCATAGTAATTGGTGAGCTTTCCCAGCAGGGGCCCAGGGTATTTGGCATATGGGTGAAAGAACAATCTATAAACGCAAAGGCTGGTGAACTGTTATAATCACCGTCAGTCAATCCTCTCACGGTCAAGGAACTCAGGTGTGGTCATCATACCGCCAGTGCAGTCACACCCATGCACACAAAGAACGCGTCCAGGAGGTTGGACGAAGCAGACGAAACCAATAACATGTTTGAGGACAATGCGCGAAGCGTCTTAACCAGGACAACAATGTTTTGCCTGTCTCACAAAGAAAGCAGGAAGTCTGCAGTGCACTGGAAGTCAATGGCACCAACTCAAATACTACCCAGTCAAGGAGTGAATCGCGTCATGAGATCTGAAACCGAAAAGCTAAGAGCCAAGCCAAAGTTCTGCCTCACCTGATATTTGGGGCAGAAGGCTGACAGGCTCTTTCTTCGAGTCCTTTGATTCAGGCTCCTGGCGGAAAACAACCCAGATCCGAATCTCACGAGTCCCACGTGGAGCTAGCTTGAGCCCACCAGAGATTAGTTCTCAGCATCGCTAAATGACTCAATCCGTATAGAAGGATGGTGGGTAGTTTGGTTGTGGAAGCAAAGTTGGATTGTCGTTATGGGAAGTATGGGACGGATTGATAATCCCGGTCCGTAAATGGTATTGGTGCTTGATACCGTACGAGTATATAACAGATCTCAAAAACGCGCTTCCATAATACCATGAAACAGAATGTTTGAAATTTACGGCTAGTATAGTAACGCTGATACTAGATCCTGCAGGATGCCCTAAGTAACAACGGAACAGGATGTATGTCATTTCCTGCATGTGCTAGGTCTAGTGTTGACACTTGGACTCAGAACATTTTTCCTCTTGATTTGTTTTTAATTAATTTTCTATCTGGCCCCGGGAGATGATAATGATCCGAGCTATACCTGATCGGCAGGGGTCTACCTCCTTGGCGCTATGAGCCAGATTGCTGAGGACCTCCTGACTTGTCCGCAGGATGCTTGGTGCATGCACCCACGAGGGAGACAGCTCTAGACGCTGTCTCAGGAGCCTCATAATCAGTTTTAGTGTGTCGTGATTGTGACCTCCTGTTGGTATTTGCACTCATATCTAATCCTGTAATCCCGAATTCGGCGAGTTCGGAGCCACTTTCTCATCATCTTCAGGCCACCAACGGAGTCCTGAGACTTCATGCAACGGGGTCCTACAGTGTTCTGAACAACATACGACCAGCCATGACGGAACCAGAGCGCTCATATGTTTCTCGATTCTTTTCCTCTCAATTTTCGCGACTTCCATATCCGACACAGGACTTCAGGGATGCCGTGGTTCTAGTGACCGGAGGCAATACTGGTCTCGGTCTGGAGGCAGCACGGCACTTTGTGCGGCTACAGGCTGCCACTGTCCTCCTGGCTGTGCGTGATGTGCAGAAAGGACAGAGGGCGAAAGAATCGATTGAAGCCACTACTCAGATTCAAGGCGTGGTTGAGGTGTGGCCGCTGGATCTGGAGGACATCCAGAGCGTCCAAAGCCTGACAGCTAAGGCAGCTGGCCTTCCTCGTCTGGACGTGGTGGTGGCAAATGCCGGCATCTCGACCAGCGAATGGACTCTCATTGGCGGAACAGAGCGATCCATCCAGGTAAATGTCCTCTCGACATTCCTGTTGGTGGTCTCTCTCCTCCCCAAACTGCAGGACACAGCTATACAGAACCATGTCCGTCCCCGTGTTGTGGTGGTGTCGAGCGAAGGCCACGAGACGACCGAGTTTCGAGAGCAGAACGCCGATCGGATCTTCGACGCTCTCAAGGATAAGACTAAGTCGAATATGGATGAGCGGTAAGAGTTATTCTCACGCAATTACTCGTGAAGTTTGCTCATTCTAGGTTCCAGTTACGATACGTCCAAGCTCGTCCAGTTGTACCTGGTGCGCGCGCTTGCCGAGCACTTGAGCCAATCCACCAAGCCTGCAGTGACAATCAACGCAGTGTCTCCGGGACTCTGCAAGACAGGGCTACTTCGTGAGACGGCACTCGCCTCTCGAATCCTGATTAGCCCAATCAAGGCAGTGCTTGCTCGCAGTTCAGAGGAGGGGAGTCGTACGTTAGTCCACGCCGCAGGGCCTGGCAATGGCGAGACTCATGGGAAGTACTTGCGGGACTGCAAAGTGACCGAGTAAGTCTTTTTTCTCCTTTTACACTTGGCTAGATGCGGTAACTGCAAGTGCTGATTGGGTGAATTGTCTAGACCTGCAGCTGCGGTACGCAGTGAGCAAGGCCACGCGACGCAGGAGAGGTTGTTCAAAGAGCTGTTAGAAGAACTGGAGAAGGTTTCCCCTGGCATACGGGGTAATCTGTAAGCGCAGTATCGCATAGCAATGCCAATTCTAGCTGAGATCCATCACTCTGTGTTCAATCCTCCGGACTTAAGCGGTGATACCCAGTAGGGCCTCCGAGTCGGTAGCATTGACTCGCTCTCGTCATCTACGTGCATGCTGTCTCCATATGACGAGTATCACCGCCGCATTGCGTTAGTCTTACGCTGACTGACCGGCAAATGGCGGACCCGGAGTGTCGGCAACAATATCTTCGAGTTGTTCCAAAAGAGTAAAGAAGAGGCCCGCGCCACATGCATCCTCACACTGTACCTGTAGCCAAACACGATCTCCTTTTTCAGTAAGCTGGGGAATCGTAAAGCATTCCACGTGGCGCCTTGGCTGGTCTGGAAAAAAGACGCAGATCCCAACAATATGTTGGCTCAAAAATCGAGAATAAACCATTGTAATTTTGGGTGGAGTTTAGGGCGGTATTGATGCTTGAAACGTGAAAGATATTTCTGTATTGAGTGATCGTTACAGACTTAGCGAAATACCGGTAACCTGGTTAGTTGAGAACGGTCATGGTTACACCCATCGGTATCTGGTAACATGAGATATACAACTATACAAATCTCCGAGTCACATCACTTCGATCCTTCTGAAGGATTAGTTCCTGGCAACGTAACATCCTTTATCCACCCTTTTTCCGATAGCTTCGGAATGGCTGATAGGAAACACAGCTGCGAGTCTCATGAGAGCAATAAACTTGCGGCACTACACTTGCTTCGCTTGTAGACTTGGTGGCTAAAAGCGGCAACTCCTATTCATCTTCTCTTTGACCAACCCGAGCACCCCAAGACTACAGCCCAAGCACGACAAGCACGAAGATGAAGTCTGTCGCAATCTCTGCAGAGTCCGGTGGGCGTGGCGCTGCTGCGCTGCAGCTGGCTTGGGCTTTGACACTGTCGCTGTACCATGGAGCCGACACTGCGGTCTTCAAGACAATCATCTACGACAAACCTGCCGTGACCGCTAGCTCCACAATCGTCCGTGTCCAGGTCCACTTGGATCTCAAGAGCACTGTCGCTGCGGAGCTAGATGAGATCGGGCGTCAAACTGCCAGTCATCACAATATCGCGCCGGGAGGCGCCTGGGCGGAGAACAGTCTGCTGGTCCTCGAATCTTCCGAAGCTCCTCTGTTCGATATCGTGTGGTACAGAGAGTATCCTCTTGTCCTCAATTGCCGACTTGTCGAAAAGGAGTTTCAGCTACAGGCTTGGTGCAACGAGACTGGGCCACAAGAATGGCTTGGGAACCAACTTCTTCACCACCTTGCATTTGTTCTTCAGGACGTCCTCGCCCACCCGGAGACAAAACTCACCGATTTGCCCACTATTTCCCCTGAAGATTACGCACAAGTCTTGGAATGGAACCGAGAGGTTCCCATCAACGTCAGGGCCCGGGTCCAGGACCTGATCGCCAAGGAAAGTCTTGCACATCCAGACAGCCCGGCTGTTTGTGCGTGGGATGGCGATTTTACATACGAGGAGCTGGACAAGCTCTCATCCCACTTGGCTGCGCACCTAGCACAGCTAGGAGTTGGACCAGAGACTTTTGTGCCTATCGTGTTCGAAAAGTCTAAATGGAACATGGTTGCTACCCTTGGTATTATCAAGGCGGGCGGTGCCTTTGTCCCTCTCGATCCTGGCCATCCCCTTCAGCGCTTGCAGGAGATTTGCCGACAGATAAAGGCCCAAGTAGCAGTGGCCTCCACCAAGACAGCGGCACTAGCGACGAGCCTCGCCCCCGCCGTCGTGCGTGTGAGTGAGGAGGATCTAACCTGGCCTGAGAATGATGGCATCGTGCCAGAGCCCTCTGTCAGCCCGGACAACGCCCTCTATGCCATCTTCACCTCCGGAACCACTGGTAGACCCAAGGGGGCGGTGCTGGAACATCGTCACTTTTGCTCTGTCGTTGGCCCTATGATCGAGCGGACCGGACTGACTATTGAGCTATATAGTGCATAAAGATGATTATTAATATATTTGAGGAGTGTAGACTTGACCAGCCATTACTAAAATCTCTTGTCTGGTTTCTTCTTCATGTCTCCTAGACAGAAGGGACAGAACCCAGGGGCGACAAGTGTATATCGGAAGGTCAGAAGGCCGCATCAAGGATGCAAATTATTAAGATGGCTCTAACAATGAGTCTACCAGTCTTCCTTGTTGTAGCATAACTCTACATACAGATAGCAGAACTGGATAAATCAACGCTGGACACACCTATATGCGCGTTTTTCATTGCTATAGCGTTATTGATAAGGAGGACCGCCTAAAAATCGTCTTTAACACTAAAGGATATGCTTTGCTCACCCCTATATCGCAATTCTGTCAATATTAGCCTTATATCAGAATATAAATAAAACAAACTCACTCTGATATCGGTTTTGAGCAGATTGGACAGTGGCCTTCTATAGGTAATAGCCTAGGATAAAAAGCTACATACTCTATGGATATACAAATTACAACCATATCCTCTAGGTATTGTTAGCCAACTAAACTATCCAATATAGCTTCTGCAAAGAGCGATTCCTTAAGTTATATACGCTCTGGAAGATATTTCTCGAAGATCCCGAACAACAATGTTCTATCCCGTTCGGTGAATTCATTGCCAGCGACATATATGTTATAAGCGGAATTCCACTAATCTTATATAAAATTTGCTTTCTAAGATAATAAAATTTTGGCCTTTCTGCTGTAAAGATTTATACATTCTATCACAAAATCCTTATATATTTAAGGTTGACCAGTAATAGCAGATGTCAGATAAGTGATTCTCTGGTTTATCATCTTAATCTTACCTGTCTCTTCAAATACAGCGATGGCGGCCGTGTCCAGTTTCTGTGGGGTATTAAGGTCCTGATAGTGAGCCATACTTTGCTCTATGTTACGATATTTGTAATCAGGCTCCAGATCATGAATAAGAGCTTGGATGTCTAAAGATTTAAGAATAGACTAATATTTGATATATGTGTTATGATTTTGATGGTCAAGGGCCTGGCCTCTGGTAGTCTCTGACGCCTTGGCTAAAGAATATTAGTCAAAAACCTAGCTAAGGGTAGTAGGATCTTACGATCAATACAGTTTATAACATTTACCCGAATTCTATAGATATATAATCTATCTCTGAAGCACTATCTCTGAGCCAAACTTATATTGTTATACCGGAGCGAAGAAAATGTTAATACTCTATTGGGAGAAGGCCCCTCTGGAGTCACCATTCTAAAGAATGGAAGGTCTTTTTTGCACTCAACCCACTTAATCATATATGATTCCCTTCCTTCTAGGGGTCTTACTACAAGAACGTCCGCGACAGTGTTAAGCCCCTTAAAGGCACCATCGGCGACCCCATATACAATGACCCAGAAAACAAAATTAAGTCCCAGAATTAAGTACTCTCTAAACCAGTTTTTAGGCCTTTCAATCCCAAGTCAGTACCCGAGCTTTGATATGAGAATACTCACTTATAGATATTTGTCGTCTTGATGGCGCCGTCCTTTCAGAAACTTAGAGTCTATCATCACCCAGCGTTTCAAACTGCCTTTTCCAGAACTCTACTTTATATTAAAAGTGAGATGCTATATAATCATTGTTAGCTTTATTTATATAAGATAAAAAAGGAGGGAAAGGTGAGATTAGTGATGAGGAGATAAAGTTTATCAGACCTTATAGTAAAGGCACTTATTAGAATCATGGTATAAGCTTAACTCTATGATCGCACCTACTCTGGAACCAGAGCCAGAAAACAACGTGAGGGAACTTCCGGTCTACACACAAGCTCGCTTATGTTTATAATCATGCCAATCATCCCCAAACAGACTATAAAGAAGGTATTTAATATCTTTAGCTATGACCATGAAGCGTTCCCGTGGTTTAGTTCTCAGTCCGTATTTAACAGTCAGGTCGTTTCTGATATACTAAAGCAAGTTAGTCCAAATATTTATAGGTTGGTTAGTTTGATTTAACTGTATATTTAAAACATCATTTTTAACTTGGTTTGGTAGAGAACGAGAAGTTTCCCGCTCCCATCTTGAAGTGAAATTGATAAAATTCTGACAGGCCGTCTTCTGTGAAGGTAAATCTTTCCTTGTAGCAATAAAGTATTCCGCAAAGGACTTGAGGAGTTGCGGGGTGGGATCAGGCTCCTCTTTCCCGAAATTAGCGTTGGCTGCTTCGTTGCGGGATAGCCTCCATCTATAATGTATTAGGACCACGAACGAAATCATGAATGTTGGTAGGATTACTCACAATATCCAGTTCAATGCAGTATTCTCGTAATTTTGGAGCGTAGCGGGTGCGAGCTCCTTATGGCAAATGGTATTTTCTTCTTGTTCTCGCTCGTTCTGGTAGTCAAGGGTGAACCCACGTGACGCAGCACGAGCGTTTCCCTCTGCGAGCTTTTTCTGTATACTTTCTGGCAGCATTATTTTTCAGCTGGGGGACAAAGCTGGGGGACAAAGATGGATTAAAATGGCAGGCCTAAATGAGAGCCCTTGGGCCTTTATTTATCTAAAATGCGAGTGCTACGGTGGGTCCTCTCACCCCGTTCTCACCCCGTTCTCACCCCGTTCTCACCTCTCTCACCCCCAGTCTCCAGAATTCTCACCCATATCACCCTCACTCACCCTAACGCAAAACACGGTGCTGTTTTAAGGCCGAGGGCTCCTTGAGAATTGACCGCGTTTAGTATGTGGCTTAAGTACGGCTGAGCGGACGGGAAGCCCTGTTCTCCACACCCTGTGGTCGTATGTACTTACAATGGCTTGAAAGTGGTCCTCATAGTAAGAATACCAAGTCAATTCTCTAGAAAATCAGATCCAGGCAAAAGGTTCCAATTACGAGCCTAAACTAGGAGAGAAGGAAATGGTTGGAGGTAAATTATAGAAGAGGTCATAGTCTTCAGTTGTGCCCAGGTAAGCACTTGAGCTCTGCAAAGGAGAGCTGGTTCGGTACAAATTACTAGTACAATAAAGTTGTAACTTTCCAAGGTTCCACCTGGGCAACATTGATCAGAGCGTTTAAATGTTGTGACAGTATTAACAAGTTCAAGTTGGGGTCATCATTTTACTAGTATAGCACTCAAAACATCATGCAACCTGACCCGGAATGATTTCAAGTTCTTTGAAGATTCGAGATTGAATGATCCTGTCGATCGCATCCTAATAGAATTTTTTCCAGTTGTTATACTGTCGGTCTACCAGTCCGCATGAAAATATTCGATGGCTGGTCACGGTCCCAAAATTCCTCATCCACTTCATACTGGAACTCTTCTCCCTCCTGGTGAAAACCGAGCTTCTTATATACATGCCGACCCATGGTTGAGCCTTCCAGCACAGCTTCCAAAGAGCCACGTTTTTTTGCCTCACGGAGTCCCCATTCCACCAGCCGACTCGCAATCCCAAGCCTCTGGAATGATGGATCAACAACACATAACTCCAATACCATCACCGCTGGGGAAGAACTTGTCGCGATTTCCTCAATCACTTCTAGACGCCGCCGGCGCAGTGAGCGGTCAACTTGTTGGAGATAGCGCTGTTCGCGGGGGTTGCCGGGGTAAAGGCTTTCCAAATCTACCGAACTCTCAATATCTGCCGCTGGTGTCTCACCATACCCACTAACCATCGAAGCCTGATTCCAAATTGCTACACCAACCATTTGATCCTCAACTTCCGAATCCTGCTTGAGAACGGCCTTGAGAAAAATAGTGTTGGGGTTGCCGTTTCTGTCTTTAGTTATTGCGGACATGCGGGCAGCGAGACGTGCGCTTGCTTCCATGCATCCCTGCGGCGTGACCCACCCAGGGTTCATAGCGCACCAGACTCCGTCGTGAACCTGATGACCGAAGGCGAGGGCGCAGATCTCGAAGAAGCGGTCGAAGTCTGCTGGATTTGTGACAGGCTTCACATGGATGGTGCCATTTTCCAGTCGTGCTGCTGGATTTTGGTTTCTGTTCATGGTGAGGAATGCTGGCAGGTGCACGTTCCAATACCACTTGATCGATCTAACTGCTGAGCTTGCAGCAGAAGTTTCTTTGTGTGTGATTTTTTTTCAAGCTCCGTTGACCTTGAATGAGGACCAGAGTGATGTCTCGTTGATGATCAATGATATTCCGTTTGATCCCAAGCTCCTTTGACATGAAAACCTTGTGAACAGGCCACCTTAGCGACTTGCGGGGACATGACTCCCACTACTTGGCACGCTAGTGGGGTAAACTAGGTGGTGACTCTCCCGCACCCGTGGACCCCATCTCATTTCATCTGGAGCAGCCGCTCATTGCGGGTTATACAGTCTGTCATATTCCCTAAAATTGAAGTAATATGAAAACTTGAACTTGGCTTATCTTCAACCTTGGAATTGATCAGGCATATATAGGCTTAGAGTTGGAATGAGATAGTATGCACATGTGGTGTGCAACTTCATGCCGGTGGTGCAAGTCTTTGTACCTGCAAGAATGTACTCCCGAGGTCACTATATATTCCCACTCGAGATACTACCTAGTATTTCCATTCGGCATGTGCACCTTCTTGATAGACCGAATTCAAGTTTTCGCGAGACAAATCATATTCTGAATAGAAATTTCCATATTCAAGCCCGTACTATAGATAAACCATTCATGGATGGATGAATTTACACGTTCTCTTTAGGTAGGAGCTTCCTGAACCCCAATGTGTCTATACCAAAGAAATCAAGCTGTCTATGTATTTTTTCCAGATCATAATACCAAAGATTGCATACACTTACATCAAGTCGGCCGGATGGTGTAGTTGGTTATCACGTATCCTGCCGTCACGGCGGAGTGGGTCCTGCTTACTAAGGCCTGTATGTGTGCCCCCGGCACGGGTTTGTCCCACGTCTCGATCCCTTGTTTTGTTGCCCATTTTACTTAACATCCTGCTAACATTCTACTCCGTAATAAGTACTAATAAGTAGTAATAACAACTCTCAAACCACGTGATATAGTCAGGACTCAGGACTCAGGAGCGTGGCCTGATGATTATTGTGGCCCCTACAGATTTTTTTGAGAATCCCCTAGGTGGCAGCTAATTCGAGTTTGCCCTCCCTTTACCGATCTAATCTTTACTCTGTTCTGTGCCACCATGTGGGCCACAATATGTGCATTCGAGCCTGGTCATTTTGAAATATGAAAACGAGTTGGTGCTCTTTAAGAGGTTCCGATGGGTGGTGTCTAGTTTTTCGATTTTTGTTAAAAATATGCTCTCTTAACTGTAGGCCTTAGCTTATACTCTGTTATCGTCATTATATCAAACTATAGTGCGATACTTGTTTATATTGTATTACTACTAGGATAAACATAGAACCCTTCTATAGATGATAAGAATATTCGCTCTACAATGCGTTAAGTTATTTTACTTTATCAATCAAAAAGAGACTTCTTCCCTACCGCTGATATTACAGTCCTAGATTTAATCTATATTAAGATCTAGTTAACGTATCCCGTAAGCGAGCCGCACATGTAAGCGGGCCGCACACCTACCCATCAACTAGACTTCTCCAAAACCCAATTTGGGTCCAAGGGTTGGACCCAAGACCCAACCCACCTGGGTCTTGGGTCCAGCACCTAAAAACCCAACCCAACCCAAGACCCAAGCTGGGTACCCATTGGGTACCCAGGAAAACCCAATTTTGCATAAAAAAGAGGTCTTGGCATGTATAACTCTGCTCAGTCATCAATTTAAAATACTGTTTTTTACATGTGTTTTGCATTCGTTTTAGTTTATATGTTAGAGTCTCTATGAGTCTATACCCTTGCATGTAGCTACTATACCTTTACATGTAGCAGCATTACATCTTAGAAATAGATGTTAGAGAGTAAGTTGATTACTAGTAATAATAATAGATTTCTTATTTGAAAATAATATTAACATTCAGAAGGAAAAATTATTATAAAATATTATATTATATGGATGGAGGATGTAGGGTGTAGAAATTGATATTTAGTAAATGTTGTAGGAAATATATATTTACATGCTGCAGAGGTAGTGCATCTTTTACATGTATGCCCTACAAAAGTGTTACTTTTTATTTTTAAGCTAATTTAGTATTTCTTAATATTAAATTGAATCTTTAGTTCTATAGTATTTTAACTTAATATTTACTAAATTGAAGAAGACAGTATTCATAAAATAAACGGGTAAAGTAGGGATTCTAAGGAAGCAGCTGGAAGCCTGGGTAAAATTTTTTAGAAGACTTTTAGTAGACTTGGGTTGGGATTGGGTACTTCTTGGGTTTTCATGGGTAATTCTTGGGTTTTCATGGGTTTTTGTGGGTCTTTCGTGGGTTTTTGTGGGTTTTCATGGGTTTTCATGGGTTTTCATGGGTTTTCATGGGTTTTTTATGGGTTTTCTTGGGCTCTTCTTGGGCTCTTCTTGGGCTCTTCTTGGGCTCTTCTTGGGTTTTTGTGGGTTTTTATGGGTTTAAAATTAAAGATATGTGTTATTAGGTATTTATTTATTTCTAATCTTTAATCTTCTATATTTCCTACCTTCTCCTTTATACCCTCATCCTTACACTTATCATTCTTTTATGATTTACCTACCCTTGATACTTACTTACTATTCTTCTTCTACATTTCCCACCCTACCCTTACACTTATTATTCTTTCATGATTTTCATTTAACCTCATGTCCCAAAGCCAAAATTCCAGTTTCCAATCACCTCTCTACCTATCATCATCATTAGGTTATGATGAAGAAGAGTTAGAGACTACTATTCTCCCTTTTTTTTAGACTATCTCAAGCCCACCTAACTCTCTTACTATTTAACTACCTAGTACCCAGACCATACTCCCAAGCTTTGATAGGCATACATTCCTCCGGCCAGATACACCTCCTCCTCCTCCTCTACCGTTTATCCGCGTTGGACCCGACCGAAGAAAATCCTATTTCCTCTACAATATGGTAGAGCATACTGAGTGGGTTGACTGGTGGCTACAAACTGACTATGGGAGGAAAAGTAAGATCCACTAGGAAGCAGCCCGCCAGGCCCCAATTTGGAATAACTTCCATCAGGTTGCCCAAATCACAGATGGTGCACCAAAGGTTATGTGTAAGCGGTGTAGCAAGGTTCTTGAACATGCTCACTCTGCCTGTCAAAATGGCTACCAAGGCACATCAACCATGGCTAAACACCTAAAAACTGCAAAATGCCAAAACTCTATGAGGCGGAAGGAGAATATTACTGGTTTCCTTATAAGCAAGGTACGTTTTAATGGTGGTGAGATACACAGAGTTGGTGTTTTGGGCGCAAAAAAAAAACTCTAGCTGAGATAGTATTTTATGCACAAAAGAGAAGCTTAATCAGTAGGAAACTAGCTTAACTACTAAGACAGTAACTAACTATTTAATTAATTTTATTTCACTAGGAAGATGAGCCATCTACTACTCCTGCTCTTGCTCCTTTCTCACAGCTAGGCTGGGAGGAAGAAATCTTACAATTTCTTACTATCAACCGGCTTCCATTCCACCTTATTGAGCATCCAACCTTTCATAGTCTGATTCATAAGGCTCGCTCTTCACCATTACCTCCAACCATCCCGTCTGCAAATACAATTCGTCGGCGACTACAAGATCTAGTTGCAGACCGCCAGAGATCCATTCTTAACCTCCTACCGCCCAGCTCAAAAGTTTCAATTGCGCTGGACTGCTGGACTTCTCCGTTTTCGCAAGCATTTATGGCCGTTACTGGCTATTTTATTGATGCAGATTGGACCTATCGGGAGGTGCTTCTTGGTTTTAAACCACTCTCTGGGTCACACTCTGGTATAAGTCTTAGTAGTGTTCTTCTCAACATACTCCAAGAGCATCAGATTACAGACAGAGTTCTTGGAGTTACAACTGATAATGCATCAAATAATAAGGTACCCTCCATCTCCATCTCCATCTCCATCTCCATCTCCATCTCCATCTCCATCTCCATCTCTATCTCCATCTCTATCTCCATCTCTATCCTTAAGGCTACTACTAATAATATACTATATAATTAGACCATGATTGATGCAATTCAACAAGCCCTACCTGAGAATCTTAGCATTACCCGGATACCTTGCCTTGCCCATGTTATTCAGCTTAGCCTTAACCAGCTTCTGGATCGCCTAAAGGCAGCCCCTTTAAATGAGACTACCCAAACTAAATAGACTGAGAAACAATCAACCCTTGCTAAGGATAATTTAAAGCGCCAGAAGTGTGAGATCTCTGTTACCTTGAATAAGGTACGCTACCTTGCAATCTACATTCATGCAAGCCCCCAACGCCGTGAAACATTCATCAATCTTCAAACAGAGGAACCAAAGGTTATTCCAATACAAGATGTACGGACTCGGTGGAATTCAACCTTCCTAATGCTTCGCCGAGCTAAGAGGCTTCGTGATTTTTTCCTCCCATTTTGCCTGGAATATGACTGTAAAGAAATGCTTTTAACTCCAGAGGAGTGGCGCCAAATCGATTACCTGCTCTATCTCACTGAGCCCTTCTTTGAATATACGACTGAGCTATCGAAGACACGAGATGTAACCATACATCTTATATTCAAGCTTTATAATGCATTATTTTTGCATCTTGAAAAGTCCATGGCGCAGCTTAGGCAGAAGCGGGTTCCATGGAAAAGGCACATACTTCAGTGCCTTGAAGCTAGCCGATTAAAGCTTGATGAGTACTACACACAGACAGATAGTATTCCAGGGCACATATATGCAGTTGGTACAATGCTAGCTCCTGACAGCCGGTTCCAGTTTTTCCAATCAGATGACTGGGATGGGTCCTGGCGACTTAAGTACCGGAGTGCATTCCAGACAGCTCTTACTCCCTACCAAGAGCACCAAGAGCATCTTTCTCATACGTCAGACACAGGAAGCTCCCTACCTACACCAAAGCTAAGCTTAAAGCTTAATAAGATATTAAACAAAAGCAAACCGAAGACAAGGCTAGCTAAAGATGAAATGACACAATATCTTGATGGTGGTATGTTTGAATTATCAGTATTCTAATATCATACTACCTATATCTATACATACTAACTACCCCTACCTTAGACACTGTTGAGACTGAGCCTCTTCAATTCTGGAGAGAGCACCAAGGACGTTTCCCTATAATCTCTGCACTTGCACGGGATGTTCTCTCAATCCCAGCAACAGGTGCTGGTGTAGAGCGGCTATTCAACACTGCCCGGGATATCTGCCATTATCGCCGTGGTCGTATGAAGTCTGAAACAATTGAGGAGCTGATGCTGTTTCTCTGTGCTTCAAGGTTTGACCTTGAAGGGCAGCAGAGGAAAGAACTTCAGCTATTCTTTTCCTTAGATGAGATTGAAGCAGAAAGGGAGTAATGTGACGAGAGGCTAGATGAGCTTGATGGAGGTGGTATAAGTGATCGTGAGGAGGCTGAGGAGGAGGCTGAGGAGGAGGCTGAGGAGGAGGAGGTACTACAGCTACCAGAGATGAGTACTCAGCTACGAACATCGGGAAGGAAGCGAAAGAACAGGGAGGATGATGGATATGAGCATTACTAAGTTTAAAAAACAACCATGAGGATGAGGATATATATCATCATGAGGATGAAACCAACATGTAAGTTTACATCTACAAGCCACCTACAAGCTATCTTTGTGCACAAAACCTCACCTCTCCATCTGAGCCTCACCTCCCTCCCCCCCCCTATGCCTAAAAGCAGCTACCTACGATATGGTAGAGCTATCTTTGTGCACAAAACCTCACCTCTCCATCTGAGCCTCAGCTCCCTCCCCCCCCTATGCCTAAAAGCAGCTACCTACGATATGGTAGAGATATGTTTTTGTGCACAAAGCTAACTTAGAAGTACATTCAATCATCTTTCATTTGATCTTTTTTAATTAATGTTTCATCTATTTCATCTATTCCATCTATTTAATCCGCTTGCTAACTACTCTACTAGCTAGCCTTTTTACAAAGACTACTTTCTTTGTCTACTTTCTTTGTTATTTCCTAGTCTCTTCTCCCCCTCACCCCTCATCCCTTCTTTTTCTTTTCATCCTCCTTAACTACTCAGTTTCCATCACTTATCATTCAACATTTATCATATTAATCGTGTCTGCTGTGTCTATCATAATGGACACCCTAGCTGAGGGAACTGGGACCCTCCAAGTCTCATTCAAGAGCACACTTGATCTTTGTGGACAGCCAGTAAGGTCTATGGAAGAAGCTCTTGAGGTAATGAAGACGCTTGCCCCAGAAGAGGTCTATCCAGCTGCGCTTAGAATCCAGGACCACGCCCACTCATTCCTTAGCGAAGCAGTTAAGTCTCTAGAGAAGCTGCACGATTTCATCGAACAAGGCGAGTTTTGGAGAGAGCATGAAGAGAATGTGGAGGCATTCCACGACTCATGGAAAATCACGCGTGACGCGGTTAGAAGCCAGCAGGGTGTGGCCCGATTCAACGACAACCTCCTGCTACGTGCGAAGACACAGTGGGGTGAGGGCCAGGCGAATGCTCTTTTTCTCCGCATCAAAGGTGACACAATGAAGCGAAAAATCAGCAAATTCCTCACAAGCGGCATATCCTATGAGCATACACGAGCATCCATCAACAATGCATATGTGGCACGGAGGTCTACTCGCAAACGTGGAATTCGGCAAGAAAGCCGAATCATGCAGGCTGATCTAACCAATGCCTTCTTAAGCCAAGACACTACGCCCTTAGACCATAGTGTCTTACAAGGCTTGGAGCTAGGAATTGACATAGATGGGTTTGTGTGTCCAAGTATAGGTATGTATTCTTACCTATGAGCCTAGTCTAAAAGATGTGGTTTTAACCTTTAACCTTTAATCTTTACTAGGCTTGGTCTCTGAGGCGCCTACTACCCAGCCACCTACTCCTAAGAAACAACAAAAGAATAGCTGCCAAGAAGAAGATGATGATGATGATGATGAAGAAGAAGAAGGCCATTCTAGCAGCCAGGCTAAGGATAAGGAAGATCACAACAACAGCAGCAGTGGCAACAGCAATGATGAAAATGGCGACAGCGACAGCAATAGCAATAGTGATAGCAATAGCAATAGTGATAGCAACAGCGATGGTGATAGTGAAGGTAGTGGTGATGCCGATGATGATTTTCAACCTCACCCACGGAAACGAGCTAAGCACACAACACCACCTATGTCTACATGTGGCTGTCCTCTCACAAAGGCTGCTCTCCAGCGTTTAATACCAGCTAAGAAAAATGTTGTACTTCCCACAGATACATTGAAGAAACAGGCTCTCAGAAAAATTGGCCGAGAAACTAGCAGCCCTAACGAATCCCACACCTTACGCTTATGCCCCGAACACACACATGCTCTCTGCAGGCAGCTAGGTATCTACCATCGTTTTGCTATTACTCAGGCTCATAGACGGCTTCTCTACCTTTACAAGAAGCTAGATTCATGGGACTCCGTGAGGCAGCAGCACCCTTCTTGGTTCAAAGGCAGCATTGGAAATCTTCAGTCTGGCTGGCGCTTTGAGGCCACTGCCCTACCACTAAGGCCAAAGGTTTCCAAACCAACCCAGATGTCATCCTTTACCTTTATGAAGCTATATAAACGATGCTTTGGCAAGGCCCCGCCCCCTGAAGCTATACATATGGACCAGCAAATGAAGAAGGATGGTAGTGTGGTAGTCACTGGGCTCTTTAGTTGGCTAACAGAAGACCTTGACGGCCAGCATCCTGGTGGTATCCTGCCTATGATCTTACAGGAGTTTGATATGTATGACTGGCATTACCGTGCCCGTCCTGGAAAACCTCGAATTGGCTGGGCCCGGAACATGTGGTTTAGCTTGGTCCAGCAGCTTGTCCGGCAAGACCCTGCTTATTATGCATTCTATGTGTTCTTTCGGCCAGACCATGCTTGGCGACTAATCTCCTTTCCTTATTACACCAAGAGCACCTATCCTGGGGAATCTACGTTTTTTCGTCATATTGATGTGAATATCGCTGATTTCGTACGTACTGGACGTGGTCAGAATGCTTTACAAGGTAGTCTTGCACTATCTGTGGAGGATGACAACAACTGTACAGAGATGCTCCTTGGTATGCATCGGGATATCAGAGAATGGAATGACCGCCTTCGTCTCCGAGGCTATACAAAAGATGGCTATGTACAACAGATTCAGCCTACAATGTGGACTAAAGATGATGAGGACCACTTTGGCTACACGTGGTCTAAACAGAAGTGTACTATTGGAGATGTGCGCCTTAGCCTACCTGGCCTGCCACACGGCTCTACTGGCCCTGCTACTTCACGTCGCCTCAATATCCTACCTTGGTTTGTGGGTATTGGAGAAGACCACCAGACATTAGATGTGGCTGAGTCAGGAACTTGGGGTGACCTGTCTCACTGCCACCGCAGTTTTTACTCTGGCACTAAGACCCCTTCAGGCTTGCCCAATAGCACTTTTGGAGGGCGTATGGACCAGATTTTCCCAGCAACTGTACGCCTTGGGCGGCTGGGTGCAATTTCAGATGCACTAGTTGGGCAGGTGCGCTGGGACGAGGTGGATGTACGAGAAGAGCTTGACATTTTATTTGGAGATGACGATGTGGCTGCTTGGGGTTTTATACAGAGGTGGCGGAAACACGCTCAGCAGCTATACATTGCTGCCTTTGAGAAGCTAGTTCTAACAGAACGTGCTGCGTTTGGGGCTAACTCCTTCTTCGAGCGTACCCAGCTTGGCCTTGATGTTACCCCTGTGTTTATTAAGGGTGGTTTTTACTGGTCTAGGTTTCAGGATGAGCACGAGCACGAGCACGAGCATGAGCATGAAGAATGAGGAATGAGGATGAGGGTCAGATGCTACAGAGGTAAATTTTGTGCACAAAAGCCTGTTAGTTTTTAATAGGAGCCTAGGAGACAGCTAGTATTGGCAGCCCACAAACTATTTTTTGTGCACAAAACCCTATGCTTCAGACGAATCCTACCTTACTTTGTAGGAGGTAGAAGAGAAAGGACAGACCAGGCAGGACGAGAAAATGGATAGAATGGTAGATTAAGGAGATTGAGTTAAGAATTGATTGAGCTAGTTAAAAAACGCTTTTCTTTGCTAGTTTCTAAAAAGCTGTAGCCGCAGTACCCAAAGGTCTGTAAGGGGAATACCCAAAAATACAACGCCAAGATGCATAATTTATGCTACAGCAAAATCTTGGCATGTTTGCTATGTTTGGGACCCAATTGGGTACCTATGGGTTGGGTTGGGTCCAAGGAAAAAACCCAAAACCCAGGCTTGGGTCTAAGTTTTGGAGCCAAACCCAACCCAATGTTGGGTTGGGTTGGGTTGGGTCTTGGGTCCATTGGGTTTTGGAGAAGTCTACCATCAACTAACATATATTATATACAATCATTCAACCAACAACAGAGATATTTAATTAGAACGACTTCTATCTTAGTTAGTACATGTGTTTCTCTTATGTCCAATATTGCCGCAATTTGTACACTTTGGCAGCGCTCTCCCAGTAGCCGATTTCCGCGCTTCCCGCCGCTCTACATCCACCACCTGCTCTGCTTCTACTACCTCTCTCTCTGTCTGTATACGCTGGCTTGCCTCGCTCACAGTCATTCCACCCTTATTAGCCATCTGCCTATGAGGTAGGGCACGCTTACGTGCCTGCCGCCCATTCTCAGCGCGTAATTGCTCAATTTCATGAGCGAGAAATGCGCCGTTATGCATAGCAATCTCACATCCCTTAATCAGCTGCTCAAGCGCTTCTTTAGCTGGGCTGGGAGGTGTATATGACCTCTGTTTTAACAGCCTTTTGATTGATGAAGCCTGTCGTCGGATATCGGTAGGCTTATATGGTGTATGGGGGGGTAAAGTTGCTGCTTCCACTGCTAGGGGGTGGTGTAGGTGTACGTAGCTTTATATCAAGCTTCTCAAGCACCCGCTGTGAGCTAAGCGGGATTAAGCCAGCTGCTAAGAAGCTATTTGAAATTGTAGCTGGCTTATAAGCTTGGTCCCGGGTAGATAGGTATATAGCAAGAAAATCAAGCTTATCAATGTGGTGTGTGCCATATCGAAGCTTCTGCTGGATAGCCTGCCCATAGATATGCTTTATCACACCAAAACACCCAACATCAAGAGGTTGAAGAAGATAGGAAGAATGGGCTGGCATACATAATGGTAGAACATGGTTTTCCTCGCATATTTGATCAAATTCAGGTGTCAAGTGGCTGCCATGACCATCCATAATTAAAAGCCGCCACTTTCCATACACACGTGTATTTGTATATGGTAAAAAGTGATTCCGGAGCCAATTCAATGTGATTTGATTGGTAGTCCAGCCATTATCACTAACATCTAATTGCCAATCAGATGGTAGGTTTTCAGCCGAAAACCAGGCTTGGTTAAACATCTTTGCTTTAAAGATGATATATGGTGGCAGTGCCCATCCACAACTGTTGATTGTCTCAATAGCAGTAACCCATTCACAATTTCCAGATGTAAGAAGGTGTCTTCTTCCATAGTACTCAGCATGTGTAACAACATAGGATGTACTTGTCATACCTATAGCAAAGCCAGTCTTATCAAAGTTATAAATATCCTCATTAAGGATACCATATATAAGAATAGCTTGCTGCATACGGTTAAACCACTCCGTTATAGTAGCTGGATCTTCACATAAAGCACGCTTATATTCATATCGACGTGATAGACGTGTCGCAAGCTCAGGTATCCGTTAGATATAATTATATACCCATTTGGTCCCAACTGTCTGCGGGGTGGTCTCTCCACGCTTTGCAAGTAATAAATTTGCCATCTCTCGTACCATAGACTGTGTAGGTGCTGCCCCACGTGTATCCATAGAGAGTATCCATTTCTGAAGTGATTCCTCTTCTAATTGGGTCAATTTATGACTATTTGCGCGTGTGGTTGATCGGGGTGTCGCGCCGTTACAGCGGTCGCGTAGGGTAGATACAGCGACGTCATATAGGCGCGCAGCACGTCTGAGCGTCAAATTTTTGTCATTTTTCATAGCTTGTATAGCAAGTAAAAGCTTTCCTTCTCGGCTATCTGATTTTTCGGCCAAGACAGCGTGCTTTGGTGGCATGGTTGCTGGTTGAAGATCGCGAGTTGTGTTTCGCGGCCGGAAAGTTGGTAGGTGTGCGGCCCGCTTACATGTGCGGCTCGCTTACGGGATACGTTAAGTTTTATGATTATATAATACATTATATAAAATCTCTTTTTTTCTAGGGTTTTTATAACTTTGATTATAGAAAGTAGGTTTTCTCTAGGTGTCTCTATCTATTCTTATTCTATAAAACTTGATATTGATAGGTCCTTCAGATGTTAGTATCAAGTAGGGATTATTTCAATGTCACAAAATATGAATATTAATAGTGATTCCGAGGGGTTAATTTACTAAGAAATGAAGGGGCTACACTAAAAACAGCCATTAATATATATATAAAAAAGGATGAATCAGCAAATTATCCATCCAGAAAGGGTAACTCTTGGCAGTTTTATGCATTGGCGGTCCCCCGTAGTGCGGTCCTGTCCATGTCAAAAAAAGACCAAAGACCGCCGGTCTGGTCCCCAGTCCCAAAAATTAGGACCGGGACCGGACCATTGAGAGGCCTAATCCTTAGTCTCTCGTCCCTTGGCGCAGACCCCAAGTATAGCTTGACTAGGCACACTAACTGGCATAGCCCAACAAGAGTCTAGCCTATAGACCAAAGCTTGTGTAAAGCCTTACGACGGTAACGGTACGGTTGCGACTGAGACTTGAGGACGAGCCCCGACGTACGTATATAGACCCTATGAGCGATACTCACTATGACCAGTTAGCGGTGCGTAACAAGCTATTAAATTAAAATTCATCAATATTAACTAGGATACATAAAAAAGACTCTGTAGTTAATCCTTCACTTCGATCAATTTCCGTTAAACCTTACCTAGATAGAGCGACTAGACCTCGCCATGACCCGCAGGTGACCAGCGACCCTCCAAAATGCGGGCGACGGGTCCTAACCTCCTACCCATGGGTGAGCAAACAAGACAAACAATAGTTTATACACCTTTGTGATATTCGCCCCAAGATTACCATGTATCTTTCCTTGCTTACATCATGTTACTGTTATGATCGCACATCACCTGATGTCATCATGTTTGATTGTATATAAACTACTGTTATTCTATACTTAATCAAACATGCACTTTTACCTCCTAAGATCTCAAATGAAAAGTCGACTTTTTAAGGTATTAACCAGTATTTAAAACCGGAGTTACAGTTCCAAATTTACAGTACTACAGTATACATTTGAATTGTGTTTTGATTTGGGTCCACTCGAGGACTAGGTGATGCACATGACCGAGTTCCTTTCTATAGATCTGGCCTTTAAGACCCACCGGTAGTTGCGGCCCTCAATTTACTGTCTGCAGGCATAATTTGATAGTAAACCCTTAAAAGCGCTGTGAAAATCAACAATTTACATTGTCATCGCACTAACACATACTTATCGTCTGAATATATATATTATCTCATTCTTTTTGATTTTATTAGGAATAAGACGTAAGTTTGTGAGGGCCTTTAAGATTAGATGCTAAGGTTTACCCTTAATCGGGAATAGCGGTAGATTATATTGATGAAATACCGTGGAATATTAAATGCCCATACATACAAACAACATAAACGCCAAGGTGTGAAACCGATCTGGCTTGGTTAGGGCGACCGCGCTTTGCTAATCTTCCAACTATATTGTACTCTCTAAGGCATCATCACTACTCGACAAAGCTGACCGAACATTATAGGACCCAACACGTTAATTTCCACTCCTATCTATCTTCTAGCGCGTGCTTACTACCTCTTCTATTATCCTCGGTCGCTCTTAGACCTCGCCATGACCCTCAAACTGGTCCAACCTCAGGGACTCTCACCCGACCCTTACCCGCAGAGGGCTGCTCATGGCTCACCCGCACTCACCCTCACTCACCCGTTTTGCATAATTATTTCTAACCTTTCCTAATTAGGATGGATAAAATTGTTGACTCATATACATAAATTATAACAAATTACATACAAAAAAGGGTGAGATCTTAGGAGGTAAAAGTGCATGTTTGATTAAGTATAGAATAACAGTAGTTTATATACAATCAAACATGATGACATCAGGTGATGTGCGATCATAACAGTAACATGATGTAAGCAAGGAAAGATACATGGTAATCTTGGGGCGAATATCACACATTGATGCCCGTTAAATAAATATTTATACCAGTGCCTTGGTAGTGGGGCCCGAGAAATAAAAGCTACCTGTAGGGAGGAAGCTGATTTCGCTATCGACTGTATTATAACGATGAAAATGGATGCAGCACTTCCAGGAAAACACACTTGACAGCTGTATGATCGCCTATTGTGGAAAGAAGCAAGCGTGCTGCCTCAACTCCGGACTGGCATGGCCAGACTCGATGGATATCTCTATCGAATCAACGCGGCAGAGACGGATCGGTGTGCATGTGAAGAAGCGAAAGAGACCGTGGAGCACTTCCTTTTTCGATGTCGGAAGTGGACTGCTCACCGAAAGGAACTGCTACAATGTACCAACACTCACCGAGGAAACCTGTCCTTCTTCCTGGGAGGGAAATCGCCTTCTGATGATCAGAAGTGGACGCCAAACCTAGAGGCAGTACGGGCTTCAATACGATTCGCTATCGCGACGGCCCGACTTGAGGCCACTTAACCATGCCGACGAACATTAATCACCCCCTTTTCCGATCTAGCTCACCTACCACCTCGTGCTACAGATGGTAGACGCGCTTCAACTGCCGAAGATAGGAAGTTGAACACTTGGAGAAGTGCCTTCAAGCCAGCCTACTAACAAAATTACTAACACGCGAGGATCCGCTGCTACACTGCTTGCTGCAAATGACATATATGGCAAAAGGTTTTATGTATGGGGTCGAAGGAGACACAGTACTGTATATATTATGGCATTTATAATAGATCAGCGAGAGTTACCCTTTCGGCTTAGCCGCCGGGCGTTGATAAATTGTGTATATGTGTATTATAGAATCTAATGTATATATAGTAAGCGCAGGAAATTTCTGATAAGGAAAAAATACTAGGCAGGCCAGCAGTGTGTAGAAGAATCAGACGGTAATAGGAGTGTTGATGGTCCGACCAGTTAGCCTTTCATAGGTCTTACAACGCCTAGTAATCCAACGTCAACTGCTGCTCTGGATGACGGGAAATTGAGGAGATCGTTTCGCAAAGGTCGTTCAGGATCTTAGAGGCACAGGCAGAGTTTACCACCTTGCTTGATGCCAGGATCGACACCCGGAGCTTGTCATCAATCTGCTCCGAATGAACCTTGAAGCCCTTCGGAGCGGAGAGGAGGGGCGATGACCATCGATGTGCACTCAATCCCATCCAGGGAATAAGGAGAATCCCGTCCGATGTTCTCATGGTGGACCACGATCTGATAATCGGTGGAGGCCGGCCATGTCGTGCTATGCTGGACGATATCCCGCAGGCCCGAGGTTTCGAACGGGAGGATGCGAGAATACTGAGTCTGGACGTGGTCTAACAGATCCCCGGCGGTCAAAGTTCGTTGAAGCATGACTCGCATGGGAATGACGCCGATACAGGGACCCAGGATTCTCTCTGCTCCCGTGATGGGAACATTGCGCCCGCTAACCAGTTGCCCGAACACCAGATCTCTTCGGCGCACCAGTTGTGCCAGGACCAACGACCAGGCGGCATTGACGACAGAAGCCATGGTAACCCAGCGTGGTGCGCCAGAGACGGACACCCACTTGGTGACAGACACAGAGATATCCTCCGCTGTACATATACCCCCAATAGCGCTACAGTCCAGTTGGGTCATTGATGCATTTTCTAGAAAGTCGTGCCAAAATTGATATACCTCGGCGGATTTACGTGATAATCGATACTGAATGTAGAGAGAAAAACTTGGGGTGGGGGACAGTATGTCTCCATGGTACGCCGCCACCAGATCCTGATACAACACTGGGATGGAGATGCCATCATACTGTGCGTGAGATAGGCGAATTATTAGGACGTGATTCCGGTTTCCCTTCGAAACAAGGAATGCCTTGTAGGGAGGGACGCCAAAGGCTGGTGGAGTCGCAGAATCTTGGTGACAGAGGGATTTCGAAACGCTCACTGGGTCCTCATCATTGACTTCAAAGCGGTCCATTTCGACATCCACTTGGCGGAGGGTGACTTGAATCACACCTTGGTTGGAGGGACAAAAGGCAGCCCGTAAGATAGAGTACCGCTGACTGAGAGCATGGCAGGCATATTGGAGACGATCTTGGTCGACAGACCCAGGAATGTGCAAAATAAAATATTTGCATGGGTAAGGATGGACACACTGCGCCTGGAATTCCGTGGTGGGAAACGCGTCCAGAACCTGTTCTCGGTCAAAAGACATGTGGGGAGTGAGTGTTTCACGGAGAAAAGATTCAGGGTCTGCAGAAGGAAGCATCGAGAAGGGTGCAGGCTCTACAGGGAGAGGTAGATCCGTAGATGTCGGAGATATGACCGTCGATTGCTTGGAAAGCGTTGGGTAGTTGAAGACATCGGCCACACTCAGGCGGAAGCCATCATCGCGCGCGGCGCTAGTCAGCCGCATCGCCGCGATTGAGTCGCCACCCCGATGGAAGAAACCGTCATGAGTGCTAATAGTGTCGGGCGCTATATTCAACACCTTCGCCCACAGCTGCTGCAGCACAATCTCTGCCGCCGTAGTCGGCGTCCGGTGTTTGATCTCAAACCCACTGTAGGTTTCAACCTCCGTTCGTGACATTTTGGCGACATGCTCCCGGAGCAGGCGCCGGTCAGTCTTTCCCGATGATGTTAGCGGAAGAGCAACCAGGGGCAAAAATAGCCCCGGGACCATATAGCTCGGCACTGCGTACTGCATACGGGCCTTGGCCATGACTATCGCAGCAGCGAAGCCTCGTGTTGGCGCGGCGAGAATTTCATTGTGACCATCAACGCTGGTGTCATGATCAGAGCCATGATCTAGGGGAGTCCATGAGACAAAGGCTACCAAAATCGGCGGTCTGGCTTCATCTACCGGGGTGATCACCTCAACCACAACATCACGGGCTCCAGGGAAGCTCTGACGTGTGTGATGCTCAACCTCACCCAGCTCAATCCGCTGGCCGCGGACCTTCACCTGAGTGTCTTTGCGACCAACAAAACGAAGTGACCCATTTATAGTGTATTGAACCAAGTCACCAGTCTTGTATAGTTTTCGGAGTGGGCTAACGCGCCGGAAATGTTGTAGCCAAGGAGGTGGTTCAACAAAGACAGCATCTGTTTTCTCGGGGTCATTGAGATAGCCACGCCCGACAATTGGACCCTCGATGAGCAGCTCCCCCACAGCGCCAACTGGCTGTAATATGTTGTGATCCTGCTGATCAACAACCCAGCAAACACACCCAATCCCTTTTCCTATTACCTGCGGGTCCTCGGCACTCAGGCCTCCACATTGCGCAGTGGCTTCAACGCAACATTCGGCAGGCCCATATGTATTGATCAAGCAGATTTTGGTTCCCCCAAATCGAATAATATCACTGGGTAACACCGCCTCTCCACCTAAACCTAGCGTCAGAATTCCGGCGAGATCATCTGGCGTTAAAGTTCGTGCGACAGAAGGTGTCAATTCAACTTGGTTTGCATGCATATCTTGAATTGCCTTGCCCATATTCTCCATACGATCAGACTCCGAGGGAATGCAAATACATCCACCCGCCACAAGGGTGGTGATTTGGTCTGCGATGCATGTATCGAAGGCATATGAGGAGAACTGAAAGACACGTTGATCACTAGTGAATTTTTTTGCCTTGATTTGTGCCAGGCTAGCCGTGGAGAATGAGGCATGCTCGATGACTGCGCCTTTCGGGATCCCAGTGGAGCCAGAGGTGAAAACTGCATAGACGGCATTCTTTGGGGTTGCTAATACTGCTCTTCTTCCAATTACCTGATGCCATTCCATCTCCCCGTCACCCACTGTCACCACATTGACGCCTAATTCTCCTGCCAACTTCGTGTTCAACGCGGATGCCACAATTACCTTAGCTGATATTGTGCGGCTGATGCTCTGCAACCTTGCAGTTGGGTGCGAGGGGTCTAGCAGTACAAATGCCCCGCCGGCTTTCATGACCCCAACCATGGCTACAGGGGTCCAACGCGACTTCTCAAAGCACAGTGGCACGAATGTCTCTGGTCCTACCCCGTGACTGACCAGGTGGGCGGCCAAATTTGATGATAACGCATTTAGCTGGCTGTATGTGAATTCACCATCCCAAGCGCATATAGCGGGTGCAGATGGCCGTGCCTGACACTGAGACTCTATAAGCTCGTGTACACAACGGCTGACTCTCTCTGGCTCATTTCCATTCCACTCCTCGAGCTGTTGCTGATTCGCCGGGCTAATTTTGTCAATATTCTTTAGCAAGATATCCGGTTGCTGATCAATCTGAGTGACTATATGTGCTAGGTGATACAGCATCTGCTGCACCTGGAATTTGCCGATGACTTGAGGATCGTAGGCTGCTTCCATTTCCACGAAGTCAGACCCCAAGTCACATTGGATTGTTAGAGCATAGGTGGTAAATGCCGTCTGGTCAGACACCATGTCATCTTTAGTAAACAATACTGGCAGGGTCGTCCCTGGCGAGGCTGGATGATGAGCAGGTTCTGAAACTGGCACGCCACAGCGGCATCGGCATTCAAACGACGAATATACTGGAGTCCACTCTGTTCATATGGAAGGATCCGAGCAGAATGATCTTGGATCTCCTTGAGTGTCTGTGCAATCGTGTTCTCCCGATTGAGCTGAACACGAAGGGGTATGGTAGCAAAAGTTGGTCCAGTCATCTGCTCAACAGCACGGACCGGTGCACCACGTCCAGTCACAGTCAATCCAAAGACAACGTCCTGTGTACCAGAATAGTGAGATATGGTGAGGGCCCAGGCTAGTCTGATCTTTGTCGACAGAGTGAAATCACTCTTCGCGCCACTCAGCGGAACAACATGGGTGAGCACATCCGTTGGTGTGGGTGCATACGTTGGAGAGGGCAATTGTGGAAAGCAGGTAGTACTCAGGCCAGTGAATTCACCCTGCCAGAACGCTTCCGCTGTAGCCTTGGACTCCAAGAGATAGGAGATGAAAGGGCTGAATGGCCGGGGAACCAACGGCTTGCCCTGCAAGGCAGACGCTACCTGCTCCAGAAGCAGAGGTAGAGACCATGCGTCGTACACCGCATGATGCATGGCCAGTAGGAACCGATGAGACATGCGGCTACCAGGATGTTGAATCACGAATACACGGATCAGTGGCTCACCAAGGCCAAAAGATGCTGTGGATGCCTCCCTTTCGGCGCGAGGAGCGTTCTCATTCCCATAGACGGCCCACTTGATCTCACTGGGCACAATTACCTGAAAACACCCCAAGTTATGGCCCTCGATGATCCTTGAGTGGAGTATGGGGTTGGCGCTCGCTACAGCGTTCCATGCCGCGCGGAAGTCGTCCATGCAGATATTACCAGGCAGATTATACGAAAAGCAGGCGGTATAGGCGCCGCGTCTCTTGGCAGTCAGGGCTATGAGGCCTTCTTGGAGGGCTGTGCAGGGATAAATATCGTTTATCTGCGAGGGAGACACATGGCACTGAATGGTGGCCAGGTTCAAGATAGCCTCACGTGCTCGAGCCGGCTTCAGCAGGGAGAATGGAGCAGGGATCTCTAGAGCAGGTGAATGAAAGGGTCGAAGGTGAGTGGAGAGCGACGAGAGCTTCGGGTGCTGAAAGACATCGGCCACTTTAAGAACAAAATTGTCCTCTCGAGCCATCCCAGCCAGCTTGATGGCTGCTATCGAGTCCCCGCCGAGGTGGAAGAAGCTGTCATTGGCGCCAATGGTCTCTTGGGGAATGTTCAATACCAGGGCCCAGAGGCGCTGAACCGTCTCTTCTGCAGTGGTGGCAGGCATTCGCTTTTTCATGGGTGCATGTAACGATTTAGCTTCCACCCACGAAAGGGAAGCCGCCTGCTCGCGGAGGTAACGTCGGTCAATCTTCCCAGTTGCCGTGAGTGGGACAGTCCTCAATTGCAGAAACAGGGTGGGCACCATGTAGCCTGGGAACGCATTATGAAGATGAGACTCGGCCATAGCTATGGCTGCATGAAATGCCTGTGTAGGCGGGGTGAAGTTGTTCTTCCTTTCCTCCCTGGAGTGGTCATCGAGCAGCCTCTCGGCCAACACAAAAGCCACCAGCTGTGTTGCTCGGCCGGTCTCCACAGGCACAACCACATCCACTACTACCTCCGTTGCACCCGGGAAACACTGTCGGGTATGATACTCAATCTCCCCTAGTTCAATACGCTGGCCACGGAGTTTCACCTGGGTGTCCTTGCGACCGATGAAGTAGAGGGATCCGTCCGTCGCATTGTATTGCACTAGATCCCCAGTCCTGTACACTAGGCCTCCAGAATTCTGATTCCCGCGGAACTGAGATAGCCAATCTGGCCTTGGGATGAATGCCGTGGCATTCTGCGTCTCATCAATCAGATAGCCACGTCCCACAATTGGGCCTTCGATCAACAATTCTCCCACGGCACCGATGGGCTTGAGCTGGTTCGAATCACAAGGGTCTACAATCCAGCAGACGCATCCAATTCCATAACCAATATTGCTCCTACTGTGGTCGACGCTGCTTGTGATTTGCGATTGAATGGTACATCCCACGGAGCACTCAGCAGGCCCATATTGATTAATGATCTGCATATGGTTCATCCATTCCATGAAATCATCCGCGAACAACATTTCTCCCCCAAGAACCAAGGTCTTCAACAATGGTAGAGCTTTAGGCTGCAGGATCTTTGCTACTGAGGGGGTTAACACCATGTGAGTCGCTTCAAAGGACTGGATAGAGCCGAGAAGAGCGTTTTGTCGATCATCCTCACTGGGAACACATATACACCCCCCAACCATCAGTGTTACCAAATGGTCAAAGATACTCACATCAAATGCATACGAGGCAAATTGAAACACCCGAGAATTGCCAGAGAGTCCAAGGATCGGAGCTTGTGACAAGGCACTCGTGCAAAACGATGCATGGGGTATAACCACTCCTTTAGGCGTACCCGTTGATCCCGAGGTAAAGACTGCGTAAACAGCATTATGACATGCTACAGCGGATGGTTTTTCGATTAGGGTTTCTATACACCATTCTATTTGGTCGGCCCCCATCACGACCACAGGCCGATTAGGGACCAAGTCCGCTGCTCGTGCCGCGTTCATCGGTAACGTCACAATCAGCTCAGGCGATAGCGTACGGCAGATGGCCTGGAGTCGAGATAGCGGGTGTGACGGGTCCAGCAGCACAAAGGCTCCCCCAGCCTTCATGACTCCAAGCATGGCTACAGGGGTCCACATGGATTTCTCGAAACAGAGAGGCACGAACGTCTCTGGGCCGATTCCCAGTCCAACCAGGTGTGCTGCCAGTGCGTTGGAGAGCTGATCCAGCTCTTGATAGCTGAGATCTCCATCCCATGCGCATATTGCCGGTGCGCTCGGCTGCTTCACGCAGCGCTCGAGGATGAGGTCGTGGACGCACCGGCCAATGCATTCGGGGACGTGCTCATTCCAGGCGTAGATCTGGCTCCGATCCCGGGGACTTATGATGTCGAGGTGCCTCGCCTCATCGTTTGGTCGGTGAACCATCTCCAGGATCACCTGTCGGAACGTGTGCGCCATGTCAGACAAGTGACGGTCACCCGAACTGGTTGTCCAGGAGCTTAAGTGGATGTCTACATGGTCGGCATCAATGCCGATGGTCACGGCCACGTCATACTCTGTCGGATCTTCTCCTGGAACATCTTCCAACTCAATGCTAGTGGGCTCCATGGTCTTTTCAGCCCCCCAGAGGCGCTGCACGGAGATGATCGTGTTAAACAACGGCTGACCGGACTGACTGGCCTGGTGCACAATATCTGCCAATGAGTAATGCTGGTAAGGCAGACTTTGCAGATATTCGGCGTGGGTGTCTTGCAGCAGGGAATGAACGGACCGGTTTGGCGTCACCTTCATGCGGCACACAAGCAGGTTGATCAAAGGCCCGACCATTTCCTGGACTTCCGGCACGGGCAAGTCCCGGCCGGAGCTCAGGTAGCCAAAACACACCGAGTCAGAACTGGTATAGCTCCGAAGGACTAGACCCCAGGCGACCTGTAACAGGTTTGACAGGGTCACTTCATAAAGTTGAGAGAATTCGTGAAGGAGGGCTCCCTCCTCAACGCGGATGTGGACGGACTGGAGCCCCTTTTCATGCGGGCTTCTCGAGTCTCCACTGCTTGATGTAGGGACAAGACACGGCGAGACTTGATCAAGGTAGGTTTGCCAGTACTTTTTCGCCGGGTTTTCCGGTTGATTGTGCAGATAGGCCAGGTAGTTGCGATACGGCGGACCCCGCCCCGCCGTTAACAGCCCGTCGTACGCGCGAAGGAGGTCTTGGCGAATGATGCGAATCGAGTGTGCGTCAATGAGACTGTGGCTGATGTCCAGCATACAGGCCATTCTAGTGGATGTGATGCAAAGGAGAAGTCGATGTGGCGGTTGCCCAAGGGGGTATGTGGAACGGGGGCAGCTCTCTAGGGCGGCTATGGGGTCCTTGTCTGTTGCGTCGATTACCTGAATATTGGCTTGAACCGAACTCCTCACGACCTGATCGCAATATCCATCTCTTGAGACACTGTCCACGAAAAGCGTGCGGAGGATGGCGTGTCGATCGACGACATGCTGCCAAGCCTGCTGGAACCGGGCGATATCGACGGGCATGGATCCCACCTTCGGAACAATCTTCCATCGGAACCTCGATTGGTAGCACTGGGGGTCCTTGGCCTGGCTGATAAGGATTCCCTGCTGAATGGGCGAACTCGGGTAAGCGTCTTCGAGGTCTTCGAGTTGCACGCCATTTTGGGACAGCGTCTGATGCAAGAATGCATCGATGTTGCGGCAAGTGAGTGACAAGAGCGGAAAGTCGGATAGAGAGAATTGAGGGGTATCCAGAGTAGATAGCTGGTGCACAGCGTCCCGAAGGGACTGCTCGCATTGGATGATCCATTTGGCGATGGCTTCTTGATGTCTCATATGCTGGCCGTATGAGAAGGACAACCTTAGACGGTCCTGCTCTACCACCGCGATCACTTCGATCAGCGCGAATCGGAACAGCTCCCTCGTTATCTCCGGCACTTGAAGATCCGGTTGAATCGGGGGCCGCAGGACTGTCGTCGGGCTTCCCAACGGTCGGTATCTGCCTAGATCGCTGAACCCGATCTCCACCCCATCCAATGGCAGGAAAAGCGCGGAGTCCTTCGTGTGCAGCACAGAGCAGGCGCAAGAGGCCCATACGCGGCTGCTCGCAGTTAACCGGCGGGCGTCCTTGGTGTGTCGGACCACTTGGACTATATCACCGTTGTCATCGTTCCTCATGTCGACACAGGTAGGCTGCATGATGGTGACCCGGCCCACCGTCCGGGTCAGGTCGATGGTGGAATGCCACATATCCCGTTCTGGGCCTTCGCTGAAGATGGTTGGCGGAGGCCGGTCTGGGAAGATGCGGACGAAGGCGTGCCAGAGGGCGGCCTGCAAGATCTCCACCGGCTGGGTTCGAAGAGCACCATTCGCGCTACCGTAGAGGGCGTTAGTGACCTCCGCATCCAGGGTGAAGCCCCCGTGGAGGAAGATGTGGGAAGTTTTCGAGTCCTGGAGGCCCCGCATCCCCAAACCCCAGTAATTCTGGGGAGCTGGGGCCTGGGCTTGCGTGGGGGCCCGAATCGTCTGGAGGCGTGTTTCCTGCAACCGGCACCAAGTGTGAAATGACTGAGTCGGGGTCTTGGAGAGCTGTCCATGCTGAAGCGCCTCATCCAGATCCCCCAAAAGGACTCTCCAGGAACCCAGATCGAAGATCAGGTAGTGAGCCACCAGGAAGATATATTGCTGAACAGCGCCGACATCGATTAAGGCCACTGCAAATAGAGGACCATTCCGAATGTCGAGATTGTGCTGGATGGTCAACATAGTTTCTCTGGCTTCCGGGAGTGAGGAAACGCGGCAATGTTGATACTGGTGACTGCAGTCGACTTCGGCCATGATGACCTGAGTCCAGCAGCCATCGTCAGCCTGGCGGAAACGGGCGCGTAACATGGAATGCTCCTGGGCAAGGAGGTGGATGGCATGCATCAGGTCTCTCGGGACAACCCTTTTGGCAAGAGGGACCAAGAAGCTCCGGTTTTTAGGCTGCGTTCCATGGTGCCCAAGTTCAAAGAACCAGAACTGTAAGGGAGAGAGGGCGAAAGCTATCTCCACTTCGTCCTTCGTTTTGAGCGGGCCGTGACGGCCCATGGTCAAAAGCGGACCCATTCTCGAGAGGGTCTTGCTGTGAAAAATATCCGCGACATCCAGAAACTGTCCAGTAGCTCGAGCGAGAGCTGATATTTGCATGGCCAAGACAGAGTCACCTCCCAGACGAAAGAAGCTGTCATCAAGCCCAATGGATTCGGGAGGGATATTCAGGACCAGTGCCCACCACTGCTGCAGAGTTCGCTCAGCTGCGGTAGTGGGCAATCGCTTCTTTACAGTCGGACACCTATAGGCCTCCATCTCGGCTGGGGAGAGCAGGGCCGCCCGCTCACGAAGCCGTCGTCGATCGGTCTTCTCCGTCATAGTCAGTGGGACCGTTCTTAGAGGCAGGAACAGCGCCGGGACCATGTGTATCGGGACTGATTCTTGCAAGGAGGCTTCAGCCGTGAGGATGAGTCTCTGAAAAGCCTCCGTGGGTGCAGCAATGATTTCCTCTGAATGATGGTTATCCCTATCTGGATCATCCACCTTAATGAAGGCCACCAGCATTGGTTGCCGACCAACGGGAGTCACAACCTCCGCAACCACGTCGTGAACACCATGGAAAACTTTCCGGACAAGATGCTCAATCTCGCCAAGCTCTGTCCGTTGGCCGCGAATCTTGACCTGGTTGTCTTTGCGACCAATGAAGCGGAGAGATCCATCTGGAGCATACTGGACTAGATCTCCCGACTTATAGAGCCGAGTGGCAGCAGGAACGTCCCGGAATCGCTTGAGCCAGGTTGGAGGACGAATAAATGCTGCAGCAGTCTGGGCTGGAGCGTTGACATAGCCACGGCCTACATTGGGACCTTCAATGAGCACTTCGCCGATGGCACCAATGGGCAGGAGCTTCTGATGATTCAACGGGTCCACAATCCAACAAACACAGGCTGTTTGGTGTCCCAGGTTGTCATGATCCAATCTCTTCAAGAACTGGGGTTGGGCCGTTGATGCAAATGTACATTCTGCTGGCCCCCACACATTCACAAAATGTACCGAATCCTCCCATTTCCGAAAGTCACTAGTGACCACCGTTTCTCCCCCAACAACCAGGGTTTTCAAAAATGGAACCTCAGCCGGCTGAAGCAGCTTGGCCACAGTTGGGGTAAGCATCACGAAGGTGGCCCTATACTGCCTCAAGGCCCCGACTAGATCGCTCCGCCGATCCGCATCACAAGGTACACAAATACATCCCCCAGTAATTAAGGTAGCTAGGTGATCGAATATCCCCATATCAAATGCATATGATAAAAACTGGAAGACTCGAGAATCTCGGACAAGGCCTAGAAGCGGGGCTTGTGATAAGACCATCGTACAATATCCTGTATGGGAGATGACAGCCCCTTTTGGTGTGCCCGTAGAACCTGATGTAAACACCACACACAGTGTGTTCTCTGGGCTCACTATGGGAACAGTCCCCGAACGGCCGGTGTTACGCCATGTAGTGTGATCATCTCCAATCACCACTATTTCTGCTACTAGGTCCGCTGCAATTGCTTTATTCAGCCCGGATGTGATTATGAGGCTCGCGGACACTATAGAGCAGATATGGTGGAGTCGTGCCAGTGGATACGATGGATCCAGCATCACAAATATCCCTCCCATCTTGATGACTGCAAGCATTGCCACTATGGTCCATCGTGACTTCTCAAACAACAGTGGTGTGATGGTTTCTGGGCCAATCCCAAGCCCCAGTCCAGTCAGGTGCGAAGTGAGTGCTTCAGAAAGCTGATGAAGCTCTTGATAGGTGAAGTCGCCATCCCATGCGTTCACGGCTTCTGCATCTGGTTGGGCGAGGCATTTTTCTTTAATCATCTCATGCACGCACTGGTGGACTGGCTCTTGCGGTATCCCGTTCCACTGCTCTAACTGGCGTAGATCCTCTGGACTCACCCCGCTGACATCTTGGATAGATACTTCAGGCATTTGGCAGATCTGGTTCATTACATGCGTAAACTGGTGAAGGATGCGCTGTACCTCCAGAGGCTGAATAACTCTAGGATCATACATCGCTTGCACATTTACTGCGTTGGGAGAGAGCTCACACAACAGAGTTAGTGCGTAGGTCGTGAACGCTCCAAGGGCTTGATCCGAGATCGGATCTTTCTCTTCTATAAAAAATCTAAGACTGTCACGGTCTCCCGCTTCCGGTTGAATGACAAGCAGGCTCTGAAATTGACAGGCAGCGAGCGCATCATCACCAAGGCGTTGAAGCTTCTGTAAGCCAATATGCTCAAATGGCAGCATCCGGGTGGATTGGTCTTGCACCTTTTTCAACATCTGACCGACAGAGGCCCCCCCATTCTATTTGAAGACGAAAGGGAATGGTGGCAATAGTTGGTCCAGTCATCTGCTCAATACCAACTACGGGTGCACCACGACCTGTCACAGTCAGTCCGAAAACCACATCCATGCTGTTGGAATACCGCGCCTGAGCGAGGGCCCATGCGAGTCGGAGCTTAGTGGAGGGGGTAAAATCATCCCAAGGGCTCTGTGGCAACGGAATGGTATGCATCAAGGACTCATTGGGAGTTGGGTTGTATCCTGGGGTCGGGAGTGGAGGAAAGGTGATGACATTAACGTCGGTCAACTCAGACCGCCAGAAGGTCTCCGCGGTAAACTCAGACTTAGAGAGATATGATATAAATGGACTGAACGATTGAGAGGTCAGAGAATGGCCCTGGAAGGCTGCTTCGGCCTGCTGTAGGAGCAGAGGCAGGGACCAGGCATCATACACGGCGTGGTGCATGGCAAGGATGAATCTACCCAGACTGGGGATGATGGTCGCCCGGACCAGGGGCTCACCCAGGCCGAATGATGGAGTTGCATGGGGAGCCATGGGATCCTCTCCATCTCGTTCAATATTCCACTGCATGGTGCCCGGCACTACCACTTGGAAACAACCCTGATCAATGCTCTGGATGATTCTCGTGTCTAAGATGGGGTTTGCAATTGCCACTGCGTTCCATGTAGCTTGGAAATGACCCAGATCAATATCCTCGGGCAGGTGGTAAGAGAAATGCGCGATGTAGGAACCTGTCTTCTTGGCTGTGAGGGCCATCAGACCCTCCTGCAGAGCGGTACATGGATAGATATCGACGATCTGGTCCCGCTGGACTTGGCACTGCTCCACTGCTAAATCTAAAATGACATCCTGAGCCGAACCGAGCAGAGAGAACGGGGCCATGCTTTCCAGAGGAGTTTCTAATGTGGGCTGCAGGCAAATCGCAAGGTTGGCCAGTCTTGGTTGCTGAAATATGTCTGCAACAGCGAGAGAAAATCCTTCCTTGCGAGCTATTCCACAGAGCCTCATGGCCGCAATGGAATCCCCACCCAAGCGGAAGAAGCTATCGTTGGCACTTATGGAATCTAGTGACCGGTTTAAGACACGCGCCCACAGAAGCTGTAATGTGTGTTCGGCTTCGGTCACGGGGGCTCGCTTTTCATGTGCACTAGAGCTACTGTATGCGTCAATCTCAGACCGAGAGAGCGCTGCCGCACGCTTACGAAGCAGACGCCGGTCTGTCTTGCCACTGACCGTGAGCGGCAAGTTAACAAGCGGTAAGAACACAGCGGGCACCATATACGAAGGTAAAACCTCCTCAAGGGCTGACTCTGCCACGAGAATGGCAACGTGGAAGGCGTCGAAGGGTGCCGCAAATATATTCTCAGGATGGTCATGATCTTCCTGACTGTTGGTGCGGATGAAAGCGACCAGCGTAGCCTCACGGCCAGCCCCCATCGGTAGCACTACCTCCGTGACGACATCACGAGCATCAGGGAAGCACCTCTGCACGTGATATTCAACCTCACTCAGTTCAATGCGCTGCCCACGGAGCTTGACTTGTGTATCTTTACGCCCAATGAAGCGAAGTGACAGGTCTGCCGTGTACTGCACCAAGTCCCCAGTCTTATAAATTTGTCTCGGCAAGCTCTGATCATGGCGATAGTGACTTAGCCAGGCAGGTGGCGTGATAAAGGCGGCTATAGTTTTCTGCGGCTCATTGAGATAGCCTCGTCCCACAATCGGGCCTTCAATCAGCAGCTCCCCTACTGCACCAATGGGCAATAGTTTATCATGGTCCTGCGGGTGGACGACCCAACACACACCGCCCGTTGCGAAGCCGATGTTGGTAGGATCGGAGGATTTAGTGGCATATCTCTGAATTGTCGAAATCACCGAACATTCAGCAGGCCCATAATCGTTGAACAACTCCACATTCCCAACCCACTGGGAAATATCCCTTTCCGCTGGTGCCTCTCCAGTGAGAATAAGTGTTTCAACCGAGAGGTCTGCCGGCTGGATTCCTCTAGCAACAGATGGAGTGAGCCAGCACAAATTTGCTTTCAAGTCCGATATCGCTTGAGGAAGATTACTCCATCTGGCAGCCTCTGAGGGCACGCATACACATCCTCCTTTGACCAAAGTAGTAAGATGATCCGAGATACTGTTATCGAACGCATAAGACGAGAATTGAAAGACCCGCGACTTGTCCGTTAGACCAAGGGCTTTACTGTGGGCCATTGCGCCCGTGCAATAAGCACTATGCGGAATTATAACGCCCTTTGGTTCCCCAGTTGAGCCGGAGGTGAAAACCGCGTATGCAGCATTACTGGGAGCAACAGACGATGCTGTACCGAAATTGCCGCCGTCACCGTGGCTCTCATGCCGGTCTATCGCATCTGACGCCCCGATTGTAATTACCTGTGCCCCTATTTCGGCCGCCAGAATGGCCGCCATCTCTTCATTCTGCGGCAATGCTACAATCACCGAGGCCGATACAACCCGGCAGATACTCTGCAGTCGTGCCGCCGGGTGTAACAAATCCAGCAAGACAAAGGCCCCGCCCGCTTTCATGACTCCAACCATGGCCACAGCTGTCCATCGGGATTTTTCAAAGCACAATGGGACATATACCTCAGGCCCAACTCCTTGTGCCGTCAGGCGCGCGGCCAGGATGGAGGACAGCCTATCTAGCTCTCGATAGGTCATATCACCGTCCCATGCGCACACGGCAAGAACATCTGGCTGAGCTAGGCAGCGCTCGAGAATCAGCTCATGGACGCACCGATTGACTAAAGGAACTTCACAGTTGCATTGCTGCAACTGTCGCTGATCCTCAGGGCTCAGCACACCAAGATCTTTGATCATTGCATCCGACTTCTCGTGGATCTGTGTCATCACATGTTGGAGCTGACATAAAAGCCGCTCCACCTCACTCTCCTGGATCACCCGCAGATCGTAAATCGCTTCCACTTCAATTGAGTCCGGTAGAAGTTCACATAATAAAGTGAGCGCATGGGATGCAAACGCTCCTTCATCAGACCTGACAGCCCCCTCCCCCTGGATAAATAAATCCCGCCCCTGGCTTTCGCGGCGGGGCTGAATCACCAGCAGATTCTGAAACTGACAAGCAGACGCTGCTTCATCACTCAATCGCTGAATATTCTGCAATCCCATCTGTTCATTGGGGATCATGCGGGCGGAGTGATCCTGAATCTCACGAAGGCACTGCACCACAGTGCTATCCCAGTTCAGCTGAACACGGAAAGGGACTGTAGCAATGGTTGGTCCGGTCATATCAGCAATGCCAGCAACCGGCGCACCGCGCCCGGTCACAGTGAGTCCAAAGACAATATCACTCGAGTTGGAGCAGTCACTAGGGTTTGAATAGTACGCCAAGGTGAGAGCCCAGGCTAGTCGAAGTCTGGTGGACGGAGTGAAATCCTTCGTCGCCCCAGTGTTCTGCGACAGCGGAATGGTGCGCGTAAGTGTCTTGGTTGGGGTTGGGGTATGGTTAGATGACGGCAGTGACGGGAAGTGGACCGTATCCAGACCATCGAATTCATCCTCCCAGAAACTGGCGGTAGCAGCTTTGCGCTCCGATAAATAGGCTATAAAGGGGCTGAATGGCTGGGTTGTTAAAGGTGTCCCCCAAAATGCTACCTCTACTTGCTCGAGGAGAAGCGGCAGGGACCACACATCGTATATAGCGTGGTGCATGGACAGCACGAATCGACATGATCCAGGTCCGTCAGCTTGCTTAACGATAGCCATGGCGACCAATGGATTTCCCAGCCTGAAGCCAGTGACAAGCTGCTCCTGGGCCGCATTATAGGATTCCTCATCGACATAAATGGGACACGGGATATGATCCTTCACCACTACTTGGAAAATTCCCGTATCGCTCTGAACCATCCTAGTCGTCAGGATTGGGTTCGCCCGAGCTACTGCATTCCAAGCGGCACGAAACCGATCGACATCACTATCGACATCGCTACCGCCACCGAGAGCTAAGGAGTAGGAGAAATGGGCTATGTAAGTGCCGGCCCTCTTCGCTGTTAGGGCCATCAGACCCTCCTGCAATGCCGTACAGGGATAAATATCCGCAATCTGGTCCGAGGATACTTGGCATTGTTCAACGGCCAAGTCGAGAATCACACTTACAGCCGAATCAAGGAGAGAGAACGGAGCGATGAGATCTGTGTTTAGATCGGACAATTTTTGAAGGAGATGTGACAGCTGGGAAAGCTGTGGAGAATTAAATATATCGGCCACGGCCAGGGAGAAACCGTCTGCGCGTGCGGCGGCAACCAGCTGCATCGCCCTGATCGAGTCGCCGCCAAGGCGAAAGAAATGATCATCTGCTCCAACGCGTTCCAGAGGAATCTGGAGAACACAGGCCCACAGTCGCTGGAGCGTGCTCTCTGCGGGCGTCGCAGGCTGTCGCTTGGCCAATCTCGAGCTGCTGTACGCCTCAAGCTCGGACTGCGATAGAGCTGCTGCACGCTCGCGGAGCTGCCGCCGGTCGGTTTTACCTGACTTAGCCAGGGGGATTGCAGTCAGGGGCAGGAATATTCCCGGCACCATATACCCGGGTATTGTCTCGTTAAGGAATGACTTGGCCGTCTGGGACGCGGCACGGAAGCTGTCTGAGGGTGCGGCAAGAATATCTTCCAGACCGTTCTCCGGATCGCACGTATTCCATTTCCGGTTGTTTTCTGGATAACTGGGATGGTCCTCCCAGACAAAGCCCACGAGGACCGGGACTCGTCCAGTCTCAGTTGGCGTCACAAGTTCAGCCACGACGTCCCGGGCGTGGGGAAAGCACCGCCGCATATGGTGCTCCACATCTCCGAGCTCAATCCGCTGGCCACGAAGCTTGACTTGGGTATCTTTCCGGCCGATGAAACGAAGGGTTCCATCAGAGGTGTATTGAACTAGGTCTCCTGTCTTGTATAACCGCGCAGCATTTGCTGGGTGAAGTTCCCGGAATTGCTGTAACCAACTGGGCGGTTCGATGAACGCGGCGGCTGATCTCTCGGGGTTGTTGATATACTCCCGCCCCACCGTATGGCCCTCAATCACCAGTTCCCCCACGGCTCCGACAGGAAGCAGCCGGCTATAGTCATCGGGATCAACGATCCAAGGCACACATGTGATTGCCCGCCCGATATTGCGCTCATCGGATCCTGGCTCAATTCGGTCTTGAATAGCGCCGAGCCCCGCACATTCCGAGGGTCCATAGCCAAAAACAAGGCGAACATGCGGGGTCCATCTCAAGACCGCCGCGGGAGAAATCCCCTCGCCTGCCACGACCAGTGTTTTGAGGGAGGGAGCTCGTTCTGGCTCCAGGACCGCCAGGACGGACGGGGTCAAGTGGGCCCAGTTGACATTATATTCCTGGATAAAGGCAGCGATGTTGTCATTCCGGGCTCGATCTGACGGTATACAGATACATGCGCCAGAGAGAAAGGCAGCGAAAATATCGATGATGCTTGCGTCAAATGCATAGGATGCGAATTGGAGGATCCGAACATCATTCTCCAGATTCAATGCTTGATTGTAAGGCAACACGCCAGAGTTGAAGGCCGCATGTGTCATCACCACCCCCTTCGGCATGCCCGTGGAACCTGAAGTAAACACAGCATATACTGCACTGGCGGGAGTCACTAGTAGAGCGGCCCTGGGCCGATCATCTTTGCCCATGGTTGACTGATCACGCCCAATTGTGACCACAAATCTTGCTAGCCTGGCGGCCATGGCTTCGTTCTGCACCGATGCCACAATCAGCTCAGCTGAGATTGTTGAGCAGATACTGCGAAGCCGCATTTCTGGGTAAGATGGATCCAGCAACACAAATGCTCCTCCAGCCTTCATGACCGCAATCATGGCCACGGTCGTCCAGCGCGACTTTTCAAAGCAGAGTGGCACAAATACCTCGGGGCCAACACCATATCTGGTCAGGTGCGTGACCCACGTGTTTGAGAGCTCGTCCAGTTCTCGATAGGTGAAAGTACCATCCCATGCGCAGACAGCCGGTGCATCTGGCTGAGCCAAACACCGTTCCTGAATGATTTCATGTACGCACCGGTCTACTCGATCTGGGACGTCCCAGTTCCACTCCTCCAGTTTTTGATAATCTTCATGGCTTAATTTATCGGATGAACCGGACAACTGCTCTCTCAGTTGGAGTATCGGCTCCAGCTGTGGTTTATTCCCATCAGTCTTCAAGTCTTCTTCAGTGTGGTGCATTTTTGTTATTTTCTGGCATGTGCCGTAGCTGCAATTGATGGTAAGCTGACCCGGCAAGGATATGAAAGTATCAAAGTGAGGAATTGATGAACTGACTAGTACAGGAGATGGCCAATATAATGAGATGCTTGATTGATGTATTGTAGGTCGTAAAATCGGTTGAGCGATGTAGTGCCTAGTTTATGGGAGATTCCTAGCCATCCCCCTCAGAGTTTATTGGATTCTTTGAAAGCTGCTACACCGCCGTTAATACGCTCCAAAGAGACATCTCGCTAGCCCCTGCAGATCAAGAGTTACTAACGCGAGATCATGCTCATAGTCTCTAACTGGTCCTACATGATTTTGGTAAAATTATGTGGGCCGGTTAGTAACTCCATCGAAGGTTTTCAAACATCATCTTTGCGAACTGTAAGATAAATTTCATAAGTGAAACAAAAATCATTACGGTTAGTAGGATCTTCGTAAATTCTATACTGCGGCACTACCCACCCAATACGGGTAAGAAATTGGACCCAATCCCCAATATATCCAAGTTTTGGGAGAAATCTGCTAGGACTTTCAGAACTAGACTGTTTCACACATTTTTATTTGAAATATCGGCTGATATTGGAGTTCATGCAGCATGATCATCCTACTGCACATCCAATGCCGTACTGGTTTCGCTGTGCTGAAGTTCTCAGCCGTAGGACGGATGCAGAAAACATTCTAGGACCGATGCGTCCTTGAAGCATAGTGGGATCGATTTGATACCGACCTGATCTATCAACAGGGTATGGATAGCAAACCACATAAGCACACATATTTCTTGGGAACTTAACTTGTCAGATTGATCGACAGTAATCATATTTTTGGACAGCCCGAGAATTCAAGACTCCAGCACGCGTGTCCTGACATCCAAGGCGGCATTGCATAAAACTATGCATGTCTGCAACAGAGTAACAAAGAGACATCTTGGCTTTCAGTAAATTACCACATGACACGTTCATATTTACACGAATTGCTGCTTGGACCCTCCATAAGTCACCTCATGAAGCTGTGGGTTGAGTCACATACATGCAGATTATGTAATTTAAGTTTTTGTCGGACTGGTATATACCATGCTCGCAGTCACTTTTCAAAGTATTTAGAACATACTACAAGGCCCACCATTTTTCTGCCGGTAGAGTGTCAATATCTCTATTACCATACAACCACCTAGCGTAACTTTCATAGTAATAATATCTGTCAAGTTCTATGATATCCGTATTACCTTTTACTAGGCATCGCCTATCGAGGCCTAAATGGCCGATTGTTCAAAAAAGTGTCTATCCCACGATCCTGCTGAATATTTGATCGTGATGATCTTGGTAATCTATCGGATCTATGCTACATGTTACGATATAGTTCTTTCCTACGTGCACCGATTTACCATACAAATACTATGGCAATGTAGGCGGGGGTTGAAAACACAGTCATGCTAAGATAGTGGTAAGTTAGCCCATCTAAGGTTGACAAGATTCGCCACACTGAGGCGTAGTTCCCCCGACGAAATGGCGGACTGTGAGGCTTTCCCACACATATTGCGCGATATCAACTAGTTGCGCACATGTTTCGTCATTCTTTGCAGGTATACGGTTTATAATATTGGTAAGTGAGCGGAAATATATAGTTTACTCCCTCTATATTCAATTTTGGTATTGCATAAGAGTCTTCGCTGCCAAGCACGTCGGATCTCCAATAGCACTGGTTCAGCTCCTCTCATATGTTTTTGGTGTCGAGGTCCTCAAGCTCAGGAACAAGTGAGAAAGAAAAAAGGGGGGAGCCGCGAGATCAGCAACATCACCGGCCAATTGCAAGTTAAACATCCAAGTACGGCTGGCGAAACGCTGTTACAAGCACTAAGGCGACAAGAAATCTGAAAGTAAAAAAGTAATGGTAATTACCCCCAGGGGAGTACAAATACCAGCTGATTCCCAATTAATATACCATGGAGGAATCACGACTCATTCCGAAGATTTGTGATATATGCTTTCCTGGCCCTATTTGCCCCCTGTCAGCCGTTTATCTTTTCTCCTTCAAGCCTTGAAGCCGACCGAACGAAGATGGGCACGTCAACGAACATGCAATTACCGAACCTCCAACAGATCCCAGTTTCTGCTGGACTTGATGTTATATTCGACGCATACCAGGCGGATGGTTGTGTGGTCATCAAAGGATTTCTCAGCCACACCGAGGTCGAAAAGATTAATCGTGAAGTCCAACCCGCGTTAGATGGCTTACAACTTGGAAAGCCTGGCTGCGCATTGGAGGATTTCCTGGGGCGCCACACCAAGCGCCTTCCGGTCACCCCACATAGCCAGACATTCCGTGATGGGCCTCTGGAGAACGATTTGGTCCACGGATTGAGTGAAAGGGTCTTCGTCAAAGAACCCGGGGACGGATACCACATAAACTGCGCCCAGATTATTGACCTCAGTCCTGGAAGTAAGGCGCAGCCTCTCCATCGGGACCAGGACCTATGGCCATTTTGGAAATACGTTCCACCGTCCGGCCCAGAGGCATGTATCAACTTTCTCTGTGCCCTGACTCCTTTCACCGAGGTCAATGGCGCCACCCGGGTGGCCCCGAGAACTCACCTGGACCCTTACCAGGGGGCTATCAGTACTACAGAGACCGTTCCGGTGGAAATGAACCCTGGGGATGCCCTCTTCTTTTCTGGAAAGCTTGTCCATGGCGGAGGGGAGAATATGACAGATGGCCTCCGTCGTGGCCTCGCTATGCACATCGCACGCAGCGGACTTCTGACCGAAGAAGCCCACGCATTGACGATTCCTCGTGCGATTGCCGAAACGATGTCATATAGGGCTCAAGCAATGTTTGGCTTCCGCAGCACCTGGCCTATTGACCATGGTCCAGTGTCTACCTTCTGGGCAAACAATTTCGAGGAGATTGGAGAGCATCTGGGCTTGAAAAAGAAGCAGCCAATTGTCGCTTGAAGAAGGTGCAATAAGTCGTCGACGGATGCAGCTTTTTGAACTGAATATTGTTTTCTTCTGATAAAAAATTCAATTCTATAAGCGAAACACTTCCCCTGTCTGACCGTAGCGCATAACTGTAACTAAAGTCTAGCTGATGATAGATTTGATTTGTACCCAAATTTAATGGGACCGAATTTCCTTTTTAAAAGTAGGAAGGTCTACCGTGGAAAAGAAAAAGCCGAAATGGGTAAGGCAAAAATAGTTGTTTCTAGCAGCATGGATTAATAAAGCTCGAACGAAGGGAATTGCCGAAATTCTTGAGCTGTGTCATTTTTAAGCGCTAGTGGAGGATGGTGCTGATGGCTTGCCAAGAGATAATAAGCATTCAGCCACTACACCCCAACTTGAATTGCTGGTATAATGTCGAAATAGTGATAAGGTACGCACAAAGATAGGGATTAATGAGGAAATATATGACACGGGGTACAATCAATGGACAAGGAGTTCAGGGGACCGCAACATCCTGTCGCCGGCGAACCAAAAGCGTAGCTTCAGGGTCCGTATTTACTCTGAAGCCATCTTTGACGAGCTTAATTCCTTCCGAGCCAGACGGCTTAATATCATATTCCATCACGATGTGAACAAGTAAGATCTTCACAAGAGCGACGGCAAAAAATCGCCCGGGACAGGATTGGGAACCATAGCCGAAGCCAAGATGGGAGGCACTTGGCGAGACGAATTGACTGCTATGAGCGTAACCTGGAGTGTTCCGCAAATTTAGGAAGCGAAACGCATCGAATTGCGTCGGGTTCAGATAGATAGTAGGATCACACATAAAGCCAGTGAAAACCCCCACACCGGAGCCCTTTGGGATTCGAGTGCCATCCGAGAGTCTCACAGTGTCCAAGGCAATTCGTCGCAGCAGCACTACCTCCGTACGATTAGCCACTTGTCATGAAAAAAGAAGAAAAAACCTACCGAACTCGAATGGCTTCAATCGTTGTGATTCTTTCAAGACACTATCCATGAGTCGGAGTCGGTGAAGGTCTTGGGTCCGCCAGCCATTCTGACGGGGCAGTACTGTCAGTACCTCCAGACGCATCGCCTCCACCACCTCGGCTCGTTCACTCAGGTCGGAGAGCATCTGGGTCAGAAGGTCCGCCATGGTTTCAGTCCCGAGTAGAAACAGTACCAGAAGGCTCATAGTGGCATCATAAGGTCTTCCCATAGCACTACGTTCCATCCATTCAAGGCCATCATTGTATTGCAATTGAGGGCTGGAGTCAGGTTTCAAATGTCTCGCCCTCCTTTCTGCAATGATTGGTTCGGTGATTCTCCGAACTTGTCGGGCTTGAGCGCGTAGTCGCCGACAAGATGGGAGAAACCAATGCACCAGAGGCCTCAGCGCAGGGGGCCACTTTCGCAACTCATTCACGGCAATTCCCCCGGCCTCCAGGCATGTAGTGACTGTTTCTAACCATTCTGCCCGCGAGCTAAGCTCCGGCCCGCAGACGACAGACGCCACCACGCGTTGGATTATGAAATCAATGGAGGACTTTAAGGTGACCTTGTGCCATCCTAGGTCCAAACTGTCAATATCTCATGTCCTCTGGCAAAACATTTTTATCATCAAGTTTCCTTACCATCATGGTCCTGCCAAGCCTTCTGTAATAGCGAGCCAACGTCTTCGGACATCCGCGGGGAAAGATCACCTAGGAGAGATCCGTCAGCTTTGAGAATTTCCATGTAGTGTAAGATAGCTCTTCTTACCTATAATTCGTGAGAGGCCGGACTTGATCGCATCCTGAAGAATCCCATCTCCTGTAGTACCGGGGCGAAAGACTTCGAAGCCTGCGTAACGAGTACTGAATTCCTACAAATTTCCATTCATAAACGCCCAAAAATCATCGGGGTGTTGGCATACATACGTGATTATTCCATGCAGCAAGGCTCAGGCGCCTGTCATTGCGGATTTCATCAATATACTCTGGGGGCAGAATAATGATTGGTCCAGCATAGGTATTCAAAGTGAAGATTCTGTACTCCTGGAAGAAGTAAAAATATCAAAATCAGTGGGAGCTACTACAAAAAACAACTCAGTCAATTGACAGCGTACTTCTTTTGCCTTTTCAATCAAATTCGGGTACCCATCAGGGGACAATCGCGCGTCCACCGTAGGAATTGCTTTAGGCCCGATGTCACACCGGAGGATATACAGGATCACGACTGTCACAACCAAGACTCCGAGTATTTGTAGGATGTGGAAGTGATCTCCGTCATAGAAGCTGTCTCCTCCAATGGCCCTGCGGTACATAGTCATTGTGACCAGAGGATCAGTAAATCTGCGAAAGACAAAGCGTAGGAGAAAGGGCGGGTTGTAAAGTTTAGACAAGTTCTTTACTGAAAAACTATGCCGACGTTGGGCTCACGTATGCATGTACGATTGGTATTATTACGAGCCGGAGTTTCTCGGGGGCTGTAGCGCATGCCGCAGGTGGGAATGACTACTCGCTTACCTGAACCCTGCTTAATGATTATCGTGATGTGTAATGAGCTGTACCTATGATACGTAGTATTATGATTTGCAGTTATGGACATGCTATTTTGGGAGGCTATCGGTCTGCTATTGGATAGACTTGAAACTTAGACTTACCATCATTTTCACCAGGCAATCATCGTTCGAGAGACAGGAAATGAAGATGAAATCACTGCAGAGGTGCCTTGCAATAAGAAGGGCTTGAAGTGATAAACTTAAACTGTTTTAGTGGAGAGATAACATGAAATTACAAGGCCTATTTGTGTACACAAGCACGAAGTCCGGTCCTTCAACCAGAAGGCTATCGAAAATGCCAGGCCAAGGCATCCAGGAAGGTCTGAAATCGGGCCAACACGCTCATCCCTTGCTTGCAGAGTCCTTCAACATCCCAATTTTCGCTGCCGACACCTGATCTGACAACGAAAAGGTCATCTGGATCCCACTGTCGCTTAATGCGGAGCAACTGACCGTAGTTTTTCCCCCAGTATACTTGCGGGGCATCTTTCTGGTTGGGATCAGGGAGATTAAGATATGATGCTCGAATGCTGGGGTCCAAAGCATACAATATGGGCATCTGGACCTGGGTCAAGTCATCCATCGCCGTAATCTTGCCTTCCACGGATTTATACGGCAAATACCGAACAAAGTTGAACAGCTGGGAGGAAGATCGCCATGCCGGATGCATAGAGGTATCAATAAGCCCTTGAGAGTCTGTTACTCGTCCTCCCAGGTTACTGGTAAAGATCGTATCACCAATAGCCATCGGAAATTGAGAGAGTCGGTCGGCTATACGCTGGGGTCCCCGCGATGAATTGAATAAGGTATTGGACACGATAACAGACCCCATCAAGATACCGTAGTCATCTGGATAGATGTCTCCTCTATGCCGGAGGGCCGATGTCAACTTAGAAACAGATCTTGAGAGGAATGTGGGGTGTAGTCCACTGCGCTCAAGAGCAACCCTTAGGACATTCATGCGGTTGCTGGAAATGTCGGTCGTGTTCAAATTATACACCTCGAGACTCACCTCCATGGAGCCCCTCTCCGCTAAATGCTTTAACTCAAACTGTCCCACGATGCCCTCTCTGTTCAGATCCCGGAGTGCTTCCAACTGTGTCGTAGCCCCAAGTCGCCAGAACTCAACATCCGACCGAGCCCCCCGTACGGAGAGCTTCTCAATGAATGCGGGGGGGATTGGGAAACGCTCTGACTGTTACACGAGTTATTACCCCGAAAGTAGATCCTCCACCACCCCTTAATGCCCAAAAAAGTTCCGGATTCTTGAATCTGTTTGCCACGACGAGCTTTCCCTGCAGAACATCTCGATGAGTCTATGCAAAAGATAACGGAAAGTTCCGAAGGGAGGAATGTAGACTTGCCTTCGCTGTTACCATCTCAAATCCGAGGACATTGTCCACGGCTAGTCCCCTTGTATGACTGAGTATACTGGAGACTCCTCCTCCCAAAATGAATCCCCCGGCAGCCCCGACCGTAGGACACTCTCCCCCAACCACGATAAAACCGTCGCGATCCCCTCGGGCATAGAGTTCTCCCTGCAGGACACCAGCACCAATTGTTACCGAGCTATCTGTCCCTGGAAACTTCCTGAATGGTACGTGATGCCTTTCAGTCGATGGGTGTGAATCTGGAATGAATCCGGCCCGCTCGATCGGCCCGCGCCATCGTGGCCAGTGTTGCGAACCACCAGATGCAGATTATGTGCTCGAGCAAAACGAACAGCTTCTTGAATTTGAGCGGAGGACTCAACGAGTGCCGAATAAACGGGGATTCGGCCTTGGTGACAATGTGGAAAGGATTGAAATGTCGAATTGATCAGTGGGCATGTCTCGTTGGCCCCAAAACCACTCTCCCAGACCCAGTCCTGCAAGGCACCTAGTCGGCCCTTGTCAACAACCAAGCTCCCCATAGTCGTATTCAAATTTTAATGGCCTACTGACCTGGCTCAGAGGCCCTCCATCCGCTATCGCGTGCAGAACTTTGGAGGTCATAGCATTCCTCCTGGTTGAATACGGGTTCGTAGCACACATGCGCTATTGGCCTTAAACGAACCAGATTCCCGGAGATGGAGCGATTCAATGCATCCCATTGTTCCTCCCCCGGCCAGCAGGCATTCCCTGGTCGGCATCGACAGCGGGCAGAGAATTGAAAACCAGTCAGAGCCAGCCAGCCCAAGAGAACTCCTACGAGGACGCTGCATAAGTATCTCTTTTGAAAGTGTCCGTCCATAGCCTAATCGTCGTAGTGGAATGTATCCGCGGGCAGAGAGTTGAAAAGGTATAAAGAGGGGTTTGGGGGGAGTGTCACCATCGAGAAAGTAGACCACTATTCCTAGCTGAGAGTTTCTGAATGTCGGGGAGCCAGCAATGCAGATCCATGATACTAGTACGGACAATGGCTAACTGACCTGCAAGGCCATCGTCACCAGCATTTTGGGCGGCAGAAAGCCAGCTGTACTCCTCATGCTCAAGTTACCGTAAGTTTACATATCATGTTACATTTCTGTTTCACCGGTGGAAAAGAACGGTGGCACCATTGTTACGAATATGGAGGATGTCTACGAGATCTGGAGGATGGCCTTTATTATTAGTAGGGATCATGATGCTTTATAATAATGTGGGCCCTTGAGGCAAAAGATTCAGTATATGTACATGGGTAATTGCTAGGCGATGAGGGGATTCACGTCCACCCGCTGGGCAGTCTCACAAAAACCTGGCCTTCCCTCTCGTTCCAAGGTTCCACGCCCGGTCAATACCTAATCGTTCACAATGGGGATCAAGACTCTCAGAAAAGTGTGTTTTAGCCCCACTCACCACCAATTAATATATATCTCTGCATTAGGGCACATTGTCATTTATAAGCAAAATACTTAACTATCATGAACAACCTTTAGATAATCTTTGATAATTAAATTCAAGAACATCCTGAAATGATAAATTTTGAAACATCCTAGGATAGCCCTCGAATTACATCAGTTCATATAGTACGGAGTAGATCAGATTGAATTTGAAAATCCGATTGTTAAGATGAGGGGTGAGGCGGTTTGTCGACAGTGTTGTGCACAGGGGGTGTAGTCATGATACCATGTCTGGGGCTTGGGTTCGCAGCCAAAAATTCCGAAGAAAATGGATAGTCCAAATATCCCTCTCTCGTCAGCGAGGTGTAGAAGGTGGCGCGGTCGTATTTGGCTATGTCGATGCCTGCCTTGATGCGGAATGGGAGGTCTGGCGTGGAGATAAAATACCGGCCGAAAGCGACGGCGACGTTGTCCTGATCGTGGTAGAGATGGTCGAGGAGTTCTTGCGCCGTTTCAGCGTTATAGCCGCCCGCCAAGAGCAAAGGCTTACTGTCGCCCCATACCCGCGCGAACACCTGATGATCAGGATCCGGAGAGTTGGTGTCATCTTCCAACCATCGCGAGTTGGCCAGATGCAGATATGCAATGTCCAGGTTCCGCAAACGCCCGATCAAATCCTCAAACTGGGCCACCAGGTCCTCCATGGTGCCCATCCCGAGATACTGACTCCAAGGGGAGAGCTTGATGCCCACTCGATGTGCCCCTACTGCCTCAACTACGGCTTTGGTCACTTCGATGGCGAATCGGGAACGTCGTTCAACATTGCCACCCCACCTATCCGTTCGCCAATTGCTTGACTGCTGGGTAAACTGATCGATCAGATACCCATTAGCGCCGTGGATCTCAACCCCGTCAAACCCAGCCTCCTCAATGGCCCGGCACGCCGCCTCCGCAAACTGCTTGATGTACTGCTGGATTTCATCCTCAGTCAAGGCGCGTGGGATCGGCGATGACTCGTTAACAGCGATCGCGCTGCTAGAGACGAAGTCGATACCATTGTTCGCCACAACCTCAGGCTCGGCGCCACGGCCCGTGGCCCAGATCTGGAGGAAAACAAAGGATTCCTGTGCATGGATGCGCTCAACGATGGCTCGCCAGGCTTCCACCTGTGCAGTCGTCCAGATGCCTGGGACGTCCGCGGATCCGGTTGCTTCTGGGGAAATATCTGTGGCTTCGGTAATGATTAGGGTCCCCGGAACAGAGGCTCGTTGGCCATAGTATTCCTTCACAAATGGCAGCGGCACCCCAGCGGGATCGGCTCGGAATCTTGTCGTCGGGGCCATAATTATTCTATGTTGGAGCTTACAGTCTCCCACAGTGAGGGTGCAAAAGAGTTTCGAGGTCTGCATCTTGCTCTTCAGGGAAAATAAAAGCACATCCAAGCGGAGTAGAATGCATAGTGGTAAGAGTAGGTGCGGAGATCACGTCTCCTTGTTTTTATAGGTGTTATTATACTGTGAGTAGTATGATACATAGTCACCTCCCCCAAGAACAATCTGGGATGAGGCCAGATTGACAGATTGCATCGTGGGTTAAATTACGTTCATGCTCATTACTATAATACAAAATTTGTCAGTATCTTTATTTCCACGAAAAGGCATTCTGCACAATAATACAGTATTGTTGGCTGGGGCCAGATTACCCTTGCGGCCGACTACTTCGGGAACACGAAGCCAGCCTAGATTAATACAGAATCCTGTTTCTGAATTCCTCTTATCTCACACTTGGAACCGGGCACGGCTCATTCATTTGGTCCAATTTGGCCAAAATCAAGCCTTAATGAAATTCTGCTTCATCTTGGTAATTCTAATTTTGGAAAAAAATAACTCTATTTATTGAAGAGGGGAACGTAGTGATGTGTAATCAAAATACACGTGTAGAGCCAACTAGACGGGTGCCAACAACAACAACCAACAATCCACGGACTGGGCGCTAGGAGACCCCCCCTAGGGGTGCTGTCAGAGAGGTGTAGGAGTGTGTATTCTTAAATAGTCCACTGCGCCGCTATAGGCACGGTAACATACATGAAGGCATACCGCGAGTAACAAGTCACGCGCGCCTAGTAGTGGGAAGACCATACTTCCCCACTACATTATGTGAAGCTTGGTTTATACTCATTATAAGAAAAATAAAAGAAAAATCTCGATTCGAAAAGTGAAGTTTTGGTGGTTTTTATAGTGACAACCTCGAAATGGTAGTAGAGCATAGGTAACTAGATGTATATCTCAAAAAGATGGTTTTGCGAAGGGCTACAGCCGAAATTATTCAATTGAGTGATGCCAACATGCATTTTATATAAAGCTTGTAGAAGTATCACAAGAAGACAAATTTGACAAATGTAATTCCTTATGAATATTTTAATAGCTTTCAAACGGCTGCGAATGGACAGTTGCACCATTCCAATATCTCGCAATAGGACGCACGCGCTTATTTTAGGGCCTACAGTTTCTGTGATCCTAACGGTCCTCGCTCGGAGATGATCCTCTCTGTCGCCACCCGGACGCGATCGGAGAGCTCAGGCAGAACCAGATAGAAGCTGTCGTAAACTCGTTCCCGGATTTCCTTTCTAGTTTGCGCGACTGAATCCGCCAGGCTCTGGATCATTCGATCTTGAAACGCTTGAGTGCGGAGTTCGGGGAGAATTAAGTAAAACTCTCGGGGGAACTTGTAGTCATCTGTATTGGACTGTGCCCAGGGCTGCGATGACACCTGTGACACCCAATCATTGAACTGGAGATCTGGCTCCGACAACTGCGCATGGCCCCTTGTCGGTGGAATGTCGCCAGGCACGTAACCAGGTAGGGACCCATAATTGCTGTCGAATGTACCGAGCCCATCTCGCATAATAGGATTGAAAGTGTTTTTGGATCGGTTGATGGGGATATTCTGGTGATTGGCCCCAAGGCGATAGCGCTGGGCGTCCGGGTAGGCGAACATGCGCGCTTGGAGAATGGGGTCCTCAGAGGGCTGGACACCTGGAACCATGTTGGATGGCGAGAAAGCCAGCTGTTCGATCTCGGCAAAGTAGTTCTCTGGCGTTCGATTTAGAGTGAGCTTTCCAAAAGGCCTGGCAGGGAACTTCTGCAGGTCCTTAGGGTATGTCCCCAAATTCCAATGCTTCGTCGGGTCGAGGATGTTGAAGCCCACGTGGGGTGCGTCCTTCGGGTCAATAACTTGGATGTTCGCCGTCCAGGTCGGGTAATTCCCGCTCTTAATGGCCTCGTAGAGGTCTCTGGTGGCGGCGTCGGGATCTAGGTCGCGGTGATTCGGCATTCCGCTCCCCTCAAAAAAGGTTGGCCCCGTATCGGACGCCAGAAACACGTGGACATACTTAAAGCTCCCATCCGGCATGATCCATTTGTATGCATGGCCCACATAGCCGCTCATCCCTCGCCAATTGAACATAGTGCCAAAGTCACTAAATTGGACCAGCACCATATGCAGAGACTCATGGTTGGACGTCACCCAATCCCAATATGTATTGGGGTTGACAAGGTGGGTTCGTGGATCACGTCGTTGGGCGTGCATCAAGCCGGGGAACTTGATGGGATCCCGGATGAAGAACAACGGGAAGTTCAGGCATACCCAGTCCCAGTTACCTTGCACAGTGAAAAACTTGACGGCCATTCCCTTGAAATCCCGCATCATCTCGGCGGAGCCACTTTCCATGGTGGTCGTGGAAAAGCGCGTGATACAGGGGGTCTTCTTGCCGACCCCCAGAAGCATATCGATATTACAGACATCAGAAATGTCATCCGTAACCTACAACATCAGCTCTGAGCTGCCTCACCAGCTTGATGGCATAGTCCATACCTCAAACACTCCATATGCCCCAGCCCCCTTAGCATGAACGCTGCGCTCCGGTATCTTTTCTCGGTTAAACCTTGACAGCATGTCAATCAAGTAGTGATCTTTGATTAAAAGATCTTTCCCGTTGGCTGGATTGCTCTCCCCCCTCAGGACTGGGCACCCGTTGGAAGTCGTATAAGGGAGACTCCGTTGCGCGACATCCTGGGGCATCTTCGCTGCGTCATCAGGCATCCTGAACGTGAGTCAGATAATCGTAGTCTAATCTGTAAGTCATCTTCAAACAAATGTACCTGTTTATATTGGACTGAGTCTGAAATTTTGATGTTGTGACTGCTTGTAACCAGAAACTACAGTGTAGTAGATGAGAAATTCGGTTTCCTATCTATGGGGTATCTGAACCCCTTGCTTCGGTACTTCCACCCAATTAGGCGCCTGTCTGCATCACTCCCTGATTGATGCATTTAAATGTCATTCCTTTAGATACGCTGATCAAGAGGGGCAGGTCATATGCAATTCTTCTCAATTACCTGCCCTTATAATGAAACTCCATACAGTCGTCCTTTTGCGGCATAGATCGGGTAAAGAACCGTCACGAATCATCAAAATACAGTCGGATGGATGGATGGATGGTTTCATTTACGCCGACCCCTCGTAAAAGCGATACGTAGCCTGCCACAATTATGTATCAATGTAAGTACAAGTATCGTAAACTACTGGTCAAACGAATTTGGAGCTTTTTTGGGGCCTGCCGTGGCCTCGTAGCCGTTGATTTAAGTGGCTGACCTCATGGAGCGCGACTCCCATGATACGTACATAAATGCTCCTATACAGTAAGATGGGAAATACGGCTATTGAAATCTTGCAGATTTCGCGAGAAAGAAAACTTTGCGGACAAGAGTCTTATCCAATTCGTCCATTCTATTTGAGTAGCCTAAATTGGGAGATTTCTTAATGTATCGTCTCCATCGTACTTGTGTAGCCTCTAATATGGGGAGATGTGACCTGCCTTCCACCCTTGCATGTGCAACCTATCCACTGCCTTAGAATATAGACTAGCACTGCCTTAGCATATAGACTAGCACTGCCTGAGCATATAGGCTAGCACTGCCTGAGCATATAGACTAGCACTGCCTACCAAAATATTGGAAAAGACTTCATGAGTGGCCACTGTATAATTTGTAACCGGGCATACTGCGGCATTGTAAGCAGTACATGGCATTGTGCCATTTTTTCAATCAACAATTTGACAAATCAATGGTCGATCATTTGTCTCATTCCCTAAGGATTTACGTAGACATCTAGCGTTAAAGATGCCAGTCCTTGCGGTATTGTTCGTACCTAATTCCACGTACCTGTCTGTAGACATGAAGAAAATTTTTGGTATTAATGGAGGTTTAGTATTGTAAGACATCTGCAAATTGTGTCATTGTAACTTAGCCAAGAGTCTCTTAGTTCATGCTCGGGCGTATGCAAATTTGTGTGTAAATAAACATAACCAACGCAGAAGACAAGGTATCTATGATTCGTTCATGTGATTGGGCCTAATGATGTTCCAACAAAATGCTATCACAGCCTAGTATCAGCATATCTTATTGCCATATTTTCTTGGGTGCCGAGCCTATATGGAGACGAAAAAGCCGCGTCAGGTCACTTGGTTCACGGCGAATTGTTGAGACTGTTGGCCAGTAGCATCTGACTCTTCAACTCCCATCGGACAGTAGCTATTAAGTAGGGAACAACAACCCTATGGCTCTTCCCATATGTCGTACTTCAAGGGAATGTACCCAGTACTGCGGAAAGTTGCCCCAATTACGTGCAGCATATGGGTGCAGTTTTCCTTTTATTTTCTTATTCTTTTTTTTGTTTTCCGTTTTTCTTTTTGTATTTATTTTTCGTTTACGGTAGAAATTATAATATATGCAGCAATGGGAGTACATTTTTGCTAGGAATTGAAAGCAACGATATTCTGCTCAAGATGTCAACAGCAATTTCCTCCAAGCACCACGTCGTTGTTCTTGGGTAAGCAATCGACACTCCATGAAGGACATAGTATATTGAATATTGATTAGCCTTCCTGACTTATGTTCTCTTCAAGTGCAGGAGTTATTGGCCTGCAAACGGCCTTGACTATTCTATCTCATGATATTCGGGTAACTCTATTGTCAGTCTCATGGCCGGGATGTCTCTCAGATCCGTACTATACCTCGATGTTTTCAGGTGCCCAGTGGCGCTCCAATCCTGATATGAATGATCGCCGCCAGCAGTCCTGGGACCGCACGACATTGCTTCACTGGCGTGACCTCCTGGCTTGTCACGCACCCAGTGAGCTCGGTCTCGAGCTACATCCCGCTGTTTTTTTCTGGGATTCACCTGTACCCGTGTATCGCCTGGAGAAATCACACTGGTGGATAACGGATCCAGACTTGATGCCAGTGAGAGACCTGGGACCGGATGATTGTGCCGCACCAGGAAATGCAGATGGAGCTGGCTTTGCCTACCAAACAATTACAGTCAACCCGGTGGTATACTGTACGTGGTTGCTACGCCAATGTGAGAGCGCCCCGGAGGGTCAATTCGAAACCCGTGTGCTGCATGTAAAAAGCTTCTCACAGGTCTTCGACGAAGTTCCCGGTACCAAAGCTGTCGTGAACTGTACAGGACTCGGGGCTGGGAAGCTTGCGGATGATGAGGCATGCTTCCCAACGCTAGGGCAGACAGTGCTGGTGAAAGGGAAAGCTCACAGAGTAGTAACCCGGAGGAACGAACAGGAAGAGCAACCATGGGAGGCACTAGTGATTCCGCGGCCGGGGGAGGAGATAACAGTGCTTGGGGGGGTGCAAGGTGAAGGGGGATTGGTGCATCCAGCCGAGTGATCGCATGACTGCGACGATATTAGAGCGATGTAAGTCTCTCGCACCGGAACTGTTGAACGAGGACGGCACCTTTGAAGTGCAGGATGTACGAGTTGGTCTTAGGCCATCGCGAAAAGGAGGCCCAAGGGTTAGCATAGAGCCTCTAGAGGGTGGAAGGTACATAGTACACAATTACGGACATAATAGCGCTGGCTTCGAAGGGTCAGTAGGGGCAGCGGAGGAGGCTACAAGCTTATTACTAGGCCTTCTCGATTGAGAAAAGTTTGACCCAGAGGAGTCTATTAACATTGTGTTTGGCTGGGAATTATACAGTTTGATTGCCAATTGAAGCAATACCATTCGTGTTCTTTTAATTCACGCCGATACAAATAACTGATTAGCTAGAGTCTGAAAACCACCTCTGACGCTGAATGCTTTGATACCCTCCTGGCGCAAGATGCTACAGGAAAGACGGGACGTTTCTCCATCATAACACAGTACCAGGACAGTATCATGCTTACAGAAGTGGCCATTAGACCTTAGTTCAGATGTCAATTTCACCAGGCTCTTAAATTGCGCTTCCAGGACTGGTACACTGTCGAAAGGGCTTTCTGTGTCTGGTTCCAATGATGAAATGGCCTTACTCAGCGAGCCGGAGATATGTGAGCGTGAGAAATCCTCGCTGCGTCTCAGATCCAGGATCTTGAAGGAGGTAGACAAGCTTCCGCATCCGTGGGAATTTTGCAAAGCATGGGATGCCACCGGCATAGTGCAAAGCTTGAACATCGTCCCTCTGTCAAGCCTAGCAGCCTCAGTCGGGGTTAGCTCCCATCGAGGATCGTACTGGCCTTGGTCTGTGTCCCTTAGGCTCGCGTTCGTGATGGCGTGAAAGTCGTCTGCACCAAGCTTCTTGAAGTAGGTGTCCATATATTGGTAGGGTAGGTCGCAGCATAAAAACACACACGCAACCTCCCCTGTCTCTGACTCCCGATAATGATTCAGTCGTCCGCTATCCTTTTGTTTCTGTATGAATTCAAGTAGACCCTTGAGGGCCATTCCGGACGATGGGCCACAAATAAGCCCTTCTCGGGACAGGACCATAGATAAACGGTATGCCTGGATCGATTCTATCTCCATGATTGAATCTGTTACATCCTTCCATCCGAATGCTATATTGTCGAGGAGATGATACGGTCGCGGGCCAGGAATTGCATCCGAGGCTTTGTTGCAGACACTAGAACCTATCATCAACAGTGTTCGAGTTTTCTTAAAACATCAATCAAAAGACATACCCTACAACAGTGACAGATGGTTTTTCCTGTTTAAGAAATGTTCCAACTCCAGTAACACAGCCTGATGAAGTGAATTGTGAGCTCCAAATTAAAACAACGGTGCTGGTGTCTTACCTGCACTACCCATACCAGTACAGAAAATATTGATCTCTGGAAGCTGTTTCAATAGCTGTGGACCTGTCCATCTCACGTGTGCATCAGGGTTCTCTTAAGCGTCAGCTGAGGCTTGAATATTGAATATTATGAGACCTCATACATTGATATTTTCATATTGCCCGGGATTGAAAATTTCTTCGTTATCCTCAGCCATTTGCCTTAACTTTTGGACTTGACCCCGTGGATCGGATATCTCGGGTTGAGCAGGCCCGCCGTAAAGCACGCTAGCCGGACACTGTTAGCCAGAGAGATCCAAGACCACGCAGAGGAAACCGTCATTATCCTTACACCTTCAAACCGAAGAACTGCAGTGTCCGCAAGCGAGATTCATCTGTCTTGTTGCTCACATACGCATATACATCTGAGCTGCTACCAAGAACCCTAGAAATGAGGGCCAAAGAAGTAACTGTAGAGCCTGAACTTGGCTCAACAATTGTCTTGGTCAGTGGCCCAGCCTTCTCCAGCATGTTCAACGCTTTGATAGATCATCAGCATCTCTTATATCATCCCCAATAGTTATTTATGTCAGAACGAACCCGGAAGAGCTTTCACGTTTTGGCACGGAAGGGCTGTCATAAGCTTTGCATATATGCGCACACCATCATTTTGGAAAGGATTGAGGTTATTAGGTAGCTCAACGAGTGGGAGTGGTGGCTGATACTCTGGGTCGAAGAACTTCTTCATGGAGTCCTGGCCTTTATAGACGTTAAGGGTACTGTGTCCCGCCATTGGTCATGTATTCCTTGCTCGATACTATTAGCAGTAGTTCGAAAAATATTCAGTTTTCCTCTTTCTTGAAGATCAAGGGCGAGGCAAGTCTGTGTTTCTTACAAAGAGCGGCTCAACATTAGTTGCTATCCATAGATATATATACCTTAACTCAGTCTGGAAAACAAGCCCTGTGGCAATAAGCAGAAACGTAAAATACATGTATCTTGTACCGATGAATAACAAAATTTATCATCGAATGATACATATGTATGCTGCCCATTGATTTCTTATTTGGTGGTGTGAAATGAACCTGATGCAGGAGCCCCTTGGAAGGTTGACCACTCTTTGTAATACACTCTGATGTTTCAATAACCTAGGTAGGTGGGCCTTGGCCATTCTTTCAAATGTTGCCTACCTTGCATTTTCCTAAAAGAGTCATCTTCTTGGCTAGAAGCGCACAGGTCTCGAAAATTACAGTAAATACTAAAAGGTCCACGTTATGAAACTATTATTCGGTAAAATGGACTAAGTCCAGGCTATTGAGCCAATCGCTCGAATGTAAACTCACACCTTCTGACAAGGATAGTATCAGGGCATAGAAGCCCCCACGTTGATATCAGCACCATGCACTGGTCGCGAGTCCTCACTCAATAGCCACACAATAGTCCGCGCCACGTCATCCGGCTGCAAAAGTGAGAATCCTTCGTCCATGTACAAATCTTTGACCTCATCTATTGTCTTCGCTTTTGGATTGAACTGTGGCAACAATGCAGTCACAGTGATCCCTGGGGAGCCGGAATGTCAGGCCTGGCTCACAGCTCATATGTATCAGGTGATTGAAAGGTTTCACTTACCTGGAGACACGTTATTTACTCGGATGCCGGATGGAAATGCGTCCTTGGCCACACATTTGGTGAAGTAAGAGCAGGCGCCTTTGGAAGTTCCATACGCATAAACATCTGGTTCATGATACATGCCCGCAATGCTTCCCACATTCACAATGCTACGATCTATCGAACTTCCACGCAGGTCGTTCATCGCCCGCACTTCAGCCCTGGTCGCGTAGAATATACCATCGAGGTTGGTACGCATGATCTTATGCCATTCTTCATTCTTCTCCAGTAAGATGGTCGGAGTTTCTCGCATGCCTCCACCCTGTGCGATGCCCGCAATATTAGCGGCTCCGTGGAGGTTACCAAAAGTGACGACGACGCTTTGAATCCATCTGTCTACTTCCGCTGAAGATGTGACATCGAGAATGGTGCAACATAGTCTAGTTGAGGGGTTTATTCTTCGGATGTCCTCTTCTAGGCAGCCAAAATGCTGGTTTGAGATATCACCCACGCATATACCGGCCGCTCCTCGACGAGCAAGTAGACTAGCAGTCGCTGCACCAATGCCAGATGCTCCACCAGTGATAGCGAAGACCCTCGACGCCACTGACGCCATTTTTTAGACAATAGTAGCTCGGGGACAGGGGAAGAGATTCAAGGTTCGAATACCGATAATATCGTGTGTAGAAAGTCTCGATCGTGGTGACCAAGCGTGTCCAAACCTTGGAATATTGACGAAAGATGTTGGAATCACAAGCTATAGACATGGAGCGGGCCTTGGTCGACGACCATTGTTACAACTCAAAACAATCGAAATCAATCGCTCATCATCGAACATCATTAGCTCTAGAGAACTACTGCGTCTCGTAAATAGTCCCCATATCCCATATTACCCTTACAGTTATACAATGTGATATAGAGTTCATATGTGACTATCGTATATGTATGTCAACTGATCTCCTGTATTGGGACCCAGACTGAGCGTGCATGTAAAATTATCAGCGTTTTGTGGCTTCCTCGCAGCATAGGGCAGCGAACTCCCCATCCCCAGCCGTTTCGTTGGAAAGTTCGCCGCGTCATCCAGCGGTATTCAAATTTGAAAATTATGAATACTAACCGTGAGGCTAATTTTAATCAGACCCACTTGTCGTCTGTGGTAGAGCTGAGGTATATAACACAAACGATGCGTAAAAGTACGCGTATAATCAATACCGGTAATTATCAACTTACTAACCACCTAGAAATTCTACTAAGCGTGCTACCTAATGAACGTATTGTGCAGAAAATGAGATAAATAACGCCTTTTACCTCCTAGGGAGCGCTGGCCAGGATTCTTGTTTTCACATAGCTGACTAGACAAAGTTCTCTGGCCCTTGAAGACGGAATTTTCTCATTTTACAACTACCGGAATTCCCACAGACCCTCTGCGACATCCCACGGTACGGCGGACAAAGCCTTCTACAAGATATAAGAAAAAAAAATCACTCAAACCAAGTCGGAGGCAGTGGCACCTAGATTTCGGCACTACACAATATAGATAGCACCTTTGCGCCCAATACCCATTCTGAAGTATCCAAAATACATAAACTTTTTTAAAAATGACTAGGACTTTTCTAATTAGGCTAAAAATGTAGAAACCAGCGGCTGGTTTTTACATTTTTATGTCACAGATTGGATAACGAATTGGGTAATGCCTGAGCCTTGTGGTACCCAACACAAAGGATATGATTCTTTTTAGAAATTTTGCTAAGGCATTAATCTGAGCTTAAGCATGCAAGGGAAGTGGATTTCATTAGTCGCAAATTTGTTTGTGACGGAAGTCTGTGTGATCACTAACTTTGGCTGAAAGGGATCTCATCCCTCAATCTGAATGTCCACTTTGCCTGGTTTGTGAAACAAAGACACCCTGTTTCCCAGAAGATCGTTCAGTTAACTTTAAGGCCTTTCCTCTACTTCGACCCCGTTAGCAGATATTTTAAACATCGAGAAGCTGTTTGTTCTCGAGATGACTATTTTAGTTCTGTGTGCTAGGGGAAAGACTGGAAGTCGCCTCTGTTCGCTTCTAGAGGCCGCCAATATTTCATTTCTGGCCGCTATGCGCTCACCATCCGTGTCTAGTAACTATCCAAACTGCCATTTTGACTGGATGGACAGCACCACATACGAAAACCCATTCTGCGTCTTTTCTGACCTAGAAATGACAGCTATATCAGCAGTCTATCTTATACATCCTCCATCTACGGATGCTATAGGCTCGCATTTAAACAATTTCATCGATGTTGCACGGTCCAATGGTGTAAAGAGATTTGTCCTTCTGAGCGCCAGCAACATCGAAAAGGGAGGGCCGGCAATGGGCAAAGCACACGAGCATTTGGCCTGTTCCCGGGAGATCGAGTATGTCGTGTTGCGACCAACATGGTTCATGCGTACGTCTCAATCTGCCCTTTGAGTGCTTTACGAGATTACCAACCTACGTCTCGCAGAGAATTTCTCCGAAGGGGAACATCTCCAGTCTATTCGCGATGATAATACTATCATCACGGCAGCTGGAGAGGGCAAAATCCCGTTCGTATCGGTCGAGGATATTGCTCGTGTTGCGTTTCATGCATTGACCGACGAAAAGGTCCACAGTGATGAATATCACATTGGAGGCCCAGAGCTTCTCTCTTACGATCAAGTAAGCGAACTTCAATTCTTTTTCAAGCCTGATATACCTGAACCAATCCCGGGTGGTACAACTCTCAAGCTGACGGTCAAAGATCGCGAGTATCCTCACAAAAGTCCTCGGCCGGAAAATCTCTCACTTAAACCTCGATGGGAGGGAATTTGCCCGGCATCTCACAGCTAAACACGGTTATTCAGCAGATCTGGCAGCTATGATTGCTTATATGGATGCGGCCGTGCAAAAAGGTTCAGAGGAGAGATTGGGTGATACTGTCCAGAAGGTTACAGGGAATTATCCGGAAGGATTCTATGATTTCGCCATGAGACAGAGACAGTGCTGGCTATAATCGGTGATGGGCCGTTTTTCTTAAGCCTTAGGCTGATAGAATGCTATCAATATCTCTATGATATTTCGAATAGGATGTACTGCTTATAAGGGAATGATCAGGAAATGCAGCTCTATTCTCTATCCTCCGTGCTGTAAAATACGGCATTCCCGCTAGATTGCTATTATCGATTCAGAGCCTTTTTTTCCAAGGATATTATTGTTTTGACCTCCACGTCACACTATTGGGTCGCCTCAGTATCTGGTCCAGGGGAACCTATTAAATATGTCTCAAACACAGGAACATAGGCTATTAGCCGTCATCAAAAATAGGCGTTGTACAGATCTATGCTAGTCCCAATACTTATTCAGTCTGTCATTCCCCGAGAACATCTCATTAGGATTCAAGGTAGGTCCACTGACGAGAGCAACACAATGATGACTGCATCATGCGGGACACGGCATGTTACAGGTAAGGGTACCGAATTCTGCCACCAAGGAAGAAGACTTTCATGATGCATTCTGCAGTTTTTTCTTTTTTAGGATGAGTAGCCTTCTGTCACAACAAACTGAGCCTGCAGACGTGATTTTGGTTCTTTTTCGCCCTTGCGCGATAGCTGATTGTTTATGACTCGGAAGATCTTACCTTTTATTTGACCTCAACTCTATGTTGTATACGAATAGCCAACTGGAAAGTTGAATCAATATGAATTTCAATGCTTCGACCTCCCCGGTATACCGGGCCATGAGCTCCTTTCTGGATTTCCCCAATGACGATCAGCGCCTTTGGTGGCAAAGCGTAGCCCCGATGTTCGCAGATATTCTACGAATTACTGGCTATGATATTCATTCACAATACCGGATCTTAGGCATCTGGAAAAGGGATGTGATTCCATTTCTCGGGGTCTACCCGAAGCCATCTCGCAAAAGGTGGCTTAGCATACTTACTCGGTATGGTACGCCTTTTGAGTTGAGTCTCAACTGCTCTCACCGACTAGTGAGATACACATTCGAGCCTATCAACGCTGCCACTGGAACTGCCACCGATCCATTCAACACTCATGCCATCTGGGACAGTTTGCAGACACTTATGCCTTTGCAGCCCAACATCGACTTGCGTTGTCTGAAACATTACAAGGCTCACTGTACGCTCAATGATGAAGAGTCCGCTTTATTAGTCGAAAATGAAATGGCTGGACCGCACATAAAAACCCAGAACAAGCTGGCCCTTGACCTTGAAGCTAGTGGTTCATTGGTAAAGGTTTATATTTATCCGTCTTTAAAGTCAGTCGCAACGGGGCGATCAATGGAAGATCTGGTTTTTGGATCCATTCATAGTCTTTGCGAGCAGACACCTGGTCTCTCGCATCCTCTAACCATTTTGGAAGACTATGTTCGCTCCCGTTCCAGTGATGGGACTGCGTCCGTGCGGTTGCTATCGTGCGATCTCATTGACCCGACAAAGTCTCGTACAAAGGTTTATCTCTTGGAGCGGATGGTTTCATTGGCCGCCATGGAAGACCTATGGACAATGGGTGGGCGGCGTCAAGATCCTTGTACACTTGCCGGATTATGTCTAATCCGTGAGCTCTGGGACTTGGTGCAGCCTCCCACCGGCCTCCTGTCTTATCCTGAAGGGTACCTCGATCTAGGCACGAGGCCGAACGAACAACTGCCACTGATGGCTAATTATACTCTTCGCCCAGACGACCGTATACCGGAGCCTCAGGTATACTTTACCACGTTCGGAATGAACGATATGTGCGTCGCGAATGGCTTGGTGACCTTCTTTAAGCGTCGGGGTTGGACGGAAATCGCAGAGTCTTACATTAACTGCCTGCGCGCATGCTAGTATGTCCCTCGCATTTCTTGCCGATAAAATGGTATTGATACCTGAATGCAGCCCTCACGAAGATCATGACGCCCTCAACCATGTTCAAGCGTATATCTCATTCTCCTATCGAAAGAAGACACCTTACATGAGTGTGTATCTTCACACTTTTGAAACAGGAGACTGGCCTATTTGTAAGTCCTTCTATCTCCTCTCTCATCTTCCTGCTTTATTCCCCAAGCGAAATACCGCAAAGTGAATTATGCAAAAAGCCCATTTCCAGTCCTGGAATATGCTAAGAGACCTCCAAGCACCCGGCGTGAGCTCCAGACCAATGCACAAGACTTTGTGCCATGAACACGAAATCACGACCTCTACAGCCAGCCAAACGGAAACATCGAAATAATGAGGTTCCAAGCAACATAAATGTGGAGACACTCCCACTCCAAATGAAATCACCCAGCGAGCGCGGTGGTCTGGGGGAAACTTAAATTCAGTATTGAGTACAGTGGCCGACTGGCCGTAAAGCTCAAGTAGGTTTTTTTGGTTTTACTCCGTATTTTTAGGCCGGGAGAAATGTTAAAATTCCGTATTACCAATACAGAGATTCATAGTTAGTTAGTTAATCAACCAAGTCGGGCTTATATAATCAACGCAGTCACTTTACAAGAATAACTATTGTAGTGGGGTACCCTGTCCCCTACTACACGTACCGTACGGGTATGATATTTCGGTATTGTTCATTCCTTACGTTATGTTATGTTGTGTTATTGTACGTACAAGATTGGCGTTCGATACTAGAAGACAATACACACCCTACGGGTAGTCCGGACACATTGTCTTTGTTGGTTGGTGTTGTTCTTTCAGTCTAGCTGGATCGACCCGTGTATCTCGAATACACTGCCTCACGGTTCCCCTCTTTACTATATAAAAGTGGGGCGAAAACAGGCCCAAAACGTAAAATACCCACTTGAGCTTTATGGCCATGGTCGGCCACCGTAGTTAGTGCTTGCCTGAAGATCTCGCTGCCTCTACTGGCCAATAATCGCTTGTGGCTTCTCTCTGGACCTTGATCCCTTTTCTGTATGCTAGCCCCTTGTATGAACCGGTCTGACTTGTAGTCTACCTGAATGCTTTGACATCGCATGGCTCAAAACTTCTGCTTCGTCCTTGCCGCCAGCCACTTGTCTGTATTCTGGAACCCTGCCCCCCTCCTTGCCAAGCATTCATCGGCGCTTCTGTCGAAGAATATTTCACGGTTCTTGAAAAGAGTATTGTAAATTCAGATGAGGAAACATGTACATAACAGCATTCTGTAAGCCACCTACACTTAAAACGGGGCATGAATTTATACGCCTTTTGTCGCTCATATACTACATTTAAGATGCATGTGCCATCCAGGAGTCATTTTTATTTGAAAATAATTGGAGTAGCGTTGCTGCTTATAATACATTCAGCCAATCATGCTGCTGTAATATACGTAGTGAAGAGAGAGGAACGCACAGTGGCAGCCATTGGTCGGGCCTATGGACGGAAGAGAAACCAACCACCAAACAAAACCAGGAAGCCGGGGGTGATGATGGCTGCAATGTGGGGATTGCAGATAGGGTTATGAATTTCAGGGTGTTCAATACATTTGGATAGATGGATAGATGGATAGATGGATTTTTGGCCCCAGACGGCAGACCCTACATTTCTGTCAAGTCCTGAACAGCATTTCGAGATAAATTTACCTCAAAGGCCAGCAAAGTTAGCAGCTCACTGCAATGCATGCTTCTCAGAATGATGACGAGGCAAACACTCTTCGAACGTCACCCGATAACATCGGCTCAATCACTGGGACTATTTTGCTTATGACTGAGATGTAACCTCATGATCGCCCCTCGTCTACTCCACAGGTCTCTCTTCGCACACAGACTCCCAATCTAGAGAAGCAGAGCCAAAAAAAGACAAGGCACACATTGCCACTCCAACGTAGAAAGTTTGCGTAATTGACCGGCTATATGCCTCAAGCACTATCCTTAGCAACCTCGGCGGCAGAATCTGTCGGAGCCGCGTGGTATACATTTCAACTATCAAGGGATCCACAGACGGAGCATCTACCCGCAGATTGTGCAGTAGGCGGTTGTGAAAGACACTCTGCGCAAGAGGCAAGGAGACGGAGTTGCAGAGCGATTGTATAACCACGAATGTCGTGATGGCCATGGTGGTATCTTCAGGTGTTACTGCCACCTGGGGTACCAGATTTGCACTCTGGGCTCCAATGCCGACGCTGGCACTTAGCACGACCTGATACCCTAGGATTGGGCCCAGTCCCGAGGAGGGGTGCAACGTGCTAAGCAAACCAGCACCAATGGCGGAACCCATAGATGATACAATGAGAAACGGTGTGTAGTATCCCACCAATGTAACGAGCACGCCTCCGACTAGTGATGACACGACATACCCCAGCTCGGTAGGCAGGCTCATGAGGCCCGACTGGGTAGCAGAGATTCCATTGACAACTTGGAACCAGATCGGCAGCTACGGAAGAGAATGGAGGTCAATCCTAACGCAGCCTTCGCGGCAGTGGAGAAACACGAACGTACGTAGTAGGTGAAGATGATCAGCGCCCCGCTGTTATAGAACGCGTACCAGAGAATGCCCAGCATATTTCGATTGCAAATGAGGCGTATCGGCAGCGTGGCTCTATCTTTAGCCCACACCTGAACTCTTAAAAATATCGTCAACAGGACAGCAGACAGAGCGAAGAGAAGAGTAATCCGCCAGTCAGTCCAGGCATATTGTGATCCTCCCCATTGGAGCGCTAGCAGCAACGTGACGATTCCGGGGATGAGGAATACCGATCCTAGCGGGTCCATGGACTGAACCTTCTCCTTTCGACTCAGATGGCTCAATGGGGGCTTATTACTTGACAGCAACAAAAAGATCGAGATGAGGGTGACGAATCCCAAAGGCAGATTGATGTAAAAGCACCATCGCCATGACACATGGTCCGTCAGAACGCCCCCGAGCCTATTGAATCCGTCAGCCCAGTATCAACCCTAAAAGGAAGAGGGGAAGGGCACAAAACTTACAGAGGCCCGCCTACACTCACCACCCCATGAATACACTGTATTAGCCCCAAATATATCGGCCGTATTCGTAAAGGAATGGTATTTGTGACAATGACAATGTCTCCAGCATTCAGACCCCCAGCCCCGATCCCTGCGATGCACCGACCCGTGATCAATACAAGAGAGGATGGGGCGAGCCCGCAGATGAGCGAGCCAATTTCAAAGATGCTTAGACTCCATAAGAACACACATTTGGCGGGGAGTATTGTGTAAAATTTCCCCCACATCATCTGTGTCGCTGTCATGGCAAACATATACGAACTGCTGTACCATCCCACATCCCACAAGGAGTGGAATTCGTCGGTGATTCGGGGGATTGCAGTGGCAAGGATAGTTCCATCCTGAGAGGTTGAGACACCGGGACATTAGCGGAGCTGACCACATTTTGCAGTACAGAATATACGACCCACCAGAGCAACGCAAAAGGTTGTCAGGCAAAGGCTGATGGTCACCAGTAGTGCCTGCCATCTTGACGGATATCGGTTCTCGTTTTCCGGCTTGGCTAAAAGGGAACAAGTCTCTGTTGAACATCCAAGCTCTTGCCCGCTTTTCACAGCCGCTGTTGTATGAGAAAGGCATGCTTCATCGGCATTAGACCCCATAGTAGAATCCAGGGAGATTTGCACTGTGCATCCGAGATGTTTATTGCCGTTGAAGGTGGCTGGCTAGCTTGGAGATGGCTTTTGGGTGAAAATTGAATCGTGTTAGGAAGAAGGGAAAGGGATTAATGAATACTATTGTCAGATGAAATAAAACAAAAAAAGAAAAAGTAAATGTGCAAGGAGTACAGTATTTTTTGATCTTCCTAGATGCGCAACTCGTGCAGCTGAGACGGGTCTGTGTATTATTGCTGGTGGAACCACCAGCTGCCGCTTTAAGAAGTCTTGGCAAGGAAGGGTAATGAGTAGGCCTATACGGAGTACTGTATTGTTAAATGCATTCAACCTTACACTCGACTTCTCCGCCCCCTGATTGGCCCCCTATGCGTGCTCCCGCCGCCCGTGGTGCGTCGTCGGGAGTCGCCCACCCCATCAAAAAATCCACCCCGTGCTAGCCCTGAGATGGCGACCCTGAGATTGTGGCACTGAAGTGCTACATTGTATGAACCAGGCAGGTGTAAAAACAGCATATTATTTTGATGATTAAGCAGTCTTATGACCAGAATTTTGCAAAAGTTGGGTCGAACTGGGTCGAGTTGGGTTTTATTGGGGCCCCAGCATTGGGTCCGGGTTGGGTCCGGGTTAGAGAAGTTCAAGTTGGGTTTTGCGGAAGTCTACATATAAACATTATAGGTAAATTCTTGAGCATTCTTAATCTCTATGCGCTAGAACGAGTATACACTATAGAACTTCGTGTTACGCGGTGCTAACTGGTCACAGTGAGTATCGCTCGTAGGATCTGTATACGTACGTCGAGGCTCGTCCTCAAGTCTCAGTCGCAACCGTACCCGTTACCGTCGTAGGGCTTTACACGGGCTCGGATCTATGGGCTAGACTCTTGTCCAGCTGTGCCAGGTAGTGCGTATAGTCAAGCTATACTTAGGATCTGCGTCAAGGGACGAGAGACTAAGGATACCCCTCCTAGTAGGATGGTTTGTCTAAAGTACTAAGTAAGTAGTGAAGCTAGAACTGGTAAATTCCAAATAAAAATGTGTAATTGAACGCAAAGGACTAAATACATGTGTGGTAATGACTGTCCTTATATATCTAGCCCTTCCTGTTTGTCCATCAGGTCCGTTCTGTTCGAACGGACAGGATCTTGTGTGTCTGATCACTGATGGTTGCATCTCACGTGATAGTTATTCGTAAGTGCCATGTTTTTATGGCGTAGAGTTGGCTTATGTGCTCGGGCGGCTGGTCCTGGCCTGCCGAGCACCGTCTCATACCCTTGTAGGGTAATTTTTATTCGATGGCCATTCACAAGTCAATGGTATTAGTGAAAATTCGAATAGTGCAGGCGCAAGGCATATTTAGCTTATAATACAGGCTGCTACTTCATATATTGTATCAAAACCACGAAACTAGTGAGATAGACATATAGTGCTATTCTCACGATTCTACCCATCCGTCAAAGTTGCCAAAAATTGATTATATATTTATGTAACTACAAACTGTTTGTTCACTCTATATCCCCCCCCTGTGTAAGCCAAAAGCCATAAATAAATCAAACCTCCTCTCAAGCCTTATTATAGTGACAGCAGATGACACGAAAAAAAAGGATTGCGATTGGAGGCATCACTAGCAAGTATGTATTAGCAGTTATTAAGCTAGCTTAAGCTTCTAAGGAGAATTGGAAGAATGAGTCTATTCATCCGCTAAAAGCTTGAAAAGCATCAATATAATCTTATTATAGCCTCGTAAGCGAGTAGCTTCGAGTGCATTTCCGTGATTCCTACCCTAGGCGTTAAAATCAGCTCGCTTCTTGAGTAGTATATATACCATCTTATCGTGGCATCTAGAATAAGTAGCTTAGAGCACATTTCCGTAAAGCCTACTCTGGGCATTAATCTTGTTTGCAGACATTTTCATGCTCCATGCGCGCAGAAAATTGCTCGCAAGCCGCCATTTATGAAGGCACGAAAACATGGTGGGGATTGAAATCTCTAGGCGGCAGTTTTTGATTCATTTCCTGCGGTCAATAAACAAGCATGATCCCCACTATTAACGTGTAAAATCTAGCCCTTAACGAATATCTTCTTTCTTCAGTAGGATTCGACAGCAAAATTTTCATTGAGATCTTATAGCGGCGTAAACATCGATAGGCAGTGGATCTAGATATACTTAGACCAGTTTCGGTAATCAAGGCTAGTACCCAGCTTATTTAAGGAAACCTACAATATATTTAATAGATATACCGTATAGTTCAGTTATTGATAGAGGGGTAACAGCCTAAGCAAGGGTGCAATTTTAGGTTATCATTATTCTCAAAGCATTCCATCGTTCGATATACCATTGTGCGGCTGATACGAAGATCACGCGCTATGTGAGCAGGTTTTCGGCCTAATTTAATCGCTGTAACAATAGCTGATAGGACCTCGGTCGATAGCTCCGCATTTCGCGGTCGATTTCCACTAATCATGGTGCCAAAAGCTCTCATTTTGGCGGTGTTATGATTTTTCGAAGTTGGGTGGTTGGAAAATTAAAGTTCTACGGAAAAGTGTACCCAAACTTATGAACAGGTATGTAACCCAACATGAGAGCACGTCAAACACAACGAGCGCAAGTCAGGTGAGACATAAAAACAACACCGGCCCTGGACGTGAGTTTGCTGAAATCGGTAGATCATGGTAAGTTAGAGGGAGCGGCTCGTTATTTTTGATGATTGGCTGCGGCCACAAAAACCCTCCGAGGAGGTTTTCTTTGTCCTACCACCAACAATCCAAAGCTGGTCATCATCGCCAACACCAGGCCAAGTGTGTCGTGATCTCAGACCGGATCGTTTCGCAATTGATCTCTCGTATCTCTATTCGCGACGACCAGGAAACCGAATATGCTCAAGGCGGCAGTGAAGCGCTCTGCCTGCGACCAGTGCAGAGCGAAGCGGGTACGGTGCCTCCGCGCCGAAAACAGCACAGCGCCGTGCGCCCGCTGCGACCACATCGGCGCGCGGTGCGTGACAGGCGCCCCGGGCTACCCCGGAAGACCGCCCAAACAGCGGACCGTCGATGGCCGCCCCGCCGCGGCGAACCCTGCCGGTGTCTCCTCTACCGGCGGTGCGGGGCGGCGGCATCGCACGTCGACATCTTTGCGAGAGGTGAACCATGTCGAGATCCATGCCCCTGCCATGGCAGGTGAGCCCGCACCGGCCGCCGGCGCGCCTACAAAAGCGCCGCGGTACAGGGCAGACATGCGCACGTCCTGGGACAGGTGGCTCGACGGCATCGCAGCGTCGGACCTTGCGGGTTCCAAGCCCGTCCAGTCGAATCCGCCGGGAAACCTATTAGCTCATGACGGACCACAGCCAGATTTCTGGGGAGCGTCAGGCGACAGCGCCGCCTTCTTCGGTTCTCCTTCGATTGAGCAAAGCTTTGCTGCGCCGGGCAAGGATATCCTCGCCCTGGTGGATGTGGATCAACTCAGCGGTCTATCACAGCTCCGGGGGCTATTCAGTGCAGATGACGAGATCGACGCGATGCTCGACATGGGCCGGGACTCTCAGTAGCAGCGTGCTAGATATGGATCTTGGCCCGCTCCTTGATCCGTGCGAGAGCGCGGTCCTTCCCCAGAGTCCTCTACCAAAATGCATCAGTCCAGCAAGCTCGCTGATGCGGTTCCGAGAGGAGATAGACCAGCGCATCGCCGCGGTCGACACATACTACTCGGACCCAGTTAAAGTCGTGCAGGGCTGCAAAGAGGAGGGCGCGGGCGCGGAGCAGGCCGAGAATCCAGCTGCGTTACTCCTTACGTGCAGCACAAAGTTCATCGACATCATCCAGAGCTTGACGCCGGCGGCGGGCCAAACGCATACGCGGAGTGAGGATGCGCTCAGCACGGAGGTTGTGCTCCTGGCTCTGTCGAGCTACCTTGCATTGATGAGACTCTTCGACTCGCTTTTCCACACCATCTATGAATTCATTTGCGACTTGCCGCCGGCCTCGTTCAAGTCCGTCAAAGTCAAGTCGGTGCTCCGAATCGGCGGCATCTCCACGCTTCAGGACATGCCGCTAAAGACGTATGCCACAGGCATCCTCGATGCCATCCAGGGCCAGGTGCGGACCCTGGAGCGCTGCATGGGGATTCCAACCGAACACTGTCTCTCGGGCGAGGCGGCTGCCTCGGCCACCCCGGGGATGCTCTCCCGTTCAGATCGAACACGGTTGTTTTGGGCTGGGATGGAACAGGAGGATGTCAAGTCACGACGGGGTGGCAAGTCGTACGTAGAGTCGATACGAGCCAGTATCAAGGACTCGATGAGATTTCTCGATGACTAGGTAGAACCGCAGAATCTTAAAAAGGCATCTATGACAACACACTATGCAATGTACCAATTTAAGGTTTAGGATTCCCAAGGTACCGGGGAAGTGAATGTCGTCTCATCGTGATAGTCTTTCCAGTATTGTAATTCATCATAGTGTTTTTGGAACACGGGTATAGTGTTCATTGTGTCTTTTTAACAGTGTCATGAAAAGGCAGTGTAAGAACTCGACTGTGTCTGACAGAGATTCAAGCCGAGGTCAACAAATTTAGATAGGTGCAATGTACTAAGAAGCAAGAGAGAAGCTTCCCATTAAATAAAACTTGATAATAACCAGTCCCGCCCCCATTATCTAATACTGTATGTCCGCCGGTTCGACGTTAGTAAAACAAACATGTTCTGAGCGGTACTACGACGCGGCCGGTGATTCCGTGCCTTTAGCCTCCTCCTCGGTAGGCTTGTCCACCTTCTCCGTCATGCCGAACTCGGTGTCGTTCTCCTTCCGGAGCGCCACCTGCTTCATGATAGCAGCAGTGATGACACCCACCCCACCAAAGGCTATGGCGACCTGCCACGACCGCTGGAGCGCGCTGGCCTGCACGGCGATGACCTCGGCGCGCGTCTGCGCCGAGAGCGAGTCGAGATGATGGGGGTCGGCCGCCGCGTACGCGCCGCCGGCCATGAATTGCGCGGCGACGGCCGGGTCGCTGGCGATGGCGCCGGCGCCGGCGAGCTGCGACGCGCGGTTCGAGTAGATGGTGCCCGCGACGGCGACGCCGCACATGACGCCGAAGCTGCGCATGAACGCCCACGTGCTCGTCGCCAGCGCCGTGTCCCTGTCCGTCAGCGGGGCCAGGAGGGCCGGGAGCAGAGCCGCCAGCGACAGGCCGGCGCCAAAGGACTCGACGACCTGGAAGCCGACCCAGGCGCCCGTGCTCGAGTTCTCGTCGAGGATGGAGAAGAGGCCGAAGCCGACGACGATGAAGGCGAACGAGGCGAAGAGGATGGGCTTGTAGAGGCCGAATTTTGTGAGCAGGCCGCCGCCCATGCTGGCGGCGGGCAGGAGGGCGAGGATGGTGGGCAGGAGCATGATGCCGGAGCGGTAGGCGCTCGCGGCGAGGACGCCCTGGAAGTAGACCGGGAGGAAGAAGTAGGCCCACATAGTGATCATGCCATGGAGGAAAGTGAGGAGGAAGACTAGGGCAGTGACGGAATGGCTAAAGAGGTGGATGGGCATGATGGGGTTGGGCACGAGGCGGGCATTGGTTTGGAGCCAAATGAAGCCTCCCATCGCGGCCAGGCCGACGATGAGCGGCACGAGGACCTGGTAGGCAGACCACGGGTATTTGCTTCCGGCCCAGCTGAGGGCGATGAGCACCGGGGTAGTGCCGCCGATGAACACGGCGTTGCCTAGCCAGTCGAGTTTTGAGAGCTTGGTGGCCAACGTAGAGGACTTGTCGTACTTGACGTGAAAGAAGAGATATAGCAACACCAGCGAAGCACCGCCTATGGGCAAGCCCATGTAGAAAGCCCAGCGCCATGTGCTGTAGCTGACGAGGAGTCCACCAAAGAGAGGGCCGAGGGCGGCTCCCAGACCAACCATGCCGAGCACCATGCCCAAGTAGGTGCCTCTCTCGCGCAGCGGTACCAGGTCGCAGATGATCATCTCGCAGAGGACGCCGATGCCCGAGCCTCCAATGCCTTGAACCGCTCGGCCACCGATCATGGAGACCATGTTCTTGGCTCTGTGCATTTGCGCGTCTCCTCAGCAGAGACTCTAAGAGGTAGACATGGAAGGAACTATGGGAAAGCAGACAACTTACCCGCCAGATACACCGCTCCCGAGCATGAAGAGGGCCACTGATATGATCATGGGCCACCGGCGACCAAACACGTTTGCGAGCTGGCCAAACATGGGCAAAAGAGAAGTCCTGTATATGAATTAATTCCCGGAGCTGGTTGCATAAAGGGGACTGGAGGCTTACATAGCCAAGAAATAGGCGTTAGAGATCCAGATATAGTTTTCGCCTCCGGCCAAATCGGCCACGATGGATGGCATGACGGTTGAAGTGATTGTTGCCTCTAAAGACGTGAGGAGGCTGGTGAGGGCGAGAACAAACAAGATGGTGAAGAATCTCGGCCCCTTCTCGAATACTGGCAGGCTTTTCTTTTCCGTGGTCGCATCCTGGACGGCATCGAACCAAGAGGTCTCTTTAGACTTCGGAGTCGAAGCAGCCGCATCTTTCTGTGTTATCGTGGTGTCTGACATGATTACTAGTAGCCGTGGTAGGTGCTGCGAGTATTGTGGGGTGATAGAAAAACCGTGGGGGTGAAGTGGGATTCAAGCAAAAGCAAGAGAAGGCGCGAGCAGCTACCATGGGGTGCTTGTCGCAAGGAAAAGTCCATTGCAGGTAGTTTAGTCGATTTCTTGCAGAAAATCGGTATTTTTAAGGCCAAACGAAATTCCTGGTACTGAGGCACAGCCACAGCTGACTGTATGTTCTTTGTATGTGACCGCCGCGGAGGGTAGGAGGGTTTTGTTTCCCTCCTCGCAGGGTTTTGGTTTCTATCGCACGTGCAGCTGAGGTCTCTCTCTCTCTGTTAGCATAAGCTGGACATACACTTTCTAGGTCGTGTTACAAGTTCTTACCCATAAGCTCCTTAATCGTCTCACTGCGTAGGTTAGTACACTCCACAAATCAATTCCGATACTCAATCGAATGGGAGATCCAATCCGGCTTGTAGAAGAGACAGACGAACTTCATTACAGTATTTCAGCCTTCGACCGATGGCGCCGTCCGTCGCCGCCACAGGCGCGTCGCCTGCACCGTCAGAGGGCACCCAAACAGGGCACCCAAACACCGCCCGGCGCACGACAGGAAACTCCTTGGCGTAAGATGCAGAATCTTAGGCGGTGAGAAGGTCGCTATTACAAGCCAACATTCCCGCCGGATAATAAGTACATTGCAACTGCTGACGACCTGAATAAAATCCTACTTCTTGAGAGAAAGACCGGTGTCATCTATCACCATTTGGAAGGCCAAACAAAGGTAATTAAAAATATCACCTCCTCCTCGAATAGCCGATTGTTGGCATCCTGTGGATATGACAACACGGTTCGTTTATGGGGTATTGAGCCTGGGGTGCCAGCCACCAACCTCATCTCAGACCACCACGCCCGTTTTATTGCAAGTGTTGAGTTTTCACCAGACTGCTCTCTTGTTGCGACGGGAGGAGAGGATTCCAAGGCCAAGGTCTGGGATGCAGCAACTGGTCAACTTGTTAGAACGACGGAAGAAATGCCCTACTGGATTGGCAAAGCGAGAATCACTCCGAATAGCGAACTATTGGCATTGGGCTGTGATGATGGGAGCGTATCGCTACTGAAAATTCAAACTGGATATTCAATTGTGGCACTGGATGCAAAAAAACATCATGATGGTTCCGACTCGCCCATCCAGGATATTCAGTTCTCCCATAGCGGCAGGCTTGTCGTCGCAAGCTCAAATGAAAATAGAGGGAAAGGTATGGAGCACAGAGACTAGGCATCAACTGCCAGTCAATCTTGGCTGCAAAGATTACAAAGATTAGAGTGGGGAGGAACTTCGACAGTCCCTGGAATTCTGGGAGCAGGATTTAGACTCGGAGATGGGAAAACCTCAAGCTAAAACCCCAGACGACAGTCCTCAACCTGCTCCGTTCATACGCCGCCCCAAAAAAAATAGAACCCGAGGGATGATACATACAACCCGACCAGGGTTGACCCAAGGGGTCGATTGTAATCCCTCCCCTGAACATGTCTCTGCTCTTTGCCAGCGGATGCTTCGGCTTTACACTGCACATCTCTCCGATTGATATCCGGATAAGCGGGAGTTGTGGTATTCTCCAGAGATTCGACGCAAAGTCTTATCTTCTTAGATGTAGGCTCCACTTCGAACTCAATCGCTTTGAGTTCTTCATCTTTACGTTCAGTGGAAAAGCCAACAACTTGGGAATCCTCGGGAATGGAGATCTTTGCTGTAATTCCCTCAAACTTTCCTATCTTTGAGACCTTGCCCGAGGGATATATGAAAGCAATCCCCATTATTGCTTCGTTTTGCATGGAAGCTTCGACTGCAGTGACTGTCTCTAAAGACGGAGACTGAGCTGAATTTAGGGTGCTGAGGTAGAGCTTCTGCGTTTGATCCCAGGGAGCTGTGAGTTCTGGGACCATGATCATCTGGTGGTTTGTGTGGCTTCTTGAAGTGATTGATCTCAGCCAATCAGCACGCATGCTAAAGATCCATGACATGGCTACCATTTCCTCCCCAAAATCACATTGGGACTGATACATGGATGTTTTCTGGGGTGCTAATTCATCCTGCGAGGCGCGGAATGTCATAGTTCAAGATTGGCTTGTCTCAATATGTATAGCAGCAATCTGGCATATCTCGTGCGTAGGAATCGAGCTAAAAATCCAATAGGCTTGAGCGTGACCGTTAGAGATTGCAAATTCTCGCCCGTCGAGAGCTCCAGAGCGCCATCAATTTCGTGTATCCATTGATCTAGCACATCTGGAGCTTGATTGTGGAAGTATTCAAACTTTAGCCCGGAGATAACGTCAGAAGATCGACCTCGCCCTGAGGTCCCAACCGAGGCTCTGATTCTTCGAACATTGGTGAGCGATACATATGTCTGGTAATCGTCCAATCTGCCACAGTCAATAAGCCGTTCGAATTCCTTATCATATCGAAGCTGGTCATCGGGAACATGGTGATTTCGAATTTTTTGACAATGGTCAGCTACAGGTGGTGTGAAACCATCCTCGCATAGTTGGGATCGAACACCAATTCCAGCAATACCACCAAAATGACCTTGATAAGGATGTTTGAGACATGTTGAGCTACCCGAGACATCCCTTTCTATTGCAACAAGGCCGGTGATACAGCAACCTGGTGGAGGGGCTGATAATGCTTTCACAGGTTCGTCGAGTTTGAGTTGAAGGGGGAAAAAGCTAGCAACCCTGGCATGATTTGTTGAGACCTGGAAGGACAATCAGTATTGTGTAACGGAGAACTAGGAGATATATGATATTAACCTTTTAACCAAGGAGGGATATACTTGAGTCGTACATTGAGTTTTGCGCCTCAATAATACCCACTTGATTGATCCGCTCTCCAGCCTTGCCATTCACAAAAAATGAGATCTCGCAACCGGTCCTTGAGCCGAACAGAATTGACCTTCCGTCGGAAAAGAATGTGTCAATTCCAATCAATGGATTCGGTGAATAATTCATGTAACATGTGAGTCTCGTTAATCCACTAAGGTATGAAACTTTCGGGCCACCGAAATCGATATTCATCAACGGTTCAAAAGTCCTTGATGGTGCAACAGGGACAATGCTGGTCATATTCAAGTTTGGGTCACTTGGAATAGATGGTGTCCACATCAATGAATGTGTGCATTGTGCACCAGCAGTTCTATCAATTGTCGGAATTCCAAGCCCTAACGAAACGACTTTATATTGATCAAAACCAGCGATCAGGTAGGGCAACTGTGAGTCCTGGGGAATAACAAAACTCCCAAATGCCATACCTGTGTATTCGGTATTACCAAGCCAATCTGTTGAGCTTGAGTCTTGAAATTTAAATTTGATTCCGACAAGGCCCTCTGCACGGAATGCCACAGATATGGTTTTCAGATCAGATGTACATGAGATCTGCTCTCCCGAAGCTGGGATGTGGTATCCAAGACCATGACCGGTATTGTACTTTGTTCCTGGGGAAATGTTTATTTCCAAGATGAATCCTGGGGGAGAGAAGCTAGTGACTGTGTCCGGTAATGAAATTCACGACAACCTTCCCGCAGGGGACCTTTAGTGCAGGTTTGCATTTGTCCCGAGAATCGAGCAATAACCTTCAGAGATAGGCAGTCCATTTTTGCAGTACGGTCATCCATAAAACGAAACAAGCGTTCTTCGTCTGGTCGTGCTTCATCTGGCTCTGGCGATACTGCAGAGCCATAAGGCCCAGTCCCAAAGGAAGCCGCACAGTCCCAGAGGACTGCGATCGGTTCCAGCAGACCACGAATTCTCTTTCGATTCATCATAGAACGATCCCCATCACGTAGAGTGTGAACTACTCTAAAGAAGATTGCCGTCCAGTTCCGGTCCCTGGAGAGGCTTGAGTTTAAGAAGTCTGGGAAAAGAAAGTCTGCCTCTTGACCGAGGCAAAATCGACTCCGGCAGTATGACTGCGGGAGGTGCTTGACAGAGCAAAGTAAAGCAAGCCTCCGACAAACGAGTCGCAATTTCAATGATTCATTGAAAGGTAAGCTGGATATTATTTCGAGCATCAGCTCGGCAGAGAGTCCACCACCGAGATATGAGGTCGTTCTTCCCAGCCCGGTACAAAACTGGTGATTTTTGCCCTGCTGCAAGCTAAAGCAGACTTCTCTTTCCCTTGAAATTGCATTAGAAGACCGCTTATATTCTTTGCTAGAGGTATTGTTGCCCTTGGTCTGTTTTTTTTGTCCAGAGCTGTTTGTGAAGGTAGATGAGGCGCTTTCTAGCGACTCCACATGTAGGACCTTCCCAGAGTCAGCGAAGAAATGTGAGTTGAAGTCCAAGGCCAGTGGCCCAGATGGTTTATGCATTTGTGTGGCGCCATCATAATCGTGCCCGAACTGAAAAATAGATCCTTGAATGCATGGTGTACAATTTAGTTGATTGAAGAGACAGCCAGCAATTGCGATTTCCGTTTCACCATCGATCAGAGTGCTCTGTCCAAGACTGATTCTACAGAGAAGGAGGAAGGAGGCGCCAGCAAGAGTCATGAAAATCGAAGCACCAAGGGCCTGGCGAGGCGTCTTAAATTCTCCATTGCTCTAAGTCCTCGACCGATTTGCCGAAGTAGGATGAATTTTTTTCGTGTCGCGCATGTAGTCTATTGCGACGTTGGACAATCCCCACTCCGTTTAGTGATATAGCCCCCCCCCCCCCCCCCGATGAACTGCGTACAGCTGATTTCTTTCTCGGGGACTTCGGAATAGCGACAAAGTTGAATGATCTTACTTTCCCAGTTCTACCTTCCCATTATCTGTCTATTGCTCACCAGACCGCTTGCATGAGCAACGCCCAAGTTTTGGATGTGATATTTGGAGCTATATGATTCTCTTTTCTCACTTTATCTCGACTTCCCTCTTTTCCATCCTAGACCTGATGGAAGAATTATCGCCGACTTTTTTGAAGTTTTGGGCCCACTGCCTGAAAGCTGGAAGGGGTTCTGGAAATCTCGGGGATGTCAGGATTCATGGTATGAACAAGGTGAAGGGCTCAACCCAGTCCAAACTGGGGAACTCAAAGAAAGAATTGCCAGTCGCCGCCCTGATGTTGATCAGGAGGAGAGAGATCTTGTTGCAACTATCATGCAGAAATTATTCGTCTACTCCCCAGAGAGACGTCTAAGTGCGACAGAGCTTCTAGAGGATAGTGATTTTAGAGCTTTGATGGATAAATACGGCTGTTGAAGGGGACATCTGGAGTTGGACCCAGGACCTCTATACAAGATTGCGAAGTTAAGTGAAAGAGTGTTCATATGATATAATAGCTTCTTTTCGTACCTGAATACCCTCTACATACGCGCCCAGGCCCCGTCCGTCCTGACTAGACCCACTTGACCACGGCGGCGCGCCATGATCTTATTCGGTAGACACAAGACTGACTAGTCCGTTTAGTGAATTTAGTGAATTTAGTGAGTTTCAATTTTATCTATAGCCAATGACTGCCAGCGCACTTTGCAACCTTGCAAGGCTATATTTAGTCTCACCAATCTATTGCAACCAGTTGACCGTCGAGAACAAAAGTCCCGATGACGCTTCCCGATGTTCCTCTTCAATTAAGGACCTATCCACAGCCGCCGAAAACGATGCAGTAGGAGACCGACAAATTTTCATTCCATCAAAATATGGCGCAGAAGCTGTCGGCTATGCATGATGCAAAAGAATCTCGATAGGTATTGGTATCCCGATGTCCCTCGCTGTTTCAATGTTGTGTTTTTTTCTATTTTGAAGTTTTGCATAGCTACACTAGACCAAGAGCTGCGCCACGCATCGTGGCAGAGCAGCACATCATGGATTTATCCTGGGTGGCTCCCATATTTCAACATATTAAAAGAACTCATTCTCCTAGAGAAGGAAAATTCAAAAGAATATTGGAAGCCCTGCAAAATAATATATTGCGATCACATATTATATTTACTTTTTTCCCAAAAATTCATCATGCCTCCTCAAAACTTCAACTCCTATGTCGCAAGTCCGTCTCCTGTCTCTCTTTGTGAGATTATCAAGCTTGAACCAGATAAAGAGCCATGGTGTGCCGGTTATGCTCCTTCACAGGGTCGTCGCTGTCATGCTCGCACAAATGCACGCGGTCGCAGCTCTGCAATGATGCTCCTTAACGAGGGTACCAAAGATCTTCGAGCCGGTCGCAATATCGACGAACTACTGGAGGATCTAGCTCTTCATGTTTTATGCACAAGGTTCCATCAAAGTCAGGCATCAAGTCTTGCAAATCGTTGGAAACAGCAAGTCCGTACATACCTTAACTCGCAGCTTGCCACTGCACAACCTGTAAGGTTAGAGAAGCATTCACTACGGGGAACCTTCCTGCAGAGCACCGAGGAGAATATGGAGAGGCTGTCCAGTTTCCACCAAAGAAGTTTTGGTTTTCCCCGCGTCGAGGTTGCTTCTCATTCCGCATCGAATATTGTGAACCCTACAGTCCACCTGAATAGTGGAAATGCGCGAGAAAGTATTATTTCCAGTACTGGAAGAAACGTATCGAGCAGAATTACTCCTTCGGCGAATTTTGAACCTGCAACAGTGAGGAGACACTCATCAATATCTACCAATCAGGCAGGAATCAGTGTACCTCGACCAACCCGGCCTCAAGTCAGTCGTCAAACAAGGGCAGTCTCTGTTCCTACAACTGTGGTCCATGTTTCTAGCACCACTGAAGAGCGTGAAAGTCAGAATGAGACCTCTCGGGTCAAGCGCCGTGAGATTGGGGGAGAATGTGGTATCTGTTTGTGTGATTTGAAAATTTCTCAAGGAGCCCTGGAAAGGGATGAGCACGAGAGCGAGTCCACTCTCCACCAGAACCACGATGATGAGTTGGTCTGGTGCAAAGCAACTTGTGGTGTCAACTTTCACAAGCAATGCATTGACCAATGGCTACCCACAGCCCATGCTCCTACTTGTCCGACATGTAGGAGTGATTGGAAACATTGAATGGGTGCCTGTCAGTGGGGTAGCCCCATTTCTTTCATGACACATATTTGATCTCACGAATATCCATAATACTGCTCAGTCGAACTTGAATTACAAGGGAGTTTTTCGTGTCCTTTGGATACACTTCGTCATATTATTAAAATCTTGGAAGGACGTAACCGGGTAGTAATGTAATCTGTAAACACAATAAATATTCACCTCGAATGACCTCTACATTTTAATAAAACCTAATTTTCATAAAAAATTTGGCGGCTTTTTTTCAAATGCGTCGATCATCCCGTTATAAAGGGCTGACGTGCCATGTGCTGTATGGTCGGCTCCCGTCCACAACTTCCCATCTCTCATAGGAAAAAGAAGGCCTCGAAGTTCCTCCGCTAATCCTGATAGCACCTTAAAATCAGGTGTTAGCTCGCGCAATATGATGCGGAAGCCTTGGGTATGCATATCCTCTGTCTTACTCCTTGCTTTATCAACAGGTCTACCTTGACCCCACCTCTGCAATGCGCTTGTTGCTGGTAATTGTAGTTGACTTTCGCCCACTGGGACTGGTCTTTTACATATTGCAAGGAGAAGAAATGTAAAGAAGCCTTATTCTAGGTCGTGTCGATAAGTATGAGGGTTATTGGGTAGGTAAGCCTGCAGCACACCGATTGCCTGGAAGGGTGATGTGCCAACGCTTTCAAATTGTTTTGATGGGCTCGTCACTGGGGTTGCAAGATCCAGATCAATCAGGACGCCCTGCGGTTTTGGAGAGTTATCTTTCGTGATATGAGCTGGGATAATGATGTTCTCAGGAGATATGTCTCGATGCAAAATGCCTCCATCTTGGTACAATGAACGATGGCCTTTCAATGCATCTCGTAATGCATACAAGAGTCCTGTAATGGATTCAAACCGATGAAGCGACTTGCCGAGCAGTGCAACAACAACGCATTGTAGTATCTTTTCTCTGATCGTTGCATGTGGTGTATGGCTGGAATCAACTCCATCGTCTTTCGAGGACCCTGAAGTATAGTCGCATGCAGAACTAGGCCTGACTTTCCTTGCAGTCTTTTTCCGGCCGGAAAAGTTACGAGTGCTGCCAAGGGTCAATGCACGACGTCATTTACTTGTACTGCAGACAATCTGGTGTTCAATCAGTCGAATAACTCCCCAGATATGCATCTCCGTAACCAGCTCAAGCATCTCAGTCTCAGAACCTTCGTCGGGCTCACACCATTTGATCTTAACAACATAGCTCCAGGCATCGGAGGTCTTTAACCTAGTACGATAGCAAGTGAGCCCGTCACTGAGAATGGACTTGTTGACTCGTGCAAAAATCGGCGAATCATCAAGGTACAACCGGCAACCCTCGACTGAACCAGGAAATTCGCACTCAATATAAATGCCTCGGCAATCATATTTTATCCTATTATCCACACCAAGTGAGGGGTCATCCATGAGCATATAGCTGGAAATAATTTGAGTCGCAAGTTTGGGTGTCTCTTGGATGTCGAATGCTTTACTTCCATATATCCCTGCTCGGTCGAACACCCACATTTCCAAAATACCCCCAAAGAGATAAAAATCATGCAGGATAATACGGGCAGGTTGATGGGTAAAGATCTCGTTGGCGTGCGCGCACAGATTTCGAAAACCGAAGATGTAGGGATAATCGATCCCTATTTCACCGAGCGCAAGAACGCTCGAACGGCTACTAGTACCATTTGTGAGAATGAGGGACTGCCGAGGTTTTGTTTCAAGCCATATCCGCCGGGTGGCATTTCCTGCCGTCGACTGATAAGGTCGAGCCGCATTCTCCACATCCTTGATCCAGGTAGCAAAAGCGTCGTATGATTTGATTACCATTCTGTGTGATGTTGCGACTTCTTGGGCGATTGCGATCGCCGGGGCAGACCAAGGCTTGCCTTCGATAAAAAGTGCAGGTAGCCCTTCAATATCAGCGTAGACATCCCCGTCGAGGCCATCCAGAAATTCTTCAACCGTGCGCTGCATCATACTGGAGCCATTAAGCCCAGTCATCCCTTGAGGTCGGAATAGTGTAGTTGGTGATTCTAACGAAATTTTTGGATACAATCTGGCGGTATTCCTACCTAATGAATCAGTTAGGAAAGCGGTCGATGATTATTTGTCAGAAAGGATGGAGGATACCCAGGTGATGATGATGGAAAATGTGCTGTGCCTGTGTGTGGTGTGTGATATCTCTAGGAGTGAGGGAAGGTGATATCTAGGGAACGTGCGGATCAGTGGTCCCAAGTTCTAAAAATTATTACTACTATTACTATGATCAAGTTCAAGTTTGAAATAGAACCTTGGAAGGTTTGCCGACAGCTTTACATGCTCAGTCGTCGTAATATCATGATACTTCTATATTTGAGCGCTGGCTTTATATTTGAACTCCCCCTTCCTGTTTTGTAGTCGCGCTCAGCCACTTTCGAATTAATTATTTTTGTTTCCTCATGGCTGCTACATCCATGAATACTTCACATTCCATCATATTAGTCGCTGCTCCCTATCAAAATGTGGTGCATTCTGAAAACTTCAATTTTCATTTTTCTTCTGCTTAAATGTGAGCCATAAAAGATGCCTAGTATGAATCGTGTTTGAATAGGCTGCTAAGTATGTCCATAGTAAATGCCTAGGCTGTACATCTCCTCAATCTTACGAAATAATCTGTGTGCTAGTAGTGACTATCTCCATGTATCTTGCACTGTTTCAACAACTCCCGAGCACACGGACGACGGTACAGTATAACTGCGGTTAGGATCGCTTTCCCAAACGACTGTCCCGTCAGTCTCCACCTTGATAAATTTGTACTCGAAGCTCGTTCCCACAGGCAAAGTAACTTCCAAGTACCACTCCGGGTTGGAAGAGGTGTACTTTGCTGCCGAGAGTTCGGAGGCATCCGAGGTATCCCATGACCCGAACTCGGAGATGGAACCGCTAAGATATATCTCCTCACCATAGGTAGTTGTGACTATTTCTTCAAAGATAATCGAGACCTCTGTTGCAGTTGTGCACGTGGAAGTGCTTGTTTTAGTCGCAGTTGAGGTCGTACTTGTACTGGTACTTGTGGTAGTCGTGGTGGTTCCACCACAGAGATCACTGTTGTCAAATGAAGACGCTGGCAAAAACACCCTAGGGAGTCCGGATTCCATCGAAACGGCTATATCACCACTGGAGCTCACTGTCACCGATGTGCATGTGTAGGCCTCAATGAGCTCCGTTCCAGAATCATATCCACTGCCACTCAGAGTAAGAGTGTAGGTAGAGCCATCTGCACCCCGATTGCTCAGCACTGTGATAACTTGTAGATCTGATGTACCCTTTCGCATGGCAATAGTATTATCGTCAGTATAGAATGGATCGTTCGCGTATGTGATGTAGTCATCATCCAGCGAGATTGCCAGCTTGCGGATGGCATTGGTCGCGGTGATCCAAGTGTACAGCTCTGCAGTCGTTGAGTATCCGGACAACCAAGTGGCTTCACGGTCGTAGGGCACAGCACCACCACTGTAATGCTGCTCTTGTCCGGCATAAACAATCGGGATTCCATCAGAGAAGAACATGAATGAGATAACATTCTTCGCTTGAGAGTAGTCTGAGGTGTAGCTGAATGATTAAATTAGCATGCAGAATGGACCTTGTCAACAATGTATCTTACTAGGCAAAGCGAGGATTGTCGTGGTTCTCAATGAAGTTTCCCAGCAGTGTGGGATCAGAACAGTCACTCGCGACCGAGTTGATCATATCGTAGAGATCGCTGATGCTGCCGCTGCTGGATTCAAATGCGTACAAGAGTTGGTAGTATCTATTTCATCAATTCAATATAATTCAGTGAGTGAGGGCAGAGAGAAGCGATTTTCTCACATTGGGTAGTTGAGAATTCCATCCAAATACTCCTGGTATGGGCAGTCCAAGGCTGGGTCACCGTCATCAACCTCACCCACGCAGTAGACGCCAGCAGCAGTTTGGTAAGCAGGGAAGAATGAAGGCTGAACCTCAAGGACGCTATCAATGCGCAGTCCGTCGACTGAGTAATTAGCCACCAGGTCGGCAACCCAAGCGTACCAGATATCCTGAACTGCTGTTTCCGTCGTATTCAGATCTGGCAAAGAAACAATTGTATCTCCCTCCCAACAGTCTTGAACCATCTCAATGTCAGTATAATCAGTAATGAGACAGTATGAGTGGAAGTAGGAGGATGAGTCAAAGGGATCAAAGACACTATAGTCTACATCATCCCCATTTCCAGCGTATCCCTACTGCGGATTTAGTTTTTCTTCAGACTGACGTGAATTTGAAGCACTCACCATATGATTAGGGACAACATCCAGCATTAAATACATACCCCGTGCATGAAGCGCATCTGAGAGGGCAACAAGGTCATTGGAAGCGCCGAAATTAGAATTGACATTGTATCTATCAAGTCAGCGGGATTCAACAACAGGGCTGAAGTCTTACATTTTTTGTTGCCAGTATCCATGGTAGGCTTCTCCATCGCTAGTATCCTGGGAGAGTTGTTCGGTGATAGGTGAGATCCAGATGGCCGTGAAGCCCATTCCTTGGATGTAATCAAGCTTGATGCTTGTGTTAGTACGGTGGAGGTGGTATTGTCTTTTTTTCATATTTGAGACTCACATGATTAATGACACCTTGCCAGCTGCCTCCGCAATAAATCTAAGAAGGCCATAGTAAGATTCCGCAACTTCAAGGCGATAGATTAATTGATGGGTATTATTTGCCTGATCTCCAGTGTCACACGTTGCAGTAGTGGAGTTGTCAGTCCGACCGAAGCGATCTGTCAGAAGAAAGTAGATCGACTGTGTGCGCCATTCTGCAGCAGAAAGAGCAGTTATCCCTGCCACAAAGAATAAAGTCGTTAGAATCACTTTCAAAATCATAATGACGAGATTGAAGATCACGGATTGTGGAGTTTTCAGCCTAATGAATACTTTAGTCCCATTTATATTCAACTATTCAAACTGTTCACGGAAAAAAGAAAACCTTGGAACGTTTGCCTTGGCATTGCGAATTCAAAATCTTGAAAAATCACATAGAAACATTTGCACATGTCAACTGCCGTTTCTGCAGTCCCAAACCATTCCGTCATAGGCCAATCTATTGCGCCCTGCTTAAAGGTTAACCCCTGGCGGGGATATACCGGAGAAGCTTATCCCACACAACATTCCGGAACCCACTTCGCTTAAGATCATATCAAACCTTGTTCAGCTCGCCGACTACATGAAAGACTTCACCTGTATGGCTACTTGTCCGATAAAGGGCCGTTCGTGCATGATCGTTTCATCAGCTCCGTTGTCCAGCCGAGGGGTAACCCCTCAAATCTCTTCAGGGGAACAAGTGACCTGCATTTTGCACGGGAACTCCCACCGGCTACGGAATTACCGGAGTACAAGCTCTAGTGGCTGTCAGGGGCGTTCTAAGCAAGGAAGATGATTGGAGATCATGGACCGACAAGCAAGGAATCGTGCGCGGTCTTCCTGCGGGGCTTCATGCGGGGCTTCTATATCCCGTGAGCTGCACTAGGTGCGGGATTGGAGGGGGTTTTCATTCAAGCGGCGGTTGCAGTATAAAATGCTGCTTCATTTGCTCTTTACTGAACAGACATAGTCAAGCAACAATCTGTCGAAATGGCACTCACATTTGCTCTGTTCTCTTCTCTGCTCGTGACGGCATCTGCCCTCATTGCCCCTCGTGCCACCACCAGCTTGGATGCCTGGCTGGCCTCGGAGACAGCTGTTGCACTCCAAGGAATTCAGTATAATATCGGGAGTTCCGGTGCCTATGCTGAAAGCGCAAGTAGCGGAATTGTCATCGCCAGCCCCAGTACTGATGATCCGGACTGTAAGTATTGAAATCGCTCAATCACTTCAGGATACTCTGACACGGCTTCACAGATTACTATACTTGGACGCGTGACTCGGCTCTTACGATGAAGGTGGTAATTGATCTCTTTCGTAATGGTGACTCAAGCCTGCAGGGCATTATCGAGGATTACATCGACGCGCAGGCCTATATTCAGACCGTATCCAACCCATCTGGTGACTTGAGCACTGGAGGACTGGGTGAGCCCAAATTTAACGTTGACATGACGGCCTTCACTGGCTCCTGGGGTCGGCCACAGCGTGATGGACCCGCCCTCAGAGCAATCGCGCTTATCAACTTTGGAGAGTGGTTAAATGTATGTTATCCTTCTTCTCCATATTCGGTGGTGCAAATAGCTAACTCAAATAGGATAACGGTTATGAAACGTATGCTGCTGAGATTATTTGGCCCATCGTGCGCAACGATCTCTCATATGTCACGCAATACTGGAACGAAACAGGTTACGGTGAGTACTCCAAATAAAATTGTGCATATATCAGGATGCTGACAAAAAAGACCTTTGGGAGGAGGTTGATGGGTCATCCTTTTTCACTATCATCAATCAATACCGCGCGTTGATACAGGGAAGTACATTTGCGAGCGCCGTCGGATCTTCATGTCCTTTTTGCGCGTCGCAAGCTCCTGAAATCCTTTGTTACTTGCAGTCCTTTTGGTTAGGCGATTATATTCTCGCCAATTTCGATGAGAGTAGCCGTACTGGAAAAGACTCCAACACTCTTCTGGGTAGTATCTCCACTTTTGATCCTGATGCTGGCTGCGATGACTCAACATTCCAGCCATGTTCATCTCGCGCCCTTGCCAACCACAAAGTGGTGGTTGACTCTTTCCGCGACATATACACCATCAATGATGATGCTGCCGAGGGTACTGCCTGTGCAGTTGGACGCTATCCTGAGGACACATACTATAACGGCAACCCGTGGTTCCTTTGCACATTGGCAGCCGCAGAGTTACTATATGATGCAGTCTATCAGTGGGACAACAATGGAGAGATCGTGATCGATTCAACCTCGCTAGATTTCTTCACCGACTTATACAGCAGCGCTGCCACAGGAACTTACTCGTCCTCAAGCTCCGAGTACACATCTATTGTAGATGCTGTCAAGACGTACGCGGACGGATTTGTTAGCATTGTGGTATGTTCGAACGTGCCAAGCGAAACCTTGCCATGTGCTAATATCATCTAGCAAGAACACGGGTTAACAAATGGTTCTCTGTCCGAGCAATTTGATAAAGCTGATGGTGACGAGCTGTCTGCTCGCGATCTGACCTGGTCATACGCCGCGTTGTTGACCGCTAACATGCGCCGGAACTCCGTGGTTCCCGCCCTTGGGGTGAAACCACAGCCAGCAGTGTGCCAGCAACCTGTGTTTCTAGCTCTGCAACGGGCATCTATAGCACTGCCACTGATACAGCGTGGCCGACTACATTCACTGGTGGCAGCAGCGAAACTACTACTGCTTCTTCGTCCGGCACTACCGCCACCGGAAGTTCCACCACCGCCACTACCACCAAGACAACGAGTACCAGCACCACCACAACGTCTTGCACAACCCCTACAACTGTCGCAGTTACATTCGACCTAATTGCTACGACGGAGTATGGTCAGAACATGTACATCTCCGGCTCCATCAGCTCCCTCGGTGACTGGGATACAAGTGACGCGATAGCATTGAGTGCAGCTGACTACACTTCTTCAGATAATCTCTGGTTTGTCACTATTGATCTGACCGCTGGCGAGTCTTTTGAATATAAGTATATCCTCGTCGAGAGTGATGGTACTGTGGTCTGGGCGGATGGTGATAACGAATCATACACCGTTCCTGCGGTTTGTGGAGAGACAACTGTCACTGTTGATGATACTTGGGTTAGCTGAGCCATCTTATACCGATTTTCATCTTGGTCAGAAGAGCAGGGCTGCTGTGAATGTTACAAGAGTGTACGTGAGACAAATACATGCATCCGAATTCATAATCTCGAAATGAAGGTCATATCGACATTCTGTGTTGGTAGGTTTAGATCGCATCTAAGAGCCACTGAGCCAGAACTCTCAGAAATCACCCCAAAAATGGCTAAATGGTGACATGAAACGCATGATAATCCAGGCAAGCTACCCCCTTGAGGGCTCAGTATCGTGCATCGTGTTGCGACGTGACTATTGTCTCCTTCCTAATTGATGTTAGTGCTGTTGCGCTCGCGAAGATACCCTAGGTTTATCTTGTATTTCACTCCATGGATTACGTACCTATGGTTGATCAAATCGAAGACTGGGCTTGTTGTAAATCCCAAGCCTTCTGTGGCTCTTATGTAGCTAGATGTATCGGACTTATTTACATTCCAAAAAGGACCTAGGGCCCATCACTATCCGCGGGTCTCTCCCTCTCCATGTTAAAGACATCAGGGTTGCCAGTGCATCAATCCGAACATTAATGAAATTGTGACTTATCCAATTGCGCAATCCCCTGGCCAGCATAATGTGCCCAATCAAGCCATTAAGTCTTGACGTCTGGTCCTGCCTCCAATATGCCAGTAGAACGGAAAATTGACAATATCTCGTCTGGGTATTCACCTTCCAGGAAGGAAGGATGAAAGGGTTCCTTGCTTATTGCATGCAGGTCTGTATTGTTGTCTTGTTTGACCGTCCAGACAGAAGCCAAATTCCAGAAAAGAGAGTTTCTGATTAACTTCATCACCTCATAGGAGAAGCATTAGAATACTTGGCCCATTCACCGTACAGAGGGATCATGACAAGCTGGACAAGATTTTCTTCAGATGTGCGTATTTGTGTGAAGAACTCCTTTACAAAGCTCTCGCCCATAGTTAGCACAGTTGATCATGTAATCCCGAATGAACCATCTGGAGCAGGCATCACCAGCACATTTGAAATCCGATACCAGAGCCTTTTCAAAGTCAGTCAACTCTCGCAACGGAACTGGCATCATGTTGGCATCCATTTCCGGTAGGTAATTAAACACAAGGTCGAGTTTCTTAAGGCAGGGAAAACGGCCGAGAGCACTCGACATATCCGTTTGGGCACCTGTATATCCCTGTATACAGATTTGCAGTCTTTGGAGAGTGGGCGATGCTCTGCCAGATTTCGAACATGTTCTGTGGAAAATACAGGCCCAGCTTGCCCTTTTTCGCACAGTTTATATGTTAATAGAGAAACGCCATCGGAATCTGATTGAGCTCTTGTTTCCCCATGCAATCCAGTTCCAGAAGAGTCTGTCCATGCTTATAGCCAAGCACTTTGTTGGCAAACTCGGGAGTATACATTCTCAGTAGACAAAGACGCGTTAAGGGGGGGGGGGTAGTAAACTAAACATCGACTCCGCAGCTTGCCAAAATCTTGATCCATCATCTTCCCGTGGAAATAAGGTAAGGCTGAGACGCTTTAGTTGTTGAAATGGGTGATCATCCACGATGGACTGGAGTAGTGTCGAATCTTGAATACAGCCAACAGTCAACGATCTCAGAGCAGTAAAGTCGGTAATTGTTTGCCAATTCTGGAACTGCTTAGCCGTCATTTTGGTGCGCATAGGCCATGACATGATTTCAATTCTAGCAGGTCCAGGTGGTTCATCACCTTTGGCTTCCTCATCTACTTTGACTCGGAGACGCTCTCTTCGGGTGTGACTACAAGTTTGACCGCTAATCCGTAATGCGATCTTTTTGAGATTAGGCGCATGTAATACAATATTCTGTAGGACCGTATCCGGATGCAAAATAAGCGGGCTCCTATCACTATCCTCCAAATCAGTCAAATGGACAGCATATAGCATTGGTGAAGAAAGCCACACCGGGTTAATAATAGGAAACATGCCAACCTCCCGAAGTGGATGCTGACGCATCAAAGTGCTGAAGAAGGACACTCGACAAGTAGGGTGATATTGCGAAAGAGCCTCAAAGAGCTCGACTGGGCCACCGTAGAAAACGAATATATTCACATCATGCAAATAAGGTATTCGTCGAATCATATCAATAACAGGACTCCAATCCCATCCAACGTAGAAACCAGCTTTAGGAACGTTTAGATCCTCCGAAAAGGCTCTTTCCAGAAGACGAGGAATGTCAGAGTACTGCTGGTCAAGCGCCTCACTGGTCTTAGGGCTTATGTCATTGGGAAGAAATGCCTTATGGCGGAACCCCGTATCCATTCTGCCACAACACTCAGTTGTCTCGCTTGGGTGAGGATATGTCGGTCATCCGGTATGATGGAGATTCTTCCTTCCCTCAAGCGGATGATGACATGCCGGTTCAAGAATTTTTTCGCAATTTCATTCCATTCACGATTGACTAGGGACAGCGTCTGGAGGCTCTCCTTAGACCTGTGTCCTGTCTGTCACTTAAATTAGAGCTGCAAGTTATTGCTTCAAAAGAGATGCTCACCCAATCGGCAATGATATGCCTTATCTCTAGTGGTAACTGATTCATCCTTCTTAATTCCAATTTTTGGTACTATTGGCCCCATGTGATGAAAGGTAAAAAAGGATTCATGTCTAATTACTAGAGAACAGGAAACAGAGAGCGCTAGAAGTCCAGGTTGGTAGCCCTGGAGGTAACCTGGAACCTTGGAAACTCGTCCCTGTTGACTAATGTATTTTTTCGCAGGTAATTCACCGGAAGAGTCCACGGGTAACTTTACGGTATCTTATTTCACCACTTTACACCTGGGAACACTCCCAAGGTTCCAACCTTCAACCTTGGAACCTTGGAAGGTTGGAAAGTTGATGACCTGCTGAGGTGGGCACTATCTACCCGTAGACGAAGTATTTTATCATGTATCTAAGAATATGTACATGCAATGGTAGCTATGGCCACAGCCAATATCTATACGAGTCCTCCCAAGGTTGTCATATTTCCTTCTTCTCACCTTCCATCCAGCACCAGAGAGAAATTAAGAAAAGTCCATAGCGTCCTCGTCGCTAGATGACACATCATCAAAAGTGAAAAGCATATGCTGACACAGCCCGTAGTAGCCCTCTTCCTCAACCCAGCACATACTTCTCTCCTTCGCTTTATCATCATCATCAATCGTGTTTGACTCGCCTGCGACGATAGTGCTACTTGTCCATAACATAATACTGGGGACTGTCTTTATACCCAAATCCGCCTTGTGATTGATGAGGAGCCACGCTTGGGGATTGCCATTTGGAGATCCAAGCAATGCGTTGAACTCTGTGGATCCCTGTTTAAAGACCTCGGGCTGCGACCAGTCACTATTCCGATTCTGTATGGCCGTGTTCATCACAATTCTCGAATTGGCATTCACAACATTCAACTGAATGACGTATTGCAAAGTATCAACACTCGAACCCGCTTGGCTCGCCCATTCATTGTATATCACATCGGACAGCTTGCTAACAGTGAGCGCATTGATAGTGCTTGTTGTGATGGATGTAGGCCACCATTCGTAATCATTGTTTTCATTGTAAATATACGACGGGGCCCATGCATAGTCCACAATGATAAGGCCACCTGCGACGTTGTACCAACATTTATACTGAGCTTCGGCCATGTCATCGAGGTTGTCAACCGCTTCGTCATATTCCTGAATCCAAAGAAGTTACTGATTAGCCTGCAAGATTCTTCTCGGTCTTTTCATCGTATCAAAATATGGATCGAATAGTGATAAGGGACGGGATCTAAAGACAGCGCGCGGTGCCGTATACATACAGCCTTTGTGAGCACCACACTTTCACGAACCACCCATTTCCAATCTGCAGGAACATTACTGGCCAAATCCACGCTCAACCCATCCAGTAAAGTTCCGTCCAAGTAGCCGCTAATCCTCGTCCGATCATTTGCGATTTCCGAGTCGGAGTCCGTAATGAGTATCCAACCAGCGTTCTCCATATCGGTCGTTGTCGTATCTTGTGCTGCTACATCTTGACCAAGCCTGGCCGATGCAGTAGTACTATCCATTTGGGTCGCGCACTCAAGGTTGCTCCCCCTCTGCGCACGCGCAGCATAATATGAACCATCGGTACGGGAGGCAAGGTCAATGGCGCGGCAGGCTAGGTCATGATCTTCCTTCGGAACACTCCAGCTCAGATCAAATCGGAAATTATCTGCATTGAGAGTCGACTCTGTATTCAATAGAGCAGCCCGGGCCCATGAATTATTCACAAAGAGCCCAAGGAGGAAGAAAAAAAGACTGACAAACGTGAAATCACGATTGGGGTAAATCATGGTTCAGATGGTCAAGCTCAATAAAGAGCGACAAAAAAAAGAAAATAAGGAGTGTGATTGGAATATGAAAATGAAGAATAAAAATCAAAATGAATGGGGTGCCATGAACTTGAACGATAGTGCGCAGGGCAGATGTAGTAAATTTGGAATATGGACTTGACTCCCCGAGGCAGATATTTGTATAGCTTGGTATTACTTTGAACTTCGGAGTACTGCCTTGAATTCATTCAGAGTGGGCTTAAATGCAGTTTTTTATCCCAGCATTACTCCTTCATCCATCTTCAGGCATTCGTATTTGCATTACTATTTTTTACAAGCAACTAAGCTCCTTCATCTTTGGGATTCCATACACTAGGCCATACACTAGCTGGTATTTTTCTATGGAGAAATATCCTCAAGTACCAAGTCCAAGAAAATTAGCATGGCCCTAAGAGTGGTAACCAAACTAGGTATATGGAGACTACGAAGTATGGGATGATACTTCGAAGGCTCAGTGAATCCATCGATGACCAGGTGTGGAGAAATGGATCTCGGATAAAACAATCGTCCCTGCAGTAAACTAGTACGACTTCGGGATCCGACCGACGGTCAAAACAATATTGAAAACTTGAACGCACTTGTGAAATTTGAATAAACTGCACTAAGTAAGCTAGTAGTTACTTTAACACTAAGAGGGGTACTCATTTCCACGAAAAGTTCCAAGAAACTTGGTATGAAATTCAAATGCGAATGAAAAAAACAACCCACTGTCTCCACATAGCATGCACTGATGCTTAGCGACGATACTCTGCGGAACAATCAAGGGTATCTAACAAGGGTCACAAGGGTCAGTTTGGCCCAGCCTTCGGCTAGAAAATGATCCTTCGCTGTACTAGCTCCTAGTTTTTCAAGAAAGCTAAGCTACTGAAGTTACTCCTTCAAAATAAACTAGAAATTCATAATGAAAAGTAAGTAGAATATTTTCCTTTCTCGAAAATCGCCGAACCCCACCCTGTAGTTACCGGACGTTCGGCATTAGTAAATGCCGAACATTGAACAATCAACATTTGAACGTTGAACTACTCCGTACTCTGCGGTGACGGCGAATTACCTGTTCCGGTTTAGCGTTTCCCTTTAGGTCTAGCGTGCCGCCGCGTCGTGGCATCGCCGTGCGTGCGTCTATAAAGTCGTCGCCATCACCCCGACTGTTGCTCGTCGACGTTTCGCCCGTTACGACTCCTCTCTGACCATCGGCTGCCTATACAAGTCCTGCTAGTGAGGCATTTTTGCTATTGCTCTAGGTCGCCGGGCCCCGCCGCCCCTTGGCCGCCGGCGCGAACTGACCAGTCCTTTGCCCTTGTTCGATCTCTCGAGCGCAGTATACACAGCTTTGCCTCATCTAGCCTCCTTTCTACACAGAATCGCCAAATATGCTCGACGTGAGGCATTTTTGCCTTTAGTCCACCATACCAACCCATAACTCTACCTCACGGACAAGTTAGCCAGTCTATCATCAATCTATTACACCCTTTAGTTTCAGTCACCCTAGACCCTCTATAGATAATCATCCATATACAGTAGATCCATAAATCTACCCTAGGGCCCTATATAAAAGTAAGAGCCTTATAACTAGTACTATCCTATCATTTTCATCCTAAGAAGAATATTAGTTAAAATATATTAATTATTGTCAGCAATTCAGGCTGATTCTCTGCCTGAATTCCTGGGACCAAAAGTGGCTCTTTTGGTCTTGACAGAACACGGGTGCAGAACTAGCCCAATTGGGTTAGTTCAAACCACTATTGAATGGAGAGCTCTGATTGGTCGAACCAGAATGGATCACATGACCGATCAGGTGATCTCCAGGCAGAATTTATGTGCGTAATTATCAGAATGAGAAAACCAGACCTGTTGATACATCCCATTGGCGACCGCCTACTGCATTAGACATTGTAGTCTGTCAGGTCTAAAGATTGTGCTGACTAATTCATCCCGCGATCAACCATTTTGTTGCGGAATGAATGGCTATTGTTTTGATCTGATCCATCAGATCAAAGATCATCTTCTCTCGTCCGAGAAGATTCGCAACCCGAACCCCGTTGTTGAGATCAATGGTTACAAGATGAGATGAAAGACTTGATCATTTCGGATTCCGTGGATCTTTCATCCCATGTTCTGAGACCTTTGGTCTTATGTTTATCTGTTTAGTCTAATGTTCTATAAAACCTGATCTTACCCCTTAGTTAGTTGAGCATCGAATTCAATCTTTTTGGGATCAGTAGTATCTTTGTTTGATTCTTTCCTTCCATTCCATCCTAAGTTTGGATCCAGCTTGGTCGTATGTCATTCCATCTGATCCGTGTTGTCTGATCTTTTGGTCTTATCTTTACCCTTTCCTCCCAAGTCCCCTGTAACTTGGTATCCCCTGTTCAGCTGACATCCTCTGCGTGACGTCATCACCTTTGGTCTGTCCCCGACACGCTGAAAGGATACCCCGTAGTTCGTTGCCTAAGGTGCTCCTGTGATTACAGGATCAACCTGACAAGTACCGTGACACTGTCAAGCAACGTGAGTATACACAAGCGTAGTGTCAATACTTACCGCAAGCCGTTATCCTGCAACTGTACCGTCGCCGTTGGGGCCTTACATGGGCTAGAGTCTTTAGGGATCCTTGCACGGTAATTCTTGATCAGGGGTTCGCCAGTAAGTCAGTCACAGAGTGAGCTCCCCTACTGGTTGGTGGTTGTCTTCTAAAAGGTGATTGTGATAAACAGACTCCAGAGTATCAGTCTGATTCGTACTGTAGAGTCCAATAACAATGAGAGAATAATCGCGAAGAACTAAATAAAGGATGCGGTAAACAGAGTCCTTATATATCCAGTCCTTCCTATCCGTCGATGGGATCGGGTCCCAGCCCATCGTGGGATGGGATCTCGTCCTATCCATGCATGGGATCTATTGTTGGAATAGTCCCTTTGGTCACGTGACTCCCACGTATACCCTTGTATCGCCGTATCCGCTTATTGTGACCAGGTACAATTGTGGTTTGTGCCGAGGAGGCCAGAAGTGGCTTCTCGCGCACCGTCTTTCCCATAAGTGCGGTATACCAAACGGCAAGTAGCAGGCCGTATCTGGCTCCTGTTGGTTGCCTGAGGCTCCAACTGGCCCTGCGCCCATTCAGGCTGTGTCCATTTTGGCCGGTCGTCAACTTTGGGTCCGACCGCCAACTGATTGGTTCGTAACTGCTCCTGGGAGATCCCTCCGTAGTGGGTCCGTAACACAAGCTATCTTCTATAATAATAAATCTTTCCTTATAGCAATAAAATATTCTATAAAGGACTTAAGAAGTTATAAAGTAGGATCAAACTTCTCTTTTGTAAAGTTAGTATTAGCTACTTTATTATAAAACAGCCTTTACCTATAATATATTAAAACCAATAATAAAAACATAAATTTTGATAGGCCTACTTACAATACCTAGTTCAAGGTAATATTTTCGTAATTTTGGAGCGTAGCCAATGCTAGCTCCTTATGGCAAATAGTATCTTCTTCCTGTTCCCGTTTGTTCTAATAATCAAGGGTGAATCCACGTGATGCGAATGAGCGTTCCCCTCAGCGAGCTATTTTTATATATTTTCTAGGAGTATTGTCTTTAAGCTAAGGAAAAAAAGATGAATAAAAAGTGGCAGGCCTTAATAAGCACCCCTAGGCCGTTATTGACAGACTACAATGTCTAATGCAGTAGGCGGTCGCCAAATGGAATGTCTCAACAGGTCTGGTTTTCTCATTCTGATAATTACGCACATAAATTCTGCCTGGAGATCACCTGATCGGTCATGTGATCCATTCTGGTTCGACCAATCAGAGCTCTCCATTTAATACTGGTTTGAACTAACCCAATTGGGCTAGTTCTGCACCCGTGTTCTGTCAGTTATTTATCTAAAATGCGAGTACTGCGGTGGGTCCTCTCACCCTGTTCTCATCCCGTTCTCACCTCTCTCACCCCCAGTCTCCAGAATTCTCACCCATATCACCCTCACTCACCCTAACACAGGACACGGTGCTTTTTAAAGCCAAGGGCTTTTTGAGAATTGACCGCGTTTAGTATGTGGCTTAAGTACGGCTGAGCGGATGGGAAGCCCTGTTCTCCACACCCTGTGGTCGTATGTGCTCTACGATCAATGAGGAAGCAATATATCCATTAATTTAAACTAACTCTTGGTAAGCCCAGGTGATTTACGGCATATTGAATTTGTATGTTTCACCGCTAACACATCCATGGATGGCATAGGCCTAAAGCCTCATACCTATACATGCAGACAAGAAGACAAGCTTTATACCCTTATTTTTGCACATTCTTGAACCGAGTTACCAATAGTTTTTTTGGCTTCAAAATAAACTTTCATAGGTTAACGGAAAAACTCCGCGTTTAATAAAATCCTCCAATCGGCGGATAGCATTGGCGTTTGTATATCCTCAAACTCCACACCAAAATGCGGGGATCAAATGTGACTACGTAGTACAATAGAAAGATTGTCATTAAAATAGGCCCACTCTGGGTATATATCTTTCATGATTGACGGGAAATTAAATTTTCTGCAGCATATAGAATCTGGGTTAGGTTCAATTTTTAGCGAGAGCTTAGTCCCGTATCCAGATGTAGAGCTGAAATAAAGGTGAATAATTTGCTTAAATAGGCGCATCGCCTGCTATCTTTCCAGGGTATTTATTACTAGAAAAAGAGTTTGCACAGCACTCAAGTGCTAGAAATCATTATTCGCCATGAAGATCTGCTTCACTTCTTTTATACTGTCTAGCTGTATCACTGGAGCTCTTGCCTCTCACCCTAGCTCTGGCTCGGAGGGGAAATCGAATGGCAAGCCGGATAGCAAAACCTCACCAGCCTCTACTATCGAGCCATGTATCTGCAAAGAATATAGCCAGATTGCTGCTGCTGTTGCAAACTGCACCGATATTGTTTTGTCCAATATCGCCGCCCCTAATGGGTCTTCCATCGATTTGTCTAGCCTCAAGGCGGGAACGACTGTGACATTTGAGGGTCTCACTACATTCGGATGGGTCAATTCGTCGAGCTTTAACCCTATCACGATCGGCGGAGAAGGAATCACCATTACTGCGAAGGAAGGAGCTGTAATCGATGGTAACGGCCAGGCCTACTGGGATGGCCTGGGCTCTAATGGAGGATTACCCAAGCCAGATCATTTCATTGTCGTGGACAACGTCACTGGCAACTCGGTAATTGAGAAGTTGTATATCCAGAACTGGCCTGTTCACCTGTTCAATATCATAGAGTCTGAGAATGTGATATTCCAGGATATGACTCTGAATAATGCGGCTGGTGATGCACCCAATTCGCGTAGCGATGGCCTCGCAGCAGCACATAATAGTGATGGTTTTGATGTCAGCTCGTCTTACAACATAACCATTCGTCGCAACTTCATTCACAATCAGGATGATTGTGTCGCGATCACCAGTGGAAATAACATGACAGTGTCGGAAATGACTTGCCAAGGATCCCATGGCATCAGTATTGGATCCATCGGAGGAAAGTCTAACAACAATGTGACTAACATCCATGTAAGTTCAAATTTTGACATGGAAACTACCCACCTCTACCAAAATCAAATTCGGAAATTTTGTTAACATATGAAACCTCCAGTTCTCCGATTCTATCCTCATCAATACCCAAGCTGGCCCTCGTATCAAGACCAACTACAACTACACCGGTTTTGTCTCCAACATCACTTATGAAAACATTGTCCTCCAGAATATCACCCAGTACGGCATCGACATTCAGCAGGACTACCTCAATGGAGGGCCGACAGGGGTTCCCAGTAATGGTGTCATAATTGAGAATGTCCTCATGAAGAACATTAAGGGATATGTTGCTTCGGACGCCCAACCATACTACATTCTGTGTGGTGATGGTTCATGCACGAACATCGTGTTTGAGGATGTCAAGGTTACGGGTGGTGAGGCTAGCAGTTGCAATCACAAAGTATCCGGATGCTCCACCTCATCATAGACATCTGGATAAGGGTCATATCGTGTCTCTGTGTATCGTACAGAATTTTCTTTTTTCTAACACAATATCACACACATACGCATCTATATAATGCGGCATGTCTCTGGTCAAGCTTACAACTTGAATATCAATCCTTTTTGAGGGGAGTGGATGCCACCTTACTCTTAATAATCAGACAAATAGAGAAACCGAGACCAATGAATAGTTTCAAGACTTAGTATCAATTGACAATATCAAACATTTAAAGGCTTAGCTAGGTATGTATTGTAGTGTATTGGGGATACTATTGTCTATGGGGATTAAATGCCCTGCTATGTTCTGTTCTGTTCTAGTCTGTTCTAGTCTGCCGTTCTGCCGTTGTGCCTTTCTGTTCTGGTCTTACCGCCGTACCCGTGCATCTTCGAGTGCACTGCCTAGAGCGTTCCCCTCTTCAGTATCTATTCATGCTTACTTTATTGGGACTAGCTCTTACATGTGAAAAAGTGGAATACGAATTGTCCCGCTCTCCAGAAAAGATATTCGTGTTATCTCACTTAATGCGATAAAAAGAAAACTTGAACCAAAGCAGAGGAAGAGCGACAAGAAATAGATCATAATGGGGATCACCCCATTGCAGATGAGCAATGCTCTTACGGGGGGGTCTGGCAAATGCTCAGATCTTCTCTTCCCTCGCCCTCCTGGGTCTTGCTTCTCATATGTTCTTTGTTCGTCATCGAAATGTCGATCGATTGATAGGGAAAGGCTTCATGCCGTATCTATACGTCCAATTTGGACTCTGGATATTGTTGTCCATTCGCAGTGATCCTTTCCAGTCGGGGATCTTTCTTTTGCTCGCCAACGCAGCTTTCTACATACCACTCTTTGCAAGCATCTCTATCTATCGACTGTTCTTCCATCCGTTAAAGTCATTCCCTGGTCCTGGCCTGGCGCGATTAACAACATGGTGGGGAGTTGTTAAGCTTGCGATGGGAGAGCAGAGGTACCAACTCCACCATGAACTACACCAACAATATGGAAAAATAGTACGGATAGGTAAGTAGATCCTTATGATATTTTGGACTTGAAAGATGATTAATTTATCTTAATCAGCACCAAACTACTTGTCTATCAATAGTCAAGAAGCTGTTGCGATGATTTATGGTCCTGGCACTAAGTGCGAGAAGTCGAATACCTTCTACGGCTTGCGGGACTCAAAAAGTCTACAGCTTGAGACAGAATTGACAAAACACAGAGCTCGCAGACCGGCTTGGGACAAGGCCTTGAGCGCAAAAAGTATGTATATACAGCATTCCACAAATGTCAAATCCATGTCTGGAAGCTGAGCTTCGCTTCTAGGATGCGTGAAATACCTTCCTAAGCTATATCGTGTGACCGATTTAATGATTGACTGTATCGCCAAAGCAGGCAGCAAAGATGACAGAGGTGTCCTAGTTAATCACTGGCTGAAGTGCTTCGTCTTCGATATGGTGGGGGAGTTAGGATACAGCAAATCATATGGATGTCTGGATTCTGGCAAAATTCACCAAGGACTTTTAGAGGTAGAGAAATTCCTGGCAACAGGAGTCTTGTTGTCGCCTCTTCCATGGCTTGTGAGAATCATAACCAGTCTTCCTGGCTTGCCAGCGCCGATGCAGGGTCTTACAGACTTTGCATCACTTAGCCTGGCTGAGCGCAAGGCTTCCAAGGTAGAGTCGCCAGACGTTCTGTCTTACGTTTTCGGAGGCAAAAAGGCCTTGACCCCCGAGGAAGAAATCGAGGATACCATGATGCTGCAGATTGCCGCTGGTGACACGACTCTCTCTGCATTGACCTTCTGCATGTATCATCTTGCGATCAACCCTGAAATCCAATCCGCCCTGCGAAGGGAAATTGAAACCCATGCGGATGTTGCGGATTTGGCCTTTGAAGCGATTCAAGATCTTCCGCTGTTAGAAAGCGTCATTAATGAGACACTGCGAGTTCATCCAGCCGTGCCAAGTGGCTTGCCACGCTTAACCCCTCCAGAGGGCGTTTACATTGATGGTACATATATTCCTGGTAATACCACCGTCAGCTGCCCGACCTGGACTATCCAACATAGTAAGTATAACAGATACATCCCGGTCACCTCCATTTATATCAACAAATCATTAATGTTGTCTAGGTCACGAAAACTTTACCGACCCGAATACCTGGAATCCCTTCCGCTGGATCGACGTTTTAGAAACCCATAACACGAAAGCTTTCATTCCATTCAGTGTGGGCCCATTCAACTGCGTAGGTAAGGCCTTTGCTTACATGGAGATGAAGCAAGTCCTTGCAAGAATAGTGACTACCTTTGAATTTCAGCTGGGACCAGAAGAGGATGGAACCAAGTTAATCAACGAAAGCCGAGACCATACGGCTATGAGCTGTGCTCCTTTGTATTTGAAGATGAAAGCGATAGTCGGGAAAGATTAGCTGTTTAGGTATAATGTGAGATTTGAGAGGTAGATACTATACTATATGAATCATTCTGATCAATATCTCCGGTTTGACGAGACATTGAATGCGAGATTGTCAGAGAAAGGCTATAAAATCCTGATCCTGCATGGAATTTGAAAGGAGAAAAGTAAGCACATTGAAGGAAGCTCAATTTCAAGCAACATGGAGCTCTGCCAAGTCCAGCGTTTCCTCTTCCGACTTTTTTAAGTAGCCAGTCTTGAGAAAGTTACTTAATAGCGGAGTGTAATCGAAAATCGCATCCCGAATCCAGGCAAGAGGCCGCGGCACGGAGTGAAACATCCAGCCAAGTCGACGAGCAAATTCCACATTATGGTTAACAAAGTCAACTCGTTCTTTCTCGTAGATCTCAAATCCAGCGTTGACTGCTCGTTTGTCCCGTAGATCAACGCCATCCAGCGCTCTCGCAAGAAAGTAACCATCCTCAATTGCCATGCCCATCCCATATGCTGCATATGGTGATACTGGGTGAACAGCATCGCCAAGACATACAACACGACCACTTGACCACTTCTTCAACGATGGTCTGTTGTAGATTTCCCAACGATACACTTGACTCTTGAAATCAGTGGCATCTAAGAACCGGGGGAGTGGCTGTGCCCAATCCTTGAGGATCTCTGTAAGATGCGCTTTGGGATCTTCGGGGACAGGCTTGCCCTCCCATGACGGTTCAACCACCCACCACTCGAATCCTGGTTTTCCCTCATGAAGCATCGGGAAGAAGCTAGCTTGATATTGCCAGCTATGTGAGATGAAGCCGTAGTTTGGAGGGATATCGGGAATGTGGTCACACCAAGCGAGCCAGAGTCGAATTCCGGTGTGAAATAAGCGAGGGTCGCCGAATGCTTGTCGCGATACATTCGAGCGGATTCCATCTGCTCCAATGAGGATATCAGCCATCTCGCGATGACCGTTCTTGAAAAAAAGCTCGACGGCCTCCTCATGTTCGGTGTAAGATGTAGACTCGTGACCAGCATGAATAACATTTTCGGGAACAAGTTCCAACATCTTTTTGAAGATCGAGGAGCGGAGAACGCCATAGTGCCAGCCTTTGATGCCCATTTTTCGCTCACACTCTGGGTTAAAAGGCAGCTTGACGCGCTCTTTGCCGGAATTATTCTTAAAATAAGTCACTGTGTAAGAACCGAAGTTCTTCTCATCCAGTCCGTAAGACCGAAGAATGGCTAGTACAGGGGTTGCCAGTAGAACTGCGCCTCCAATAGCTGTACACTCTGGTTGTCTTTCGAAGATACGAACGTCAAAGCCTCGTTGAATAAAGGCTAGAGCCGCTGAAATCGATCCAGGTCCTCCTCCAACGATCGCGACCCGTTTTCCAGGGCGCCATTGAGAAGCTGACATGTTGGAGAAATTCCGGTTGAGGAAAACTTGTTGTTCAACAACAAATATCAGGGTATGATGGATATGTGAAAAGAGTGATGAATTTGTAGATGTACCATGCCAGGCTTCCAGCAATTTAGGTCAATAAATAGAGACAGAAAAAGAGGCTGCATCGTCGGCTTCTCATCCCCACAGCCGAAAACACGGGGATGCCACATCTCCCTTTGTCCACAATCGGGAACCTGGGGCGTGCGTCTCTTATCAACCTTAATTAACTTTTTCTTCGAAATACCAGCTGTTCCCACCAGACTTTTAGAATGATTTTGATGTAGGTTGCATACTAGGGGGGATGAGCAGAGCCAATGGAGAGCCGGCGGAGAGCCGATAGTGAGATGATGGAGAGCCGAGCCGGCGGGGAGCCGAAACCAATGGGGAGCCGACACTTCCGGGTGGCGGCCTAGACAATATTGAAGGTCAAGGAAGATGATCAATAATATAGCCAATAACAGATACGAAAATTGTAGATCATTCACCTAGATCCGTCCAAAATCCGAGAATCAATGAAGTTGACACTGTAATCCATATTAGTTTATTCTTTCAGAAAGCCGCCAGCTGGCATGCCGCATGATCCATGTCCCATGTGTTAATTCAACCATTCATTCAAATGTTAGTATATCCTGCCCAGGTGGCTATGGAACGGAAAGATCAGACTCTCAGATGGAAGAAAGGTATTACCACCACGGCCGTGGATAGCTTCAAATTTTCTTGTTCCTTTGAATATATCAACATTGAAGTGACGAGTAACGGTTTATGATATAATTAGTTCATCCCGGTCTAGCAGTTGTTTTCTTTCTCTATATTCCAGCACGACGGATGTGACTGACATCAATATGTATTATTCTTGAAAGGAACATTCAAGTTGCTTATTGGAAGATTATAGAATAGAGATAAATTACCTGAGAAGAGGTTGTATTTATTTATAACCCAGAACTTCAATGTTGAAGACAGGAATAACGCAGTCTGGTGAAACTGACACTCAAGTAGTTCACCATTAATCACTTTGTCGAACGCCCATTCCTGAAACCATTTCTCCCAATTTTTCCCCTCCTACGCCCGTAATTCCTTCCACCGGCAATAGCACATACAGCATCCGTGCCCAGCATTCCTTCCTAACACCGAACTCATCGACTGTAGTGGTTACGTTTTTCCATGCATGACTCGTTCCTCGTTGAATAGAGACGTCCCCTCTTTTCATCAACCGAGTTTCCCCACTATCCAAAATCAACTCAATCTCACCCTCCAAGACGACTCCGTAGTCCAACGAGACTGTGCGATGCATAGGACATGAAAACCCGGGCCCAATATCAACAATGCGACAGACTGATCCCGAGGAGACCACGAGGCCGGGAGGCTCTTGTAAAAAGCGCTGGTACACTTCAAGGTCTTGGTCGTCACTAAGCACGGCAGGAAATTGATTTGTACAGTAGGCGAGAGTGAAGAGGCCTCCATTGACATAATGCCTAGAGGCTTCTTCTGGGAAGTTGGTATCGAATACGGCAACCCCGCTTTTGTCGTGAGTGGTAATGAAACGATTGATTGGAGGAAGAGGAGAGGACTCGCTTAGCGAAGCATTGTCGCTTTGGACTGGTGATCCAGTTGATTCATTCTTCTGTGTCATGATGTAGATCAACGAACAGTAAGACGGAGACTGAAGAGAGAGTAAAAACTGAGAACTTCAAGAGCGATGAAGAAGGCTGCGTAGTACCTTATATGTAGAAGCCTACCGCTATCGGAGCTAACCTTGAGTCGGGATGTGGGGGATAAGTTCTAGTAAGACGGGAAATACATCCTTCCAAGGTTGTGTCGGAGGTCATTATAGAGCGGAACGAGTTTTCAATAATTATCCGTAGTTGATCCGAGGTCCGTCCTGTAGTGTTGAGTGTTTAGCTCACGCACCGGTGGCCTTTCCTTCCATCCTCCTCCATGTAACCTCCGCACATAGTTTCCCTCCCCCATTATCACCTAGGAGTACTTTGCCATTCTTAGGAGATATCAACTTTGGTTGGATGATCTGCGCTGGAGATGAAGAAAGGGAAGAGACGTGGTGATATATGCGAGATTAGGTGATACAACTCATCTCAAGAACTTTGAGCGAGTGAAACTCCTCATTGCGATCTGTGGCTAGTACGTATTGTCTCAGTATTGAAAATTGAGGGTTTATCAATTTTTTAACCTTCGACCAGGATCCATTCCAGTGATCTTGGATAAGATCATTCCCCGGCAGAGCTTGTTTTTAGTGGCAGTTTTACCTATTCTTAGAACAGTATAAACCCAGGTGCCCTCAGTAGATACAGTAGATATCACCTCCAGAGCTTCGTCTGCCATGTCCTCTTCCTTCGGCGTCTCCCTTCCCACATCTCAAGACGAAATGGATTCAGACAGCATATGGGCAAGCAGATACCTCTTAGGGGTATGCTGAATCTACCTATGTACCTAGTAGAGTGCATAGCCTTGAGCGTTCAGCTTTTTACTATCTACCAGTAGTTAGTTAATCATGATGCTACGAAGTAGTGGTATGAAAGGCAATACTACATGTATAGTGTTTTTATTCAAATCGATGCTGTGCTTTGGATTTTATTTACTGATTGACCAAGGAGATGAATCAATACATACTACTGTATTCCAAAAAAAACTTGAAGTGGACCAACAAAAAAGGATACAAGCGACGGAGAACTCGCGCGGTTCCCCATTGTTGAAAACTCGTCCTGGATCTTACACCAATCGTCCACCAACCCTCCCTGGCACTAGGTCTAATTTGAACATTTTTCTTCTTTCGCCGAAGATATTTCACCAAAGCTAATTCGAAGCTCGAGATCTGTAGACAAAATCAAAGATATCTTCCCCTTCGAGAATGAAGAGTGGAATGCCATCAGAGAGATCTTTTTAGCCATGTTTCGAAGAGCAAAGATTTCAATCACTCCCTCCAGGTATTTTCAGCGAAAGGATCCAGAGTTCTCGCATTAGCCTCCGACTCGGTATTGACAGTTTCCTCATTTGTGATCCTGCGATAGTCCTGTGACTCGTTCGAGGAGAATGTAGTGTTCAACCAGCTAGATCGTCGACTACTCCAAGATGCGATTCCAATCTAGTTTCCAATAATCAGCATCAAAATCAATCTTCCATTCTGATATAAGAGAAATGAAGAGACCTTCAGAGCCACGATTAAAAGAGCCGCAGCGAAAATCATCCACGAAGCTGTCTGCTGCTGTCCTCTCCATGGCGTTAAACAGCTCCGTGTGTAGCCAAGCTGTAGCTCACAAGAGTTATCACCATGTGTACGATCCTTGAATGGCCATGCCCGATCACGGGTACTCCGTAGACCACAACACTGGAAAGAATCTTGAATTGTTCGAATGGCATCCGCATTCTTAGCCTTGAACATAGATTGCCATTGTTGTTCAATATTGCAGGTTGATAGTTGCTCGGGGTAGAGATATGCGAGTGCTAGTGTTGCGAGGATAGTGGATAGTATGGTGTGTAGCTGATTCAAGGCGGAAAGGACTCGCTGGATGCCGATACCCCAGATTTCGAAATCACGTTGGCTGGCTGATTTCAAGACCCATGTGGAGAGAACACCGAGTATGAGGCCAAGAACTGGTGATACTATGGTCGCTACAGCTGGGATCCAGGTCGGAATGGGGAGGTAGTAGGATACAGTGCGCGACCATGAGAGTCTAGCCTTTGTTACTAGAGCTTCAACTTTAGTATATAGCTTTGTACTGGTTAGACTCACGCTCCAAGAATAATACCTGCGATGCCGAGCTAATGAGTTGATTCAGTTAAAGTTTACAGGTGGATTCAGGTTAGATTCAATGGCAGCTTACCAGCACTAGCAGTATAAATGACACAGGTCTTCTCCACTCGCTCATCATGAACGTTGTAGCTTTTTAAGTATTCAAAAAAAAAACGTGCCGACCCAGGGCTAAAAAAACAATGATTGGAAATTGTGAAGTGATAGGAAGCTAGATTGATCTTTCTTTGAGCTAAGACAAAGAGAAAGAGGGGATGAGGGGAAGGTACCTATGACAATCACATCTGGTGTGGCAGCCTGAGCTCTCAGGCCATAATATGCAGGTTTCCATTCAAAACAAACATCTTGAACATTCAACGTTTGAAGTAGGATCAATTCTTTTCCAAGTTCCAGGTAAGAGTCATCCATATGTCAGTTGCTGATGTTCAATATCTTACATACTGAAATTATATCTCGGAGATTTGAGAATAAGAAGTCCAACTATTGGAACCGGTCTGTCCATCTGTCCATAGACCTCTTAGCGCCAGGGTTCAACCTACATCGACAGAGTCGCAAAGACTTGAGCTACGAACACACGTCACTGAAAAAAATATTGCAGTGATGAAGAAAAAGCCACGCGATAGACCTAGATCTTCGGGGCTGCCGCTTAACTCCACTAGCAAGCCACCAAACCTGCCACAACCCTGAAGCTAAGGTGTTTCAGGCCTCGGTTCCCTTACTTGGTCGGCACTTCAGGCTGCACTTCAGGTTATGAAGCTTATTTTGTTGAAAATGTCTGATCCAAGAGCAGACCCTACGGCGTCACCGATATGTCCTTGCTTCACTAAGCGACCGAGTGCGTGTAAGCCGCCTGGGGCGTTTTGTGGCGGCGATTTGTTGTCAATATACAAGATACGCCATAGCGAAACCCTGTTTTGATTAATCGACTGATACTTGAGGTTCTTATCTACAAACTTTGGAAGACCATGAAAACCCTTGGAACCAGCTGAACAATTCATTTTTTGGGTATCTACCCGATACAGATAGGATGGGGTTTCTCCACATTGCGATCCACGATGAAATTGATACTGGGCTAAAAGAAGCGACCCGCCAATGAGTTTATTTTTATCCCCTTCACTTACTATTTTCTCTGCATTATTCATTCTAGGTTCAATTTGGCCTTTCTCGATTGATTCACCACACTCATCAAATGTTTGGAATTCGTGCCTGCCGCCCACAACTCCCGGGGACGAATATTTGCTTTGCGATTCGCTCGCTCGGAAACCCTTCGTCGCATAATGGTTCTTTTCAACCTAAGGCATCTTACACTTGTGGGGCAGTGCAGTCAAGTCAAACAATTCCTTGATAGAAGTCTTTGCATGCTTATCTTATGTCTCGCGTTGATTCAAGCTAATTTATGCCATATGCGCAGTCAATAAAGTAAGTTGTGCGAGATTAACTACGTCAGCTAGCTACTTGCATACACGTAGCCTCATTCGTCATTGCTGACCACATCTTCACAGATGGAGGATCGTGCTGGTAGGAAGAACTTATTCCTTTGATCACATATCAGGAAACTTGATCGCGATAAGATCCACATTCCCACCCTCAGGCTTTTTCTACACCGTACTTTAACTTGAATCCCATATTTAGATCAGAGGGTTCACGCAAGTGGGTTTCATTAGCCCGTTGAAGTAGACAAGCACTGGTAATTATAGTATAGTGTGCGAAGTGGAGTGTGTTATTCAAAACAAATAACTCTGAAGCCCAATAGTAGCGACAATATAATCCACTTTTCTTTATTTCGGGCAACTTCGGCCTTCTGCCGTAGCCTTGGCCCTTACGCACGGCCCTAATATGGGGCTCCAGCTGCCCAGCTACACATTTATGATGTGGCTATCTCCCGCCAAACTACTGCTGATGTGAGCCTCGTCCAATTGAAAGATCGTAAATACCGAGATCAGTTTGTACTAGTAATTTGCGCAGGTCAGCGGCTGCTCCGACTCGGATCATCCGTTCCAATGGTTTCAAGTTAACGCTGGCATGGAGATCCACTTCTACTAGGGCTGAACCAGTAGTTAGGCTTCAACTACCGGGGTGCGTTCAACCTGTCGGTGAATATGCACAGAACATTGGCCGGGTATATGCACTAAATCATGAGGGTGTCCAACACTTGAGGCGTTTTGGTCTATTTTGGTTTTATACATGTATCTATACTGCTGGAATAGATCCATTTAACTGGCAGGTGGGGCAGAGTGGGAATAGTTTTAGCCCAAAACTACTCCATAGTATCTCGAGGCTCTAAAGGATTCAAGTTTTTAGTTGTCATAGGCGATGCCGATCCGGCATAATCCGTGACGCTTGGCCAGTTAATCTAGATATTTGCTTATCCTGTATTGTCTTATTTAATTGCCAGAAATTCCTTCGCAGTTCTTAAATACTGGTTGAACCCTACTTTCTTATCCCAGGAGTGGTGACTTGCGATAAAAAGTCGACATTGTTCAACATAATCCACAATGGCGGTCCCAGACGAACCTATGCCATCTTCAGACTCCACGATGACATTGACTGAGAACCAAAGAGACTCCATGATGACATTGGTTGAAACCCAAAACCCAAAGGATGCATCCCCGGAGGAGTTCAAAGCAGACTGGAGGCTGAAGAGCATATTTGCTGTCATCGGTCTACTGAACTTTGTGGTTGCTGTCGATGCTACATCTGTATCTGTTGCACTACCAGTAAGTTTCTATCAATAATCCTATACTATTATTCTCTCCCATGTTTATGCTTACCTTCGTTCACAGACAATCTCCTCCGACTTTGGCGGAACAGCAACCGAAGCCTTTTGGGCTGGAACCTCCTTTCTCGTCGCGTCTTGTGTCTTTCAGCCCTTGATATCCCTACTGTCTGATATTTTCGGCCGTAAAAGCATTATTCTGCTCGCCGTCTTAAGCTTCACCCTCGGAGCCATCCTTGCCGCCATCTCTCATGGATGGACACTCATGCTTGTTGGTCGATGCATTCAAGGTGTCGGGGGAGGAGGTATTTATACCTTGACTGAAATCCTCATTGCCGACTTGATCCCACTACGAGAGCGTGGAAAGTGGTTCAGTATCAAATCTGGCTCACAGGCACTGGGAACAATCGTCGGTCCTCTAATTGGAGGTGCATTTACAGAATCCTCTGCCTCGTGGAGATGGCTTTTCTGGTTCAATATCCCCTTCACAGGTCTGGGCCTAGCCCTCATTCCAGTTTTCTTCCATCTTGAAAGAGCTCCTGTTTCTGTACGGGAAAGCTTGGCGAAGGTGGACTATTTTGGATGTGTCATTTCCATCGCGTCGCTTACTTCTTTCCTCATTCCTATCACTTGGGGCGGTAGCATGTACTCGTGGGACTCATGGCATACACTCGTCCCATTGATTCTTGGAATCGCTGGAATGATCGGCTTCGTCGTGTATGAAGCTTATTTTCCTACTCAGCCGTTGATCCCAACTTATCTCTTCAACAACCTCACTATTTGTCTAAGTTACCTCGGTATCTTCCTCCACGGTCTCGTCTTATGGGCCTTGGTCTACTACCTCCCCCTCTATTACGAAGGCGTCCTAGCATACAGCCCCGTCGTTTCAGGCTTGGCTCTATTCCCTGAATGCCTGACTATCGCTCCACTTGCTGTTGTCACGGGCATTATCATCACAAAATATGGGGATTACCGCTGGGCACTATGGGCAGGATGGCCCTTGGCAGTCTTGGGTCTCGGAATCATACATCTATTGGGGCCACATACGAGTGTTCCCAAGTGGATCTTCTTGAACCTCCCTATCGGAATCGCATGTGGTGTACTCTTCCCATCAGTACAACTTCCCGTTCAAGCCGCCGTAAACCCGGAATACATCACTATCGCTGTGACTATGACACCGTTCTTCCGGACACTGGGGCAGTCTGTGGGCGTTGCTATTGGAGGTGTGGTCTTCCAGAATCGCATCAGAAAACAGCTCAGTAATGACCCTAGTCTGGGAGCTGTGGCTGATAAGTATGCATCGGATGCTTCTAGTCTGGTGGAGTTTATTAAGACTCTACCAGCAGGAAGCTCTGAGCGTACGACGCTCATCGCAATGTATGCAAAGTCTTTGGGTGTTGTCTGGGCTGTTATGTGTGGCATTGCTGCTGTGGGACTTTTGACTAGCATCTTCATCAAGAAGTACTCCTTGAACCAGGAACTGACGTCGAAGCAACGTGTGAGGAGGTCAAAGGCTGATCTTGAGTCTGTGCAGGTTCCTGTGGAACCTAAGAATGAAGAGAGTTATGCCCGGGTGGAAGTGAGTGATTAACGGAAACACGAGTGATCACATATGGTGTAATCGTTTCAGCCTTTTTCAAATCTGTTATACTAATGTGACTTTTACGGTCTGTATTTTTGGTGTGTTTTTCATGCAAAAGATGGCTTAATTTGGAGGTGGTCTCGCATTTGGAATTATTTAACGACGAAATGAACATTTCAAAAAATATTATGAATAATTTTATAGTTTCGAAATTAGAATTGGATAATATTTACCTACAATTTCCCAGACATTTATTCATCTCGTGTGTATCCAATCTCATTCGATCTTAAGCTTAAAAGCAATATACTTCCATTCACCAATCAGAGATCACAAATTACATAGCTTCTCCACCACTGAATGCAGCTGATCATTTCCCCTCGTATCCCTCGTATCCTCCAAGACTCATCTGAAGTCCCTGTTATAACCTTGGAACATCCCACTGAACCGGAAGACTACCAGAAATCTTGGAGGTCTATACATTTACAATGTCCAAATACGACCTTGCCCTCGAGCGCATCGACGCCGCCCATAAAGATGACCCCACCACCATCATAATTAACACCACCACCCTCCCCTACGAACTCCACTACGCTCAACAAATGACCCTCTACCTCGAGCGTCTAGACCCTAACGCCTCGGAACTTCTGCGCCTCGCCATCCGCGCCCAACATCTCCGCCGCTGGGAAATCCCTCGCAGCTCCTACCCCGCCACTAAGATCGGGTACCACTCCTGGCGCGGGGCACTACAAAGAGCACAAGCTGCGCTGGCAGAGAAGATCTGTGTTGAAAGTGGATATACAGAGGCAGAGGCGGCACGTGTGGGCGCAATGGTTCGCAAGGCGGATTTGAAGAAGGGAGATCCGGATACACAGACACTGGAGGATGTGGCTTGTTTGGTATTTTTGGATGATCAGTTTGATAAGTTTGAGAAGGATCTTGGCGATGAGGATAAGATTGTGGATATTTTGAGGAAGACTTGGGGGAAGATGTCTGAGGCTGGGAGGAATGAGGCGTTGAATATTAAGTTGTCGGAACGGGGGAGTGCGTTGGTACAGAAGGCTTTGGCTGGTTAAGTGTAGGTATACATTTTCTTCCTATTTTTATTCTATTGGTTCGATCTTTAATTTTGTTATGATGGATGAAATGCGATGTGAATTAAGAATGGAATTGTATTAAGAAACGCCCGCTGATGATATCCAGGTGAAATGAGGTCATTAAGGCCGTTAAGAGACAAGATCGAGATATTCAAGCTCAATTGCTTTTGTGCTGTTTTCAGCAAGGCAAAATGCAAGTTATTCTTGAAATCCAAGAAAACTATGCGGCATTACCAGTTTTACCAGTGTCAATCAGACGCACTAGTCCAATTGCCGCGCCGGCAGCCACACCTCCAACAAGAACCATCTGGATTCCACCCCAGATAGCAGCAAGAACATTATCACGACCACTCCAACCACGTACCACACAGGTCTTGGTGTATCCAAATGTGAGAAGAGTAATACCCATGACACCAATACTCCAGTACAAAGCAATGAGAACCTGGGAAGCGATGAAATACGGAATCAGCGGGATAAAACCTCCGACGAAATAGCCCAGTGCTAGCGTAAGAGCGGACATCCAGGCTTGGTTGCAGTCAGGCGCAGCTACACGGTGGTGGTTTGCAAGCAAGAACTCGAGGAGGCGGTCCTGCGAGGCGTGCAGATTGCGGGTGATATCTTCAATGGCCGATTCTGAGAGACTGTACGATGCGAAGTGATCGTGCACAATGATTCGTGTTTCGTGGGGATGATTCTCGATCAATTCTTCGGTTTCGCGAACGGTAGCTTGGTATGATTCACTATGCGAATGTTAGAGACATGCTGCATTGCTGGAGAAGGATATGAGTACTCACACTTCACTCTTTGCGCCAACGTATCCGCCCAATCCCATGGAGATGGCTCCTGCTGCCAACTCGGCAAGTCCACCGAGAACAACAACCTTGGTGTTTCCAAGTGCCGACAGTCCAGCGGTTAGAGCGAATGGAACAGTTAGTCCGTCCGAGAGACCAAGAATAGCATCGGAAATTATGCGTGGGTTGATGCGAGACCGGGTGCTGGCACTGCCACCGCTGATGGTAGACTCGCCATAGCTGACAGTGCGTCCGAAGGTGTTGTAAGAGCGGGCGCTCTGCGATTCAAGGTCTTGGTCCATCGTTTCCTCGTCTTCGATGCGAGCTAGGAGAGGTTTACCTGGTTGAGAAGATCATTAGCATATTGATTTCTGGATATTTTGTCGATGCTTCAACGGAATGTACTCACTTGGAAGCTTTTGGTACTCTTTTGTGGGGAAGAGCTTCTGCTTGAGGAAGAGAAAAGCCATGATGGTTTTTATTATCCTAGGCTCCGATTCTACCGGAGTTTTGTCGACACGATAGTGAAGCTTTTTTGATACCCCAGGCTCCGATTCTACCGGAGTTTTTTGTTGACACAATAGTGAAGCTTTTTGATATCCCAGGCTCCGATTCAACGTGAGTTTTTTGTTGACACAATATTCACCAACAAGGGATCCTAGAGAAGGAATTCTTCCTGTATTTTCCCAGATCGACGATCTCGGGGCAATATTGATTTGAGATCGAGTGCGTGCAGAATAGTAGCAAGGCGAGATTGACGTCAGGACAAGATATCACCATTTACAGGAGGGAAATGATGAGAAGATCGAAGTTTCCAGGAGTTCAATAAAAAGGTGTCAATCTGGAGTTTGAAAAGAGGGGAAGAAGGTATCTTAATAGTATGTGTCGTGAAACAACCCTGAGATCATGAAAGGGAAGCGGATTCAAAAGAAATCTATGTCTTGCAAAGGTACAATTGAAGAAGAAAAAAAAACATCGCAAGGGGCCCTTCCATTCTTTTAATTCTTACAATAGCCACAACTTTTCACACCGGTCTCAGCAATCTCAAACTTCATTAGCATAACAAAAAGCCCCAAAGACAAAAAAACAGTTATGCATGCAGGTGAGCGATGGACATTTAACCAATCAGAAACCTCATAAAGGTCAGCGAGAGTAAATCAGCTTTGTTTTGTTAGTAACTTTACGGAGATAGAAGCCTTTCAGTCCATTCTTACATCTGTAAAAGACACGCATTTGCTGCAAATCCAAAAGCTGTGATTGGTGGTGGTGATCATGATGACCATTAGCTTGATTGTGAGTGGATGAAGTTCGTAGATCTCCGTTATAACGGCTCCACTGTACTACATTCCATTGTGTCATCCATTGGCCACTCGGTGCTAGGGCTCCGGTCTTTTCTAGATCGGTCGGTTTCCGTTTGTATATTCCGAGTTCACCTTGGCAGGTCCACTGAATTGAGCAGGATAGGTGTGGTTGGCGCGAGGGAGTGGATTGTTTTTTTAATAATTCCACATTGGCCCGCAGAGAAATCTTCTAGCGCTATCGCGTACCCTGTTTTTGAAAGGAACGGTTGGCGTCTCCTGCATGGGAGGGACTCGAACTTGAACGCGCATATGTTGTATGTAACACGATGTGACCTCAGATTCCTGATGTGTTTCAAGGTTATTCAAGTTGAGGCGGTCGACTCGGAGTTGACATATATACCAGTCGACATGTGTGCGCTGATATCTGCAATTTGGCTGAGCATTGTGAAATCAATTCATACATGCATATTTATTCCGTCGAACCCGCATAAGGAAAAAATCCGGTCAGCTGTCAGGATTCTTTCTGGAAGCCCGGTATTAACTTGATTTAAGTGGGGGAAAAGCGCGAGAAGTGCTGATCTCTCACTTACACTTGAGATTTGATATCCACTTTCTATCCACTTTTTCCAACATTTCCAGGATTTATAGATAGAAAATTGCACTAGCGCCTGTCAATGAACTCAAAGAATCACTTACATCCTTTGAATTGGCAAATCAACAATCTCTGCAGTGGATAGCATGGTTTTCTCCCGTGTCTGATCCACTGTTTTGTAGCAAAAACCTTGATTTGAATGATAACATTCGCAAGCTCCATTGCTCTGCATCTTCAATTTGTTTTCGGGGCTTTCTTCATAATAATAGCTCAGAATTAAGACTTGAGCCGTGACTGTTGGTTTTGAGATTTTGGGTCATTCGATCTTCGAGTTGATCAGCTTATTCAGGCCATCTCTGTAAGGATCTGCTGCATTAGGTTTTCTCAGTCGCTGTAGTTGCCAATGCTGGTGAGAGTTTTCACTAGGCAGTTGAATTCAAGTGTTCCCTATTTACTCAGGTTTTTAGTTTGTGTGGTATTGTTGCTATTCATCGTGTTATTATTGTTTGCTGCGTGTTATCAATCGGAGATGAGAGGATGGTCGTCATTGCGTTCACGTGTCATTTCGTGATACCAGGATTAAGCGAGGAAGTAAGAGTTAAAGTCATATTAATAGACATAGTTATAGTAAGAGTTATAGTAAGAGTTATAGTAAGAGTTATAGCAAGAATTATAGTAAGAGTAAGATGAAGTGTAAGAGTTGCTATAATACTATCAATATGCCTTGCGGCCCACAAAAGCAACAACTTTCTGAAACCAGTACAAAAATCTACGTGGTGCAGAGAGACAGCGATCTGAGTAGAATGAGGGTTTTGCACGCGGTGAAGACCGATATCATCAGAAATGTAAGTTACTTCATTTATGCCGAAGGTGGTGGATGATTTAATTGACATGGGCTTGGATTCCTTTAAGCCAGTCTCGGGGATATGGTAGACGGTTTCATGCAGCTGTCCAGCCAGAATCTTCATGATGCAGTGCGCATTGGCATGGTCATGAATTGGGGATCCCTTTCCTGGGTTCCAGACCAGAAGAAGCTATTTACTGCAGGTTAGTTGAACCGTGACACATGATAGATTCTAACTTCCAGAGAAGAAAGGAGAAGGCAAAAGGTACTCACAATGTTCGCCTTGTGGTTGATATTCTCAAACTGGCTTCTCCATACACAGCCTGGAAATCTTCTGTTAATAGCGTAACCTAGCACTGCCAGTGAGAGATCTCAGACTCAGCGTAATTTCAATAGGTAGTCATACTTCTAGGCAAAGAGTTAACTGAATTCCCGAAGTGGATGAGTGTGAAAGCAAAAGGTATTTCAAGTCAAGGTCAGCTCTGAATGAGTAGTACTTGTGCCTACGTACGTGCCTTCTACTGTACTACAACTTAAACCTACTGCGTGAACATCATGATAGTATTGCCCAGGTGGTATCATTAAAATTTTAGGTAGCAGAATTACCCGTTGACGAATCCTTTTTCCTAGGATTTTCCATGCATAATGAATTGACGGGGGAGCTCAGATTCAGTCCCAGTAAGAATGGGCCAACATCTTTGAAGCTCGTTTGATCCTTCATGCATGGAAGCGTTGTTTTGAGCAGGTCTTGGAGCTTCTCAACTTTGATCAAGCTATTCTTCCAGTCATAGATGCTCTTGCTGGGATCATTGGCATGGAATTCTACTTCATTCAGTCGATTCAATGCATTCGTAGTGGCGTTGTAGTCGACAGGACTGATCTTGAGAATTTGATCGTCGAAATGCCGACCCAAGACAAAAGACTGGTAATGAGGCGGCTGGGAAATGCATATGGAGCTTAGCAGTGGGATTCCGCCAGAGGCTCGCAAATCTGCGATACTCTTGCTTAGCTTATCCTTGATATCGTCCGTTGCATCAGCAGGGATATCATCCTCCGTGGCAAGATCCTCAGGACATCTGTCAAGAAGAACCAGGATGACGTCATTCTCTAGTTTCTTTGTGCTCAAAATCTCTAGTTTCCCACCCTTGAAATTCTGGGGAAATGGGGCTGAGAAGCGCATATCAGGCCACATGCTGATCGACTCAGAACGTAAGAAAAATACATATTTTGGCATCTGTGGCTTATGGCGGCTGTCTGGATAATCAATTGTTGTGTTTTCGTACAGCACCATCGATTGTTTGATCTCTGCCTTGATTGAGTCGGTGCCGTCAACATCGAGGTTATTGCCAATGCTGAGAGAACCGTCTATAAAAGCATCGATCCAGCTTTTATCAATGTAGAAGAAGCGAATTGATTCTGGTGGCAGGAAATCCAAGGATGATATGAGATAATTGATGGGTATTGTATGCAAGAACTTGAATTCAAGCAGCTTTTTGAGCACAGTTGGATAGCTGCCTGAGCTGGGTTGCGCATTGCTCGCAGTCCAACTCTGAAATCCTTCAATAGTTGCGTGTTGCAAGCTTTTGCTAGGGTTGCTTCTCCTGATTCTGGCCAACGATGTACAAAAATCCTTGTTGCTTGCGGCTAAAAGCCGGCCCAAGCTCCAGGCTGATGAGTAGGTAACATCGTTCATTCCAATCTCTTGATTCATAATTTCGAGATCTGTTCCAAAGTTCGACTCGACCACTGATGCATTTAGTCACCATATTGAAATGAATGTCATGTGGAACTCACCTGTCTTGCCCGGGGCTGCGAAGATATTGTGCGGCACTGGCACGGGAGTTAAAGGACCCCTGTGTAAAGCGATAGTAGACTCTCCGGTGGGAAGCCCGTACTTGTGTATCGAGTATCCATACCCATTTTTGCCTTAAATGCTGTCAAATTCTCTGAGCTCAGTCCGGCCGCTGAATCAAATTTCGTGGTGATTGCAGAGGGACTCCGAAGCATCCTGTCATCCGATATTTTCAGACTGTCGGGGATCCTTAGATTGTCTCCTGTTTGCGGTGATCCAGCTAAATTCTGGAGCAGGTCTAGAGATTGGAGTGAAGCGGCTGGATTGACAGTATATGTCCAAGAATGCAGTGATATCAGAGCGACTGCTGACTTGGAGCAGTCTTCCGGGAGCTTCATCAAATCCCAACCTTCAATACTTACCAGATGGACGGCCACAGTTCTGGCGGCTTTATTGCTAGCATTTGCTGTTTTATGAGAAAAAATCACCGAATGCTCCTCAGCATCGATCTCGTTGCTGTCTGGCGGCGCCTTCCTGGTGTGCGCAAAATACTGGTAGCGAGATACATCGGATGCGACAGAAGTCGACGAATCTGGTAGCGGCAGACTGCCATCGTCCTGGTAACTGTTGTATACCAGCGGTATAAATGTTGAAAAGCTCAAAAACATGACATCCACAGAGGCTGCTGTCTCATCATTAGTCATCGTCTCGGGACTTTTCAGAATCGGGAGACTGAGATCAGGACATTTGATCAGGTCGGCAAGTCTCAACTTGAAAGATCCGGTCTCTGGAGCATCGCCTATACTGGCAACTGACGTGGGCTTTGGCATAAGCTCTCCTTTCTTGAAGACAATCAATGCTAGCCAAGGTAAAGTGCCTTGATCGGGGTCTGGGCTTGCGGCATTATATTTGGCAGCTCGCTCCCACGGAAGCGTTGGATCAGCAAAAGCGATACTTGGCAGAGTTAATAACGGTGCAGTACTCAATGCCGGAGGATACATGGAAAGTATGTCCAAGTTTGGAAGGGTGAAACGAGGTGCAACGAGGTGCAAGAACCGTCAAAGCCTTTGTCTTATCTTTCTCATTCTGAATTGTGGGATTCTCAACGCTTTGTGATACTCCGATTGAAAAATTGCCGCTCTCTGATGGGGGCTTTCTGAAAGGTTGCCATCCCAAGGAAGGGGAAAATGAATCAGGCTGATTACGCGGCTCTAGTAGGCCACACTGGCCTCGAGAACTCTGTCCATCAATATCTTTGAGCCTTGCTTCCAACGCATCAGCTGTCCCATGATCCATGGTTGATCTCAGTAGCTTTGTGTTGATCTCGAAAAAAGAAAATTGGTTTATCTGCTGATTTGTGTTCTTCGACCCGATATACCAGATGAATACCCGTTTGAATTGATCGATTCGAAAATTGGAAGGATGTCACGACGCCTTATGACATGAGCTTTCTGACTTGCGCTTCGAGCCGGATGGAGAGACTATTGTTAGACAACAGCCCCGCTAGGCCCCATATGGCGCACTGAAATCACCAAAAAATGGCTATTCGACGCGAGACACCAAGCAGACATCTTGCCAAGACCTCATTTTATCGTAGCCCGACAGAAAGAGCTCGCTCAGATCAAGCATTCAATAACTGCAGGCAGTGTTAACCGACGCATACCTGTCAATTTTTATGTTGTCTCCGCGAGTATTCGATTTTCGGAGGAGCTGGCACTGGCAGCTGAAGCCAATCGCTCTCGACTTGCAGGGAAAACATGGCGACAAACCTTCAGGGCCAGAAGAGGGCCATGGATAATTTGCTGCGCAACCTGAGGGCAAAAGTGGAAATTGCAGTTCATTTTTTCGAGCCAAAAAGGCCTGGCTTCGTGCCCGACCCGATTCCTGCTCCCTTCGACGCCGTAGCCCAGGGTTTGGCACAATTTTTGAACCCTAGGGCCCAGAAAACTCCAAGGCATTTCAAGATGCACTGGAAGACGCGCCCTTGAACCCAAGTACCGAAGTCATAGGGAAAGGTATGAACGTGAACAAAAGCTTTCTCCCGACGCGGGTACAATTACCCAGCTACTAAAAGATGTGGACAATCAATCCCAAGTTATCAAAGATCTTTGCAAGTTGGATGGTGGTACATTAGAGTAAAGCTGACATGTTGCTCAAAGCTGAAAGAACTGCAAAATAAATCGGCATTCATTGTCGTGGCCACCAGTTGGCAGGTAATATGCGATCTATTAATGGATATCCCTTGAAGTTGTACCAAACGAGTAACTATGATGTCTTTTTCATCGGATTAAAAGAGTGAATCGGACAAGCTTACTTATTGCAGTAATTCATCCAAGTTTGGTCTGTAATTTGAAATGCAAAGTTCGGATTTAAGCCACGCAATTGTACTCCGTAGCCCGCAGGCTTACGAACCTCTTGAGAGTTCCCATGTCACAAATTGGGGGCTAAATTCACAACAAATACCTGCAATCTGTAAGTAGCAGCTAATCCCAGATTATGGCTTTTAATGGATAACTCCTTCTGTCTCGCTTATCGATTGAATCCTTTCCATACCAATCTGCAGTATATCATCATCAAGTTCACAAGTGGAAGACCGAGTCAGCATCACACAAAGTCCTTTTGCTTTAATTATGATAAATCCTGAAAGAAAGTTGATTACCTTCTCGGGAGCTGAAAACTCAGTTAAAATCCGGCGGCACATTCCGGAGACCACTCTTCATATTCAGCCCCAAAAGAGGCTTTATTTCAAACATTAGAACTGACCATGCACCGGGAATAGATCTCAGACACCAAGGAAAGACATCGGGGCTCGGACCTCTCAATTGATCAATAATTTCTACGGTCACTTTCCAAGGTTAGTACCCAAATAGTCTACTGGTATGGTCAAATGCTATACTCCGTGCCGTTTAAGCGATTCGCTACGGCCGGGGTCACTCTGGCTCGGAGTCTATGGGTGAAACTCCTAGGATCAATGGTGTTCAAGTTATATGTGCTCACTGAATTATCCAGAGTTCAAATGTTTTACGATCTCTCTCGTGTCAAATATCCAATTTTGACATAAACTTGAAGCTTTAACCAATGCAGATTATACATTAACTCCGAGTCTCCTGCTAGTAGTTTAATTCAAGTTTGAACCTTTCGTCATCTGGTTTCCATCTTTTTGGGTGTGAACGCCTAACATCGTATTACTATTCACATGCGTACATCATGATGCAAAAATAGTTCAAATCTTGATACTAGACAAATCGCCAGTTAGTCTGGATATAGCTATTTTGCATCTAAAATTAATTTAATATAAAATAGGCACTAAATGTCGAGATCTGGAGAAAATGGGTCCACTCAGGCTCTCTCGTATATTTCGTTTATCTAATCCATAGACGAGATCCCTGACAGGTATAACAAACTAAAAATAGAACGTATTGATTTGGGTTGAGAAGTATTACTTCAAATTCCACTACCAATTACCAGAGAAACTTGAATGTATGAGGAAATGGTCAGCACTTCAAGTTTCTCACGCATGAGCTTTCAGTGCGAGATGAAGAAAAGTCAGCCCGAATACCACCTACCCTTCTCACTTCAAGGCCGTTGCAGGATTGATTCCCTGTTCAAGTCAAAGGATTCAAAGTTTTAACGTGGTGTCTCGGTGATCCCGGCGCTATGATCGGACACATATGCATAAGTTCAGATGATAGGAACGAACTGGTTTCCTCACTAGGTAACCAGTTCTGGCCCCCTCTAGGACCCTGGACCCTGAAATTAACCAAGCATTTCACAAGCAGCGGAAATGATCTACGCTTATTGCGGGACAAGACATGCGAGTAGATTTCGGTCTACTGCAGCATTGAGCCGGGATGCTTGTCTTTGGTTTGGGAAAATAACTAGTAAGCTGATTTATGAGACTTTGAACGGAGTGAGTGGTCGCAAATCACCGTTATGGCTTCGTGGCTTATAATAATTTCCTGAATAGGTAATCATCATACTCATGGAGCAAGAGATCATGTCCGTATTCAGCTATTGAGTACCATAAGTACAGTGGGGGCTAAAGTCACACGGGAAGGCCGCTCTTTGACTTTACTTGGGACTAAAAATCATACAATTTTAAGATATTTGGAGGAATATGATCCTTGCCTGCTATGCAGCTCTCAACAGGAGAAGATGAAATCCTCGAGTACTAAATCTAGTATGGTAGAATCAATAAATAACATTAGACTTGCCTTGACTATGGAGGATTACTACCTAGTAGTAGTTAGTTAATTATAGCGTGCAGATGCAGGGCGGAATGTAGCTTAGCATCTTTTCCGTACTCTCCACATCAATCCGAGTTTAAACATTATACGAAAATCAGATTTCACCTTCTCTCACCACCATCCTTTCTCATCTGCCCCCAAAAGTGAAACGATTCTTTCAAAAATGTTCTCCACCGATTCTAAACTTCTACCCGCACACGGGAGGACACTGCTAACGATCTCTGATCCCTGAACTTGGCACTGCCCTCTCATTCTCCACTTTACCATGTCGCCCCAGAAGGGGCCAAAAACGGCTCATTGCTTATGTGACGTACTCACATAGTTTCCTAGGAATAGGAGTGTAATCTCCAAAATTCTATATAAACCTAGCCTTGGCGCCTAGCTTTCACACAAGACTCATATCAATCTATCAAACTCTATGTCAAGCAAAATGGAGCAACAACCCCCAACCCCTACTCTCGAGTCGTATGTGCTGCAGATTGCAGGCCACGAAAAGCTCCTTGGCGATGCTTACAAGTTTACCAAGACACCTCTTCGGGCTGGAGTGGTGAACCGTGTGCTCTTCTACCAAGGCAGTTTTAACCCTCCCCACCTGGGTCACCTTGCTCTCATTCAACATATCTATTGGAACAGTGGAAAGGATCAGAACTATCTGACCGCTGTTGTTCTCCCTGCCGACCAAAAGATCCTCGATGAGAAGCAGCCTACCAACAAAAACCAAATTATTATGACCAAGGAAGAGCGCGCTAGTCTTTGGCGTGGCCATGATACAACAAATGGCTTCTGGATTTACACAGGCTCATTCAAAGAATGGCTGGCTTTCTTTCACCAGGTTCGACGAGCCGCTGGATATGATGACTTTGAGCTGGAGGTATCTATCATGGTTGGCCCTGATCATTTGCCCGATTTGCAGAAGTATCCAGCTCTTGGCAAATGGGGTTATACCGAGTGGCTGTTTAGCGACATTGCTCGCGATTATGAGGATAGGAGCCAAGTGCCGGAATATGAACCCTTTCAGCCTCATGTGATCAATTGTGAGAAGGATGAAAAGACAGCAGAGAAGGTCGCCTCATTCGTTACTGCTGGCATGCGTATGGTGGCACCAAAGAGCTTCGATGATATGCTTCAAAGTGGTAAGACAGTCTCTATTTTCAGTGTTGATTCTTTCTCCGACCATATAACTGACTCTACCTCAGATCCAAACATGAAAGATCAAATGGTCAGGGATATTGTTGCCAAATCAAAGGGCACTACCCTGGAAGGCTTGATTAGTCGTCGATTGGATAACCCTAATTCTCTGCTCCGCTTCATCCCTAAGCCCACGACCGAGGCAATTCCGCGAATCAGCTCATCTGATATTCGAAAGACCATTATGACCTCGCCTCGAGACGAGCTGGAGACAAACCTTCGTGGTACAGCTCTGAACCCTGATCTCTTGGCTGAAATTCTCAAGAAGAATTACTCTGAGTACTTGAGTCCTGAGTAGAGAACCAACTAGGACCCAATATGCGATTCCCCAACCTCAAATTGCATTTCTGAAGTTCTCTTGTGGCTTGCATCACTCTCAGTTTTAGACTTGCATATTATCTTTTATTTTACCTGGGCCAGTCATTACCTTATTGCACATGCGGCGTTCAAATGTTTTATTCCATGCTGGATCATGGGAGCACACGGCGATGTTTTTCCTTTACTTCTATATCTTATTTCTCTCAATTGATTTACTATATTACAATATTTATTCATTCAAACTTGAAAATTCTTTCAAAGCTACTTAAGCAAAGCTAATCCTGAGAACTGCTCCAAGTCCTCAACTTGAACTACTAGTACCCACAGTGCGTCTTCCATCGATATTCAGTCTGCTCATCCCAGATTCAAGCACGCTATTCACACCCAAGTCCCGTTTTACCGTTTTCTTCAATAAAGAGCCATCATCTCTCCATGGACCCAGCGCAAAATCACGCGGCTTCCGAGGGAAATGAGGGCTTTTCGAGAATTCAATTCTCTCTTTCGTCGCCTCCAACACTCGGGTTCGCCAAGGCTCCCTAAGAAGGGAGTCATAATAAATGAACAAATCAGGAAGAAAAACAACATCTTGCGCACAATATTCTATGACCTCGGGGCTTAAGGGACGATCATCGAAAATTCCAAAATTAAAGCGTGGCTTCATACTCTCTTTCTGTCGCTTCCATATTACCTTTTTCTCAGGACTGATACGACTATCCTTCTCAATGCATTTAGCAAGTCCCGAAACACATCTCTTCGATCCCCTTCTTCCTCCAAGCTCCATCAGCTGGATATCCTCTACACCGTCGATGGAGACATTGAAGTGGCTAAACAATGCATCCGAGTCCATTCGAACATCGAAAATTCCTTTCTTGATCTCCGGGTTCTCTAAAATACTTTTTAGAGAGATCTCGGTGCCAGCCGGAGATTCAAATGCTGCGTTTCCTAGTATGTGAACATCAATCAAGTATATTCGATGTTCCGAAACAATGAAGAGGGTGATTATTGATAATGTACCCCAGCGGCTGAGGTTATTTCCCTCCAGATCTAAGAAAAGATCTGGTGTCGTATGGCCAGCCAGTGGAAGATTCTCAATGACAGTGAGAAGGCTACGTATAGCCTCCTTGTCGTCAACGATCTTTATTTGGGGCGGGTCCTTCGGAGACATAGCAGCGAGCTCAATATATGGAAAAGATTGGGTGTTGTCAAGTAGGTCGAGAGATCTCGTGAACGGACACTTTGGAGTACACAATTCACACCTCACACGTTCAGGTAGGGTCGACTATTCTGAAGAACTGAAGACAGAGGAGCGGTGGGGTGTGATGACTTCAGTCTTCATCGCCGATTGTCAAAGGGTAATAGTAGGAACATCGCTTCCACCGTTTCCAGACTAGTATCGACGTTGAACCACGGGTGACTTGCATTTAACCTTATTTTGACTTTGTGCCTAGAGCCATGGCAATCCTTGTTTTGAGCCAAGTTCTGCGCCCGTCTTGGCGTCTTGTGCCTGGATATTCCATGTTGACCCGTGGAACATTGCGTAAAAAGGAAGTGTTCAAAGGTCAGTATTGCTTCATGTTGATCTTGACTTTTAAACGGCCGCCACGAGGACAGCATTGGTTAGTATCATTCAAATGTTAATACACACTGGCAGAAATCTCCAGAAATCGTCATATGGGATATCATTCATAGTGCTGCACAATATTGAAGGCAGTAAAAAGGTACATTATTTTCAGTTTCATGAATTCCATATGAGCTACCGCCCTTCGGCGAGCTCAATCAGTCGATCCTCCATTGTCATAGGCTCCCATAGATCTTTGGCTTTCTTGTTCTGCACTCGCAGCATATCTCCCTGAAGGTAAGCTACAACACCACCCTTTCCAGTGACGCTGGCTGTGATGCGGAACAGTGGCAGTCCATTCTGAGGGTTTGCCTCGCGCAATGGTAAGAAGATAAGGCCTTGCTCCACACACCAGCTCTCCACAATATCTTTGAAGGAAGGCTCCTCCACGATCTGATGTTTGGGTCTTGATCGGGCTGCTGCCGCCGCCGCAGCTTTAGCCTTGGATTCGGCTTCTGCTTGAGTCGGAAGTTCTGCCTTAGCACTAGCACTGGGCCGCGGAAGCTCAGCAGCCACACGATCGCCAAGATCCAAGGCCTGTTCCATGGTACGAAAGCCTTTGTTCCACTCATCTTCCACAATTGCGAGTTCATTGATCGCGGGGGGGAATCTGTTCGCGCCACCAAGAGCACCAGGTTCCCACCTCGCTGTAATCCGGGTCATTGGTAAGCCATGTGTACAGAATCTCGTGCCATTTCGGGAAAAATTCAGCAACTAATAGCAGACCCATGACCTTGGGTTGGAAAAAGTCTTTCCAGCGCAGGACATCTTCGAGTGGGGTCATGTCTTGGTCTGCTGGGTTCACGAAGAAATCTTCCCGTAGGTGACGTCCAAGACGTGGCAACAGATGGTTACGAAGACAGACATCAAACTCGGAGGCCAGTGCATCCCGCCAAAGCTCCAGCCCATCGATCAGGCCGCGACGAAGACTCCAGGAATCCAGAACGACACGGAATTTTCTCTTGGTGTCAGACATAAGGCCGGTAGGTTGCTCTGGGTTGGTATGTCTCTCGTCCAGGTATTGCAACCATTGGAAAAGCCACCATGGGAAGCGACCATCTTGTTGGCTCGATGGATGGCGGCGGCTGCTTCTCGGCTTCCATTCTTTCAGGGCACCTGAGAGTTTTGGCACGACCAGCTGATCGAGGATATTGGCAAAGACAAATGGAGGGATGATGCTCTTCCACGCCACAATAAGTGACGTCGCGGCTGATGGGTCGTAAACATCCCAGTCGTTCAAAAGAGCAGAACGCACTCGCGGAAGCCATAGAGTATACATCATGGTTTCATAGGGTGATGTAGACGAACGCTGTTGGATCTCTCCATGGTCCCCACTTTTCCGAGCAAGAAGAGGTTGAAGACGGGTCAGGTTAGAGACGAGGAACGTCGGATTCTGGAGAGGCTCCCATTCTTCCATGGCTTGTCTGAACAAGGGGTGTAACGCCGCAACGGCAGTCTCAGAAGTTTTGTATTCGTCTGCGAGATCGCGATACTTTGATTCCATAGATTCAATTTTTGTGGTCATCTCATCAAACTTCGAGGAAATGCTTTCGTCGTTCTCGAAGATATCCAGCTCTTCAATAGCAGCGATCAGACCGGTTAGGTGATTAACTGTGCCCTGGTATGTATCTAATTCATCCACGACCTGAGCTTCTTCAATCTCAATGAATTTCTTTCTTTCGGTCAAGCCCTTCCATTCTTCCGCAAAGGCTTCCAAGTCATTCCGAGCTCGCCGAGCAATCTTCAAAGCCTCGCCTTCTTCCTGGGTGACAAATTGCTGCGATGTCATCAAGCCTGCTGTTGACGTCAAGATCCTTTGTTCCTTGCCCGTAGCATCGACCAGCGATTTTAGGACATTCGGCACCTCAAGTCCTTCCATGTCGGCCTCTATTTCTCGTGCGGTCCGGAACTTGGGCTTAGGCCGCGAGACAGGGGTTCCTGTTCCACTGCGACTGGCGGTCTTTCGGTCTTCCTTCTTCCTTTTTTGTCGTTGGCGCTCTTCGTCAGAGCTATCCTCCACAGCTTCACCGCGGTGTGCAGCTGCTCTTTTTTCTTCGTCGCGCGCTTGCTTCGTCTTCTCTCGAACAGCACCCAGACCAGCACCCTGAGGTCGTGCCTGTGCTTCAATAGGATTCACAATACCTTGGCCACTTGTTCCCAGACCTTGCCCTTCCTTGTATCCCATTTTTGCCATCATGCGCGCTGCGAAACTGCTTCCACCGCCGCCTTTTCCCCCTCCCGATCGAGCAGCGCCTCCACCTCCACCTCGAGCTGCGGGTGTTGCGCTGGCCATGTTGTTCCATGGATTTTGGGGTGCACTACCAAGTCCACCCATTGTAGGCGGGGATTCTGAGCGTGAGGCGGCTCTCTTGAAGCCACGAAAGCCAAGGGTCGGGCGCTCATCTTCTTCGTCGGAACTCATGTCGGTAACTTTGCGTTTCTGTCCAGCATATGAGGACGAGTCCATGGCTTCAATTTTTGTAGAGCAGGTTCGAATCACTGCTCTGCTTGACACTGAGCCAGGACCAGAAAAATGGATGGTGTTGGGTCGGGGTAGAAGCTCCAAGCTCCGATATTCACGTGGAAATTGATCCGGTTCGGAGATGTTCGGAGAAGCGTATATCCGAAGCAAACATGACGCACCTCAAGGCGGCTACTTCCCCAAGCTGTTGAAGTGAATCTTGAGATTTGTTTTCTTCTTCTTTCCAACCGCGTCGTCCTTTCGCAATCTCTTTTTTCACAAATTTGCTTCATTAAAAGCACATATCCATCAACCATTTCACACAAAACAACACTGTTTCCATCCTCCAAAATGGTTGCTCTTCTTGCCAACTCTGCCCGTGTCGCTCTCCGCCGCTCCGGAGCTTCGGCCTGCAGCAAGGCCGGTTATGCGGGCTTGACCTCTACCCGCGGCAAGGCTACCCTGCCCGACCTGGCTTGTAAGTACAACCTACACAACGTGCTTTTTACAATGTAAATTTCTTTACGCAACCGGTTAACTAACCATATTAACAGACGACTACGGTGCCCTTGAGCCTTCCATCAGCGGCAAGATCATGGAGCTGCACCACAAGAACCACCACAACACCTACGTCAACAGCTACAACACAGCTGTTGAACAGCTCCAGGAGGCCCAACACAAGGGCGACATCGCCGCGCAGATCGTTTTGAAGCCGGCCATCAACTTCCACGGCGGGGGTCACCTCAACCACAGCCTGTTCTGGGAGAACCTGGCTCCCAAGAGCGCCGGTGGTGGTGAACTTTCCACCGGTGCGCTGTCGAAGGCCATTGACAGCACCTACGGCAACTTCGGCGAATTCCAGGCGAAGATGAACGCCGCCCTGGCGGGTATCCAGGGAAGTGGATGGGCGTGGCTGGTCAAGGACAAGCAGACCGGTCAGATTGGGATTCGCACCTACGCGGTAAGCTATAACAGGGATACAACTGGGGAGAGTTGCATGTCGCTAACTATTACTACAGAACCAGGACCCCGTCGTGGGTCAGTACCAGCCCCTGCTGGGAATTGACGCATGGGAGCATGCGTACTAGTAAGTTTCACTCCATGCTTGACATATAAGTGAATTTCTACTGACTTCAAATAGCCTCCAGTACCAGAACCGGAAGGCTGAGTACTTCTCCGCCATCTGGGATGTGATTAACTGGAAGGTCGTTGAGAAGCGCTTTGCTTAAGCGCTTTTCGACTGCCTTCCAGTTGGCCATGGTCAGTGGCGGAGGTAGTAGGTAGTGGGGAGAGGGGAGAAGGGGGTGAATGAAAATTTCGTCTCGTGCGCGTGTTTCTTTTCTTTCAATTCTTCTTCATTTGTAGATCATTAGATGACCATGCTGCGTCGCAAAGTAGTTGAGCCGCATACTCAATTATAGATTGAGGTCTAGATCTGCCGGTAATTCTAGGCTATAATGTAGATAAGAACATCCTAGAAAACTGGGCTTTCTCCCTCCCAAGAGGCTATTACAAGTGATCTAGTCATATTTTCCTTGACTTCTTAGCTCTATCGAGATTCCATGATTCCAAGGTTGCAGCGTTCCATCAAATTTGAGTGTTCCATCTACTATCAATATGAGCCCGGACCGCCGCGGCCCGCTCTGCACGCGTCAATCAGGGTCTTAGCTTGCGACAGCCCGCAAGTCTATTTTTCAACCTCACATGTCTCTACAACAGACCCATACTCAATCTAATTCTCCTCGGGATCAGGCCAAAATGTCTGCAGAGAGCCCGGGCCCCAAACAATCCGGCTTCAAGGCTTTCTTGGCCAATGCACTTCGCCCCAAGAAGTCCCGCCAGACCCTCCGCAAAGGCGCCAGTCGCTCCATGACAGATCTTCGACGGATGTCCACAAGAGCCAGCACCAGCCTCGATGATGTTCCTCCGCCAATGCCTAATCTGGCTCCCTTGGAGGCCCATCGCCTGAAATACCAAGAGGCACACGCAAATCTTGACTCCCAGCTCGGCGAACGTCAGGATTATACCGCAATTATCCATACTTTGGGTATCCTCGATCCAGAAGATACATATTCCGCTGCCCTAATGGATCGGGAAAACCGCCCACCAGGCGAAGGCGATATCGCCAAAGTACCAGCTGACGTCTGGATACTTATCGCATCCTTCTTAACCCCGAGCGACGCCGCCTGTCTCACAATCGCAACAATCACCTTATACCGCCGCCTAGGCCCACGCTACCTCTCCATACTCCAAGCACCTCAAAATCGCTCCGAAAAACTAACATTCCTCACCCGAATCGACTACTCTCTCCCTCATCACCTCCTCTGTTTCCCATGTGGGCGCTACCACCTCCGCACAGCAGAAGGAACAGAGCGCCTCAAACCAGCTCACGTCGTCAACCCACTCTTCGACTGTCCCGAAGTCTTCAACACCCTTAACCCACCACCACGCACCCGAATCACACCAGGCCGCATCCTTCCATTCTCCTTCGTCCAACTCCTCCTCCGCGCGCACCGCTTCGGTCCAAAATACGGCATCCAACCCGAATCAATAGCCCGTCGCTGGACCCGCGACGGCTGGACCTATACATCCCGATTCCTAATTCACGAAGGTCGTCTACTCATGCGAGTAACAAGTCAAACCTTCGCAGATCCAGCCCTCCCACCCTCAGCCCAACGACTCCTCCTACACTCCCGCGAAGATTACTGGCCGTATTTCTCAGCGTGCGCGCACTGGCGAGACGGTGAACTTATGCCAGCATGTCGCTGTGCACTAGATCACATACCCCATCCCCGTGCAACAGGTGGACTTCAAGGACTAGAACACAAGGTTAAAGACACATGGCAAAAACGAGTCTTCGATCCAAATGCGCTCACTACGCTTTGTGGATTCTGTAGACCCATGCGTCGTTGTCCGGAGTGTCCGACTGAGTATTTGATTGAGGTCAAATTAACAGAGGATAAGATGGATCCACGGGGATTGCGGTTTCGGCAGGCAATTGTGGTTACGCGATGGACTGATCTGGGTGATGGGACTAGTCCCGAGGGTTTGGAATGGGCTGCTGTTAATGGGAAGAGTGCGGAGTATGATTCTTTTACGCATAGGAATTATGCGAAGAGAGGTATTGCGAGTTGGTTTGAGGCGGCTTTTACGGCGGATACTTTACCTGGTCAGAGGGTTATTTCGTTGAATCCGAAGAAGAAGAAGTTGGGTGAGAAAGGTCATGATTGGTATTAATGTGGTTGATTAATCTATATGGGATTTATGTTTGGATTGGATTGATTTATTATATGTTGGTTCATAATATCTTTGGGAGGGCGATTTCGGTGTCTTTTTTTCTTTGTTTAATTATTTTATACTTGATTTATAGGTGTCTTTCTGGGTTGGCGTTGATGGTCAGAAAATTGGAGTTGGATTAATCGATTGGCCTGATGTCAACACAACGAATTTTGGTTATTATATTTCGGATCAGCACGATGAAGGGAAATATCGGTGCTATTTATGAGCCGATTACAGGTGGGTACTACAGAATGTCTTAACAGTATAGGTAGTATAATGGATAGAACTTGTCATTGGAAGACTTGAGCGCTGGAATTATCAAATAACCACCACATTGCATATCTCATGCTAAATAGAGAACCTTCCCTGGGCCGGCAGGATTAGGTTAGAACGAAAGCTGATTAGATTCAAAGTCGCTTGGCATAAGGCATGAAGCAAAAGATCCTTTCATGAACGATTCGTCGCGATGATGATCTTGGGAAGAAATGACGAAACGGAAAGGAGAAATGAAATACCACGTCGATGCTCGCTGGGTTGGTGGTTTTGGTATACAGATGGGGTATCATATAGTACAAGGGTGAGTTTAGGGTAGAGAAGGGGTGAAAGAAAAGAATGAGAAAGAAAGGAACCTCAATTCACGCGACGAGAGCGTCGTCCCACGTATCGGGGTCGTCGAGACGTATCATCAGAGCGCATGGTCATCTCCGAGTGTGGACGCGCAACAGGATGGTCCATGGAATCCGGTGTTTCACAGCGATCAACAAGACCATTATCTTGGCCAAGACGCGAGGCAGCCCGATTCTTCTTTTGCTCTGCTTCAGAGAACTTCTCGGCTACAACAGGCGTGCTTGGTTCAGAACGTTTCCCGCCGACGCCTTTCATCCAGCCGAAGATCCCAAGGGAGCTGCGGCGCTTATGCTCTGCGCTGTGAGATGTTGTCGGGCGCTCGGGTGCTGGCACGGTAGTTGAGCCGGACTGTGCCGGTAGTGCTGCTTCTCGGGCTTCCATGAATGACTGGTGTAGAGCTTTCGGGCCACCGTAGCTGCTACTGAAGCTTTCACTGATTGGAAGACTTGATGAGTAGAAGTCGTTGGTGTTGGTTATTATCTGAGACACGGGGCGGCGATTCGCACCGCCCATGGTCCTGGTCTTGGGGATGATTGGAGATGGCGCACCGTCATCCTCATCGTCCACGAATTCAGGAGGAACTGGCGATGATTGAAGGCGACGAGCTGCGTTGGCGGAACGATTGAAGAATGGAGGTCGGAAGCTGAGACGTCGACGCTGCTCGGGTCCCGGAGAGGTTACCTGTCGTGGTGGAGGGATCTCAATGACAGGTTGTTCAAGCACATCCAAGGTGTCCAGATCAAGCGTTGGGACATCAGCAACTTCGGGTTCAATCTGGTAGGACTCAACACTGGCGTCATCGTGGAAAGCGGCTTGGCTGATAACCAGGTTATGAGGCTCTGCTGGTCTGGGCTCAATTCGCAGACCACGATCTCGCTCCTTGCGGGACCGAGGACCTTGCTTTGCCGCAGCGATCCAATCCTGGGGAGTCAGTGGGGGTGAATCACTGATCGATGCGATTGTCTGCGCGTCTGAGATGACAGTCTTAGCCGGGCTTCGACTTGGGCTCGGCAGGGAGTCTGACTCGTCGCGGCTAGTTTGAAGGAAAGGATCATCGAAGTCGTTGATGACTGGATTGGTCATTTTAGAAGCGACTGTGTTGAAAGGGAAGAAAGTGGGAGACTCCATCTTCGACATGGATACTCGCGGAGTGTCACTACAATTGGTCTGCATGCTATCGGTGATATCACTGCCATTGAAGCTTCGTCGACTGGTGATCTCATCGGCAGAGCGACGACGTTCAAGTGGCCGACCAGCGAACCACACTTCTCCCTCCTTGGGGCTCCTGTGGGTTGATATGCTCCCATTTGATCCACTGTTGGCTGTGACGTAGGCCGTGCTCATGGTGTCAGGAGTAGGAGGCAGTCGAGCGCCCCCAAACAGCGTTGCGTCGAGGCGTCCGCGACCACGCGGTTTGTTGGAATACAAGTCCGCTGTGAAGGTTGGAACACTTGCTTTGGATGCATCCGAAGCAGCACGGATTTGACGTCGCCGGATAATAGTCTGAGAATTCTCATCTCGGTCCTGCATCCAGCGATCAATCTGATCCTCTTTGCTCTCTTCCTGCTCGGTTTCAATTTGGGTGGCGTAGCTTTCCACGCTTCCACTCACAGACGATGCCTTGCGGATTGGAATATCTAGCGCATCGTGCTGGTTCCACTTCGTAGGGGTTTCGTATGGATGGAGCTCGCTGCATTCGCTAAGAACGCTGAGTCGCGGAGATCCAGGCTCCAGGGCATCTGTCATGGTATGGTAGCTTTCCGACTTGGTCAATTGACTCAGTCCTGAGTAGGACTTGTTGTTCTCTGGGACGTAGAGACTACGCAGAGTCGCGGTGCTTTGGTTGTCATCACGGAGGAAGGATGGTGCTTTGCTCAACTGTCGAAACTCGGGGTGTCTAAACGTCGACTGTGCTCGCTTGGATGAAGTTCGCTCAGGGATATCAATCGTAATCTGGGACTTCGAACCCGGGGCGTTGGGCCCATCAAGCACAAGTCTGTTAATCGACAGAAGCGACGCTCGTCCGTTGGTTTTCAGCTGCTCAATCTCGGTTTCCAACTTGCAAATCCATTGCACCGCCTCTTCCACAGCTTTGTCCTTCGTGTCAAGCTCCTGGCGAAGCTGACTGTTAGTATCTTGCAGCCCTTGGTTCCGTTTGTTGACGGCTCGAAGCTCCACGACCTCATCCTCCACTTTCTGTAGGCGACTCAGTTCCTCCTGCATCTCGTGCATACGTTCGAGTTTCTTCTCAAGTGCGCTCATCTGCTGTGTGCGGTGAAAGATTTCCAACTTCAGGTCGAAGTTCAGCTTGGTCATTTTAGAAACGTACTACCAACGTCAGTGGATTGAAAACATGGCCATTAATCAAATTGGCTGCATACCTGGTCCATTTCCCGAACGCCCATATCTTTCAATTGAGTCTGTGCTGCCGCAGCGATCTGGGTCGCCTTCCTTGTCTTCTCCGACGCGGTGTCTTCCTGTACTCGGCTGCGGTCTGGTGTTCGTGGACTTTCTACACCGTCCTCAGAAGCTGTTCCTCGTGAGCCGCGGTGCGCCCTTTCTTCCTTTAGTAGTCCCTGCAATAGTGTTGATGTCGGATTAATGAGAGTAGGTGTCCCGCTTTCGGGGGTTCCTATCGCATTGAGAGTCAGCCCCAGTGATCTCATCCTTCATATAGCCACTTCCGTAATAACTTACGGTATCTTTGAGGAGGTGTGCGGAAACCACCTTTAACTGGCGACTGGTCTCTGGGCCAGGATCGCTCAGTCTCATTTCGAGGTGGGGTGTACATATTGGACCGACCCTTGACGCGTGAAAGTGATGGATGTTGCGGACGATCGGAGTGACCTAGAACGGCGGAGATGTCAGTCCCGATTTGGGAGAATTTGGAATAGAACCTCTGTGCGCTCAGTCCGTTCTATCACAGGGCAAGGATTGACGTACTTGACGTACTGCTGGCGCGAACTTTCGTGGAGACACCGCGAGTTGTTGCGATCTCGGTGTGATATACGGGACCGCCTCTCGAGTGTGACGAGTGTGAAGAAGGTTTCTGCGCAGATGAACTCCGTTTTTGAGTTTTCTTTTCCCTTTCCCGTACATCCATTTTGGTCTGTTTTTTGCTTGTGTTTTTTGGCTGAAATTAAACAATAGATTTCCCCTTTTTGGAATATTGTGTTCAGATCCTCCTACATTGACGCAATGTGGATCTACCGTTTAAGAGGGACGCCTGCGTCCTCAGCAATCAGCGTCGCGAATTGGATGCTTAGTGCAGATAGATACGATATTAGTCCCTCGCTGTCATCTATGCGTTGTCGCGCGGCAGTGTATTATTGGCCCAAGGGTTCAGACAACGTATTGGATGTTCCGGGACCCTACTGGTAAGATGTGGGAAAGCGGACTGCAGCAAGCGAGGGGGGAGAAACAGGGACGCAAGAGAGATCTTGGTTGAACTGGTGGAGCCGGAACCAGAAACCCTGGTGGGTTCCAGCGATTGAAACGAGGGGATCAAGATGATAGGGTCGATTTTGCTAGGAAAAAAGTGAGGTATCTGGAAGCGAGGGGAATGAGGAGATTATGATGAGTCGCCTGGCAGTTGGATCGGCGGAGTCAAAAGATGTGAAATCGAATAAGAAGGATCGGGTCTTATTTGCTTTTTCTTCTGTGTTTTTTTTTCTGTGTTGATGGCCCCAGGCCTTGAAGAATGAAGGGAAAGAATGGAAGAATGGAAAGGATGAGAGGAATGAAGATGTGATGAGATCGGTATTTCCCATGTCTACAAGGCCCAGCCTCTTTTTTCTTTTCTATGCCCCTAAACTACTTCTAACTCTAGTCCCAACTTGATAAATCCTCCTTTAACTACGTCAATTTACCCAATCGGATGGGGCCCGTGGAGACGTCTCAGCTATCCTTATGCTCGGGATTTCAGGGGGACAAATCAGAGTGAATTATTCCCTTATGGAGTTCTCACGAATTGCCGTCCTAATTTAAGTCAACACGGGTGATCTTCCAGCCCCAAGCATATTGAATCATTAATTACGCTTAAGATCAGATGTAAAATAAGGCATCTAAAATAGTGAGGGCAAGAGCAAGTCTATCAAAAATCACATATATCAGTATAATTATGTCGCACTCTGTCTTTTTGGAAAATAAATCTTGGGAAGACCTCAACTTCTCCACGGCTGAACTCATTGCCTCGTATCTCCAGTAACCAGTGGATACATCGCATACATTAGCTGAACCAAATGACCCCGCGCTCCACGTCACATTTCCTTGCCACACAGACATGTCAGATGTCAAATTTCAAGAGGATTCGTCAATTAAAGTTGATCTATAATATATTTTCTAGTGATCTATTCAAACTCTATAATATTTATACTTCAAGTGCTATTAATCCAAGCTGTCAGTCAAGATCTACATGACTATTGTACTTGTAATGCATCCGGCAGAGAAAGAATCTACACCTAGTTTAGCTACCTATGGATAGATCTTTGATCTTTGTTTGATGCTCACAATGCATAACCTTGGAGCCTTGAACAGAGCTCTGGACGTATTCTGATCCCGCATTGAGGACCTCAACTAATGGTTCCAAGCTTAATTTTCCTCTGATTCATTGTTTGACATTATATAATCAAATATAGACCTTTCATCATATAGGCAGTTTGGCCGAGTGGTCTAAGGCGATTGACTAGAACCGGATAACAACTTATCCTATCGATATCAATTCTCTTCGGAGGCGGCGGTTCAAATCCGCCAGCTGTCGATTCTTCTTTCTTTTTTTGCTCTTTTTGTTCTTTTTTTGCTCTTTTTGCATCTCGATTGTCTTTTGTAACATAGTTAAATCGAAGGATAAATTCAATCATTTTTTACGTATGAGGAATATCCTGGGGCAGAAGCATTATTGGAGCGCCAAAGAAAACTTTTCAATTTGATATCAAGCTTGACTGCTACATGAATTGCATCCAGCCTTAGTTCATTCGTCGACCATTCATGCCATTACTCCAGGTATAAGATAACTGCAAAGACGAGTCCAGCTCGGCCCAGAGAATACTCTCTTTCCAATATTGGGTTAACTTGTTCCCATTCAAGCAGTCTCACTTCCTCTTCGCTTCTCCAGCCCAGATACGCATCTCCTTCGCCCGATCATGCGCAGCTCGAAACACTATAACACGTCAACCCAATCGCATCCCAACTCCAGGTATAAAAAAAACTTACATTGTCTCTCTGATTCATCCAGTCCACGCAGGAATTCGACACCATCTCCCACAGCTCCCCGAGAATTATGCGCGTGGTCGGCAATCTCAGCCGCCCGTCGCTTAAAGGTCTGTCATGGCAGATACGATTAGTTTATTGATCGCATAACCACAGATAATAGGCGCATACATCAGTCAAGACGTCGACCATTTCCTCCTCCTCGAAGATTTCAAGAATTCGCTCGCTGAGAGGGTAGAAGTGTGGTGCTAGGGCGCGGAGGTCCACGGTGCGGGGATCGGCTTTGAGGGCGTTCATTACGCGCTCAGAGAGGGCTTCTGGCATATCGAGGGTAACAAGGCGAGATGTTCCTATGCGGGCTCTGGAGATTCCAATGATTTAGAAGTATCCTTGGGATCGTAATAGGAAATGGGAATCTCACGCGATAGAAAGCATTTCACCGAGCCATAGTGGCAGGTCGATGCGGGTACCGGCTTTGATCTGCGATGTTTAGTATCGGTCGGGTTAAATTGTGGTTTGACATGGTGGATGTACATCTTCACCGGCATTGCCTTCTAGAATGCCCAGTCCGGGCACCTCGAGTTCAAATGTACATGGTAGTTTCTGAATCCAGAAGCGTTAGTCCAAGCGGGGTTTGAAAAGTGTTTTCTTCTCTTCATCTAGTTGGTCGCGTTAAGGTAAATACTCACTTGTGCATCAGTCAATATGGAATCAATGTCATAGTACGACATCCTGACATTGAATTTGCCTGATTCCCTGGACAGGGCCAATCTTGTGAAGTGCGGGTTGGGTACTGTCAAGCGCGTCTTGATCACACGCGTGGTCACGTGTATGTCATTAATGCCTTACGTCTTCCGTTTTGGGAACTGACAGTCTTGGCATGCAGGTTTGCCACATATGCCGTAGAATATCCACTATCTACGGGAAATAGAGTGAAATTGACAATCTCTTCGTAGGATATAGGCACAAAGCTATCGGATTTTGTGTCAATTAAGGTAGTAAAATAAGCATTTCGGCTCACTCTTTTCGGATATTTCCTATGCCTTCATGAATTCTAAAATCGAACATGTTCTCCACAAATCCGGTCATGGTGTAGTTGGCTATCGCATCTGACTGTAATGTCTTATAGTTTATCAGAAAGTCCGCGGTTCGATTCCGCGTGACCGGATCACCTTTTTTGTTCTTGAATTTTGCTGTCTTTCTCTGTATTTGAGATGAAGCATATGATATCTTTTTGGTAGTGTGGAATAAGCGAAAGCAAAACCATGGGTGTGGGAGGCTCAGGATCAAGACGATCTTCGAAATATCTCACTGGTGGATAGAAAACCATATCGATGAAAAGTTCTCTATCCAGAAAAATAAATGCTGGCCCTTACATATATGTGAAACACTACATTCTAATGAATAGGTACCAAGTAATTGTAAATTACATAGAGAATAAGCGCTTGCGACCTCATACATATAGAAACGTAACTTGAAATATGGATAAGCCAGATACATTCAGGACGATTTTTGAATTAAAGCAAGTAAAGTAATAGTATCCAAGCTCCACATTCTTCTCTCCCTTCCCCCAGCACCCGACAGTATCTCCACGAATCCCATTGATCCAGAGGGAAGATACCCCAGTGGTAGACCTCTAGGGCTGGGCCCAAGCTTTCTGGCAACATTCGAATATGCACACCCCCATCAGTACTGAACTCAGGCTGGATGTCAGTAACTAACAAGAGAATAGTTTCGCCAAGTGTGCACATGTGTGTGTGAACACATCACATCCACTTTCATTAATAATAGTTTCGCCTGTTTTACTTGCCGATTTGATCACAACGCTTGCCTTGAACATGGCCGAAGGCTCATCTGAAACCCATTTTACCAGTGCATAGTTTGATGAAAGGGCTCTGGTCGCTCCCTAGTTCACTATGAAGTTTCAACTGAAGTCATACCCCACCTCCAGCTAGAGTGAACCAAGTTCAAGTTATCCGTTCAAAGGGTTCTAGGGGTGATACACCCAGATAGACTACATAGTGGTTCCGAGTCCAATATTGCAATACTCCAGAGCTCATTTTGAGGAGTCCAGAATATTTGATCCGCAGCTGCCCACTGGGTGGGATATTATGGTTGTTCATCGCAAGGATCGGCCTGTGAGTTTAATATTGTGGCGGTTGAGGCTGTCAGGGTATCTGGAGTTCATAGACAATATGTTATGTATACTTATTCCAGATGTCCGCTACGATTTCAAGTTGAACAGCAGAGATTCCAAGCCCTGGAGGTTCAAGTTGACACTGGCAGTGGCTAGTAGTAGTCCTGGTACTAGTACCTATTTATGGATATAGTATCCATCATCCATTGCCTAGGTGAATATGTGGGAAGAGGAACCTTGGAACCTTGCCCAGGTGGAGGACCCAGATGCCCAGGTGTACTAGTAGTAATATGAGAGTCACGCATTTATGTCGTGGAGTAATGTGAACGCTCAACATTTAAATGTTTGAACTTCAATCATCGATGTTAACTTGAACTTGAATGCCAGGTGTTTGATAGGATATTCCGAAATCATGAATACTACCTAGTAGCCCTGGAGGTATATATTGCGGTTATGCACATGTGTGGGTTCAGCATAGTACTAGCGCTAAGGTACTAGACAAAATAATTGACTCTAGGTTGTAAACATTGAAGTATACAGAGGGAAGAAAAACAAAAGAATAGCGATCAAAAGAAGACAATTTATTCGAGGGCACTGTATAGGCAGCTATACGTACTGGACTTCAAGTTTGACGGGTGGGGATTTCCTGTTCGGGTTGCCGCCGCTTTATGAGCACTTGAGGGCGCTCAGACTCAGGCTCACTGAGCGGCTCATTATAGTCACGTGACAACACCTAACGTAGTTCCCGGCCGACCGGAACACCTCATCGAAAAATCGCGTCTTTCAACCATCCTCCCTAATTCAAACACCTACCATGCCACCAATTCGTAACTTTCCGGCTGGAAAAAATATGAATCAAGAGGGCAAGGTCCTATTAGCCCTTGACGATATCGAAAATGGCCGTGTCACGTCTCGCCGTGCTGCAGCGAAGCTATACGAAATACCACTTACCACACTACACGCACGTGCCAAAGGCCGAACCTCACGCGTTGATAAACGCCCATCTGGTCATAAACTGACCCAGCTAGAAGAGGATTCACTTACTGAATGGATTATCTCTATGGATACACGTGGTGCAGCGCCTAGGCCAGCTGCTGTACGTGATATGGCCAATATTCTATTAGCTGCACGCGGTAGCGACCCCCCACCTACAGTTGGCAAGAATTGGCCATCAACCTTCATAAATCGACGTGAAGAGATTCGGACATGCTTCTCTAGGCGATATGACTATCAAAGTGCCCAAAACGAGGATCCTAAGTCTATACGAGAGTGGTTTACATCTGTACAGCGTGTTATTGATGAGAATGGTATTCAACCTGAGGATATTTATAACTTGATGAGACAGGCTTTGCAATGGGTCTTATTTCAGCACAGAAGGTTGTAACACGAAAAGAATACTACGGTCGGCGATCCATTTTACAACCTGGAAACCGTGAATGGGTGACGGCAATTGAAACTATCTGTGCAGATGGCTATTCGTTACCACCATGTGTGATTTTTAAGGGAAAGGTTGCTATCGCTAGCTGGTTCGATAATCTACCAAAAGACTGGCGATTCGAGGTCTCAGCCAATGGCTGGACTACTGATGAGATTGGTTTACGATGGCTAGAAAAGCTATTCATCCCATCAACAAATTCACGTGTCCGTGGTCGCTTTCGGCTATTGATTCTTGATGGCCATGGGAGCCACCTTACACCCCAATTTGACCGAATCTGCACTGAAAACAATATTATCCCACTCTGTATGCCTGCACATTCATCACATCTATTACAACCATTAGATGTTGGCTGTTTTGAAGTCTTTAAACGGACATATGGTCGCTTTATAAGTGATCTCGCCCGTACAGGCTATAACCATATCGACAAGCTTGATTTCTTAGCTGATTACCAACATGCCCGGCTTGAAGCTTTTCAGCCTAGTCTTATCCAGAATAGCTTTTTAGCTACTGGTTTAGTACCAATTGATGCGGAAAGAGTTCTTTCTAAGTTGAATATTTCTCTTCGAACACCTATACCGCCAGGTAGCCGGCCAGGCAGCAGGTCTAGTCAATTTACACCTAAAACACCTAGAATTGTGGTTCAGCTACAGAAGCAAGCTTCAATGCTTCAAGATCTTCTAAAACAGCGATCAAACAACCCTCCCAGCCCATCGAAATTGATGTTAGATCAAATCATCAAGGGCCACGCTATAGCACTACACAACACTGCGCTACTAGCACAAGAAAACGCCAATTTACGTGCTGCGAATGAGTAAAAACGACAGAAACGCAGTCGATCAGCTAGGCAGATACTATGTGATGAGGGTTTAAAAGTCGAAGAGGGCTTACAGCTAGCTCAGCAGCTAGAATCAATGGATAGAGCTGCTGGAGTCGAATCACACACCCGGGTTGAATTGCCTATTCAGCCAAATCAGCCAGCCCCTAGGGCTCAGCCTAGGTGTAGTGGATGTCGAGAGGTTGGACATAAGATTAATGTATGTAAAAAGCGTTATATTTAGTCGAATTTATTGCTGTTGGTTGAAATATTTGAATTTTAAAAATTTCTAGTTGGGTGGGTGATCGGCTCGCTTGTGTGATCGACTCGACTGTGGATTACGTTATACCCCGTTGATTAACGTAATTCCCGGTCGAACCGCGCACCCGGCTGGGTCGCGCACCCCAAAACACTATAGTAAACGCGATATTTCATAACCTGATATATCAACACTTGAGACTTAGTATACCATCCTAGGCTACCTGAGTGCTTACTATATCCCGCCATATAGATTTATCACACGTAGAAGTATGCTGAGACAGCATAAGGTTGGTATATATATCTACATCGGTCACTGCCATCGTATTTTAGGTAATGCAAGTATATAACCATTTAGTATATATTTCATGTACACTATGTTGCTCTTTATATAAAGAAGACCTACTATACCGAAAATAAAGTAAGACCAAGTTCTTGTTGTTGGTATATCAGGTTATGAAATATCGCGTTTACTATAGTGTTTTGGGGTGCGCGGTCCGACCGGGAATTACGTTATTAAGAGGTATTTATCTAACGTGATTCCCGGTCTCACGGATCACCCGGTCTAACGGATCACCCCATCACATTAGAAATTTTTACATTCAAATATTTTAACCCAATACCAACAAATTCAGTTATAAATACGATTTTTACATACATTGATCTTATGTCCAACCTCTCGACATCCACTACACCTAGGCTGAGCCCTAGGGGCTGGCTGATTCGGCTGAATAGGTAGTTCAACCTGGGTGTGTGATTCGACTCCAGCAGCTCTATCCATTGATTCTAGCTGCTGAGCTAGCTGTAAGCCCTCTTCGACTTTTAAACCCTCATCACATAGTATCTGCCTAGCTGATCGAGTACGCTTCTGTCGTTTCTTCTCATTCGCTGCACGTAAATTGGCATTTTCTTGTGCTAGTAGCGCAGTGTTATGTAGCGATATACAGTGTCCCTTGATGATTTGATCTAGCATCAATTTCGACGGGCTTGGAGGGCTGTTTGATCGCTGTTTTAGAAGATCTTGAAGCATTGAAGCTTGCTTTTGAAGCTGAACCACAGTTCTAGGTGTTTTGGGTGTAAATTGACTAGATCTGCTGCTTGGTCGGCTGCCTGGTGGTGTAGGTGTTCGAAGAGAGATATTTAATTTAGAAAGCACCTTTTCGGCATCAATTGGTACTATTCCAGTAGCTAAGAAGCTACTCTGAATAGTAGTTGGTTGAAAAGCTTCTTGCCGGGCACGCTGGTAATCAGCTAAGAAATCAAGCTTGTCGATATGGTTATAGCCTGTACGTGCAAGGTCGCTTATAAAACGACCATATGTAGTTTCAACACTGCAAAACAACCAACATCTAGTGGCTGTAATAGATGTGATGAATTTGCAGGCATACAGAGTGGGATAATGTTGTTTTCAGTGCAGATTCGGTCAAATTGGGGTGTAAGATGGCTACCATGGCCATCAAGAATCAATAGCCGAAAACGACCACGGACACGTGAATTTGTTGATGGGAAAAATAGCTTTTCTAGCCATCGTAAACCAATCTTATCAGTGGTCCAGCCATTAGCTGAGACCTCGAATCGCCAGTCTTTTGGTAGATTATCGAACCAGCTTGCAACAGCAACCTTTCCCTTGAAAATCACACATGGTGGTAATGAATAGCCATCTGCGCAGATAGCTTCAATTGCAGTTACCCATTCACGGTTTCCAGGCTGTAAAATTAGTATTCTTCTCGTGTTACAACCTTCTGTGTGGAAATAAGGCCCATCGCAAAGCCTGTCTCATCAAAGTTGTAGATATCTTCAGGTTGGATCCCATTCTCATCGTTGATATGTTGTACAGCTGTAAACCATGCTTTGATTGATTTAGGATCTTCATTTTAGGCATGTTGGTAGTAATATCGCCTAGAGAAGCATGTCCGAATCTCTTCACGTCGATTTATAAAGGTTGATGGCCAATTCTTGCCGACTATAGGTGGGGGATGGCTACCGCGTGCAGCTAATAGAATATTGGCCATATCTCGTACAGTAGCTGGCCTAGGCGCAGCTCCACGGGGGTCCATAGAGATAATCCATTCAGTAAGCGAATCCTTTTCCAACTGTGTCAATTTATGGCCATTTAGGCGTATATCGACACAAGATTGTACACCCCGCGCGCGATCGCGTAGTGTGGACTCAGGCACGCTAAATAGCCTGGCTGCCGCACGAAGAGACTTGACTTGGTCCTTTTGAATAGCCTGTAGGGCTAATAAGACCCTGTCCTCTTGGCTGGCCTTTTTTTCGGCCGAAATATTGCGCTTTGGTGGCATGGTAGGTGTTTGAATTAGGTAGGTAGGTACTAGCAGTCTACTGGCAGTCTATCCCCGAAGAAGCATAAGTTCCCGACACTGATTACTGACCCATCAACAATTTGATGGAATTCTCGTAGATTTTTTCCCTCCGGATATGACGTGAGGGAGAGTTTATCTTGGCGATGGAAGAAACGGCTTCCTTTACTTAATTCCCTTATCTTCGTCGTTGCTCCCCTTCCTCTACAACCCCGATATGACTTCTTTTCGTCAGTTCAAGACAGATCTCACCCCAATACGCGCCGTGTCTCCTTACTGATGCCGTACTGGTGTTGCCAATAATTTAGGCGGGCCGCTTATCTCGACTCCAGCCAACAGAAGCCATCAATCGACCATTAATCAACTTGAGCAGCACCGGTATAATGAACGCGTGTCTACAATTTCGTCGAGTGAAAATGAAATGCACCCCGGGCTCGCAAGCCGTTGCATGTGAACGCTGCGCGCGCAAATCGCTTGAATGCATCTTTGAGCCCCACCGTCGAGGCCGAAGGCCCGGAACAAGGTGAGTCGAGGTATTAATACAGGCGCGGATCAAGCATTCCCAACTAATCGTTCCAAGGGTATCAAAGCGAAAATCGGTGACACCTAGATACAACTTGTCAAGTGAATTGCGACCCGAGAGGACGGCAGTTCCAGAGGAAGATGTCCCTGTACTTGAACCGCCGCCCGCAATGTCACGGTCAACTACCGGCTCAGATGGGTTACAGCCTTCTGGTGTGCTCAATCATGAGGCCATGAAGGGGCGATTCTCCCTGCGATATATTCTTGGCTCGGGAGAAAATGAAAGACCGGAGCGGCATGAAGGCGACCACAGCGACTCGCCCGACGATCCGATCTGTTTGGGCCTGATCAATATATCTATTGCCCAGTGTCTATTTGATCAGTGAGTGGGACTTGGCGTCAATAAAATCCAACGAGGCTGAACAATATGAATAGCTTCATCACCGTCTTCAATACCTATATTTCTCAGCTTGATCCTGCCCTGCATACCTTTTCATACGTGCGCCGGAAATCGTCATTTTTGCTGAGTACAATCCTCGCAAGCTCGGCAAAGGCATTCAACCCAACTTTCTATCCCAAACTTCACGAACATGCGAATCTTTATTGGCCAAAATTTTTCTAAGTGGCATTAAAACTACGGAAATACCCCAGGGGATTCTCATCCTAACGTATTGGAAGGAGCCTCGCGATACACGGGCTTGGGTCCTACTTGGTTACGTGATCAGAATGTGTACAGACATGGGATGGCATAAATTTCTTCCTTCTCAATCTCAAAATCACACAATGAGCGAAAGCGAAAGGCGAGAAACTCGAGATAAAGAAAGAACTTGGTTTCTTTTGTTTGTTTACGACCGGAGGTATGCTGATCACTTCAAGCCAGACGTGAAGGGGGTTGACACAAGGATACAGCATGAGTCTACAGACAGGCAGGCCTTGGATGATTGAGCGCGACGAATTCACTGAGTCGATAGAGACATGGTGCAATGATCCGCTCGCGACCAGGCATGATCCTCTCCTGGGAGCATTTGTTACCTTGAGGATATTGACCTCCGAAGCAGTCAGATTATTAAATCCCCAAGGCTGAGAAGGTAAAAGAGCCAAAATGCAAGGAATTGAATTGCAGTTGGACTTTATTAATACACGCATGAGGAATTGGGAAAAGCAATGGACTCGAAAGATCAAGGCCTTATCAACCAGTGAAGAAAACTACCACGAATTCTTGATACGCTTTTATGGATCTCATATAAAACTTCAGCTCTCTTCGTTACCACTGCAAGTAATGCTGAGCTCTGGTGCTTCTGAGGCTTCACTTGACTTGGGAACATTTTGGATGGCATACTCGAGTGCGCTATCAATGCTCAAGCTCATATCAGACTTCTCGGCACATATTTACTTTGTTCAGGACTCGATACATGTGATGAATGCATATAGTGGTGCATTTCTCGTGAAGGTCAGTTATTTTGCCCGTTTACTTACAAGTTTCTTTTGTGTGGTAGAGACTGACCATCATGAAAATCAGTTGGCTCACGCCGTACCCGAAACAATTGCGAAACAGATAAGACCTGAGATAATAAAAGCAATTCGCGAAGCAACCGCGGCCTTTTCCAGCCAAGGAGCACCCAATGGGTCTGCTTGTGTTCTACAGGCCCAATTTCTAGGCAATATTGCGGCAAGACTATCTGAAATGGATACTCCGGGACAAAATGACCCCCTTCTTACAGATTTGAATATTTTCAATGGAAGACTTGAAACCGTTGAAACCATGATCCGTGACAGTCGGGTTTTAAAGAACGGCATACAGGAAACCTCCCAACAACGTGATATGGCAGCGGCAGGAGCATCGCTCCAAGAGCCAGAAACCTTTATGAGTGACAATTATTGGGCAAATGTAATTTAAATGCTCAACGCTTATCAAAGTTTACCCAAAACATGGCTCCAGATATCTTAATCTCACGTAGATGATAGATATTGACTCCATAGAATGTCATTTAGCCTCCTCGGATCATATCGGGATTCTAGGATATGAGCGCGGGGTTCCCCTTTGTCAACCTCCACTGATAACCTTGGAAGAGCCCGGAACGGGCCGCAGTGGCAAATACCGGCGAATTCTGTGCTCTGTGCTTGGAATGCCGGTGGATCAGATGTCTTCCGGGGTGCGATAAGGCTAGCGACTCCTGAACGACACGACAAATATTCCGACCGTTGGAAGGCGGCCATTGTAATTTTACCTTTGCTAGCTGCTTAAATCCATACATTGCCTGCATACGGCTCGCCCAAGGAATTCCCCAGGACAACTTTTAGCTTGTCAGGATGACGGAGACAAAGCTCAAAACAGCGTATGTCAATATGATGGCTGATTCGCTGATTGGGAATCTTCCATTGCAGGGACTGCGCGTTGTGCTGCGTGGTATGCTCGCAAACCGACCTGATTGCACCACAACCTTCGAGGACATAGCCCGCAGTTACATCCGCGACGTGACGCTACCCAGTGCCGACTCTGTCGAGACATCTAAGGATGCAGTCGAGTACATCCAGAATGCTAGGAATCATGTCTGCTGTATGCTTGGGTGCGGTCTTTGCTACGAGGCACTCCCTGTTCTCCAAAGCACAGTGGAGGCTATCGGTCGATTTCTAGCATTGACCGAAGGAAACCCGACAGAAGAGAGTTCACTTTCGTATCAGGTCACCCAATTGGATGGAGTCATTGTTCAGGCTGTCACAGCTGTTCAGAAATCTCTCGTCTCTTCCACAGGATCGCGGAACCTTTCTGAAAATGAGAGCAAGTTGCTTGAAAGACTACTTGATAGGCTCACCAATTGCAAGATCGCTAGCGAAAAACAGTCACAGCTATTTTTGCTAGATCGAGGCCTTGCAACCGTCGAGGATTTCCTCCACCCCGAAACCTTTGCCCATTCTACTGGCATTATTACCCCACTATCCACCAAGGATCTCCCTAAGATCTCGGAATCATTTGCGGTGAATGGCGTCAATCTACCGAGAATCTTCACTGGGCTTTGGCAACTTTCAAGCCCAGCATGGGGTTCTGCTCCCCAGTCAAAAATTATGGAGCAGTTCTCCAAGTATGTTGAAAGTGGACTTACGGCCTTCGACATGGCAGATCACTAAGGTGATGCCGAAGTTATTTTTGTGACTAAACCTGAGCACCTCCCCAAAGACTTCTTGAGCTAACAGATCTTATAGGGACGATACCGATCATCTAGTGCATTTTCAAAATCGATTTTCGCCGCTACCAAATACTGCGTGTTTCATCCAATGACGGTTTCACGAGAGGCAGTGGTTGCCAACATTGATGAACGGTGTCAGAGGCTCAAGTCGGACAGCGTTGATCTCCTTCAATTGCATTGGCAACATGTAAGTCATTGGTCTTTCAAGATCGTGTTTTTGAAAACTAATGCTTATTCTTTTCTTCGCAGTATGAGTACAGCTCATATATCCAGGCCTTGAAGTACATTCAAGAGGACATTCGCGTTAAGAATTTGGGACTGTGCAACTTCGATACAGAGCATATGCAAAAGGTCATTGACAGCGGAGTCAAGGTATATACTAACCAAGTTCAGGTAAGTTTTCCAAATATCTCGAGCCCTGGGTTATCGCTAAGAATATTTGAAGTTTTCCCTTATCGATTCCCGGCCAACTGTTCGCATGGCGGAACTTTGTGAGCGACACGATGTAAAGCTGCTGACATATGGAACTTTGGTACGTATTCTAAGAATGTCATTCTTGATTTGACCTAGATTTTGATTCTTGGCTATAGTGTGGAGGTCTTGTGGCGGAGAGATGGATTGGAAAGGACGCACCTGATCTTTATGGCGAGACAGTCACACCCAGCCAAGGAAGGTAAGCTACCTTCTAATGTTCCGGCGTCTGAAAAGCATTGAATTGATTTGGAAAATCTAGTATCTCGCAATGATCAACAGCTGGGGAGGTTGGGCTTTGTTCCAAGAGCTGCTGAAGACTCTTCATTCTATTGCCCAAAAGTATGGTGCTTCTCTCTCGAACATGGCCACCAGATGGGTCTTGGACTTCTCTTACGTTGGTGCGGTCATTATTGGCACAAGAATGAGTATCAGCCAGCAATGTGACGAGAGCCTAGCATCGCTTGGCTGGAAATTGGATGCTGATGACCAAAAGCAAATACAAGACATTCTCAACCGGAGCCGCAGGACTGAGATGTTTGAGAGTCTAGGTGACTGTGGTGGTGAATATAGATAGATTACTTGCTTTACGAAGGCGTTATTTATTAATTAGAGGAATCTTGGTGTGTTCTCCGATTAATGATGTCACTTACCAGCAAAGATCGCAATGTTGAGATAGCAAGTCAAGAAACCTGACGCAGTGAAATTTCCTGTCGTGAAAACGTCGAAGCCTACTTATGTTACAAGCTTTCGCGATATCAATTTAACAGAGTTAGAACTAACCAGAGAAAAAAGACAATCAAGGTTACCATGACCAAAGTGGAAATAGCCGTATAAGGCTGCAATGGGCTTCTGTACGGTAGTCCTGTTGGATATAAGTATATATTGAAATATCAGAAACGGAGAGGGGAAACTCACTCTCCCTGGAGATGTTTTGGGCGGAGAGTGCACGCCAGAATCGCAAGTATGTCGCCTCGATAACGATCCATCCAATCAGTCCAGCCACAGTTGTGATATTCACAAACCATCCAAAGACAACCGACGAAGTAGAATCGACTGATATGAATGCCAACGGCATCAGAGCGGAGCTAAGACCCACGGCATACCATGGAGTTCCGAAACGGTTGCATCGCTGGAATACTCGAGGGGCATGGCCGTCTTGGCTGAGACCGTAGAGAGTACGAGATGCCAAGAAGATACAGCTTGAACCACTGCTGATGGCAGAAGTACAGACGACTGCATTGATGATGTGCGGTACCTTAGATATACCTGCACGTGTAAATGCGATCACAAATGGAGACTCGGAAGCTGTGCCCGTGGAAAGAGACAGAGATTTATCGTTGAAAGGCCTAGATCGATTGATTAGAATTTGGCAAGCTTTGAGAGGGAAAAGGGCTAATCATACACAATCAAGCCAACGATAAAAATTCCGAGGACGTAAAATAGGAAGATTCTGATGAAGGTTTTTCTGGTGGCATTTGGGATGGTCAAGCGAGGGTTCTTTGTTTCGGACCCAGCAATGGCCACAACTTGAATATTTCCGTAGCTGAAAGCCGCAGTCAGGAGGATCTTCCAGAAGGCAAGAAATCTGCCTGTGGAACCCGACGCAATATATTCGTTGAAGGCACCCGGAGTGTTCCAATAGTGAAAACCAAGTCGATGATGGTCGGGACCGCCCCCGAGGTCAATGACAAGTCCTCCAATGATGCAACCGATGATGAGCATAATTTTGAGACAAGCAAATACAACCTCCGACTGTGTAAGATTGCCAAGATTAGCCCTATTGCACCATTATCGAAGCGCGGTTGGTGTTAGGTTGACTTCACCGTACAGTCGGACTCCGCAGAAGTTCAGCGCGACAATTAAGAAGCCAAAGACAGCAATCCATACGGCGACGTTGACTTCAGTATTCCAGAATTGAATCAAGGTAGCGGCAGCTGTGATTTCCATTGGTGCTGAGATGGCCATAGTATACCCTAACATTATGAGTCACCCGTAATTCCCAATGCACAAGGTTATGAGATCTGACAGAAGTTCCATCCTGTTGCAGCTCCAAGTGCTGGCTCGACAAACTTCGTTGCGTGTCTTACAAATCCACCCGTTGAGAGCATGAACGTGGTTATCTCACCCGTGGTGTAAGACACTCCAGCTGTAACAAAACCCATGACGATGTAGGCCATGAAGGCCCCGGCCGGGCCTGCAGTGGCAATGGCTTGACCCGAGCTCAAGAAGAGACCAGTTCACTATACATTCTTAGTGTCACTTTTGGGCGATTCAATGGACGGGGGAGCACTAACGATCATGCCAGCAATGGCGATCATGTTAATGTGTCGTGACTCCAGGTCACGCTTGACCTCCTCGAAATTGCCTTCAGTGGCATCAATGGAGTCATCGGCCCCCATGCTGTGAGTCTTGGACTCGACGTCTTTTGGAAATTCGATTTTAGAGGCCATATTGTGGAGAGCTAGCAGTCTGAGCCGCTATATGCAGAAGGAAACTTTGATGTAAGCAAGTCAGTAAGGGTTATAAAGACTCGAATAGTTTAGCACACGAGATGGCTTATCTCCCGAGGTCCCCCATTTCCAATCAGAATCCCCGAAATGAGTATATATAGCTTAGGTAAGGATCGACACACTGGCCTGGCGTGCAGATTGCTGCTTAACAGATAACTAGGCTCTGTCTTGCCTTGACTGGCGGCCAAACAACGCATGACAGACAAAAACGATTGGATTACAACAGATGCCTTGATTGCGTGCCCTGATCCTCATTGTTCATCAAAGCTCAAGATTGTACGAACCGGCATCAGAAGCTTTGACCATTCTGAGACTACTGTCGTTCCGTTAGACAAGCCGACAGGTGGGGATCTTTAGGTTAGCTCACTCCGCGGCCCTTGAGAGAACCACCTTCGAAGTCGTCATCTCCAACCGTTTCGGAGGCTCCACGTCCACCTGGCATCTTTTACCTTAGATAAGCAACCTAGTCTAAGGCTTCACATGATTTGGTTTAGTGAGGATAAATTAAAGAATTTCGGGGAGGCCTGAAAAACTCCCCGAAAATCGGTTGAACACAATTATGACTAAGTATTTTGCTTCACTTCGTAGGCCATAGAGTATCTGCGGTATCTTTCAGCGTTATCTTCAATACATATGTAGTATCTACGAAGCCTGCCCATATCATTACAGGCATCACAGCTTGGCATTATTTGCCTAGTGCTGCCAGTGAGTGGAAGTTGGTCTGGCCAACATGGCCATCGCGGTATTTTCGTACTTTTTGCCTCTGACATTGATTTAAGATAAAAGTATCCAGAGCTCTGGGTAGAATAATGGATCCGAAACCTACGATAGATATTCCAATGGGAACGAACAGGAACCCACTGCTTTGATTACTAGCGCTATCTAAACAGCTCAAGGGCTTCAAGTTCCAAGGTTATGCCGAACCTTGGAACACCGACGCTGGTTTACCGGTGTTATTTAGAATGCCGGCTCGATGACCTCAGGACTCAACTGCACGATAAAGCTGTCGAACTGAGGTAACTTATAAGAGCTAATTATAATGTCAGGAACGGGGCTCTATTGATTGAACATGTGGGTTTCTCAATCACAGAATGCTGGGTTTACTTGCTATTTCACCTTTGCTCAGCTTGGCAGCTGCCGAGCAGCAGCCATGGCTGAAAAAGTCTCTCCCAACCGAAGAGAGACTCCAGTCGTTACTTAAGCAATTAAACTTCACTGAGAAGCTATCAATGGTTCAAGGAACCCAGAATGTAAGCATCAGAAACTCCCTTCGATCAACTTACATATCCGATCAACTTACATGACGCGTGGAATTGCAACAATTCGAGACAAACGGCTGCATTGGTTATGTGCCTGGAATCGATAGACTGGGCATGCCGGCTGTTTGCATGGGCGACGGCCCAGAGGGAGTCGGTAATAACCTCAACAATGTCACGACTTTCCCCGCGCCCGTCATGAGCACCGCAGCATGGAATATGTCGCTCGCCACTCGTTTTGGCGAGGCCCTTGCTCAGGAGCACAAGGCCAAGAGACGAAATGTTGTGCTGGCGCCAAATATCAACATCGTTCGAACCCCTCTCTGGACCCGAGCAGCAGAATCCCTGTCCGAGGACCCCTACCTGAACAGCCTTGTAGGTGTCGCGATTGCCAAGGGCATTCAGTCTCAGGATATGATCGCATGCCCCAAGCATCTGGCAGCGTACAACCAAGACACCAACCGCTTCGGAGTGGCCCGGAATTTGATGCCATCGATGCCATTGTGGATGAACGCACGATGCAGGAAGTCTACTTGCAAACCTTCAGGGCAGCAGTCCAGGAAGGTCAAGCCGACTCTGTGATGTGCTCATACAACAAGCTTAACGGTGTGCACACTTGTGAAGATCCTTGGTTGTACTAAGTTCTCAAGAGTGATTGGGGTTTTGATGGATTCGTGGTTACAGACTGGTATTTCGCTCAGCGAACCACCATGGCGGCAGCTTTGGCCGGTTTGGACAGCAGCCAGCCCAGTGGATCATTGATGGACTTGTATGGATTCCCAGAACTCTACGGTTCAGTTATCCAGGAGGCTGTCAATAATGGATCAGGTCGAAGATATGGCTGAGCGCCTCTGGAGACCTATGTTCGCCAATGGAGTCATTGATCGAGCCGTGGAGGGCAACGAGACTTCGATTGCCCGTACCGAGAAGCTCAAGAGAACGTCTCGGTCAACTACCTGAAAGCGTTCCCAGGTACCCAGACATTCGCTCAGGTTCCTACCTCGATGTTTGGCCCTGATGGTTTAAACGTCACATACTGGACGACAACCGATTGGACAGGACCCGTGAACCAGACTACGACAGCTGGGAACATCAGCGCCGGAGATTACCCCAAGAACATGGCCAGCGTTTGGCCGGATGTCTACTCCTCTCGGTACGTTGGCCACTTCTACGCCAACGAGACGGGCCTGTATTATTTCTCCGTGTATGGAAATGGATTGGGTAATCTCTATATCGATGACGACCTGGTTACGAGCTTAAATGGAAGCAACTTTAACATGGTGGCCCAAGGAGTGGTGAAGCTTACCGCAGGACAGGCTGTGACTCTACAACTTGACTATTCCATGGGCTTCTCGGTTGACAATGGCATCTACGGAGTGACTCTAGCATGGAAATTGAGAAAGACTTCAACCACGATGGTCTGGCCAAGGTTGCCAAGCAAGCGGATTTGAGCATTGTTTTCGTGAATGATGAGGTTACGGAGGGTCTTGACAATAACAACGCTTTACAGCTACCCAGCAACCAGGACGAGCTCATCTCAAAGATTGCCAAGCACAGCAAGCGCACGGTAGTTGTTGTCAGCACCAACAGCGCCATTCTGATGCCTTGGTTGAACGAAGTTGACGCTGTCGTCGAGACTTTCTACCCTGGCCAAGAAATCGGACCTGCGATCGCACGCCTTCTCTTCGGTGATGTGAACTTCTCAGGAAAACTTCCTATTACATTCCCCAAGGCTCTTGCAGATACCCCAACCGCGGACATTGAACGTTACCCAGGAGTCAACCTGAAGGCTAACTATTTCGAGGGTCTCTTTGTTGGCTACCGCTGGTTCGATGAAAACTCCGTGAAGCCTTTGTTCCCCTTCGGATTCGGATTGTCGTATACTGAATTTGAGCTGTCAAAGATGAAAGTCAAAGTTGGTGGAAAGAATGAGAAATTCATTGACATCAAGGCCGAAGTCCACAATACAGGAACTATTTTTGGACAGGAAGTTGTCCAACTATACGTACAGTTCCCCGAAGAATGCCAGGAACCACCTAGACTTCTGAAGGGATTCCAAAAGGTTGCCATCGACTCGAAACGCAAGTCAAAGGTCGAATTTACTTCGGGCGTTGAAAATTTATCCATCTGGATCACTGCTTCCAAGAAATGGGAATTTGTGCCTGGTCAATACTCGTTTTTTGTGGGAACATCTTCCAGGGACCTTCCCCTGAAGGAATCCATCCATCTGAAATAGAATCGCCATAGTTGACACTTTTGATGTCATCCAAATAACTCTAATAATAGGCCAAAATTTGCTACTTATACTGTTTGATCATATCGTTCATTATGAAATGAGGATAGTACGCAATTAAGTGGAAATGGCCATTCGCTTTTAGGTGGGATGACGAAATTCTTGTTTTGAGCAAGTGGGGCCTTAAGGCAGCATAGTGAAATTCATTTTATTGGGGTAGTTCACGAATGTAATTAGCCTGCTGTAGAGTGCGCTCAGTGAGTGAATCACATCACTGCGCAGGCTTAGTGAGCCGATCAGTCTTCTCAGGCCCGGCTCTCTAAGTAAATTGATCGGCTCACTGCCCAGGTGCCCTGTGTTCTCGCCGGAGGCCGTACTCAGATCTGCTGAGTGAGTTAAAGCGGCGAGGAAGTAAGCACTAGAAGCCAAGAATCATCAAAAGAAATCCAGTACGTAGGTATTTGAAGTTGTTACAGCATCATATTAATGCATGGACCATAGACCCCAACTTGAGGAACCATGGTAATCGGTGAAGTCTTTTTTGCCCATGTCTTAGCTTATGATGTCAAAAAACGACAGTTTCAGCATGAAATCCGGTCATGGTGTAGTTGGCTATCGCATCTGACTGTAATGTCTTATAGTTTATCAGAAAGTCCGCGGTTCGATTCCGCGTGACCGGATCATCTTTTTTTTCCCTCTTTGTTTTTGAGGGCTAGGTGAACTTTTTTTCTTGTTGAGAATCAATTAATACTTAGAGTCCTATAGATGGAGTATATAAATTTAGTTTTAATCTATAAGAAGAGACCCTTCTTTAAATAGGATTAATAAAATTTTACAAAAAAAGTTACTACACAAAAAAGAAACCTAGTAGATAAAAAGAAGACAAAAAGGTATGATCCGGTCACGCGGAATCGAACCGCGGACTTTCTGATAAACTATAAGACATTACAGTCAGATGCGATAGCCAACTACACCATGACCGGATTTCATATCTGTGCTCACGTCGTTTGATATAATGACCTATGAATGACTGGAGCCTCTCTACCGCAGGCCCTCGCTGTATCTACTCGTTATGTATTAAGGATGATGTTCCAACCTTTTTATAGGAAGAAAGGAAATGTATTAGTTTGACTCAAGTGCTGACTGCTCGCTGTTTGCTGGACCAAAAAATCTCTCAATTCTCCATTGGAAACTGAATAGCATCAAAGAGAGTCTCCCACCAAAGCCATTGCCAGTGGTGGCACATACGATATGTATATACCTCCAGGGCTAGGATTATGTGATAACCTGAAACTTGAGAGATAAAACATTTGAATGTACATAATTCCAATCTCAAATTATACTCACAATTGTCACTTAGTTAATTATAGGGCTCCCTACATATGTGAAACCTGGAGTTGAGTAGATTTCATTAAATTTATTTAGGTCTGACATCACTCGATTTTCCGCTTTATCTGCTACCGCGGGGTAATGTCTGCCTATAAGCACCCCTCCCGTGAAAGTTTCATATCACCAAATCCTTCGCCCCCAGGGCCACTTTAAGCTGGAGGGCCAAAGAAGCCAACAAAGTAATCCCGCTTACCCAGAGGAACTCCTTCCTTGCGCAGAATGCCATAGGCAGTAGCAACATGGAAGTAAACATTGGGCAAAACAACATTGTGCGCATAAGCAGCACCACTCATGTCAATCTGTGCCTGGGGTCCGACGTAGGTGGGACTGAGTACTTCTGCTTGTCCATTAACAACATCCTTATCAGCCTCGTTGGCAACCTTCAGCACTGCCTCGATACGTTCGTAGAATTCCGCAAATCTCAACGGGCTGCCTTCGTAGTTCACCGGCTCGCGAGCCGTCAGTCTTGCGACTAGGTTCTCGGAGTATTGAGTGACGATGCGGATTTGGTCGGTCAATGGGTACATGTCCTCGCGAAGCCGGGCTGTGAGAAGACTGTCGGCATCGGGACGTTGTTCGGCTTGGTGGAGAACGTGGGACAGGGTCTTGAGGAGGTTCTGGATCACCACGATGGATCCGTCGTAAAATGTGTAGGGCATTTTGATTATAGTTTGTTCAATTTTGTTTGATGTAGTACAAACTTGAACTTGAAGATTTGGGAAGTCGAGATTTATAACTTGAACCTTGGAATCGTATTTCGGGTTTGATGGGTGCTCGATTAGACTTCCAAGGCTGGGACGAGCATGACTCACTGATACGCAGCCTACGTAGTCGATCCCCACATTGAGGGATCATGATCTTACTGTAAGACGGATAGAAATTAGATGTGGGTCGAATTGATGCATCAAAAATGCAAATAATGCCTGGAGTTCTGAGACTTCGAAGGTTTAAGAGGTGAGTTTCTGGGATTTAAAACCGCGTAGTGATTGCAACCTGAACAGCCGTTGAACTTCCATGGTCTCTCAAACCCCCTAGTGAAGAAAACTGAAATAGAAGCACTTGAGCTAATTGAAAAAAGGGGGCATTTTGTTTTCTTAGCCGCATAGTTAGTGCCGGGTGTGGTGCATCGGACATCATGGATTCGTATAAAAGTAGAGTACTATTCAACCACGTCGAAGAGAAGCACTGCGCCTATTCGCTAGAACTTCATTGCGTAAAGACCTCATCGGTGTCTTATCTCAAATTGATCAGGATGCGGCACCCATAATCATACGTAATGAGGCTTTGAATCCGTGGTCATTCAGTAGGCTTCTTGCGCTGATCTGATCTGCCGGTTTGTGTCTAAAGACCTTGGAAGAATTGAGGCTGATAGATAGTTCTCGCTCGCATTTGATTTCCTCGGAGTATAGGGTTTTGAAGCCGTGATAGAAATATTCGATTGGCCTCCTCTGGATAGCGAGGCTGATCTCCATGTCACGAATCTTGGCATAATCTGAAAGTATAAACTTGGTTTAAAATTTGGAATCCATAGGCCCAAGTCATCTCTCCTCAGCTGTAATCTTGATGGCCACAGCCCGAAAGGTGGGCTGGAAAGCCAGCCAGACTATGAAAACCAGCCCCAGTGGAGTTTGTGTTCGATTAAGTATCCTTACTTATACGAAGTAAACATCATAGCTTAGTATTGAGCAACACCCCTATTAAGATTCTGGGCTCGACCGCAGATTACGCATTGCGGATGTTATCTCCCACATGCAGCATGGAACGTCCGGTCAGGATATTTGATTGCCAGCCTGCAGACTTCAAGGTCCCCTCGGGAATACTCAGTAAAGATAAATCGCTGCCTGTTCCCATATGAGCTTCTCAATCTAGCAAAAAGTGGGAGCAGGCTTACCATTTGGACCAAGGAGGGAGGTCATGATCGGGGCGTACTCAGTCTGATGAGAAATAGCAGAATTGTATTTGTTTTGGCCAACTTCAGAATGTAAGTATAGGATGTGAATCCGGATTGTAATAAGAGGCCACACGGGGATTTATAAGCTTAGACATGTACATACTCGGTAGGATGACTTGCGGTCCGCCAATCATTGAGACCGTAAGGATGGGAGAATATGGTTTTTCATCAAGCTTCCTGCGGCTCAAAAAGGAACCAGTCACCTGCACCAGTTCAGGTTTTCATATATCCGCAGTGAGAGGTATTTTCTCTTACGTCCCGGGGGTACCGTCTCTATAGTTTGCACCGGGGCGTCCCTGAGGCACAATCACTACCCTCAACGTAGCATCGTTACTAGCATTTAACACCTGCTCTTCAACCCACGATCTGAAGATATTTATCTTGCTCATAGCATCTTCACGAACTTTTTCTGAGACAATCGCACCGTCCTTCCTAGTTTTGTCAACGTTCTCTCATTTTGACACCAGAAGACGTTAAAATACTGACCATCGTTCCTTCTGCGAAGGACTTACATACGGCGGATGACCAACCTTTTTCTGAGTACTGCCGGCGGAAGTCATCAAAAGAGTGATATCCATCAAAGACATTGACTTTGCCAGCAATCTGCTTGTCAAATCTCCATATTAGACATCCTTCTGCAGGCAATGGGGGTTTTACAAGTCAAAAAAAGTCACATCTTGAAGTGAACCAGCCAAAAAGATCTGCAGGGGCGGTTTGGGACCACATTTTAGTGAGCGAGACATGGGTGCATTTTATTCCAAGATGGGTTTCTAGCGCCACAAGAAACTCTTCGGTCATGCGTTGCTGATTCTCATCTGTGCATGGGTACCAGTCTGTCGGGTATAGGATTTCCGTTCGCTTGAATAGATGATCAATTTTCTGTTTGCTTAGTAGAATGAGATACAGGTTTGATGAACTTACGACTTTTTGAGTGGAGCCCCATGACTTGGAGGCCAGCAGGATTCTTTGGATCATGGAGGATGACCTGGACAGTATGCCAACTGCATCGAAGGCCCCATTTATAGTCAGCTTCCAGCAGATCCGAAACGCTGAAGCTAATAAAAGATTACGCACGGGGCAGATGGCACAATATTCTCCATGGGTAAAGAGCTCCAAGTTGCCCTGTGGCCCCAGACATCATGACAATATACCGGGTGGCACATACTTCCAGTTGCTGAAGTTTAAGCATGTCAACTGAGTTCAAAAAAGTATGGTTGAGTGAAACTTGCTTACTATCTGTGCATATTGAAACATACACCCATGGATAACCGGCGACTGATGCAGCTGCACCACTTGAGCTCCCAGATGGGCCTTGATAGGCATCTCCTCGAGGATTTCATGGAGAAAAATAGTCAATACACTCCATAGGAGGAACTTCTGACCCAGAAAAAGCGGACATTTTTGACTTTCCAAGTACAACAGCACCATTTTGGATCAGAATATCAATGTATCTAGCTGATTGGGCCTGCTTTCCATAAAGCTTTGCATATGACCGACTTCCTAGGGTGGTAGTCACACCTCTCAAGTGCATATTGTATTTGACAGTGATTCGTATACCAGCAAGGGGTTATGCAAGGCTTTTTTGTGCGTAAAGGCGAGATGGCACAGGAACAACAGAGCCGGAGCCAGTAAATGCAGCGTTATGGGAAGGCTGGAATGATGTTTTGTAGCCTGCATTGTGTGCCGCATTATCGTCGGGAATAACTGCTGTCGTAAAGGCTCCAAGATCATCCGGATAGAGCCTTCATGACTGGTGAAGCTTTCCATCGATCGCAAAATACGTTCCATGTGGAAGTATATCTGAGCCATTTAGGTACACTGGGCTTAATCGGCGCGAGTTAAGGTATTCTTTGACGTCTTTTGGCAATATTCGGATTTTCAAGTCCGGCGTACTTGGCTTGAGGACGAGGAATCTGTTTTCAGTAAAGCTAGTTTGAAAAACATCATCCTCTGCAAGGAATCGATCAAAGGTTTCTTGGATCAAATTCACAGAAATTCCATGAATCGGTACGTGTATGACGGCTGCCGGCGCCAAGAGATGATTTGAGCCGTTTCTTGCTACCGGAAGAGCACACTAAAAATTTCAGGGTTAGTTATGTATTCCAAAGTGAAGGAAAATTGTGTGTACCTCTACGCAATTTCTCACGTAATAGGAGATATCTCCAACCTGGACGACAGATATTTGGCAGGAGGAGTTGGTCACTTTCATGGTTTTTGTTGAAAATGGAAAGTGTGCTTCGAGAGAGTAGAGAATAAGGTGAGGTGTGTGGTGATATCTACATGGACGGTGGACCAGTGGTCCCAGATTCCAAGATTTTTCTTTCAACGTTGGAGATGGGATGGAGAGAGAAGCCTTCACAGTGTTTGTATAAAGTATTGACGGACTAAGGTACATCATGAATCGGATTGGGTGTGTGGAAACAAAGACTGTCTTTTTCCTTTTTCCTACCCGACGTCAATCACGGCGACAAAAGCTACATATTATTGGCTCCTTACCCCAGTCATCGTCAAAGTGGCTGAATTTATTAAATGCTAACTCTTTCTTTCCACAAGACTCCACACCTAAGCGTCCTCGATTTGTGCCTTGTCCTTCATACAGGTGGCAATATTACCGAGGGAGTTTTATGGCCAAACCAACCAGTGCATAGATCCCCTCCTTTTACGCTTGTGTTCCACGTCTCCGCCGGCGAGAGACAGTGACTCGGAGCTTAGTGATAGCACTGGAGAAATTCGGGCTTGAGAGTGGACCAGATGACAGGTGGAAATGATAATCTGATAAATTCAACGTCCTGCGGTGAATCCAGCACCAGACCCCCGAATGTATCATATTTCGGATGAAGCACTGATTATTCTCATTTGCTCAATAGGACCAAGATAATGGATGGAATTACCACCAAATATGCATCTAAAGCTTCTGCAGCAAGTTAAATTCCGTACCTATTGACTGCATACTATACAGCATTCAGAACGATGGGGTGCTCAAGATCTGCGTACTAGGTAGCAAGCATAGCTCTCAAATAAATGGTATGCCATGCTAAGATTACAAAATTTCAAGACAGCAAATAAATAGCCTGAGATTGAGCAAAGCTTGCACCAACTACAATTTCTTGCCGGTGTCAATCTCCAGTTGCCGCAAAAAGCCGACATAGTCAATCGCTTTGTCAATAGTGCAAGTGCTGCTAATCCTCCATAGATCGACTTGGCACGAAACGTGTTCTCTTAATTTGCGATTTGAGAGTCCCCGAGTCCAGCGCTCCGCCAGTGTCAACTGAAAGGCATCTGGAAGGATGTATTTCAAGTCAAAGCCCTTCTTAATGTAATCTCTTGTTCTACTACTGCCTTATTTGAGCTCAAACATCTCTTTCATAGCTTTGTCGGTACGTTCCCACGCTGAAAGGAATCTCTTCGCTAGGGATTTCGAGAGATTGTAGAAATTTCCCCTCTTTTCTGCATCCAGGGTTTTGATGTAGTCAAGTGCGACTCCTTTGCATCCAGCTTGAAGAGTGATTAAGCGAGCTTCATCTAGATCGGGTTTCGACAGACAACATTGATCCCATATCTCCTCACATTTAGGAAAACGATAACATCTTCGTATGGTAACCCCGAGAACCCAGGCTGAGGTATTGGTGATCTCGGCTGCGGTTCCATATTCAACTGGTGTTATTGGACTGCCGTCGGATTCCAAGGTCGTATATGTGCACATATGAGTAGTAGCCTTTGTTTTTTCAGTTTGGAATACCTGGTGAATCCCGAGGTCAGCGATTACCTATATTTTCAAAGTTGTATAGTACTTGAGATGTCCACACATACATGCAGCATGTGGCATATTTCACTGACAGTTGCTCATATACCTATTAAGACGGTACCTAGCCACTGGTGTAATCGATGTAATCTTTGGATATGACTTATGCTCGGGTTTGGCGACTACTAGTAGTGGTATAGAGTACTAAGTTGGCTTCTGTTTTGGAAGTATACGTGTTGCCAATGACGACAACACAAACTTCCATATTAGTTCCCGGATCACTCCAAGATCCACGGTTACAAAGAGGAACATTCCCAAGGTTAAAAAAAATTAGCCGCATGAACTTGAATATGAATCTATTTGGCAGGGCCAGGCAGGAGTGATCGTTCGCGCCCGGGCGGTTCGTCCATTATCACTACACATGTGATTTTTCCTTTGTATATTCTGAACATCAAAAGAACTTGAAACAACCTGGAGACAAAATAAGAAGACAGAAGCAAAATATAGATGAGGAAATAGATATCTTGAGAAAAAAAAAGGTGATCCGGTCACGCGGAATCGAACCGCGGACTTTCTGATAAACTATAAGACATTACAGTCAGATGCGATAGCCAACTACACCATGACCGGATTTCTGATAGCCGACACCATTTTTGGAAATATAAACCATGGGACTGATGCAGTGTTTCTATGGGCCCATTCCGTGACGCCATGAAGCATGTTCAAGCACGAGTAATTATTGATATAACATTGAATACATCTAAACCAAGATTCAGATCCCCTGTTTAGCTAACATACTCTATATAAAGCCGCCTTTGATCCCTGTCTCCTGCTGAAGCCAATTGATTTAATATACATGCTGCTAAAGGGATCAATAGAGGACAAAGTCAGAGCACGGTATACTAGTATATCTCTTTCTGATTTTTACAGCCTATAGTCTGCCGATTTATCTCTCTGCCACCTGGGCAGGCAATTCAATAAATCCAACAAGTTATAAACCACTATGAAGTACTCATATTGTATACAATTTATATGTCCGCTATCGAATGGTTCGAGTCTAGGTTGAACTACACGTGCACATGTGTGGTTGTTAATCTATCTCTCCCTGTATTTTGGAGCTAGTCCAATTTAGAAGGCGGGAACCTTGGAATAAACATTTGAAGTAAAAATTATAGCGCAAACTTTTCAATGTTGTCATGCCACTATGCCACTCTATTATAGGTAGACACTGAACAGTATGTTACTAGTAGTAGTCTAGCTTCGAATCAGACCTCAGGCTGAATTGAGCCCCGGCCCTCACATTGATGAGCTCAAGTTTCTAAGATTCATTAGACAGGATTTATTTTGCTTCAACGCTAGGTAGAAATTTGATTAGTGCCCACCTGGAATTTTCAAATGTTCAGCTCTTTACGTGTATATCTTTGAGTTTTGTTTCAAACCCTAGGTAAATTCCAAGGTTCCCGACCAATCACATGATACAATAATCCATGTATGCCCAGGTGGTTATTTCTGTATTATAAGACCCGTTCCGAGATTGAAATGTTGAAAATTTGGTGTAATGCTACGTAAACGAGGAAAAACCTGATTAAGTTACGTACATTTCCAAAAAGAAGCACGCCCACCACGACATAACCTCCAGGGCTAAATTATACCTGTCTTAATCAGTCATCAGTACCATATTGCGGCGCCTGAAGAATAGCCATGCCCAAAATCCCTTGAATCTTGTCCCAGATTTTGTCCGCATCTTCCGTCTTTCCTTGTCTCCTATATAGCTTCTCTAACTGACTCGCCGTCCGAAGCGTACTGGCATGCATTATGCCAAGAAGCTTTTCCTGTGTACTTAGTGCGCTCGAATAGAGCCTTTCGGCGCTGCTATCGTCCCCAAGATCCCGATAGATACTTCCTAGACACTGTATAGTGGTCAATGTTGAAATTGATTCAATGCCTCTACATCTCAACTTGCTCTCCAGGGTCTTTTGGCCGAGCTCCATTACCGCGTGGAGGCGCCCTTGATAACCAACGATACACAAGGGCTAAATTATTTGCCGTGTTTAGATATGCGTTACTTTCAGGACCATGCACATCCTTCATTTTGGTCTGGACATGTTCCAGCATCTCGCTGCTCTCATTGTATTTTTGCAGACCTCGATAGACAGTGCCAACATCGTGCATGGAATTCAGTGTTAAAGGGTGGTCCGGTCCAAGAATAGAGGTTTTTAGACCCACTGCTTTGGTATAGAAGCTTTCAGATGAAGGGTAATCTACTTTGTTCATGTAGCAGAACCCAAGGGCGTCGTACAACTCAAACAGTTGTGTTTCGGTTTGAGGTTCGGGACTATTTTGATGGCCGTGAAACCGTGCCATGCAATGCTGATATAGTGCCTCAGCTTGAGTGTATCGCTCAAAATAGGCGAATGAGGATGCTAAAACCACGATCGTGTCGGTCGAGACAGAGTCCAAATGTGCGCTCGCTGACAAAGGCCCAAAAGCACTTCATACAGCGTCTAAATGAGTAAGAAGCCATTGCTTGCGAGTGAGTAACATAGAATCTATGTTTACAGTTTTCTTGTACAAAACATTTGCCATTGTTTCAAGAGCCATTTTTGCAAATACTGTCCTTTGGGGAGTTGGGGGCGTAAAGCGTAAAAAGAGCCATTCAGTGATCATCGGATGCAAGGTGAATGCTGCCTATTGAGAGCCGAGTTCAATGTACTGCACAAGAGAAAGGCACTGGAGCTCAACAAGGATATCTTGAACCTTGAGGCTATCCCAGCGACCATCCGTGAAACAGGCGCGGGCCCACAATATATGATCTGGATGATGAACTCCAGCATCAATGGCTACTGTGCAGCGTTCTTCAGAAAGATTGAGTCGGTTGAAAAAAGCAAAGAATGATAGCAGATCGCCAACACCTTCGGTATGTCTTTGAATATCTCGCAAGGAAAACTCAAATGTTACCCCAATACTAGCGGGTATGTCGACCCCGGTCTCTTTGTTTCGTTTCTTATATTCCCAGAATGATGGCAGATTGGACCATATTGCTGTTTTCGAAGAGGTCTTGTACATCTCATTGAATAGAGCCAGGTTCAAATTCCGTGCCTTGATATAAGCAGCGGCCTGATCAATGGCCAGAGGAAGAAGCCCGAACTGATTGATCATTTTTTTTGCCTCTATTAGGTCGCTCTCGGTTCTCTCGTACGCAAGGCGGTAGAAAAACAGATCCAAAGTGTCACTTTCCGTCATTGGATCTAGGTGTATAGTATCACCCAGGCGGGCTGAATCCCAATGGCGGCTTGTGACGAGGACTGCTCCATACTTTCCGGGTCCGAACGGCAAGAGATCCATCAAATTCGGTATTTGACCTGGATTATCAAAATTATCCAAAACCATCAACCATGGTATGGTAAACCTGGTAATAGCTTCCTTAGCAAAGCAGATCTCAAAGCTCGTACTTTGAACAGAAGTCTTCACATTGAGTAGCCTGGTCGTGATATTCTCGTAGCTACTCAGAAGAGTTTCCATGTTAGACGCACCGAGCCAAAAAAATAGCCTGAAAATGGCGTGCTTTCCAAGCGCGCTCGCAGTATTTCAGGGCTAACTGTGTTTTACCCTGACCACCCATGCCAAGAATCACAGTCACTTGCTGAATGGCCGTCTCAAGCTCATCTAGCGACTTTTCCCTCCCAAAGAACTGCGAAAATTGAAGCAAAGGAACCTGATAGTGCTCAGGATGTGAATCTGTTGTTCTCTCCATCCTCTGCTCTTTGCACAGTAGCGAATGGTCAAGCTTTAGGGAAAGCAAGGTCTTGTATGATTCCAGTAATCTTTGAGCTTGAGCAATTTCCTTTTCCCGGCGAACGCGACCCAAGGCTTTTTTTTGCCTTTTCGAGGGAGGAGTCACCCTGAGAGGGGGTTATCGAAGCAACTGTCTTTTCAAGCAGCTCAATCTGACGGGTACAACCAGCTGTGGCTCTGGTAAATGTTTGATCCTTGCTCGACGATAACTCGCTCTGGTGTGTATGCTCAACTATTTCTCTCAGAAGTGGTAGCTGAGCAGTGATATTCCCGATAGACCGCGGCACCTGGTTGCCAGAGTCCCTGACTTCTTGGATGAAAGTGACGAACTTAGTCGCTACCTCAAGAAACGTGATGACAGCAGAAGCAACACCAATAGCTTCTGCCATGCTTTGCGTGTTGTCCTTGGCGAAAATCTTCTATCTGCAATTGGGAATTATGTTGAGAGATAAACTGCAGCATAAGAAGTCGGTTTAAGACGATTTTATAATCGTTGGACCCCATGTGATCCCTTCCACATGACTGTGATTGTGCGTCTTCCACTGCTGTGACTGGTGCGATCTCTGATACCTGCAACCTTTGTCGTAATTGCGTAGCCTTTGCTCACCCTATATGTGGCTGCCGGAAATCACCTTTTTCAGTTACTGAGCTATGCCTGTAAAACGCCAACTCTCGTCACCGTCCGTCGCTACGTGGAGCACGAAGGGTGTTGCTGAGTGCGGCTTATGATAAACCAAAGGAAATAGATCAATCCGCATAGGGCGAATACATCAACGTGCATGTGCTTTCAGGTGTGGTCTTCATTAGACCTTAACCTGAGTTTTGATAATATTACAGTAGTTGAAGCAGTCGGGCGCCCTAGGATTATCATCCTTGTGGGAGAGGTCTGAGCGGCTTTCTGTTTGGGAATCAAGTTGTGCTTGTGCCACGTTGGAGGGAGGGATTCAGTTGGTCCAAGTGGCGGTTACAACGATGCTACTGCACTTTACCTGCATCATGCATGTGATTTCGTGATCCAGCTTGCAGCTCGGGCGGGGGAATTCCGTCAGCCAATCAAGAATCAGAGGCCAAGTTCTCGTCTCAGCCGCGAGTCATTGTAGGAACAGTTAAAAACATGTAGTAAACCGTCCTTGTCAATATTACTTTCATCACAGGTATCCAGATGTATGCTCCTCATATCCCTTATATTATCTACAGCTTGTACCTTCTCATACTAAACCATCAAATCCTGCCAGATCTTCGGGTAAAGGTTTTCCAAGCACTGGAAATTACCTTCAACCCAAGACAAAAGATGAAAAACAACGAACCTGGTCTTACGAAACAAGCGAAACCTCGTTTTCGACCTTGAAAACCTTCTGTGATCCTCAATCAAATTCCAACAAAACTGCAATCGCAGATGCTGAGGAAAACCCGTCTTATAAAGGCGAGAATGAAAAAGATGAAGGAGATTTACCAATGCCGAAACCAAAAGCAAAACCAACGGGGTCATAGTTGTGCTTAAGCTGGGAAGAATAATAGAGACAGCAGCTGAGCATGCAGGAATGAAACAGATTCTTAAGCAGCAAATGTTCCCATACAGAAACATCACTTGTTTATTACGTCAAAGAATACATTTCAAATAATCGTTAAATGATAGATGCTAGTGACATTGAGATAAATTTCCCTCCGATGCGCTAATAAAAGCATACCACGCGGGCTTTGACGCTTTTTCGAGGCTCGACTACTTTTGATTCATTCTCAAAAGAGGCATGAGCGGCAACTATGGCGGTATTAGCGCAATTCTTACCAAAAAAAGAAGAAGAAAAAAATAAAAACCTCTCAACACACATACAAGGAATAGAGGTTCCATAGGAGGCTGTCTGGCGAAGTACAATAACGTCTTCTACCCGTTGATTGTCTAGAAAATACCACCGATGCCCCGAGTTCCAATAAAGAAGAGTATCTTCTCCAACACACGTGCGGTGAACGAAATCTCTCGTTTCGATATCCTCTGGTACTGTAAGTGACTGGTAGTCACACATGGCTAATGGCCAGCTTCGTGTTGGGGCGTGAGTCACACGCCATACGCTGAGATCTTATTAGAGACACTTGAATGACAAATCCCTATGACGACCTCGGGACGCACTTCAGAATTTCGAAGGGTTCATCAGTGCTATACTGACTTCCAAAGTACTCTTTAAGAAGTGACACTGCACCATTCAGGGTAAAATCTACCTGAAGATTATCCCGGTGTTTTTTCTGCTCGAGGGATAAGAATACCAGCATGCGCATGGGACACCGGCCCATAGAGAGACTTGGTTTTCCCCTGGCCATTTTTAATAGAGGAGTCACGTCTCTATAACCCTGTTAGAACTTTAACTATTCGAAGTGGAAACAAAGCTTACCATATGAGACAAAATGTGGACGTCCTTCACGCCGGCCTTATAGTCCTAACAAGCTCAATAATTTCTGGGAAATACAGGCTATGAACCAAGCCTTCATCTTCAAAGTCGACTGGTCGAAGAGCTGTGGGTCTTCGAAAGAATTGAAAGCCATTTATATCCAGATAAAACTCATTGCGAATCGCTTCTGAGTTCTGGGCATTGATGGTATGTGCAGTAAGTTTACAATTAGTGCTTGGACCATTAAGCCCAGCGGTATCAAATGTCGTTATGGATGGCTTCTTGGACATGTAAATGGAGTCTCTTTCTAAATAATGCAAGGATGGTGCTACTTGCTTGAACGAAGTCTCATCCATAGGGTAAATATGAATCTGCGGTCGCAGACCTCAGAAAGATTTAAAGACTGGGTCGTCCTGTTGATCACTGTCATAATATCGCACAGAAGTAATTTAAGAATAACATTCGATTACAACGGACATCGCCTGGCGGGATAATTTTGTACTAGCTGCTGAAGACGTTGGGCCGGACTCTACCAAATGACATCACAAGTTACATTACATATGTACTAGTAGATGGATATCTGCAAGCCGAAATATTATGCCCTTTTACTAGTAAATGGCTGAATAAGATAAAAAGGCGCAGTTCACATGACTGTTATTTAATCAATTTCCACATTTACCTATGTAGAGTAGAACTACCAGTATTCCCTATATCGCAAATGATCACGTCGGTGACCGGAAAAACAAATTTATATCAAATGACTCTTACATTACTACGTAGAATAGCATTTGTTTCGACATCTTCCGTTGCGGTCGTGCCTCGCTAATAGAGGTTAAAGAAGAACAATCGTGTTTGTAGATTCTGTTTGTAGATTCTGAGTCGCCAAAAAAAGATATTTTCAACGGGCTGAGCGCTTCAGCGCGAACCTGAAAAGTGAGGCGGAGCAATCGGCCAACCAGCCACGAACACGAGTCAGAATAGCACCTCAGGTATAGGAAGAAAAGAACTTGTCAAGACCGTTCCGCATAATTGGCGACTATACCTTCGAGGCTGGACTTGAGCAAGGTGACAACTTACAAGATATCAAATACTATTGCTATAACATTTGGACCATAAAAGTTACTGGGTACCCTAGAGCTATAAGGGGGGTTAGCCAGGAATGCTTGATGTCCAATAAGCTCCGAAGTCACCATTTAGTATGGTGGAGATCACGAAACAAATCTTACTGTCGAGCCCAACCCATCCACTTTGGCCTAAGATAAACACCCAAAGCAGTGCCAGACCCTCTGCAGTAAACATTTGAAACAACAACTGAGAGATGGAGGAGGGAAGTTGATAGGTTGTCCAATGGTCGTCTAGCTTGCTCATTTTGTATAGAACCCTCCAGGATCAAGGCTCTAGCACTTGAGTCGTCCAGGCATCTGATTCTAGACCCTTCCAAGGTTGTATTCATACATATTGGTGTATATGTAGGTATAAGTACTGAGTAGGGGAACGCTCTAGGCAGAGCACTCGAAGATGCACGGATCGATCTAGCTGCTGCACAACCAACAACCAGAATACTAATGATATGGGATGACCCATAGGAGTACGATCGGAAAGGTGAAAAGGGTGTTTTCTAAACTAATAACGACGGGCAATTTTGTATGCGACCATAATAACAGAATCACATAAGCAAAACCGAAATGTGACACCTGCCAGTGGCAACCAGTATACATAATATAGTGAGGGACATGCCCACCTGGGCAGGTGGTTCCCCACTATGTACAGTACCTAGAAGACCGCCTGGGCATCTGGGCAGGTATTAACCGTATTCAAGTTATTACCTAGGTACTACAATTGATAGGTATGTACATAAAATACCGATAGTAATTTACACTCCATCCATATTCCAACCTTGGAAGATTGGGCTTAGCATATCATATCCAACATCATTCAAGTTGAACTTGGAAGGTTGTAACATTTGGATCCTGTGGTCAGATTGATGCAGGACATCATATATTATACCTAGGTACTACTAGAAGCCCTCGGAGCATACTCAAGTGCTACTACTGTGACCAATAAATCCAGTCTATATATTGATCTGAGTCATTAGTAGTACCTAGTCACAAAGTCCAGCTTAAGATTATGTACGCACACAAGCGGTTTTTCTTTCTATACAAAATCGTTGATCATCGAAAATAGGTAGAAGCACATGCACATGTGCACGCTCAAGGTACACGAAGAGGTAGAAAGGTGCCAGCACTTGAGTGGTGTTCAAAAACAAAAGGCAGCGATGCAAACACCGACATAGACATACATACGACTAGGTAGCAGATATTTCAAATGTTCCAAGGTTAAATTATGATGCTGATGGAAATTTGAGACTGATAATAAATTCGAGTAACCAGTTGACGTGAAGTTACATGTGCACCTGGGCAACATTCAAGTTTGAAGATATCTGCCTAGAGCCCTGGAGCTTGAACCTCGGCAAGTCTATATATATTCGAAGGTTATTCAAGTTTCAAAGTTTTACTGGTTAAATAGGTAGGTTTCAAATACTAAGTATCAACACGCTATAATTAAGAAAAACCACCGTAGATTTTTGAATATTTCCCTTTCTCAACAGATGTTTGGGATATTTGGGCTAGCTCGGATAGACTCGAACTCAAATATGGTGCTTGGAACAGTTTAAATATACCCGAAAACTATATACTTGCCAGTCCCGTTAATAGAAACAGACATGTGCACTTCATTTTTCATTTAAATAATTTTCTGTGTTTGATTGTTAAGAAAATTGAATGCAAGACCACTTAATCTGGTTCGTAGGACATGCAGGTATGTACTAGTTGACCAGTAATCGGAATTGTGGCTTGGGACGAGTGATATAAACTTAAATTAAAAACACCTGAAGAAATCAACCTTGGAGGAATCAAGGAAATGTTCCGAACCACCGTATGTTGCCCAGGTGGGGTTGATAAGGCAGAAAGGGGTAAATGGCCGAAGCTTGGCACGTTCCTCTTCTTCAAGGAAAGGATTGACCCTCTAGTGTCAAGCTAATGCAAAGGACCTGCGCCCCCGGAGAATCTATATGAAGCTAGGATTTCGGCTAACAGTTTATGAGCCAATCGGCACATACTCAGCCCTGACTTGCGTGTTAGATTGTGACGTGATCTACTGCAACCAACTCCACTTCGCTTATAAACAGTCAATCACTTACTCAATGGGAGAAACGTGCATGGTTGAGGAAAGGCTTGCTTCCGGAACACCGAGTTTAGTGCACGGCACCTGATGATTTTTTTTCATTTCTTCAGTCTCCTGCGATGTGAAGCTTGATACATTAGGCTTTTTCGACGGTCGGACTCGGAGTATACAAGCCATCGACATATAAAAAGGGCATCGGGCCGAGCTGTGATCAGTTGATGGTCATACGCAGTCTTCGATCCGATTGAACGGCATTTTGATCGCTACCATGTTTGTCTCACGGTGGTTGACTTTTGCAAGCATCGTTGGTACTGCATTTGCAGTGCCAGGGCAATCTCTTGCTAAAAGAACTACTGTTAGTGATATTCTAACAGACATTGAGGATGCTACCACTTGCACTGCATGCGAGGTTAGTTAGGAAGAAGTCTCCAAGCTTCAGTATTCCGCCGTTGAGTCTTATGACTTGATTGCTGATCTACTCTTTAGGCCTTGCTCGTTATTCTGCAGGCTTTGGCTCACCTCGGTAACGATGACTTTGTAGATGTCATCACAGATGTCTGCGAATTGGCTGGTGTTAGTATACTTTACCCGAAGAAACATCCAGAGGGAGGACTTGAGCCTATCTGACACCCTATAGATTGATGACGATGATGTGTGCGCGGGCGCAATCTCTCGTGAGGGCCCAATTCTGGCTCATGACCTTCGCAACATGGATGTGCCCTCTCACACTGCCACTCTTTTCTGCACCACCATCTTTGGACTCTGCAGCTATCCTGCTGTGACAGAGTACACAATTGATTTCCCCTCTGCGAAGCCAGCCAACGCAACTCGACCAGAGTCCAGTGGGGAAACTCCCATTAAAGTTGTCCATATCAGTGATATCCATGTTGATCTTGAATACGAGGATGGCGCAAAGTTCGTTCCATAGCCCGCATAACTTCTTCCCTTATTGAACTATACTGATAGCAGCTGATAGCTACAACTGTACCAAGAGTATTTGCTGCCGTCCATACACTACTGCTGATTCTCCTGGAAACACTGACTACCCTGCCGGTGAATATGGAAACCACAACTGCGACTCTCCATTGACCCTGGAGGAGAGCATGTATGAAGCTATCGCGGAATACTTCTCCGATGCATCTTTCACTATTTTCACTGGTGATGTTGTTGAGGGTGCAGTTTGGGCTACCAACGAGACTAATGTGATTGCTGATCTCAACGATGCTTACGAGACCCGGATGCCCAACTATCTCAACCTGGTCTACGGAGTTATTGGAAACCATGACGTTAATCCCGTCAACTCTTTCCCTCCTGCTGCTATTGATACTACCATCTCCAGTCAGTGGGTCTATGACACTCTATCCTCCGACTGGACGCAGTGGATTGGCTCAACTGCCGCTACCACTGCTGACGACTATGGTGCTTATTCCGTGAAATATTCCGGAGGCAACCTTCGCATTATCTCCTTCAACAGCAACTTCTACTACAAGGAGAACTTCTGGCTCTATGAGGCGACAATGGAAACCGACCCTAGCGGTCAGCTAGCATGGTTGGTGGATGAGCTTGATGCTGCCGAGACAGCAGGCGAGCGTGTTTGGCTTATGGGCCACATGCCTATGGGCTCTGGTGATGCTTTCCACGATGGATCAAACTACTTCAACCAGATCATCCAGCGTTATGATGCTACCATTGCCGCTGTTTTCTACGGCCACACCCACAAGGACGAGTTCGAGATTGCCTACAGCAACTACTCCAACCCAACTGCTGACACTGCAACCATGATGTCGTACATTGCTCCTGCTCTGACTCCGACATCAGGCAACCCCACATTCCGTGTTTACTCTGTCGACCCTGTCACTTTCGGTATCCTTGATTTCGAGGTTTACTTCGCCAACATGTCCAGCCCCACTTACCAGACCAAGCCTACCTGGGAGAAATACTACTCTGCTAAGGAAGCTTACGGTTCTCTCCTAACCCCGCCTGTCACCGACAGCGCGGCAGAGCTGACTCCTGCTTTCTGGCACAATGTTACCGTTCTCTTCGAGGATGATGACTCCGTCTTCCAGGACTACTATGCTCGCAAGTCTCGTGGATGGGATGTTTCTGAGTGCACAGACTCTGATGATGACTGCAAGACCGATGAGATCTGTCAGCTCCGTGCCGCAGAGTCCCAGTACAACTGTGTTGAGATTACTGCTGGTATTGACTTCAAGAAAGCAAAGCGATCCAGCTCCAGCAGCAGCTCCCACCAGGAGAGTGCATGCGGTGAATCGGTTATCGGAAGGATGTTCGCGAACTTTGACGAGTCCGTTGCCTCTCTGAAGACCGCTGCCGAGGCTAAGCTGGGATCCAGCTTCATGGACACCACTGTGAACACCACATTATCCGTCTAGAAGCTAGATGTATTAGTTTAGGGCTTATATTTGTGTACGCGGCAGTGAAGCAGGTGGCTGAGAACGGAGTAGTAGACTTTATTTTTTGCCCGTCGGCAGATAAGACTGATTTATTGAATCGTTATACTTCAATGCACGTTCTAGAAACTGTATCGAGTCATTGGCTGGCGATCACTGCCCTAGTAGTAATTAGCTGACAGCCTCAAAGTCCTGGAGGTAAATACTAGTACGTAGTAGTATCGGAGCCCGAGGTCATGCGAGTCAAGAGCTTCAGTCCGGCTACAGCTCCGAGGACATCGGAATTGCTTTTCAATTTAATCAATCAATTAATCAACTTCATCTCGGTTAAACACTCGGCTTGACACGTGGGTTGGTAATAGGTCCATGTGTAGTGAGCCCAGTGACGCTAACTGCGGCTAAGCCGGCGACTAACTAAGCTTCTCAGGGCACCAAATACCGCAATTGAGTATATATGGCACTGGACTCGCTAGAAAAACATATGATATCTTGATTTTGTATCAGATAATATCGAAATCAATCCATTGGAGTTTGCATCATGGCCAATTCCTACGTTAAGACTGCAGTCTCTTCGCTGTTGTTGGCGGCTACCAGCCAAGCCGCCGTTCTGGCCCCTGTTAACGACATTGTGTTCCCAGCCAGTGACAGCGTCCAAAATCCACTGCAGTACTCTGGTGGTAACACACCATGGTTTGCTGGTGAGTTTTTTTTGATTCATTGGTCGTACAGTAGCGTTCTGATGTGGTACTAGGTCCTAATGTCAATGGCGTTGATAACACCGTCCCTGACAAGTGTACTGTGCAACAGGCTGCCTATATTGTGAGACACGGTAGTCGGTGTGTATTGCCGTACAAAATATGGAGAGTTTGATTTATTGATGATTATTGATAGATTCCCCGATTCGGGTTCTTACGACTCATGGGTCGGCATCTACGACAAGGTTAGTACCTGACTTCTGTTGTATCATCGCTTCTCGGAGACTGACATTGTCATAGATTCAAACTGCTGTGAATGGCCATGGATTTGAAGCTCGTGGTGCTCTCTCGTTCATTGCGGATTGGCACACTGTCTTGACCAACACCAATTTGCAAATGTCATCTGAGTCCATGACAGGTTGGAAGGAGGTAAGTTTCGCCTAATTGTTTTGACGAAGACAGAAACTCACGACAGACAGGCCGGTGACCTTGGTTATCAACTCAGAGCTCGCTGTAAGTGATATCCCATCTACTCTCCGTCACTTCTGAGACTGATCTGTTTCTAGACCCCGATTTCTACGAGGATGGTAACCCATTCTACGTCTGGGCCAACCAGTACAAGTACCCCATCAACGAGTCCCGAGTTGTTCAAACTGCTCGTTCTTTTGTCAACGGCTACTTGTATGAGTTTGCCGACACCTACGGCAGCGTTGTCAGTGTGAACTCCACTGGCTCTGTCAGCGCCATCGGTAACTCCCTGGGTCCATCTGACTCATGCCCGACCTTTGCAAGCACCTCAAGTGGCGGTGACAACGTAACTGACTGTGGGTGAAATGAAAATTATGCATTCCTTCCAAAATGTTTGCTAGAAACTAACTCGAATTAGGGGATGCTACCTGGGCCCCAGCGACTGTGAAGCGACTCAACGCACTGGTTAGCGGCAACCTGACCTTCGATGAGACCGACATCACTTTCTTCCCTTACATGTGTGCCTATGAGAGCCAGATCCTTGGTAATCTCAGCCCCTGGTGCAATGTCTTCAACCAGGAGGAGTTGGAAAAATATGCTTATTCCCAGGATTTGAGTTACTACTACGATGTTGGCCCTGGTGCCGATGGACCCGCTAAGATTCTCTTCTTGCCTTTCCTGAACAGTCTGATGAGCCTGCTCAAGGAGGGTCCGGGTCAGACCGGAAAGGCTGCTGATGGAGGTAGTTTCACTGTTCCTAACCTGATCATGGCTTTCTTGAACGATAATCAGATTGCCGAGATGACCGCCGCCATGGGTATCTTTGATAACGAGGCCCCTCTCCCCGATACCCACATCCCCACTAACCACTTGTACAATGTGGCCCACTGGATTACCATGCGCGGTACTGTCGCCTTTGAGGCTTTGAACTGTGAAGTTGAGTCGGGAAAGAAGTCCACCAACGAGACCTATATCCGAGTTCTGTTCAACGATGCTGTGTACCCGATCGTTAGCTGCCAGAATGGACCTGGCAAGAGCTGTCTTCTGTCCGAGTATGCTACTTTCATCGAGGAGAAGAACAAGAAGGCTGGTAACTTCATTGATTACTGCAATGTTACCGAGGCCGGTCACCCCGAGACTGTCGCTGGAGCTAGCTTCTTCACTGATTTGTCCCTGGACTTCTTGACCTTCGTTAACCCTTGAGTGGATGCATCGCCTCCTAATCTCGGGCCCTAGGCTCAGACTGTACATCCATGCCAGCCACTTTATTTCCAATATTGCTCTTTGTGATCTCACCCACCTTGCTTGACCGCTCCTTGATTTCCTTTCTGTTTGTTTTCAATCTTTCGTTTCTAACCATTTGTATTTATTTATAGAGCCTTTTAAGGTTATTAAATTTACATCCCGACCATTAGACATATTCAATATGTGCTCCAAAAGTTCTATTAGGTAGCAGTAGAAGAATCAATAAGCTTCTTTTAATACCTCCAAGGTTAGGTCGCTACAGTTTTTTTGAGTGTACTCACCATCTGCACATGTGCAGTGGTAGTATACCCGTGGCGGCAGCATCGGCCTACTGTAGTACAGCTTATCTCTAGGGCCACCAGTTGCTTATATCCGTATACCACTGGCAGCTAGCCTTCTTTAGCTACCCCTGTATGTAGTTGCATACAGGAGTAGGTCACTTCCTGGATAGTCAGCTACAGATACTACAGACTGAATACTTAAGTATGTAAACAATCAATAACAAACGTCAGCTCGACGCCAAATTGTTTCCCCCAGGTCGATAAGCTCGGTTCTGCCAAGAACTATGTCTCGCTCTTGCGGAAAATGTGCAGGTCGTAGCCTAGAATTCGCGAAATGGGATAGTCAAAGGCGCGCCAGACACTGAGACTCGCCATTCCCCACCCCCTTACTTCAACCTGTCGCGTCACGGCAGCCATTCCCCGAGCCGTGTCCCATTCCCACTTCTCTATTTTCAACAGAGGGATGCCCTGTCGAGTCTAAACCATGAGGGCGATATTAGCCCCACCTTGCGCCGGGTTCACCCACATCTTCGCATCGTCTCGGAGTTTGCACACCATATCGCCGACCTCAAGCGCTAGTGAGGATCTGTCATTGGTACGCCCATGCGGAGGAGGGAATGGCAATCAACCCTCGTCGGCGACCTTGACCACGCCCTCCACGATTGGCACTTCTTGCATGGAAAAGCGATCAATTTGTTTCCCCAGGCTCATCTCCCAGAGTCTGTCTTGGATTACATTATTCATGGTGTGGATGACCTTGGCGTGCAAGTGTTAGGCATTTCAACGTTTGAGTATGAGAATGTTGGTCGCTGGATTGTATAAGTATTTAATTCGATGTCATTCATAGCCGGCACGAAATTCGCGATCGAATGAGTAAGGTGAAATCAAGAAGATAATGTAATCAGAGTGAGCTGAGTCCACGTTTAACTTGTAATGACGTGCATTTCGCTCAGAATCCAAAATCTTTTGGAATTTTTGGCTGTATTGGTAGACATACCTCTTAGTAGCAGGTGGAGGTAGTGCCTTCAGGAAGCATTCTGTATTGTCATATCTAGCAGCAACACTAGACTCGGGGTTGAATTCAGCCATGGCTGAATGAGCTCAAATAACTTCCAAGGTTAAAATTTATACCTAGGTAATATTAATTTTCCGTTCTGGGACTTGCGCTCGAATAAAACATTTGAACAGTGAAAGTAGTAAATTCGAGTTCAAAAAAAGGTTCTAAGTACATAGGAGTGCTACCTCATAGTGACATCGTGTTCTAACAATGGCATCTACTGAAGAGAGAAACTTGGAAGAGTAAGGTAAGACTAGAATGCCCAGGTGTATCTAGGTACATATGTCACTGTACTAAAAGTCCCACTTAGTTAGTAGGGAGCCCTATTAGATGGACCGTTACTCGTATCTGTAGGTGAATGGTTCCCTACTCCATGCATGTAAGAACCTACAGGGATACCTAAAGGGGCAGTCTATCCACTATGTAAGTTAGATAAGGAAGAAAGATAGAAAGATAGAAGTATTATTGGCTAACTGTAAAGCCGAAGAGGTCAACTGAAATAATCTTAGGTGGTCAAAGAACCTCCAACATTGAATACATGAGTAGTAGAAAAAGGTCTAGGTTTATCTATCCATCTAATGTCTATATGAGTTGAATTCGTAAGACCTATGCCTGGACAGATAGCTTACAAGTTAAATCTGATTAGAATAATGTTGTCCATTTCACCAAGCTTCCTAGCCAAGCATTCAAGTGATGCATAAGTATCGATGTTGGAAGAATATGTCACTATGAGGTACACATCACTCCTACTTCGAACATTAAGCATATTTTTGAACAGATATCCTCGAATTTAACATTTTTGATTAGTTGAACCTACTACTTTTCCAAGTTTACTATTATATTTAGATGGAGACAAATAATATTATCCATTTATTCGATGTGGGGCCAATATCATGACGATTAAGGCCTAGAAAAACCTTGGAACACTCGTGGAGGCGTGGACCCCCTCTAGGTACTCAAAATAGAAAAAGTGGGAATCTTGGAATGGAACGAGGCCCGGGGCATGGCACGCGACATATTGAAAGGAGAGAGGGGCATGTTTTACTACTAGTTTCTGCCTTTTAAAAAAAAGGATTAAAAATATCCCATTCGAGGAATTTTGGTTAGAACCAAGACAATACCCGTGCGAACGAGACATCCTTGGCAGAAGGCAACTTCTAAAAGAAATTTGTCGTCGAGTTCAGATGAATTATTGAGACTTGTTTCCCGGGTTTAGGTGAAACCCATCAGGTCCTGCCAAACCTTACCTCTTTGCTTACTGGTTCCTCGCTTCCTCCTATGCTACACCCCCTCTTCTGAACTGGACTGTAATCATGGCCTACAGCGCTGTCCAGGTCGAGGAGGTGGCCTCCGACTCGGAGTCTGAGTCTGATCTCTCCATCTCCTCGCGCGCTTTTCAACCATTACCGAATGTTGAAGACTTTGAACCATCTCGTCTAGAGTTGACCAGAGCAAACGCCGTGACTCAGCTGGCTGCTAGTGCCAGTGCCAGTGCCATTTACCGCCCCATGACTTCCTCCAAATACGAAGTCGTCGAAGCCGATGACTACGAAGACGCTGATCCCTTCCCCAATCCTTCCGATGATCGCCGCCGCATGCCTCCTCTAAATACTGCGGTCGCGCGACATTCTTCTCCCGAACCCGAACCCCCCTTACGAAGTCCATCCAGTGATGCCCCTATCCCTCTCAGTCACCCAACACCAGATCTGCAAGCGATTCAAGGAGCCTATGCGGGAAATGTAGAGCGATTGGAACAAAGTGCAGAGCGGTTGAGCTCCACTACTCAAGATATTGGTAGTGAGATTCGCAAAATGGACCAGGAACAAAAACGACGCCAATCTTGCAGCTCTGCATCCAATTCCATCATAAGGAATGGTGCATTCTCTTCAGGGCCCAGCATAGCTAGATCCTCTCATGGATCAACCAGATCCAGATCCACACGCCAGCGCTCTGTCTCTGGTGGATCCTACCTGGCTCAAGTTGCGGAGCCCGACCATGACCATGACGACGACAGCGAATATCCCCCTCGACTACCCACTCTTCCTGCTCCACAACTTCCTATCTACAACCCCAGCTCCGATCACTTTTACAATGCATACAAAGAGGAAGCGACCGAGGTGAACGAACCGGTAGAGATTGAACGCCCCGACACGGCTGCTTCAGGAGACACCTTTCAGCAAGCGCGTACGCTATTCACCGATTTCGATGGCGTTCATTTTACCCCCTTGGAACGGGCAGATTCCACACGCAGGCTATCCCTGAGTCAACCGCCCCTTGCCAATCAGCCTGATGCACATGCATATAAGGAGCCCCAGAATGGTGAACACATGGTTTACTATCCTGCGCCGGTCCCCCGCATGCTGAACCTGCCTCCAAAGTTGTCGCGTAGACCACCAGCTTCTGAGCGTGAAAAGCGTCGCACCCAGATTTTGTCCTCTATCGCAGCTGAGGATAGAAAGTTGGCAGCAGACCAGGAGAGATTGGGCAACAAGCACAAAGAGCCTATTCAATCGGCGCATCCACCACAACTTCGTGCTAGTGTCTTCTTTGACCCACCAAGTACTGCGATTGAGTTGGAGGTAAAAGAGGATTCGGTAGTTGCGACCCTTGACAGCATCCTCGATGCTTCGGCACGTGCACCTGTTTCCGCCTTTACGGATCATCCCTATGCAGGACATGTTGGTTCATATGTCTATGGAAAGAAGCGCAAGAACAACACAAAACACAAGCTACAGAAAAATTCCCAGTCTTCAATGGGCCAATCCCACAGCAAAACCATAGACGGTGCGTCGCAGGGATCTGTCCATTCTGATGACTTGCATCATGATGAATCCGAACGACTTCACGATTCATATGACCATGAAGGCTCAGTCCACTCAAATGCCGAGGATGAAGAGCACTCTCCAGTAAGCGGCGAGGAAGAAGATAATTCGACTGATTATGTTGGTCCACCAAATACCCTGCTTGCAGAGCTGGAGTTGCGGAAACAAGAGCTTCAACAACGTCGACGCACCTTCATGCCACAGCATACCGAAGGAATGAAGGGGACACTCTTGGAGCTAGATGAGATGGCTCAGAAACAAAGCGAGAAGAGACGACGCCGGCCTGTGACTTTGGCATGGGATAATCGCCATGCTGCTGATGACGATGATGTTCCTCTCGCACTGCTCTACCCTGAGCAGAAGATTGGCGAAGATCCAAATCGCCCGCACGGTCTCATGGAGAGACGTGAAATAGAGGAAAATGAACCATTGAGTGCTCGTCGTGCGCGACTGCGAGGAGAGCCTCTACCAGAGAAACGCTCTGTCACAATTCATACCGCCGAGGTAGCTTCTACCGAAACTCCTATGGATAATGATAAGGACGAGCCCGATGATGAAATTGAGACACTGGCAGAGCGTTTAAGGCGATTGAAGGGTCAAAACCCTGCAGACAGCGAGTTCTCCAACAATCTCTTAGCTGAATTCGATAATCGCTTTGGTAGCTCCCAAGCTGAGTCAACTACCCAGTCAACTACCCAGTCAACCCAACCTCCTCAGCCAGCCCTTGAAGAAACCCTCGCACAGCGACGGGCTAGACTTCAGAAAGAACAAGGCGCCCAGAGTGGTATTGCAAAGAACCCGCGAACGCGCCAAAGCATGGCAGCCCTTCCACAAGTTCGACCCACCCAAGTTCCTCGCAGAAAGTCATCCTATGACATTCTCCAGCATCCCAGTCTCATGCAGCAAAATGCCCATCGCATGTCCATGCAGGCTTTGCCAAACACCAACATGGGATACCAGGTGGCCGGATACCCAACGCCCCAGTTCCAGCCTCCACCACCATATACCCAAGGATCCATCTACCCGCCCCCATATGCGTACAACCATATGCACAATGCAGCATATCCTCCTACATGCGGCCCAACCATTCGGCAACCCGTCAATCCAGCGCAACGAGATGTTATCGATCGCTGGAGACAGAGCATTCGCTAAAATTTCCTTTTTCATATCTCGTTCCTTATTTTTGACCCCATCACCATCATAGCGTCTTCATTATGGGCGTACATCTTTGAATTTCTTTCATTTCCCATTTTTCTCTTTGCCTGTTTTATTGAAGGATATCCATGTAGAGTAGCGCAATTGTGTATGATCTATAGAGGCGATTCGGTCTCATCTACTGTCGATGTGACATTACTGGAGCAGGTCTGAAGACGGAGCGTCAAGTTCTGATTCAGCTGGCTTCACCAATCTTATTTTCATACTACTCCAAGTTTGCCCATGGTGAATACTCGAGTCTGTACCTGTAAAATCCTAGTGGCTTGTTGTGACCCAAATATAGATCTGGACCAGGCCACCTGCCGACACGAGGAACCTTCGGGTGTAACCAGGGTTCTGCCATTTAACTGCTTACGTCTTCCATACTCTCCGCCTGGGGTTGTTGATTAAAATCAACCTTCATTTGAAAGCTTCAATGTTGGGTTATTAATTGACCATTCCCAATTTCACTCTTATCTTCAATCTAAATCCTATCAGTCTCGACGCGGATATTTTTTCTTGGGAAGCTAAACGCCCAGTGGCTGCTCTAAGCCCCACTTGTCCGCGGTATGCAGACTTGAAAGTGCAGCCCTCCTTTCAACTTTTTATTAACACCAGCCTTCAGTCCATTTTGACCATGGAGACTCACGTTCCTTGAAATTTTACCTCCACGTCTTATACAGACGCTACCCCACCCTGGCTTCAAGTGCACAGAATGCCGCCATCAGCCGTCTTTTCGTATTGGCGTCGCGACCACCGCCGCTCTACGGCGCCGCCAGCTCCCTTATCAGCACATACACCACTACCTACGAATGTAGTAGAAAGGCCGCTCAGCCCTCCTCAGCTCCCTGAGATCCCAGATACCCCAACTCTCACAAGTGCGCTCGATACCACACCGTCATACGATGCCCCGCCCTGGAGCGAATCCCCGCTGGAGATCGATGCTTCGAAATCGACGTTTACCCCCTCCGCCGCGCCATTGTCCTCCTATATTACCCTCGCAGTTCCTTCACCATCTGCTGAGAGACAGAACCGTCCTCACTCGAGTCCCGAAGAGCTTTATCCCGAGTCAGCCTTCACAGCACAAGCAAACAATTCACAACACTCTGTGAATGCGCTCCGGCCGGATCAAGGCGACATGGAATCGAACTTTAAGCCTAGCTCGCCATTTCGTCTTTCCATTGGCAAAGGACTACGAAGCTTCCAGACACCAACATCTGACACTCCGAAGCGATCACCTACCGTGGGCCCTGGAGCGAGTCATTTTCGATTGAGAACCCCACCAGAAGATCTGTCGGCTGAGAAACCGAACGTTTCCCAGAGGGAGACTAAGCAGGATGGGGCTTTGTCAAGGCGGGCGCCGGAGCGTGAGAACTCGGCAGATAGTGTCCACCATAAGTCGGGAAAGGCAATGCTTCATCTTTTGAATCCCATGTCACTTCTTGCTCGTCGCCGGTCCTCTCAAATAAGTAGCTATCGTGTGGAAGATTCTAAACTCAGTGCTCCCAATTCTATACCTGGTATTCCCGATGACTATGATCCTCGAATTCGGGGAAAGATTGTTCATGATTTCTCTGCCCCTCGGCCTCGACGAAATGTCTCTGGGAACTCGGGAACCGCTGAGCAAGACCCATCATTACAACATCCTGCCCATCGGTGGGGTGAGAATACGAGACGGCAGAGTGATCACTCGCCAGTGTTTAAAGAGCATTTTGAGGATGATGAGAATGTAATGCAGGTTGAGAACAAGGGGTACCTCCAGTCGCCGCTTCTCACGGCTCCGACGCAGACAGGCTACGAAAAATCAATACCTGTCTTCGCTCGGAAATTTCCATCAACGGCGCCTGAGAATGGTTCGGACGCGGTTGATGAGTTTGAGAACTTACCTGCTGAACTTCCTGGTGATTTCCCAGTTGAGCTTCCTGCAGAGGTTCCACCTGAATATTTTACAAGCCCGCCAAAAGCAAGTCCACCAAACAACCACAGGGATCAAGATATCATCCCTAAGGTTCACCCTGCGGGCTTGCCAAAGCACCTGAAGAGTAATGCCTCTTCAAGATTCAGCTTTGACATGGGCGGCGTTGAATCTTCAGTACAAGAGAAGCTTCTTGAAGAGAAACACAAGGCGAAAGAAGCTGCGCGGAGATTGGAAGATGGCTATTTTGATGACTTTGATGACGATTTCGACAATGATATGCTCGATGATATGGACGATCTTGAGGAACAGATTCCAGAACTCAACGCCGATTATGATGAGGATGAAGAGTTTGTGCACTCTGACTCCCATAATATCCACAGCGACCCCAGATCTTGGACCGCGCCAGCCCTTTCGCCAGTCGTTGCTAGTCCGACTATACCGGCTCTACCATCTGAGAGCTCGATTAATGCCCTGAGCCCTGGCCCGACTGGGACTGTGACATCCAGTTTCAACTCGCCTACTAGCACTGAGGTGTTGAGCCCTACGGAAAGTCTACTTGTCGAACCTCTTCCGCTGCGTGATTCTCGACTGGATATGACGCCTATTCCTGAGGATTCACAGCAACCTTCGTCTGTCGATAACAAGCAGGAGATGTCAGAACTTGATTACATTGAAGATGATCTCTATTTCGATGATGGGGAATTCGGGGACCTCGATGCAGATGATCTCGATGGAGGATTTGATGAATCTATCTTTGACGATGAGACGAGTCATCTATATGAACGAAAACAAGTCAATAAAGAACCCGCCAGGGATCTTTCCCCAATTGCAGGATCTGAGAACAACGACCCAGTGGAAAAGGAAATTCCCACCGAAAACGACGCCACGCAGGGTCTTCAGCACATGCCTAGCGTAGCAAGTGAGTACCATTCTCTGAAGCGTGGCCCGCTTGGGGAGCCAATCCCCAATTTGGGACCTGCGCGAGCCCATGGTGGTGTTCTCACAGAACAGAACCTCGAAGTATTGCACAACGCTCTAGCCTTTGCGGCAAACGAGGCAGCGACCCAGAGTCGGTTCGGGCGCACGCTCAGTACAAGCGAACGCTCTCTCAGGACAAGAGAGCTTATCCCAGACCTCACATACTGCCGACTCGCAACCTGGTCTTGTATCCGATGACAGTCGACTCAGCCAAGCAGCCGACATGATAGCATTTGATGATGTGTTTGACGACCATATTTACGATGATGATGCCTACTACGATGATCCCATTGTCGCAGCAGCCAATGCGGAGGCGTTGGAAAACGACGATGAAGGCTTTTACGGTCAGGAGTTCGGTTTCTATGCACAGGCTCATAGCAACGGTGGTGCTGAAATGACCAACGGGGGATACTTTGGTCCACGAGGGGTCGAAGGGATCACTCGTAGCTTTAGCAGCCGCGGGAAATTCCAAGAGCCCAGCTTGACCCCCATCACCGAACGCAGTGAATGGAGCACTCGCAATTCGGTCATTTCTGTTAAAGCCAATGGAGCTACTCATTCCAATGCATCCCTTGCTAGTCCCGGTCTGGCTCAGCTTGTTGATATGGGCAACCTTGACGATGAGATGACTCTCAGAGCACTCATGAAATTGCGCCGCGGTGCTTGGGGTGGTAGCAATGGTAGTCTACGCAGCAGTGCAGGCAGTCCGCCACCTCATACCTTGACTTCCTCCCATCGTGGCAGCTTTGCGGCTCCTTCAGAGACTGCCAGTCCCTCTGAGACTAGAGCATTTACTGATGAAGGGTTAGCCAGTCTAGGCTATCACCCTGATGATTACTCTCATACACTTTCACCACTCAAAGACAGTGGATTACCATCTGCCGATCTCCCGCATAGTGAAATACCGCATAGCGGAAACGACGGCCCGAGTTACGCAGATATTGAGGAGAAATTGCCGAACACCGGCGGTCATCCTCTCAATGTCCTGTAACTTGTTTTTCACCCCCTTTCCTTTCTTTTTTCTAATACCTTTGATTTCCCGTGTTTTGGATATAATTGCCAACTGGCCTCTTTCTCTTCTTGTTCTATATAGGATGTCTTACCCCCTTTCTTTTTTCCCGTTTTTATCTGGCTATTTTTCTCACGATTTGATGACTTACCCGAGGCTGTTTTGATTTCTCTTCTGGCGGGCATTTTGGTCCTTTGAGACATTTGTTACAATGCGCTTGAACCCATTAACATTATGTTAATATCTACTCCCCATACACGTATTAAAATGCAATCCCACAATGCAGTACCACATCCTGTAGACTCCCACGTCATTTTTGTAAACTATAGAGCTCCGATTGGGCCGAAATCACCCGCGAAGCACCGAAATGCTTAGCCGGTCTGCCGCAGTGTGGACCAACTGGGGTCAGATGGAGTAAATCGGACTGGCCGCGCAACGTAAAATCGGCATTCGGGCTGACTCAGCGCACCAGCCTTCAAGGTTGCAGGTTCCTCCCGAGTTTACCATCTTCTCCAATCTAAACCCTTTTTACCCCAGTTTACAATCAGCAGAGTTTCTGCTCTCTGATGAGTTCCGATTCCATACAGGTGCTACGGCAACAATAGTCGACACCTGTTTTTCACGCGATTCAATCTCTGATCTGTACGTGTTCCCGCCTCTTCCTTTACTCCGTCGGTACGCTCGGCAAAAGAACAACAGGGCAACTTCGGGGGCTGGCGCATGACCAAGTGGATTCTAACTAGTTGCCATAGCTCAAATCTGGGCTTCTTCAATCTGTGACTTCAGTAGTCTCTTTTAACCTTTCTCTCCTCTCTCCCCTTTCTTGAACCGAACCGGCTTCGTCGTTTGTACGACGAAAAAAAAATCCCGCAATGTTCAGGAATACTGCCTTGAAGGCCTCCAGGAGGTCCTTCAACCTCTCCTCGAGCGCTCGTCTTTCCAACAAGAATGGCTTTAGTCTTGCTGCTCGTCGTCCTCTTGCTATCGTGAATGGCACCCGTCAATATGCTTCCGAAGCGTCAAAACCTGGAGTGGTAAGCTACAACAAACCTTTATACCGAAAAAAGTGGACATGGAAAAAATCTTGATCGCTTGCGATTTAATTATCTCAACGCGCACAAAAAATGAACACGAAAGCGCAAACACGATCATTCGACTAACGCGATGCCTCGAATTTGTTTTTCCTTTGAATATAGGACCCCAACGATTCTTTCCTCCAGGGCAGCACTGCCAACTACATCGATGAGATGTACCTGGCATGGAAGCGCGACCCTTCCAGTGTTCACATCTCATGGCAAACCTACTTCAAGAACATGGAGGAGGGTACCATGCCCATGTCTCAGGCCTTCACTCCTCCCCCCTACCCTCGTCCCTACCCCTACCGGTGGTGTCCCCCAGGACATGCCCGCTGCCGGCCTCGCCGGTGGTACCGATGTCACCAACCACTTGAAGGTTCAATTGCTGGTGCGCGCTTACCAGGCCCGTGGTCACCACAAGGCCAAGATCGACCCTCTCGGCATTCGCGGAGAGGCCGAGGCTTTCGGCTACAACAAGCCCAAGGAGCTTGAGCTGGACCACTACGGTTTCACTGAGCGTGATCTGGACCAGGAGTTCGCTCTTGGACCTGGTATCTTGCCCCGCTACGTTACTGAAGAGCGCAAGAAGATGAGTTTGCGTGAGATCATTGCTGCTTGCGAGAAGATCTACTGTGGCTCTTACGGTGTTGAGTACATCCACATCCCCGACCGCAAGCCTTGCGAGTGGATCCGTGACCGCTTCGAGATCCCCGAGCCCTTCCGCTACTCCGTCGATGAGAAGCGTCGTATTCTGGACCGTCTTATCTGGAGTTCCAGCTTCGAGACCTTCTTGTCTACCAAGTACCCCAACGACAAGCGTTTCGGTCTGGAGGGTTGTGAGACCCTGGTTCCTGGTATGAAGGCTCTCATTGACCGCAGTGTTGACTACGGCATCAAGGACATTGTCATCGGTATGCCTCATCGTGGTCGTCTGAACGTCCTCTCCAACGTTGTTCGTAAGCCCAACGAGTCCATCTTCAGTGAGTTCGCTGGTTCCACTGAGCCTTCCGATGAGGGTTCCGGTGATGTCAAGTACCACTTGGGTATGAACTTCGAGCGCCCTACCCCCTCCGGTAAGCGTGTGCAGCTTTCCCTGGTTGCCAACCCCTCTCACTTGGAGGCCGAGGACCCCGTTGTCCTGGGTAAGGCTCGTGCTATCCAGCACTACAACAACGATGAGACCGAGTTCAACACCGCTATGGGTGTTCTGCTCCACGGTGATGCTGCTTTCGCCGCTCAGGGTATTGTCTACGAGACCATGGGATTCCAGTCTCTGCCTGCTTACTCTACCGGTGGTACTGTCCACATCGTTGTGAACAACCAGATTGGTTTCACCACCGACCCCCGCTTTGCCCGTTCCACCCCCTATTGTTCGGACATTGCTAAGTCTATTGACGCCCCTGTCTTCCACGTCAACGCCGATGATGTCGAGGCCGTCAACTACGTTTGCCAGATCGCCGCCGACTGGCGTGCCGAGTTCAAGCGTGACGTTGTCATTGACATGGTCTGCTACCGTAAGCAAGGTCACAACGAGACTGATCAGCCCTCTTTCACCCAGCCTCTGATGTACAAGCGTATTGCTGAGCAGAAGGCTCAGCTCGACAAGTACGTCGAGAAGCTGATTGCTGAGGGTACCTTCACCAAGGAGGATATCGATGAGCACAAGAAGTGGGTCTGGGGCATGCTGAACGACAGCTTCGACCGCAGCCGTGACTACCAGCCTACCAGCAAGGAGTGGTTGACTTCTGCTTGGAACAACTTCAAGACCCCCAAGGAGCTCGCCACTGAGGTCCTTCCTCACCTCCCTACTGCCGTCGGTACCACCAACCTGAAGACCATCGCCGAGAAGATCAGCGGTAGCGATGCCCCCGAGGGCTTCGTTCTTCACCGTAACCTGAAACGTATCTTGGCTGGCCGTAAGAAGGCTGTTGATGAGGGTAAGGGCATTGACTGGGCTACTGCTGAGGCTCTTGCCTTCGGTACCCTTGTCGATGAGGGTTACCACGTCCGTGTCTCCGGACAGGATGTTGAGCGTGGTACCTTCTCTCAGCGTCACGCCGTCCTGCACGACCAGGAGACTGAGGCTGTCCACACTCCTCTGCAGAAGATCAGCGACAAGCAGGGTAGCTTCGTCATTTCTAACTCCTCCCTGAGCGAGTTCGGCTGGTAAGTTCACTACAAGAAATCACCCTCTTCTCAGTCATAACGTTTTGATGCTAATCTCTTTATTTTATAGTCTCGGCTTCGAGTACGGTTACTCTCTGACCTCCCCCGAGGCTCTTGTCATGTGGGAGGCCCAGTTCGGTGACTTCGCCAACAACGCTCAGTGTATCATTGATCAGTTTATCGCCTCCGGTGAATCCAAGTGGCTGCAGCGCTCCGGTCTCGTTGTCTCTCTGCCCCACGGTTACGATGGCCAGGGTCCTGAGCACTCTTCCGGTCGTATGGAGCGTTGGTTGCAGCTTTGCAACGAGGAGCCTCGCGTCTTCCCCCCTGCTGACAAGCTGGATCGCCAGCACCAGGACTGCAACATGCAGATTGTTTACATGACTGAGCCATCTAACCTGTTCCACGTCCTGCGTCGCCAGATCCACCGCCAGTTCCGCAAGCCTCTGATTATCTTCTTCTCCAAGTCTTTGCTGCGTCACCCCATCGCTCGCTCTGACATTGAGTCCTTCACTGATGACTCCCACTTCCAGTGGATCATCCGTGACAATGCCCACGGTACCACCATCGACGAGCCCGAGAAGATTGAGCGCGTTGTTATGTGCTCTGGTCAGGTTTACGCTGCCCTCGTCAAGCACCGCGAGGCCAACGGTATCCGCAACACTGCCATCACCCGTGTCGAGCAGCTTCACCCCTTCCCTTGGGCTCAGCTGAAGGAGAACCTCGACAGCTACCCCAACGCCAAGAACATTGTCTGGTGCCAGGAGGAGCCTCTTAACGCCGGCCCCTGGTCTTTCGTCCAGCCCCGTATCGAGACCATGCTCAACTCCACTGAGCACCACAACCGCCGTCACGTCCTGTACGCCGGTCGCGCTCCTAGCGCCTCCGTCGCCACTGGTCTCAAGGCTGTTCACCTGAAGGAGGAGCAGGAGCTTCTGGAGCATGCTTTCTCCGTCCACCAGGATCGCCTTAAGGGCGAGTAAATTAATTACCTTTTCTTTTCATGTTATGGCCTATGACCCGGCTTTCATGCCGGCCATGACGCGAAGGTAATTTTTAACTTGTTGAATGTCTTGTGTCTTTCTAATGTTCATTGGCTCATCTGGGAGCTAGCGTGTGATTTCCTTTGTAACACCTTTTTTTTATTTGCATGAGTTGTCTCTGTTATCGACCTCGGTGTATACGACCTGTCTTTGCTATTGCTAGACATTTAGGCTCGGTTATACCTAGAATCATGTCTTTGTAAAATACAATTTTTTCATTCAGTTGTGGCATTTGACATTAATATCACTTGAGGGTTCATTCAATTGTTTTACTAGTATTATTTCGTAGTGTGAACTAGATATAATTATTCCAATGACGTCGAGGATCGAGTACAAGTTCGATTGTCTCAGTAATTCCTAATCGACCACGCCTATATGTAGATACCCCTCAACCACAACTGTAGGACTCGAGAGCTATCATTTTACATTACTAGTACCAATGAGAAAACTCCCTCATATTCACAATAGTATTTACCGTAAAACCATGGGCTACCAGCAGCAATTAATTCCAAGGTTGAGGACTGCAATTTATATGACTAATCTGATTTATGCCTGATCTCTCTGGCGGCCAACTCACCTGATCTGATACGCTCTTCTCCGCACGCAATCTTCCTAGACCCCAGCCCACTAACATCGTCTACTCTTTTCCTGCTTGAGGTGTTGCTGCTAATAGATGGTGAAAGTCTTTTGCCTCTTATAATTGGATTCTTAGAACCCTACCTCTGATTCCACTGGATTGGACCTGGAGCAACAAAAGCTCCTGCAGCGTCTCTTCCCCCAGCTTATCCACAGCTTTTCACCATGTCTGCAGTTTCAACCTCAACCGTTAATCCACAGGGACAGGGAGTTCGCCAATCGGCTAGACAGACTCGTACAAACCCTTCTCGAACCTCGAAAACCGTCGGTCGATCCTCTTTTGGCTATGGTCGCGGCTCGACAGCCGAGATCCCCTCTACGCCCCCTGTGCCTCATGGCTTTTATCCTGCCCTCACACATTTCACCGATGCGATCACTGCTCTTCCTCGCGAGTTTCGTCGTCACAATTCTCTCTTGAAAGAAGTAGACGCTAAGGCGTGGGCGTTGGAGGAAAACCTCTTGCAGCTGCTTGAGCTTTCCTCTGCGTCGCATCCTGTGCCTGGTCCACAGCATCCAGCTCCCATTGTTGCTGGCGTAGTACGAGATGATGTATTACCCAAGGTATGTTATAATTTGTCAACCTCTATTCAAGTCTTGTTGTTGAGGGATTTGGAATTAATGGCTTTTTTTTCTCTAATCTCTAGGAGCTTTCCCAGGTGCCCGAGTCACCCGAAAGTAAAAACCGTCGTCTCCTCTTTGACCGCGTGCGCCAAAGCCTCTCCGATCTCATGATGACAGCTGATGAGAAAAACCATGTGATTTCGAATGCGAATGAGGAATTGGACCGTCAGGTTATTCGTCTGGATACCGTTTTCCCGTACATTGCGGGCGAGATCAGCGAAGAAGCGCGCCTGGGTAGCCTGTCGCACTGGGCATATTCTAATAAGAATGCCGCCAAGACGACAGCTAATGAGCGCCCACGCCGTGAAGCTGTCTCGCATAGACAGGATCTGGCGCATGCGCTTCATGAGGCTGAAGCTGCTAGTCGTAGCGAGCAGCGGCGCGAAGCGGTCATGGCGCGGAAACAGCGTCGTACAAATGCGGATGCTGATTATGAAGATACTCGTGGGGCTCGGAAGCCTGCGACTGCCAAGTCTCGTGGGGAGAATGCGGGGACTGAGCAGGGTGCTACTACTAAGCGTCGGAAGGTTGAAAGACCTCCCGCTATGGATCTGGCTACCCCGATGGAACGCTCTGCTAGTGGTGCTACTAGCCAGAGAGGTACCAATAAGGATGGAACAGAGAAGAAGCGCCGTGCTCCCAATGCAGGGACTACTGCAGCTCGGAAGAAGTATGTTTTGCATCTCTACTGTTCAGTCTCGATTGTAACCTCTTGCTAATTGGTCTTTCTCTCTATAGGACGAATGCTGCTTCGAATGCTGGATCTCCTGTCCTGGCTCCTTCCCCTCTTATTGGCACTTTCAATGCCCCGCGTGGAGCTGCAAGCCCTGGTCCTGCTCCTAATGCAGCAGCACGTCCGCAATCCTCTCGAGCTCAGCAGAATGCGGGACAAGCAAACAACACTCGACAAAGGCCCTCATCATCAGCTTCGAATCGTGTCACGCAAGCGAACAGTACGCTACTGACCTATTCCTTTGCTCTTCCATGTTATCTTTCTCTTCTTTATTGGTCTTATTCTAACATTGATGTTTCTCAGCCAAACCCGCCGACCCCAGATCCACACCCCGCGACGGACCCCTCAAAACAGAAACCACAAACTCCGACGCAAACCGAAATTACGAAGGCGAAGCTGCACGCATTGCAGCACCTACAGGAGCCAAGCGTGATGAGGTGGACGGACGCCCAGCAGAAGCCATCGAGACCGAGCAGCCTAAAGGCCGAAACTCCAAGACCTCTACGCCATTGCTTCCATTCGCCGAGCCTGTCCAGCCTCGATCTCGTCCAACGCGGAGTACAGATCCCGCACCGAATAAGCGCAACGCTAAGAAGACCGCTGTGCCGGTTCCTCCTATCCCATCTGACGAGGAATCCATTCACGAAGGTGATGACGAAGATGAAGATGGAGAACCCCGATACTGTTATTGTAATGAGATCAGTTTCGGTGAGATGGTCGCGTGTGACAATGATGCTTGTCCGCGCGAGTGGTTCCACTTGTCTTGTGTAGGGTTGACCAAACCGCCTGGGAAAAATGGTGAGTCCTACATCCGTCTGTCTCTGTATGGGATTGTACTAATGTCTCTCTAGTCAAATGGTATTGCAATGAGTGCAAAGAGAATATGCGGAGAGGTCGAAATGGGCGGTAAATTTGATTCCTGAGATATGCAATTCGGTTCCGAGCTTTAGATAGTGTATCTATGTCATGATCATTTGTTGGCGTTTGGTTTAGGATTGATGCTAGAATATGAGAACGGACTGCGACGATTCATTTCCATGCACACATTCAAGTTTATAAATTGAACTTCGACTTGAAGTTGTACTTACATAGTAGGACTTGACTGCCAAGTGCCAGGTCGATACCTAGTACTAATGAGCCACCTAGGCGTATAGAACTTGAGCTTGGAAGCCCTAATACTACTAGAACATATGGGACTACTAGCAGCTCCTTCATCCTCTACATCTGGACTGTACTATGTATCTCCAATGTTCGAATGTTGACATTGAAATGTTCAATTTCCTATAATCTTTCCATCCCATATTCTGTCTCTACTTGTGGAGTTCATACATTCATGTTCCACAATTGCTCAGGCTCTATTCTTAGATCTACCCTACTGCATATAAGAAAGCCACAGCAATCTTGAACCTACAAAAACAGAAAAAGAAGGACTTGAACTAACTTATACTGGTATTTAGCTAGCTTAGTTACGGGCCGGCCCCTGCTTTTGGCCCCATGAATTCTGATTCAAGTTCCAACGAACCGCTCCGAGTCTCTCATCAACCATACCAATACCAATGAACATAGTGCCTACCTATACTATAATCTGACACGATGAGCTCAGAATTGAACCATCAAATTTCCCATTCAAGCTGGATCCCCGATAGTCCCACCACCATAATCCTCATTCACGGCGCCTTCGCCTCCTCAACCTGGTGGGACCTCGTCATCCCGCACCTCTCTGGATACCACATCCTAGCCCCCAACCTACCAGGCCACGGCCAATCCAGTGAGAAGGAATTCTCCATTCAAAACGCTACGACAACAATCACCCAATTAATCCGTTCGCATGCAAAAGATTCCCACGCTCATATCGTAGGACACAGTCTCGGCGCAAGGGTAGCGATTCACATTGCCGAAACAAATCCTAGTCTCGTGGATTCGGTCTTTATCTCAGGATATGGATCTCTACCTCAAACGGCGCTTACACCGTATATACCCTACGCAGTATGGATGACTCAACGACTTGAGAATCTAGTTCCTCGTTCTGTCATTCGGTGGGCTATGGATGGAACGGATATCCCGCGTATAGATACAAGGTTAAGTACTTTACGTCTTTGTCAGAGTGTTATGGCGCCTACGGAGACGAAGGGACCGAAGCCTTGGAATGCGAGGACTTGTATTATTGTTGCGGGGAAGGGTGGGATTGTTCCTAGTGCGGATAGTAGGAGTGCTGCGGTGAGGTTATTGGAGATTGGGAAATTGGGGAATAAGAGTACGGTTGCTTTTTGGCATCCTGATATGAGACATCCGTGGATTAGACAAGATCCGGGGCTTTTTGCGGATTCGGTCAAGGCTTGGATTGAAGGGAGGGAGTTACCTCATGGGTTTGAGATGATTGTTTCCTAGTTCAAGTTCCAAGGTTGACGATGAGTATTAGTATGGGATAGCATACCCGAAGAATGTATTTAGCATTGGGCGACCACTTTTGGTTAAATACTAGAGTAGGATCTGCTCATGCGAGTAACCTTGGGGAAGTTTGGGAGAATTGGGCCTCAAGGGTCCTCCCTAGCACAATGTGATGGTCATATTGCAGTGATGTGGCGAGGGTATGGTTCGAATGTTTCGAGCCAGCTCACATGAAAGGACCTAGTTGTTCTTTGAAATGCCTGAACAAAGCTTCATGTTGTTTGAGAGTCTCAGGTCTTTGAAAAAGCATCATTGTGATGTGATATCACTCATTCGACGTTGATTGTTGCGTAGATCTCAGTTGGACATCCATCGGTGCCAGCGTTTCAGGGTGGCTTTGAATGGCTTTGTTGTCAAAATAGACCCGATTCTCCTTTATCGCGTATTTGCTTCAGGTTGACTCCAAGGCTATCCGCATGACTTCATGACTCGAAAGATTGGGCACTGGACTGAACCCGAAGTAGACTTGAAATGACTCATTCGGGTATGTGCGGAATACGGTGAGGTCGGGTATGTGCTGGTCCAATATGAGTCCAGTTGTTTGCTTAAAGTTAGCTCTCGTATAGACCCATTAGCTTCACTGATGACTCGGTGAGATCCGACCTTGGGACCTCCGATCAGCCCTAGAGTCAGGCACCCGCTTAGTCAACCGGTTGATCTCCGGAGCCAAGCATTGGATCGGACATCCACGGACTGGTTGAAATGAGAACCGTGGAATGGATGAAGATTTTCATATTTTCATAGATCGGTAAATGAAAGTGAAGAAAAGGGAATATGTCAAGAGATACAAAGAATCAACTTCCAAGGCTCTTCTCACCCCCTGAATGATGGTTTGATGTACCTGCATAAATAGAAAATACGGAGTATGTATCGAATCGGGTAAAAAGAACGAAAAGGTTAAAGGGCCACGCAGGTGCCACGCGCCAACTGATAACTTGGCATTGCATCTAGGCAGATGATGAAAATTAGGATGAAAATTTGATGCATGAAATAATAGAAATTTTATATAAAAATTATGGAGAAGAAAATAAAAAAATTAAATGTGATTACATCTCCATTCGAACCACGATGACCATGGATTTGTCCTTTTCATTTATTTATTTGTTATGATTTTTCTTTTTCTTTTTTTTTTCATCATATTTTTTTTCTTTTATCCGTAATTAATCTAGTGATTGGTCTAATAGTGGAGATTAAATCACTCCACACAACTCAACTTTCCCCTCATATTGAGAATGAAAACTTCAAGTTTATATACTCTAACCCCATAATATTCATTAACTATGATCCATTCACTTCCTAGAATCATCAGCGTCAACGGAAACCAGGATCTCATTATGGTGGAACTTATTCCGTTTCAGCAAGAGATCCCACAAACCAGTGGATCTTCGGCATGGAAAGGCTTGTCTTCGCCAATCATTACTGGTTCTTTCTCTTTAATGATCCACTGGGCTCCAGAGCAACACGTCAACTTCGGCTCTTAAGCCTGGCTAGATTCCCACTATTATCATGAATCGCTTACCCCCAACTGGCTCTGGCCAAGCCTTAGTGCGTACGTACTTGGGCCCCCCGGGCTAAAATTCTAGGCCCATCCCATATGTTCTTTTCTATTAAAACTCGAAGGCCCCCATCTCCTTTGATATCACACACACTCTCTGTTTCGTTCTTCCAGCCCCAGGAAGTTTTCATACTTCCGTCCTTCCTTTTCTCTCTAGTCAAATCCAACACTATCCATTCTTTTATAGTGTTGTCTTTGTGACTAGATTTGATTTATTTTTCTGTTCCCCCAGAAATTGCCTTCATTTCAACTCTCGACAGTATACTCGTCAATTCGGCCTACGCCGAAATCATTCAGCAAAAATGCACTTCGCCAAGTCTTTGATGCTGCTGGCAGCTATTTCCAGCAGCGCCCTTGCTCGCCACGAAGGCCATGGTCGTCGTCACTCTGGTCATGGTCAACATGAACATGCCATCCGTGACGTTGAGGAGGACATCACCACTTACACCGTGACTACACTCATCACTGTTACCACGTGCCCGTGCTCTTCGACCACCGCTGTCGCATTGACTTCTACTACCCCCGTTGAGGTTATCTCTACCCCAACCCCAACTCCTGAGGTTGAGTCTACCTCCGCCACTCCTACTCCTACTCCCGAGGAGACCTCTACTTCCAGCACTCCTACCCCCGCCCCCGAGCAGACCACCTCCTCTGCTGAGCCCACCTCCTCTGCTGAGCCCACCTCCTCTGCTGAGGCCACTACCACTGTTGCTGCTACCTCCACCACTGCCGTCGCTTCTGGTACTTCCACCGGCTACTGCGCCGACTGGACCTCAGTTCCCACCGACGGTGTCTACTCCACCGATGGATTCGGCGCTTCGACTAACGCTACCGGCTCCGGCGATACCTACCAGGGTAACGTTGGTAGCCCTTACGGTAGTAACATCATCACCGTCGACGGTGATGCGGCCAGCGGCTACAAGTACGTTGTCATGTTCCAGGGTTCTAACAGCGCCGACTGGGAAGTCGTGATCTGGAACAAGTACGCCGAGGACGGTACCGACTCTGGTTGGTTCGGCAATGCCTGCCACACCTTCACTGTTGCCGCCGGTGAGACAATCTACTACGCCTTCGACACTGACTCCCAGGGTGGTTGGGCCGCCGCCGAGACCTCCGTCCCTACCAACGACTACGGCGAGTATGCCTCCACCTGGGGTGAGTTTGACTTCGGCTCCACCGTTAACGATGGCTGGTCTGGTTTCGATGTCTCTGCTATCGTTGCCCAGGACTCCGACATGTCCGTCCAGGGTATGAAGATCTGCTCTCACTACACCAGCGACACTTGCTCTTCCATCACCGCTGGAGCTGGTACCGTCGACAACGCCTACACCTCTTCTGAGGCTTCCGAGGGTGGTATCGGTGGTAACCTTGACGCTGGTGCTGTCCGTCTGTCCGTCGTCCTGGATTACGCTTAAGCGCTTTGATACGCGCCGTGTGGTTTCGGTTTTTTTTTTTTTAAGTTTTTTTTATATACTCTATCGACCCTTTTTTTCTACCAGTTTATCAACCCCCTTTCTTTAACTTAACGCCTGCAATCACGATTTCCTTTTTAGCGTGTTGCATTTCATGTGGGGTCGGTTTGGTGTATACCATACGGTATGATTTTTTTTATTTTCACTTCTTGTCTATTATTCTCATATAGAGGATTTTTTTTATATCTTTTTTTATTTTTCTTCCAATACCACACGAATGTTTCAAAAAGTCTCATTATCTCAATTTCCATTCCAACTACCCCTGATTGCACCCAAATTTGGAACTCGGGCGAGGCGCCGTTAGTGTGATGGGGCTTGTTGTTGGCCGCATCAGCGCATACGTATGCTTAGGGCATGGCCCGTGCGGACCTTGATAGATTGGCCCCCACGAGAGAGACTCCTTGGTTCGTTTGTTCTTTATGCATGGTTTAATTAAATGTGCAAATCTATTGTGGAAATTTCATGCTAGTCGACTTTGGTTCTGAAAGCGGCTCTGGAGTTTGATCCGCGGTACACTTGATGAATACTCCACCATACACATGGTTTATGTTCTTTATTCGCTGGGTGGATCTCCACATAGGCACATTGTGTTGATTTCAGTCTAACATCATGTGGAACTTGAATGACTATATGTATTCGTAGCTTGCAATGGATCCGGTTTTCATGGACTAGTCTCTGGTAAAAGTGTTGTAGATCTTTGATTGTATGATGTCGGGCACATGCCTAAGTGGGGAAACTTCCCCTTGTCGCCATTTTGATAAACTCAGATTGATGTGAGATGCAGGATTTATCTGATGTAAGGTAGAACCATTGCAATGAAGTCATTGAAATATTCGCTTTCAAGAAAATGCTGGTACTCTGATCAAATATCAACGGCATTGAGGGAATGCAACTCACTCGGGACGCCGCTCAATGGGCTCATCTAAGTTTAAAATTTAGACTAAATGGATTGATTGTTAGACAAGGAAAATCTGAGATTCATATGTACTAGAAACTCTCATCCTCCATATCTTCAATCTTATTTCCCAACATGTGTATCCACCCAGGAATATTACTGTCGTCGACTTCTAAATTGACCCCAAGTTTCCTTGTCTCTTCGTGATGCTTCTTGTCGTAGGGGTCGCGATGTGAGAGGTACTTGATCATGCGAGGTTGCCAGTATTTTGTCAAAAACTCCCAAACTCGCAGACCAAGTTCGTTGAATGCGGTTTCGAATTCGAGCACAAGCTTTTCAAGCTCCCAGTATCTATTTTGCTCTTCTTCCAGGATCCCATTGACCTCATTATCGCTTCTTCCTTTCATATAGCGAGCTAATTGATGTGAACCAATCTCAATGCAGCATGCATGTTTGAGCGCAAGTCCTTCAAATGTCAATGACCTTACGATTATTCTCAGCTTGAGGTATTCCTTTAGAATGATCTATCAGACTTCCTAGAAGCTGCTGGAGACAACTCCAATCAAAAACTTCTTGAAATTCCAGTTTTTGAAGATGTGGGGCAAGTATTGGCCATTCATCCTTCAGATGTCGAGGTACCAGGGGAACCTTCCAACTTGGACAGAAGGAGCGGAGGGCCACAGAGAGAGTCGTGCATCCACCAGGTGAACAAGGACAGATACATTCATCTTGATCAGCAGGTAACAGAAATATACCCCTATGTTTCGAAATGGTTTCCTTCCAACTTTGCAATCCCATTGATATGAGCTCATGCCACTTAAAAAGTGCTACACGGAAGTTGTTTGCGATCTCCACACTCCATAAATGAGCAACGGTGGCATTTGAGTGTGGCAGTTTCCGATTCCAATTGACGCCCTTCGAAACAAACCATGCCCCCCCCTTTCACGATACGGCAAAGTCATCGAAGGTGTTAGGCCATTGTAATCAGCGGAATCGACATCCCGAAATCCGGACGCATATAGTTCATCTAGTATCATATCAGTTGAGAAAAAAGGGAAATGATAGACGGATTGACCAGGTTCCCATCTGTGACTTTCTTGTAAGGAGGATGGGATTGGGTTCCCTAGACTTTCTAAAAGCCTATGGAGCTCTCCAACTTGTGCATCAATGATCATATCTTCGCTTTTGTCGAATTTGCCAAATTGGTCCGACGGTAAATAGGATTGAGCCCACTCCCACAATTTTCGCCGTCTACCAGCCATTGACTTGATGATCAGAGAATTCCAGCCTGTTCTATGGCTTCTAGTCATATGTTCTGTGCCCACTGTAGCTCCCGCATCGAGCAAAATTCTCACTGATGCAACAATGTCGTCAGAATCGATGAAGAATGTTAATGCCTTGAGGCCACCCGATTGCGTAATCAAGTGAAGGAAAACCGGCAACTTTGTCGCATGACCCAATACACTTAGATTCAAGGGCACCTCTTAAATCATTCACCGATTCTCGAAGTATGATGTTGATAATTTTTGGAGATAAAACTCCCAAGGAAGAATCAGTACCTTATTCAAAGCAAGTTCCATATGGGTCTGTACCTTCCTCATCTTTCGAGATAATATACTGCATATTCCTCTTCTCCGTCATCTGTCGAGGAACCCTCTTGAGGGGACCTCCGAGGTTCAAAAGATAAGAAACAATTGGGTAGTCTTCCTCTGTCCAAAGGTAAGAGGCACACATGGAGCCTAATATTCCAAATTCGAAGCAGTTGTTTGGGATGGAGCTACAGTCTCCTAAGAAGCGGATCAGTCTCGCAGTACTGAGAACATGAATTCGACTGAGATCAGAACTCCGTCTGAAAATCGACTATTTGACTTGAATTAGAAATTTGATAATATTATGGTCATAGATGTACCTACATCTATCAATGAGATCGAAATGTCAGTGGAATGCCCCGAAGCAATCATGTCAGAGGGACTGGCTTTCCTCCCTGAAAATGCCACCTGGAACTCATGGATGATATCATCGGAAATATCCGAAGTCAAGGAACTGGAAATGAAGCCCCAGCTCAACACACTGAGATACGATATCGTCTTACGCTACCAGCTTCCATCAGTGTAGACGGCCTGAATTTTGAGCATGGGGCAAGCGAAAATCCCCCAGCCCCAGTTGAGGCGGAAAAAGAAGCATAGAAAACCAAGTTCAGCAGACGGCTGAAGTATTGAAATGATACTTGCTTATTTTTAGTTTCGTATCTTTCCTGGGTACGGCGGAAAGCCATCACCCAACTGTGTTCGGAAGTGAAACTCATGTCTGTCGCTTGTATTTCTCTCTTGATCTGTGATTCCATATTTGCAGCGTCACTGATGAGCTTTGCTTGCTCCGCTCGATGATCACATAATGATTGAAGAAGTCCTGGTGGGGGAGGTGTCTTGCAGAAATCTGTTTCATAGAAAAATGCTGCAAAGAAATCGTCAGTAGACGCTTGAATAGAGAGATGAATACTTATTCTAACCAGATCTTCCAACAACTTTAACGCGCTCTCCTGCATGGCTCCCAGATTTGTAATCTTATGGAAAATATTTCTTTCAAATTAATAATCAGCTAAGATATTCAAGTGTCTCATATGAAAATTCAGCACATACATGCTCAACGCAGTCTGAAGTGCTTGCTGTATACCATCCAAATCATTTTCCATGTCATGCAGGATGTCATTTCGAAAAATATGAGTTGCTTTCTTCATCTGGGAGCGAATTTTGCTAGAGAAATCATTCAAAACCGGTCTGCACATATCAAGCTTCGTTTGGAGTTTTCGCACACTCTGCTCGAGATGCATAGCTTTCTCTTCAAGATCAGCGGCCGTTTCAGGGTCCGATAGTCGAGTCTTCTCAATTAAATCACGCAGCTGCTTCTGTGAGACTCGAAGACAGGCGGCCTTTTTGCCTAATTTTTGGATATCATTCCCAAAATCCTTCCAGGCTTGGCAATATGAGACAAGCTGGGTACAAACTTGTAGACCAAGAGATATGATGCCAACGGCACTACTGGCTGTTGAAAAGGGGTCACCCATGTTGGAAATCACTCGTGGTTTTGAGACATGAAAAGATAAATCCCTGAGTTGCTGGAGAGTTGTTGTAACTTGTGACAAGTTGAATTTGAGGAGGGGCTCGGCCGCATAGCCCGGCCGCAGTGCGTGGACTCACATGCATCATAGCGTGGCGCCAATCAGTAGCGCTAAAATGGCAGGGATTTACGGGGTAGAACAAGAGGGATTATCTGACATCTAGAGGCGTAAAGCACATATTGTCTTTCTGATAGGTTGAGCGCCTTATGATACCCCCTACGCGGTACGGAGTATAGGCTAATAGCTAGGACTTCATTCCTCTCCACCTTCGATCCTAATAAGCACATGAGATAATCGACCACACGTAAAGTCTCTTGTATCCATTTTTTGTCTTATACCGACGACTAATACTTCCATATTTCCAAGGTTGAATTTGGACTTGTCTCATTTACCTAGCGGTACTGGAAACATAATCATCTTCTAGAAACTTTTTGGGTGTCTTGTAGTCAATCAATCCTTTTTTTCAGAGCCCTGGAGATTTCCCCGCGTTTGAGCATACTAGTAGTTTATCATCTGAGCAGTCATGTCGACTCATGCGTGTGTTAAGACGCCGCAGCTGAAGTAGCTGGAGGCTGGAGCAGGCCGAGCCGGTGGTAATGGAAGCAACCGCATTAATAACGCTATGTTATAAACCCATTGAGAATCTCGAATATTTTAAGATATTCTCTGGAGCACCCAGACCTCGGGAGAGAATGTCACCGCATTCCTATTCCAACATTTGTTGAATGCCATCTGATGTGGGCCAAGATGGGTTTCTCTAGTGACGGTCTTGATGAAGTGAGATTTACATCTGTGCTCTGCGGGCTGCACAGCTAGTAAATTGCACGTACTCTTGACGACGCCCAAAATTGGCAATTCGACCTACTACTCAGTGAGGATCTGACAGCCAACTGTCTTTGGATCAAGCCGTGGCGGGAGGATGAGTACAAAACGATGACGCGTATTCATCAACTGAAGCAAAATTGAAAGAATCTTGATGAGTACTATAAGGAGATTCTACGCGTGCGAGCTTCCGCTAAGACTGAGCTGCACAGGTATCTGATGAAAATTTGGGCGCAAGGCCTGGAAGACCAGAACACCCGTGGACGGTCAATAGCGCTCTTACCTTTCTGCCGCTGTGGATAGAGCGCAAGCAAGATGAGCTCGAACGAGTTATGGAGCATGCCTGATATATACAAAATGACACGAGTTCAAGTCATAAAACCAAGCCCGAGCGGCTTTCTGATACCGCGTTAATGAGAGTTGCATTGGAGAAGATAAACATGGTCGTTGAAAAGGCCACAGCTACATCTCTGATAACAGCTCCCTCCTGCTCTCAATGTCAGTAATCTAATCAAGATGAGGTAACCAGAAGCTTGGAACATGCCAGTGGAATGTCATGCGCTGTGGATCTAGTTCTGAGAGAGCAATTCTAGTAATTCTTGGCGACTGTCACTTTGATTATCTTTTTTGCTGCAACTTGAAGTACCATAAGGCTATAGTTCATCTCAGAAGTACTTCCAAGGTTTACTACCTCTCATTAGTACCTGTGGTCTAGCCTCAGCTTGAAATTCGTGTCGATCTTCCTGAAATCATATAGCAATAACCGAAGGTCATGGTAAACAAAGTAAGGTAAATGGCAAACAACCAACATATTAAACTTGAAAAGATCGGACCACCCAAGCCCTGGAGGTTCTATTTAAAGAAATTTTCGAACTTTTTCGAACTTCCTTTCTTCAACTCCTCAATTTCTCCATCCCACCCCACATTTGATACTCATTTTCATCAAACTTATTCAAGTTGTTTGCCTCCACCCACGTGTCTCCACGTGCCATCATCCTATCCCCTTTATACCTTTTGACTTTCCTTGACTTGAACCCTCGAGGATGGTAGATACAGCCTCAACTTTCCTTTACTTGCCTGCTGAACTGCTTTATCTCATCGCAGAACACTTGACCCCTCAAGACGTCAAGAATCTCCGGTTTGTGCGCAAGAGATTTATTCTCTCTTTGAACATTCCTCGAGTCTTCCTCTCGCCAAACCCGACCAATATCTTGACACTGCGTGTAATTGCGGACCATGATACGGTTTGACTGAATGTCAAAGAACTGATCTGGGATGATGCCACGCTTATTCAAGCCTCGGAAGACCCTTCCACCGAGAGTTGTTGAGCTGAGCAGTGAGGCCTCGCAGGCGAAGACTTATCCACGTTGAATGGTGAATATGTGCCAGAAGAACTTGATAAATCTGAAAGCACTCTGCGTTGCAGGTCCAACTCAGAACTCGGAGTTCATTACAGCAGACTTCTTGGATGCTAAACCGCCTTGACACATGACAAAAAGTTGGAAGTTTTACGCAGACCACGTACACATGCCGATGAGGAGGAGGATGATAATATTCTATTAACCTGATATTACCTAGTTAATATTACTATGGTATGGGGCCTATAATAGCCATATGGCTAAAACCTATTATCCTTTAATGAATTTTAATTAACTAGCTTACTGCCTGTTGTTATATTATTATAATAGAATAACTCTAATAATATAGAAGGTTAGTATAAGACATAGATAAACTAAGGTATAGCTAAAGTAAAAGATATCTGAAGTGAAAGTCAGAGATGAATAAGTCTGAATAAAGAGATATCTAAGCTAAAAGTAAGAGATAGCTGAAGTACTAGTACTAAGTGATACTACGTAGTAGCTGAGTTAAAAGGAATATAGTTTTCTTTTTTCCTACTAGCCATATAGGCCCCTATATGCTGTGGTAATACAGTCACTTGCCTAGGTAGCAGAGTAAGAAATCCCACAAACTAGGCTAAAGATCAGTCTGAACTATCAACTTTTAGATAAAATCTTTACAGATATCAATCTATAACAGACACTATAAGTGCTGAGAAGGAGGCTTCAAGTTTTGTTATATACTACTGAGATGATTCCCAACCCTTTCAAGAATCACTGTGACTCCTGCTACCAATGGTTTCTTGGTTCAGCATCTATACCATACTCCTATGATTCGAGTATTCATAGAATGGTCTAACTACTCACTCCCCTCACCTACTGCTGTACTACTCCAGAATTTGCACCCAACCCCAAGCGGTTTTATGCCATTTCTGCGAGAAAAGTTACGACAACAAAAAAGATCTCCACGATTACCTGATTTGGTACACAACCGAATGGAGGCTTCCAGCTGATGAAAAACATGATGCTATGGAAGTCAAGAACTATTTCTTCCCAGACCTCGGGACCGGGTAGGTATATGCTGGAATTGCTCCAAGAAGACGTTTGATTTCATTAGTCTTCCCACTGGTAAGTCCCAATTTTGAGTTCTTACTCGCTGGGGTTTTGTTTCAATTTTATTTGAACTCATTGGCTGAAGACTGATTTGGAATTGCGGCACATCCAGAATATTACGAACAAAGATGAAGGTAATTACACCTCATTCAAATCAAACCTCTTTTACCGTGCTCTCAGCGAGCCTCGAGAACTTGAACACTTCTCATTCAGGGCTACCTCACCTTCATTCAGCGGTCTGAGCCCAAGCGAACCCATAGCCTCCTCACTGGAGAATCTTCTTCCCATTCAGAAATGGTCATGTCTTAGAAAAATTGGTCTCTTACCTTACTTGGTCGATGATGATGAGGAAGACATGATTTCCCTCTTACAGAGTCTTCCCTCTTATTGGTTCTGTGGAGTTCAGTTATCTCACTTTTTATCGAGGGGGACATGGCATAGTGCTCTGCAGAAGATGCGTAGCCCCCTTGAGTGGCAACAGAGAGAAGTCCCACCGAGAGTGGTCATCGGGGTTGGCTTGTGGAAGCCGAGGTTGAGGCCTTCCTCTATGGCGATGGTCAGACGTCCTTCTACGGAACGCAATTTCCAACAAAGCCATACGGTATACTGGCAGTTGACGAGAATAATGTTATTCGTGACGTGGGCGTGTGTCGAGATAGCGTGGAGTCGTCTTCTTGTCCGCTAAGGATGCTTCCGGCTAATTGGGAGATCTGGGAGTAGGTGTTAGGTACGCGTTAGTCGAACAAATTGAGTCACAGATAGCTCAGCTGACCCTCAATTTCATTTCCCCTATGAACCATTTTTTTTTCTCTGAATTCTCTTGAGAAGATTAGTGTGGTGAAAACAACCTTCAAACCATAATGCAAGTGTGCAGTACAACTGACTAGCCCCACATATGCGGATCCAGTGTGGAGTATCTGGAGTTAGTGTGTGTAGTATGGAGTAAACAATTTGCTAGAAGCTTTGAAAGATAAAACAATGTGGAGCTGAGATAAGTGTGTATAGAAGAAATCGGAGTCTTTGGAAATGAGAACGGCGTAGTATAGAAAAATAGAAATGGAAAGGACTGGGCTTGGTCCCGTGTAGATTCTTCAAGTATCGTGATGGGAGAGAAGCTTAAAATTCTCAAACCCGATAATAAATCAATTAAAATAGCTAAATTTACACGATAAGTATGAGGCAAGCAGGAAGGAACTGCCCAGGTGAGCTTGAGGCATTTCAATGTTCTAGCAAGCTTAAAGTTAGGATTGGCTGCCTACCAAAGAATTAGGATGATCCCCGGCTCCATGTCCTCAAGGTGAACATTTGAAAGAATCAAGAATCAAGGCCAGGATTTCCAGGCGCTCAGTTACTCTCACTCTCTTATTGCTCAGGCATCACATAACATTGACATCCACCTTGACAGGCTATACGACTTTCAAAATGTTCACACATCTCAATATCTCTACAACTAACATTGGGAGTCTATCTCGATTAGGCAATCGAGAAGTTCCAAGGTTGAGCATGAACAAGAAAATGAATAAAAATGGACATGAATTGGTACAATATTATTACAGACTTGAGCCCAAGCACATAACCTTTAAAACGCCCATCTTCTCGCTGTTGAAAATAACCTTAGAAACGCTCATCTTCTCGGAATGTCTTTAGATTCTAAACAGGTAAACCCTGAGCAGCCATTTCCTTCATCTCTTCAGCCAAAGCAACCTCATACTTCTTCATCGCGATATCCAAAGCATTCAGTGTAGGCGAAAGCAGTTGATTCACAGCCGCTGCACCACCCTCAATATCCAGATTCATCCGTAACTTACGACCCGTACGTTCGTAAACATCTCGAGCGTGTTGCTTCAGACGATCAATTTCAACTTGTCGTTCCGCATCAGCGTCATCTGCAATGGCTTTGATTCGCTCCTTAGAGCGCTGGAGAGATTCGGTTAGGGATTTGACTTCGCCGGCACGATTGGGATCTCCTGATAGGAATGCTCGCCACCATTGGCGGATGAACTCGCCGGCAGTTGAGTGTGTTAGCAGGACACGGTCGTACAGGTCGGGTGAGAGGCCGAAGGTCTCGGATGTGGTTTCATGCTGCTCCATTTGGTCGCGTTGCTCACGTACCACGTCGCGGATTTGGTTAAATGCGACGCGGAAAGCTGTGGATGAGTCGACGGGACGCTGACTAGCTGGTGCATCTTTCATCTCTTCATCTCCGTCATCATCAAACTGGATCAGTCGTTGAAGTTGTGTTGTTCCGTCAGATGGAAGGTTCTGCGCCACGTCTGCGCGCAGACTCCGTAAGACTTCTTCGGGATCCTCTTTCGCTAGAGCTGCACTCTCGTCTTCATCCTTGGCTCCTGAAAAGAACTGACTCTGGTCGCGAATATTGAGTTTAATGTGAGACGGTTCTTCGTCCCCGCGAAGATCTCGGAGTTGTAATTGTGCCCAGGCTTCATCGTCCATTCCACCAGTACCAGTCTTTTCACCGTCTGCCCGGGACACGGTGGCCATAATTTTCTCGCTCAGGCTGTTCAAGGTTCGGATGATAGGTACTTTTTCTATGCTGGATGGACGCATATCCACATCAGGTCGGTTTCCGCGGCGTTGACTGTTATCATCCTCATTACCCGCAAGATTCAGAAAGTTAGGGACATGGAAATCCCGTACTTCGTAAGCAGGTTCCTCTCGAAGGTACTTGTCCAGAATTGCATCGGTAGCATCTGCATCTGTAATGCGCTCTCCACGTAACTTTTTGAAGAGTCGACTCTGGAAGAAGCGTGACCAGAATTGCTGCTCACTCAGCTTAGGCACATTCTCATCGTACACAGTCTTGACAAGCGGGTGTTGTGTGAAAATGAGCTGGATCTGTTCCTGACTGATATTGAGCCGAGTCACATTATCCTCCACACGGGGCTTGAGCGACGAGAGAACGTTGTAAGAGCCGCGCTTTTGCCCCTGTTCAATGGCATAAGCTCGTAGGAGGTGCAACCGAGTAGACCAGAACTGGGACATGAATTGAGCGGCAGTAAGTGAGTCCGGCTTGGTGCGAAGGGCTTCCGTAAACATCCGCTGTAACTCTGGGTGGATTTTCAGAAGGGCCTGCTGCAGCTTGACGTCGGACTTTAGTCGATTATCATCCTCCCATGGTTTCTTAGCTGAGGCTGCCGAGGAAACGGCACTGGCAATTGCCATTGCCGACGGTGCTCCTGTTGCTCCGGGTACCGGGGTTGAGGTCTGTGACGGTGTGTTGGCTTTCTCCATGTTCAAGCGAGTACTGAGAACCTCTTTGAAAGAATCGGCCTGGGTGCGCGCGTCGGTAGCAGCAGTGAAAAGAAAGGTGTATGCTGTGCTATCACTGTTTGGAGGAGAATTTGCGGGGACAGCAAAGACTTTGAGCATAACTTTTGGGTTTGAAACTGGAGTTTGCTGCAGATCTAATGATCGAGGAGATTAACAAATGAAGTAACGGGCTGCGATCCAAAGTGACAGGCCGCGAACTAAAGCGAGTCACAAGCCAAAGTGGCAGCCGTAAAATAAAGTGAAAGATACAAAGCAAACATGAGAATGGTCACTTACTCGTAATACTGGACACCGCAATCTTCAGTCCCGAGGCACCAGCCTCATTCGGGGTCCAGGCTAATGTCGTATCATTGTCGATCAAAGACAGACTGCCATCTTTCTTTTTGAAAGAGGCCAATGCGTTTGGAGGCGCCATCGTCGCGTGTTTCGACAGCTTCCACTGTCCTGCGGTGCGGCAACAGCAACGAAACCACCCATCGGGATGAGTGTAGAAGCAGTGGGGTGAAGCTAAAGCAACAAAGAGCCGCAGCTCTTCCGCCCTTTATCGTTATCATCACGTGGACGGTGACAGGTATGAAGCCATTAGCAAACGCCAATTTGCCAATTTCTACTCACCGCTCTACATACCGCCCTATACTGCCCGATAGCCCTGAAGGTGAACTAGAATCTAGATCTAGGGCTCCATTGTAGGACACTTAAATCGTGATACCGGCCTAATTGAAGGATGATCAAGTTCAATAACTGGGGACTAGCACTAATCAAGGCAGTTACAAGACAAGGGGTAAAGTTTTCTACGCAGGTCTACCAGGAATCATCAAGATAATAATAATAAAACTTATATGCTGTGAGTAGAGATATGCGGATACGCCAGTTACAAACCATATAAACGCCGCACGAAGCAATTTGAGCCATGTGAACTTGAAAAAGCAACGCTGAGGAGATCCAGAATGCTATGCAAATCAGAAAAAGACGCGGACCGAGAGCACGAACCCGAAGCCAGAAGCCATAGTGCCGAAATTCGTAGACCATGTTGCGCGCCGCCATGCATAGACCGGATATCATCATTCATAATCGTCAAAAAACAGAAATCCCACCCATGAGTAAACAGAAAATATGCAGTCTGAAAAAAAATATATCAATAGAAGCAATGAAAAAGCAATCATCTTGGGTATCCACTCGCAAGGACACAATGAAATAAAAAAGAAACAAGCATGATAGTGATGCTTTTCCAGAAACACCAGAATCGAACGTGGTAAATAGACCTCATTTCTTGAACATGTAGTGTCCATAGATACCACCAACATCGCCGATCGCCATGGGAATCTTACGCATGCCCCACCAGCGTGCGCCCATTTTCCAGGAACGAGACCCATCGTCGATCGGGCATTGAGGCATAGAAGCAGGGTCCCGAACGTACCAGCCGCGGCGACCGAGTTCTCGCACGGTCCAACCAACAGAGGCTCGCTGGGTCTTGCTGCGCTCACGCAAGGGAGTGATAATCTTATCACTAAACTCGACCACCTGAAGTGGGTAGCTCTGCTCTGACAGCAACAGGCAGGTACTCATATTGAAAATGGATCCAATAGTCATCTGCGTCACCTTAGCCAGATCAAGGTAACATAGTGTGCTAGGAATAGTATTCTCCTTTGTCCGGGCAAAGAATGTGTTGATATCCTGTACGGACAGGTCTGCAGAACTCAATCCCAGTTCCTCCAGATGCTTCGTGAGAGGGAGCAGGAGCGGGACGTGAGCAGAGGTGACTCGAGCACCACCTAGGTTCAGGGAATGAAGGGTGCTGGGCAATTTGGGTAGCAGGGCCGTGACATCCTCTTCTTCCAGGAGGCGGAATCGAGTCGCATCGGTCAGGAGGTTCAAGAACACCAGGGAGTCGCAAACAGCCGGGTGGGTGGTCAGGAACTGGATCAGGGCCGGAGGGTGCAGGCGTGTGCAACGTGACAGACTCAGGTGGGTGATACGGGCGGTTTCAGGGATGGCAAAAAGAGCTGAGTCGTTGATTTGAGTGTGGGTCAAATCGAGGTGCGTCAGATTGATCAGGCGCGGCAGGATGAAATCGAACATGTGCGCTGGGATCGTGCTGCATTCATGGAGTGAGAGTCGCTTCAGGTTTGGCATGGTCATAGGCAGAGCTGGACCACCAGTCAAAGCTTCGGTGAAGACCGCGGAGAAGGAGTTGGTAGAGCAGCCACACAAATCGATGGCCTGTAGAATTGGTAAGCCCATAAACAGCTTCCGAATTACTTCCACACTCAAATCACCCTCAAGATGTTCCTGCAACAGACACTCCCTCAAGTTTGGCAACAATTCCAGGCACTGCAACAAGGTGCGCGAAGTCAGGTTCTGAATTTCTGCGTTCATCTGCTTAGTACGACCCAATCCAACAGAGGTGAAGTGCGAGAAATCCAGCCGGCGCACCAGCGTACCCAGCGCTGGATACTGTGAGATATGGTTAAGAGCCTTGGAAAAGATGATCGAGTGGGGGAAGGTCATATTTCTGTATAGAACCCCCAATGTCGCCGCGTGGAGAGTGCGCGAAGAGAGAAGGCACGAAACCAGATCGATATTGCGCGGAGTATAACCATTGGGCGGGATATCGATAGCCAAGTAAGAGATAATTTGATCTATCAATGATTTAGTTTTCATTCATCATTTCAGAGCTTTGGCATATTGAATGAGCATTTCTTACCCAGTACTTCCGATGGGAGCTTCTCCATTGCCGATGTACCTGGTGGAATTCCAGCAGGGGCCTGTGGCACTTCAATTACAGGTGCCGGTGGAGGAACCAACTCTTGGCCGGTTTCAGTGGTCTCCCAAGCCCATCCTTTAGCCTGCGAACTAGCTAAGCCACGAAGATCACTGTAGCTGCGGCTCAGACTCTTGCCGCCAAGGCGAATTTGCTTCCAACCGAGAAAACCACCGCATGGACAACAAAAGTCCGGACTCTGTTGCATCTCCGGAAATTCAAACTTGCGAGGTTCTTTGGTTTCCTTGGGGGAAGGCACGTGGTGAGTATCTACAAATGATTGTGCGATGCCTGAAGGTGATAGATGTTAGCTCTGAGTAAAATTGAAATGAGGTTCTCAGTGCTTTTATTTCCACACTGAGAACACTTAGGGCAGTGTACATACCGTCGACGTCCTCTTTGATCGAGCCGAACGATGGGCGTCGGCGGCTGCTAGATCGAGACCCGTCCGGTGTATCGCAAGACGAAGGAGAAGAGTCGCGAGAGTGATCGTGGTCGGTACAGATCGCAGTCGAGAATCGCGGAAGAGTCGGCTTAGTATGCATGGGAGGTGTAGTGGTGAGAGAGGCCATGGTTAAAAGAGAGCGGGCCCTCTATAAAGGGCCCCAAACACACGGAAGTACCTTGGAGTAGTGGGAACACAAAAAGGAATTTTAAAATCCAATATTAAACGAGCAGCTTCCCCAGATTTTTGGAAGGCTCGGTCAATCAAACTAGGTAGAAAGAGAAAAAAGGCGTTAGGGTTAAGAAGAAAAGGGAAAAAAAAGGATGGTTTAGTGTTAGAATGTAGAGTAGTGTAGAGGGGCGGCGGGGAAGAGAAAAAAAAAAACCATGCAGAAAATGTAAAGCTGTTAGTCACGGAAAAGACCGAACCGGATGGTTTTCCACTGGATTGAAAAAAGTGGGAACCAGAAAGAGAAAAAGAAAAAAAAATCTATCGGTCTAAATCGGATCCGGTGGTAAGACAAGTTGACCAAAGAGAAATGAAATATCATATGGTCTTTTCTTTTATTACTACAAAGAATTATACGGATTTAGTATGATGGCAAAATAGGTGGCGGTTATTGAATGACTTTTTAGGAGCGGCCAGACACGGTTAGTACCAGAGCTACCCCTGCAGACCTCCGATTTGTTTGCTTTTTGGGGCTATAATTTATTATTTTGGAATTTTTGGAGAGTTTTGATTTGTTCGTGCTCGCGTCTAAGAGGATCTTGGTTTCGAGAATCTATGCAAGCGGAAAGCATGGCGTCATCGGGTGCAACCAGATACAGGCACCGTTGGATTGAAAATCTAAATAATTTAGAGGGACTGGAGTAAATATGAACATCAAAAATGGAGTAGAAAAATTATCATATACATACTCGTAAAATCTAGAAATTATCCCCAATTGAGAATTTCGATTTGGAGATACAGTACAAATTCTATAGGTGGGCCCATCGGGGATATCGGTACTTTTGGTAATTGGTATCTCTGCCCTGTTGGTTCTTCTTGGTACTTCTAGTACTTCTAGTACTTTTGGGTACATACTAAACCTTTTCTTAGCATTCTATGACATAACTCTTAAACCCCTCCTACTTGATTCCTCAAACATTCTTACATTATTGAGAAGCCCGTAGGACCATGCGCAGGTCAGGCGGATCATGTTTGGCGCTGACCTGTACGGTAGGCTGTACCCCGGACCACGTTGGAGTTCTTATTAGGTAACCACTACTACAGCCCTCACATCTATGATTGGTCAATCAGGCCGATCATGCGGGGAAAACTACCCTCCTATTACCTAATTGCATATCACCTGATCACTTTCTCCAATTTGGCTTTGTTCCTCTCAACTCCATCCACTATATTCCGTACTATGGAGCATAGTCAACATTCAATCTTGCCATCGCTTTTCTGGCCCGTGCTGCAATAGCTATCCCTAGTCCCAATGGCCAACTCATCATGATGTCTCGGCAAACTCCCCCTTCCCCCCTGGGAAATTGATCCGACATTCCGGTTTAATTGAATTTGGACATACGTTCTTCCTTTCTCCTCGGACTTTTATTGACAGCCCCCAAAAATTCCAATCCGGTCCAATGCCGTGGAACCTTTTCATTTCATCCCCGACTAACCCGACAGGGTTGGCAAAGGCTTGATTCTCGTTAAACCGCGCGGCTTGAGAAACCGTCCGGATCGATATGCCTCATCACGTTAGCTCATTATGTACATTACTCCGGAGCTCACTCAGCATTAGCTCCGCCTCATATATCCGAATGTCGGAGTAATCCTCAAGAGACACCACGCCGACTATAGGAGCGGGTCCGCAACATTGCCAAGGTGGCTGTCTCGATACTCAAGGGTGATCCTGCGATGGGGCGGTGTGGGATTGTTGATCGTTTGACCGCTTACGCTCACTCCGTACACCTTTGAGCCCGAACCTCGCACCTCGATTTCTAGGCAGGATCATGTTATGCGAACTTATGCTTGCCGAGAGGCTTGGCTGATGTTTCTGCCACTGGTATATCACTAAATAATCAATATATCAACTAGATCATTAATATGGACTCTAGATCGTCACGAGACTACCACCCTTGCGTTTTAGGCTGCGCGCACGTGCGCATGGGGCTTGGAGGGGACACTATGGAGCACACTATGGAGCGCTCCGCACACCATGCATAGTTAGCTGATGGGGCCTTTGGCGGATTCCCAGGTGGCTCTTTGCTATTCTCATTTTTAGATGAGGCTGGTCCAATCAATTGTTCCATGTTATCCTAGGGTCCACTTTTGTTTATCAATCTTATCACCTAAACCTTGAATTCAAATGTAAACTTGACCAAACATTTTAAACATAAATAAGGCTAGTCTATGACTTCTTATCAATGGTCCTTCCAAGCCTCTATCTACTAAATAAACCATTTGATGTTTCCTTTCATCTGGATCTAAGATTTGACCTGAACCTTACTATTCCACCTGAATTCTGGCATTTAGTCTATGTAAAGTGGCATTTGAGCAGCTGGCCTGATGACTGACCATCAAGAATCACTTTATCTTTCAACTATTCTCCACAATGCTATGCCATAATAACACAGTACTCATGATTCAAGCATCATCATTCGGGGGGTTTCATCCTTTCCAAGCTTACTGCAACTCAACTCTACCACGCCTACGCATAGCCGCACAATAAGCAGCATGGCTTCTCAATGTACTATGAAATTTCCCATGAATTACTAAATCTTAATGCAAATGCAACAACCCTGATTGATCTTACCGCCCCTGCATTAGCAGTCCCAAAGACCAAGGAGCCCGTCCCATCCGTGAGCCTAGGCACCTCAGGAACTACCACTTATCTACCACTTATATGCTCCAATTCATAGCCTTGAAATGTGCAGAGACCCCGTGCCGTACCCTTGGATTCAGTCTATGCACCTGGGCACTCTTCCAAGGTTGGTAAGTGCATAATCCTCTATGGAGAAGCGTACATCAAGCACAAAAGGCACGTGCACATAGTCGCCTTCGAAAGGTCAATTCAATTATCTCCGAGCATAACCGTCTCAAAGATCTCAGAGTGTGAGTCATAATGTCCTCGCTGATCAGCATCCCTCCGACGAGTCATCACGGGTATATGATGCCGGCTTACTGTCGATCAGGCATTATTTGCCACTGAGCGGAGATATGCACGTGGCTTAGTTTTGCCGGTGCTTTTTTGCTTTTTATTTAATTTAGTTTTTTCATTGTGGATTCTATATAGTCATTTTGCAGAGATCTTCACGGGATCTCCGGGATTGCAGATCATCGCTTTTCTTTTTGTGGCTTTCTGCTTATTGATCCTCGTTTTGTGCTTTCTACATGTGGTGGCGTATAACCGTCAGCTACTAGTAACAGACAAAATCTAGACTCCAACATTGGGAATTGTATCTAACAGAAAGCAATTGGTCTTTGAATTTGCAATAACCCAATAGCATATCTAGTAGGTCAACGGGTTCGATTTGGTAGTAACTAGACAAGACAATCGTATGTACGCAGAGATTCAAGTTATAATGCATCCAAAGTTCTAACCTTCAAATGTTCAAATGTTCCAAGTTTGAAGGGCCAACTGGTTCTAAGGCTCAATATCAACATTTTGAATGTTTCAAGTTCGTTCAAATGCTCCTTTCCTTGTCAAAATGTACAGTTCACATGTTCAAATCTCGTGTACTATCTACACACATGTTCTTTCATTCAAACCAGAAAGTATTCGCTAATTCATATTATCGATCTTCTCTTGCCCATGCATGATTTAGTCCGGTAGCTAGATCTGCTCGGATGCCACAATGGATATGCTCCTTTCCAGGTGTCGTTTCTCACTATCCTTGGACAAGTTCATTTGGTCCACATTTGTAGGCCCTTGTATAAGAGAAACACGGGATTGCAAACCCTACTTCTAGTGATGCTAGTCTTGGGGTGGTGGGCCACCTTTGGTATCTCCAGCACAGGTGAAAGACTTGGGCCACCTCTTTCCTTGCTCGACTTGGGGAACGCTCTTGACAGGAGATAGATGAGTTCGCCAGAAAGGTCCGCGCTATCAGGAGAGAGGGCCACGAGCTGTCGATCGTCCTAAGAAATATTGGCGACCAGTTTGCCGCCTGTGATGATGGGAGTTAGTCTTATGTGTTTGGCGAATCCTTGAATCTCGCGGAAGACTTCTCAACATGTCTGAGGTCATGCGGATGATCGCTGCAGCCTTCAAGGTAAGCTTGCCATTTCCGTTCCAAAATCACGTAGGGACTTTTCTGTCGAAGGTTGCTTCAGCTTGCTCGTGGGATTAGTGCTTGGTGACTCGGAAATAGAATTTGGTACAAGGATGCGAATTCAAGTTGCCAGTGGGTGAACATTTGAAATGGGGCAAATACCGGGCCTCGAAGAGGTCACGATGAGAGCAGTGGATTCGCTTGCTTCAAGTCAGATAGGAACAGTCAAATTGGAAAAAAAAAGATTTTGGAAAGATCAAATGTTGTATCATTGTATTGATGGCTATGTGGAACAAAATTGGCACCGAGATATCTGACCAGCAAAGTGAGGTTCAACTTGAAGTTGTGAAAGAATGCGAATAATCAAGAGAATCGAAGAATCAATACACATCAATCTAGATAAAAAAGTAAATTTAAAATATAATCTGAAAGCATCAACGCTCTCTCAAGAATTGAAGTTGAAAATTGGATATCCAAAGCCCACAACCGAGATTCAACCAGGAAATCAGGAGTACAGAAAGAAGCACACAAAGTCTAACATTGATATGATAGAGTGCAAAAGTAAGCGCCAAAGAAAAGTCCCAGCTTCGCAAAATACGCTTGGTTTCTTGTGCGTCGTTAGGCATGGTATTAAAAAAAACCAATGCTCATAGGTCGTTAGATCATTGTATAAATTTGGAATGTTTGGTCAGAGTATTTCGCGATTAATCAACAGCAGCGCTGGACTCATCGCCGTGCAGAACAGGGTTGACCTTGGGGTTCCATTTCAACTGGAAGTCGTGACCAAGCTCCTTACGCATGGCAGCCTTCACTGCGTCCAGAACAGTTTCAAAGACACCAAAGCTGGCAGGGTTGTTGACATCGTTCTCGCCCTCCTTGCCTTGAAACACACCAGTGCGGACTAGACATGTGTTCCAGCCATACATGTTACCACCGATGATATCAGACTGAGGGTTGTCACCGACCATGTAGACGTTCTTCGGCAGGCGGTTCTCATTGTGGATCTCCTCCATCCAATGTTTGAGGACTTCGTCGGCATAAGTGTAGGTAGCGCGCTCGGGCTTACCATACACAACACGCTCCAATTCGCAGCCTGTCATAGCCTTGTACTGGGCTTCGATAGCGATACGGAAGGCACCCTGAGTGAGACGTGGGGGACCCTTATGGTTGGTTGGGAAGACCAAGTCGCCCTGAGAGAAATAGATAGGGATACGAGTAGCAAGAGGGTCCTTGGCGCGTGTAAGGAGCTTGCCATCTTCAGAAAGCAGGAGATCCAGAATGATCTGGAAATCAGTAGCGTAATCGTAGGAGTCAGCAAAGACCAAGATGGCATCGAACTTCATCTTGGAGAAATCCCGGGGCTTAGCATCCTTTCGGTCTGCTTCGGAGAAAGTGCGCCATGGAGAAACGGTTGGATCCCAAGCAAGGATGTCTTTCGGGTGAACAACATGCTTGAAGCCATAAGTCTCAGCGACTTCGCGCACTTTGTATCCTTCACCACCGCATACCAGCACGGTCTCATAGTATTCGGACAAGGCTTGCATAGGTGTATGAGACTGAATGAATTGCTCAGTCGAGATAGGAGCCTCTAGCATTTCTGAGAGCTGTGCACAGCGAGCTACCTCAGTCTTACCACCGCCGTTGGTCAGAAGGATGTAAGGAATCTTGATTCCCAATTCGTTTTCACCGTTTAAGATCTTGAGAGCCGCCTTGGCTTCTTCAATTGGTTCAGGACCATGTGCCAGCACACCGTCGATGTCAAAAGCAAAAGCCATGTTCTTAGCAGCCTCAACCTTCTCTTTGGACATATCCTGGACTTGCGAGGCTAGAATGTCCCTCGAAACCTCAGGACGTCCTGTCCTTTGCGAGCCCAAGCGAGAATGCCGCGGTGAGCGAGGAATAGGAAGGGAAGTGCCAAAGGAGTTGCGTGAACTCCTTCGCTCCTTCATGGAAGGCGACAGGCTAAGATTGTGCATGAGAGCCGCAGCATCACTGATGGCACTGCGGCTTGAAGGGATCTCAATGGTATTGACGCCATCACTGCTTGGGATGGGAAGAGCATTGGAGTTGGTCCGAGAAAATGTCGGGCGACCAGCCATGATGGATGATCGGTGGGGTAAAAAAGTGGATAGGGAGAAGCAAAAAAGAGGAGACAAAGAGGAGTCGATCTTATCAGCAAGCAGTTTCACTGGCTAGGGAGGTGTGCTAGCGGCTGATGCAGATGATATCTATACGACAGATGAGAGAGGGAGGAGAAAATAAGAGAAATGGAGTGCAATGGTAAATTGAGCACGATCCATGCGCGTTATATACAGTTATCAGGGACGGGAACCAGGCATCGGGGTCAAGAGCATCAGGGCACGGTCAAAAAACGCCATGAAAACATGCTCTCTCACAGGCATTACGACCAGAATGCCAGGCTTACAAGGGGGGGGGGGCAGTGGATCTCATCATCCAATACAATCAATGCCTAGGAATTATCGTCATTTCCGTGGCCAGAACAGGTTAAATGTTGTTATAGACCAGAATAACTCAATGGGACAACAAGAAGTACCAGGTACCTGCGTCATCGTGGCTGCACTAATGTTTTTCCGGGTATCGAGTACTTTGCGTTCAGCTTGCAGGGCTTGGTCCTCTTTGAAGCAGCATCTGGACCTGTACGATGTGCATTGTAATTACCACAACATTAATGCACTAGACAAGGAGTCCTCCAGGCTTTCCCTCCTCCGAGGGGTGGTTCCAGGTGATTGGTTCAAGAGCAGTTTATTGACGGGGTTGGAAACAGAGTAGCACGCCGAGTGGATAGATAAAAGGTCTCTACTCGGGTTCTCTGAGGATATCATTGGATAGGAGCACAGTTCGCCCGTGGAACGGCATGGGATCGGTGGAGCCGATGACGATCGGAGTCTCAACCTCATTCCAGAGAGAGAGAGTGCAGGAGAGGTCGAAAAGACGCCGTTTAAGAGATGATGTCATGCCTTGGAAAGTTTTGAAAATTACGTTTTTGTAACGGTTTGTGTATTTTCAATATTTGCAAAACACAGGAAATCTATACAAAGATTACGGAGTACAGATGAATAGCTCTGAGGTAGTGCTACCAATGGTACATCTCACCTGAGTCACTTTTTTTGAGTAAGTCAGCCGAGGATTCTTATACATGGACTCGAAGCTTGACTCGAGAAATCCAGCGCGCGCTATATCCACATGGGAATTGTACCACCTTTCTACAGTTGATATCTGCGGGCAACGGAAACAGCAGGGAAAAGGCTGAAGGCGGAAGTACGGCTTACCCCTCCCCCACCCCACTTCATATCGTCATCGCTTGTCTGTTGAACCCGCCTTAATTATTATTCTTCTCCCATCTATTTTTTTTTCTTCTTCTATACACATCCAATTCTATAACAAAATGTCCAACGGAAAGACCTATCAATTGAGCAACGGCGTGACCATCCCCGCCGTTGGCTTCGGTACCTTCGCCAGCGAGGGTTCCAAGGGCGAGACCTACGAGGCCGTTACCGTTGCCCTCCGCACCGGATACCGTCACCTGGACTGCGCCTGGTACTATCTCAACGAGGATGAGGTTGGTGATGCTATCCGGGATTTCCTGAAGGAGAACACCTCCGTCAAGCGTTCCGACATCTTTGTCACCACAAAGGTGTGGAACCACCTGCACCGTAAGGAGGATGTCCTCTGGTCCGTCAAGGATTCTTTGAACCGCCTCAAGCTGGACTACATTGACTTGTACCTGGTTCACTGGCCTATTGCTGCCGAGAAGGACGGCCAGGAGAAGCCTAAGATTGGTGCTGATGGCAAGGTAAATTTCCTTACTCCGTGGCAACGCAAAGATGTGATTTTTTCCATGTGCTAACAAATAACCAACAGTACGTCATCCTGAAGGACCTGACTGAGAACCAAGAGGAGACATGGCGCGCTATGGAGGATCTCTACGAGCAAGGCCTCGCCAAGGCCATTGGTGTGTCCAACTGGACCATTCCCCAGCTTGAGGACATGGCCAAGTTCGCCAAGGTCCAACCCCAGGTCAACCAGATCGAAATCCACCCCTTCCTCCCCAACACCGAGCTCGTGGAGTACTGCTTCTCCAAGAACATCCTTCCCCAGGCCTACTCTCCTCTGGGTTCCCAGAACCAGGTTCCCACCACTGGCGAGCGTGTCGCCGATAACAAGACTCTGAACGAGATTGCTGAGAAGGGCGAAAACACCCTGGCTCAGGTCCTTATTGCCTGGGGTCTGAAGCGTGGCTACGTTGTTCTCCCCAAGAGCTCCAACCCCAAGCGTATCGTGTCTAACTTCAAGAGCATTGAGCTCTCCGAGGCGGAGTTCGCGGCTGTAAACAGTGTTGCCGAGGGTCGCCATTTCCGCTTCGTTAACATGAAGGACACCTTCGGTTACGATGTCTGGCCCGAGGAGACTGCCCTGAACATCTCTGCTTAATTTACGATATGACGGAAAGTCCTACGGATAGAGAATGAAGTGATACCCGGTGGTGGGGCTACGAGGGGTTAATTGGAAAGCGTGTTATAATCCAACACGATAGATGAAATGAATACATTCCGAGACCTCAATAAGCTACTTCAGAGATTCAGTGTAAATGAGATAATGAAAATTCAATCTACTATTCATCAATTGAGGTACCTAATGATATGTCCATTCTGGTTGACCGTGAAGAAATGCTTCCAAGGTTAATACGGATATAACCCGAGTCCCGCATCTCCACAGCTACAAGTTGTAGCCTAGTGAGAACGCCTCATCCGTAAGAAACTTTTTAATGCTTCAATGATCACTACCAACATTGGAAACCTTGGAAGTGCAAGTTACTGTAACATCCAGATGTCAAAGCACAATACCTTCAGGAAATTCGAATCCCGTCAGGTAAAACCACAACTGTATTACACGTAAATCTGTCAGTATTTCGTTTTTGGTACCTGACAACCATCTTCAACGGCCAATTTGAAGAAGCACAGTATCCCGCCAATAACCACTGAAACTTATACCCCCACTAAATCAGTCCCACAGTTAAACTGAATAAATCCAATAGAAAATCACAAGTTTATTAATTCTTGCAAATATACAGACCAGGAAAGGGTTACATCCACTCAAGGTCCGAGAGAATCCACTTAAACAAACATTGAATTATTCAACGAAAAGAACATAACTAAATCAGCTCGTCGACATATCGTATCAAAACCATATCAGCTACATGGATAGTATGCACTCTTCCTGCTCAGTACTCAGTACTCTGTACTATGATCATGGTGGTACAGATATCAGGAGCAGAGTACTCCGATGCACATCGATGTCATCCCGCGTGTGGCTCCGAGCCCCTGCGCCACGAGCTTACTGGGTCTGGTGTAGCGCGTACAGAGACTTGGGCGGGTGAATCCGGAGGGGAATGGAGTGGGTTTTCTGGGCGGATTCGGGAGGTGGTCGTGCGCTGAACACCGAGACGCCGGATGGGGGATAGTTCAAATGTTTTGTGGACACTGTTATGAGAGTGCGGGTTTAGATGTTCGAGTTTGATTTGGTTGGAAATTGGTGAATTTACACTGTAAGATTGGTCTTGGGGGTGCGTTGACATTCTCAGCCCTGGAGGATGTACTTTCAACCACACATACCCACCTGGGCACTGACAGGTGCCCGGTTTTGATACGGGTATGGATCGTCAACTGGTCTTTTAGCTGCATCTGCATGATAGAATTATAGTATACGTCAATTGTGAATTTTTGCGGAGTAGAGTCCGTCTCAACTAGTATCCATGCACTGCTACATGTTATATGCACTTTCATTTCTGATTCCATGAGCAGATTATGCACATGTGTGGCTACCAGCGTCTGCTTGCATACTAGTATACGAATTATTACCTTTGACTTGAAACTGAATATTGGGACTAATGCCTCGAGGGCTCGGACTACTAAAGTACATAATAACTCGAACTTGCAGGTTTTCGAATCCATATGTATCCTGCATGTGAAAATGGAGCTTGAGTACTAGTATCAGTATCAGTATCAGTATTTCAAGATGACAGTTGAGCTCTAGACTCTTAGGGGTCTGTGTGCTGTGCCGCTATCGCTCGAACCTGCTACTTGACTGTATTTTGAGAAATATTACCGATAAAAAAAAGGTTAGCCTTTTAAAGAGAAACCTCTGAAGGCTTCAGGTTTCGGGATTGAGCAGATATCTCGTAAGACAGGTTTCTATCCTATGGGCACACAATTACTTCTACTTCCATCACGATGCATGGTCTCCATATGCCAGCCATGATCGGGCTCTCTCATACCTCTTACCCACCTGCAACTTGAATATAGGGCAACATGCATCTCTCGGGGTGATTAAATTGACAGAATATCCACTCGTGGAACTACGTGCATCAATTTCGGATTGAAAATTTCACTTAAGTCAAAACACGGGATGAGAGAGCTGCCTGTCCGTAAATCTTGAGAATACAAGGGGTTCGTAACCCTTGAAACCTTTAGTGTATAGGTCAACCCCGCAAAAGGCAAGTCTAGCGCGGTGGCTCAGATCCCCTGCATAAATAGAGATAAGAACTAGTAAGACTGGGTCTTGGGTCCACGGGCTTGCGCCATGCATAAGCCACTCTCATATTGAGAACTTGAATCTGGACAAGATTTTGGCGTTGTAAGGCTTAGAGCCATTCACGTCATCCTGCAGGTAGTTCACAGATGTGAAGGATTAATTTGAGACGACGAAGGTACTTGGCGCAGGATTTCTACTAAAGGGATGTTAGGAGAATGGTTTGGAACCATTTGAATGAGAATCCATTTGTGACTGCATAGTATGCAGATAGAATACATGAATAAAACAGGACATGTGAATTTGAAAACGTGGTTGGTATCTTTGAAAGGAAAACAAACTCCGGGCTCTCTGTTGAAGAACTGTGTACACGCTGAGGAAAACCGCACTATATGAAGGCCCTCATAACAAAGAGGGCTCATCCGAAAATAAAAGTCGATCTGTTGAATCCTTAATCTCTGTTCCGAATACGACGAGGCATAGGTGTGCACCCCGCACTAGAATTCACCGCACTCCTTCGCTTGGGACGCTCAGAACCACCAATACTGGCAGAACGGGTAGGAATGCCACTTGCATGAGACTGGTCATTATTCTTAAAGGGCACCGTAGTCACCGTAGAGAGACTAGGTGATTTAGGAATAAGCTTGCGGCGAGGCTTTGTCGGGGTGGTGGGCGTTGTGCCTACTGTAGTAGGGATCGAAAGAGCTGGTTGGTTGTTGATTTGACCGCTACCTGTTTGCATGGGTGCAGCTGTAACAATTGTCGAAACGCCCAAACGGCGTAAATGTTGCGATCGAGTGGTTGGAACAGATCCCGAAGTGGCACGTGCAACATTCTCAGACTCTGCATGGCTTGACTCCTCAAATTTAACGTGTTGGCCAGACCCAATCTCTTCAAGCTGCTTGGCTGCAGATTCAGAACTGACAGCTCCTCCAATGTGCTCCTTGCAGCTATCTCTCACTTCCACTGGTTCCTCTGACACTGATCTCTCATCCTCAAACTCAACCAATCGCTCATTGTTCCACGATACACTCTTCTTTGCATGTGAGCGACGTTTTGGCTGGAAAGCAGGGACATCTGATGCCTCATCATTCCATTCATCAGCCATGCTTTCAAGAACAAATTTAGGGAGCACTGCATCACCCCTGTTGAGTCGAGTATTCTTTTTTGTGAGCAATGCTAACTTTTGCACATCAGTGCGCGTCAGGAAAATGAATTCATTGCCCTTGGCACGGCGCAAAGCAATGGCGTTGGGCGCTGGAAGGGCAACTTGGGGAGCCTTGACTCGTGTGGATCGTCTGCATGTTGGGCTTGCGGCAGCCACCTCCTCTTCATCCATAACCTCCTTGCTGGGGCTGTTCTCTTGTGATTCATTCTCGCGAAACTGGTTCATCTTCTTTGGCGAAATAACGATTTTGATTGGGGAGGGAGAATTTCCATTTCTGGCTTCTAGGGCGCGGCGAGGTTTGGGTGTTGAATGTTCCACTTCCGATGCGTCTGAGCTAGAAGCACTACCAGTTGTGGTTTCTTGTTTGTTGATCATGGCAGCCTTCGCGTCACGCTTTGCTTGGGCCCGGGACACAAAGCCATTGAGAAGCTCCGTATCCGATCCATCCATCGAGCTTCGAAGAGCCGACCGCATCAGTGTACCCTTCTTCTTATGTGTGGAATCTCGTGCAACCTTTGTCGGGGTCGGTGCCATGACACTGTTGTCTGCATTGCCGGTCGAAGCGCGAAGCAAACTCTCAAAAGACATTTCTTCATTGAACACCTTGGTCTTGAAGGGACTTTGTTGAAGACTGAGAGGCTGAGGTGACCCAGTCATGGTCAGATCGTGCTGACCGTTCTGTAGGTTTTGGTCAAAAATATCGAGAGGACCATCTGGCATTTTTCCTGAGACCGAGGTTAGTATTGGTGGCAGCGAAAGGTTACAGGAAGACTTACGTCGGTGCCGACTTGTGTCTGCTTCCCACTTGGTCTCAATAACTGAGCGGTTGGGCTGATGCATTTTAAAAACCGGTCGTTCATTCTGATCATCTCCCACACATCGACGCTTTACACCTCGCACATAGCTAGCATCTCTACTGGCATTTATAGCAGTCTGGAACGCATCGTTCTCCAATACAGTTGAAGTCTCGAGCGACTGCATGCCTGCAAATGAGGTACAGACTCGCTTCCACAGCTTCCGGGATTTTGGACCAGCTCGAAAGGATGTTGTTGGTTTGCGCTCCCACAGACGGGGGATGGCACGTAATGCTTTGATGGGGGTAAAACTAAAGGAGTTTTCGGAGACCGAATTCGAAGAAGCACTGGAAAGGAAGTTGCGCGAGAGCGCTCGTATTAGTCATGCGTTCTCTGTTGTTGGGAATTTGCTGATTTGATATTGTTGTTTATTGATAGACAAAAAAAACAACAGGGTGATGGGCCGCCTTGGGCGAAAAAGGGGTCCGGGGTAGGAGGGAGTTCACTCAACAGAGCAAGTTGATCAGGTAGGTTTGGGGGAAACTTTTGAAGCTAAAGGGAGACAGGTACTCACCCTTCTTGGGTCTGCGCTGAGGCGGAATCCGTAGACATTTTTGGTGTTGTCGCGCGGAATGTGTCAAATGGTGTTACAGGAATTCGAGTTGGGGAATTCGAGAAATTGTAACCAAGTGGGTTACAGAGGGGCATAAGAGAGGGCAATAAAAGGTAATGAGAAGAATAAATAAGATGAAAGGAGGAGTTCTCCTGATGTCGGTAAATGTGTTGGAGGGGAAATTGATCAGGGACGGAGTGGTTCAAATGTTAGTTTTGCTTTGGGCCGATTCAATATTTGGTTGCCCAGCCAACATAACCCGTGGTTCCCCACTACAGAATCGACAGAATCGGCCATTTAAACAGTATTGGGCATAGTAATACATACTATATTAGGCACAGAACAGAGTACAAGTACTCCGATTCCCGATTTGAATCGGGCCTTCAAATTCTTTACAAGTATCATCAGTGGAAAAAATCTGGGTTTGAATACTATGAACAAAATAACATTTGAATCGGATTTCATTGATGGATATAGTCTACAAAAATCGAGGTTGTTAAGGTATACTAGTATTGTTTTGTGGAATAATTCAAAATGTTTGCATTAATAGGTTCATCATATCGCTCTTCAAGATAGGTACATGTAGTAGGACGTAAGATTCCAAATAATAATGCTTCTAACAGTTTTCTTTATGTTTTTTTTTGTTCCAAGTTAATACAATCATATGGCTTGGAGGAAATTTTGCTGAATCATTGGACGCACGAAGATATGGACTTCAAGGTGCCAGTATACTGCATAGACCATAGAATTCCTTCAGGTACTCTCCAGGATAATCATAATAGTAGTACTTAAGGTTTCTTTAAGTATTATATTGGTTTGGTTATTAGATATACCAAACTTTTGAAACTAAGGTGCAGCTCTGGTGAGGAAGACAATATTGCAATAGAGTAAGAAAAGCTATCACTTCTACGTTCATTTGTTTATTTCTTTTACGAAAGTTCTTACTCATTGGGATTATTCTTTTGTTATATTGACTGACTTTTAGATAGACAACGATTTTCACCTGGGTAAGTTTGATAAAGAAATTGGGTAGGAGATGCTATTAGTTCTAAGCTTGTATAATTTAATTTTTTTGAAAGGTTTTTATTCCTTTCGGATTCTTCCCATCCTATATTGATCCTATATGGATTGAGATTTTAGATAATGAACTACTAGTAAACGATTTTCAAGTTTGACACGATTTTGAAGTAAGGGGAAAGTCAGGTTATAAAAACTGTAATGAACTTGTCAGATTAGGCTGACACCTGTGGGCTAGGCGAGATATACTAAGAGGAGAGTACGAGGGGCTGGTTCACTTAGATACAGCGACTAACACTTGAGGAGTGTAAGTCGGGCCCTACAGGAATCCCCCTCTATGTGTGGCCGGACTTGGTGCCGAATCCCGTAGACAATACGGCAATAGATCTGCATGATCCTCAATATAGTGTTTCCTTTGTCTTCCTTGACAAAAACGATTTTGAAATCCAAGGCCTTTTCATTGTAAGAAACCCCATTTAATCACTTTACAAATATTACTCTCTCTATGCTGGATTGAGGGTGTAATATTTGTAATATAAATACATAGGCCTTCAAAAAATGTTCTGTCATTTAGGGCATCCTCTTTTATTATATTGATTTGGTTTTCAGATAGACTTAACCATTCTCAATTTTGATAAAACTGTGAAAAATAGGGGCCTATTAGCTATACATAAGAAAATTTCTTTTTAGGAGAGGCCTTGGAAGCTTTTATTCACTAAGTCGTCCACGCTTTCTTTTTCCACCCTTATCTTGATTTAATTTTTGGACAGACAAAACATTTTTCGACCTTTGAACTGTGACACAGGAAATTTCAAATCTTCACTGGAGCAAGCATATATCAATTTCATATGTCTTTTAGCCGACTATTAGAGGGTTGAAAGTCCCTAGGTACCTATATGTACTCGTTTTAAGTCCAGGGGACTCACACCCTGCTGGATCACAGGACATGGCCCTTTTCAGAACACCCCTCTCTTCATTTTATCACCTTCTCGAGTGACAGTGATCTGATTCAGTTTCTTCCACAGACAAGAGCTCGTCCAGACCGATCCATCAAGACTATCGTTTTTCTGCGCTGGGCTAAAAACTTAAAAATGAAGGCTGCTCAAATTTGGAACGAGCATAATACTACGCACAGATTGGAGGTCTGTAACATCTTTAATAGCCTTACTGGTTACGAATCAAATGATAACTTGAGCCGCCATGCTGTAGCTTATGCTCATCATTTAGCGAAGGCTTGCTGGCAAGGTGGCCGAATAGTACTCCGTCAAACCTCACCAGAGGCAGAACGGATATTCGAACTTATACTTGAAATGCACAGAGCATGCAATGGAAAATGGCAACAGTTCTGCGATACCGGCATCAGTAAAGAAGAATTGCATTCATGGCTTGAGTTTGCTGGAATGTTCATGTCGAATCTGGGAAATTATTTTGTCAGTGCTACAGATACCGACTCACTTGTGGCTACTAACATTAAATAGGCGGACGGGGATAGAAAAACCATTCCAGATGTCTCAGAAGATGCCCTTAGGCGAATGGCAAGCATCTCACTAGAGATAACTTTGAGGCTTGACGAGATCATAGATCCTATGATGGCGGTTCAACCATCAAAACTAGGGTATCCAGACGAAACGAGTCAATCAAGTTTCTACCCTGGCGAGGCGAGAACCACAAAGGAAGAGATAGTCACTGTTACAAGACTGATAGAAACCCAAGGGGTCGGAGCAGAGAATACACGAGTCAGGAAGACATCTCATCATGATGCTGAGTCCGGACACTGGGATGAGTTTCAAGTAGTTCAAGCCTGTGTAGAAATTGATGAAGCTCCTGGGCTCATTGGAGACATTAAAATCGGGAAACGGCCAGGTCAAATATTTCTACATCGGGGTGACCATTCGAAGGAAATGAATTTAATCTGCGCAGAGCTTCAAGAAGCGCAAAAGTACGCGGCGTCTGCTGAACAAGTCGCAGAACTCGCACAACTTATTCAGTCCTTCCAGACTGGGGACTATCAGACTGATTTCTGGTCTGCTCTTAAAATGTGGGTCAAGGACAAAGCACCTCCCTTCCCTGGCCGAGTCCTGAGAATAACGGAAAGGGGCCTTTCTAACGAAGTGATATCGAGACTCCGGACTTTCAAATTATTCACGGTAAGCAGTATTCAAGTGCCGCCATGGTCTCCTTTAACACTTGTTGATCATGAAATAGTCCTGGCATTTTGTCTCGAGCATCTTCTGGGAAGCCAATAATATCAACCTTGTTAGTACTGTCGTGCACCTCAGTCCAGATAATCACCAAATCTAACAGTTTATTTCAAAAGAACAACAACGATGGCCATAACTACGGCGTAAAGAATCTGATTTATGGCAATCGCATGAGCTTGATCAATCATCCCGGTCGTCCATGCTACTACGTATACCCCTCAGAGGCGGGGACATACATGGCATGCGCTCATATAGTGCATTTCATCGGAACAGCCATTCATGAAGTTATCGGCCATGGATCTGGAAAATTGCTAGCAGAACAAACACCAGGCGAGTTCAATTTTGACCATGAAAGACTTCCACTCAGCCCGATTACTTCTCAGTCTATTCAAACCTGGTACAAGCCAAATGAGATATGGGACAGTGTGTTTGGAAAATTGGCGTTGACGGCGGAGGAGTGTCGGGCCTTCTTATTTGCCTATTATTTTGCTGATAATCAGGAGATTGTTGCACGTTTTGGATATCATGAAACGAGTACGCCGACTGCTGATGATAGCAAGTTTCTTCAATATACTCATCACACGCATAGCTCACGTTCAAAGTACTTTATTATACCTATCTCCACTTAGGGGCTGAGGGTCTTCGTGCGCTGCACAGTTTCAAACCTAACACTCAGACTTGGGGAGGGGATCATCACCAGGTTAGTTCAGTCAAGCCTGACATGGTATCACTGACCTCAGGTTAATATGTCGACTTGAAGGCTCTTCCTGCGATTTTCAAGCACCTCGTCCAGGATGGGGATGGGGTCATGACTGTAGATCACGATCCAGTCAAGAACATCATTTTCGTCAGAGTCGATCGCAGCAAAAATATGTCTCATGGCAAGCTTTCGATCGGCAGAATGCTGTGCAAGATTCACATCTGGCACTCCACCGCCGATATTAATGCTTGTCGGCCATTCTACGAGGATTTGAGCACCGTGGATGGCCAGTATGAAACATGGCGGAATATCGTAATCGCGAACAAAGAGCCCAAATGGAAGTTCGTACAGCCGAACACATTCTTGAAGGGAGGTGGAACGGTAGAACTGAGGGAATATGAGGCAAGTAATGTGGGAGTTATCCAATCGTTCTACGAGAGGGATATCTAAAAGGGTCAAGTATAATGAGGAGATTGAGTGGTATTTTGTATCAAATTTTTTGATTTTCAAGTTGTGTTATTCCCTTCCAATAGTCAGGAATATTCATGCAAAGCCCGTGCTCCTGGGTATTGATGTTATAAGAAACGGCACAAAAAGCTATGTGGCTACTAGACTCAGCGTTAGCAGGCTATCTAGACCAGCAAGGCGGAAGAACATACCAGAGGAGGGCAGCCAGTGTCAGAAGTGAAGTTTCGTGTCTCATTAATCGTGTTTGGTCCTCCACCGCGAGACCACGCCCAATGTAATCTCGAGGATCCATTCATGCCAGGTATTCAATTTACACCAATGGCGTGTTCATATCACGTTCATCAAATGGATCGCCGAATTCGTCTATAAAAGTACGCCCGTCAGTCGCTGTATCATTGCACGATTACCAGCTCGCAGCTACCGACTTACCGAGTGTAAAGTCCTTGTGGATTACATTTTCCATCGCTCGCTGATAATCCTCCTGAGCGCGCTTGCTTATCCACGAGCCGACAGGCTGTTCAGATGCATCAGTGGCGATCTCTGTTGGAACCGGCTCGATATCATCCAGTTGCGACTGGTTTGTGTTGTCTGAGATGTGTTGTGGTTGCGAGCCGGGAGGGGAGAGTTCTGACACGATAGCTGCAGAGGCTTGTGGGTTTGTTGGAGTTCGAGTGCCGTGGCCAGCAGTATCGGAAGCCGAGTCAATGGACGAAGCCATCTCGGAATCGCCGTCGGGGTCTCTGGAGTCTGTAGTAATGGATTTAGCGGGGATTCTGTGAAGAGAGCTCCGTAAAGATGGATGGCGAGAAGACATCTCATCAAGGTAGTCTCGTAGAACTAGAGACACACTGAAGAAAAAGGAACAAGATTCTGATTTGAGACAAAAATAAAAAGAAGCTTGATACTACTTACCAATAGCCATATTTTACTTGTAGTAATTAAAGTGTTATGGAGGGACGATCCACTTGGAAGGTTCAAGAGCGGAGATACTGGGGCGGTGGCCGCTTTCATTGCCCGAAATTCGAATAATTTTCTTTCCTTCTTACATTATACTTCTTTATTCGCACATAACAAGATCTCGCTCATGTTTTCTCATTTTTGGATTACTATCTTCATCTCTTCTACTACCAGCTCATCATTTCAATTGAATCCCCTTGTGTCCAAAGAGCACCATGTCTCAAGTTCCCGATGCATGGGATGACGATTGGGAATCCCAAGCAGACGTAAGTTAAATGGCTAAATTGAGTCGAGCATCTCCTTCATGGACACTGTGCCTATTTTCAATATCTCCATTGTTTCTTCTATGCGAATGATGTACTGATATGCTGGGCGATTCAACAGACATCAGGAACTAAGCCTACCCCGCCGACCGAAAAGAAAGTATCATCCAAAGTCAGCAAAGCTCAACGAAGGGCGCAGCAAGCTGAATTTAACCGACAGCTATGGGCTGAAGCGTATGTGTCTCGTATCTGCCATGAAGTTGATGATTTCGATATCTGACTGTGTTCCACCATTACAGTGAAACCCCGCAGACGTTCCACTTTGTCGAAGCTCGATCCGATGTGCCCCTCAAGCAGGACTTCAAGCCCACTGTCACACTACTGAGCCGTAGACCACAAGTTGCAACCCGTCAATCATCTGCTCTTGGAGTCAATGCAGCAACTGCTGGAATAAATCAACTAGGATTGAACGGTGATATTGGCGACTCAGACGATGAATTCAATAAGGCCGCCGAGCCAACACCTGAGGAGCGACAAGCGATAGCGCTCAAGAATCTGGAAGAGAAACAGCGCAAATATGAAGAGGTCCGAGAAAGACTATTTGGAAGCCCTTCTGCTACTACGTCTGGGAACACATCGCCGGGAAGCACCACTCCACCCCGCCAGCCCCAATCCGGTGAGGGCAGAGGGAAAGGCAAAGGCCGTGGGAACGGCAGAGATTACCAAAAGCGAGATTCATCCTCGACTTCGAGCAAATCAAGACATCTCTACGATCCGTCTAGTCCGGCTAAGCCAAATGGACCGCCTTCACAAAGGCGAGAGAGACCCGCAGATCGGAGCGACTCCGAAAAGCAAGGTTCCCCCGCACCACAGCAACCAACTCGTCATCCTCGAGGTCCTGATGCTAGTGGAAGAGGTGGTTTCAAATTCAATAGAGGTGCACGAGCAGGCTAAACTACACAAAGTTGGATTCTCAAACATTTCACCCTCGCATTTTCCCTTCATTTCTCATGTGGTCAAGGAAGAGGGCGTCCTGAGTTGATTGCATTGGCAAGCTGTGAGGTATTTGGACGATTCTCTGTTCAAAGAACAAGGTCACGATTAGCATTACTGCAATTCCATATATGGGAAAACCATACTCACCAGCATATCGTGCATAACTCTCGAGGTAAAGCCGATCAGTGCTAGTTGTTGCTCGAACATGCTCGTTCGTCTCAATGGCGTTTACCCAAGATGCCCATCGGCTTCCTTCCTCGGCATCTGGCCATCCTCTGTAGGGCTTGAGAACCCTACTCAGGCGAATGACCCAAGGTGCAACCTGAATGTCCACAAAGGAAATATGCGGCCCCATGAAAAATGGACCTTGCGGATGAGCTGCAGTGATCAATTTGTCAAAGGCATTCCGAAGCTCCTGAGCGTTCTCGATCTGTTTTTGCTGGTCCTGTTCTTGCAGCACCCTGTAAAACGTGGGAATGATGTTCCGATTTACCTGGAACCTGTCAGTATTGATGGTGAAACTTCCTTGGACGGGGTTAATATCTGACATGGTCTGCCCACAGTCGGCAGTGGGCTCGCAGCTTCGGATCAGCTGGGAAAAGAGACATGCCAACATGCAGGTCCTCGAGCTATAGCAACCTCGTCAGTGGCAAACATTGCGGGGTGATTCCCAAGGTTCCTCACATATTCGATGAGCACTGTGCTCTCAGAGCATCCCCAGTTGTCATGTCGTAATGCTGGAACAAGACCGCGAGGATTCACTTCCAGCAAAGACTGAGGTTTTTCATATGGGTCCACCTCAATATACTGGTACTGAATACCTTTCAACTCTAGCGCGATCCATACACGTTGAACAAACGGACTTGAAGTTCGTAGTGTTAGCATTGTCCACGAAGCCACATAAGTTTGGACTGGATAGTTTGCAGGTAATCTTACCAAAAGCAGCTCCCATACAATTGAAGATTGGTCTCAAATGAATGCTTTGCAGCTGTTGTGGCGGCTAGGCCTGTCGCCTTTGTATGATACGATTTCTTGCCGTCAGACATACCGCGGTACTGCGTGGTTGAGGTCAGAACTATTTCAAGGCGAGAGAACGAAAAAATTGAACAGAGAAAGAGAATAGAAGTTAGATGAGACAAGACTCGATCTTCTCGGAACAAATGAAAAAGAAACTCGCAAGGTGCACAGTGAAACCGAATATGAATGTGAATGTGACGTAGCTAAGCCTCCTGCGAGGAGGTGCCAAGGTCCCGATATCTTCCATGCAAGTAGAAAAATACGTACCCCTGCCTTTTTTCGATCCTTATCTTCTTTCAAATAATGTCGCTGGACACTATTCTTCTTCACACGATCACTCTCTTCGAGTGTGTGTCGATGTCCTCCACTCACACCATCATTTTTCCCATTTGCACCATTACCGTTCACTCGTTGGATTGTAAAGTATCGCTGCCCACTAGCGCCCGGATGACCATCCGGGAGCGCTGAATTGGGCGCGAGCGCACCAAAGGGTTGAGTAGGTTGAATCGGAAACAATGTATGCACGCCAGGTAAGAGTTCAGCTGGTAAAGACTCAAACCCGCCAGTGGAATCTACCCCCGCTGTGCCAGGCAAGTACTCTGTGATCTTGATCTTGACATCACAGAGATCGCGTTCCCTAGCAGTTCGCTTTCGCTTTTTCTTATTCGGGTCATCGGACTTGGGAGTTCCAGGAGGTCGACCTTTTAGGCGACAGTCCCAGTAATGGGAGACCATTGGTCGCCGCTTATATCTCTGGGTGGAGCGATGCGAGTAGACATTATCAACATGAGGGAAGTAAGTTTGAAACCTATAATGATCAAGTCTTCAGTCAGTTTTCTGGTTATACTATCGAAGTTTGCCTATTGAATATCAAAGTAAAATAATTGACAAATTTGGAAATTCATACTCTTCTTCAGTTAAGGTAACAATGTCATCCACATTGAACAATCGATGTCTCCAATGCTCCAAGTCTGGTGGATCAGGTACCAGCCTCATTCCCGTCAATTGACCCGCAAAACTCGTGGACTCTGTCTCATCGACTACCAATCCACCGTAGTTCCCCTGCTGTAGCGATTGGTCTGGCGGGAGAACCAGCATCCCATGGTGTGGATGTGAAGAGAGATGCCCATTGTTTTGCAGAGCAAGCGCTCCCTGAGCCTGAGTGGTATTCTGGAGTTGCGGCCCGATGTGATCAATGGTTCGAAAGGTTCCAAAAGGCTGGGAGTCCGAGAACGGACCGAGTGGGGCTAAGCCCGTCGATTCGACGATCGGGATAGATGTCAAGCGGCGAGGCGATGCGGGATTCATTTTGGCGTGCTGCTTTTGGGAATGCGGAGAAGAAAGGGGAGTTTGGGTTGAAGCGGCGTGGTGGAGAAGATAAGGGTCCTTATCAGTAATCCACTGCATGTTTGGAGCCTACGTCCACGGGTACGGAGTACTTGTCTCTCATTTACAAAAACATATTCCTTTCTGAACTAGCATCACCGATTATTCTTGGGAAATTTTTGGAAATAAATACAGCTTGAAGGGGCCTGGCCAAATTAATCTACATGAAAAATATGCAGCGGCACAGGCGGCACAGCATTCACGAGAACATTCCCGCACGATATCGTAACTACGTCAACTGGTGATGACAGGTTGTTTCTGATTCTAACCTTGGAAGGTTGGCATGTTAGAAGCAAAAGGGAAGCTCTTCTGGTCTCTTGCTTGCCTGGATGCCAGTCATATTTGAATTTCTCAAAGGCACTCAGTTTTCCGGTCAAAAAATGCCTCGTGCAAGCGCTGGTCATATTGCTCCTTGTCTCTTAACTTCTTCTCGAGGAACTTGAACGTACCGAATGTCCAGTAAGGCATTGTAATAAGCCAAAACGACTCATCATCTTTGTGAGACTTCGAAAATCGTGGCTGAATATGAGTGTAGAATATTTCAAACAATGCCATGGGCATATTGAGTGCAATGGAGCACCAGAACGTCCCACGCCCCCACCCATCCTTCATAATGGAATGCAATTGAACGACTGGCTGTTGTGCTAGAGAGTTCTTCTCCTCTTCCTCCCTCAAAATTTCAACGAACTCCCCATGAGTAATCTCATAGGCTTCGAGATCCATCTCGGGGCCGGGTTCACCTGCTAACCAATCTGGCGGATGGATCATTTCCACTGGACGAGAGCAGGCCCATTCAAGATCGATGAGACTCTTAATATTCCAATCCTCGTCCACCATGATGTTGCTTGGGTGGAGGTCAGTGAGTTCCATGAAGAAGGGCCCTCTGAGAAGGTCGCGCCGGGAAAAAAAAGGCCAAACACTCCTTATAACCGATAATGCACACGCCTGGTAGAACCCATCTTGAAGGCTGCTAACGGCATTTGGCTGATGCCGAAAGCGGCTCTCGTGAAATGCGAGAAGGTCATGTATATAAGAGTCAGCTGTTGCGTGCGTGATCTGTCGAGGTATATCGACTGGAATGTGTTCATTCTCCAACAGTTGAAGCTGAAGGGTGAGAAGCCGGTTGCTCAGAGTTAAGTTACCAGAGCTGTCTTAAACAAATGAGCCAATTTTTGGCAGTGGTATCCGAGTCATTGCTGTCATAATTTGCGAGAGACCACGGAATAAGTTTGTTCGCAACGTTTTATTATGACACCCTTTACCCCATGATTGCAAAAGCATTTGGCCTCGAGATGAATCGATATACTCAATCAAAATGTATTCATTCCCCAGGGGCTTCGCTTCATTCATTTGATAAGGAATGTAAGATGTCGGTATCGAATAACCCAGCCATCTCAACACATGGCGACGAAGATATTGAACGATACGGGTGAGAAATGTCATATGTTCGAGATGAGTGAACTAGCTTGGCCAGAGCCAGTAATCTCAAGCTTAAGTTCCCTTTAATACGTACGGTCTCTCCGTTGGATAATCCGAACCCGTATAGATGTGGAATGGGAACATTTGGGCAATTCTCTTGGAGCCATGCATAGGTCCCTGCCTCACAGCGGATCTTTTCATCTGAATTTCCAGGCTTGAAGGCTTCCCCAATAAGTTATGGGAGCGGAAATCGTATCATAACCTGTTATGGGGAATTTTGATCTGGACTGTCAATATCGGCCCGGATGCAGACGTTAAAGCTGCCATGTATCCAATCCTCCACGTCAACCAGATGGCATGAATCAGATGATAGGCCCAGACGGCGCCCAATTATTTTTTTGATCAGTTGACGATTCTGAAACAAATGTGTAAAGTATTGATCTCTCTCATCTCTATATCCAAGTTGATGGAGGATATTGTTGCCGTCTTCTCTTGCGGTGGAATATGTGATCTGGCCACGGAGCAAACTGCGAGGTCTTAATAAGTTTGCATCATGATCTGATTCTGGAGACATTTCTCCACTTGAAAAAAAACAGATGGGACGGTAGATTGAAAATGTACTCTTGATTAGTCTACTAGTAGAGGTATAGGACCGTTGATAGGCGAAAAAGGGGGTCAGATGCCAGCACTTGAGCTCGGATAAATATTACCCCTGATGGACGTATGTAGGTACTTATTTATGAGTGCTGATCTTCGCTATGAGTCTCTTTCAACTATGAAATGGTGTCTCTTTTGCTTGAAATTGCTAGGTCTGCTATTTCATGAACTTGAAACAGGTAGGAACATCTTCAGATGTTGGCTATCAAGTTCAAATCACCTATTCTTCAGGCATCTGGAGTACAACGGGCAAGGGTTATAATAAGTATTACCTGAGTTAGGCCGCTTTATGGTACAAATTCTCTAATCAATCAATATCATTGGCGAGAGCTCTATCCATTTTCTGTCCAAGTTAAGGTGAGTGATTCAATCACTTGGAAAAACTAGATACGCTTCTTTCCTGCATGCTTCTTGGCAGCCTCAGTGTTGCTGAACGGGAACCCAGTTGTTCTTTTATCAGCACCCGTTCTACGACTTATCTTGCCCTCGCTGCTTGCGAAGAGCACACACCACAGCCCGATAAACGCAAGAAGGGAATTCCCGGCCACTGCGATCGCAAACACACCCTGACCCCCAGCAACATACCATGTATAGGCATAAAATCCGGAGATCGCATGGAATAAAGATGTGATGATGAGAGTTGGAACGGCATACGGTGCCTTGGGGTCTGATTCCTCTGTTGTGACAGGCTCGGCTATCGTAGATGTCAATGGGATGGAGCCTGTCAACATCACAGTCAAGATTGCCATGGTTATAAGGCTGAAGCCGAGACAGCGGGCAAAGTATATTTCGATGGCTATAAAGCAGCAATGGGTCATTAGTATGTCTGGGATTCCAGGTTCAAATGTCATGGATAGTATCCACAGGTACTAGGAATATAGAAGACACGTACGGCTGGCCGGGCGGGTTTCATCTAACAGTAGGGCCACAATCATGCCTGGCCCCGTCATCAGAGGCAGACTCTGCAGGGAGAGCCATGCGGCTGTCGAATATGTGTATGTATAAAACACCTTGTTCCATTGATGTTAGCTGCAAGTTGGAGCCTGGTTTGGGTTTCTTTCTCTGGATATAATGGAGTTCTCGGGTGAAATTGGGATCAGGCACAACTTACATCCATGATTACAGCTGCTTTGGGTGCTCCACTGGGGAATTTCAGTAATGTCAAAGCTCGAAGAGAATGAATGATAGCTGTTGTGCTGAGAAAAAGACCTCGGGAGACTGGCGATTGCTGCCTGATTAAGGTTTTATAATGACGTCATTGTATTTACCTCATAGACCGAGTCATAGTGTATTTACTTGGGATCAGACCGCACTTGGCACTATCTGTTAAAGATTGATGCGGAAGAAAAGATAGGACACAAAAAATGAATTTGTGACTCATTATAGAGGAATAACCGAGATGTTTTCTCCTGCTACATATGCATGTCCAGAAACTCGTACTTGAGGGTCAATGAATGGGCGAAGCTATGAGACATTCGGTGGATCGGAGGGACTGAGTCATGAACTAAATGAAGAACAGATCCTTCGCTCCTTGGCTTTGAACTGTGTCTGTGTCCCCACATTCAAGTTTGAATTTAGTAGTATTGATTTGATGAGGCTCATATTCCAGGGTTCAAGTATGCCTCTATGCTCCAATGGCATTACTGAAACCCCAGTCCCTGATTTGCCTTCGACCTACTAGTTGACATTATTATGGATATTCAGACCAAATTGACATATCTCCAATGGCAACAAGAGTACTCACAGACTCGACCATATCGAATTTCTCAATTTGGTCGCAAGAGAGCCGCTAGTCAACAAAGCAAACCGCATAATTTGGTCTTCCATAAACCGGAAACGACAGAGATTATTCATGATATAAGAGGATACAAAGAAGGCCGAAATGAGTTTACACTCGAGGCAAATGGATTTACATATTGTAAACATCCTCCTCCAGTGTTTACGGAACCAAAGGATTTCTCTGTACCCAAGCAGGTCCAGGCTGTCTTTTTACCAGAGTGTGAGGCAATCCTCAGGAATGAGATTGAAAACGTGGAGAAGGTCCTTATCTTCGATTGCAAGGTAAGAGTTCTGTCCTGATCATGCTGGCTTCTACTGAACTTTCATTTTTCACAGGTAAGGAAAAGGAAAAGCGCCAAAGAGCGGCGAAAAAGAAACGGCCATTTGTTGAGCTTTGCCAGACAAATTCATGTAGGTCAGTTCAATTTGAAGTCAAAAGACAGATCTCCTCCTCTCCTTGCCTTTCTGGTTTATTCATACTAACAAACATCTCAGACACCCTTCTCACGAGAGATAATATTGGAACTCCTATGATGGAACGAATTCGCAATCACCTTCCTGAAGAATCTCGATATCTCCTGAATAAGCGAGTGCAAATGATCAAGTGAGTTCATAGAAATTGGTCACATTTTCTCATAATTCCTATCTCTCCCTTGAGATTAAGAATTCTTCTAACATGAATTCTCAGTATGTGGCGACCACTCAATGGTCCAGTTGAAGACCAGCCTTTTGCTGTGTGTGATGGCGGGACCTTTCACACATCAACATTAGTTGAGACAGATATGACTCGAGGAAACTATACAGGTACATTAATGTATCCGCTATACGACCCGAAACGCCCTTGCGAATGGTATTACCTTAGCCGACAGAGTGTGGAAGATGTCCTACTATTCAAAAGCTTTGACTCAAAAGAAGGGAGTATTAAATGTAAGTCTCTCCCTTATTTAAATTCTTTTGAATTGGGGGTGTTCTACCATGAAACCTATCAGTCTAACATTTATGCTCTGCAGATGTTTCCCATACTTCATTTACTCTGCCTAATCCCCCAGATAATGCACGTCCGAGAGTCAGTGTCGAGATCAGAGCTCTGGTCTTTACGAATTCATAATGCTCGATAGCGATATCTGTCCTGGTGCCTGTGTCATTGAAATGAAAACAAGCCACAAGTATTATTAAAGGCTATCAAATGACGTCCAGAATATGGGATGAGAAAGGGTTTATGCAATTCAAATATCTTCATCAAATGCTGTTTAACGTGACTTTCATATAAATTAATAGTTCAAAATAGCGCCACCTCCAACTCCATATACCCAATCAACCTTCCACGAGAATTTGAGGATTTTTATTGATTGATTTGGCTGGCGCGCAGGTATCTGGCGAAGCTGTTATCCGCATCGGAAGGAGCGCTCTTAGAGCCTGATAAAGCCTGCTGATAACGTTGGGACAGACTTTCATCGTCGCCATCATGAGGCCCGACATATTCTTCTTCACTGTCATCCTCGCCATCTGCAAGTCCACGCTTGATGATATCGTCCTCTTCATCTTCCGCCTCACTGACGGTTTCCGGCCCAGACTCGGCACTCTTGCCCTTTGCGCGGCTTGACCCGGAGACATTCATATCTTGCATCAACTTGCCAAGTTCGACTTCCCGTCGAGACTCCTTATCTTCCTCTCGCTCCTTCTTCTTGCGCTCAAGCTCGGGCTTGTAGTCGCGCTCGAATTCCTGTCGCTTGGTTTCCACCGCTTCAAAGAACTCGTCAACTCCATCACCGGTCATAGAGCTCACTCCAACCACGCTCAGGTGTCGGTAGAACTCCTCCAGCATCAAACTCATGCTGTTCAGCAGTGATCCCATGTATCCACTTCCACCTCCGAAACCGGCGACGCTACCTTCGGATCCAAAGGCACCCGCTTCTTCCTCTTTTCGTAGAGATTCTTGGAATTTATCGAAATCAGTCATCCACTCCTTTGCAAACTCGGCGTCCTGAACGTCAGTCTTGTTGAAGACCAAGATCATTGGAAGCTTAGTTTTGTAGAGAATACTGCAGGCGTAGAGCATGTTGCTCATAAATGTGCTGGTCGAGCTAGCACGAGGAGTATCGATAACGTATGCGATCACGGTAGGGAAGGAGGAGGCAAGGGTCTCCAGAAGGATGCTACCAGAAGCACTCCACACGAAGACCTCAATCTGTCCGGGTGTATCGACCAGAATATGTTCAATCTTCTTAGCGGTGGGGTTCTCTGGGTTGGGAGCAGTGCGCTTTTCCAGTAGAGAAATGATTTGGTCGACCTTAGTAGCGAACAGGTTGAGTGATGTCAAGATTCCACCGTTAGGACCGAGGTTGTATTGTTTCATGACTTCCTTGTAGTTGATCGAATCCCGGATATCGATGTTGCTGTCAAATGGCACCGAGTGCACCGCGGGGTCAAGGTTCATCACATAAGGCACTTTTTGATTCGAATGCAGATGAGAGTTGATTCGTTGCATGAAGGTCGTCTTACCCGAACCTAATGCGGTCAATTAATCAATCATCCTTATCGCCACGCTCAATAGCTTTAGAGAAAAGGTGATCGCCTTACCTGCCATGCCCACGCAGACAATGGACACTGGAGACGACATATTGAAGGTGTTTATTGAGAATGGAGGAAAACGTTAATTTGAGCCCAAATACAAATCAAAAGGAATATTCAGCCAAATTGATTAGTTAGATCTGTGGAAGTAGAATGTGGTAAAAGTGGGAGAAGAGTGTAAGAGGTGAAGCTCTTTTTTTCTGAAATTCTTTTTTTTGTCGCGGGGAAGATCCGCGCCTGGACCGCCCGGCATTAACGTCATTCCATCTGAGCTTTTTTACTCTTCTCCTTACACAATTATCTACACAATGACGCTAGAAGATTTTGAGAAATCCCTGGCGCAAGACCAGGAGAAGAGGGAGAAGAGTAGCCGCGATCGGCATCACCGAGATCGCGATAGCGACCGTCACCGCGACCGCAGTAGAGAACGCTCCTCGCGACATCATCGTCATCATCAATCAAGCCACCATCACCGGCACCATTCATCCCGATCCCGCGAACGAGGAAGTGAAAGAGATCGCGAGTCCCGCTATCGGGACGAGGAAAGTCACAGACACAAGCGCTCGCGTCATTCGACGGACCACGGAAACGATGACGACCACGCGCAGAAGCGTCGACACCGCTCTAGTCGCGACGAAGAGGAGTCTTCTGCACCCAAGACAATTGTCCAAGAGGAGCCTAGTGACCTGAAGCGAGACTCTTGGATGCAAGCACCATCTGCTCTCGATGTCGAATATGTTAATCGCCGAGATAATCGAGTCGACGAACCGGCAAAGCCTACAATGCTTCAAGCTGATTTTGACCTCAAGATTCACGACAAAGAGCTCAATAGCCATCTACGGGACCTTAAGGAAGGCAAAGTTCCGGAGGAGGTTCAAGAAAAACCATCACAGCATGAAGTGGATTATACATTTGGGGATACAGGGTCGCAATGGAGAATGACGAAGCTTAAAGGTGTCTACAGAGAGGCTGAAGAAACTGGAAAACACGTCGATGATATTGCGATGCAGCGCTTTGGTGATCTCCGCTCATTTGACGATGCGCGTGAGGAGGAAGTCGAGATGGACCGTCGTAAGACCTATGGCAAATCCTACGTGGGTAAAGACAAACCGAGCGGAGAGCTGTTCCAAGAAAGAAAGCTCAAGAACGACATCCACCGAGCGTCACATGAACACATTCGTGACCCAGCAGATGAGCTCAGAGCTGAGGGTCAGGGACAAAAAATGGACACTGTACCCCCAGCCAATACCACTCAGCCTCTGGATCTCACTGCTTTAAATCGACTTAAGGCTCAGATGATGAAAGCTAAATTGAAGAAAGCCCCTAACGCGGCAGAGCTTGAAGAGCAGTACAACATCGCAGCAGCAGCTATGTCTAATCGCAAAGAGTCCGACGTGGTGGTGCTGGGTGTTCAACATAATCCTATGCTGGCTGGCGCACGAAATGAAGTCAAGCCCATTGACAACAAGCGCGGTCGCGAAAGAGGCTTGGTTCAAGAAAATGAAGATATGAGTATCGAAGACATGGTTCGTGAAGAACGGAAAACTCGAGGTCAAGTAGGAGGAGAGGGTAAACGATTGGCTGAACGCATTGTGCGTGATGGTAAATTCGAGGTAAAATCGAACTTGTCACGTCTGTTCTAAGCCCACTTATCTGACTTTTTTACAGAATGAACTTGAATATATGGACGACAATGCCTCCAAGCTGGCAAAGCGTGTGCATCGCTCCGAGATTGACATTAAAAATGCTACAGCCAATGACTTCCGCAAATTGAACAAGATCTTGGATAACTGTCCGCTCTGTCATCACGAGGATACAAACACTCCCCCGACAGCACCAGTTGTCTCCCTGGCGACAAGGGTGTTCCTCACACTTCCTACCGAGCCCGAGATTAGCGAAGGAGGTGCTACGATTGTACCCATTCAGCACCGCAACAATCTCATGGAATGTGATGATGATGAATGGGAAGAGATCCGCAACTTCATGAAGAGTCTCACGCGGATGTATCATGATCAAGGTCGCGATGTGATCTTCTATGAAAATGCTGCTCACCCACAACGCAAGCGCCATGCGTCAATGGAAGTGGTCCCTCTTCCATACAGTCTTGGAGAAACATCTCCTGCATTCTTCAAGGAAGCCATTCTCAGTGCTGAGTCTGAATGGTCCCAGCACCGCAAACTTATCGATACCCTCGCCAAGGCCAAGCAGGGAATGGGAAGATCTGCTTTCCGGCGAACTTTGGTCAAGGAAATGCCCTATTTCCATGTCTGGTTCGAATTGGATGGTGGATTGGGTCACATTGTTGAGGATGAGAACCGCTGGCCTCGTGGAGATCTATTTGCCCGTGAAATCATTGGTGGCATGCTCGATGCGGCCCCTGATGTTGTCAAACGCCAGGGTCGCTGGCAGCGCGGAAGTGATCGACGAGTAGAACCTTTCAGAAAACGCTGGAGGAAGTTTGATTGGACACGAATCTTGGTTGAAGGATAAGGAGGAAAGGGCATTTCAAAGCGAACATGCTTCGGTGAACCAGGTTTGTAGTGGCAGCCCTGCAGGCTTCACTACTCCTGGCGAAGGATGATATGCACAAAATGGGTTAGCTATCAATATGATACCGCTGAAATTATCGCCAATTGGACGATTTTTACGTTTTCCGATATCCATATACTTTCCCGATGTATCAAGATCGCGGGATTGCTCCGAACATAGAGCTGTAAACGAACTTTGGATACGCTTCCAAGGTTGACTCTTGAGTTTCCCCCAATTTAACTGCTACGGGCTATCTTGTCTACAGGCAAATGCTATCTACTCATGATCTGGTCGGTATTGCTTGGAGAATCTACATGATTTAATGGTGTGCATCCCACGTAGACTCGGAGAACTGTCCGCGATAAGCTTGCGTGGGGCACATCTTATCTTGCGCCCTTGGATGACATTCCCTCTCCTTGGTCATTCTCAATTGTTTCTTTTCTTTTTTTTCTGTAATTTAAGTTGACTACTCCTCTTTCCAGGCACTTCCAGCTTCTATACATCTCATTGCAGCCAGTCAGATAATAATTGTCTGCAAATCAATTCAAGTATCTGTCGGTGAGCGCCCCTCTTTTGGAGTATTTTCCAAAACTAGTAGATTTCCCGGTGCCCAGCAATCCATTGCGCTTGTGCAATTGATATATCAGGACTGCTCTCACATTTAAGATATGATATTATCTCATAGTAAGATCAAAGAATCTTTAAGCTTTCGCTAACAAACACCCGACAGATACACATCGCACCTTGTACTACATCAATCTACAATAATGGGCTCTGCCAACCCTGGTACCAAGATCCTGCTCTTGGGAGAGATTGACTTGTATGCTCTTTGAACGAAAGCCCATAAATCAATGCTGACACAATATTAGTGCGCATAAAGCTTGGAACGCTCTCAGCGAAGTCGGAGAATTGGTCAATTGCACCGCAACCAACCGAACCGAGTTCCTCCAAGAATGCCGCGCTGGAAAGTATGATGGCGTCATTGCTGTTTATCGAACCTTTCATTCCATCAGTATCACTGGATTGATTGATGAGGAGCTTGTCAACGCCCTTCCAAGCTCTTTGAAATACATTGCTTCTTGTGGTAGGCGACCTTCAGGACTGTGTATCTGACGGAAACAGCGCTGATATTTTCGTCCATAGGAGCTGGTTATGACCAGATTGATGTTCACGCGTGTAGCACACGTAACCCAATTATTCGGGTTTCCAATGTCCCCACAGCTGTGGACGATGCCACTGCTGATGTGAGTATGTTCCTCATCCTTGGTGCTTTACGAAACTTCAATTCTGGTATGCATGCCCTGCGTCAAGGGAAATGGCGTGGAACAGCAGCTCTTGGACACGATCCTCAGGGTAAAGTTCTGGGAATCTTGGGAATGGGTGGTATTGGGCGGAACTTGAAGAAAAAGGCCGAGGCGTTTGGCATGAAGGTGATCTACCATAACCGTCGTCAGTTGAGTGAGGAGCTTTCTGGTGGAGCTCAGTATGTGACATTCGATGAGTTACTCTCGACCAGTGATGTGATCAGCTTGAATCTGCCGTTGAATGTGAGTTGCATAACAAGCAAGACTTTTGGATAGTCCCGGGACTGATATCATGTTTTAGAAAAATACTCGTCACATCATTAGCAAGGCTGAGTTTGCGAAGATGAAGGATGGTGTTGTTGTTGTGAACACTGCTCGTGGCGCTGTCATTGATGAGGCTGCCCTCGTTGAGGCCCTCGATAGTGGCAAGGTTTTCTCTGCTGGTCTCGATGTCTTCGAGGAAGAGCCCACGATCCACCCGGGACTTTTGGACAACCATAAGGTTGTCTTGGTTCCCCATATGGGTACATGGACTATTGAGGTGAGTTTGAGAAATTCATAATGCAGGATTTGAATTCTAGAGCCGACTCATAATTGCTAATTCTTTTTGCTCAGACTATTACCTCGATGGAAGAGTGGACTATTGAGAACATTCGACTTGGCATCGAGACGGGCAAGCTCAAGAGCCCCGTTGCAGAGCAGGCCGATCTGTGAGATTTGATTAGTGTACATTTCCCCGCTATATATCGACATAGATTCCAGAAATGGCGTCATCCGAAGATTGAAATGTTTATTAGTATGAAATAGTATTATTGCACATTGATTGCCTACTAAGTAGCCTTGGAGATATAGTTAGTTCACTTAACTAGTTATCAGTTTGGATAGAAAAAAGCGGCAGAATATAAGGGGCGGTCAGTGAAAAGACCAATAGAGAAGAATGGTAGACAGAAGTAGACTGGGCGGTAGGAGTAACAGACCAATGATCGGTGATACACGACAACACTTGAGTATTCTTACTGTCTTCCGTCAACCATCTCACCAGCAATATATCATGGCCGAATACTGGAAATCCGCGGTAAGTGTGCTATCTTGCTTGAATAAAGTGTGTTTACTAACATTTATATCTTCTATTTCAGCCGCGCCACTGGTGCAAGCAATGCAAGATCTTCATTCGCGACACGGCTTTCGAAAAGACTCAACATGAAGCAAGCCCCAAACACCAAGGCAACCTCAAGCGCTTCCTGCGCGACATCCATAAGAATAATGAAAATCAGCAGCGAGAGACACAGCGCGCCAAGAGTGAGGTAGAAAGGTTGCGACAGGCCATCTCTGGCGGAGCCTCCGAGTCCAAGACCGATTCCAAAACACCCGCGCCTGCACCTACGAAACAATCCGCTGCCCCAGCTGAGAGACCAGTCAGTGTGGAAGATAGGAAGAAGCAAATGGCGCAGCTTGTTGAAATGGGGGTGGCTATTCCCCAGGAATATCGGGCCGAGATGGCATTAGCCGGAGAATGGCAAACACTCTCGGTGACCAATTTGGACTCAGAGGGGGCGAAATCGATCGGGGTTCGCAAACGCAAGCTTGAAGGTGAAGAAGATGAGGAAATTCCGGAGTATGTGAGCAAAGGGTGGGGATCAAGGATGAAGATTTATCCTGGTGTGCAGGACGAGGATGATGGGGACCTGGACGCTCTACTCGCGTCTACAAAGGACTTGAAAAAGGCCAAAACAGAAACACCAGCTATCCAAGCAGAGGAGGTTAAAGAAGAAACCGGGACTCTCCCCAAGACGAAAGATGAGAATACCGACTCAAAATCATCAATAGCACCAGTCTCAGAAGAAGGCAGCTCAGCTCCCGTCAAGGCAGAGGAAGCTGATGATTCTTCTGTTCCTCCTGTGAGCGCAGCCCCGCCGAGTGACGAGGGTTCTGGCGTTGTTTTCAAAAAGCGCAAATCAAAGGTCATGAGGAAATAAGCTGCGATATGACGATACAATTTTACAAATAATATGATTCTCATTTCCCCAGTTCATTGATCAATCGGCAGTATACTAACTTGCGAAGTTCACGTGGGAAAACACCAGTTGACAAAAAGCAAGCAGCGTCTTCATTCCATTCTTTGTCAACATGGCCATTACTATCTTAAGTTACATGAGCGCTTGCCACCCCTGCTGGTTTGATTTTTAGTCTCTACGGATACACTTAAAGGGCCGGTATATCCAATAATGAGTTATTGCGACTGGTTGGAATGACAAGATAGAATTAACCAAGTTTCGTTGATTTAACTGGATTTATCAAAGGGGATATCATTGATCCCTGCCCAGGTGGAGGCTACTATGCACATGCACTCAAGTGTTCAAGTTACAACTTAGTATGAGTGCAGAATATCTAGCAGGTTTAAGCTGTTTCTACATAGATTTGAACCTCAAGAACTTGAGGTATACATAGCCCAGCACCACTTTTTTTTTCTAGGGCAACTTAAATCTTCATTATGGACAAATTTGCCCTACTTTACCAAATCTAAAGAATAAATTAAAAGAAATTCAATTCAAAACGATAATTCATCTAGTCTGTTGATGCTGTTCATCTATACAGTTGCCACCCCAATAATTTTTTTTTTCTCTAGAGCGGAGACTTCGCCGGAAAAGAAAGCTCCTTTGGTTCCTCTCCAACTTCGCGCATCTCTTCCTTACACCACACCCCCACATGCGCATGCCCTTACCTATTTTCTCTTAAGTGACTTTATTCGGTGAGTTTACTGATTCTCCTAGCAATCGAGTCCCCTATATTATCAATCAACTTGGTCCTCCCCAAGTCGCATCGTCGCCGAAAAGCGCGCAGGATCCCCGGACTATCTCCTCCCCACCCTCGAGGCCAGGACCTTTCGCAAATGGATATAACCCACAGTGTCATATTCGATTGGCGGTCAGAGGAGTCCATACAATCGAGGCTTTGGGCGAAATTGGTCCGGGGCCTGATTCCAGAAGAATGCGACAAATGAATCCCGATCGGCCACCGAAATTTTTGTCAGCAAGGTCTTGAGATATGCAAGATCCTGTGGGATCCTACGATTTTATTGAACTTGAATTGTGCCCGGGATTCGTTTTGTCACATTCAACTGGGGTTGGAGACCGCCGGGAATTTCTGCATAGAGTAGATGTTGTCAACATCCTGTCGTGGTGTCCTCGTTTGGTTTCCATGTGCTTGTTGGCATTTTGAGAAAGCCCACTTGACTTTAGGGGGGGGGCATTGTCACTATTAGATGCAGGTCAATTCACATGAAAACCCGTCGACTAATATTTTTGTTGTTTTCTTCTAGAGCGCAGTGAATAAATGATTTATCACTCACAGTCAGTTCGATCTGGTGTGTCGCCTACGCTCGACAAACTGCACGACCTTTGACCTCCTTGTCGGCTCTACCAAATTAGCGCGACTATCGCTACAGCTTTTCCGATACGATAAACTACACAGGCGACCGTGATTTGAAGATAGAGGGGTTGGCATAGGAGAGATGGCGGAGCCAACAACCGATCCTAAGCCGGACGAAACGGCCAATCTGGCGGTAGACTCCCCAGCGCCAGTGACACAGCCTCCGCAGAATGATCAGCACCAGCAACCCGCAGAGCAGACCGGGCCACAAGTTCCAGAATTGAATCCTCCACCAGAAGCGACCAGCGAGCATCAACTTGAATCTCAACTTGAATCTCCACTCGAACCTCCTCACCACAGTGAATCTGCACCACAGACCGTCAAAATGGAGCTACCAGGCATAAACAATCATACGGAGGAAATCGGCGAAACTACGCCTGTGCCAAATACTACTGCGCATTCAATGGATCACGCACTCCCAAGCATTGACCATTCTCTCCCCCGATGGATACGTCTCAGTCACTCGTGGATGCTGGTTTCACCTCGTTCGATACCGCGCTTCCTTCAATCGGCTCTACTTCCGCAGAAGATTTGTCGCTTCCCGCCATTGATACAACTTTACCATCCTTTGACTCCACTTTGCCAGCAATTGGAACTGATATTCCTACCATGGATGACGACCATACGTTTGATGACAGCCATTTTGGCACACACCACGACTCCCATACCGGATCTGTAGAACCAGGCAACAGCGGGCCTGGGTCTATGAATGGATCATCGCATTACGACGCGACATCGAATGGATACCAATACACCCATAATCATCAGTCGCAACAGTCAAATCTCCATCATCAGTCTCCTCAGGCGCAGTCCCAGCATCAGTTCCAAGCGCAACCTCAGCAAAGTTACCAACAGAGCCCGGATATGTATCACAACTCTGGCTTCTCAACTGTCAATTCAAACTCTGGAAACAATGGTCAGGGTCAGCCCGGTCAGATGCCGCAAGCCCCGATTGGATCCCCCATGCCACCAATGTCATCAATGGGCCAGTATATGACTGGTTATCCCTCCAACGTATCTCAATCTGGTATGAGTCAAGATGGGCAAATGCAGTACCCACACGCAGGAGATCCCAACCAGATGCTCTCAGGTGGGCGACATAAAAAGGAAGTCAAGCGCCGTACAAAAACCGGGTGTTTAACTTGTCGTAAGCGTCGAATTAAGGTACGTTCTTTGAGTTGGAGATTTGATACTGCGCGGGGCGCGGACCTCGCTTGTGCCCGCAGACCCCGCCATCGTTTTATTCCACTTCCGCTTTTACTGGATTACCGTTTTTTCTGTTTTACTTTTTTTTTATTTACGCGTAACATTCCCTTCGATCTAATTTTTTATATTAGTGCGACGAAGGACACCCTGTTTGTCGAAATTGCGTGAAAAGCAAACGTGAGTGTTTAGGCTACGATCCCGTTTTTCGACCTACCGCATCAGCTCCTTCGGCCATCCAACCTGCACCTAATCCGCCGCCATCTTTGGTCGTCAATCCCCAAGGCCCTCCTGCTACCTCTGTGCCATCATACCCCTCTGCCCCCCCTGGGTATATGCCCGCTTCCTCACAACCATTTGCGCCATCCCTTCACTCCGAATCACCTAGCACCTCCACTGATCACCAAATTGATCACCGAACCTCTGTTGATACCTCGATTGGCTTGAGCAATACCCAAACACCCACCATGCAGGTTTCTCATGAGACAGGGCACCAGAACCCTGAACCTTCTTACAAAGGTATGATTTGGATAAGTTTGATTTCTTCACATTCGGTCACCTATAGTTTGTTTGCAAATTTCAAAATGTGCTAACAGCTGCTTCTAGCAAAAAATCTTCATGTCAATGACCTGCTCTCCCTAAGAGGAATTGCCCCTCCTCCCCCTCACCCTATCACAAGCCTCCCCGCTGGCCGACTCGAAGAAATCCAAGCTGTGTTCCTCGCCACATATGCACCTGCTATTGATAAGCTCCTGGAAGTTCGATGGTACTCCGACAAGGCACTCTCAGTTTTGATGGCGGATAATCAGCTCATGGCAGATTATTCTGCGTTGATTAATGCGTTCAATGACTGGAACCTCAGCGATGGCAACACTCTGGCTCGTCTGGAGAGCTTTGAAGCGTCTATTATTTGGAGGAGTATGTTATTGTGTCGTCAAGCACAAACACAGCTTCCAGAAAATGGACAATTTGGACAGGATTGGAATTTGACTGCTGCGGCCGCTCGTTTGACCGCTGTTGAAGCTCTTCTGAGCTGGAACCATCTGGATCATAACTCTTTATCTCGTGCGATGGGCATGGAGGCTGCCAACCCACCTAATCAACCCGATCAATTCCTGGCTCGGCAGATAGATTTCTGGGGTGAGATTGGTTCATTCCTCACAATGCACGATAACGAAGCGAGCTCGGCAAAAGAAATTGATGACACTCTCGGACGCTGTCGCCAATTACTTGATACATATGAAAACCGTGATATCATCTATTCCATCGCCATTGCGCGACACTTGGGACAACGATGGACGGATTTCCCCAATAGCTTACCGAAAGTGGGAGGCACGAATGAGAAAGAGTCCGGCACCAAACTCTTTGTCGCGCAGAAGTTCATTGAGGAAGAGGCTGAGGGCAAGGGTACTACCCAGATCTACAAGCGAATTTGTTGCATGGCAGTTCGCTCGTGGTGGGTTGCTCGCGAGTAATTGATCACACTTGATACGAAGATCCTCTCTGCTTTGTCTGGTGTAAATGTTGCATTCGTGTTTCCTGTTTTGGCGACATGTGTGCTTAGTTTCACAGACTACCACTTGTGCTCCATATTCCCAAATAGCATCATGGCTCAGGCGTTTAGTGACCTTGATAGGCGCTACTTGTATTTTTTGGTTCCTTGTTTTCTTTCTCTTGATTTGCTTTTTTTTAAACTTCAAATGGGGTTCGGGGGACCGGGCAGCGAGCGAGTGAAGCAATATGGCGTTTGTGGCCTTTTCTTTCCCCCCGGACGAAGTCTCTACCTTGTTTCTTGTGCATATGTCGCTTCCCATAGTCCAGGCGTTTCCATACCCTGCGCGTCCCAACTGTATGCAGTTGGATGATTTACGTTGATCAGTCGATAGTCCAAAATATCCAAACAAATGAACTCTCTTCAGATATGATTATTTTCTAAGCTTATTTTTATGGCGTCTGGGAATTTACAATGCTATGGCCAGTGTAGAGATGCATGAACTCGGAGTATTAGTGAGATACTTGGAGACGGGGCTAGTAGTATTATGCAAACTTGAACCTTTATGTCCTTTTCTTCAACTATTTGCGTCATCTGTCTCAGGCTTGATATGTTTGTTGTCACATTCAAGTTCCATTTGTTGACCGCGGGAATCTTTTTCATTGAAGGTCCGATACAACAGCCCTGGAGATAATGCCACAATTAACTATAGAAAGCTCGACCCGGTTACACCGTTAAAAGAGCGGATATTCTACGACTTAATTGTTAGTATAGACTCTTGCAAAGCTTCGGGACATAGTTAGAACAAAACTAACCTTCGAATGCCCTCCCTCAGGGTTTCTTCGCTCACGCAAAACACAAGTCGAAACCACCCTGCTTCCGGGGCATGATATTGCTCACCAGTGGACATAATGACGCCTCCCATCTCCAAGCGCCGAGAGAGCAGTCTCTCAGCAGCCCATCCATCCCCCTGAGCAGTTTCAATCCGAAGATGTGCACTCAAATCAATCCACATGAACAAGCCTGCGTTTCTGTTGCAGTTTTTGAGGTTAGATTACCGAATGACTTGAAAATTGGAAATGGGACATCTTTCTCATACCCTTTGTCGTGGAAGCCGATGCCGGCCTGTCTTAGAAGTTCTTCTGCTAACAAGCGGTTCTGAAGGAGAAGGGTGTGGGATTTCTGTAAGAACTTTCCAATAAACTCCTGATCCTCCAACATTTTTGCTGCCAGGCTCATAGAAAATTGAGACGGAGAGGAAAAGCGGCTAAAATATGATATTTAATTAGCTTCCTATGGCTCTCCAGTGCTTGTCCAGATATCCATCTCACCAAAGCGCTCGTATCGCGTTATTAAATTCATCATTTTGCGAGACCATGCAGCCCAATCGCATTCCACCTGCGCCAAAATCCTGTTTAAAGTCAGTACCATGGATCTTTTCGGTTTCAGAGCTCCCTTGGATCTACCTTTGACATCCCATAAAGAACATGAACCTGATCTGGGTCGATCAGACCATTGAAATCAATTGAGCGAACAGATGTAAATGTTTCAGACGGCCTGTCGTATCGCGTGTAGACCGATAGCGCATAAATTTCGTCGCTGACTAGATGAATACCTTTTGACGCACATAGACGAAGAAGCCCGACTAAAGTTTCCCTAGGGTAGCAGCGTCCAAGAGGATTGTGCGGGTTGCATATGATTAATGCTTTGATGGATCTTCCTCTCGCTTTCGCAGCTTCAAATCCGGCCTCGATAGCAGCGACGCTTTCAGGCAAGAATTGGTCTTTGTCTCCAACGTGTATGTATTCTAGGTGTACGCTTGGAAGAATACTGATCAGTCTCAGGCTGTCGGGAAACATTCATTGGATCCTGCTTACCTAGTCCTGGTGGTGAGATCTCGATGAAAGGCCCCATACACTGGGCCAACTAATAGGATAGAGTCATTGGGGTTACATAAGAGAAAAGCGCATAGTTCATTCAGGCTTGTCACTCCAGACGCAAAGTTCACCTCCTCTGCATCAATCCGTGTGAATGGATTGAAGTGAGCGTTGAGGTGCTTCGCCATCGCTGATCGCAGTCTTAGAGTCCCCGTGTAGCCTTCACCATAGGCACAGCACTGCCTGTCAAAGCTCTTTGAATAGTTAGTCATAGCCAGCTGAGCTGACTTTTCTTTTTCTTTTTTTATGTACCTTTTCGTTCAAATACTCCGACAGATCATCATGCATCAGCCACTTTGGTTATCAGCAGTGTCCTCATTCCCAAGACAGATTGCAAAAAGTTACATTTTCAGCATTTGCAAAGCTGACAATCCCATTGGGATTGGTGGACGAGTTGTAAACATCTTGTTCGCCATGGGCAAAGTCGATCTTCCCCCAGGTTGAACCCCTTGTGGACAACATGCCTTGCGATCCTGTCCCAAAAGGATTCCTTAGGAAACCGTCTTCCGGGGCTTCAATTTTGGTATGTGAAAATACAGTAGAAAATTACTTTGAATAAAGAAATGATGAAGTGGGGTTGAAGCGGGGATGGATCATGACGGAATTGATCAGGGAGTCCGAAATGGAGTCCAGACGGAATTTAGATTCAGCTAGCCACATCTGGAAGTATGATCGGGACCTTTTTGTTCGTTTCGGATCTAGCTTGTCACATTGTAATAGCGATAGGGCTCCGCCTGGGCAGTATGATCTGTCTAGATCTTAGTACCTATGACGCCAGGACCGGAGTAGCGCTAGCCAACTTCAGCCCTTCCACTTTATCACCAGGGATATATGGGCTTTCTGTTTCTGAAACCTCAACCCGAACCTTCGCTTCGCCTGTCACACCCTGAAACAAGAATCCGATATCCCTCGTCGAGTCCACCAATTCAACTTCCCGGCGCACAAAACGGCTCGAATTCTCCTGCGTCGATGATTCAACAGGAGACTCTTGCTGCGGCATCTCATCCTCACTATCCTCTGCCCAGTCTTCCTCGTCAACGGTTGCCTTAGCCACTGGATCCCACTCATCTGTTTCCCAAACCAGTTTGAAACTGTATGGAGGGAGTGTAAAGAGTCGCGAGACCAGCGCCTTCACTTGGTATGTGTTGAACGAATTTGGAATTTCCTTAACAGATAATTGGTGCTGAGAATGAGGATTGCTGGACCCTGGTCGGTGTAGGTAAAATGCCATTTTGACAAGCCGGGCAGCAACAGAGTGAGGGTGAATGATTCTAGTACCGGAGCCGTCGGATTGAATCGCTCTTGTAACTCTCGGTTCGCCATATAGATCACATAGCTCTGAATACCGAGGGTGATTAACGAGAATAGAACTTTCTTCTTCTTCAGAGGTAGCGGAAAGTTCCTTGCCAATTAAAGAGAGGTAGTACATCTCTGCATTGGAACGATCTTGCGGCGAGATTGTGCTGTAGTTGAGAGTGCGGAGAGTTGAAGGAAAGCGAGATAGTGTCAGCATAAAAGCCTCGTCTACGGTCATAGGCTTGGAAGCACCCAGCGTAGATGTGGCGGCTGCAATTGATGGTGAAAGAGGAGGTTGATCGTAGAGTGCATTGCCTGATATCCGAAGGGACTTGATGCCTGGAAAGAGAGTTGCGAGGTGATTGAGGAATTTCCAGGATGTGATGTTGTTTCGAGAGACGTCAAGAGAGTAAAGAGCTTCTGGGAAATGGAAATCGGGGGTCGTATCGTTTGAGCCGTCCAGAATAGCACTGATATTGTTTGCTCGCAACGATAAGTGACTGAGATTGGGAAGTTTGGCCAAACTACGTAGCGATGATATTGATTCAATGTCATTGTTTTCCAAGATCAGTGAGGTGATGGAGTCTGGTAGTTGACATGTCGTGGACGTTAATTGGTTGCCCGATAATATCAGATTCGTGAGTGCTGGGAATCTGGATGCCACAGCAGCGATCTGCAAGTTCCGATGTTAGCATGTATTGGCTTGAAGCAATCAGATCCTCAAAAGAGATGCATACTTCCTCCCATGTGAGAAGGGTCTCCTCTAAGTGCAATTCAGTGATTCCGTTGAATACCAGGCCCTCTTCCAGGGGCTGGAATCGATTTCCACTATGGCAACGTCAGAATTTACGAACAAGGTCATAATTATTTAGCACAAGTTCTGTTGGGACTCACTTCACTCGCAACCTTTTCAGTTGCTTCAGCTGGTTGCAAATTTCCCATACATCACGCCATGAGTTCAACAGACTGCGGCTGAGGTCTAATTCGATAATCTTTGGGCAGGTTTCAGCAATCTTGGGGGCCGCCTCCCGAACAGAACTTATTGGCTGCTCAAAGGACGAAAGAACACCAGCAATGCGTAACCCATCCAGTAGAACAATTCGCAGCTCTTCGAGTTCCGCAAGCTGCTTACGGATCTTGTCGAATCCAACTTCTTCGACTACTTTACCACTGATTTCGATAGCTTTTGGATTTGAACCAGTGCTGGAATTTCCATCTTTTATCTTCCGCTCCTCAAATTCAGATGCATATTTCTCATGCAAAGCTTCCAGGAAACTCCGTGGTAGCTCAGATGGCCTGGATGGGCGGACAAAAGACCCCGCCGTGGGGTGGTTGTTCTTGCCTGAGTAGTGTCAGCGCCAATGTACAGACAGAATTATATCGGGGTATTCGCTTCTTACATGTGAAATAGCGAACCCCCTTATGCTCTCCTGCATGTTTGCCTCGAGATGGGTCGTCCCACTCGACACCTAACCAGTCGCCCGTGGTGCCTTGCACGCTGCCCACATAACGTATTGTGCATAGGTGGCCGTCAAAGGACCGGCGTTGGCCAATTTTTGCGGCACTCATGATGAGACGGTTACTGACGTGACAGAGGCTCAATTTCTGATCTGATCAATAAGAAGTATACACTCTGAAATAACTTCGAAGTTCATGCGATTTGAGTCTCAGGAAATATACCTGCTTACATAACACACCCAATTCTGCCCATCTCTGCCGTTATCTCCAACACGCAGATTTCCTACATCATCTTTCTCGACGACGACATCACAATGGATTACCAGGTGTGTTGGTTGACGAACCCATTTATCTTCTGATTAGTTTCCTTCATTTAATATCTAACACGTCTCAGAACCGCGCAGGATCCAAATTCGGTGGTGGTGGTGTTGCTGACCGCTCCGCAACCAATGCGGACCGTCGCGAGCGTCTGCGCAAGCTTGCCCTCGAGTCAATCGACCTTGACAAGGACCCCTATTTCTTCAAGAACCACGTTGGAAGCTTTGAGTGTCGTCTCTGTCTCACAGTCCACCAAAATGACGGTTCATACCTCGCCCACACCCAGGGCAAGAAGCATCAAACCAACCTCGCCCGACGTGCCGCGCGCGAACAACGCGAAGGAAAGAATCAAGATCCCTCATCTCTTCCCGGTGCTATGGGAGTGCAAGTGAAGAAACAGACTATCAAAATTGGACGACCTGGTTACAAGATTACAAAGATTCGAGACCCCTTGACCCGCCAAACGGGCCTGTTGTTTCAATTACAATATCAGGAGATTACCCCCGGCGTGGCCCCAAGAGTACGCTTCATGTCTGCTTTTGAGCAGAAGGTCGACGACCCAGATAAGAACTTCCAGTACCTCATTGTGGCTGCAGAGCCATATCAGTCCTGTGGATTCAAGCTCCAGGCGAAGGAAGTCGATCGACGCGAGGGACGGTATTGGACCTGGTTTGATGAGGATAGCAAGGAGTTTTGGGTACAGATCATGTTCAAGACTGAACGTGAGGAGAGATTTAGTGGTGTTCCCGGATTGGCACCTATGCGGACATGAAATTTTTGAGATCAATCGTGGTATCCTGCTACAAAAGACGAGGACGGTTTTCTATGGCAAGGACTGGAGCTAGGCGTTTCTGGGTGCTATTACAACAAGCTTCCTTTTTATGTACACTTTCATCGCAAGCATAATCAAAATGATATCCTCGTGGCTTGGTGGCTTATTGATTATATGGCTATCAATCTAATTACACTTCCATCCTTTAGTATGATACACACATCTGCTCCGTACTCGAATGTTGCCTTGGAATGTTGTCAATATTCGAAAACCCAACAATTCATTACAAACAAAATTTGACACAACAGTACAGCGCTAACTCAAAGGGGAACCAAATCTCCCATCATCAGGGCGCCGAAACCTGTCAGAGGTCGCCTCACCCAATCTACAGCGTCTGAATTCCTTCCAACCTCAGCAACTTCCTCTACAATTTGCCACTTTCCTGTGGCTTCATTTTTGTCCTGATATCGAAACACAACGCGATTGCCACCTTCAGAGACGTACTCACGATGCCATAGTCTTCGCCACTGCTCCGTGGATGTTCCCTCGACTGCGTTTATACGTTCTACAGTCTGGCTCTTGAGGGCCAAAGTATAGAGAGCCTGTATACTCCAGAGTCCATCTTGGCATGCATACTCTCTCAACATTTGCACGGCTTCATCTCGTGTTATGGGGTCGCGACAGAAGAAGGCCAGGAGAAGCAGGTGCCAGGCGATTCCGCACTCTAAAGAAATTTGGCAGGCAGGGTTTGAAGCGTTTTGCTTTGCTATCCGCAAAGCAACCCTAGCTGAGGGACAAATATTCACGAAACAAAAAGGTTTGCGAGTGAAGAGCCTCGGCACTGAAGTATTGCGGGGGATTTTCGAAGACATAAACAAAAGCACACTCTGTTAGTTTTTAGAGAATTATGGTAATACCCTGCCGTATACCTCCAGGGCTCAGACTCGAAGTCACATATTTTTTTTTAATCCGGGCTGCGAAGAATGCAAGCCCCTGCTCAGCGTGATGAAATGAATATTGAGAAAATAACAGAGGACTCCACCTCGCATCTGGCTATCGCATAAATTGTCATTTTCGCCGAAGTTGGAGTATCTGTAAATGAGGCAAAATGGGTCAGTGAGATTGCTGATCCATAGAAGATCGAGGGTGAATATGTACCTCCAAACCCGAACACACATATCTCCACCACCAGTTGCAAAAAGATTGCTGGCCGCTCCAGAGGGAACAGCGATGACTATTTGCGTGGCAAGCAGTTAGTAGCAGACTACAACTCACAGAAAGAATGGAGGGGTTCAGATACTTACTGGAGTTCTGGTGACCATACAATATCATCTGGACATTTCCAGTTGCCAGGTCCCAAAAACACACGCTGCAGTCCACTGATTATCCATTGATTATCGGGAGTCAAGCATATGCTGAGGACAATGTCCTATAAGAAAAATGCAAAAAATTTAGTGGTCGAGCAGAAGAAACAGGTTTCAAATATCCTTCAGAAATGAGAAGGAAGAAAAGAAAGAATACCAACCTCGTGGCCCTTGAATGTTCGGACGCATTTTCCCTTGGCACTATAAGAATCCACTCCCCGTGGAGCAGCTAACTCCCACAGCTTTATAGTCTTATCTAGACTACCGCTGACTAGATCGTGACTGTTATGTGCGAAAGCAACTGAGTACACGCTGTCTCCATGGCCACCAGGGTTCTCCAATTGCTCTAACAGCTCACCAGTACTAGTATCCCAGATGCGAATAATCTTACTCAGTGATCCAGCAGCAAGATAGTGGCCGTCTGGAGATATAGATACAGTTGTAACTAAATCCTCACTGTGAAGCTTATGAACTGGTTTCTCACTCAAGATATCCCATAGATAAACAGTCTTATCGGCACCACCAGAGACAAGATACTGACCGTTTTTAGAGATATCCAGAGAAAAGATACCCTGCTCGTGGCTATCAAAAATACTTTTGATAGTACATGAGGCAATATCCCAGATCTTGAAGTTGCCGGGGAAGTTAGCTTGTTGTTCTGCTGCAAATGGGCATTTTCCTTCAAAAGGAATATCATATCCTTTGAAGCCAAATGATAGTATTACTCACTCTAATCAGCCTGTCATCTGCTCCAGTAGCTAGATATTCACCATCATGGCTAAAGCAGACGCTGCGGGAATAACAACCACTGTTCTCATTGAGATCACCTTACTGGAAGGTTGCCACATTTGAGCCTGTGATCATATCGAAGATTTGTGCAAAGCCATTGCCACCTGTCACAAGATATTTGCCATCTTCACTGAACCGAACACAGCTGACCACACTATCGTGTTTGAGATGATAGATAAGGTCCACATCTAGCACACGTTGCACATCGGGATTGAGGACTACATGCCATTCTGTGCCCTCACGCTTCTCCGACAAAAACGGTTCTTGAGCTTCGGGGTTTTCAACCATGATTCAAATGTTTTCTCGGGATGCTCCTGTCAAATGGAGTGCGCAGTAATGCGAAAAGAATGCAGAGATGCAGGGGTAACGACCCTTTTATCCTTCGCCATAGCCCCTCAATGGCTGGAGGGGAGGGGTAAATCGTATCTTCTATGGATCGGAGCAGAATACCTAATCTAGAAACATTTGAATAAGCCTTCGTGTGATTTTGCACATATGCACGCCTTAATTCAAAAGGTACCTCGAATGTGTAACATAAACCAATCGGCTCTCTACCATTTTGATGAGTGGGTCCGATGGGTCCAGTTCATATAAGGCTGAAGATTATATCCCAAACCAGATTTCCGACCTCGGGAATTCTCTAGAGCTGCAATCGTTCGTTGAGCTTTAATGCAGTTTTGAATAGCCCCGTGAGAATTCATCGGGCCGTCCTAGAGTGTTCTAGTGAATTTTGTCGTCTTCAAGACAGAATCGCGAAGCTTCAAGATGAGATGGCCCGTGCTGTAGACCGGACAGCGCAGTTACAGAGCGATTTAGCCCGGGCGAGAACCTTGGAAAGTGCATTGCGGAGAGTCGGGTACTATGCATCTCGCTGGCGATATCGCTGACGAATTCTTTTAAGTGGATCCCTTGGCAGTTTTCCACAAAAAATATTGCCAATTCTGCCTTCTATGTCCTGTCGTAAATCATTCGGCCAAGAACCCTTCATGACCAACGGTGGGACCTGTGGTACAAAGTCACCTTCGCGCGTCAATAATCCACCCTGCTTAAACTGCCGAATTTTACGGAAACGCATGCACCCCACGTAGTCTCGTTCCCCGATCAGATACGCTTCTAGGAACCAAGGGCACAAGTATTGTAGTCTGAAAGGGTACCAATCGCCAATGATTATATGGATTGAGATGAGGTTTGTTGAGATCTCGTCAAGAGACTGAACAAGCTCCTGACAAGTGTTTTCGTTGGCGTTTGGGTAGGGCCAGGACTCATGATGGTGGCGATTGAGGTCTGATAAGTTGAGTTCCAAATGTTGAATATGGGGTTGTAGGACAATGTTGGCGAGCAGATCATATGGCTATGTTGGGGTTAGCGATTTCATGTCATTGGGTTTTAAGAAATGATCGGATTACTCGCCAATTCCTCGCCAGGTGCCCAGTCAACATTAAGGCCAAGGGAGTGAAGATTCGGGAACTGGTTGAACAAACCGTCGAAGTCGTGAATGCTGGCTTGGAAGGGAGGGTCTCCTCCAAAGGAGGTTCTTATGCCATGATTGGAGTTGAGTTGACATCGGAAACGTAGGTGAATCAAAGATCTAGAGTGATGTTCCGCCAATACTGCCAGAGTATCTTGTGGAAACCCGTACCCAAGGAACATTTTCAAAGGTGGGAGCTCTTTCAGAAAAGCGTGGAACTGGGTTATCAATTCAATACGAGCGGGCTTGTCTCTATATGGATTTGGTAGGCTCATCTCCAGAGCTTCGAGGGCATGGAAGCAGCCCTTGGCAGTGATTTTTGGTAGCAGGTGAGTCCAATAGACTCTGATCAAAGACATATGTTTGATATTTTGCCATTGTAGATTTTTTGCCCACAAAGCGCTCTGTATAGGCCCGAATCTCATACTGCGAAAGTGCAGGTTTTTGACTTGAGGAAGAATATCACCCTCTTTCAACGTAATCAGGCCCCTATGACTCATCCTGGCTTCAGCTTCTTTCCGCTTGAGGTCAGAGGAGATGTCTCTTAAGCGCATTCTAAAATTTCCCCTGCTAATCAATGTGAGATTTTCGAGGTTCTTACAACGAATTATAACATCTTTCAATTGAGCTGGATAACTCGCTGCTGAGTTTGGTTTAATCGGCCCGTCATACTCTGCATCGCACCATTCTGCTTCGATTGAACGAATGCAGGAGACCTGCGGTGATGACGTATGCTTCTGGTTGATTCTCTCACACAGTGCAGCTTTGGAGCTAGCTATATGGACCCTTGCCTGGGGGCAGTATCTATAAAGCTTGTACAGGATCTCACCAGGCATGTATTTACTATGCCACCACCTAGGGCGAATCAGTACTAGTTCCGAGTGAAAGTGATAACAACAGAAACTTACCAAACATCTTGAAGATTCTCAGCCATCTTAAACAAGTGGTACAAGCATTCCGTAAATGCCTGAGGGAAATGAGTCAAACTAAAGTGTCGGGAGCGGCGATGAGGGTTTACCACGATAATGGTCCTCACGTGTATGCAGAGATAAGTGGGATGGATGCGTCCTTTCCATATAGGATCAAACCGATATCCCTCACACTCTAGATAGAGCGTCTTGAAGAGTATTGGGGCTGCTAATCTGTACATATCAGAGCCGCAGAGCACCACAGACTTGAGAGAAGAGTTATCGGCACAATCCAGCTGGATTGGGTTGTTAGTATAAAAATATTGTTAACAGAAAATTTCATTTTGAAAAGACGTACCATATTCAAGATGCAATACCAGATCTCCGAGGGTAGGCCCCCCGTCAGTTGTCTGGATGATTTCATGGCTAACTCCATCGTGTCAATAAAATTTCCGGGCTGCGAATTAACACAGCAAAGGTAGAAAGACTCACATGTCTTACTCCCGCATGAGGGCGTATTTCATTTCCCAGGGAATAATTTAAGTGGAGATCGGGGGGGATCCGAAATGGAAAGAAAAAAACAATTGGAATCATTTTTCTTTTCATTTTGCAGTTTTCAATGGGTCTCGGGTACTTGAGAGATTGGGAAACTACGGTTAGAAATGAGTCATCGACTGCCCTAAATTCTCCCATAACACTCTGGACTCTGGAGCATATTTCATTTCTTCGTTTCTTCAGACTACATGTAGTTTCTCGGTGATGCTATATCGGGCTCACCGCCTTTGACCTTGACCGCCCACCACCCAATTGTGGGGAATAACTCTAAGTGAGCAGCTCTTGTTCCTCCTCCTCTCTTGATCTTTAAGTGAAAAGCCCACCTGACCCTCCACGCTATGAAACTTCAGCCTCACTACTCTTGTGCTTTTCTTTGCCTCGTCGCCTTTTCCACCATACCTATTCGTACTTGAGTCCTATTCGCACTTGAGTTGCCTCATTCGGGCCCTGCCTGACTCCTCCAGCTGATGATGGTTCCCAAATCACCAAGCCCAGACGATTCCGCCTGGCACTTTTCTGACGCGCTGGACCGATTAAATACACCGACCCATCTAAATGGTGGCCACCTCATCGATCTCAAATTCTCAGGGCCCATATCTACCTCAGCTTTTCGGGCCAAAGCCAGTCTGGGCAACTCAAGCACCGCTCCAAAGGCCAGTCTAAGTCATGAAAGTTGCAAGATGTGTGATTCCGGTCCGGAATGGCAGGTCTCACGCTCTAATCTGCATGGGTTGGTGCAGCTTTCCAAAAAGAAGACTAGTCTAGACAACATTCGATCGCCACCATTGTGTCAAGGTCATCAGTCGTACAATGACAACTCGAATTCAGTTAAACGGCAGACCTCCCAGGAACCCCCATTCACTCAAGGCTCTGTGCAAGGACCGCCCTTATCGAAGTCAAAAACCGCTCTCGTTCCATCCCCAACTTTTCATGCCACCATAGCCCCTGATTCGGGCATTTCTACGTTCTTGCCTCCACCCACAGCAACAGTTACACTCTTGAAACGACCATTGAAAGATATGGATCAAGAAATTAATCTGAATGCTCATATGCATGGCCCACCTACCATGAACCTGCAGTCCTTGGGGATCATCGCCCCATCCAACAATCTCGATAAGAAGAAGCCTACAAGCAAGAAGGAGCAAAAGACTTCTGAGCGTAGCTCACAATTCGAGTCTGACGAGAGTGATACTCTCGTCGATCCTAACCTGTTACCGAGATCACGCGCTATGGAATTCGTCCCATTGCAAGTGGGGATGGTTGGCGAACAAAACAAAGATTACGGCACATCAACCTCTTACAAAGATAGGAACAAATTGGCATCGTCAGTTCATGTCGAAAACATCGGCCAGAATAAACGACTAGCCAATGATTCTAATTCTAAAGCGGTTTCAGATCGACGTCTTCTGCTCATAATCAGACTTATCCAAATATTTCCCGATTATGCTCTGCGCGTCTCCGAGTTGGGGCAACCTCAACGTTGCCACTTCAAACCCCCTCCAATACTAGACACCATTCATGTCTTTGTGGATATGTCGAATATTTTATTTGGGCTCCACGAATCGGTCCAAGGAAAGGGAGATCATCCTCCCAACGCCAAGGCCAACGATATTGATATGTCATTTGCCAACTTTGCTTTGATTATCGAACGCGGCCGGCTCGCGGCGAAAAGAGTCCTGGCCGGATCAGATCATTTGCCTGCCACGAAAGATGCCGAAAACCTTGGGTACGAAGTCAATATCCTAAATCGTGTTCGCAAGGGACGTTATCAGATTAAGCCTGAAATAGCTTCATCTGGCCAGCGCTGGGTAGAGCAGGGTGTGGACGAAATTCTACATCTCAAGATGCTCGAAAGTATCCTTGATTCGGAGGAACCTGCAACAATGGTACTGGCATCTGGAGACGCGGCGAAAGCTGAATACTCCGATGGTTTTTTGACCATGCTGAAGCGAGCGCTACAGCGCGGCTGGAACGTCGAGCTGGTTAGCTTTCGCAAAGCCCTTGGCTCTGCATACAAGAACAAGGACTTCCGTGCCATGTGGCGACCTCGTTTTGAGATATTGCTGTTGGACGAATTCGTACATTCTCTTTACGAAGGATACTTGCCGACTGCAAACCTTTATTAATGACAGTCGAATTCAGCGATATCACTTGGGTATTTTCCCTGATTCCGCTTCGCACTGTCGATGGAATCCCTCTATCTACGTCTTGAACACAATATGTGGATACATCAACAACTTCTGGACATTTACGAGACACATGAACAATAATGAATCACGAAAGTATCTGATCTCCCTTATTGTTTATCAGGTGGGAAATCTTCCCAACTGCCTAGAACTCTATACTTCATCAATCACTAGACACAAATTTAACAAAACAATAAGCACGTGATGACATGACCCGACGTCATATTAAAGTCGCCACATGCCAGGTCTTGGCATAGCGACGTCATCTGCCAGACATTTGACAGTGTACTACAAGACGCTAATTGGCAGCTCATAATCCACAAATTCAAGCTTGTCTTAATCCTGGGGCTCTGGTTCTGGGCCAAGGTACATTCCATCATAAATTGGCCTGTGATTCCAGGATTGCAAACGGATGGACGACGTCATTTTGTTTGTACAGCGTCATGGAATTAAGTCGTGATGGCAAGCGGATTATCTATTTAAAGGTCCTTTTGCTCATCAATTTTCCTGAATCTTTAACACTACCTGCTAAATATTTTACAATACCATTTGAAGTTCGTTAAAACTATTATCAACCAACATGTCTGACACCGGTCGCAAGGACTTTACTACCAGTATGTGATCCTGCGGATCCCAGTCCATTCTATCGTCGCTAGTTCATACCGCTAATCTGTTCTCACTTCCTATAGAGGCTAAGGAGGAGCTCACTCCTGATGCCACCAAGTCTACCCAAGACAAGGTCAAGGAAACTGTCACCGACACTGGCGACCGTCTTGCTCGTGGTCTCCAGACCGACGACAGCAAGGGCGGTACTCAGGAGGCATTTGACAAGACTCAGCGTGCCCATGACAACAACAATGGCGGTGCTACTAGCTCCATGTAAGATGGTATCCTCGAAGGTCTTTTTATATTGAACATGCATGCTAATATTTCTTTCTTGATAGTGGTGACAAGGTCAAGAACGCCCTTGGCTTGAACAACTAGACTGCCTACCAGGTGTTGTATACACTCCCTGGATGTTTTTGGAGTTATGAGGATACAACATTCTCAGACCCCGTTATGAGTCCATGATACCACTTGAAATTTTAGTTAATTACAAATCAATTTACATCCACAGCTCTATGTGATGTTTTTATAAGATCTTGACCTTGCGAATTCATATTGTAGACTGAATCTCTTCAACATCCCATTCAGTAGTAGAACGGACCTTTCTCGCGCATGCATTGGAGCTGCTGCATCATCATGTGAGATTTTCCCTGGAAAAATCATACACACTCAACTGTTTTAGGTCCATGTCTCCAGCTGTGTTATGTACTTCAAGTTGCGATTGGGGGTTTTCAGTTCATGCTACACAGGACTAAGTCTTAGCCAAATTTGTTCAAGCTATATGAATAGTAGCAACTATGATAGCCTTCGAATGTTCAAGATTAGCTTGAAGTCAACTATGATTCACGCAGGGGGAGCAACTATGAGTTCTCTACCAAACTACCGAACATAGCATCTCTCTGCCGTTTAAGGCACCCGAGTTCGCGTTCCAGTTCCCTGTACCGAGTCCGCGCACCAGCGACATCTGTAGGTAGATCATGGAATGCTCTCACGCGTCCTTCAAGTGACTTAGTGAGTTCCTGTAATCGGATGACAGCCTCTTCTTCAACCATGAGTTGCTCGATTGTAGGTCCCTGAGGCCGATTTCTTTCCAATGAAGCTATGCGATCTTGGTATTCCCCAACTTTTGCAGACAAGGTCTTGGTGCCTCGCGTCCACTCCGACGTCAAAACCTGAGTATCCGGGGGAACATCATAAATTTTATCTGATTTGAGCTCTTCCAGATCGGCCTGGAGCTGGGATAGCTCTTTCTGCAGGTATTGATGCAGCGTCTCCACTTTAGCCATCTGGCCTTTCATATCGAAGTCCTCCACTGTCAGCTCCGCGATGGATTGACTCAAATCCTCTGGCTCTGGATTCAGAGTATTACCCAATACGACAGCAGATTCAGCCAGATCTTCAAGATCACGTCGTCCTTTGTCATCCAGACACATTTCCACTTCATCTAGGATCTCGTTCTTTTGTCGTTCATGTGGGTCTTTGCGATCTGCTTCTTCTTGGGCCTTGAAGGCTTCCATAGCTTCTTCTCGAGCGCGGTGTTGTATATTTGCTTCTTCGTCTGCAGCATCATTGGCTGCGGCCAGTGTCAGGAGGACTCGAAGTGTATCGACATTCCGTTCAAACTGTGGGACCGGTTTGGGCGCGTACTGGCGGGTGAGCCAGGAATTGACATATGCCCAGTCTTTTGCTTGGATTGCAGCTTGCCGAGCCTTTGTGGGGGAGGCAAGGGAGGTCTCAAAGGAGTCCATTTTATTCAATTAAGAGTAAAACAAAAACTTTTTGGGGATAATCAGGATATCGAAAATTGAGGAGACAGCTGTGTTGATATGCACGATAAGAGATACGGCCAAAGGCGGTGTACGTAGATAAAGGCGGTCTGCACAACACTGTCCTTTTCCCCGCTGGTACAATACTAACGATCAGGGGAGCTAACCTTGGATGCTGAGCGTCAGCTTTACAAATTCAATATGACGAGTTATTTCGCTGGGTCGTCCAACGGCCAAAAGGCCACATCCCCTCTGTCTCCTCCGATCCAGCGCTCTAGCGCATTGTCGAATCGATTAACCTCCGTTCTGTCCGCATCCTACGCCGACTCCGATATTCGTGATGCGCTCGAGACCTTGAGCATTCGAGGGGTCCACAACAGCGCTGAGACAAGGCGACAGCTTCGGCTCGATGTGCAGAAAGAAGTGGTGGATTGCAATGCCGAGATTGTTCGAGATTTTGGGAAGGTAGCAGAGGTAAAACCACTCGTTGCATTGTCATTGAACCAAACTTGAAAGCTAATATCCTTTTTCTTATTCTGCATAGCAATTGAAGCGAATCGGTAGTGTGATAGCAACATTGAACCAAACCTGCGATGAAATGCGAAGACACATTGGCTTAGCCAAACGGGATTCGGCTCCAGTGCTCGAAGAAGCTACTGCGTTGATGTCTCAAAAGAAGGACACGGAAACAAAGCAACAACTTCTTGACGCATTTTCAAACCACTTTCTTATCCCTGAAGAAGATCTTATGGCGTTGAACTCGGCAGAGGAACTGGTGGATGATCGGTTTTTTGATATCCTTGCACGTGTCAAGCAAGTTCATCACGACTGCGAGCTTCTTCTCGGTGGGGAAAACCAGCGATTGGGTCTTGAGGTCATGGAGCTGAGCACTCGGCACCTCAATTCTGCCTACCAAAAGCTGTATAAGTGGATACAGAAGGAATTCCAGTCTTTGAACCTTGAGGACCCTCGGATTAGTAGTTCTATCCGTCGTGCTTTGCGGGTACTCGCGGAACGCCCTACTCTCTTCCACAGCTGTCTGGATTTCTTTGCTGAGGCGCGTGACTATGTTCTTTCGGACGCATTCCACTACGCTCTAACAGATGCCATATCCGGAGGCAACGCGGCTGCTGCCGCGGGCGATCACACAGTCAAACCCATCGAGTTCTCAGCTCATGACCCGCTCCGGTATATCGGAGATATGCTTGCCTGGGTGCACTCAACAACTGTTTCTGAAAGAGAGGCTCTGGAGGCTCTATTTGTCGCTGATGGAGAGGAACTCGCTCGTGGAATTCAGGCTGGCTTGAATAGCGAGCCGTGGTCTAGAATTGATGAGGAGAGCGAGACTACTTTTGATGGGCGCAAGGCTCTTAGCGATTTGGTAAGCCGAGATCTTACTGGAGTCTCTCGTTCTTTACGACAGAGAGTTGAGCTTGTCATTCAAGGTCACGATGACCCCGTCACGTGCTTCAAGGTCGTCAACTTGCTGTCTTTCTACCGTACAACATTCTCAAAACTGGTTGGCTTTCAGTCTCAGCTAGTAGAGTTGATGCATATATTGGAAAAATTCACTCTTGCTCACTTTGAGAATTTGATGAAGGAACAAGTGAACACCCTATCAGCTGATCAACTCGCCCTTGCGCCTCCATCGGATCTCTCTCCACCGGAGTTCTTATTAGATGCACTTGAAGCGTTGGTCTCACTCATGAAAACGTACGACGGTTCCGTCCGGCCTGATGAGCAGTCCGATTCGGCTACCGAGAACAGCTTTACCCCTGTTATGCGCGCTGCCTTCGATCCTTTCTTGACTCTAGCTCGATCCTCGTCCGAGGAGATTGAGGATACGACTGCGCAGACGATCTATCGCATTAATATTCTCCTGGCATCCCGCGCAGCTATCTCGACATTTAGCTTTGCCAGTGTCACCCACATGTCACGTGTTTCTGGCGCTATATCACAGCTCCGTAACAACCTTCTCGATCTGCAACACGATTTTCTGCTGGATAGATCCGGCTTACAGGACTTGTTGGATGCTCTAGAGCCATTTTCCAAGCAGGGCAAAGACTCTGAGCCAGATGCTGACAATGCTGAGGAGCAGTCAGACCTGCAGAAACCCCAGCTTGCGGACCTAACATCTCTTCCCGCTTTCCAGCCCGCAGCCTTAGTTATATCCAGTCAGCAGCTTGATGAATTTCTTCCATCTGCTCTTATGGACGCTGCTGATCATCTCAAGCGTGTTCAAAGTGCGTCTCTTATTCAAAGCGTTACTGAAGACGCTGTCGAGGCCTTCTGCCACGATTTTGAATTTGTTGAGGGTATGATCATTGCTGCTGATGAGGCGAGGGGAATGACTCAAGTCACTTTGGGTACTGATGGAAGTGTCATCAGTGGGCGTAGTGGTATATCATCACGAAAAAACCCTGCAGATGGTAATGATGATGATGAAGCAAAGGAAGACCAGTGGAGTCTACGTTCCTTATTCCCTCGCACTACTGGGGAGATTCGTGTTCTACTTAGCTGATACTAAACACATACATATACTCCGTACAGCGATACCTTTTGATAGATTTTACATCCAAGGATACATCTGAAGATTGGGATCCTCTACCAGTACATATCACTTTGAGATATAGTAAACTTGCATATCATGATGCAGCAAAGCTCCTCGACTCCAGACCCCAGATCTCTGATGTTTCATGGTCTAGAGAATTGGCTCAGGCTTCCGTTTCTTTTATGACGGATATTGCCGCCTAATTGTATGTCCTAAAAACCCGTGGCCGCAGTAGCAAATTCCATCATCCTTCATCAGCTCCTTATCAGTGGTAAACCAACGCAAACCACAGTCTTACACTTCCCACGTGTCACGACGAGAACACTCAGCTTGAAGTCCATCCGCTTAACTTCATGATCAGTCTTTTTTTCAATGTTGCTGGTCGTCGATCCCACCCTCTTCTGTCTTGGGGCTTGACTTGATTTTCTAAGACATAAATATTCACTTATTATCAGCCTTGCTTCAAGTTTCTAGTCTTGACAACTTTTGCTAATCAATTTTGACTCCCACCAGATCAAATACTAGTACTACTCGCATCCCCCAAGCTCCTCATATCATTTGCATGGATAATTCCCACCATGGACTCTTCATTCACTTTGTTTCCACATCTACCCGCAGAGCTTCGCTTTATGATTTGGGAAGCTTGCATTCCTCATCGAATTGTGCAGTTTCGGTTTCCATGGCGAGAGCATCCTGAAATTAGGCCAGGCGGGACCCCGCCGTGGGGTGGTTCTTTATTCCAGAGAACTCACTGTGGTTTCGAGTGGACTAATATGCAGATTACACAACCACCAATCATCAGCCAGGTCTGTCGGGAGTCTCGCATGATCGTGCTCAAAAGTGGTGGAATGCTCCAGGATGTTTCCGGACAGATTAAGCAATGGATTGATACGCAACACGACAGGATCGCCTGGTGGTGGATCCCAGACTTCTATCAAACCTTTTTCCCAGACATCTATGGGGACCTTTTGTCTTCCTTTGTCTTACATGCTCAACGTACCAATATGGAGCCTGTCATCATGGCCCGCGGGGTTTATCCATTCCGCCCAACAGATCAGGAAACAGACTACCTTACTCTTGCAGATATCGAGATTGGAACGCTTTCTGAGTTAAAAAACTTTTTTCTCTGCATTAAGGCTGTAGTAGTCCACACGGATAGATCACAGGCGACTCAATCTCGACTTTGGGGTGCAACGGGAGAAGAAGTGATAACTAGTTGACCCCCACGACACCACTCAAATCCAAAAGTTCCGACGTGAGATGAATGGAGACGACGAGAAGGAGCTCGAATTTGTTGATTCGGTTCTAAACAAGGAAGAATTTGCTGCGGAGATTGCGGAATGGGAGCTGGGAATAAGGAGCCACTTGCTCTGGGTGGAGTGGAGGAAGGCCTTCCCGCTGGCGATGGTTGACATTGGTAAGAAAAACGGATATCTGGTTGAGTCCTCGCGTTGACCATGATGTTCAGTCTCTGAGAATGCTTTCTCGGGCTCTCTTCATTCAATTTGGCCCCCGTACTTACTACCTGCATCGAATCGTGCCTGATTCGGATCGATACAAGCGGAACATGGAGCACCCATGGGTCAAATCAGCTATGAAGGCAAGTCCGACATTCAAGCCAATTCTCATGTTTCATCAATGTCTGAAAAATTGTCATGTTGATCTCTCCTGCTCAGAGAGAGACTAGATCTGGGACATTCTGCGTATGTGTTTCTAGCTTTTTCAACCTTGGAAATAGTTACCTAGTTCATTATGGCCAATACATGATACTAGAAAAAATCAAATGCGCTCTTACAGTATAATACTCATGTAATACATATTCTAGCATTAACTTTTTAATATATTCCCTAGTAGATATCTACTACTTCTAAGGTTACTATCGAAGCACTAACTTGAAGTAGATAGCTCTATCTTACTACTTACCTAGATATCTATTTTCTACTAATGCCTGGCATATAGGGTATGTATAAAGGGGATACCTGTATTATACTACCCACTGCCAGTGGTAGGTGTCCATGATTTAACCAAGATTCCCACTACTACCTAGGTAGTAGTAGCCAAAAACTTAAGTGCTGATAACATACATACCTTTCCCAATCTTGCTGCCATAGTATTGTGTGAAGCATAGTTTGAGGACTTGTCGTAACCTTGGAATGCACTACATAGTACTATTGCCTAATATCTACTAAGTACATACATAAGCTGGCTCCCGACATCTACCTACATCGTAGGTAGACATATGGTCGGTAAGTTTCCGTTGATATTATCCTTTCCAAGGTTCAAGTTGAAGTTATGCATCTTCCTACTTGGAAACCTATGTACCTAGGTAGTACAGTACATAGTACTCACATGTGCATGACATTTCTACGGCATATCTTAGGCATAGTATGCACACGTGTACTGCCAGTGATAGTCGGTTAAATTTTTATTTGCCTCTTTGACTCCTGTATAAGCTAACACTCTCTGCTGGCTCATTGAAGACTTGGAATAAGATCTTCAGGAGGGTTGCCCAGGTGAATTTGAATTTATAGCCAGATATCGTGCGTGTTAAATGCTATACTGTGACTCGGACCTCCCAATACTAATTAATCATACGTATATCCACAACTCGAAAGCATCACTGGAAAAACATAATCAATGAAATAGCGTACTCTGAAATTCTTAGGCCCCTATTCATGATAAAAACTTCCATAAAGGATTTCATCCAGTACTCTGAGGAATTTCATCCTCACTGGGCCCCTCATTGTACTGATTCGATGTCATGGGCTTGGCGTGGCGAGTTCTGTGGCCTTCGATGATATTTGATTCGTCAATTGCATCATCCTCGTCGCGAGCTAGGCACCCGTATCCATGTTAGTCTCAGTAAAGAACATTAGGTACATGGCTTGGCTTTGAACTGATGGAGTATACATACCCAGACGCTCGTTAGAGTCGGGTTCAATATCACCTTGATCGATGATATCAAGCTCATCATCATCGTCAACGACGATAGGCTCTTGAGTAATCTCATTCTCAGTCATGATTATGATTGAAATTGAATTGCGAGATGGAGCTCTTAATTATATTTAGACTGCTTTGCGATGGGCTTTTTTCATTAATCTGAATGATTGTGCTTGCTGTTAATTTCTAGTCGAATTGGAGGTCGTCTCCTCCAATTTATGCTTGAGCAAAACTTCAACAGTCTCAAGTCACCGTCATTGTTACGATATTTGAGGTATCGATATTAAGTTCTTTAGAGTTTGTTCAAACTTGTTTCTAGTTGGTTTATTGAATCAAGGATGACATTTGTATGAAAGAATTCAGACGTAGGCGGTAAGCGAGTGGCTAGTGTAAGCGAGTGGCCACCCAACCCAATTTGTTTCTACTTTTTAAAGATTATCTCAACCACAACGCCGTTAATTTGTCTAATCTGTAGCTATACACATATTTCGCTTATGCCCTAGCTCGCCACACTTACTACACTTCGGTGGGCGCCGTGCTGCTGGAGTATACGAAGCCTGCTGTGATGCGATCATTGATGGTGTTCTAGCTTCGAAGAACTGGTTATGGGCTTGCTCGCGCTCCTGAGCTTCCTGAACAGATATACCAGCATCATATTCAACCCATCTATTAGCACGAGTACGCTTTTGCCTTTGAATAGCGTTAGCAGCTCGTAGTTGCTTATTCTCTTGCTCAAGTAGTATACCGTTATGCATTGCGATTTGACAGCCTTTGATAAGCTGATTTAATGCAGTATGTGATGGTGACGGTGGGCTATTTGAGTGTTGCTTGAGAAAAGCTTTGATAGAAGATGCTTGTTATAAAAGCTCGTTGATATTTATAGGTGTATGTGGGTAAAAAGTGCTTGATTGGCTACCACGGCTTCTAGGGGGGTGTAGGTGTTTGAAGTTGAATATTAAGCTTAGATAGTACTGATTGAGGATCAAATGGTACTATTCCAGCTGCTTGAAAGCTATTCTTGATTGTGTCTGATTTGAATGTGTTGGTACGAGCTTGTGGATAAGCTGTAAGAAAATCAAATTTATCAATATGGTTGATTCCAGCTCGTACTTTTTGGCTGATTAAATCACCATAGATATGCTTTAATACAGCAAAACACCCAATATCAAGAGGTTAAAGTAGATAACATGAATGTGCTGGCATACAAATTGGTATAATTTGATGATCAGCACAAATTTGATCAAATTGTGGTGTAAGATGACTTCCATGTCCATCAAGAATCAAAAGTCGATATTGTCTATGTATACGACTAGTCGTTAATGGAATAAAGTGTTTTTGAAGCCAACGAAGGCCTATCTCATCACTTGTCTATCCATTTGGACTTACTTCAAAGCGCCAATTAGATGGAAGATCTATAAACCATGCTTGGTTATATTGTTTACCTTTGAAGATAGGTATTAGCGGTAGTACCTATCCAGAAGCATTGATTAACTCAATAGTCACCTATTCACGATTCCCTGGTTGTAAAACTGATCTCCGACCGTAGAATTCTGATCGGGTAATCAGTTTTTGGGTTGCACAAAGACCCATTGCAAAACCAGTCTCATCAAAATTATAGATATCATCAGATAAGATACCATATTTTTGGATAGTAGATTGGACTAGATTAAACCATTCTTGAATTATTTTTGGACCCTCTTGCTATGCTCGTTGGTAGTCATATCGTCGTAAATAACTAGACTTAAGCTCTGGATGGCGCCGAGTAAAGTTATATACCCATTTCTCGCCGACTGTTTGGATAGGGATAGAACCACGCTTAGCAAGTAAAATATTTGCCATTTCTCGTACATGAGCTTGTGTAGGGGCAGCTCCACGTAGATCAAGAGAAAGCATCCGCTGCTTAAGCAATTCCTCTTCAAACTGGGTCAATTTATGACTATTAAGGGTCTAGACCTGGAAATTAAGGTTTAGGCTCGGATCAAAGTGGAGCCTATAATAAACGCGCCAATAAGGTTCGATATTTTTAGTCCACATCGGATTAAAGGCTAAGAAGTTGATCTGGAGCTAAAGCTTGGAATTATTGTCACATGATTTGCAAACTGAAGTTTTATTTATCTTGAAATTGGTAGAAGATAGCCTCTTTTCAGAGCAAATGTTTTCAATATGTCGGTCAATCTCACCACCGAGAACCTGACTTCAGATCTTCTACATCATTCAATATTTTCAAATGTTCGATTCTAGTAATCCCCGACGTCATCTCAAGGGATGTAAACTACTTGATTCAAGTTCTAAGCTCATTAATTTCAAACACTTCCAGACGACCAATTTGATTCCCGATGTCAACTGCCAGTGGTACCGAGTAACTAAGAAATGTTTCAAAAGTTCTTGAGGACTTGAATTGTAAAGATCACTCAAATGTATAGGCATGGATGGAGTGCGTCCACGGGTATGGTCTATGCTATGCTTCAAATCAATTAAGTTTAAAGTATCCAGGCTGTAGCTTTTGAAAGACCTGAGCCGGGTCGTATTTTGCGCTGACAGTTTTTAATCTTGCCAAATTCTTGTGTCCGTAACCGGGGAAGACATTCTGTCCAGCAGAAGCATAGTTCTGGTACACATATTTATTTAGCAGGCCCACAGCAGACGCAGCGGCTTGACAGCCATTGAGTATGTTTTGTGCGGCAGTCATAATCCGATCGTCGTCAGCAATGTTAGACCAAGATATATCAATTTGCACCACTGTTGAGAGGATCAGTACGACATACCCGAGGATACTGAGGGAAACCTACGATTGAGAGGGCCCTGGCCATCCAGTCCAAGGGCATTGCCGCCGTTCTTCGAGAAGTGCGAAATCATGTCAGTGGTGATAGGCTGGAAAACAAGCGACGGGACAATGCCAGCAACAGTCTTGAGCGGCTCGATCTCATCCATGTAGATGGCAACCATGTCGGCCATCAACGTAGCATTGTTCCCAACCATCAGGGTCCAATAAGTCTGTCTTCAATTCTGATTTAGTGAAGGCTTATCGTTGGTGTTCTGAGGGTTAGAAACATACCGGAAACCTCCTGAGTTGGTATTATTGAATTCAATGGTTAAATTGGCTTGATCAACGATGCGGAGAGTACTGGCGATGGCACCCTCGACAGCTGTGAAGTTTTGCAGGATAGGTGGGTTTGCAACTGGTTTCCCATATTGTAAATCCGAGGCTATGATATAAGCATCCGCCGATTGTGCATACGCGTAGGCAATGATGACCTGCGCGTAAGGATCAGATGGAGCGCTAACACCAAGATAATAAAATGCATCGTTGATGGCTGATGCAGTCTCGGAGGTATAGAGGAAGGTTTCCGAACCAGCCCAGAGATCGCTCTGGGGGAAGGTCATGAGGTCGAAACGGGTAACTATTCCGAAATTGTTCCCTCCACCACGGAGCGCCCAGTATAAATCGGAATATGGCGAGGAGAAGCTCACTTCCTGAATGGATCCGTCCGCAAGCACGACCTCGTAGTTATTGACATTGTCGCAGGCCCATCCGTAGCGACCGGAAAAGAATGATATGCCTCCGCCTAGAGTCAGTCCTCCTACACCGATGGCCGAGACTCGTCCGCCGATCACAGTGAGTCCCATGGGCTGAAGCTTGGTGTAGACGTCGTACCAAATATTACCAGCACCAACGGCCGTCTGGGCCCGGTCAGACCGCACGGTAATCTCGTTCAGATTGGCCAAATCAATTGTTATCCCACCTTGAATGTTCGACGCTCCCTCGAAAGCAGCATGGCCACCACTCTTCACGGCAAATTCGCATTGGGCCACCTGGAGGGCCAGGACTGAAAAGGAAATATCTAGCGCAGACTTGGGGGAGAAACGACAGGTCGGCTCCGTCAAGGCTTGCTGCTGCGACCAGTATCCCGACTCCTCGAGGCTGTAGGTGGTGCTGTTCGGATACGAGATCTGCGATGGCAGCGTAAACTCTAGAAAGCCGCACTGCGACGGGTCAGCAGATACGAGCGGCTCAGAGCGGAATAGACTTTCTGACCGCGATCGTGCAGCCGAAGGGCAATTGGCCTCGAGTGCTCAGCGAGCCGTTCTCTGCGAGCTGGAGGTACGAGGAGAACTGAGCCTCAACCTGATCTAAGGTATAGGCAGCGACCTCGACGCCCGGTGCTGCTAGCAACAGGATGCTGAGACTGAGAAGCCGCATCCTGATGTGGAGGGACAGAAAGCAGAGAGGGAATTGAGCAGGACGAAGGATGCACAGTGCGCGGAAGGGTAGTTATGACCATTAATTAATTCCAAATCTTACTCCGAGCGTACTTCGTATTCTGGTACCTGATATTCGCTTATTCCATTTTGGGTATATCCGAGCTATTTGCTCGACGCTTGCTCCTCTGAGTCTCTGACCTGATAGTGCAGTACATTCGGCGATGGCGGGGCGCTTTCCAGGCCCCCTGCACTAGATGGAAGACGGCACGCGCACGGTGTATTCTGCACGTTGGGTCTCCGCTTGTACCCAATAACGCATCGCCTTAGTCTAGTTAGTCTAGCTAAACGGCCCGGCAACTGCGCGATTCCGCTTCTCACCCATTTCTCGCCCTTCCTATTACTCACTCACCCTTCTCACGGTCGCGCGACGCTAACGCAACGCTCACCCACTTCTTAGCCGGGCGACATCCACTGTGATCGCGCCGACATCCTCCACCTAGTTCTGGGTTATCGACTTATTGAAAACAGGGGACGAGAGGATTCCACAGGAGAAGTTTATTTAGCATATACTGTGGGAGAATCTCCCTCGAATTTGACCTGACTTCGGCTTAATTTGTAGCTCGCAGGTAGTTTCAACACCAAAACCTTCCTAGACCACCTGGGCAGTACTGCTTTGCTTTATCGGCTCCGAGTAGAACTTCAAGTTACATCGGCGGTAAGAATACTAGTAGGAAGGTCAAGATCCGAGTCCTTCGCTATATTTAGATACCACAGAAGGTAGCTTATAGGATTATAGACTATCATTACTTTCAAATGTTTAGACTAGAATATACTAGATATCATCATGATGCTAGGAACTCTCAGAGTTATTGAGATTATCATATTGGATTGAAATATACTAGATATACTGAACCAGCAATGGTGTAGTTTCAAGTTCAATGTTCGATTGAATGCAGATGTGTGCCCAAGTTCATGGTGGGGGCATCCATTGATTTAGGCCCAAGGCAGAGTTCACTGGGGTAAGCCGAGTCCCAACTAACCACTCCGAGTCCAACTTGAACCAGGGATACGGGAACGTGCGACACCTTAACTTGATGCCTTCTAACATATACTGCCCTTTCTGCGGAGTCATCCTGCTGCAAGACCTCTATCTTCATGATCCAGCATCTCTACAGACCCGCGTTCCCCCTGGTACGCAGAAGTACGTGGCATCTACTCAACCAATACCGCTTTTGACCATATTGCCATAATGGGCTAGGGATAATACGCTGCCGGAATCTCTACGCCCCACTTGGTAAAGATCTATCCTATGTCGATGTAGGAACTGAGGCGCTGGAGGAATGGAGGCTTTGCGAACCATCTGAAAGCCGTTGGGGCTTTGGTTTCCACAACTCGTGCTGGAGACTGCTTCTCCTCAGACTGGGTCATGGACAGGATGAAAATTTCCAGAATGAGACGGCCATTGCAGAGTCTGTCTTTTACCAGCTCTATTGCACTCCTTTTTTCGAAGCCTCCAGTTTCGGATTTGGCCACGACTACGAGGGCGCTGCGCAAAAACACAAATATTTCGGGCGGCCTAAGCCAGTGGATCTGAGCTCACAATTTTACGCTGACCCCTGTGTGATTACTTCCATGGACTACTTGAATGCAACTAACTTTGGTTTCTGCAAGAAACCTGACAGTTCACTCCGGAAAGTGCAAGATGGTGATCGCCTGACGACTGCGACTGTGGTGGGAATTGACTACCACAATGGAAGAGGAAGCTGTGCCTCTAGTCCCTCTGGGCTCAATGATGACCGGCATCTAATTCCATTTCCTGATAATATGAGAGAAGAAACATGCAAAAAACTGGAAAGACCCAAGCACTTTTTCTTCGATGCACTCTCGCCTGAGCTGAAATATGAGATATTTTCATACTTATCTTTTGATGAGCTACTGAATATGAGACTAGTATGTCAAAATCTAGCTCTACTTATGACCGTCGATAAACTCCCACAGTCCTATTGGCGAAGTAGGTTTCTCCTTGGTCAGGAGGCTGATTTTCTTTTCCCGAGACTTACAGATAAGTGGGATTTGTCTAAGCTTTTTTTGGACCAGGACATCTCTAAGTGCTAGACTTCTGACCTTGGTCAATTGAAAGAGAATTTGGCTGCTGCTGGAACCCATTGCTGCTCTCATAGATCAAAAAGCTGTTTTTCAAGACGGGCCATATGGATCTGCCTTTCACCCAGGGCAAACCCAAGGCAGCTACTGTCAGCTCATCGACGGCGAGAGTACTGGAAAGCCGCCTCGACTCATGGAGATGATTGGCTTTTTCTCCGGCCAGCTAGCCTCTATTGGTGCGGATGGCCCCTTGGATGAAGGATGCCGTGTGGTTTACTATAAAACACGACCATTCATGCAGTTGCGTCAACATCATGGACAGCGAATAGGTATTTCCACTGTCCAATTTGGCGCACGGAGCTTCGCATCAGGAATAAACCTACTTCTGCCAGGGGACCATGTTCATCGTCCAGTCGGATATCACCTTCCAGCTTCCGAGAAGTGGATAGAGATTCCGTCCAGCTCCTATCTGAGAGCTCTTGGCGTGGCATTTTGCTCAGAGGGGCTGACAGGAATTCCATTTCATATTCACAAATTCAGATTCATCGGGCTGGATTGGTGAAAGCAACGGCCCTGGAATTGCTGATGGAATCCTTGGCCTTCAAGAGAAGTTAGATTGGCATTATCTGCTTGTAGGTTTGGATTGTTTCAAGATCGTTTCACTTGGCCTCGGTAAATTGACCAGCCATGCCGGAACTTCTGTGAAGTTTCTCTCTCAGGATGAAATGGATCCATCTTGTGTACAGTCCCATTTGTGGACACCGCATCCCCCAAGGCATGAGTATTTGATAATCAGTACTCTCCTACCATCCCAGCCTCCCCGGGCATTTGAGCCACGGATCAATATTGACTTCGGTGGCTCAAGAGGCCTGCTTCTCGGACCCTTGACAAGGCTCGCATTTTATGTGGCATCCAGTCCTAACCCACTCATTTGAATAGAAATATTCTACTCTGATAGAAAGTCTGATATTTTTGGCTCCAACAGTGGCTGCGAAATCTCTTTTTTTGTCAATGGCTCGAATGTGGAGCGTATCAATCAAGTCGGCATTCTAAAAGACGATCAAAAACACCTCTCAGCAGTTTGCTTAGGCAGCTTACAGGTATTTTCTACACATTCTCTAAGCATTCGTGTGCGGTGCTGATTTTGATCCAGGTCTCAACAAACTATGGACGAAGTGCTACTTTTTCTCCTCTTCACTCTCGACTCTACGCATCTGTTGAACGACTACCGAATTTTCCGCCTGGAAACACCATCACTGGATTTTTTGCTCTTGAAGAAGTATGTAACAATGCCTTAAAACAACCAAACAGCTTCTAATCTAGACCTAGGAAAATCAACACCGTTTTATTCGAGTCGGTATTCAGTCCCAACAATGTGACGAACAACCTATGATACCGGATATTGTGAATCACGAATGCCATCAGATACCCGACGGTCAGCTAAGATACGGCGAAAAGTTCACTCATTTCAAAAACAGTTCGAATCCTGGTAACTATCAGACATATGCATCACTGACGAATGTCCGGAAAATCCAGGCATCCATAGGGATCCAAGGCCGATCCAGATCTCCTGATGGGATCTCTGGTTTGAAGCTCGACTATTATGACCACCCAACTCCCAGTATAGTAGGGCAATAGATGAATGAACTCAATGATGGATTTGAACTCTCCCCCGATGAGAAAGTCCAATCGTTAACTATCTGGCTCACTCCAATGGGTTTCTCTACTGAGTGCCGGGGAATAGAGACAGGTCAGGTCACAGCTATAAATATTAAGATAACATGTTCTCGCAGTGCGACATTTGATTCCGCAGGCTCTCACTCCCTTCCACCCCGAAAGTTGCAACATCAGTACCAGAGTGACCCTGGCGAAGAATTAAGAGCCGTCTAATGGATATTGAATTTCTCTTCCGATTGCGTCCGAGCAGTCGTTTCTAGGAACGGAAGCCGGAAGACACAGATGATCCCTGAAAAACATCCTCATTTTGACCAGGTGTAGAACCTTTACTTTGAGACACAGAATGAAGACGGCTCTACAGATATCATAGTCGCAGCTGAGGCCTATTACCGAGACCGGGCGATCATTGGGCTGACCTTCGTCTATTCGTCAAATAGAAGGGTGAGCATAGGTGACTGCAATGTCACCGCCTGTGAAACAGTCCATTTTTCACGGGACGCTCAGATTGTTGGCTTATCTGTTGCGGTCACAGAGCACAACTTAATGGAAATGGAGTTTGAGTTTGAAATCGAATGGAATGAGCGACCTCGTTACGAAAAGCTAAGACTCTCCATCGCTTTCCCTGACGACTCGGCCAATACTATTGAATATGACTGGCGAGATGTATGGTGCAGAGATGAAACCTCTGCAAGAAGCTACCAACGGCTTTTGGCTCGTGATAGGGTATACAAACCCCCCGAGTGAGTCGAGGATAGTCAAGATTTATGTGGGCTGTCTGGATTTCTCCCTTGTTGGAGCATTATACGCGCCCAAGGTATCCCAAAAGTTATGAAGAGGACTCTCAAGCCATTTCTTGAATTCATTCTGCACATGTGCTTATCCCATTCGGAGACTTATTACCAAGAGCACTTTGTTGTGACCTAATATCGATATCGACATGATATAGATAGCGCGAATGAAGTAGGACGATCACCACCAGTGCCTGGCTACTAATTATTAGCTGTTATCATTCATTAGAGCTCTCCATGTTTGCCTCCGTCACAAATCATGGATTCTCGTTAGCTGTATAGCATGCTTGCTTACTTCGGTCTGTTTTGGAGTAGTGTATTCACTGAGCGTGAACCCCTTGCACATACTAGATCCATAGACCCGAAATTAGCAACTCTATTACGCCGGCAGCAAAACCTCAGCGATTTGAATGATGTCTTGTACATGCCTTTAAACAACCTAAAGGTCCGGGCCGTGAAGATCTTTCTCGTATGGAATGTAGGATTGTTTTACCTCGATACATACTACACATGCACATGTGCAAACCATTGCCTTATTTTAGCTTATGAGCAACCACATTCCACAGTTGGAATTTAGCATAAGGCGCCCTCCGCTGTATGGGACCTGCGCAAGAATTCTTACTAGCATGTAACACAAAAAGAACATGATACAACTCAATTTGCATCAAGCATTGCGAAGGTTGATCAGCAAGCTGCTGGAATATGCATCTAAAATGCAGATATATCGACGCGTCAGGACTCAACTCGAGATCGCCCAATCTTCTGTTCAAGTTCCTTTGTATCGGATTTTCACATTATCTATGCTGTGATAGATATCATGGCGGTCTTATCTCTCTTAATCAGAGTGGCATTTGCCATATCTGCTGTCTCAGCATGTCCATCTTGCGAGGGGGAGGAGGAGTTGTCGGCCTATCCGAGAGTGATGCGTCGCATGCAACCGGAGTCTGTGAACGCGACCGGGCAGCCCAGAGGACCACTCACCTGGGGACAAATCAACTTCATTCATACAAGCGATAGCCATGGATGGCTGGAAGGGCATATCAAGGAACGCAACTATGGTGCTGACTGGGGCGACTTTGTGTCTTTCACAAAACACATGCGAGACAAGGCAGATCAGCAGAACGTCGATCTTCTGTTGATTGATACGGGTATGTCATACCTACGATCAGAGGAATAAAGATTTTCGACGTTAACTTTCTGATTTAATACAGGTGACCTGCACGATGGCAATGGTCTGAGTGATGCAACTTCGCCCAACGGAGAAGTCACGAACCCGATTTTCGAAAACATTGACTACGATATTCTGACGCCCGGTAACCACGAGCTTATTGCCGTCGACGTTGCATACGAGACATTCACCAAGTTTGCCAAGGTCTACGGTGACAAATACTTGACGAGCAACCTGGATATCTGTACGAATTGTGAAAATGGGCAACCTGCCACGAAGGAATGGGCATCGATGGGCAAGAGATCGCGACACTTCACAACAAAACAAGGAATCCGGATTATGGCATTTGGAGTGATACTCGATGGGACGAACAACAACAAAGACATGACCAGAATTCAACCCGCTGCTGAAATGATCAACGAGACTTGGTTCCAAGATGACATCAAGCGCGACGACATTGATCTTTTCGTTCTCATTGGGCATAATCCCGTGAAGCCTGGAATCCTCAAGAGCGAAAGCAGCTTTCCCCTTCTAATGGACACAATCCGCAAAGCACGTCCTAGCATTCCAGTTCAAGGATTTGGAGGCCACACGCACCGCCGAGACTTCCACATTTATGACTCCATGTCCTCCGCCATAGAATCCGGCAAATACTGCGATACCGTAGGATGGATTTCTTTGGATGACATCAAGGCAAAATCGGTAGAGAACATATCTGACATTCCTGAGAACAAAACACCATCCTTGAGTGAAAAGGTCATTTCCGTCTCTGACAACTCGTCTTGTGCAAAGACCAAATCATTCGACATGAAGTTGTCACGTCGCTATCTGGACTGGAATCGAATCACTTTTGCATATCATGCAACAGGATCACAGAACACGTTGAACACAGCTAACGGTCTTAGCGTATTCAACGATATTGCGGACGCTCGCAAGGATCTCAACCTCACTTATGTATATGGATGTGCGCCACAATCTTACTGCATATCATGCAGGCCATTTGGTGATGACGGAAATATCTATACTTTGGTACAAACTGCTGCTGCGGCAACTGTCGTTAATGAAGACCGTGCCGAAAATTCAAGGATGATCATTGTCAACCAGGGCGCGATCCGCTATGACCTAGTTAAGGGTCCTTTTACGTTGGATGACTCTTACATCGTCTGTCCGTACACAAATACATTCCGATATATTGCCGATGTCCCGTACTCATTGGCTTCCAATGTTATTGATCTCATCAATAAGGCAAAGTCTAACTCAACACCCAAGCGTTCAATGACCATCGATACCGTATCTAGTGCCATGCTGGGCTACGATGAATGCGACAATGCTTCACCTTTCAACACAGCTGAACTTCTCAAGCCCAAATCTCTTTTCCGTCGTGTACTCGATGCACCCGCCCCGTCCCCGGGCTATACAACATGCGATGATCTTGGTAATGATGGCGATGATACCTTGCACTCTGAGATTCCAGAATATGAGCAACCGCCTCATGTACAAGCTACAGCCGGATTCCCGTCCACTAGAGATCCAGAAAAAGTGGACGTGGTTTTCTCGGATTTCCTTGCTGGGCGAATCATCACTGCGCTCAACTCTCAGAACCCGGCTACGAACTACACTACCGATGACACAGCCCTCTATCTTCCAGATAATTTCACGACCAATGATTTTATTCCCCGTTACGCCCAGATTACCTGGCAAGATAATATCAACGACTGTAAGGTTGAGGAGTAAAGTGAATTCTTGTGTGTGGGGACGAATTCTACTATCCAGACGAAGCTAGACAATCAAGTCTTGGAAACGCCGCATGTCGAATCGGAAGGAATTGGATTTTTCAAATGGACCAAGAAGAAATTCGGTGCATTCATGGTTTCCCTGGAGATATCATGATTACACTTGAACTCAATTTTCAGAGCGGAATTTCACTTGAATATAGTACCCAGGCAAGATATTTATCTCTCAAATATGATACTTTCTCCGTCTGAACTTCATTCCTCTTTACAGACTCACAAGAATTGACCTCAAGGCTCGAAGAAGTCCACACTTGTAGCTTATCGCGAGGTTTCCTCTATTGTGGATAAACTCACAGTATTGATTGCCAGACCTCGGACGCACAGAACAAAATCCAACATTGAAGACTTTGGAGCAGAGCATCAGAAAGCCTCGGGATCTAAACGGATAGATCCACTTCCCCACATTACTCAGATTTGACAAAGAACTTTATAAACTGGTTGACTCTCTCAAGTTCCATGACTGAATGCATTTAATCACTCGGCCGGGATGCCCAAGACACTCGGAGATATTGACGGAGTTGTCAGACTTCAGATCCCCTCGAATAAGGCACAGATGTGCGCATGCAACTAACCGGATGTAGTATGAACTCCGCAAAATTGAGTGTGTGCAGATCCAATATCATGATGAAGATGATCATCTTCGGGATTCGGCCAAGTTTACCTCTTTGGTTGAGCGGGGGATCGACAAGTTGCATTGTCACTGCTTACCCTAGATCTGCCCATATCATGAGATTATCTGCCTAGCCAGGGAATAGGTCGAGATATGTGGGGAAAGTGGGAGCTTGGCGAGAAGTAAAATCCTGAGCCACTTGATCATTCGGCGCAGATTGCCCTTCTGGGATTTCATTCCCGTTTATTGCTGCTCAGTGATACCTATATCGATATTCTTCAGTTGTTCGGCCGACCTATGACCTGCAGGATGAACAAAAGTCAATCTGCATATACTGTATTGGAATAACATCATCAAATGATGCACTGGATGAATTATGGGTTGGATGATTGTGTTCTACAAATGTCGAAAGACGGCGAAACCTTGGAATTTTCCAATATTGGAGCTTGAAGTATATAAAGCAGCAGTACCTTCTGACCATTCTCAGATATTCAACTTTGAGATTTCTTCAGATTTTGCTTTGGATGACGAAAATGAAAGTTCCTAAATCGGTCCTACTTGGCTTCACGGCTACTTTCGTGAATGGTGCAGTTGACTGCACATTCAGCGCCATATCCGATATTATACCCCAAGGCCTTAGCCTCTCTTTTGCTCAGCGTATCCCTGAAAATGGAACATTCACTGTGCCCAAGAATGATACAGGGTGGATAACTGATCCCATCAATCTTCCGGAGCTATGTGCTATTGGCGTCATGGTCCCTGGAGAAACGTCCAATGCTACCTTCGGTTTTGGTTTATTCCTTCCTAAGAACTGGAACCAGCGCACACTGTAAGCTTCATTCAAGGTTTTTCGGTTTTTCAATTCATGTGAAAGACCCTAATTATGGTTTAAAATATTAGTACGGTTGGTAATGGTGGTCTTGCTGGTGGAGTAGATTGGGTGGATATGGTAATGTTGTGTCCGTTCCATCTCGCAATCCATATAATAATTAACCTTGAGCATACAAAAAGGGCACTGGAGTCAAATACGGTCATGCAGTATTTTCCACAGATACTGGACATAATGGCACAAGCACGGATGCAACTTGGGCCTATCAGAATCCGCAAAGTCAGACAAATTGGGGGTGGAGGGCTCTGCATGAGACTGTGGTCTACGGAAAGAATATCACAGAAGCATTTTATAATGCCAAGCCGGCCTATAACTACTACCAAGGCTGCAGTACTGGTATGAAGCTCAATTCTCGGGGCAGCGTATCCTACATTGCTAATCCTGTCTTTGTTGGCAGGTGGTCGACAAGGCTTCAAGGAGGCACAGATGTTCCCTGATGACTTTGACGGAGTAATCGCTGGTGCTCCTGCATGGTGGACTGTCAGTGAGCCCAAATTGCTAATGATAATATATGATACTAACATGAATAAAGTCTCATCAACAAATATGGCAGGCTTGGCTTGGGTACGTGAACTATCTGTCTAATGTCACAGAGATCCCAGTTTCGATGTTCGACACAATTGGCAAGAAAGTGTTGAGGCAATGCGATGGTCAAGATGGTCTTGTTGACGTGAGATGGCTCTACACAATAATCCATGAGTTCCCAGTAACCTTACTGACTACATATAGACAATCATAATGGACCCATATGGATGCAATTTCAACTCTGAGACCCTTCTCTGCGCTGCAAATGTCACAAACACCACTAATGCGGATTGCCTCACTGCATCACAATTAGGGACTTTGGACACTATCACTCGAGATTACATCGGAGGGAACTCTACCATAATTTTCCCGCACTGGCTCCTGGGATCAGAACATTTCTGGGATATGAATATCGACGGAGGATCACCAAACGTTATTGGAGTAGGATATATTCAATATTTCCTTGGATTAGGTGCGGACTGGGACTGGAGAAACCTCGACGAAGCAGTCGTTGAATTATCAGAGCAGCTTAACGCAGGACAAGCTGATGCATCCAACTACGACATGAGTCCATTCTTCAATGCAGGGAAAAAGTTCATTCACTACCATGGCCTTAGCGATGGTGGAATCGCCACTGGTGCGAGCTTTTACCTGTACGACCACATCAACCGCGCTGTTAGTCCTCAAGGCATCGATCTACACGAAAGTTATCGCTTCTTCCCAATACCAGGAATGGGGTAAGGAAGATGAGGGAAATTTCTTACTGCATTAGTACCACTGGCTAACATCTGAGCAGGCACTGCACAGACACCGCTGACTATGTCAACGCACCGTATTATATCGCTGGAATTACTATGACGAACAATGGCCAATATTCTGTCCCTGGTTACCACGACGCTGAGCACGATGTTCTATATGCCCTCATGAATTGGGTCGAGAATGGAACTGCTCCTGACTATATTATTGGAACGGCATTCTCAAACTTCACCACACAAGATAATATAACTCGTCAACGTCCTATTTGCCCATATCCACAGCAGGCCAGGTACAATGAATCGGGTGACCCAGATAGCCCTTTTTCCTGGGAGTGCAAGTTGTTGTATTGATGATTTGCGCATGCACTTTACGTGATCATGCTGTCAACATGCACATGTGGATTCTGAAGCTTGTTTAAAGAATTCGGTTAACCTATGTACTAAATTTTTCTTGGACTCTGGAGATTTTTTTGATTCCCTTTCTATATTAGTGCTCACCCCTAGGCGTCCAAGAGTCTGTGCTTAATGTAACCTAGCTACAGTCATGAGGACTTAGCACGCGACTAGTCAGTTTCCTGGCCAATAACAGTCAACCCGATGCAGGGTAATTAAATGGCCAAGGTACATACCTAAGCCAGCCTCTTTTTTACTATACCTAGTTCGAGGTGAAATGGAACTATAATTTGTAGTTTCCAATGTTACTATCTATCGAGTCAAGACAAAGGAAGACGCTTTGACCTCCTATCAATCATTCAAATGTTATTCCCCCATTTTTGGACCCTGAACTAGTCAACTGGTAGGCACGCTATATAGCCTGTGCAATTGCCTCCGCATGCATTTCAAACTCTGTCACTTTCCAACTTTTCTCAGTAGGAGGTCTGAGGTATCTGCATTTTGCCCTTCTCTTTCTTTCAGTTCATCTAAAGAGATATCTCTGGTCTGCCAATACGATGAGACAGATATTTCTTGCAATAGGTCTTCTCACCTCCTGTATGTGTGTATCCGGACAGACAACTTGGTATACTGGGTATAAATCACTTCAACTTTTCATAAAAAACAACACTACACAGACTGATGATCACCAGATTGCCACCATGTAACTACCGAGGGACAGGCAACATATCTAACGAAGTGGCGGATGACATAAACGTTGCGCTTGAATCGGCAGCTTTAAGCTTCGAGAAGAACCCAGTCTACTCTAGCGCAAATGACGAGTTTGTTTCAGCGAAGAGCTCCTTCCCGGCATCCGTTAGCTCTTCGTTAGTATGTTATGGATATAGCGGGATTAACATCAACTCACTTCCTACCTGGCTCACTTCTGTTCCGACTTCTGTCGTGAGTATTATCCTGGAAGAGCAACAGGTTTATCAATCAATCATCGACTCTTTCGACGCTGAAGCTTGGGCATCTGTATCAACTTCAGAACCTACGGTATCATCTAATTCGCCACATACTACTAAATCTGGAGTATCAACTTCTATCTCTTCTACAAGCCCGCCCACCACCACCTCCACTACTACCTCCTCCTCATCTGTTGCAATTTTGAGTATGTCTAGAAGCTTTACTAGCAGTTTCCTGGTCGCTGCTAGTCTAGTGTTTAATGTAATGCTATAGTTTCAGTTGTGAGGTTCTTCATCATCGTCGTCCTGAAGCAGAACATCAGCCCTGGAGGGGCAGGGGGTTTTTCATATGTTTACTTTGATCTCTCTGTCTCTCTAGAGCGTATTCCATTTTCAGCCTCAGTCTATCATAATTTGTCTACACCTGTGCTATGCCCATATTCTGCCACTCATCACAGTGGCATGCCTCCATTATCGTCTGGTTTAATGACCTGAGCACTTGAGATTTATTAAAGCCTAAAATCCCCCCCAGTCCCATACCCCGCACATGGTCTGTGTCCATGGGTGGCCTAACCCTCAATTTGAAATTCAAAATGTTGACAGATCCCATCATGATGAATATGTCCAAAATCCTCTGCAACGACAAAATGGACACCCCAATGAACACTCCATCAGACCTTAAGAATATGTCTTGTACTGCTTCTTCCACATACTCCCACTATGGACCAGACCCAGGAAACCATCCAGATCAAGAAGAATTGAGCGCTGTCGTGGGAAAACTGCGAAATGACCCTATGGGCTATTTCCTATTAGCCACTGATGGTGTTGTACGTACCCACACCATCGACGATGAAGTGGTCGATGCTTTTGGCCCCCACCCCGATTGATCAAGGCATTTATCGATCGTTTCCCATACAACGAGGAAGTAGAAGCCCGCTTCTATAATTCAGACGGAACATCGATACCTCAAGAGCAGTGGTGGGCACCAGACAAGTCTTTAATACCACAACGCTATACAGATGATCAGAAGGGGAATATTAGAAGGGATTATGAGGAAGATAAGGATATCATCGAGGACAATCGGAAGAAGGCAAATGGGGAGATCCAAGGCTGTGGTGTTAGGATTCAGTCAAATTATAGGATCTAATCCAAACCTTCTGTCGAGTCTCTTTCCTTTAGATCTTTAGGCATTGATTGAGATTAGTGGAGATATTATAATAGTATTTCCACAGCTGTTAAGAAAAACTTCATATAGAGAGATGTTGATATCCGGGATGGATATAGCACTTTCAACTTTCAAGGTTCCAGACTGAAGCACTTTTTTTTTCACTTTTCCTAGCGCACTTTCACTTCCAGTCTTGACAGAAATACTACCTAGGTATTTTCTGATAAAATTTGAATGCATTTACCCAATCTTCTTGTGGAGTTAAATAGTTAGTGCATAAGAATATTTCGCCTGCCTTCTTACTGTCATCATGCCGCCGCAAATTCAAAATGTTTGCATTCGCTTTCTTTTGGGGTCGGTAGGATAATTTAACCATTTGGTGAATGAACTAGTCAGGCCTCCGTAGCATGGCACAAAAAAATCAACCATGTATGAACGTGGCTGCAGATAGTATTCTGAAAGAGACGTTCACAGATGAAGAGGGCAAAGATAAAAAGAAATAGAAAGGTCGTGCCCGGGATCGAACCGGGATCGGCGGAATCAGAATCCGCAGTGATAACCATTACACTACACAACCGAATTCTATATTTAGACTCGATTTTTTGTCATCATAATGTAGTCTCAAATATCGGATAAGTTGCTACCCGCCATCTCTATCACCTCTTAGTAAGTATCAAATACGTTGTACTTGATAAAGTTTTAATTGGCGCTCCCAATCACTAAAAGGTTGTGTAGTGTAATGGTTATCACTGCGGATTCTGATTCTGCCGATCCCGGTTCGATCCCGGGCACGACCTTTCTATTTTTCTTAAATTCTTTTTCGTATGTTCATGTCAAACTCGGTTGGTTTTATCAATTCTTTTTTTTTTTTTTAAATCCCCCCCTTCTCTCGCCCAAGGACATCGTGGTTTTAAACTGCATGTGGGATTGTCATGTCAGCCCACAACCATGGTCTTCATGGCTCTATTGCAGGGTATAAATGGTCCTTATACATCAAGTGGACATCTACTGGACCTTGCAATGATTTGTGCAGTTTTGTGGATCATCATGATGTACCAGTATACTCCAGTCGACTCATGACCCACTGCCTGAGTAATGTCCATCCATCATGATGGATGATAGAGGGAACTTGAATTTGAATATTTTGCCAGTGAATCTGGTTTACTCGGGTCAAGGTGAATGGCAACTTCAACTAGTGGACGGATGTGATCATGTACCAGTTGACTATGGGGGAAATTTCAAGTTAATACTGCTACTACTAGTAGTATAAATATGTATATATTTCCGCCCGGGTGCCCAGGTGCTAACATTTGAATATGCACCTATTACCTAGTAGTCGTATGCCTAGTAGGTGTAACTTGAAGTTGTGCCTTCAAGTTACTAGTACATTCAAAGGTTATGACCACTGCCAATGGTGCTCCAAGTATCTTTAGTCCCAAGATTCAAAGTATGCGAAGGAAAAGTAAAATAGTGAAGCCCTGGAGGAGACGATGTTAATGAGGAATAATACTGCCAGTGCTCAGATGCGCATAGTATTGGCATGATTTTGAGACCGCCCGGAACAGATTGATGAATAGAGGTGTAGTAGTATTCAAGATACTTACTATGGCAGATTTGCGGTATTTTTCAGCCTTTGAGATAGTAAGTACAGGATTTCATTCAAATGTTCAGTCTCGAGTTTTGCTCTACATAATCAATTAGTGTTTATTCAGAATCTCGAGGGTTATATTTGCGAGATAGGAAGATGACATCAGCTACTGCCCGGATGGTCTAGTGGTATGATTCGCCCTTCGGGATAGATTCTCGGGTCTTTAAAAGATTCTGAATTGGGCGAGGTCCCGCGTTCGACTCGCGGTTCGGGCCCTCTTTCTTTTTTGCATTATTTTTAAATATCTTTTTTATTGCTTCCACAGACAGATAAATGAACACTAAATGTAGAGAACTATGTGTAAAATTATGATACGTGTTTACATTTTATTTATGAACACTCATATAGTCGATTCATGCTCATCTTGATATCTGGAATTATCGGAATCATCGCCATCATCGCCATCATTTGCTCCTCTCCGTTGATTTCTTCACTGCAGCGATCTTGGATATCAGTGACGTGTTGGCCAGAGCGTCTCGAGCCGCTTCATCACCTGCTGCCGCTTTGCCAGAGCCAGAGCCAGATCCAAGATGCTGTTTTTCCCAACCCCAGCCGGTGAGGTAGACTCCAATGAAGTAAGTCTGGGTACCAGTGCCTTTCTCATGAATAGCATCGCGCTCAGAAATATATTCCAGCTTAATGCCTTTCCCCATGATCTTTTTCGCCAACTCCTCTTTAGAGCGCAATTCCGCCTTCTGATGCCCCAGCTTAGCCAGCATTGGTGTCCAAAGACTCGTCAGCCATTGCTCTGCGATTTGATAGCCGTCACGAGGATTTGATAGTACGATCGCGGCTACGTATGCTTCGAAAATGTCACCTTTTGTCTTAAGCAATCGTTTTGGCTGCTCGGAGAAAGCTGCTGGTACTGAGGCCTTTTGATCAAACCCGTAATCCTCGGAGAACTTGGCTAGCGTTTCATTTTTGACCAAGCTTTCACGGATTTGAGATATCTGGCCTGATGAGATTCCTGGAAATCGATTCCACACCAGCTTTGTCGCAATCAACTCTATGTAAGCATCACCCAAGATCTCCAGACGATCATAACTTGTATCGTGTGTTTTACCACATGCCGGATGGATGAATACAGATTTCTCTAATTGGTCATTTCCAATTGGTGGCAATGGAGGAATTCCAGAATGTTTGTTCTTGTGTTCTGTGAGTGATTGATCGGAAGATGGAGTCTTTGACACTTGGGGAGAATCTTGGCCGAGTTTTGAATGTGCAGGAGAACGATTAAAGGCATCATTCAGGACTGAGACTGCATGCGCCACCTCGGGATTTGATGCTGAAATTTCAGAATCATTGACTGCATTCTGAACAAGGCGTTCCAGAAGGACAAGTCGGGAACTACAGCTTGAGCTTTCAACTGGACAACCGTCTCTGAGAGGAACCTCATCTTGATGGCTCGGAGATGATTTTTTGACCTTAGTTGGAGAATGTTAGCTAAGATCATACAATGCAAGCCCGAATATAAGAGCAAGACCGAAACTGGGGTCAAATCACCTTCACTCGTTTGGCAGGCACATCGGCTGCTCCGTCCTTGACGGAAGGTGCAGATCTCTTGGAGTTCATCATGGGTTCCAAGGTTCGAATGTTCAAGAGAGTCTTTGCTGTTTCACTGAAAGTTATTTCTTCGACTCGCAACTTAAGTCTCGCGTCGCTATTGTTGTTATGTTGTTTCTCCTTCTCGTGTTATTGAGAAAAGAGAGAAATACTTTTTTTCAGAATATAGAAATAATATGCAGGTGATGAAATTCAAGGTCACATGACCTTCTTACCCGCTCTCCTGCGAACTCCGGGTTGGTCACGATAGAGATTCATCTTTGCTCTGTGACAACCCACCAGCGTCAAGATGTCTCAAACCCGGTTGATAGACCTGGTGAAGGTACGAAAAGCTCATCCCTTGGTTACACATAACAGATTTTCGCTAACGTCTCCCTCTTCAATTCGCTCCAGACACAATGCCGTATCTTCTCCCTCAATTTCAACCCGCAGAGACTCCGATTAGGAAACAAGGTCCTTAGACAGCGATTGCGTGGACCTGCCCTCGCATCATGGTACCCCAAGCAAGTCGTGTCTTTCCAAGACCTCCAGAACACATACAAGCCCCTTGGTTTGACGACCTTTGATGAGGCTGAAGATGACCGAGAGGAGGCCATTCAAATGTTCGTCCCGCCCAGTCCGAGCGCTACCTACTTATATACCTAACAATTTACAGTGCCAAACTCCGTGGAAAGGGCCGACCGAAGAAGAAGCGGACCGCTGCAGGTAATAAACTCTCTCCCTTATTCCCACTCGTCTTACGAGGCTAATCGATCTCTTGATAGAATCCCGGTCTGCCAAAAAGAAGAGATAAGCGCATTTTCCATTTCCGTCGCTGTTTACCCCCTTGTACAATGGATTCTAGACTCAACAGGATTGATGCCTGGTTGGGTATGTTTTGCATTTGTGCATCGAGGCTGTTGACGCACCTCGCAATTGCCTGTACTCGGGGTAACGCCCTGCTTATACCAGGTTGATCCTTTTCGAAGGAACTCTTACGGTTGCTTTATTTTCATTGTACTATATATAAACATTTGGCGCATTTGTATTACCCTTGAACTCCGACAAAATCAGGACTTCCTTCAAACTTTACTTGATGTTCTAAGCAATAATCGTAAATTTACCTCAATTGAGTTGTGGCATTTGAGAAAGATAAGACAATAATGAAGCCAACATTGAAATACACTCCTGAGAATCTGATATCTCAGGTATATCTGTAGTAATTTTGGGCAAATATAGCTCCATCAAGAAATCTCCATACGTCTCGTATCCATTTTCGCATAGCAAAGGCGGTGTACCGAGTCCGCCAATCATAGGAGAGTATTGTATTTTATCTCCAACTTGATCTTTGGACTTCGCCGCAACCCATTCCCTGATCCTTCAAAAGCTACCATATTTCCCTCTGGTGACAGTGTCCGGCTCAAGTAGATTGACGGTCGCGGGGCTTACAATATGAAGCCAAGCAAGAATCAGCTCCGACGAGCCAAGAAAAAGGCCCAGAAGGTCGAGGTGAGTTTACGCGCTCGTTGTTCTCACAACCTAGGAGCTAACGCCTTTCCCTCTCAGGCTGCCAATGGAATCGAGGATGAGCCCTCTAAAACCCAAACTAGACCACCCACGCCGCCAGCAATTTCACAGGATGTGATCAGTGTCCCCTCTACCGAGGACTACATGGAGGAAGACGATCCTTTATGGGAGATGTACCAGGGCATTGTAAACAGATTTGACGAGACCGCCAACAATGAGAACGCCACCACCAAGGGTGCTGAGAAGCCTGAGGTGTTTTTCGACGACGCGGACGATATTCCCGACGAGGAGCAAGAAAGTGAGCCAAAGATATCCAAGAAGAAGCGAAAAGAGCTCAACAAGCTCTCCGTGGCCGAACTGAAGTCCATGGTGCGCAAGCCTGAGATCGTGGAATGGACAGACACATCAGCGAACGACCCTCGACTACTTATTCACATCAAGGCCCACCGTAATGTGGTACCAGTTCCTGCTCACTGGTCACTCAAGAGAGAATATCTCTCCTCAAAGCGAGGAGTGGAGAAAGCTTCATTTGCCCTTCCGAAATTCATCCAAGAAACAGGCATTGCGGAAATGCGTGATGCTGCGTTAGACAAGCAAGATCAGTCAAGTTTGAAGGCAAAGCAGCGAGAAAGAGTTCAGCCAAAGATGGGACGTTTAGATATCGACTACCAGAAGCTCTACGAGGCATTCTTCCGTTTCCAAACCAAGCCGGAATTGACTCGCTACGGAGAGATTTATTACGAAGGGAAGGAGTATGAGACCAATCTCAAGCATCTTCGCCCAGGTGACCTCAGTGAAGAATTAAAGGAAGCGCTCAACATGCCGCCGGGAGCCCCTCCTCCTTGGCTTATCAATCAGCAACGTTACGGACCACCACCCTCATATCCTGCCTTGAAGATTCCGGGTCTTAATGCACCACCTCCCCCAGGCGCGATGTGGGGATACCATCCCGGTGGATACGGAAAGCCCCCTGTGGATGAGCATAACAGGCCGTTATATGGAGGTGATATTTTTGGTGTTTTGCAACCTCAGCAAAATGCTCAGCAAGGAGAACCAGTGGAGAAAGATCTCTGGGGTGAATTGCAGGCAGATGAAGAGTCAGAGGAGGAGAGCGAGGAAGAAGAAGAGGAGGATGAAGATGCTGAGGATGACGAGAACGAAACTGGAACTCAGTCTCCTGGTGGCCTAGAAACTCCCGGCGGTATGGCCTCAGCCGTTCCTACTGAGACTGGAGGAGTGGAAAGTGTCGCGGGAGAATTCGATGTCCGAAAGCATCATCGCGGAACCGAAACCGAGGAGTCGGTCCATCCCCGAAGTGCTTACCAGGTCATTCCGGAGAGACAGACAAACGTGCAGGGATTCTTCGGTGGCGATAGGGCATATGATCTCAGCATACCAGCTGTTAGTCACCCGGTCCTTGGAGTTGATGACCAAACACGGAAACGCAAGAAGCCTGGTGATGTTGATGTCTCCGTGGATTTGGACGCGATACAAGCTGGAGATGGTCTTAGCAAGGAGAGCCTCCAGAATATATACGAGGCTCAACGACAGCAACAAAATCAACCTCAATGGGGGTTCGAGGAGGATCTCAGTGATATGATTGCGCAGGAAAGCCGTAAGCGGTTACGCAAAGAAGATGAACGGCGTGGCAAGCGCTGAGAATGTATGGCTAGTTAAGAATGACAATGGGTTGCAATTTTTATTTCACCGGCTAGTTAAGGTAATTTTATGGTTATTTTGGGTTGTATGTACTATCTATGGATACCTTTCATCCTTCAAGTTCTGATTCGATTGCACTTTGTAGCTTGATTAGCCCCGAGCCATGGTGAGATCTCGTATGCAGCAGAAAGATTTTAAGCCTACTCAGTGCTGAGGAACTGTACAAGCGGAACCTCTGTACTCCGTACTACTATCAAATTTCCACAGACAACTTCGACCCAGACATGGTTTCCCCCAAGATCTGCTCACTCCGAAATCGACTCCCGAGTATCTCTCATGGCTCACAACTGAGCCAGAAGTTACCTTTGAATATTAAGATGGTTCATCTCACGCGACTTATATGGAAGTTGCGAGTTCTAATACTTTGATGCCATGTACGAAGATGCAGAGGATGATGAGAAGTATGTCACACCCATTGGGCTACATTGGGCTTTCAAACTATCTAGGTAGATTTCGATCAATCTTGCCATGCGGGAGAATTCTCGGTTTGGAAAATGCATGTAAAATGGTAAGTTGCCTACAGTGGGGTAGAAAATATTTTCTTATGGTACAGACTTATCCTGCCATTGTGAATAAGAAAATATTTTTGGAAATTTAAAGCTGGTATGGTCTTGGTATGGGTTAATAATCTTTGTTTTGTATTATTTCTATCTAATCTAGGTCTAAGGGAGGATTTCAAGGTGAATTGTAAGATGAACTGGAGATGTGGAAGCTGATATGAAGATGTGGAAGATGTGGAAGTTGATCTGGAGATATTAATGGTTTGTAAATAGTAGTAAATGGTAGATGATGGTAAATGTTATAAGCTGTAGCTTGTAGATGGTTTGTAGATTAATTAAAAGATGAAGAAAAGGATCTTGGAAGAAGATGTGATCTTGGAGGTTGTAAAGGAAAGAATCTTAGATTTTTGGAGGAAGGTATGAAGTATGAAGTTGTTTCTAGGGCTAGATATGAAAATATGGGATTGAAATACTATCTATATATTAAAATTATGATTGTATTCAAGTTTTAGTGGTCTACGATATAGATCTCTTTTTTACAAAATTTCCTTTTAATCTAAAATTTAGAATATAAAATATCTTTTATCTGAAAATATTTTCTTTTGAAAATAAGGTCAACATACCAAATCAGCTAAAACTGTCAAATTACAGTATTTTGACTTACTATAATTAATTTACCATTTTCCAAACTGAGAATTCTCCCGCATGGTGATATTGATGACTCGGAGCAGCGTGTTGAGTTGACAGTAGTATGAAAGTACTATCCAGTTGTTTGTGACGTTTATTGTATTAAATCGGTGATTTTGAGGTGGGTTTTCAATGGAACATAACATATTCACTTATGCACCATATTAGCATAGAAAGAATATGTGATTAGGTATATCATGCATATGACATCTGTGTAGATGCATAATGTGACTGAGTATAAAGTTGACATAACCTCTTTTTTGTTCATTTTGCATAGTTTGCTCCGTTTGTCTGGTTTGCCCCCCATTCAACCGAATCAAGTTTAGTGTCACCCGCATCTTCCATATTGACTCTTTCACAACTTCTAGACTTCTTTCTCTTGAGATTAAGTCCAGACCACGAGAGAAAAAGTTTCTCACATTAATCAAGGGGATGGATTGGGACCGGAGAAGGTAGGCGATTTCAACTTTCGCATCTCAGCTTGCGCAACTGCGGTGTCCAAAGCAGATTTTCTGATTCCCTGTCCAGATTCGATGACCGGCGAGGGGAGAAAGTTATCGACCTGCTGACCGACCAGGTCGATCTCCCTCACGAGGGTTTGATGCCCGGAACAGGCGCTCACCACCTCGGAATCGATCCCACCTACGTGCCGACACATGGGTGCCATCTGCTCGAGGCTATGGTCGCCCCAGAAGTCGCTCCCCTCCTGGTTATCGACGCCGTTCTAGAACCCCTCCCTTCCAGAGCAGAGGCTATGGGCCTGGTGCATACGGAAGATGCCGTTCTCCTCGACGATTTTCACCTCGCAGAGACGACCGACCAAGGTCTCCACCTACCTCATGGCGCTCAAAGTCTCCCCATAGTGAAGGTCGTTCGCGAGATGTATCCCGGGGTCGCAGTAGCCCAGGGCGCAACCGGGAGCCATCACCAGGTGGCCAGGAAGCGCGCCTGCCCAATCGAAATGTTCCGTTCACAGGCCCGATTGGTGGTGATCGAAACCCCCGCGCCCTCTCGCCAAAGACCCAGCCCAACCTTCCTGCTCGCCCATCAAGCCCCTCCCATACCACAATCCGCCGAGAGACAAATGCAGATTTGAATAGAGGCCAGCCACCACCATCCCGACCTAGACAGTTTTCGCCGACCCTGCCCCATCGTCCTGCGTCCAGCACTACATCACGACGATCTTCGCCAACAATGGATTTAGATCGCAACCAACCTCCTCCTCTTAGAAGCCGGAGCCGATCGCCTCCCCGTCCTTCGCCCCCTCATCGACCATCAGCTGACCGAGGCCCCATGAGTCTAGATGGCGGAGAGAGTGAAGTTGGGGAGTCAGGTCAATCTCGGTTTGGGGTCAATATTCCAACCCAACCACGGGGCCTAAGTGGCCGCCAATCGCCCCCAACAGGGCCATTGCAGGGACCAAGAGGCATTCCTCCCCATCCTCGTGGCTCTCATAACTTATCCGTCTTGTCGGCACCTACGCGCCCTCGTCGTGGTCACGGTTCCCGCGACGGACCCTGGCCCAGTGGGCCAATGCCCCGCCGTGGTCCAATCTCGACTACACCGCACGGTCCGCCTTCAGGTCCTCGAGCTTCATTTTCTTCTGGCATGCCAGGAGGAAACTTCCGTCATCCGGGGTCCCGGCAGAATAGCACTATTTCTGGCCCACCTCCTGCCTCGCCCGTCCCAAAAACCCCCGGTCATCTCGCTGGATTATCTACTGTGATTCCGGCAGGCAGGGTCCTCCCATCTGGGCTAGATCCGGTCGCGGAGAAGCGTCTCACCCAGCTCGAAGCTGACCACGAGAGGCTACTTCAGCAGATGGCTGAGAGTCAACGACTGAAGCGAGCAGGACTGCGCGATTGGGATCGACTGGACCACGAAAGCTCTATCTGCGCGCTTAAGAGTGAACTAGCCGACGGACATCTACAACGGATGGCAGATGAGGCTATTGGAGGTGGGGTACCCTTCTGATGGAGTGGTCTGGTGAGGTGCCATCACAGGCTGGATGGGATGTCAATCGTCAGTTTGAACGCGCAAGTTGCTCCATCCGACTGAGGGTATCTCTCTTCTCTTATTTTGTTTGTAATGCGCATGACCTTGTACAATATGGCGTTTTGGGATACAATCTGGATGGATTATGGTGGAGTTTATGGGGGGGAACTATGCCAATGGGCTTTCTTCAATTTGTATCAATAGTTAGGACCTCGGGAATTGCGATTTTGATACCAAGATTTTATTACTCTTACTATCCTCATAATATTGATCTAAATTATTATAATTCTTAATGTAACATTTTAATTGACGAATGCATAATCTACTTGCGGCGGATCCACCATAAAAAAGGTGCCCGCTTGGCCCGCGCACGCGTACCTGATCGACACCCCTTCCATATCTCGGGTTTCGTGTCAACATCTGTTCATCTTCACAACTTCACTTTTCCAACCCCCGTCCACCAAGACAACCCGCAACCATGAATATCTTCAGGCTTGCAGGTGAGTTTTAATCCTTTATGCGACGAGATTAAGACTAACCAAAAATGTAGCTGATTTCTCCCACCTGGCGTCCATCTTCATCCTTCTGCAGAAGATGAAGTCAACCAGTGTACGGAACCCTCCTCCCAATTCGTTTCGCCATTTGTTATTACTCATTCTAACATCTACTGGTTATATAGAGCTGTGCCGGTTTGTCTTTCAAGTCACAGGTGCTCTATCTTCTGGTCTTTGTCACTCGTTATCTTGGTGCGCTCCAATACCCTTCGAGCCCTCTCAATCTACCGAGCGCTATTCTAACTAGAACCTTGCGCATTAATAGATCTGTTCTGGAACTTCTTCGACTCCCTCTACCTCACAGCATTCAAGCTCCTGTTCATCGGATCCTCCGGTTACGTCATTTACCTGATGCTGAACGACTACAAGCCTACCCACGATCCCAATATCGATACTTTCAAGGTCCAATATCTTCTGGCAGCTAGCGCAGTTCTGGCGCTGTTCTTCACTCATGACTACCGAATCTCCGAGGTACGTCAGATCCCTGCGCGAATTGTGACGAATCGAGAAGGAAAGAAAATGCGATGAGAATCCTAATCAACTGATAAATGTATAGATCCTCTGGACCTTCTCTATCTGGCTCGAGTCTGTGGCAATTTTGCCCCAGCTCTTCATGTTACAACGTACTGGAGAGGCTGATACCATTACCACCCACTACCTCTTTGCTCTTGGAAGTTACAGGGCCCTTTACATTCCTAACTGGATTTACCGATACTTCACCGAGACTCACTTCCAGAAGTCGTTCCAGCCTGTCACTATCATTGCCGGTATTATCCAGACTCTGCTGTACTCGGATTTCTTCTACATCTACTACAACAAGTATGTTCTCGCACCAATCACAGAAGATCGACATGCTAACCTATTTGAACTCGTAGGGTCTTGAAGGGAAAGAAGTTCTCTCTCCCAGTCTAAAATCGCCCATACAGGCCAATTGAAGGATCTAGATATATTATGAATCAAGTCTAAGATGCTCATTCCCTCTGGGTTAGACCGTCGAACAAAGTCAGGTTCATGACTCTCCGCATGGACATGCACGTAAGGACACTTGTCCAATACGTCTCCTATATGGGCTATATCTTCAGAGTCTTTCTTTCTGTCCTTTTGCACTACAAATGGCCTGATCATCTGATCCGAGTCTACGAATTGATGTCTTTCATATTGCTTTGGCTGCCGTGTCAATCTTATACTCTCCCTGTGGATGGGAGGTAAATCTCAAGCCCTTCTTGGGCTGGCTTGGATTCGATCATTTCCAAACGTTTGCCAGGTTATGCTTTCTCCCGTCTTTCAATTTTGTGCAAGTTGAAGGATGGATTGTTCTCAAAATGTCATAATTAGATGTATCAAACTCTTCATTCCATTCAAATGTGTTGACCTCTACTTCAAGTTCAAGTTCGTATAACTATAGAAGTTCAAGTTGTGTTTCAAGCGTTTGTTTCTCTCTTTTTTGGGGACATTCATCCATCTCTTTTCTGTATACCATGACCTCATCACCTCAGACGAATTTCAACAAGTCATTGCAGAAGCCACTAACCTTCTTGTACCAAATGACACTTTTTTTCCACTAAGCCCATCAATCGGGCATAGGGGGAGATTTAAAGAAAAAACAAAGACAAAGACAAAGACAAAGACAAAGACAAAAGCAGAAATCGAAAGAAAGACAACAATAACAACAGAACAATGGTTTAAATCAAAACATATTTCAAACACATAATACCATCCAAGAGGCCTTAGATCCTCAAGTGCTCGACTTCAAGCTGTACTCGGAGCTAGGGATCAATAGTCCCGCGGAGGAGGAGCTCCGTATGTTGGAACATAGCCAGCAGCCGAATACCCAAGTTGCGAGCTTGAGACAGAAAGGTCGGCGGAAAACGGATCCATAGTACCTGCTATCGAGTGGGAGATATTTCCCATAGTCCCATGAGAAGATCGGACCCCAGCACCCAGGCCAGATGCGGCTCGGGGTTGCATATTCTGATGATTTTCAACCCATCCACCATGCCCATGCAACTGAGTGAAATAATCGGGTTGAGGCCGATCAATGCTTACTTGTCCCCCGAAGGTCGATTCCCGTCTTGAGATTGGTGGGGATGGGAGTTTAGGGGATCGAGCCATCATATCTAGACGAGGAGATCCTCGTCGAGAATTCGGTGGGGTGAGTCGAGATCCTCCACGACGCACTTGGCATGTTGGACAGCTTTTCACAAATCGGGAGATAAGTTCCTTGGGAACCCTTTGATCATCTTAGTTAGGGAACGATATATGGAGGGAGCGGATAGGTCAGTAAAAACGTACCAGGAATAGATGCGTCGAACTTGAGCAGAGGTCTTGTCACGTCCACCGTGTTGGCATTGATGGTGTGCCTTGGTGAGAATCTTGAATAGCTTCTCACGGATTGCAACAGGCTTGCCTTCATGACAGATCATTTTACGACACTGGTGACAGTTTGTTAGAACAATCGATGATGGGAGAATGTTGTTCTGAATGATGGGTATACTCACATCAGCTGTTCCAGCACCGACGCTTTGCAGTTTGAACATCTTTTTCACCCAGAAACTAACTAGGTCAGCATCACAAGAGAATACAAAATCCCATCGATGGAATTACTCACCGGAATTGAGCGGTCTCAATTGCTGTGTCCTTTGGTTCCATCAAGACGTTCTTGATATTCCGCGCTCTTGTAGCGTGAATTAATGCCTTGTCCTGTTTCTTGGACGATAGTTCGTTGACATAGCTAACAGACGCTGGCCATCAGTCTCCAAGTCCTCTAGTCAGAATCGATAGTTTTAAGGAGTCAAAACACACCTGCACATCAATTGGTCGAACTCCTTGACATCGGGGAACCCATCTAGTGGAGGTAGCACGGGTTCCGAAATCATCGAACCATCGTTACGAGACTCTTGGTCCTCAATCTCGGTTTCACCAAGATGGTCCCGAAGAGGTAGATACCGGGGAGACTGCAAGTATCGTGGCTGTGGAATGTATTGCGAAGATGAATGATGCATCCTCATATCTTCCGAGGTAGACATTGAAGGGATCGCATTATCCGACGTATATTGCAATTGGTGCATCCCATTGGAGAGACTCGAGCTCTGCCCATAGGATGGGCCGAATTGAGATCCATAGGGATTGAATGAATGTTGGGGATAGTGGTATGAGCCAGATCCTGTGGTGCTAAAGTCGTGACTGCTTGAATGACTGTAGGTTGCCGGAACGGAAATTTGCTGGTTCATGAGGTAACTGTCGCTCCCTTCATTGCGCCTTGCATAGTTTCCCATCGTGTCAGATGCCGGATATCAATTCTCGGTCTTCTTCCTACTACGAGCGTGTGGTTCTTCAAGGGAAGATGAAGTAGAGGGAAAAAAAGAATGATAATAAATAGAGATTGATGAGACTTAAGCAGATATCCAATGATATATCAATGAAAAGTCACACTGGAAATGAATTGAATGAACACAAAAAAAAGAAATCTTGATGAGTATAGAAAGTAAGGCTAAGAAGGCCGGGATGAAGTTCACAACATCAGAAGTTCCAAAGCATGGGACATCTATTCGATTAAAAAGGGCCCGTGGGCCGCCAGGCCAATCTTGCAGGACATGACGACGGATGCCCAAAAGAGTGCACGAGACCATGTCGACACGGCGTAGGGTATAGGCAAGAGAGGGCATCCCTGGAAGGTAGACCGTAAAGATTCCACAGAAAAAAAAGAAACGACAGATCCAAGCAATTCAAGCAGAGAGCTCTGTCAGGTACGGCCGAAAAGGGGATGGTTTCCAAGTCTGCAGGGAATGAAAGTAACTAGGATTGGGAAGGAAAGCAAGATTAGGGTAAAAATTCAAAAAAAGAAATTGTCTGTTTTTTTTAGCACAAAAAAGAAAAGAGAAGACAAAACATAACGAGGGGGTGGGGGAAAAACCATGACAACAGAACAAAGAGGGACAAGAGAAACCAAAGGGGATTGAGACTCAGAAGGATGGACTGGGGTTCGTTGTCAAAAATCTTTCCGACCCGCCGAGGGGGGATGAAGGGTGAAGCAGACTGATACGACAGCGCACGCAAGCAAGTGGTGATACGGATTCCTGCCTCGATACCCGGCGCCACCATTTGCCTCATGGAGAGCCACGTTGGGCCCAGTCGAGGCCACCTATAGCAAAAAGAGTAGCATTGGAGGGAAAAAATGGGGGAGGGGTAGGGAAAGGAAAGATCGGCTTGCCTACATTGTCACTGACAGCCAGTGACAGGCAGTTGACAAGCAGTTGACAAGCACCGGGGGGGACTAGCCAGACCTCCCCGACTATGACGGCGGAACAAACCACCCGGGGCAGCAGAACAAGAGGCAAATCTAGGGCTTTGTTTCTGCAGGTTTGCTCTCCGTCAAACAAAAGTCGGGCTAGAGATTGCTCCGGCAAAAGTCCAAACATGCACGTAACCGTATGTCCGTAAGGAACATGGATTGGGAGAGTTTCCACTGCACTGGGGCGAAGGTAATGCAAATGGGTATGAATGGGCCCGAAGAATTACCTCCCCCTGCTGTCCCACCGATTGAAGATTTGTTATTAGGTAGAGGAGTGGGGGGGATGGGGGGAAGTAGAAGGATAAGAAAAAATCCCTTAATTTTCCTTTTTTTTGATTGTAATAATTCTTCTCCCGTTTTTCCCCTTCTGTCCCTCTTTTTCTGTCAGATCATGAGTTGTCATATAGTAAGTAATAGTGACCTTGACGTGGCGATGGATTCCAGGGCACTGCGGGATTGGGTCGCGTCGATGGGCAATCAAATGCATCATGCGGGATGGCAGGATTGCATGCGTTTGGCCCGTCTGCAACAAGTGAGACACCGTGTTCGATAGACTTGGGGCCGGACCCTCGCAGCACGGCATCCGGGCCAGTCGTAAAACTGAAAAGGGGCTCGAAGCCAGAGTATGTTATACAAATCTATCACCCGGTGTCACCCTGCTGCTTCCCGATCATGATCTTCGCAAGTACAGTCCTTGTCGGGTAAAATGGGGGTTCAAATGGAGAGAAAAAAGCAATAATATGACAAAACAACAATAACAAAAAAAAAGAACCATGAGAAGAAGAGAAGCGCGCGCATACACCCTGGAACCCCCGAGTCCGAGGAGTTTCGGATCTGCCTAGGGTGAGGCTGCAAGTATCGATCCTTGAAACATGGGTATTCCCTGTTGAATGAAAATGTTATGCTGTCAATTCATTGATGGAGGAGAGTCCCGAAGAAGAGTCCCGAGAGTAAGTACATGAGTAGAAGAGAGAAAAAAAAATTGGGAAGAATAGGAAGGGAGAAGAAGAGTACAATCAAAGGACATGGGAGGGAAGTCACCACCCAATTTTGCCCCAGTGGTGTATTATGGATTGTACCTAGGTAAAGTATATACGGAAACACAAGAGAAAAGACAAACAACTATAGTTACAAACATTTGAGAAAAAAAAGAAAGAAAAGGAGAAAATCGAAAAAGAAATATCCAAGAACCGTAAATTCATATTGACCGATCTCATCAAGGTCAAAGAAGAACAAGGTCTTCAAAGTCATTAAGCTCGTGAATCCATCCTCAATCCTCCTCTTCCTCACATTTATCCTCTCTAATAGGATCATATCGTTCTTCAGTATCAGAAATTAAACAGAATTAACATGAACCCCTCGAGTATCTTATGTTTGAGAGATTCAACTTTTCTTTTTAGACCATAGGATCCTCCCTCCCAGCGGTCACAAGGTCACGAATAGCCCATCGCCAATGGTTATCACGATCTCCACGATCGAATCCGACCCATTTATCAACCTTTCGTCTCCATTTTTCCTCCTCTGCTCTCTGCCTCCGAATGAACTCGGGTCCCACATCAAACTCTTCGGTGATAGGACCCTCATCGGAGGACTCGCCTGCACTGGGATCATCTCCTCCAACGTGGGTACTTTGATTGTCCACGTTTTCCACCCTTGTCGGCCCATGTTAGGAGCTTTGTCCTCAAGGTCATCTAGACCAGCAAATACATCATCTTCATCATCTAGAGCAATTCGACCATGCTGCCCGGGTTCCGTAGATGTGGCTCGAAGCCAGCACATCCGTTGAGGATCAAAGATCATACCACCCACGGTCTGGACATTGCCCACAGGACCCACATTGCTGATAAGGGCAGGAGATGGTTTTGATAATTTAGATGCAGTCATCACATCAAACTCCTGGGCGAGGTTCTCGTTACCTTCCCAAGCAAAAGTGTCTGGGTTGTAGCGCATGCCTCTGACGACTGTAAGTTGACCAATTAGCTTTTTTATTTCGTTAAGAAACATGAGAAACGAATTAGAGGAACGTGGATCTCTTACACTTAGGCTCTTGCACCCCTGATCCCATGGGCTTAATCAAATGAGGCTTGGATTGTGATTTGGTATTTGATCTTTTCCGGCTCCGAACAGGGGCTGCATTGGGTGAAATCCGAGTAATCGGATTGGCTTTCCAGTTGGATGTAAATGTACTAAGTGGGTTGCCCTCGCGATTCCGGGAATTCATAGATGCAATACGTTGTTCTCGAGCGTTTCGGGATGCATTTGTGTCGCGGGCAAAGCGTGGTGTGGAATTGAGAGTTTTAGATGGTAAAGGAGACGCGAAAGATGGTGTAGGGGATTCAGCAGTGGGAGTGGCACGGCTTTGACTGAGCCTATGGCGTACTGATCGAGGAGCCCCTCGACCGGCTGGGTTTTTTGTGAACTTGCTCTCTGCAGTGACCGATGTAGGCAAATCATCGAACGACTCTAACTCGGTTCCATCGCCGAAATTACGCCGCTTTGTCGGACGAGTCATTGTGCGTTTGTTCGTTGCAAGAGCGTTTTCCACTTTGCTGTCGTCAAGGCTCAGACGGAAGGATTCGGTTCGACTTGATCGGCCTGGTAGAGAGGTTCGTTGCGGACTGAGCAAGTCATTGGAGCTATCAGAGTTGTGACGGCGGGAAGGACGGTATGTTTTTATGTTTGGGTGATGCGGCTGCCTTTCAGATGCAATCACCTGGCCAAACGATGCTGGCACCCTTGGATTGGATGTTCTCGCACTTGGAATAGTCCGTTCAACTGGTGTCCTGGGTCTGAGGGCAGATGGAGGAGTATATCCATCTGGATTGGGAGGCGTTCGTTGCGAGGACTGGGTTGGAGTAGAGGTCGATGAGCCACGAATAGTAGGAAGCGACCTCTTCGTTCGGAGTAGTCTGGTCGGAGCAGCAGAAGGAGAATTCTGCGCAGGTGCCAGGTTACGAGATGTTCGCGATCCCAGAAGCCTTCGATTCGACGGCGCCGGGTTCGGGGAGCTTGAGATAGGGTCGGTTGAGGCTAGACTAGAAATCGAAGACTGTGATGCGTGACCAAGACGAGACTGAGACCTTTGAAACTTGGGAACAGGTGCACCGCTTTCCGAGACAGTCTCAAGATGGGTAGAAAGAGGCCGTTCATGACCATGACCAGACAAGCGTGGAATACGAGTGGTCTGACGCGGAGAGCCTGTTATAGTGGTGGTGGTTGTAGCAGATGCACCGGCATCAGGAGTAGTAAAAGTCAAGGTAGTTGCAGACCGCCGCGTTGGGCTGGCCGGCCACTCCGTTTTGCACTTGATATTCGGATTGAGGGTTAATTTGTTCGACGCAAAGACTCTTCCGTTATCAACTTCAATGCCAGCGAAGAAATCATCCGGTTCTAATGCTTTGGGGATTTTTGGTAATTCGCTGCCCCCGACTGCATTCTCTGTGGACATTGTCTCCTCTCGTCTCTTGAGAGAAGCATTAAAATCGAGTGGTCCATCTGGGAACACTAAGCCATCCAACCCATCTTCCTCGCTTTCTCCGGTGATACAACTGGATACACTGGGACTGGCAATGGATATTGATGAACTGGGTATTGAGCGACCATCTCTAGCAGTGCCACCGACTCGAACACCGATGCTACCTTCGGACCATTCAAGGTCAAAATCATCCAGGGTAGGGCTTGATATTCTTGTGTTATCTTTTCGATGGGATAATTGCAGAATCTGTTGATCGGGAGCCAATTCCAGATCTTGGTCAAAATCTGCAGTTTCCTGGTCAGAGGGGAGAATGCTTGTGGCCATATTTGGTACTGGTTTCTGTGGCGATCGAGGAGCTGGCATCTTCAGCGTTGGGACATCTTGACCCATGGGACCATCATTCTCATCCTGGAACCGATCTAGGGTTGCCAGTGCTGACTGCAAGCGCGTTGTGATATCATCATTCCACGAGAAAGAAGCTGTCGATTTGATTGGGCTTGCGATCGTTGAATTTATTTGTCGGATTGAATCTGGGAAAGTGGCATCCTGCGGGTTTCTTAACTCCAGCACCACGTCTGGGCCAGGGAGCTCCACATCTTCAGACCAGTCATCTACAAAAGTCCGTTTGGTTTTTCGGGTCGATAGGCGTTTGATGGCACCTCCAAGGAGAGCGGAGCTGGGGATGTTCGCAGGTATGGGTATTCCTGCTTGTTTGGCCGAGGCGAGAGCTTCTTCTTTGGCAGCTTCATCGTGATCGTGCAATGGAACCTGCCAGTCCTCATCTCCGACATTCGAGTCCATATCCGATCGAGCAGATCGTCGTGACGATATTGAGTCGCGATGTCCGGAAGGCCGAAATGAGGAACCGGTTACTGATCCTGTGCTGGATGCAGTACGAAATGGATCGTTGAATTGTAAATCGTCATCGTCATCCCAGCACTCGATCTGCTCCTCCTGTTCCGGTCGAGAATGTTTCATCGTGGTCAGGGACTCCATAATTGTTGCGGTTGCCATGGATATGTGACAATAGGGTTGTTTGAAGCGTCCTTTCGAGCAAACAATCAGGTGGTAGACTCAGTGGACTCTGAACTCTGTGACGCTAACATGAGAAATCGAGAGTAAGACGTCATTCCGTGGTGATTAGGCCGAGGGATAGTATGGTTAATCTTCAGTTTGTTCGTTTGAGTATCCCCCAATAGGCAGGGGCCGGGTGAGGGTGGAGTTCGTTCAGGGGGTGGCGACAAATCAAAATGTGGAGAGGTGATACGTCTACACCTCCCGGGGAATTTAAGATCGGAGAATAATCATGAGAGAGGAACTTCGAGAGGAAGCGCGCGTGATCAGGGGGGGAGGCTGGAACGGTTCGAGAGGGATTCTCGAGAAGGGAACGTGGACGCGGTGGGGAACTTCGGGTTCGTGCACCTAGACACTTCAAGTTGGTAGATTACATAGTAAGGAGAATTCACAATTCCACCAACACACAAACGCCCTTGTGTGTACTCTGTACGGAATTAAACACTATGAGACAATTACAGATTCGATCAGAATAGTAGTCAAAAGGCCATGAGCCGGAGAGCCTCGTACTACAAACGGCTAAAAGGTGGAATGATAGTGGTCTGATGCTGGTCGATTCAAGGCACGATGTTGGTGGAAAATTGATCAACCTCATGCGACTACAGAGCTCAGGCCTCTATTTACATTACCAGTGCTCGGTGTATGAGATAATTTGCTTAGTTTACCTTCAATGTTAGCAAGTCGAGTACAGAATATTCTATTTGAAGCTTCCCATATACGTGTATAGTACTAGTAGCCTGTTAGTAGGCCTAGGCGCCAACCAAAATGTAAACCACAAATATGGTGTCAAAAATGTCACTACCTATACCCCACTCAGCATGTTAGCTCAGGGGAAGAGCGCCGTAAGTACCACGTGATTTATAAAATCAATGCATCCGAACAATCCACTAACAAGACCAATAGGGGCTCATAACCCGGAGGACCCTGGATCGAAACCAGGACATGCTATCCTTTCTTTTTTTTCTTTCTCTTTCTTATGTGTATTAGTGTTGTATAATCACTTTAATTCTAAATTAACTACCTAATCTAGTGGAGAGCTAGAGGCTTCAAATGTTACCACTGGGGTAGTAGGGGTAAGAAAAGGAGCACTTGAGACCAACAATGAATAACGCAATACTAAGACCCCAGGAAGGCATCAATAAAAAAGAGGTACATAATCTACCTATTACTACCATAAGTGCCCTCTTATGATAATAATTAATATCGAAAATTACCGTGACGTTTAGTATCGGTTCTCCCAAACTTAAAGCAGTCAACTTGAAACCATGATCATTGCCAAGGTTGGTGCAACACATCCATGTGAAGGTGATGCTGGGCTCCTGAGACTTTAAATAGAAACAAAGCTCCAAGCCCTGGAGTCTTTATCACTATCTGTGCAGTAGACTTGAATCTCTGCACAAACATTGAATGAACTTGAATGTAATATGGTGACTTCAACTGAAGTTTATATCATATCTATGATCAATTTCTTGATTATGATACTCCTTAATATACTAGTACCCCTTTCAGCGCTTGAGGATGTAACCCTGCATCATTTAGTTACAGGGTCAAATCCGGAACAATCACCTTGCAATGTCTGAGACTCGGAAGAGTTATATACCCTGACTGAGGCCATTCCCAGTTTTCAAAGAACTTGTTCGTAGTATTGTAGCCTCGCGCTTTCAAATACTTCTTGTTGACATTCGGGTCACCCGTTCGCGCAAACGACTTCCACATGTCCTGGACTGCATTGGTATAGAAAATATCCTCAGGAACTCTAACTGGTAGATCGAACAGATAATAAGTGCCAAAGATCTCATAAAGATCACTGCAGTGGCACAGGTAGTAAGGAGTCTCTGGTTTCCCAACTGGGAAAGTGCAGAGGTCGTAATAATCATAGTAGCTAAGACCGTAGCCTCTCCGGTGCACGCCGACCCAGACGGGATCAAATGCTGCAACAAAGGTTCCAAGAGCAGCATATTGCCCACAGAGACAGGCCAATTGTGCGTCGGTTGCCACGTTGATACTGGCATTGTATACATTGGGGTATGTGGTGCTGCCGTTGTTGGGGATGGTCTCGTTGGTAACGAGCCAAAGATTGGACGTAAGGATCTCCGATACCTGCTTGGCACTGATCTGTCCACTTTCTTCCAATGTCCATAGATTGGCGGTGAAGTTAGACATGTTTGGTGCCAATAGCGTCTTGAGCAGCGATTGGGCCTCCTCTGGCATGAATGTGCTCATCAGCTTGACAGGGTTGATGTAAGATTTTCCCTTGGCCACTTGGGACATGGGAATGTCAGGCATATATATGCCTTCAACTAGGGTTTGCCAACTAGTAACTTCGCTGTAAGTGATGTTGAGAAGTGTCTGGGCTGGAAGGTCTTGGAGACACTTGAGACGTGCTTCGCCAGTTCCATTGACACCGTGACAGTACTTGTCAATATATGGAAGAATCAATGCTGCTGCAGTGTCTGGGACTGTGTCGTGACCACGGCCAGCAGACTGCTGAATAGCTCCTGAGAATAGACCCGAAGCTTTCGGTGAGGTGACCAAGTCAATGCCGGAGCCTCCTCCAGCAGATTGGCCGAAGATGGTGACATTGTTTGGGGTTGCCACCAAATCCGCGAATATACTTCTGCACCCACTCGAGAGCCGCAATCTTATCGGTCAGAGCATAATTGCCAGGGATAACCGAGTCATTCAGACCCATGTATCCGAAGATGTTCAATCGATAATTGGCCGTGACTACTACCACATCACCGCGACTCAGGATACTAGCACCATCGAATGTCGAATCAGACGCAGTTCCAGTGGTTTGGCCACCTCCATAGAACCAGAACATTACCGGTTTGAGTTTGGAGTCATCAGATGGCGAATCTGGGATTGTACTCGTATAGACATTCAGATAGAGGCAGTCTTCGCTATCTCCCCACGGATTGAGCCCATAACCATCTCCTTCAAACCAGCCGTATTGGAGGCATCCATTGCTGTAGTTTGTGGCTTGAACATGGGTTCCTTCCCAATTCTCGGCATACTTGAATCGCAGATCCTTGACGGGGGGGCTTGGCAAATAGGATTCCAATAAACCTGAATGCCATGTGGTCTCGTAGGCCCTCGAAGGAAGTTCCATTAGCAGTTGTGCTGGCACGTGGAAAGCCAGAGAAGTCTGTGTACACGTCTTTGACCAACGGGACATTGTTTGTACACAGGAAGAGATGTTTGAAGCTCTTCCCAGCTTTCGGCAAAATACCATTTTGGTTGCTTGGTTTGGTCGATGAGCAAGATGACCAAGGTAGTTGATTCGCATCCAGATTTCCTAGGTATCTCTGGTATGAGAACTGCTCATTGAGCTCAGAGAACTGGTGGCAGTTCAGGAGGGTTTCGTTGTGAGAAGCACAAACGCCCTTCGCGGTCTCATGGTTCGACGCAACATTGAAGAAGATTGCACTGGGGTTCTGGCCATGGTTCGTCCAGTTCCCATCATTTTGGTAGAAGATCGTTGTTTCACCAGAAGATTCAGCCAGTGCCAGCGAGGCATCCAAGGCTGCCAAAAAGCTAGGTGGGGAATGAAATGCGTAGCTGCAATGCTTACTGCTCATGGAAGGTAAATGAAATGGATAGCGGCATGAGCGTCCATTTTACATACGTCTGATCTTTGCACATGATACTGCTACCCAGACCGATGTGGGGAAATTGGACGTGGAGAATCAGGCGATTCTCGGACAAGGATACCGGGTATCTCAAGAAATTGGCGTTCTCTTCCCAAAGAGGACTTTCCGACTTAGTGAAGACATTGCGATAATCCAATATTGCGGGGAAATGTTTTGACTGTAAAACCACTCTGCGAGTCAATAGAACCTTGGAAGTGTGAAGGCGGAACGGAAACCCCGGAGAAGCCAATATTGCGGGGGAGACCCCAAGTCAAGCCATGACGATTTCATCGAATAGTAAACGTGAATTGATTCCGCAATTGGATCGGCATATAGACTGCGGGCCGTGCTAAAATGTGGCAGCCCGGAAATGATGAGCTTAAACCTGTGGACAGTCGGCCCATGAGTCCATATTAGGTTAGTGTTACCGACTACCACCACCTGCAGTTGATCTAGAAACTTGTGCACTGGCCGGCTAGATCGTAAGGAATGTACCGATCCATTTCCAACTTCAAACCTGCTGAATCGCTATTTGCATCACAAACACGGACAGGCTGATTTTGAAGCCAACTTAACTTCTCAATATTGCCAGCAAAAGTTTCCCAGACAGGATCACCAATATAGGCATGAGAAGGGGACTTGCAAAAGAAATTCGTCCAATGCACCCATAACAGACGATTGGTCAAATCCCCAGGAGCCAACAAAGAAGCGAAAGCAGGCCCCGAGAGGCAATAAGTGACGATGGCTTCAAGTTCTTCCAGATTTACAATTACATCCAAAAGGTTCAGACAATGAACACCCTCCATATCGGCAGTTGCAAGATCAGGATTCCAGGCCATTACCGCCACTTCAGCTTGAAGAAGTAGATAAAACGATCTACAAGGGTGAGCTTTGGTGCCGCTATCCAGACTTTATGAAACTTCATCGATACCTATGCAGAACCGACCAATTTGCGCACCTAGTGTCTTAATGCACACGGAGTTTAGTATCATGCCCTTTCATTAGGTAGAATCCAGATGAAAAAAAAATTGCACTAAGATGGGCTTGAATGACTGTAGCTCATAGGAGTTGAGATGGCGGGTAAAAAAACCAAAGTTGCTGAGAAAACAGCGCTATACCAGACTTGTACGTCGACCATTTTGATTCCATTCTCCAAAAAAAATTTATAAGTATTCCAATGTTCATATATAAATATAAATATGAAAAAGAAAAAGAAAAAAAAAGAAAGGATAGCATGTCCTGGTTTCGATCCAGGGTCCTCCGGGTTATGAGCCCCTATTGGTCTTGTTAGTGGATTGTTCGGATGCATTGATTTTATAAATCACGTGGTACTTACGGCGCTCTTCCCCTGAGCTAACATGCTGAGTGGGGTAAAGATTTAAAGATATTTGATATTATGGACAAAAGAAAACTTTTCTTATAACTGGAAGAACATACACTTGTGTGGTTGTAAGCTGCGACTAATGGCTCCCGAGGTCTCTATACACTCTGTACTAGCGTGGTCTTACCGCATACATTCACAGGAACCCAGACCTCGGATAACTTCTAAGGTTGTAAACATTTGAATACGGCAAGAATGAGGTCAGAGAACTTTCTCCCAGCGTTGCTCCATCTGGAACCGACCAGGTTTATTGACGTGTACGAATATTTTGTTTGCTTTGTGGAGAGTCCTCGAGTCATTCCTCTAAGATCATCAAGTGGATTTCGTGCTGATCTGGACCGAGCTTTTGCAGGTAGCCAATCATCCACACGAGAACCATTACCATTCACGGTTAGCATGGCTGATCGTTCTCAGCCTTCACAACCCCGTATTGATCAACCGTTCAGGGGTTGAAAATAGAATGCTGATATAAAGCGATGGAGCTTTGGATAAAGCCGTTCTTTGTTATGGTGCAGAGAAGTCCCTTGATTTTTCCAGTGCAGATAGAGACATTTTGCTGTGGCATATGATCCGCTAGCCTATCTGGAGATTTCGAATACCAAGACAATCGTGCTGCTTATCCGTCATTTCTTCTGGCTGGATTTATAATATCAATTTTAAATATTTGAATATGGAAATCTCCCAGGCCACCGATCCACCCAATATTCAGACCTCTTATGGATTGAATGTCCACCTCGAAGGTCGCAGGGCATTGGGAATTTGAATGCCAGGCAATCTTTCTTGCAAAAGAGATATCATCGAGATCGACGACTAAATGGTTTACGAAAGCTACGGGATTCCATTCAAAAGTTCCCAGCCAAGCAATCTCATCCAACTTCTAGTTCTGAGTTTGTGAATTCCACTAGCCAAGGTGGCTTTCTACCCTCTGAAGCTCGAAATGCCTCTCATTACAAAGATGATTCGTCAACACCACAATCATTACCAACCAGGCTAGCGGATATTTTTCCTTCACTGTCCATTCACACACATCAGGGAATGAATCTTTATTTTGACTACTGTGAGTACATGTCTACTCATGATTCGGAGTTCATTCGGCAGTAGTGCTCTAAGAGAAGGCTAATCGATCTCATAGATCGACATGAAGGATCACGACGTTCGTTTCCAATGGGCCACTCCGCAATGTTAAAATGGCTGCAGCAGCAAACACTGGATCAACCTCTGTTGATTGAGGTCATAATATCCATGAGTGCATACAGCTATGCCCTGATAAAAAGGACACAAGGCGCTTCTGATTCACTGGTGAGAAAGTCTGTACAGGATGCGTTGATTATAAGGTCTCAATTAATTCAGTCACTTCAGAAAATGATGATGAAGCCATATGAACTCTTTTCCGAGCCAGCAATCCTTGTCCTGAGTCAGCTGCTCGTCACAGAGGTTAGATAATCCTTTTTGAGTGCTTTGGTTGATTCCAGCTGATAAATGAGAAGGGACTGGAAGGCAACCTGGAAGCAGTTGATGCTCATTTGGATGGGCTTAAAAATTCCATCCGTACGCTAGGTGGATTGGATGCATTAGGAGAATTGATCCTGACAAATATTTACCGGTAAGTGTCTCCTCAGATAGCATGCGAAAAGGGAAATTTGAAAACTGAATGTATCCCAATCAGCTGTGATCCAGTACGAAGTCTCATGAAACAGTCTCCACCAGTGTTTGCTATATCGAGCAGATGGGAGAAAACTGCCCTTGAACCTTCCATGCATAGAGTCAATCAAGCTCGCACAAAGTTTCCCAGGCTTGGAACTCGTTTCTCTCACTCACCATGGTCCAAGATTATTCATCCGGAACTCAAGTCAATTCTACGATCATTTCAAGACGTGGTCTCTATAAACGAAAGCTTTCTCCACTCAGAGACAGACACTACTAGTAGCTCTACTCTCGCTGATCACAAATTCGCTCTTCTTTCATGTCATTGGCTACTTTCTGTACCTGATGAGTGTTATATCTCCTCACTCAATGATACAGTTCGACTTGCAACGCTTGTCTACACGTTCGTACGAATATGGTCATTTCATGGGAAGCCATGCTTGGAGTATACACTGCATACTTTGCTAGAGCGAACGAGTGAAAATCAGTCCATTTATCAGGAATGGGCTCCTGATCTCTTTTTTGGATACTCTTCATTGGCGGGTTTGCATCGCGAGGATTCAAGTGTCATAAGTTGTTCGTTGCAAAGCTTAAGATATCCATCGCACAGCTTTCCCTGAATGACTGGGGCAGCGCATTCTCAATCTTACATGGATTCTTTTTTGTTGGTCGCGCGAGGGATGACACCGCCAAACTGTTCTGGGATTCGTTATTTCAATAAGAATCGGTCACACATTCCTTACTTTTTTATTATGCTTTCCTGAGCCTCATGTTCGTAGTAATTCTACGAGAGCTCGAGTAGTCTCCAGCACAACATTTGTTTTTTGTCTAAATTCAGACCATACGACGCCTAGACACGCCACTTGACGATTTTATCTAAAGATATGACGCGGTACTGGTACACACGGCGCCCTTCGCCTGAGCTAACATGCTGAGTGGTGCTATTTCAGACAAACTTACCAATTTGGATTTGGACCAATTAAAAATATTATCTCCATTAAAGACAAAAAGAAGACCTGCGATCAATGGCTCTCTACTTTAATACCGACCACCTTTGCTGGCATCTCGGTGAAAGAACTTGAATAAGCGTAACGAGCGACTATGAACTACCTGCATCCATATCTCACTATTCTCACTCATGAAAAGAATAAACTTGAAGTTCTCAATTCTCAATAACATTTGAAGGTTTTGAAAGTCCGATTACTATTGTACCAAGATAACCGTGACTACCGTGACTCCGTGAGTCCGAGTCCGAGTCGTGAGTCGTGACGAATAATCCCCTAGCAGGAGTGTGATAAAGAATACTCTATGCTACACAGGCAACCCCTTCTCCCTGAACGCCTGGAGATATGTGTTCTCGGTTGGGTAATTCTAGTACTAGTACCTCTCCCGAGGTCCAGGGCTGTTTTTCAAAGTTGGCGGAAATGGACATCTACATGATTCAACCCAGACAAGGGACTCGGCACCTGGGAGTATTGAGAGCTACATAATGAGATGTGATAATGACTCAGAATATTTGAATACCAGTATGGGCCTACTAGTAGATTTTGATATCGCTTGAGTGGTTCATAGCACGTCAACCTTAGAAACTGGTAGTAGTTCTCAGCACGGGCACATATGCACATGTGCATGATGTGACATCTGTCAGTGTGTATCAAATGGTATGAAAATTTACATTGATGTAGACCTACATCATACAACTTGTCTTGGATGTTCAAAAAGTTCTACTATGAAGCAGAGTATATAAATGACCATCTGGCCTGCCCAAAAATCATAATAATAATCAATCAATAATTTCTTTATCTACAGATAGATCGATCTCTTCAACCCAGTCAATATGCTGTCCGAAACCCTATCACAGAATCCTAGCGCAGACAGCGCAGACCCAAGTTCGAGTCTCCATGTGCAAGATGAGACCCTCAACTCTTCCCAAGGATCCCAATGCCGTTCCTCGAGCGAAAGCAAGGGCCGCCGGAAGTTCCTTTATCGCTACGATGTATCTGAGGAGAAGGGCGTTATTCCAACTTTAGAGCATGATCCGTTTGACTTTCTCGATCCTCAGAAGATGGTTGAGCCTCTCGTTAATACCGCTTCAATTGACCCGTTCAAAACGGGACTGCCATGGTTCTCTCCTATAAAAAGTGCTCTGTAGTGTATCCACTGGCGAGAAGCCGAAGCTGCAGGCTGGGAACTAGTGAACGAAGTGATTGCGACGGATGGAGCTGGTGCTGTGATCCCGGCGGAGCTCACAGACAAGCGTCGTAAGATGTTGGAGATGGTTGAGACTGCGGCTACCATCACCATCTATCATTATGCTGTCTCGGATGCTCCCCGTATCCGTATCCTTACCAATGCAATTCTCTTCCTGTTTCTACATGATGGTTTGTGATCTTCCACTTTGAAACTTTTGGAGCTATACCGACTCATAACAGACGTTATTGAAAACCGTGGACAACATGGAGGGTGGTACAGCTCTTGAGGGCTGGGATAATGACACATTTACTGCGGATGAACTGGATCACGCTTCGCGTAATGATGTTTTCCTCAAGTTCTGCCGTGAAGCCATTGCCGTCGACCCTATTCTTGGGTTAGAGTTGATGCAAGACACCGTCCGGTGGGCACGGTACTCTCGGGACCACAGTACCGAGGACATCGCGCGTGTCGCTTGGAATGACTTTTACAGTTTCCGCGGGATGGACATTACCGACGAGTATGTGATCTGAACTCTCTCACTTAATTTCTGTCCTATACAACAGTTTGATAGTTTCATGATTACTGCCGTCCGCTTCGCGGGAAACACTCTCCATGACAAGGCAGACCGGTCTGTCTTGCATCATTTCGAGAGACTTTATATCCGTCACTGCGTGTTTATAAATGATCTTCACAGTCATGAGTTAGAGGCTTTTAAGGCCCAGTCCGAGGGAGCCCCACTTCACAACTCAGTCAACACTGTTGAGCAGATCTTCTCTGTACCATCATCCTCAGCGAAGGCAATCTTACGATCTATGCTGTGGGACACTGAGCGTCAAATGCGCGAAGAATACCAGAGACTGATTACCCTTCCGGAGATTAATGAGCGACAGAGAGAGTACCTGAAACGGATAATTGAGTGCATTGCTGGCAACATGGTTTATTCCATGACTACATCTCGGTATGGGCAACTCAATAAGACGCTTCTAGAGATGCCGGATAAGGGCTCTATGCTAGAGGAATTGAGGAATTTATCTGAAGATCTCTGATCTGCTTAATTCCACAGCAAGACCTACAGGTCTTATTTATATGTATTGTGGGGACAGGTGCCAGTGTCTTCCACTTACGGAATTGTCACACGTTGTTCTATATTGTTATTCATACAGGTGTCTCCCCCAGGGTCACTTCCAACTTTGGAAGCCTGGAGGTTATCACTTATTTATCCCGGGCCTGTATTGATGTTCTGTAACTTCTGTCCTGTCCTGCTGTCCTGTCCTGACCTCTGATATAGTTTGAATATATGCTCTTATACATCCCTAATCGTGCCCTTGGGGCCATCCAGTGCTGGTGTCTAGTACGCGAAAGTACACCTTGAGTGTACAGCCGAACTTAATGCGGCTGGCATTCTCCCATGCAGCTAAATTTTACATAGTACAACTCCCCGGGGTCAACCTCCCAAGGTTGGAACCTCGGAAGACGGACATCTAGATCTGCAGCCAGGCGCCCGTCGATCGTTTCAAGGTGGGTGCCCAGGTGGCTGCGATTCCCTATCACCACCACCTGAGTTGTGGATCAATTTTAGAGCCCATCAGACCGAAACACGCACACTCAACAATATGATTGTCTTCAAAGCCATAGTAGATAGGACAAAAGGAAAGGATATGTAAATATAAATATTAAAAGAAAAAAAGAAAGGATAGCATGTCCTGGTTTCGATCCAGGGTCCTCCGGGTTATGAGCCCCTATTGGTCTTGTTAGTGGATTGTTCGGCTGAAATGATTTTATAAATCACGTGGTACGTACGGCGCTCTTCCCCTGAGCTAACATGCTGAATGGGATAGAGATTTGTAGATATTTGACATTATAGACCAGATCAAATAAAAGGACATCAGACAAGAACGTGTGCTGTGAACAATAGCTCCACAATAGTCGGGTACTAGTACAGGAGTGTCAACCCTGGAAAGCTAAGTGGCTGATCGTCCTAATAACAACAATCAATGAATTTGAATAGTATTTATCTGAGTCGCTGGTAGGACTATGTACCTAGGTATGTGCTGCATGGATCGTGATTGAATATTACAAGTTCAAGTTGAGCATACCTGCCACATGTGCAGTGCTCAGATGGCAGTGGCCTGGATATGTACAAAGGAACTACATCAAGGCATTCAAATGTCAGTCACCAACTGCATGTGTAAGAACTACTAACTACATCCATATGTAGAAATATCTAGAAATTACTCAAGTGTTGTTTCGAGTTGTTCTGACTTGTTGCAATAGAGAAAATAAATATTCATAGTAGCTCTCTCAACGAGCCCGTCTGCTCCAAGATGAATATGGAATTTTGTGGGTCTCAATCATTTTATATACAAGTCAACCCCAGCCGGTTAATCCCAGGAAACACCAGAGAGTGGGCGAAAGAGGTTAACCACAGAAGATGAAACGGCGTTAAAGATATTGGGAGAGAACAAATGAAAAAAAGTAAACGGGGATACATCAGAGAGACGTTTAATGTAGTACAGATAAGAACGCCTGCGACCATTAACAAAACAGAGAATCAATCAGCGATCGCTGGGAAGAGAGAAATCAATCACGCTCCCCGATTTAGCCGTAAAGGGCCTGAGGAGACATTTCACCTGCAGCCATGAAGTTGGTCTCAGGGTTGCCAGTGGCCTTGGCGGCCGAGCAGCGAGCCATTGTCGGTGAGCTGTAGGGCAAAAAAGTCAGTTTATAGCTGAAAATAGGATGGGATACAAATGGAATAACGGACCTTCGGGAGATAGAGTCAGTGAAGAAAAAGTCCTCAATAACCTTCTTGAAAGGAGAGCCGGTGGTGGCGGAACCCTTGTTCTGGTCGGCCAATTGCACCTTGCTCAAGGCGCTGACGGAGGTAGGCTCAAGAACATCATAGCGGCGCATCACGGGGCTGATCTCCTCCATGCGGTCACGGAGGGCCTCGATGTCGTCGTAGGGAAGGGGAACACCCAGGAATTCACTGGAAGCACGGATAATCTTCCAGTCATCACGGGCAGCTCCGGGCAGTGATGTGGCCGCGCGAGTAACTTGCACACGACCCTCAGTGTTAACATAGGTAACGGACTTTTCGGTGTAAGCGGCACCAGGCAGAACAACATCTGCCAGCTGGGCACCACGATCACCGTGGTGTCCCTGGTAAACGACAAACGCATCCTTGGGGATTTCACTCTGGGCGAGCTCATCGGCACCCAGCAGCCAGACCATCTTGGGAGTAGTCTGGGCGACCTCGGTGGAGGGAGCAGTGAAGCCAATCTCGTAGGCACCAGCGCGGGACGCAGCACGCTGCAGGACGTTGTAACCTTGCCATTCGGCAGTGTTGAAGGTGCTAGCATGCTTCTCAACGAAGCTGCCGACAGCCTCGAAGATAGCCTTGGCATCGGGATGCTCAGCAGCCGCGCTACCAACAATAATCATGGGTCGCTTGGCAGAGCCCAGCTTCTTTCCGAACTCGCCAGACAAAGCAGCCTTCAGGGAGGACACATCAGCACCCAGGGTATCATAGTCGAAGGTGCTTTCGAACTCTTCACCGACAAGGCCGATTTCCAGATCCGAACGCAGGTACTGCTTGCGAATGCGAGCGTTAAGAACTGAAGCCTCGTGGCGAGGGTTGGTGGCGACCAGAAGGATAGCGTCGGCTTCCTCAATACCGTAAATCTTCGAGTTGAACAGGTAGTTCGCGCGAACATCGACACCGTGGGCGATAGGGGCACTGCCACCGGGCTGGTCGAGGGCGAGGTTGTCGGAGCCCAACTTGTTAGCCATATCCTTCATAGCAACAAGTGTCTCAGTATCCACGAGGTGTCCAGCAACGGCCTTGAACTCATTAGTTTGAAGCTGGAGCTTCTCCTTGGCTTCGGAAATCTCCACCAAGGCCTGCTCCCAGGTAGCGGGAACAAATTTACCATCGCGGCGAATCAGAGGTGTGGTGAGTCGCTGAGTCTTCAATCCATCACAGGCGAAACGAGATTTATCATTAATCCATTCCTCGTTGATATCATCGTTGAGTCGTGGGATAATTCGCATAACCTCCATACCCCGAGAATCGATACGAATGTTAGAACCCAAGGCGTCCAGAACGTCGATGGACTCGGTGTGCTTCAGCTCCCATGGTCGGGCACGGAAAGCGTAGGGCTTAGATGTCAAGGCACCAACGGGGCAGAGATCGATGATGTTACCGGACAATTCCGAGTTAAGGCTTTGCTCAAGGTATGTTCCAATCTGCATGTCGTTTCCACGGCCACTGGTTCCGAGTTCAGGAGCACCTGCAACGTCGTTCATGAATCGAACGCAACGAGTACATTGAATACAACGGTTCATGGAAGTCTTGACCAATGGACCGATGTTCTTGTCCTCCACCGCACGCTTACCAGTAACCTCGTGGAAACGACCACGATCGGCACCGTAACGCATGGATTGATCTTGAAGATCACATTCACCTCCTTGGTCACAGACGGGGCAATCCAGAGGGTGGTTGGCAAGAAGGAACTCCATAACACCCTCTCGGGCCTTGTGTACCAACGGCGAATTTGTTTTCACAACCATGCCAGGCTGGACGGGCCAGGCACATGATGCAACTGGCTTGGGGGCACGCTCAACTTCAACGAGACACATACGACCTGGAAGAAAGAAAGACAAAAGTCAGCCACGTAAGTTCATGGAGTTGAAATGACGACACAATTGTTCGGAAATAGTCGCAACATACAGTTTCCTGCAACCAAGAGTTTTCTTTATAGCTGATTGTTAGCAATTTATATAATCGGAAGCATCGGCGAATGGAAACATACTCATGATAACAGTATCTATGACTTTATTAGTAAGAGGACCAAAAGAGGGATGCCATTGAGAGTCGAAATACCTTGGGACTGTAGCACCTGCTTTCTCGCATGCTTGGATAAGAGCCGAGCCAGCTGGAAGAAGATGGGTGAGTAATTATATCAATGGTAGCCACAGAGTCATATTATACCTTCGACTGAGACCTTCTTGCCGTCTAAGTGATATTATTAGCATGCATTGGACCATATATTGAATGTTTGATGCCATACCAATGGTGAGTTCCACCTCGGCTGCGCGACGGGCTGTTGTCGCGAAAGGACGGGCTCGGGGCACCCGGAGAGACCGGGCGGCCGCACGGAAGAGCTGCGGCCGCATGATTGGAGATGCGTCGATAAGGGGAGGGGGTGGGAGAGTTGGAGGAGTGGAGTGGTGTTGGACGAGGGGGGTGGAAAAGAAGGAGCTCAGAATAGACGGACTTCGAATCTTGCTTGGGTTACATAATGCAAATTGCTGACCATCCCTAGGCTGAGTAAGGTAGTTCTCACAAATGGCCGTGCTGGGATTGGTTCGGTTACTTTACCCCGGATTAACTGTATATCCGGACTTCTTCCCTTAAAATCTCCTTCTCTCCTTCAAGACCTTCTGCTCCGAATAATATCTCATTTCACGGGCGTGATTTATTGTAGGAGACGGGGATTTTTAATTCCGTGTTTCCTCTGCAACATAGTCCCAAGACCAACGTACCGAACTGGAGCAGTCAAGGGTCTTTCCCGATTATGACATGTTCTTTACCGACGGTGACTACAAAGCCCTCATGGGCAAGCACAGTGTTCAACTAAAAGAAGAAAAGACCTGTCCGTACCAAGTATATCCCCTTTCAATATGAGGGTTCTCCCCATTAAGAGAGTTACTTAGCCTTAAATTCATCTATGTTCCAAGTTATTCCAATTCACTTGTTCCTGTTTCATGTCTCGATTTCTTTTTTTAACCCCTGAAACCCTCTACATGGATGTCGTAAACACTAGCATCCATATGTGCTCTGTACTCTGTACTCTCGTTCTATCCCTCGTGCTATGCTTGAAACTTGAACTGAACTCTGCATATATGTACTTGCTCATGAAGTCAGGTTTGATGGATGGATGATCATGCTCCAATCCTCATAGATTATAATCATTTACATCCCACACGCTCTATCTATGCTGAGCATCCAGCAAAATGAAGTACAAATCAACGCTCAGAAACGCCATCCATAGTATGATACACCGAGATCTCCTAGGGGAAACAGGCTTGTTATTCCTTTGCTTTTTTTGTTGTCGTTGCTACTCAACCCCCCGAAATGGCTATAGACGGAGTAGAGGGGATGAGTACAAAAAACAGTAGCAAGGATAGCATTTTCCCGTCGAGGAAAAAATTAAAATGATGCTATGAGCTCGTGGACGAATCATTTGGTTTCCATGTTGATTCTTGCTTGGTTCCAGGAAGCCAAGTCCGGGAATTGCTCATTCCCCGAGGCCGGACTCTTCCAGGACCATCGTCTTCTTTCTTAGAGCTGTTCGTAGCATGGGAATTGTTAGATGAGAAAGAATCAAAGGACCGTGGACCAGGGAACGCATAGCCATTCGAGTCCCATGCCTTATTGGAATGTCGAACGTTCATGGGAAGAATAGTCCCGTTGACCCGGAAGTGGTCAGCATTCGCGCGTTGGTCAGCAACATCGTCATGGCTGTTGCGATCATACAGGTACAGACCCAGAAAAGTAAGAGCGATGCCAACAGCTTGAATAGAGGTGGTTGTGCTTCCAAACCACACAATTGCGACCACGATAACGAAAACTCGTTTTACCAATGAGGCAACCGAGTAGGAGACTGGAGAGACCATAGATAACAGCACAAATGCCAGAATGTTCTGGGCAAAATGAGAAACACCGTTGAAAATGAACTCAATGACGAGGGCTCCATGATCCAGGGAGCCTTGTTTGCCCGAAAGGGAAATCACACCATCATGGATAAAGTCTGATACCAAGGGATACCCCTCACTGACAAACCAGATAGGCAGAGTGAGAAAGAATGCTAGACCGGAGCAATAGCACAGCAAATTAAGCTTGTCCAACTTCCGCCGCGCGGGGTTCGCCGCATCAGCCTCTGCTCGGTCCGCGTCATTGAAGAGTTTCTTGGAGAAAATATTCTGGGACACGAAGACAATAGCAGCTAGAAAAGCGCAGGCGATTCCAAAGAAGTTGGTTGATACTCCTGTAGAGCAAGCAAGCATGACTCCAAGAGTGAGGGGGATCAGAGAGAGGTACGTAGCACGAGCATATCGAATTCGAAACAAAACTCGGTATGCCAGCACGGTGAACAGAGGGGACAATCCTTTGATTGTATGGACCAACGATACGGGGATCTGGGAAGTCGCCATAGAGCTGAGGATATGTCCTGCTAATTGGAAGACAGCCAGGGGAAGCGCGGTAGAGATCACGTCGCGGGAGGGATAACGGATTCCCTGCTTTAGCACTGGCAAGTTTTGGCGAAGCCATGGTATCACCGTGGATAGATACACCAGTAGCAGACACCAGAATGAGACAAAGGCGAATTGAATGATGGTCAAGGTGATGGGCATTGGTAGCGCATTCAAAATGGATTTCGAGGACGTGTTGGTGAGCGCGGAAGTTAGGTACCATACCACGCAGAGGCCCTGAACACGATTAGCTTTGACATGGGTCACACCATCTGTCCTTCAGGGTATATGTACAATTAGACGATACGAGACTGGGGCACGAAGGGCCTCCGCCAGCTCATGCGCATTGGCGCTCATACTGCCATTGCGGTTTCGGATTGTGGTGATGGCTTCGCTGATGCTTTTCCGCGGTCGATGTTTGGGATTTCTTATAGAACCATTGGCATTATCTCGCGAGTAGAATGTCGACTTGCGAGGTTCCCAAAGATCGTTGCTTGCATATTTCACAGAGGAGCCGGGGGTCGGGTGGTTCGTCCCTAGGGCGGAGTCAAGGGTCTCTTCGTAAGGAGGAAATTGGTCGACTGGGCTACTTGTTGGTTGGGACGGTTTCGTTGGTGTTGGTAACTCGGCTTGTCGCATGGATGGCCGGCGTCCATGACCGGTGACTGTGGTTGTTGCCATTATCCGCAGCCTCTAGCTTGGGGACAACTTGACGTTACGTTAACGGGATTGCGATACCGCGCGTGAAAGTATTCCAGTCCACTTACCCCAAAGGTTTCTAGAAAATGCTGGAAAGAGGTCGGAACTCCAATCCAAATAGGGAATTTTGTCCTTCTTTGCTCTTTTAAAGGGGAGAATTGCCGTCAAGGAATATGGGCAGTGCAGTTGAGTTGCCGATGACGAATCAGCTTGGACGAATTGGGATTAAGAATGGCCGACACACGGTAGAGATCTGAATGTAGAGAAATTGCCGACAAAGCGAAAGTTGCCGAATTTCAACAGATTTCCGTGACAAAGTCCAGTGAGGACTAGTCTTTTTCTTCTTCTTCTCGGATTTGCATATGAAGAGAAGATGGAGAAAAAAAACAAGTGGATGTTAAGGGGGCACGGGTAGGGGAAATTGAGGTCTACCATGGATCCGTATGCGACCGCATATTACATAGGCGGAGACTGCCGAATCGTGGAGAGTATACTACGCCGATTAATATAGATAGCTATATTGCTCTAGAAACATTGTTCCTGAATATTTGAAACATCGATGGATATCATGTAGAATCAAACTTGAAGGTCTCCGAGTCATAAGGATTCAAGTTCCAATGTTTCACATTTACCTGAGAGAACATTTGGGCTTCAGATACTGCTTCTCAAGGGACCTGCAGCCTTTCAATTATGACATAATATTAGGGTAGAATCTGAGAAGAAGAGCCTCAAAGTACGTACCTCAATCATTTCTTTCTCTAGAGACCCCAATACTAATTGAGAAGCTCCAGAAGCCTTTTATGATAAGACACGTATGAAGATCACCAGAGCTCTCAAGTAGGTACTGGAATTGAGCACATTCAAGCATGGTTGCAAGAAGCACATACATGTAAGGTTCTTACAGATCTCTGATACTGTGGAAAGTATATGAAATAACCAATAGGTAGCTCCAGGCCCGGGAATTGCAATGCTGACCTGGCACACTGGCATATGCAAGATGCTACCCACATGGGCACATGTACATCTAGAAGACACTTCAAATTTTGCTACTCATGCTAGCTTAATTGACTAATAGTATCATTGCCACTTACTACAAGGTTTCATGTCTCATGTATGTATGTACTCAAGTGCTGAATCATGCCAAATCCACGACCAATGGAGTCTATTGATGTGCACTATCAAAACTATTCAAAATGGTACCTATACTCAAAGTTGGAAGATTTATGTGCAAGATACTCAGCACTGCCAGTTGGCCTAGTAATACTGCCAGATGATATTCATTAAATCTGTTAATCGATAATCACCTTGGAACTTTCTACCATCTAATATTTTCGACGATGATGCACAGAAGAGAACTTGAATCAAATTTATTTACTATGTCTAATTGTAATTGCGTTACGCTATGGAAACTCTCCTACCTAGCTGTAGGAGTGAAAGGATTTTGACGAGGGCAAGTTGAGTACGTATCACCATGAAACATCAACTCTCACTTCCCCCACTTCATGGTGAACAACGCATAAGCGAGATGCAGCCACTGTCTCCACTTCGATGAACACGTCGCTCGATGGTTCCTGAAACAGAGTATACGGGTCGATCTCTGCCAAGTCAGCTCATGCCAGCTTTACTACGACGCCAACTCTGCAGAAGAGTGGAGAAATCTCCAGTTTACGGGCTGCGAACCTCGAGCCCCCACTCTTCCCAGTCAATGAAGGCAGTCGCGTAAAAAGGACCATATTGTGTCATCTGGTGGGGGACTAGGAGTTCAAATCGAAGAGCTGATTGATTGGATCTGGTTAGTTCATACGTACATTGATGGTCGGGTCCCTTAACAAGATAATAGATGAAGAGATCGGCAACAGGAATCACTGCCAATTGTCCCTCAATCGCCTTTTCGGGGTTTCCAGTCCCTCTCGGATCCACGATCTCGGAATCTACTACCCGTAAAGCTATTCATGGCATCGATCATGATGGATTGAATTGATGAAAGCAGCTGCTGGATATGCATCTCTCTCAGCAGATAAGGTCTATAGAGTTAAATATTCGAGTTTTCAAAAGCTGAGAACGCAATGACAATAAGAACTTGGGTGACGGAGATGGTGGCTCTCTCTCTCCCCACCCCAAAGTCTGGTTTCCTCTGGACTGCATGAGGCGGGGAAGAGCGCCAAATGGCTGGCTGAGAACCCACATTCTACTTCAGATCGAGTCTCCTCATCCAAAAAGAGCCGGATACATAGGCCTGGATCATGATCTGATTCGACTAACGACCCACTATGCCCCGAATCTTGGGTCTATGCTGCTATAATCGCCACCATTGTATCAGGAAGCGAACTGTTACGTGTGATCAACATACAAATGCATGGAGCTGGAGCTTTAGCTGCATTTTTACCCGGTGTGATATCACCTGTGTGCTCCATGCTGCCACCTCGGTCCTAGGTTTTCACCGTCATGTATATCATCACCATATTTGGTCTGTGGATCCATTGAGAATGAGTTATAAAAGGCATTTGTTTTCCCCTTCATCGATTCATTCTCATACAAAAGAAATCAATTGATCACACCCCGAAGCCATCATGGTTTACTACGCCTACGCAAAGAACGTACGAATCCCTTCTGAGACAAAGAAGGCATTGGAAGCAAAGCTAACTAAGGCACTAGAGCAATGACGATTGGTCATGGCGCTACCTGATCATCGCACCTTCTTATGATGTCCTCAACCAGTGGTACGAGGCTGTCCGCGGCCGTGTTGCCGAAAATGTTCTCTGGCGTGTCTCCGAAGATTTCTACGTGTTCGACCGAAACAAGTTGAACCTTGGAAGAAGCACCATGGCTGGTGCTGAAGCTCCTCAATTCATGAACAAGCTTATTTTCCAACTGCAAAATGACAACGAGGGCCGAGGCATCTCCACCTTCAACAACTCTTGGAACCGTTAAGAAAGAAGATGTAAGTAGAGTTCGTCCTCATACTTTGCACAGAGTTCGTTCTAACAATCATCCTAGACACAACGGTTTGACGTCGACCTGGCTTGTGAAGATCCTGTTCAAGTTATTCCATATAGTCTATTGAGAGAGTAATGGAGCATACAAAGCGTCTATTATGATTGGACAGGAGCGTGCCTGGTCTGATTCAATACTTCTAATTATGTACCCGAGTACCTAGTCCCTATTAAAATATCCAAACGACGTGATGAAATGAAGTATAGGAGTACTGGCTGCTGTATTATCTGAAATCCCTGAGCACTATCACCTAGATACCCATCCAAGTATTGAGTAGGTACTAACTTATAATAGGGCTGTTGACCAGTGATTCTGTAGTATTCATCACGAGTATGGTTCCAACCCTGGGCAGCTTTCAGTGTCACTACGTAGAACCACTGTTTGTATAATGGATAGCTCGAAGGCTTAGATAGTAGGTAGATATTACGTGATGTCCACCATGATTTCTGGGGATTTTACCTGCACATGCACATGTGTGGGCACAACTAGATCATGATGCCAGGGCTACCTCTCAACAGAGTCCTGGAGTCGTTTCTAGCTTGAGCTTCAAAATGTTGAAAAATTCCAAGGTTGAGCTTTGATCCGATACTCGATACTCGATGCTCCGGGCACAAGTTTTCTTAATCCATGCCTAACATAGGCAACTACTTAGACACGCCTCTATCCGAAACTATATTCAAGCTGTTATATGAGGATATGAATTTAGACTGGTATGACTGAAGCTCCACGGGAGACGTAGTGTCCAAGATCCAAGACCTCTACTACTGGGGTACTTGTATATACGACTTCGCTACTAGATAATCTGATTGATATGACAATATATTCCATTAGTTCAATTTAGATGAGACTCAGAAAATAAGGAGAAGCTGAGAACGAGAAAAGAGAAAGATACTTTCTCGTATGGCATAAGATGATATACATGGACTCGGATGTGTGATCTTTTAAACTAGGGTAGTGGCAGAACTCTCACCGTGGACTGCACTTACTCGTCGTGCCTTCCCCATACTGTGTTTTGTTGTTCTTCCCATGATATTTCACTTTGCAAGTCTCTTTTCACCTTTCTCATCTTCCTCAATCCTCCATCCCTCATCTTCTTCATCTTCCCCATTTTCCCCATATCCCTCAGATTACATTTCAATCCTCTGATCTTTTTCATTTTCGTGATAGTCGTCATTCTGTGAAGCCGAACCGGTCTGAATCCTTTCATCAGGCTGTAAAGGAGAAGCAACCCCACTGCCACCAAGTTATCTGCATCTCAAACCAAGCGCTGATGAGCATCATGTCTTCCATCATGAGTCAACCTAAACTGCCAGTGCCTTTCATCAACAACAGTGGGGGTGTGAGAAAAGACCCTATGGATTCGAGAAATCTTACCTTCGGCCGCGAGCCATCAGTGAGTTTGATTCATTCGTTTCAGACCCAAATATGTACTCTTTCTTATTAAGATCCCTTATAGTCTCATTTTCCTTCCAGCAGTCACCACAGCTCGTCGGATATCCTGGATCCCCCAAGAAACAGCACCCATACTTCATCTAGCGAAGACTCTGAACGCCCCTCGAGCAAGGTGAGCATATCTTCTTGATTTAAGATACTCGTGATCTGACCAGCCTAGAAGCAGAAGTTTGATCACACAAATGCCGAATCTCTCGTTGCCCGTTCCTCGGAGTTAGAGACCATCCTTGCAAAGCTCTCTCCCGGCATTGTTTCGGCTATTGATTCTGAAAGTATGGATCCTTGCTCTGGGGATGAGATGGAGCTTGCTCGACTCAGACAGCAACTTGTCGCTGCAAATTCTAGAATTGCTTTCCAGGAGCAAGAGCTTGCCCAGTCTCGTGTCATAAAACATACTATGGATCAGGCTCTTGGCCCCCCTTCGGAAGCAGACTTCGGTGGTCGAGAGATTACTGAGCAGACCATAAGTCATTTACAAAGTGCTTTCAATGCTTCGAATACTGGCTTCAGTCAATTCCAAGATGCATGGAACTCGCAAGAAGACTCCCAATCCGATGTTTCCGACGCGCTGTCCGCCGGCGCTTACAACCGTGCTCGAGGACTTTGGAATCAGCAAGGCCCATTACCCTTTGGAATGGGGCCCAGTGCTCCCTTTGAGAAGTCATACACTGAGGCTTTTCAAGGTGTGAATAATACCTCTCAGGACTCAAATCGATTCTGGAGTGGGCCTCCGGCTTACTCTTCTTTTGCATCTCAAGGAGCACTTCAATCGCAACGAATTCTGTCAGGGCCCTCGGCTACCACGTACGGTTTTTATTCCAGACCTCCAGTTGAACAAGCTCGATTTGCTCAGGCACCAAATATGGGTCCACGTCGTTCTACCACCCAAGGAAACCGTACAGGTAACCTCATTTCGGCTCAATCTAACTCTTGGGGTGGTATAGTCCCCGGATCACCTGCTGAGGCTGCTCCCAAATCCCCTTCTTTGCCGCCTGTCAGGCCTTCTGGCACTTTTTCACCAATTGGAATATACCAGATGCCACCCTTTCCCCCACGACCAATGTCAACCACACTCTCTCCTACCGCCACTGAGTTTACAGCTGGGAACACCAATAGTCCTCCCTGGGCGAATTCTTCCGTGAGTAACATTGACTGATTCATTGATTGAGCACCTGCTGATACTAGCCAGCCTGGGGCAAGCTCCATCCAAACTTACGTTTCTCCCCTGGAACCCTTGAACTATCGGCGTCTTCTGGACAAGAATGTCTCTTGCGACTGGAAATACATCGTTGACAAAATAATCTGCAACAACGACCAGCAAGCTTCTATCTTCCTGCAACAAAAACTCAAAGTTGGAACAACGGAGCAAAAGTACGAAATCATCGAGGCGATCGTGAGTCAGGCCTACCCATTGATGATCAATCGATTTGGGAATTTCCTTGTCCAGCGCTGCTTCGAACATGGTACGCCTGAGCAAATTATTTCCATTGCCAATGCAATCAGAGGCAACACCCTCACCTTGAGCATGGATCCGTTTGGCTGCCATGTTATCCAGAAAGCATTTGATTGTGTTCCCGAGGAGCACAAAGCTGTCATGGTTCATGAGCTTCTTCGCCGAATCCCAGAAACTGTTATCCATCGGTACGCATGCCATGTCTGGCAGAAGCTCTTTGAACTTAGATGGACAAGTGATCCCCCGCAGATTATGACCAAGGTCAATGACTCCCTGCGTGGCATATGGCATGAGGTTGCTCTAGGAGAAACCGGAAGCTTGGTGGTTCAGAACATCTTCGAAAACTGTGTCGAAGAAGAGAAGGTAAGTTCATGGGTTACAAAAAAGCTCCTTGACTCTTTTCTCAGAAATACTCTAACATCATGAAGCGACCGGCAATTGAAGAGGTTCTAGCAAAAGTTGATGTGCTGGCTCATGGCCAGTTCGGTAACTGGTGCATCCAGCATATCTGTGAGCATGGAGCCCCTCATGACAAGAGCCGTGCCACTGAGCATGTTCTTCATTATGCGGTCGACTACAGTATGGATCAATTCGCGTCCAAAATTGTCGAAAAATGCTTGAAGATCGGAGGGTCGGAATTCTTAGACCGTTACCTCGCTCGTGTTTGCACTGGACGTACGGACCGACCTCGGATGCCATTGATTGACAGTGAGTGGACTGATCTCTTTTGTTTGTTTGCGCTGACTGCATGAGTCCCAATTGACACAAACTTTAGTCGCAGGTGATCAGTACGGCAATTATCTGATCCAGTGGATCTTGATGAATGCTGCACCCCATCAACGTGAGCTTGTGGCGAGCCACATCAGGTACGCAGGCCCTTGATTATTAGTGTTCATCAGATATAGCTGCTCACCATTTGAAACCATTACTAGGAAACACATGGTATCCCTTCGAGGTTCGAAGTTTGGTTCACGTGTCGCTATGCTCTGCTGCAACCCATCTCATGCCACACGTCCCGGACCTGGGACCGGCATACAGATGGGGCGATTGAATCACTTCAACGAGGAAAGATTTGCATCTGCCAGTCAAAACAACAACCGCTTCAGCCGGGGAGGTCAATGGAACCCGAATTATGCACCTTTTCGTTGAATTTATGAGGCACAGGGGGGCACACCTCCACCGACATTCTCGTTTCTTCACTTGCGGAGGAAACGAAAATTACGGGGAACGCTGCACCCTACGAATGAGCGGGAAAAAAAATCAAAAAGACCAAAAAAAACATTGACAGATTACTTGCCACATCAATTATCTCCATATTCGTTTCTAGGTGTCTCTTGCCATTCCCCTGGTGGCAGCCAACACGACTCAGCAAAACTTTTTAATCTCCGTCGAATCAATCTCGTCCATTCACTTCTGCCTGATCATCTATTTTCTTGGCCTCTCTTTCGCCCATTGTTCGGTCACTCTTGAGCTTCTTGTCTCTCCTTCATGCCTAGCATGGCCCAAAACTCTGCTGTGCGAGGCGTTGATCTGCTTGTGATGGTAACTTAAATTTCACTCTCAAGTACGAAGCAATTACTCGGTGTCGATTATGTTCGGAGTCTGGTTTGCGAATGGTCTTGCTATGCGTTCACAAGATATCTACTGCTGACCTTCTAGCCTGTGTTGCATTCTTAACTTTTCAGCAGCCACTGGAGCGATTGCCTATCATTACGTTATCCAAGTCATGAAGAAAAGTGAATTAGCAGTTTCTTTTTGTCAATGATTAGTTTGAATTAAGGAGAATTGATATCATTAAAATCCGAGTCTCATGTAACCTTCTTGCCAGTCTATTCCGCTTCCGTAAAAATCCGACAGAGACCAGGAAACAAGCTGCATGGGACAGTCATTTTCAAGGTGCACTGGCTGTTGTCTCATTCTGTACTTCCACCGCTGTATCGTTCTCCCAAGGCTTACGTCGCCGAGGTTTCTCACTTGTGATGTCGTGTCCGGTCAAGACTGTATCAGGGATCTGTTCAATCCCCGGTATTGGTTGTCCAGTAGTGATAAGTTCGACAATATGAGCAAAGGAGGTTGGATATACAGGTTCACTACCAGTTGATGATTGAGTGGCAGCTGGGGGTGTATCCGACGAATTTGTCATGCTGTTTGAATCGGTAGGTTCGCTCGCTGATGGCTCAACTAGCCATGACTTGTAGGCTGCGAAATCGATGGGTGTGGTGAGATTTTCTTTTCTGCACGTGCATGAGTAGTCAGCAGGGCTTCAAAAAGAGCTGGAGGCGCTGATTTCTATAAAATACCGTGAAAAGAAGAAACATTTAGCTTGTAGAACAAGGTCATCTTCTCGATTCATCTCCGCCTCCGTGGCTGGCGTGCCGGGGTGCCCAAGGATAATCGCTAGGCCATTTGCGAATTCCGGGTCCTGAATGAAAGGATAGTCGCGTAATCCTTCGAATAAATCCAAGCTTTGTGCCATTGTTCCTTGTACTCGAGAGTTCCAAGGTTGTGTAGTTTGTAATGATGTGGAGTGGTGGGGTAAAGAAGAGACGAGGCAGCCGAGGCTCATAAGATAAGCTTGCCAACGCTCCCCTTATCCTAACTCTGATCTGATCTGATCTACTCCAACCTCGGGAAGCTGCGATCTTGCCATGTTACTCGAGGCTACTCCATACTAATGTACGACTTTGATCTTGCTGAATATTTGAGGATTGAATTTTATTGCTTATTTTTAACACTCAAAGACAACGCCAGACCATGCTATTATATGCAACGAGAGGGAAATTAGAAAAGAAGAATGACATAAATCTTAGGCAGTCATGTCCATGCCATCAGGTTGTACGGTGTTTGTACCCAAGGCCTGATTATTTCGACTTTGGCATCCTGGGCAGTTATGTACTACCTCATGCGCAAAGAGGTCGCAATCAATGCAAAAATGATTATGACATGATGTGCATTCATAGCGACTGCTCACACTCATCCCCCTGGTATGGGGTTCAGAGCTCTGCGAGTGATTCTCGGGCACCGCGGGGAAAGCAAGACCACAAGCAAAACATGCAGTAGATTTCTTTGCTCGCTGCCATGGCACCTCAACCCAATTCATCAGAGGGAATAAGTGGTGGTATGAACGGGCCAGATGTGTTGATAGAATCAAAGTAAGCCCACATGCTGGGCACTCTGACGGCAGACTGCACACTCTGTGACCACAACGAGAGCAGGAATATCCGCCTCGAGCCGGCTTTGAGTGACATTTACAGATAGAGGATTTCGAATCCATAGTCCTGGATGGGAAACCCATCATTAACATGGAACTGACTGCTTGTTTTTGAGAATATGCGGCTGGAGGTGTGGTCACGTCCATCATCAATTCCCGGAAATGCTGCTCATTCAGTACCACACCATACGCAGTCTCATCTCCTCCATTCGTTTTTGAGCATAGCTCTCGACAAATTGCAACTTGTGCGGCGAGACCAACAATGCGGACTCGTACTTTGTCCTCGACTAATGTATTAATAGTCTGGTAGATATCACCTGGATCGGATGATAGAAGGGATCCAAAGATAACTAGGACCTCTTTCGTACCATGACTGGGTGTGTGACTGTAGTAGAGAGTTAATAAAGAAGTCCTCTTTACGGGTGTAATGATGGAACCACGTACGATAAAGCACCTCGGGCCATATCCAGACCATTTTGAAGACTTGGAAGTCCTTTCGGATCATCCAGCTTAAGCGACTGGATCGCTGTCATATGATCCGTAGGGTTTCCACTCATCTCGCTGACCTGAATAGACAACCCATCTCGTAGGCCCAGGATGCCTAACTGAGAGATGGGATTCTGTTCAAAGAATTCCCGTACAAATTCCTGCGCATATCGAATGGTCAAGAGGTATCGGCTCGGGCGCAGATCTTTCTCGGACATGGGTTGTGAAAGATCAATAATGAGGATCAGATGACGGATGATGCCTCGTTGGAGAGGAGTGGTATCTTTCAGAAGCCTTTATCGCATCAAAAAATTAGTCAAAGCTTTAATGAAACAGATATAGGAAATGACCTTTTTCGCTTGCTAGCTTCCAGTAGTCCTTCTACCGCTGAACTGATGGTACCATCAGCACCTTCGACCAAGGTCTCCCAGGTCCTGGAAAGTTCCCATTCCGCAGCTCCACGTTGTTTTCTCTTCCTGGTGCCGGGCTGATTCCTCCGAGTTACCTGGAGATCATCCTCATCTTCTGTGACTTCTCCGACGTATTCCTCATCCGAATCAGCCATGGCGAAAGCTCAAACCCGTAGTGGTGAAAGGTGGGTTTCAAATGTTCATGAGGAGCGAATTAACTGGACAAATCGAGTATGACGCCCACCGCCTAGTACACCGCCTACCATTGAATGTATAAAGAGGCTCTCTATAGGTACTTGATGGACTGCTATTATGGACAAAGGAGATGTAGGATTCATACAAAGATTCCATATAATTCTGTCAGTAAATATAATTGTTCTCCATTCAAATACTCCCATATAATCGACTTTGTTTGAGTTCTTTACTATACAATCCAGAATATGAAGATTGCTATCTACTAGCTCTCCACTATAACTATGAACGGTTAACCTGGCTGACGATTTCAATTCCTAATCATGATCGCAATTTCAATTACCTAAAACTATGGCCTTCTACTCCTAACACGTAGAGCTAAGCTTTCTCTTTTCAGCCTAGCATATAAAAGGCGTTTGGAGAAGATTCGCCTATCTGGTAAACTATCGTGTGATGGTCCAAGCTCCGACGGAGCTCCGTCTGGAAGAACTTCGGCTTCTTTCTTTTTGTCGCGTGTTTCAACAAGAGAAAATCACCCATCAAATCACAGCAAAGTAAAGAGCCGACAACCGCCTTCTGTGGAGTTCAAGTCCGACGGTAGCCGGGGACTGTACAGAGTACATAGAGAGAAGCTTGGAATTTTAGGTCGTAGTGATGTGGGGAAGAAGATCCATAGCGGCGACAAGGCGCGCCGGCATTGCCATTGCAGTGCGGCCAAAGCCCTTCCGCCCCTCCCCCTCCTTCCTTTCCTCTCTCTCAACTTCTTCAAATTCTTCCTCCCCTCGTGTGCGTCCTCGATTAAACCTGAAACCTGCGTCCAGGCTTAATCTTATATCTACTCGTTATTGCTCCGCTGAGGCTCGCATGATGGCCTCTGCTGATCGAGACATCTTGCCCGATGTGTGAGTACTGGTTGCCCCTCCATATGTTTTCTTATTACGTTGCAGATCGTCGACCTCTACCTCCCCTTACCGCTTTTTATGAACGACGATATCGACTGGAGCATTGGACTTATAAGTTATGTAGGGCTAAACCGATCAACTACCATGTTTCGCTCTTCGACTTGCAGCTTGGTGGCTCATGGGGCTACAAGGGTCTGTTGAAGATCGATACTAAGATCACTCGTGCTACAAATGAAATTGTTTTGAACGCCAAGGAGATTGAGGTTCAGGATGCTGTGGTATTCGGGAAGGATGGTTCGTACAATCCAGTTGCTTGATCTAAATTGGTGTACATGAAACTGACCATCGTTATGATCCTGTTCAATAGGCTCCGAATTGGCAAAGACCTCCGAGATCACCTACGATAAAACATCCGAGCGTGTGTCCTTGAAGTTCTCGCAGGAAGTTGCCCCTTCTGATGTTGTTTTGTCGATCAACTTTACCGGTACTATGAACAATGCCATGTCGGGTTTCTACCGATCTAAGTATACGCCTGTTGGAGAACCTGGTGCCGACACACCCAAGGATGGTGACTCTTACTACATGCTGAGCACTCAATTCGAGTCCTGTGATGCCAGGAGGGCCTTCCCTTGCTTTGACGAGCCGAACCTCAAGGCTACCTTTGATTTTGAAGTCGAGATCCCGAAGGGCCAGACTGCTCTTAGCAACATGCCTGTTCTTGCTGAGAGAGAAGGCAGCCACTCTGGGCTCAAATTTGTCACTTTTGAGAAAACACCCGTGATGAGCACTTACGTGAGTTTCAATAACCTCAAACCTCTCGATCCAAACTCCGTTAACACAAGACTTCGAATTTCAGCTGCTCGCTTGGGCTATTGGTGATTTTGAATACGTTGAGGCCATGACACAGCGCAAGTACCAGGGCAAGAGCATTCCTGTCCGTGTCTACACCACTCGAGGCCTCAAGGAGCAGGCTCGCTATGCGCTGGAATGTGCCCACCAGACAGTTGACTACTTCTCAGAGATCTTTGAAATTGAATATCCTTTGCCCAAGGCTGATCTGTTGGCCGTCCATGAGTTTGTGAGTTGTTGATTTCTTGTAAGAAATTTGATCCTCAAGCTGACTTCTGTTGAGGCCATGGGAGCCATGGAAAACTGGGGATTGGTTACATACCGTACCACTGCTGTCCTTTTCGATGAAGGCAAATCCGACAATCGCTATAAGAACCGCATTGCCTACGTCGTTGCTCACGGTAAGCAGTTTTATCTCTCTTTACAATATTCAGCGTGTTCTAACTTATTATGCAGAACTGGCGCATCAGTGGTTCGGTAACCTCGTCACCATGGACTGGTGGAACGAGCTTTGGCTCAATGAGGGCTTCGCAACCTGGGTTGGTTGGCTCGCCGTTGATCACTTCCACCCAGGTAAGTTTCACATACTTGGACATAACATGCTATTGAATCTAACATTACTTGGCAGATTGGAACATCTGGTCTCAGTTTGTCGTACGCAATAATCGAGGTAAATCCCATCCTCTCAAGATCACTATCATTGACATATTTCACAGGCTGAGGGTGTGCAACAAGCATTTCATCTTGACTCGCTCCGTGCGTCTCACCCTATCGAGGTGCCGGTCCGAAACGCTTTGGAGGTGGATCAGATTTTCGACCACATTAGCTATCTGAAGGGAAGTTCCGTCATTCGCATGCTGAGTGTTCACCTTGGCCGTGAGACATTCCTTCGTGGTGTCGCTGATTACCTCAAGTCCCACGCATACGGTATGGATCAAACAAACTCAAATGTATGGTGCGGTGCTTAGGCGTACTGACATTATTTAAGGTAATGCAACCACCAATGACCTTTGGTCTGCTTTGAGTAAGGCCTCTGGCCAAGATGTCCATGCGTTCATGGTAAGATGAGATTTGCCCCACATCGCCAGATCTCTAAACTGGTGATTTATACAAAGAATAAGCTCTGACAAAAATCCAAGGACCCATGGATCCGCAAGATTGGATTCCCCGTCGTTACTGTGGCCGAAGAACCTGGTCAAATCAGCATTCAGCAGAACCGTTTCTTGTCCACTGGGGATGCGAAGCCAGAGGAGGATGAGACCACTTGGTGGATTCCTCTGGGCATTAAGTCTGGTGAGAATCTGGCTTCTGTAGACACTCGCGCTCTCACTCAGAAGTCCGACAACGTGTCGGGCGTTGGCGAGGACGGTTTCTACAAGATCAACAAGGATCTGGCTGGTTTCTACAGAACTAACTACCCTCCTGCTCGTCTGGAGAAGCTTGGTAAATCTCTTGCTCTGCTGAGCACCGAGGATAAGATTGGCTTGCTGGGAGATGCTGCTGCTCTTGCCGTCTCCGGTGAAGGCACCACTCCCGCTTTGCTGGCTCTTCTCGAAGGATTCAAGGGAGAGGAAGACTATCTGTGAGCACGCATCTTCAGTGGCTTCAAAGCCATGAAAGCTTTTGCTAATACTCATATTTTTCTACTCTAGTGTCTGGTCCCAGGTTTCTTCAACATTGGGCAACCTACGTTCTGTGTTCTCTCAAAATGAAGCCGTCGCTGACGGACTGAAGAAGTTCACTAAGCAGTTGGTTGCGCCAGCTGCGGAACAAATTGGCTGGGAGTTCAAGGCCAATGATGATTACCTCACTGTTCAGCTCCGTAAGCTCCTGATTGCTATGGCTGGCGGTTCTGGTCATGAAAGGTAAAGGATTTTTGAACTATACTGAAAATAATTATTGGAACATCTTTTGCTGACTCGATCTTTCAATAGCATTGTTGCGGAGGCAAAGCGACGATTTGATCTGTGGGCGACTGGCCAAGACAAGAGCGCCGTTCACACCAATCTCCGATCAGCTATTTTCACCCTCAACGTATCGGAGGGTGGCCGCAAGGAGTATGAAGCCGTCAAGGAGGAGTACCTGCGTACCGACTCTGTGGATGGAAAGGAGATTTGTCTGGCTGCCATGGGACGCACCAAGGATGCGGCTCTTGTGAAGGATTACCTTGACTTTGTCTTCTCCGACAAGGTGGCTATCCAGGACATGCACAGTGGTGCAGTCGCTCTGGCCGCTAACTCCAAGGTTCGACACCTCCTGTGGGAGTACATTCAGTCCAACTGGACATTCGTCGAATCCCGACTGTCTTCCAACAATGTCGTTTTCGAGCGATTTGTCCGCATGGGACTGTCCAAATTCGCCGATCACCGTATTGGTGACGAGATTGCGGCTTTCTTCCAGACCAAGAAGACTGGAGCTTATGAGCGTGCGCTTGTCATCATCTCGGACAATATCCGGACTAATGCATCCTACAAGGAACGGGACGAGGCATTGGTACTGGAATGGCTCCGGGCCCATGGCTACGCGTAAAGCATGGCAACGCACTCATAGAATGCAGCGTCAGTAAATGAAATATCAATAGTTGATAAGATATGAGGTCACCTGCCCCAACCAACTGAGGTTCACACGGAGGCGACATGTGCGGTGAGGAGAGGTCAGTCGGATGATCATATTGCTCCCACGAGTCATATTTAGGTAAAACATCTAGTCATCGCCAAGTTCCAGCTCTTGAAAGAAGATTTCATCAAGGTAAAGCGAGAGAATCAAAAGTAAATTTAAATTAAATTACTAAAAATAATTATCAAGATCCATTCCACACTGCCAGGTGGGCAGTAATCTAAGTATGACCTTGACCAGTTGACTCAATCAAATAAAGCGGTGACGATGAAACAAAGCTGCACATCAGGTGCGCGTGCCCCCCTGCACCTCCTATCATTTCAGGCGTTCATCAACTCCCCTCCAACTTGAATTCCACCCCCTTCACCTACCATCTCCACGAGCTTCTTCTTTTTTCTTTTTGCTATAGTTAACTCTACTTTGGAGATAAGCCCCCCCCTCATCCTCTTCATCATGAACCCCGAGTGGTAAGTCCTCGTATCCCCCGGTCGGCACGCTCGCCTCACCCCCGTATTTCCATTTCCGCCCGTTGTTGTGGTCGCAAAATCCTCTTCATTTCATGAATGGACCTTGACTTGAAATCTTGACTGACCTTTTTTTGATCTTTCAGAGTACGATTTGGAGTGACGGATCCATCGCGACCCTTCAAACCCGTTTTATTGCCGATCTGCCTAATCTAACCTCAAATCCCCAAAAATAGATACGATTACCTCTTCAAGCTACTCCTCATCGGAGATTCCGGTGTTGGAAAGTCTTGTCTGCTGCTCCGTTTCGCTGATGACACCTACACTGAGAGCTACATCTCTACCATCGGTGTGGACTTCGTATGTTGATCTGGATTCCACGCGGCCTATAAAAAGGCAACCGTATACTGATGCAACCTTGTTACAGAAAATCCGCACTATCGAACTCGATGGCAAGACCGTGAAGCTTCAGATTGTATGAAACTCTTTGTCAAGCGCCAAAAAAGGAAACTAGAACTAACATAAAAATAGTGGGACACTGCTGGCCAGGAACGTTTCCGTACCATCACCTCATCTTACTACCGTGGCGCCCACGGTATCTGCGTCGTTTACGATGTCACAGATATGGACTCTTTCAACAACGTCAAGCAGTGGCTCCAGGAGATTGACCGATATGCCACCGAGGGTGTGAACAAGCTACTGGTCGGTAACAAGAGTGATATGGAAGACAAGAAGGTTGTGGAGTACACCGTTGCCAAGGTAAGTGTAACCCTGATATACAGGAATAGTCTCTTTCTTTTCCTGTAGACATTTGCTAATACGGATCTTTCACCGATAGGAGTTTGCCGACAGCCTTGGAATCCCCTTCCTCGAGACTTCCGCTAAGAACGCATCGAACGTCGAGCAGGCCTTCTTGACAATGGCGCGTCAGATTAAGGAGCGTATGGGAACAGCCACCGTTAACAACAAGCCTACTGTGCAAGTTGGTCAAGGCCAGGGTGTCCAGTCTGGATCCGGTGGCGGCTGCTGCTAGACGAATGCGATATGATGCTTCTCATTTGGCGCAATGTTCCATCATGGGTTGAGGGTTCTCAAAACGGCGTTCTCCTTCAAATAAGAGAGTCTATATGATACTCGAACTTTGAGTGAGGACTTGAGGAGGATTGATGACCCTTTATTGCTTCTTTCTCGTGCTTTAGACGGCCCTGCCTTCTGTCATTCTGCGTTTTGCTTCTTGATCACCGGTGTTTTTTTTCTCTCTTCTTTTCCGAGTCTTTTTTTTCTCTTTGACCCCACTCTTCCATTTACTCCTGTGCTGTTTATTTTTCCTGGCCACATATGCTTCGGCCTTTGCTGTGATATGTTCTACACTTTTCTTTTTTCCTCTCTCCTTCTCTCTTTCTTGTAGGTTGGATTCATCTCTGAATGAATTAATGGCGAGAATGATGTCTTTTCCAGTGGTCTCTCTTCCTGAAATCTTTAGGTCTCACGGGGACAAGTATTCAATATACGTAGCATGATGATATTTCCGTAGTCAACCTTGGAACTCTCTTGTATTGCATTTAATTCTGCTGAGTAACTCATGCTATGATTTGGTACCTGAGGCATCAATGTCAATCATTAAAGATCACATGCTTATGCTGCACTGCTGATCTCCTTAAATGGAAATAGGAAATTATGGAGATTTCAGAAAAATAAAACTCTAGATTTATATTAAATGACTAAAAGTACAACCGAATAATATATGTATGTGTCAGGGTCTTCCATGTGGATGGAGTCAGAAACTCCGCATCTGCATTATCAACCCCGGAGTGTAGTGGAGTTTGGGCACGAGCCGAGGCACACCACTCGGCAGAACGTCATGAAACTCTCTACCCTTTCTAACGCCGATTCATTATCGCGCCCTTTCTCCTGACATCTCTTTTTACTTTAACCCCTTACGCTCCTTTTTATTCAACTAGGTCTACCTAAGTTTTTTCACATCTTAATTCTTCTTCAACCACACAGCTTTCCTTTCAAACCCCTTCAACCATGTCCGAACGTCCTCAACAGAAGCCGAGCACCTCAGTGGCTCTCCAGCAAAGTGATAACATCGCGCACGCGCTGGCCGGTGCTGGAGGCGGCATGTTGTCGATGGTCATGACGTACGATTTCCATCGTGCTCTGGTCTTGTTGTACGAGTGGCGCAATGCTAACATCAACACAGATACCCTCTAATCACTCTCTCCACAAGAGCACAAGTCGAGTCGAAGCGTGCACACTCCACCACCCTCGATGCCGTCCGTCGAATCGTCCAACGAGAAGGTATCTCCGGCCTTTACTCGGGTCTGGAATCCGCTTTGTTTGGAATCAGCGTCACCAACTTTGTTTATTACTACTGGTACGAGTGGACGCGCGCAGCTTTTGAGAAAGCAGCTATCCAAGCTGGTCGATCGTCCAAGAAGCTCACCACGGTCGAGTCTATGATTGCGGGCGCGATTGCAGGTAGTGCTACCGTGTTGATCACAAATCCTATTTGGGTGATCAACACCCGTATGACAGCTCGCAAGTCTGAGTCGGAAGAATCCTTGCCTGGGGCACCAAAGACCAAGGCATCGACCCTTAGCACCTTGATGGAGTTGCTGAAGAAGGACGGACCCAAGGGTCTATTCGCTGGTGTGCTCCCGGCATTGATCTTGGTCATTAACCCTATTCTTCAGTACACTATTTTTGAGCAGCTTAAGAATGTGGTCGAGCGTCGTCGTCGAATGACTCCTAAGGATGCATTCTATTTGGGTGCTCTTGGTAAGATTCTGGCCACCAGCATCACTTATCCTTATATCACGATCAAGAGTCGGATGCATGTGGCCAGCAAGGATGGTCCTAAGGAGAGTTTGAATGGAACTCTTAAGCGGATTATCCAAGAAGAGGGATGGAAGGGGTTGTATAAGGGTAAGTTTGGTCGAAAAATCTCTTATATATAAGTTTACTTGAATTGTCTGCTTACTTATCGTGATTATTTTCCATAGGCATCGGTCCCAAGGTCACCCAGAGTGCCATTACAGCCGCATTCCTCTTTGCCTTTAAGGATGTCTTGTATGATGCCATGGTGAAGCTGCGAAAGAGACGTGCTATCCGTCAGTAGAGACAAATATTTGTCTCTTGATTTGATAATTCTATTTCGGGTGGTTTTGGTGCATCTCTTCGGATAGAATATGGTGGGAAAGAGAAAAGATCAGATGGATATCAGATTTATTTGGTGGTATTTTCCAATTAAGGACTATAGTTCCTTTCTCTATTAGGTGAGTTCCTGCTTTTCTTATTTACTAGTACTTTATCGGTCAAGTTTTATGATGTCTTTGTGGTCTCACTTTATACTAATCTTGACAGGATTTTGATAGACCAAAATGTACATACTAGTTCTCTTTTAAATCCAGTTAATATTCCCTGCTTCTTTGTAATATTGGCCATTGTTTTACACCTGGGCATACTATACTCAAATATCATATTTTTTATATATAGATAAATATACAAATATACTCTATACTATACTATATCTAATTGCTACCTAGCACTTGAGGTAATACTTATCCACTAGGCACCTTCCCTTTTTGTGCCTATATTTAGGCAATGGGGGGGTTTACCTCACCGCCTCACAGACCCGCCTCCGCGTTGTCGCGTTTTCGCGATGTCCCCAATCCTTAGAACTCGAATCTTCACGATATCCTTGATATCTAAATCTCCAAAACACCCCCAGGTCTAGTCTCTGGTATGTTTAAAAAGATATGGATGAGAAGATATATTTACACCTCTTCTCACTTGATATTCTCCATCTTCTTTTTCAACTTTTCTGACATCAAAGCCTAGATCTTCCCCAATCTCCCTCTCGTCACTTCTTCCTCGAACCTCAACCTCGAACCACCATACTTTGGACCTGGCCGTCAAACTTCTTACCTTAAATTCTCCCCTGCTTCATATGAGAACCGGGACATTCATCTCCCTGGCCAGAAATTAGCCGAATCTTTATCGAGATCTTTCTTCGCCGTGGCAAAGTGAGAGAAATTTATAACCCGTCGGTTGTTCTTTCTTTCTCGGCTTTTTTGAATGACAAGTCAAACCTGACTCGCATACGCCTGTCGGTGCGATGTCTCTCGGGCTTAGAAATCTCAAATCTGGTCAGATATCTCCAACCTTTCGCTAATTTAGTTTCAAGTCGCAGTGAGTGGGTACGATTCCTAATATTAATTTCAATCAAAACTAACGAATATATATTTAGGTCAAAAAAGAATCTTTCGAAAATGCTGCACAGTCTAGCTTTCACCAAGGGAAGACGCCAGACGTCTGGCTTTGTCCAGGAAAACAGTGCGGAATATGCCGAGCAGGTTCTTAATGAGGCAACTCGACTACTCGAAACATTTACTGCGCATTCCACAAAAATACGCAATGAAACTCTGGAAAAGCCTCAAGAACCTGCTGAGTATACAAGAAATGTGACACATGGTCATAGCACCTTCGTTGTGGGCAAACGCCAACAGGAAATTCAACGGCCAAGAAGTATTCCGGTGGTATCGTCGACACCACAGACCTCCACAACATCTAAGCCAACTAATGATGCTCCTGCTCCATCAAGAAATGTGACCGTACCGCGTCTTGGCAAGAGAGGAGAGCGGAATCCACCTCGTCCAACCCCATCTACTCAACCAGTTCATACAGCACCTGCGCCTGAAAGACCACAGAGTCTGCGTTCCATCAGTAGGGACCCCCGTCTATCAAGACAATCACGGGCACCTTCCAAAGAAAGCCTAGATGGGGCACGGTCTCCTAGTTTGCTTCTTTCTCCTTCACAATCTACTAATGACATGAACGGTCCTCGGCGCTCTGGTCGTGCCAAGAACATACCGACCACGTACAACGTGCGTGTACTGCTTGGGTTGGACCTTCTGGAGACTGTATCCACTGCCAGTAATGCCTCTGAGGTTGAGACGTTGGCCCGTGATCTCAGTCAAGCACCATCGGAAGTGGAGACATTAGCAACCCTGACCCCGGCAGTAACCCCAGCACCAACCGCAGTAGTGGCACCCAGGCCTCCTACTAAGTCTGCAAATATCTCGCGGCTTCTATGGGAACGAGAATTGCGCGGTTGTAGTGCTAGCAGTCGGATCTATACGGCAGTCACTCAAGATCTCAAGCCTTGGAAATCGTGGAGAGGCGCCTCAAATGATGTCGTGGCTCTGGCTTGGTCGCCTGATTCAACTAGATTTGCTGCAGGAGCAACGGCCCAATCTGACGAGTACAATCGGAAGAATAACTTGCTTTTTGGTGATCTTGTTGAGAGTGCCTTGCACGAGCTCCCAGATCATTTCACCCGTCGGTCTGCGCCGTCAACTGGCACGGATGATCGTCTCTATACCAGCGTGACAGATATGGAATGGGTTGGTGATCGACTCTACACGGCGAGCTACGACAACACGGTGAAGATCTGGGACGTTACTGCAGGCAAACACCCCTCCTGTCTTCAGACCTTACGACACAAATCCAAGGTTGTGGTGATGGCAGTTTCAAAATTAAAGCCAAACTTTATCGCAACAGGGACGGATGAGTTCCGCCTGTGGGATGTCAAGAAGGGTCGAGCACCTAGCTACTGCAATTTGGACATAGTACGGGCTCCGCGGCAAAAAGCTGTGGACCTGGTGCCGACAACCCTGCAGTGGGGGAACACCGCTCACACGAGTGACTTCTTGATTGGGGGGGATGACTGAGGCAGGCCAGCATGATTACAAAGTCCCGCTTTGTGGCCATCTGCAACTATGGGTCCTGAGAGAATCATCCATTTCAACGCAGAAAGTGTCGCCTGATTCCCAAAACGTGTTTGGTATCAAATGGCATCCTTCCGAGCGCAGGTTCATTGCAGCGACTACATATAGCCAGGCAATGCATCTTCCGTTGAGGACTAAGACGGTTGTACAATTGTATGACTACTCGGATGGTAGCTTTTTGGTCCATGGCCGAGCTAACCGATTCCCCTGTCCGGCGGCAGATATCAACGAGATCACATTCTGCCCAATGAACACGAATTATCTCACAGCAAGCTGCACCGATGGTCGAACATATGTGTGGGATGTCCGTCAAGGTGACAAGACTGTTCATCGCTTGGCCCATGGAGAACCTCTTCATCCACTTTTTGATGGATACTCCCGTGAGTACACTGACTACGGTACCTCTGTTGCTTTATGGGGCACAGGGATTGATGAATTCTATACTGGGGGCTCTGATGGAGCTTTGAAACGTTGGGATATACGTCGATCTCCTGAAGATGCGTTGGTGTCTGATGTCGCCACCTTCACAGAGGGTATTACCAGTGCTGCGTTTTCGGATGATAAGAGCCATATGCTCCTCGGGTCCCTTGGTGGAGGTGTTCGACTGGTATCGTGTGCTCCATTGTCTGATCCTGATAATACGGATTTCAAATTGAAGGCAGCTCCAGAGCCACCTTCTAGAGAAGTTTCTGGTCGTGAGCTTAGTAAGGCACTGATATCGAGCGATGAGATCGAAAGACATCCAGTTTTTGGACCGGGACAAGGTCCGAAATATAAAGGTCCCTACGCTCGATGGGCCCGCGGCCTCGATCCAAATACACCCCTTAGTCAGACCATCAAATCGCCACTCAAAGAGGAATTTCAGAACCGTCAACTTTGTATTCCACCGGGAACAAATCGAATTGGACTTGACTCACATGCTCTGCAAGAGCTAAAGTCTCAACTACAGATTGCCGAAATCCGCAATGGTTTGAAGGTCGCGCAAACTGGTCAGTCTGATCCTCCTGCATCGGTGGAGGCGGAGACAGAAGATCAAAACCAGATCAAGATCGAGGCGGCTCCAAGCCCTGCGGTTGAAGCATCGGTTATGTTCCTGGGTCAAAGAAAAAGAAAGAGGGGTAGCGAGGATGACTTGGGCACTGGTCAAGAAAAGAGACGCCATCGGAATAATGTAACCACTCACCTTGGGGTTATTCATATTGACCTCACTGAGGATTCACCTGAGCCGGAGGTAATGCCTCTGATCTCCCGTTCAGAGCTCCCGATCATTACGAAATCGGCTCCAGATGATGCGCAAGAGTTGGTACTACCAGGAACAGACTCTGATGACGACCTTGAGGATGATCATTGGTGGCCGGAGAGTGGGCAATACGATGCCAACTTATGTGACAGTGACTGAGAAGTGAGGCTGGGTGGGGATTTCACTTCTAGGATCTGACTGATGGTGTCGCAGCTGGACTCCGAGCCGGTACAGCCCCCCGGTCTAAAGTGCCTGGGCAGAGTTGTTTATCTATGGATATTATCATTCAAATTAAATTTTATACCTAAGTTTCGTGCTCATGACGAAGCTTTGAAATTCCATTTTTAAACTGACCACATCTGACTAAAGTACTAGTACAGTCAACTGGTAGTACTGGTAGTAGTAAAGGCAGCCCTGGAGTGGCTGCCCAGTTTAATCTGGTAGTAATAAATATGTAGTATCTAGTAGTAGTATCTAGTATTTACCCATATATCATAATGATACGATTGATTGAAACTTGAAGTTATTGTGGATATTCAACCCGTCTGGTTGGAGAATGTCAACAAGATGGATCATTCAATGTTTGATATCCGTCAACCCAGCCATTTGGCTGAATATCTCTATAATCGATGCAAGATTCCTTTTGGCATGGACTTGGATCATGATTTCCAAACCTCAAGGTTTATGATAATCCTTCAATGTTTACGTTGTTTGTCAAACTTAGGGTTGATCCTACATATTCGATGTGAGTCGAGTCATTTCAATGTTTCAAGTTGTGAGTGACTCTTGAGTCTGGGACAAACTTGCCTATATATGACCTTGGAAGGTGAGTATGTATTTTTTATCATGATCTCTCAATCAAACATTTTTGAATGCTCGATGTCCAGTGTGATCAGTATGCATATATAATCCTTATCTACTACCTAGTGAATCTTGGATAGAACCTATTTAATAGGTAGGTAGCATAATCAATTGATGTGTAATAGGTACCAGCCTAAGCACCTGCCCAGGTGGGCACTCACCTAGGCAGTTGACCATTTTGAATATGATTCTGATTTACTAGGTACGGAGTATCTGCGCCCAAGTGGTCTAGAAACATCAAACATGACAGGTATATTCGGGGTGATATTCTGTCCTAAATTTATACTTTCACTGGCAGTACTTAACTATTAAGTTATTAGGTACCTTAGGTAGACATACATGAGGTACCTACTACCCCTGGGGCCGTGGACATATCCATATGCATAGTCTCGATTATATAAATGATAAATACATATACATAACAAAGGCATCTGTTTGCCACCTATTGAATACACCTACTAAGAGATTAATGATAAAGCGAATAATATCAAAGCCTGGAAACAAAAAGAATGACGTCGAGCACTGCCACGCTGTGGCGCCGAGCATTCCGCAGCAGACCAGGTGGGGGAATGTGTATATAGTTTAGACTTATCCTTCACGTCCACTTTTCTCTTTATCTCACTGATCTCACTGATCTCGAAGATTGAAATACATTTTTCTCTTCATCGCTCACGTTAAACCCATAGCCATTTTCTCTACTTCTCTACAATCTGATGTCAGCTCCATTCACGCCACCACCCGGGCCACCACCACCTGCTGTTCCAGAGGGATGGAAGGCCCAGTACGATGAGCGCTATCAAACATGGTATGCCATAGCCTCACCTCTCATCTCAATCTAAGGCCAGAAGCTAATCAATCCCTATTCCAGGTTCTACGTGCATCTCGCTACCGGAAAGTCTCAATGGGAAGTACCTGAAGCGCCGGCTTCTACATCTGGAATCATACCTCCTGGCGACGCACCACCATCCTACAATCAAACGGGACCGGCCGACCCAGCAACGGTTGCCAGTGCCGGCGATAAAAAGCGCCCATTATCATCCAATAACCCCTACAACTCTCGCGGCACAGCCAGTCCATCAATCGACAGCGACGCGCAACTAGCAGCAAAGCTACAAGCTGAGGAAGATGCGCGAGCTAGTAGCAGGAGTCCAGGCGCACGAGGCGCTGCATCAGATTACTACACCGGAAATACACCCATTGCACAACCCGGTGCCTCCTACGCGGGTCCATCGAGCAATGTTGCTCCGGAAGAGAAATCCCGTAGTAAGGGCTTTCTGAGCAAATTGATGGGCAAAAGTTCTAGTTCGCGACCACGTCCTACTCAAGCTGCGTATGCTTCGTATCCGCAGCAACAACCGCAAAATATGGGTTACAATGATCCGAACTATGGTCGTTACCCGCAGGGTTATGCTTATGGTGGATACCCACAGCAGAGTGGACCTTACTATCAGCAACAACAATATCAACAACAGTATCAGCAACAGCCTCAGCGGAAACATGGCATGGGCACTGCTGGTGCGGCTGCGTTAGGTGTTGGTGGTGGTTTGCTGGGTGGCTTGTTGCTTGCGGATGTGGTGGAGGACTTGGGCGATCATAACGATTACAATGATGGGGGTTGGGGTGGTGGAGGCCCCGGTGATGGTGGTGGTTGGGATGATGGCGGCGGCGGTGGTGACTTCGGCGGTGGTGGTGATTTCTAAGGGTAAGGCGACTTCAAATGTTTGTCTCTGCCATTTCTTGCGCTTTCAAGATGTTTGCCCCGAGAGAGATCTTGCCCCAGAGAGATCACGTTATATGCTATCACCTGTGTTTTGTGTTTGGGTTATTTGGGTACTCGGTGGTTCTTTTGTTTGTTCTTTGTTGTTTGTCGTTTCTATCGTTTCTATCGCCTTACCTGCCAGACCACTGCGCGAACTGGGCGAGATATAATTTTCTTTTTTTACAGGTTGAGAGATATCATGATGTCACGAATAGTTTCACGCCTTCATAATTTGATCAAGATGACTATACCACCAAATATATGACACATTTGAGACAGTAGATAAAGTAACTCAACCACGGCGCCGTGCAGTAGCGCCTGTATCACGGCCGGTGGCCCCTCCCTGGGCAGCGTCGGTATTGGCCGTGGAGCCAGAGGAAGTACCAGCCATCCAGCCCGCCAAGTCAAAATTACCGCCGGCCATGGCGTTACTGGTAGCGCCTGTCAATGGGGACGAGCGCGAGTGTTGCTCAAACTCCGCGCGCAGTTCCGGATCCACTACATCAGTTAGTATGGTGGCATATTTGATAGCATTGGGTGTAGTCATACTATTTTCCATCAGTTTGGGCATACCCAGGGTGAAACCTAGGGCAGCAATCGCCAGTAGAATCATAGGGTTCTTAAAGAGACTCATCGGGGAGACTATAACAATAATGTCAGTTCTCCAAAGGAGACGTTTCGGTGCATCATCAATTGATATATAATTCACTCACATTTGGCACGCTCCTCGAAGAAGCCTCGACGACCAACAAGTTTGGCATCTACTACAATATCCGATTGTTTCTTCCCAGCCACATCGACCACATACTTCTCATTACCCCGATTGTCCCATGGGTTTCCGCGGAAGGTCTCCCAAACACCGAGAATAGAGATCCATCGGCCGCAACATCCACGCGATAAGGGGCAAACACATACTCGCTAGAGCGGATATCCAGCAAGTACGATTCCTGCTGCGCGGGAATATGCTGGAAGACCAAGTTGGACCCATGAGATAAGGAGGCTGTCAGGCGATGGTCATTGCCGGAGGGGAGTGTGGTCAGGGTGGCATGAGTTGATGCGGGGAGGACTTGTGGATTGGGGAGGAGATTGGAGGTAGGGATTTTGATGGTTAAGGAAGCTGCTGCCAAATGACAGAGCAGTAAAGTCACGAAAAGTGACATGGTGAATTGGATCTCGAGTTGATGTACCTAAGCTTTGTAGCTCAGACACAGCAGAAGCCAAACGAAGAACACGAAGCTCGGGCCAGCATCAGCATCGGGTACATTATAGATGGGTCTCGTGCCATTGCTGACTCAGCCGGCAGTATAGACATGACTCAGCAGGGCAACTCCCAGATCACATGACAATCAGGAACGATTCCCCTCCCGATTCTATACGAGAGTTTCTTCAACTCCTACTACAGTACAATTCATATCATGTTCAAGTAATTTAGTCAACTTCTTTATTCAATCGAATTCTTTCCCACTTTAAATCCCTCATACCATAACATGGCATGACCTAACAATAACCCCGTGCCTAAACTACCTCATCTCCGGGAAGCCGGTCTTCTAGGCCGAACTTCCTGCTTTTTCTCAGTCCCCACATGTGGACTCGCTCCGGGTGTTGAGTCCCCAAGGTTAGTAATAAGACCGTGGAGACTGGGGAAGAAACCGGGAGAGAAATAGAATCTCCAGAATAGAGATAATATTTAAATAGAATAAGGGGGAAACCTTGGAATTTTAGAAATCTAAGACATTATATACACCTCCCAGGGCTGATTATATAGTAATCTACATATTTTTTTTTATATTAAAAAAGTCTATATCGGCTAATGCAGACCAGGCGCCTCTAGCGCGAAGAAAAAAAAAAAGTTGGTGTCTTCTAGGGGAACAGAATACGCCCGGACTGGTAGTAGCGCCTCCGAGGAACAGGTGAAGAAACGGTTGATTGCACCACGGTTCACCCTTCTTCCCCCCTCTCTCTTTAGGGAGAAAAGAAAATTATCAAGTTGTGTCAACTTTGCTTTTTCATCTCAATTCAGTTATTCAGAAATCATCCACTTATTCTAAATAACTGCCGTCTCATCTTTTCCCCCACGCCCCCAAATCTCGCTCTCCCCCCATTCCGGTAATCTCACTCTGTGGTCTGATTGGCTCGATCCATTTTCCCACTGAAAACCACCTTCCCCTCTTTAACTGGTTCACTGAGTCTCTTCCCTACCCCCTTCGCCTCCCAGTCGAAGAAGGAAAAAAAAATTAAGGCACCATGGAGCACGCAACGCCCATGTCGTGGCCTGAGCAGCTACATGAGAGTACTCTCATAACTGCGCCGGGGGAAGATGAATTCTCCAACTTTCTCGAGTTCGATATGCATTTCTCCGACCTGGAAGGGCACGGACCAGGACATTCTCAGATGCAGGACCAGCAACATGCAATGGGACATCCTTCCACCACTGTGCCTTCAACTATGGCCGGGGATCCGCGATCTCACCCATATGCGACTCCAATGGAGGGTCTCGCCATGGATTTCGGTCACCAAGTCCAATCCCAGCCTCCTATGCCTTACACCACAACCCCGAACATGACCCCAGGCTTTTGCGCCCAGGATGCCTCTCACTCGTCGATGTCACAACAGCCACCTCCGGGCCAGCACTACATGCATGGTCAACCAATGATCCCTCCGACCCCGAATAGTATGGAATTGCACGGTACTGCGGCTCGGTATTCCCAGCGCATGGACGATAACCCGGAGATGTACGATCATCGATACTCGCGTGTTGCTGAGGATCAGGTATGTTACTCAAAAAAACAAATAGAGACGAACACACGTTCCCTTTTTTTTGTTTGCTTCTTTCCGTGTTCTCAACGATGATTCGTACTAACCCCGACTGGTTAGGCATTGTACACCCCCCTCGTGTCGCCTGCGATGACCCCACTGGAGAATCAATTTCAATTGGACGCATTTACGGTTCCTGGAGAATACAGCATTACACCACTTACATCCCCCGCGCTCGAGGCTCAAAATCACTCTACAAATGGCTATTATCATTCAAGACAGGTGTCAGATGTTGGGTTTGTGCCTACTAGTGCCGAAATCAACCCGCTGGCAGGTACTTCTGCACCAGGCTCTCCAAGCATCATTCGCAAGACCAACCGCCGACGACCCTCAACCGCTTCTCGTCTCTCAGGCCGAAGCAAAGTCAAGCAGTCGCCTTCTATCCGGGCGCAGACACAGCGCAGGGGGAAACAAGTTCCTAATTCAGAGGAGTTCTATAACAGCCTGACCCAGGAGTTGAACAAGCCGCAGAACAACGATGTGCGCTCACTTCAGGCCAGCAGCAATGAGGGTTCGGGTCAGGATTCAGTGTCTCCTGAACCTCTCTCAGAACCGCTGATGCTTCCTCCGGCTCTCCCTTCCTCGCGAAAGTCTCCTGCTATCGCCCCTCAACCAGCCCAGCCTCTTAGTGCGGCCGCAACCCCAGCAACTCTGATGCGCATTCAGCGATCGCAGCATGTTCAAGACTCAGGTCAGTTCATGGGCCGAGCTCAGCTTGAATACCATGATGAGACCATGGAGGATATCTCTCTTCCCGAGGCGGCGGCGACAACACTACACTCGCGTCCTAAGATCAACCGCATCGATACCAGTTTCCGTCCTGGCACAGCCAGCCCCGCCATCTCCGCAAATGTGACCCCTTCATTAGAACCCCGTTCTGCCCCACTGAATGGCTCCATTCCCATCAGCCCCCGCACGGCTGCAATGCCATCTCCTAGTGGGCCGCTTCCGAAGAGATCAGATCCATCCCGATCTTCAATTTCCAGCCGGAAACGACTGAGTGTGTCTTCCACACAAGCTAGTCCACAGTTGCGGCCAAAGATTAGCCCTAATATTCAGCCCTTGATGCGGGCCGGTGACAGTGAGTGACCATCCCCCTTATATTTGATCTAAACATTTTTCCTAATCATCTCAACCTTGCAGACTTTTCTCAGGATGCTCTTTTAGCCTCCAAATCCAATTATCAGCACATTCTTGATGGCACATTGCCCTCCGGAGTGTCCTACCCAGAGACCCTCGCCGAGAATCTTAGTTCCAAGCGAACAAATCACAAGCTCGCAGAACAAGGCCGACGAAACCGAATAAACAGTGCTCTCAAGGAAATCGAAGCCTTGATCCCGTCAGAGTTCATCCAGGCCCGACTAGCCAAAGAGGCTGCGATTACAGGCATTAAGCCTTCTGACAAGGAGAAAGAAAAACCAGCCAATCAAGCTATTAGCAAGGCTAGTGCGGTGGAGATGGCCATTGACTATATCAAGGCTTTGCAAAAGAACCTGGATTCCACTTCTGCCAAGTTGAAAGCCACTGAAGCTAAATTAGCTGGTGTCAATCTGAAGGACGAAACCGCCACTACCCCAATTGCGAGCACTGAAACAGCTGCTAGCGAGATCACTGTGCCGAAGTCTGAGATGGAAACTCAGTGATCTAAAATTGTATATCAAATCATTTGATTTGATTTACACTTGTATTTTTTTTTTATTTTCTCTCTTCTTTCCCCACCCGCTTGATATCTTTTTCTTTTTCTTTTTTCTTTTATTTACGAGAATGCTCGTTTTCTGGGGCAACTCAATGGCCCCTATGATCTGATCAACAGATTCGTTATGTGGATGCGTAATGATCTTTCTTTTCTTACTCGGGGTTTCGGTTATGGTCGATAGCGTCGGTGTTTGCTCTTCATTGCTGGGTGGCTATGGTTATTCAAGTTCTTTACCCCTTCCAAGGTTTATTTGCTTTTATGATATGGAGGCGTTCTTATGGTTCATGTACTCAGATAGACTGCTGGTGGCGGGTGTTTCTTCACTTTTTCCCTTCTTATTCCTTTTTTATATACATATTCTTTTCTCCGAGTCAACCATTCTTGCACTAGCTTAGCCTATCTTTCAATACAAAAAGATCCAAAGGCTTGAAAGTGTCACTACATTTAAGATTGAAAATTTAAAACCAAAAGTATTCTGTTGAACACCATCAAATGCTACCGGATGAATTTCGTCGCTCATGGCCTGTACAAATGCAAAGAATAAAGTAAAGTTGGAATCAAAAGGGCAAAGGGATATCAAGTCCTTAAAACTGCCTTGAAATATTGCAGCAATGGACTCAATAATCCCTGAACACAGCGACCATATCATCCAATCGCGCCACTTCGGCAAGCAACAACGCTTCCTTATCCTTCCATCGCTGTAAACGCTCAAGTTCCTCTTCTGTAAGGTACTCCTCCTCATGGCCCTTGACATCGCTTCGCTCAGTCTTCTCTAGGAAATCCTTAAGACGTTCCCGCTCAACTTTGATTCTTTGCATGGTACGTGACATCGCCTTGTACGTATCTTCCAAGACACTTCCGCAAACTCGATCAGGATCATAGTACCATAGGAAAATTGTCTTAGATGGTTGACGCTGTGCATCTTTCGGCACTTCTTGTAGATCGACGAATCCACCGGTTTGCATGCTTGACAGTGTTTGGCGGAGATCTTTCCATGGTAGGAAACTGATCTCTTGGAGTCGTTTCTCGTCGAGTTTTCCTTTGGCGTGCAATACGCGAATTACTCGTAAAGCGACGTCGCCGTATCGAGATTCGATCATTCGTTCCAGTTCTAAGCTTCGGAGTTTTCGAGCTAATCCGCGGAAGCCAACGCGCCATTTTGGAACGCCGTATAACTCTACGCATGAGGTAAGGTTGAAGGGTGGTTGGGCGAGAAGGTGGAGGTGTTGGTTAATTTCCCATGCTCGGCTTGGTCCGGAGTCTTCGTCGCCGTTATCGTGATCGCCGTTGATTCCGTTTTCCAAGGGTCGTTTACCGCGTTGGTTCAGTGAGGAAGAGGAGGACTCCGCTGGGGCAAATGCTGTTGAGAGATCCAGTGCCGGGTCGATATCTTCCAGTAGTTTTTCTGCGTCGATGGGGGAGGTCCACTGCTCTCCTTCTTCTCCTTCTCGGGGGATCTCCACTGTGTCCCGGCACTGTTTTGTCACGTATTCAAAGCGACGAAGAAGACATTCGTAGACTTCTGTTGTTGCTGGAGGAGCTTCTTCTTGGGCCAGGGTGACAAATCGATCGTTTCGAAGTGCCACATCAAGCTTTTGGTAATTTACACGCACGACCAATCCGGACTAGATTATATGTTAGTTTTGATCCAGGATCCAGCGAGGATGAGCCGCTTGGCGAAACGGGCAAGTTTATTCCGCTCACCTCCATGGGGACATTATCAAACTCATCGTCTTCTCCGGCCCAGTCGTTCTCTGCATGGGTACCATTCCCGTTTACTCCATTCGCCAGGTGTGCGCCGTTGGTCGAGTCCGAGGCTCCATTTCTAAATTTCCTCTTCACGCCCCGAGGCATACCATCAACCATGAGGCCCAGGGTAAGATCCGCATGAGTTCGCTCCTTCAAAAGAGTATCAGTATCATTGGCGATAGCTTCTTGCTGTCTTTTTCCTTTCAATGCCTTGATATCTGGCCTGGAAGCCACGGCGCGCTGTGCCTCGAGAATATTGTCGGAGGGACTCTGGAAGTGTGCTTCGCGAACACGGTCAAGATATCCGTGTGATGCGAGAGCTCGGAGGGTGGAATGGAGAAGGGCGATCATTTTTTCCGGGTCATCGTGTCCATTTTGAGCGGGCTGTTCTGAAATCTCCTCCGTTCCATTTCCATTTGTAGCTTCTTGGTCTGCGCCAAACTCCTCTCCGTTTTCTGTGTGATCGCCGTTGCCATTTGTGATTCCATTTGCGGACTCGGGGTTTAAGGATCGAAGCTCCGGGAGGGTCTCGAGGTGGTTTACTGAAGCATGGCCGAGGAAGAGCACCATTTCCATGACTCGGGCTGCATATTCGCCAAGACGATCTTCCACGAGATTGAGGATCTTCCCTGAACGTACAAGGTAGTATGCGGCTTGAGGATTCGCTTCGTAGTAGGTGTTGTTATCCTCGAGAGAAGTGAAGTGGTAAATGAGATGGTGTTGGATCATAGCAGTTAAAGCTGCACGCAATTGACGATCGGCCAAACGGGCATGGAATTTCAGTCGAGGAAGAGTGAGTCGCTCATAGCGTTGGAGGGTTGAAAAGATGCGCTATTCAACTGTCAGTGCTCCTGACCGCAATACGGCGTGGTACCATATGGTACAATGAATGAAATATGAAAGCTTCTGAAATGTCAAGATTGGAGGGAGCTCACAGCAAATAATTCTCCGAATTGCTCTTCGATGAGGAGCGCGCAAAGCTCCGCGCCATACTATTCAAAGTTGTTAGGGCTCGCAATGTCATGTTGGGAGTCAGTCACTGCGAACCTGAGAGGTCATCTTGTCACTCAATGAAGACCGTTAGCCTCCGCTCAGAAAGAGCTATTAAAGGTCACCGGCGCAAGTTCATAGAGGGGAAGTCTGTACTTTAATAAAGAGTACGGCGGGCACTTTTTTGCTTATCAGTCACGTGATATATCAGCTGATCTTGAAATCAAAGTGAATGCGATGAGATTCAGAACCATGCACAACTACATTCTTTATACAGATTACTATCAGCATATAATGATTTATCTCAGTTAATCAATGCAATTCAATCACATAAAATCACAAAGTTATATCCTATAAGCACCTTGTCATTCCATTATAACCAATATAAAACCACTTCTATGTAGTTTTGTAGAAAAGTTCTTCCGATTCCGTCCGACTCGTCACGCCAGCCAATCAACGCCCGAGTAATCAACCCAGCCCCGGCATCTTGAAGCTTTTCGTAACCCGTCTGCTTCCCTCTCCCGACGCATCCCCTCTCTCCCCTCCAATTGCCTCCCTTTCTAAGACCCATTTGGGTTTCTATTTCTTCTCTCTTTCTTCAATTGCCCCCGACACACAATGCTGTCGCGGTCCTCCCTCAGCCGAAATGCGCCGCGTGCGCTCTCCGCCGGCCGTCGGGCCATGGCCTCTGCTGCCAACCCGACCTTCCAGTACGATGTCTCCGAGGCTGCCGGTGTGAAGGTTGCCAACCGTGAGGTCAATGGTGCTACTGGCACTCTGGCCCTGGTGGCCAAGGCTGGTTCCCGTTACCAGCCCTTCCCTGGTTTCTCCGATGCCCTCGAGAAGTTCGCCTTCAAGGTATGTCCAGCAAGCTATATGCATTGCTTATAATCCACCGATTGTCAGTCTCTCAATCTCATTCGTTTCTCTAGTCCACACTTAAGCGTTCTGCTTTGCGCATCACCCGTGAGGTTGAGCTGCTGGGCGGCGAGATCTCGTCGACACACTCCCGCGAAAACGTTGTCCTCCGCGCCAAGTTCCTCGCCAACGACCTCCCATACTTCACAGAGCTGCTGGCCGAGGTTGCCAGCCAGACCAAGTTCTCTGGTGAGTCAATTTTTTGTCTATCCCATTGAGGATATTCAACCCAATGGAAACCGGTGACATCCAAGGATTGCTTCACCGTTTTCTTCAATTTTTTCCCTGTCACTTTTTTTCGGCGATTCAATTTCAATTGTCATTTCTGACACCAGCGTTTTTACCCAGACCACGAATTGAACGAGGTTGTCACTCAGCTCCTCAAGTACCAACAGCAAGCTGTTTACTCCAACTCCGAGACCATCGCCCTTGATGCCGCTCACGGCGTTGCTTTCCACCGCGGCCTGGGCTCTCCCATCACTCCCAGCCAGACCACCCCCTACGAGAAGTACCTCTCCGGCGATGCCCTGGCTCAGTTCGCCCAGGATGCCTTCGCCAAGTCCAACGTTGCCCTGGTTGCCACCGGTCCCAACTCCGCTGATGTCTCCAAGTGGGTCGGCCAGTTCTTCAAGGATCTCCCTACCGGCACCTCCGCCAACCAGTACAAGGTCCAGCCCTCCGTTGCCTCCAAGTACTTCGGTGGTGAGCAGCGCATCCCCTCCAAGACCGGCAACGCCGTTGTGATCGCCTTCCCCGGCTCCAGCGCTTTCGGCACTGCTGGCTACAAGGCTGAGGCTTCCGTTCTGGCTGCTCTCCTGGGCGGCGAGTCCTCCATCAAGTGGACCCCCGGTTTCTCTCTCCTGTCCAAGGCCACCCAGGGCTTCTCTTTCCTTAATGTCTCCACCAAGAACCACTCCTACTCGGATGCTGGTCTCTTCACTGTCACCCTCACCGGTGCCGCTGACCAGATTGCTACCGCTAGCAAGAACGTTGTTGATGCTCTCAAGAAGGCTGCTGCCGGTGAGGTCGCCAGCGAGGACATCAAGAAGGCCGCTGCCCTGGCTAAGTTCCGTGCTCTGGAGTCCGTTCAGACCCTGGAGACTGGTCTTGAGGCCACTGGCTCCGGTCTGGTCCACGGCGGCAAGGCTTACCAGATTGGTGAGATTGCTCAGGCCATTGAGGCTGTCTCTGAGGAGCAGGTCAAGGCGGTATGTTTCAACCCTTTCAGTCTCAGTCTCTTTGGAATTATATCAGTACTAACTAAAATGCTTAATAGGTTGCCAAGTCCTTCCTCTCTGGTAAGGCCACTCTTGTCAGCGTTGGAGACGTTCACCAGCTCCCATATGCTGAGGACATTGGTCTCTCTGCTTAAACTCCTTGTACTTCATACAACCCCTAGACCGAGGGAAAAGCGTGTTTCCTCGTTTGGATTTGATGTGACCACTTGTGCCTAGATTCTTTGCCGATATCTCTTTTGTCTTTTGAGGGTGTAGTTGACTGTAATACAATTGTACCTTATTTGATACCTACCCAGGTAGCAGTATGAGTGTAAACATACTAATGTTGTGCATGCAACGCATTGGTTTACTAGATGATTTTAAGCTCAAGCTCAAACTCTAGGTTATCAGTTCTACCATATACCATCCCAGTATGTCAATGGACTTGCATTTCTTATGTCTCCCTCGAATCCTTGAAGTTCACGATTCTACTAGATTCAAATCCGAGTCATTACTAGAACGAATATCATGGATCCTAGTTGTCATTACAATCAGATTGAACCTATAAAGCACCTGTGCCCAGGTGGACCTATCAGCATTTCAAGTTGAAACTTATATCCACTTCAATCAATTGTCATTTGAGTATGCATCAACCTCCCAGAGAAGTCCTGAGAGCTCCTCTATATGTTTGGTCCACATTCCAGCAACATAGTCCCCTTGTTAGCCCTTATACCGCGTCCGAAGGTCCAACATAACACCCGAAATTGCTGGGAGCTTGTCACTTGGATTGGTCAACTCCCTTTCAGAGTAGCCTTTCACCATTTCACTCCATTCTGCCAGCATAGAATTCCCGAATAGGTCTTCCTCTGAATCAAAGCCTTCCGTGTTATGAACTGGAGGTTTGAGCTTCCTCAACTACTTCACAAGTCCCTTTCTAGGTGCTGACTTGTCAAAGAAATTGAAAAATGGTTTCACGCTCAGGCTCTTATGAGAGGCTTCCTTCAAATAGTGCTCGACGATCTCCTCGTCGTTCATGTTATGTTTCATGGAGAATCTGCGGTTGAAAGGGGAACTATAACTTAAATCATCATTAGCAACAGGCAGTGAATTGGTTTCACATTTCACGTGTGAGTTGCACTCCCACTACATCTGGTCTATTCCGAAGACAAGACTTCGCAATACAAGTATTTGTTCTTGAAAAGTCCAGCCGCGGGTTGCAATTCGACTAGTTAAGTTCAATTCCACCCAGTTTTGAGCGTTGAAAACCTGTGGCCTTTTTCTCTTGGGGCCCTTAACACACCATGATATCTCATAGGATTCCCTATCTCTTCGTTGCAGGAATCCCTCATCACTAGAATTGGCACTTGCGGCGATAATTGTAACTTGAGCATTTCGATATATACTCGCCATCTTCAATGCCTCCCTCTCCCAGTCATCTCGATCATCTATGTAAGAGTAATGTTAGGTTCAAGATAATACAAGTGTTACTAGTAAGTAACCAGGTAGAATGCGCCCTCAGGAACATCAATAATAAGTATATTCAAGTATACTTATTTACCTTGTATGATACATAAGCAATCGATCCAGATATACTGAAACCCCAGTGCCTTTGTGACTTTGATTGCATCTTGGATAGTGCGTGGCAAACTATCAAGATCGATCCCTCTTTTTCGTCCCTGGATATTTTTAGTCGTTGTTATATGATAGGAGACGTCACCCCAGCAATAGCTAAGAGCAGTGTATGCCCCGAGGGATTCGTCGTCACTTTCGAAGAGACGTGGTATGTCCTGTCTATTTGGACGACCTATATCCAGAAGTCGTGTCGGTAGATTTGTCAAGGGAGGCAATTTGCACTTTTCGCGATGGTCCTTCTTGCAAGAATTGAGAAAATCGCGCATTACAGCAACACCTTTTTCTGATAGCGGGTCTTTAATTGCAGGTCTCCCGAGTATGAAACATTTGTCAACATAAGGGTCGTCTAATAAAAATGTCCTGTTAGCTCTTATTTAGCTCCTACTTAGCTCTTACTTATCCAGGTATCATCTCATATTCAATAAGCTCTGGAGGCAACATACCAGCTGAAACAATCAGATCAAATACAGCACTCATATGGAACTTAGAGTCCAAACCAGGCCTGAGCTTTGCAACTATGATCTGGTTTCATCCAAAGTGTTGATGTTTGCCTGTATGTTTCCTTATAGCTAGGCATAACAACTATGCCCCAGAAACATTCCGATTCCGATTCATTTTCTAGATTCTCAATTTTCTCAAAATCTTCAGGGTTTCCTTCGCGAAGAGCTTACGTGAACGCTTTGCAGCTGACTGTTTGAGTTGCTTTATCGAGGGTTGGTGTGCCAAACTCCGTTTAAAGGTATCCTCGTGCTCCTCTTCCCGATATGAATGGCCATTGTCATCTAGTTGGAAACTGTTGCGTGTTATCTCACATAGTCGCGTGACCGTGAGCTCCTTGCAAAATTCGCACCGCATATTAGACAAATGTTGTGTTCGATTGGTATCGAAGGCCTAATAGGTACATGTGTCCAAGGGTCTCAGCTTGAGTCTTACATATAGGCTAAATCCTCATGGACTCAGCCTCCAGGAGCCGGGAGGTCCAAGCTTCGATTTGTTGTCACCGTGACATTAGGTAACATCATTGCTCATGAATGATGCCAATTAATCTTTTCAAGATTTTCATCACTGGCAAATATGGAAGACTAAATCCCTAATTTTATGGTCTTAGTTCTCATCTAGTATGTATTTAACCGTAGATCTTCGCGGCTAGTGCTTCAACCTTGGAATCGCCAGGTTTATAGGTTCAAATGTTAACGCCAATCTTTGGAGCCTTGGAAGTCGTTAAGATGTCAGTGTATAATGATGCACATGCAGCGATCACCCGAGCAGCCTGAGGGCGCTGGAACTTGAAGCCATATTTGCTTTTGGTTTGTGAACATAACATAGTCATGGTGGAGGGTGAGCACTAATCCTATAAGGAACATCTGCAGATGATCAAGAGAGATCTACGTAGCGTAGTTAGCCGTCTTAGCTTTACCTATTCAGATTTCTTTTCCTTTCATCCGTCTATCCGTCCGAGGCTTACGGGGTATGGGGTATCCCTGTGAGATTATCCAAAGACTGCCGGTGGTCCGTTCAAGTTGACCTCGGCTATTTCATGATAATTTGTTGTGTCGAGTATGCAGTCTTTGAACACCATAGAGATGGAAATTTGAAGATTCAAACATTTGACTGGTTACGAAGTAGAAACCTTTTAACAAATTGAAGTTGAACATTTGAACATCAAAAATTCTAGACAGACTTATACAGTGTTTCCCCATATTATGCCCTGAAACCATGATGCCTCGTAGTACTTGGAACTATAAGCATCCTGACTGTACGGAGTAGAGTCGAATTATTCAATGTTCCTCGACAAAGTATGATCGTACAATACCCATACAAGCTGTATCAGTGCTCGTGCTAAATGCGTAGCAACATGCAGTAAATGACGACCTCGGGAATGAGTACTTAGACATGATGTGCATGTGGACCTACATGTGTCAAAAGCCGGTTTACGCCACCGAAATCGGAAGCTCGTTATAGATTCATCGGGGTTTAATTCCCCGCGAAATGGGGTCATGTTTAACCGGACATTCTTTATTGGCGAATAAAGTTGAGTCTGAAGTGAATTATAATTTGAAGATTTGTGTCAATTGTACTCCGTAGATGGGGCTGTTCCTGACTTAGTCTGCGGAAATCGGCTTCCGAGAGGCTATTGTCAGTGTATGACATTGTTTGAGATGGATGCTCTACTGCTGAGGAAAATTGGATACAATGTTTTTGATCAAGTTTACGGAGTAGACAGTAATGTAAAAAATGTAAAGACGATGCATTCAGTGGGTATCGGGTCTGTTCTTATTGAATCAGACAAATTACGGATGTATATGAACGATAACATTTCTATTCCTCCTCCGAGAACCGCTGCATAGCAGAAGGGTATCTCAAACCTTCTCTTTAGTGCTTCGCGGTGACAGTGTCGCCAGTCAGTTTTTCGACTGCTTCTTTGGCCCTGTATAATCAGAAGATTAGTATAATGTTATCAAACGAAAAGGGAGAAGAATTGAAAACGTACATGTCACCAAGAGCCACCATGCAGACAGTCTGCCAGATGCCCAGACCAATACGGGGGGCAACACCACGGTAAAGACCGCTGATACCATTGGAGTTGTAGATGTACTTGAAGGCCTTGCCGACAGTCAGGTTCTTAGGGCGGTTAGGGTCCTCAGTCTTGCTCTGCATCTCAACACGGATGACCTCAATGGGCTGGTTCCAGGCGGACAGACCACCACCCAGACTGGAGGCGAGAATCTTCTCCCAGGCGTTCAGCTTCTGACCATCCTCCTTGCCAGTGGTCTTGCGGATAGCACTCTCAGCCAGACGGGAGAGACCGAAACGGGAACCCCAGTTGGTAGTCTGACGAATAGCCACAGCATTGACACCACGGTTAATACCCCGGATACCCTCCTTGCGGTAGATGTCCATGAAGGTAGCGAAGGTACTTTGAGGCGCAACACCCTGGGAAGCCATCTTGTGCTTGGTGATCTCAACGGTCTTCATGCAGGTACAGAAACCCATAGTAGCGTAAGCCTGAGCGACACCACCAACCATACCACCTGCAATACCACCGACGAACTGGTTCGCACCAAGGCTGCGAGCCTGGTACTCGGCTTCGGAGGCAACGAAGAGGAGAACCGCGCCCTTAGTGGAGGCCTCAATCCAGGCCCACGGAATGAGTCCTTGATAGTCTAAGGAGCGATAATGGTTAGCTCGATGCGATTACAATAAACCCGTCTTGGCAAGGCCCCCATATTCATGGTACGAAGGGAGGGGGAGGAAACAAAGAGATACGTACAACCGAGGATCCCGCCACGGCCCCAAATCCGACCCATAGCACCGGCGAAGCTGTCGCCTCGATTGGCAGCCATGGTTGTCTTGATCACTTCCAGCGGCTATTATGAGATTTGGTGTCAGCAAGGAAAACATGATTGGAATAAATTCGCCGCATGGTAATGGGATGAAGCCTGAAGCATGAAGCTAGGAAGGAGAGGGGAAAGTACCTGTCCCAAGGTGGTGACCTCGAACAAGTTCAAACCAGCACCTAGCAACAGGTTGCTGAACTTGACGGGCTTCTTCTCGAGCTGAGGTGCGGGAGTTGTAGACATCTTCAGAATGGGTGTAGTGCTGAAAGGGGCCCTGACCAAGGGATGTGAGGGGCTTCGTCGCCTAAAGGGAAAAGGAAAAGGTAAAGAAGAGGGTGAAGTGTAACTTCGAAAGAGTTGGGGAAAGTCAGATGGAGAAGAGAAGAGAAGGAAGGGAACGAATTGTCTTATAGGGGAAAACCAGTAGGGGAGTGTAGTTAGTACCCATTTTAGGTGCGGAGTCCACTCATACTATTGGGTACAGGGTACCTTCCATACCGCCTAGTGGAGATCAGTACTACAATAACAGTACAGGTTATCACTGCCCAGGTGCCATTAGGTGTTCTTCAGCTCTATTCTACTCTGTTTTGATTCTGTTACTCTGTTATTCTCTGTTATTCTATTCGTCCGATTGTTACTCTAACTCGGTAACTATTTTCTATTTACTTAACCTCGGTCTATTATGGTCCGATATCCCGATTATCGGCGGTTCTTTAAAATTATACATATTATACCCTTTACTATAATAGATTAATAGATCTAAACTGATAAATCTATAATTTCTTATGATAGATTTGATAGATTTAATGTTGTTTTTGTTGTCCCTAGTTGCTCTCACTTTTTCTGGTGGGTCGGTGAGAAGGTTGAGCCTCCCCAACAATTCACGTGTGCTCCATTCTCCCCAGTAGCCGTCAGACCATTCCTGATTCTGCACGTTGCCTGGGTCCCGGCTTATCATATACGGAGGTCTCCGTATACTATTGATTATCCTGCATAAATATCAAGCATAGATATCAACATTGAAATTGATCTGTATACGGAGTACGGAGTACGGCGTACGAATTCCAGACTACTTTGATAATACGTGTCCAATCATGATATGCTTTCGAGGAAGTTCTGTTACAAGGCCCGCTCGAACCGATCAAGTCCTATCATACAACATGAAACAAATCACAGGACCAGATATAACCCCAATAATAAAAAATAATACATGGCTTAATTCAGAGAATAATTCCAATCCTCCATAGAATCATTGATGAAATCTTTACAGCTTAGCACCAACCAGCTTGGCGTAGGCCTCAGTGCTGAAAGACTTGGGGCGCTCAATGGGCATACCAAGAGCACGGTCGATGATCAGCTGGGGCAGAACACCCAGAGCACGGGAAACACCGAACAGGACGGTGTAGTAGTTGGCCTCGGTCAGACCGTAGTACTGGAGGAGGACACCAGAGTGGGCATCAACGTTGGGGTAAGGGTTCTTGGTCTTGCCGTGCTCGGTCAGAACACCGGGAGCGATCTTGTAGACCTGGCTGACCAGCTTGAACATAGGGTCATCGGGAAGCTTGCGGAGAGCAAACTCGCGCTGAGAGACGTAACGGGGGTCAGTCTTGCGGAGAACGGCGTGGCCGTAACCGGGAACAACCTGGCCAGCGTTCAGGGTGGACCAGAGGTAGTTCTTGATGGACTCATCAGTCAGGTCGTTACCAACGGCCTGCTTCATCTTGGTGAGCCAGTTCAGGACCTCCTGGTTAGCGAGACCGTGGAGAGGACCGGCCAGACCCTGGAGACCAGCGGAAAGAGAGAGCATGGGGGAGCTCAGAGCGGAACCAACCAGGTGGGTGGTGTGGGCGCTAACGTTACCACCCTCGTGGTCAGAGTGGATGGTCAGGTAGAGACGCATCAGCTCAACGAAGTCCTTGTTACCAGCGAAGCCGAGCTGGTTGGCCAAGTTGAAGGAGTAATCCTTGTCCTTCTGGATGGGGGCGACCTTGCCGTCCTTGAAGACGTTACGGTAGATCTTGGAGGCAATGGTGGGCAGCTTGGCGATCAGGTCCATGGAGTCCTCGAAGGTGTAGGTCCAGTACTCCTTCTTGTTAACACCGCGGGCGTAGGCCTTGGCGAAGGAAGACTCGTGCTCGAGAGCAGTGACGGCCAGGGAGAACTGAGCCATGGGGTGGAGAGTGCTGGGGCAGCGGTCGATGAGCTCCTCGACGAAAGCGGGGACATCGGAGCGAGCAGCCCACTCAGCGGACAGGTCGCGAACCTGCTGCTCGGAGGGGATCTCACCGGTCAGCAGAAGCCAGAAGAGACCCTCGGGCAGGGGCTCCTCACCACCGGGAGCCTTGGGCAGGAGCTTCTGGATCTTGGGGATCTAGAAAATATTAGCAAAAACAATTAAGATTTAATCAATTGTTTGCAATTGTCTGCAATTGAACTACTTACGGTGTAGCCACGGAAACGGATACCCTCCTCAGAGTCAAGGACGGAACCCTAAAAAAAAAAATTAGTCTTTTTTTTCTTGCGCAGCGCAAAAGCTTCATTGAAGCTATCAAGTGGGATTAAGCTTACCTCCCAGACGAGAGACTTGATACCACGAGCACCACCGTAGGCCTGGTCGAGAGTGACCTCACCAATGACCTTGTTACCGAACTCCCTGCGATTGTGCATCAGCAACTAGGAACAGATTCTTTCGGGGATTGGATATGACATACTTGCGGAGGGTCTTGACCTTCTCGATCTCGGCAGGGAGGCGGTCGGCAAAGGTGTCCTTGAGGGACTATTTTTAAAGAGTTAGTATAATCCAATTGATGACAGCGACGACTTGAGGCTGAGACGACATACCTTAGCCTTAACGGAAGAGTAGCAGCGCGCGCCGTTAAGAGCGGCAGCCTGGACAGGCTTAGCCATGGAGGACCGCAGAGCGGAGGAACCAATGCGAATGGAGGCCATTTTTGATATGGTTTTTGTGAATCAACTCTACAACACGAAGAGAGGTGAAGGAGAAGAAGAGTGGAATGGGGGGGAAGAAGGGAAGAAAAGAAATCATCCGGGAGCTCCCTTTTTTCGGAGTGGATTTTTCCCGTAATACAGCCGGTACTCCGTACAAATTCGGGTCCACGCCGGTTGATCAGTGTGTAATTTACTCCCCAACGGTAACAAGAACATCGGGCTGCCGTGGATCGTCATTAGTGCATTTTCCGGACTCCATACTATAATACAGTATTTGAACTCCATACCAGAGTACCCAGCTGATATTCTTTATGATCTGATGTTATTTCCGTCCTTCCGTACTCATCTGATTAGGGCTACCGAGGTTATCATTAGAGTATTTTCAAGGGATTTTTGATCTCCCGTATATATAAAAGGATTAAATTACCCACTATCCCCAATGGAGCCCATGGCAGTGACGTCGGCAAGTCGCCATCGTGTCCCGTGTGCCGCCATCCGGATCCCCGAAGAAGCGTGTTTAGGCCCTCGGCATCAACAATTTATTTTCTTTTTTTTATTCAACTGTATTTTTTGGGAGACTTTATTGAGAATATCCTGCAGGTCATTGTGAAGTCGTAGTACATACAAAGCTACGGAGTAATGAAGTTCCAATTATATCCATAGATTTGCTCCGTGTATAGCCGGTAGTTCAACTGAAAGAGTTCACCGAAATCGGGAGCTCCAGGGTACTCCAGAAAGAGGTCCCTACTCCATACTCTAAGTACTCCGTAGATGCGGGAAAGACACTAACACTTGAAAGAGCGATGTTCGCCAACAAAAAATTATTGGCCCCATTGTAGCTCCAGATGGGGAATGGGGTTGAAGTACGGAGCAACGGAGTTTTGTTTTTAGTGTATTTGGTTTGAATTTTTGTTTCAAATGTTTTCTTTTTTCCGTTTTCTCTTTATAAATCTTTTTTTAAGTCAGAGAGTTCCCCACTTGATACTATACACAATCCAAGTTGGTCTTGATCAAGCATCCACAGTTTCGTAGCCAGGGGAACCAAAGAGGAAGTGTACACTTTGTACGGGAGACCAAATCTACCATTAGTGTAAATTTGGATTGGTGCTCTGACACCTGATTATTCAGGTGTCAAAATATCAGGTTTTCAGTCATGTGATTTCACGTGGTCTATCCAAATCAGGATTAGCCCAAGACCAAACTCTCACTCCCTTTTTCTCTTTCACCTCTTTCCCATCGCCCCTTATCACACACCACAACACGACCGACATTTTCATCAGGATTTCCACGGATAGTACTCTGTAACTCCGCTCTCATTTTTTAGAGAACTGAGATCCCACACAGTACACGCCTTAGGTTGTACCTCCACGTACTCGTACTTCGGTCAGGCAACTCTGGACCATTACCCCCCCTAGGCTGTATTCCAGCTGTAGGCAACATTTTGGGCATTCTAGGGCCTTAACAGTGAATCTTGTGCTGTAGTGAAAGGCCGCTAGATATTTCTGCTTGATTCACTCCGGCTTAAATCTTGAAGGAGGAAAGAAGAGAACACCAGACCATCAAAAGAAAAAAAAAGTTGCTTTTAACATCTTTATCTCTTTCTCTTTCTCTCACTCTTTCCTTCTACTCTATCATCAGTAGCCAACGGGACTTTGGAGAGACGCGACTCTTTTTGGTTCTTGCCGTCTCAGACGACACCCTCCTTTAGGCTTCCCCTCCTCCTTTCACCTTACTTGACTCCTCAACATCCACAACAATGTCTTCGGCCGTAGCAGAGCTGGAGAGCTATCTCCAATCCATGCTGGCGTTGAAGCCTCCTGGTGTATCTGGTTCAAAGATTCAAGGAATCACCACTCTTTGCACCGCGAATGTTCAGGTATGATCTCTCTGCCTCGATTAACGCGTCGATTATAACGTGTCGCCATACCGTATCAGTATGCTAACTCACTGAAACAGAATGAATCCGTTCTCATCCAAAAGATCTACACTCACTTCAAGAAGGCACCGGGCACCCACAAGCTGGGAGTACTCTATGTCGTAGACTCTGTAACCCGACAGTGGGTAGAAGCTGCACGCAAGGCTGGTCAACCTCCCGGGTCTTCGGCCCCCGATGGAACCTTCGCCGCAGGCGTCAACCGAGTCACCGAATTACTTCCTGTTCTGATGGGAGACATCATAAACAACGCCCCGCAAGACCAAAAGGTACGCACTAGACATGCAGATATGGATCAGCCCCTCAGTTGGGGGCCAATCGCCTGCGGCTGATCGCCCCGGCTGGTTGGCAGAGTGTGATGTGATGCATATAGACTGTGCATCACCATACTTCTCTGACCCCTTCACTTTAAGAGAACAGTACAACTTACGTATTTCCTTTTTAAACTTCGTATAGGACAAGATTCGAAAGCTGATTGACATTTGGGATCGTGGATACACTTTCCCAGCTCCTATGCTTGCTTCGTTCCGTGAGAAACTGAATGCTCCCCAAAGTAAGACACCTCTCATTCCTCTTTATCCCCGCCCTTCATCCCCGCACACGTCACGTTTAGAACTTTGTTTACGTTTGCTTTTTCGACCCTTTTTCACATCCTTGGTTTGAAATCTTCCATTTGCCCTCTTTAGGAAATGATTGATTGTTTACCGATAACCATGTCATAATTCATTTAAACTCATTCTAATGCACTAATGCAGACGTTGAATCGACCACCCCTGAAGGATCACCCGCTCCGGGCTTTAACCTTATGGGAACTGCACCCCTCGCTCCAGCCAACAATGGCTCCGCCGCCGCTGCGCAAGATACCTCAAGTATCCTGAAAGCCTTGGCAGATATGGCTAAGCAGAGCACTGCGGCTCCAAATGCCCCCGCCCCGGCTGCAGCTCCAGTTAACCCTCTGGCTGCCTTGAACCCACCCGCTGCGGTGGCCGCCCCCCCAGCCCATTTCTTCTGCCGATCCCTCGGCCATGAACCAGTACGCCGCTGCAGGAGCTATGAACCCCTTCGCTGCCTTGACCGGTGCTCTCGGTCAGAACCCTGCCATGGGTCAGCCTCAGAGTCAAAGCCAGACCCCCAACCCCATGGCTGCTGCTCAGAACCCTCTGGCAGCGATGATGCCTCAAGCCGCGCCCGCTTTACCCGATGGTGGAGCCATGGCTCAGCAGTGGCAGCTGTTGCAAATGCTCGCCGCACAGGGCATTCCCCAGGAACAATGGGCCGCGGCTCTTCAAATCTTCAGCATGACCAACGGCATGGGTGCCAACCCCGCTCAGCTCCCTGGCTTCAATGCCATGCCCGGCATGCCCAACGCTTGGGGTCACCAAGAACAGAACCGTGATGACCGTGACCGCGACTACAACCGTTCTCCTGGTGGTTACCGCCGTCGTTCCCGCTCTCCTGGTGCCACCTGGGGAGATCGTCGTCGCACTGCCTCTCCTCCTCGTCGCCGTGAGAGCCCTGTCTATGGTGAATACCATGCTGATTCCCCTGGCCGTCGTGGTGATGCTCGTGGTCGCCGACCCAATGAATACCGTCAGCGCAGCCCGCCTGGACGCAGACGCCGCTCGCCTTCGCCTCCTCAGAAGGACCCCAACCTCCCTCCTCCTGGACCCAAGCTTATTGAGTGGGATTACTCCATTGGCCAGGGTAACATTAAAGTTCTGAGCCGAACCCTCTTCGTTGGTGGTGTTACCTCATCCGAGGCCAATCTGCGTGCTCTGTTCGGCAAGTTCGGTCTCGTTCAGACCTGTATCGTCAACATCGACAAGCGTCATGCTTTTATCAAGATGATCAGTCGCCAGGATGCGATCAGCGCACGTGATGGAATGGAGTCATACCGGGTCAATGAGATGCAGTTGCGCACTCGATGGGGTGTTGGATTCGGTCCTCGTGACTGCAGCGACTACCAGACTGGTATCAGCATCATTCCTATTGAACGTTTGACCGAGGCCGATCGTAAGTGGATGCTTACTGCCGAGTATGGTGGTACTGGTGGTCACTCTATTGAGTCTGGTATGGTGGTTGAGGAACCTGACATTGAAATCGGTGCCGGTGTATCCTCCAAGGCTATCAGTCGCCGCATCGCTACCGATACTGGCGGCAAACGTGGCCCTATCTCCACTCGCACTGGTCAGCCTGAGCAGCCGCAGCAGCGATTTGGTGGTGGTGGTGGTGGTCGCCGTCATGAGCGTGGTGATGGCTACGGTGGTCCTCATAACGCCGGTCCTCCCCAGGGCGATCGCAATGACATGAGTAACATGAACAACCCTGCCGTCCCCCTGCCGTTCCCGCATACGGTTTCAGCTTTGCCAACATCCCCATGCTCCCTCCTGGTTTCATGATGGGTGCACAGGCTGGCGGCATGCCTGGTTCCCAACCTCCTCCTCCGGGACCGGGTAACTAAACCCTCAAAAGTACCAACTCCTTTTCGATTCTCTTCTTTTCAGCCTTCCCCTTTTTATTTCTCGACTCTTCTTCTCATTGTCTTCTTTCCACCACTTTTTTTCTTTCTCCTTTTTTGCATCTGGACACTGGAATCGTTGTCCACGTGGGACAGCTGGCGTTTCGATGAGGCTCACACGAGATCTGTATCACACTGACAATGGGTGGTTCTTTGTTGTTCTTGGCTTTATCTCCAAGGATGCTTGGTTTTTTTTCCGTTTTCCAAATCGTTTTACTTCAGTCCTTGACTTCAATTTTCCGATATTTCTCTTCTTGTGTACCACTTGCATATGCCTATTACGAAGTTGTGGTGATTTGATAATGCAGCCTACAGCACAGGCATGAATCAGTTATTTTTTATTATGATTGAGCCCTGGAGCTCTACCACCGTAGCCTTCCAGTAGTAAAGCGTAGAGATGATGTATATGTGAATATCCGTTTGTGATAGCAAGTAATGATCTCACAGCTCGATGCGTTCCATGGGCCAAACATTGAAGCTTTGAATCATCATCCACGTGCATTGTTTACTTCATACTAATATGTGCATCAAATTAGATCAACTCAACTTTGGAGGTCAAATCACTTCAAATGTTATCATGGCTACCATACAGTCAATGATTTAACAACGATAACAAGAGGCCGTTAAAGCGATACACACATCAGGATTATAATGACTCGGACTTTGCCCATAGCTACTACATTTAAAATGACTATCTTAGTTCAACCAAGTACTCATCCCATTCCACAGCCTCGTAACTACTACTCTCTGCGCAAATCTTAATCTTGTCCCTTGAGATATCAAGCAGTACGATCACGCAATTCCTTAGACGCCCGGAAGGATTGCTCAAAATCGGCAATAATATCATCAATATGCTCTGTGCCAACAGAAATCCGAATCGCATCCTCGGTAACACCAGAATCGAGGCGTTCCTGATCGGTCAATTGTTCATGAGTAGTAGACCAAGGATGAATCGCCAGAGTCTTGGAATCACCAACACTAGCAGGGTATTAGCAAACTCCTCACATCGCTCTAAAGGGAGGATACATACTTCGCAAGATTCGAGATCAGCTTGAACCCATCAACAACCCGACTCCCTGCTTCAGCACCACCCTTAATACCAACCGATAAGACACCCCCAAACCCACGAGGCAAATACTTCTTCGCCGTAGCATGAGAAGGATGCTCCTCTAAACCTGGATACGAAACCCAGCTCACATTCTCATTCCCTTGTAACCACTTTGCCAGTTTTAGTGCATTCTCTGCGTGTCGCTCACAGCGCAAACTCAGCGTCTCAATACCCAGAATGAGCTGCTGAGCTGCAAATGGGTTAAGGGCAGATCCAAGGTCCCGGAGAATCTCAACTCGAACACGAATGGCGAATGCGAGTGGTCCAAAAGTTTCCCAGAATTTCAATCCGTGATACCCTTCTGATGGCTCGACAAATTGAGGGAATCGAGCACTGTGCTTTCCCCAGTCGAATTTCCCACTGTCAACTACTACTCCTCCGATTGTGGTACCGTGTCCGCCAATCCATTTGGTTGCGCTGTGCACCACTATGTCGGCGCCGTGGTCTATGGGACGGGCGTAGTAGCCACCTGCTCCGAAGGTATTATCAACCTTTATTATAATATTAGCGTTGGATTCACATTATATCAGAGATCAGCCCCAATCCTTGTACTTGAGGCTACCCTCGTAGGAACATTTGAATGAAACGAAAAAGAATGTAAACTTGAACTTGACTTACCACCAAAGGAACACCCTTCTCATGAGCAACTTTCGCAATAGCCTCAAAATCAGGTACATTATACCTCGGATTTCCAATAGTCTCCACATAAACCGCCTTCGTCTTATCATCAATAGCATTCGCAATATCATCCGGGCTATCCCCAGAAACAAATTTCGTAGTAATACCTAACCGTGGAAGCATAACCTTGAACTGGTTATACGTCCCACCGTAGAGGTTAGTCGTCGAAACGATATTATCGCCTGCATGTGCAAGTGCGGATATAGCCATGAATTGGGCTGATTGTCCTGAGGATGCGGCGACTGCGGCAATCCCGCCTTCTAGTGTTGCGATGCGCTTTTCGAATACGTCGACTGTCGGGTTCATTATTCGGCTGTAGATGTTGCCGAATTCCTTTAGACCGAAGAGTCGGGCGCCGTGAGCGGAGGAGTTGAATGTGTATGAGGATGTTGCGTAGATGGGTACGGCGCGGGAATTTGTTGCTGGGTCTGGTTCGTGACTATGACACAATATTATTAGTGGCAGGTTCGAGTTGCGAGCTCAAGATTGTCATTGAGAGTGAGTGGTAGACGGGAGCTTGAATGCCATTGGTTATGTTGATGTTGAACTTACCCAGCGTGCAATTGCAGGGTCTCAAAATGGAGGTTTTGATCCGACATTTTGATCAAGATGATATCAGTACTTTCGAGTTCAACCTTGGAAGTGGATTGAGTTGGTTGACTGATGATCGTAGTGAGGGAAAGAAACTCGAGCTGGATTGTATGAAACTACCATGATATAAACAAAGAGGGACATGCGGGGTTCGATGGCGTGATTCAGCATTATCATCCTATTTCCCTCGCAAATTTGTATTTCTTCTCCACTTATGCCCATCTAGGCAAGTGTTTGTACTCTCAGGTGGGACAAACCTTCGGTATTACGACATTCCCCTGCTTTAGTCGTGATGAGGGGCTTTTCCATAGATCAGTGATATTTAGGAGTGGGTCAACCGTCATGATAGAGAATGATTAAATCAAAGATTTGTGGGGCATAACTTAATCGCCATTTTATTCAAGTGTGGTTCAGACATTTGAAGGGTCCAGATGTGCAAATACGCTTGCCCCCTTTGTTCACAACATTGGAATCCGGGGTTATGCAGGGTATACTCCGCCGGAACCTCACTTCCAACTTGAAGGTTGAGTTGTCCTTCAAGTGATAACTCTAACTCGAGATTCTTTTTTTTATATTACCGAGTCTGTAAATATTGATGCATATCTGTATACACCTGTGTAGGGAAGAGCTATTCTCCGCTGGTAATTTGGAACATTGAAGATACCAATTAATGGTTGGACAACTTAAGTGCCTACTAGGTAGTGCTTGTATGTATGTGGATATAAACAGTTGAAGAATACTATCTAGTAATAAATAGGGATTAACGTGGTTAAGTCCCTTCAATCAAGTCAAACTTCAAATGAATAGTGCCCATTCTTACAATATTTTTTTAAGACTTACACGGGGAATTGGCTGATGAACATATCAAGTGTTCAAAGACTTCGATCATTACCGGATCAGGTTTAATTTAGGTTGATTTTAGGCAGCTGATTAGAAGAAAAATGGGTCTCATGTGGCTGAGTCAAGGGTTATGCACAGTACATTTGTATCCTACCTAGCATGCTACATAGAGGGACATACACATGTGCATGGGTATAGGCAACAAGAATAATCTGCAATTCTTAGAATCATGATATTACTACTACTAGTATTTCAAGTTTATAATAAGTGCATAACCCACGTCAATGTGATATTCATATAATAATAACTTGAAACTGGGATTATATTAATATAACCTTGAAAGTAGTGAGTGGTACCATATTGGGCAGCTGCAAGCCACCTGACTTAGCTGTCACCGATGACGCTTGTGCGACGCCAGTGGCTGACCAAGTTCAACATTTGAATTACTTTATATACTCCAGGCTCCTTCCAACTTCCCACTTTCAAAAATAACCAGTTAACTCAAGCGCTACGATTTTGATTTCAAGTTCGACTTTAATCCAACTCACAATCTTCATCATGGCCATGCCCTGGATCTATGCTATTCGGATCATCCAGGCCATTTTCGGTCTCATTGTTCTTGCTTTAACAGCTTATGGTTTGTCGCGTCAACGGATCCACATGGTATAGCTAGCGATCCTGCTAACACACTCCATAGTCATCAGCACCTGGGATTGGTGGGGTACAACCGATACAGCGAACTTTCTCCTCTTCCTCGCCTGTTGGACCATCTTAATAGCAATTCCCTACTTGGCGCTAGCTCCCACCCATGCCCCACGCCTGGCCCATCACATGGTGATCCCAGCAATGGAAGTGATCACGATGATCTTTTGGTTTGCAGGCTTTATTGCGACCGCTGCGGAACTACCAGATTCTCACGTTTGTACCTGGAGTGCCTGTCGCTCGCGCCAAGCTGCAACTGTATTTGGTGCCTTTGAATGGTAAGTGACCCGACCTGGTTCGATCTCTAGATGTCAGTGCTGACAGTTTATCGGTAGGGTTCTTTTCGCCTTGACCACGTATTTCGCTGTTGTCGATTTCATGAACGGTCGGAGAAGTGGTGAAACTGCTCAGAAGACACAGCACAATGCCCATCTGGGGGTTTGAATGAACTATACTCCATGACAGTTGTCGGTTCGAATGATGGGGTTTCTCTTCCCAGCCGTCCTCGCAATTTGAACTTGAAGTTATCTCAGGCTTCCCGATATCCCGAAGGTGGTACGATTCATGAATTTTACGTCACAGCGCCTATGTTATTATATCAATGTTGATACCCAGATGCATGTCATCAAGATTACTACTAGTAGTGAAATGTTATCAGTTATCTATATACTCTTATCGGATCCACTGATGGAAACGGTTGGGATTTCCACGGTTGCGGTAATTCATGAAAATTTTTCTTCGAACCATATTACCTGTGGAGTGATTGGTGGATACAATCAATTTTCTCTGATGACTTGCATACTCCATATATCAAAGATGAATACTGCATAGACCGAGTCCCAGTTCGGTGTTGATCCGGGCCGAGTGGCGATGATCTAAGTTACACTGGGGCACTTCGATGACTCGGAGTACTCCGTACATCAGATGTTATAGCCTATGTTATAGTTTATCTGGAGTATTAAGTTTATATTGAGTCAAGGATTCCTGCATACGTATTCAATCATCTCGCATAAGAACCATTTCCCACTAAGTTCTGTTCGTCGCCACCAGGGAAAAAAAAATTCTCTGGTCGGCCCACATTAAGTCCGCGGGAAACAAATCAACTCGTTCGTAGGGCAAAGGATTAAAGGATTCTGGAAAAAGAGAAAAAGAAAAAAGGGAAAAAAAAAAGAAAAAGAAATTTTTTTTCTTTTTCTAGTTTAATTCAATTATAAAATTCTTTATATCTAGATCAGATCTCTAGAATGATCAATTGTTCAGGAAAAAACGCCTCTGCTTTCATCTAGCAATCTTTTACCTAACATATTCACCCATCGCCGATCTAGGAAGTAGGGTTTTTGACAGTGTCGCGTGTTTCTCCACATCAACCTTGCCCTCGGAGGCATCCGCTCCTTTGCAGCTGGTGGTCCAGAGTGGATACTCCAGCGCGATCTTTGAGTCCCTCCAAATTCTTCTCCTCCCCTTTCTCGTGTCCTTCAAGTTCTCGCGTTATACCCCTCCCTTAAATCTTTCTCGGGATACCTAGGTATGGCTTCAGACAAGGTCTGGAATGCGCCAGGATCTGAGAAGGGAAAGATGGAGTCCGAAGGCCCAATCACCACTGTGCAGCAAGAATCGAACAACTATGATGTCGACTACGAGAAATATGGAGCCGACCGCGATTCGAACCCTATGCCTGATCTGAAGCGCAAGCTGAAGAGCAGACATTTGCAGATGATTGCCATTGGTAAGTGTCACCAGGGTGTATAGATCTGCCCGAAGAGGATTATACGTGTGGTAGAGTATGTGTGAGTCAGTGCTGACTATGCGCAGGTGGTACTATCGGAACAGGTCTCTTCATCAGCAGTGGTTCTGCTGTCGCAGATGCTGGCCCTGTCGGCGCCCTCATCGCTTATCTCTTCGTTGGAAGTATTGTCTTCTCGGTCATGACTGCGCTCGGAGAGATGGCTACCTACCTCCCCATCCCCGGTGCTTTCACCGCGTACGCGACTCGGTTTCTCGACCCTAGCTTGGGATTCGCAATGGGCTGGATCTATTGGTTCTCTTGGGCTTCGACTTTCGCTCTGGAGCTCACGGCCACTGGTTTGATCATTCAATTCTGGGATAGTTCCATTCAGATCGCCATCTTCATCGCCATCTTCTGGGTTATGATCATTATTTTCAACATGTTCCCTGTCAGCTTCTATGGTGAACTTGAATTCTGGTTCTCGAGCATCAAGGTCCTGACTGTGATCGGCTTCATGATTTTCGCCATCTGTATGGATGCTGGTGTTGGCAAGGAAGGATATCTCGGTTTCCGTTACTGGGTCCACCCTGGTCCCTTCGTTGAGTACCTGATTACCGATGATGCATCTCTGGCCAAGTTTGTTGGTTTCTGGTCAGTTTTGATCAAGGCCGGCTTTGCTTACCAGGGTACTGAGTTGGTTGGTATTGCGGCTGGTGAGACTGAGAACCCTCGCAAGACGGTCCCCTCTGCGATCCGCGGCACTTTCTTCCGAATCATCTTCTTCTTTGTCATGACGATCTTCTTCATTGGAATTGTCATTCCTTCGGATGATACTGACCTCTTGAACAGCGAAGGTAGTGGTGCTTCTGCCTCCAACGCAAATTCCTCTCCATTTGTGATTGCAGCTCGCCGTGCTGGCGTTTCAGCCCTTCCCAGTATCATCAATGCAGTCCTTCTCACTGTGGTCCTGTCAGCTGCCAATTCGAACGTCTACAGTGGCAGTCGTATCGTTGTTGGTCTGGCTCAGGAGGGCTTTGCTCCCCGTTTCTTCAAGAGAACCACCAAGGGCGGTGTGCCTTACCTTGCAGTCTTGTTCACTTCTCTGTTCGGACTTCTGGGTTTCCTCAACGTGTCCGACAGTGGTGCGACTGTGTTCAACTGGTTGCTTCAGATTGCCGGCGTAGCTGGTTTCATCACTTGGTGTTCCCTCAACGCCTGTCACCTTGCCTTTATGCGCGCACTGAAGGCACGCAACATCTCCCGAGATGCGCTACCTTATAAGGCTATCTGGCAGCCATGGTACTCCTGGTACGGACTGTTTTTCAACACTCTGATTATCATCACCCAGGGATTCACTGGTTTCATCCCTAACTTCCAGCTTCAGGAGTTCTTCATCAACTACCTTAGCTTGATCCTATTCGTGGTCCTATATATTGGCCACAAGTTAATCTACCGTCCCGCATTTGTCAAGCCGATCGAGGCCGATCTCGATACTGGCCGAATCAACTATGACAATGAGACCTGGGAAACCACTGAGCCAAACACCTCTTGGTACCGCAAGCTGTGGTCCTGGATTGCTGGTTAGTTCACGCAATCTTTCTCTTGTTTATATACTATGGGTCTCTATGTATTTTTCTTTTTTTTCTTTTCTGTCTCTTATTAAGCTTGTTGGGCATTGGGACACGGCGTTTTGGGGAAATAGCGCATCCGATCATAATATCGGTGTATAAGTGAAACTTGCACAGTTCTAACCTCGGATGGAACATTGAGGTTGCTGTATATTACCTAAATACATAACTATTATATCTCCACTATATGGAAGTTGAATATTTGAATGAATTTGAAAATAAATTAACATTCACTGTTACTAGTATAATGTTATCACTGGTTATTTGACCAAGAAGTTCGATAAAGCACTTGAGAGATTTCAATATTCAGTGTTCCCTTGGGATAGGACCTTGATCATCATCTTCCATGAGGGCCTTTAGGAGGAAGTAGCATAAATCAGACGAGCAGAGGGCGCGTGGGGAATCCCAACCGACAAACTGCTACTTTCCGAGTTCCACGAAAGAGAAGTTGAGAAGTTGCGGGGAACAGAACTTCGTAATGAGACAAACCCTGAGTCCCAACAGGTATATCAAGATGACCCTTCCCACCTCTTCGCCAAACAGCGATATACCGATGCCTTCCATGTCGAAGTTCGACAACCAGCCAGTTATCTTTCCATCCGGGCAATCCCAGAGGCCAGTATGGAAGACAGTCTTTGATATGGCCACGTATATCTTTATAGACCTGCATCGCCTCCACAACTAGGCTTAGTTGTTTCTCATTCAACAGATCAATTCTACCACTTAGATGAACTCGTCCCATAAGGCTGTTTACAAGACACAGTGCGTTTAAATCGTCACTGTAATCTGTCTGCGGATAAGCCCACGATGCACTCTGCTCCGGCGTAACAGCTGTGAGGACCGTTGCGGCAATACACGAGTACAAATGTGGCTCCTGTTGATCACTGGTAGACTGAATGGAATGCGATGCTAGCATGTGGTAGTCAAGTCGCTGGGCACCACTGGAGCATGTCTCAAGGACTACATGAGGGAATCGGTCGTAGATCTTGTTGATCCACTCCATGTATGCACGTCGATGGCCGAGCATACCATCACCAGGACTTGAGGCATTAGCGTCAGTGCCATGGGTGACGTCAATATTGTAGTCTATCTTGAAGTATCCAATCCCGTAGTTCTGAACAAGGTTGTCAATCACTGCATCCAAGCGAGATATAACATCTTCATGGCGAAAGTCGAGGTGAAACCGATTTTGTTCAATGATGCGAACTCCTCGACGTTGGAAATATGCATCGTCTGGCAGATGGCTGGCCTCGGGACAATGAACGCCAATAACCTCCGGCTCGATCCAAACACCAGGAATCATTCCAACGGCACGGATTTTGTCAAGGAGTACTTTGAATCCACCTGGAAATCGCTTTGAGGAAGGTTCCCAAACACCAACAGAGCTCCACCATCCTTCAATATCGGAATACCACCCTGCATCTATAACAAAGTATTCGGAGCCAGCTTTTCTAGCTGGTTCAATCAATGCAGTCACCTTCTCTGTATTTGGATTGCCCTTCAAGCAATTCATGTAATCGTTGAAGATGATAGGCAGGTTGACGTTGTCTTCGTGGTGTCGACGAATGCGACGACGGTACTGAGTGAAGAGAACAAAGGAAGATTCCAGGTCTCCATCAATGACTGAAAGGGCGGTTGTCACACCTGTGAAATCTTCACCGGGATTTAAAGTCTTTGTCCACTGATGGTGTTGGTCTGTAGGGCCACCGGCGATCAAGTACAACCCATGAACGATATTACCCAGCTCCCAATTCCAAGCACCACTATTTTCGATTTGCCACATGAATGTTTGCTTTTTGTCCTTCCGAGTCAAGGCACCCATAGGTAAGGATCCATTCGTGGAGAAAGTGCCCAAGTTTGATTTGATGACAGCAGCTCGAGTTCCTGGACGGTCAAAATCACTGTCTCCAACATCGCCCATGCCGAGAGTATCAAAGTCAAAGCTCTGCCATTGCGCTTCGCGGAAGTTGTTGCTATTCGCGACAACAACATCAAATTCGTTCCACCATTCTTTAGAACCCCGGTTCAGATAGCCAAGTGATAGTGACGCCAGGCTTTCGAGGTGGAGCTTTTTTGGTCCTTGATTCCTCACCCGAGTGGTGCTACGTAGGACTGGGACCCCTTCGAAGACTGAATAACGGCTGTCGACAAAAAGTTCGGTTTTGGGATCTCTGGTGATCACATCGATTCGACGAGTACCGTCACTCTCGGTCCATTCCTTGTGCTCAACGTATTGTAGACGACTTGAGGTGGCACTGAAAACCAAGCGCTCAGATGTACCAAAAATAGAACCTTCTCCTGCTAGTCGCAGCTGTGTCAATGGTAGAATGTGATCCAATTCTGAGTTCACAGAGTATCTCACAGCTGGGCTTCCTGATGGACGAATGCTGTGGATGTAGACATGTTCTTCGGAGTCGATGAAAAAATCAACATCCAAGGCACCAGCTTTCCATTCGATGTAGCGACCTGTATTAGGAAAGTCAGTCAAAGAACAGGTTAATTCAAGTTTCATCTCTCTCAATTACCTGGTGATGACATTGCGATTACTCAACTGATTTGTTGACTTTGCGCTTTTTATTCTGCTGACTCTTGCTTTGATGATGACAAGAGTTTTGATTGATTTTGAAAAAGAACAAGAAATGGCATGTCAAGTGGGTGACTTTATAATTCTTCTGATACCTAGTGTACATAATGGTGCATTCCCACACTGTATTGGGGTGACTCCTAAAGTAGTGTTACCCGCCAGTGTTGACTATTTTATTGAAGTGGATATTTCTACGATTGGAGATTGTATTCCATCACATCGTATGCATCATTAAACCTTGGAAGTTTTGCGTCACGCCTTTAAGGAAGTTTCCCCACTAACTAGTCGGAGTAGTCGGAAAGCTTTGAGAAGTCATCGGGTTCATCCGAATTAGGACAAAGCCGAAGCGGCAAACAATATACCGGAAGGAGGACAAGCAAGCTGCTCACCTGAGCAGTACCTAGTCTAGTGGGGAATAGATGAGAACCAACTTGAACATTTGAACTATTAGAATGGACAGTCTCAACAGCAACTCGGGAAATTTTTACAATTAATCATGACAGTTCCAAGGTTCAAATGTTGATTTCATCGGTACCACTAGTAGTCCATATGGACTTCCTTTAAGACTAAAGAATAGTTTCCTGGGAGTAAAAGCAACCAAGGACTTCAAGTTTACAGAACCTTGGAAGCTCTCTCCGTGAAAAATAGTAGTACATAAAGTAGAGTGAGAGAAATTCAGTATTTCACGGCTCTTCGGATTCATTGATAAGTTGAAACTATACAGGCCAGAGCCCACAGATACGCTTCAGATAAAACTAGTCTATGGCATTGACCCAGAGGTATTTTCATCCTCATCAATCTTTGCCCCTTTGAACGCCCGCGCTGGCGTCTTACGAGAGAATAGAATATCAAGTTCCTCGTATGTGCGATTCTGTTTGACGCAAATACCAGAGAATTAGAAAACATACAGCTGGGAGCACAATAGTGGGTACTGACCTTGGTCTCGGGGAGACGGAAGAAAGCCCATAGATAGACGATGGCAGCTGTCCCAGCCCAGAAGAATCCTGTTTCTAAAGTTTGAGTATATTTGTTTTTGGCAAAACATGGGAGCCCAAGGAGATCTTGACATACCTGTATAGCCGCTGAGATTCCAAGCCGTCGGATTCATGAAGTATTGCTGTAACACACCAGCTACTATGTTCATAAGATAGTAGGCGATACGTGCTAGACAAATTGTTTTCTGGCGGACTCTGGTTGATCCAACCTCAGCAGGAAGTGACCACCCAAGTTGACCGACGGTCATATCGAAAATGAGATTCCAGAACATGGCCAAGGCAGCTTGAGTATACCCAACAGTGGGGCGAGTAGTCCAGATATTCAGAATACCAATAATGAACAGCAATAAAGTCATTGTGAACATCCCCCATAAGTAAAGCGTTCGGCGGCCGAAATAAGGCATACATAAGATCCAACTGATGATTGTGCCTCCAAGAGCGAGGCCGAGACCACCCAGATTAAGAGAGTAGACTGTAGATGTGTTCAAACCGAGTTGCTCGAAGAAATACGAAGAATTGTCTGTCAACCTTTAGTTAGCTATGTTCATTATTGGTTTTTAAAACACCGGTCATACAAGCGAAGTTGGATCCGGATAAGACTTGTCCACAGAATGCCATACAGGCGATCTCAGTACGGCGGCATTCAAATGACTTGAAGCAATCCCAGTAAGAGGTTCCAGCTATTATTTCCTCCTCCAGTTGATTTGTAGACACAATCATTGCAAGGGTCTTGTTCGAGTCAATAGCAGCAGACCTCCGCTGCAATCGCATCAAAGACTGTTTGGCGGAATCCAACCTCCCTTTCTGAACTTCGTACCATGGGCTAGGCGGCGCAAAGAAAATCGCAGGAATGAGGAAAGCAGGCCATACCCACTGAATTGCAAATGGAATCCGGTAGGACCACTCGTCTGGGCGATTCGCCAGAGCACGGAGAACGCCAGCTGCAGTCAACTGACCCGCGCAGAAACACATATTGGTAAAACTTGTGAAGTAGATGCGAAGGACCATCGGGAGAATCTCGGATGCATATGCCGGTGCAGCTGTGAAAAATTAATGTCATTAGCCAGTATATCTAGGTATGCATTCTTCACTCACATGTTGCAAAAATTCCCCAAGGTACGCCCATCAAGACCTGTCCAACACACAGAACGGTAATATCCGAAGCGAAGAAGGTGATAAATGTGAACCCAACTTCAACAATCAGTGCCCAGAAAAGAACTTTACGGTGTCCGTACCAATCAACAACATGACTAAAGGTGAAAGTTAGATTCAATACATATTTCAGGAGGATTCTCTATAGCCTACCCATTTAAAATCGTCCCGAAAAATCCACCGACGGTCGATGCGTTCGTAAGTCCAGCTTGCCATGCTGCTGTTAGTTGGTAGACAGGTGCCCCTGATGCATCATGACCAATAACGCTCCCAAAGTGCTTCTGAAATTGTGGATAGGCGTAGAGTGATTGTACCAGAATTTGAGAATAACCTTCCATAATAACACATAATGAGACAACAAGACACCAGAATATTGCCATCGGGTAAGCATTAATTGCGTGATAGACAGTCAGATTGTGCTCGACTGCAGAGCTTTCCCAAGCATCTCTGACCAGCGCCTTCTCAGATGTGGGTGGCATCGTTGGGGCAGATTCGATGTGCTTCGCCTCTGAAGAAGCTTGCTTTTCAAGTTGGTTCATGGTGCCCTTGTGGAGCCCAAATGTTCAAGAGAATAAAGGTGAAGATAACAAAATCGAGGATGGATCCAGACATCTCCAAAGTTCAGCGGGCCTAGTGGAGATCTTATAGGATAATCGAGCGAAAGCCTCCCGGTTAAATTATACCCTGGACATTAGATTCCATGTACGTTTGCTGTTTCAGGTTGAGGTCTTGTAATTCTGTAGACATGTTCTTTGAACAACGTCATTGGACAGATATCACTCGAACTTACTCCTAAAGACCCAGTAGGATCGGTTAGATCTTCACTTTCCCCGCCACTGTTTTCTGGGGTCTGGGGAAACGCGGAGAAACTGGGAGTGTAGAGATTGACTTCTCAACAATTCAATGCGGATAATGCGGGATCTTCCATTTTGGGATAGTTCCGGTGCGGCAATATTTCCAAGGCTTAGCGTCTCTCTTTTCCTTATACCCACAAAGTCCCTGGGTTTAAAAAAAAAAAAAAATTCAGCCGAAAGGCTGTTGTTTTTCTCCTAACCTGATTGATATCGATTTAGATAATTTAATCGCAATGAATCGGAAATGTTGGCATTGATTGTTTCAATCCATCACTTGTAGTCACACGAGTCAGGGAAGTTTGATTTTTCTTTCCTATGTACATTTCGGTGGCCTTCGAAATCTTCTGCATGTTTGGATTGCTTTCCTTTCAAGTTGTTGGTATGTCCAAATGTCTGGTGGTCAGATAGTATAATATCAACAAATAAACATCTTATTTGGCAACATTTTCCCCGAGAATACCTCTATGATGTGATTCATTTTGGACAGGAACAATATGATCACTCATGGTAAAGACCTCAGCCATATACTGATCAAATTCAGGAAATTGGAATTGCGTGTCGTCATAAGATATTTTGAAATGGATGTCATCAAGAAAACTCTCTGCCAGGGATGCGGTCTGAAATTCTGCAGACATGCTATCAATCTGATACACAGAGTGTTGTTGAACTCTGTTGCTTGGAGACGGAAGATTGGTATCATTAAAAGCAGTTCTCATGATGTCTGGTGATGAGTGCTGTGAGATATTTGAGATCGGTAGGTAGCTGAAGTCAATGGAGCCTCGACTAATGTGATCTGTGTCTTTGAGTGATGGAATCACTCTCTTCGCCAAACGAGCCATCTGACGCGCCTTCCAATCGTTCTTACTCAAAGACTTCAGAATGTTAAAACGTGCTTGCAGATCTTCGTCGGCTTTTTGGGCATTGCTGGGGTTATCGCCACGAGCTTGGTAAGCGACAGCCAGAGACATAGATACTGCATAGGTTATCAAAGGTAAAGGAGGCAATAATGCGTGCTTTTCAATGGAGGTCAGGTCCTGTATTCGACTTGCACAATCCACGCGAAATTTGTATTCGGCGGTGCCGACATTACTGTGTCGACAATACAGTAAAGCCATAACGAGGTACCACAATTCGAGATAGCCTTTAACAAGGTTAGCCTTTTCTTTGAATCCTATCTTTTAAAATAGGAGAGTATTGAGAAAACCCACTTCGGTGAGCTTCTGGAAACCCTTCTAAATCAACTTCCCTTGCAATGTGACGCAAGGATGGGAAGTCTTGTAATGAAATTTTGCCCAACTTTTCTGAATTTGGACGATATGTCTCAATCACATCATCCTGTAGATCACCCATCCTATAGGCGATTAAAGCTACATCCGATCGATACCCTTGGTTCGGTAAAGGCGGGAGTGTTTGGGTATCTCTGTCTGAGATCATTGGGGGGGCAACCGTGCAGACAAGCGTTCAGTCTATCTAGCGCCCTCAGAGTCCACCAAATATAGCGACACTGTACTTGATCTCTATGAACTGGAATATCGTAGTGGAGTGTGAGAATCCACGAGTCATGGATTGCCTGCGAGAGCCGGGCGGATGCTTCCCGCACTGCTCCGCGGCCGTCGTGATATTGAGACATTAATGCCAGAATCTGTATACGAACCAAGCGATCTTGCTCCAGATCCATCCTCATAGCTACATCCAGACCATCGTATAGCGTCTTTGCAAATTCTGGTGGGTTTAAAAGAGGCCCTTTCTCGGTCAAACGCAAGTAAGGGGCTGCTGGGCTTGCCTTGCATGCCAAAAGACACATGGCATTGATCAGGAGTGGTGAAAGCTTTTGGTTACTGTATTTTCGGAGAGCATCACTCCCATCGAGTATCGGCATGAGGCAGTCAATTGAAGTAATATAAGTAGTAACCAGTCCATCTTGGGTAGATCTTGGAAGGGTACGGAAAGCACCAGTCTCTGCAAGGTAGTCTTTCAGATGTGATGACATGGGCAAAGATGTAAGTCTGATTGAATCATACTGCCACCGTTCGTTTTGGCGTAGAGATTTGACATTGGAATGAGAAGTTACAGGATTTGGTGCATCGTCTGCAGGTTGTCGCTGGGCATTGACTTCAGCGGGCGGGGCAGATAACTCGGTCAGAATAGACTCTGGATGATAATCACCCACGCGAGGGGGGTTCAGGACTTTGTCTGGAGCTGCATACTCCTGCAGTAATAGTATCATGAGTCGCCGAGGAGTCCCAGTCTGAAGAAATTGTAGAAGTTGATGGCAATTGATTTGAGTACGGTTGGAATCTCCTTGATAAGGAATTGAGGTGGTCGCAGCGTTTCTTTCGCCGCTGGCAATCATCACATGCCTTCGACGCTCGCTTCCGCCGGGGCTCACCTGGGGATGCCTGCCAGACTAGTTCCATAATTGGAACTTTCGATAGCCTTGCCAAATGGATACAACCAGGTCGCGGAAATGGCTGAGAAGCGTGGCGGGTCGGGACAGTACATTTTAGGAATCCTCCCCCGCACCCCATGGGCCAATCATATGTGGGTGGAAGATTAGTAACCGGACAACATCGATCCACCTGGGCACCTGCCCAGGTGGGCATAAATGCGACCAAGTCAATATTATCAATGACCTACCTAGTCAGACTGGTTTTATGTACCAAACAAGGTCTCCGGCAATTTCAAATTGAGCTATTAGTAGTAGCTATTTGAAACCCCCGCGAGGGGTTGTGGATCGAACGTACATCGCGCTGCGGCCGTAGGGATTCCACGGCCACGCACCATTTGTAACTTGAGATTTTGGTTCAAGTTCAAGGTATTCAAAGGCAGCTATCGCGTGAAAATGCTATTAGTGAAAACCAGCTGGAGGTGACAATTTTAGAGGATATCGACATGAGAAGTACATAATAGGAAACATTTGAATGGGGGCCAACCCTGCAAAAATGAAGGAGCATTAACATTTGAGATAATGTAAGGTGTTGTGGAGAAACCAAACTACTTTAGGAATGGATGTGAGATAGACTGCATGCTGAATACATACCATGCCTGAAGAATTATGAATAGGATAAGTAAGCACATAATTATCTGTTGCATGTCCAGCTAATCCAGAGGTCATCACTCACGTGACTAGTCGGGCTCAGTAAGCCTGAGTCTGAGCGCTCTCTCTCATTAAAGCCCCACCTAGGCACTTCCAAGGTTGGAAAAATCTAGTACACCTGAGTACAACTAATCTCTATCTCCACTCTATGGAACTTGAACTTGAATATTTGAATGGATTTGAAAATAAATTACTATTTACCATCATGTTATTACTGCACCTATGGTTATCTGTAGAAGTTCTAGAAAAGACACTATACACTCGCACGGACTCCCACTGACTACGGAGTACTCCGTTCATCTCCGCCAAAACACCGCATGTGCAAAGTGATAATCTGAATGTTCAACCCATACTTTATGTAAAGATCAACAGGATCTAATGAAATTCATGTGAAACTACTATGACATAGATATGAATGACCACACTGTGGGTACTGGATAATATACATATCACAGTTAACAGTATATGGACCGAAGGAGCCGAGGTATCCCGCCAAGGTCCACTTGACATGTTGCACGAGCTGGAGATTTTGCCCAAAGGGCTTTCTCTCTCCGGATTTCCTCTTTACCTTTTCCCCCACATAACATTTGAACCTGGTTTTAGATTGACCCCTTTTCTTCCCTTCCATATTTTTTCTCCCTCAAGTGCTGGGTCTTTTACGCGCCCTTAATCTCACCCCTTAAACTCGTGAGTCGTGAGTTCTTTCCCCAGGTTCCATGTTGACCGGGGTTCCCGCATGCGCAGACAACAACTAACCAGATTACAGTGAGACAGATAAAGCATCATGTTCTACTCAGATCCACCTCACCTCGTTAGGGCCGGGGAGCTCAAGGAGCCTCCTAAGGGAAAGCCTTACTCCGTCGCCATCCCCGGAACCGAAAAGCCTGGCCGCTCCCCGATATACCGAGCATGGAGTGCGCAAAAGGAGTTGATCAAGTCGCTGGATCCTAAGGTATACTATACATTGGCATTCCATATACTATGTGTCTCGGATAATTAACGGATTTTTACTATGTTTAGATCACGACTGCCCACGAGATGTTCGAGTCCACTGCCAATCGCATTCCCAAGAACCACTGCCTCGGTTGGCGTTCATTCAACACCACAACGAAGACCTTCGAGCCATACCAGTGGATTACATATGAGACTGTCCAGAAACGGCGTACAAATTTCGGTGCGGGTTTGGTAGAGCTACACCATAAGCACAACTGTCATCAGCCTGGCCAGTATGGTGTTGGTCTCTGGTGCCAGAACCGACCCGAGTGGCAAATCACCGGTATGTCGAGATAGCGCAGAGTATTAGGAGAATGGTTTTGTGAATACTAACGTTATTTTAGATCTGGCTTGCATGTCCCAGAGCCTTTTCTCGGTTTCAATCTATGATGTCTTGGCCCCCGATGCGACGGAATACATTATTAACCACGCGGAGTTGAAGTGTGTCGTCACTTCTCTTCCTCATATCCCCACCCTCCTCAAACTCAAGTCATCATTGCCTACTCTCAAGATCATTATCTCTCTGGATCCGCTTGACTCCGGCGAGCAGGATGGTCATTCCAAGCGTGCTTTGCTGGAAGCTATGGCCGCCGACCATGACCTTGCCATCTACGATATCACTCAGGTTGAGGCGATCGGTGAGGCCTCGAAGCGTGCACTTAACCCTCCTTCGGCTTCGAGTCTTGTCACCATCAATTACACCTCCGGTACCACTGGCCCTCCTAAGGGTGTTGTTCTGACTCATGAAAACGCAGTGGCTGCCGCTTCGGCTGGTCTCGCGTTTGTTGGTCAGGCTCGAGGTGACACAATGTGCTCTTATCTTCCGCTGGCTCACATCTACGCTCGTATGTCCGAACACTGCGCTCTGTGGGGTGGTGCCCGAATTGGATACTTCCATGGCAATATTATAGAATTGGTTGACGATCTGAAATTGTTGAGACCTACCGGATTCATGTCTGTCCCCCGACTCTACAACCGCTTTGGTACTGCGATTCGCGCGGCCACAATTGAGGCGCCTGGCTTCAAGGGTGCTTTGTCTCGACACATTATCGATGTTAAGACTGCCAATCTGAAGAACCCAAGTAACCCAACCTTCCGTCACGCTCTGTATGATCGCATCTGGGCTAAGAAGGTTGCCGCGGCTATTGGATTGGACCGTGCGAAGTACCTGGTTTCCGGCTCGGCGCCTTTGGATCCCACTCTTCAGAACTTTTTGCGAGTTGCTATCGGTGCTCCTTTTGTTCAGGGGTACGGTTTAACCGAGACCTATGCTTTGACTGGTGCACAGTCACAATCAGATATGAGCGCCGGTAACTGTGGTTCTCTGGCTTTCTGTGGTGAGGCCTGTCTTCTTTCTTTGCCAGACATGGAGTACTCTGTAGATGATAAGCCCTACCCCCGTGGAGAGCTTATCGTACGCGGCCATAACCTGTTTAAGGAATACTTCAAGAACCCAGAGGAGACCGCAAATGCGATGACAGAGGACGGCTGGTTCCGCACTGGTGATGTGTGCACGGTGGACGATATGGGCCGCTTTATCATCATCGACCGTCGCAAGAACGTGCTCAAGCTCGCTCAAGGTGAATACATCTCCCCGGAGAGACTGGAGGGTGTCATCCTCTCTGAGATTGGCTACCTCGCCCAGGGCTACGTTCACGGCGACAGTGTTCAGACCTTCCTGGTTGCTATTTTCGGTGTTGCGCCCGACCTGTATGCTCCATTCGCTAGCAAGGTTCTTGGTCGTCAGATCGAGGCTACAGATCTCGATGCGATCAAGGCTAGTCTGACAGATGACAAGATCCGCCGTGCTGTCCTTAAGGATCTGGACCGTGTGGCTAAGAAGCACAAGTTTGCTGGTTACGAGCGAGTTAAGAACGTCTCACTGAAGTTGGAGCCCTTCACCATTGAGAACAACCTACTTACTCCAACGTTAGTACATCCTTTCCGTAAAACATTTATCCTTTGATCGTTGACTGACCATGACTATAGTCTCAAATTAAAGCGCCCTCCTACTGCCAAGTATTACCGTGGCCTTCTGGATCAGCTTTATGCGCAGGGCTTGGAGGAGGAGTCTGCTCCTCGTGCTAAGCTTTAGTATTATCACTTAGCTTCTCATTTTATTTCCTTGCGCTATTATGCCGTTGGTGGAGTCATTCAATTGGGTGGACTGCAGTCGAGTTTTGTATATAGAATCCGTATGGGTCTATGCCCTTGTAGTATATGAATATGTATCTTATTAAACAGGTTTCAAGTAATTGATCGTAAATTCATTAAAGGAATCAGGCTTGAATTGTATATTCATCCCAGAAATTCTTTTTTTACTTAAATTTTTATAATTTTAAAAAGTTGGATGAATACAGGTTTCAAATAAGATTTATAAATCAGATAAAACTAAGACTCTGCATAGTATCAAATATTATGATCTATTTGTAGATTCATCGCAAGAATAAAAACATATTTCAAAAATTGCGAGGAAAAGGAAAAAAAACAAAAAGAAATGACAAGAGTGGGATTTGAACCCACGCCTACAAACGTAGATCAGGAAACGGGATTACCGTAAGAGTCAAGGTGGACCTTAACCTGACGCCTTAGACCAACTCGGCCATCTTGCCAATCGATGTAAGCGGTGTCGAATTTTGGCTCCAACACCTAAGCACACCAATTTCACCACCACAGTGTCACTGGAAGTACTCCGAGTCTTCAACATCGTCAAAACAGGGAAATCTTGGTGTTGCCTAGGAGGAACTTGAATTCTTCAGGTATCAAGCTACCCACAAATGGCGGTGTCATCCGGCCAAGTCTGGATAAATCATGGATCAAGGAGGACTCGGAGCGATGAATAACTGAGCCTGGAGGAAGGCGACATCTGCCCAGGTGGAGCACCGCGACTGGAAATGTTCCAATGCTGAGCCTCAAGTTACGGGCTGCTGCACCCGTGGACGTCCATGTATGTACGGGGGCCGGGGGCCTGAAACATTGAATGAACCGTACATCCATACGCATGTGCACGGCGCTTAGCAGTTTTTGGCCTAACAATATATTTTGCCTTTTCATCCACGAAACCCATGCCGCCGCCGCGCCGCTTACTGTCAACCCGCCGTAGACTTGAAGAGACGTGGATGAGCTGAACGAGACTGGCGTATGTGCATAAGTGTGGAAAAAACCAGCTTCGTCCGTCTGCCATGTTCTTCTTAGTTGTGCTTAGTTTCTTGGTGGGTCATTCACTGGCGTCTTCCAACTCGACAGCTCTGGTCGGCTGGCAGTTGGATGGAAATAGCCGCTCCACTTGGGACATAATATGGTCATGTTTCACGACAATATTTGCCTGTACATGGACAGTTCTCCACATGCCTGTTCCTCCACGAAACATTTCTAACAAACGTTGGACTATCACGAAAATCTTCATCTTGCTTCTCGCAATCGTGGCGCCAGAGGTTATCTTCTGGGTAGCGGCTTCCGAGCTCTATTCGACAATTATCTTACAAAAGGCGTGCAATGTGGTCCAGAGCACGAGGGATAGCGATTCATCAGAGCCGAAACTTTGGCTATCGAAGCGAGCAATACCACTGGGCCAAGCACAAGGCCTAGATCATATTGATTTAGACCCGGTCCACACGGACTGGACATTTCGTCAATGTTTTTGCATTGACTCAGGGGGAGTTGCATTACAAACGCAAGATGAATGGATCTACAGACTCCGACCCGAGGACATGAAGCCCTTGATCCAAGCTGGTATTATCCGGTGCTCGGATTTCAGAGACCGGGATGTCGAAGATCGAGCAAAATCCGATTCTTTTGGAAAAGCATTTACCGTCCTCCAGAGTACGTGGTTTCTATGCAACTGCATAGGCAGATGGGCCTATAGCCTCCCGGTCTCTCCTATCGAGATAGCAACTGTTGCTTATGTGTGCTGTGGAATCCTGATCTGTGGGGTTTGGTGGTACAAACCCAAGAATGTGACGACGCCAATTTGTATCTATCTCCGATTTGACCGCAAAGATTTGCCGACTGAGGTCTGCAACCTTACAAAGGGAAACCCAAAAGGGTGGGTTCATCTTCGAGCACGAGTGAAAGAGGAAAGTATACTTTCGGCCTTCAAGACCTTTTTGACATTGTTTAACAACGCCACTAGTCCTGCAACAAGTGACGGGCCTGATCAGTCTCATAATAATGAGCGGGATGATCATTCCCCTCTTGAAAGACCGTCATATGGAATTCTTTTCAGTGCTACTTGTACTTCTGCTGCTCTTATATTTTGCGCTATTCATATTGCCGTGTAAGTTCACATTACCATTCTATTTCATTGAGGTCAATATGAACTAACCCTTTTCATTCTCTCGAGACAGGTGGGATTTCGAGTTTCCAACAAAAGCTGAACAGATGGTCTGGCGAGTTCTTTCACTCGTATCTATCGGGGCTGCTTTCATTTTCAGTGCCGTGGATAGTCTGGTGGAATACACTTCGTTTTTGAAATCTAAGAACATGCTTCCTTCCTTCATGACGGACTATGATCGAAAAGGTGGTCACTGGGTTGTGGTCAAATATAATATTCAAGTTTTGTGTTTTTTGGTATATATACCTGCACGCCTTGGGATGATAGGTCTTGTCTTTTCGTCATTGAGGGCTCTCCCTGTGGCTACTTATACGATTATTGACTGGCTGGCAACCATACCGCATTTCTGAACTCCCTTGGGATTCCTGAGCCTCCAGTGCTGCACATGTGAAACATAGCTAGCCTTGTGTACCAAATTGCCCATGCACGGCAATTTTTGATGATATCCAACGAGGCCAGTATGATATCAATCAATTACCCGAGATTTGACTATTCAATCTTGATCCCATCTATAGAACACTCTGATACTAGATCGGGATCCCTCACGCCATATTCTAATTTCTCTAATTGTCAGATGAGATTATTCCTGCCCAAGAAAGAAAAAGAAATAAGCTTATATGCAAAGTGACTTGTAATGGGACAAAAAAAATTTTGAGAAAAAAAGAAATGATAAGAGGGAGATTCGAACTCCCGCCCCGAAATCGAGACACGGATATTTGGATCAGGTATACCTGAACCGTGCGCCTTGGACCGCTCGGCCATCTTACCAATTTATGTAAGGGGTTTTAGTTTCTGGCATCATAATCTACAACTTTCCAACCCCTGACATCTATGGAGCCCACATGTGGTACGGAGAACAATTCCCACCTGGCAGGTGTATACATGTCCAGGGCCAGCACTTAAGTACGAGTTACAACTTGGATATTTTACGGTCTTTCCCGACGTTCTCATATCATGTTTCAGTTTATGAGTTTTACATAATTTCCCACTGTGTGACAGAATTCTAATGAGAGTAAAAATGCTCGAAACTTGATCGAAAATATGTGGCCCCATATCAGGCTACATATTTATACAATGCGTCGCGTGATGGCTTACATACGCAACATACAAGGATGACATGATAACGAGTTAACCTTTCCCCGCGCTTTATCTAAACTTCAACAGCCCACTACTTACTAGTATCACTTTTATTTCACTTCCAATATACCTTCTCCCATGTTTTCACAATGCGACCCGTTCCCGACTTGCCTTCATTCTCCCACAAGCCCTCCTTTGACCACTCCCCATCTCTCGACCCCCGCACCGCTGCCCCCGCAACTTTCTTCCTATCCCGTAGTCCGCAGCTCTCCAACTCGGAGCCTGATTCCCTGTCAGATGATCCCGATGATCTGAAAGAGACTATGTATGGTGTACAAAGCATAAGCGAAACACTATGTCGATCCGAGCTTGCGCCTAGTCTACCTGAGCATCCCGATGATCAGACCCGAGAGCGTCCATTCGAGAATGACGAGTCAGAGGAGTCAAAGAGTAGTCGGAGACGCTCGACACTGAAGCCCGTTGGGTCTGAGATTCGGGCACCATCGATGCGACCATCTGACACGGATGCAGTATCCCGTCCCCTTACCCCATACAATCCGGACGACCCGTCCTCTTTACCAAGTAGTCCTAAATCAATCTCCAATCGATCTTTTCGACCCTTTGACGATATTTCAATCACAGACGAGATCAACAGCCAGGTGATCGGATCAGATGACGAGGATAAGCCAGGTCGCTCGCCGTATTTGGGGCCTCAAGGAGCCTCACAACTGATCATGCCGAGTATTAAGATGCCTAGTCGACGACCGTTTACAGAGAGGGGTAAAGCTATGGGTCGGTTCAAGATACTGTTAGGTGGAGCTTCAGGTGAGTTAAGTTGCTCAAAGCCGAACCCCACATGTGAGGTCCCTTTACAATAATTACCCGCTAACAATACCCCACAGGCTCGGGAAAAACATCCCTGATAAAATCCATCGTCCAAACTTGTGAACATATCGTTCACGTTGATTCTCTTCCCCCGGTGAATGCGTCGCTCGAGAGGCGGCGGGCCTCGCGTCCCCACTCCTCTGTCTCCACTCGCGGGGCTGCCGTCACCGAGATCTACGCTAGCACCAAGCCTTATCCCTCGTGGTGGTCGGATCTCGAGGACTCACGTGTATTGCGACGTCGAAAGAGTATTGGTGAGGTTGTGTTAGAGCGGAATCTCTGCTTTGTAGACACACCCGCTACATCGCTGAGCCGAGCTGGGCAAACCGATGCTATTTTGCAATACATGCGGCAGCAACTTCAACGCGCAACATCTGCTCTAGCTACCCCAGGAAATGATTTCCAGAACCTCCTAGCAGGGAATGGTGGCTCACAGGTGGATGCCATCTTATACTTAATCTCGAATGGTATGTATTGTCATGTTTCACCTAATAGGGCTGTGCTGATACTCAGTAGATACACTGGCCGCGGATGTGGAATGTATTCGCAAGCTTTGCGAGCTGAGCAACGTCATACCCGTCGTAGCCAAGGCGGATACCTTATCCTCTGAGCAAATCGCTACCATTAAATCTCAATTCCAACAACGGGCACAAGATGCCGGGGTTAAAACATTCTCATTTGGAGACCTGGTCACCCAAGGATTCGACGGACTTGAGATTCAATCGCCGTATGCTGTGTCTTCTGAAAAGACAATTGACATGGAAGTAATGGATGCCAGCATACTGATGAATCCTGATTACGTCCAACCACTTGTTCCATCTGAACTGGGAATCTTAGTGGACCGCTTGTTCGACCGAGACAATCTCTCCTGGATGCGTCACTCGACAGCAAAGAAGTTGATGCAACGGCGTGACTGGTTTCTCCTTACATCATCCACAGGAGTACCTCTTCACAATGCACTTTCCGGTACAACACTTAACTGGCGTACTGCTTCAGGTACATCGGGGCCATCGTCCATTTCTTCACTCGGTGATACTCAACCAAGTTATGCCATGGCACGAATCACAGACTACACTCGCCATGAAGAACGTATGGCTCAGGCTCGACTAGCTAGCTGGGCAACTGACCTACAACGAAGTTTACAAAACGAGCGGGATAGATATGCAGCCCTAACCAGAGGTGATCGTGCCGTATGGTTGACTGAAAGACTGAGTGAATGCGTCGTTGACGGTTCACTTGTGCCTATCTCCAAGACCCCAGGGTTCTGCGGCCTCCACGTGCCTATCAGTGAGAGTGGAACTGATGCCTTGCGTACGATGAACGCGCATGGTATCTCATCTCCAAATTATCCCACGGCTGGCTGGAATTCGCAGGACCCACTCGGTGTTGTCGGCTGGGTCGACGATCTTGGAAAACGTGGTTGGGCTATCGTCCAAATCGTGGGTAGTGTTGGGGTTGTCGGTGGATTGGCCCTTTGGCTTGCTCGTGCATGGGGACTTCCAGCACGGACTCTTACTGATATTCAGGTGGAGTATCGTCTAGGCGTATGGAGTGGTGATTGATTCCATCCATGCTGCTGCATTGCTTTCTAACATCGACTGGGTTGATGATTCGAGTCAACGACTGCGATTGGTTTTCTGGACCAGGACTTGTTTACGCATTACGGACTGGAAAACTGCTGGTGTTCTCGTCTTGGTGGCTATCTTCCATATGTTATTTCATTCTTCTTTAAGTCCCTGGCGTTGAGTTGCATATTACCCTATCTTTCAACTACTTCTATTCGTTACCCGCTGAAATAGGAGCACTGGCTGTAAAACCTGTAAGTTAGATAGGCAATAAAACCAAGCATCACCGAAGCTGACCACTGTCGATCCTATACAACTTCTCAAGTGCTCTATTCCCTATAATTGAGTGGTAGGACTCGGAATACAGAATATGGCCATTCTAATGGAGAATTCGAACTTTGTGACTGCCCAGGTGTAGTTTAGAAATATCAGACTTGCATTCCAATCATTCTAAGGAGCTCAATATTGTCGACTTCAAGTTCGGGCCCTGCGTTAAAACCCGTGGATGTCCAATGGGGAACCTACTCGATTCAACCTTGGAAAAATGATCCAGCGATCATGCGGTTTGGAAGGGCTAGGGATTGCGCCTAATTATAATTAAAGCAGTACCTACAAGGCGGGAATGTTGACTGATTGAAAACAATTAAATAAAATGATGGAAGCTGGAAACGAACCGGGGACTTTTAAAATCAAGTTGGGACATTGAAATCAGGTGTGCACCGGGGCATCGGAGATGCTGTGAATAACCTCACTTGATACACCTATCACAACCACATAACCCCTAATATCTCACTCATTCTTGATTATTTTTGATTTCTGAAATGACGAGTAGAAAGAGCGAGTCTGAAAGTATTATAGAGAAAAATATCAAAAAGGTTTAAAAAAAAATTGACCCTTTAGCCACCCGCCCTCTGGTGTCAACCTCAACCATCGATCAGGGCCAGACCATCCTGATAAATGCCTCTGTCCTCCACCTGGGCAGTCAGAGACCGCTGTGCCTTGGACCAGCTGGGCTGAGTTGTTACTTTTCTCCCCCTCAACTAAATTATATAGGATCTCTCACAACACAACTACGGTCTGCCTTGATTCCCAGGTTCTTGACCCTCCCACTAAATAGATAAAAGCTCTTGGTATTGGACACCACCTTGATTTTCTTCAACTTGAAGTTATATTTGATTTTCCAAATATCCACACAACGGAATTAGCTGAGATAATCTTTCAACTATCAACAAGATGTCCATCTACCAATGTTCTGCCCAGGTACATAGACTTAAGAACTAGGCTCAAGTTCCTCAAATCGCCTCAGATCCATATCCTTCTCTAAAAGAGGAATAACATAAGGATCAAATGTCTTCCAGTATGGGTTGTTAAGATGGTACTTCTGCGAAGATTCCTTCTCGTATCGTTCCACAATGGTGAAATCTTGAGGATCGTGCACGGATTGCATAACGAACCAGGAAATGGTTTCCTTGTCCTGCGAGTATACGGCCGAGGCTTCGAGGAGTTTGGCGTGGAGCTTGGAGATACTCTCTGCGTCGGCCTTTGCGCGCATATCTATTTCATTTCAAGTTGGTTAGATTGATCGGTTCGATCCAGGTACTGGAATTGGAATTTGTATTGAGGATTGGGATAATTCTTCACATTGGAAAGAGCATAGTACTTACGAACAACGATTGTGTAAACCATCTTGAATGTAGCTGGTGTCGAGTGTATTGACTTGTGGTATGTGTATGTGCAGGAATTGGAGCTACCCCTCCATGGCGGGGCCTCTCTTTAAAGGGGCCTGAACTCGCAGTGGGGGTTTGTTGAGTGGAGCGAGAAAACCCCCGAGATTGCTCCCGAAGTGATGCCGAGTGTGTGATTTGTTCTTTGAATCCCGTGGAGCTCGTTTAGTGAGGTTGAAGCTATGTACCTGAGGTGGATACTGAGATACTACGTCAAGGTGCCCAGGTGTAGAATGAGCTCTACTGGACCTATTAAGTGAATAGCATCAGATATGATGCTGCATCTACTAGTACGATGAATGAATATAGTTCGTAGTAATTGACTTTCTTCTAGCAAATTAAACTAGGAAGTACAAAGGTAGTACATAGGCAATTGAACTGAAAAATAGCTTGATTTATAAAAGGTTTAAAAAAAACATCAAAGGGTCGTAATCCCGTTTCCCATTTCCCGTAAGAACTTGATTTAAGCAAAATAATAAAAATTTAGAAGGTTTAAAGCATTTAGTCAACCTCCTCCATGGCGCTCTCGCCAGTGGCCTCAGCAGGGGCAGCAGCCTCAGTAGCGGCCTCCTCAGCGGTCTCGGCATCCTCATCGATGTTCAGACCCAGAGAGACGAGCTTGTGAATGCGCTCAGCGAAGCTGGCGGGCTCCTCAATGGTGAATCCAGAGACCAGCAGAGAGGTCTCGAAGAGAAGCTGGGTGATGGACTTGACGGTGCGGTCGTTCTCACCATCAGCCTCAACCTTCTTCTTAAGCTCCTTAACAATGGAGGACTTGGGGGAGATCTCGAAGGTCTTCTTGGAAGACATGTAAGAGCTCATGGAGGTGTCACGGAGGGCCTGGGCCTTCATGATACGCTCCATGTTGGCGGACCAACCGAACTGGCCGGTACGGATGGCACAGGGAGCACCCATCAGCTTGTGGGAGACGACGACCTTCTCGACCTTGTCACCCAGAATGTTCTTCAGGGCCTTGGCGAGCTCCTCGTACTCCTTCTCCTCCTTCTCACGCTCCTCCTTCTCCTCATCGGTCTCCTCGAGCTCGAAGTCCTTGGTGATGTCAACCAGCTTCTTGCCGTCGAACTCCTTCAGCTGAGTGAAAGCGTACTCGTCAATGGGGTCAACCAGGAAGAGAACCTCGAAGTTCTTCTGCTTGAGGGTGTCCAGGAAGGGAGACTTGGCAACGGCCTTGATGGACTCGCCGGTGATGTAGTACATGTTCTTCTGGTGCTCAGGCATGCGGGTGACGTAGTCGGCGAGGGAGGTGGCCTCATCACCAGACTTGGTGGACTGGTAGCGGAGCAGCTTGGCAAGAGTACCACGGTTCTGGGCATCCTCGTGGACACCGAGCTTGATGTTCTTGCTGAAAGCAGTGTAGAACTTGTCGAACTGCTCACGGTCCTCAGAGATCTCGGTGAAGAGCTCAAGAGCCTTCTTGACGATGTTCTTCTTGATGACCTTCATGATCTTGTTCTGCTGGAGGGTCTCACGGGACAGGTTAAGGGGCAGGTCCTCGGAGTCGACGACACCCTTGATGAAACCCATCCACTCGGGGATGAGGTCGGTAGCATCATCGGTGATGAAGACACGACGAACGTACAGCTTGATGTTGTTCTTGGTCTTCTTGGTCTCGAACAGATCGAAGGGAGCACGCTTGGGGACATACAGGATGGCGCGGAACTCAAGCTGACCCTCAACGGAGAAGTGCTTGACACCGAGGTGGTCCTCCCAGTCGTTGGAGAGAGACTTGTAGAAGGAGGCGTACTCCTCAGTGGTGATGTCGGCAGGGTTGCGGGTCCAGATGGGCTTGGTCTTGTTAAGCTCCTCCTCCTCGATCTTGGATTCCTTGATGGTCTTGGTCTTCTTCTCCTTCTTCTCCTCCTCATCATCGACCTCCTCGACCTTGGGCTTCTTCTCATCACCCTCCTCCTCCTTGGACTCCTCAGCCTCCTCATCGGGGACCTCGGTCTCGGTCTCCTTCAGGACGTGAAGGTAGATAGGGTAGGAGATGAACTCGGAGTGCTTGCGAACAACCTCCTTGATGCGGGACTCGTTGAGGTAGTCGAGCTGCTCATCCTTCAGGTGGAGGACGATCTTGGAACCGCGGCCGAGCTGCTCGCCCTCGGTGTCCTGAGTCAGGGTGAAAGTACCACCGGCGGCGGACTCCCAGACGTACTGCTCATCATCGTTGTGCTTGGAGACGAAGGTAACCTTGTCAGCGACCAGGTAGGCGGAGTAGAAACCAACACCGAACTGGCCAATCATGGAGATGTCAGCACCAGCGGACAGAGCCTCCATGAACTGCTTGGTACCAGAGCGGGCGATGGTACCCAGGTTGTTGATGAGGTCCTGTAGAAACATAATTAGCACTGAAAAATTCCTCTCGCATATATAATACATGTCTCCTCCTCATTGGTAAGACTTACAGCCTTGGTCATACCAATACCGGTATCACGGATGGTAAGAGTCTTGTTCTCCTTGTCGGGGATAATGTCGATGCGGAGGTCCTTGCAAGAGTCTAGCTTGGAAGGGTCCGAGAGGGACTCGTAACGGATCTTGTCCAAGGCATCGGAGGCGTTGGAGATCAGCTCACGCAGGAAAATCTCCTTGTTGGAGTAGACGGTGTTAATGATCAGCGAGAGCAGCTGAGAGATCTCAGCCTGGAACTCAAATGTCTCAGGCATGATGGCGGTGTGGAAAAGGGATATCTGTAGAGGAGAAGAGAAGTGGAATTAGAATTGAAATGGGGAAACAAGCCAGAATAAATAGAAACAGAAGGAATTGTGTGGCGGCTGGATAAGTGGAGAACCAAAGAAAGAAGTTGGTAGTCCCACCGGTTTTCTTTGGGGGAGGGGCTGGAGGAAATTTTCTGATGAGGGGGTAGATTTTATCACCTAGAGAGTGATTGATGAAGATGGTGAAAGAAGAAAGATTCTCACATACCAATTAAAAAAGAAAGTGAAAGAACTGCCGCAAACCAAAGCAGATCCGATGAGGGGAGGAAGGGGAAGAAGGAGAAAGTGAAATGGGGAAGCTTTTTGTCACTAGAAAATCTCTGGGTTTCCACGATGATCCAGGAACTTCCACCACATCCCGGTCGGTCAGGCAACTCTGTATTCTAGAGTCTTCCGGGGTAAGAAAGAGCCCCTTTTTTGTGTATTTTGGGCTGTTAATGTAATCTATCAATTTGATCTTCTAGGTCTTTCTATACCATGAATGGTTAACTATTTCAATTAATCTTTACTGTTACTAGTACTGGCATTTGAGTAACTATGGAGTTGAGTCCATCCCCGAAAGTATAGACATATAAGCACCTAATTGATCAAGTTTCAGTTAGCTATAGAATGTCCCAAATCAACTAGTTCCTGTCAGGAGCACTCAAGCTATATCGACCAAGGTCCTCCATTAGCACTTGAGTGACTATTCTAGGTATTCTTATTGCCAGGGCAATGATATAGACTGATCACTGACTCACTGATATACACCGCCCCACTGCACCCGGGCACCTGGGCGCCCGAGCATAACATTGAAAGAACCTTCTTCTTACCTAGGTAATTGAGTGCCACATAGCCAATTAATAAGAAAAAAATTAAATAGATTTATATATTGGTCATAAAAAATTTGATAAATTTCCATAAGGTGAATTTTTATAGAGTGTCGGAAGATATCATCCTCTATATAGATAGAACCGGTTGGTTCTCCACCCTGAGCACTCTCTGTTGAGAAACAAAAAAAAAAAAGAGGGAAAAAAAGAAATGCCCCCACTCGGAGTCGAACCGAGGGTCTCAGCATGACATGTCATACAAGTGCTGCGCCTTACCACTTGGCCATAAGGGCTTCTTGTTGTATGGTTTCATAGAATCTTAAATCATGTTCATAAGGCAGATTCGGCGAATCCGGAAATGCCTGTAAAATCGTGTCAAAGTACGGAGTACTCGTAGTGTTCCAACCTTGGAAGGTTGCTTTGTAAAATATTTTATATTATATACAACTTGAAATGGATAAACTGGTCATTGATAAAATAAAAAATATCTTAAGCCTATAATATATCTTCTCTGATCAAATACTAGTAGATAATTCGTAAAAACCTTTTATTAGTAAAATATATCTGAGATATTGTCAGATAGAACATATATCATGATTGTACCTGCCTATCTAGGTTCAGAAAAAATAAATAAAGTTTATATATCCCCATATAGGCCACGGTAACTTTCACAGGATTACATATATTGATATCAACCTTCCAAGCATTTCCGGATTCGCCGAATCTGCCTCATGGACATCATTCAAGATTCTATGAAACCATACAACAAGAAGCCCTTATGGCCAAGTGGTAAGGCGCAGCACTTTAGGACAGTAAGGTAGGTACCTACTACATACTATGCAGGAGAATTCTCAGTTTGGAAATTATAATGGTATATCAAAATACTGTAATCTGCCAGTGGCAGTTTTAGCTGATAAGTTGGTATACTTACCGTATTTTTTAGAGAAAACATTTTGAGGGAAATATATTTTATATTCTAAATTTTACATCAAAAGAAAATTATATAAAAAAGAAACTCGAATCTATATCGTAGACCACTAAAACTTGAATACAATCATAATTTTAATATATAGATAATATTTCAATCCCATATTGTCACATCTCGCCTTAGAAACAGCTTCATACTTCATACCTTCTTCCAAAAGGACTCCAAGACTTCCAAAATTCTTTCCCTTACAACCTCCAAGATTACATCTTCTTCCAAGACCTTATTCTTCATCTTTAATCTAGAACCCATCTATAAGCTACAGCTTATAACATGTACCATCATTTATGTACTATTTACTACTATTTACAAACTACTAATATCTCTAGATCATCTTCCACATCTTCCACATCTTCATATCAGCTTTCACATGTCTAGTTCATCTTACAATTCATCTTACAACCCTCCCTTAGACCTAGATTAGATAGAAATAATACAAAAAAAGATTACAAACCCATACCAAGACAATACCAGCTTTAAATTTCCAAAAAAATATTTTTTTTTTAGTCCGAAACGTTTTACTAATTTAGACCATTAACATATTTTCCAGCCTAAAATATTTTCTTATTCACAATAGCAGGATAAGTCTCTACCATACGAAAATATTTTCTACCCCACTTTAGGAAACTTACCATTCAAATGTTTTACGCGCATTTTCCAAACTGAGACTCCTCCCGCATGGAAGTAGTGTATGGCTGGCGAAGGACATTGAGGGGAAAACATCCCAACGTTATTTACTTGCATGAAAGCGGAGTGTACGGATTATTCATGCCAGAGACTGTACGTACATAGAGGCGAAATCGCATGGTAGGTAGCGCGCCTGATTGAAAAGAATAAGAAACATAACCAAGAAACATAACGGGCTTGCGGGTCGCGGAATGGCGCAAAGTGGAATAAAGTGGAATAATCTGGAACATTTGAATACGGTGATTTGGCGGTTTTCGGAAATTCTGCCACCTCACTGGTCGCGGATTGGCATAAAGTGGTGCGATGTGGACTAATCTAGATCAATAGAGAAAATTGGAATAACGATAGACCAAAAGTGGTATATACTAGATTAATCTAGATACTCAGGATATTCCAGTTTATGCCATTCCATGACCTACCCTAGAGATTCCATGACCTCCCTAGGGCCCAGGGGTACACATCATATAAAAGGCTCTATAAAGACTGAAGCAGAATGATATAGGCTGACATACAGTTTACATTCATACTTAAAGAAGGAAAGACTATATACACAAATAGAAGACTATAACCTCTATAGGTCATGTATACCCATCCTTGTACAGTCACGTATACCACTATAGGAAAATTCATGGTTATTTATCGGTGCTAGAATCTTAGCCCTAATAAATATTTATAGACCTCTTTTGCTACTTGGGTTACAGTGGTTTTTCGAGTTTCCTCACCGTCTGGCAGAATACCCAAATTTACCAATAGACTAGATTTTTCTTTCATTCATTCCATCTAAACATTAGTATATCCCTCTTAATTCAGCTATATCTTACTTTTGGATATCTCTTAATATCAGCTTTCTCTCACTTTAGACATCCCTTAGGGTTACCAGTTACCTATATCCAACTATATAGCAGTTAGCCTTCCCCTCCATATAATCATGTAGGTAACCCTGTAGGTACTTGCATATAAAAAGGTGTAGCTCATCACTTACCTGTATATGCTACTGACTCGGACTCGGACTGAGCCCTGTACTCAGTAAGTATGTGAACATCCCTGTCTGAGAGGATGTAGATACATCTGGCCAAGCACTCGCGTGCTGAGAACATACGTTTTCCAATTTCAAATGCTCACTGCTTCACTGGCAGTGCCGCGCTTCGCGCGGCATGAGGACTTGTATTTACCACTTTTGGTCTATCATTATTCAAATTTTTTTCCATTAATCTAGCTACTTTATGCTAATTTGTAACCGGTGGTGGAATTTCCGAAAACCGCCAAACCACCATATTCCAGATTATTCCACTTTATTCCACTTTGCGCCATTCCATAACCTGCATTTTGCCATTCTGCAACCTCGACAATCAACATAACCCCTTCCCCGATAAACCATACCACCAATCACCCAGTCGTGGCCTGCGATAGGTACCGAAAAAACGTATCAAGCGGTTTCATAGCGACGAGAACCTTGGAAACCGATACGTGCTGCTGGCCCCAGGTCTAGGAGCATCTGTAGATTCTTGATTATTGAGACTTGGAGGTCTTTTCGTACGGCATGTCCTGGGAATTGGATATTCCACAAATAGAACTGGACGAGGGTCCCCACCCTTGCATCCACAGGGTTGACGTGCTGTGCGATACGTGCCATCACGTTGCCACAAGCATTGACGAAATTTTTCATTAACGGGATATATTCTCCCGTCACAAGTACATCCCGCACGTCGCTATCCTTGATGTGCCCTTCGGCGCCTAGCTTAGAATGGATTATGTTGAAGCATGAGACAGCATAGGACAGTAGGTAGTGTAGATCCATGTTACTTTGTTTTTTTCAAAGCACAGGGTCTGTATTTCCATAAACAAGATAAGGGATACATCGCTCCCATGGGCTACCTGCCAGTGCCTGAGATCCTCCTTTTCAACTTCTTCGGTTACCCACTGCCATACTTGGGTTCTCAGATCATGCGAGCTGTCCGGTAGTTTGCTAGGGTCGCGGAGCAAGTCATCTGGTGTGACACGGGGGGGGATGAGAGTGAGAAGTCTGCGACGACTGACTTGTGTGAGATGAGGTGCGTGAGCGACCGAGAGGTTCCGGTCTGGGGCCCAGAGGGCGGGATTGATGAACTGCGGATTACCTGCTTTAACACGGAAACCTGAAATGTCAATGATTCTTACAATTGAGAAATCTGTACTGCCAGCCTGCCCTGGGATCACTGCCCAGCCATCCAAGTCTTGACGCATGATAGTACGAGCATCATTATTTCTGCGGACCACCTCCGAGTAGCCCAGGTGCTGTGGATCATGGTCATTGAAAAACCAAATATTCTCAACAACTTGTGCGTCGCTTAAGTCAAAGTCTTCAGGAACCACGATATAGCCAGTAGAGAACGGGGCCACATTCTGTGGGCGGACCGTCTCTACCAGCCATGGTACTCTGTCCCGAAAGTCGCGCCCCATGAGATGATGATTCCCAAGGCGTACAAACCAGTTCAGCCCGAAGCAGCGCGCGATTATGGTCCTCCCTCTTGGCTGTCTTGTTGATCGGACATAGCCATTCCCGTCAATATCATCGTTGTGGGACTGGCAATCATTACCACTCCTCACCTTTCTGACTTGGTAGAGGGAAATATCGTCGAGCTTGATATCCTGAGCAATTTTTTGCTTAATCAGCTTATCGTATGTCTTTGCGGTGTTTGGGGTACATGGTGTTGTAGTCAGGACCCCCTCTTCGTATTTGAAATTGATGTCCTCGCAGTGGTTCCTCATTCTGCGATAATCAGCCCGTATCTGTTGCTCAGTTCGTGAGCTACCAACCGAATCACAGGCGCAGGGCGAGATTTTGCACGAGGCATCTTGCGCAAGACAGGGTGTGTGTGTTGCAGATGATGATGTAGAAGGTAAAAGATGTAGGAAGGGGTGTGTTGCAAGACGAAAAGTCAAGAGAAACTTGAGTATGTCGTGAGATGCAAAGTGTCCAGAGAGTGCGTTCCAACTTGTGAGATCGTAAGACACGAAAAGAAAGTAGTGTGTCTCAGGGTACGTAAAGGAGCAAAGAAGAGAATAAAATGTTTGGCTCGTTGTAGAGTGATAACCAGAAACAACAGGGAGCGTTTCTAGTAATGGGAACGGGCAAGGGGAGAAAAGGAAAGAAGAAATAAATCGTGAGAAGAAATCCTTTTATAATTGGGGCAGGCAGCAAGGCGACTGTCGCTGCGAGGTGAGGGGAGTTAATAGGTGAAACTGTAGTAAATATTTCTCAGTGGAAGGAGGTGAGAGCTTATATTATGATAATAAGAGCTAATTTGCTCTCACTAGCTTCTGCCACTCAGACAGCAGGCCTGTCACTACATATGTGGGTTCAATATACGGATCTTGCGTTGACTGGCCTTCTTATAATCGTCAATAAAACTACCTAGTAGCTCGTACACTAAATCATCAAAAATTTCAAGAAGAGACACCTAGGCAACCCTAGAGATATCTAAAGTAAGAGATATCTAAAGTAAAAGTAAGAGATAGCTAAATTAACAGAGATATAGGTACTATTCATGCTTAGATGGAATATAGAAAAGAAAAATCCAGTCTATTGGTAAATCTGGTTATTCTGCCAGACAGTGAGGAAACTCGAAAAATCACTGCAACCCAAGTAGAAAAAGAGGTCTACTTTCACAGAATCACATCAATATATATTGATCAACCATACATACAGGAGGTTTAGGGGGTTTCCATTTGAAACACCCCTAATACAATTAGGCCTACCTACTACATAGGCACTGGCAGGACTCGGAGTCTCATACTAATGTCGCCCGGAAAATTCAGGCACGACAGGGCGGATATTATATCAGGAATGTTGCACATACGCATATTCCAATATGCCTAGTAAGATTCAAGCCTTCTGGTGTAACCTTGGAACCATCCTATCTTCCGAGGTTCAACTTGAAGTTCTCAGAAGGATATCGAAGTAAGCAAATCAGAAGCAGAAGCATGCACATCGCGGATGCATCTTTATCGGGAGTATCACCTACGGACCTCGGGAGTTGACGACGAGTAATATTTCGCTTCACGGCCTCGGATAGACTAGTATATAGCACTAAATAGAGTTGTAGATAACTTGAATGCGGATGTCTTTCCCTGTGACAGCCTATGTATAGTTAATACGTCACTTGGCCGCCACCCGAAGATAAGCGGTGCGCGGACCGCAACAGCTTTATCCGCGTGAGGTGCACGATCCGACAGAAGTGTAGAAGAGGCAAGTAAGATAAATGGCAAGATACGACCACTTAATAACATTTAAATCCAAAAGAAAACATACAGACTTCAGTGTCATACCTTCTTCACAAAAAAGTATACCCAAATCCAAATGAATACTTCAAGCTGGAGACGTTTGAACGTGGCCGTTATAGGCGGTGGAATCGGTGGCATGTCAGTCGCTATCGCCCTCCGTCGAGCAGGCCACGAGGTAACGATATACGAGAAGTCCGATTTCGCAGGCGAAGTGGGCGCCTCTGTATCCTGTGCCGCGAATGGAACCCGCTGGTTACATGAGTGGGGTGTTGATGTTGCGAAGGGAGATCCTGTTGTATTGAAGAAGCTGATCAATCGAGACTGGAAGACTGGTGAACCGGTTAGCGTTTATGATCTGGATGATTATGAAAAGCGCTGGGGATATGTGTACAACATGTTTCATCGTCAGTATATGCATGCTATGCTGAAGGACTCGGCTTTGTTGGATGAAGGGGAGGGAATTCCGGCCAAGCTGCTGGTAAACCACAAGGTGAGCTATCTTTACCCATATGAACAGAATTTTACATCGAAGAACATCTACCCTGACTTTAAATCTAGTGTCGTGATATTGACATGAGAACCAACACCATCACCTTTGAAAACGGCGTCACAGCTCAACACGACCTGATTATCGGCGCTGACGGCATCGGCTCAGCAGTACGAGGTATCCTGGGTATTCGACCCGAGAAAAGACCCTCTGACTCCAGCTGCCTACACACGAACGTTGACGCCGACGAAGCCGCAAGACTGGGTCTTACAAACTACTCCCAAGACAGTGCACTGGAGTACTGGGGCGGCCAAGAAGGGAAATGGGACAAAATCGTGCTATCACCCTGCAACGGCGGGAAACTGCTCTCATACTACTGCTTCTTCCCTCGCGAGCAAGGTGACTTCTCAACACAAGCCTGGGGCGCAGAGGGTCGACCAGTCGAGGATCTACTAAAGCCGTATCCCCAACTCGACCGACAAGTCTTCAAGCATCTTGAAATTGGAAAGGAGATTCAGCCTTGGAGACTTTGGGTCCATGATCCTTATCCTTATATCCAGAAGGGCAAAGTTTGTCTTTTGGGTGATGCTGGACATCCCATGATGCCGCATCAGAGTCAGGGAGCTTGTATGGCGATCGAGGATGCGGCTGCATTGGGTATCCTGTTTAACAAGAAGTACTTCAATGGGGATGTTGTGGAGTCTTTGGCGGTTTATGAGACCGTTCGTCTTCCTCGTGTGACTCGTGTGCAAGCTGCAGCTGCAAAGGCAGCGTATAACATTAATGAGAGAATTGGTGAGTCAACTTTGGGATACATCTGACTTATCTGATATGAAAAGGAACTTGATGCTGACGATTTCAGGATTCTCTGTGAACAAGGATACACCCACTTACAAGGTGGAGGATCCTAAAAAGGTGCTCACTATTGAAGAGATGAATGCGTAAGTTCTCGAAGTTTCAATTTTCAGTCTCCATATACTAATTTCTTCTGTAGCTATGACATGTACAGAGACGTTGAAGAGAAACTGGCCACAGTACGCGGCAGAAAGTACGAGGACAAGTTCATCTGCGGATTACCGATCGGGATGGAACTGCCTAGTGGCATTATTATTGGTGCAAGTGCCTGAGCTTTAAGTGTATAAATGATTTTGTATATTGTGTTATTTAGTAGATTGGAACTATCATTCTGTCTAAGCAAGTTAGATGTGACATAGCAATTGATATTTCAAATGACAGAATCCAAACTCTAGACACATTCCAAGTTGTAGGCTATCTATCAATGGAGAATCCACCAATCCGGCTCATTCATTTCATCTCATTTATCATGCATGTCAGATACATTAACCAATCACTAGCAGCAGTACATGTACCAACTTGAAACCGCTGCGATAATGCACATCAAAGTCAAATAAAGTGGATATCCACTATAGCGACTAGAAAGAGACATGAAGAATAAAAAACTAATAGAAATTCCTGGAAATTTATTCTCAATCTAGATTCTCCACACGTTGCCCAGGTGCACTTTACGCGATCCTGAGGTGTGTACGGCAAGTCGCTATCGCCACAGCTCACATGCCTATTTAGGACTAGTTTTAGCCAGCAGAAAATAAAATTACTGGAAATACAATTACACACTCATATCCACCTGGCAATCACCTTGGATGTAAGCCCTGGAGGTTGGTAATCAAGCTTGAATAAGGGGTTATAAGCCAGGGAAAATAGATCCTATTAAAGAGGTTTCATAGTGATTTAGGCTATGTTTCTACCTAAGATATTATAATAGAGAATATTACTATGAAGATAGGTTTAAATTGGTATTAGTATGTAGTTGTTAAGGGGAAGACCAGGAGAAGGATGGATAATTGGCAGAATCTTACCGCCTGGAAAGTATGTACCCTTCTAATGTTCTAACTTCTACAGTTCTCTTTCTTAATATTTTCATAATTCACTTTTCGGACGGAGTACTCCAAGAACTAAGCACATCTTCCAAACTAATTACAGAACCTTAGAAATAGCTACAAATCTAATAGAATCCATTCAATAGAATCCAAAAAATAACATATGGATTACAAGACATGTAAAGGCGGTGCTGGAAGCGGTCTAAGATCTAGTCCCAAATAGGCATGCGAGCTGTGGCGATAGCGACTTGCCGTAGGTGTGGTACCTACTACATACGTGTCCGCCTCGGGAACTAATACACCGAGCTCAAAATCAGCGCGGGAATCATTAACCCGGGACACTCAAGTGCTCGCAGTAAACTCCGATGGGATCCACAACCTTGGACGACAGAATGTCCCAGTAGGCTAGGTTTGTTCCGTACTCCGTGTTTGGATGGGTAACTTTGGGGCGTTTATCTAAATTGCGTGTCTCTAATATTATCCATGGGTACTTCCTAGCTTGAGTAGAAGCTTCATCCAGCTTGAAGTTTAGACATTGGACACTTACAGTGATAATACAATATCATAGTTGCGGTATCTCAATCCGTGCAATTTGGATTATGTACAAAAAGCTGCTTTCATTTCTCGTAATTTTCTGATTTCTTATTTTCAATTCCAACTCCCTTAACCGAAGAGAGCATCGCCGAGACGGTAGTGGACGGTCTTAACCTGGGTGTAGTTCTCCAGAGCGTAAGAGCCGAGCTCACGGCCCAGACCGGAGGTCTTGTAACCACCGAAGGGAGCCTGGTAGGCGATCAGGTTGTAGCTGTTGATCCAGACGGTACTAAATTATAATTAGTGGATTGTTCAGAAATTTTGTTGGAGAAAAAGTGGCTTACCCAGCCTTCAGGGCGTTGGAAACGCGGATAGCAGTGTTGACATTCTTGGTGTGGACACCGGCAGCAAGACCTAATGGAGTCAGCATGATAGTTCTTTTCATCAATGTCAAGGTTTTATCTTACCGTAAGCAGTGCTGTTACCAATCTTGATAGCCTCAGCCTCATCCTTGAACTTCTGTACAACAATGACAGGACCGAAGATCTCCTCCTGGGAAATCTTCATCTCCGGGGTAACATCAGTGAAGATGGTAGGCTTGATGAAGTAACCGACATCACCGTGGCGCTCACCACCCAGAGCAACGGTAGCACCCTCGTTCTTGCCGTGGTCAATGTACTCCATAATACGGTCGAACTGGAGCTGAGAAACCTGAGGACCCTGGAAGGTAGACTCCTCAAAGGGGTTGCCAAGCTGGTTCTTAGCAGCACGCTCCTGGAAGCGGGCAACGAACTTGTCGTAGATACCCTCCTGGACCAGAACACGGGAACCGGCACAGCAGCACTGACCGTGGTTGTAGAAGATACCAAAGTTAGCCCAAGAGATGGCGTTGTCGATATCAGCATCGTCGAAGACAATGTTTGGGGACTTGCCACCCAGCTCCAGAGTAACCTTCTTCAAGTTACTCTTAGCGGCAGCCTGGAGGATAGTACGGCCAACCAGAGTAGAACCGGTGAAAGCGATCTTATCAACATCCATGTGGTTAGAGAGAGCAGCACCGGCAGTGCGACCAAAGCCAGAGATGATGTTAACGACACCAGGAGGGAAACCAGCCTCGACGATCAGCTTAGCGGCATACAGAGCAGAGAGAGGGGTCTGCTCAGCAGACTTCAAGACAACAGTGTTACCAGCAGCGATAGCGGGACCGATCTTCCAGGACCACATCAGAATAGGGAAGTTCCAGGGGATGATCTGACCGCAGACACCAATGGCCTCGTGGCGGGTGTAAGAGAGAGTCTGGTTGTTGGTGTCGATAGTCTGACCGTGAATCTTATCAGCCCAACCACCGTAGTAACGGAGACAGCTGGCAGCGTTCTTGACATCAGACTTGGCCATGGTGATGGCCTTACCGTTGTCAAGAACCTCAATAGCAGCCAGGATGTCAAGGTCACGCTCGAAGAGCTCGGCCAGCTTGATGAGCAGGCGGCTACGCTCGGAGGGGATCACATCGTGCCAAGCACCCTCGAAAGCTGCGCGGGCAGCCTTGACGGCAATATCGATATCCTTCTCCGTACCCTCGTGAACGGAGATAATGGGCTTCTCATCAGTGGGATTGATGGTCTCGAAGGTCTTACCCTCGACACCCTTGACGAACTCATTGTTGATGAACCTAGAAATAGAGAGGATTTATGAGTAAGACCGAATCTCAAAACCGAGGTTGAAATGCCAACCGAAGAATGGTGAGGGGAAGTGAGGGGCACATACAAGCCAAGAGGCTGTTCGTAGGTGACCAAAGGGGTCTTAATAGTAGCAGAGAGAGACATGGTGGGGGAGAATGGTGTAGAGGGGGGGGTATCACAATTAGAGAAAGAATGAAAAGAAAGATTTAAAAAAAGGAAAGGGATGGAACCTCTTATATAAAGGGAGTATGCGGGGTTTAGAGGGGGAACGCCACGAACCTCTAGTACTAAGATGACTTACTTGGTACAAGTGGGAACACTGAGGAGCACGATATCGGTGTAAGTACCATTTATGTACTTGGTAACTTCAGGGTCATTAGTCTCTTTTAGTGTCCTTTTAGTGTCCAATCTGCAATATTTCGAGCTTAATCTCTTACTATCCGCTTTAAAAATCCCTATTAATCCTTCTTATTATTGGATTCATTTCCCCACTCCTTACTAGAATTCTACCGAGGCTTTGACCTTTTCCCCCTCCTTTTAATAAATTTACATATGTTTCATTTACCTACATGATGCATTGCAGATTAGAAATCCATGGCGCGTAAATGTATTATGCATCATATATCACCAAAAAAAAAAGAATTCGGGTTAAAAGGAGGGGCAAGTGGGCCGTGTGTTCATAGTGATGTTATTACATTATTTCATTGCGGGCCAATATCCCCCCGGTTACCATCGGGTGGAGAAGAATGATTTGAATCCGGTGTTCATTCCGTGATGAAGCTCGGGTGGAGCTAACACGAAATTTTTTGTTTTTTTTCTTCTTATGTTTCAAGATGATCCAGTCATCGGCCGAGAGAGTAATTGTTTACTAATAATTAATTCCAGACTAATCTCTTATGTGTATGCAACTTGGTGGATGCATATGGCGGGTAAACTCAATTTGACATCATTGAGGGGTATCAAGTACCAGAGACCTAGGCAGTATTGGTGAAGATAGATCTCGGACAATAAGGATGAATGTAGTACTTCAAGAACATTTGAACTGGCAAAATAATCATTTCAAGTCCCCTTCAGACTTGATAATAAAAAAAACTTTATACCATAACTCAATTTCTCTTAGAATATTCTTGCCAGTTGACCCCAACTATGATGAATAGGTATATATGAAGTAGTGGTGAACCCGAGGAGAGAGGAGAGGTCCTCACTGCAGCCTGGAGCAGTTGAGTAACCTACAACTTCCCACGATTGAGGAAACGTGTGGGAAGGTCAACATGCCGTGACCGAATATACTCCGCCACGTTCTTTCCTAAACAATCGACTGTGCTCGTGACTCCCACCCCACGATCCAACAAATTACGGAAGAGAAAGTGCACCGCCTGAAGCCCTGGCAGCTCAAACCGTTCAATAGCCAACGGTGGTGAGCGATGGGCTTCATCACCTAGCAGATCGCGAGCTTTCTCGATCGACAAAAGACTCCGCAACCATAGGTATTCATCCCGATGCCGAACCCAGAGGCCACAATTTGCATCGGAGCCTTTGTCTCCCGAGCGACCATGTACAATCCAGCCTAATGGTCCGCGGTCAGTTGGACCAAAATCGTTCATCAAATCAATAGGCTTATCAGTTTGCGTAACTGCCTGAGAGGGTTGACGTAGGGGGGTATGTCTTCGTCAGTGTGGGAGCGGGAATGTCAAGAACCTGAGTACGCGCCGTGGGTTTCCAAGGTAAGTGAACGCAATGCTGGACTGAACTCTGGGGAAGGAGAGTCACATAGTACTCAAATAATGCTCGAGGAAACGCTTGTCGCATGTCTAGTTGGAATGTAGCGCCCGGGTATCCTTGCATAATATTATCTGAGAGAGGTCTGGCGAATTTCTTGGGTCCGAGGTCATCTGCATGCCTTGCCTGTGCCACAACACGAAGCGGAACAGTAGCACGGTTTTGACTTGACGCATCAGGTAAACTTGATCCAAGTAGGTCAAATTTTAAGGTGGTGAATTTATCCGCATGAGGAGCGACGAGCCGTCGGATCTGAGCTTCAAACATCTGTGCTTTGGCTTCGATGTCAAGTCCAGTCAGGTACCACCATGCCTCCGCTTGAAAGCCACCACGGGCAGTGATGCCAACCTTCGTGGTAGGAGGTGGAGGACCAGATCTGACACCTAACAGGGCTACTCGATTGATGCCTCGCTGCTCAAAGTGGATGCCGTCGATAATGGCGGTCACATCTGAGTTGTAGTACCAAGGGCCCTGGATCTCATACAGCAGTTGAGAAGTGCAGGTGTCGACGGTGACAGCCCCACCAGTTGAGTATGACTGCTTGGTGATTATCACATCTCCCTCAGCAGAGATCTCAGCAATGGGATATCCGATATTCGTCCACCCATCTCCACCATGCTCCAAAGACTTGAAACCAGTGAAATTCCCACCGCAGACGTAGTTGCTGCATTCAATCAGATGCCCTGCCACAAAGGCATTGGCTAGCTTGTCGAGCTCATCACGTTGCCAGCCATGATACCAATAAGCAGCACCGATAACAGGAGATGCATCGGAAACGCGACCACAGAGAACGATATCAGCTCCCTCAGTGAAAGCAGCCGCGATTCCCAGGCCACCAAGGTAGCACTGGGCGTAAATGGGCTCAAAATCCCAATCAGCTAACTTTCCATCAGTGTAAATATTCCGAAACTCAGATTGACCACCTGATAGTGCTTTCTGAACAGCAGGTAAGACTTCATCACCAGTAACGTAGGCAACCTATAACACCGGTTAACACAGCCCAACGTAGTACAACTGAAGCAGGTCAAGCAAATCTCACCTTTAAATCAAGTCCTTTCGATCGAGCCATCTTCAAAACAACATCGTAAAGTCCCTTTGTATCACAAACACCAGCATTCACGGCCAATTTGATACCATGTTTAGCCAAGTCATTCAAAGCAGGCTCAACAGCCTCAAGAAACGACAAATCATATGCCGGCATTCCATTCTGACCTTGATCCACACGACGACCAGCATTAGAACCCATGTTAAACTCGCTCATGAAATCAGCGATAATAACATCAACGGGATCAGTTTCATAGTGTCGTGCGAATTCAGCAATGGCATGGCGTCGATCAGAGGCAGAGCCCGAGGCCCCTTGAATAATGTATTAGCGGGCGCATCAAATGATACAAAATGAGTGAAGATACCTGCGATTCGAATAGGTCGACCTGTAAATTTCATAATTGATAAATTGTGATTAGCCTTGGATTAGGCCGATAAGAGGTTCAGCATTTGTATTTGCACCCGTTGAAGGTGGTTGGAAAGCCTTGACGTATTCGGTGATCAGCGGCCGAGGCAGCTCGGTCCAATAATGCGGGGTTGGATCTGTCAATTTATGGATCTTGTACTACTTTGCTTTTCATTATTTGTACAGTAAATATAATTCTTGATTTGGCTGCTGAATGTGAGAGTAAGCTATTATTTTGGGTTGTTGGTTCACATGTATGAAATGGGGTGAGTTGATCTACTAGCTTCGGCCGAGATCAATTTGGGATCACGTTTAATTCACCTACGAATAACTTGATTACTGCCCAGATCCCTGGCAGACTTTGGACACAGAAAAAAAATAGTCTGCTATGTATGAAGACTTGACTGACGGATATGCGGAATGGTCGAGGACGAGGCCAACTAGACATCACACACTACTACATTGACACCGCACTCTGCACGAATAGAACAGAGGGTAGATCAGTATCATAACGTGCACAACTACTACCTAGTGAGGAATGTTGCTATGAATATGGATGATCGTGAATATTTCATTTCTCAATAATGCAGTCGTAAGAATCATCAGAGCGGTAAACGCTAGACTTTTTGAGAATTATCGCAAAAGACTGGATGAATGCAATTAATGGGCATAGCCAACTGAGCTGAATGGCTGGGCTTCAAGCTGGTTCAAAGGCAGAATCAGAGTCATCACTGATACTCACCCTGCGAGCTGCGCGGGTGGATCGAGAAGTCTGGGGAGCACTCGCCTGTGAGCCACCAAAATCGAGGGTTGTTTGAGTTTGCCTGGCAGGTCGTGTCGTTCGACGAGTAGCAGTTCCTCCAACGGTGTTCGAAGATGGAGCTAGCGAGGGTGCAGTTCGTCCACCACGCCCTCTGGTAGCAGCTTTGGCCCCACGTCCACGTCCCCGCCCCCTTGAGGCTGTGGAAGGCTGCTTGACAAATAGAGCCTGGGAGTCATCGTCTTCTGAAGTGATATGTGCAGCTTCCTCGTTGTCTTGATCATCATCCAACATGATAACGTCGTCGGCTGACTCCTCTTCAGAAACCGGCTTTGCCTTTCGGCCTCTAGCTGATGGTGCCGCAGCTTTAGCAGCGCCTCGAGAAGCGGTAGCAGCTCCCCGGCCACGACCCCTTCCGCGACCACGGGCTGAGGTGGTCGTTGTGCGACTGCGAGCTGGAGCAGTGCCATCCTCGCCAGCTTCTTCTTCGGCTGGGTCGCCCCCTTCATTGTCCGAGTGAATTAAAGCACCAGGTTGATCCTCCCACGAGCCATCAAATTCACTATCCCAGCCGTCTGGCTTGGGCTTGAATCGCTTCTTACCCCGAGTGCGTTTCTTGACACCCTTGGCAAACAAGTCTTCCATCTGTGTGCGGTACTTTTCCATAGCAGTGACCAAGGAACTCTGGAAGCCCTCCTCATCCTCCATATCCTCCTCCTCGTCACGATCTAAAGCCATCAGATGTTTGACCTGGCTTTCCAGGGATTCATTCACAAACATTTCCATGGCATGTTTATCATCCTTATCGATAAATTGAGCAACGGCATCCCCGAAAGTGTTTTGAGGCAGAATGCTAAGCGACTGCGCTGCAAGAAGCTCCTTGACTAGTTGCTCCACCTTGACGGTATCCAGACCTGTCAAGTGGGATGCGGTTGCATCATCAGAGATGTCAGCTTTGCGCGACGATGGAGATTTCTTCTTGCGATGAAATTGCACCACGTCATTAACATTGGCGACCTTGCCTACAAATCGATTTGAGAATCTCTGCGGATTCTCACAATCGTATGCACCGCCTTCAGGAGTAGAGATCTCAACTCGGAGTCTAACGAGGGAAGAGGCATTTCTTGGGCGTCTTCGTCCTCCTCAGGTTCTCCGTTAACGTCCAGCCATTCGGCCTTGGCCTCTTCAATTAATTCTTCGACAATTTCCATCAGGAAACGCGTCACTTCTGTTCTGTTGTTGTCTTTCCGGGCTAGCTTTCGGGCGCCTTTCTCCTCGGACAGCACGATCTCTCTCATCACAAATGGCCGCACGGTTTTCAATCGAATAGGCTCACACTTGAATTCCCGACCCGTGATGCTCATGATGGAGACTTGCTTCGGTACAGCTTCACCTGGCATCAACGAGGTAGCCACCGATGAGCCGGGTTGCATGACATGAAAATTCATATCTGGATTCAGTCGGGGATTGATGAGACATTCATGTTCGTGGCCCCAAACAACCATGTCCATAAATCCCGGTAAGAAGTTCTCGGGGAGGTATCCGGTCTCAGTATAAGCATGATGGTTCTGATGAACAGACATCAAATTGAACCAGTCATTCTTCTGAACTGAAGGTTGGAAGAATTTAACCTTGCCATCACGGAAAGTACGAAATAGTCGCTCGTCGCGGACGTTGCTCATGCCGTACAATGCAAGCTTAGTTCGACCTTTCTGAAGCAGCACGGGTTTGATTTCAATGTTGTCCGCCTCGGGAGTGCGACCGTAGTAATTTAATAGACCAGAAACCTGTAGCAGGTCAAGAGCCGCGAGATGGCCCTCACCAGATGGATCATCATGGTTTCCGTGGATCGAGAAAATGGGGATAGCGATATTCATGTCCAGATCTTCGAAGTTAACATGATTAAAGGCTCCCTGGAAGTTTTCGCTGGCATCACTGAGCATCTCCATCTCACAAGGCTTGTCTCCGAAGCAGTTCATTCGAATGGACCGCATCACTTGGTACATCGATTTCCTAGATGGTTTATTCTCATGGAATAGATCGCCCGCAAGTAAGACCATATCCACATCCTGTTCTTTGGCAAGGCACATAATCTCGTGAAATGTTTTCCAGCTGTCATCGCCTCGAATGGGATCCCGCTCATTGTACCCGACATGGTTATCAGTTGAGATGAGAATGCGGATCGTCTCCGCGTCTGACTGTATTAGCGAGATATTTTCATATATTTGTCTCGGAATAGGCGTCATTTACCTTGTGGGCCCAGCATGATGCCTGATATCTGTAAGTTGACCGACTTTGATTCCGAGAGAAAATCACCAGTTGGCCATGGTCTGGAGGTCGTCGAAGCAAAGAACACCAAAAGAGGCCGATCACCGATCACCGCGTAACGGCGCGTGATCACGTGGAAACATATAATGCCGGCATATAAATCACCGCTCAATATACCGCCCTTTTGCTCATCAACTGGTGCCTAGCCTAGCAGCCACAACGGTCCACAATTGACTCGAAATTCGAATACTAGTGGTGCAGCGTGCAGCATGCAGCATGCAAGCCATTTCGCGATCAAAGCAGACTATATAATAATGCCCTAGAATAAAGGGAGTATGTGCCACAACTACCAGGAATTCTTGCATCTAGGGTTATCGCCGCATTTGAACGCTAAAATATTCAATTGAAGTTGAGTTACTTTCAAGTTTTCAAGGTCCATTTGCGACCTGGACTGGAAGCTTCAAATGTTTATTCCATTATATGTGCTTATTTACTACCAAAAAACAGACTTGAATACTCTGATACCGAATGTCTCAACACTGAAAGAACCAAAAAAAGAGATAGAGGAGGAAGCTGGTCAAATGATCGCTCCAATGCTAGCACATCTGTGATGCACATAGGAAACTTTCCAAGTTTATTCTATGCCAAGGACATTCCAGTCATCACATCGGCAAATCCATAGGCAGCAGAACTTCTTCCTGAAGACATCCAGTCGGGTTTACGAGGAACGTGCCCGAATTGGCAGAAAATCTCCATGAGTTCTCTATTCCGATTTTGCATAGTGATGATCATAGGTGACACTCCCCAGCTATCCTGTCGATTTGGATTCGCTCCATGTTCCATTAAGAGCTTGACCATCCCGACACTGCCGGAAATCACAGCCTTGGAGAGGGCGGTCCTAGAGGTATTTCCAGGCTGATCCGCTGGAACTCCATGATCCATCAGCAGCCGCGCGATCTCGATGTGGTCGTTTTCAGCGGCATATACAAGCGCAGGCTCACCGTTGACGCATATCACATAGGGAGTAGCTCCTTGGCTTAGGAGGAGACCAGTCAAGCTCACATTCCCACATAGAATAGCTTGTGCAAGAGGTGATTTACCATCTTTTGAATTCGAACCATTTGGATCTGCTCCGCGAAGTAGAAGTAACTTGAGAATGTCCTCATTTTCTTTCGCGACAGCCACAAAGAGGGCAGTTTCCCCATTCTTATTCTTCAGTTCTGTCTTGGCCTTGTAATCGAGTAATAAAGATAACACTTCTTCTTGGCCATATAATGTCGCTAGTGTCAATGCCGTTTGCCCCTCCGAGCCATGTGCATTGACCGTGGCGCCTTTTTCCAGATCGTTTTTGAGTGAATCGATTGCTCCGGTTCTGACTAATGTGAAGAATGCAGTTTTGTCGACCGTCATCCTAAACTTCATTCGACTTAGTAGGCCTGGCCTTTTCTCTGGAGGCGATACGCTAGGCGCTGGTTCAAGCAGCCCGGAGCTGGGGTCTGATATATCAGAATCGCAACATTTGACTCTATTGAATAATCGATCGGACAGAAATCGCACATACCTTTCCTGATTTGAAGTCATGTTGTTCAACTAAATGGGCGTGGATTTCAAGAGAGTATGGAGCCCAGCGTTTAGCCTCAGGAGATCGATTCCAGAGGCCTTTGTAATTTCAATGAATAATAATGGCAGCTCGCAAATTTGCATTCAATCTTGCTTCGAGATCTTCATGCCAAGTTTTATGTGCATGAAAACACACGTGCAAGATCGGCTCTATTAAGAATGAGGATTTCTCGTCGCTGCTGCACAGCCTACTAACTCAGCCTGATACGGGCGTTGACTCAGAGGCTGTGTTCAGCCACTCAAAAAGTATTCACCTGATTAGCCAGGTTCTATCTTGAGAAGAAAGAGTACCGAAGTAAATACCAAAGAGGCTGCGCAGGTGTCAGGCAACCACCTCACATGTGCAGGCTGTAAAGAGAAATTATCCCCGGGGCCGCTAACATTGAAAGGAATCTTTGACCCCCACTAAATACAACTGTTCTAAATCCGAATCTACCAGTAAATAAAAACCGAGCTGGGTTGAATTGGTTCGGTCTATTCTGCCGAGCTGATTCTAACTAGTGCCAATTCGAATCTGAAGTATTAAACTAGAACTTGAGAACCTATACTACTAGTACGCATCATTTCATATTTCGAGGCACGGAAATATGCAGATTTATCCAGTATGATGAGAAATTTTTTGAATTTGTGCAACAAACAGGAACAAAACCTTGGAAACGGGCAATACGATGACCAAAAAGGGACAAAAAAGAAGAAAAGAAATCGATAGGGGAAAGGACATCTGGATGAACAACATTTGAACATTGAAAATAACCTTCGAATGAAAACAAAATTTGAAAGAAATAGACAAGAATTTGAGTTTAATCGCCAGGCTTCAAATGTTAGTCCCGTGGTACTAGTACATCTTCAGACCATACCTACCTATACATGGATGTATGTATACATGGTCCACGGGTATATCTCAATTGATAGTACATTGAACTTCCAACTCTAAGCCATCTGATGAATCGAATTCCATATGTGTGGGCATATTTTAATTCAATAGTATTAACAACCTTGGAACCAAGGAGAGTCTGGAACAAGCATTCCAAGGTTTTGGGTATGAATAAAACGTCGTGGGATGCCTTACCACTTCACTCCCTATATCTCTGTGCAACCCTCACCATTCCCGGATCGGTCGCCATCTTCTTTTTCTGCCCACAACTTGCAGCACGGGGACCCTGAGGACGGGGTGGATGTGTCATCATTCCCTGAATATTCTTTTTCTCATCGGCGATAATTCGATGTGGCCCTGGATCTCCGGGAAACGTTGAAGTGAATTGACCTTGAAACCCCCCTTGGCCTCCCTTTACTATTCTGTGTCTTATAGTCGAAGTCCGCTGTAGCGGGATAAGCCCAAAGAACAACCCGAGGATCTTCAGGAACATCTTTCCAGCGTTTCCCGTCGAGTGTCCTTTTGCCGCGTTTCTCTTTTAGAAATGGATTCTCCCTATCCAAATGAGCATGCGGTCTTTTGCCAAGGGGCCTCGAGTGATCTGGATGTGGGGCAGGACCCAATATCCTTTCTGCCTCAGCACGGGTCATGATGCCAGTCCGGCCGGTAGGTTGGCCATTGTCGTATCTGACGGCAAGATTGTAGTACTATAAAGTCATGCGTGTAAGCGGACTTTCAAATTTGTATTTTCAATGTTCAAATGGTGGTTTTAGCTATATCATTGAAACTTACTTCCCAGTCATCTGCCTGTTTGCTGGAGGAACACCCCATTCTTATGAGCCCGGGATATAAATTCAATTTTCACAAGTCAAAAAATCATTTGAGCCCTTAGAAAAGCCCAATATGATGTCTTGCAGGCGAAATAGATCGATATAATGAGACAGATTTTGTGGCAGGGACACAACTTGAGATTGGATCTTAATTGTATTCTGTATAGATCTTTGGCCTTGCCTTTATGTCTTGGATAATCCTAGTCTATCCTACATACTAAGAACATGTAGCCGCTCTATCAAGCCCAAAATCAGCGACATCGCCATATCATGTTTGAATTGTAAGCACTTCAAGTTAAGGGATAACTATTGATAGTTCGCGCCGGGTGTGCATGCTCCTGCCGCGCGAAATCTCAGATCCTATGAAGCTATGAAACCAGGAGCTCCAATCAACTCATGAATTGACCCCTGATATCAATTATATCTTAAGCGAAGTGAGGTCTAAAGTTTCAGATTTTATCTTATGTTTGCCCATAGGATGCATGGGGCGGGAAGTGATACAATCGTGGAAATCCTTTGGGGCTGAGCATAGGGATTCGTTGGCCAAGAGCGAGTATGAATAACAACAAAGTAGTTTCATGTTCATGCAGACATCGGCGAAACGCTCTATAAATCACATGTGCACCGTGCACTTGATAGAACCAAGTCTAATTTAGGTGCAACGCTTATTTCATGTTTGAGCTGATGTAGTCTATAGATAGGCGGCAGAAAGCGGGGCTGTTGACTCACGACTCACGAGTCACATTTGGAAACTTGACATACACTTCAGGCTGGATCATCCCAAGGTTGCCAAAATTGAATTTTAAATAGAAGTAAATTATTCTCACCTTATCATCTTTCATCTTTGCCTTCATTCTACTTGACCCAAAACAACGCTGCCGTTTTCTTCAATATGGAAGATATCGACTTTAGCATCGACGAGACGGATCCTGATGTGACAACCGAATGGAAGACGCTAGTTGGCAAATTCTCCGATTTGAATGTCCACAAGATACTTCAGAAGTATCTGGAGACCTGTCAAACAGACATAGAGGCCCTTGCAAATGCCTGCAAGCAAATCGAGGATATAATATCTTGGCCCGACCTGAAGAAGCAGAAGAAAAAAGACAGAGCAGAGCATGAACATCACATGTTTTTTGATGTTCTCTTGGATCTGGTCCAAAAGATTCCCTACTCTCACCCAGCACATGGATATCTTGTTATTCTATTAGTATGTTTGTCAAGTTGAATACCCTTACGTCCTATGATACAGTAGGTCTAACAGTTCCAAACTACAGAAAGTGCAGTTCCCTACCAAGCTGGGTTGTATGAGTTATAATATCTCAGATGATGGGCATGGCAGTATGTTTTGAAATTCTTTCCTTGATATTATCTCTTTCCCGCTTAATCTCCGAGTCTGGGTCGGCCATATTTCAATGTTCACAAATCAAACTAACACAAAATCAAGCACTCTGCGGTCCCGAAAGCCAGAAAGAGATAGACTCCTATATCAACATGTGCTCATTCTTGGCACGATTGTCCGCTGCCGGCGAGGAGTATTTTTCTTTGGCTATATGGAATTTCCGGCAAAATCTTGAGTATGACAGGAGCGATAACACCAGCGAACACTTCGGTGGAGATCTTGCTGGATGTATAATGTGGATCTTTTATGCTGGACAGTGGCTGTTTCAAAAGGTTGCTCATTGCCATGCTGTGTTGGATTCTCACGATGAGCAGACGTGGGAATGCGGACCACTTTACACTGGGCCTGTTTTGGGCTTGGCCCGATGGCGCTTTTAGCGAAAAGGCCTCGAGTCTGCTAGCGAGGGTACTCAGCTAACTGATAAGACTAAGTCTCTCGTCCAGAAGGCGATCGATTTGATGGATGCCATTGAACGTGCCAATGAATGAATGTTACATATGACTTTGGAAGCGGTGCTCTTATCATTTCCTTATCTTTGTTTTCCCTATCTTTGAGTCTCTTGAATTTGTTTCTATTGCTTTTTAGTTGGGGGACTTACATCTATGATGCTCTTTTGTGACTTTTAGGCTATTTTCTTATTAAAATTTACGCATGAATCAACACAAACAACCATGATATCGTAGATAATACTGTCAATTGGTCTTCTCTCACCGGGGAACGTTTAAGATTTGAGCTTAGAAATGACTGCATCAAGCATTATCTCTATATTGGAGAATGCTATTCTTAGTTTCACGGTTGGAATTCTTTGGCTATGAGTAAGTTTAAGCCAAAAAGGCAATCTCCTGTTTGTCAAGAAGGGTCCACGGGAAGATTCCAAGGTTACGATACTTGAAAAAAAACACGTTACATATGATTTCAAATGTTGCAACCTGCACGCCTGATCTGCGCAAGTCTGATTCAAGTTTAAGTGCGGCTGAAAAGATCTTGGAAGCGGATTAACTGCCAAACTTAAAACTTGATACCACCTATATACTCGAGTACTGGAACTTTGGACTTAGCCTATTTCTATACTAAGAGTTGATAACAGCCCTGGGAGGAAATCCTTGATTCACTCACTTGAATGTGAGGTTCCGTTCTTCTTCAACCCAATTGCTTTGACAACATCTACAACATGGCAAACATCGACTTTAGCATCGACGAGACAGACCCCGATGTGACGGCAGCATGCGGCAACTTCTCTGTCTTGAAAGCCCATCGGACGCTTCAAGAGTATTTGGAGGCTTGCGAAGATACCCCCGGAGCTCTTCTATGTACGGTCGCACGTATTGACCTTATGCTGTCTCCGCACAATAAGGAGAGCAGGGAAAAAGAGGCGAAGGCGGAGTACGAACATCGAATGTTTTACCAGAAGCTCTTGGATCTAGTGTGCAAGATCCCCTACTCCCACCCAGCACAGGCACACTTGGTCTCCTTACTGGGTCAGCTATCAAAATCGAGGAGTCTGAACTCACATAAGGAGTGTTTTGTATGTACCTCTTGGAAACTTCTCTTACAGAGCTAATAATTGAGGTTATAGACCTGGTCTTACTTTGAAAGCTTAGTCTACCTTGGATGCACAGTGCGCGAGCAGGATATTGGAGGCATGTATATTATCCCTAACCATTCTCTTTTCTGCTGATATCTTGATATAAGATTTGAAGCTAACTCGCATCTGATAAAGTCTCCTATCATCCTGATTCTCAGACAGAGGAAGCTTACATCCGCCAGTGTGCATTTATGGCCCGGCTATCAAGTGCTGGAATCATCCAAGGCTTCCACACGTCTTTGCGGAATCTCCGAACAAGCTTGGAATTTGACTGGAGCAAAGACGATCACCACAATATGAGAGTCGCGGGAAGTACCATGTGGATTCTTTTCGCTGGTCAGTTTCTATTTCAAAACATGGTTCATTCCCGTGCATGTGTCGATGAAGTGTCTTTGGAGCTTGGAGAACTCTACACTGGGCCTGTCATGGGTTTAGACCGTTGGTGCTTCTGGCGAAAAGCCTTCGATTCTGCCAGAGAATGTACTCAATTCAGTGATGACACGAAAGCTCTCGTAGGGAAGACGATTGATTTGATGGATGCTATCGAACGTGCGAACACTTGAACTTTGCCCCAAGTGAATTTACTATATTTTTTAGTTATGTCTCACATTTTCTTTGGTTTCAAAGTGATGCCTGAGTCTTTCAGCTTCTGTAACTAGATCCTTATGCTCTGATTTTCTAGTTCTTACCAAGATTATGGTCAAGTTTTTCTTTCGCAGATAGTCAAGCAGGGCCCATATCTTATGCTATATGTGATTTTCTTGTCAACTAATATATCATTGATGATTCCCTTTGAGAGAGGAATATAGTGTCTTCGTTCACAGTGTATGTATTTTTTGATCTTATTCTTCTCTCCGGCCACGAGTGTACTACTGTACTAGTACTACCTAATAGTATACCGATCCACCCTGTGGGTAGGCGATAGCAGGACATGCATAATAGTAGATTTGTAAACCGCCAACATAGTACTGCTATTCAACTATTTTCATGCATGTGCTCTACAATTGGCCATCCCTCAATATTTTCATCTCTTTCTTAAGCTATATATATGAAAATTAATAGAACTATCGGAGTACGTGTTAACATATAAAGGCTTTATCAGTAATCCAGTATAGAATTCAAGAGTGACGGGCCAATCAAAACTCTCCATTACGATTCTAGCCAATCACATTACGCAAATCATCCTCATGGAGCCAAATGCCTTCATTTTCGCCTTCGAGTCATCTTTCTCTTCCTCCATCAACCTCCATTCCAGCACTCCAACCCCTCTAACTTGCATTCATACTTCTCGACTGATCCAGATTTTAACACTGGCTCAGTCGCTCTAGCACTTGACCCCTTACAGCCCTTTTTATGCAATCCGAGTTCACTGCAGTATTTCCAAAGACGCCTTCCCGTGACTCACCCCCCACCAACACCAGTCTTATCCAGCATGGAAATGATTTTGATGATGACCCAGTCTCTGGTCTTCTCCAACAGGAGATGCCCGGAGACTCGGCAGGCCCGAACTTCTCGGCCTCGGGGGACTCCTATCCATCCCTGAACGATGTCGCGTCGACCCCGCCCTCAGCTCAACGGGTGAGCCAGTACGAGAATGCTGGGACGCCAGGAAAGAAGAGTGCTGAACCTGGATTTCGAGTCGTGTCTGTTGGACACTCGAGGATTCCTCTGGAGATGCTTCCAAATGGTGGGTTTACACTACTACCGTTGGATAGTTATACGTGCTAATAATCCTTTGAAGAGGTTCTCACTCATATCCTGTCGCATCTGCCCCCACAATCCCTCTCGGCCATGACCTTGGTATCCCGGCGATTCCATACCCTTGTGACTACCCCACACGCGTGGAGAATCGCCTTTTCGCGTTTCTTTCCGGGGCCTCGAGCGCTAGAAGATACGCGTCGTACCGACCCCGAAGATTTGGCTTCCGATAGACGGTTCTTTGCGCGACTGACAGCACTCGCATCTTGGCGCAGCGAGTATATCTTACGTACTCGTTTGATTCGCTCCCTGTCTCGTGGTAAGCCTGCGAGCTTTCAGCCATCCAAGAAGCATGGTACTGTTCGTTCGGCGACCTCGCGCAATGGTAGCGCAATCGCAACATACACGTCGCAGCTCCTGTTTCCTGTGAGCCACATTCACGGTTCTTTCAACTCTGAGAAGGAACCGAATTTCATTCATGGCGCCTCGGAGCAAGGCATTGCCTCTGCTAGTGACCCGTCAATGGTGAAAGTCAGTACCTGGGGACTGGCAGATCAGCGGAATTTTCGACACTTTGCAGATACATTCCCAGGAGATGCACCCTTCGGCCTCGGAGCCGGTGACATGATTGGCATGTCCAACTCCATGGATGTTAGCCAACCATACGGCATGATCTACGGCGAGGGATGCCCTCAAGGCCGCAGCTATTTCATTTCATCTACAGAACAGCGAGGGCGGTTTTTGGGGATTTCGGAGTTGGGTTCACATCCAAAACTTGGTATCCCAGCCATGAATATGATTACTCATGCTGTCTGCTCGGTCTGGATTGCAAAGTCGTCATCTATTCTCAAGATGACCGGAGGACTCATAGCAATAATGTCTGGTTCTTCCTCAGGTGTGCTTACGGCATACGCGCTTGGCCCTCATCCAACGTATGAGAAGCGCTACGAACGGGGTGAGGTAACTGCTAGATGGGTCTTGAGTCCTGGTGTCCCGATTATCGGCATCGCCGTTGACGATAACTATTCACCTAAACGTCATTCGCAACGCCGAATTTGGGCTGTTGCTCTCAATGCACTTGGTGAAATATTCTACCTCACAGACCTCCCGCTGAACCCAGATATCCCGGTCACAGCCAAGTTAAATGCTGAGCAACTTGATGAGCTTGCCTGGAAAACCGGTCGTACTGTGCGCTGGGAGCTCGTTGAGATGAGTCGGCGCATAGCTCATCCAGATCCTTTTAACCGAGAGCTTGTGGATGGCAGCTATAGCCCTCGATCCTCATCGGATTCCTTGCAGCTCGATGAAAGTCAGATTGCCGCAGAGACTAAGGAAATTGAAAAATTCCTTTCGTTTAAACCGAAGCATTTCCGCAAGGTCTGCGAAGGCTGGAACATGCGACGTGATCTGCAAGTTGACTTCGCGGGCGATGATGGTCGTGGGGCTGGCCAGTCCGTCATTGTCATTGCTCGAGGAGCCGATGAAACTGAGAAAGCATCCATTCGACGATACATCCGGGTGGCACCAAAACTTGACTTCAAGTCATCTCCTGGAACGCCACTTCGCGATCAACCTCGTTCTTTGTTTGGGGGTCCAATTGGAGTTTCAACTCCGACTAGCGTCCCGGCGTCTCGATCGTCAGGCCGAGTCAATGATGTGGCGCAGAACTTTGAATGGCGGATCTCAAACTTCATCTTTGGTGACCGCAAGTCGGGTGAAGTGACCACTACTGCTCTGGATAATTCCATGTTTGCGACTGTTACTGTTGAGGAAGATCCGCTGTTGGCAATGTCTGGGAGTTCATTCTCGTCTGCGACTGCATCGCCTATGCTTCCACATATGGAACAGCCACGTTCCACACTTGAAGTCCCAGGACAACGGGCGCGGTACTTGGCCGTCGGAACAGCGATGGGTACAATCTACGTCTGGGATATTCGTGCACTTGCAGCGCAGAATGCAGATGTGATCAACACTATCTCCCCACTGAGAGTTATCCAGACTGAGTCGCCTCAAGTCTCCTGTATAGCACTCACATCACTCTATCTTGTGCATGGTGGAAATGATGGTCTCGTACAAGCTTGGGATCCTTTGGCTTCCTCTACTCGCCCAATCCGGACTATCAACTCCCGGTTTTCATCTCGAGCCCGTCGCCGACTTGTTCAGGCCGAAGCGTCCATGCTTGGCGTTGGAAACAACTACTTCGCTACAGGCGCTATCAGCTTAGACCCGGACCCAACCGTTCTCCGCGGTATGGTCTCCATTGGTACGCATCTCCGTTATTGGGCATATAGTTCAACCGGCGCGGACCAATACAAAAGCAGTAAACGCAGACTCCGCCACGCGCTACGCAGCAGTAACGGAGCTGGAAGTGGACAACGATTCACATCAAGTGGTCGCGGCGCCATCCAGGACTTCATTGAAGACGAGCGAATCGAGATCGAGCGACAGGGTATCGAAGACGCCAAAGAACACGCTCATTTGAGTGCACGTTTCGGAGTAGACCTTCTTGGTCCTGATATCGACGAGGAACAACTTCTCGCATATGCACAGCTCCTCAGTCAGGAAGCCTATGGAGATGCACAGAAGCGCGATGATGTTGCTGTTGCAAGTTCTGTTAGTACATCTCTAAGTGACGCAGCTGAACCTAGTTCCTGTGGTATGGATGAGATATCATCTTCCTCATCACCTTATCAAGATGCGGCAGATGACATAGACGATGATCTTGCAGAAGCGATTCGTCTTAGTCTCTTAGATGAAAAGCCTGCACCATCCCCTTCTATTGATCCCATACATTCCATCCCTATCAAGTATGCCAAGGGCGTGGAGCCGCGGTCTAACTCTTCGAATGGGTATGGCGCGGAGAGCAGTCAGCAAAAGGAGATGGATGATCTTGAGTTTGCTATCCAGCTTAGCTTGGCTGAGGATCAGAGTCGGGATATTCAGGAATGGGAGGAGTTACCTGCTCTTGCACCGGGCCAGCTTTCTTCTTCGCAGGGATCTGGAAAGGGCAAGGGTAAAGCCAGGGCGATATGAATATTTGAAGGGATGATGTGATTTCTCATTGGCTATGATCATATGGCCTAGTAATACAATTGGAACAGTGTTTGTCCCATGTTGACATTTTCATCATTTATTGTTTTTGTTTATTTGATACACTCGTTGATATTATGTTGTTCGGTTGATACATTCAGTTGTTAAGATAGCATCATTTCAATTCATTAGATTAAATGTTTTCATTCAATTTCGCGAGCCTCATCCTGTTCTCTAGAGAAAAGGAAATATCTAAATGCGTAGTAGGACCGACTTCCTCGGACCCTCAGGTTCAAGTACAAGCACTTGCTATACAGACGTGAAGACTGAACAACTGATTACTAGTATAGACCGACTCCAAGTTAAAGGCAATTTGTATTAATCATGGGAAGAAGACATCATTGTTCAGCAACACACCAATCATGTGCATGAAACGAGTAAATCACAAAAACCAATCATTCACAAGAAATCGACCGAATACAGACACCAGGCGAAGAAAAAAAAAGAGAAAAATAAAAGCCAGTGTCTATCCTCTATAACATATCATGTTCAATCCCGATTACAGGAGGGAAGCAAGCAGCATAAAGAAGCTAGCAAGACCACCCAATGCAACAGGAGCGCTGTTCATAGAGGCGGGGTTGCTAGTGGATGATGAAGATGAAGTACCAGAAGTCGAGGTCGAGGACGAGGTAGACGAGCTGTTACCGTTAGGACCGGCAGACTCTCCACTGCTGAGAACCTTGTAAGAGACACCAGTGATCTCAGTGCCAGTGTAGTCGTAGATAGTCTCGGGGATAGTAGTGCTGGAGACCGAAACAAGAGATCCGGTGTTTGCATTAGGAAGACCGCTCTTAATGTAGTCGGAGACCTTGGAGGGGGCGGCGGGCAGATCCCAAGAGTTGTAGAAGCTAGAGCTGGTGATAAGCTTGGCAGCACAGGTAGGAGGATCAATGCTGGTCTGGGACTTGTTAGAAGACTCAATGCGGGACATGTCCAGCTTGTTGAATTGCTTCTGGAGGTTGTCGTAGTCGATCAAGGTGGTGATGGTGCCGTTGTCGTTGACCTGAACCAGACCGTACTCGTTGGACTCCTCGGTCCACTCGTAGACCAGACCACCAGAGAAAGCCTGGGTCATGTCCTCTCCGTACAGAGCCTGAACTTCAGTGAAAGTGCGGGGAGTGACGTCGTTGCAGCCATACTCGGAGAAGAAGACGGGGAGAGTAGCGTTGGAGAAGTCCTCGGTCAGGACGTTGTAACCGCTGGACGTGTAGGTAGCATCACCGCACCAGGAGTAAGAGTTGAGACCGAAGAAGTCGGCACGGGACTCGGTGGAGTTCGACAGGTTGCACTCGAAGTAGATGGCAGTGTCCATGAGAATGTTACGGATATCGGCAGCGGAGTAACCGACGGGGATGGTACGGTTGGCGTTGTTGCTGATGTACTGCTTCATGTCACGGATAACGGCACGAACGTAAGCGGGGGCACTGTAAGTGGCCTGCTGGTTGATGACCTCGTTACCAGCAAAGAAACCGAGGACGTTATCGAAGTTCTTGAAGGCCTCGATGACACCGAAGACCTGCTCGTAGTAGCCGGCAGTGTAGGTGGTCCAGGGCTCAGCACGGTTCAGTGAGCCAGTGGAGAAAGGCGAGTTGACATCGAGAATCATATAGATGCCGGCCGCTTCAAAAATAGAGGCGCACTCGTCGTGGTTCAGGGTGGGCTCCAAGTTGTAAACACGGATGGTGTTCACCTAATATAATTAGTACCATTGTTGGGCATCATCAAATGCAGGTTAATAACTTACACCCAAGCGCTGCATAAGAGCAGCATCACGCAGACAAGCAGAAGGTTGGCTCAGGGGGTCCTTCTTAGAGGTGAAAGCCGACTCACCACCGGGCTGGTAGCTGTTGATGGAATCAGTCAGGGCTTGTTCCTGTGGCCTCAAGTATCAAGCTCAGCAACTATAGATTATACATACTCAACACCGATAATCTGGAAGCGATCACCGGTCACAGAGTCGACAAAGTCCTTGCCACTGACTTCAAGAGTGTTAACAGCAGCCGCTGAGCCCATCAGGGCACAGGCAGCGGTAAAAACGCGGCCGTAAGACTATATCCTAGTCAGTATTTTCTCCTCGGGATTATCTTCCAGTATAGATCCTCCATGGCCTCGTGGGATGTACATACGAAAACCATATTGACGCGGACGTAAGGGATATAGGGTATATAATGGAAATTGGGATAAAAAGAAAATTGGAAAAAAGACTGGAAGGTGAGATTGCAGGTTATAAAAGAGAGTGACAGCGCCGAGCGCGGAAAGAACGAATGGTCAGGCAATATAAATCACCCTAAAGCTGTGTAAACGCACAAGAGATGCAGGAAAAGGATGCAAAAAGGAGACAATCAGAGTTAAAAGAGCGAAATAATAATGATCGGCGGGGGGAATATTGCAGCATAGAGTGGGGACTGTTTGGTCCCTGTTTGGTCCCTGAGTCCCTGAAACTTCATAATGCGGGTCCTTTAAACCGAATGAAGTCACAGTGGATTTTAAATCCCCGTCATGTTTCAGCCACAATCTGTTATTTTGGTCTATTTTCAATATGATTATGTGTGATAATCTTAGAATTGGTTGGATCTTAGGAAAACCTGGAGAGAATTGATGGAATTTCTAGCCGTTCTCATTCGCTCGTGTTTCTTTGTCTAAAATACAATCTGTAAATTGATATCATCATGGCCTTCCGTCTTCCCTTCCCGTTCATGCCTTATCCCAGAAAATGCAATCCAAAACACGGTCCAAAAAAAAAAACAACAGCAAGAAAAAAAAGATGTGAAAAACAACTGGGAAAACCAATAGGGGCTTTGGGAGTTGGGGAAAATTCAAATGGCGCCAAGAAATACCAAGGCCAGGCCAAGACCCAATACATATACACAATGACTGCGAGATCACATCCAAGACGGAATAAAAAAAAATAAGAAAAGGTGGTGGAGAGGGGAGGGCTATTGAACGAGAAAGGCGACAATATCGGAAAAGGAAGATGAGGGAAATAATACAGCCAAGGTCGAGCCAAGGGAAAATAAATGGGAGATGGTTCAGGTGAGACTGCGTTTACTCGACACCGTGGTTATCGGCAGCAGCAGCAGGGCTCTCACCAGTGAAACGACCAAGCTTGAGACCAGGGTCCATAGCGACCATCTCAGCGAGGATCTCCAGAACCTCCTTGGGAACGGTCTTGTCGTAGATGGAGATCAGGTCCTGGGGCTGGGGGTAGACCTTGAGGGCCTTGTAGAAGGCGAGGGCAGCCTCAATCTGGCTGGCACCTGTGGGGATAGGTTAGTATGATTATGCTGATATGAATTGATGTGCCTCAGTGGTGCCGGTGGCTTGGACAGCTGTGTTGGATCTGCCATCACCACAGCCACCACCACCACCACTCAATTGCGGTACGTACCATCCTGGCACAGGCCTTCACCCTGGGCGACCTGAGTCATGAAGTAAGACTCCTTCTCCTCCAGATCGGTGGGGAAGCCCTCCTCCTTGGCGCTCTGGACAGCCTGCTTGATCACCTCGCGCTGAGCAGCACCATGGGCCTCGGCCTCCTCCTTCACAGCCTTAGCGAGACGCTTGTTGTTGCGCTTCAGGGACTTGCGGAACTCGGGGTCGGTCTGGCGCTTGTGATCGAAGTATGCGGCATATGCTAGATGATCAATGACGGGTTAGATGGATTGGACCGGGGATATTCAATGCTGGGACACGTTTGCCGGGAACTCCGACGGGTTCTTACCGAGCAGACCAGCGACGATTGTGCCAGCAGAAGCGGCCACTAAAACAGATGTCCTCATTATGAAAAAAGTGTGAAAAGACGCGACCAAACAAGCTCTAGTGATGATAGGATGAAGGGTGACGGAGTACACGGAGTGTTTTGGAGGATGGATAAATTTGAAGTGGACTTATGTTCTTCCGTCGGCCTTACTCTCCCGCTCGGGTTCGTCTTAAACTTGACCTCGGGGTATTAATGAGAGAGGTCAATGAGAAGATCATGTAAAACGGTGAATATAGTAGGGATTATTGAGAACGAGAGCCCCTATATCAGTAAATTGAATTACCTCAATTAGTGGTGTTGTATATAGAAGAGGTGTTCATAGTTAAGATAGGCTACGTCATCAACTAATGGAGTCAACTGGTGTCAGGTACTAGCTATATCGATTATCCATATGTAGATTTGCAATCAAATATTTTGCACATGTGAATTGTACTATTAGAGATAAAAATTGTGATTCCCTTTGGGATCTGCGGTTTCAGCATTAAATTTCATCTTTAAAGATCAAAGATGCCCAGGTGGAAATGATGAATCTTGAGCTTTAATTTAAAGGCAGCTTTGAGGCCTGAGGCCACAATTATGCCGGGGCCATAGCTGGCCGTTATCGTCCCCGTACCTTGTCCAATACCCAAACAACCACATTATCTCAACCCCAGATATTCACAATGGAAGGCCGAGGATTGACACTGCGGAGTAAATCTCGTCGCCAAAGACCTCAGATCAGTGCCCCAAAACCCATCTCGGGTCCTCTCCCGGCAAACACCAAAGCCCCCGATGCCAGTCCAACAACCATCCCCGCCTCCAAAGATCGAGCTCCCCAGAGCGGTGCCACCTCCGATTTAGTCAAGAGACGGTACTCAACCAGATTCAATGCCCCCGGCGAAACCGATGGCGCACCTCCAGTTCCTGCGCTTCCCCCTCCAATGCCCGGGGCTGGATATGGGGGCCTAACTGCAACGACCCCTGCCCAGCGACAACCATCACCCGCAGATGGAGCAGCGCCCTCAGCACCAAAGGTAGATTTGAATGCTTTACGTGATCCAAGTTTACCAGTCGAACGATGTACGTACCTCTGTCTCTAAATATCTGTTCCAGGCTAATACTGACACCTTTCTAGACGTGGCCAATCTCCTTGCAAATGCATCCGAGGAAGATATCCAGAAATACCAAGAAAGCCTTCGCAAAGTTAAGAATCGAACCTCAACCGACCTCCAACAGAATGTCTATCAGAATCGGACCCAATTCATCAAGATCAGTAAGGAAGCCGAGAAGCTCAAAGACGAGATGCGGACCCTCCGGACCCTCATGGCAGAGCTCACCAATGCGCTCGGACAAACAACTGTGGGAAACAGTCCCAATCCTATGTCACCCGTCGATGATCAATTCCCCAAGCGGAACGCAAATCGCAGCTCTGTCGCCAACCTGGAGAGCATGTGGAGTGTTCAGCTCCAGACACTATGGAAAACAGTGGAGGGATCCCAGAAGTTCCTTCCCGCAGTGCCGGGACGACACATTGTGCTGGAAACAGGCCACTGGGCTGAGCTGGACTCAGCCACGTGGAAACCTAAGCGTCCTGTCCACATTGTTTTGTTGAATGACCACTTGTTGGTGGCTGCGAAAAAGCGCAAGCGAGTTGACCCGAACCATCCTGCTCATCAAGGGCCTGTTCCCACCAAACTTGTCGCCGAAGAGTGCTGGCCGCTACAGGATATCGACATGATCGACCTGGCAGCTAATCTTGGAACGGGTGCGGCGCGAGAAGAGGCACTGGACCGGGGCATCGCTAATGCCATCAGCATCCGGGTGGGAAATAAGCCCTTTACATACCGTCAGGATAAGCGTGATACTTCTACCAAAAACGAACTTCTGGCCACTTTCCGCAAGACAGTGGAGGATCTGCGACGAACCCTGCGCTCTGAGACGGAAGCGGCAAGCAAGCCTCTAGGGGGATATGGATATCATGCTGGACGACATGTGTCACACTCCCAAAAGCCCGATCAGTTCGAGCTTTCAGATGGTCCTCGTGACAAGTCCGATCTGCGCATCGATGTGGATGGAAAGCAGCAGAATCTTCGTTGGGTAGAGGGGCAAGTAGACGAGCTGGATATCGACATTGCGCTCCAGCGCTTTGAAGCCGCTGTGTCTAGCATTGAACGACTACGGAAGCTGGCAAAGGGACTCAAGGGAAACTCTGTTGCCCAGGATGTGATCAATGTTAAAATCGATGGACGAGCCACACGACTTGCGGGTATTCTTTCGCGCGCATTGGTTGACACGCATTCATTCCCGTCTACGACCAAGACCAATGTTAGCTGGTTGAGTCGGCTAGGATTTGAGGATCAGGCTCGTGAGACTTATCTTAGAGCTCGATCGGATATTATTGCCAAACGCATCCGGTAAGTCATAAGAAATGATCTTCATTATATGAACGCTGTCTAATATTGTTCCTAGGGCATGTGTGTTTGAAGGTGACCTCCCTCTTTACATTTTCCAGATTTCCTACGTCTACTTCAGTCTCATTAAGAATACGGTCAGCATTTACCAGCAATGCTTCCCAAGTTCAACGTCCAGTTCCTCTATCCGCTGGGCCAAGCATCACTTGGACGGGTTCAACGCTTTGTTGAGCCGTCAACTTAGCAGCGTCCAACGGGGCACATCAGTCTGGGACAAGTGCCTGGATATTGTTCATGAACATGCAGCAAAATTGGACAGTGTAGGAGTCGATTTTACAGACTTGGTGGCACAAGGGCTGGAGGATCCCAGCGAGTTGGCTGGTCACCGAGCTATCCAGCCAGGTGAACTTGCAGCGCCGTCTACATTGGCGAATATGCAAGTAGAGTAGCATTTGAATCGGGTATGATTTTATGTAGATTTTATCAGCTAAATTAAGTCACCAGGACCTGAATCCTTTCCATGTTACAGTCTATCAATTTCCTACGTCTTATGTAGACAACTCAATGTTCAATTTGCAATACCAGTAACGTTCATATCTTCATTATAGTAAATCGGTTCAAATTGTCATCAAGTTTGAACACTTGAATGTCTCGTGTAGAATAAAATGCTTTCCACTGTAGCATCTGCTCAATAGCATTGAATGCACGGCGAAGCTAAAGGGCGCGAATACGCCCACTAGAACGCTCAGTCCCGACAAGGCGCATACACCTCGGACGACAATCATTCATGGGACTTGAAAACCATCGTTGAATACACCCATCACAATACCAGTGCTTGCAAGGCAAAACCGACACCCGCGCATCTGCTTTCAGCGGCTTTATACAAATCGAACAAAATGCCTTCTCATCCCGCCGAATCATACTCCCAACCATACGAGAAACCAACCCATAAGTCCTTTCTCTCACCAACTCCTGCCTTGATTTCTTCGTCACACCACTATTTACATATAATGTATATCCATTCTAATTGACTCGTCTCGCATCAGTCGGAAGATGAAATATATGTCCTGAACCATTTTTCAATTCTCCAAGACCGACACAATTCTTTCTACCATAGTAGACATCTTCTCGTTTACCAAGTAATTCTCGCATTTTCATGCGTCTGATACCATCTACGAAGACCTTTCCTCCGTGACGGGATAGATGAACCATGGCATCTTCTGTTGCTTCTCGTTCATTGCGGCCTCGTTTCATGCGGTAGGAACGATGTCGCTCGATTAGATTGTTCATAGTGGCTTGTTCCAGGAACTGTTTATTATTGGATTTTTTGGAGAAACGATCTTTCATTGCTCCTGGACTTCTCTTTCCCTTCCTCTTTCCTTTCTTTTTCTTTCTGTCCTTGATTGCCTGCTTTTGGGCTTTTAACCTCCTGAGAAGTTCAGACTTGGACTCGGACTTGGAGTTCATGCCAGTGGGGAATGTGATTGTTATCGATACTCGATGGTGCTTCAAGCTTGGAACTCGGATGAGATATATGCGTCAACTGGTCACTGTAGTGAAAGTTGGACTTGGTTATTCAGCACTTGAGGAGTCTGCAACGATGCATGTGGTCTTTATATTCCTGAGGATATCTGGAGTTAGAGTTATACGTCTTGCTTCTTTAATGGTGTTCAAGTTTCCAAGGCTCCATATAAGGCGCTTTGATGAATTTACTAATTCGGGAGTCAACAACATGAAAGACACCACATGCAGTTCAAGGTCTGACCCCATGAAAGAGAAAGCCATTCCTTAGACTTGAACCATAATCTGAATATACTATTAAAGAAACTATAATAATAAAAGAATAAAGTGAGGCTGAAACCAACACAGAGTATCCTCAAGTGCTCCGGATGAAGACGAAACTTCGAGTCGAACAATACTGATTATACTAGTCGTAAAACCCCCACTTTTCTCTTTGTGACGAGTTCTATTTTCAAATAAGTAAATCACAAAGAGGACAACTCTATGCCAAGTGGAACAAAGTCCTAAATTTGGAGGCAAAAAGTGGGAATTAGGCGCTGATCCACTCTGGCGCCTATTAAGTTGATGGCGATTCATGAACTCATCACAATCCCCCCAAATCAGCCACAATAAATGATTCTTCACAGATCAAGTGGACTCGTAACGAGGTCATTCAGACTCTATTCTCGTATCAGCCCCATTCGGTACCAAGGAATGTCTATAAGCCCCCTTGTTAGTAGTGAGTTTCAGGAAAGTGATAAGTGGAGGTGATTGATCTTGGAAGAAGGTTAGGGCGCGTAAAATCCTTCTAAAGGAGAAGAGTCGATCAATCCTTGAGAACCTAAGCGGCTAATAATGATGACTAACTTTTTCTTTAGGTAGAATCTCACTGAATCTGAATCAACACCCCCCCAGACTCCGTTATGGCCGATAATTGGCCCCAGGGGGATGCATGTAGTGGGCGGCTACATGAGGGCCACGCCAGTATATTAAGTCAGGGTGGCGCCCCGCACTCACCATCTCACCCACAACTCATCCCGTCATGACTTCCAGTCTAGAGAGATTCTTTACCTGTGATCTGGAGGATTGCGAGCTACCCAGTGTTCGGGGCTTTGGTCCCTGTGAGAGATGTAACCTCCACCACTGTCTATCTCACTCTCACCCTCCATCGCATACCTGCGACAACAAGGTAGATCACCACAACACACCAATCTTCCCATCTATACTCGTCAGGTGTACTTAGTACTAACATTCTCAGCCTCTTCCAGATGATGCCTTCGAAGCCAATGTACACACCGAGGTAAAGAACCTACGTGCCAAAATCAACGACGAAGCAGTATGCCAACGAGCCTCGGAGTTGAACGGCAACATGAAATGCGAAATAGAGCACCCACCTCCATGGGGGCGCGGAGCACTTATGGGTTGGGCGAACTATCATGCACGGATTCGCTTTGAGAGTGGCGTCGTATGGCTTATGCGCGTTCCACGAACGAACGGAAGTCTTCCACAGAAACTCATCGATTACCTTATTCGAAGCGAATATGCGACGCTGAAATTCCTGGAATCCACTCAAGTACCTGCACCGCGTGTCTTTGATTATGCGACTGCCGAGCAACCGGACAACAAGATCGGTGTCAGCTATATCTTCATGGAGGAAATGCCTGGTAAACCATGGAACCAGCAAGGATCGGCTGGAAAAGAAATTGCGGATAATGAAGATAAAGAGAAGATTTGGAGTGGACTTGCGGATATATTGATTGAATTGGAACGCTATCCGTTTTCCAAGGGAGGTTCTCTTCTTCCGGGATCTTCGGGTTCGTGTTTGGAGCCTGTCGTTGGGGCTCTTGCCAGTGAACGGTTCCTGGTACTTAGTCCTGATGGACCATATGATACGGCGAATGAGTATTATACTGCATTCATGGAGCAGAATATGGTTCTTATCGCCGATGGCCAACTTTTCACCAGTTTCCCTGTGAATGCCTACCTGATATTCTTATATCTGAAATCTCAGATCGACACTCTCACTGAAACTCAAACACCAGCCGAGGAACCAGAGACAACCGAGAAATTCTATATCAAGCATGTGGATGATAAGGGAGATCATATAATGGTGGATGATGAACTCAATATTGTCGGCATTATCGATTGGCAGATGGCCCGGGTGGTCCCTGCCAATGAAGCATTTGGACCATCATTGGTGACTGCCGAGATGAGTGATATATACGATGGCATATCGTCCTTGACTGTTCAAGACCAGGCGTTAGCTCGTCTATTGAGAGAGAAAGGCGCCGGTCATCTGGCGGATATCATGAGCAAGGATGAGAGATTGCGGAGGTTTTTCTTTGGCCTTGATGTTGATTTTCCTTGGGAGGATACACTTCTTTTGATCCGGGGGATTTGGACTGCGTTTGGGGTTGGGAGAGATATTGAGTGGAAGACTTGGAAAATAGAGATGTTGGAGCAACATGTTGAAGATGAACGGTTGAAGGAGATGATTGAGAAGTTTGGAGTAGGGCCGTGACGGCGAGTTTTGATTCTATTTCCAGGCGTTTTACTGCATGTGTTCAAGTTTAATGTTCTCTTGCCATTATCAATAAGGCCCCGGTGGCTATGCATAGATCCAATTAAAATCATGGTTTACTTGAAACTTGAACATTCAGATGTTAACTTGAAGTTGAAGTGGAAGTTATTTACTGGTGAAACCGGAGGCCGTCGGACAGGGGTTTGGGTCGGACCCTCGTGACTATATTGAAGTATCATGATTTTCTATAACTTTGAAAAGCCAACTATCAGACTTCAATCTGAACCTTGGAAGTTCCCAGATTTACTCAAAATACATGGAAGTTAATTCCAAACTTGCATCATTTCCTCGGCAAATTAAGTGGGCTTGTGGGTCAACAATATTTGCAGGGCTGTTTAGTGGCATGTCAGTGATTATCTTCAAAACTCCGATACTCTATAAAATTACATATAGAATCGACTTTCAAAGCAAATGAGAAACTGAACATTTTAATATAGCGAACACTAGTCAATTAGAATTTGCGAACTGCTATCCATGGATGTGAGGCTGAATTGGCTGTCGTCTGTATGGGGATAAGCTATTAGCCGAGTGGCGTGGCAGACACTCAACACATCAAGCACATCAACATGGCAGAAAACTTTTTTACACCATATTAAAAGAATATTTGAAGAGAAAAGAATTAACAGAGAGAGAGCAGAAAATTGAAATTGGTATAAAGCTGTTGAGAGAACAAATGAAAAGAAAAAAAGACCCAAATCCAATCCAATCCAAAACCCAAAACAAACCCGCACAGAACCAAAAACAGAATCGCCAACCAAAAAACAGACCGAACGCAACGCACGCCAAACACATAACACACATAACACATAACACACATAAAAAACAAATAATTGACATCACATAATATACATATACATAGCACGGGGGTCATCATATTCATGAAAACGGAGATTCGTCTAAATCTATACAGCTCTTCTAACGTAGCTGCACCTACGTAGCAAAGATATCCGGAACAAGACTTTTGAAAAACAAAACAAATAAGAAAAACATGTCATGCGTGAGAGAAAAATCGACGGCGCTTTTTGCTTGCACATTATAAAGGCAACCCATTAATTTATGGTGCCAAAACCAGGGCCAAGAGGGCCATGCGGCAGTACAGACCATAGCGCATCTAAAAGAGAAGAGGTTAGTATTAGGATCAAACCATACAAAAGGGAAATTAAGTAGTCAACATACCTGGCGGAAGTAAGCAGCACGCTGGTCAAAGTCAACCTCCTCGCTGACCTCGGCGTTGCGAGGCAGAGGGTGCATCACAACCATGTGGCTCTTAGCATGCTTCAGAAGAGCGTTGTCAATGACGAAGCTGTTCTTAAGACGCTCGTACTGGGCGAGGTCGGAGAAGCGCTCCTTCTGGACACGAGTAGAGTACAGAACGTCGGAGCGAGCAACGATCTCAGGAGTCAGCTCCTCAGTCTCGAGGAGCAGCTGGCCAGAGGCAACAAGCTGCTGGCGGACATCCTCGGGCAGAGCCAGCTCCTTGGGGGGAGACAAGTTGGACCTGGACATCGTAGAACTGGAGCAACTTGATCAGGGAGTGGACAGTGCGGCCGTAGCGGAGATCACCAGTGAAGGTGATGGTCAGACCGGCAACGGTGCCAAGCTCCTCACGGATGGTGAAGAGGTCCAGGAAGGCCTGGGTAGGGTGCTCAATGGAGCCGTTTCCACCGTTGATGATGGGGACGGGAGAGAACTTGGCGGCAATCTCGGTGCTGTTAGGGCTGGGGTGGCGCAGGACCACGGCATCACCGTAGCAGGCAAGAGTGCGGACGGTGTCCTGGAGACTCTCACCCTTCTGGGTAGAGGAGTGCTCGGTGGAGATGGGGATGACACGACCACCCAGGCGCTGCATAGCGGCATCGAAGGAGGCCGAGGTGCGAGTGGAAGGCTCGTAGAACAAAGTAGCCAGAACGCGGCCCTTGAGGACGTCAAGGACACCGTGACGCTGAACACCGAGACGCATCTCCTGAGCAACAGTGAAGAGCAGGTGAAGGTCGGCGCGAGTGAACTGGTTCACGGAGAGGACGTGCTTGCCACGGAAGGGAGAGCGGGAAAGCATTTCCTGCAGCGAGGAGGAGATCTGGGAGGAGGGGTACAGAGGAGGTCCAAGCTCACCAACGGCAGGGACGGTGGACTCCAGAGTGCGGAGGCGACGGCCAGGGGTGCCAGCAACAGAGGTGTGGCGGTCCAGGGAGCTCTCGGGTCGAACCATGGGAGTAGTGGGCTTCTGGATTGGGGAAGTGGGCACGATGCGGTGAGCAGACATGTCAACACCCTTGATAGCATCAGAGCTGATCTCGCCGTCAAGGCAAGAGGTCTTGCCCTGGAAGACAACACGCTGGACAGAGCCGCGCATCATCTTGCCGTTGAAGGGAGACCAAGACTTGGCGTTCTGGAAAACATAAGGACGGTCAACCTCGATCTCCAAGGAGGCATCGGCCTGGTCGTGGAGCTCGAAGATGGCCTTGGGGTTTTCGTAGAGACGAGCGGTCACGTCCTCGACGGTGAGGCGACCATCAGCAACAGCAGTGAAGAGCAGAGGGAGGGCCTCAGCAATACCAGCCTCAGGAGAAGCCTCCTTACCAGCGAGCTGGAAGGGGATGCTGCCAATGGAGAAGACATCGATGGTGCTCATGTGGTCCCACAGAGCCTTCTGGTCCTCAGCAGAGGGCAGAGCGCTGCAATCCGGGTAGTCGGCCTGGGAAAGGAACAGGCAGTAGATGGACACATCGCAAGTAACCTTCAGACCCTTCTCCTTGCTCAGAGCAATGAGCTTGATGTCCTCCTTGGAGGTCACGCTCATGACGTGAATGTTGCGGCTGTGCAGACTCGCCAGGAGCAAGATGGAGGCAAGGTCAGTTCCCTTAGCATCAGTGATGATGGGCTTGCTGGAAGGCCAAGAGGAGAAGTGATTGGTCACGGTGGCCACCTTGTTGATGTTACCAGAAAGGTGGTTGAAGGGGATGAAAAGAGAGCCCACTTCACCGGTGATCTGAGTGATCTGGTCAGCGTTGGTAGCAGTGGCTGCGACTGAGACGTTGAAATCACAGAAAGACTTGTCCTGAGCATTCTGCTGAACAATCTTCAGATCGCTGGCCTGAGTGACGGAGCTGTTGGTACCGACAGGCATGACACGGACCATGGTGAAACCAGCGGCGATGGAAGCCTTGGTGACAGCCTCAAAGTCCTGAGAGCCGGGGGTGGCAAGTCCGGGAACAAAGGCAGCGATGTTGACAAGACCGGGCAAAACCACAGTGCGGTGGCTAGTCTGGAAGTCAGAGGTCTGGATGTTCAGAGGGTAGTGGCGAGCAATGGCTTCAATAAGGATCTTGGCATTCTTGACGTTGGTGACAAGAGGGGTCTGGTAGTCAACAGCCATACGACGAGTGCGGTAACCCTTGGACATGTAGTTGGCAGGGCGACGGAAGCGGTTGTTGGATGGCAAGTTGATGTACAGATCGATGAGGTTGTTGGACAAGTGCTGAGTCAAAGAGTACTCAGACTTGATGTCAGACTCGTCTTCGCCAGACAAGAGCTCAAGGTACTTGACGGGGACACCATTCTCCTTCAGGAAGTCCGCAGTACCAGAGGTAGCGAACAGGTTGTAGTCAAGCTGGTGGAGCTTCTGGATGGAAGGCAGCATCTCCATCTTCTCCTTGTAGGAACCAATAGAGAACAGGATGTTGCGCTTGGGGAGCTTGAAGCCAGTGGAGAGCAGAGCCTTCAGGTAGGCCTCGTACTTGTCACGACCGAAAGAGGCAACCTCACCAGTGGAGGCCATCTCGACACCGAGAACGGGGTCAGCACCAGAGAGACGGGAGAAGGAGAACTGAGGAACCTTGACACCAACGTAGTCCTTGGGAACGTTGACAGGGGGGGTACTCAGTGAACGGAAGGCCGAGCATGGCCTTGGTAGCCATCTCGATCAGGTCAACACCCATGACCTTGGACACGAAGGGGAACGAACGCGAAGCACGAACGTTGCACTCAATGACCTTGATGTCGTTGTCCTTGGCAATGAACTGAATGTTGTAAGGACCAGTGACGTTCAGGGCGTTACCAATCTTGCGAGTAGCCTCCTCGATGCGGCGAATAGTCTCAGGGTCCAGATCCTGGGGAGGCAGGATCAAAGTGGCATCACCGGAGTGGACACCGGCGTTCTCGACGTGCTCAGAGATGAAGTGACCAACCATCACACCGTTACGGGCGACAGCATCCATCTCAATTTCCTTGGCGTTCTCAATGTACTTGGTAATGACAACGGGGTGCTCGCGAGACACATCAGCAGCCTGGTTGAGGTAGTTGGCCAGATCGTGCTCAGAGTAGACAGTGTTCATGGCAGCACCGGAAAGCACGTAGGAGGGACGAACCAGCACAGGGTAGCTGACCTTGTTGCAGAACTCGCGGGCCTCGTCGATGCTGGTGAGCTCCTTCCAAGCAGGTTGGTCGACACCAATGCGGTCCAACATGCGAGAGAACTTGTAACGGTTCTCAGCACCGTCAATCATCTCAGGGGAGGTACCGAGGATGTTGACGTTCAGGCGGTGCAGGGGCAGGGCAATGTTGTTGGGGGTCTGACCACCCATGGACATAATGACACCACTGGAAGTCTCCAGCTGGTAGATGTCAAGAACAGTCTCGAGGTTGATGTTCTCAAAGTAGAGACGATCGGCCTCGTCGTAGTCGGTACTGACAGTCTCAGGGTTGTAGTTAACCATGATAGTCTTGTGGCCCTGCTCACGCAGAGTGCGGATAGTGCGTACAGAGCACCAATCGAACTCAACAGAGGAACCAATACGGTAGACACCAGATCCAAGAACCATGATACCGTGATCATCGAACTTAAGGTCGTGCTCGGAGGCATTGTAGGTGAGGTAAAGGTAGTTGGTGACCGCAGGGAACTCAGCAGCGACAGTATCAATCTGCTTCACGATAGGGGTGATACCAGCCTCGACACGCTTACGACGGATAGCCAGTTCGTTGGAGCTCAGGAACTTAGCGAGCTGGCTATCAGAGAAACCAAGCTGCTTAGCCTGGCGGATCATAGGCATGGGGACATCGTTGGCATTGAAAGCAGAGATAGATTTGCCGAAGTCGCTGAGGCCCTTAAGGCGAGTCAGGAACCACTTATCAATGCTGGTGAGCTTCCAGATATCATCAACAGAGTAGCCAGTAGCCATAGCGTTAGCAATGGCAAACAGACGCTGGTCAGAGGGAGTCTGGAGCTCGCCCTTGATGGACATCAGGGCGCTGGTCTCATTGAAACCCAGGTTGTGGAAATCGACGGAACGGATGGCCTTCTGGATAGCTTCTTCGAAAGTGCGACCAATGCTCATAACTTCACCAACACTCTTCATGGAGGAGCCCAGCTGAGTAGAGACACGAGTGAACTTCTTCAGATCCCAACGGGGAATCTTGACAACACAGTAGTCAAGAGAAGGCTCGAAACAGGCGCAAGTAGACTTGGTAACAGAGTTCTTAATCTCGTTCAGGGGAATACCCAGACCCAGCTTGGCAGCAATGAACGCCAGAGGATAACCAGTAGCCTTGGAGGCAAGAGCAGAGGATCGAGACAGACGGGCATTGACCTCGATAATGCAGTACTGCTTGGAGAAGGGGTTAAGAGCATACTGAATGTTACATTCACCAACAACACCGAGGTGGCGAATGACATTGACGGCAGTAGTACGCAGCATGTTGTAGTCCTCATCAGAGAGGGTCTGAGAAGGAGCGACGACAATAGAGTCACCAGTGTGGATACCGAGGGGATCGAAGTTCTCCATGTTGCAGACAGTGATACAGTTGTCCTGAGCATCACGAACAACCTCGTACTCGATTTCCTTCCAACCCTTCATACTGCGCTCGATCAGCACCTGGGGGCTGACGGCCAGGGCCTTAGTGCAAAGCTCCTTCAGTTCATCCATGTTCTCGGCGAAACCACTACCAAGACCACCCAGGGCGTAAGCAGCACGGACAATGACAGGGAAACCAATACCCTCAACGACCCGCATCGATTCCTCGATGGTGGAGGCAGAGGCAGACTTGGCACACTTCTCGTTGATGGAGTCCATGCTGCGAGCGAACAGCTCACGATCCTCAGTGGTGATAATGGTGTCAATGGGAGTACCCAGAACCTTGACACCAAGACCCTCGAACTCATCCTTGAGCTGAATACCGACCTGAAGGGCGGTCTGACCACCGAAGGTGACATAGATGGCATCGGGACGCTCGTGCTTGATGACCTTGCGGACGAAGTCGGCGTTGACAGGCAGGAAGTAAACCTTGTCAGCCAGACCCTTGGAGGTCTGAATGGTGGCAATATTGGGGTTGATCAGGATGGTGTAGATACCCTCCTCCTTCAAAGCCTTGATAGCCTGACTACCAGAGTAGTCGAACTCACCAGCCTGACCGATACTCAGACCACCACTACCCAGGACCAAGACCTTCTTGACAGAGACACGGGGAGCAGCCTTGCGGTTGTCCTCGATAAGACCGCCAGGGAAGTGGACGGGCTTGGCAAGAGCGTCGGCGGACGCAATGGTGTTCTGGATGGTGTTGATGAAGACATCGAACAGGTACTCGGTGTCGCGAGGACCGGGAGTGCTCTCAGGGTGGAACTGGACACTGAAGAAAGGACGAGTGGTGTGACGGATACCCTCGTTACTGCCATCGTTGGCGTTAACGAACAGCTCCTCCCAGCCATCCTGAAGACTGGAGGCATCGACGGCGTAACCGTGGTTCTGAGAAGTGATGTGGCACTTTCCGGAGATCATGCTTGTGCAGGGAATGTTGTGACCACGGTTTCCGAACTTCATCTTGCTGGTGGTAGCACCGACGGAGCGGGCAATCAGCTGGTGACCCAAGCAAATACCGAAAACGGGTGTGCGGCACTCCTTGAACATCTTGGAGAGGTTGTTGACGGTAGTGGTCAGGGTCGCAGGGTCACCAGGACCGTTGGAGACAAACAGACCGTCGTAGTCTTTGCCAGCAAGAGCAGGGAAGTCATAGTCCCAAGGAACGACCATGACCTCAACACCACGGGAAAGCAAGCAGCGCAGCTGGTTGAACTTCATACCGACATCCAAGCAGAGCACGCGAACATTGCGACCCGAGGGGTGCTTGAGAGCAACATCAGCGGGGGGAGTGTAGAGACGGGGCTCACGGATAGAGACTATCAAGATGGGTTAGATATATGTGATGATTTGTAATGCCTTGGTATGACGGGGGAACTCACCCTCAGCAACGAGGTTCTTTGTGTTAGGGTCAACCCATTCGATCTCCTCGAAGTGAGGCTTCCAGTTGGCGTCGGTAGCCGCGGTCAAAGCGGTAGCATCGCCGGCCTTTTGGAGCAGCAAACGGCCCAACATACTACCCTTCTCACGGATGCGCTTGGTCAGCGCACGGGTATCGACACCGTGAATAGCAGGAACACCCTGCTCCTTCAGCCATGTACCCAGAGAGGACTTAGCCAAGAAGTGGGAGTAATCCTCGCCAGCATAGGTTGCCACCACCAATGCAGCGACGTGGATCTCATTCGACTCGAAGTACTTAGGGAGACCCAGAAGCACTTCATCCATCTCCTCCCGGGAAGGGAACGCCGTAGTTACCGACAAGTGGGAAAGTCACAACCAGGATCTGGCCGCGGTATGAGGGGTCGGTAATGGACTCGGGGTAACCGACCATACCGGTCTGGAAGACCAATTCACCAGACACACTCTTCTCGGCACCAAAGTTGTAACCCTGGTAGACGGTACCATCCTCCAGCTCGAGGGCCATGGCCCGGTCACTGCCACCCCGGATGGGGATGGAGGCCGGAGGGATCACAGCGCCGTTCGTAGCAGCCATTGTCAACAATTCTATTTTCCAATCCTTGTTTGGTCTGATAAGGTACTATTCCGCCCGACTGTAGACTCGGTAAGACCGATTCTTTTTGTAGAGAATAGGATTCGGGGAGCGGAATTGGAGGAGGGAGAAAAAGTGAGGGGACAAGTCCTCTCGAGGACGAATCTGAGCTAGTTCAGGTCACTCTAGCACAGCATTCGCCAGTAAGAAACTTTTTGACTCGGAGGACTCTTTTATGAGGGGTCCCGAAGAGGGTTTTTTTGGCAGGTAGAGGGGAAGAATTAAGCAACAGCTTCGATGAGCCGAGATATGAAAAAGAGAAGAAAATCGAGGGTTTGTGGCAGAAAATTTTCAGCGTCGACTAGACCCACCGGTTCCGGTGGTTGGTGGACACACACCGCCCACAGAGTTTTCTTCTTCAAGCTTCGAGTGGATCTTCCAAGTTCCGTCATCGCTTCAACAAAAAAAAAAGAGAGAAAAAAAAATAATTGTGGGAACGAGTTCATTTACTTGGAATTGATAATGAAGTCGAAATTTATGTTCACTTAATTTATCATGTGGATCTATAATCAAAGTGTGAGGTCTAACATTCTTATATTCTAATATTACCTGGACCCCTCTCCCCATATATGCAAGTGGCTTGCAGGCGGTCAACGATAAGGACGATAAAGCAAATGACTAGACTAGTTAGGCGATAGGTCACACTGCAGCCCTAAAGTATCACTACAGTATACTACTAGTCCTAGGTAGTGGACACTAGTACTAGTACTACTAGTAATTTCTAGTCCTTATGACCTGTCAAACTACTGGCATATGTACTCATCACCTTGGAAGGCAAAGTATCAAGTTTCTATTCAAACTTTTTTGCTTTATCCAAGGGAAGACCTCAGCTCCTCCCTGACTTCTCTCAATCATTCCCATGCCTTCATCCGAGTCCTAGTACAAACCTTGGAAATGTACAGCGCTGTTACATAATCATTCAAACCACCCTATTGTGGGTACTCATTTGTCGAGAATAGGTCAATCCAGTTTTCGATTGCTTCGCTGCGAAAGTTGTCCTTTTCAACTCGGCAACGCTCAGTAGCGTTAACATCGAACACGAGGGCTTTAGGATCCTTTACTGAGTATTTTGGCCAAGAAACGGTACCATTCACTACCCGAAAATCACAGTGGATTAGCGAAGCGCAAAGCTGTGGCTGTGTTGATCATGAGTCTCTTACTTGGAACGTTATTGGGATCTTGCGTGTTGATGAAACTGATCAGCATGCTTGTCAATAGGTAACTCAACGGCTCGAAGGTCTTTTTCTGATCGGCCTGATCAGTAGGGCTGAGTGACTCTGATAGCGTGACGTTGTGGAAGAAGAACGCAATATCATCCTGTTCCTGCGCGCCATATTGCCACCACTTAGCGTGAAAGAGCACATCGTACACGTATGTATGTACACTGACATTGTGCTTTGCCCACTGGAGGACTATATGTTAGCAATTCTGTCTCCAGATCTGTGTGTATTAAGGACATTATTTGGGCACCGGACTTTCGTGTCAGAGAATGATGTTGAGAACACTTACAGACTGACTGGCCAATCGCCTAGCGGCTTGCATTATCTTATCTCCATTTTAAGCGCTCACACGCTCCCATTGATATCCCAGCCCTGTCTCATTTCCTGGACGACCGATCAAAGTTGAGGGAATACCCTGGGCCGGATCATCGGGGTAAAACTGAGCAATCTTCTTGGCTGCTGATTCGCTCAGACCGTCATAAAGCACCATATCCAGGAACTCGGATGTCGTGTTAATGTTCTCAACACCATAGTAGCTCCATGCCCCTTCATCTTGGGTTGTTCCCATCATTAGTGGGACCTTCACAAAGTTTCCAGCCTCAAGAGCCTTTGAGCCAAGTTCCCGTATGAAATCACCATCCACAAATGGATTCACGCGCTCTAATGTCGTGATGTCACTATCGGACACATCGGAAAGAGAACTGGCGTCAAAGTTGCGAAGACAATTCAATGTATCGCTAGAGCCAGTGCAGTTTGTCGCATTTACAAACTTGTTGTAAAGAGGCTGCCACTCCTTGGCTGTAATAGAGGGCCACATAAGAGTTGGACTGCCACTTTGGGCCACAGCACCTCTGAAAAGACCATCATCGCGACCACCATACGCAAGAAGCTGGAGACCGACACTATAAGCACCTGCCTCTTGACCCCAGATGGTGAATTTTTCAGGATCCCCACCAAACGCCTTGATGTTTCCTGAAATCCATCGAAGAGCAAGACGTTGATCCTTCAGGCCAAGATTAGCAACTCCCTCCTCAGCCACTTCTTGGCCATAAAGGAAGCCCCAATAGCTCAAGCGATAGTTCAACGTGACCCCGGTAAACTGCTGATTGTTCTGGACAGCAACCTGAAGCAAAGAGGTCATGTCATATCTGGGGTCACGACCTGAGCCCTGCTTAAAGAGACCGCCATGGATGTACAGGACGATTGGAAGCAGTTTCGAAGCGGATGTTCCGTTGTTCGAGCGGAAAATGTTGAGTGTCAGGCAATCTTCTGATACGTATTCGCCAAGAACTTGTTGCGTAGGTCCCTACCCATACCACATGTAACCCATCTCTGTCGCGTTTCTTTCTCCACTCCATGATGTGTTGAGTGATTGTGGATCGCGGAAGCGTAGATCACCTACAGGAGGCTGTGCATATGGGATTCTTTGGAAATAATCCTGATCCCACTTCGACGCGTGAGCTATGAATATCAATTAGCCACTCAATCAAAGATGGTTGTCAACATGTGCACCGGGTTAAGGAGGAAATAACGAGCATAAAATGACAGACATACTCCCATAGTAAGTGCCGTTCTTCGTTTTGGCCGTTGGGACACTATTTTCGCCGAGGACAGAGCTTGCACAGGCCAATAGGCCAATAGCAAGCGCATGGAGAGAAGGCATTTTCGAAATGTCGAGAGATACTCTAAATTCGAAATAACCTCAAGTGCTCTCAGGGATCTATCTGTTAAGCGGATCCTACTACCACAGAGACGAGCTTTCGTGGATACTTTATACTCCTTGCTACTATTAACCTTGGAACACTATCAACACAGGATCTTCACAAATCCTAACCCTCCTCATCTACTGCCGACTCCAATAGCCTTGATGCAACGCACAGACTATGTTTAATTTAGTGAAGTGAGAAATGCCGAAGCCTCTGCGGGGATCTATGGCGATATTACCCTTTTCAGCATCTTCCGCACGGCATTTGTTCTCTAGTGCCCCACATCTCCGGCTTTGGGGCCGCGTGTTGACAGTGGCTTGAACCCCCGCAAAACTATCTTGATAGAGATCACGAAACCTGTTGTGGTTTAAGCGAGGACAAAATTATCATTGTCGTTGCTTTGAAGAGAGCGCCTGAATCAAAATCTCGGGATCTCGAGTCCATATCACATACCGATAGCAGGAATTCTCATGGACTTACTACATGTCATATGGGGCAACAGAAGACCGAATTCTACTAGTAATACCGGCCTGAGTGAGTCTTCAAGATTTCACAGAGAGGAAGTCAAAATTGATTGATCAAACTTTGCTGCATCATCTTGCAAGTTCACAACTTGAATGTCTATGTTTATGTGTTAGATATGCTAAACATAGATATGGACGAGTCTTCCAATGCTGCATCACGTTTAGCCAGGGTTGCGTAAAGACTGCAATGCCTAGAGAGAACTTCCTTGTACCTGATGCAAGACAGATCTTTTTCATCCCTACTAATCTGGCTTCGATGATTACCAGACCCACAACTATGCATACTTTGCTTGATTAATCCGAGATGCCACGTCCTCCTGTGCTTGGCAGTCAATTTTGGAGATCAACTCCGTGGGATAACTAGCTAGACCTGTTGGCTCAAACCTTCTCTCCGGCAGTTGAACTACCAGTAAAAGCTTGACATGTCATGTTTGATCCCATCATGAGATGAAAAGCTCGGGATTCGTTGTCGGCAGTCAATATCTTGTTGCCTTCAACTATTGCAAATTGCAAATTTTAAGCTTTTAGAATTCTGACTATTATTTCCAATTCCAAGAACAGATGACCATGGAATAGCTGCTAGAATTTCTCGAGGCATTTGGTGATGTGTATTTCTATGCAGAGATGTCCTGCTGTTATGATTTTTCTTATTTTTATCCAACTTGAAGGCTATTTCAATAGTATGAGCCTCTATCCTGCAATACTCAGTTCAAACACTACCCTTTGTTCATCATGCCGTGGTCTTATATAAAAGGTATACTTGTTGGACTAGCCGCTGTCTCTTTGACCGGAGCATCTCCTGTGCTTGAGTCCTCCTCCAAGCATGTCCGTGCTCTGAAGGGCGATGAAGTTGCTGTAAAAAACACCTGTGATAAACTCAACTATCGCAAATCGGTATGTAAACTAACTAGTACACCACTTCTATATGCCTTGATTTCTCCAAGACCAAAGCTAACTCAATGCCTACAATCAAGTGGAATGCCTTGACAGACAAGGAGAAATATGAGTTTATTAAAGCTGAGCTATGTCTCATGAGCCACCCACCCGTAACAGGTTTAGTGGAAAATGCCACCAATGTTTGGGATGAAATCGCCCACATTCATATCGACCAGGGCAATGATATCCGTATGTCCCTCGTATTCATTCCAGACTTCCTTTGAACAGTGAAATAAACTAATGTGATGCATTTCCCAGACTACGTTGGACAGTTTCTCCCTTGGCACCGGTACTATGTCAGGATGCACGAGTTGGCCCTTCAGAACCTTTGCAATTACAAGGGGGCTCACCCATACTGGGATGAGCTCACGGACTACACCTACGGTAATGTGAGAGACTCGCCTATCTTTGACCCACATACTGGATTTGGAGGAAATGGTACCGGTCGCGACTCCTGTGTTAGCGACGGACCCCTCAAAAATATCAAACTCCATATGAGCAATCACCATGACAGAGGGGACAGCTTCTGCCTTTCCCGTGATTTTGATCAGAGCAGTTTTGCGTATGGGATGACCTCAAATATTGAGGAGTGCTTTGGCTACGCGAACTATACAGACGCTTGGTAAATAGCTCTCCAGAGACTTCATTTTTTCCTTCCACCTTTACTGATATACTATCCGATTGAATTTAGGCAATGCTACAACGGATATCCCCACGGACAAGGCCACGGCGCAGTTGGAGGGTTGATGAAAGATCCAATCGACAGTTGCAACGATCCACTATTCTTCATGCATACCTGGATAAACTGTGGTGGGAGTGGCAAATGACTGATTACCCTCATCGATTCTTTGATATGGGCGGCAACAACACTGCGCCTAATTCAATCCTTGCTATGGCTAGCCTTTCGCAGCCAGGTCCTGATATTCTCGACTATGATGGAGATAGCGGCACAACAACTACTCTCCATCATAACTTGTGGATGAATTCCATGTTTGCTAATACTACAGTTGGCGAAATCATGCAATTGAACGGGTCTGCTATTTGTGCGGAATATGTCATCGCCAAACATGCTGTCATCTATAACACGAGTGTGGATACATATGGAAACTATGTATCGCTGTTCTAGAACTTGATCTGGATATGTGCACCTGGCATAGCAGAAGGTCTGAAGGTACATTCCAAGGTTCTATGGATTCTGGTGTTGATTTTCAAACAGTTCTACCCTGGGTGTCAGCGATAAATCTGAGCAGACGAAGTTCTAATAACATTTGAAAAATGCGCCACGGGGTGGGAAGATGCGTTGATTGGATGCTCAACGACCGTGCTTTGGTACACAGCCCAGTGCGTTTCTGTATGTGCTATGATCTACTGCTTGATTATCTTAATGGCAACCTTATAATGCGCGACCTCGGGAGAACCGCCCCTAGTCCGGCCTATATGTTACCTACAACCTTGCGAAATCGACCCGATGACTTTTTGTTTCTATATAAGCAGTTAGTTCTGCCTCTCTCCATATGATCTCACTAGTTTTATCATCATCTATTTAAATCCTTGTGTAATCACCTGCACAAGTGTGACTAAGATAAGCCTTGCTAAACCTTGATAAGTCAAATGCAATGTTCCGCACCAATAAGCTGAATAGTAGACAACTAGGATCTTTGCACCTGACCACTGATAAAATTCTAAATGAAAACTTGAAAAAAGGCGCATTTTAGTTGATCTAAGATGAAGCGGTGGAGATTTATGGAGAGTACTTTGGAGAAGATGCAATGACGTTGTTAGTGTACTGTGTGCCCTCTAATCTAGGAAGGATCAGCCGAAAGCTCGGGGCATCTTGCTGGTCCCGATTAATCGCGCTCATAGCTTGAAATCCTAGTGATAAGTAACTTAAAAAAAGATTTCTCTTTAGTGGGAATTCGAGGGGGGGAATTCTATTTGAAAATTCTGTCTTGTCTTTTTCTCATCCTACATTCTTACTGTGAACTATCGTTTACTATGATCTAAACACATCCTCTCAGTGCCTCGACCATGCAGATTCCTCGGACCACGTGAAAACAGCAATCTTTCAATATGTTAGCCTCCTTACTCCGACCAAGAGGAAAGCGCACTCAAATTGATCAGTCGGTCTTTTCGTCTCCCTTCACAGCCGACAATTCACCATGGTTCGGTGGGGTTGCGCGACGCGCTTTGCGGGACACGCGTGGAGCCGACTCCAGTGAGGATGAGCCAGAACTCGAGGATATCGATGAGCATATGGATGAACACTGGGAGGAACATGGCGACGAGAGAGAAGACCATGAAGATGATCCGGTCGAGTCTACCCCACTTCTCCCCATATTCTCGTCGTCGCATTTAGGTACTTATCAGTCTTCCCCTGTCCTGCAGATGTCCGTCCATGTGGCTAATTGTTGTCTCACTTATAGATGCTCTCCCCGTCTACGATATCACACATGCCATTCGTCCCCTGATTGTCGCACGATGCGAAACTACATTGACCTGGGATCAGCTTCGCTCTCCCCAGGTTTCGCAATTCCTGGTCAAGCCCATCCAACAACAGATCATGGCTGATCATTTCTCACGCGCTACACTCTATGCGCTAATGGCGAATTGTTTACAATTTGAGAAAGAGATACATCTGAATCCGGGCAATAGTGGCGCAAGTCAGACTCGTGCAATGGTGAGCGAATTGCTTGCGATTAAGCTATTGCGAGAATATTCCACCCGCGAGTTGATTGATGCGCTGTCATACGAGTTCTACCCACTCCAAGGCCAAGATCAATCCGAAAGATGGACAGGCCCCCAGGGAAAACGCACAACCGGCACGGCCCGAATCTCTTGTCTGGAAGTAGCTATTCGCGCACAGGCTAAGCGTTTCCTCGCGCATCCCGTTGTGGTTCAACAATTGGAAGCTATCTGGGCGGGCACAGTCGTCTTCCATTCAGCCGCCGATAATCTACATCGCCCGGTGAATCGCTCAGCAGCTCAAGTCTATGATTATGGAAGTTCGTTTGACCAACATGGGCACTCTATCCCTCCTCCACGCAGTCCTACGTTTCGGCGTTCGGTTACCCTGTACAATCCTCGAGATGCCTCTCTGTTTAAACTCTCGCGATTACGTGTGCCTCGATATCGCCAATTCCTTTCAACTCTCTCCTTTGCAGTCCTGCTGGGGCTCTTCTTGGCTGTCCTTGAACGACGTAGCCTTCGAATCACATCATTGGAAATTGTGTTTTGGTTTTGGAGTGCAGGATTCATGCTCGACGAAATTGTTGGATTCAATGAGCAAGGGTTCAGTTTGTATCTAATGAGTTTCTGGAACATTTTCGATTTGGGAATTCTGCTGCTTTTGTTCTGTTACTATTGCTTGCGGGTCTATGGTGCATTTTTGACCTACCCGCGAAGCAATCAGATGGCAGAAAAAGCATATGATGTCCTCGCAGCTAATGCTGTTCTCCTTTTCCCACGCCTATTCTCCGTCCTCGACCATTATCGATACTTCTCTCAGCTACTGGTGGCATTCCGAATCATGGCATCGGATCTGATCGCTGTATTTTTACTGATCGTTATTGCATGCAGCGGCTTTTTTGTCGCCTTCTTGTCTTTTGGAAATGATGACTCCCCAAGGACAGTTGCATATGGGTTGTTCCAAATGGTCATGGGCTTCACACCTACTGCGTGGGCGATGTGGGATGAATACAATCTTCTTGGAAGGACAATTCTAACGGTCTTCCTGTTTATCTGTCATTTTGTGATCGTCACCATCCTCGTGTCTGTGCTATCAAACAGCTTCATGAGAATTGTCAATAATGCAAACTCCGAGCACCAATTTCTCTTTGCTGTGAACACAATCTCGATGGTGAAATCGGATGCATTGTTTAGCTACGTGGCCCCAACGAATGTGATAGCTTGGCTCGTCACCCCTTTCCGATACCTGATGCCTTTTCGTCAGTACATTAAGCTCAATCGAACCATCATCAAAGTGACTCACTTGCCGATCTTGTTTACCATCTGCCTCTACGAGAAGACTATCCTCAGTGCTAGTGTAGTGGAACCGGTCGATCTCGTGGAAGCAAACACACGTCCGCGCACATCAACCCAACAACCTTTGAGCCGGTTCAGAGCGTTCAGTAACAGAGTTCCACGTCTGGTGCGCGAGCCCTCCATTGCAACTTATCAGAAAGACCAAGCTCTTGAAGAGGTTTTCCGTCAGCATGTCAGCGACGAACGGTTGCGAGACAGACCAAGCAGCATTCGCAAACGCCAAACCAACAATGTTATCAAAGATTGGATGCAAGAGATTGGCTCTGGTCCAGCTCATACACCGGAAGAGGAAGACTCCGCAGTCGTCGATAGTCTTGAGCGACCATTACGACGACCGCACTTTCCCTTACGAAAGAAATTGGCTGGTCGTGGACGCGACTTCACTGAAACTACACGCTCACTTGCTGCATCTAACCCGGAGGAACCCGTCAGTCATATCGAAATTTCAGCATTTTACCCCCGTCGAAGGGACTCGATCTCTCCAAGGACTCGTCAACTCTCTCAGCATACGGATATGGAGGGAGATGACGAGCATGATAGTGATGATGTTTCACACGAGGAGCAAACAGACAAGGGGTCCATCAGTGGCCCTAATCTCGGTGACAGTAGCGAGAAGACCACACCCAAATTTTACAGCTCGCGACCATCTACAGCCAGGATGGTATCCCGACGCGGAAGTCCAGTGCGCCGGCCTAGACACACTCGTAATATGTCAGGTGCCACTATGCTCTATAACCCTCTCGGTTCGCCAAATGAAGAAACCGAAGGGCGGACAACTCCTCCGCTGCCAAATCGCGACACCTCTGATCAAGACTCCTCCTCCGATAATGACGATGATAACGAGAAGCGCCCAGAATTTTCGGCTTCTATCGAGCGTGGTACAGTGAAACGACATATGCTTGATTCTTCCCTGGCACGGAACATGTCCGTTGGCCTGACCCAGATGTCTGTTCCCGAGATCGAGGCACTTTACTTATCCGACCGCCCAACAAGTCGACGACCCCAACGCTCTTTACTATTTGATCTGGGTTCCGATCTAGGCGACAACAGGGCAGTCGCCGGTGGATTCACGGGAGTGGTTCCATCCAGCTTCAATACCCAAATGGCGTTTGCCACCGGAAACCTCCACCGAGATACACCAAACCAAACCCAGGACATGCTCAGCAAGTTAGTTCTAGCTCGCATGAATAACATCGAAGAAGGATTCCGCGAGGTCATCAAAGAAGTGAAAGACCTTCGACGCAGTGGATCTAGTCGTAGTCGCAGTCGTCCAGACGAGCTTCGTGGCGCTACACGGGAGAAGAAGAAGCGGTCCGAGAAGAAAGAAACGAAGAAACGCAGACCCGACTCTGCAGAAAGTCGAACAGGTCGTGATGGAAATCCGTCTACAGAGCCTCATACCCCTGCCTCAGCCTAATCCATTTTTTGAAGTTTCTGTTCATTCCAAAATCCGTGCGTTTTGTACACCAAAAGGGGTGGCTTTTTGAGTTTAAATTGCATGGGTCGGATGATTTTTATTTCCAGATACCAATATTCAAATACATGATTTTGATTATAAATGTGTTCCCCAAACTTCAATGTCTTCATATTACTGCCCACTGGCAGGTGGCAGTTAAGCATGTGGCCCTCTATGGGCTATAGAACGTGGAGCTCGTGCCGTTTTACCATGCACATCTGTCTGATTGAAGTCGCCTCCTCGGAAGGCCTCCATTTCTTCGTTGGTAGTGAGAACAGTGCCTCGCTGGGGTGCCATAAGGCGGAACATCATCCAAGTTCCTCCGATGACACCGGCAATGCTCATGAGGGCGATCGAGCCTGACCTTCAAGATGATAAAATTGAATTAGATTTGCAACTGTAGAAGAGAGCATAGATAGTAGGTTGGGTCTTACTTCATAGGTTTCCGACCCTGGGACATAGATCCTGTCATTGCAGCCATCTTGTAGGTATAAGGATGTTAATCAATTGATGATGAATCAACAGTTTCCTTTTTTGAAAGAGAGATTGTAGAAGAAAGGGAGTTTCTTTTGGGCTCAAATTGGTGCCATGAATATCGGTTGAGAATTACATGAGTATGATCGCATTGTATGCACATGTCATCATATAGTTCCTGTAACCATGGTTCTGATCTATAAACTGAACCCATGAAAGGATTTCAAGCTTTACCCAGGTGGGGTGGTTAGGTCAACAAAGTGCCCAGGTGCTGTCTCTTTATAGTATGTGATGCAGCTCTGTCATGAATAGATTCAAAATTCAATGTTTGCAGATTTATGGTTCTATTATGTATCGCCGTCACAACTTAAGAATCATATCCCCACTTATTACCGCAGTGGAGCTCATGTAAAATCTGCCGTAATTCTACTTTGCAATGATAAAGTTGGATAGATAGATTATTTGTGATTAATTAATTTATATTTGCTCACCAATAAACTCAAAGTTTTTAGTCTTGCATACAAGCCCTGACTCACAGTGATAATCCTACTGCATTTTGTCAAGCTTCGCCCCTTAGTAGGCACAGCTAAGTTGAGCCTCATCGGCCCCGCTCCATCAAGTTTGTTTGTCACATACCCCGGAAATCTCACCTCGTCACACCGTCACGTCCCCAACCTCGTCACCCACGAATTCTCACACGAACCGAACAAAAATTTGTTCCCCTTCTTCAAAGATCTAGTTATGTGTCTTGTCATTTATTGAATCATCAATCCCGATGGCTACTCACGATCCACCGATGAACGGCCCTGACCCGCAACAGCTGTATGACAGACTTGAGGGTGTAGGTTCTGAAACTACCGCCGATGGAGAATCAACCCAGCCAAGTGTACTACAATTACCTCATTCCATTCCTCTTTTGATATTAAACGATGGTGATACTCTTCTGTACATCGACCCAGCTCCCAGCGCGTCGAAATCGAACCCAAGTATCCCTCTCCGAGTTCGCAGCTCAACCCTCCTTAGAACGTGCTCACAATATCTGGCCAAATTTTTTGAGCAATCCTATCAGAGGAGAATTCGACGGAAGAGAGGATTCGTGGATTCGTTACCCCGTGGCATCAAATTTCTCGTTGATCTGACACCTGCTATTGTGGAGGAAGATGCTGTCATTGCGTTGACCGAGATTTCTTGCCCTAAAGGTATTCGGACCTGGGCAGCATATCAAAATGTATGGAAACTTCCTGAAACATGTGTTGGAGGTGTGGATGAATTGGAAATGGCCCAGAAGCGTCAGACATTGTTATTTGGGGAACAGCCAGAGGATTACTGGAATAAGCAGGAAAATTACTGGCACGTTGGAGGGAACGAAACCTTTGGCCAGAGAGGTCCTGATAATAAAATGTTGCAAAGCCTTGTTCGGAATGGATTGCCTGTTGAGTATTCCGCGTCACGTCACAGAGATGGCATCGAGTGGGTTCTGCATGTCCTTGAGGGACTCAGCATCGTACTTGATACACCCTGCAAGATGTGGACTTTCTTTGCTATTGCCAACATATTTGAAGTCGCGACCCATCCCGCCATAGCTGGGTACATTTTGTCCTGGTTTTATGAGGATAACAACACTCGTTTCATTGAGATCCACCCTGAGATCAGTTATCGAGTGGCTTGTGGAATTCAGTCAAATGTACTTTGCCGCCATGCATTTGCAGGTTTGGTTGGCGATGAGGCTATTGTTCACCTTATTTGCTCAGCGAGTCTTCGGCCCTTTGGAATATGGGCACCATCGTTCCAGAAATCTCGAATCCATGACTTACTGAGTGATAGTGACATCCAACGCATCGAGTACGCCAGTAAGGCATTCACAGACGATGTCTTGAAGCACTTCCTTCATCTCGTGGGAACAGACATGGTGTGGCTGGAGGAGATACCGGAATTCCAAAAACTCATGTTTCATACTTCCGAGTTCCCCAAGATGGGAAATTGGTCCACGACTTGGTCGAGTTGATCAAACAGAACATCCGTTCGAGGCTATGCTACACTCTCTACACAAGCAAAGATCCTGAACGAGTGACTGATGCAACATATCCCGAGACAAATCATTATTGGCATGCATTCCTACCGGAGGATATGATAATCAGAGTGATGGGAAGAAGCTTTTGGAGAGAACTTACATGCCAGAAGTTTGAGATTCCTGAATTCACTGTTGCCAATTCGCACCCCATCAATCTCAGTCTCATCGACATTGGCCACGGGCTTCTCCCATTCAATCTTGAAGCAGATGTGACAATCGGGCCTGTTAAAGGAGAGTTAATCAAAGAGAAAGTCGCAGCCTTCAACATCAGAGCCCAAGAACGACTCAAATATGTGCATGAGAGAAAAAAGAAATCAGCTCCCGTGCAGCTCACCCAGGGTTTGAGAGGAATTCAGCCCACAGATTTACTCACCATACGCCCCAGAGTTAACGCACCGAGAAGTGTTCTCCATTCACCTGCAGATGGTTCTGTTCCAATTGCCTCAGAGCCAGCTCAATTCTGCCCTCCGGAAATAGTCCTTCCTTTACGACCAGCCAACCCTGCGAATACTGATTCTCACGCACAACCATCCACCCCCGCAACCGACATTCCCAAAGATCCTGCAACGGGCAATGGAACCAAGAGCGATGAACCATTTTTTAATCTGCATAACTTCACGCAGTTGGCTGGAATTTACATCTCAACATACGCCAGCTCTGTTCTCTCCACACACGAGCAAGTTCCACTCGACAGACGAGCGACAGACCATTTGACCTGTCTCACTGATAGACAATGGAAGTATCTACCCCTCTGGGCTGGAGGCAATGATGACGGGACAGGCGGCGTGTTCAACGATCAAGACATCCCTAATGTCTCCTCCAGTGAATTTTTAGGTCCGGGACCTGCAATTCGTACAAGTTCTGGCAGTACCCATTCTCGCTCCGAGTCATTCACCCACGTGGAACCCAGTGATTACAACAGTACAGTTTGTGGAGCCTCTCGTCATGCCACCTACTCTCATCGCTCTGACATTCAATCAATGGATGAGCGAGAATGGGTGACTGCGGGAGCCAGATTTTACCAAAACGGATACACTCATAGACCGGGTCAAGGATACAAGCAGGTTCTCCTTTCAGAACTGGAACATGACAATATCGTCGATTACGACTACTGTCCCATGACAATCACGTATGATGGTGCTGATGAATCTGGGGATCTTCGCCCTGGGCCTACGGCTCAGAACTCTTCGAATCATATCGATGCCTCGGGAGATGACCATGACATGCAAGATTGTGATGATGATTTTGAGATTCTTTAGGTGGATATTTTTTCCGCTCAGTTAAATTGGAGTTGAATTGACTGGAGCTTTCAAGAAAGACTTTTTTAACGACCTTATGATTGATATGAAACTAGGATTACGGATATGGATATGGACATGGAACTGGTGTCTGGGCACAAGACTGTATTTCAGCTTGGGTTTTCTTGGATTTGAATGACTTGTCAAGAAAGCTGATATCTTTAAGATAAAGTTGTGCTTTGCTTTTTCTGAGATTTAATAATTAAAAACTACTTAAAAAAATGAACGAGATTGGTACCAAATGTGTTGTATCACGCTTAATTTTGTTATAGACAAAGTGTCAAGTCTCGGACTAAACCAAGTCAGCTTTCATTATTCCCTTTGTATGCAAAGTCTGACAATGTCAACCAATTCCTATCTAGTATTCGTAGCATGCATCCGAGCTCAAATGCTGTGCCGTCAGGTGAATAGCCGTGCTACTGAATTGGGCCGCCCACATAATCTTGCAATTATATACCTTGTCCTCATCAACGTCTAGATATTCTATCAAATCCGACTTCATTAATCAAGATCAAGATATCACCCTGAAAATGACATTCACCCTCTTGGAAGTCGAATCCTCAGATGACGAGCCCCTCGTCCGAGAGTACAAATACCCCGCCATGCAAGACAACCCGCTCCAGTTGATAATGTTCCCACACTCCCATTCTGAGACCCGAGAAAATGAAATTCGATGGATAGCAAATAATATCCGAGATACTCTGGCATCGGAAAGATCTAACTTCTGCAAAGTATGCACGGAAGATGGGATTATCGTGGGGTTCGCTGGTTGGACCATTCATAACACGGAAAGTACTTCACGTACTCGTTCTGTTGGCAACTTGAAGTATATGAATACAGATCCCAACACTCTGGATATGCAGGCATGGTTAGGAATCTCAAAGATGCTCAGGTTAGAGCGAGAACGGGTATTATATGGCCGTGATATATGGCGTACGCCTGATTCTCTCGTCATTACTATTTACCTTGAAATATTTCTATACATTATGCTAACTCTTCCTAGGACTTACTGTCATGGCTTTTAATCCACGATACCAATGTCAAAAAGTTCGCTCTATACTTATGCGATGGGCTTGCGAAGAGGCAGATCGGAATCATAGGATGGCTTTGTGCTAGCCTCCCCTGCCGCTGTTAAGTTATATGGGAATTTTGGCTTTGAAAAAGTGAGTGAGGTAACTTCCGAAAAGGGGATATTTCGGAGTATGTTTAGAAAGCCAAACCCTACAATGGTTCGAGTTTTCACTGCCAGTGGTACCGGACGCTAGCAATTACCCGGGGCCGTCAAGAGATCTATAGAGCTAGCATGACGTTGTAATATAGTTCGGGTTCTTTAAAATGTGTATGAATCCAACTTGATGACTACTAGTAAATTCAATGAAAATCCAACTTTTTGGTTATTTTATCGACGAGCAATTTTTGTCAGGGCCGCAGAAAAGAGTGAAAAAAAACACTGCCAAAACTAATAGCTAATGAAATTGGAAGCGCGGTGGACCTCGACCTTGACTTCGATTCGACTCAGACTCAATAGTCATTCAATATTAACGCCATCCTTGACTGGCATTCATCCGCATTTCCCATTCTTCTCTCTCTAATGCCTCATCTGTGTATCTATCCCATTCCTTTCTGTATGAATCTGGTGTATCGGAAACCTTCCCTCCGGTAAACCATGGATGACCATTGCCAACGCCAGGGATCTCCACATCACATGTAAAACGAGAGAACCTTTCGCTCCAGAACTTGATAGTACCCAATTGATAGTGCCAAGCATCGAGCAGCTGCCCGCTGTCATCCTTCCCTCGCAGGGCGACTTCGTATGTGCGCCGCATCGGAGTTGTCTTGGATTTCGTTGAGTCTTTGCCGGGTGGAGGCGCAGGAGCTTTTCTCTTAGAATCCTCATCTGCACCTTCGTCCTTCTCGAAATCAAGATCAAACAACTTGTCCTCATCTTCGTCGCCATACTCATCTTCCCAGTTCTTCTTCGTACTTCTTGACCCGAAAAGCGTACTTTGCCACTGTCTCATCGTCTGGACCGATGATTATCACGCCCCTCCGCGACCCCAAACTCGAACTCCGCTTCGAAAATCCCAGGAGTGTCAGTTGGGTGAATATCGATGGTCATGTTCTTTGTGAGAGATGGCTCGTGTGACTCAATATCTTTAGAAGCGACGATTACCTCCCCACAGGCGAAGGAGGGAGCTTTTGAGCCTGATGACGGTAAGCCGCAAGTAACTGCAAACGCTTCTGCCGGCGTTGACGCTCCGCATCTCTCTTCTCCTTCTTCTCAGTTGCCATGTAGTTCTCAGCGGCTTCAGCGACTGCGGCCTCATCCCATCCAACAAAGAATTTTTGAGCGGAGAGTCCTTTGCCCACTTGATAAAAAAGTCCATCGGCCTTTTCCGCGAACTTCGCCAGAATATCCGCGTGGGAGTCGGGGTAGGAAGAAAGCAGTACCGCCACAACAGTAGTCGTAATTGTACGGTCCGGCTGCCGCCTGTCGTTCAGAAAGTGCTTATAGATTGTCCATTCTGGGTTCGAGTTGAAGTCTCTTGGTCTCTTGGTATCGTGATGTCGCTCTGTTTCGGCATCCTGCCACTCACGAATGAGCTCTGCCTTTAGGTTCAAAATGTGAGGTGGCACCTTGTCGCATCCCCCAGCACGAAGAACTTCTTGCACCAAGATGAATCCATTGCCGGAAAATTGGCTCTCATCGATAGCTATGCCATATTGCTGAAACTGGCCACGGACAGAGTCAGGTTCCTCCAGGAGAGCAACTTGGCCGGCTTTGGTGACATTGGGGAGGAACATGGACCGGAGAGTTTGGTTGTGGATGCGCTGGATGTGACCACGTTCGGTGTAGAATTCGCTCCATGCGGAGGAAAAGCCATCGCGGATGACAGGATAGTCCCACTCCCGCGGCATGGTGCTTTTGATAGATGGAAAGATAAAGGGTTCACGAGTCGATGATCGAAAATGGCAGAAGAGAAATGGAAACTAGTGATGTTGAGGAGAGTGGATTTGTCTGGAAGTATGGTGGGAAGATGGCTCTACTTAAGTGATAAGTAGACAAAAAGTAAGGGGAATCTTTCTTTCAAAGTTGGTTGTCACATAGTAAAACAATGTTTACTAGGTAGTATGGGCTTGACTTACTTGAGTACTACTAATTTCAAGACAAGAATACGAATGACAAGGAGATCGCAGAATACATCATTTGAGGATATCAAATTAATGGAGTTCCTCCATGCCGTCTTCCAATGTTCCCTGAATACTTGAGTTGGCCTCAGTTATAGTCGTTACTCTCTCGCAAGGTTATAGATATGGAAACCAGTTGACTGCCACTATGGATCCGCCTGGCCCACCTGGCCCAGGCGGCGGCCGTCAGATATCCTGACTAAGCAAATTCCCTCCTCCAGTGGACCTGCAGCTGATTGGCATGGGGAAAGCTCACTTACGCAACACATCATCGACGATTCCCAACATAATATTGGTCTTCTTTGGTGACCGTACACTTTCGGTCTGGCTCCAGCCTTGTAAGAAAGCCGGATATAATCAATCACTATGGCCTCATCCTCCAAACCATCGAGCTCTCTGCTCTAGTGAGTGTCCTCAACCGATACCGGCATCACCATAAACTATGAAGCATTCTGACCACAAACTCTCAACAGCTGCTGTATTGCGCACCGCACAACAATCCTTGCTGAGCATTCCTCTCCGGGATCATCCTCTACCGCAGCCTCCTCCCTGGCATCTGTCATTCTTCCGAAGATCACCCACGACAAGTCCCAGAAGTTAACATATACCCATGAACGACTATTCGTGCATTACATTGCCGACTCGCCCTCCGGCGGGTCTGCGGATGACCAAAGTGGCCGAACAGAGCCCAGCTCTTATGCACCCTTAAGCTTTCTGGTCGTCGCATCAGCCGAACAAGGCCGCCGTATCCCATTCGCCTATCTCCTCGAGATGAAGCGCAACTTCCTCTCCACATACCCACCATCTAGCACGGATTACTCTGCCCTCCCCGCGTACGGCTGTGCGGCTTTCAACACGGAGCTTCGTTCTCTTCTCCAGACATACAACACCGCCCCACCTGCCGATTCCCTTGCCTCTGCCCGTCGTGAAATTGACAGCGTCCGCGATATCATGACAGAGAACATTGAGCGGGTGCTAGAACGAGGCGAGCGCATTGATCTACTAGTTGATAAGACTGATAGATTGGGTGGCAGTGCGCACGACTTCCGAATCCGCAGTCGGGGACTGCGTCGACGTATGTGGTGGAAGAATGTGAAGCTCATGGTTCTGCTGGCAGTTGTAGTGATCTTCCTCTTATACCTTTTCATTGGATTTGGGTGTGGTCTGCCAGCTTGGTCGAAGTGCACTGGTCATTAGTGAGCCTACCTTGAATCTGCTAGTGTGGGACTCAAAAAGCGAGGTTTCAGCAACCCGAGTTATTGATCTTACTTCTGTTTCCCTCTTTTTACCCCATCTTTGACGACGTACGATATGATTCTTCTGTTTTCTCGATTTTTTTGTCTAGCTTTTTGCATTGAGAAGCGACTTTTTCTTAGTGAACATTAATTCATCCCGGGAGTTTGTCTCCATGCCTACTGTTTGACTGTAACGCCTCTTCTGGGTACTTACCATTAGTCCGAGTCTCCCATAAGTTGCATATCAGAGCGGACTCCGAGTCGTTAGATTCTATTCTATCATTGCATATCTCAGCCAGTCCCCACATCTTCCTCTTCCCTCCGCGCATCTTCCTTTCATACACACATACGTGATCCATTCTAAAGCTCATCATCGCGTTGAAGCCTCTAGGATCTCTATCCACAAGGTACCTGACCATGCTTGAAAAATTCACTAGAAAGTCCCGCCTAATGATGTGTTCCAGGCTTCCCAGTCGCCCCTGCTATCCCCAGCTCAAGTTCCTAAGCATACCGATTTTCAAACCGCGCCGATGGGTCGTTTCATTAGTCATTTCAGAACGCTCTTCAACTATTCAGCCTCAGTGGTCTATGACCATGTGGCTGATGAAAGATCATGGACCAATCAGGGAGACCAAGAATACAAGATGGGAGCCAGTGATCGCATCAGACAAGAAATCACTGTAGGTTCCAACACCTACATTTTTAAATGGAAAGTCATCACTGCCATCCCAGGTCGAGAGTTCACAATTCAAATAGTCAACGAGGTCGGTTGCAAGGCCGATGGTACTCCTGGCGTGGATGGGTCCCTCACTATGTCATATGAACTGGAGTCTCCTGGAGGAGAGGCCGCTCTACTCTCACAAACATTGGTACTGGACCTTCCAAGGGGTGTAAAGATTGAGGATGACTTATTCTTATTACTTGTCAAACCCAACTCGTTTGAGAGGGTACATGAGAATCTTGGGAAGCGGCTTGAGGAGAATTCCAGGAAAGAGCAGCAGAATTCCGAGAGGAATAGGGACCCGGAATAAGAGAATACAGACTCGGAGGACCATAGTGCAGACCTGAAAGGCGAGGAGAAAGAGAGTAGGAGAATACAGATTAGGCACAGTGGGTGGAGATCATAGGAGCAAAGGTGCTTTGATTGCCAGATTGTACGATACTTCAGTCTTAAAGTATCATCTATCTAATCGGTGAAATGACAATGACACTCTCATATCACTTTATCCTTGTAAGATAATCCTCCCAGACTTTACCAATATCGTTTTTGTAAATAAAGTCCTTATCCCCGTAGAGGAAGTTGTTGATTTTAGCTTGCAAGAAATCATCGAAGTTCGTGCTCTCTGATTTGAACTGCTGCATCTTTGCACCCACCTCGTCCAGGTGCTCGTACCTTGATTTTAGAACATCCGTCAGATCTGAGAGAGAGGCAGGTCATCTGGAAGACTCACATTCTAGCATAATATGGTGATCGTATAGTGTTGAATATTTTAAGAGCATCGTGGACTGGACGTGAAGTAAATTGAGAATACTCAAGCGCTCTTGCAAGTATCCAGCCATCTTCCATTGCGAATGTGGCTCCAGAGCCGAAGGCACCTATTGAAATATTAGTTCGATTTCCATCCAAGGGCTAAGACTATTATGGTCTTACCTGAAAGTGGATGACTGGCATCCCCAATCAAGGCAACTTTATCCCAGCCGGTTATCTCGCTCAACCGAGGACCAGCAAATGTAGCGAATTCACCCCATTCACCTTCCTGTACTACACTCACTGCATCCTGAACTCGCTTATCAAAGGTCTAACAGGAGAATTAGTCAAACTCTTGCCAGTTGATTATGCGATTGGCAACATACCGAAACGCGTGATGCCACCTTCTCATTACTGGCTGGGATACCCCAGATAACAGTCTTTCCTGGAACATCAGGCTCCTTGTATGACCTCACGGTAATTTCAAAAAGTGGATCATCCGTTTCCCTTTCATCATCCACATCAGAGAAGTACACATGGCCGGCCTCACCCCACCACCAAGCCGTTGTGGAGGTGATGTCGGGGAGATGAGCCAAACGAGACTTGGGGACAATGACTCGAAACGCAGTATTACCTGTGAATCGAAGCTTATGGTCGGGAAAAAGGACTCGTCGAACAATCTGCAGGATCTTGTTAGATATGAAACGGACACAAGGTACGAGGTTTGATTAACGAACAGAGTGTATTCCATCAGCACCAATGACCAGATCTGCATGGACTTCCGTTGAATCGTCAAAGACTAGACGAACGCCCCCATCAGGCACGTTCTCCAGAGTTACCAGCTTTTTGTTAAATTGGATAAGGTTATCGGGCACTTTAGCCAAAAGTGCTGATTGAAGCCGAGTTCTTCGAGCCCGAATCGCCCCACGGGTATCTGCAGCAGAATTCTCCGGGTGCTTGGTGATGCTGAGAGTCTTTCCAGTATAGCCATTCCTATTAGATTTATTAGTTCGGCATCTATTTCAGAAGGGACATCGTGGTTGATTACCTTTGATGCGTATCTGACTTCGAACCACCCTTAACTCCATCACTTGCTCCCAACAAGTCCAACACTTTCCAGGCATTCGTGCTTAGACTTATTCCGGCGCCGGCTTCTCGGGGCTCTGGGTTTTTCTCATAGAGAGTCACATGGAGGAATGGTAGCTGAGATAGCGCAATGGCGGTACCCAGCCCACCAGGGCCACCTCCAATAATAGCGACGGATAACAATGTGCGGCCTACCATTTTATGAGATTAGTACATGTAGTATTGCTCCCAGTCAAAAAGTATTTCGGGGATTTCTTGCCTTATGTATCTCCGTACTGTAGCCTTTATCAGTTCGCATGATTGGTGTGCGGAGAACGTTAGATGATCACATAGCACGCCATAGTATTGAATTAATGTGCCATACATTATCAATCCTTCCGCAGTATATTGTCCAAGTCAGTGAATTCGAAGATTATCAATCAAATCAAAATTCTGAATGAATGATTATGAATTTCATGATATAGTACGCTAGCCCTGGAGTGTCCTACTAAGTTAGTCTTCAAGTTTAGTGATATGCATGAGAATATATGTCCACGGGTAGTACTATCGTATTCCTTGGTAACAACTTGAACCTTGGAACATCTGAATGAATGGGACATACATTGTTCAATGTTGTAATAGATGCGATAATATTCTTTATAATTGAACAGAGTGCTCCAGGTAAACTTGAATAAATATTCAGAGGTCCAATCATACCAAATCTGTGAACCTCGTAGCTGGGTTAATTAAAAGTCCGTCTAAATCACGTATGCTATATGCTCCACTTTCATCATCACCAGAAATTGGTACAGGCTTGGGCTCCTTTGGGAGACGACTTGTGAAGCCAAGCCATAAAAATACTCCAGCAATCCTTGCGGCTTTGATGGCGCTGATAATTTCATTGTCCACTCCAGTTTCTTGACTGAACATAGTCCAGAATAACTCATCCAAAAGGCAATGATCATCATACCTGGACCAGCCATGCTTCAAGTGAACCTTACTTATCAAACGATCATGGGCGTAGAGATTTATACCGAATGGGCAATCTCAGCTTCGGCCCAGTCAATCACGCCGAGCAGATTACAAGAGTTCTCGTCCACCAACATGTTGAAAGTACCAAAGTCATTGTGTACTAGCACCATAGGAAGTGAGGAGATGGCCGGCAACGAGTCAATAGATTTCTTGATCAATGGATGGAATCGAATTGGGAGAGATTCAAGCAACAAATTCAGGTCTCGTCTATACTGATGAGTTGGACTGTCGCGGTATGTTTGATCAACATCCTGAGGGCTTTTCCAGGATAGAGCAAAGAATCTATAGAGCAGTCAGATTTGTAATTAGTAATCTTGCATGTGCATAGACCATATAGGAACAAGCATACTTTGCATTGTCAGCCACAAGACTTTGGCGCCAACAAGAGAACTCAAACGAGTTTTCAGGTGCATCATCATGGGCCATGATAAACTCCAGGTGAGAAATACCTAGTATTCGGTTCATAACGTATATATAAAGTGGCTCTTTGCTTTCATGATCTTTCCCAATCTGTCCCTTGAAGAATATCTCGGGTACCAGGCTACCATAAATGGCTTTGGCGAGGTTCATCATATCAATATTCAGCGCTAGCGACTTCAGACAATACTGCACAACGTATTCGGCGTTAGGACCTGCATAGACGGTGTAGCTACACACGCCTTGTACGTCGACTGGACTGACATTTCCAGCAAGATGTTCACTCGCATACTTATCACAGGCTGAGCGAGATGTTGTAGTCTTCTCAAAGAATTCAATAATTTCTTGTTCAGCGTTGTAATTCATATCACTGGTAGCCATTGCTATGTGCTCAAAATAGTTAGCAATGGAGCAGATACTACCGCAGAAGAACTGTTAAGGAAAGGAAACAGGGTCAACAAACTGCGAGAGTGATGAGAGAAGAGCAGTGTGCTGACAAATAGGTATCCCTGCCCAGGTGTTGCTTAAGGATATATACTCACCATGGATATCATACTATTAGAACAAGATAGTAGGATAGCTCATGAAAGGTTTAGAGGGTCTTAGTTCTGAAGAAAGAAAAAAGAATGGAATGAGCAGGGATCGAACCGTGGACTTCCAGGTTTCGTGATGAATACGTCAAGTGAGGCATCAAAATGAGCAAGGTGATGACAGCCTCAACTTTTAAAAAATCATAACAAATCCAATAAAATAGATAAAAATATAAAAATGATATCAAAGGAAAGAGCAAAAAAGAAAAAGGCTCCGCAGAAGTCTTTCACATAGTCCGCTGCATGCTTTCTCACGGTGGTGATCCACTTAGGCAAGTCTCACGCTCGCTGATGCTACTTGACAACCCTCAGTCCCAGCAAACCAGACTTATGGTATCATAGTGTCAAATCAACTCGGGACAGACACGATAGCCCGCTAGGCTACTACGATGCGGATGGTTATCTGGACTCCCAAATTTACCCTCTTAAGGGAGAAACCATATCAGGCCAGGATTTTCAGGTACCCGTCACCAGTTCACCAGTTCACTTGTCTATCTTTACTCTTCAGCATCTGTCTCCTTTATATCTTTTTTCTTTTTAAATCCACACTCATACTTGTAATTAAAGATGATCTGAAAAAGTTCAAATAACCTTACTGATCTAATTAAGCTACATAAATACCCTTGGCGTGTATAGAACCTTGGAATATGTGTGATAATGGAGACCAAGTGACAAAGAACATCTACTGTATAACACTCCATTGAATTCGCAAGTGGCTCAACTTCAAGTCCACTTGAAATTTGGAAATTTCGAGACTTGGTAGGTACAGGATACTGCACCTTATTGCCCCTCATTGATTTCCCAAAAACCCGCCCCACGCTAACTTCGAGCTCAGGTTTCCGATATGTACTGAGACGGGGCCATGGCTCTTAGACAAAGAACTTGGATATGCGTACCCCCAGCTGTATGGGACGACCCATAGCTGGCACTAATTACCGGGTGTGGGAGGGTATATAAGGGGCAGAGGCGACTCTCGCATTTTGCTCTTCTCCTAGTACCATCCCAGACTGCTCCAAGCATCTCCCAGAATCCTCCAAGTGTCAGGTTTCCTCCAATTCTCGAGCTAGCTTCGTTAGCTACCACTGCCACCCCATTAATATTCACATTGAGTCTTTACCATGGCTACTTCAAAGCCCGAGCTTGTTATCGTTTGCGGTGCCTGGCATGTTCCGGCCAACTATGACAAGCTTCGTACGCTTCTCGAATCGCAGGGTCTCACCGTCCAGTCCCCCATCTTCCAACCGTCAATTGTTCGCGACCCCCGACTGCAGACATGTACACGGATAGTGATCTTATCCCCAAAATCGTGACCGACCTATCAGACGCTGGCCGCTCTGTCGCTGTTCTGATGCACTCCTATGGTGGAACGGTCGGTACCAATGGTCTTGCAGACCTGGGCTTTGAAACCCGCAAGAAGCAAGGTCTACCTGGCGGTGTCACCCGACTGATCTATTTGTCTGCATCCGCGCATCTCGAGGGCGAATCCATGATGGATATTGTTGAGGAGTTTGGACAAACGAACCTCATTCCTCTTGCATTTGACTTCGCCGACGATCAAACTTGCATCTCTCGTCATCCGAGGGATCTCCTGGTCGGCCCGGGACTTTCGGATGAGGACTTGGAAAGTTACGTGAAGCTTTTGGTGCGCTGGAATGGCAAGGGCATGTACCAGACTTTGAAGCATTGCGCCTGGCGCAAGATACCAGTTACCTATATTTTGACAACCAAGGATATGACTGTACCGTTAGACTACCAGAAACGTATGGTGTTGACCATGGAAGCGGAGGGCTGCGAGATACAGCAGTTTACGCTGGAATCGGGTCACTGCGCTAACATTACGCACGTGGAGGAAGTCGCGAAGATCGTTGATGAGGCATTGGCCTAGGCGTCCATCCACCTGAGCGAAGATGAATCATGAACTTGAATTACAGTGCTAAGCTATCATGATGTACTTACATGGACGAGAACTAGATATAGTATCTGGCATGCGTTCAAATATTCGTATATCCAAATATGTTTGTCCACCACCACCACGTTGATCGTAAGTGTGCGCATGGTGCCAGTGGGGTATGTGTATTCATATCAACGGTCCACATGGGTGTTTCAACTTGAAGGACGTGGACCAATATAAATTGGTGATTTCATTGATCGACAATACAATTCCTGCGCTCCATAGCAAATTCTGGATTCCATGCCTTACCCGGTCCAATCGCACCAGTAACCATAGAACACTAAGCGCTTCTCCACCCAACACTGGGGCTGAATCTTGACATTTTGGCCCCCATATGTTGGTATCCATTTTCTGATCCACACATGCATAGCCATCTACGGCTTAAGTTAGGAATGTAGTATGTAATACTCGTTCAAACTTATCACCACAAGTAAAGTCCGGAGCTACGTACATGAAAGTGGGGAGGACGTGCGTAAGCCTTATGAGGCTATGTTTCACTTCAAGTTGAAGGGGCACCTGGGAGAATACTACTCAATTGACTGATCTCGGTCACCCGAATCATCATATGCAAAAATCATTATCATCGACAATTTTTTATCCCGTAGCCAGCCTCAAACCTGTTAGTAGTAATGTACATCCAGATATGTACTACCTAGTAGGTCCGAGTCGCGTCTTGCAAGTTGCCACTTTAGGCCACGAGCCCTGGAGGTACTCCGTATACATCCGCGATGTACTCCGTAGTAGATCAATCCTGTGAATCTGGCCCCCAGCTTTGTTGTTCCTCCCGGGTCCTGTGGAGCACTCGATAAGATACTCCCGAGGTCCTTTCTTTCCATATGTCGTTCTAATCTCAGAACGGCTGAGGTGCCAGTGATTCAAGTTGTTTTCAAGACTTGACTTTCGGGTCTTCTCTTTCAAGTTTCTCCATATTTCCGGTTCAGCCCCTCGCTGTATCAGAAATCGCAACTGAATCTTCACCATGCTATCAAAAGCACAAAGGTTCTACAAACTTCTCACTCATCGGAGGGTTCAATTGTTATTGTGAGATGGCATATGGCTCTCCATCTCAGAAGCATGCTTGCTAAAATTTGAAAAATGCATCTATTTAATTGAGACCAAGAGGGCTTGCCCCTAGGCTGGTTGCCATAATCAGTTCAAGTTCTCAGAACCTTGGAAGAATAACATTTGAATGTCTTCAAGTGAGTGGGGAAGCCCCTGAGCAGTTTCTTCAGCATAATGCATGCCACTGGCAAGTTCAGACGATGCGGTACGAAATCAGAAAACTGTAATACGATATCCGCTGTTGGCGCCAGGTGCGTGACGGTTGTTATCACTGCTGAATTGACACTGACACGCCTGAGTACTCTAGCTCTGATTTTCAGGGGGGATTATTTGATAGCATTGCATGTACTCCAAATGTATCTCTCAGAAATCCCGGAGGTTCCGATTTTGAGTCCTGTAGTACCCCGTGTCGAGTTTTCTTCTTAGTAGTGCACAATTCAAATGTTGTGACTGGGATCTACACCAAGGCATGATCACGATGCAGGCTTCCGTTTGGAGTACATTTCTTCGTCTTCTCAGAGTATAAATCAGTTTGTTTGATAGTTAAAGGTTCCGAGTCACTACTAGTTCATATATGAAAATCCAGAACGACCCATTACTTTGTGATTTTAATTCCCTCACGAAATGCTATGCTAACCTCAGTCCAGTCCATTACAGCCACATTGAATTCAAATATTGGCTCAAGTTGATGTATCAATCCGCACTCTCCTGTTGTGATGCGTCGTTTGATTATTTCACTTTGCTTTTTTCTCTATCACCCCTTTCCCCTTTGCCCCACTTTCATAGTATACAGATCTGTTTCTTACTCCTGAAAACTCCTGAAACTCGATCTAATTATATTCAAATCTAAAATTGAATTGAACAATTGATGGCCATAGCTACGGAGTACATCGTGTTTGTTTTCCCCTCTCTCCTTGCTTCATACTCCATACTACTCCTTACACTGTCCACTGTACTGTTTCTAAGAGCCATGTCTCCTGCTTTAAATTTCGATCTTTATAGGGAGGAGATATCTGCGCTTAGTTTTAGTGGTCACTCTATTCAGACTATTCGCAAGATCTTTGCCAAACACAAGTATTCAGCCACGGAATCTGCTATCCAACGTCATCTGTATCAATGGGGTGTGCGTCAGTTACCAGATGCACACTCGGTCTTACAAGATGAGGCTTGGAAATCCCGTATCAGAAGGCTGGTGAACAGTCGCCTTCGCTCTGATACCGGGTGCCGTAAAGACAAACTACAAAAACAAAAGCAAACCTCCGACGACAGCAATCCTGAGATCCTTGGTCCAAACTTTGTGTGGCATCTGGGTACATATAGACAGTTAGAGCGATTCGGAATTCAGGTGAATCTGCAGTGCATTCAGTTTCAGCTCTCCACGGATGGATACTAATGAGTTTCCTCTTTCCAACAGATCTATGGAGCTATCGACAGCTACTCACAGTACGCCCTTTGGCTTGAAGTAGGAGGCAACGCATGCTCAGGAACTAGTGTCCGCTGTCAATATCTTGAGAAAGTGGCCCTTGTGTGCCTCCAACCCCGGGTTATACAAACAGATCTCAGCAGTGAGACACGACCTCTCGCTCGCGCCCACTACGCCCTCCGAGAATCAGGGCCTGGACCTGAAATCACCTACACATCCCGCATGCCCCCTCTTATGATCGAAGATTGCCTTTGGTACAACGGGGGCGGCGCAGATAATCGACAAATGCAATCGTGGTGGGAGCAGCTCTTCAAATTACGACTTTCCTTCTGGGACCGGTACTTCTCTTCTCTTGAAGATGAAGGCCTATTTACTGGTTCCGATCAGGATAAAATAACACTACTGGCAGTCTTTATGCCAATGATTCAAAGTGACCTGGAGTCTTACATGAAGAAGTGGAATGAACAAAAGAGTAGGAAAAAATTGAAAGGCGCTGACGAGAATGAGCAACCCTCGGTGAAATACTTTGAACCTCATACCAAGAAGGACGCCAGATCCGGGACCCCAATTCGAGATTATGCACTCCCGGTGGATCCAATATTGCTTGAGGAGCTGCAGCGATATAACACAACATGGAAACAGGGTGAATACCTTCCTTCAGCCACCTTGGCTTGGTGTCATGCGAAGCTCGAGCTACTAGGCTTCAATCCATTGAATCCACCACCAAAAAGTTCTGAAGACAACACAAGTGGACAACCATACCGTGACATCTATTTGAGCTTCCGTCAGATAGTTCAGCATCATCATCAGACGGGAGAACTGCCCGCACTTTCTCGGTGCGTGGAACCTGAAGATTAGTGAGCTTTTAATAGGTATAATTCACCATAACCTTGTACTTTTAAGTTATTTAGGTAGAAATTGATATACAACCTGCAGTTCTCGAAATCCACCAAATCTCCTCCCATAGATGCACTGTCATTCTCGGCTCCACGATGGAGAATGTGGGGTTTCATGGTCCCACTTGACCGGAGATTCCAATGGTTCTCCGATGCATCGGAGAACGGATGACTCAAGCACTTCAACTTCTAATTTTACCCCAAATCTTTGCAGAACGACATCTTTTCTCCTTCCAATACAGGGAGGATCCAAAATATAAGGAAAATTAACACCGTCTTGAACAAGATGCCTCAGAAATTGACTGTCGCTGTGGCCCAGGCCCGGACCCGTTCGGATGTACAATCTACTCTTGCTGCACTGAAGCGCATCACAGCTCACAGTGCATCTCGTGGTGTCCAATTGATTCTGTTTCCCGAAGCCTATCTAGGTGGTTATCCCCGTACCTGTGACTTTGGTGCTGCAGTTGGTGCGCGAGCTCCTCATGGCCGTGATCAATTCCTGCAGTATTTCCAATCTGCGGTGGATCTCGGCGATACTCCCGCTGGAGCTGGTGATGACTGGGTTGAGCGTAAGCTGCCCACAGCTCCGGGCAAGAACTATCGTGGAGATGGAACGAGAGAGTTCCTTGAGCAGGTTGCGCAGGAGACTGGAGTTTTCATTGCTACTGGATTGATTGAGAAGGCTGGTGGTACTCTGTACTGTTCTATGGTATTTGTTGACCCCTCACGGGGTATTCTTGGCAAGAGACGGAAGGTCATGCCGGTAAGTCTTTCATTTTTTCCAAACACTTTTATAAAGACAAGTTTGCTGATGATTTCCTTCTTACCTACGTGAAGACTGCCTCGGAACGCTTGGTCTGGGGTCAGGGCTCAGCGTCGAGCTTGAAAGCGATTACCACTGAGATTAATGGTGTAAGACTCACAATCGGTGGTGCTATCTGCTGGGAGAACTTCATGCCTCTTCTTCGACAGAGTCTGTACTCTCAGAATGTGAATCTTTATCTCGCGCCTACAGCTGATAGTCGCGACACTTGGCTTCCACTCATGCGAACCATTGGTGGTGAAGGTCGTACTTTTGTCCTCTCATCAAACCAGTGTGTACGCTACAACGAACTGCCGTCATGGATCAAAGATAATGCCTCTCCAGAAGATGCTGCTGCTGATGGTAATTGCCCCATTTCATCTGCACTAGCAATCACATATCAACTTGAAACAATGTTAACACTGGTATGTAGCGTCGCGGTATATTTCTCGAGGTGGTTCTTGCATTGTCGGCCCCCTTGGAGAGGTTCTTGGAGGTCCAATCTGGGAGGTTTGTCCTGACGATAGCCTCGATGCCTCTGAGGATTCCAACCCTGAGGATCTTGATGGATTGGTCATCTCCGAGATCGATATGGAGGACTGTGAGCGCGGGAGACTTGACCTCGATGTTGCGGGTAGCTATTCTCGACCCGATGCATTCAAGTTCTCCGTAGAGGGACTCGACCTGAACCCTCCGCCTTTCTAGATATTCTTGAGTGCAAGAGCAGGACAGGATTTAGAAACTAAATATAACGACAATCTTTTATAAATGCATTAGATTCAAGTTTAATTTGAGCTGGATTCGGAGACTGATGCCTGCAGTAGTACCCATGATCAATATTTTGATAACTTCAGTGATAATTTCAGCAATGCACTTGGAAGGGTTCACGACAGGCAACGCGCACTGCAGTCCATTTGAATTTCAAGAGTCCTTGCACATGTGGAATCCTAGTATGTAGGGACTCGGAGCAGAGGTTCAGATGTCAATTTTTACTTCAAGGTTGGACTCAAGATGCTCATATACCAAGGTTCGGTTTTAAAGTTATACTCGTTGGAAGCACTTGAGTCATATTGATGCGCATTTGTGATTGAAATAGTATTTTCTAGATACGACTTCTGACATGAATTCAATATCCATTATGTCTCTCACTATCAAACCGATATCGTTCAAGGCTAAAGCATCAGAGCCGGTCTGCAAGTGAGACAGAACCATCACTTGATCGAGGACCAAGCAATGATACTGTTTCCGCTCTACGCCAGTCGTTTACCTCACCAACCATTGAAGTGGATTGGTGCGGAGATAATTTGGCGATCTATATCACTAAAAGGAGAGGGGAAAAGTTCAAAGTTGGAATGCCCTGATATGTACCCAAAAAAGAGTTGAACGATCAGCATCAACATCATGATGCGGGTGGTCGCCAATCAAAGAACAGTTCCTATTTTCCAGCCAGCTGGAAGGGTCATGTTAGTATCCTGCTCAGTGCAGGTTAGATCTCAATCTCAACGTTCACGTTCATTTGTTTCGTGATCACTGCGACGGCAGGTCAAATAGACACCCCCTTCAATCGAGACCTCACTGGGTGAATTGATCATCAGGTTAAACCTGGAATTGATGACAATAGAACCATTATCCACTGTGACATAGTAGAAGTCCAACATTTTGACTGAACCAGGCAAATGGTAGATGGTTACAAGGTCTTGGGAGAAACCGAAGGTCAAGAGGAATGTGAAGTTCAGCTTTTTGTAGCAGAAAAAGTGTGCGCGGTCAGGTGATATGTACCCGCTTAGTTGCTCCGCGGGGTTGTGATTGGCTGAGTGTTTGCTCTCCGCGACGCGGACTTTATCGCATAAGACCAAACATCCATAATCTGCATCGTTCTCTGTCTTCTCACACATTGGCAAGTAATAGATCGCTGGTAAATTGCAATCAGTAGCCTGGAATCCTCTTTTATGCAATATCCGGTCTTCCTTGACTCATCGCTAATAATACTTCACAGGAAGCGCCCTTTGTCCGTTCTCGAGTCCGCGCAATTTGTCCTCGAAAAGCCGACCTGACATGAGATGGTAGTTGCGGTTGAGAGAACACATGATGGAAGGCAGATACGACCTATTCAGGTTATGGGAAAGTCAACAGAATCAAGAGGGTAACGCTGCCTGGACACATCCAGCATTCGCAGATGCTGCACGAGCTGCCGACCTGACGTGCACCCGCTACATGGAACATGCTGCTCGCTGGCGGGCGCAGCAAACACAACACGATTCGCAACCGCAGTCACACTCGCAACCGCAACCGCAACCGCAACCACAACTGCAGCCGCAGCAGCAGCAGCAGACCCATCCGCCACGACCGCAGCCGCAGTCGCAGTCGCAACAGCAACCACGGCAGTTTCCATGGCCGCAGGATCCACCATATCAGCATCCGCAGCAGCGTCCACAGCAGCATCCTCATCAGAAATCACAACAGCAGAATCCCGGTAGACCGATACCATACTCTCCACGGGATTTGAATGACGCTTATCTTCGAGGTCGCTATGAGGACCGTTCAACGCCAGCTAGCCAGGCACCTAGTGAACAGTATGTGAAGCCGCCTGATATTGGGCCACCGACTTCATATCATCGGTGGTGCCAAGGCTCTATCTCCGCGAATCCGCCCTCGCAATCACCGCAGCAGCCAGTTGCTACCTCACAGCCCTCGCAGACGGCAGTAAGACAGGAAAGGAACGCACAAAGTCCTGCTTTATCCCAGCCTCAGCCCAAGCATCAGCCAATGCGACAATTTTCCCCACCGAATCCGAGGAATTCAACTCCAATCTCTGTCAGCCAAGAGCGAAGCTTGACCCCTTTGCAACCTACCCACATCACCAGAATTACGCCAAGTTCGAATGGACTTCTAGCGCAGCGTCAGAAAACACGGCAAGACGAACCTGAGCGGTCCAGAACCCCCAGTGATCAATCGCAACCAAGAAATCAGCCTTCGTCAATACAAGATCGTCGAGAGTCGTACCTTGGCACCGACGTGTATCCCGCAAACTCCCCAAAGGGAGATCCATACACGTCTGCAGCTCGAACTACACTTAGTCCGAATTCGTCAAATCGGCCTCATCCCAGTGCCCCAAAGTCATCTTCGGTCGCTAATCAGCCTGCACCTCAGAGCACCCTGGACACGACTTCGGCTTCGACTACTAAAAGTCTTGTCAAAAGCGCATCCACCCCCGCCGTATCGTCTTCGCCTATCTTCCGGCCTTATATCCCCGGAGAGAAGCGCGGGAGTCATTCCAGTACTTCTTCGTCCACGGCACAGGCTACGGCTCCAGAGAGGCGGCGGAGTACAACGGAAGTCCAGGCTGACTCTGCCAAAATTGCACAGTCTCGCCCTTCAACTTCAGCTCTACTGGACACCGCAGTCGTTAAAGGACCACCAGCAGAAACTTCTCAACCCGTTCAACCGGATCACTCTACTACAAAGGGTCCTCGAGTCATAGATACCTCTCCGGCTCCCTCTCTGCCCAGTGCAACTCAAGAGAAGCCCCAGCAATCGCAATTGTCTTCCTTGAACCGGCCTTGTAGTCCACTACGTCGAGCCACTCCAGTCCCCCAAAAAGCTCTGCTATCCTCTCGGATTCAAGGTAAAGATCGTTCCAAGCCTGGCCCACAAGCAGACAGAACATCAGGTCCGACACCTGTCATGCCCACGCATTCATCTACTCCTATGGATTTGGATGAAAGTTCACCTGTCAATACCCAGCCGGTCCCACGAGCGGAATCCCTCAGTGCTATCCCTTCTACCCAGCCACCTGCAGGGCCCTCAAGTCCTTTGCCAGCCCCTTCATCAGCTCCCTTGAGTAGCGTTTCTCCTCGACAGCATGGGCATCCGCCGAAACACTTGAATAAATCACCACACCTTCGTAACATCATAAACTCATCTCACCCGCCTCCGGCGAGCAATGGCTCAATGGGTCCTCCAGCCCAGCAGATCCAGCCACCAGCTGGCCCAAGTTCCGGCGAGCAACTTCCTGCACCGAAAAGGCAGGAACTGAATGATGGCTCTCAGGATGCAGACGGTCAGCCGAAGCCAGTGAAGAGACATCGTCATCGTTACCAGTCATGGCAAACCCAGCTTCGACAGCGGCCAGAGTTGACCCAGCCGTTGAATCCCAATGATGCAGAGGTCAAGCTTACTTACGATCCAACCACAATCGCACGAGACGTCTTGATTGCAGCTGCAAAACACCCTAGTGAAGAGCCGCTCAACTATCACCTCAGTACCCTCCAGAAAAATATGTGGTCTATGGATATGGGGGCGGATCTCACCACAATTCGCTGGGATCTCATCGACCCTATAGTTCCACGTGACCCCTCTCACCGCCCACCGTCGCGTCCACCTGTGCCCGCTCCCGCACCCGCACCCGCGCCCGCGCCCATGCAGCCAATCAACACGAGCAGGCCATCAACTTTGAACCCTCCGCAAGCTTTGGATCCTCGAGCTCATATTCATTCTTTTGCTTTTAAACCACCTTCTTATCACACCGTCCCCCAACTCCCGCCTGCTGTCTCGCCGTATTGGCCGCCGTCGCAACCAGCGGTTCGTTATCCCATACCTGCGCCCAGGCCTACCCCATCGAATCCCGTGACTCCAGCAACGATTCAAATTACCAAACCGCCCTCATCTTCAAAGCCAACCGTCATTCCTCCAGCTACTAACGCAAAGGACATTCCTTCGACTGCTAAACCAAAGGTCATTCCCCCGTCTCCCAAGGCAAAGGTGCCGTCCCAGTCTCCGCGAACTCGAAACTTCGCCCAGCCGCAAGTGGTTATCCAATCCCCACAAAAAATGCCCCCCATCAAGCGGCGACCCGGACGACCCAGATTGGCAGACAAAGTTGAAAAAATGGACAAGGTCGAAATCTCTATTCCCAGCTCAAGCACGGAGCCAACTCAAGACTTCCCAATCTTTCCTTGCGGATGGGAGGGTTGTCATGGAGAGCTTCACAACCTGAGTCTACTTCAGAGCCATGTCCTGAAAATCCATGTTCCACACAACCTGGTATGTGGCTGGAAGGGATGTGACGATGGTACACCCAGGGCAGCTGCCGCTATGTGGGAGCATGTGCGAGACAAGCATATCATGACCTTTGCTTGGACCCTAGGCGATGGTCCTACGGTGCCTGCACCTGGTGAGCGCCTTGATTTGAATGCATCCATACTTTGATTCGAGATGAGAAGTGTTTTAATTTTTTGATTGTGCGATCATGGGATTTCTAACAATGATACTACCAGCGGAGGAAGATGAGCTTCCAGAGCTCAGTGATTCTATTCTCAGAACAATGAATCGTCAAGGACGCGCGGGGACTTTGATCCTCCCTGCTGATTCGAAATTGGTCAGCTCTTTCAGCAAAGCTCACGGCCTTTCCAACTCCATGGAAAAAGCAGAAGTCTTGAAAAGGGGAGGATGTCGTTGGAAAGAAGATGTTGGCCCTGATATGGATTTCAGTGATCGTCGACTCGCCACGCCTACCCGCCAGTCATCTAGTCGCGTCGCTGAATTCGCGAAGACCCTTCCTGGATCTACCTAATTGGGTCATGCTTCCCTGTCTCGAGAAGCCTTATTTGGCTTGAATTAACGATACCCCTTCAGTTCTTTTCTGTGTCTTCGCTTCATAGCTAGGAATGGAGCAATATGGGTCATGGATTTCTTTAATGTACGACGGAACATCATGGGCAACATCTCATTGATTTTGGTGGAGAACCCAACACTAAATAACTTCAGTTGCCAATGAATGAAAAAAAAAGTTCCCACTCAATCATAGAGCAGATTCCAGGCTAATTGTTATCTCGCAGCATAAAAAAAAAGAACATAAAAAAAGACACCTAGGCCTCTGCCTTTCGTAACGGTGGTTGGGTATTATACATGTAACTGATCCTTCCTCCCTCTCGGTCCGTTGAAGTGGAGTCCTGTCCGTCCTTCTGGCTTAATCGATTCGCATTGTCCCTTATTTCGCCTTTGTTGTGGATGGGGTTCCGCTCGGCTTGTCTGAGGACACGGTGGAATCGGCGGGGATGGACACAGGCTTAGGAGCAGTGGTCTCCTCATCATCGTGGGCATTGACATCGAGGAAGTGGTAGAACACAATCAGCATCATGGCGCATGAGCCAAGGAAGATGGCAAGGCGGTAGAGGTCGTTGTCGGAAATCATGATGAATTGAAGAGCGTAGATGTGATGAGATATCAAGTATGGGGGGAGCAGTGGAAGCTCTAGAGAGGAGCAAGTTGTTCAAGGTAGATTGTTCACGGAACAACACAGCAGATGATATCGTAGTTTTGAGATTGTAGGGTTGAAAAGGTGAAAGAGTAGTTGTAATTGAATGTACTCTGTAGTTGGGGAATCGTAGGAGAAGCTCCACGCAAGTCAATAACGTGTCATGAAGCACTTTAGCGCCGATCGGAGCCGACCCGTTATTTACAGTGTGACCATGACTAATCTTCAACGTCTCTAATTTATTTCTTTGACGGAGTACAGTAGCTTCCTTTTCATTTGCTCGACTTTATATTCAGCTACTTAATGTCTGGACATTAATCTTCTCATAATGACCGATCCGCTGGTCCCACACAATCCCCAGCTCGCCGAGATCCCCGCGCCTGCCAAACCTTCCCCCTCATTATTGGCGTGTCTAGCATGTCGCCACAAGCATCTCAAATGCGACGGCAATATGCCAATCTGTGGTCGTTGTTCCTTGACTGGATCTGATTGCCAGTTTACAAAATCTCGTCGAGGGTATCAAGGCCATTCCAAAAAACGTCGCGCGCAAGAATCTCCGGATCATGGAATCGAAACGCCGAGTATAGCTACAGTCGGCACACCCGTGGATTGGCAGGTGCAGAATAGCTTCCAATATGCAGCTAATATTCCAATTTCCTCGTCGGGTTCTGTAAGCCCCAATGCGAATCATATGTCCGTGGTAATGGCACCGCCAGTGACTCGACCTGGAACTGGACCATTAACTCCAGAGTCGACTTCATCAGTGGCTAGTGATGGATACCTACTCGATATGTACTATATGTTCTTCCACTCGGCGCACCCAATCCTCCCTCCGCTGCGATTCCTTTATCGCGCCCACTTTCCATTCTTTCTCGAACAAGTGATGAAGTTCATCGCATCGCATTTCATAGTAGCCGTCTCGAGCGAAACATACCGTCCCACAGTTGTGACTGGGGTGCGGGAGCAACCATCATCGGTGGAGAAGGTGCAGGCGCTTTTGCTACTTGCAATTGTCTTACACTCTCGTAATGAAAGGGCAGAGGCGGGGGAGTGTCTGGCTACCGCTGTTGACGTGGCTTTTGAACTCGGGCTGCACCGAGGGACATTTCCCGAGGCAGAGAGCAATGGTGATCCGATACGTGCGGAGTGTCTGCGACGAACTTGGTGGGAGCTCTTTGTAATTGAGGGCATGCTTACCGCTCTAGGAGTACAACAAGTCTATCGTACCAACCAGGTACGACTGGAAGTGGCATTACCCTGTGAGGAACGGATCTATCAAGATGGTATCGCGCCGCCACCCTCCCCAACCATTGCCCAATTCGATGAGCGTGTCTTTGCGGATGAGGAGCGGGACTTCTCATCCTACTCATATCGCATCGAGGCGGTTCGTATTCTGGGTCGGGTGGTTGCGACGCAGGACATGATTGAAGGACAGCAAGATCAGGTGGAGGCCATTGATGCGCGCATTGCCAGCTGGTTCTACCACCTCCCAGATTCAAAGTTAGAGCTTATGAGGCCAGATGGATCCATCGATGAGATCATGTTCCAGGCGACTATGATCATCAATGGTGCCTCGATCTATCTGAACTTCCCGCGATCAGATCTGCTCTCATCTCCTGCTGTTGCATCAGAGGTGATCTGTGGTCATTCTGGTCCCATCAGTGTTCCTGCTTTCTCGCACCATGTCCATGCTATGAAGGCTGTTAAGGCGGCTAGTGAACTCTCTTCTCTGGCAGCTATTCGTTTGCCAGTCGAGCGACATACCCCCTTCTTCATCTGTGCTCTCACACTGAGCTCCATTGTTCAATTAGCCGCCTGCTCTGTCAAGGCTGGACAGATGCCTGATCCGAGTCGCGACCGTATCGGGCTCACCATTGGCGTTTTTAAGTCTCTGGCACGCACCTGGGCAATCTCACAGTCTATAATGCGTCAAATCAAAGCTGTAGCCCGAGATGTATTATTCATGGGTGTGCGAGAGACCATTGATCAAATTCATCTCACGTCAATGCTCGACAATAGCGGGCTACTTTGGTCGCAAGAAGCTCCGAGTTGAAGTGAATGAATGAAGTGAACCGAGTCATCGGCTTGAATGGTCATATTATACATGGCACACTTATCTTCTCAATCCGATCGTTCAACGACAGATGAAGAGTTTTTACATATGAAGAGAAGGACCTCAATTGACAACCTCTCATTATAACAGAGATTTGCTTTAGCGTCGATGGGTTAACAGAACCCTATCTCCCCGCCACCTTTCCTCTGCAGGCTTCGTTTCTCAGGATTAGGTTTCAGGCTGCGTGTCAGCTTGTGTGGCAAATGAAAGCGACATCCTGTCAACATTTGAATGATTCCACGCCTATGATATAGGAGATATGTATTTCCTCTATTTTCTATATCCTGTTCAGTCAGGATAAGCACATATACGCGCTTGTACATAAAACCTCTCCATGAAATACTTGCTGGATTGAATATGGCATTCGATTGGCTGGAGTGTCACGAATTGCGCCAGACTGGGTCAAGCTTTTATCAAATAAGCTCTTTTTAAATGATATTTCAGAAGACTGGAGTGGAGGTCAAAAGCAGTGCGAGTAGAAACTCACAGCACGACCTCGGGAGTCGAGGGATTCTCAAGTTCAAGCGGTATTTTTCTCACATGGGAGCTCTCGAGCCTCCGGGACTCTCTCTAGTAGATCTCAGGTCATGGTGTCTGGGTCAATGCGTGTCAAAGGCCGAATTGCCACTCAACTCGAAGCGGCACCTGCGTAGTCTACTAGCTTTCAAGTTCATGATAGATGTATCACTAAGAATTCTTGATGGCCCGTTCAGAATCAACATTTGAAATATCATCTTCTGTACACTTAAGTTCTCCATCAAACCATGGCATCTCGGCACGAGGCAACCAGAATGGCCGATCACCTCGGCGAGATCACCGAACTATACGTGATAGAACGAACCCTTATAAACCATCCCTCACGTTGATCGACATTGAATATTCAGGTCCAAATTTCTAAGACTTGTCAGTGCACACTGATCCCAGGTATATCATATGTCTTGTTTCAAATAACCGCGTAAGCTCACATACCAATTACTGAATATCAACTCATCGGAGGGACTCCGCATAACTGATAACAGACCCGGTGGATCACGACCTGCATCAATTGCCGATCCCCAATGCACGAAGAAATTCCTAATAAGAAATCAGATTCTTCCTTTTGAATTTCGTATTGCCATCGGACTTTACTCCAATCCATCATGGATACAACTCCAGATGGCAGCAAGCCTCAACCCTCAATCAATATCAGCTCCCTCCAAGATGGGCTCGGAGTCTTCACATCCAGTAATAGCAACACCGAACCGAACACTCCACGCAACGAACCTACAACACAGCCAGTGACACCAGAAACAAAACCCATAAAATTCAAACTAGTCACTTGGACCTCCGAGAATGACCCGGAAAACCCTCAAAACTGGCCTCGAAGCACGAAACTCCTCCGCTCCACCGCCCCGCTCTCCATAATCTTCTCCATAGCATTTGCCTCCTCAATCTTCGGCGCAGCAGCAAATAAAACAGCAACAGAATATGGCGTCTCAACCGAAGTAATGAGTCTAGGTGTTTCGCTCTTCATCGCCGGTTTCGCGCTAGGACCTTTACTATGGGCTCCACTTGCCGAAGTAATCGGTAACGCTCCCATTCTCACAATAGCCCTAACAGGGTGTGCGATATTCCAGATTCCACTAGCCCTAGCACAGAACGTACCTACTATCCTTGTATCCCGGTTTCTTGCCGGGTTAGCAGGTGCAGGAGGGTTGGCTGTTGGATCTGGGGTATTAGCCGATATATTCGGGCCTATTACACGAGGAATCGCAGTGGGGACATCAGCTAGTATCATGAATCTGGGCTCAATTCTTGGTCCGATTGCTGGGGCTTATTTAGTACCCAAAGAAGAGAATGGGTGGCGTTGGACAGGATGGTTAACACTGATAATGTGTAGCGGAGCGGGGCTTATTTCGATATTCTTTTTACGAGAGTCTTCGCATAATCGGATCTTAATGCGCAAGGCTGCGCGATTGAGAAAGGAGACTGGTGACCAGACTCTGCGTGCACAGGCTGAAATGGTATCTTTGAATCCGCAGGTCCTGCTAAGGAAGTATGGGAGTAAACCTGTGCGGATGTTTGTGCGAGAACCGATTCTGATTGTTATGACGGTTTATTTGACGCTTGTATATGGCACGCTATATATTTCGTATCAGCTTTTCCCGCGTGCCTTTGAGCAGTGTGGGTGGAGTACACCGGTGGCTTATTTACCATTTGTCTCGGTGGGATTGGGGTTGATGAGTGCTTTGGCGCTGTTCTCTTGGTTTAGCATGAGATGGTATAAGAAGCGTTGGATTGCTGCTCAATCGTCTCAGTCAATGACAGGATCTCAAGAAAAAGGGCCTTTCGCAACTGGTCAAAGCTTAGCATCGCGAATTGCACCAGAATATCGATTGCCACCAATGATCCTAGGAGCAGTGCTTCTTCCACCATCTTTGCTTTGGTTTGGCTGGTCTGGAAATACGCATTGGGCTTCACAGGTGATCTCGTGTTTCTTCATTGGGATGTCGTTGCAGATTATCTTCATTTCAGGAATTGTATACATCGTGGATGTTTACCTTTTGAACACGGTATCGGCGATCTCGATTCATGTCATGGTGCGCAGCTTGGTCTCTGCGACATTTCCGCTGTTCGAGGGTCCAATGTACGACTCCTTGCATGTCAAATATTCTGCGACCTTGCTAGCGGGTTTATCCGCATTGATTATGGTCTCGCCGATCCTGCTGATAATCTATGGTTCTCGCATTCGAACATGGAGTCGGTTTTCAAGTTGAAGTTGACACTAGTAACTTGTATCAATTGATAGATACGGATAGAATCATAGATGATACTAGTCCTGATAAGAGATTTTCATATGAGAAAGTTGAATAAGTCATTTTGTGTATAATCGAAAGTCTATGTTTTCCAAGTGCAACAGCAGGGGGTATCTTGAAATGCCTTTCGGAAGATGAGTGAAAAATGTGGCCATGCAAAAAGAAGAAAAGAAGAAATCCGCCAGCTCCAATGAATGTGAAAGACGGCACCAAAGAATGTAGCCAGTAGGATATCGAAGAAATGTAAGGCCAAAATAAAAGCAACATCACAGTAGAAAAAAAAGACAAACTCCTTGCGCAATGCTCGTGTCGTATTGGCATCGTCCCAGGATCTAAATTGAGAAAGGAAAAGAGAGACAAGAAAAGGTATATGTGAAAGAGTGAAGGGCGAGAGATTGAGTAAATCAAGAGGGTATTTGGGAATCTCAGGTGCTATTGAACTCGCGCATTTCACGCAAGGCAACAGCACGACGAGTCACAACATCCTCCCGACGAACCATATTACGTAGCGCTTCGCTAGCTTGGATCAAGCCATCGATGCTGATCGCGTGATTGGTCATTTGGTGATTGATGTAGGTGTAGAGAGCAGCAGGGGTAGAGCAAGTTGTGAGTAGTTGCGGCTCATTGAGTTTCAAAAGTGCCAATGCAACTTGAAACAGGAATGTACTACCTCCGCCACTCCCAGAAGCAAGGTCCTCCGCTGTTGGGGCAATCTTGTCACTGCCGTCTTTGGTCGTCGATGCAGAGCCGTTGGGAACAACTGTGCTCGTCACATTCAGACACAGCACCACATCCCAAACACGGTACAAGGCCTCTGCAGAAAGACAATCTGTAAATACGGATAAGAACCACTGGAAGGTCAGAGCTTCTAATTCGATTCCAAGGTCTTCCAAGTGAGCAGACAACTTGGGCAGAAGTTCGGAGATGTATTGGCGTAGCACGACCTGGTCAGCGCGAGATGCTAGAAGACCATGGTCATAGTAGTGTTGAGGAAGGATGATCTCAATCATGGAGACCAAGATCCAAAATGCATCTTCAGCCGTAGGCATGATAAGCAACAGAGACGCGGCAATAAGATTCATGCCCTGGCAGTACCCGACCTCTCCATTGCGACGTGAGTATGCCAAGAGCACTTCTTTGAGTTTTGCAACGCCTGGCCCTTTGCGAAAGAAGACATTATCAGTCAAGGTACGCCGGATATCCATGTCGATCTGTGCGACGACCGATGGATCCGGCTCTGTACCTCCAATGCCGCGGACAAGCTCATCGTAGTATCCTGGAATGCGCATGGCAGAAGCTCCGCTACATTCAGACCAGACTTTCGCACGGAGAGCGACAGGAATACCGCCGAGCACAAGCGTGCGGAATTCGCGCCATTTGGCACGTCCGACTTTACCCTTATTTCCAAGTCCGGCGATTCCAATCATTTCGCCATCAGTGAGAGTGGCCTCCGGCGTATCAACTGCAGTGACGACGGTGCGGTCTGAGGATGCAGCCGCCGCAGCTTCTCCTTCTTTACGGCGCTCTGCGCGAACTTTACGGAGAAACTCGTTCCACCGCACCGTACGATCTCGCTGCAGCGTATCGTGGAGATCAGTTAATTGCTCCAACAATAGCTTAACAGGCTCGGTCTCGGCAGCGCCTAGCCTGTTTGTGGAGATTGTCGCTGGTTCATCTGAATTCGTGCCTGCAAATTCAGGTCGATCAGCTGTGACTGCTGATGTGCTTGCGGATGGCTGAGGACTAGGGTTGACTGACAGGCCTTTGTCCGTTGAGATCGACGAGCTGTGTGGGCGACTATCCGTCGCAGTAGTTAAAGAAACTATAGGGGCGGTGAATGGAGTATGAGAGAGAAGCTCTGTTGGGCGCGAGGGTATTCTCAGGTAATCCTGCCAGCGACGCAATCCAACATGCCCACTTTCAGGGTCATCAGGTGAGCCAGTGGGAGATGCGGGGATGTTGATAGAGTCAGGCCGTTGGTTGATGGAATCATCATCCGCATCGGATGAATCGCTACGGAGATTTCCAAGTGTCTCCGCAATACTCAATCGAGGGTTTGTGGGCTTTGCCGTGTTTGCTTCTCTCTCACGCCGCTTTCGGCGCTGGTCATAGATGAACCCAAATCTATCAGTGAGAAATTCACCGGACACCGATTTATTATAGATAGGCGCAAGGGTTGGAGGCCGGGACTCCATGGGTAGGATGGCATCCATCTCAACAGGGCCAAGATTGGTCGAGCTTCTGTCTGTGCCTTCGGGTGTTGCACCCTGTGACACACTCCCTGCCGGGGTTCTCCGGACACTCGATGGATTCATCTTAGAGATAGTATTTGCACCACCTGCGGACCGAGTGGAGGGGATATTGGTATTGCTGTTGATTCTTTTCAAAGCTGCCACCGCACTCATCGCACCCTTTTGGTTTCCGGGTGGCAGAAGACTAGGGTCTGATGGAGGTTTGATGCGGCCACTTTCAGAGTCACTATTATCTTTTCCTTGAGTATTACCAGCAAATAACTTTACAGTCCACGAACCAAGCGAGCGCGAAGATTTTCGCGAGTGGATGCTTGAGTCGTCACCGTTGGTAGAGTTATTAGCAACACGCTTTGCTAATGTGTCACCCGGAGGCTGAAACAGCTGGTCATCAAGAGCTTTGCGCCGAGTTGAAGGGTTGCTCGGTACTCGAACCCTCTCGATATCTTCCTCTGCAACTCCTTGCATATCACTCGTCACACTGCTCGCGCGGCTAGTCTTCCGGCTAGCGTTTGTGGAACCAAAAAGATATTCCTGCCAGCCACGGAGCGAGCCTTGCCGCTTGCGATTAATAGTAGTATACTCAGGCAGTCCATCAGCATTCTCCGGTCGTTGTGCACGAATAGTGGCCTGATGTTCAGGTGCAATACCCGTTTCTACATCGACCTGGGAGCCCACTGCATCCGTCATGGCCTGAGACATCAGCCCATTAAGCCCAGACGATGACTGCTGAGACGCCTGGTCACCACTGTGAGTACTGTCAGTGTCCGAGACTCGATCGCCGGCCGGGTTCTCCAGCTGATATAGCCGGCGTTCAATATCCTGGTTGGATACCGAAACTTCACGGAGCATACGTTTGAGCTCCCGTTCCCGAACATCGGCACGCTGCCTCAGAGCCGAGATCTCGGCATCCCGTTTGGGCCAGATCGCGAGCGAATTGCCTGACTATCTTCACGGCTCCGGTACTCGCAATCAATCGCTCAATGGGCGCATCATCTGCCAAATGCAGTGCGCCGGGGATATCGTGTGTAGAAATCGAATCATCAAAGAGGGCTGCACGACCTGTGTTATGAGACACACCACCCGTGAGCTTTGCCAAGGTCGCTTTCCGTCCCCGGCCAGTCTCATTTATCCCATCACCATTCTCATCCGTCATCAACGTATTTGTCAGGCCTCGTGTCAAAGTGGGGGAGTGGTCCGGCGGGGAGAGCGAGGGGAAAGATGTGAGGTCGGTTGTCTGGTTTGTCTGGTTGGAGGAAGTCGAGTGTCGTTTTTGCGCCTGGGTGCGCAATGTTGTTCTAGCCCTTTGGCTTCTAGTTGACCCTGAAGAAGCTAGAGACGAGGAGCGTCGCGGTAAATGCGGGCCGGGCTCTGCCATGACTCAACGAGTTGTAAATGGCATAAACGTTTTGTTGCGGACTTCATGAATGCTTGTGAAGGGTTTAAAAAATAACGAGAAATAAATGACCAGCTAGCATTGGCTTTTCCGTAAGCGTAGCCCCTGCCCAAATTGTCTGAAGCTCCTTTGAAGGTCCTTGTCAGTTTCTCGTGCGCTTGAGTGTTCGCCCTTGGCGATCCTGGGCGATCTGCGTGGATCTATGGAATGCAGGGCGATCGACCTCGAACTTGTATAAACCAACAGATCGATTTCCTTCGTAGGAAATCACCGGCGAGCGAAACCTCAGCCAAAAGAAAAGGTGACAAAAAAAGAAGCTTCCAGACTTCAGATGGAAAGCCCTGTCATGCCCAAAACACGGTGCGGGCACATGACGTGATGTTTATCAGTCACGTGAAATGCTTATCAGGTCATGTGTGGTCAGCTGACATGAGCCTCGGCTTTTCTCCGCATAACCGAGTGGGGAAGATGCGAGTGCGGGCTACTACATAGTATTTAATTGTTTGCAGTTATATTCCTTTTATTCTTTGTTTCTGAATATATCAATTTTTTGCTCTACTATATCCTCTTTAGTTATGTCGTCATCATCGGCCGCAAAACAACGTCTCCAGGCTCTAAGTCAACAGCTCGTCCAGGGCATCCCTGACGAAGGCACCTTCGAGGGAATTCCCCGAATCCGTCATATTGCTTCGGATTCAGCTGGGCCGTAAGTCAAGTCAATCTCCAATTAACCTTCACAAGTCAAGTATCTTGAGATCACTGTATTCAACATCAAAATTGACCATTTTCCAATAGTCGAACTAAAGACAAGGTCGTAATCGTCACTGGTAAGCTCCCTTCCTTGCTCCCGCAGACCATTGAAAATAGTTTATGGATGTCAACTTACATAAAAATAGGGGCCAACTCACCAAATGGTCTTGGTCGCGCTAGCGCCCACCAATATGCCCAAAATGGCGCCAAAGCAGTCTACATTTGTGACTATGACGACAGTCATCTCGCAACTCATAAACGGGAAATAGAGTCTCTCTACCCAGGGTGGACGTGCACACTCGGCAGTTCGACGCAGGCGATGAGAAAGCCGTGGTAGCAGTGATTGATGACGCGATATCCAAGTACGGGCGACTAGATATCTTCTTCGCGAATGCAGGAATAGTAGGACAACCGAAAATATTCACCGAGATTGATGGCGAAGGGTTCATGAAAACTATGAGAACCAACGCACTTGGGTAAGTCAGCACCACATCCGTTCTAGGCATAGAAACTAACACAACTTCTCAGCGTCTTCCTGGCAGTTAAGCATGCCGCGCCCGCAATGAAAGTAACTTCGGAATCAAAGCTATATCCAAGTGGCTCGATTATCGGCACCGCATCCGTAGCTGGCTTGCGCTCAAATGCAGGCTCAACTGATTACTCTGCATCCAAGGCAGCGGTTATCTCCATCGCACAGACATGCTCGTACCAGCTCGCTGGAACTGGAATCCGGGTTAACGCTATCTGTCCTGGTTTAATTGAGACGGGCATGACTCAGTCGACGTTTGACAAGGCGCGGGAACGAGGCACAGAGCGCAAGATTGGGCAGCTGAATCCCTTGCAGCGTGGCGGAATTGCTGATGAGGTTGCGCGTGTGGCGCTTTTCTTGGGTAGTGATGAGAGTAGTTATGTGAATGGTCAGGCTTGGGCTGTGTGTGGTGGCCTGACTGCGGGACATCCGTTTGTTCCTGGGAAGTTGGCTTGAACACTGGCAGTGGTACCTGAAGGTTTGGTTGATGTCCGATGGAACCTGATTTTCAAGGTTGAGAGGCATCTCTCGAGAACTTGAAAATGACGGGATGTATATATTATCCACAGGACCACCACCGTACTACCACTACTAGTAGTAGTAAATTGAAGCCATTGCAAACTTAAATCTATATTTTTTCCATACTATTACCCATCAAAACAAGGATATCCCAGTCTTCAATAAGAACCTGATGTCAATCATCCAGAAGTTCAATGTTTCAGTTGTGAAACCTGAGCATCAATCGACTTATCACATTCGTATCCCATGCGTCCCAACATAAACCTTGATATTCGCCTGAGCACATTCAGACGAATAGTAGTCTAACTCTATATGGATCTTCTCCCGAATTACAGTACAACATCCGACTGAACGTGAAGCAATATCAAACTATTATAGAATCCATTTTTAAATACAGTAGGGACGGAAAAATCCCTCGAGCAATCGAATAAGTCCTGTTCGATAACTTTGACAAAAGGAAAAAAGGAATGTGTGATGTGGACACAAATTAGGAAAAGAAAATCCCAGCTGCAAGGGGGATCTCGAAGCAGATGAGTGAGTTGCAAGAGTGGAAGTGGAGCGCTCTCCCGCGCGTCGAGTCTATCAACAGGGTTGAGCGCAAGAGGATTGAAAACAAAGACACCGAACATTTGGGGGGGAAAGGGGGAGGGGATGAAAGTCGGAACCATCTCAGAGGGTACGACAGGAAACAGATTCTGAAGGAAATAAGTAAAAAAGGGGACGGAAATTGAGGTGTATATTCAAAATTCCCTCGGTGAACACCAATGATATAAATAGACAAGAAATGAGATGTTGCAAATGGGCGGATGGATATAAGGGAGTATCAAGATAAATCGACACGACGAAGCGAAGAAAGAAGAAATATATCAAGACTACGCCGGACAACCAGAACGTATGTGCGTGTTGGGTCACGGCACTAGTCAGTAGAAAGGAAAAAAAATCACCACGCCATATTGCAGCAGAAAGCAAAGGCACCAAAATAAAGGAGTAAATAAAAAAGCAAGATCGTCTCAGTCAAGCGTGGCATCATCCTAGGGCTGATGGAGCAGTCTACGAGATCACACGGGCTGTCTGGGGCCGCATGAGGTCTTCACTGGCCTGCTTGGACAGAGTACCAGTTTCAGTCTGCTGGTCATCCATACCATCGGTCTCGTGGCCGTGCTCATCGTCATCCTCCACAATCCGGGTTGGGATATCACCAGGACCATATTGTTGGCTGGATCGCTCGGGGAAAGTGGAGCTGCTGACCATGGACATTGAGGTGCTGGAACGGTTGTGGACCAGATCAGGGGTGGGGGGGATGCTGGAGTGACGGTTATCTGGGTGCAAGGAGTTGTTGTCGACGTCGCTGATTTCGCTGGTAGCACGGGTGGTGCGGCCCTCGTCGTATTCAGAACCCAGGTGCTGTGCACTGTGTCGCTGGTTGTGGTGGTGGTGAATCTTGTGAGAGGATTCGGCCTCGTCGTCCTCGGCGTCCTGGGCGAGGTGAAGACCTTCGACGGCGGCGGCGCACTGGTCGCTGATGCTACGGATGATGTCGGCGATAGCATCTGTCTTGTCACGAAGGTAACGGTCCGCGACATCTGTGATGCTCAGACGAGCAAGGGTCTTGTGATCCTTGCCGAGGTTCAGCAAATGCTGCTCTAGCTCGGGGCTCATATGATTTACCGATGGTTTTTGACTGATCTCCTTGATAGACGACTTCTCCTTCACAGTAACCTCCGCACTCTTCACGCTCCTGTTGTCGGAGGAATCTTCGGCCGCGTCTTCGTAACCCTGCTCGACCATCTCAGTAATTTCAGAAGCGCTACCAATTGAGCGAACGATGTGCTCCATGTGGTGGCTCTGGCCGTTGATGAGGCTCCGCAGGTGCAGAACCACGCGCTGAGCCTCATCACGCTGACGGCCAAGGGTGGAGTTAGTGTGCGACAGAGCGGAAATCTCCTTCTGGTTGCGCTTGCGCTCACGCTCCAGCTCCTCAGCAATCTCCTGTTGAAGGACCAGAGCCTCAAGGGCATCATCACGCTGCTTCTCAGTACCAGACAGGCGCAGAGTGAGACGAGCGACATCATCCTTCTGCTGGTCAATGAGACCAGTGAGACGACGGTTCTCACGCTTGTGGTTCTCAATCTTGACCTTGAGTTCAGAGGTTTCCTTGGTGAGCTGCTCAGCAAAGGCCTGGAACTTGAGGAACTGCTGCTTCCAGGTCTCGAGCTCCTCGACAAGGAAGTTGTTGCGCTTGGTAACCTTGCTGAGCTCTGTGTCCATACGTCCCTTGAGGTTGATAAAGTCTTGCCAGGCCTCCATAGCATCGCGAGAGTACTGGTTGCGTTCGCGAACAATCTCGTTGAGGTGACGCATAGAAACCTTGGTCATCAGAGGCTTCTTGACAGAGCCACCGAAGATAGCCTTCATTCCGGTGTTGCGACCGAGCTTCTCACAGACGTGATCCATCACACCCATCACAGCATCCTGGTTCCACCAGTTGGGGTCCTGGACACTCTCAACCTCGCCGCGCATGACAATGATCTGACCAGCGGGGATCAGCTTGCCACCAGCGTAGGCAGAGCGCAGGTGAGTTGGGACACCCGAGGGGGAGACATCGCCATTGAGAGACTGGGTCAATCGGTTAATGAACTTGGTGCGCTGGCCCTGGTTCAGAACGTTGGGCGGGCTGGAAGTCAAAACAAAGTTACGATCCAGGTCCACAACAAGAGCATCAGAGGGAGCGTTAAACAGAGTTCGGCACTCGGCAGTGATACCCAGAATGTAAGGACCAGGTTCCTGAACAAGCTCCTTAACGTGACGGGCGTGAACCACAGGAACGTAAAGACCACTCCACTCGTAGACACGAACACAGTAACGGATTGTCTCCGCAGCCACGGTCAGCATCGCTGGGTAGTGAGACACAAAGATGATACGGCGAGTAGGCGAAACAGCAGCCTCGATCACACCGACGATATTCGGGATAGAAAGACAGTTGAAAAGGGGCCACATGGAGAAGTTCTGGAATCCAGTTGGAGAAGATGGGAACTGGTAGCATAGAGCGTAATCCTTCATGTCGATGCGAACCAAGTCATTCAGGCGAGGAGCCGGGAAGCTCAGAATACGAGAGACCTCTTCAGCGTGGAACAAGTTGGTAGCCTTGTTCCAATGAATCCACATTCCACGGAGATAATCGCCCAGCAAGTCGTACAATGGGTATCTGGACAAGAAACTCAAGCAGTAAGGAATCCAGTATGTCTCATCGGGGTTGTCATAAAAGTCGGGCTCGGTCTTCTTGCGCAGTTCACGGATGGTCTCGGCACGCTTCTCATCAGCACGGGACCAGACGCGCAGCGCGATACCGTACAGAGTGTGGGAAGAGTCCTGCTGTAAGACGAAGGCGTGATGGGCACAGTGAGGCTGGCTCTTGCCTGTGCAAATCTCGACATCATGGGGGAAACAAGCCTAGATGAATTGACATATTAGCACTGCTTATTATTTCCATTCGTCCCATTTCCTTTCCATCTGTAAAATCTGAAGATATCAATCAATGGGATAGAAAAGCTCAAACTTACCCGCATAGCAGCATGCAGGGCCCGGGCAATCTCATTGTCCTGCTCTAACCTGGGACTACTACCCAGAATCTCTGGAAGCCAGAATTGACCAACTGCTCCTTTCATGTGTCCAATCTTTCCCTGTTCTGGAGCAGGAGCCTTAACCCATTGGGAGGGTTCACGGCCCACACCACATACCATGTAGGCATGGGTCAGGGTTTTCGGAGTTCTCTGGACGGGTTTGATGTTCAGAGTAGAAGGAATCGGTTGGGTGATACGAGAGTGCAATGACGATGTGCGACTGGGGACGACCAGCGAATTTTCCCCCTCGCCGCGAGTTGATGGGCGGTCCCGAGTGGATGGCCGCACGAAGGAACCATGATCTCTCAGAGATGGTCCCATGGTGAATGTGATATGTTGTATATGTGTATATAAACCTCGGTCTTTTCGTGTGGTTTTTTTTTGGCGGAGTAATCCCACTCCTTCGAGGTAATTTCTTGCACTAAGTGCTAGAATACCAGGAGATGGGGGGTTAAAGAAAGACCGGAGATAGTCGAAGCGAATTGATAGATCACAAAGAGCGTGTTATAGGGGTTGTTTTTTTTAATCGAAGTCGGTGAGAGGCCCATGTGTGAAGGTACAGAACGATGGTTCTTTACCAGGCACACACATACACCTTCAATAGAGGAAGAGGAAGAGGGAAGGGTTTAGGGGGGGGGGGGGAAATTGGAATAGGAGAAGAAGCAGCCAAATCCAAACCAAGTCCAAAGGGGGTTCGTTCGGAGTCAGTTACGAACCACTTGAACCAGTTGAACCAGTTGAACCAGTTGAATCACTGATGAGAGTCGGATGGGGATCCACTTGGGTCCGGTCCGTTAATTAAATTGAGCAAAAAAGCGGAGATGAGAGAAATTGGAATTGATCCTTAAGGTCCAGGGGTGGTTTATTATTTATTTATTATTAATTATTATTTTTTTAGAAGAAAATAAGGGGATTTTTATTTACTTATTTCTATATATTATACCTTGAAATAGTTCACCGGGGAAGGGTCTATGTTCATATTGAAGGGGAGATTCTCAATGCAGGATTAATGCGGTGTGGTGTATATGCCCTGCATTGATTATGATTGTCAATCTTACCTTACTAATTTCTACTCTCTAATCTCTACTTTCAAGTTCAAGTTCAAGTTCAAGTTCGACTTTGTTATGGATCTTTACTACAGAAACATTTGAATATGTGATTTATCCTGAAGGTCCAGATGTCCTGGATACATCCAACTTGAACCTGCATCTTCAACCGTTTTGAAACGGTCCTGGTTCTATTTCCCATGCTTCCCCATATCAGTAAAAATTGATATATCACAATGGGCAATCACAATTATCCCACGGTCCTTTAATCCTACAGAGTACATGATACTCTTGCCACTGGGAAGTTTTAACGCCACAGCCTTGAAGTTCTCATGCATCAGGACTGCAACAGGACTGCAACTCTGCTGTCTTGCCTGCGAGCAGCGAGGAGAATATCTCCACTATGACAATGCTCATTGTGAATGACTCTATGGGAGAGTTTTCAACAGACCACGGATCGACTCATTTCCTGTCAAGTATCAAGATTATCTCTCAATAATATTGTTAATCACGATCGGGGTTCTCAAAGATCGACAATATGAACATGGAAGCGAGACAGCAACATTGGGTCCATGGTTCAAAAAATATCCCATTTGGCCCTGCAGGTGTGTCCCGCGTACCCGTCAAGAGTCCAGGCGTCCAGCTATCTGAGTGGTGCGTTCCCCTGACCCTCAGGGCAAAAGACCCACGAGAGGATTCGTGTTCGATGACCTTCGATCGCGCGAAGTGGTCCGTGTGTGGAGCCCCTGAAACTTCTTTTTTTCTGTTTTGCAACTTGGATGAGTTTCTTGAATCAAGTCTTTCAACACCAATTCTATGGAGTTTAACTGCACATGTACAACATAAGGGAAATTATCTTCCGCTTTACCCCTTGATGCTACTTGCGTGATGCGGTTTCTACCGTGCATTTCTCATTTCTCATATCATAATGCTCCGGGAACTCCGAGACAAAGAGACAAAGAAAAATAGAAACGAGAATAAAAAAAGAAAGGGAAGAAGAAAAGGCCCGCATGACTCTCATCAGCTCCCTCGTCTCTGTCTCCACCAATTTCACTTGTCAAAATCTACCGAGCCGACTCAGGAAAATTCTAACGGTGATCCTACCGGGCCAATCACTCAATCCGGGCTGGTGGTCAACCTTGTCTAAATTGGCGTCTGTCATTCACGTGTGAGCAATAGCTCCATGGAATCTTGAAATCTTTGGAACCACCCGATCTGTACTAGAATCCTGGAGTAAAAATAAAAAATGAGGTGAGATACAAAGGATTCAAGAACCACTGGGGGTACAAAGTAGAAGACATCGAGAACCAAAAAAGGAAGCAAAAGGAAGGGAAAAGGAACAAACTAGTCGGGATCATGGATCTTGACCATGACACCGGATACACACTATGTGCACTTGGTAGGAGTTATTGGAACTTGGTAGATGCCAAGTTCTCGCAGGGGCCAACGGAGCCAGACATCTGAATGTCAGCCGTACTCCGTAATTGATAAAAATGATAAAATGATAAAATGATAAATCCACACACCTCGAGATGAAAGGAAACGGGAATCCCACATGCATAGACACTAATCCCTATCTAGAGTAATTTAATGTCAGTGGGAATATAATGTACACCAACCCGTATCAGAAAGTTAAAAAGTAAAGCATACATAAACGAATCTCTTAGAAAAAAAAAATCCCTACATTCATTGAGTCTAGACTGGTTCTGGTTGTAGCCCCTCTGCCGATCAACAACCGGTGTTTCGTCTGCGTGGACTATGACCCACATCCCAGCTCCCCCAGCATTCCATCACTTGTACCTGCATGGTACGTAACTGCTACTTTGGGAATGGCGGTTTAGACAGTGGCAATTGAAGTAACGATTACCCGTTTGTCAAGTAGTTGTGGAGACGAAGTGCGAATCTCGAAAGCAAGTTTGGATACAGTGGCGAAGATAAGATTCATTTTTGCTAGAGATCTGGAGAGGGATCTTGGAATTTTGGAGCCAAGTTAAGATTGAGATCAACATTAAGAATTCATCCGAGTCGGTTTGAAAATTGAGCCGCTTTTTACCCCTTGGGCCTTGGGTCGCTTTTCAATTCACCCTTCCATTTCAACCTTGGAAGGTCGTCAACTGGTCAGACAGCTTACAAGCTAGGCCTAATTAAGCGAAGGCTGTCCAGACTCCATTTCACAACTTGAACGTTTATATAAGAAATTGTATTCTAGAGTTAATCTACCAAGGGCAGTACACCACGGGAGTGATTTCTGTTGGAGACAACTCTCCATAGCAAGTCGAAGTGCTCTCATCTCCATACGCGTAGCACTGCACCGTAAACGAAAGATCAGGGCAGGTGAACGTACCCACGGTGTCCTTGGTGCCTGTGTAAACACAATCACTCATGCCGAGAATGTCGACTCCAATGTCAATAGTACCATCGGGATAAGGCTCATTAGCGAGTGTATCGCTATTAGAAAGCGGATATGAGCCCAATCCATCACATGCCGTCCAGCTTGCGTCCCATGCGTGCGCAAAATACTCCCAGCTGTATGGTTCTAAGTCGCTATCATCTTCGGAAAACGCGATAATGAAGATTTCCGTATATGTCTCTGTCCCGGTGGATGTTCCGGTTGTGGTTGCTGGCGCTGTAGTGCTGGTACTGCTTGCGGTTGTAGGAGCCGCAGTCACTCCAGGGACGACTACGGTGCCCGAGAGCATGTCAGTGATTGTTGTGGATGCTGCAACGGCAGTAAACTCGGGAATGAGAACCACTGTGGTCCCATCAATTGTTGTTGTTTCCAATGAGGAGATGGAGGGAATAGAGATCGTGTTTCCACCAACAACAATTTCTCCAGAAGTTGGCGTGTACACGCTTCCACCAACTACAACTGATTCACCATACGTTGTAGAGGATCCAGTTTGGGTAGCGGAAGAGATGCCGTTCTCGCCTTGATCGTCGGTTGATGCCACCGTCACTCCTGCAACACAGTACTCGCCGGTAGTAGAGACTGACTCGGTGACATAACAGCCGGTCTTAACACTGGAAGCAGTTGTGGTACAGGTGCTTAATCCACAAGAAACATCGTAGTCCGTTACAGTCTTTGTAACACACTCGCAACCTTCATATGAAGCGCAAACAGTCTGGTAAGGGGTTGCAGTAGTGTAGGTCCGGCAGGAAGTAACTGTCTGAGTGGTACATGATGAAGAAGAGGAAGAAGAGCTGCCGGAGGAGCTGGGAAGATGACCACATCCAGTGGTGCAGGTTGGTGAGTTTGCACCCCTTGTGTAATGAGTTGTTTGTGGAGATTTGTTATCATTTGGTGGACAATCAATTGAGAACAGATCTAGAAACTTGAAACAGGCTGGAGTTGGAATGTCAGGGAAACCTGGTGCCTTTGGAAAAGGGAAAGCAGGATCAGTTGGCAGGGGAATAGGTGACCAGTAAAATCCTCCACTATTGATGGGAATGATGATAGGGATCAAAGTAGTTGTTGAGGTTTGAGTTCCCACTGAGTTCTCAGTAAAATAGGATGTGGTCGTAGTGGTAGTCTTCATGGCCGACAAACTGGTGACTTGGGCTTCAGACCAAGTCTGCGTGACCCCATTTGATGTCACTACCGTAGTCGGCAAGACTGTGTTCTCAGACTCCGTCGTCATCTGTACGCCGTAATTGCTGGATTGCGCAGGGGGTGTGAATATGCCGGTATAGCCACTGTAGAAGATTGTTTGAGCAGGAGGTTGCCAGCTGCTGGTCATGTTGAACACCAAAGTTCCTAGACCAGAAGGAATCACCACATCCCAGAAACTGATAACGGATTTGGTTTCTGAGTGATTAGGTTAGCCTTGAAGCATATAGTGCAGATGTATAGCAAATGTAGATACCTGGTGTAGGAGTGACAACCGTGGAGACCGTCACAACTCTTGTACCTCCACCGGAACCAGAACCAGAACCAGAACTAGAACCAGAGCCGGAGCCGGAGATGGTAGCAGTGGCAGTAGCAGTGGCAGTGACAATGTCAGTGTCAGTGATAGTGATAGTGACCGTGCCTGTGGCGGGGCCATAATTGAAGATTGCACTGCCGCCATCGGGAAGAGTCGAATACGGCATGACCAGAGTGCAAGGATCATAGCATTGGACTGTAGGATTAGGCTCGCCAAAGATAATTGGATCAATATAAACCACACCAGAACCGTCGACTTCAGGATTGAGAGAACTTCCAATATCAGCACCTTGTTCCGCGAGAACCAGCCAAGCACTGATCTCCGTGGAATAACCACTAGCAAGAAATTATCATGTTAGACGCTTCATGATGTATACACTAAGTTTGTTGGATGGATATCTCACTCGTCGTTGTCTGATTGGTATGTAGGTGGAATCACACCTCCTGCTGGGGTAATCATTTGTGTCGCACCGATCGTGAAAAGATTGTACAGCCAAAGACCTTGGGTATAACTTGTCTGAACAAGAGATTGCTGGCAATCCTCAGTATCTAGACAAGATTGGTCGTAGTTCGAGAAGAAACTGTAAAGTCCAGCGCTGTAAATAAACACATCCTCCGAATTCAAAATTTGCAAGGCCCAAGCCTCAGCGCAAGATGATCCCGAAGCGCAGTCCTCAAATGTGGGGTCGGAGTCGAAGGTACCAATGGTATATGGTGAAGTCGCATCTGGGCTAGCCTGAAAATACGGGGTCTCGGTCTGAATATGACCCATGAAGATATCTTTTGCTTCAGACAACTGGTACTGGTACAAAATACTGTGCTCCGAGGCGCAGCCATAGAACCACACAGGACCTATAAGTGTAGAGTAAGCTAACAATTTCAAGGCTAATCCAGGGAAATAAATATTGATGAGACTTACCTTGAGATTCGACAAGTACACCTCGCCCAACGTAAATGTCAATTTGCGTGGCTGTCGTGGTGGTAGAGTTTCCTGATCCTGCGTCTAGATCGTGGTCTGCGACCCATGCCCAGATGTTCTCAAAGTAGCCCGACGATGCCGAGGTGAGATGAAGAAGCATGCTAGCAGCCATACAGTCTTTATTGACTGATCCAGTCAGCTTGGGACAGTCGCCCGTTTGAAGATCAGTTCCATTGGCACCTCCCACACGGAAATGAGAGTCCCACATAGCAGCTACAATACCACGTCAGCACCCAGTGTGATAACCTGGAAAATATAAAAGCAAATTCGCAGCATACCTGATCCTTGAGTAGACTCATGAACATTCCACTCCATCAAGATCGCACCAGCTGTTGGTCCCTTCACTGTGAAGAGCATGTCGGAGATCTGAATTATTCCCGAATCGCCCAGAGAACCAACCTTGACCATGACTTGCGGGTTGAGCTCGTCTTCGAAATAGGAACCCGTGCCCATGATCTGTGACCAACCCTCTCCGACAATGATGGAGCCAACTGGAATTTCAACAGTTGACTGGACCTGGTATATACCAGCCGGGAAGAAAATTGGAGAGCCCACATTATCGCTAAGTAACGTGTTGATAGCAGATGATTGATCTCCAGTAGCGTCATTGCTAACACCATTTGCAGTTGCGACAATAAAGTCGGAGGCAGCGTAAGTCTCATACTGGGGGCGGGATTTCACAAAGTAGTCTCCATCGGGGTCAAGCAGACTTTCGGGCTTCTGAGGAGCCGGGTCAAGCAAGCCATAAGTTGAAGTTCCATTGCCGGTGAGAGAAGTGTAGCGTTTTCCATATGCCCAGGAAGTAACGTAGATTTCTCCAGAGGTACCTTTTCGACTGTTACTAACGATCATTGAAATAGAAGAGGATTTGGGACATGAGGGGAAATATGGAACAAGGCCTTACCTTCGAAAAGTGTGTCTCCACCTGAGATCAGGACAACACTGGCAGAGTTTGTGACATACAAGTTGTCCAAAAGAATATCGGGGTATGGGCCACCATTACGGAGGGTAATTGGGTAGGGAACAGAGTCGAAGGTTGAATCTGAGTCACACAGGTCATTAGTTGGGGCACGTTTGGGGTAGGTGAAGCGTCAAATACATACCAAGAACGGAGATTGAGCCAGTTCCCTGATTATCAGTACCTCCAATACTTGTACAATCAAAAGCCACCCAAACGGACTGGAAGTTGAGATTTTTCCAAGTAAATCCCCAATCCCAAATCATGGAGATACCCGTCAAGCAAGAAGTGAAAGTGAGATCTCGGGCAGTGTATTGCTGAGTTCCTGCACGGAAACCAATATTACCTCCAGTAAACTCAATATCACTGAGGAAACCACCAGATCCATTCTCCATGAAGATACCCACGGCAGTGGTTGTCTCGGTGGCTGTAGAGACAGGCATGGTGAATTTGAGATTTTGCAGGGAGGTCGCCTGAGCAACTTGCCAATGAAGACCAGTAGGAACATACTCCTGACCATCGTCATAGTTGGTCCAATTCATTGCAGTCAAATCAAATTCAAAGTTACGGATTTGTCGGTAAAACTGATTTTGGTTGATATACCACTGATCACCATTTCCGCCGGGGATGTAGGGATCAGTGTCAATCAGCGCAATACCAGTGAAGTTCTCGGATCCCTTGATGACCGGCATGTCATTGGGATCACCGACAAACTGTGAGTAGTAGTACTGAATGATTGGAGTGCTGACTACATAAGTACCAGCCTAATAAATTGTTTGTTAGTAATCATTTGAGGTATTTGAGCAATTAACGCTTACAGGGAAGTAGACAAGAGCTCCCAGCACAGAGGTGGATCCACAACTTTCACCACATCGGTTACCGTCAGAGATGGCCCTGTTGATGGCTGCTGTATCATCTGTGGAGCCATCACCAGTAGCACCGTAGTCCATGACATTACGGTAAAACTCATAATCGCTCGGGGCGAACGGAGACTGATCGAAGAGTGAGATTAGTATGAAGACGTTCATAGAATCTAGATAACTTCGAGTAGTAAGTCATAGGTACTAACCACTCCATGGGTAATGCCATTCATCCAAAAGTCAGAGGTTCGACGGGCGAGTTTAAAACCATTGCTTTTGTCATGGGTTTTCTCTGCCTTAGCAAAAGAAGAAAGCTGAGCATCAGAGGTAATAGGAGAGTTTAGAGATCCTGTTACGGTCAAGTTAGACACTTGAATCATCGGAAAGGAGCATTGGCATGTGTATAAGTCACCTTTATCCGGGGCTGCACGGAATGTGTTGCCTTGATTATTGACCATGTAAGAAGGGGGAGTCTATCATGAGTTTGTTAGTATAGGTACATATGATGATTGACAGCCACCGTGACCTGGGCAGCTAGTAGGACAAGATACCTTTGGCTTTCCCAAGGGAAGTGTCGATGAATCATAGCCGGCAGGCAGGGCAGGAAGGTCAATTTCCACAATAGGGGAGGTTGTTGCATTGATAATAGAGACAAAAAAAGAAAGAAAGAAAAGAACGAATTGCATGGACTTCATGGCCCCGCCCCTATGAGGCGGAAGGCCATCCATGTTGATAGGCCGGAATCTAAAGGAATGTGAAAAAATGAATGAAGGTGGAATTTGGATCTAGTGATGGGAGTGATGTCTCGCTTTATGTGACAAGAATTAGTATATGACAATTCTTTCTGTTATGGAACAACCCGGAAGAGCTCCGGACAACTTCCTTAGCTCATAGGGGCCGGAAGAAACCAAAGCCCATAGTTGAAATGTAATTTCCCTTGATTCAGTTATTATCTGAGATAAATGGTCACTGTCAGTATAGAAGGATTTGCGGAAGTTGTATTCTCAAATAGCCGAGCTCGTATGCAATCAATTTCCATGGAAGAAGTGGGTACTAGCTTATTGACAAATGCACGAGTCAGCGGGACTAGTTCCTGCAGGGTTGTATCAGACTCAAACCAAGCTCTGCCCAGGTGAGGCTATCGGAGTCAAGCGTCCGAGCCCGAATTATAGCTATACCACCACGTGGATATCTCCGAGTCTTCCTTCTCTATGCCATGTTCACACACACCTATTTCAAGTTCTCCCCTAGTATCCTGCGAGTGGTTGAATTTGATCAAGTTTAGCGATAGCCCCTCACCTGTTCGAACGTCCCTGTGGTCCGTGGATGTTCTAATTTAGCGCATACGGTGGGGCATTTCAGGGTACTCGGCTTCGGATGCCGGACGACGGATTTACTAGAATCCTTCGAAGGGAAGTTGATTTTGTGGGTCAGTGTAAAATTGAAATTGTGACTATGATGGATTAAATGAACTAAAAACTAGGCAGACAATGGATAGACTAGCTCTAGTTTTGTTTCAGTTTTTTTTCGGTGGTTGCTTGACCTAGTTTTGTCACAAATGTACACTACACTGATACTAGGTAGTAGTGAATTCATCGGATGATTTCTAGAAAAATAAAGGTTACTAACTATCAATTGAAGCTCAATTTAACTGCCAGTGTGCTCATAGCTTGAAAAGGTACAGACGTCTGGAACGGCTGAAGCAGTTGAAATTAGAAGAATAATATAGTACATACAGCTTGAACCTTGGAATCCACGGATGAATTCAAGTATTGGCAAGATAAATAATTAGTCTGTATCTCATTTTACTTAGTGACTCGCTAAGGCTTTAGTACCACTCCTTTGGATAAGATTGTAGACTAGTAGATATTGCCTTAAGTCCGAGTAAAACCAAGGGGCCAAAAGAGTCCCGAGTACGAGCTACTAGTAGAAAAGAACGGCTGAGTTTCGGCAGATGTGGTACATGTGTGTATTGTATTTTCCCTTTTTAAAATATCTCAATGGTTTTTCGGAAGTCCGGACGAATAGCGTATTCTTGGGATGTATTTATAAGATTGACCCCTAGAGCACATTTCTGTGCATTAAAAATACCTACTACTGTTCTTCTTTATTCTCGTGGTAGTTCGCCTGGGTAGTAGCACTACTGCTTGGCCCTCATTCCATCATGCGTGTGCCAAAATCTCCCAATGCACAATGGAGTAGCATATTATCTTTCAACTTCTCTGCTCTTTTCATTGCCATTACCTTCTTTTCTCCGATAGCTGTTGGTCTTACCTACCAAGAAGCTATCGGCAAAGGAAATGCTCTTTACTGCTTGATGAGCAACACTGCCGATGGAGCCGAGGAATACATGCAGACTTTTAAGGCAGGTGTTCCTGTGGCAAGTAGCTGGACAGAATACAGTTCATTGAGTACTTGGGGTTGGTCAGATAAAGCCAACCCTGAAGCCTCGTACGACCAGGTTTTGGACAATTATATTGGGACAACCTTGGACCTGGATACAGATGATGGTATTCCAGTCACTCACAACCAAGATGAGATCGTAACTGTGGGCAATGTCGAGTACCCAGTGAGTTCCAGACGAGCTTTCAAAATTCTAGGAATTTGACAATTTCTGATCTCTTATAGAACAGCGGAGGAATGTACTCAAACGTCTTCTATGTTGAGCAAGGTCTGATTGTTGCGGATGAGAACTTCAGTCCACAGAGCAGAGCGCCAGAGTTCGTAGCAAAGGGATACCCATATGTCAAGCTGAAGCAGTGGTCTGACGTTGTATTCCTCGACTGGCAAAATCAGTGCAGTACAAATGATGGTGATATAACCAACTTGAATTACTTCATTCGGTTTAGCATCGCGAATTTGGACGCTGGATCAGTCATTGGCGAGGTTACCGGCGGGGCAACGATTGGAGGATATAAGACGCCGATGAAATTTAACGCGGGGTCGGATGAGTTCAACGCTCTACTTGGAACCCCAAATGGAAGCGGTGTTGCATGGTTCTTGATTAACCATAAGGCGCAATTGGGCACAAAGACACTCGCTTCTATCTCGCTTTTCAGGTCGAAGGACCCGCTTGGTGGAGATCCGGTAACAAACATGGCATTTGAAGTCATCGACTGGTCAGAATCATCATAGAGTCGAGCACGATTGGTCTTACATAGACGGTCAATGGGTTCAATATTGGGAAGAATAATGTTGAGAGGAGACTCCAGGGTTTGGATGTATAATATGAGTTGACTCTATATACCGTCCGGGTGGTTTTTACTTCAACTTGAGGTTGTTAGAATAAGTTCAAATCATGATGGACATTAGTACATACGATGTAGTAGCTTACAAGTCCTCATGCCGCGCTTCGCGCGGCACTGTATGTAGCAGTGAAAAAGAGCAAGGTATCTATTCTCGAGGTCAGCACTCAACATTTGAAGTGCTTGGCCAGGAATCTCGATCAAGTAGACACAGTGACACTACAGCCATGTTCACATACTTAAGTACCCAGTCAGTAGTATGTACAGGTATCTGGTGACATACCCCTCTTTGCATGTAAGTACCTACATTGTTACCTACAGGGTTACCTGAATGATTATGTGGAAGGGAAGGCTAGCTGCTAGGTAGTTGGATATAGGCAACTGGTAACCATAGGGATGAGCTATAGGTTAATTCTGCCTCTCTGCCCAGGTGTTCTGCCAGGCGGGGAGGAAACTCGAAAACCCACTGCAACCCAAGTAGGAAAAGAGGTCTATCCCCTCGTGCTAGGCAGTTCAAGTTTTTGGACCATGTCATATAAATTTGTTCAACGCTCTCATTCTATTGAAACCACAATCCAGTTCAAGTGTTCAATATTGGCTATTCATCCTTAGATCCACATGACCTTGATTCTCCACGCAAACCATCTCTCTCCCTGGCCAATAATATTGGCGCCTTCGCTCGATTTCTTCCAAATCCTCTGCTGTTAAAATACTTTCCCATCTCACATATTGATCACACTCTGACCTTGGGGCCTGTGGTAACTCCATGGGATTTTCCTTAGCATAGTCGAGACCAAGGGCTGCCAGACGACCTTGATCCCAAATGGCAATTCCATATTGACGATAGGGGTCAAACCCCACATATCGACATGGTGAGGTATAATGCTTAGATAGGGTCAAATAAGAGGAATAGCCGCGGTTGGAATATTTGCGTTTCGTAACATCGGGAATTAGGCTGAAAGGGGGAAAATCTCCTTCATAATGCCACCCCGCGTTGTGCGCTAGTGATTTGGCAGCACGGTATCTTTGAGTAACAGTTTGCAGGGATGGAAATAGTTCACTGGCCATGGTTCGATTGGGTTCCATCTCGTCATTAAACAAAGAATGACCCCAGATCTTTTCAAAAGGCACACTGTCAAACAGATCTCTCTCCTCAGAAGTCCATCGGGTGTTGCCGACACCTGATCGTAGCTCCCAAATCAGGAAAATCTCCCAAAGAGCACGAGTTGCTATTTTCTCTTCGGATGCAGATACCGAGCCCATTTCACCTTGCTGATATCGGACCCGAGGGGGTTTAGGTACGGGAGCATACACCAGGTTGTCCGGGTTAGCGACGCGTATAGGGTTTTGGATGTATCTCTTTTTTGGATTTTCCAGTCGAGAAAATTCCAACTTTTTGCAACGATCGATCATCTTGTGTAGAATATGGAAAACCAGATAACGGATTGTTGCTGCCGCTGCCAGGACATCGAACATAATTGATAGAGGCATTTCGGGTGGCAGAGAACTGTACTTCTCTTCATCGCACTTGATGAATTCGGCAATGAAAACAGCGATGTTTCCCACCGCACGAGTGTCCCACTCTCGAAACGCCCATCGCAAGAATGCAAATTTGCGAGCAAGAAGCTGGACTGACGTCGGCAAAGTGAGGTGGATAATTGTGTCGATGATTCGCCGCGCGGTTCCCTCTTCATGGAGGAATGAGAAAACCAGGTAAGAAGATCGAGACAGATTGTGTAACGATGGAAGGTCTAGCTGAACAAGTATCATCTCCAGGATTGGCCCTGGTAGGAGACCAAAGCTATCGCCGGCACGAACATTCTTAGTCATCGTCAAAATCCCTCCTGGGCAGCGCTGGAGTTTGTTTTTGTTGACGCAGTGAGAGAACGATAGCCAATGCCACAAATGCCACAGTAGCAAAGGTCACCTGACAGAACCTTGGTTTTGAGAGAAGTTTGGAGGGAAAGGTTTTTCCCTATCAGTGATCGAAATGAATAAAAAACAACTAATCCGCTTGAAGATGAATTCAGTTTGCCGAGGGGTGATACACTCATCCCTACCTGGAGACTTCGGGAGTACTAGCACGGTTACAACGCTAGGACCGTATTATGGCCCCTGGGGCCTGGGGGCTCTCATGTTAACTCCGAGGTATGCACACTAGCATTGTGGATCTAAGGCTTAGGCTTCCAAGGTTCCGAGATTATTAGTGGCGTAGACCCTGCTACAGCACCCTTCAGGGTCTCGTATTCTCTTAGCCCTGAAAATCCTACTATTCACGCTACTAATTATACTAAATACGCCAAGTACGCCACTCAATTTCAAGTTTGTGGATAGTAACATAGATATAGATCGACCTAATTATTACCTACTTTGTCTTAGCTTACCCGCCAAGTTCCGGCACATGGCACCTGCACATGTGGCATTCAGCCTGATCTTAAGATTTTATCATTAACCCTCTTCAACACCTATTACTAGGTAGTGGGTATAACTATATGAATCAATTGGAGAAAAAAGTCCCTACATACCCCCAGGGGTACCTGGGTACCCAGCACTGAGGAAATGCGCATTACTACTACTAGCACAATTGTGGATCTTAGGGTACTACTCCAGTATCTTCCAGATGTCCGAGATTACTAGTGGAGTATGCCCTTAGTGCTGTCTTCAGAGTTTTGAACTATACTACATAAGTCTACACTTGTAATAAAGGATCCAACAATTTGAAATGAACATCTGGACCTTGGGAGCACTTGAGATAGGTAGGACCCTTCAGGGTCTACTGCGTACTACACTAGTAGTAGTAGTATTAACCCCTTAAAATCCTATCAACACTACTAGGCATTCATTCAAATGTTACCTAGCTCACCCGCCGAGTTCCGTTGTGCACTGTAGCCTAATTCTCATCAAATTGCAGAGATCAAGATTCAAATGTTGATTATATGGCTCAAGTGCTTGATTACTATCCATCATGATGGCATCGATTTGAACTGCCAATGCCTAGAATTGATAGTTCAACTCAGGCTATCATGATGTGACTCTATCGACTGCCCAATCCTCTTTTAACCCTTGGTTTCTGCCAGGGTCTTTTATGTAGTTCATAGAAACCGATGAGAGGCTCCAGTCACAGCCTTGGAGTGCCGGGGAATTCGGCAAGAAAGAATCTTGGAAAACAGAAAGGAGCAGGTACTAGTGCCGCACTAGTAAATAGTCGAAGCACTTGAGTGGACCAACTTTTTCAAATCCCCTGGGGCCGCACGTGCGTACTAGCACTAGCGTGTAAGTTTTTGGCCCTTAAGGAATGGTATACAGAAATAAATTGATTCACCCTTGGTCGATGCATTCAAAGTGGCGCACTACTACTATTAGTATGCTGGATTGCGAAATTGGCTGTCATCGTAGGCTACCGAGTACTACTCCGAGTTCTTTAAGGTGGGGGCCGTCAGGCCGGATACTCGCCGGCGGTCAATTGGTAATTCTCATTGAAAATCAATTTGGGGCATTCCGCGGATAATGAGCTTGAAGCGAACCAATGGTGGGGTGAATGAAACCTGCGTTTGAATCAGGATGTTCGTAGAGAAGCCCAGGAGACATCTGGATGCCAGTGCCGCTTGAAAGCATGCCTCGGATTACTCCTACTACCTCAACCACCTATATTCACAACCTTTGAAGGAGAATATGGAACTTGAATCCCTGTGCTATATTTAACTTCTGGATATGTACATTTTGCCACTGCGCGATGCAATATCAAATGTAGACCGAAAGCAAAAAGAAAAGTTTGAATAATGTACATAACGTCTACCGGAAGATGTAGACCATTCCCGCCCGGTCAACACTCACTATCATCCCGTAAGGCTGTCGCAGCACGACCACATCCTGAATAATATCCAGGTGGCTCTTGAGCAACATTTGCTGCTGAAGGCTGATGACCGTGCTGCGGGGAGGTCGAGCATTTGTTCCCTTTTTAGACCCCTTCGCTGGGGTATTATTTCCGTTGCCAGAAGGACTGGGAAATTGCTCGGAAACGACTGTCAAGTTCGGGCCAGGTTGTGAGATGTCGTAGTTAGGCTTGTCAGCAATAGTTCCATCTGGTGTCATCTCCGATCCACTGACAATCGTCGACAGCTCCGGATGCGCAAGGTCCCAGAATCGGATTTTTCTGTCAGACCCCGCAGAGACAATGAATCCGCACCGATTAGAAGTTTTGTCGTCACCAGGGGCATTCAAACCCACTGTAAACGCCCAGGTCCCGAGACGATCACCAGAGGGCGCATTGGGTGGTGAAGCTGAGCCAATTTCGCCCGTGGGCAACCCTCCCGCCGCGGGAGTGGCAGTAGCAAAGCGAGTAAGCATTCCTTCTGGTCGGTCTTCGTCGACAGGCCATGCCTCAAAGTCTCGGGCAGTAGCACGGTGCAATCTGTTATTGACACCTCGGGAGCCACGATGGTTTCCATTGGAGGACTCCTCTTTATTGTTCAGCGGTGTCGCCTGGTAAACCTCACGGCAGCGGAATTTCTCAATATCCCACACCGTAATTTCATTTCCGTGGCTGCCACTGCTAGAAACACAGACCCAACGTCCACGTGGCTTCGTGGGATGTAAATAGATTCGTTGGATCGAGCCCCAGCCTGGGAGACCCCAGGCTTTGACCCGTACTCGAAATCTCAGGTCCCACAAATCCAACACTCCATGCGTTGTACCGACAAGAAGCCATGTGTGTCGGCGATCGCAGCAGAATGTAGTTGGGGTTCCGTGATGAACAGGGTTTTCCAATGTGAAAATGGGCAGCATGGTCTTCATGTCCAGCGCGAGAATTCGACATGTGTTGGTGGCAATAAGGAGGGTTGACTGGCCTTCATCTCGGAAGTGTTCCATCCAGACGGCATACTCAGGTGCTCCATTGACAGTAACAGGCAAATGGTACTCACGGACGAGTTGAAGCTTGCCGTACCGAGCGTTTTCGTTGACCTTTTGGTAATCTACCCGGACGGCATGGATGCTGCCATCAGTGGCTCCGCTTACGAATGTATAGGTATCTTCAACAAAAGTCAATGCCTTCACTCGTGCTCCGGCTGCATGGCGATGAGTCTGGCGCGACCGAGGCGTCAAATTTCTCTCAAGACGAGTCGTGTCCCAAATTTTGACTGTGCTGTCATCGGATGCGGTGACGAAGAAAGAGTGGTCAGGGGGTACGGAAATTCGATTCACTGGCCCGCTATGTTCGCCGAAAGTCGCGACAAGATTACCCTCAGGCCTCCAGATCTTATTGGGATCATGTGTGTTAGCCTTGCGGATTGGCTGTCGTGAGTCTAGCTCTTTGACGAATGGTCCCATATCAAATAGGTCGGTTGGATAATTCTCCGCAAAAACATTGTCCAGCAATCGTAGAACGACTGGGTCATCACCTGCATATGAGTGATTGCCACGATACCGACGTGTTGTCGTTGCTGCTGCTGCTGCTGTTGCTGAAGCCGGTTTTCGTTCGTAGGCCTGGGTGAGTGCCGATGATTGAGGTGTACCTGCTCTTTGAACTGGGGCATCCACTTTACCAAATGCATTCGCGGCACTTGTACTTGTTTCTGCGAATGCCTTTGTGGTGTCATTGCGACCGAGAAGATTTATTGCACTTGATTTTCTTTGGACTCTGTCAAGTCCACCTTTCAGTGACAGGTTGTCAGTATTGGTGGGCGTTGTTGAAGAGCTTTCATGGCCAGAACTGAGCCGTCGATCAGTATTATGGCCATCTGAGACCGGTGGAGACAATGGTCGAGAGCTAGGACCAGCTGCAGGGGATGAAGCTGCCGGGGAAGACGAAGAAGAGTCCACGCCTATATCCCCAGCGCGACCCAATCGTGTCAGTTCTGTCTCTCTGTGAATCTGACTTCTTGACCGAAGATGATTGAGATGAGGATTTGATCCCCGCTCGATGGTGGTAGAAGCGTCGAGTAACGCATCAGCAATTGTTCTTGGTTTCAACCCAGCTGGCTTGTGGCTTTCGTTTTGATCTCGGGAGATGTTTTGCGGCCTGTCATTAAAGAAAACATTTTGAGGTGTAATTTCTTTCTCACTCAAACTGATGATGTTGTTCGACGGCGGAGTGGGGCGAGGGCTTTTATCTTTTACTCCTTTCCTTAGCGTCAATCTCCAGATATAACCCTTGAGGGCAACAAGTTTGACCTCATCATCGGAGCCCATGCCCATGCCCATATTTCGCATCCTGACTAGCCACTGCTCATCTTTCTCATTTTTCAACTGAGAACCAAGAGAGAAAGAGCGCCCGGGCCTCAAATGGTGTATACCGGGTTCGGACAGGCTGAATGCACCGTCACGATCTGCAGATGGCCAGAAGATCCCTTTTTCTGGCTGGTTGCTTTCTAGGGGTTTTTTCTCTGCCTGGTAGCTTTCTTCAGCCCAAAGAAAAGCCAGGTCGTAGAGACTCTTCGACATGGGTCGTTTAAGTGCACTGAGAACTTCAACTTTCGAAAACCCCACGATTTTGACCCTGAGGAAAGGCCGAATGAGAGGTGTTAGAATGGAGTAAATGTCAGCCATAGATAAGAACTTGGTTGATTTAACCACGAGATCCACCGTCGCCTCCCGAATCCAGACACTAGGGTGAGCTAAAAACCCGATAGTGATATGGAGCAGATCCCACGTGGTAGATCTCTGGAACAGCCCGAAATCCGCCATAGCCGCTAGGCATCGAATCACCCTTTCCACCACAAATTCCTCAGGCTCGGTCATTGATGGTATCATCAGGGGCAAGATGTACTGCTCCACGCTTGTGCTTCCCACGTATGCAGCAACGCCGACCACGGTTTCGAAGAAAGCGCATTTTAGAATCCAATCTCGATCATTGAGGTATGTATTCAGGTGACTGAGTATAACCTCATTGGCCTTCAGATTCCCGAAGAACACGCAGAGTCTGGATACAGATCCCAAGAAGGCTCGGCGAACAGATGCATCGGTATCAGTCAAGAGCGCCTTGGTATGAACTTCGAAGTATTCCAGAAGATCAACTCGAGCAACATCATAGAGATTGTGATACGTAGCATCTTCTGTCCACCGTGGCTCAAAGCCCACGGGAAGCATCGTTGTTAAGCGGGCATCTGAACGCAAAGCCTGGATCATATCTAGGAATCTCAGTGAGGAGTGCGCTAACGAAGCAATACAAGAGGCATAGGCAGCCCGGACCATTGCACTCGGGTTGCTTTTTGAAGAGATGACGAAATGCTGAAGACGAGGGAAGATGTACTCTGGGAAAAGGTAGGCATTTACAGGAGATACGACTTGGACCATCTCTAATAACTGTGTCAAGGTGCGAATGGCCGCAACCTTGACAGAATCTGTTCGGTCCGCCAACAGAATCATAATGTGTGGCAGGATACGATCGAGCTTGGCCTCATCGGATAATCTCTCTGTAAATGCCAGAAGAATGTCACAAGCTTTGATTCGAGCTGACGCATTCGAAGTTGTCCGAAGATTGGAAACAACGAGCGTCAGAAAAATCAAGACACCTTCATCCGTTTCTGTTCCTGACAGTTGATTGTTCCCCCATCCGGCAGATCGAGTTTGACAGGGAGGATGTTGCCTGTGAGCCGGGCGACAGTAGGGCTAGACACTTTCTGGGATGCTCGAGATGACGTCCCGAGGAAGTAGGAAATCTTGTCAAAGTCTAGGCAGACTCGTTCTATCCTACCATCTGACTCGCCTCTGTTGGCTGATTCCGCGTCCACCTTGGTTCTCCCAGAAGATGGATCTGTCATTAAAGACATGTATTGATGAAGAAAGCTGTAAAAGTACTCTGGAAACGCTTTATTCTTCCAGAAGTTGAGGTACTCTTCTGCAGAATAGCGTGACTCCGGCTCTAGTTGAATCATATGCAAGATCAAGTCACGAATTTCAGGGTCCTCGATTTTCGCGAGTTGGCCGTGTTCCGGACTGTATTCGCCTTTCCGATACTTGTAAATCTGGCTAAGCGTAAAGATTGGCGACTCAAGGAACAGCTCGGCAATCACACAGCCGGCACTGAAGATATCCATTGCCCAGTTGACATGACGATTGCCGGGCTCTTCACCCGCGACCAAAAATCGCTCTGGGGCCAAATAGCATGTTCTTCTACCAGATGTATCAAAATAGAAAGAAAAGTTAGCAGGATTATCTTCTGGGAGGAAAGTCGGTTTGAATGAGGAAGAGAAGTCAGAGAGATAGAGCCAATTCCATGAGGTAACAAGAATATTCTCGGTTTTAATATCCCCATGAAATACGTCAAGAGCATGGCAATCCCGCAGAGCTCCCAAAAGCTGGAATGCAATCCATTTTTTCTCAATGTCCTCTAAGAAGGGACGTGTGCTTCACGGTAAGTTAGCCTCTGTAGTAAATTATGCATAGAAATCTATCAGACATACCTCATCCGATCATACAATGAGCTGTGGATATATTGGCGAACAAGGTATCCACTGGTACTTGTCTCCAGAATTCTCTCGTAGCTCAATGCATTGGGCACATCAGATAAGAGCTTGCGTTCACCTGCAAATATATTAGTCCAAACACAAGAATCCGCAATGGGGTCCGGAAGCGTACGAATAATTTCCTTGATGTATGGCTCTAGCTCCATGGTGGGGTAAGGCTTCATGATGACCTTGACAAAGACCAGACCATTTTGTTGTCTAGCACGGATGCTCTTCATGAATCTGCCCCCACCCATCGACTTCTCATACATCAGGTCTGAGAGCTCTGGCACATCGATCCCTGCAGACCCTGCAGACAGGGTTGTGAGGGAGTAACCTTGTCCCATGGTGGATCATGGGTCTCATCTCTCACTTTGATTTTGGTCCCCTTGGAGATGTAGAAATGGGGAGATAGAGGCGCCAACGATAAGCGGGAACGAGTGAGGTCACTTGATGACACACCACGTGATAGGAAGGCGGTGTGAGATGCCAACACATGCACTTGGTGTGAGAGTTGAAGCCTCAAATATTGAATTCACGTTTCAGCAACTCCTTGGAAATATTTTGAAAGAGAAGACCATGTTTTTATTCGAATTTCCCCTTTTTCTACTGGTTGATTGATTTAGCACCAGTCAGTGTGGTGATTACGAAGGAGAATTGTCTGGAAATCGGGACACACCGACTCGGCCCGGGACAAATAAACATCCAGGGGTGCATGTATGCAGGTGGGTTAAAGACTTGGCTATATCGTGATGTTGAGCGCTCGATCGACATTGGCAGGAATAAACTAACTTTGGGAAGCAGATTAAGTTGAGCAAAAACCAAAGATTCCAAAGTTGATACTATTATTTATGTACGTGCATCTATTACAGTTTGAGTCGTTGCACTGCATCCAGATTGCACCCGTTCCAAGGTTCAATCCAATCTGATTCAATGTTTGGACCCGCCTGCCGCTCAGATAGCGAACCTACTACTGCTAGTATCATGTACACTGAAGCCAGTCTCAACATGGATACCGATATGGAATTTGTTGAAATTCCCATCATCGACACTGATGAGTCGTTGTTTTCTGTGATCCCAAAACTCTCCCGGTAAACAAGATAGTTGCGATCGTACCTAATTACAGAGCAAGGCTAATATTTTAGTATAGATTTATCCGCACGGCTGTGGGTGAAATGTCATTTTCATTCGAGGAGATGACGCATGAAACTCGTGGGCATCGTCTTCGACAGCTGGTACATGCCTTGGCTGAAGATAGCCATAACCCGTTCATCATTATTGCCTTGATGATCCTCAAATGGGAATTTACAAGTGCTGTCGATGACGACTGGGGATTGAATGAAAGTCGCGGGACAGCCTGCGAGTTTGTCGCATGGCAGTTCTTATGTCACTTGAATCAGAGTGAGACGATTGAGTTCTTGCTGGAAGAACTTCCAATCCCTCGTCGTAACTCAACAAACATCTTTGAGGTTGAAAGAGGAAATTCTGGCTTTGAATTTGCCGAAGAAACGGAAGCCACGCCTTTGTTATCACGCTCGCCAACCCCAATGAATCTTCTTGGACTCGGCCAAACAAGTGCGAAAGCACCAAAGAATCGAGAGAATTCCGATTTACGTGATCCAGATACGATGTATGATGTTTCACGGTATTTCCAATTCTTTGGGTTGAACGCTTTGGAGATAGCTGCTATCGCGCATGCCAAAAGATTTCTCAGTCAGAGTGTTGTTCAACGTGTGGTTAATGACATATGGAAGGGAGAGATTGTCTTCTGGGATTCGCTCACCGTTCACTCAACAAAGAAGCCCCAAATATTCAACCGAAAGTAAGAACAGGCCTTTGGAAAAGCATTGAATCATTAACAAGGTCTAACATGAGAAATCATCAATATAGAACAGCAGATCCGTACTCACGTCTTCGAGTACCCGTGTATCGAAAGATGTTTGAGGCTGCATTCTTCCTTTCATTTTTGTTTCTCTATTATTCAGTCCTCGTGGAAAGAAGTCAGAATTCGATTGGAAGATTCGAGCTTGTGATGGACATTTGGATCATTGCATTCGCCTATGACGAGTTGAGTGGTATCATAGATGCTGGCGTACTCTTCTATGGGATGGATTTCTGGAGCCTCTGGAATCTCGGTATCATCGGCGTTGGTTTTGCATTCATAATTACCAGTAAGACTCATTCTCTCGAATCTGCCTTGTGTGACTCTGAGTATGTGTCATACATCAATATTGCTTTGCTGACGGGCGTGTCATAGGAATCATCGGGCTAGCCAAACACAGTGACTACATTCTCGACTTGTCATTCGACATTCTGTCGTTGGAGGCTCTCTTTTTGGTTCCGAGGTGGGATCGTCTCAATTTCATTGGTGTTCATGGATCATCAGCTCTGACGCAACCATATGCACAGGATATGCTCGCTTGTGAGCTTGAATGGATATTTTGGGAGCTTAGTAGGTCGAAGTCGCCCTGGAAAAAAGATCCATCCACTGACAATGCCATTCAATCAATAGATCCCCGTGCTGAAAGAAATGGTGCGGCTTCATCTTGAACACTGGACGCCCGAGGCTGACTCTTTGTTCAGACAAAAGCATTCATGCGGTTTCTGCCGGTGGTGTTGGTGTTGTACACAGGTACGGGGAATCTTCAGGCACAGCCTCCCATGTTGGTATCAGTGTATCACTAACGGTGTGGGGAAACTTCAGCCTTCGTCACGACGTTTTCCCTTCTTGCCCGTGACCGCTTTTCTCTAGCAGAAATGTCGTTCTTGTTGGTGAAGGTGTTCTTTGGGTAAGTCGGTGAAGAATCCTTGTTTTAGACCGCATTTAGTCTAACATTGGGGCGAGGCAGATCAGGTACATTGGGATTGGTGAGTGGTTTCATGATCCATAAAAAGAAAGCCAAGTTTTACTGACGGTGGCGAAATCGATTGGATGATAGGAAACGGCATCAGAGGTTAGTCTCCCGCACAGGGCCGCACTAAGCGGCTGTCCTGCAGGCCGAACACCCTAATCCTTGCTGCTTGGCAAAATGGTTGGCTATCATGTTAAGTTTTCTGACGCGCTAAATTTTAGATCTCCCCGATCTTCGGCTATGGCTTAATGTACGTTGTTTTCCTTTCGTTTCATTGCGCCACATGTTCCCCTCCCAAGACGGAAACCAAATTGGCATGCCGCATACCATGTTGGTCACGTTTTGCTGTGACAATGACCTTGAGCGCCGTCATTGCGCCCCTTTTGTATTTCATATTTTTTTTATTTTTTTTGCACCCTGATTATTGTTTTTGCTAGGGCTGCGCAGAAGCTCATGGGCCCCCACAATAACTTCCACGCTCATCAAGACCGTATGTACCTTTTGACGCCGATGTGACTGACAGTGCCCACAGGTTGATCTATGTCTCAATGAGCAATATTTTGCTCCTCTCATCTTTGATCAGTTTGATGAGTATGAGCCTTGAAGGAGTGGGTCTCTTCTTAATTTGTCGCTCATAAAATTGGATGGCTACTAATTAATTACCACCAAATATAGGTGATGTCCCACGCTCGTGAGGAATACCTCTTCCAGTTAGTACATTCTGTTTCATTTGGAGCCGGGAAATGTAACTTCCATTGATCGATTTACTGATACCATCTACAGGTTATCTATCTATGTGCTCGAAAGTAGTAACTCCCGACGCTTGACGTATTTCATGCCACCTCTGGTTCGTTAGATTTTGACTCAATATTCTACATCCTTGAAGACGTTAGAAACTCACGTGAACAGAATCTTATCCCTCTCCTGTGTATCCGCCCTATGCGACTGTTCCTTTCTGCGGGGATAGTTCGTCGCGTGCGTATCATTTTACTCCGAGCCACACATCTCCCTTTCGTCTTGATGATCTGGGTTTATGAGTCAAGTCGGCCACATTCCCGGCATTTAACCTCTCGCTCCCCTTCACTTATGACAGGAGGACGGCAAAGTAACTCTGCTAGTTCAGCGGGTGCTCCGAGATGTCAGGATCCACTGCATCCTTCCGTAGTCGAGACAAATCGTCGGAGCGCTGTTCATGACCAAAATAATGTGGATCGACATGATGCGCATGAACCAAACTTAGTGCGGCCTGGACAAGCACAACTCACGGATGTGATCGACGCTGTGGAACGGCTCCGAGTACAAGTGGAGCGCGTAACCATGGCACTTACGGCACAGGAACGAGGCAAATAAATCCGTCATTTATTATTTTTTATTGATTTTGTATTTTCTTTTTTTTTCTCGAATTTGATTTCTTTGGTTTTATTTTTATCTGTATCTTCTGTCCCGTTTCTTGTCATGATCCATGTACTTTTTTTTGGGCCCCATTTAGGCCCCATACGCCTTTACTCCACACTAGAGAGGAGGAGGAAGGGTGTTTACATAGAAGCGGCCACTGCCTAAGTGCTAGGACCACGCACCCTAGAGTGGATTCCATAGTGGCCGCCACTGTGTGACATCTCCAGGCTTGAACATGCCAAACCGAGGTACCTGAATCAGGGTGAACATTTCCAAGGTTCTTTTGTTTTGTCTCATACTATGCTGATCAATAATAGATGGGCCAAAATAATTTCATCCCAGTCCTCGATCTACTCTTGACCATCAACCTGAAATTAGTACTGATCCGAGTCGCAACTTGAAAGACCTTGCGGGGTCAAAGGTGGATCATGCACTAATAGTATACAGATGGATCAAGCGGTTCGGAAGGGGAATCCCGCATAACGTGAAAGTCACGATGGGCAAATTGAGAAATTGAGACCGTATGTTTGAAATTATGGTGAAATGGTCATCGGCCGTATCATGGACTCTTCACATTCATTACCACCTCTCTTTCCCCTTTTAGGAAGGCGGCTGTGTACACCAGTGGCCAGCATGCACCGCACCAATGCATCTCGCCAAGCCGAGAGCCATACCCTCGGACTCATTAAATGATTCTGTTTGGCTGTTTTTGACTACCCTGGTGCATGGGACGCGACGCTGTTGGGCAGACCAGTCCAGCGGTGATCAAAGGGATGGTTAGCCTTTCCCAAGACCATAGGTTGCAGCCGCCGTTGATGCGTTTATTCGTTGAATATCGGGGGTTTTCGTTTTGTCACAGTACAGCCTATGTCAATCCATACTGTAGCATGTTTTTATTTTATTTTTTTTGCTTCTCTGATCCAGAATGCGTTCACCTGAAAAGTGTTGGATTCTCTGCCCTATCGGACCGGCAAAACTAGTCCAAAAAAGGATTCCTGTACGCAATTCTGAACAATAACATATCCGTTACGGAGTAGTAAAGAAAAAAATCGGGTATCTTCATCGGTTTCCTCCGGCGCTAAACGTTACAAGTCTGCAGACTTGGGCTGCTATCGATCTTGTCTGGACGCCGACCCCCCCTTCAACCGTTAGTCTCTCTCCCCACTTGTCTTGTCCACCGCATCTGCAGACCCCTTCTTCTTGAATTCTGCCTTGTCTGCGCAGGCGTTAGATTATCAACTCTTCACCTTGATTCAGTCTCGATGCGGTGCAGTTTTTGCTCCAATAGTGTATTGTTCTTTCTCCGTTTCCACTTGCTACCTCTCAGCCACAGTCTCATGTATGCGGCTAAACATGAGTAAGAACTCAGCTGATGAAAGTCCATTTCTTATTTATATTTGGCACTGTCGCTACTTTGTTTGCAATAATTTTTTGGATATAGCTCCATTGTGGTTGCTTTACCATTTGCATACTACTCGTTCAATTTTCGCGTTGAAGTTTCTCAAACCCACCAGGTCATTATGAGTATGATGGATCATAAATCAGGCTCAGCAAATCGATCTTCCTCTATGGTGCCCTCACTGGCAGATGATGCTAGGTCCCTCGATGTAACCTCTAACTTCTCGTCGCCGGTTTCCGCAACTTCGTCACACGCAAGGGAATTTTCGACTCCGATCGGCTTGGGTATTTCAAGATGCGGCCTCGAGCCTTCGTTCGATACCATGGGAGGCTTCACTAGTCAGCTGCCTTACTCAGTGACTCCATCGATACCGACGCAAATCGCACCCATGGATGACTTCTACAGTCTGCCGATGAAAGTCAGCGATTTTTCTGAGCAAACTGGTTTTGGGATCTACAACGGTTTTCCCGAAACAACTCAATCTATGGTTAGGTACTATGGCTCTCAAGCTATGAGGGCTTCTTCGAGCTACAACTCCCCAATCGAGACTGCATCGCTTCACACAACATTCCCTGGGCAGGTACCAGGTTACTGGATACCGGCAGCATGCTCGGGACCTACAACACCCCCAGAAGTTGTTCCGATTCAAGCAGGCAACATGACTGGTAGCTACTGGAGCGCACAGTGTGTTCCAGAGCTCTGCCCGACAATCAACGCTCCGGTATCTCAAATGGCTGGTGGTTTCTCGATGCCCGACAATTCGTTCAATCTGCGAACAGTCCCAGTGAGGGATAGTGAAGATTTTTTCTCGAAGGACGTATCTGATTCTGGTTTGAGCATTCCTGAGTCACCGAAATCAAAGCAGGGAGAGAAGGTTGCGAAAAGATCCTCGATAGCATCCCGAAAAGTTGCTGCGTCACCTCCTAAGAGAAAGATTTCCTCAAAGAAAGGATACGCTTGTCGTGTCTGCGGTTTCTCTTTTACCCGGCGATCCAATTGCGCGGAGCACGAGAAAAAGCACGACCCCAATCACAGACGATCTTACCCTTGTGAGGAGTGCCATAAGACCTTTGGGCGAATGGCAGATCTCAGGAGACATACGGATAATGTGAGGAAATTCACTGGGATTCTCTAGCCTCCAACTCTAGTTGCTGATGACTCTTCAGGTTCATCTTGGTATCCGCAAGCACATCTGCAATTGGTGTGATCGCCGATTTTCTAGATTAGACGTTTTGACAAGGTCAGCCAATACCCCTTTACTTGTCTTAGTCCTTTTGCTAATCTTTCATTCTGTTACCTGTAGACACATGAATGAGTGCGACAAAGCCCATGAAACCAGGCCTGGGTTTGAGCACCAATTCGCCTGTCGATCGGCCGATGAATCTTGGATGGCGGCTGCGACGTCGCAGCATGAGCTCCAGGACTCCCGGAGTTCTAATCCCAGACAATACCGGTGTTAAAGTCATGGCTTAATTAGAAGTGACCTGTGGTACATATATCATGGGCTTCGAAAAGGTTGAGTATATTTGACCATCTTGGGTCCTGCTGGACGGGACCTCACTGTAGATATGCATCTCATGCATGAAGAGTGTCGAGTTGTCGAGCTCGACACCGTGACAAAGTTTGGGCTGGGCCCCTTTTTTGCTTATTTATCTTTCACATCTACTACTGATAAACTATACACATGTATCTAGCGCTGCATTTCGGTATCCTTGATTTGGTAACTGACTGTATTATGACGTGGGAGGATCTATCTGCAGCGTTTCTTCATTAGCATTATCTATCATCGCATGCATTCAAATCATTTACACAATTTTACTTTTTTTTTCCTTCCTATGATGATCCCCTTTCTCACATTTAACCTTTCTACCGACTGGTCAATCCATTTTTGTTCCTTTCGGACTTGTTAAGCTGACGCGCGGTAAACCCCACTCAATAGTTCAACATAGTACGGAGTTCCTAAGAGCATGTGGGCCAAGTTGCCAACAATCCTCTCATATTTTCTCCTTAGCTCGAGTCTAAATTTCAGCAGCAGCGGAAGCAACCGAAAATCCCCCCCTGAATTTCTTGCATTTAATAATATCGCGCCCTTTTAAGCGAGGCTCTTCTCTTTATTGTAGTGAGGCGACCTTGGGAACCGCCGAAGATCCTAGGCGTTTCAGGAATAAGATAAAAATTGACAATTTAAATCCTAGTAGCCTCTAAGGTCTAAGAGGGTAAATGAAGAAAGAAATTCTCCGATCTAGATGAAGAAAATACCTCACATAAGGCCCAGTGCGTAGGTATAACAGCTTGTTTGGGCGTAAACAAGGAGTCTCGACTCTTGCCGCACTCCACACGGAAGTCGCTTACAGCCCAAATCACACGCTAAGATGGGGCGATGGATGCTCATCCCGGAGACGGGTCGGAGTGAGGGAAGAAACCATGATCTTCAAAAATCTTAATATGTACGTAAGAAGAAAGGAGACTCTATGTTGAAGTGGAAATCTATGATGATAAGTAAAATTTTAAGATCTACGGAGTACATCAAAACCACTTGGCCCAAGCTTCCTCCATGTGTTTACTGACACCTGGGCATCAACAAAATAGATGCCCTTTGGTCCCTATATTGTATTCGCTCTAATATATGACCTACTTAGGCAAGTCGGACCGAATCCATACTAGTCATTCAATTTTAACAGAATTTTCTCTTTCTCCAATCCCTGCAATGCAGGATCCGAGTTTCTCGTCAATCCGACTCGGATACAATACCGAGGAAAGTTTTAAATCCTTGCCCACTGGGGCACGTGTGGGGTCGTAAAATAACACTGAAAGACTTCAGCTCAGAATGGCATTATGGAGGCTATTCATGACTATGTGGTTTGTTCCAAGTTTATACACACATCCAGATATTCAAGGTTGGTATCCTCCCCGAGATCACTAAAGATCATTCAATGTTCAGCTCATCGAATCCATCTTGAGGAATCAGGTCTGACATTTGCCTGGTCCGGGTCCATTGTTTAGTGCTACATAGGGCAGATTTGGCGTCTATCCCTCTGCCGATCCCTGGGGTTCACGATGAGCTGAAAAAAACACCAGGACGCGAATACGCCATTACGATCTAACGACGATCCTTACCACTCCAAGCCATATGAAAGGCCATTTATTATACGGAGTTCTCCCCTATCCGTACTCCGAGTTCCGTCTGTGCATACATCAGTGGAGACAGCTAGGACGAGCAGACCATCCAAGTGGTGGATTCGTTTTCCTCCCCGGACACTTATTGTCGAAGTTTTCTAAATTTGGACTCGGTAGAACTTGGAGTGAGGCGCGACTATTGACAAGATTTGATTTCTAAACTTTTTACTCAATACGATAAGCGTGTTTTAACAATGAAAGTGAGTGATCTTGATATGTAAGCGGTGAATTGGACCCTACTACGCGATGCAAGCGCCACAGCTTTTCAAATGGAGACGTGGATCAAGACAACTCACGAATGATCGGCAGGTTGGGCATGAGGGAGCTATGACCCTAATTGAAATAAAACCGTTAAAGTATCTCACCTCAATTTGCGAATCACAAACGAGAGATAGAGCTTGGTTTGTTATAGGATTCTCCCCGAGCAACCGAGAAATACGAGGCAGCCAACCATTTAGAGCAAAGAAAAAAAATCCAGGGGAAATGATGATCAGCGAAAAACAATAGCGACAAACTACTGGCTGGGGAGCCCGGTCACATTGTTTTTATCATTTCCGAGTCGAAAATTCAGGTTTTTATTGATCCTCCTATCACACACCAGTTCATATCTACTAGCTTAATGGAGTAGTCACTAGCGCAAGGTATGATAAAAGAAGCGAATATCCGACTGTTATCGGCAAATAAAATATGACTTCAAATACTTCTGCCAGATCAATCGACCAAACAGCTTAACGCTGACGTTGCAGTAGTGGATAGTGAACGATCTCGGGATTTGAGTTACTGTTTTCGCCTCAACAGATACGTCAGAGATGCAGCCAGCGCTGATCCGGTCATGCCATCTTGTACAAAAGGACAAAGCCCCCACTGTGACTTGAACAAACATTTGAAGTGAGTGGAATCTAGAGCCATTCTGACAGGGATCAGCTATCCGTGTAATTTTAATGGTCTGAAATCGAGAGCGAATCAATTTTGGGATCTGTTTTCCCGCGAATAAGATGGGATGAAATAGATAAAATCATTATTGCTTAACTTGAATTTGAGAACAGGATCCATATAATTCGCTCAGTTATCAGCCCCTCTGCGCCGCGATGAACTATTGATGTTCCAAAGTCATTTATCTGAAACTTGTTATATTATCGCCAGCCGCAAAATATAGAAAAGTCTCAAACTAGGTTCGGCTTTTCCATGTAGCCTCGGGCTGAGAGATCGTGAAATTTGTATGTCTCACTTTTGATCCTCAAGTGCTAATTTGAGTTGTGGCATTATGGAGCCTGAGGGTCAGATATTCATTTTCATTTCTTGGAGATTGTGGTCTATGTACTCCGTACTCGTAACTTGAACCTATACTAGGAAACCCAAGTGCCCATTTCAGGTTATGGCACCCAGGATACTTCAAGTTTTCTTTCTGCTCCTGCTTTTACTCGGCCACTGAAGCTCAGCCATATCAAATAAGTTGCCGTGGCTATAGTTTTCAATCCCTCGAGGTCTTCGTATCGAATGGTGCGATCACAGGCGACCCAAAGTCATCATCACCTCCTGCTACCCCTTCCAATTGACTTCTATTACAGGTGTCAGAAAAGTGATCATGTGATAATGGATCAAGCCAAATGGACTTACTCTTTTGCTCGCTGCTCCTTGTGATCCAGATGCCGAACAACAAAAGTAGCAATAATAAAGCACAGAGACAGACAGCTCACTGTGATAAAGCCTTTCTGATACTTCGGTTCATTGACCTGCTGCCAAACTATAAGAGGAAGCCATACCTGAACAACATACGCCATCTCATTCATGCTTCCAATAACAAGGGATCGCTCCTCATTATCTTCAGAGCAATCTCGTGAGCCCAACTATGAGAATCCACAATTAGTATCGAATTCGCGCATCTTGGCATGTCGGTGACGATAAACTCACGCCATCAATAGACCACTCAGTCCGAACCCTGCACCACAGATAATATAACAAGTCCACTTCCACCCCATCGGAATGTCCCAGACTGCCATTGAAACATAGCTGATAATGTTTACGCATGCACCAAAGATTATCGGTGGCCATCGACTCCCATTAAGAAACGTATCAGAGCACCAAGCATACACAAGAGTCGTCACGACCTGAACCGCGTAGGTGGTAGTTGGGTATGCGTTGACCTTGTCTGTGGTGTATGTCGGGTCTGTGGACTCCTTCAGAAATTGCTGAAAGACGGGCTGGCTGCTTGCAGCGGCATTATTGAAGAGAATATGAAGCAAGCTCAGAAGATAGATATGCCAGGAAGAGAAGATTTTCTTCAGTTTTGCCTTGGTAAATGGCCCTCTGTTCTTTCTATCTTCCATTTGCATTCTTTGTTGTGCCAACGCCACTTTCTCCTTGGTAAGATACCACGGTTCTGAGATCTCGGGAACATCGGGCAAGACGAAATAGCTACTGATGGCTACTGGGAGGGAGATAATGCCGTTGATTAAGAAAAGCCTGTATGAATGGAATAATGGGATTAGGTCGATTTCAAGGTCATCTATTACGCTTGAGATCTCTGACTCGGACTTACCACTGCCATCCCTTGAAGCCCCCTTTGCCTGCGAGGTTCAGAACGGCATCCATAAGATACCCGGAGAACATACTGGCAACTCCACCACTCGTGTGGAATATATATGATCGCTTCGCAAGTTCGTCTTTCCGGTACCAAGATCCAATGATGTATTGCATCCCTGGGTAGAATGTGCTTTCCGCCAGACCTTGTCAATCACGCTTGTCAGTACCTCATCCTTGAAAGTGTGATGCCAGTCCTAGGTCTTCTTGCACATACCAACAAAGAACCGGATGGCATAAAACTGAGTCAAAGTATTACATCGCGATAAGGAGAAAGTAAGGACTGTCCACAATAGCTGGGATTATCTGTCAATTCCCGTTCGACGATGCGCGTGGCTGAGTGCACTCTACCTCTGCAGTTGGAATCCAGTATCGAGGTTTGATGCGAGTTAAGAGCAAATTGCTAGGTATTTGATCAATCACATATCCCACAGTCCAGCATGTCTGCATGTAACTGAGCTGGTCGCCGTACATGTCCAGGTCCTCTTTCCTGTGGATTACAAGTTTAGCTATCACTGTTCAACTCTGACTGACCAAGTATTTGCGGTGGAATAAGGAAATTGTGAGACGGGACGAACATTCCAGAAACAAATGCATTGCTGATATTGACTTGATCTAAGTACTTGATGAAGTACCCTGCAGCCGAGCTCAGTGGTTAACTTCAATCCTGAATATCACTATCAGAACCGCGACGGAATTCCTTACCAAGTGATGCAAAAGTCAAAATTGCCGAATCAAATTTGAAGATAAGTCGCCGCTCTTCTGGTGTTTTGTCAAAAGTATCCCAGATGTAGCTCACCCATCTTCTCTTTACTTTCTCTTTGACGGGCGGGATTGGAGAACTCCTCTCTGTGTCTTCTGTACGGGACACTGGTGAAGAGGACATCATGAGTGTCCACGGAGATTTCTCTTCTTGTAAATACAAGACATTTGAAAATTTCTTGCAGTGCAGGCCTTTTATATGGAGAAGGAAGAGTCCGAGTGGGGGTTTCATGCATTCAAGGCATCTTCATTCTGGATTCCAGGGTCCTATCACTATAGATCGGCAGTGACATTGTTAGCTGATCAATAAGCTCTCGCGATTCTATCGTGGACACATGTGTATGTAAGATGCGGGGCAAATTCTAAATTATGTACACAGGTAACTTCTTGCGGGGTGATAGCTAAAGGCCAGCCAAATTATGTATGAGGGGATGTGTTGGCGCAATTTGATGCGCGTATGACCAAGAGAACATTAAAATTCATTTACTGGTACATAGGACAAAAGTGGCAGATGTGTGCGGAGTTCTGCCGACTGAACTGAATTGTAAGCCAGGATTGAGTGCTCGTATTGGGTCTGTTGCACACCATCGGGCGCGTAGAAGCTCGCCATAGCAAGTTGCGATGGTGTATCACAGACCACTCACATGCAATGGAACTTTTATTTCTCCTTCTGACTGAGTCTTGAACTTCGCGCGTGGGAGAACCAAAGAGCAAAATATTTCGATTTCTGAATAAGAATTTAATTCATCTAAAATGCCTACTTTAATCTAAACTTCCATGCTTGATACTATCAAGCGGTGGCTTCCACCACTCCAGCACTGCTTTCTCTAGCACTGCTCTCAGGATTGTATAATCTCAATGAGCCGTCAAATAGTTTAGTCAGTCTCTCCATCTGCTCTTTCTTTGCTTCAACCCACAAACTTGTATGCCCCTCAATTGGAGGCAAGCCTTGTTGGCTCCTGTCGTTATTCACCCAGCCAAGTAATATTTTCACATAGCTCTCTTCTTCGCCCCTCAAGGAATGGAAACTCCTTCTATATCCTCTTGCGAGGATCTTTGCCTCGTATTCCGATCGCAATTCATCTTTTGAGGGTAACTTGATATTCCCAGAGAAGAATTCTGCGACAGCAATGGCTTGGAACTCAAACAAAGTGAACGTGGCTGTATAGAAGGGAATCCCCACAAATGCCAATGTCGGATCAGGAATGTAGAATATGTCTTGATGCAAATTGTGGACCTGGGTACCATCCGTGATAAGTACTGAATCATCTGCCTCGGTGACAGAAGCCGAGTTGTCGTTATACTGGGGGAAGAATGGTAGGGCCATCTGATATCCTGTACAAAGAACAATCCTATCAATGTTGTGGATGATCTCGCCAGACTTCAGGATTGCAGTAAGAGGCAAATGATTGCCCGCTGTTGAAGTATTGATCTTGAACTCTGCGACCTCTCCAATCCTTGAGGCATTCTCCGGCAATGCTGCAGCAGGAATATCGAAAGAACCGTTTCGGGTACTCTGGTGAATTATACGACAGACGGGACTAATCTCTCGGGCAATATCCATTGAGGAGACTCCGCCTCCGATCAAAAGGACATTCTGCAAAGTATTAGTAAATGAGGAGGGTATCTACCAGAGACAACTGAGCTTACCTTCTCTTCAAAGCCCTCCGCATTCCGGAATGACTTCGAATGTGTAATCTTTGAAGGCCACTTTTCTTTTGCTTCAGCTAGACCCGGGATATCAGGAACTAGAGGAGTATGATAATGGCCTGATGCGATTATAACGGCATCAAAGAGCTTTTCTTTGTTAGCGGGGGCTTCGTTTCATCTCATCTCATCTCAGAATGAAATGACATACCTTTGACTGTGTAGCCTCCACCAACTCGTTGGTCTGGTGTTCATTGTTCAATAACTTCCAAGAAACATGCCATTCTTGTCCTTCTTTGTGGATATCGGTGACTAAAGCGCCATAAATTGTCGCATCATCTACACCGGCCTTTTGAGATGTATCTTGTATGTAATCCTTGAGCACACTATGATTAACATAGTTTGGAGTTCCCTCTGGCCAATGATTTAGTTTTGTCCGTAGCAGTGGTGTTGACACATTATTTGTCAAGCTCTCATAACATGGACTAATTAATAGCATTAGTAACTTCGACTCGTGACTTGAATTCACCTAATTACAGGCTGTTGACTCACCCGGGCGGTGCGTGTAGTAGGACCTGTCTTTCTTTTCCTTCACGTTCGTCTTGGACATATCGCAGATTATTTGATGGCTTAATTGACGGATAATGGGCTTCGATAGGGACGCGCTTGTCATAGAGCCTGTAAATATTAGTATACTGCCTGAGTATTGTACTTGTTGACATTCGAGACTAAGAGCTCTTACCATACTCCCCCAGCTGCTTGACTTCTTTCAAAGACAGTTACTTCTTTCCCAGCTGCCAGTAAATGAGCAGCACTGACGACTCCCGAAATACCTGCGCCTATAACAGCTACACGTTGGATCTTGTTTTCGACCATGATGATCTGAGAATTATGGGGTGAGAAAATATCTTTCTACAATTGCGTGGGCCCTCCAGTAATAAAGGCATGGTAATCATGTTCTTAGATTATCTCACTCCACTATGGGCAACTATGAAGCTATTCTGACCCAAGATTTCGCAATCCAAACTAGTCGCATCCTCGAAAGATACACCTCCACCCAAGATTATAAATGACATCCCGGAACTGACGGCAACGAGACGGATGATTTTAAATGGTCCGATAAATGATCATCGTGATTGTCGTTCGAGATTGTGACATGTGGTGTTTCCCCGCTTATGTTGCTGCGCCATCATCGGACGTTGACTAGATCTAGGTCATACCACGGACGTACAGAAATAGCCATTCTTTTATTTTGGGACGAATGAGGGGTAGAAGGATGGTTTTCAATGGCGGGGTGCTTTTGTTAGCCATTGACGTGAAGTGGATTTACCATAAGACGCAATGCGGCGTAGCGATGATGTGCTAAGAACCCCGAGCATCCCGTCGAGGATCAGGACTCCTACGGATAGATTTATGTCGACATTGGATGGAACAAATCAGTTAAATAGAGATGATTTGGTCTAAGAGTGAAAGAGCAAATAGTTATTGGCAACTACCATTTATCGTTAAATTTGAAGAATTGAAACCACCAAGTTAACAATATGGCACCCGCACCCATCGATCCCCGCATTATAGACGTTGCACCTCCCAGAAAAGACACTCTCGGACTGCCTGCTCCCGCAAGAGAGCGACTAGAAAAGGCCGGGGTTGACCTGAGCGCTGGATATCCGTATCGCCCATCGCGCCCCCTCTATCTGGATGACGTTTACAATGTCCGAAACTACGATCGCGAGCATGTAGACCCTGGTACTCGCGCTGACCCCGAGAAGAAAGCACTTTTGTCAGCAGCAAAAGAAGTGATTCCTCTCACCAGACATATCGGTACTGAAATAGTCGGACTGCAACTGAAGGACCTCACAGACCAGCAGAAGGATGAGTTGGGTCTGCTGATCGCCGAACGCAGCGTTGTTTTCTTCCGAGACCAGGATATTTCTCCCCAACAACAAAAAGAACTGGGAGAACACTTTGGTGAGATTGAGATTCATGTATGTGAATCCAAATATAGCAAACGAAATGCATTCTTCATGGCAGTAGCTGACTCTTTCTGCTCAAATAGCCTCAAGTACCCCAGGTCCCAGGTGTTCCCGGCGTGTCCGTAATCTGGCCAGCACTGCAAGCGACTGAGAACCCAGCCAGTTTCCGTCGGCCGGGTGGTTCATCCCGATGGCACACTGACCTTGTTCACGAAAGACAACCTGCTGGTGTGACCCATCTCCACAATGACACTGTCCCTACTGTTGGCGGAGATACACTCTGGGCGAGCGGCTATGCTGCATATGAAAAGCTGTCACCAGCGTTCCGCCAGCTTATTGACGGCAAGACGGCTATCTATCGATCTACGCACCCATACTTGGACCGCAAGAACCCTGAGGCTGGCCCGAAGTATGTAGAGCGGGAACATCCCTTGGTTCGAGTTCACCCGGCGACTGGATGGAAGGCACTATGGGTTAACAGAGCTATGACGGATCGAATTGTTGGACTGGATAAGGCTGAGAGTGATGTGATTCTGGGATATCTTTATGATGTCTATGAGAAGAACCCTGATATTCAGGTTCGGTTCAAGTGGAGTCCGCGAACAAGCGCTCTCTGGGATAATCGGTTCGTTGTTCGGGATCATTTTCGTATGAGCGAGAGGCTAACAAGAATACAGTATTACAATTCACAATGCCAGTTGGGATTATGAAGGCTCACAGCCTCGACATGGTACTCGGGTTACTGCACTAGCCGAGAAGCCATTCTTTGACAGCAAAGCACCTACTCGAAGAGAGGCCTTGGGCTTGTTGGGACCCGAGGAAATCGAAGAGTTGACGAACCTGAAGCAGCTGGAGCTGAAGTAAACTATTGATTAACAGCATCTAAAGGATCACAGCAGATTGAACATTCAAATTGAGGGATTTTATATTTGTCCAGATGACAGCAAGCTTACTATGCTAGAAATGCTATCAACTTCTTGAAGCCTCTGATGATATCGCCCCAATGTTGATAGACACATATCTCGATAACCTCAAATGGCTACGAATTCGTGTTCAGGTTCAATCTTGAATTGATCCTCTAGGTATTTCTCGTAGTTCTTGTTGTAAAAGAGTACTGGCCCCCGGGGCCATGAGAAGTAAGCGGTATTCGGCGGAGCATGGATGGCCGACGCTGGGCGGGGTTTCATCACCGACGGGCAGAAGTTAACCCGATCATTCTTTCTATTATGATATTTAATGACAAGAAAGATCAGATAGTTACGAAAGTGCTGGAACTGTACATTTCTTACAGCTCTTCCATCATGTCCTTGCTTTCCAAGTCCAAATATCCACTCAGTGCTGTTGTATTACTCGGCGCGGTGATTTACGCCCTCCGAATCCATGAGATAGTTCTTTTGATCCTACCCATTTTCCGAGTGATCCAGCCCATCGAAGACTTCCCATACACATGTGAACGCGTCGAGCACCCTCTTTTGGCAGGATGCGAAGATATGTGGTTGGACCATGAAGGTCGAAAGCTATACGCGGCATGCGCGAGTATTGAGGGTCGAACGGGATGGAGTCCTGGTGCTGACTTATGGAATGTTTCGGCAAGAGACCGTGCCGATCATATCTCCGTGCTTGATATTGATGATCCCGGATCCGATGGTCTATATGGACTTCATCAATTAAAGATTGGAAGTGAATATCCTGGTGATTTGGACTTACATGGACTCGATGTCCGGCGAATCGGTGACAAGCTTCGCTTCTGGTTGATTAACCATAGACCACCCGTCAACCCCAAGACTGGGGAGCCCTTGAATGTATACGAAGTTGGGGCCAACTCAACTGTTGAGATATTTGATTTGAAGCTGGGGTCAGAGACATTGCAACATGTTAAAACGATATTCAGCGATGCGATTGTGACACCAAATGATTTAGCTGTGGATGAGGATGGAATTGGCTTTGCGGTCACCAATGACCATACGAATAAAGCCCCGGGATATTCTCGAGGCTTGGAGTTGTTTACTGGAGGCGGCAGTGTCAGCTACTGTCGATCAGATTCAGGCGAATGTCGCATCGCCACAAGAGAAGGTTGCTATATGGCGAATGGAATCGCCAATCTCGGCCAAGGGTTATTTGCCGTTTCTCAAACTGGAAGAGGTATTGTTGTAACATACAAAGTGGATGAAGAGAAAACGATTCTCGTCAATGAGCTAGATTTTCAAGTTCCGCTCGACAATACGTCACCCGACGAGAATGGCGATGTTTTCATGGCCGCATTTCCCGACGCCCGCGCTCTCTTCAACGCAGCAAAAGACCCATACGGTGTTCCTGCACCAGCCACCGTATACATGATTCCTCGACAAGTCCTCCAGGGGAAGCAAACACATGAATATAAAGGCTTGCCAGCCATCAAAGTTCTGGAGGACCGAGATAGCAAGCATTTACCAACCACTACAGTAGTTGTGCATGATGCGAAGACCAAACGACTCTTTCTTGCCGGCGTGCTCTCCCCTTTTATTGGGATTTGTAAAAATAATTCCTGAGATTCACGGAACATGGCATTTTTGTCAACTTGAAGTTTGAAAGTTCTCTACTCAAATAAACCAATCTTGCATGGATTACTTATGTTTGTACCACTAGCACAGCTATTTCAAGCTCAATTTCACGATGATTCTGACTTTCATGCACCTCATTGCTGTCATTTTATTCAAACTTTCATGTACCCATGTGGCACCTGAGGTTTCTTGCCACAATGATAGTCCAGATTTAAGAAAAAGCAATGCTAGGCATTGACGGTTCTGGAGCTCCGAAGACATGCATACCCATCAACGGGGCACGTATTCCGGGCCCCGGACGAAGAATCTCATTTGTTGATTTCCGCCATAGTAAGCTGACTCCGTACTCCGTGCCGTGCTATACTATGTAGAACTGGGAACTATAGACGTAGTTGCATGCCCGCACCATGTTTTTGTACGAAGTACGAGCGGGGTCTCTCTTGGGAGTAGTACTCAGTGACTCAATCCCACCTGACTACTATGACACTATCAGAATGTTGCAGAATGTATAATCAGTGCTGTTGTAAGACCATAGACGTGCATCGAAAAATGCAAAAACACGTAAGGGGTCGGAAAATAGAGGGGTGGCAGATCATTACCGCCCTGGGAACATTCAAGCCCATGCCACCGCCCGCATTTCCTATTTATTTCAATAATATCTTCCCTCGAACCGTTGTCAAATAGTTCAATTTACATTAAAATGAGTTCCACTATGACGGTCACTGCTCCCCCAGAGATTACCGCCGACAATGTGTCCACCCTCTTCCCTGAGGTTGATACTTCGCTCGCCCGTGATGTTCTCCCCAGCGCTAATGGCAACTCCACACAAGAGGGCACCGAGCTCGAGGGATACGATGATGAGCAAGTTCGCCTGATGGAGGAGGTCTGCATTGTGCTGGATAACAATGACCGACCCATTGGTAGCGCTAGCAAGAAGGCCTGTTAGTGACCACAATCCCAATCTCAACTTCAGCCCCTCAGATACAAGTAGATACGAGGAGGGGTAACATCAACACAACTCATGAACAGAACGAATGCTGACATTACTTTTTTCTATTTTGACAGGTCACCTTATGACCAACATTGACAAGGGTCTCCTGCACCGTGCCTTCTCCGTATTCCTGTTCGATTCCAAAAACCGCCTGCTGCTCCAACAGCGCGCCACCGAGAAGATTACTTTCCCCGATATGTGGACCAACACTTGCTGCTCCCACCCTCTTGGTATTCCTGGTGAGACTGGTGCCGAGCTGGATGCCGCTGTCTTGGGTGTCAAGCGTGCTGCGCAGCGCAAGCTGGACCACGAGTTGGGTATCAAGGCCGAGCAGGTGCCGATTGAGAATTTCGAGTTCTTCACACGAATTCACTATAAGGCTCCTAGTGACGGAAAGTGGGGCGAGCACGAGAGTGAGTTATATTCGAAGAGACAATATCGATGAGAGATAGTATCTAACAAAATTTCTAGTTGACTACATCCTCTTCATCCAGGCTGATGTAGACTTGGAGCCCAGCCCCAACGAGGTCCGTGATACTACCTACGTCACTGCGGACGAATTGAAGACTATGTTCAAGCAGCCTGAGCTGAAGTTCACTCCTTGGTTCAAGTTGATCTGTGATTCGATGCTGTTCGAATGGTGGAGCCACTTGGGCACCTCTGCCTTGGACAAGTACAAAGGCGAGACACAGATTCGTCGGATGTAAGCGAAGTGAGCTTAGCATGCTATATACATTTTGCTGGCGCTTGGCTCCCCTATACGTTTCTCTTTGATGCATTCCCCGATACCTACTCGTTCTACCCGCATACTATATTTCGGTAAATAAAGTATTAATTCGACTCCCTTGATCAATGGGAATTATCCATACACGTGCACTCGCAGTACTAGTACTAGTACCATACGTAGGTAAATAGATGTAGAGTAAATATGTCTGGTCTCATGTAAAGAGTTCCACAATCATTCAAACTCGAATGTTGGAACTTGGATACGCTCATTGGATATATGTAAACAAGACGCTGAACGATGATGAGTGATAATGCAATGTAATCGAAGCGCGATTCAATCCGAAAGAAACCCCAAATCCAGATCTACCCCGTTCGATCTGTTGACAAAAATAAAACGCAGCTACCCAGAATAACAGTTCCAACAACCGTAAAAACAACCTGAGTCTTCCATCCACTTTGAACCAAAGCCGCCTTCCGACTATATTTACTCACCGTGCGGGCATAGTTAGCAAACCCATTAATGAGGCAAGTCAAGCTCAAGACCCAGAAGACAATGCCAAGAGGTAAGGCCATGCGCCGCTCTAGAATAGACGGCTGGTCCTTGAAATGGAAGGATATGATGATTGCTAGCGCGACGATGGCAAGGTACATAGATAGACGTAGCCAGGAGAGAAATGTGCGCTCGTTTGCACAGTGATCGCGTGCATCTGAGGAGGCATTTTCGAATAGTAGAGCACCGAAGATGGGCGGTGAACAGAGGATGTGACGCTGGTCCTCGATGTGTCTTTGTGAGAGTTAGTAAGTATTCAGAGAAAGGGTACGTCAGAGAAATGTCTTGAGTGAGGAGGATGCTGCTTGAGTATAGAAGAGAGCCATTTCTCAGGCAGTTTCTGAAAACCCAGGTGAGGTGCGTTCTCATCTAAACATCGATAGATGTAATGTATCTCCATACGGAGATCGGGACCCGGGAATATTCCACTTACTCTTCTACCAAAGCGGGTCGACTATATGTGGGGTTGATGATCGGGTTATAGGGCCTTCGTGAATCTCGAATAGCTGCATTTCGTTCAGATTGCGACATGGTGTCTTGAAGATCTCACAAGATCTCGATGGGGAAAATCATAAGTGAGTAGAAAAAGCGCGGTGATCGATCAGGTGACACATGACCACAGCTAGACCGCTTTGGGATGTGATGTCACATGTGACTGTTCGCTGTTCGATTTTCATTGTAATTTGGAATTTTTATAAACTGTGAAGTTGTGAGGGAAGTTCAAGATGGTTCACTGAGGTTTATGGCGGAATTGTTGATTTATTCGGAATTATGGAGATCGTATGGAGTCCTCGACCCAGAAATGCCAGATCCCCACGTCATCCTCCCCACTTTACAGTTAGGACTCTCGGGATGTAAGTGAACGAAAGTGCTTAAAATACTTAGATGGACTTACATAAACCTATTTATCATACAGATCTAAATGGATTAATTTAATTCCTCAAGTCTTTGTTTTATCAAGATGCGGTGACTCCACATGCACGGGGATCATAGCAGTGGGTCATCCAAGCTGACGCCAGTGGAGTCCACCAGTGTGAACCATCGAGTTAGAGGAAGGTAGTTGAGTCATTAGATTAACCCTGCATGAAGTTGGGAGACGTGCATGGATTGGTGACTCCAGTTCTGCATAGACCTCCCTATTTGAGTTAATCCGTCACATTCTCAAGGTCTAAAAACTTATCTACGACGCTAAGACCGGTACTAGTCAAAACGGTGAGAAAGTGGTTCTCCCCACTTGAACGGCTTCCAAGTTTCATTTGTAATCCTCCCGAGCTTTTCTCGTTTTCTTATCTTTGAAGTCTTTGAAGTTGGTTTTACATCTCATAGATATGCTGGTGAGATTGTAGGAGAAAAGCGAAAAGAAAAGCGAAAAAAGCGCAAAATACATCCTCTCCATCCTGGGTCATGGCTCCGCGCAATATACACTCGACAAATTCTGCCGAGCATCAAAGCCCGTTTTCGCGGTCTTTCACCTCCAGCTCGCCCATCGCAGAAGCTGCAATCGCTCGTGATTTAGCTTATACCGACGATGATTTCGATACCGATACCTCCGAGTCCTCAACAGTCCGTCCTTCCCATAGCTATGCCGAAACAAATCCACACTCTCTTGCCGGATCTTATCGTCGCCCGAGCTACTTCACCAATGTCAATCATGCCACCGCTGTTCCGGCTCACAGCGATTACCAGCCATTGACTCATAATGAACGAGAACAGGCGATTCGAGAAGAGCGCGCTTTGTTAAGCGATAACAGAGTCATCCCGGTGGAACAGAAGTCGCATGGACTACAACATAAATTAAGTAGTCTGTTCTCAACTTCTCCGGGTCTGGTGCAAGCAGGTTCTTCCAAACCGTATGGATCGGTGCGGAGCTCAAGGTCACCCGCTAGGGAACCCGATACTGTATATGCTCCTACGGAATCTACAGCACTACTGGAAACTGTTAGTGATAGCGGTGCTGATGAGGTACTCGGACCTGAGGAGATTGACCGGAAGTGGGAGGAAGCGGTAACAGCCGGATTAATCAACACAACATGGCAACGCGAAGCGAAGGTTATCGGACGTTACTCATTACCGTTAATGGTAACATTCTTGCTGCAATATTCCTTGACGGTGGCCAGTATCTTCACAATTGGTCATTTGGGCAAGGAGGAACTTGGTGCTGTCAGTCTAGCCAGTATGACAGTGAGTATTACTGGTAACGCTGTCTATTCTGGTCTGGCGACAAGTTTAGATACACTCTGTGCGCAGGCGTATGGATCTGGCAAGCGCAAGCTAGTAGGTCTGCAGATGTTGCGCATGATTTATTTTCTGTGGATTGTGACGATTCCAATTGCCACACTTTGGTACTTCTCTGAGTACATCTTGTCGAAGATTGTGCCTGAGCAAGAAGTGGCTAAGATGGCTGGTCTTTACTTGAAAGTTGCTCTGTTGGGAACGCCCGGGTATGCCTGCTTCGAGAGTGGAAAGCGTTATCTGCAGGCGCAAGGTGTATTTTCCGCTTCTCTCTACGTTCTACTCTTCTGTGCCCCCTTGAATGCCTTTATGAACTGGTTTTTTGTCTGGGTATGTTAAAATCTCCTTTTAAAAATCCTGAAGTGCCATGAACTGACCAATGCGTTTAGAAACTACAATGGGGATTTATCGGTGCGCCTATTGCAGTTGCTATCACGGAAAACCTCCTCCCGGTAGGCCTGTTTCTATACACATATTTCTTTGTGGGAAGCGAATGCTGGTGCGGTTTCTCGAGAAGGGCTTTCCAAAATTGGGGACCTATGATTCGTCTCGCATTGCCAGGTTTGATCATGGTAGAAGCCGAGTGCCTTGCCTTTGAAGTTCTCACACTTGCGTCGAGCTACCTGGGCACTACCGAGCTGGCCGCTCAGTCTATCCTCTCGACAATCTCGAGTATCACATGGCAGATTCCCTTTCCTCTCTCCATTGCTGGTAGTACACGGATTGCGAATCTGATTGGTGCCACATTGGTTCCAGCTGCCAAGATAACAGCCAAGGTGAGCTTCTGTGGAGCTACCATTGTGGGGCTCTTCAATATGATTCTGCTCTCTAGCTTGCGATCCTATATCCCTATGCTCTTTAGCTCCGACCCCGAAGTCATCGAGCTAGTTGCAGAGGTTCTTCCACTATGTGCTGCATTCCAGCTGTTCGATGCACTGGCTGCCAACTGCAATGGAATTCTTCGTGGTCTAGGACGCCAGGAGATCGGTGGCTATATCCAGCTATTCTGTTACTACGCTATTGCCATGCCAATCAGTATGGGCACGACCTTCTCGTTAGACTGGGGCGTCATGGGTCTGTGGACAGGTGTTGCTTTGGCTTTGCTGCTTGTTTCCGGAATCGAGGCTATCTTCATCAGCCGCATTAGCTGGGAACGTTCCGTCGAAGAGGCGCTGGAGCGCAATGAATTGACTTGAGCCTTCTGAGAAGGTTACCTCGTCTCATCTATTACTTTTCACGACCGCTGTCGTAATTTTTCGCAACGATCATGTTTTGTCACGTATTCCCTTTTTATGCGATTTGAATTTGTGTCATTGTCATAGATTCATAACACGATGTATATGAGCGATTGATGTGTTGAGCGAATATCCAAGCAGGTGTCAACCTCATCTTATTTTTTGTCTTCTACATTGGAGGTTTTATCTTTTTTGGTGTGGCTTGTTTATAATGAAGAACCGACTGCAGAGATAAATCATGATATCATTTGAAAAGTTCACGCAATGTCTTTTATCAGAATACAGAAAATAGCATCAGCTCCAAAGATTTAACTAGTAATCCAGGATAGCCCATGTCTGCTCATCCAGCGTAGAGAAAATCACACCCGCATTGAGCAGCTCCTCACCAGCCCGCGCAACATCCGTCGGGGGAAGACCCAACTTGTTCGCAACAACCTGCAAGTGAAGACCCGTATCGTCTTGAGGCTCTGTTCTCAAGAGGTTGTAGATATCACGCGCGAATGGACTCATAGTTTGTAGAGCCTTGTTGTGAGCCGGGGGACCACCGTAGTCAACCATCGCCGCATCACCACCGGCAGCGACTCCACCGGCAGCACCACCGGCAGCCCCGCCAGGGGGACCACGGGTAAAGAACAAGTGGGAAGCAGTGGCATCAAGCATGGAGCACAAGAATTCATTAATATCAGTCACAGGTCGGATACTGTGAGCGCCGACGTATCGCTTATTTCCGAAAGACTTGATAGAGCCGTACACTCGCACATAGCCCTTAGTATGGATGCCGTTGGGGTCATCCACATCCATGCTGTCTGCAGTTGCTGAATCAACCCATTTCTTGACTTCGACATCGCCTGTGCTATCATCAACCTTATATGTGATGTTGGTACTCTGCTTGCTGATGTTGCGTACTTGAGCTACGAACATCACGCTGGAAACATCGGCACCGTCGACCTGGAATGGTGCTTCGGGGTAAGGGCAAGTTGCGTCGTTGATTTGCTTGACTGTCACTGGTCGGATGGTCTTGTTGTCACCACCACCCTAATATTTTTATTAGCGACAAGTCTCATAGATAGAACAATGGCCTGGAGTCATTTTTACCTTGCCTCCCGACGGACTGTTGGTCTCGCCGGGCACGAAGCCACCACCACCACCACCGGTTTGGCTGCCATAAGGGTTGTAATTGTTACCGTATCCACCGTCTAGTATAAAAAATTAGCATTTGGTTAGCAGGTTTTGTGTAAATAACCTACCCATGATGTATGTCTGTAGTGGGAATGTGGAATATGATTTGAGTGTTGATGCTGCAAAATCACCTGGGCATCTTACTCAATTGGGAGCGATACGGGAGCGCGTACCTCGCGTCGCGCCCGCCTGGAATCACGTGTTAAGTGGCCACCCCACTCAACACCAAGTCACGTATATTATGGTCATGTGACAGGTACCGGCGGAGCTGTTCCAGGCTTTGCTCACCGCCTTCCGGACTATCGAGATTTTTTTTTGAAAAAACGATAACGCTGATATGTTGACCAGCCGGCTTGGAAGATTTCTGTGAAAATTTCCAGACCTGATCGAAGCCAGACTATTTCTCTGTTTGGCATAGGTCGCCTGGCATTTTTCATTTCAAATATCGTCTCTTTTTTCGATTGCTCACTGCATGGACTGTTAACGTCTAATCATTATCAACTTTTTTTTCGCCGGACCGGCATATCTATCGTGAGGCTTTCGACCTCCAACCCTCAAAAATGGCTCCCCGTGCAGCTTCACCCGCCATGTCGGAGAATGAGTTCGATATCACAGGTGCACTGTTCCAAAACGACAGCGATTCCGATGCCGAAATCGCCAAGCCCAAGAAGAAGAAGCCTACACCGAAGCCAGCCCTAGCAGAGGACCTCGACTTTCTCGGCGGCGACGACGATGGTGATGAGGCGTTCATCGCTTCAAAGCAGGCCTCTGCCAACCGTAAATCATCAAACCTCAAAGGACGTACGGTCAAGAAGGGTGGTGGTTTCCAGGTAATGGGTCTCAACCCCAACCTGCTCAAGGCTATCACACGAAAAGGATTCTCCGTTCCGACCCCAATTCAGCGCAAGACCATCCCCGTGATTATGGAAGACCAAGATGTAGTCGGTATGGCCCGAACAGGTTCCGGAAAGACAGCTGCCTTCGTCATTCCCATGATTGAGAAATTGAAGCACCACAGCACCAAGTTTGGAGCCCGTGCCCTGATCATGTCTCCATCTCGTGAGCTGGCTCTACAGACACTGAAGGTTGTCAAGGAAATGGGACGTGGAACTGATTTGAGATCCGTTCTTCTGGTTGGTGGTGACAGTTTGGAGGAGCAGTTCGGATCGGTGGCTGGAAACCCGGATATCGTCATTGCGACACCCGGTCGATTCTTACATCTTAAGGTTGAGATGAACTTGGATCTGTCGAGTATCCGTTATGTGGTATTCGATGAGGCTGATCGTCTGTTCGAAATGGGTTTTGCTGCTCAGCTTACTGAAATTTTGCACGGCCTGCCCTCCACTCGTCAGACCCTTCTGTTCTCCGCTACTTTGCCTAAGTCTCTTGTAGAGTTCGCTCGAGCAGGCTTAGAGGAACCGACTTTGATCCGTTTGGACACTGAAGGAAAGATTTCACCTGACTTGAAGAATGTATTCTTCTCGGTCAAGTCTTCGGATAAGGAAGGTGCTCTCATGCATATTCTTCAAGATGTCATTAAGATGCCTACTGGTGACACTGATGTTACCAAGCGCTTCAAAGAGCAAGGCCCTCCATCAAAATTCGATAAAAAGCGAAAGAGAGACGACGACAAAGCGGGCCAGCATAAGGAGTCACCCACTGAATACTCGACTATTATTTTCGCTGCTACAAAGCATCACGTTGATTACCTCTACTCTCTGCTGACAGAAGCCGGATATGCTACTTCTTATATCTACGGTTCATTGGATCAATTAGCACGAAAGATTCAGGTGTCAAACTTCCGACGAGGCATTTCCCATATCATGGTTGTCACCGATGTTGCAGCCAGAGGTATCGATATTCCCGTTCTTGCCAATGTCATCAACTACGACTTCCCTTCGCAACCCAAGATTTTCGTTCACCGTGTTGGTCGTACTGCCCGTGCGGGTCAGAAGGGTTGGAGTTACAGTCTTGTTCGAGATGCCGACGCTCCATACTTGCTTGATCTTCAGCTTTTCCTTGCACGACGACTTGTGCTCGGTCGTCAATTCGGCGATCAGGTCAATTTTGCCGAAGATGTTGTTGTTGGAGCTCTCCCCAGAGACACACTTTCTCGCAGCTGTGAATGGGTCTCCAAGGCCTTGAACGATAATTCCGACATTGCTTCTCAGCGACAAGTCTCAATCAGAGGTGAGAAGCTGTACATGCGTACCCGAAATGCCGCGTCCTTGGAAAGTGCCAAGCGTGCGAAGAAGATCACAGCTACTGATGACTGGTCCTCAATCCATGCGCTCTTCAACGATGATACAAGTCAGATGGAAGTTGAACGTGAGAAGCTCTTGGCTAAGATCGGTGGCTTCCGACCCGCAGAGACGGTCTTTGAAGTCCAAAACCGACGTACCGGTAAGCATGAGGAGAAAAATCCAGCCATAGACACAATCAAACGACTCCGCACGACAGTCGATAAGAAGAAGCTACGAGCGCAGGCGAAGGAACAAGCTGAGATGAACGAACTTGGTCTTGGTGGAGATGAAAATGACGAGGAAATGCAAGATGCGGATGAAGATATTCCTGAGCAACCTGCCGACAACATGTCGGAGGCGGATGAGTCCGATCTGGAGGTCACCTTCTCGGCCTACTCTCAACCCAAGAACAAACGATCCGACAAGACCAACGAATCCTTCACTACATCATTCCAAAACCCAGACTACTTCATGGGTTACACACCCAACAACAATGACCTCGCGGAGGATCGGGCGTACGGCGTTCACTCTGGTACAAACTCGAACTTCGCTCAGGCCTCGCGCAGTGCTACCATGGACATCAATGGAGACGAAGGTCAAAAAGGATTCGGCGAGCCCCGCTCAACCATGCGTTGGGACAAGCGTCATAAGAAGTATGTGGCGCGTCAGAACGACGAGGATGGATCTAAGGGCACGAAGTTGGTGCGCGGTGAGAGTGGAGCCAAGATTGCAGCCAGTTTCCGTAGTGGACGATTCCAGAGCTGGCAGAAGGGCAAGCGCATGGGTAAAATGCCTCGTGTCGGCGAAACAGAGACGCCTGGACTTGGGGGCAACCTTAATGGGCCTGGTGGTGGTGGTGGTGGTGGCCGATTTGGTGGTGGCGGTCGTTTCCGACACAACAAGCAGCAGGCGCCCAAGCGGGCTGATCCCTTGCGCGGCGATTACGACAAGATGAAGAAGAAGAACGAGGCTGCTCGTGAACGCCAAGGCCCAGCTGCTGGCGGCAAGAGTGAGATTCGCTCGACTGATGATATTCGCAAAGCACGTAATCTTAAGCAGCAGCGTCGCGATAAGAATGGTCGGCCGTCAAGAAAGCGCTAAAGGAGAGGATTTAAGCTGTTTACCACATGCATGTATTAGTTTTATGTCTTGTCCACATCCATGTCCACATATATTTATCTACTGGAGATATCAAGATACCACTTTACATATGTTGACTATGCCACTTCAATGTTTGATCTCAATACTATTTCTCCCTTTTTCAATCATGTTCAATGTTTACTTCTAGGTGCCGACTAGCTCAGACCTGATTCATGGTTTCTACTGGCATCTCCAGCACTCGGCCTCAGGCTGGTTCAAGTTCCAACTCGAAGGTTCTACTACGGCCATTACTCAACGGTGCCTCGTGTTTTATGTATGCACAACCCAATTCAAAACCCAGCTACCACTACACATGTGCACCAAATCAGCTTTATCCCCGACAGGACAGAGATGACAGATCCAATCACATCATCAACTTCCACCTCGGACTTGACAGGAACTTGAAGCACCGTTGAGCCCCGTATTCCGTCCAGAGTCGAAGTTCTGAGCACATGAACATTTGAACCTCGGGTTGTCTTAAATTGGCCCTAAACCCTGAAGGTAATAGCCCCGAATAATCTCCGCTTTGAACTAATTATTTGACTATTATTTGACTCCCGTTCCCTTCGGCGAATTTTGACGATCCGTACGGAGTATTGTCAATTGGCAACTCCACTTCAAAGAATGGAGGATTTCTCCCTTTCGGTAGTCCCCGTCTACTCCATCCCCTAGTGTATCGCAACATCATACGACCGGGGGATTCTCAGACGAAATTGCCGACCTTCCCGTACTCCGTGTGTACTCCGTCAGCATTGAATAATAAAGAACTAACCTAGGAAAAAAAATCAATAAAATAATAAATAGGGGCGGATGTGACTAGACCCAAAACAGGCAGACTATCACAGCCCGGACCAGAATGGTTCGCACTATTGACTTCCAAGTGGCAGATCGTGCATGAACCGGGTGACAGACCCCTTGCTGCTCCGCGTGCGGCATGTTCCACACAGTTATGCACAGCTACGCGCTGGCTAGGCCTTTTTCTTTCTTATCCCCCCCCTTTTGATCATCCAGAACAAGGGGAGAGCCGCCTTTTGTTTCCCCTCAGTAGCTCCCGGACGAGAACTCATCTGCATCATTGGTTACCATCCTGTCAGTCACCCGATGACGTTCGGTCTGGATTTTCCCTGCAGTTTCCCAAAGCCAGGGATGAGCAATGTGCACGCGCTGAGGGTGATCGCCCACCAAGGCGCGTTGGGGCTGCAGCCACATCTTGTTGCTTCAATACCGACAGAGTCCCCGGAAAATAAATCTAGACGGGTGTACAAGGACCCTGAAGCATTAACTGTCTTAATTATTTATCCACTTTGTCTTTTCTTTCTTTTCTATCTACGGGTGTTCCCTTCTTGTCCTTCCACATTAGGTCCATTTTCCCCTCTCTCCCTCCTCCCCTTTCTATGATTCATATGTTGCTCAGTGTGATCTTGGGATGAAAAGAGGGGGCCAAAGGGTCATCAGGGAGTACTACGGGGTACCACAACAGGAAGCCCTTTGGATTTATTGACCCAGATTTCGTCATCGGTATCACTTGCCGTTGGTGAACTATGTCTACCCGCCGGCGATCCAAAATAGGAAGCTATATAGGTCCAGGCGTGACTATACCAGTAAATAGATAATAGATAATAGATAATAAAAAAAAAGATTAGAAAAATAGAAAAAATAATAATAATAAATAAAATAAAATAAAATATGAACAAATCATGAAAATCCTCGAGAATAAGACTCTTACGGAGTTACCCCCCCAAGCCCCCTGCAGGTGTCCGACTCATGGTTCATGGCAAACCACACCTGCCGTGAGACTTTCCCTGAAAGCACGGTCAACATTGAATGAGACTGATCTGCGTCGGGCTCGATTGTAACAGTAACCCCTTCTTGTACCACGGAGCATAAACGGAGGATCGACTTGATCATTCTCTGGGGGGTTAAAATGGGTTTATCTATCCCCACTGCGGAGAATAACGACCCAAGGATTTGCCGTTGGGCAAATATCACACGACGAAGGGGGATTTTCAAGTTCAAGTTCCTATTATTCCCCTAATGGCCGGATAAATCAGAGAATAAGAAAAAAAGAAACTTCATCTGAACTAGGCACACAAACCAAACTGTCGGAGAACCAAATATTCCGTTCTGGACCATGTTAGTTCTACTCTGTAGGGGATTTTCCTCTTTTTTATTATTATTATTATTATTATTATTTGATCCTGAATATGCAACTGGTCTTATAGGATAAGTGGAGTCTAGAATAAATAAGCACTGGCAATAAACGGATATAAAAGAGAAAATAATTAGGGCCAGGGCCATTATTACCCAATAAAGTATAGGAACAATTTACTAGTTTAGTCAATTTAATCAACCCCACGAGTAAAAATCACCGGTTCGTCCTCCCCGAAGCCCTTGGAGGTTGTAACCATATGAATCTATAGAATTCTGGTGATTCTGGAAGACTTGAATTATTATTATTTATTATATATTATTCACTATTATTTTTGATATTATTTTATTTTATTTATATTATTATTTATTTATTTATGAGCTCCTTCCATGATGAGGATCATGCATGTACTTTGTGCATGTCAAACGGAATGCGCATTTCATTGCCGAGCCCGACTATTGGCAATGGCTGCGGGCGCCGACGTCGATCCGTCAATCCCTCTCGCCTTGCTTCTGGTGTGATTGGCATCACAGTGCCCCTCTTTTATGATTTAATTATTAACAGGATTTAGAATTTGGGATTTTCATATTTTTCATATTTCGGAAAATGGGGTTTCCCCTCTCTGTACGGAGTACTTGAAAATTAACAAAATTATAATTATCAATTTGATAAAAGGGCTTTGAAGCACTCTACACTCTAAAACTATACTATTAGTGATGCGAACCTGATAACTTGAATTCAATCCCTGGGACTTGAGAACTTGACTTCCCTATTTCGGACTAAGAAAACAGATATTGATGCTCGAGCTCGAGTTCTCCATCTAATGCAAGCCACATCAGCCCGGGAACCAAGTAGTTCATCAGGGAGAATTCCCCCAAACTTCTCACTCACTACCACCCGTGGATAGTTATTAATTAGGGATAATTCGGAGGAATAGTTCCCAAGTCTCAGAATATATCCCAATATGCAGTAAGATAAATAAATAAATAATCTCATATCGAATAAGAAATAAGAAAAAAAAAACAAAAAAACAAAAGGAATCTCCATCTCCACCCCTTTCACCGGTACCGTACCGTTGGGCAAGGCCCCCATTGAAAAAGATCTACCATGACGGAGATCAAGTCTATCAGCTACTAGTGCCTTTCAGCACTGACCACTACTTTCACTACTTTCACTACAATAGTAGGACCCGCTTGATCCCAGCTCCGAGTCTGGTATAAGCCCTGAAGCCCGCAGGTCGGGTGTGCTACGCTGAGACTTTCCTATTCTTGTTCTTTTTTTCCCCTTCGATTTTCTATTTCATGCCCTGAACTATTACTTTTTTATGACCTTCTGGGTTTCATATTATTAGTTTTCTATCATTGATTCCCACTTTTACTATCTTGTATAGTGGTGTATCAAGAATTTTCAAAGAAGCCTCCTTAAAAAAACAAGAACAACCCCCTTACCCTTTTCTACCTGTGGGGAAATCGCCCAAAAGACGAAGCTGCAGCTCACTCAAAGGTATAGTTCACCGTTTCTTTTTTTCTTTTTTACTTTTTTTATTTATTTATTTTTTCCCCTTGGGATTTTCCGGATTCTTGGTGCCAAAATCCCAGGAACGTGGTCAAGTCAAGACATCAGAGGTAAGGCTGGGATGGAAAAGAGAAAGAAGATTCAATCAGAAATCAACATCCCAGAGAGCAAAAAAAAGAGGAGTCCAGAAAAAAAAGCAAAAATAAAAGGAAAAACAACCATACACCCTTTTTGGGTAAAAAAAAAGAAAATAAAAAAAAGAGGAGACACAAGAGAGCAAGAGGGGCATGAACCATTGGGCGTAACTGCTCCTGCACCTTGATCCTAGCTCGATGATCGACCGCCATCCTGCAATAAGTCACCCTGGGAGGGGAAAGACATGCGCGGCTATGAGTAACCCTGCTGTCATGATCTGGAAATCTCCCGCTGATCGATGCAGTCTATTTTCTGACTCCTCCAATAGCGGATCTCTCTACTCTTGATTATAAGCTTGGGAGCTCCTCGGAGTAGGAAGGAGAAGCTTGATGACGGATATTGACAATCCCTTCTTGTCCATACCCCCCTACACCGCTGCTGACGTTTGTTTCCCCCTTCCTAGTTCCGCCAGGGATCCGTTCGCCAGATATGCTGCCCCAAAGTGCAGACTCGGTAGCTTGTGGTCCCCTTTTGTGAACAAGATCACACCAATAGAAGCCCGAGAGTGAGTATATCAAAAAAGAAAAGAAAAAAAGAGAGTGAGACGGGAAGACGGGATTTTGATAGACCGAGCCCCGAAAAAAGAGAGAGAGAGAGTCTGTTGTTTGTTGTATACTACTCTGTGTATGAGAGTGAGAAAGAGTGTGTGCATGTGAGGGAGAAGAGAGAGAAAGAACGAAGAGTGATAGAGGAGGGAACCTTGCCCCGTGGGCTTATTGTTTATTTTTCCTAACGCCCAATGCAACCACTCGTGCTTCACCCACCGAGCCTCACTACTGCCCAGTTTGGACAACCCCGATTCAACTCAGGCCCGGAGCGGCTTCCGTTGAATCGACCTTGGTCGACCAATGCTCGAGGGTGTAGCCCCCGGGCTCCTCTCGCTCGTCAATCTATGTCTGGCTCTCCTCCTACCGCAGAGCCCTCGGTGACATCCGGAGAGTCGGACCCTCGAGGATACCCGGCTTCCTCGCCGGCAGTGACATCGGCTGAGGAAGCCACTGTTGTACCTGTTACTGGACCACCTCAGTTAGCTGCGCCTGCAGATCCTTTGCCACCATCGATCCTTCCAAGGTACGGAGGGCAACATCAACATCAGCATCAACATCAACCACTTCCACAGCAGCATCAACATCAACCACTTCCACAGCAGCATCAACATCAACATCATCACCACCATCATCAGCATGCACCACTTTATGCTGAGTCCCCACGTATCCCTGCTGGACCTTCGTCATATCCAATATCATCCTTAGAATCGGGATTACCAGGACCTGCAAGCCGCTCACTAGCTCAAAAGTCAACCAGGCGTACTAAAGCGCATGTGGCGTCAGCGTGTGTTAACTGTAAGAAGAAGCATCTTGGATGTGACCCAGCCCGTCCATGTCGAAGATGTGTTCTTGCTGGCAAGGCTGTGCGTATCTCTTATCTTTTCTTCTGTTTTCTTATCTGTTGTTGCCGAGGAATGTGGAGTTGACCTTTGAACTATATAAAAGTCTTCCTGTGTTGATGTCACGCACAAGAAACGAGGACGACCACCACTCAAAGCAGAGGACTCTACCCTTCGATCATATGCACAGCACGCAGATCATCCAGCAGCGTCAACCGGCTCACAATCAGCCATCCCATCGTCATCTCATCGATCCTCTTTACACCGGCCTACATCTTCTCGTGAGCTTCGACCGATGACAGATCTGCAGGCTATGAGTTCTCCTGGTTCCACAGCAGCAATGCGAGCTCCACGTGTGCAGCAACAACAAAGGTGGTCAGCCTCGTCAGTATTTCCCCTGACCCGTCCCATGGATCCCGCGATAGCGATGCCGAATCCTGCAGCTAGACGACCGTTTTCATCATCCGGCCCGCCGTCATATGCACCACCAACGCATCCACCAGGTGCCTATATCCCTATGACAAGCGGATTTAACCCCGCCATAAAAGCAGGACCAATGCCTTCCGGGATGGACAGACGGTTTGGGCCATATCCGGGTCCAGGTCTACCTCCGCCAACTTCCCCTCCCCAGCACCACCATCCACCCGGTGTTCAATACATGCCTTATGGCGAATCTCCAAGTGGTCCCATGCATCACCCAATGGTCGATCCTCGACTTGCACCAGGACCTCCCCGTGAGCCCTATATCGAGTCTCCAGTTCGATTACCTCCTATCCACCAAGCAACCGCCAGTCCAGGACCACCTGTTCCTCCAGTAGGACCACCACCTCCAAATGTTCCTCATCACGCACATCGACTGAGTGATCCTTATCCGGCGACCTGGACAATGGCCCGAGAAGACCCATTACGAGATCCACGAGCTCAAAGACCAGTGGGTTCTGTCTTCTCGCATCCACACCACCACCATCAACGGTCATCCTCATCTACAACCGCATCATTGGATCCAATCCCACGACACCCGGGTCCAATCGACCTCCCAAGTCCCGTTCAACTGGCCCATTCACCACCAGTAGCGAGGAGCGTAACCTCAGCACCAGAAACCAAGTCTCCACCGCAAGCCCCGCCTCAGTCCCCGGCCGAGCCGGAACCCCGGCCTGTGAAGCGACGAAAAATGGCTCTAGACGATATGGTCAACGGCTAGAGATATACGAGAATGTGCATTGCATTGCAATGACATTGCATATTGAGAGAGTGTTATCGGTGCATGTTTTACCAACATTATTCCCTTTGTTCGCGTTGCTTTTCGTTTCAACGAATAATTCCGATTTAGCAGCCCCGGAGGCGATCTTTTATTGTATAATTCACGCTTGTAGCAGGGTCTACAAGAGTTGATCGATATACCCTTTTAAGCGTGGCGCTTCGTTTTGTCGTTTGTCTCGGCTCGGAGTGAGCAAGCAGCAGGATCTATTTGCGTTTCCTTTTCATTATTTCTTTATCTCGCATGTTTCATTTTTATCAAGTGCTATCGACTAGCCGTGGTTATTATCATGTTGGCAGGAACTCGAAGAAAATGCACTAATTCCAACCTCGAGTTGAGTGGAATGTGCTATCGATGTCAACGTCTATGTTTCTTATGAGTTCTGCTGCCTACATGTTGTCTCTTATATGTGATATTCTATCAACGTTAGTATTACCCTACGTTGAATTAAGATACGAGGAAAAGGAATTTCTTTTGTTGGAGGATTTCCCTTTGTGAAAACTATTTCCGTTCCATTTCTATTTGGTTCCTTTCTCGCGAGTCCCCCTACAGTTATGTGTTTCCGAAAACATGGCATGGCGTTTAGTGGAGTGGGGGCATTCTCGCACTCTAACTTGATTAATCATATTTGAATCTTCAACATTCTGGATCCTATGGTACTGTTTTCACTTTAATCATCATTAGCACAGTGGTGAGTTTGCGTTATAACGAGAGTGTCACGAATCAACAACAGGCTTGGAAGTCTTGATAAAATTAAGCTATGACCACACTTAATCCTCGAATCAATTCTAATCGAGACACCGGACCTACTTTAAGTTCAAGTTTGAACCTTGCATCTTGAGATTACTACTGATGTGTATCTACAAAGCTGTACTTCAATGTTCGGGTTATACAGTAGCTGGGATGTAACTTGAAGCCACTGGCAATCACCTTTAGGGCCCCGGGGCTGTCAGTGGTGCTAGTACGAGTCCATCTATCATTATAGACAACTCTATGATTAAATGATATTAAAACATTAACGCAAATTTTTATTCAATATTTCATCAAAAATCATACAACTTCCCTATGACGCGACGAAGCCGACTTGCAATTCTTCGGTGCATACGGGTACTCAGGATTACTCTGAGCAACATCCAAAAATTCATGATAATCCAACTCGTCCGGATCGTCCCTCGCCCTAACGGGACGAGTATAATCTTTCGGCGTATCACTCGGCCAATAGCGATGAGACTGAACCATAAAAACAAGACGACTCAGGACCCCGAACTCCAGCTTGAGTTTGATACTGTAAACTGTTGATTTGAGAGTCGTTTGAATAACGAAGTAATTCATGTACTGAAGAACCAAGAGAATCACATCCATGACGATGATAAGAGCGTTAATGGCGAGGAGCTGGTACATGATTTTCCGATTGGGGTTATTGCCTTGCGTGCTTGCTGGGGACATTCGAAGGATTTTAACAGCTTTGTAGATGTAGAGACCGGAGATAATAAATTCTTGAAGCGAGAAACCGGTGAGTTCGATCCGTTCCATAATCTTATATGCGGAAACCCAGACGGAAGTGCGGACGAAATTGGAACCATAGGTTAGGACGGTTGTTGGGACGTGGAGAACGATTGCATCGATGATGATCATTGCCAGGACGCGGTGACTAATTGTCAGATCCTGGACGACGATGTTGAGACGAGAAAAGAGCACGAGTGCTTGGCCCGTAACCATGAAATACCATCCTATCGTGGATAAAGTAATGGCGAACCATAGTGGACCGATATCGTAGTATTTGAGTAGGAAACTGACGGATTGAGGGATCACGCCTAGGACTGTGGCGAGGAGTAAGCTCCAGAAATACAGACCACGGTAACGACGGAAAGAGGCGAAGATGAGGACTAATAATTCGATGGAGTTGTAAAGAGCGAGTCCTAAGAACACGGTGAATGTGGCTCTGACGGTGAAATTATCCTCAGAGTATTCGCCGATGATTCCATCCACGTAGGCGTTCGACATGGTACCGTTGGCTTTTTGGTGGTATCCGCGAGTACCAGCGCAGATCTCACAAGCCGATCGATCTTTTTTTCTTCTTGGTTGATAGATAGAATCTGCTAGCTAGGAGCAGTTCTAGGCTTACAGCCTGAACGATAAGAAGATCTCCGATCCACCAAAGATAGAATAATGACAAGGCCTTAGTATTATAACAATGGTGGGGAAAAGCCCCCGGATTTTCTTGGAGTCCCAAGCTCGGCACTAGTGACTGACTGGTGAGACTGACATTAAACAAGCGAACGATACACGAGTCCGCCGAAATGCCGAGAAGTCCGTGCCTGGTCCAGTGGTATTAGCGTAGCACACAAGCGAACGTGATTGAATCGTTGATTGGAAGCCCAGATTGAGTGAAGTACGCTAACTGTCTATGTTAAGCGCCACCCCCAGAAAGTCCCAGAAAGTCCCAGTGGAACCGAAAAACGGTGTTCTCATATGTATATGAGTCCGGAGTAAGTTTCATCCCGTGATCCTTCAGTTCAAAAGTTCATAATAACTTGAATGACTGCAGGGGAGTTGGAGATCAGTAGAGCTGACGACGATTATGTACCAACACAGTCATCATATCACCCCAATAACTTGATTGGCCAACTCCCACAGTTGAACAGGAAGAAGTTCGGTCAGTTCATGGAGTTCCAGGGTCATACAAGTAACAGGGGACAAGAAGAGGCCAAAAAGTTCAAGGTTCAGTCTAATTTCCCCGCGTTGCATCAAACCAATGATACCCTCTGACTTCCCCAAGCGGGGATCAAGTTTCACTTTGTGGCGGCGCTATGTTCCCTTATATACGAGAATCATAGAGTACTGAATTCCTTTTCAAGTTCACTCCGTGCCTCTTCCTAATAAGGTTCTCGGTCCGTCTCTGATGAGGTCCACAAGTGACACGCGGATATTTATCGGACCACAAATCAACTACGTAAAGTACGCAAAGCACGCAAAGTACCCGGTGTACCAGTAGTAGTTAGTGGCTTAGAGACTCGAATGCGTATTTGAACTTGGATTCCCAGAAATTAACCTTGTACTCCGTAGTGCTCCAGGATCTCTTTCCACGGAGAAATCCCAAATTCATGACCTCGGTGCACATGTGGCGATATTGTACGGCTTCACCGAGTAGGCTCTATTCTCACGGTCGCAATGTGCGTAATCCCACCAATCAAGTATTCTGTCACGGTTGAAAATATTTGTCATTTCAAGTATCACTGTGACTAGGTGCTGAGTGAAAGTATTGGACTTGAGTGCTGCCCTGGATGGAAAGTGTGAGCAGCGACCACCATTTGAAGGACCGTAAATAAATCGAGAGTGATAGTGTCATGGAGGGATATGGATCTGAAGACTCGAGTTTGTTGCAGGAAGTGGAGCAACTGCTTTGTAGTGTCCATGCACTGTTCCTGCATGCCAGAGGGTCGTGCAAGTCGGGGTCCAAAATACTTAAAGTGGAACCCCTGGGACAGGGAGGAGCGACATTGATTGTGCATTTTTGACATCACAAATTAGCCTCCAGAGTCAGGTATTGCCAAGCCAGGTAGAATATTGCATCGTGTTGATAATCATTGGAAGTCAGGCTCAAAGGTAATGGGAATGTTGACCTCAAGATGGGGTTGTTGGATTCGGCAGTCCAACGCAAATTTTCTCCCCTCTTATGAAGTCTCAGCCCTTCATCTTAACACAAGAAAATCCTTTCTAAAAGTTCTACAATAAAAACAAAATAATAGCGAATAAAAATTATACATTGCCATGCAGGCGCTTTTAATAAAACAAAGCTAGGTATCGTAATGCAGATTAACAGAATTAGAGGAACAGCCACTGTCCAAAGCGCTGCACCTTCCCAACAATTCCCTTCCTCTCCGGCTCTTGAACTTCTTCTGGGGTATGCTCATCATCAATACCACCATCATAACGATCTGTACGAAGATCCATATTCGCAGTCCGCACGATGCGCGTCCGCTTGATAAGCTTCCACCCAACAAACATGACAATCATGATGGGGATTTCAATATAGTATGACACAAAGCTAACTTTCTTGAAGTGCGGGCTGAAACAGCTCCAGCCTTGAACCAAGACAAGGACAATATTGAGTCCGATAGCGAAGATAGGACCGTAGGGGTAGGTCCAGTTCTTGAAGGGAAGAAGGTGCTCGAGACCTTGGGCGCGAATGGCGCCACGGAAACGGAGGGAGGCGAGACCGATACAGATCCAAGAGAGTTGGTTGGAGACACCGACGATACTGATTTCGTTAGTTTAGATCCTTGGAATACTGGGTTTGTGTGTAGTGGACTTACTTTTGCAACCAGGACCACAATTGACCTGCGCCAATATAGCTTGCACCGAAGCAAAGACCACTGATGAGAGAGCTGGCAATGACTGCAACCCAAGGAATCTGGAAACGGTTCAAGTTGCCGAAAAACTTGGGAGCGTAGCCATCGACGGCAAGAGTGTATAAGAGACGAGTAGCCGCGAACAAGGCGTGGTTGGCAGCAGAGATGACAGAGGTCATGATCACAGCGTTGATGAAGCTACCAGCGACGGAGCTACCTGCCTCCTGGAAGACGATAGTGAAAGGGCTGGTGCGGGTGTTCTCGTCCGACAGACCGGGGTAGTCGTAGGGAACGTTCAGGCCGATGAGCAGGATAGAGAGGAGGTAGAACAGAACAATACGCCAGAAGACGTTTCGCACGACCTTGGGCATAGTCTTCGAGGGGTTCTTCGTTTCACCGGCAGTAATGGCGATAGACTCGGTACCACCACTAAAGCATGCTGTTAGATTTGATAGATCAGATGGATAAGATATAGTCGCAACTTACTAGGCGAAGGAGGCTGTGACGAAGACGGATGCGAATCCACCGATGCCACCGACGAAAGGAGCATCTCCCTTGTACCAATATTTCGCGCCAATATACTCATGGTCCTTGTTGCCACCACAGTTGACGACGATGCCAAGAATGATAAAGATCTAGTGCGCTAATTAGTTCATGCCATCCAATTTGGACAAAAGGATATGGGACATACGATAATGGTAATGACCTTGAGCAAACTCAGCCAGTATTCGACTTCACCGTATACCCGGACTGACAACAGATTCAGACAAATGACGACGAACAGGAAGATCAAACTGATAGCCCAGCCAGGGAAGTTATTGGTCCAATATTCCAAGAGCAATTGCAAGGCAATGATATCTGAAGCCGTTGAGCATGCATCATTAAACCAGTAGTTCCAAGTCAAAGCAAAACCGAGAGCGTCATCAACGAAGCGACTAAAGGGAAGTTAGCAAAGATCGAATCTTCCAAGCTCCATGAGGAGTAATGATCTGCATCGAATGCAACTCACCCCGCAAAGGTACAGAAAGATCCAGCAACAGGCACAAAGGCAGCCATTTCACCAAGAGAAAGCATAGTAATGAACACAATGGCACCACAGATGGCATATGCGATCAGCATCGAGGCAGGACCACCGGTGGCGAGAGATGATCCAGTACCCAAGAACAAACCAGTACCGATAGTACCACCGATAGCAATCATCTGCACTTGACGAGCAGACAGACGACGCGCAAGCTTGTCGGCATTGACCAAGGGATTTGATCCAATACCGACCTCACCGACATAATCCTCGACGGGAGCATGCTTCTCAGGATCTGTGAAAGAAGCCATGGTGACGAATATATGGTGAAAATGGTGTCCACCGTGTCACCAAGAGACAATGAAGAGTCCAAGAGGGGGATTTAAGCAAAATTGCAAAGAATCACGTTGATCGAGTCTATATCACGTCATGAGCGATATGGTTCATACATAGTACCAAGACTCTCGTAGAAAGAAAAAAAGATCGACTCACCAGAAATCTCGTGACCTGCACGTGGCTACCCCGGATTCTTCAATATGACAGCAGAGCCGCAGAATCCTTTATGTTTCACCCACCAAAGACTAGTGATTAAGGTGAAGAATGCCATCTTCGATCGGCGCTCAAAAACAGAACTCTTCAATGCATGATTTTTGCGATGGCGTGCTTCAGCGCTGCTATGGTTGGACCGGGAGGTCCCGCACGCGATGACGAGAGAAAAATTCAATGGGATCCACTTCATTCTCTGGCACGGGTATTCGCTGTCATTGAATCTACCGTTCTGCAGGGTCCCAGTGCAGGCGAAATAAGCCTTCCTGATGAACTCATTCGATGTCCTAACCTTGGAACATTGAAATTTTCGAAGATCTGAACCGACAATGGTTAGTAGGTTCCAGCATGACTGAGTTTTATTACTTTTGTTTTGTATTGTCTTCTTTTTTTTATCACAATGGTCCAAGAGCAAGCGGATAAGAATTCGGATTCTGAGGATGGTTCAGACCCACAAATTCTATCTTTTTCTTCCAATGAATGTGGAATATCATACAGCGTACACCTGGACATACAAGATTCTGCACATGTGCTAGCAGGGTAAGCACTCCAGATATCATGTACATTTCAGTATAAGAAACCATGTAGAGCTCATATGTACATACTACTGAGTAACATAGAATTTAAACACATGAGAGCCTTGAGCCATTGAGCCTCAGGAGCTCAAACCAGGTGACGACTCGGAAAGCTCTATATTCTCTCGTAGATATGGGACTGTCGAATCATTTGGATCTCAGCATCTCGATCCTTCAGATTGAAGAGGGCTGATGAGATCTCTATTATACCTGCCGAGTTTATTAATCTCTGTTATCATTCCATCCCAGTGGTTCTCCCCTGTCAAATCCCGCCAAGCACAACACAGCTGGGTATGAGAGAGATGGCAGATTGCACTGTGCAGGCTTGGTATTCAATGATACTCGAATGCAAATCTGGCAGGAGGTCTTTGAAGTTTCATGTTTTTGCACATACAGTTATCCGCAAAAGTTCCAGTATAATAGTATAGTATTTCATCAAGTAAGTTGAAGTGACGGGGGTGGCAACTAAAGCGTCTCGCCAAATCGTTGGTATGTTTCCGCGATAGCTATGCAGAGATCCTCTTTGACCCACAAGTCTTTCGCTGCTGAATAGGCGATCGCCATGAAGAAAGACTGAATTGCAGAATGCCAAGCATTGTATTCACGATGAGAAGACTGCATGCGGGCACAGATGACATTATTAGTGGGATAAGTTGGCTCACGACCTGCTGCCATATCGAGGGTGTTTCGTTCCCGCAGCATGGCTCAATTCAGCGACACTCGTTGATAGCATTGGGCTGGATAAGCTGCTCGAGCAGAAAGCTCAGCCACTATATTCTCTCCCCCAGAGCTGAATCCATTATCCTTGCAATGACTGTCAATGATTCCTGCGAACAACCTCGATAGTCTTAAAACTTCTCTAAACGCCGCCCTTCTAGCATGGGGGCCCCAGTTTGGATGGCCCCCGAATCCTTCAAGAGTTATCGCTCCATGCACGTCAGCACCTGCTGTTGAGCGATTCGGTATAGAAATAGCTGGATCCGTGTTATCAACCCAGTGTAGGATGCTCCGATATGTTAGCCAGTCGCCATAAAGACCAGCGGGTAACTAATTTTAAGAAAGAAGTTTATCAGCCACGAATCACCTTGGAATAGGGAAAGAATATTACTGCAGTGCATGTTCCATTTGCCGATGCGCATTCTCTACAGATGGTTTCATCTGTGTTGTACCAAGAACAAGTGAATTCGATGTTCTCATCAACAGGATCACCAGGGGTAGCTGCTGCATGCAAAGCTTCGTAATTGGTTACAGCTCGATTGAAGCACGAAACGCAGCACAACCATTCTGCATTTACTTCGTGGAAATATGGTAAATCGCTTGGTTTGTTCCTTACAGGCCTTACTCGGCCCAGGGTTTTTTGAATAGCTTCTCTATTCAGGTTCAGAACAAAGTTGGCAGCCATTCTGGTGTAGAGAGATTAGTATATTGAAGGTTAGATGGCTGAATGAATGGTGAAATACCTTAAGTCCTCCAGGGCTCCTTTTATGCTACACTTGATCCAGCATAGCTTTAAGAGTTCAAAATCACCACAGCGGGGTTTTTTTGTCCTTCAGGGAATTTGAGTTGTACTTTGGTATGGAAATAGATCAACAAAAGATAAAAGTAACCAGTATAGACATGGATGTTGTGAAGTAAAAAAAGCGTTGAAAGGACTCGGAGAGAGATGAGGGACAAAGAATGGATGATCAAAGGATTGACTAAGACAAACAATCACCCCGGGCCTCAAAAATGAGAAAACCAATCGAATTCCTGTTCATATGTCGGTGACGCTAATAGCGTGGTTAACTAAAGCGAGTTATTGATGCATCCTTGGGGAGTTCCAATAGTAGTCCCGACAAATCAGATATACCAGACTAACAAGGATTGCTGTTTGAACTATCCGAGTTGTCATCGATTCGGGCAACTTACCCTTTTAACAAAGAAAATATCCTTTAGTCCGGAAATCTAGGGCATTGATTGACGAGCCCAGCAGAAGCCGGGATGTTGAAAGAAAAAAGACATAAAGGGTGCTTGATCCACAGCCTTCAGAAGAATTTTTTAATCACAAACCAACAATGGCTGAGTCTCCTACCCCTCCCCCACACCCTCCCATACTCGCCAACCCACCCAAGATAAATGACAAGGACAAGGATTCCTACGTCCACAGTATGCTTCGATAGTTTTGGGCACTGTTCAAGAGCTTTTGCATTGCACAATGGCACTCAGTCGCCTGCCATGCAAGCTCCCAGTCATGATTTGCCCCTGCCAGTCGAGGTGTCCACTCTCAATTCTGAGACAGGTGTTTGCTGAATGTCCTTTCGCGATGAAACATTTTCAGTGTACAATGGTTATATCCTTCTCAAGGCAAACACCAGATATCTTGGTATTGGCATGGATAAATCGATTGACAGGAGCAAATAGTGACTGAGAACTTGCATGGGAAACAGCTGAATGTTTCCGTGCATTGTAGGAGATAGAACACAGGTCAAAGTGACCCGGAGATACTTCGGGGCTCCAGGTATGAAAATCTCATCGTCCATTCTTGGGTGGCTGTCTATCGACATCTGAGAGTATCGAGTGACCATTTCTATACAATACCTTGCAAAGCTCGCCAAGGTGAACTTCGAGTCGGCTACCGTGGCCACTGAACCGACTGCGCATCGTCGTCGCCTTCGAATCGGTAGGAAGCGCGACATTGTCTCACACTCTGCGTTCCAGGCTTCTTCATGAGGTTTTCCCCCGAGGCCTTTGACAATCGGAACCAAATAACGGGGATTGTGATTGCCAAGGTTGCTTTCTAGTGCTTGGTCAGTAGGTGGTTTCTGTGCTTCAATCTAGTTTTGGGCGACAAAGCGAACATTGGAAGTAGCTTTAACAATATCGTTCACCTTTTTGGGTACACCGATTATGTATTCTGAACGATGTTTCGCCTTGGATGGGAACTACGAGTATGATGAGTTGGAATAAAATGAGTCAATGGTATAGTCTAATGTCAGACTCTGAAGGTGTAACAAGGGATCAATGGAGACGTGAATACAGTTCATTTCATTCCTTCAAGTTGGCTTAACTATTTACTCATGCAAAATAACCTGCACGATCAATGCTTTTGGGGGGAGGTCGCTAGTTCAAAAAGAAAACAAGATTAAACATGATACAAAAGAACGGCGCCATAAGTAACTCCAGTTGGTGAAATGCACAACTAGCCCAGTAAGCCACTGGCCAAAGCCTCCAGATCCTGCAAAGACGAGATCTGGGTATCGGCTGTAACCTTGCTCTTCTTGCTCTTGCTCGGCCGCTCGTCGTCGCTGTCTTGGGCGGTAAAGGAAACCCGCGCCTTCTTGCTGGGACGTGGTGCCTCGACAAGTTCGGGCTCGGACTCGGGCTCGGAGGCAGACTCCATGGGATCCTTGAATGGAATATATGGAAGCTGGATACCACCATCTTCTGAGTCTGCTTCTTCCTCGGCCAGAGCACGCTCGCGCGCACGACGCTTCTCCTTCTTCTCGCGTTTCTTCTCGCGGACAACTTCCTTGTCCTCGACATCCGCCGCGCGGGTACGCTCGCCCTCCTCCTCCAGGAAACGTTCGCGCTGTGTCTTGGCGTCGCCACGGGCCTGGAACTGTTCCTCGTCCTCCATCTCGTAGACCTCGTGAGCATTGCCCTCCTCGTCGTAGACAAGTTTGGTACCCTTGCCCTTGAACTTGAGGAGCTTCTTCTTCGACTTGAGCAACTTCTCGCGACGCTTGGAGTCAATAACCAACGGTTCTTGTCCGTCAATTTGAACCTTCTTGACTTCCTTAAAGGCTTCTGCGTCATCGGAGTCAGAGTCGACTTGGTCAAGACCGGCATCACCGGCTTCAAATCTGCGCTTGACAGACAGGAAGTCGGCATCCTCGTCTGCGTCTTCACCAGCACCGTTTCCAGTACCAGCAGCCATCATTGTTCCATCGTCGTTAATGAGCTTCGAGTAATGTTCTGCGAGAACGTCCTGGTTACGACGCTCAAACATACGATCGTAGCGAGTGCGCACTTGCTTCTCATCCTTCTTGTCCTTCTTGGATTCCTCGGCATCCGAGTCTTCCTCACCACTAGAAAGGTGTGCCATTCTCCATGATGCGTTCTTGCGCTCCTTAGTGTCATCTCCCTTAATAAACTTGATACGGGGAGCACCAGGCAGACCCAAGCTGTTGGCGTAGTCCTCGAGTAAGAGTTCCTTGATATTGAAAACATCCTTATCCTTCTGCACGTAGATAGACTTCACGTAGGAAATGAATGCCTTCTGACCCAGATACTTGAGTTCGGGGTCCTTGAAACACATGTTTTGAAGCTGACTGGTAACGCTTTGCTGTTTGTTGGCCTTGATGTTGATGCGTTCGATGGGAACCTTCTTCTGTTCCAATCGCTGGAGCATACCCTTCTCTTCACTGGGGTCCAAAAAGAGGACGGCACGACCAACTCGCTCGTATCGGGCAGTACGTCCCACTCGGTGAATGTAAGTGTCGGCATCCTCGGGGCAATCCATCTGAATGACCCAGTCAACTGCGGGGAAATCGAGACCACGGGCCGCAACGTCAGTGGCGAAGAGAACAGCGTGCTGTGATGAAGAGAATTTGGTGGTGATGTCTAAACGACCGCCTTGCTTTTGTCGACCATGAAGATGCATCAGGGGGATACCGGGTTGCAGGTGTCGGAAAGATTCGTAGACAAATCGGACTTGCTTGCCTGAGGACAGGAAAACCACAGTCTTCGACTTCAGATTGCTGCGAATGAAACTCCACAGGGTGTCGAGTTTCTTGGCGAGAGGTGTGATAACGTAGTGTTGTTGGAGGGTCGAGGGTGTAGCTGAAGCGGCAGCTTCGTGGACGGCAACATACTCGGGGTCCTGCAGACTCAGACGAGCCAAATCTCCGACCTTCTTGGTTTGTGTAGCACTGAAGAGCATGGTTTGGCGTGTCTTGGGGAGGTGGTCGATGATAGCGTCAACAGACTTCTGGAAACCCATATCGAGAATACGATCGGCCTCGTCCATGACAAGGATCTGCAGGTTGTTGGTCTCAAACATAGCAGTCTGATCCAAATGCTGCAGGATACGACCGGGTGTACAGACCAAAATGTTCATGCGGCCCAGACGGTCCTGTTCCTCGCGCAAACTCTTGCCGCCAATAACCAATCCAGCGGAGAAGGCATGGTACCGACCAACCTTGCGCAGAACTTCGAAAATCTGAATTGCCAGTTCACGAGTAGGAGCGAGAATCAAAGCGCCCAATCCATCGTATTCGGTCCATTGCTTGCGATAGAGGTTCTCGAGAACGGGGACGAGGAAGGCCAGGGTTTTTCCGCTACCGGTCTTTGCGGCACCGAGGATATCACGACCCTTCAAAGAATGATTGATGGCGCGCGACTGAATATCAGTCATAACCTTGAAGTGGGAAGCGGACAGACCATCGGCTGTAGGTTCGGAGAGAGGCAGATCGGAGAAGTTTTTGACCGAGGCCTTGATGTCCAGCTCTTCAACGCGCTTGACAAGTGAGGAAAGATCCTCCTGGCCACGCTTGCGTTTCAGAGCTCTCCCAGAGTCCTGGTGAGGCTTGGAAGGTTTCCCACGAGAAGGACGTGCCGGAGGCATGATTGTGATGAGGTTTGTGGTTATGAAGATCAATCTGATCTAAGGTGATAAATTCCAATCGCTATCTTTTTTTTTCTGCCGCTTACTCAGCATCCGATAAGGCGCTTTTCCAGTTCGATAAGAACTCCGTTGCAAATCAAAGAAACATTGAACACCAAAGAACTCGATGGCTGAAGACGAGGATCAAGATATTTTTGATGCGCTGGAGCGCGAGGCCTCCGAGTTCACCAAGGATGCGGAGATTGATCGTATCCGCAAGGCATTCTCCCTCGACGCGTGAGTTACACTCGGTCTCCACTTTGAGAGCTCTACTAATTTAAGAATTGGTTCACCAGGTACGCCGTGCTAGACCTACAACCTGGAGTCCCTGAGAAGGACATCAAAGTACAATATCGCAAAAAGTCACTTTTAATCCATCCGGATAAAACGAAGAACCCACTCGCCCCAGATGCCTTCGACCGACTCAAGAAAGCACAGACCGCACTCCTGGACGAGAAGGAGCGTACCTATCTGGACGAATGCATTGCAGACGCACGAAGGCTCCTGATTCGCGAACATAAATATACTGTTGACTCGCCCGAGCTCAAAACAGACGAGTTCAAGAAGGAATGGCGACAGAAGACTGTCCAAGTACTACTTGAGGAAGAAGCTCGACGACGACGACAAGCTAAGGCGCGCATGCAAGAAGAAGGTCGCGAAAAGCGCAAGGAGGAGGAGGAACTAGAAGCGCGTAAGAGGAAGCGCGATCAAGATAAGGCATGGGAAGATACCCGAGATGAGCGCATTGGTAGCTGGCGGGATTTCAAGAAGGGAAAAGCAGTGGGCGATGAGAAGAAGAAGAAAAAGAAGATGAAGGTCCTTGGATGATACAATCATGTCATAGATACCGGCGTTCGAATTTGAATTTTACATCCTGATCTAATCATCTTGGATAACTGATATCCTCCGAATTACATTCAATATCCATTAGCAAATCCACGAGGCTCCATACACTTCTACTGATAAGCCGCAGCGCGGGGAAAACCTAGAAGTTTCGATGCATATAAGCGGAGGATATACGAAATGTACTCTAATTTACCTCTTCACAACCTCAATTATCTATACAAAGCCTTTATACAGTGTCTTTTCATCCCATATCAGCTAAAGGCACAAGAAATCACGTTATCTATTCAATTATCGCCCGTTTTTAAGGCCATCCCCACATGGGATTAGATCATTCTGGATTCCGAACGCCGAGAAACCCACTCTCCCCCGCCTCGATCTCAACTCCTGTCATTCACTCCTCCAGCATAATGACCGAGCCAGACGTACCTGGTGAGCGGCCAGTAGAGCCTATTGCTGCCTCACAACTCCTCTCACAGGCTCTCAACCACCTCCGTCCTTTTGAGCCAGTGCCCGCCGACCTATCTTCAGGTCAACGCGGGGCTGACGCCGCACATACCACACACACCACACACACCACACACGCGACAGGTGCCGATTATGCATATGCAGAGAACCACAATGGCACTACAGACTCAAAATCGAACACCGAGGAGGCGCTTCCTCCACTCTCAGTAGTCATCGAACGCATTCATGCCCGCGTGCAAGCCTTCCTATCCGAGACGCATCCCGCGGACTCCCTGCTAGCCTCGGCCCAGCGCCAAACGCGTATCTCACTAGGAGTCGTCGCAGAGGCAATAGCGAAGTACAACATGTCGGGTCTCTCTCTTTCCTACAATGGAGGCAAGGATTGTCTTGTTCTCCTTATTCTGTTCCTGGCAGGATTGCACCCATACTCCAGCCACACACAACAGTCCGAGGATTCAAACATACCGTCAACCGCCGAGTCATCATCTCAAAACCAAGACTCCATTGAATCAGGCATGATTCCTTCTATTTATGCCCTCCCCCCGGATCCGTTTCCTGCAGTGGAAGAATTTGTTCTTAGCTCCGCAAAAGCATACTACCTCTCCATAACGAAATATACTACCGAACCTCCTCATACAACGCTCAAGTCCAGCTTTGAAGATTATTTGTCCCGACACCCGAATGTTCGTGGAATATTCGTCGGTACTCGACGGACAGATCCGCATGGAGCGAAGCTGACGCATTTTGATCGGACGGATGGTGGGTGGCCTGACTTTATGCGTATACACCCGGTCATTGATTGGCATTACGCTGAGATCTGGGCATTTATTCGGCATCTCGGATTGAGGTATTGTTCGCTGTATGATATGGGATATACCAGTCTCGGTGGAACGTCGGATACGCTGCCGAATCCTAGATTGAGGAGAGAGGACGACAAGGAGAGCAGTGAGAGTGATGGGGGTTATCTACCAGCTTATAAGCTGATGCAGGACTTGGAGGAAAGACTCGGGCGCAATTGATTGGCCTCACCCTGGATAGTGTTAGATTTCTATTGGCGATTGTCGGATTTTTTTGTGACGTGTATAGATCAACATTTTCATTTCCATTCTGGTTGGCATTTTCCTTTTAGAAATGAATCTACGTTCATCGATAGACTAAGAGTTACTATGAGTTTCCAAGAATACTTGCACTGTCAGCTTTTTTGGTCAAAGATATCATATTGTAGACCATGAAACTTTTAAGGCACAAGGCGTGTTCAGCTTAATCATGAAACATCCATCCCGAACAGATACCGTTGAAGACATGCTTTCCCATATGACTGCAACAGAACGAACAGCAGAGAGAAGATCCAAAAGCTAGAAATCAGAACTTGAGAAGGACAATACTTGAAAAAAGATAATTCATAAACGATGAACACTAAAAGAGCGGCAGGGTCCCCAAGCAATAGAGTGCCGAGGCCACAATAAAAAATACGCCATAGATAACAAAAGAGTGACATGGTGTCCGAGACAACCGCAGAGAATCAGTAACGACAGAACTTCCAAGACAATAGAGCGCCCGGGACGATAATAAGGGATACATCATAAATCATCAAAGAGCGGCAGATGTCCGAGACCATAGAGTACCCGAGACATCATAGAGACACCACAACAGAGAAGTTGCAGTAAAGCTAAATCCGCAGAGACGAGAATAAAAAGGCAGCAAAAAAAGCCCCGACCATCCTACCAGCTGGTAAACATATGGAGTACACATATGAGTAACAGAAATCGGAGGACGGCAGATAGGATCGAGGTTAAGACAGCCCGGTAAAGAGAAATAAAAAATCAGAAGCACATGGGCGTACATTCTGCAGAAGTAAAGGGATATGACCAGTTGAAAAATCGAAGAATTGCCGAAAACAAAGAATTTCGCCGAACGCCGCATCAGAAAGTTTCATGGATGTCAAACCCATGCTGTGTTCTCCATTTAGCAGCACGAACGAGGGCTGGAAGGGGGGCTGGAAGGAGGCATCCCCAGGGCCATACGAGTTGGGCTTGGCGACATGGAGAACGAACGGATATTCTCCTTTCGGGGGCTCGGCTTGCGCGAGCGGGGCTCATCCATTGGAGATTGAGGTACGGCGGTCTTGGATGACGCACCGGAGATATCGGTCATAGAACGGCAAGCCTGGAATGAGCGACGGTACATGGGGGTGTTCTCAATTGCGTTCATGCTGCGAGAAGACAGAGATGTCTGTCGGACACCGCCGGTACTAGTTTTCTTCATCAAAGCGAAACTACTTAGCTGTCAGCCTATGTCCAAAGCCAAAACATCCCAAGGAACTGAGAATTCAAAGGAACTTACGTAGGAGAAATCGAAGTAGCTGGGGTCCAGTTCGAGCCCGAGCCCAAACCAGCGGCAGAGCCGAAGCTTCCCTGAGAGTTAGGGGTAATGTGGGAGCTGGCCTGCTGAAGACGATGCATCGAAGGTGATGGGGTGGATCCCTGCACCACCTCAACGGAGAAGTTGTACTCGCCAGCACGGTAGGCACGACGCTCATTGCTCTGCTGCTTAAGGATCTTTTGAGCCTTGGTGTCAGCGAAACGCAGCAGCAACTTAACATCATTCCCCTTAGAGACGTTGTGGAACTCCGCTAGAATCTTCTCAGCGACTTCACGGGATTCGAAGCTGCAAAGAATTAGTAGTGAGCAAAGGAGGCAAGAAGAGTAACTGGTCTCATACCGTGCAAAGCCGACTTCCTTGCTCACGCCGGTCTTCTCATCACGACTGATCTTCTCAGATACGACATTGTAAGGCTCAAAGTGACGACGCAGATCCTTTCAAAGACCATTATCAGGATTTAGTTCTCATGAGGGAGTGGAATAAAGTCAAACTTACCGCTTCAGTCCAGTCGATAGGAATGTTGGTGCAATAGATGTTGGTGGAGCATCGGTCCTCCAGGTCCTTGAGGCGGGAATTGCGGGACTTCTGGGCGAAGCTTGCCTGGTAACCAAGGAAGAAAAATCCCCGAATGCAGTTCTCACAAGACTCATAAGTGTAAAACTGAACAAAGCCGAACCTGAGTATCTTGTTAGTATTGGATGATTTCGATCGGAATATTCAATCATACCCCTTGCAAAGACCAGTGTCCAGGTCAACAATTGCCTTGCAACGCTCAATGCTTCCAAAGCGGGAGGCGTAGGAGTGGAGCAACTCATCAGTGGTCTCGGGCAAAAAGCCTCGAATGTAGACATTGGTAATACCCTCACGATTTTCAAGGCATTTAGCGATGGTCATGTCCGGACTGGTCCACATGGCTGGTACGGCGCGAGGAATCGCAGGCTCCTGTTGAGTCAGGAAATGTAAATCCTGAACCATGTAGCCATTGGTGGTCTTCATAATCTGCCATGATACCGGGATAGTGTTGTAGCATGGAGAAGGCACGGCTCCAGCATTTCCATAGACTTGAATGGAAGGATTCACGGTTGAAACGGCGTGGCTGCCATCGTAATACTGCAGCTGAGCGCTGGCGTCAGGTCCTTTCTGGATGTCAACTGGGTTCCATACAGACTGTGTGTTATAGTTCATGTATGGCCACGATGGGTACTGGTACCCGCTTGGTACCATGGAGTTGACGGTAGGGTAAAAGCCAGCCGAAAGGTACTGATACTGACCTGGTTGATCCGCCTGGCCACTCATTGCGGGGGACATGAAGGTGGAGGCTTGCTGGACGCCTCCAAGGACACCGTTGTTGGTGGGCACCACCCAGTATGGGGTGGCGTTCTTAGCGCGGGTGTAGGCTACCCAGTCAACATTGCTCATTGTAACGGGAGACGCAGTCTGCGGTCCAAAGCGGGGACGGGGATAGCCTGGATAAGCCACACTGGTGAACATCTGAGGCATGTTGCCTCCAGTCCCGTCATAGTAGACATTTCCATTGGGCGAAAACATGGATGCGACGCGAGGGCGACGGTCGTGATGATAGTGGCCGGTTTGAGTGGAGGAGTTCTGTCCAGAACTAGTAGAGCTGGTCTTCTGATCACCCTGAGGATGCATTTTTGACACAGATCTTTCAGTTGAAAATTTGTTAAAAAAGATGAAAGTAATTCAGAGAATTGAAAATTCGCTGTCTGAGTGCCTTGATTAAGCACTTTTGTGACTACAAAAAAGGTGAGTCATGAGTAAATCAATTGTTGCAGGGAGAAGGTACTTACTTGAAGCTGATAGGAGGATGGCAATTCCTGGACAGCAGATTCGAACAGTCTCCCAGGTGCAGTCCAAAAAAAGATGGCACAATGCACTTGCGAGTTAGGGTTGAACTGTGGATGGTGATGATTGTAAGGTCAACCGATGGATGAAGATACCCCACAAGTTGAGAATTCTGATGAGAATTGATGCTCCCAATGATGGATGATGAAAGAATTGATGAAGGTGACAAGAAAGTGATGGAATTTGATGGAGGGGTTGTGAGAGTGAGATGGGGAAAGAGCAGATTGAACTTCAAAACTTTGGAAGGAGCGAACAGATTTCGCGCCAAAAAGCTGCCAGGACACTTGATAAGGGTCCAACAACCGAGTAACAGATTCGATTGACAGTAGCAAAGTGTTAATTGAAACCGAGATGATGAAATTGATGAATTGGGCAAGAATCGAGGATGAATTGGGTGATAGAGACGATGGTGAATGAGGGTGAGGAAGAAAAAGAGGAAGAGAGGAAGGGAAAAAAGAGATGGGGGATTTCAATTGACGAGGAACACAGAGTGTGCCCTACCAGATTGTAGGGTTGATTCGAGCAGTGAATTGAATCGAAATGTTTGATCGGTGGTTATTGCTCCATGGAGGTTCTTGGACATTTCGATATTGGGACGAAGTTCTCCGGGCACGGGACTTCCAAGTTTGTATAGGATTGTGACTTCCTCTCGGATTTTCGCAAGCATACACATAATTGAACACCTCGAGGATATTGAAGAACGCCACACATAGCACGCCATGGGAAACCCAGAGTCCTGGGAGCGATTGAAGCATTCTATTTCGACTTGTCTTGCAACCATTGATAAACAACCGAGAAGTCTTTACCACGGTGAGCTTCCTCCACAGCACGGTATACCTCACGGGCTTTGTCGCCCAACTCCAGAGGAGTATCTGATTTCTCTGCGGCTGTGAGAGCTAACCGCAGGTCCTTGTGCATTAGACTTACCCCGAATCCACCTTGATAGCCGCGCGACGCAGGCGCTGTCTCAACAACACCAGGAACAGGGTTGTTCACTTCCGATGGCCAGCATCGGCCTGTGGAGGCATTGATCATGTCTGCCAATGATTTGGGATCTAATCCCCATCTTACTCCGAGGTTCATGGCCTCCGCGGTGGCAATGTTGTTGATCGCCAGGATATAGTTGTTGGCGAGCTTCCCTGATACTCCAGAGCCGGGTTCACCGAGATGCCACATCCTCTTACCCATCAAAGACAGAACGTTCTGCACTCGTTCCAGGAACTCTTCTGATTGGGAGGATGCTCCGAACATAAATGATAGGGTACCTGCTTTCGCACCGACCACACCACCCGAAACGGGAGCGTCCACAAACCGGCCAGTCTGGGTGCTATGGATTGCATTCGCGAGATCCTTGGACGTGACAGGATCAATCGTAGATGTATCGATGAACAGCCGCTCTTGCTCCACTGCCGGGAGCTCACCACCTTTGAGAATGGAATGGTACACGTCCAGAACATGTTGGGGCTCCGGAAGACTAGTAATGATCACGGACTGGACATCATATTAGTTCCTCGGCAGATTCCTATGTTGCAATGCATCATGGATAACCGCCATTCTCATATCAATGCGCTGATGGCCTCCAATGACATATCATGAGTTCAAACTCACCGACTTCTCAGCAAGCTCCCGGGCATTCTCTGCAATATGGACTTGATTCTCATTTGCTGCTGCGCCACTCGTACTGGCAGCCTCTTGGGCTTCTGCGACAAATCGTTTTGAAGCTTCCTCATTAATATCGCGTACAATCAATGTATCAGTTGCAGGGATCTTGGCACGCAAGTTCTTGGCCATATTGTATCCTATCTCAGGTCAGCTTTTCAGTCCATCTTGAAAGGGGGTGATCAATTCATCATTCCAGTCATCATACCCATCTGTCCCAATCCAATGAACCCCCATGTTGCATCTCGAGGTTGTGTGGTTGAGAAACATCGAGATAAGCTCCGCCCAGTGATGGAGAACCAGCGGGTCTCTGCGGGGCAGTGAAGCCTAGCTCGGGAGAAAGATGAAGCAAGTCGAAGACTCATTTCTCAAGGATTATCGAAAAAATGACCTGATGGATGAGATGACGAAGAGAAACAATTCTAGGAGCTGTGAATAGATGATCAGAAGCTCAGATCTGTGCGACCGAGGGTTGAAAAAGAAATGTAAATGACCTCGGATGATGGATCTTCTCCGCACCGATGATATCCGCGCTTCGGCTTCACTGCGGAGAAGTGGGGGCAGTCAAGTGGAGACCTGCCTTTGTTTAACGAAATCTTGTCTTTGAAGGATGATGAGATACTGCCATTCACGCATAAATAAGTATGCAGAAGTGATTTATTGATGGAGGAAGGATGAGCAATGATAAAATTCACAAATCGATCCATCAGATGTGAATATCGATTGTTATTCGGCAGAATCGAATATGCCGACCGCCTGGCCGAAACCCCTCTATGAATACATTATTCGATCATCATTGGACACTACGCAGTACCTGAACTTTAAACATCCAAGACAAATTCAAAATCATGATTATACATCTATAGCAGCTGGACCCAAGACCATGCCATCTCCTCCAAGGCTTATAAAGATACATGTTCCCCATTGCTTTCACAAACCTCTGATATTTCCACATCACCCTCAATTCCTGGAATCTTTCTGATCCACATATTCACACCGAACACTCCATTAATCTGTTCTCTGAATAGCCATAGTGGAGCCACTCGCATTCCCATCTAAATCCAGTAACCTTCCAGGAGCTGTCACAGCGAAAGCAGCAGCTGATGTCCTCAACCCTTCAATATCATCATCGGCGTATCGCGACCGGTTGGAAGACTCCTTTGGACCTTGACTGAGGCTAGCCAAAGCATAGGAGTCCCCATTTCCAGCGCCAGATGAGCTACTATAGCCTCCACCAACCCGCTTGTGCAACGAAACATTCAGCATTCCACTGTCGAAGGCATCGAGGAAGGGTTTCAAGCAAGGGATACAGGCAGTCATGAGGCTGACATGAGGCTGACACAGAGATTGGTCTGATTGGTTATGACTGTTGCAAAAGAGCTGGTATTCATATCGGCAAGGGACTGAGTCTTTTTCATGAAAACAAGACGTACAATCGTGGTGATGACCACATTAGAATGAACCGGTCAATCGACAGTAGAGGAATTGGAGTTGGGGTTGGAATTTGAAACATACAATATACGGAACACAAATGCAATGACAACAGTAAACTTCTTTCCTGATGCTACTTGCACTGGTTTGATGACGAAACCTGGGAGAAGGTAGATTACCAGTTCGGTGATAATATCGACGGGAGATATGGCGACCTAGAAAGCGAACTGTATACATAATTCGCTGTCAGTGTCTTGGGGCGCAATATCTGGTATGGCGTATGGTCTCAGGCTCACCATATTGATAAAATGCCCATCATTTGTGTTCCAGGGGCGAGATGCCCCACACTGAAAAGCCAGAGTGAAGAAGAGTGGAACAGTCCATGCAGCAATAAGAATGATCGACCAGAAACAGATCTTCTTGTGAAGTTTTATCACGCAGATCTTTTGCAAGAACCGCAACACCGAAGTTTTTGCCAGGCTCAGGCTGAAAACATAGAGAAGATTAGAGGCATAAAGATCCTATAAAATGTCAGCGAACTCTGCTGGATGAGATACCTTTATGAACTCAGAATAATCTACCTTTTGCACGCTGGTATATTGCCCATCAGCCATGGCGAACTGGCGTTTCCCCAATCCATGTTGAATACCAGAGAGAATGACACTGGACTGAAAGATGGGGAGAATCTTTCCGGAAATAAATGGTCAATTCCAACTTGAATCAATTGAAACAGCTCAAGACTTCACATGTTTCAAGGTTGCCGGTTGAGGAGATCGGAAATGGTATGAAGGGAGAAAGCCGAAACCTACCAGCGCGAGTGAAACCATCCCATCATCTCATTGCAGTGACCGAAGCATATAATATCAAAAGGCTAGTCGTATCAGCACGGCCATAATCATCATAGCCAAAAGATATAGCGTCGCTATTGCAATTTCATCTCCATGGTCGATTGAGATGGTCGACCGTCGCCATATGGACAAGTCCATGGTCATCCACGGTGTTTACCCTTGGTTCACATATAACCAAGGTAGGTAGATTGTAGGATAGACAGGCGTGGAGTCCTTGTGATTGAGGATCGTTAAACAATATGCAGGACCCTCTAGTAAGTACTGTCTACTCCATGCATCTCCTAATACAGACCAGTGCTTAGCCGCATAGTAAACCCGATTTAGAAAAACCGAAATTACCGCTGAATCGTCAGCCCTTGCTACATAGCTCAGATGTTTTCCAAAAAATCCCTGGAATTAATCATTCTAGCCCCATAAAGCTGGGGGCGGAGTCGGTAGGCGCAAACACGGACTTTGTGGATCGACTGAAGAACGTGCATGTGCCGTCAAGGGGTATCCCATGATCCTTCAGCATGACCGAACTTTATTAGGGCTGAACTAACCGGTTTTAGAGTTTTTGGCTTGATTCAATCATATTTGTTATTTTATTATTTAGTTTTGGTCTAAAATTGGGCAAACCGGGGCCGTGGCTGCAGCATCCAGCCTTATATGTGCCAAGAGCAGCATGGCGCAACTAGTTGCAGATGTGGTTGAATCAGGTATCCGACTCTCTTGGCCATTGACATCAAGACCATAAGCGCGGTCCCTCTTACATCCTGCATATATGGGTGAATTTTCGTTGGTCATGACTCGTAGAAGAAAGGCATAGCTAACGTTGACGACCTCTGCCGGGCTCTGGTACTAGTAGTATCATGATGTAGGTATCCCGAGTCCCGCGCATGTTACAAGTAAATAGCCCAAGATCTTCTCTCTGGTGGAGGATCCACGGATATTCAGCTTCTTGTGGAGTAATAATTTGCTCAATCCTCGGGGGCTAAGATGTTCTTAGACTTACGTGCATGAGAATCGATTGTACTCGTCAGCTGGGCGGACAAGACATACCTTTAGAGTGCAGATCAAAAGCCTCATCCGTCGCCAAGCTGGCTAAGCCGAGCGGCCCGTGTAACCCTAAAGATAAATGTAATTGGACTAACCTCGAATTTCACTGCATGGATCGGCGCCACGAGCCCGGTTTGTCCAGAAAAAGCAAAAGCAAAAGCAAAAAGTGATGGTGTGGACAAACAACTCGAATCTTGCACCGGAGATGTACCATGTACATATCAGGCGTGCAATTGATTGTACAATATGCAGTAATGAAGATCAAAAGTTGAAGGATTGAACAGATTCGCAAATTTGCATTCCAGGCCAAATCTAAACTTATCTACAAAATTTCCGAAATAGTGCGGCGGATGCTATCTCTATCAGTCTGGCCTATGTGTATATTGAATGCCTTGGCCAGCGCTGCCACGCGCTCCTCATCCGAGTTCAGGGTCCGTAAAACCTCAGACGTGGCACCTAGACGCTGTTTCAACGAGTCGTTGAATAATGTATAATCACCCACGACGTTGTCGCCTGTCTCATCCAGGATCATCCGAACACACACAACATAGAAGGTAAACCAACTATCACGGCTAGTGCTCATGTAATAGTTGATCATCGTAAAGTCCTCAGGGAGGAACTCGGTCTCCGTGAATGAATAAGCGGGAGCCCAGTCTCCGCCCCCATTGCAGATCTCATACTGCCAAAGGGATTGATCCTTGCTAGTATGCTGGGTGATTGGACCATACATAAGGCGCCCATATTGTTCACCCACATTGTGGAATTTGAACTCTGGAGTCAATGGTATAGGTTGGTGTGGCCCATTTGACCCGAACCCCACGTCTACCAAGTACTTCTCTCCGCCGATTTTAACGAGGTTGACCATGTGGTTCCTGCAAAACCGTTTATTAGTAATGACTCTCCAGAATGCTGGGTCTTTGAAGCACTGGAACTGGGTATGTATGTGAAATGGAGATCATCATCATACCAGCCATCGTATTTCGGTCCTCTCCAGTTCTTAGAGGCTGCCACTGGCTGCGCAGCTTCGTTCACTCTTCCCCCGACCGAGGTAACATTGTAGCCCAGGCTCCGTAAGACCGTACCGAATAGAGTATTGTTCTCCATGCAGTAACCGCCCCTCTCGGAGTTAGACGTCACGATCTTCTCGAAGATCTTTTGCACATCTATAGAGATATGGCGTTGAACCGAATAATGCAAGTTGAGGTTTTCAAATGGCACGGCTGCCACATGATACCGCTGAAGCGCTTTCAGAAAGACAAGAGAGTCCTCACTATCAGCTCCAGCGCGCTCCTTCACGACCGAAGACTCTCGCCATTTTTTAGGAAGACTAATCCTGTCAAAATATTGCACCAATTGTTCTTGCGAAAAGGTAGGACGTAAAGACCAATCAATTGCGGATCCCATCTTGAAGCTGGGGCGGAAAGAAACGTGGCAAGAGGTTCAAAGTATGGAGTAGAGAGGGATGATCAGAACTTGAATCAGTGGACGATCGTACGCATCGAATAAGCAGGGCGTGGAACTCCGGATGATAAAGTCAACGATAATGCTCAAGTACCAGTACACAAGTGGGGGTGTGGTCAGTCTAAAGCAAGGGAGTCGGGAGAAATCCTGAAAGATGCAGGAGGTGGCCTTGCCTGATAACGACTCACGAGTGATATTTGTTCCCCCTCTTCATTCTTGGCCCCCAGGGCCCCAGACATGTTGTGGGGCCAATCGACTTTCTGATGTGATCCACTTATTTAGTATCAAGGGTGGAGTCAAGGAGCAAAAAGAAACATTCAATATTGCGGGAGGATACATCATCCCAAAGTTATCCATGCAACGTTTGGAAATAAATTCAAGGCATCCTGGTCAGTCCCATGCATTAGTGTGCTACATGGAGTCCCAACTTATATTATGGCTGGATGATATCTGCCCCACACCACCAAGAGCTTGCATTGAATCACTTTCCTCCTTCTTGTCAAACATGAATTTACGGTCATTTTAATGATTTACTGAGTAAAGCTGTCCCTAGAATTTTCAGAATTTCGGCTTTCTTTTAACATAGTTTCATTAATCTGTTTTTAACTTCGCAGATGCACCATGTTTTCGCTACGCCACGACGCTAGACGACTTTAATTATTCGGGGTAAATGTAGCTGCCCAGGTGAATCTTTCGGTGGCCGTTTTGATAGGCCTGTTCGCCTTTTGCGGGGATCTCTTTGTTCTATTGAGCTAGAAGTCTTTTTTCTTCGCCACATCCATTTTCATTCTTTCTACCAGCCTCTTATCATTTGCGAAAAGATGGCCTACAAGGATGGCGACATGGCCATTAAGGAGCTGGGCTCCCGGCGTCATAGGGATCGCGATTATGCGGATATGGCCAGAGCTGAAAAGAAGCAGCGCCTGGAAGTGAGTGCATTATTCATGAAATAATGCTGGACCAGAATAGTGTTGACATTATCAGCGAAATTTCGGCTTCTTATCGATGCTAGGGTTTACCACAACTATGATGTGTACCTGGGAAGCAGTGCTATTGTATGTTGGAATATCACAAAATCATCGTTTCTACTCAAACTCACGAATCGCCTTAGCTGCAATACTGATTCTATGATTGATGGAGGGCCGGTAACTCTGGTATATGGATTCATATTTTGCTGGATAGGTGCCTTGGTAACGGCATGCTCCCTTGCTGAGATGGCATCGATGTATGAAACTCAACTTATGACTCGGATGTCATATTGCCTCGATGCTTACTATCCACAGGGCCCCGACCTCTTCAGGGCAATACCACTGGGTCTCAATGCTCGCGCCTAAAGGTCAGGCCGTCTTCCTCAGTTGGGTGACCGGTTGGCTAGACATGATCGGGTGGTGGGCTTGCACAGCGTCAGGTGTCTATTTTGGCGCAACCGTCACTCAGGGTCTTTTGGTCTTGAACTATCCAAGTTATGTTCTTGAGAGATGGCAAGGAACATTGCTCATGTTTGCGGGACTCGTCGTTTGCCTCCTTGTCAACTCTATCGGGGCAAGACTTCTCCCAAAGATTGAAGGCCTCATTTTGATTCTGCATATTATGGGATTCTTCGCCGTTTTGATTCCTCTGGTCTATATGGCCCCTCACAAAAGCGCCTCCTACGTTTTTGGCACATTTTCAAATACTTCGGGATGGAAGAATCCGGGATTGACCTGGTTAATTGGATTGATGGGAACGAATCTCCCATTTATTGGTATGTACCCTAGTACTAAATTATCTCCAATATTTAACAAAATTGTCTAGGTTACGATGGTCCTTGTCATATGTGTAAGCTTGGCTTCGACTTGCAAGTCTCTCAAGTTTTGGCGCTAATAAATTTCTGCAGCTGAGGAAGTTATCAATGCCTCAATCACCGTCCCTTGGTACATGATCGGCACCATTCTAATTAATGGTCTACTTGGTTTTGCCATAGTGATCAGCTACCTCTTTTGCATTGGCGACCCGGAGCAGGCACTTAATAGCCCTACTGGCTACAGTTTCATTGAAGTCTTCTTTGATGCTACCAAGTCACACGCGGGAGCTTCCGTGATGTCTGCTATCCCTGCAGCCCTCGTTATCTGTGCCGCCTTTGGTTTCTTAGCCTCATCTTCCCGACTCACCTGGGCATTTGCGCGAGACAAAGGCGTTCCATTCTCGGACTTCCTGTCCCACGTATCTCATGTATGATAATCCACTTTACTCCTCAGCGCAGATACTGACCAAATTGATTACTCAGGTTAAATCGGGTTCTGCACTGCCCATCCGCGCCATCGTTTTCTGCGCAATAATCACGGGCATCACATGTCTTATTAACATCGCCTCCAGCGCCGCATTTAACGCCATGATCTCATTGACTACCGCGGGTCTTTTCTCCTCATACGAGATCGCCATCTTCCTCATGCTTATAAAGAAAATTAAACGAGACCCTATTCAGTATGGCCCTTGGTCCCTCCGCCGATGGGGAATTCCCATGAACATTGCGTCAATTTCATTCTTAATAATCGCCATCTTCTTCTCTTTCTTCCCTGAGGAATTACCAGTCACGGCTATCAACATGAACTGGTCAATTGTCGTATTTGCTGGAGAGCTCTTCATTGGTCTGGGCTGGTATCTCATTCACGGACGAAAGCAATATAATGGTCCCATTATTGAGTCTGGCATTATTCCTGTTGATGATCGGTCTACTCAGTCAGGTTCTTCAAAGGATTGAGGCTTTATCCCTCGGTTAAGGTGTTGTAAATCACTGATTCAAGTTTCAATCGTACATATGGCTGCTAGATTTGGGTTGCGCTAAACATTCATTTGCACAAAGCTCATTGGGGAATTTTCACGGCCACCGATATTCCTGCCAGTGCTAGTATCAATTCTAACATTGATTCCTGATAGTATTTAAGAATCCCCTCAAGTCACGGTGCTGTATACCTAAGTACTCCGTACGGGTAGTACTACACGTGGTAATATCGCCTGCACCAATTCCTACGAACTCCGAGTCTCCCTCTCCAATGTATTTAGAGGTTTTCCTTTACTAGTTCCCCATGCTCTGTGAGCCTTATCATTCTTGGTATGTAACTTGGAATGAAGATCTGGAGGACGGAATATGCTATGGCGTTTACCTAGGTGACGTTCAATGTTCAATTTCGCACTCCCCACCTACCTAGAACCTCTGAGGATTATTCTTCCATCCTGAGGCAAGGGCCACCAGACTCGGAGCTAGGGTATGTCGGTCCCGGTTTTGGGGCTAATCTATAGAATCTCAGGCATATGGCCATACTATAGGAAGTCTCAGTATGACATTACCTAGGTAATACTATGATCATAATAGTAGGAAGAAATTTTAAATTTCAAATGTAGAGTTGAGTCAATCAAGACTAGTAGTCAGTAGTAAAATCTCGACTTCCAGCGTCCAAACAGTATTCTCATCGGCTCATATTTTCATCCGGATGCTCAACATCTTCGAGTCAGAGTCTTCAATAACCCACTCTGGACTATTCGGCCACATGCATTCTTTCTTCACATCCCGTCTTTGAGCACTAAAGTAGAATTGATCTAGAAGCCCTTTCGCAAATTGCGGTGCTTCCGAAAGCATGTTCTCATATGGCTCGCGAAATTGGTCGTATATCGAATAGGACGGAAATTTTTCGTAGGCAAATTTCAAGCAGGCTTGTCTCAACCCCACGTTCGCTTCAGACATCGGGTACTGATTCCAAAAACCCAATCACACTGGGAGAAATTCTACCTTGTAAAGATTTCTGTCCGTTTTCATCCTGTGGCCTGTGGCCTTCTCACCCCCCCTCACGTAGTAAAAGGGAATGTGCGGATCAAATCTAGCCTGTCTTCATATTTCTCGATGCTATAGGACATCAGTCGTGGGATGTGGTATCTGTCTGCGAAGGCAAATACTCGAGCATAGAGCTGGAGGGCTGAAAATTCGGGGGTAGCATTGTCATCTCCCTCTTTTCTTTGTAACTCATCATATGATTGCGTGTAGAGAAAGGATATCACTTTGCTGACAACTATGTGAGATTCCTCTTCGAATTCATAGATACCAGTTTGCGCCTCCTTTAAGCCGGTTGTTATTACCGGTTTCATCTAAATATTAGATCAAAAAGAGCACCCATGACTTATTTGAAAATTTCCTGTGCAGGCAGCGTGGATAGCCTCGATTTGAGAATATATCAAAACTTTGTGAACTTTGAATTCATGTCCCTCGCAGACGAGCGTGAGATCACTGAACTCTCCTGACGTATGACATGTTGAAACCGTGTTAGCTTTGGATGAGGTATTAATTAAATATTCAAATGTTTGAATTAGATCAGAGTACCTCATAAGGGAATCCCCCATACTTGAAGGACGATGCCTTTTCATTTGGATCAATTGTGGATTTGTGTAGCATATTTGGATGAAAAGGGGTTCTTGTGATGGAGGGGTAGTTGAACGATTGAAGCTTTGGTTCGAATGGTACTAGTAGATCTTACAGACTGAAATATCTGTTTCTGATGCCTAGTCCATGTACGGAAATAATTTCAACCTGAAGTAGGTAGCAATGAGGTATGTACTGTAATTAGGTAGCACTCTTCCAAGTTCACAATGATGATTTTATCTCCAGGGCTCACATGTGCAGTTGTATGCCTGTTTGCCTTGTTTGCACTTTTCTGCTGCCGCCAAGCCTGATCAGGATAGACACCTGATCTCTATTTAAGGCATCCTTCCTGAATATTGTCAATGGAGTTATATACAAAATGTAATTTCTAGGCAATGCATTCTGGCTCAAGCATTTGATTAAACCATTTTCAAGGCTATGGGCAATTATCTATTGTCCTACATAATCCAGATGTCATGGTGCAGCTCTTGAAATTTCAAATTTTTATTTAGGCGCCAGTACTAGAATTGAGAGCTCAATTTGAAATAGACGTATGGACGAGATACACGATTTTTTAAATACTTTTTTGAAAACAAACCAATCTTTCGCGTGAGGAGTTTCATGACCTTCACTTCTAGTTCATTCGTGATACTGCCCTACCTGGCGGAGCCATCACTGTTTCCAGTACTAGTACCATTGATGACAAGATTCAGCCAGAACATGATACATACCCCAAATACTGATCAAGAAGACCTATCGTAAATCGTGGTACCTCCGAGGTTGTCTTTTTATATAGCTCTTGGAACCAAGCGCATTTAACGCAATGAGGAAAAGTGTCATGCGCATAGTCGAAACAAACCCTTCTCAGATCAGTCACCAGTTCTGGTGTGGTGTTGAACACTTCAGGTATCGACTCCAAAAATTCAATCACAGTGTTCTGTGACTGACTCCAGCGATTTTTCTTACGCAACTTCTGCTTAAACATTTCGACACTCAATGACTTCAGACCTGGGACAAGGTATCTATCGGCGAGGGCGAAAACTCGTACATGGAGCTGAAGCCCTGTAAATTCCGCGCTGGTATGGCCCTCTCCATCTAATTAAATTGAATTGTATTATTGTCGGTAGAGATATTCTATCAGCTTCTGGACAATAATATGTGATTCTTCTTCGAATTCGTAGACACCTGTAAATGACTCCTTTAAATGTTGATATTAGTTATTGTCACCAGGTATTTTCGTCTTGAGATAAAGTTTCTGAATAGCTCCATACTTTGAAACCCTTAGTACATGCAGCATGGATTGCTAGTACTTGCGAGCAGACAACGACTTTATGGACTTTCCATTGAACGTTTTCGCAGACGATGGTGAGATCACAAAACTCTTCTGATTTTTGGCATCTTAATATCCGGTTAGTTCTGCCTGAGTACCTCAAAGGATGGGGCAAATACTTCATAAGCAAGTCCCCAAGATTTGGCTGATCTGATGGATCATTATCTTCCATCTTGCTAGCTGTGACTATGGTTGTGGAGGATGGTGTACTTTGAGCCTGCAATCAATGACAAAAGTAGCATCTCTGAGTCAACCTTGGAAAGCTCGATTATAGGTTTGCAGGATGATTACTTAGCCAAACCAAAATAGCCAATTCCCAAGAGATAAGTTTGATACTTGACACCTAGTATAATAATTACGTCAGGTTAGATATTTAAGGAAGAACCCGTCTAACACTTCCAAGGTTAGATCTCACTTCTATAACATTCAAACTATCAAGACCCGTGTAGCTCTTACTTAACTTTCATTTCTCTAGAAGATTAAACTTGCATAGCTCTGACTTTCAGGGCTAGAAATAAATTTTCTTAAATTCCCTTCACATCAATTGATCATTCAACAACTTGAACTTGAAAGACTGACACGTTTAGTGTTGAAGGCCTGCCAAAATCGCTGACAACCTTAGAACGAATTAGAAATTTCATGATTCTATTAAATTTAAGTCGATACATATATGCTATCCTCTAGTAACTGCTTGAATTCACAGCTGATCTCTACCTACTCTGTTACTCACGAAAAACCTCATACATACCTAGGTATATAGTATGTGCCAAATCCATTAAGGACATCTGGATGACCGCACTCTGTCAAGACACACCTCTCTCACACTTACCACCTGAAGAATCGAAAGTCTCCATTGTCGCTTATTGAAAACTTCAAGCTCCTAGGAGCTGTTCATACCACTGGAAGGTCACGGTATAGGTCCCTGATCCTCAGACGACACCTGAAGCCGCCGTGGTTTTGAGACAAACCTGCTTGTAATTTGCCTATGAAAGATTTCCCTACTATTTGATCACGGAATCGTTTCGCGAACCATATGGGAATATTCTTTCGGGAGCTCCGTAGTTTACGTAAGGACTTCTGGATCGATGTCTCGCTGGTTCTTGAGATTGGGACAGGAATTCAGAATTCTTGTGTTTTCCCAAATATGATGAGGATGGAAACATTTTATGAGCATACCAACATTCTGATTGGACATTCAAAGTCGAGATTTAAGTTCAGAACTGCTAGAATCATGTCAAATATGATCAAAATAATAAGCCAGTAAAAATTCCATTCTCCCCTGATCGGTGGTCACACGGTTGGAAACCTAGCCTCACCTATCCGGTATATACCAAATCCGTTGAAAGTGATAGACCATTTCCCTACATCAAATTTCTATAAGTAGATTATATGTTATTGATTCTTTCCAATTAGTGAGATCTACTTCCTTTCATAAATTCTTTAAATATAAGAGCTTTCTGAATTTAAACACTTTGTAAAGGTGAGAGGTATCTGAGTCTAAGGCGTTTGTGTATGTGGGACCTAGTAAGGGCTATCTGAGCCTAAAGTGATTTAGACGTGAGAGATACCTATCTGAGTCTTCCAAGAGACGGGTTCTTCCTTTAATATCTGACCTAACATCAACATTTTTTGGTAACGGTAGTAAGCGGCGAACTAAGGTATCTCTTAGGAACTTGCTAATTCAGCATTTCTGATCATTCAAATGTTCTGAAAACCTACCAGTACTATAATTTTACATTGACACCAGTTGAGAGATACTATATATGATAAGTCAGTGAATCCAGGCTCAGTTATACCATCCTTCACTACTACTGTCGCAGCTAGCAAGAGGGCGGGAAATTCGTGACTCCACTACATGAGTCTCTTTAGTTCACTACTTGAATATACCGTTCATATCACACTATTTCTGAAACCCAAAAATGCCTTCCAATAAGCCGTTTCCCGGGCCTCACTATATTTGACGTGTGTGATATGAGGAATGACTCTCTACACAAACTCCCTATATACTACTTCTACGAAGTGCACCTCTATCAACTTTCAGTGGGTATCACATACCGTGTACAGCGCCTTTGCTTCAAAAATGTTCTTGCTCATGCATATATCTTCCATCATAAAGATGTCAAGTCCTGGAGACCTTGAAGCACCTGTCTTGGAAGCGCCAGAGTTTATTAGTTGGAAACTCATTATATATCCATAACTCCACTGACGGGAATTGAATATCCAGTATAGATGCCTCAGGATCCCAGGACCATGTGTCACTATGTCGATTCTAAATTCAAGTTAGCCTTATTCAAATATTTCAAAGTTGAATCACATAGACGCCTACTATGAAAGAACTTGAACTTGAACTTGAAGGGACAAAAATCAGAAACCTTGGAAGCGGAAGCAAACAACTGGAGAGAGCGAACGGGCTTAGAAATATGCAGAGTTGAATCACCCACTGGCAATTAGACTTCGGTACAAATAATCTCATCCGAGTCACTACTAGCTGTCTGCCTGTCAACGAAAGGTGCTTGGGGAAGGGAAAAAATAGGGTGGAGAACATTTGAACTTGAACCAGGTGATATCTACAGAGGACGATATCTTCCGACACTAGGTACCTATGGTAGTATCTACTTCAAGTTCAAGTTCAAGTTTCAACCTTGGAATCATCTCCCTCCCTATTCGTTGAACTGGACATCCGAAACAGATCTTCCATTTTGTCATATCTCGCCATTTGAACCAACCCCCATCTCAGGCTCTCAAAACTTGAATCATCGACCCCTCCAAAGCGAACTTGAAGTCTCTTTGAAATCATCTTTGAAATCAGATATCTTTCACAGATCCAGATTACAAAATGACGAGAAATGATCGCTTTTCAACTATGGGGGATTGTCTTATGAGGTACTCTGATCAAATTTCATCATAGAATATCTAAGGCTAACAGTTTCAACTTGAAGGTACCAGAAAACAGGAGAGTTCAGTGACCTCCTACCCGTCTGCGAAGGACACAGGTTTAAGGTTCACAAAGTCATCATATGCTCTCAAGTTGAACCCATCCACGCTGCCTGCACTCAAGATTTCAAAGTAAGCCATGCAAACCTGATCGAATCCTGATACAAAAATGGTGATATTGACTATGATGAAGGAGGCTCATACCAGAATTTACGAGTTCGAAGAAGAATCTCATATCGTCGTCCGCAAAGTGATATCTTACCTCTACACCCGGTTCTATGATGTATCGCAGGAGCACCTGGGAGAGGGAGATGATAACGTCGGCCCGGGATTTTCAGATCTCGAGCTCCATGCTTAAGTGTTTGCCTTCGCAGACAGGTACTGCATCTCAAATCTGATGTGATTCAGTGCCAACATGTATCAAGCTCGATTGGATTTCATACGTTCACAATCTCTGATGAAGGGAATATCACAAGAACTACTGGCAGGAGAAGACAAACGACTGGACTTATATGGAGAAATATCTCCCAATATTATTGAGTTTTTGGGCTCAGTACCGGCTGTTTTCAACTTGACACCGAAATCCACAACGCAACTTAGGAAAGTTTGCCTGGACTTTGCGCATGACATGTTTCCTCTGGCGTCGATTTTGCCTGGATTCAATGACCCATATGGAAGGATAATTTTGGAAGCGCCAAGTTTTGCAAAAGGGCTTTTTGATCGACTTTTCGCGAGTACTCGAGCTTGGAGGCACGAGAGGTTTTGAATGAAATTACGAGAGGCCATTGATGAAAATGGGGGCTCGCCCTCTATTCCATGAAAGTGGATGGAAGTACTAGCCCTTCAGTACGTGATCATAGTTTTTAGATATTCGAATTCGGAATATTGAGGCTTTCCAAATTTTTCTAGGAAGTTTTTCATAAAGATGGACGCGGCCTTTCAAATTTGGCACTTGTATGATTCCCGAGGTCATTCCCCACTGGCATCGTAGGTACAGCGGAATTGGCGCAAATGCAACCACTTGAGCAGTCCACTACATACCCTTTAGGTAGCAGTGCTTCACGCCACGCTTTGCCCAGCATTCCATCAGCGACATCAACTTGAATTTACCAAAAAAGATATGTAGTCCGAGCCAAAACTTGAGTATTTGGCTAATAGGAAGCTTGCCAGTGGCTACTAGTAGTAAATAGACACACAGGCACTGCTATAGTGGTATCATCCTACAAATATGCACATGCATGTGCATACTTCAGGTGCACTTGAGATGTCAGATTTAACTTCAAAGTAAGCGCCCATGCATGTCCCTGCCAAAGTACCTAGTACATATCTTCAAATTCTCTCAGAAGGCCACTGGCATATTTACATATTCACTGGCAATTACTCCATCAAAGGGGAAGGCAAGGAGGTAGGGGAACTTCAAGTTGAATGGATATCCCATAGTATATTGTTCATCAATATCAAACGCCAATCAAAGCACATCTACCAACTTTCGTTGTTTATAATATACAGATATCCATATGCAAGCGAATCAAGTCCCAAGATTCCATAACGAATGAACGAGTGCCCAAAGCAAACATGCAAAAAGAAGGCAAAGGGGTATGTATGATGTATGTGGACAGGTCCAAATCCAAACGCCTGATCAAAAGAAAAGAAAGAAACATAGACAAAAACAAAAACTAATAAGCATGGCTAGATCTGTTCTTCAAGTCTTATGATCTTGGAGATGTAGGGTGACTAGTTGGTCCCGCGAGATACTCTTCCGGAACCTTGGGAACACGGGGAGAGTTCGCAGTTTGAACCATAGCACGGTGCTGAGCTCGAAGGAGATCGCGCTGCCGTTCCTTTTCGCGGTTTGCTGCGCCACCTGTTAATCTGCGCATACCACTTCGGATCATTGATTCCAGGGAGTGAGGTTGGGATCCGGCTCCTTCTGTAGCACTACGGACCATAGGTGGCATGGGAGGATGGATTCTCCGAGCAGTTGTTGGGCGATCGTCAAGATCAGAGTGTGTGTCTTCAATCTCATCGTCTGAGAGGAATGCGGATTCACTGAGACCGACTGGTGGTGTATTGTGGGGTCCATGGGGAGCAGTATGAACGAACAGGTTGTTGGCGGGTGAGGTGACAGAGCGGGTGTGAGAGACGGGGCGGAGACCCGGGCCCAAGGTTTGGGAATTCATGCTAACTGGAGAGGGCATGCCGGGAACATCGAAGCGGAAGTTGGGCGGGCGGGACTCTGCGAGACCGTTATGGAAGGATGAACTGGAGCCGGTTCGAGCGAGAGATTTACGGAGGATAGGCGCCGTCTGCTGATCGTAGAGATGGGCGTTGGTGTCAACGTAGCTACCTGTAAATCCTCGTAACATCGGCGGTGCTACCGGGTGTAGTGTTGGAACATTTGTTTCCGTCTCTTCGAAGAAATCGTCAAGACTGTCCAGTTTCTGGACGATATCGCCCATGTTGCCATCAGTCTGAGTATCAATCGACTTCATCGTGTCGGCTCTCATTGGGAAGAACGAGTCGCTGTATTCATCCGCACGGAATTCCACATCAGGAGTCAAGGTATCGCGTGTATTCATGTCATCGGCTTCAGCACAAGTATAGAACACCGCGTGGACATTGTTGCGAGTAATGGTTGATTGAGTCGCCGGCATGGGAACTGACCAACCTGTAGGCTCAGGAATGCCGTACAGACTTTGGATCCGCTCGTATTCCTTGCGAATAGCACGTGACGAAGCTGCAGAAGCCATGCTCATGCGCAGGTGATGACGCTCCATCGGGTTACCAGAGACAGTCATGATATTATCCAGGACCTCCAGAGCCTGCGGACACAAATTGGTCTGCAGAAGGCGCAGCAATGGTGAAATCAAATCAGGACCATGGCAGGTAACTTCAGTGCGTCGCATATCAACCTCGGGGATCAGCACACAAAGAATCTTCATGGTCTTGATACGGAACCAATCAGTGGTGTTGGTGAGAAGACCCATAAGGAAGATAAGACACTGAAAGTCCAGCTGCGGGAAGTAGTACGATTTGATTTCGTTGACGATGTGGTCAAGGAATACACCTTCTGTCTTGTACTGCTGGTTGGCAAAACCAAACAATGACGCTGCAAGTCGAGGACATCCTTCATTCTCCGCCACACGAGCAAGTAAGCTGGCACGCATCATGGGTTTGGGATCGGTAAAGCCTTGATCGAAACACTCCAGGAAATGGGGCAAGTTGGCCATAATTGTGAACAGCTGACGAGTGCCATCTCCGATGAGCGTATTGTTTGGTAGCGCACTGAGGCGATGAAGGATATCCAATGTACGGTTGAAAGACTCAGAGGACTTCAGTCCCTTGAAAACTAAATCTTGAAGCCCATCAAAACCGCCTTCCCACTTAGGAGGCTGACCCTCAAGAAGTTGTGCCACGATGACGGGATCACTAAGATCCACGCTGTCCAAAAACTTATCCAGCATACCCAGTGTCTCGACGAACTCACTCTCGTGGATGGTATTGAGACAAGCACAAGTGGTCCAGAAGAGCTGAGGATAATGCATAAGATCAGATGGCGCTAGAGAGCTGATTATTATTTTCAACGTAGTGAGAATCTCCATGGAGAATGTTTGATAATCTTCCTCTTCATCCGCAATCGTGTTCGAAAGGCGGGCGAGCATATCAGCCAGCATGCGTGAGTCCAGCGAGGTTGAAATGCACCGGAAGATTTGAAAGGAACGACATGCCAGATGTCGCACAGGACAAGATGTTGCCCAGTTTAGCGCTTCCTTGGCCCATATGTCGCCCACACCCACGTACTCAGGAGCAAAGCTAAAGAACTTGATGACTTCACGGGTTGCAGTAGCCATCGACGATGGCACCCGACGATCGTCGGATTCCTCGTCCTTGCCATTGTTTTCTTCATATTCCCACACTACGGCGGGATCACTCTTTCGAATCAATTCGACAAAGTCCTCGATCGATTGCCGAGCGCCAACAGATGCACCGTCCTCCAGTTTGGCAGCAATGAGCTCATGGATCAAATGAACCAACATCTCACGAGCCTGTTCTTGAACAGTAACAGTGTAATGATCCCACAGGATTAGTACAACATGAAGAAGCTTAATCACGTCATCAATTGGCAGATCGACAGGCGCAACCATAAGATCAACAAGGAAGATTAGTGCCACTTGGCCCAGCGAAAGACCGGCTTGTTTATTCCCTACGGGAATGATTGTGGCGAGATCAACCACGTACGGCAAGCTCTTGATATCAGGCGGTGGAGGCGTGAGATCCTTTCGCTCCTGTACCATGTTCTTGGGCACTACCTGGAGCAGGAAGAAATCAATCACCTTGGATCCTGCGGGTGTACCGGCAAGGAAAACAACGATCTGCTTGGCATAATCGACAAATTTTTGTTCTTTACGCTCCAAGCAAAGATTGATGATGAAGTCCAAGACTAGCTGGACATTTCCGCCATGAGGACCAGTGGCCAACGCTTGCCACAATGCTTGAACCTGATTCGGCAAAGTAGTACTGCAGCGAATGGTGATCTCAAACAGATTTGCAAGAAGCATATAGGACCTGGCAGTGGGTCCACCATTAGGATCGACCTGCAGCTCCATAGTCTGAACCCATGGTAGGATCGCCGCAACCATGTTGCGTTTGGTGTCATCGTGAAGACTGCGGAAGTGCAGAGCAAATTCAGAAAACAGCGTGAAAGCCAAGTCAGCGTGCTGGACCGCCAATCTTTTCGAGGTCTCAAATTGAGCCAGCTTGTACACAGCTGTAGTCTTATCCGAAATGCTAATATCGAAGTCCTGAAGTCGCGAGTTTTTCTGATGCCGCTCCTCAAGTCGACGAAGAAGCTTGGCCGACTTCATTCGAATCTCGCGCTTTTGGTTGCCCAAAGTCACTAGGACCGCGCCCAGAATTCTCCAGAATTCCAGGGGGTAGTCTGGATGCTCGATGAGAACTTCGCTTACGACCTCAAAATAGCTTTCCAGCGCCTTTGGCTGCTCAGCTGCATAACACATCTCAACGGATCGTTCCATCAGATACGTATGCTCCTTATTATGAATTATGAGGTTTTTCAACGCCCGACGACCAATCGCATGCCACTTATCACTAACACTGACAGCGGTGAAGATGATATGGATCCAGGATAGCATGCGACCAACGTCAAATTGAAGTACAGACCCACTCTCAGTTGTGATACTGATTGGGCCAGCCTGGAGTCTGAGTTAGCAAAAAAGAACGAGTTAAAAAAAGAGGGTAGGAAGAAAATACACAAAGAGATGCCATTGCGCTTAAAGCGGCTGCTCGGAGATTTTTCTTCTCGATTTCCATAGCGGCAGCAGTGTTTCGCATCTCACCACCCTCATGCGTATTTGCCATGGCAACTTTGCGCATATTGTCCTCTCTTTCGTTGATTTGAGTTTGATTAGGCGAGTAGCCACACCAATCTTCCATGAGTGAAAAAGCAGATTTTCTTGATTCGAACGGAATCCAGCGGGAAGGATCCTTGGTGCGATTGACGCCTTCAAAGAGCTCTTCCATCAAGCCGCAGTAGTGAAACCGTAAACGTTGGAAGTCCCAGTCATTTTGAACCTCGGCATCGCTCAAGAAAATACGAATATCCTTCGCATAGGTAATCAGGTTGTTGACGATCCAGTCGTCATTGTAAACCTCTGGCTCTCGAAGGAAATGGGAGGTAAGCTTATACACATTTGTGACTTCCGTACGGAGACGATCGGTCTTTCGGTTGCGACGGGGGCTGCTAGGAGTGCGGTGGTGTGTGCCAATCCTGATCTTGGCTTCCTCGTTACAGGTTGTCACAGCATACTGGAGAGACTCCAGGAGTGTGCGATAGAGGGTCTTGGCGATAGAGCCTAATGCAGCGACAATTGCAGATCGAATAGAGTCCCGTTCAGCTGACAAGAGGGGGATAACAAAGGCAAACAGACTTCGCGCAGAGCTGGTGTTATCCTGGGACTGTTGTCCCTTAGAAGACTTGCGTGAATGTTGGGCATTTGCGAGCTGGCTCTGGGATTGAGCTCCAACACTAGTCACTGTTGTGCAGGCCATGACTAGGTAAAGCCGCCACTGCTCAACGAGAATCTCTGTCGTCATGTTACTCCGGCCCAGGGGACGAGCCTGATAGACATCAAGCGGGGAATATTGACCAGGTCTCGAGCTTTCAGCAAGAGATGAGATCAGCTTGTGCATCTGAACAAGACGTGCGTATACAATCTCTCTTCCCAACATGATGGCAGTTGGACAAGTCTCAAAGCTGACGCGAATAATATTCGGGAAAACTTTGGCCCACAGGGTAGAGTCGTAGGAGACCTCGCTGCTACATAGTTCAATGAGAGTGTTCTGTGAAGCACTTCTTCTTTTGCCCTTGAGGATCCGACTTCTCTCTGCAACTGTCAGCTGCTCATCATTGAGATCCAAGATCTGCTGTGAGTCGGCTTCAAGGATCCGAATGATTCTTGTGTTCTCTTTGCCGAGGGCGCTGTCAAACTCGGTGATCAGACGAAGAACGTTGATGGCAAATGCTCGAACCCGTCGAGATTGTGAACATAGGAAGAATAATCCGTGAGACTCAATCTCATCAACAGAGGCAAGAAGACCTGATAAGTCAAGATTGAGAGCCCGACTGCCCGAGATTGATTTTTCAAGTTGATCTGAAGCGGCTTCCTTGGTTTTCTGCTTGATCTCATCAATCCAGATTCGCAACAACTCCACGTATAGCCTCAAAGTTGATTCGATGTGTCCTGGTCCAAGCATTCCTTCATCGGACATCGTTGAATATCGTGCGTCAAAGTCGAATATGAAACGTGCAAATCCAATTGTCACTTGTTGGGCGTGCAATTGTCGCGCAATCGCCTTCAATGAATCAGCAGACGAGGATGCGATGTTTGACTGCACATGAGCAGTTCCGGTGCAAAGAAGGTTGATCAATGCCTTGAAGGGAATATGATCTGAAAGACAACGAGGCAATGCCTGTACAGCGACGTGGAAGAGATCGTAAAAGCCTTGTTTGTGGTCCAGTGTACTGACATGGTCATCGCGACGTGAAAAGAAGGATTCGGTAAGCGGCGTCTTTGGTGTTGTGCTTCCGAACTTCTCATCCAGAACCGCCTGACCACCGAAGGTGGTATTACATAGAATTGTGATCTTACCGAGCACTTCGCAGAATCGTAGATAGTATTCCTTAACATTGTCGCTCAGTCTTGACATGTTGACTGGACAAGAGGCAGCTGGATCGGGCTTTTGAGAAGCCAGGCCCACCTTTGGCTCTGCAAGTAATTGTGGACGGTGGAAGAAAATCGGGTTTGGAGCAGATGTGAACGGGTTCGGAAGAGAGCCTGTTGGGAATGGCGGACACAGTTGATCACTTGTTTCCAGATCTGACATTGTTGCCAGAAATGCTCTAATGCCAATCACCATTTTCTCCGGCTCCATTTGTTCAATCTTCGTTTCTCGACTGGAGAGGAACAGATCAGAGTTGATAAGAGGGAAGATAATCGTGCGAAAACAAACATCAGGGTGTTTGAATCCAATCATTCGAATCAGCTGGATCAGTGGCTCAGCACTTATGGGCTCTGCAGTCAGGTATGTCCTTTTGCCTGTTGGCAATGCAATTTTTACGACCTCTTCAATCTTGCGCAGTGTAGTTGTGGGGGGAGTCTGAATAGCGGAAGAAATAGGTCCAAACAAGTCGACATATAGCTTGTAGAGCTGGCGCACGAGTCGGCCGGTCCTTGAGCCGAGGAGGTAAGCCTGTTATCATCGAGAGCCATTGTGAAGAGAATGTTTCCTTGTTGGATATGCAAAGAAGGAGCACGTTCAAGGAGAACGCAGGGGTCCAATGTCGAGGCTTTGTAAGTAATTGAGCCAAGCGAGGCTGAACCAAATCCAAAAACTCCTTCCACCGAGGAAGTGCAAGGTCACAGACCGGGTTAGCTGCCACGGGCAGTAACAGTTTCTCAATCACGTAACAATACGCCTGCTTGATTTTTTGCCCGTGTGCATTCACAAACAAGCGTCCCAGGCTTCGCATATAATCACAAGCCTTGGGCCAAGTGTCTGTGCCCATCGGCAGACGCAAATACCTCATGCCCAGGATGAGTAGCTCGGATTTGGCATCCCCATCACGTGAGGGCCCCCGAAGTGCTTCCTCCTTTTGATATCGGTCTAGTTCTGCAAGGAAGCGATTGGCAACTGTGGTGAAGTTCAATTCGCTCATGATGCCGAGCAATTGGCCATATATCCTCCAATTTGCCATCCTTAGTGGAGATGCGGAGATCTGATCAGGGTCGACCGTTTTGAGCTGACCAAAAACTATGTCTTCCAAACGATCTGCCATGTCAATTGTGATAGATGCTAGGTCGCTTTGATGGAAAATTTCAATCAATACTCTGCATACCAAATAGACTGAGACAGTGGCACGGCGTTCTACCAATGCGATATCATCATGACGACCAAGCAGAGGCGTCGATGGGTGTGGTCTTTCTGAAGGAGCTGTTGGATCAGTGGGCGTCTGAGTAGGCTCTGTGTTACGACGTAAAAGAGGCACATTTTCTGATGTCGCAGATTTTGGCTATAACAGCATCATGCACCATTAGTCCTAGACTCTCTTCCCATGGAATGAAAATATCTCAGTGTAGTTGCATACCTGCTCATTCGTCATCTGCCTTGCCGTGGTAGCTGCATCTCCTTTGGCTTTCCTCCATAACATGATAGTATCGATTAAAGGCTTCGGCTTTTGCCTTGCAATATGTCCCAGGGCTGAGATCAACTGATCGAAGTTGGGGTCTGCTCCAGGTCCGCAAACCTCCTCCACTGGAGCTTCGCATTCTCCCAGCTTCAAAATTGCCTGATTGATTTTACTGTCGGCTTGACCAACAAACTGTGATGCGATTCTGCTATCAGCATCGCCTTCATCAAATCTACGCAGCATATATTCCTTACCGAGTTAAATAAATGATGCAACGCATACTCCCCCACCGTCTTAGATTCAGAATGATGCTTCGAATGTGAGCGACTGTGAGATCTTTCCCGCCGTGATTTTCCTCCCGAGTTCATTCTCTTATGGACCAGACTTGCTGGACTTCCATCCACCCTTTCATCTGCATCGGTATCCTGAATCGTACTCAATGTACCTTGTAGTCCGAAGTTCGAAGGTGCCCCCGCGGGGCTCTGATGGTTTGAATGGGTATCGAGCTGTTCTAGCTTAGGAGGTAAACCGATCTCGTCCGTTAAGCCACGACCGAGTGAGGCGATAAGTTCAGGGCTTAGTGGACTGGAAGCGGTCGAGCCCGCCATGCTGGGGTTCCGTGAATGTTGCATCCCATGAACGATTGAGGTCTGTCGGTGATGACCGTACGAGTTGGACGGTCGTCTTTCCAATCCCACCTCATATCCTGCAGGGCGACCGGTTGAGACGTCTGGGCTTTTGGAACCTGAATGACCGCGGCGGGCTTGTGGTAAGGTCGGGGCTAAGGCGGAAGGGTCGGCAGCTCTGCCACGAACCGCGGAGGATTCACGGCTGTGCATTGGAGTAGACTGGGCTGTCCTTGTACCTCGCCGCTCCGATATGGATGGGATGGTATGGTGCGATGCGGATTTGAGGTCGTCAGGGATGAGGGGCAATGTTGGTTGCTGGCCGGGGCCAGCAGTTTTGGCCGAATGAGATGCCACTATCGTAGTAACCAACACAGTTAGCAAACGGAGGGTTCTCCTTCCTTCTTTTGGCCTTTCGAATCTTTCTCTATTTGAATTCCTCTTCCTCCCGAATTCTTTCCCTTTTTTGAAAGTCTTCCCTTTCCTTATATTTCTTCTTCCTGGAGAGAAAAAGAAAAGGGAGGGATGACAGGGTCGCAAGGGAAATGGTACTGCAGACTGCTTACTGGTACAAGTCAAGGACTCATTGCTTTGAATCTCATGCAGACTGCCGTGTCAAGAGTGTCATCAATGAGCCAGTCACAGGTCATGACGGCTCAATCCAAAAGTGGGATTGATGGTGGTTGGTTGAGAATCTGGAGCAGCGCGGATGACGAGAGCTTTTTAGATGTTTATTCGCGGCGCACGGGGAACCACTTTTTACGTTGCCCTGTTCACTGGAAAGGGATTAATTATTCTACATATTTCGTTCTAACAATTCTGGTGTAGACATGATTCAATGGTGGTTTCAAGTTTCTTCTTCTACTTGGTCTTGATGACTTTTTTTTTTCTTTTTCAGTAAGAATTTCGGGGCCATTTTGTACGCCCAATGGCGTTATCGCGTTGGGCGCAATCCTCTGAATTGCTTCGTTTGGAAGAAGATTCAACCACATATTATGGACCATGTCAGATCTAGATTACTTGAGCTCCAGAATTAGTATAGAAATTGGAGGTATTATGGACCCCATTCTCACAGGAGCTTAGGGAGAATTCATCAGCACTTGAGCATATTAGTGGTCATCATGGGCTTGCTCTATGATATCAGGATAACCAATCAAGAAGCCGAAGACCACATTTAAGGTGGCAAATGTGTATGCAAGATGTAGGAACCAGGAACCAGGATACAGGATGAAGTGACGATACAATAATTATAGCTGAAACAGCTTGATCCAAAGGAACCCGTGGAGTCGCGTGAGGGAACTCCATCGACTCCATCGACTCCATCGGAGCGGTCAACATGATAGACCGTGATAGGGGCTGCAGCAGTCCACGGGTAGTCAACTGGTAACAGCACTTGAGGTGCCATGATGGAACTCCAGGTCTACATATAAATTGTTGACACACATTGAATACCTAGTAGTAGTAAAATTAACTCGTCGCTCCAATTTCAGATACACCGTAAACTTTTTATTGAACAACATCTGGACCATCTAGGCTGAGTTCGAACTATGACCAGTTGACCACCTGCAGATGTGCCCACCTTCAAATGACTAGAGGGTATTCGTCTCTTTTATCATTTTTAATCCTAACTTGAACCCATGTACATTGGAATTTTCCAGGTTAGGATTTCTGGGAGGCACTCCAGGGCTGAGTTCACTCGCAACATTATTTGAACCGAACCTGAGTTTCAAGTTCAACTTCATCTTGTCAACTGCCAGTGTGTACGGAGTACATATACTATTATGTGGTAGGAGGTTCCCGTGCCTACTACTAGTACTCAACTTCAATGACCAACTTGAATGGTCATTAATAGGCAATGACTACCTAGCAAGGTTACAACATTTGAATGGATATACTAAAGATTCATCTGTCAGTAGGCAGTCCTAGCCTTATAACAGCCTGAGGCTTTTTAACCTTCCAAGATGGGAAGGTGGCTGCGCGCCTGTTTAAGTGGGTACTCCGAGGCCGAGTATCATCATATGAAAGCACACTAAACATTTTGAACACATATCATAGTTCAATTTTCAAACCTTGTAGCTTGAATAAAGTGCTGGAAAAGAATATTTGCCATTCAAAACTAGTGTTAGTACTTGTATTACAGCGCAGATTTGACCATCTGGGCACATCAATCATCCATGTCAGTGACATCTGGATGACTCGGATTCTCAAGTAGTACTAGAACTCTTGTACTCTGACTTCCGAATCCAAATCTTAGAGGTCCAACTTGAAGTTGCAAATACACACATGCACACCTGGGCATGTGCACTCGCATGCCGGGCTGACGTCTGATGTCATCAATAGACAACTGCTCAAGTGCTCATCGGATTGGTTCAAGGCTCATGCACATGTGAGTGAGCCGATATATTGATATATGTAGATACTTGAACAGCAGTCTACTAGTTTATTGATTAATGGCAGTGTGGGTATATTAAGATAGACACTGACATCTGGAGGAATGGCAATGCCGCGCATCGCGGAATATGACCGCACTGGGAATTGTTTAATGTATTCTGGGGCGCATTAACGGGATTAACGGGACGGAGGCTCAACTCTGGAGCGCGGAAGGCGACATCATGGGAAAAGATGAATCTAAAATCCATGGAATGGGTCAGCCAAATTGGGAAGTTCATTGCCACAATAGATTCTAAAGTTGGAGAAATGTCACTGAGTCAATGAGAATCTCCCGGATAGACCTGCCGGTTACTCCATACCCGAGGAAAACACGGGGGAATACCACAAACACTGGAATGTTCCAAGGTTCGTATATGGTACTCTCCAAATTCAACTAATATGCTTAGATTAGAGAATATGATAGGATTAATTGAATCCGATCAAAAGGCCGATCTTCCTTCCCGTGCTACCCATGCTTCAGTATATAACATGGAGTAGCCGAGGTGTGGTCCCTATATTATGAATCTTGAACTTTCTATATATCTCTATTGACTCTTCCAACCTTGAACTAATTTTTTTTTCTTTCCTTTTTTTCCTTTCTGTTTAAATTTTATTTTATTCTCTATCTCTCCCTTGATCTGATTACTCCCTACAGGCTACATCAGACTCGGAATCAGCCGCTGCACAACTTCAAGTCGGTGAGTAGGAACCAGATTTCGGGGCCAGAGTTGATCCAGAATCCACTTAAGACCGGGCTCCCGGTCAGACCACTTTGCCTCTTCCCGAGACTCTCAATAGGGGTGGAATTAACCTCTTTTTTTTTTATTATAGAGAACAAAAACAAAAAACGCATCAGGACATCTTTTCTCCTTTAAGGTCCTGGGCAATTTGTGTGAATTGCTTTTTCTCTTTCCCCCCTCTTTGGGGTTTGTTTGTTTCTTCCTGTGCTTCTTTAGTCGCTATCCACACTAGCGATATTTCCCGTCCTGGGAATTCTCCGCCTCCGATTCCCCTCATTCTACACAACACCTGTGGTTTCGATATGGCCCAGCTCGATACCCTCGATTTGGTCGTCCTAGTGGTTGTCTTGGTGGGCAGCGTCGCCTACTTCACCAAGGGTTCCTACTGGGCCGTCCCCAAGGATCCCTATGCTTCGACTGGCGCCGGCCTGAACGGCGCCGCCAAGACCGGCAAGACACGCGACATCTGTGAGAAGATGGAGGAGACCGGCAAGAACTGTGTGATCTTTTACGGATCGCAAACTGGAACCGCGGAGGACTATGCGTCGCGGTTGGCTAAGGAAGGCTCCCAGCGCTTTGGTCTCAAGACCATGGTGGCCGACATTGAGGACTACGACTACGAGAACTTTGACAAATTCCCTGAGGACAAGGTGGCTTTCTTTGTGCTGGCCACCTATGGCGAGGGTGAACCTACGGATAATGCGGTGGAATTCTACCAGTTCTTCACCAACGAGGATGTGGCCTTCGAAAGTGGCGCCTCCTCCGATGAGTCTCCTCTGTCGTCTCTGAAGTATGTCACGTTCGGTCTTGGTAACAACACTTATGAACACTATAACTCTATGGTCCGCCAGATTGATGGTGCTTTGACTAAGCTGGGTGCAACTCGCATTGGCTCCGCCGGTGAGGGTGACGATGGCGCTGGAACTATGGAAGAGGACTTCCTCGCCTGGAAGGAACCCATGTGGACTGCTCTGTCCGAGACTCTGGGTCTCCAGGAGCGCGAGTCTGTCTACGAACCCGTCTTTAACGTCATTGAGGATGAGGACAAGTCCGCTGAGGATGAGTCCGTGTACCTGGGAGAACCCACCGCTGCTCACCGTGAGGATCGCGCCAAGGGCCCATACTCTGCTCACAACCCGTTCATTGCCCCCATTGCCGAATCTTACGAATTGTTCACTGTCAAGGACCGCAACTGCCTGCACATGGAAATCAGCATTGCTGGTAGCAACCTGAGCTACCAGACCGGTGACCACATTGCGATCTGGCCGACCAACGCTGGTGCTGAGGTGGATCGGTTCCTCCAGGTATTTGGTTTGGAAGACAAGCGTCACTCCGTCATCAACGTCAAGGGTATCGATGTCACTGCCAAGGTTCCTATCCCAACTCCGACTACCTACGATGCCGCTGTTCGTTACTACATGGAAGTTTGCGCCCCCGTCTCCCGTCAGTTTGTCTCTTCTCTCGCTGCGTTCGCTCCCGATGAGGAGACCAAGAACGAGTTTGTCCGCCTCGGTAGTGATAAGGATTACTTCCACGAGAAGATCAGCAACCAACGCTTCAACATCGCCCAAGCTATTCAGAGCACCACCTCCAAGAAATTCTCTTCGGTCCCCTTCTCTCTGCTCATCGAAGGCCTCAACAAGCTCCAACCGCGCTACTACTCTATCTCTTCTTCGTCTCTGGTTCAAAAGGATAAAATCAGCATCACTGCTGTTGTCGAGTCCGTTCGTCTACCCGGTGCTTCTCACATGGTCAAGGGTGTTACCACCAACTACCTGCTGGCTCTCAAGGAGAAGCAGAACGGCGAAGCCAACCCTGACCCCCACGGCCTGACTTACTCGATCACTGGACCCCGCAACAAGTACGATGGTATCCATGTCCCTGTTCATGTGCGCCACTCCAACTTCAAGCTTCCCTCCGACCCCTCCAAGCCTATTATCATGGTTGGTCCCGGTACCGGTGTTGCTCCTTTCCGTGGTTTCATTCAAGAACGTGCTGCTCTGGCTGCTCGAGGCGAAAAGGTTGGCACCACTGTCCTGTTCTTCGGATGCCGTAAGCGCGACGAAGACTTCATTTACCAGGAAGAATTCAAGGTAAGACTAAAATCCATTCCTCACAAACTTCCAGCTCAATTACTAACTTTATTCTTCTCAGACCTACCAGGAACAGCTTGGTGACTCTCTGAAGATCATCACCGCCTTCTCTCGTGAGGGCGCCGAGAAGGTCTACGTCCAGCACCGCCTGAAGGAGAATGCTCCCCTTGTCAGCGAGCTCCTGAAGCAAAAGGCCAACTTCTACGTGTGTGGTGACGCCGCCAACATGGCCCGGGAGGTCAACTTGGTTCTCGGTCACATCATCGCCGAGCAGCGCGGCATGCCCGCTGAGAAGGGCGAGGAGATGGTCAAGCACATGCGCAGTAGCGGTAGCTACCAGGAGGACGTCTGGTCATGATTAATGATCTTCCATTTCTTTTCTTTTCTCCCTCCAACATTTTGTCGCTGTTCTCGTCATATTTCATTCACGTTTAGATGATCTGGCATATATATTCTTGGCTTGTTTTAATGGATAGCCTTGATTCCTTTTGGCGAGTTTATTCTCATTTGGCTTTTTGATTCATTTTGCTTTCTCTCGTTCTTCTTCTCTCTTTTGAGTTCGATCTTGGGTGTCTCTCGTTCCATTGGGAGCACTGTTTGGGTGGTGTGGATGGTTGAATTATGTAGATTGGATGGAAATTAAAATGGAGATTCAAAATGGCTACTACTACCTAGTACTACATACTAGTACATATCTATCTCACCTCAGGCTGGCAGGCCGCTTCACATATATAATGTTAGAAGTCGACTGGAACTTGAAGTAGTCACCTGGTAGTAGCCCGGCTTGGCTTTGACAGCCTGAGATATGGCACTGGCAGCCCTGGAGCACTAATACTAGCACTTCTGGATGCATATTTCAAAATGTCTCCGGGAGCTCTACGAAATGTTCAAGTTGAACTGAAATTTTAGGTATCGAATTTCAAGTTCAAGTTGAAGAAGCTTGGACTTGAATTTCCTAAGGCTTATGTACTACCTAAGTACTCGTACTACCCATCCAATAATACTAAACCTTGCAAGGTTCCTAGGTTGAAATAGTGACACTGCTTTTCAGATCTTCTAGTCAATCTGATACCACTAGCGCCTCCAGGGCTAGGTATTCACTAATTTACATCCTTGAAAGTCACCTGGGCACCTGACAACGGAAAGAGTAGACGACACGAAACCACGCAAATACGAAACTGCGCCTACACTCCACGTGATCAAACTTATCCCCTTGGGCTAGAAATCATAAACCCCTACCCTCCCTTCGAACCTAATAACGCCCTTGGATCCAGATGAAAAGCTGATTAATTTCAAAAATCCAAGATCATTGGGATATAACTCTCAGCTATCTGCTTCATGATGTATGCACATTAGCCCTGAGACGTACCTAACATTTGAATGGATATGTAGAAATGCATCCATAGACATCTGGAAATGTCAGTGATGGTGTCTGAGAGAATACCTCCAGGGCTGGAGACCACATACCAAAACATTACTTTGTATTCAAGCCATCGCCGCTGTTGCCTAGCAAGTGTTACCAGTTGGCCAATGTATTCAAAGGCGCTGCCACCAAACTTTACGTAGACTTGCGTAAGCATGAGTGGGTAGGTGCATATTCACCAGCATATGACAGCCCTCAGGTGCATCACGTTTGTAGTAGTCAAGAGGGCGAAAACCCTTGGGCCGGGTGGCTGGATTGGATGTCGTGGAGCAGACAAATTTTGGACTCCTGTGGTCGGATGTATAGCTTGAAAACACCTACTACCGGGTGCAGACATTGAAATGCCTCCAGATGTCCAGCCTCCGAATGGGGAAACATTCGAATAGCCTAGCCCCCAGCCGATACAATAAAAGAGCCGCTAATTGGCATGGTCGGATTTTCATTGGACCATGTCATCAGCGGGTCTCGAGACTATATCATTTCAAGTCTATAGGTGCATAAAAGCCAACATATTCTGGTCCAATTAGGTTCTGAACATTCGAATGGTAATATTTCCAGGCGCTTAAGATGGATCAACTGGTGAAAGCACTAGCCAACATTTTGAAACTTACCCCGCCTGTCCGCCTGTCCGTCCTGTACATACTCTCAGCCTCAGGCTGTATTGTATGTAGGTAGACTCTATACTCATCTTCCAAGGTTGTCTATTGCACATGTGTGCTTTTTCCCATCGATCTATTTGATCATTCTCTTATTGAACCTATCTTTATCTCAACTGTTCTACCATTTTTTCACGATAGCGTCACGTTCTCCTAAATTCAGGCTTGTTTACAAGAAACAAACCGAGATAAAGAAGGAGAGAAACATACCACCAGCCGATTTTCAGACCAGTACTAGTTTGACAGCTGCCTCTGAGTCGATCCCGGAGATGCAACCAGGCTCATTATATTCGGATATTGGTAGGGAAGAATGGGAGCTTGGAGTATCTCCATTGATGTGGACACTAATTGCTCAGTGATTTCTTAGATCAAGAGGACTGCTTTGTAGTGTGCTGCCTCGCTCTTCGAATGACGTTGGTAGTGCGATTGGAAGGAAAGGAAAGTGCTTCAAGAAGAAAAGCACTGGGTATTAAGACAAGGAAAATACTTAGGCATCGGAATTACTCAGCCTGGAACCCCTCCTTTTGCGTATCAGCCACCTGAGGGAACCGAGCACCACTACACATGTGACCACCTGGGCACCGAGTTGAAGTTATATAACTATGAGAAGAAAGTATCAATTCTCTCATACTTGCCTTTATTACCTTTGTATAAATCCTTTCCTATCTCTCGTAATATTTAGTGTTATCTATCATCGTGATTTATCATTTTTCATGCTACCAAATGATAAAGAGGCTGATTCGGAATACCCTGGGAATATTTCATGATGTATGATTTCTCGTTTTAGTAGTTCTTCCAGGTGAATAAAATGAGCCATGTCGGAGATAATCAATATCAGGATAGTACATTTTCATGTTGTTTAACTTGGTGAGTATCCTGTATACTCAGTGTTCTGGAATCTGGACAGACAAGCTTGAAGTGGGTGGGGTACGCCAAGCCTAATCAGGAAGCAAACTGCGTCAGTGTAGACTTGCTTCCTCGAAGCCTTCATTGCAAATTCCCATTCTTTTCCATAAACCACTAGCTTCAAATACACTGACCGGTGGGAGAGATGCGACAGACAGCGAAATCCTGAATTTTATTCTCACCTTCTTCTTCTTCACCGGACGCACCGCCTTCCTCCCCCTTCCCTCGTTCATTCCTCTCCCCGCACTGCTCCGGCAAAAGTCCGAGCTCTACGCATCGAGATAATTCATCAAACCCGGAATTGTCGCCATGTCTTATGTTGTGCCCATCCACCGCGCAAGTGGTATCCGCCACGCGGTGAAACTGAATTTTATCAGTCCAGAGGAGGACTCTCTGGTTGTAGCGTGAGTGATCTTACCTTGAGATTCGAGTTGATGACCGGGTCTTGAGGTCCTGAACATAATGATCAAGCAGTGGCGCCGCCAGTCCAGGTTCCATTGGGCTAATCATCCAGGTTCCATTGGGCTAATCAAATTGAATCTAGTAAATCAAATCGTCTCGAATTCTACACTCTCACTCCAGATGGCCTCACACTCGTAGCTACCCGCGAAGTCTACGCGCAGATAACGATGCTTGCCCGCCTTCCGACACCAGCCAACTCAGAAACGGACCACCTCTTTGTTGGAACAGACCAATGCAAATACTTCACCATAGTGTGGGACCCCTCAAGAAATAACGTCAAAACTGCCCGCGACTATGTCGATGTCGCATCGCCCTCATCCCGTGAAATACATGCGAATCCACGCTGCCTCGTCGACCCAACGGGGCGATTTATGACACTAGAACTGTACGAGGGTGTGGTGGTTGTGATTCCTATCATTGAGCCTTCAAAACAACGTCGAAACCGGGCTTCTCAGGCCGCAGGTCCAGATGCGCAAGTCGGTGAATTAGGCGAACCGACAACTACCCGCATAGACGAGCTATCCGTTCGATCATCTGCGTTCTTGCATTCGTCCTCTAACCAGCCCTGGCTGGCTCTTCTGTATGAAGATAATCAGCAGAAGGTTAGATTACGAATTCGAGAATTAGAGTACAGTCGGGGGACATCGAGCGGATCTGCGGATGCTGTATTCAAAGAGCTGCAAGATAGGAAGTTGGAGGGTGGCGTTTTTGGACATGAGTTGGACTACGGCTCTTCCCACCTAATTCCTATTCCGGCTCCACTTGGAGGACTGATTGTCCTGGGAGAAACGTCAATCAAGTACATTGATGATAATGCGAATGATGTGATAACTCGAGGCCTGGATGAGGCTACTGTCTTCACGGCATGGGAAAAGGTTGATAGCCAGCGGTGGTTATTGGCCGATGACTATGGCAGACTGTTCTTCTTGATGCTCACACTTGATAAGAAGGGCGAAGTTGAGGGCTGGAAGCTGGATTTCCTCGGGAAGACGTCACGGGCAACTATTCTAGTGTACCTCGGTGGAGGTGTTCTGTTTGTTGGATCCCACCAGGGTGATTCTCAAGTACTTCGGATTGGCAGTGGAGGATTTGATGTCATCCAGACGCTTTCAAATATTGCACCTATTCTGGACTTTACAGTTATGGATTTGGGAAATCGCGCCAGCGAAAGCCAGACTCATGAATTTTCCTCTGGCCAGGCTCGTATCGTGACCGGCTCTGGCGCTTTCGATGATGGAACTCTACGAAGCGTGCGGAGTGGAGTTGGTATGGAAGAACTCGGTGTCCTTGGTGAGATGAATTACATCACAGATCTATGGGGATTGCAATATCAGAGCAGTGGAAATTTCCTGGACACCCTGTTAGTCACCTTCGTCGATGAGACGCGAGTGTTTCGCTTTAGTCCCGATGGAGAAGTGGAGGAGCTGGAAAGCTTTTTGGGTCTCAATTTTGATGAAAGCACTCTCCTAGCGGCCAACTTGTCAGGTGGTCGTATTATGCAGGTAACGGAGAACAGGGTCTTGGTGGCTGACCTGGAGAGTGGCATGGTTACTTTTGAGTGGACACCTCAAGGTAACAAAATCATCACTGCCGCCTCATCCAACGATAAGCACCTTGTTCTTGTCATCGGAGGTCAGATTCTGGCCTCTTTTGATATCAGCAATGACGCAACTCTTATCCACAAGAAGGACTTTGGTGCAGACCAGCAGATTTCGGGTGTCACAGTGCCATCTAAACCAGCTGGAGTTTTCATTGTGGGATTCCCGCAGTCAGCCCGAGTGTCTATCCTGGGCGTGAACAACTTTACCGAACTGCGTAGCCAATCCTTGGGTGAAACAGGCACGGCATTCCCACGATCCGTTCTCGTAGCTCCAGTGCTTGAAGATAGCCACCCTACTCTGTTCGTTTCCATGGCAGATGGCAGTGTGATTACGTTCGACCTAGATCCCCAGAACTACTCACTGACGGGGATGTCCAAATTGATTCTTGGATCTGAGCAACCGACATTCAAGAAACTCCCGCGAGGAGATGGATTGTTCAACGTGTTTGCCACTTGCGAGAATCCAAGTTTGATCTACGGCTCTGAAGGTCGTATTATATACTCAGCCGTTAACTCCGAAGGCGCATCTCGTATCTGCCATCTGAACACAGAAGCATTTCCCGACTCCATTGCTCTGGCGACAGCAACAGAACTGAAGATTGCATTGGTTGACAAGGAGCGCACCACACAGATCCAAACCCTGCCGATGGGCTCCACTGTACGCCGCGTGGCCTACGCACCTTCAGAAAAGGCCTTTGGACTGGGCACGATTGACCGAAAGCTTACAGGCGGCTCTGAAACTGTGCAGAGTCAGTTTGTTCTTGCTGATGAGATCATGTTCCGACGACTGGATGCTGTGGAGCTCCTGCCGGATGAGCTTTTAGAGACCGTTGTTCGGACCAACTTCGCAACAGGGGATGACAAACAAAGCAAAGCAGTCTTAAAAGACCGATTCGTTGTAGGCACAGCATTTCTGAATGAGCCAGATGAGGATTCGATCCGCGGGCGGATCTTGATTCTGGAAGTTGACCACGGACGCAAATTGACCCAGGTTGCTGAGTTGAAGGTGAAGGGAGCGTGCCGTGCTTTAGCTGTATTGGACGACAAGATTGTTGCGACTCTCGTTAAGACGGTAAGCATTCGCATCTTTTTAACCCACATAGCCTGTACTGACTAAATTTCAGGTGGTTGTCTACAGAGTAGTCAACAATAACTTTGGAAAAATGAAGATCGAAAAGCTTGCTAGCTACCGCACATCAACGGCCCCTATTGATGTGGCAGTGAGTAGTAATGGCTTGATCGTTGTCGCCGATCTCATGAAGAGCGTATGCCTTCTCCAGTTCATCCCGGGCAAGGATGGGGCAGCAAGCGAGCTGAAGGAAGTTGGTAGACACTACCAAACTATCTGGAGCACTGCTGTGGCCTCAATAGATGAGGATAGCGTCCTCGTTAGCGAGACGCAAGGCAACCTGCTTGTTCTGGAGCGTAACATGAACGGTGTCACAGATCAAGACAAACACCGGTTGACCATTACTAGCGAGATCTGTCTGGGAGAGATGGTGAACAGGATTCGTCCAATTCAGATTCCTCAGGCAGCTACTATGGTGGTGACTCCTCGAGCTTTCCTGGCAACGGTATGATACTTCAATTCCCGCTTTCTTATCAATTTAATACTAACACCTTTTTATCCAGGTTGAGGGATCCATTTATCTCTTCGCATTGATCAACCCAGAACATCAAAACTTCCTCATGACACTGCAATACATCATGTGCACTAAAGTCGACTCATTGGGCAACCTCCCCTTTAGCAGTTTCCGTGCCTTCAAGACCATAGCCCGCACAGTCGATGGACCTTACCGCTCCGTGGACGGCGAGCTGGTCGAGAGATTCCTCACATGCGAACCAGCCTTGCAAGAGGAGATTGTGAAAGGATTAGGAGGATCCATGGATGTGGAGGATGTGAAAATCATTGTCGAGGGTTTGCGCCGGCTGCACTGATAATTTAGATTGTTGGTGATGTTATCACGAATCAGGCTGAGCCTTTACGATGGAATTGAATACATACGATGCCCTTTTCCCAGATATCTTCAGTTATACTACTGATCAATAGAAATCTGACTGATGTTTAATATTATCCGTACACTTCTGGCACATTCTAACTCCGACTCGGAGCCATTAACTATCGAGAAGCTTCAAGGTAATCTAAGACCAGCAATTCCAGGACTTCAATGGGTACCAACCCCTGGAAGTCTCCTAGAATGAACTATGAGGAAGCTCCATGGCTTCAAGTATTAGTGCCACTGTTAGGCCTGTTGTCTGCGGTCGGGACAACCATAATAATAGCTGGCATGGCAAGAAATATGATGCATGTAAATGCAATAATGGTATTAAATTATGTATTTTTTCTTATCTTGTTAATATTACAGGAATTGAGCATATCTCCATCAGTGAAAGTACTCAAAATGGGCAATCATATCACAGCGACCCTTAAATCCGAAGACACAGAATCACGCATCCTTATCCTTAGGGCCCTCCTCATCACTCCAGTCAAGCAACTCCATAATCTGCTCCTCAGTCAGATCATCAGCATGCTTGCCATTCTGCTTCTGCAAGTTCTTCAGGTACTTCTTCTGGCGCTTACGAGCCATGCCGTTCCACTCAGGAACACCGCTAGCCTGAGCAAGGTTCTCATCACCATCCTCCAGCTCATCATCAGTGTTCTCAACCTCGCCGAGAACCTTTCCATCACCCGAAGCACCACCGCGCAGGGCATTGGCAGACATCTTAGCCTTCTTGCCACGTGCGGCTCTCTCAGCTTCCTTCTTCTCCTTTTCCTTGCGGCGATCACGGTCGTGGATGGCTTTGAAGAGTTTCTCGATGTAGGGACGGATGAGGATGTAGAAGACCACAGAGGCAATGACCTTAGCCCAGCGTTGGACGCTAACATCAATGAAGGAGTTATAGAAGTTGCGGCCGAAGCGGCGGCCGCCTTCGATAAACACGCCGAAGACTTGGTTGAAGAAGTCGGCGGCGGCCTCTGCGGCGACGTCGCTCATGTCTCGGTCGGCCATGGTGAATTAGGTGGTAGGATTGTAGTGTAAAAGGAGGCTTTCTCGTGATTTTTTTTGAGGGATTTGTTTGTGGGAGCACGGGTGGCTCGGAGCAATTAATGGTTTGAGTTGAAGCTCTCCAGATCGAGCTGGCGAATGCTTCTTAGGAGGTGGAAGAGTGGGAAATATGGGTGAGGAGCTCAAAGCGCGAGGCTTAAAAGCGATTTGGAGGAGTTCCTGTGTGAAGGAGGGGGGATGAAGTGGATAAGTTATTTCTTTCTCTCTCATGGGAACGAGATAATTTCCAATTCGGAAAGCGTGCCGCTATCCGGATAAATGCCTCGGATTAACTCTCGTTCCGAGAGACGCGTGCCTAGCCAATCAGCGATAATCTCACTTTGTATGGAACGCGGGACGACTCCTCCATGAATGCCTTTGTACGGAGTATTGATTCCTTGTCAACAAGATGGCGCAAGCTGATGCAGAAAAGAATGAAGTCGAGGTATGAGATCTTGTTCTTTTTTGTTGGAGTTTTTGGTGACTGATTCTGTTGCATAGCGCCTGAAAACAGGGCTTTATGACTGCATCGTCAAGATCGTGGAAGAGGAGACCTTCAAGCTCGAGGCCACTGCCACACCCCAGTTCACGAACGCGTTATTAGAGCTGGCCTGGTCACACCTTGGTATGTTTCTTAGTGTAGATTCCAATGCGAGAGCTTTGAGAGGGAAACTCTGCGTCTTTGCAATATCCAGAGCTCAACAATTGTGGACTGTTGCACCAACTCGAACTCCTGTCGTTGCTAACGACCATATAGAATCCACCATTGTTGACGTTGAAGCCTTTGCTAGGTAAGTTAATACGAAATCAACCAAACAAAGCCAATCCAGACACAAGGTTTCTTATTTTGGTGTTATTCCGAACCTGAACCTGGAACTCATCTGATCGGCATTTCCGTTCTAGGCATGCCGGGCGGTCAACTGTCACCCCGGCCGATGTACTCATGCTCTGTCGCCGCAACGAGGGACTAAGCCAGACTCTACTATCATACCAGGCGCACTTGGAGAGCCAACGTGAAGAGGCTTCGTGAATGGTGGGTGAAGCAGCCGTCATCGCGACCCTTAATCCTGTACAAGCCACAGTACAGTAACTGGAGATACGCAATAAACCTACGTTGCCTGTCTCGGCGCAAGTTTCTCATTGGTGGGACATTCGAGAACTCGCCCAGTTCTTTGGCGTTCGTACTTAGCACCTCAGTTGTCCATGATGTATGACAGCCTGATCCCGACTTCCCCGCGATAATGCTCCAATCGATGTCATCTTGTGCAATCTGTCGAAATTTTGACCTGGTCAGATGTCCATCATGGAAGGTTCTACCGCATGCACAGGAGATCTTGTTCCTGCAAATCCGGTAGCCTCTTTGGTTAGATCCTGGCCCTGTGACGCTGTGGCGAACAGCTTGAGCCTTTCATCTTTACCACCTATTCACCAAGGGACTACCAGTAGCTATGCTGATGCCATAATGTGTTGGTTTTGTGCCCTACGATCCCTGGGAACAAGCTCAAGTGACAAGAGCTGTTATCTGACATTGGTCTTTTTGAGCTGTGAACCCAGCGAATCGGCACTCTCCCCGGGCACCAAGAGATTTTTCTTGATATCGACGAGTCACCTTGGAGTACCGCCCTCTCTGTATATTACCCTCGCACTGGAAGAACTTCGTGATAGATGACGACAATAAACCAATCCATTCCAACGATATAAATTCTACTAGACTTTACCTCTTTGCTACTTGATCCTGCTCAGAAACTTCTTGCTGCACATGCTGATTCAAGCTCATAATCCGATTATTTCTAATTCTTATCACCTTCCAAGTCACAGAGATTTATCATCAGACTTCTCTCACTTAATTTCTGGCACCGTATAATCACTGGCAATTCCAGCCATGTCTACCCAGGTTGTACCAGTGAGGACGCCCCTCAAAAGGAGCCAAACAACCCAAGATCTAAAGACAATGATGAAACCCGATCATTTCGATAAATTTGGGGCGTCTATCAAAACGGCTAACAGGCTGCGAACCACCCTGAAGAGTGCGCCACTCATGCAATCAGTCCGATTCCACGGACCCGGAGATATTCGTCTTGATCAAGTGGAAGAGCCAGTATGCGGCAAGGGCCAAGTCAAGGTTGGAAACTAACGCATGATTTGTATGGAACTGCTACTAATGAGAACTAACAGATGAAACCCGCTTATGTAGGAATATGTGGAAGTGGTATGTCCCCAACAGCAACTCCCTTTCCCACCTCTTCTGACAGGCATATAGGGTTTGGTGGCGGCATGTCACGAAAGATCGTAGCATCAGCCACACAGTTCTATCCAATCCCGATAAAATTTCCCTCGAAGTCGCCGCACTCATTGAACCCCTCGCAGTATCCTGGCACGCCGTGGATATTTCACCCTTCAAACCGGGTGACTCAGTACTTATAGTTGGCGGCGGTCCAATCGGGATCGGCATCGTGCAGGTCCTGAAACTGCAAGGCGCAAAGCGAATAATGGTAGCAGAGCTTATGGAGAATCGAAAAAGGCTATGCGGCGAGTACGGCGCAACGAACATTCTTGATCCACGCGAGGTGGAAATCGCATCGCGGGTACGCGAACTTACGGGCGGGGTTGGGGCTGATATGATCTTTGATGCGGCAGGCGTGGATAAGGCACTTCTAGATGCCATCCCGGCCTGTCGCACCCAGGGTACTATTGTTAATGTTGCAGTTTGGAAGAAGAATCCTACTATTCCGGTGAACCAGGTGATGCATAATAGAATGCGATATATGGGCGCTGCACTTTATGATGAGATGTCCTTTTTGGATGTCATTCGGGCAATTAGCCATGGTGAGTTCTACTCCAACCACTTTCTACACTTGCATTGGATTTTATTGAACTTTGATCTTTGATTTAGGTCACCTTAGGCCGGAAAATATGATCACCGCAACAATTCCGCTAGATCAAGTGGTGGCTGGGGGGGGGGCGGGGTTCAAGGCACTCCTTGAGTACCGAGACCAGCACTGCAAGATACTCGTTGATGTACAAGCATGATAGGCAACACAACTTTAGTTTGTATAATGTATTTAGTGTATTATTCAATCTATTCAAATGTGACATGTAGGGATCCATGGCATCTCTTTGTTAGCTTCCATTTAAAATAAGCGCTAAGGCGCAGTGGCTGAGTGGCTGAGTGGCTGCAGATCCACTTTATGGGATTGAGTCCAGACAAATCACAAACTGAAAATCTCTACCATTTCCATCATTATAGTAAATTAAAATTCCATAAATAACAAATTTAAATGAAAATCATCTTTCATTCTTCACATGGGAGTGGCGGGTCATCTGCAGAGCAAATCAAGTGCATAACCACACTGGGGATCAACTGGGACAACGCCCCTAAAGCGGCAAGGTGGAACCTAGTTCATGACGAGTTGACATCATCTTCTTATTTTTCTTTCTTCTTTATCCACTAAGAGCACTAATTAATGTGGCTGAGACCCATCCAGCCACTCATATCCAATCCGGATCCAAGGTTTATAAGTAACCATATCCACTGATCTTCAACTATTGCGTCTTGGGCGTTGGTCCAGGGTCTTTTTTAAATCGCGCCCTGAATCCTGTTGCCTTCTTTTCAGTCACTCAAATACTTGGTGCCTTACCCAATCTTCCCTTCTGCAACTGCTCTACACACCACTGCACCAACTGCGGGGTTCGAAAAGAAAAGTACCCGAAAAGAGAAAATAGTTACCTCCTCCTACTGAATCCACGCCATCATGGGTGCAGCCGGTGGCGTCTTTCTACGCTTCTGCGGCCTCGCTATTCGAGTGCTTCAATTCCTTGATTCTGCTGTCATCCTCGCTATCTTCTCATACTACCTCGCCATCGCTTCCAAGCATAATCAAACCACCGATAAGTGGGTACATGCCGTGGAGGGTCTATCTGGAGTTGCCTGTTTGTACAGTCTTCTGGGTGCTCTCTTTGTCTGCTGCATTGGTGGGGTAGCCTTCTTCGCCTTTTTGGGCGTCATCCTCGATGTTATCTTTACTGGTGTCATGATAGCCATCGCAGTGATGACCCGTAATGGTTCGGGATCCTGCAACGGCACCGTCAATACCCCGATCGGCAAAGGTGATTCCAACACCGAAAGCCCATCAAATCTCAAGTACGGCACAGCCTGCAAGTTGGAGAAGGTCACATTCGCTGTTTCAATTATCGGAATGTAAGTTGAAAGTACCCCTCACCATGAAATATACATTACCTAACTTGTTTACTTCTAGTTTCTTCTTCTTGATCTCTATCCTCTTCCAAGTTCTACTAGCCCGCCACCACAAGCGCGAGAAGCGCTTCGGTCCCTCCCCCGCTAATGGCTACACCTCTGGTAGCCGCAAGTGGTTCTGGAACCGCAACAAGAGCAACCCCGAGACCAACGGCGACAATGCCTTGCCAGGTCACCCCACCCCAGCGGACGTTGAGTACGGCACTGAGACTAAGAATGAGAAGCGCTGGTTTGGTGGCTGGGGACGCAACAAGAACACTGCTCCGACCGGTACTGCTGCTGGTGCAGAGAATACATATGGATATGGAAACTCTGCCTACACTGGCAACTACTAAAGGATCATGAGAATATGAGCCAGTGGAACACTTGACTCTTTGTCTCATTCTCTGTGGTGATCTCGGTTGATGATACGACGATTCTATTTCTTATTTGTCTTTTCTTTTCCTTTGTGGAGTGTTGGAGCTGAGATACCATTTCAAAGATTGCTAAAAGTTGGCAAATCTGTATATTATTGGAGGCAGGGAATTAAGTATGGCAAGTTATCTTTCCCTTATGGAAATAATCATAATGAGATTACGCATTTATCCCATATTTGCACTGTACTATACAGGATCGGTAATAGCACTCCTACCTAGTAGCCGCCTGTTGGTTCACATGTGCAATAGATGTGTACACATGAGCACTGACAATGCAAGCCATCATCTTAAAAGTTATGACGCAGATCCACTATCATCGCCTTAGCCACTGCCACTTGAATCATAGGTCTTAGCGCCCCCAAGTCTAGAGAAATATCCATGTACATCGAACCTTGGAAGTTTAGTGCTCTAATTTTAGATGAACTAGTAGCTACACCCCGAGTCTTCAAGGTGTAAATTATGAATTTCCAACATCTTGACCTTGTTCAAAATGGCAGAACCTTCCCTACATAAAAATCTATCTTTAGACTCTTTGGCATCATTCAAAGCTTTAGTACTCCAGGGAAGTACATAGCCCCGTCGGTTCGCCACAACCCGTATACCCCGACTTTTTGATTCCGTGGTATAGTACGTATAACCAAAAACCCAATACTTCAAATTTTAACGCCACTGGACTTTGTTACTTTCTCAAGGATATCCGTCCCAAAGGCAGAACTCCACGGATTCTTCTCGTGTTGGGGACTCGGGGACCCCGAAGCAATGGGGGCATGATGCGTGATAATTCAGTATTGGAGAATCAGGTAAACCATTCAAGATAATTGTTTAACAATAAATTTGTCCTATGACTAAAATGTAATATAACAGATACTAAGAATAATCATACGAGACATTGAAGCACCGAGCAACCCAAGTAGCCACACAATCATTAGAAATAGCGATCAACATGAAGACATTACCCACGTCAGTGCTCAGTTGACGAGAGGGATCCAACTGCGCCAAACACCAACATAGAAAGAGGTAGAAAAAAGGTTAAGAAGAAAGAAGGAAGGAAGTAGAAGGTATCCGTACAAAGGGGACGAAGACCAACGTTTACCAAGAGGCGGCAACCATGGCGCCTAAGCGGCAGACCATACCGGCAGCAACAGAGCCCATGTAGATAGGAGCGCCGTTGGAGCACATAGCCCAGCTGTAGCCATCAGGAGAGCAGAGAATCTCACCGGAGACACAGGTCCAGCGGCTGACGTAGTTGGAGAACTGGTTGTTGGTAGTGGCATCAGTTGAGAGGACACGAGTGTCAGCGACACCGGAGGTACCGAAAGCCTGGGCGACCTTGGACATAGCCTCGGGAAGGCTGCGAGTGGCATTCTTGTTGGTATCCTTTTGGTCGTCTGAGGTCTTGTTGTCCTTCTGCTTGTTGTTCTCGGCAGTGGATGTGGACTTGCTGTCCTTGTTATCCTTGTTGCTCTTGGCGTTCTTGTCGGTCTTGCTATCCTGCTTGGGCTTGGTATCCTTGTTGTTGGTCTTGTCAGACTTGGAAGTACTGTTGCTCTTAGTCGAGTCACTGCTGCCACTGCCCAAGAAAGGAGCGCTGCCAGAGCACTTGTAACCCTTGCCATCGGAAGTGCCGATGACATCGTCGCCAGGCTCAGGGAAGTCCACAGTCTCTCCCTCAACGGTCACACACTTGCCCTCCTGGCCGACATTGGCGACGAACAACTCAGGGAGGCTGTTAAAAGCGGTCTTCTTTCCAACATCACGAGTGGCCATCTCAAGGGGAGGGTGAGCAGCCTTCTTGTCCTCAGACTTGCCGTGCTCAGCAGGCATGTTCTCAATGTGGTCGGTACCGGCATCGGTGTTGTTGCCATTCGTGCTACCGCCAATGGTAACCATGGCGCAGTTCATGTACATTTCACGGTTTCCAACCTTGTTGAACCAAGTCCAGGCGAGGAGAGCCTCTCCTGATGGGGCGTCCGAGGGAATTTGGAAGTTGTACTTCTTGGGTGTTGGGCACGTTCCAAGCATAGACTCAATTACCTTGAAGGTCTTGCCCTTGTCATAGGTCAAGGCCAGCTGGCAGGAGCCACCGTCGTGGGTTGCGCTACCGTCGAGCTCCATATCATAGCTCTGACCAGGCTGGTAGGTTGCTTGGGAATCAAACGGATCATTGGCGTATCCCTTACAAGGGTAGTCAGCTCCGGACGGCTGAAGAGGGTTCGTGTATGAGTAGTCCTTCTGGCCCGTAGAATCTTTGTTCAAAGGACTACGGATAGGGTATGGCTTCATCATCTGCATGTGTGCAGAGGCCGTGCCGGCCAGCAAGGTACAGAAAAGCGCGACGCCCTTCATTGTGATAGGTATGGCTAAAAATTGTCAGAGAATTTTCAAATGCACTGATTCAGCCTTTGTCTGTAGAATACTTACAGTATGTGAAGAAGAATAAAAGGGTATCAAAAAGAAGCAATTCAACCAAGCACTCAACCACCAGGGTCAGAATTTGTTCAGTAAGGAAAAGGACGTGAGTGGCCAAAAAAGTCGTGCTCGAGAGGCAACATTGTTAGAATAAATAGCTGTTGTATTGTTATTGCATTCCCAGGGTTGCTCGGAGGAATGGGAAATGGCGGATGCCATCATTGTGGCTCAAGCCTACTATTGATGCTGGACAAGCAACGCGAAGAATGCTAACCATCGCACTTGCCCAAGGACTCAGGGATCCAGGCACCTATAATCCCGCAGAGGCCTCCGATAGAAGGACACATTTTTGAGAACAAGCTTTTTCAACTCCGAGTAACTGTGTATTTGATCCTGTGCTCGATTTGTGTGGTTGATCTGTAAAAAAACAATCCATACACACTCCGTAGTGTGGGTAGGGATAACCTCAGGCTCTCTTCCGATCCGTTTGCTCGTCCTAAAATAATATACTCTGTAATGACCCTCGGCCTCAAGTCTTGTAACGCCTTTGAAAATCCATCTCTAGAGAACTCGAAGGCCTGAGCCACCCCATTCCATACCAAAATTAATATCAGGCGCCGTATCGTCGGGAATCCAGAAGTTTTGATATGATGTCAACGAAGGCTATACCGTCTACCGTGCCCCTGTTGATCTCTGCTCGGTACGTAATGCACCATATGGTTCGCTCCGAGGCCCAAAAATGCCAAAGAAATGTGCTTTTGTTTGAGAACAGGTTTGGAATAGGATAGATGGGGCGAGGGAGCAGAAGGGATGGCCATTGCCAGCCCCTGTTGCTCCCTGCATGCCGGGGTCAATGCGCCCCAATTAATATGCCGAGTGGCTGCGTGGCCTTCCAGCAAAACCTTCTGTCTCTTTTCATCTTAATTTAGGAATTAAGGTCTGGCATTTGGTTCATGCTGTTCGTCTTGTGGCTTGTTGTTAAGTTGATTATAGAGACCGCTCGAGTTCTTAGGATTGTTGTCTGATCCTAACAAACTTAGAGTGAAAGGTTCCACCACCCCAGTTTGCGTTTTTCGGACTGAGAAAAATATGCCATATCTGTTCTGTAGCACTCAGACTTCAGATATGTAGGAATAATGATAGTGTTCGATAAGAGGAGCAGAGTCTGTAACGCACTATAGACATTCACTACTACATTAGTTCTCATCACTACTCGCTCTTCCAGTCCCGTTTGATGAGATCTGCTGCCCTTTCTGCAAATGCATACACAGTAGCTTGGATATTTGCCGTGCTTACGAGCGGGATAGCACTCGCATCAACAACCCTCAGTCCTTCGACGCCATAGACCCTCAAATTGGAATCCACCACCCCGTCTCTCTCGCGAGGCAACATGGAGCAGGTCCCCGCATAGTGCCACATGGACATCAAATTCTCCCGAGCATACTTCTTTGCAGCATTCAAGTCTCCCTGAAAGTCTGCAGCTGGGTCACCGAGCTTAAGTGGCTGTTCAAGCAGTTCCCCAAGCTGAGGTGACTGTGCTAAGTTCTTGACGCCGAGCAAGTGGCGTGCTATAACTTCCAGATCGAGAGTATTTGACAAGTCACCAGGATCAATGATTGGCGGGTCCTCAGGTTTAATGGAGGTGCTTGAATTCCTTTTGTCAGCTTTGGCGAATATACAGTTTGGGACAGGGTGTGAAGAATCAGAAGTGTAGAACCCCTCAAAATTTATAGCAGGGAAGAGAGAAACAAACAAATCACTCATATTTGAACGCTTCCGCGGGAAAGTGGTTGAGAGAGCATTACTCCAATCGTGATGAATTTTCCGGGCAAAGCAGCTGGAATACTCTCATCATTGAGGTCTTTGGCATACTTTGTCTGCCCCAAGGCGGACAGATACGCAGCCGACGGTTGCTTAGGATCAAGAACGGTGGTTTTAGCGATGTCATAATAGGCTCGTGTCGCCCTATGCTCTTGTGGGTCGTCGCAGGTGTGGCCCGTAAATAACGCCTGGAGAGCACTTCTGTCTGGGGCAGGAAGAGGCAAATAGGCGTAGGTGTGAACGCCGAGTGAAGCTAGAGGCCCAGACTGCGTGGCTGTGTATTCTTGCATTGCCTGACCGGCTGCTTCAGGCTCTTGTCTAACCAGAGAGTCTTTAGTCTCAATTTCAGCCTTTGCCTGAAATGCGGTGTACGATATCATATGATCTATGCGTAGTCAATATTAGTTTGAATCTGTCCAAAAGAGGGTTCGGGTCGAAAAGGGAGATATTTTCATGATTTTTGAGATTCAAATCAAGATCAACACCCCAGGGGTTTTTGAATGTGATAGAGTGAAAGCGTTTCACATACCCTGAAGATTCTGCCCAACCCCAGGAAGGTTTATAACTATATCGATGCTGTGCTTCTCAAGAAGTTCCACTCCACCAACTCCAGAAAGCTGGAGGATTTTGGGAGATTGGAAAGCGCCAGCGGCAAGGATAACTTCGTTTCTTGCCTGAACAGTCTTAAAGGCACCATCGAGACAGTATTGGACCCTAATAGCTTTGGGAGGCTCGCTTTCGTCAAATAGGACTTTCTCGACAAACGAGTTCGTAAGGACATGAAGATTTTGTCGAAGCTCAGCAGGTTTATAATAGGCCGAGGCAGAGTTACTTCTTCTGCCCTCCGAGTCAATACTTGCAAGGCAACTGAAGGAGCCCACAGAGCTGTGGATGAATGGATCGCCGGCGTTGTATTGCTCACTGCTGCGGAACAATTCAGCCCATGCCCTGCGAACAGGGTGCGACCCGTTGCCGAAAGACGTTTGGATTGGACCTTTTGCTTCATTCAATTCAAGCCAGCCTTCGATTGCCAGATCCTCTTTTGCATCATGTGCTACATCTGGACTGCTGTAAGCCTTGGTAAAATAGTCCTTTAACATAGTCCAATTCCATCCGGCGTTACCGAGCGCCTCCCATGAGTCAATGACTCCCTTAAAAGGAGGAACGAAGACGTGTGCATTTAAAGAACTGGATCCTCCGAGTGCCTTTCCCTGGTGGAGACCAAGCACTCTGCCATTGAGGCCCGGCTATCGAAGAAATGAGTAAGCTGACATCCTTTATCGAGACATAGATGTTCCTTACCTGAGTCGAAGAGCGGAATTTCCAATCAGCGTCGGATCCAAGTAATGTCTCATACAAGATGGGGATGTTCACGCGGGGATCGGCTGTCAAATCGGCGCCTGCTTCGAGAACCAGGACAGAGGTGTTGGGATCCTCGCTGAGTCGAGAAGCAACCACCAGGCCAGCCGTACCGCCGCCTATAATGACAAAGTCATACACAGTAGCCATTCTGTACTGTTCGCAGACTTGGTTGAAGTTTGGACGAGAATGTGAAAAAAATTCGAGCTGCAAGCGTAGCTACTTGAAGTGACTTATTGAGAAGAAGAAGACCCGTACCTAGGTAGAGAGGAAATAGATTGTATTGATCCATACTTTATCAATATGGACCCAATGAGAGTAGTACTACTAGTACATAGAAAAGCTTCAATTGTTGCTTTCCAAGGTTATAGGTACGCCCAAAAGTGTTGAACTGGCCCCCATTTCAGTTTAAATTACCAATTTCTGCCCCCACTCTACTTATTGAGTGATATCTAACATGAAACCGAGGGTGGAGATTAAAGGTACCTACTAGTTATTATTGCGGGCTTTGCTACTGTAGTAGTGCTAGAAGATAACCTTGAAACTTTACATAGAATGAGGACCAGTATTGAAGTACTAGTCTTGATAAGTTTAATTTTCAATTTACAGTGCTTATGGCTTGAGGGAATGGCCCGGGGGTTTTAGCTCAAAGGTACATATGGATCCATTACTAGTAAGAGATGTCAAAATTCCTTACAATCAATGATGCTCCTATTCAAGTTATACTTGAGAATGGATTGATTTGTAGCTTTACTTAGCGGGCCATGCATTCCCAGACTTCCAGCCTCATGTGCAGTCATGTGTAAGTCAATGAAATAATAGTCTAGTATTTTTCCGATGCATGCCTGATACGGTTAACTAGCCGAGTCCACATCTGAGAAAATGACGGTGTTCTGAAAACTTGAATCTATGAATCCAAATAAAAGTGGCTCACAAGAGGGGAACTGTCAATATAGATTGGAGGCTATTTCATGGATAGGTGTTTTGGAGGGATGCCCAGGTGGATCTATCTGCCGGGGAGAACCTTGGAAGCGGATCTGATCAATTGTGAGCCCGAGGTCTGCAAGTGAGATTCAAAGCACCACTAATCACTATCCATGGATTGGCTTTTGAATGTACTTAGTATTTATGTATGATTGAGCAGAACCCTTTTTCCAACTCGCTCTTACGGGGGTTTCAAACTACAAGATTTCCCCCAATGGCGGCATGCTGTTATCCCCATCGTCCTTATACGGCCAGTTACGCCAACAAATTTCCTCTTCACCCGTCTCTGCTTGTCTAACCATCTCCATACGAAGCTGGCGATTACCCTCCATTGCTCTCTCAAAGTTATCCAGCTCGGTCCCACCTTCCAAATCAATATTGAGGTACTCTCTAACCCGGGACAGGAGCTGTTCAGATTCATTCCATTCCTTCGATTCCGCTATCGCAGCCTCTCGTTCTTCATCGCTGAACACAACTGGACAGACTGCTGAGGATATTTTGCTCCAAACAGATGGGGTAGTGATACCGACTAATGCAGCACGCAAATTAATTACGTCTGCATCCCAAGGATATCCTGTTTGGCGAATGAGATACTGCTGCATTCCGAGGTAAGATAGTCTCAGCATATCCATGTGTTGGTCGTTGTGTAAGCCTGTCACGGCTGTGTAATAAAGGTTGGCCTCTTCCAAGCGAAATATGGCTCTGTAATGACTCTGTTCGTCGGCACCTATCTTACTAAAATCATCAGGGAGTGATGGTTGCTGCAGACTTTGAGGCTGGGACAGGTCGTGCTGACAAAACGCTGGATATCCCGCTTGCATGGAGCGTGGGAATATCAGTACATCTTGCCAATCGATTATACTGATAATTTCGCTTGATCCAGGTGCTAATAAAATGTTGCTCAGACTTAAATCGGGGTGTCTCAACGTAGGCGCGCTGGAGGAGCCAGGTGGGATCAAATAAGGCGATAACTGTAGGAATTGCGAAAGGAGCGAAAGGTGTTCAGAGGGTTGAATATTGTGGTTGGTTGGTAGGAGGAATGTCTGGCGAGGCTGAACTTTGGCATGTTGCTGAATGACAGCCATCTCTCGGCGAGCGGCGGAGGTTACGGAATCCCCGCGGATAAAAGCCCTAATAAGGCAAATCAGCCAATGCAATGTTGGCTCTGTCCTAATAGCCAAGAACAAAGGGATAAGGGAAATTAGGAAAACCTACAGGGTCCACGGTCAATCTCCGTTCTGCTTCGTTCATCATGCCAAAACTGCCGGGCAGATACAGGGCCGACAACAAAGTCTTCTGCAACTGGTATCTGAGTTTCTCCTTCAAGATCGCTTTTGTGATATAAGCTTCCATAGGCAGGGAAATCGAACTCAAAAATTTTCCTTTCGATAATTGCAATTTGTGTCATGATATGTTTCACCTCGTCGGTCGTGAGGGATAGCCACCGCGAGGCAAGACTTTCGCCCTCCACCCGCTCCATGAAAATATATTCTGCTCCGACAGGATTATCCGACGTTGTTGAATATGCTAATATCTTCGGTACCAGCAGTTTGAGAATACTTCGCAAAAAGTGCATCGTCGCTACCTCAATCGCAGTCGTGTAATGAGGCGGCCCAGCAATAGGAGTAGGAATTCGTGCAATCACTTCACGGTTGTTTTTTGCTTGCAGAATCAAAACTTTGTTGAATCCCCCCTCTGCAAGCTTAGCAATGTCAGGGCAATCTTGCTGTATGGCTTCGCCCGCGATCCGTTGGAGCTCTGATGGTCGAAACTTGACGTATCGTTCTTTGAGACGACCGGACTCGTTGAAATTATCAGAGACTTAGTAACTAAGAACAAAACAATACTTAGGTACCAGACTTGACTGACGTCCATCGTCGTGATGTGGTTCCGAAAGAATTCTTCGTAGATTTGCGGACTTGTGTATGAGTGACGGCAGAATGGGACAGACATGACAGGCTGTCCAGAGCTCCACGGGTTGTAAGAACAGGGAATCGGTATTCTTTTAACGGTGGTGAATGTCTTTAAAGTTTTCACCATTGTTCAAGGATGATAGAAGATACAGGAAATTGATGTAGAGATATTTGCCATGGGTAGTGGTCAACAGGGAGCCTGAGGTCACCCCTCATAGGTATGCATAGATGAGCGTCGATTCTCAACTGTATACGCCTTCAACCTTGGAATGAACCACACCACCTGGGCATTTTTATACACATTTTCTCCGTCACACATACAATATTGTTCTACAACTGTTTTTGAAGAATATAACTTTTCAATATGTCGAGTAAGAGGATGTAATCACGAGACGTCGCGTTTCCGGACGCGATGGTCGATTAGCGCGTCATCATCCCGCTTCATCCCACCCCTGTACATCTCTTCACAGCTCCTCAAGCACCATCGCTCATTTTTATCACTCCGCTGGATGTGTCGATCTTTTGCACGCTTACTACGTGCTCGCCCTATCCAGCATACCGGCTCCCCGAGGTCTAGCTCGGGGGATTGCCACTCATGTCTGAGGATCCCCGATCGATCGATTGCCGTGGCGAACGCTAGATCGCCAGCGCCGGTTCTGGAACATGGTCGTCATAGGGTCCGACCTGTTTTGCGCGCCCCTTTCTACCGTCCTTTTAGCCTCAAACACAACCAAAATGTGCCATTGACACATTGGACGCCATCTCGTTCATATTCACAAACATTCTCTGCCCCAGATCAAGACCCGCTACTCGACCTAGACGACGCGACGATGGCGTTGAAGGTAGAGCCTGACATCAAGCCTGCTGAAATACTCGATGGAGACGTAGCTGCGCCTGCTGGCCAGGCTGAAGCTGTATTGGATCCCGAATCCGACGTGGAAGTCCCATTAGACGCGGAGGAGCTTCAGGAAGCCTTGGGGCGACCTCCTCCGGTCAATAGTAGTTGTCTTCCTCTCCCCTGGAAGGGCCGTCTTGGATATGTGAGTAACTACTTCTGTGCGATACGTTGTGGTTGAATGGCATCAAGGCTGACATTATTAGGCTTGTCTGAATACATACCTGCGCTACTCCAACCCTCCTGTTTTTTGCTCCCGTACCTGTCGCATTGCCTCAATTCTCGAGAACCGTCACCCTCTCCAAGATCCGGATCAGCCACCGCATCCAACGAAGAACCGCCCGGACCGCACACAACCAGCCGATGTAGCCCGTGGACAAGCATTCGTCGAATCCTTGGGATTGGCGAATGCGCGCGATCTGGTCAAATTGCTGCGCTGGAATGATAAATATGGCATTAAGTTTATGCGACTGAGCAGTGAGATGTTCCCATTCTGCAGTCACAAGGAATATGGTTATAAGCTCGCTCCATTTGCATCCGAAGTCCTGGCGGCAGCTGGACGGGTAGTTGCAGAACTCGGGCATCGTGTTTCTGTCCACCCTGGGCAATTTACACAACTGGGCTCGCCTCGAAGAGAGGTGGTGGAGAGCTCATACCGCGACCTGGAGTATCACTCAGAGATGCTTCAGCTTCTGAAATTACCACCTCAGCAAGACCGCGATGCAGTTATGATCCTGCACATGGGTGGCGTTTTTGGCGATAAGGGAGAGACTCTGGACCGGTTCCGAGAGAATTATGCTGTATTGTCTCAGGATGTCAAGAATCGACTGGTCCTTGAGAATGACGACGTGAGCTGGACAGTGCACGATCTGCTCCCGATTTGTGAGGAGCTCAATATTCCCCTCGTGCTTGATTACCACCATCACAACATCTTGTTTGACGCAAGTGAGGTCCGAGAGGGCACGCAGGATATCATGCCTCTCTATGACCGCATCACGGCGACATGGTCACGGAAGAACATCACTCAAAAAATGCATTACTCGGAACCTACCGCCCCTGCGATCACGCCGCGACAACGTCGCAAACATAGTGATCGCGTCAAGACGCTGCCTCCTTGCGTACCTACCATGGATCTAATGATCGAGGCGAAGGACAAAGAGCAGGCTGTGTTTGAGTTGATGAGGACATTCAAACTGCCTGGCTACGAACTCTTCAATGACCTAATTCCATATTTACGAACTGATGAGAACAAACCTTTCAAACCTCCACGCCAAACAAAGAAGAATGGTGGATTCGTCGATTTGGAGGGGGCAGTCCCACCTGCTCGAACTGTCGCAGATGAAGAGGTTGGCATGGGTGGCCCTGACCGGCGGGTATACTGGCCACCCGGCATGGAAGAATGGCTTCGTCCTGCGAAAAAGGTCGTGAAGACCAAAACGAGCAGCCCAGCCAAGGGCAACACATCCAAGAAAATCAAGATTGAACCCAGTGCTCCGGAGGACACTTTGGCCAGCCCAGCCAAAAAGCCGGCTAAAGCACCTCGAACTCCGGTGAAATCTCGATCGAAACGCAAAGTTTCTGAAATCGAGTCCACTCCCGAGTTGGACGAACCCAGCCCTCCCTCGGCTGATTCTCTCCCTCCCAAGAAGGGTCGAGGCAAGAGTACTCGAGCTAAGAAGGTCAATTATGCCGAAGATTAATCCAGAGTGATGTTGATGTACTTTGATTAATTTGGAGGAACTTGTATTATACTTTTGCTAAACTTGAATTGGCATGAGACTACTATGAATAATCAAAAACGAATACTTACATACAGCGCGTGCTCGAAGCCCTTGGTGTCACCGGGCAGATATCTGCACTAGTATTTGTTTCAATATAATTGTATTTCTATACCTAGCACTAGTAGCTTGTGCGGTCAGTTGTATTATGGACCATATTGCGTGATAAATTGTGAGCTCTGGAGGCTGGAACAACTTGAACACGAATAGGTAAATGATCACTGATATTCAAAAGACTTGGACATTTCTTTTCCCTTCTAACCTATCCTTGAGACAACAAAATCCCCCGAAAAAATATTCAATGATCCCAAGACGCCAAATTGGCCGTCATGTCATGTAAAGTGTAACAACGCCAGTGATAAATGTTGTTCCTCATAGCAGATCTAGGACACTACCTCTCAGAGGGTCAAACTCGAAATTCACCTTTCTCACTCACTGGCAGAGCCATGTAACATATCTCAAACCATCTCGGCTCTATCCGAAGAACCATCATGTTCCTCATCAGTTGTAGCAGAGGAAGAGCTCACAGCCTGGGCAGACTGCTCGGGCTTTTCTCCGGCCATCTTTTTCTCACTCTGCGCCTTCATCCGGTCAGCCATAGCATCGAGCTGACGAGCCGACTCGGCCGCATATCGACAATGACGTCGGATAGCAGGACCGAATTTATAAAATATCCAAGGAAAGGGGAGACAAGCAGCTGCGAGGAAGGCAGAGACTGAAGAACCCCAATGAATACCGATACCATCGTACATAGGTGTGGTGAAGAGAGGACTAAAGATGGATATGTTAGACTAGTGCGTATGATGCAAAGGGAAAAGAGGTATGCTTACAAGGCTGCACCGAAAAGAGCACGTATGACAGCATTTCCAGCCAATGCCGATGCGGCGTAGAGAGTATATCCATCAACGATGTAGTTCACCACACTGAGAAAGATAGAAACGTGCGAGAACCCAAAAAGCACTGTTCCGATTTCGCAGACAATCCAATGGATGCTTGGGTAGTTGGTCCATGCAAACCAGAACAGGCCAATGGGTAGCGTCACCGCTCCCACCATAGCAGGGATCAATCGTGCCTCGGGGGGGAGGGCGGCCGTAGCTGGTACGACTAGCAATTTTCTTGTATCGTTTATCGTCGAGAATAGAATAAGCGCAGCCGAGTGTCTGTCCAATTACCATTCCTAGAAATGATAATCCGGAAGTACTCTGTGGCCAGTTGCGAGCTTCCTCGAAGACGATGGGGAAAGCAGCGAATTCCATATACATTGTGCCGTAGACTAGGGGTGGTGACAAAAAGGTTAGCATAGGCACTAGCGGATAGTTTTGACCACAGTTTAACTCACTGATAGCCATATAGACAGAAAGAAGTAGCACAATTGGCTCCATAAATAGCAAAATCCACGGGCGCACCATGGTCGCTGTAAAGACCTGACCAGCGGTTTTGTGTGACTGTTCCACATCAAGTCGACTCTTATACACAGCACCGGTCATCTTGCTAAGCTTTGCTGCTCTCTTGCGTAGAAGAACAGGCGAGTACGTCTCAGGAATCAGGGCAATTCCAACCAAGAACACCACCGCATTGAAGATTGTTGTAAGTCCTTGAACCCACTTCCAGCCCTTAGACACTGCCAAAAAGTCGCAAGTGATAGGCCCAAGACCAGGACCAAGGAACGGAGCTCCAATGAAAGCAATGGTCGCCAGTCCTCGATCGCGCGCAGTATACATGTCGGACACTACGCCTCCAGCATTCGAGACGGCAGAAGAACCGAACGCACCGGAGAAGAATCGAAGGACCAGAACAGCTGCAATGTTCGGACTTGCGATGGTGACTCCAGCAAAGAGAGTGGACATTCCAAGCGTGATAAAGTAGATAACTTGACGACCATATAATTCTGAAAGAGGTGCCCATACTGCAGGACCGATGGCAAATCCAAGCACAAATAGCGAGGTATCTGCAACCGTGAGCTCTGTACTAGCTCCAAAATGTGCCTTAAGCTGGGGATCGGCAGCAGAAAGGGAAGCCGAAGCGTATGTGATGGAGAGAAAAGATGCGGCCTGTAGGAGCGTGATGGACCATTTTAACCACTCCTGCATTTGATGAGGATCTCTCGGGTCATTGTGTACCCATTCCACAAGATATGGGCTTTCGGTGGTTCCATCCCCATCCCACTGGTGCTCGAGGATATCATCGGTAATGGTACTCTGTGACAAAACTAGTTTGTACAAGGGGAGTCGAATGCGCTGCGCTTTGTCTGCGTTTTGGGTCGCCATCTGTAATTAAACACTGCCATGTCAATGAGTTAGCTCAACGCTGTACTAGTCAACGGAATTTTCTTTTTGAATATACTCACAGCCGCAAGCACGCGTATAAAGACTTGAGCGCTCGATAGAGGAATATTAAGACCTAGATAGAAAACAGAGAACAGATGGATAGAGATTGAGTCCAGTGCAATCCTAATTAGTCAAGGGGAAAGCTAGCGGACAGGTGGGAGGAATAAATGGAAGGATGAAAAGTTCGGGGAAATCCTGTCTAATTTCAAGTATTACAGAATGCAGAGTAAATTAAATTGACAGGGGTTTATTTATTAATCATTAGAAATACAGGATGTGGTGATTATAAATCCACTTGAGAGATAATCATTGTTTTCGGAATGCGACAAAGCTGTAATTTGGGGGGCATTCAACTCGCTGTTTTTTGGCCATTCTGAAGCTGTAATTTTGTATAAATGACGATGCCCTGATCTTAAGGCTATGCCAAGCTTTTTATAAATGGAGCAGGGACTATTTTCATCCAATCATAGAAAGCGGAAAGCCCCACTTGATTCTGTTTCCCGCTAGTACCGCTAGTCTGCTCTAGGGAATTCCGGCCTAAGGATACGAAAATCGTCCGGAAAATGACGCGAGAAAAATTGCCAAGAGAACTCTTGCCATGATTAAAATGCTGTTCAAGCAAAAAATGACTGACATCGCTAACAAGGACAAATTTTAGTTTATTGTTACCTTTTAATATAGATCGATTGATTGTACTCAACGTTTGGTCTCAAGTACTACTTTTAGAGTAGCATCTGGCCACCTGGGCACACGGGCAGCGGCGCATATGCAATAATCCTCTCCGTGTCGATCCCTTCAAAAATAGTTCAATCATGATGTTCCTCCCGAGGTCAAATACCGACCAGCCACTACTACTAGTACTAATAACGGAGTCACGGTATATTGAATAGCATTCAAATGTTACTAGTATTCTTGGTGATTCCCATGTTATTTTTAACCAAAAGTCCTCCACATCTAACATCACACGCAACTCGGGAAAAGAGATCTAATATTCAAATATTGGCTGGTAAAAGTTGAAATTCTATAAATCTCAAGACCATTCTATCGCCGAATGATTTCTCTTACTGATTTTTCAGTATCAAATATTGATCTTTGCAAATCTTCTAAAACGAAATGTACTGGCCATTTCTCGCTGTGCTCGATAGAGTGTAGAGACATGTCAGACACTCGCTCAACATATCCCGCCATGGACTCGAGGAAAGATTTCATTTTTGTCAATGCTCGAGCAATCAGAACATCCGTTAGAAAGGCTTGCTCTTCTTGTGGGATTTCGAAGCTCCCAACCCGAATTTTGTCGGCGAAGGAGCTGCTTGAAGGAGGTCTGATAGGTCCCAGATTGATGCCTTCAAAGCTAGAATGTCGATGACCGCCTCCATTTATTTGTCCTGCTGTGTGGTCGCGGAAGCCTGAGGTTGTGGAACCATGGGAAGTGTGCTGATTAATATTTGAACTGTGAATCGAGTGCTGTGAAGATTGTTGATTCAAGATCAGGCACTGCAGACCCCGGAGGATTTTACGCAGCCCCATTGCAAACATCAAAACAGCTACCGAGTCACGGTCACGTCGACAAGCGGAGCAATACATCAGTCGTTCCCAAAGGACTCGGCTATCCTGAGTGGCTTGAAGAATGACAGGCACGGGCGCTGGAGAATATTTGCCTTCCATCTTTTTCAAACTGGAAAGGAATATTGCTTGGTTGCTGATACATGCGCAGGTTTCTGTCAAATCCCCAGAAATGGATCTTGTTCGTGGAAGGCCGCTCAAAGGAGTGTCCTGGGCAATATGAGGCATTCCACTGGAGAAAGACATATCGACTGTCTGCATAGAACGCGGAAAGTCATCTCCCCTCCCCTTAGTCATGCGTTAATGGTCAGAATAGTGAAAAGAAGCGGCCCGTTGTATAGACTTACAAAAGAAAGAATCGGATGATTGGGACCCTGGGTTTGAAGTCCTTTCCCTGCGTCTAGACCATGGAAGAGCTCTGAGGCTTCGAGTTGTTCCCAAGAGGTTTCTGACATAGGCGCCGATGGATATATGGGGTGTTCATCTGTGTCCATAAATGCGTTTGGCTCAAGAAAGTCATGCAGGCCATCCACATCACCAGCGGAGAGTAGTTCGTCTAGCCCCAAAGATCTCTCTTGTTCTGGGGGTGAAGGTCTCGATGAAGAATCACTATCCAGAGAGAGATTTCTCCCTCTTAGGTCTGGCTTACTGTGAGATTTCTTCGACAAAGTGCATTTATGTTGCGACTTTTTGTTCTTGGACCCTTTCGGTCGCCCCATTCGATTAGGCTCGCTGTAAATGCAGGGCTGTTTGGATCTTGTACATCCGGCGCATGGATCTCCGCCCGAACATTTCATCTTTAAGGTATGGCACATGTCGCATGCCGATCGCACTTTCCGCGAATTTGAGCCCTCCATGATTCAAATGTTATCTTTTCGTGCTAGAATGGAGGATGAAGGGTAATAAAAGGTAATGTATACCTAGTGAGTTTGTCAGAGTGGTCAAGTTGCGCGAACCTGAAATCTACTACGTTAAAGTACATGTATTTATGCTCTCTGATACGCACCACGTAGTTCTGGCAGTAAAGGCTAGAAGAGCTTCCCGAGGTCCAAGCCCGCGAGATTGAATCAATGCATCGGAAATATGGTGTTTGAGCGTGTCGTGACTGCTCATAGGCTAGCAAACTTGCTGGTATCGATATGCTATTTCACTACATTCAAAATGACCAAATACCAGACGAATAGAGCCTGTTAATATTTTAAATACTATAAGAGAATTGCGAACCTACGTCGACTTTCCACGAAAATGACAATTTCTAGAGGAACATTTGAAATTTGAAGGCGATTTCGCCATATCTCAAACTCCACATTCCGACCTATGGTGAGGTATTGTTCGTTTGATAACCAGAAATATCTGGGAAATTAATTCATGCAAGTCCTCCACATGTGGAGTGCGAGTTCCGCTAATGCATATGCTGAGGGATTGACATCTACTAAAGAGATCCGAAATTCCTTCAGACATCTGGAGCCACCTGGGCAAGTCTGACACGCATTCTATTTACCTCTAATGGTGATTGGTAGACGTCAAGTTTGTGATTGCGGGATCGACATCCAAAGTTCCGGGCCGTACGGGGCCGTTTGGACTCTGGTTGATCTAGAGCCTGAACTACCAGTTGACTATCATTTTGGGGTAACTGATACATCTATCTGTCATCACCTTGAAGCCTTTCCCATGATAGTGAAAATGGAACACAATACGTTTAGGCTGTAGACAGGTGAAGTAGTTAGCAAAAAAAAAGCGGGTTATCCAAATTCTGCATGCTAGACACGGTACTTTGTTTCAGCCTTCAGGGTCGATGTGTATGACGCGCGTCTCAAGTGCTTACTGTGCAGAGTAGTATTTAAAGGGGAAATTGATGCTTGTTTCTAGCTTTGTATGGCTTAGTGTGACTTGGCGTTAGAACTCATGCAAGACCCATTTTTGATCACGGAGTATCTACCCGACACTGAAGTGTTGATCTGCCAGACTACTGAATTATGGTCTAGAAACCACTCAAGAGTCAGCGAATGAAGTCATCAATCTATTCCATTCATGTTGTACCTTTGTCAAGTATTTTCAGATGCCTCTATCATGCAACCTCTTTAGAACTTTGTGCCGACCTATTTTCGATATTACAACCCATATACAGTCTAGCTTATACGAGTTCGCTCTGAGTGGACATCTGGAGGCATTGTGTCGAAGTACTGGTCTAGACTTCTCACCCTACCCGTCAAGGCCAAATTCGAATGGTGATCGACAATTACCCTGTGCGAATTATGCAGGTGGCAATAAATCGGAACTTGCGATCCTGGCGCCCTCTTCGAAAAATGTCATTGCTTGCCTGCTAACCCACGGTCGACCGAACCACCGAACCCCCGATAATGCCCAGCAACCCAGGCCGATTGCAGAGGCCGGCAAAACTTCTTCAGTCGATATTTCCAGGGCTGTGGGTAAAAGCTCTATATTCCTTATACTATCTCCAAATCACATGTTCAGATTAGTGTTGCGGAAGTATTTCTCTGCTAATTGCGCCTAAGCGATATTTACAGTTTTGGCGTAACGGCAAGTGGCGCTGAAGACCTTCAAGTTGAACCTGCGAGAGGATTGCGCCGGATTCTAGTGCGATATTCAGTTCCGCAATGCATGAATCCTTCAAGTTCTCATAGTAGCATAGCGATATGCAGTAAGACGGGACGTCCAACTTGGCAGGGTGAGTGATTGACATGCAGCATGCCAAACTGAATTCTAACCTGCAGAGTCCGAAGAACTAGTCTTAAGATAGCATTCGAATTATGTAAAGCTTCACAGCACTTACCCAGGTGAAGCATATGAGGATTCCAGTAGAATCCGCCAGCGCAGATCAATGTTTAACCATGTGGCTATCAATATACGTTTCGCGCTATTTCCCAAATAGGGAAGGTGGAGAATGTTGATAACTTGAACGAGGTCTATGTCTATCGCTGATCATTGGACACAACTCCGATGCATATTCAAATGTTACAATCGTCTATACATTCCGAAAAAAGAAGTGCGACTGGATCTTGGCCAAAACCTGCAGCAATGGCGTAATCTTTACATAATTGATACTTTGTAGCTCACATTCTCCTTGCCCCACATAGTCTTGCGCTGTTCATGCAAAGGGCCCTTTACGTATGAATTCGTCCGGTTATCGGAAAATCCCCGAGATAAGATTCGGACCGAAGAGCTGTTGACTCGTATAGCTTCCGGCATGGATGTTTAATTCGTTGCATTCATTTTGCCGTTAAACCCATTTAGGCCCTGAAGTGCTATATTTGAGTTTCGTAGTTTAATCTCATGCCCCTTGTATGATAAAAACGGATTTTTTGCCGAGTACGAGCTAGCTTGCTTTTAATATGCAGGGCTCAGCAAGACTAGAAGTGGAACGGTCAGAATCCAACGAATTTTGCATGCCACTGTGACCCAGGTGCCTGAGAAGAAGCTGTACTTCTAACCTTAATAGAATCCATGGCTTGAGATGACGTCTTTCGAAACATTCAAAATGTTGATACCATCAGAACACGTTCCGATGAATTAATTGATTGCCGCCCACTGGCAGACAGTACTGTCACAGTAGACACCGTGACACTACAGTCATGTTCACATACTCAAGTACTAGGAAAAGAGGTCTATACTATGGTCACGCCGCTTTGTGAGCCGCAGATTTGTGTTACCTGGTTCAGATTCGAGCCAGGATTGAACAGACACATGTGCATTTGAAGTTAAGTTGTGCTCCGATAACTTCAGTCTTGCTGTACTCCATCATCTTGAACCTAATAAAACAGCCAAATACTACTAGTACTTTCAAATGTTACATACTCAAAGGTGAGCCTTGGCAGGTATACTATGTCCCCGGCCATCTCGTTCAGGAAATCTCTGCCAAGCTTCAGCAAAGCCAGCTCCACGGATAAAGTCAAAATGTTTCGTTCCATCCATAGGCTGCGAGCTACCGGAGTCAATGGCAGCAATGCCCGCAGTCAGGAAAACAGACTGCTTGACTCGGAACTCAGGCAGATGGTCGTATGGCTTGGAGGTGTCTTGGGCATGGGCCATGCACCGGATAAGCTTGCACATGTGGCCATCATCCTCGTGGTAGCATGCCCGGTCAAACACTTCATCCCACCCTTGATTGGGTAGTCGGGACGGATGCGAGGCCAGCCAGTCCAGGCGGATCTCAGGACATCCTTGTCCTGCATAGGAAAGAAGATACACTCGACCGGTGTACTCTAAAAGCCGAGCCTTTTGCTGGCGAGTAAGCGAGGGCTCTGCGAGGAACATAGTGTGGCCAATACTTGATGTTACACTATGCAAAAGGAAGAAGTCAAATGTGCAGATGTATGGTGGGCGCTGGGCTCCGGCTGTCAAATACACTTTTGATGGAGCACGATGTCACAGTTAGCCACTTAATGCTCGGGTACTTGTGAAAAAGATTCTAACTTACCAGCGGTGTTTTGTAGCTCCGCAGTTGCTCTTTCTAAGTCATTTGGGTCAACCCGATATCGCGCAGCCAGGCGAACCAAATCCGGACCTGCATTCTTCAGCACCCCATCGCGAGCGGGCTCAAGATCGAGACACATTTCCCCAGTAACCTTTCTCTGTTGCATATGATAATAAGCACTAGAACAATTGCGAATCTTGTCGTTTGCCCGAGCGAGATCCACACAAGTACTCAACGGGAGTGGAGGCTCGACTTGGCTCTTAGAAAGCTTTTCGGCTGCGGTAAGGTAGTCTGTGTACCACCAATCATGGTGCACACATGCCTGTGCAAAGCCCTCTGCAAGTAGCCTTGCCTGCCTAAACTCTAGGGCCATGCCAATATGGATAATACCGTGGACGTATCCTTTGAATAATTATCAGTATAATAAACAGCGTTGGCCAACTGGAACGCCACATACCCATATAGATACGGCATAGGATATCATCAGCAATCTCACTACCACCAACGAGGTATTTCTGAAAGACGGCTTGGTAACCTAGACGATCGATCTCGTTCTCAAAGAAAAGACAGAAATTCACAAAATTCTCCTCTCTGCCGAGACATCGCTTCAAGACCAACGAATCGGTCATATCTTCCACAAGCGTGTTTTGAACAGCCATCGGGTCCCTCTGATATAGACTGTTTCGATCATGCTGTGATCGAATGGTTTCAGGACTAGCTCCAAGAGCCCAAATGGTGATATCGTGGTGTGCGATATGGTTGTGAAAGTAGACCTAAATTGAGAGAGAATATCTTCAGATCTAAGCATCAATTCCTACCGAAGTGGTTGTACTTACGCCTTTATGGTCCTCGGTTGTGGTGAATATGTGATGGTTGTTGTGGTTCTCCTCTAGAACGCGTTCAAGCATGCGAGAGGATTCCTCAGTCAATTTCTTCGCATGCTTTAGTCCCGAATGTACGTTGGGACTGAAATGGAATCGAGATGTTGGCTCAAGCACAAGCGCCATTGCTTCAAATTTTGAGGTGAGTGGTAGTCTGACAGCTGCAAGCAAATGGGAATTAGAGTACCCATCGAAAACTTGACTGGAGATGATATAAATGAGATGGTAGTAGAGTTGAGCATGGGTGGCAAAGTATGATCTATGCTGAAATCAATGAAGCCTGTTTTGGAGCTCTAGATGGTTGCGTAGTCGGTGACTATCGAGAGTTTCATGTATTCTTGGAAGCTCAACAACTAAGCTCGATGAATCTTTCATGGTTCTGCCTGAAGTCTGAAATTCCCATGTCAAACAAGGAAGTCGCTTTCAAGGTTTTAGTTGACTTTGATTGCTAGAAGCTGAAAGTCAAAACAATCAATGCTTCCAAGGTTTGTCAAGCTGGAAGGACTCTGCATCATGATGCAGCTCTTAGCCCGTCTACGTCACACAAATAGTACCAATAGATACATGAATGGCTTTTGGAATTCCGAATCCTCCAGGAATTTACAGGAAAGGAAGTTTGAGCCAATGATCTTCGGTTCAAGGGCTACCTGTCACCGGCGAGTATTTGATATGGCATTAATCTAATAAAGTCACCGATAACCGAATCCTCCAAGATCCACAGTTATCTATACCATGGTCACAATTGGAAGCACTCAAATTGTTGGATTGATAGAAATTACATACACTGTGTTTTAGAAAGGCGAAAATAAATATGACCTGCCAGGTCGTGGTTACATGAATTGATTATTGTGTGAACGTTTCTTTTTAGTCTTCCCAATGCCCCTCAAGAGCCGTATCCGATTTCCAGACCCAGAGCCCAACTCGAACGAATTCACCCTCGGAAAGATGTCACCCAAATTTCAAAAGCTTGTTGGAAAGCATGTTTTAGTTATTGGAGGCACATCTGGTATGGGATATGCAGTTGCCGAGGCGAGTCTCGCATTGGGGGCCCATGTAACGCTTTCCTCTTCAAACCAGAGCCGCATCGATGAGAAGGTCAAAACCCTCCAACAGGGCTATCCCGCAAGCAAAATTCAGGGATTCGTGTGTGATCTCTCACGCAGCAGCCTCAAACAAGATATTGAGGAGCTATTTTCCAAAGTCGGCAAGCTCGATCACATCGTTTTCACTGCAACGGAGCCACCTAAGATGCTCACATATGATGAGATTACACTCGAATACTGGAGAGATGCGGGGCAAATGCGTCTTTTTGCACCATTCTTCGTGGCCCAAGTAGGCTCCAAATACCTCAACCCTGGGCCTGAGTCCTCGATCGTTTTGACTACTGGAACATCCTCTGAGAAACCAATTGCGGGATGGCCAGTAGTCGCGTCTTATGCGGCTAGCCTGAAAGGATTGACTCGCAATTTGGCTTTGGATCTGAAGCCTATTCGTGTCAATATTGTCAGTCCTGGATTTGTTGAGACGGAACTCTGGGATCATCAGCCAGAGGAAGCCAGAAAGGGTCTCTTTGAATGGATCAAGACGGTGACAGCTTTGGAGAAGATTGGGTACCCGGATGAAATTGCGGAAGCCTTTTTGTGGTTGATGAAGGACACCAATGTTACCGGTAGCGTTGCGGAGACTAATTCGGGAATGAAGTTGGTGTAAATAACAATATCTAAATCATCTTGTCTTGTGGTAGTATAGATGGAAATGAACTGAATCCTGTGCATTGCTCAAGTTGGGACAAAGTCAAAAGATTTTTCATTTTTCATCTGCTCAAATAATTCTAGGTAGTAGCCTCTAGACATGAGAGTTCTCCTGTTTCAATTTGTGACTTGAAGATCATCACGAAAAGTACCCTTGACTATGTTAACGTACAATAGTAACATCGAATCTACTAAATGCAATCCGAGTGAACAAGGCCATCTTGAGTAAAGACTACTACTATTTAAGTGCTAAAGAGGCATAATTCTTCGAAAAACAGCAATCTCTCCCATGAGTTTCTATCCTATGTTAAAATAGTTGGGACTGAAGTTCTCAGTTGAAAAATAGACTACAACAAAATATTTAGGCGAATAAGAATTTAGGCTAAGATAACAATGGTGTATTTAAACCAAAATATGATTAATTTCAAAAAATAGTCGCCATGCATATCTTCCAACTTGAAGGTTGTTAAATTGCGACCGTAGGATGTTGAAATTGCTCCACAACTTGAAATTAAAGACTGATAAACTAAGCATCGGTGAGTAAAAATTATCAATCAAACTCGATGGAATCAAATTCCTTATGTCACTTTTGAAGAAATTATTGAAAGAACTCTCCGGTGCATATGTAGAGGCATTGGTCGAAGGATGCAATATTGCACTGGCGGACAAAGCAGTGGGGTTGTATGATAAGGCACAGTTGCAGACTGTATTCTGCTATTGTTTGATATAACATGAAATCATGGTCATGGATGATATCTCAATCAGTATTGAATCGCCTAAACTCTAGAGTAGACTTTCAACAGTGTTTACTTGTACAAGATGGACGGCGGTAGTGTTATTTTCTTTGGAGACACCACCCTACCAATCATACCCTCTTTGGCACAATTACTTGAGGCACGAAGACCAAATTCTTTACTCTCACAGTTCCTTTCATTATCTGAGGAGGTATTACGTGAAAGTATTGGTCATCTCCCAGGACATGTTCAGGAGGAGGCTTTGCGATTTACTCGGTTGTCGGATATTGTGGATTCCGAACATCATGAGCTTCCCGCTCTACATGTCTTGGCACCTGCCATCCTGGTGATTGTCCAGTTGGGTCACTTTATAGGGTGAGCGATCTTATCCGGAATAAGAAATGACTAGGATGAGCTGACTAGGGATACAGATGGTATGAGAATCCTTCACACTGCGAATTTCCTTCCACCAGCAAAAGTCTCTGTATTGGACTTTGTGTGGGCCAGCTATCAGCAGCTGCAGTCAGTCTTGCAAAGAATGTTGTCGAACTCATCCCGATAGCTGTTGACACTGTTCGTCTCGCGGTCCGACTGGGTTCGCTGGTTTTTACTGTGGGTGGGGACCTGGAAGTCGAGGAACATCAAGATCCATGGGCACTCTTGATCGAGAAAGAAGTCTTGCCGGATACGGACTTGGCTTCAATACTGGATAAATGGGTAAATGTGCCCCTTTACCACAAAAAGGATGGCATTAACACAATAATATAGGATAAATCCAGTCGGAAACAACCTTATATCACTGCGGAATTTGACAGCACAGTCACAGTCCAGGGGCCGCCTACGACACTAATTTCCCTCAAAGGGATAATCTTGGAGTTCCTCAAGTCCACACAGTCCGCTCGTGCGGGTCGCCCTCTCCCCATATTTGCGCCATATCATGCCCCCCCATCTCTATACAGAGCTCGATGTCGAAAACCTGGTAAAAGGATTGACTAGCTTTTCGAAAGCTCCGGGCTTGAACAATGAGCGTACAGCTGGTCCTGCACTGCTATCTCCCTATTTGGCTCATGCGGTAGACAGGGAGAGACCAGCAGAGATAGTGCGGGATGTGTTGAAGGACTTGCTATTCCGACCGATCCAATGGAAAAATCTTATTGAGGGCACAGCTTCATATCTCACTTCGCTCAAGCTTTCAGAATTTGATATCTACTGTTTTGGTCCAGTCCATTCACACAAATCGTTTATATCAACCATACAAGACAAAATTGATGCAAAAGTCATGCTATGTGACACAACAGTCCAGGGGGATCAAGAACATTCTACCAGAGGATTGAACATCCCAATTGCAGTGATTGGAATTTCGGGCCGTTTTCCCGATGCTAATAGTGTGGATGAACTTTGGAGGATTCTTGCAGATGGTGTTGACTGCCATAGAGTGGTAAGTTCTAATGAATCGTAAAGATTTTGGAGTCAAAACTTCAAATGTTGGAGTCGAGGCTAAAAGCAACCAGATACCAAATGACCGATTTGACCCTTCAATTTATGTTTCGAAAGACGGAAAAGACAAGAACAAAAGTGCAACTGAATTTGGGAACTTCATGAAAGATCCCGGGCAATTCGATGCTCGTTTCTTCAATATGTCCCCCCGAGAAGCTATGCAGACAGATCCTCAACAGAGGCTTGCCTTGGTCACAGCGTACGAAGCATTAGAGCTTGCAGGTTATGTACCCGGCCAAACACCTTCAACACAGATGGAGAGAATCGGAAGTTTCTATGGCCAGACAACAGACGACTACAAAGACGTGAATGTCGTCCAGGATATTGACACATATTATGTCTCCGGAGTGATTCGTGCATTCGGACCCGTGAGTAGTATCTTCCATGATACAGTAAGCTGTAAGAGTTTTCCGCGTCCGCGTGGCTAATCTAGCAATTTCAAACCAGGGACGTGTTTCTCGTGCAAACCAACTGGGTATGTATAGATACAGTTTCCGAAGCGGAACCACGAACTAATTTGGCTCTCGTTATTTATAGGAGGTCCTAGTCTGAGTGTTGACACTGCTTGCGCATCCAGTGCCACTGCTCTTAATCTTGCGTGTACATCCATCTGGAGCAATGAGTGTGACACGGCCGTTGTCGGAGGAATGATGCTTCTCAACAGTCCTGATATGTATGCCGGCCTCTCACGAGGACATTTCGTCTCCAGTGATGGTCCTTGCAAAACCTTCGATGACGAGGCAGATGGCTACTGTCGTGGAGAGACAGTCGCTAGCATAGTCTTGAAACGCCTCGATGCTGCCAAGGCAGACAATGATAATGTCCTTGGTGTGATCCTAGCAGCAGGCACAAATTACTCTGCCTATGCGGCATCCATCACACAACCCCATGCTGGGACACAAGAATCGCTTTTCCGAAAAGTCCTTCGTGAGGCGGCAGTCAAGCCGAAAGACATTGACTATGTTGAGCTACATGGGACGGGTACTCAGCTTGGAGACTCTACAGAAATGGCCTCGGTTCTCAACGTTCTGGCTCCTAGCCACTCACGGCGACCACCGGACAGGCCTTTGTATGTTGGGTCGGTCAAGGCAAATATTGGTCATGGAGAGTCTGCCTCTGGGATTACAGCCTTGATCAAAGCACTTCTACTGTTCAAGAACTCTCAGATCCCACCCCATATTGGAATCAAGAGCGGCCGAATAAACCGAAACTTTCCTCCTTTGGAGGAGCGAAATGTGAAAATTGCAAAGAAGCTTACTGCCTTCCCACCCAGCCCCGACAGAAAGCGCAAAGTTTTGATCAACAATTTTGGTGCTGCTGGAGGGAATTCCAGTTTCGTTCTCGAGGAGGGCGACTCCTTCTCACAAGAATCTGAACCAGTGACTACTGTGCGTGACCATGTCATCAGTGTGACTGCCAAATCAACGACATCGCTTCTGAGAAATTTGATGAACTTGGTCCTTTTCATTGAAAATCAACCCCAAGTGGCCATGAGGGACATCGCTTATTCCACTACTGCCAGGAAAGTGCAACATCCACTACGTGTTTCGATCGTCGCTTCAACGCTATCCGAAGCAAAGTCCAAACTATCTGCAAAGGTCAACAACGAAGGCACGAGATCAACAATCAAATTATCCAACCCAATCTTTGTGTTTACTGGGCAGGGATCTCTGTTTGCGAATGTAGGGAAACAGATCTTTGAAACAAATTCCTCATTCAGGACCCACTTAACCAGACTGGAACGAATTGCAGTTGAACATGGATTCCCACCTTTCATTGATGCTATAATTAATGGAAGCGAGGAAATCGGTACGCTGCAGCCTGTACAGTCACAGGTGGGCCAAGTTGCCCTGCAAATGTCCCTTTTTACTCTCTGGTCTTCATGGAATATAAGACCCTCAGCTGTGATAGGGCATAGCTTGGGAGAATATGCCGCTCTTTTCGCCGCCGGAGTTCTGTCAGCAAGTGATACGTTATATCTGGTTGGTCGACGTGCAACCCTGCTGCAGAATTTATGTGAGTCGTCCACACATGGAATGTTGGCGGTCAATCAGAGCCTGGACCGTGTTAAGAGTGTGCTGGCCGATCATTTCAATGGGCTAGAGGCTTCATGTTTCAATACTCCGACAGACATTGTTATTAGTGGCCCGATTGCGAGAATTCACGAGGCGCAGCCGCTTTTGAAAGCCCATGACATGCGATGCACACTTCTTAACGTTCCTTTTGCTTTTCATTCTTCTCAGGTCGACCCAATACTGGGCCCACTTGAGAGCGAAGCAAGTAAGGTTTCTTTTCGAATGCCTAGAATTCCGATTCTCTCTACCTTGCTGGGAAGGAAACTGAACAATCTCGATGCACTGAACCCATCTTACCTGGTGCGTCATGCGCGAGAACCTGTCCAATTTGCTGAAGCAATCCAATCGGCGCAATTGGACAACTTGATTACTTCGGAATCCGCATTCCTTGAGATTGGTCCTCATCCTGTCTGTCTTAGCATGGTCGCTTCGACTCTCCAATCCACAAGCCGGCTCCTTTCTACGCTTCATCGGAAGGAGCCTCCAATTGCTACTATCTGCAAGGCCCTGGCGACATTTAGTGATGGTGGTATTTCTATCAACTGGAAAAACTATCACAGCAGCTTTGCTGGTACTCCGAAGCTACTCAGTCTCCCCACATACGCCTTTGATGAGAAGAATTACTGGATCGAGTATCGCAACAATTGGCTTTTGCAACGGCACCCGAGCAGTAGTCCTTCGAAGGTGAATGAATTGCAGCCGCAGATCACAACGACCGTCCAAAGAATTTTATCTTCTACCATAGATGGTTCAGTGGCGTCTGTTGTTTTTGAGTCAGATCTGGCCAATCCGGTACTGCATGGATTAATCGCAGGCCACATTATACATGGAATCGCGTTATGTCCGTCGGTAAGTAATGAGTTTCACCTGTGCCATTGTATTTATGACTCCAGTCTACAGAGACTTGTCAAGTATACATGAAGACGGACACCTTGCTAATACATTTACGCAGGGGGGTCTTTGTAGATATTGCCATGACGGTGGCGGACTATCTTCGAAGAAACTTCTCATTCAATGGTCCTGTTTCTGGTATAAAGGTCATCAACCTTCAAATGACAAAGCCTGTCATAATGCCAGTTGAGAGACCAAAGACCCCTCGAATATTCCGAATTTGTTCGCAGGCATATACTCAAACAGGATCCATACGTTTGGAAATCGGGACCCCAGCTGAGTCAGGCCAAGAACTCGAAACCCATGCCTCTTGTGAAATTGAGTTTGAAGACAGTGCTTTGTGGCTGAGGCAGTGGAACAAAAATTCATACCTCATACTGGAAAGGATTCTCAACCTAGAAGATGGTGTCACCAGGGGAAGTTCAAGTCGCATGTCTCATGACATGGTTTACAATCTCTTTTCCATGGTTGTCCATTATGATCAGCGGTATCAAGGGATGAAAGAAGTTATCATTGATGCTGAGAAATTGGAAGCAGTTGTTTCACTTTCTTTACACAATGACCCCGACATGGGAACATTCTTTTTCTCTCCTTTGTGGCTGGATAACCTTGCTCAGATTGCCGGATTTGTCATGAATGCCATCGGAAAGGTCGACCCCAGGGAATTTACCTACATATCTCATGGAATTGGCTCATACCAGATTGGCGAAGAGATTCGTCCGGATCTCTTATACAAAGCACATGTCAGGATGTTGCCAGAGACAGGAACTGTCTTTTCCGGTGATGTCTCAATTTTCCAGGGAGAAAGATTGATAGCCCGCTGCGGGGAGGTCAAATTTCAGAGAGTGCCCCGTGCTGTGTTGAACAAGATTCTTTCTTATCCAGCAGAGCCGCGTACATCTACAAGAAAGCTCACCGCGCCTGATTTGACAGGTGGAGCCCAAAAAGGTAATCACAATTTGCCACTGCGTCGCGAGACACATACACACTCTATCATCGACGATGTCAAGGAGCTTCTCGCGGAGCAGATAGGCATCTCCGCCAAAGATTTGACAGACAAAAGTGGCTTTCAGGAGCTAGGAGTGGATTCTCTTTTGTCGATGACAATCCTAGCACAGATTCATGAAGTGCTTCATATCCAGTTACCAGCATCTACTTTTACAGATTTTTCGACATTCGGGAGCCTGAAACAGTACATACTGAAAAATCTACCAGACCAGTCAGATGGTTCTGCCACTCCTGTGTCAGAAAGCAGCGAATCAGTGGTTTCCTCTACGTCGAGCAGGTCGCAAAGTCTTCCCAGCACCCCGCCCGATTCCCGCCTCACGGAAGTATACTCGATCATCGCAGATGAGATGGGTCTAGATATGGAAGAGCTTTTAGCTGCAGAGAGCCTATCATCACTTGGCCTTGATTCTATGATGGCAATTACTATTACTGGAGCGTTGAACGAGAGAATTGGAATCGAGGTTCCTTCCGGAATCTTTGATTCGTCTTCAGCCAAGGACCTTCACAGCTCCTTGAATGATCTGTTTGGATCTCCAAGATTTGACCCACAGAGAGATATCCAGAACGCTCAGCAGAGAGTGACTCCGCGTCGGTCGCTTCCAGCCTCTATGACCCTTCAGGGCGATAGCCACTCAACAAGTAAGACACTTTTCCTATTTCCCGACGGAAGCGGTCTTGCCACATCATACGCTAAGCTCCCTCGGATCTCAAAGGAACTCCAAGTCATCGGGCTGAATAGTTGCTTGCTTGGCGAGAAGAGCGCAATTCCAAGAGATATTTCTTTGATCGCTTCCAAAATGGTTGAAACTGTCCGACAAATCCAACCCAGTGGCCCTTATCTCTTGGCTGGATGGTCGGCGGGTGGCATGTACTCATTTGAAGCAGCTCGCCAGCTCTTAGAGGCCGGAGAGAGTGTAGCTTCATTGATACTCATTGACTCACCCTGCCGCTTACGCTTTGGACCAATGCCTCCTCAGCTTCTTCATCTTTTGTCAGATGGTTTGACTCTGAGAAGTGAGGTCCGACAGAATTTTCTAGACACAATAGCCGCAGTCGATGGATATACTCCACATCCACTCAAGAAAAATTCACTGATGCGAGTAACAATCATATGGGCAGAGGATGGTCTTGAGAAGACAATGGAGCTACAACCGGGGCCTATTGACCTGAACTACAATGATGCCATAGTCGAGTGGCTTCTCCGACGGGCTGGTCCTCTAGATGCAATGGGCTGGGACAAGCTTCTGCCTGATTGTTCTTTGGAGATCAGGACAACCAACGGGAATCACTTCAGCATGGTTCAGACTCCCAATGTAAGTGACTCCCCAATACCTTTAATCGGACTCCAATTTACTAACTTGGTGAAGGCAAAATCGCTCAGTGATGCCATATCGGGCGCATTAGAACTTTCCTAGATACTTTTTCACAGACATATTACTTTAGAGATATTTAGACTAAACTTTTGATGTTGATTGATAGATATCAATAGATTATATTACTTCTACTAGTGGTCCTGATTCAAATTTACAAAATAGAGACCAAGTAAGTCTCAGAAGCATAGCATTGAGACGAGAGAAATGTATCAGACCAGATGAATAACTTGAACTACAGGTCATATAGTTTGAGGCCTTCACCATGCTCTATAAGCCTCACTCCGTTTTCCAAACAGGTCTACACAATGAATAGGCACATGTGCACGCTTCGAGATGAATATAATTAGAAGCGTAGATTTCGTAAGAAGAGGATGATGCCAGATATTCAAAAGGTATCATGTCATGTGCATATCCCACGCACAAATATATGATCCATTCCGACCACCTGCACATGTGGGCAGTTGGCTATCCCGCAAGAGCCGGTTGACAAAATTGATACCAACATTTGAACGCTTTCCAGTAATCAACGACAATAGGATCCAAGTTTCATGAGCCTGGTGTGGGGCTTCGGCGAGTTTTCTTTTAATATCAAACCAGCAGATGCTGCACCGTTTTTAAAGTCGCCACTCGCACAATTTTTCAAATATACTGATTGCACCTCAAATGACTGTCAACATGCCTCTCAAGATCATCATTGTTGGTGCAGGTATTGGAGGACTAAGCGCGGCCACGGCCCTTCGTCAAGCCGGACACCAGGTCGAAGTAAGTAGTAGTAAATTTCCTTGCATAATTTAACTAATCTGACAGCACTAGGTTTTTGAGAAGTCCAAATTTCTTAGCGAGGTCGGTGCTGCGCTTACCGTCGCACCAAATGGTGTGAGAATTCTATCTTCGCTCGGATTTTCGTTTGAGAACGCCCGCAGCCAGCCAAAATCTTGTTTCGAGCTTCGCGATGGAAGAAGCTTTGAAATTATTTCTAGCGTCATTACTGCGCCAGCAGAAAGAACTTTCGGGGCTCCGCTGTACACAATGCAGCGAGCAGACCTCCACGAGGAACTCTTTCGAATTGCTACCAGTTCATTTCCAGGGCTTCAGGATATTTCTTTACACCTAGGTACCAAAGTCTGTTCTGTCGATCCTTTTGCAGGGACTGTACAACTGGAAGACGGATCTTTCCATATCGCAGATATTGTCATTGGCGCTGATGGTCTTCATTCCATTTTGAAACCAGCAGTGCTGAACATGCAACCTGACGTGCCAGTTTCTACCGACTTGACGGCGTTCAGGTTTCAACTCCCCACAGATGCATTATCTAATGACCCTGACTTTCGCGATTTGATTTTAAAGAAAGGAGATGGTCCATCTATTATGGCGGATGTTTCGGATGATACTACACTGGAGCATATAGTGTGGTATGACTGTCAAAAGTATGTCATTCTGATTAATCGTCACTCCCGTCAATCGCTAATCTCATGAAGTGGTGAAGTGCAGAACTTCGTTGGAATGATCCAGAATGATCTCCAGCCCGTCGATAAAGGTAAACGCTCAACAACGAGGTCTCTGTACTGCATTATTGGATGTTGACAGAATATTAGACCCACTGGACTCCCTTCTTTTCAAATTCGATCACTTTCATCCAGGTCTGATGCGCGTGATAAGGTATGGCTTCCTTCGGACTCTCCTCTTTCCAGAGTTAATCTGAACCGTTACTGTTAGCAAAGCCCCTACGGTAACCAAATGGCCCCTGAAGACTTTTCGACCACTACGCCATTGGTCTCGGGGAAAGCTTCTGCTGATTGGAGATGCTGCACATCCAGTACGTTTGGCCCTCGCTCGATGATCTATAGCCGCCGACACTGACGCATAGTTAGATGTTACCATTCAGTGGGCAAGGTGCCAATCAAGCCATTGAAGACGCTGGGGCACTTCGCATACTTTTCGACCATCTCGACTCTCCAGATGAAATCCCAGCTATTCTGTCATTGTTTGAAAATCTACGCAGGCTTCGTGTTTCTCGAATTCAGACTTTGTCAAGTATGAGAATCGGGAAAGAAGGGCAGATACAAGAAGAACTGCAAAAATATGCAGACTATCCGGTCGCCGGTAAGTTCAACTCTGATAACATTCTTCTTATATCTGAAGCTAAGACCTCTCCCATCTCTTAGATGTTCCAAAGACTTTCCCTGAGCGCCTTGCACATGACTTCAGGTGAGATTTTTAGTGACCCCATGATTGGAGATGTATCGCTGATAATATTCCTGAACCCTAGTTATGATATACTGGAAATCACCCGCGCCAAGCTTCGCGAGTATAAGATCGACCGCAAGGTCAAAGATACTCCGTCCCTGGGTCTTCACTTCTAAGTCTCTGGCACATCTCTGACCGCTGCTTGATAATACAAGAACATTCGAGCTATGGATGGGTTGAGCGGGTGGACTTCTTTGCGTCTCAAAAGGCTTAGACACTACGGCTCTCTCCAAGGTCGTTGGACAAATTTTAAATCCGCTTCCAAGATTCTCTTTTTACTGGTACTACATGGAGAAGTTACATTTCTACAGTCAGCTATCATTTTTCAACCCTGATTTTTCTTTGGGGGAAGAATTTCGAAATAAAGTCGAATTAATCTTCATATTCTTTTAATTTGAATCGATCTTGAACCAGGATCTGCAAATTGATTTCTCAAGGATTTACAATCACATGTGAGCTGGTTTTACACATAGAGAAGTCCAAAGGATCAGTAATCAAAAACTCCAAGTCTCTGTCTTCAGGTGAGACTTGAAATTCAAATTTCAGAGCCCTGAAGTATAAAGTGGAACTGGGCTTTAGACCTCTTTTTGGGTTACAGTGGTTTTACGAGTTTCCTCATCGGCAGAATACTCAGAGATCACAGATTTACCAATAGACTATATCTTTCTCTTATTTATTGCATCTAAACATGAATATATCCCGCTTTATTTAGCTATGTCTTACTTCTACTTTAGATATCACCATGTAGGGCTGCTACTTGCCTACATCTACCTAACTATATTGTAGCTAGCCTTCCCCTCCAGGTATTCATATAGGTAACCATCCATGTAGGTGACCAGGTAGGTACTTATCTACAAAGAGGTATCAGTCATTAGTCATTTGTTGATGCTACTGACTCGGACTAAGCCCTGTACTTAAGTATGTGAACATACCGATCTGAGAGGATGTGGACACATCTAGCCAAGCACTCGCGTGCTGAGGACATACCTCTCCCAATTTCAAATGCTCGCTGCTTCACTGCCCAGGTAGCAGTGCCGCGCAAAGCGCAGCGTGAGGACTTGTAGCTCAGCTACCAGGTGGGGAGCATAAACCTCCCTGAGACAAATGACGTTTCAATTGAGTTGATTCAGTTCCGACCATTTCGCTAAAACTCGGGATGTTTTCTTACGAAATTCAAACGAATTTACTAATCCAGACTATATTGCAACAAAAGTCCTTAAGGCAGCTTATCTAACATCATGATCGCCAGGCCGTAGACGTATCCCCGGTGCATTGTGGTCCGTGGATAGTCGCCGGGGCTCCCCACCTGGGAGCTTTGCGATATTCTCGCCGATTAATACTTATCAAATCGCCGATATTGCTGATTTCAAGCAACTTGGACTATTAATGGCAGAACGGATGAAAATTACAGATGGATTGAGATATCGTGTATGCTGTATTAACCTCTAGCTAATGACAAACTGGAACTTACTGATTTTAAAGACCAGTTAACCCACGACAGATCAGATTTCCACCTTAGACGACTTGAGACAAGATAACATTTGAACAAAGATGGCACACACAACATTGGAGTCGTTGGCATCCACAATCTATGCGAATGCTACAGAGCTCAGCAATATCGCAAAGGAAAATGGCATCAATCCGAGCCTTGACGACCCTGTCAAGTCAGATCTATCCAGCGTAGCACCTTTGGCTATACGTAATGAGCTCATTCAGGCTGCGAAAGATTTGATTCATCTAGCGATGGGTCCTGCAGACCATGTTCTCAGTCTAGCATGGTCGGTGAGTTCAAGTTAGAGAATTGATATTCAGACAGAGGATGACTGCTAACTCAACTACTGCAAGGGTACCGATGCAGCAAACCTTGACCTTTTGACACGTTTTGAAGTTCCGCAACATGTCCCAATCAATTCAACTATCTCTTTTCCTGAGCTGTCCAAGGTCACCGGACTCCCAGAGGATGTCTTGACTCGAGGTGTGCGTTATGGCATCGCCAATGGACTCTTTCGCGAAGCCACTCCCGGTAACATCGCCCATTCTGCTGCTTCTGCGGCGTTGTCCAATAATCTTCACTTAAGAAACATCGTCCATTTTGGTACCGAGTTTCTCCAAAACATATTGATGAAGATCCCCGAAACAATGATTATGCAGACGGACGAAACAACTGACAAGGTGCCCGAGACTGCATTCAATCTTGCTTATCGAACGGATGAGAACTTGTTCCAATATTTTGCCCACTCAACTGAGCTCAATAGGAAATACCATGAATATCTCATGGGTCGTGTCAACACGCCCCTGTGGTCGACTGATAAACTGGGTGCTGCTTGGGACTGGGCCAGCCTGGGATCAAAAACGATTATCGATGTAAGTGAAATCAGTTTAGGTGCGATTTTCGAGTTACGGAGTGACTTACAATACCAGGTTGGTGGTTCATCTGGTCATACTGTCCTGGCTATTGCGCCGTTGGCACCAAATGCGCAATTCATAATTCAAGATAACAACACGGATGCCTTAGATATGGGCCGGAAACTCGTGCTGCGTTCGCCAGACTTGAATATGCGGTCGCGAATCACTTTCGAGCAGCACAACTTCTTTGAGGAACAGCCAGTCATTGCGGACGGTTATATCTTCCGACACATTCTCCACGACTGGAATGACTCCGATTCGGTCGCTATTCTCAAGGCTCTTGTCCCTGCACTGAGACCTGGGGCAAAGGTATACATCAGTGAAGGACTTCTTCCAGATCCGCCAGCGAAGAGAATCAATGCCTTGACGAACAAGATGATATTGTACGTCTCTCCCTTGATTTCAGTTTGATAGAGCGTTTGATGTCTAACAAATGAACAGAATCGAAGATCAGTTTATGCTTGCTGCTCACGATGCCAAGGAGAGAACTTTGGGTGATTTCGTTCGGCTCTTTGAGCAGGCTAGTCCGAGATTCCTTCTGAAAGGAGTCACTTCTGGGGCTGATGCTGGCTCGTTTAACTCACTGCTAGAGTTTGAGTTCCAGTAAGCAACTCCAAGTTTAAGTTGAATTGACTAGAACCTTGGAACATTCCATTTGATCCTCAATGTTTGGTTTAGAATAGAGGACTGTCTCTTAGAGACATCTGGATACTAGTATGATAAATGAACTTGAAGTTGAAGTTTCATAACTTGAGTTTGTTGGTGCCAGTGGATAGACCAGTTGACCCATACTACTTCAAAAGGTAGAGTGGATCTTCACTATTTAGTTGTCAGTAATCAGCACTTGAGTAGTATATCTAAAGTAAATGTTGGGTAGTAAATACTAGTATTACTAGTTGAAGCTTTTGAAACTTTGGAATCCAAGCCCTACTAGTACCAGTGCCACTGGCAGTGGATAGTGAGGCTTAAAACGCTCGGAGAACTGGGAATATATACTAGTACTCACTAGCAATAGTAGTGATCACCGACTACAACTGCTAGGCAGTAAATTGTCTATCAGTGAGAGCCTAGTAGTAAAGAGATAAAGTTGGATAGTATGGGATTAATAAGAGATATTTCCAACTCAACTTCTGAGAATCAAGACATTTAAAATGTTCTTAGATTTGAATGTTTATGTGGCAAAGGCCATCCGGTTAGAAAGCCTCCAGGGCTGAAACCAGCTGGCATCATGAGCTCCGTCTCCCCGCAGGAACAACATAGAAACCTCCAAGTGTTCCCATCCTAAACCCTTTGAGTCGGAAACACGTATGGATATCATTAGCGTTTCCACTTGAGCATTTGTTGATAGTAAGTATCCATTCATTGAGTTACAACTTCAAATGTTCCCAGTTTCATCACACAGACCTCGACTGACTGAATCCCCGTCAGCTTATTCTTACTCGATTCCTACTGCAAGGCTGGGTAACCCTCACACGGTACTCCATACCCAGTATCTAAATCATCCACCCTGGCGCCAAAATCCCGATTCCGCTGGCCAGTCCCCCGCGTTAGACAGCTTCTCTCCCGACGCCCACCTCTCTCCGGACTGCTGTCCAGCCGCCCGCTCTTTCATCGCGACTCCAAACCAAGTCCCATCTCAGCCTTCCTACGTATCCTTGTCGGGCCTTTCAGAACCCGTGTCACACAGAATCGCCTCTGGAATCTCCGTCACGAGACCCTCCCCCGCACTCCGACACCGAGCCCAGTCGCGTATCTACCGTGCGATCGTCCGACGTCAAGCCCGGCGTGCAGCGCGCTATCGCAGACTCGGCGGGGGCTTCGTCGCCAACCTCCTTGGGCCTCGGCGACGGTTGCGGGGCGGGAGAGCTGGAAGTGGTGTATTTGCGCGATCTGGCTTCCTCGCGAGACGCGTGAGAGCGATTCGTGGGCCTGACGGGCCGAAGGATGCTGTGAGAGCCCCAATGGCGTCCTCTACATGGAGTGGTGATGGCTCATATGCCTCTGGGAGTCGGCGTAAGAAGGCTTACGAGTGGTTCAAGGCCGCGAATGAGTTGGGTCAAGCTTACACGTCGCGGTGGACGGGCCAACGGGCTGATTCCCAGGAGGATTATTACCATACACCTGGTGCCTTTCCAGACGTGGAGATTGCGCGATCGGGCGATGAGGAAATGGTGCTGTTTCCTAGCTACGCGAGGAGATTGACGCCGAAAAAGAGGAACGATGAGAGTTTGCGCCCGCGGCGTGATTCTTGGTCAGAGACTATTGATGACTATCGTGGTGCCTCCCAGGACGAGAAAACTGGGTCTCGTTGGAATGAGTCCGAGATCGAGAATGCGGTTGTGGACGTTGATGTACGAGGATGGATGTATGCGCCGAATAGAGGACCGATGAACAGAAAGCATCGCCTCATGATCAAGCTGGCGAGGACCTTGAGCGGGATTCCCGCCCCATCTGGCGTTGCAAACGAGGATGGACCGTCTGATAGGATATCCGGCAAGGGCGAGGACGAGGATGTGAACAACCAAATGCAAACATTGGTTGATACAGCAGAGAAGGATGCAGACCAAGCCTGGAAGAGCTCCAACGCTGATTCTCCCCGAGTAGCATCCGGTCCGTCTGCGCCGATGACGAAGGACGAAGTCACGATAGCCAATGCGCATCTCATGGAGCGATTGCGTCCGTTCTTGACTAACCCCATGGCTGGTATGCCTGTCACCGTCTTCTTTTTCAATGACGAACAGAGTGAATCTCGGAACATGATGACGGATGAGTCCGGTCATTTCAGTATTCGTGCCCCCATGACCTTCATCCCAACTCATATTCGAGTGCTTGCCTCGGAGGACCTCTCTGCCGCGAAGCCAATCGAGATTATTGAACCAGTTGGTATCAGCTTAATCAGTGATATTGACGATACTGTGAAGCATTCCGCTATTGCTAGCGGTGCGAAAGAGATGTTCCGGAATACATTTGTTCGAGAGCTAGCTGAGCTCAAAGTCGACGGAGTAAGCGAGTGGTACACGCAGGTGGCTAAGCGCGGCGTGGAGATGCACTACGTTTCTAATGCCCCATGGCAACTATATCCTTTGCTGGAGAGGTATTTTAAGTTGGCAGGATTGCCTCCTGGCTCATTTCATCTCAAGCAGTATAGTGGTATGCTCCAGGGAATATTCGAACCGACGGCCGAGAGAAAGCGAGCATCACTAGAGCAACTTATGCGCGATTTCCCTGATCGCAAATTCATCTTGGTTGGTGACAGTGGCGAAGCTGACCTGGAGGTTTACACCGATATCGCCCTGGCAAACTCTGGTCGCATCCTGGGCATTTTCATTCGAGATGTTACGACCCCAGAAAAGCAGCCTTTCTTTCAGCAATCTGCTGGATACCTCGAACCTGGATCCGCTCGTAGTCGCAGCACCCCTCAATTAGTGGACCACTCGGATTCTCAATCGAACAGACCTGCATTGCCACCTCGTCGACCCCGAGAGGTACCTACACCAACGGAGAATGAAACAAAGACCATCCCAGTTGGAGATTTGATTGATCTACGAGATGACGATACTCCAGAGACGACTAAGCCAAGTCCAGCATTGAAGTCACGGGTCCCTCCAACCAAGCCGACCAAGCCATCCTCTCTAAGGACAACGACAGGGCCCGCTGATAAGAGCCAGCCCTCTCAAGAACCCATCCGTCGCAAACCAGCACCTCCCTTGCCACCGCGGCGGATCGCGACATTCCAAACAGATTCCCGGGATCTAGATGGACTATCGCCTCTGTCTCGCACCCAAACTGAGCCACTGATGGAAGATCAGAAGTCATCACGTTCCAGAGCACCACCTCCTCTTCCACCACCCCGGCGCTCAAATACTGCTTCATCAAACCTCAGCTCAGGCTCTAGTACACCGACACCTCGCCCTGGGGCACCAGCAAACAAGCCATCATACCCAGTGTCCGCTGCTCAGTCTGCCCTTTCATATGCGACGGAACGCCTGAACATCTCCTCATCACCAACAACGAGTTTGCGTCAATCTGCATCTAATCAGTCCCTCAGCCGTTCATCAACGATCAATAGCTATAATTCTGGCGACCCAGGAATGCCACCCGCCCCTCTCCCAAATAAGCGCGAAGAGCTATGGCGGCGTCGCTGGGAACGTTCCAGTGATATCTTAGAAAAACGTGGTGTCGTGTTAGCCAGTTGGCGTGTTGGAAGTGACGCACAGCCTGTTTGTGGATGGCTCATCGAAGAGGCTCTGAAGGAGATCAAGGTCAATGGTGCTGGACGCCGAACATAGATGGTTAAATTTGCTTTAGCTTGACCCTGGCTGTACATAACGCTAGATTATGAACCTATCCATATTAGCATAAACCTACTTCTACAAACATATCAGTTTCAAGTTCTACACCGTGAAGACCATTGACAACATTATGATAGATATTAAATCTAATCACTAAATTTTTCTCATTGCATAATAGTTAACTTCATTCATTTCTTTTTCCCATTATACTATGAACAATCACATGCGCAAGTGCATGTGCCTGTGCCCAGGTGGATCATGCCCACGAGTACTGTATGTGCTTAGATGCAATCTACCAATTAATATTCCGCCAACTCCGATTTGCGAAGAAATGTCGACCAGTTCTAACACTCGGACTTCATTTACTAGAATAATAAATTCCAATTGAAACTAAGACATTGATCAGCAGTAATCATGCCATAAATGAAGATAACCAGATTACATCACCAATCCTCGGGCCTCGGCTGAAAATCACCACGCGTGTGATTGGCGTTTCAGGAATCTGGGGTATTCACCACCTCGCACTCCTTCTCTCTTTCTAACCACCTCATTCACCCAACTAATCACTATGCCTTCCGAAATCCTCACCCGAGCTGAGGTTGCCAAACACAACACCGAAGACTCCCTTTGGTGCATCATCGACCACCGAGTATATGATCTGACCGATTTCCTTGACGCTCACCCAGGTGGGTCCGTGGTCCTGAACCAGGTGGCCGGACAAGACGCCACAGCCGATTTCTACAACCTTCACCGACAGGAGGTTCTAGAGAAATATCGAGACCAGCTGTGCATTGGAACGATCGAGGGTGAGAAACCTGAAGTTATTGAGCCTAAGATTGGAGCTTTGAGTCCTGTGCCATATGCGGAACCACTTTGGTTGCGCCCCGAGTTTAAGAGTCCGTATTTCAAGGATAGTCACCGTCGATTGCAGCAGGCTCTGCGCGATTTCACGGATAAATATGCTACACCTGAAGCCCAACAGAAGGAGAGCGATGGTACCTATATCAGTCAGGAGTTGATTGATCGTATGGCTGAAACTAATATTTTGGCTATGCGTCTTGGTCCTGGAAAGCATCTTCATGGTCGGAAACTCATGGGTGGAGTTGTTGATGGAAAGGATTTTGATTATTTCCATGACATGATTGTCGCTCAGGAGGGCGTGCGCTCTAATGCCCGAGGTGAGTGGGTTCCTTTCCACTGAGATGAGGTGGATTGAGGATTTTAATGTTTGTTTAGGCTTTCAGGATGGCAATATGGCTGGTATGACTATTAGTCTTACAGCCGTGCAGCAGTGGCTCCGAGATCCTGTACTCAAAGAGCGAGTTACCGAAGAAGTCCTCTCCGGCAAGAAGAAGATGTGTCTTGCTATCACTGAGGCTTTTGCCGGTAGTGATGTTGCGGGTCTGAAGACGACCGCCGAGAAGACGCCAGATGGAAAGCACTACATTATTAATGGAACCAAGTCAGTCCCAAATTCCATTATCCATATTTTTGGCCTTTGCTAACTCTACTCAAGGAAGTGGATTACCAACGGCATGTTCGCAGACTATTTCGTGACCGGATGCAAGACAGAGAAGGGATTCACAGTCCTCTTGATCCCTCGTGACGACGGTGTTGAGACCAAGCAGATTAAGACCTCATACTCCACTGCAGCCGGTACTGCCTTCGTTCAGTTTGAGAATGTCAAAGTCCCAGTGACCAACATTCTTGGACAAGAACACAAAGGATTCGCTGTGATTATGTCAAACTTCAACCACGAACGGTTCTACATGTCATGTGCTGTGATCCGCTTTTCAAGAACGGTTGTAGAGGAGTGTCTCAAGTGGTGCAACCAACGTATCGTATTCGGAAAGAAATTAATCGAGCAACCTGTCATGCGTCAAAAGTGAGTTGATCTCCAAAATTTACACGTATTACACCAAACTAACCAACACTCTTTCCCTCAGGCTTGCACACATGATCTCACTCGTCGAATCACACCAGTCATGGCTCGAGACCATTGCCTACCAAATGTGTAATCTGAGCTATGCCGAGCAGGCAAAGCACCTGGCTGGACCAATCGGCCTGCTCAAGTCGAGCGCAACAAGAGCTGCCCATGACATCGCAGATCACTCTGTCAATATCTTTGGTGGACGTGGTCTGACACAATCAGGCATGGGTAAGGTCGTGGAAGGTTTCCACCGTGGATACAAGTTCGATGCTATTCTGGGTGGAACGGAGGAGATCCTTGCTGATTTGGGAGTTCGTCAAGCGGTAAAGAACTTCCCTAAGGCTATGCTGTAGATATCCTGGCAGATTACTTTGTTACAATACATGATCCCCTTGAAATTTGCGAAACAGTCCATTCATAGCAATTTTAGAAGGCCTCAATATTTGCGCTTTAGAGTCAGGTTTAAATCTGCTCTGCTTGAGCCTAGATGTATCGAGGTGCCGACTGAAATGGAATGCACTGGCATTTCCGCGTTTTGCTTCCGTGCGCAAATACCAACACATTGGACGCTCTTCTCCACATGTACATGATTGATCGGCAGCGTTGCATCAGGGTCCAGTCGACCTGGCGTAGCTGAGATCAACTTCCGTGCGGTTTTTGGATCAAACTGGGTTTGGTGGTGATTCCAATTGGACTGTTTATCCATTTTCTTCAAGGCTCCTGGCCCCCAGCCCCAACATCGGCCCCGACCCCGACCCCTGTGGAAACCATTAGATGCACATCATGTCCTAGAGAAGTTGCCACTGATATTGCAACCGTATGTGAGTGCGGGACTTTCAGGTTCAAAGTACTTGAGCGTAGGCTACTATGGGAATATCGGACTATATAAAGCGCCTGTCATGAACCTTTAAATTCGAACTCGAAAAAGCTCAAATCAATACATTGAACTTGGAATTCGCAGACCATCAGCCTCTACACACCTCCTACAACTTCCTTGTAACCTGCAAAATGAAGCTGTTCAGCCTTATCATTGTTGCATTTGTTGGCTCTACCTTCGCCATGCCTCAGGTTGAGGCTCGTGATCAGATGAGCGGTTTCTTGCAAAAGGTAAGGTTCAACCAGATCCAAAGAGTCTGTGAGTCGTGGACTTGCATTGACAAATTCGATCAAAACAGCGTTGTATTGCTCAGGGGTACGCCTGTGGTAGCACTGCTGAAGAGTGCTGTTCCGGTCTTACTTGCACTGCGGGTGGTTGCTACTAGACTGTACTCATGAGAGTCTCGCTTGCTGAGGTCTTTTCCTATCAGAAGCGAGCAATGTGAGGCATGGAAATATGGTTAGTTTCAGCTGTGACCTCATTGAGCTCTCTTTATGGTAGTCAAGACAGTAAGGAAGAATTCCTGCTGTGGTCTGTGATAGTCGGTTATTCTTCTCTGAAACATTCCTTATCATGTATAATGAAGGATTCGGGGACTCCGAAATTAGTCTACTTCACAATAAATCCACCAGTTAGATAATCTAATTACAACGCCTCGTAAGGCATCGTAGGGCAGCGATATGCGATAAGGCAATGCCAAGCTTTCGGAATATTGTTGACGCGTGGGGCTCAGCTTGTCGTCATCTTAGCTACCTCCAGGTTATTAACCACAATATTTAAACCCTTGTGTTTCTCCGATTACTCTCTTTCAAGTATTGCATCTACAACCACATCGGTCTACAAGAAATGTCGAGCGCAAATCCTTTGAGCCCGGACCATGTTCTGGAGCTCGCAGTCAAAGCTCTACGTGATGACCAACCGAGTCTCAAAACACCCTTTGAAGCCGTTGCTCTGATTGGCCATGCTTGCATGGCAGCGGTGGATTTCAGGCTGGTGGGACTCGGTGAAGATCATAACATAGGTACCTACCTTTTTTATGAACTATTACCGTTCAGAATAGCTAATGATAATTGTCAATAGAATCCTCTAAAGAAACGCCCACCCTGCCCGCGGAATGGAATACTAACTCTACCTTTGCCTTTCGATATGCCCACGAACAGTCTTCGATGCAATACCTATTGAAAGTGAGTCGACTTGGTAACAATGCCGTTGTGATGGCCCTAGCGCTGGGCGACGATCGTACCAGTTCATTCGATCTCCCCGTGAAAGACTATATCTCCGAGTCCGCGCTGCCGATACCATCAACGGAAGATCTTACAAGTGCTCTCCAAAACGTATTTATCTCGTCGGCCCGTCTAAATGACCTTATCGGACTCTTCAAAATCAATGTGATCCAGAAGCTCGCCCCAGGACTCTACAAGGAAGGCTACGAAGGTTCAAGTCGGGAGTTCCAGGAAGCACTCCGCCAACAGCCGGAGGACAGACCACGCCGAGATCCCCTGCGCGATGATCCGATGCCCCAACCTGCTCGTCCATACCCCTTCGATGATCCTCTGGCCGCTGCTCCCCGTCGCCCTGTTCCACCTGGTGACTTCGCTCCGCCGGGATTTGAGGATGAGTATGAAATCAACCGACCACCACGTGGAATGGCTCCCGGGTTCCCTGGTGGAAGAAGCCCCTATAACATCGGAGATCGAGACCTCTACCCTGCAGGAATGGGACCTCACGATCCACTTCGAGGACCCATGGGCCCTGGCTTTGGATCTGGTGGTGGTGGTATGCATCCCAACTTTGATGATCCCCTCTTTGGTGGTTCTGGTGGTGTTGGTGGGTATGATCCTCGTGCACCACCAGGAGCTAGATATGACCCTCCTGGACCAGGTGGCGCACCCTCTGGTCGTAATAGAGGCCCATTTGGTGGACCCGGTGGAGGATTTGACGGATTTGGCGGTGGATTTGGAGGTGGTGGTATTCTCTAAGTGCTAAGCATGCTTTGAATTCCTAGCCAGACCGGGAATATCCAGATATGAGCGGTCTTTGTTCTATTATGACCAGTAACGATAAATTGAAATGGCAATCAATGAAATATTTCTAAAAATGGAGCGGGATTCCATTATCTCCTTCAGCTCAATTAATTACAAAGACTGGATTTCTTTTGTCCATTGAATCTCGAGTAATACATATAGTGGATATAATTGCACCGCCTCATGTTCATGACGGGTGTAGTGAGAAGCGGTGTGGCTAACTGTGGCGCAAATATGAACTCCAAACTTGACCTTCCCGCATCTCTTCTCCCTTTCCTTGTTTCCAACCCCTCCAACCTCTTCCCCATCCCTCATCCCTTGAGTCGACCTTGGGGAACTTTTATGCTCTTTTTGAATTGACTCTTTTCGATTGTTGACTCACCTTTGACCCTGCCCACCGCCGACCGCCACTAGATCCTACCTTCTCACGAGACCGCCCCTCCCCCAGCTGGCCCCTCCTCCTATTCACGCCAGCTGTGCCCACCATGGATAATAACATGGAGATTGATACGGCGCGCTCGCCCGAGCCACACCACCTTTCACCTGTAACCGATTCTGGTTCCATACCGACTTTGGATGGGTGGATCGAGAGTTTGATGACATGCAAGCAATTAGCGGAAGAAGATGTCCGACGGCTGTGCGATCGGGTGGGTTTTATTACTATGAAAGTCTAATGGATCATAGTAAATTAATGATTTATGACTTTGCAGGCCAGAGAGGTATTGCAGGAGGAATCAAATGTTCAGCCAGTGGTACGTGTTAAAGCTTTTGCCTCCGGGCGGGCTCAGGTTGACCCCACCGCGAGCTATCCGCTGACCGTTACCATAGAAATGCCCCGTCACAGTGTGTGGTGATATTCACGGCCAGTTTCACGATCTAATGGAACTTTTCCGCATCGGCGGTCCCAATCCCGACACAAACTATCTTTTCATGGGTAAGTGATATATGGTGGATCATTCCGGGGATCGCGGTTCGATCCCATATTGACAACAAAAAAACAACATTCTAATACATAGGGTTTTACCCGCCCGTTTTATAGGTGACTACGTAGATCGAGGTTACTACTCCGTCGAGACCGTGACTCTGCTGGTCTGCTTGAAGATCCGTTACCCCCAGCGTATTACCATCCTCCGTGGAAACCACGAATCTCGCCAGATCACTCAGGTCTATGGCTTCTACGACGAGTGTCTCCGCAAATATGGCAATGCCAATGTGTGGAAATACTTCACCGACCTTTTCGATTACCTTCCCCTCACAGCTCTCATTGAAAACCAGATCTTCTGTCTGCACGGTGGGCTGAGCCCGTCCATTGATACCCTTGACAACATTCGATCTCTGGACCGTATTCAAGAAGTTCCGCATGAGGGACCTATGTGTGATCTTCTGTGGAGTGATCCAGATGATCGTTGCGGTTGGGGAATCTCGCCTCGCGGTGCGGGGTACACATTCGGACAAGACATTTCGGAAGCGTTCAACCACAACAACGGCTTGACTCTGGTTGCACGAGCTCACCAGCTGGTGATGGAAGGTTATAATTGGTCGCAGGATCGCAACGTGGTTACTATTTTCTCAGGTATGCTTTCGAAGATCGATGAAGGTTGATGGTGAAAGTGGCGGAAGCTGACTGTTCCTCTTAGCACCCAATTACTGTTACCGCTGTGGAAACCAGGCCGCCATTATGGAGATTGATGAGCATTTGAAGTACACATTGTGAGTTTTATTCCACCTCCGGGGCTCCTCTTGAGTGCTTATCAACTAATATTTTCCTTCTAGTCTACAATTTGACCCTTGCCCCCGAGCAGGCGAACCCATGGTATCGAGACGTACACCAGACTATTTCCTGTGATAGATCTCATTTTTTGTCCTTCAAAGGCATGCAGGGCTGGCAGAGAGAAGGAGCTGTATGCGAACAGGGCTCTCGCTGCCTTCTTAATTTTGTATGGTTTGATGCCTGGCCGTCTGTTGATACCAATCATGAAAATAAAAGACCCTTTGCGAGATTGACTCTTAATTATAAGCTCTAGGATATCAGCTCTATCCTTGAATCTGATGTATTTCTATTCAATTTTTGGAGACTCGGATTCGGAGTTTAAAAGGACCCTAGAAATTAACCAGGTTAATGCATGACGCATAATACTAATACTAATTCTAAGCCACGCAGTTGAATAAGACTTGTATAACTTTGCCTTTCCTACATGACACATTGCAGGGCTCTAGGCCTGTCGATGCTTACTGCGTAATCCATGTGAGGATTCCACGTGTATGTGACACTATGCTCAAACTTGATGATCTTGAAAGATGTCAGCACCTTAAAGGTACAATGCGAACCAGGTTGTATTAAAAAATATGAGATTCGTTATGACCTCAAATAAAAATTAATAGTACATTATGCACATGCAAGGTTGAGATTCGAAGACCCCATGATTCCATCACGATACGCTGAACGCCGAAAAAAAAAACAATCAATCAAGGTCATTCTTTATTCACGGCGACCTCATCACATCTGTTCAAGATTGAAACTGTTCAGAAGATTTCACAAACCAGGTCACATCTAGACCTGAGCCTCGGGGAAGGGTGCATCCTTCTCCTCCTTTCGCTCAATAGAGGCATTCTCCGAAACCCCATCCTTTTGTTCCACCCCAGTACCACGGTAGTGTCGAACCTTGGAGCTTCCATCAGGCACATAGAATCGCTGATCAACACGAGTAACGAGGAAGAAGATGACGACACAGATATCGATACCGAAATCGAAGACGTAGAAACAAGCCTTGGAATCATAGGCGGGCGGATCGGTAGCCAGGTGGGTAGGCAAGTAGTTTGTTGCAGCACGGAAGGAAGCACCGAGGCAGAGAAAGACACCAGCAGTAAGAACAATGGCACCCTTTGCAGCCCAAGAACCTGAACCAAAGGACTCAACCTGCTTTCCGTAGGAGAAGATCAAAACAAGTGCTGTGATGGGGAGTGGCAGGAAAGCGATAACAGCGAAGTAGGCGACACCGTACAGCTGAATCTTGTGGTCAATCTGCAGGATGCTCATATCCAGGGTGTAACTACCCTGAATAAGAACTGTGATCAACATGACCAGGGTGATAAGGACCACAGCGATCATTCCCTTGAAGAGCCATGATCCAATAGGTGACCATCCAACTTTTGGGAACGCAGCACGGAGCATGCGCTGGGCATATATAAGGTTGAGAATAAACAAAAGCAGAATACCGGCAGCGACAAAGACAGATGCAGCGATACCAACACTGACATTACTCGGGTAACAGGCCCAAACGATTCGCATGATATTGGCTACCACTCGGGACATACAGAAACCGAATGTCACAGCTGAAGGAATGAACTTATGCCCTCTCTTCTTGTTCATGATGTAAAGTCTCATATGTCCGGCACCGGCAAAGAGGAATAGAGCCAGGTAAACAGCATCAATAGGGACATCGAGACCCTTGGTTGGGTGTCCACCCAACGCGGCCACCTTTGAAGCGTATGGACCACCACCCATGGTGAGAGTGAATTATTATTGAGGATGATATGTATAAAAACTGAAGAGAAGGAATCTGAGTTCCCGAATCAGAGGGTGAGGAGATGTGAAGGTGTTGAGAGACAGATAGAAGTGACGAAATGAATTAATGAAGGTATATAGCGGATAATTTAGGGAAGCGTCTTTATGCGGTGAGATTTCATAGGGCAGAATAAAAGAAAATATGTATAATAAAAACCAGAAATGAAAAGAGAGAGAAGATTTTTGTTTTTTTTCTAAATTCGATATGCATTGATCTTGCATATATGTGAATATCAACTCCGTACATCTTTCCGTGTATACTACTGAGTCTAGTCCTTAATTGGTAAATCCGAAGCTAACGTGGAGCCCGATAAAGACCGATACCCGTCCAGGGGTCCAGTGGGATAATACTAAGTGGGTCAAAAGAACAGGAATTAGGGAATATAGATGCAGAAATGAAAATGAAAGAGGGGGGGATTCCCGTGATCGGTTTAAAATATATACAGGTTAATTGCACCTGCGGGCAGTCAATTGCAATCAATGGACGGTCGGGGTGTCGGTGCTTCGCTGTCCGATCTACAAATATCTCGGAGAGCGAAGCCCCGATTGGGCCGAACCCCGTATTTATAGATGTTTTGATCCTCAATGGATCAGACTTGATCAGACGAGCGTAGAGTAAAGAGTCAACAGGATTGTATTTCGCTCTCAATGCAAGTGAGCATGTCTCAGTTGAAAAGATAGAGGATCCAGTGTATAAATTCTGAATCCTGATTGAATCAAATGACCGGAAAGAAGGGGTAGATGGAGTACTCTCGGGATCTCCGTGACAAGGGAGTACTTATGAGCTATTTCCAAGGTTTCGTATCGTTAGTTTGTTTTGATCTCGATCAAAATAAAGAAATTCGTCATCGTCTGTATAAGGACGTCAGTCTATCTTTCCTCTCTGATTCTGACTGGTGGAATTTAGAATTGTGTGACCAGGTTGACTAGTCCTGAAAGTCCATGGTCGACATCAGAACCTCATCACCCTAGAGGTAAACCAGGATTGAAAGGGGCAAATGGACGAGTGTCCACGGGGGCTGAATAAAGGAGAAAATTGGTTCAGTTGAGGGGCTGGGCTGCAGGCATGTACGGAGTAGGCCGTAGGTAGTACCACTAACTAAGTAGTCCATGCATGCATCACTAGTTCGTTATTTAGTTACTTAAATAATGCCACTGCATCTGACTAATAATTTTAAAACTAAACAAAGAAAAAAACAATAGTTCGTGGCTGATCATAAATTCATGTATGAAATGCTTATCTTGAATACTCCAGGGTTGCATTCATAATACTCCTTGAGGAATATAGGACAGGTTTCAATTCTTCGCCCTGGCCAGAATCTCCTCAACCTCCTTGGCATGCTTGGAAAAGTTGTCCACTAAGCTATCCCACATTTTAGGTTCATGCTCGTGCTTTTTAGCACTCTTCCATGCATAGTCAGTAATTGTAAACGGTCGGCTAGACTCAAACATGATGGCAATTGACGCCTCCGAGATCTGCATGACAGGAGGCTGGTTGTCGCTAGCTGCCTTGAACTCTTCATACGCCACCCCGTGAGGGACCATGCCGCATTCAAATGATACACTGCCTGGTTTGAATGCATCCGATCGGCCCCCATAATCGCCATAGATCAGGCCCATTAATTCGGACGCCACATTCCGATGATAATATGGTGGCCGGTATGTATCTGTGATAAAATTAGAAAAATTAACATCGCGAGCCTTGTTTCATCGAAGGGTTAAATTGTGGTGCTTACGGGATGCAACATCCCATCTAGGGGAGAAAGTAAGGAAATCGGCTAATGGTGCTGTGAGATCGCGAGACTTGGCAGTAAGCACACAGAAAATCGATGGATCAATGTGATCGACGGAGATTGAGCCAACGTTGACAAATTTCGTCAGATCGTATTTGTACGGAACCTGGATGACGTCTTAGCATATACCTATTGGGGAGTTATGGTGGTCCAGGATCAAATTATGAACACTTACATAGTTTCCATGCCAAGCAACCACATCGAATGGATTATGATTCTGGGTACTTTTGAAGAACTTTCCACCAAGCTTATACACAATCTCCCAGGGCTCTTGGGCGATTTCGTAATGAGCAACGGGACTCAGGAAGTCCCTCGCATTAGCCAATCCGTTGGCACCCAAGGGTCCCAACTCCGGAAGCTCAAAGCAGGTTCCCCAAACTTCTAGGATGTAACCACGCGAGGGGCCATCTGGAAGTTCCACGCGGAATCGAAGACCACGTTGGATGACCACGAGTTCACCTGGCTGGACATAGATCTTACCGAATTCAGTCTGAATATCCAGGGCACCTTGTTGAGGAACAATCAGGAATTCGCCATCTGAGTTCACGAATGCTTTCTTTGTCATGTTGGTGTTGGCGACATAGACGTGGGTTGCAAGACCCTCTCGTAGTGTAGGATCTCCCGAGCCGGCAACAGTCTTTAAACCGGAGATGAAGTCCACATCAACACTTTCAGGGATGTCAAAGGGGTGCCATGCTAGCTGTGTGGGCGAAACATGAATGCGAGGGTTAAGGGGAAGGAAGTTGGACTCGGTGTCTTCGTTGTCTGGCAACTCAGTCTATGTGAATATATTAGTATAATTCAAAAAGTATTATAGTAAGTGCAGCACATACAAAGCCCTGGTGCGCGACTGCAGGGCGGGCGCGGTAAAGCCATGCTTTCTTATTTGCGTGTCGTGGGGCCACGAAAGCAGTAGCAGTAACCTGCTCAGCGTAGAGACCGAATCGAACGTTGCGAGGACTGTTCTGGCCGTGTGGAATGGTGCCAGGAACTGCCTCAGACTCGAATCTGGGCTACATCAGCCAGTTGAATCGCTAGATGCAGGAGATTGATACATACGTGTTGCCAAAACCAGCTTGGTACTATAGATTGAGTTAGTCTTATTGATTTTCAATTGAACCGTTCATAGCATCTAACATGGAATCACCCACCTGATAAGGGTCATTGTGTCTTGTGCGGAATGATGGAATCGTCCCGTTCTTCTGTGTCTCCGCCCAATGGAATATCTTTTGATAATCCTGGGGATCCGAGTGCCCGTTTGTATAAGGCATTGTCTATAGGGAAATAGGTATAGCTCAAAGAGATGAGAGGAGAAGAAAATGTTGAATAGTCTTTCGCGATAGCTATTTACACTTGGGAGACACTGCTTCTATATACTTCGAAGAACAGCTCCATCGCTTGTGGGGTCACGTCCGAGTCCTTCGGATATAGACTTTGGAAAGACAGGAATTACGAGTCCATATCCGTGGAGAACTGAGACTCGGACGGGTAGAATATGGGGACATCGTCATCTAGATGGAGTTTCAGTTGAGCCAAGGGGTGCATCGCCTCGGACAACCTCAAAACACCATATAAATGAATAGAGGTCGGCAGGTCGTAAGAGGGTCGCTTTGCCGGCCTCCCCGGATAGTGGATCGCGATTCGTGCACAGGGCCAGTGGGGAAGCCGAATCCAGGCTTAAATTCGAGGGCGATTGGATTCGCGGGAATGACCCCACATGAGTCAGGTCTGAGTAACGGTGGAGGCGGTGATACGCGTGGAGAGGACAGGTTTTCATAGCTCTATGAAATTGAGGCTGGAGTTTCTGCTCAGGTGGTTTGATTCTGTGGGTCGCGTGCTTGGGAGAACGGGAATGAAGTTATTGCGCAACTGCCGAACACTCTATGAAATAGACGGTGAATACATAGGACGGGAGACCGTGGCAAGGTTTTGGTAATTGATTCAGCTCCTCTTTAGATAGAGTGAATTATAATCGGATAAGTGTGCCGATCGGAATTTGAACACGAAGTGGACTGGTTTTTGTCTCTATGTATCTAATCTAGTTCAGAAGACTGATCCGGCCAGCTGTAAGAGCTGCCAGGATAGGCATGTATACGTCAATCCCAGCTTCCTGGAGCACTTTGCAGTGCTCGACACGTCGACGAGCTGCGAATTGCTGTTCATCGATTTCCTTGCATTCTCCTACAGGCCCATAAGCGAACCGCTTATCCTTTGACCAGGGTGCCTGGCCAGACACGAAATTCATCCACCGCTGTTGCATTTCTCGAGCCACGAACTTTGCAGCTTGATTAAAATCCAGGTCAATGCCCTCAAAGAGGAAGAGTAAGTCCACTGCATGGTGTGCTCGACTGGATGCTTGCCACGGGTTAGGCTGGTCGACAACATAATTGTAGACAAGCTTATTAGCAGCTCTAAGCTTTCGTGAGACTACCTCAACGGGGAGAGTGTATCGTGCGTCATTGACAATGTCCAACGCACCCAGCTTGGCTGCAGTCGGTCGATCCGCTGTCACTTGATACATTTTTCGCAGTTTAGATCCCCATTGTTGGTTCTGGTTGAACGCAGCAGCGATGGTATCGCCATCTAAGAGCTCAGCTCCGTTACGCCAAATCACGGACTAAAAATTGTTAGTATAGTATAGGTCTTAGAAGATCAGGGATGATCACCTCATATTCTGTATCACCTATCATCAGCTCGTCAACTTGTTCTGGTTTGTTGTCCCAACTGTCGAGTTCAGCCTCTTCCTGAATCCACATTGTGTTCACATTGCATTTCTTCAATGCCTGGAGCAAGACGGCAACAGGGGCAGTTCGCAGTGATGCCTGGGAAATCTGCTCAACCTTAGCTTCTAAAATCTTGATCAACCCATCTCCCTTTTCCACAGGCAGTGGAGAGGACAGGTACAAGGATCCAGATGCTAGGATGCCACGTTTGACCGGAGGCCCAGTAATCAGATGCGCATGCGTGTAGACTGCCCCGGCACTCTCTCCAGCAAGTGTTATATTTTGCTATGAAGTGTCAATAAAAAGCCAAGATAATATAGTGATGAAGACGTACGGGATCGCCTCCGAAAGACGCAATGTGCTTGCGAACCCAATCGATACCAATCCGCTGATCTTTCAAAGCAAGATTCTTTTCTTTGCCATCACCAAAACTGAATATATTCAACCGATAATTGATTGACACAAAGATAAAAGGCTTCCCGGCTTGGATAGAGTCCGCAACAAGCTTTGTGGGATCTGGGATCAACTATATTAGAATTTGTTGAAACCATGGACGTTTTCTCAACATTACCACAAATTTTGGAGGCTGCAGAACAGAAAGTCACTATTTGAGAACCGCCTTAAGTAAAGTCAGTGCTGTCTATCAAATGAATGAATAATGACATACCATGAATCCAGACAAGAACAGGCAGAGGTTCAGAAGTAGAGGAGATGGGCGGGGAGGTAATTTCAAGATTCAAGCACTCGAATTCATCCTCTGCCTCTGGTGCAATTGTAAAGTCCTCTGGAATCCTAAGAAGGTGGCGAACATCCACATCAACTTGAGGACAACGAGGACTATTTAAATATTAGGATCAAGTACCCAATTTTCATCTCCGGTGTATACTGGTTGAATTTTCAACATACCCATATTTCGAAGCATCTATAACATCTCCCTCAAATTGTTCCACCGGCTCGGCTTTCTCAAACCGTGATGGTATACTCGCATACTTGATTCCAAGGAATTGATGAACTGTCGAACTTCTATCATTTCGTTCAATTCCCTTGAAGGTAGCATTCAGCGCAGCGTGGTGAACTTCCGGAGACGTCATTGTGATGGTGGTAAATGAAGGTAAACGTACTCATCCAACAGCAAGAATTGAAGTTGGATGTATGCTCGGCTAATGATGAATCTTTCAACTCCCGAGGATATCCACCTTAGATTCCCAGACTTGGAAGATCCATCTCTCAGTGCGTGGGGCTCTTGCGGGGGAACCCACCGTGTGGGGGTTCGAACATTGAAGGCGTTGAGTTTGTCAGGATTTCGGCTCAAAGGATCGGATATAAAAGGTTGGGGAATAAGAGTTAGTAGCATGACAAAGGTCTCCGTCATCTGAAAATCGTCATAGTTGCAAGAAACGTTTAAGTGCTTGTTCAAATAGATTCATGTGGTCCACATGCCAGTGTGCATGTGCATGATGGATGCGCCGAGGCCTGAATTATTAGGTACAAAGGCACTAATTCCTCCCCGAGGCAAACAGGTCACCATTCAAGTTGCTCGCATTTCATCGTATTCATTATGCAGCTAATCTTTTCAAATATTTGCAGATGGGCGATGTTCTATACATTATATACAGAGAAGAGATTTTATGTATGTGGTCACTAATGGCCGTGGGTGCTCATCAGCCGATTCAGCCCTGAGGCCCAATTTACCTCCTTGATCGCATTTACCGCAGTCCAATCACTCAGGCTCCGGACCAGACTGCTCAATGCTAGCAGGAGGGGTTCTCAAAATCCAGCCACCTAGAAAGAGTAGGATTGGGATGGCGGAGACCGCGGTTATCAAGCCCATTGACCAACCCATAGTACCCCAACCAGCACTTTGGCGAATGAATCCGGCGAAGAAAGGACCGACCAGACTGCCTGTCGCAAAACCCATGTTCGAGAGGCCGAATGCTAAAGCCATTGCGCCTCCACGACCAAAGCTATCAGGAGACTCGTCTTCCTTCTCTTTGACAGCATGGAACACCTCTGTAACCAGAGGAGTCATGGAAACAGCAACGCACAGGCCAATCATGGCGAGCAACGCACAAAGAACAATCTTATCATGCATGGAATCATTTTTCACGAGCCTCAAGAGTATGGTCAGAGGAAGAGCGCAGATAAACGCGCCTGATACTAGGTATCGGGGAGACTTTGGGTACTGATCGATGATGATACCAGTAATGGGGTCAATAATGTGAGGAACCATGATTGGAATGAAGATCAGTCCTTGGCCGGTCTGCGCCCAGCCGAAGGTATTCTCAACGAAGATTGGGAGGACACTGTCGAAGGATGTCAGAACCAGAGAAACGACAAAGTATCCCCAGAGTGACACGACAAGACGAGGCGAGCTAAGCAATGTTGCTACCTGTTTCAAGGGATGTCGGGATTTCTTCGGCTTCTCGGGATTTTCAATAGACGGAACAGGTTCCGGCGTGGGTGATTGAACATTTCTATCAGTAAGAGTCTCCTTGCGATGACCTGAAGCAGGTGAAAGTGGTCTCATTTCAGGAGATAGCCATCGGGCAGCATGTTTCTTCTCGATCAATACCAGGCGAAGGAAAATGTCAATACCAATCAGTCCAAACGCAAGACCGAATACGGAATAATACCCACCATTCTGGTAAAGGACACCGCCGAGTAATGGCCCAGCCACCGTGCCAATACTCAGGGACATTGAGACGTATCCGATTGCTTGTCCGAGGCCATCCTTGCCAACTGTGTCTACCAGCAGAGCTACCCCGACGGTCCAAACGACCGCAGCAGCCGCTCCTTGGAATAAACGGCCGACAATCCAAAGAGCGATATCTGTTCCGATGCACAGTAGAGCTGTTGCAGCGCCTAGCGCGGCCAATCCTAATAGAAGGGGCCAGCGACGGTTCTCAAATCGGTCTGCTAAATAGCCCACGATGGCTAAAGAGGATTGTTAGCTGTGAAAACCCGAGTGTCATAGTGATATGCTACTAACGAGAAAAGGCCAGCAAAGCTGCCGAGTACAATGCAAGTAGTATGGAGGTCCATGATTGAACTGAGATGTTCTGTCAGATTAAGTAACCGGCAGTATCAAGTGGCAAGCACTTGAGCTTACTCTTATCGCTGGGAATGCCAACTTTGCGTTCCAGAGCCGTTGGTGTGACAGGTACGATCTAACTGACAATTAGCGCATGTGTAATAGGAAAGTATCAAGGTTGAACGTTTTGGGTGTACATACCAAGCCATACATAAAAATATCCTGATGCGAGTCATCAGATTAGCCTCAGCAAGAAAAGATAAGACCATGGAGTGGGATTTACCGTAGACGCCGCAAAGGAAACCGTGAACATAATAAACCATTTGGCCGATCTAAGCTCTACAAGCTTTGGCCGTGTCGGTTCCCAGCCCAGTCGATTTCTTAACCCCATGTTCATATATCACGAAAGTGGGTCCCAGTCAATGTCACATTAGGCGAGTCAGGGTCTCAGTTCGTGATACAAAAAACTTGAATCCACGATGATAAGACCGGCGCTTAGTGACGTATATGTAAAAAGAAAGAATAATTTCCGTCGGGCATTTGAAGATTACCTTAAGATAAATTTGCTCAATAGTGAAATATTATAACAACCGGAAATGGAGCCAAGTCCGGTTGCGCGGAGTCCGCGGGCCCCGAGTGAAATCCCTTCTCCACAATGCTCATTGATTGAGGTTCGACCTTTCTGGTTGACCCGCGGACTCCGAAGATTACAGATCTTTTAGAATAAATCTGAATTAATCACAATCACTGGCATATCTAAGTCACTGGGCTTTCATCGCCACTTAGACATGTTTCCGAGGTTAAGGCATCAAGATATTCAGTATTCCGAGTTACCGACAGTTGCGGGTTTCTGACGTCAACTGGTCTCATAGAATATCGATCAGATTAAAGATAAGTTCAAGTTGTGCTGACATTGAGGAAAAACTCAACATTTTGCTAAAAGAAGTTATCACACTATATACATCATTCTACAACATCATCTGAATTGGGAGGCTGAAGACAAGAAAGTGAAATTGCCCCCTTTGAAGCCAGTTCGCTCCTCACAGTTGAGCTCTAGGCTTCTTGCTCTTCAGGAGATCCTTAAGTTGTCGCCTCAAAATCTTTCCACTTGGACTCTTAGGGATCTGATCTAGAACAAAGATCCCTCCACGAAGTCGCTTGTGGTTGGCGATCTTTGGGTTCAACCAAGCATTTATACCCTCTGTGACAGTCTTGAGGTCTTTAGATCTGGCTTGTTGACGGAGAACCACAAATGCGACTGGGAGCTCAGTAGCTCTCTCCTCAGCCCACATACCAACGACACCAGCATCCTCAATATCAGGATGATCCACAAGCTTTCCCTCTAATTCACTCGGAATGACCTGGAGACCCTTATATTTGATCATCTCCTTGATGCGATCCTGAATAGTGACAAACCCCTCCTTATCAATGGTTCCAATGTCACCAGTGCGAAACCATTTGGTTCCATCGGGTTCAGTAAAGAAGGCACCATTCGTCGCTTCCTCATTATTGAAGTAACCCGGAGTGACATTAGGTCCACGACACCAGATCTCGCCGGGCTGAGTAGAGCCATCAGGATTGATGGCTACATCAGTCATGGACTCCGGGTCTACAAAGCGGAATTCCATGTTGTGAGCGATGACTCCCACATTCGCTTCTCTCTTATCCATCCGATCATTGGGGAAGGCAGTGGCCAAGGGAGAGGTCTCGGTGAGACCCCAGGATTGTGTGCACATCACCTCTGTGTGCCAAAGATCCTTGAAACGGGCTTCCAAAGCAGTGGAGAGTTCACTGGTCAGAGGAGCCGCTGCTGAGAAAATACGGTTCACGCTGCTCAGGTCATACTTAGAGACTCGTTCCTCTTTAACAAGTAAAAGTGCGATCGGGGGCACGACTGAAAGCTCATCTGGCTTATATTTCTCAATGCAGCGCAAGTAGGTGTCGAGATCGAACTTGGACATGACAATAACTGAAGTCCCCCAGATCATGCACTGACACATAAACAGATTGAGTCCGTAGATGTGACTGAACGGAAGGAAGGCAATAGCAGTCTTACGCTGAGGTCTTTGAGATGGAGACCCAGTTCCAAGAACAAGAGCCCGCCATTGTTGTAGATTGGCAGTGATGTTCTGATGTGTGGAGATGACACCCTTTGCAGGGCCCGACGTTCCCGAAGAAAAGCAAATAAAAGTCGGTTTCCGGGTCACCTCGGTAGAGGAAACTGTGGTGAGTGCACCTGGTGCGAATGTACTAGCGATGTACTCGCATGTTGACTGGCCATCCACAGGGGAAGCGCCGTCTAGGAGAATGATCTTCTCAACAATAGTACCCTTGGCTGCTTTCCGAGCGGTTTCAAGTAAGGATGAGTGCACGATAAGGAACCGCGCTCCGCTTGTCTTCAATTGAGCATTCAGTTCAAGAGCTGTCAACGCGGCGCTGGTGGGCGCAAGAACACAACCTGAGCCCACGATTGAAAAGCATGCAATCGGGTATTCAATTGAGTTGGGACTGAATAAGGCGACCACATCGTCTTTCCGAACACCAAAAGTCTGCTGGAGTCCATGGGCTAATGATCGAGTGCGCTGAATGACATCGCTAAATGTGTATTTTTTTTCTGACAAAGCATCGATGTAGATGGGTCGATCTTGGGGTGTATTCAACGGGTTGGAGAAGAGATATGTGATCAGATCCTCGGAGATGATATCGAGATCTTGGTAAGGCGACCGGTGGATTTTGGTAGACATTTTCAATGCTGTGACAAAAGTTCCCAGCTTTGGATCAAGAAAATACTTGAGAAGAGTAAGTGTTTCTTAGTGGGTTCAAGTAGGATTCTACCTCGGTCTCTTAAATAGTTCGATTCTTTGATGCGCTCGAGTTCCAAGTTGATAGATGCTGGAAGTTCGAGATGGTTTGCCGTAAATGCTTGCCGAGTCGATCCACCCCCACAATTCCTCCTATCAGAACCCCGGTTTCTGGGGAAAGATCTGAAGATAACCGGACTATTCAGAGGGTTAAAATAGTGGCTATACGGTAAGAAATTGTATGGACTCTCTGAAAGTAAGTTCCTCGGCCTAGAAATTCCAATCTCCTCGGTTGATGATTAATTGTAGCCCCTGAGTTCAGAATAGCATCGTGTACCTACACGTTTGATTCTAGGGTATTCACCTAGTAAAGGCAGTGAACATTGTTATGGCAAGGGCTACCTCCAAATCCAGATATCATGAAGATCGGTCTCACTAGGAATGCCGGTTGGCATCGACTGGTCTGACTCAAATATAATTCTCACCAGTTGACCTCCATGGCCGGTCGCATACGATGACTGGAGTAATCCGACATTGAAAATGCATCCATGGATGTTATGAGGCTGCTTTCGAAGTGAGCACCGAGACATGACCACGAGACTAATATGTCATATCCTCTTGGTGCATCATCATCCCTGTGACAATGTTTCCCATATACTTCTTGCATAATGTTCATGGTTCATCATCAAGCTGGTATGAGATGGTCTTCTACCAACACTCTCACTTTTCTTTCCCATGCTCCATGAGCCTCATCGTCGTTCGTCTTTTATCACAGCGTCCTCTAACACAAATATCCTACTATTTGCGGACCGCTGGTCAATGAACATCGCGACAAATGGAAGACTCCCGGTGTTGATTCAGGTTGCGTCAACTTGAACCAAGGCTAGCTCGGCTCTCACATTCTATGGATTTTTATATTTCTAAGTCCTCAAGGCTACGGTCGCACATCAAGAGTACTATCGCCTGTCTGGCATTGCGTTCACATCGGCGATTTGGAAATCCGATGCACTTCGGCCTTACTCGAGCTGGCATTCCTCCCGGTCAGAGCCGAAGCCATCGTCGGGCTTTGGCTTTCGCCTTCTATTTTCAGGGTTCACACTACACAGTATCCAGTAAGTATCCCCGAGGTTCATTCACATATATCCAGACAAAAAATCTAAAAATAAACAAAAACAAGATGTTCATACAAAATTTATGAGCCCATGGTCGGGCTTAAGCTTAAATCTAGTATAGGTATCTCCGACCACGGATATCGCAACGCCAATTTTGGGAATGAGTGCTGAATCTGGAATGATCACATAGTCCTCAGGCTGAAACCTGTTCAAGGTATTAAATGTCCACTCTCACAAGCTTCTTCATAGCAAAAGAATTTCGTCCATATTCCAACTTTCAGAAGAAACTGAGCGAACACAGACTCATTTCAGTCCAAATAACACACCCTCTATCAATTAACCATGACTCGATGGCTTCACCATAACTCTCAAGATGAGAGTGGTCTTCATCTTCCACGAATTCTCTGCCTTCACGGAGGTAGAAGCAATGTTCGTATTTTTCGCGCCCAATGTCGCGCCCTTGAAAAAGCCCTCCGTCCCTGGTTTCGACTGTGCTACGCCGAGGCACCATTCCCATCCAATCCCGGCCCGGATGTGAAATCTGTATATCACGCATTTGGGCCCTTCCGCACGTGGATTGATTCGACAAACGTGAATACCTTGTAATGGCCAAATCGCTGCAAAATTCACTCTCCCAGGCGATTTTGCAAGATAATGATACTGGCGCAACCGGCCCTGTGGTGGGTCTGCTTGGATTCGGCCAAGGTGCAAAGATATGTGCCAGTCGGATTCTTGAACAACAGCTGCTTGATCAAGCGGTGAATAGCCAATCTGGTCTCCTTCCACAGTTTCATTTTGCCATCCTATTCGCAGCGCAGGGTCCGCTAGTGACCTTATCACCCTTATCAGTGCAAGCAGATATTATGCGAAAGATGAAAAGTACGTTGATGCATGATAACACTGCTTGTATTGACTGTGAAGATGGCAAAACAAACTTGGTTCTCACACGGGAACTCATTCGGATCCCCATGGTTCATGTACATGGCCGACAGGATCCATCACTAGAGCAACATCAAAAACTGTTATACGAATATTTCGATCCGCAGTATGCTAGAGTGCTGGAAAGTGACAGCGCACATCGGGCTCCACTCAACCCAAAAGATGTGGCAACTTTGGTACAAGAGATTAAATTACTATGTGCATCTGTCTCGCTCAGACAGGTACCTGTTGCTCGAGACTTTCTCTATTCTACTCTCTGATAGGTCGACTTTTCATAGATGCTTTTGGACTTTAATTATTATTATTAATATTATCATTATATTTTTAATTCATTTTTGTACAGTCGAATTTCGAGGTGCTATTCCTTTAATTCACCCATGCCAAGATGGATTAGAGCACTTTTCAGCGATAGTAGGGATGCAAAAGTCCAAGAAAAAAATGATAATCACTTTGGAAATGAAAGTAGGAGCTAAATTACCTCAAGGGACGTTGAAGGCAATTTTGAGTCTAGATGCACTTTATAGTTATAGTAGGTAGTAGTGGCTTGATATTTCAGGATCCTTCAGATTTCCAGGTCTTCCTTCCAGATCATGATGTCGTTATCGCAGAAATCAGCAGGAAAATTACTTTAACCTTCAAAAAAAGTTCGAAGCCGATCTGTTTCTACGTATCTTCGGCTCTGATCTCTTGACAACCGATACCTCTCGAACAAGATGACAACTCGGTTTAATTTCACATCATCCCTCCGGTAGATTCAATGACCATGGCCGCCCGCAAGGGAAGGGTTTGACCATATACTACGAGCCCGAATCCCTGGGCCGTAAATATACAGCAGAAAAGGAACTGGAATCAAGGCAGTACCGACAAATCCGAGCAAGCTGGAAGCCCATGGAACTCCCATGCGACGATACATGATAGTCGCAAAAAGAGGGAAAGTCCCACCAAAAATACTGCGAAGAAAAGTATTGACAGCGATTGCACTGGCGAAATACTGTGTGAACGTGTCTACCAAGTAGTTCAGTGCAGCTTGGAAGATCGTGAAGAAACCCAGACCCTGACACACGGCTCCAATGACAGGGCATAGCCAGAATATATGCTTCGGGCTGGTTCAACCAAGAATGAACATTCCGGCGGCGAAGAATACAGATCCCAGCATCATAGGTGGCAGAGGGGCTTCTGGAACTGCCTTGTTTCCGTTCTCCCGATACTTCTTCAGGTAAAACTTTTGATTGAAAATGTTGACACAGGCGCCTATTATCATGCCTGTGAATATATTCAAGAAAGGAAGATTGCCAACAAGCGCATTCCACCCGCGGAGCTCTTGAAACTCCACTGGGAAAGAGGCAAGACTCAGATAGAGAATATCGTATACAAATGAGGCATAGAGTGCGACAAAAAAGCAGATTGGTGTGACTAGGAGCCGGAATGGTCGTCAAAGATATTTATCGGCTAAATCGGTAAATCGAACATCGATCTCTTCATATCGCGCGTGCAGGGCCCAATTTCCAGTTGCTATACGGAGCCGCTGCGCTCTGTAGACTAATAAGGCCGGGGCATAAGTCTCATCGATAAATACCACCGCCAGTGTAAACATAGTGAACTGAAGAATGCCTGTTATCTTAATAAATTATTAGCTGGTGTAATTGGAATCCCACAGAAAAAAAACTTACATATTCGGTCCACCTCCAACTCAGATAACTGTCCACGATCGCGCCTCCGACGATGGGGCCAATAACTGGTCCACCGACAAGCGCCATTGCATACGCCACCATCGCCGCACCACGTTGTTTCGGGGACCAGATGTCGGCGAGCACACCGCTAGTGTTGGTGATCGGAGCACCACCGAAGAAGCCAGAAAAGAAACGGGTGATCATTATAGTCTGAGTATCCTTTGCCGTAGCAGTCGCGAAGGAGAACATGATCGATATGAAATAAGGTATCAACACAGGTTTTTTGCGCCCGTAGAATTCCGAGAGAGGTGCGGAGAGAATGGGACCGAGACCGAAGCCGAAGAGAAGGAGTGATGTACCAAGTGTTGCAGTGACCTCGCCAATGTGAAACTCCTTCTCCACGTCGGGGATTGCGGATGAGTAGCTTGAAAAGGTTAGTGAAGAGAATTGGTGCAGGGAGGAATTGAAAGTTCGCAATCATACATCGAGCTCGCCCAAGTCGCACCCATAGTTGTCATTCCATACAGAATCATCGTGAGGGCCTTCTTCTTGAAGCTCCAGTTCATGGGGCGGTACGGATCATCTGGCCCGTCAAAGTCTACAATATTGCTATTGTCGGACTTGAATTGGCCGGCAGGGTGAGTAAAAGGGGCTGTTTGGCCGGGCGAACGAAGCCGGATTTTCGAGAGGAAAGATTGCGGATTCTGGGACTTCTCATTTTGCTTCTCATTTTGCACAGGTGCCATGGGCTCTCCCGTTTCGAGATCTCTTGACATGGCGAGTATCTTCGAGTTTGTATCGCTCTGCACCTGGGTGCCAATCAGGGTTGTTGTGAAGGGAAGTGAAAACGCCGCCGCCATGGTATAAGTACTTTGTCAATTTTGTTTGATATAGAGACATTGTAAGGTATTTCTCTGGAAATTTATCCCATAATTCGAGAGATTTCCTGATCCAGGGATCTAAATCCGAGCTATTGACTCCGATCGGAGCTTCCAACAGACAGACAGCCTCATCGCTAACAAGCAACATGCTCGGAGACGCAAATATGAAGCCGACGACCAATATGGAGCTATTTGACCCCTGTTGCTATCTGATCAACTGTGTTATACACACTAAGACTACTTTGGGAATGAGGACCGAGAGGCTCCAATATTCGGATTTATAGTCGATCACCGATGTATACACCGATGTATACCTCGGTGGTGCTTATTATGCACCAAATACATACACCACCAACACAAACTCAGTAATGCCGACCGAGAGGGTACAAGATTTGGGTTCTTTGTGAATCGCCGACGAGCGAAGGACACCTGGACAGCGAGATGGGAAAGATTCATTCATCATCATATCCAACCATTCGGACATTACAGTCCGGTACGAATATATGAAGGAACGTTGGGATCCATGGATTCATCTTACGAGAAACCGGTAACTTCCAACTGAATCAAAGCTGAGCCCTGAAGCCTCTACCTATCAACATATCTCCAATACAAGTCTGTTCTGGATTACTTCGTTCAACATGGCGTCCAATCTTATAAAAAGCTGCTGCTATCAGGGCTTCAAACATCACGGCGAGCCGAAGGGATCGATATTCTTAGTGGATGACATCGAAGTCTACACCAGTCATCCCCAAGATCGGTCAGCGGAATATGGTCTCTTGATGTATGTTCGGTTTTCATTCCTCACAATGAAATTGCATATCTGACACAAGGTGGAAAGTTTGACTGATATTATCGGGCATCGGTTTATCAACGCCCAAGTCATCGCTGATCAATTTGCTGATCATGGCTATTTCGTAATGATGCCTGATCTCTTCAACGGCGACGCAGTCCCACTCAATAAGCCAGGTGGATTTTATATGGGGAAGTGGAGGACTGGTGGCTATCATCCCCAGGGCAAGAATCATCTCCCGGAAACCGTTGATCCCATCGTGGAGAGATGTGTTTCGGAGATGCTCACTAAATACAGTTGTAAGGCAAGACCACTGGCACCCGAACATTCATCCCATAACTTGAAGTTTGGCAAAAGCTAATCAAAGCTATAGAAGATCGGAGCAGTAGGATATTGCTTCGGGGGTAAATATGTTGTTCGCCCTCTTGCTCCCGGAAGAGTAGATGTCGCTTTTACTGCTCATCCATCTCACATCGACGAGGGTGAGCTGAAAGACATTCAAGGCCCACTGGCCATTGCTGCAGCAGAATATGATAAAATATTTCCAGCAGAGAAACGTCGTGCTACGGAAGCGATCTTGCGGGAAACAAGATTCCCGTATCAAGTCAATTTATACAGTGGTGTGAGCCATGGATTTGGGGTGAGAGGGGATCCAACCAACTGTGAAGTGCGATTTGCCATGAGAAGTACTTTCTTCCAGGCGGTGGAATGGTTCAATCATTACATGAAGCAAGAATAGATTTCTTTTCTTTTGTCTTTATCTCCTGTGGGTGGTACTATATGAAAATGGATGTCTATAGTGTAGGTAGATAACTTCAAGTTGCTGGGCAGTCACATATGCACGGTCGGAATACTCAAGTGCTCAAGTGCTCAAGTGCTACCAGTTGACCGGTTGACATCTACTCTGTACCAGTTAAAAGTGGCCCACCCCATTGATTCTGCCGTGATTCTGATGCAAATTTCGATGAGCTTCAAACTTCAAGTTGAAGTAAATGACTCGGAGCTCTTATAGTACAGAACTGGAAGATTTTCCGAGTCCCAATATCTTGTAAGGTTGATTTAAATTCCAAGGTTGCAACCTTGGAATGTGGAATGTGGTAAGCTCACCGCCTGAATATAGGCGGGAACTCTACCTTTTAGCTGCAGTAGTACATGTAGTAGCTGGCGCGGTATCTAACCACTTTTGCGCACACCCGACAAAGGGAAATTCATGGAATCATCATTGGGCAGAATTAACCGAGAATATGTGATCTATCAACTTGAGAAACCCCTCCAAGGGCTAGAATTAGCGTCTTGCACTGTCCAGGAATTTAATCGGTTTGTCAGATCCTTCTATCTTGGATTCTAATTTCTCCGCTTGCTTATAACTACATCCTCTTTTGGTTTTTGATTAATTCCCGATAATCCCAAACTTTTCAACTGCCACCATCTTCATTTCATAATGGGGCTAGGTGATTTGCCGACAGAGATTCTGCTAGAAATAGCAGACTTCTTGTACTGGTCAAGTGACCAATATTCCTTGGCTCAAACAAATCAACGGTCGTGGGTGACGCTCAAGAAGTCTCTCTATGTCCATGCTCTCAGGCTGGCGGAAGAACCAGAAAACTGGGAAAGAAAATGGGCTCATGTGGTCTGTAGAGAACGGAAGATCAGATTCACTTCAGACGTTCATCGACTTTTGTCCGACTAAGAGCAAACTCTGATCCGCCAAAAATACTGCCAATTATTCCATTATAGGGGTTACTCATCGCGACTGCTGCACGAGCCGTAGATGCTGAGATGTTTTCGAAATTGATCGCATTCAGAGAGAGCCCAGATGATTTTGCCGAAGAATGTGAAGTTGCACTGGCCAACGCAATTTCACATGGCCAAATTGAACTGGCAAAAGCTGTTCTTGGGAGCGGAGTGCATTTGAATCTTTCAAATCTCCACATACAGACAGATTCCGGCATCCTCTGTGACATGCCAGCCTTTCACGCTGCAGCCTATAAGGGTCAAGTAGACATGATCAGATTGCTCTTTGACCGCGATGCCGACCCATATGTCAAGGATCGGCAAGGTTTCATGCCGTTGTGGATCGCAACATTCTATGGAATGACTGAGGTGATGCGGGTTTTACTGGAATTTGGCGTCAGAGCCGATGGCCGAGATCAAGATGGCCATGAACATGAGCCAATACCAGCCGATCTCTTTTTGATTGTATTCCAGGAGAAGCTTGAAGAATACAACGAGGGAATGTATCTCGTTCCGGGAGGCCAACCCCGTTTGAACTCCCTTGTACCTTTTGCGTTGCTGCTTGTCTGGGCGCGGAGGAATCTGTCAGGGTTTTACTGGATCACGGAGCGGATCCAAACATCCAGGATGGTGCAACCGGCGATATGCCACTACATCTGGCAGTATTGAGAGACAACCTGGCGGTCGTTGAGCTTCTTATTGAAAATGGCGCCTGCCTTGACATTGGTGATATTCATGCCAGGATGCCACTTGATTTGGCGGTGAGATACAGTACACCCCAGATCGTCAAGCTCTTGATTGATAAAGGCGCCAACATTCATTCCATTGATGCTGGGGGAGTTGATCTGATATTGCGAGCTTTGGAGTCCGGTCATTTTCGAACCTCGAGATGACTGCAGTTCTCCCGTCAAGGAGAATCGGTTTTGAGAAAGAGCTCTCATCCAAGCGCCGAGGACGTTGGCTACACTTTCGTCTACCTCATGATTGCGAACAGGTAGTTGAGTACTTTTTGGAAAGAGGGTCGAATGTGGACTCTAAAGATAAGCTTGGTCGGACTTTGCTGCACCATGCATCATTCTACAACTGTATAGGCACAGTGCGGCTATTCCTCGAGAGAGGAGCTAACCCCATAGTACAAGATGTTTTTGGCCAAACTCCACTTCACGTGGCTCTCTTCAGAAATGGCAAGACGGGGATATTTGACATCCTTCTTGAAGCCGGCGCTGATCCCAATATCAAGGATAACAATGATGAAACGATCTTGCATGCCGCTGCAAGAACCGGTTTCTATCAAGGTATCAATGACATGATCAAATATTCCTCGGTTGATTTGAAAGCAAGAAATCATGAGGGTAACACAGCATTGCACTTGGCAGTGTGGGCAGCTGATCGGGTTTTCAATTATAAATTCGACACTATCATGGCTTTGTGCAAAGCTGGCTCGGATCCATATATTAGAAACGACTTTGATCAAAGTGCATGGGACATGGCAAATGCATATGACGAATACAACGCCTCGTCTGACTTCTCGTGGTTAGTCGAATATGTTGAGAGAGCTGGATTTTATGATGCATTCTGTGACGAGTCATGCAGCGATTCTAGAAGAAAAAAGCGGAAGTTTGACTTTGGGGAAGATTGACTTTAGTCCAATTGGGACTACAATGATTATCTTGTCCCCTCAAGCACTGCCAATTTTTCGTCTTAGTTTCACGTTTCTCTTAATTTCGATATGAATCTGAATCTCAAATGAACTTTTCTTTGCTTTATCATTACTACATAGATTTTTCTTTTTTTCATTAAATTATGCAATTGACGCAACTCCTATACTGATTGTTGCTCTCCTAACCACGGCTGCACGGGCCATATAACCCTGGACTCGGACCCATGACACCAGTTGACTTAGATACAGTGCGGGGTTCTAAACATCTCACTGCCAAAACGTTGAAATCTGCATCTACGACACAACCGTGACCTTGCATTACTCCAAACAGCAAATAGTATGAGCTGGGACTTTGGGGTTGGTGATTTTCTCGACCTGCTTGAAAAAGCAAATAACTTGCGAAAGCGATTCATCAACGCCCCCACACAATTTCAAGCAATAACAGCTGAGTACGGAGCGATATTTTGACCACAGGGAAGCACCATTTATAGTCTGACAGTCTTTTTCAGTGTGAAGCATTTGTCAAATATTCTTCGAGATATCGATGACTATGATCCCGACATCAATCTTGACATTCAAAAGAAAGGGAGTTTGAATTGCGTGTCCAGGGACTGTCAGAATTTATTGGAGGAACTAAATGGGTATCTTAACAAATATCAGGAGCTTGCACCTGAGCAAAAATCCAGTGGAGTCAAGAAATTGACCACTCGAGCCTGGAAAAGAGTACGGTGGGACCAACAAGAGATTGATGTTTTTCGGTCACGGATATCCACCAGCATCAGTGGATTGAACATCGTCATCGCAGGACTGAATAGGTATGCCCTCAGACTAATAATATTTGCTTCACTCACGGGACTCATCGCAAAACAGCCAGGTTGCAGTGGAAATCCGGGACCTAGTCCAAAACACGAGGGAGGAGGTCGGGCGTCTTGTTCGTCATCAAGATCAAAAAAAGATCCAGAAAATCCTGGAGTGGCTTTCATCTATCAACATCGCCACCAAACAAGCTGACTTCTTTAATGATTGTCAGCAAGGGACTGGTGAATGGTTTATTCAGAAAAGGGTTTTCCAAAACTGGATTCATCAATCCGGCACAACATCGCAAAGTGAGCGTTGTCTATTCTGTCCAGGCATTCCCGGCGCAGGCAAAACATTGCTGGCATCAACTGTTATCAATGAGCTCTCCTCAAATTTCCAAAATGATCATACAGTCGGGGTCGCATTCTTCTACTGCAACTTCCGCGAAAAAATCACACTTGAAGAAATACTCGGCTGTCTCTTGAAACAGCTTTCAGGGCAATTGCCCATTTTCCCTGAGCCAGTGGAGGATCTCTATGATACATATCAAGCTCTGAAAACCAAAGCTTCATTAAATGATCTGATGGAGATCCTCGACACTACAATTTTCAGATTTCAAAGAGTCTTCATTGTCATCGATGCCTTGGATGAGTGTCACATGGCCGATGGATCTCGGGATGTGCTTCTCGATCAACTATTTGCTTTACAAAGTAAACATACTCTGGGTATACTCGCGACTTCTAGGGAGAATCCAGAGATTTCTTGTAAATTTACAGGTTGTCCCTCATTGCTGATCCGTGCAAATGAAAGTGACATTGAAAGATTCCTTCGCGGGCAAATGAGCGTGCTTCCTAACTTCGTCCGCAACAAACCCGAACTTCAACAGGAAATTGTGGATAAGATTACCAAAGCGGTAGATGGAATTTATGTGATCTTGGAAATCTAGAAGTTGAACTTACCCCCTCTAACATTTCAAGCAGGTTCCTACTCGCTCGACTCCACCTTGACTCCCTCAAAGGGAAGATATCTCCCAAACAACTCCGAAACACACTCACAAATCTCTCGACGCGTCTAGATTCTGCCTACTCCGAAGCTATCAGTCGGATAGAAGCTCAGACACCAGACCAGAGTAGAGCTGCAAAGGAAGTCCTAGCTTGGATTATCTGTGCAACCCGTCCCCTTACGCCGATCGAACTACAACATGCCCTCGCAATCGAAAGCGACGAATCCTACTTGGACGAAGATAATATCCCTGATATCAATGACCTCGTGTCAATCTGTGCAGGCCTTGTCACAATCGACGAGCAAAGTACTGTGATCCGACTCGCGCATTACACAACCCAGGAGTATTTTGAAGAGAACCTGGACATGTTGTTTCCAGGAGCTCACTCATTACTTGGGGCATCATGCATCATTTACCTCTCTTTTGAGGATTTTGAGTCTGGCTCGGTTTCTCTCGAGGCTGACATCCGCGATTGACGGACCAGTCACCCACTTTACTCTTATTGTGCGTTAAATGTGGGATACCATGTGCAAAAAGGAAATGTTCCACTTGACTGGATCTTGCAGTTCCTTTATGACACGCCAAAAGTATCTACATGCGCTCAAGTCATTTTTCTTGAACACGAACCGAATATGGTTAACCAGTGGGTGGAAATCAATGGGTTCCATCTCGCGGTGTATCTGGGACTTCACGATGCTGCAAGAGCCCTTATCGAAGATGGATACAGTGTTAACTCAGCTGACAGTATGCTCCGTACTGCAATATCATGGCTTGCAGAAGCTGGAAGTGACGAGGGTGTTAAATTTATGTTGACTCACGGTACCGATCCTGATCACATAGATACGAATGGCCAAACAGCCCTATCATATGCTGCTCTCACAGGCCGAGAGGAAGTGTTCCATGCACTGAAGGATGCTGGATGTCAAATGGAACCCAAGAATAGTCAGGGTCAAACACCACTCTTCTACGCTATTTGGGGCGGTCATAAGAGAATCGTTCAGTTGCTTCTGGAAGAACAGGTGGATGCAAATTGCAAGGATTCCAACGGGCAAACACCATTTCTTCATGCCGTCCAGCATGTATTTGAAAATCATTCCAGTGGAAGTTCACGAATGAGCATCGTGGAGCTCCTGTTGTACAATGGAGTTGACCCAAGTTGCCAAGATAAAACCGGCCAGAGTCCTCTTTTCTATGCCGTGCAAGGAGGTAATACCGACTTAGTGCAGCTTTTGTTAGAGGCTGGCTCTAGCGTTGAGTGTGAAGATCTTCAAGGGAGGACGGCACTTTTGTGCGCGGTCGCACTTGGATTAGAGCAAATTGTCAAGATCTTACTAGCATGGGGTGCTAACACAGAATGCAAAGATCACCATGGTAAAACGCCATTGTCATCGTCTGCCGCTCTTGGAGATGAGTCCATGGTACAGATACTGCTGTATGGTGGAGCTGATGTGAACAGCAAAGATGAACACTTTGAAAAGACGGCCCTGTCTTATGCAGCCTGGAATGGGTTTAAATCTGTTGTGGATCTTCTCCTTGATTATGGAGCTGATCCCAACTGCACAGATAACCAAGAACGAACCCCATTGTCGTGGGCAGCTGAATATGGGCATGTGGAAATTGTTCGAGTGCTTTTGAATCACAGTGCTGAGTCTGGGCTTGATGAGGATCTATATCGTCGAACGCCGATAGCCTGGGCTGCATTGAGAGGGCACCAAGCTGTCATCGACCTGCTATTAGCGACGGACCCTTATGCAGATGATGTGGAAGTTAAAGATCTTGTACCCAGGATAAATCCTGAGAGGATTGAGATACTGGAAGGTTTGTCTAAATCATTCAAGATTGAGGAATAATACTTCCAGCATGGTATCTCACTGCCCAAGTGATTGTTGTGGTCCTGAAAGGGGCTTGGAACGAGTCAACAGCGTTCCACGTACTCCTTTTTGAGTTACATCCACCCTTGGATCCCATTTCTTTTTTATTCCTAATGGACCAATATACGTACATGTAGTACAATTCTGGGACCGAGGCTGGACGTATGTACTTCCAAGTTCCAAGGTTGAAGCCCCACAAGCTACCAGCGATCGGCTGATATGGTCCATGGAGTCGCTAGGAATTACGGTCGGGATTTATCAAAAAGAAGGTTAATCTTTACTACCAATTGCTATCATAAATTGCTTAATCACTATCCAGCAAAAACCCAGCAAACTCCATACTCCACCTCGCTACATATATGGACATTCTCGGTGACTCAAATCAATACCTAGGTAAGATGCGATCATGGTGGGGCCATTTTGCATCGAGTCATCCCGGTCAAAGTGGACCGCATCATCTCACTCTGCCCCGCGTCTTAATCACCGTAGAACATCAACAGCACCAGAAAACACGATGGCAGCTATACTTAAGACAAGTCATTTAGGTGAGATCCAAGGTAAAGCAGAGGATGGCGTCACCAACTATCTTGGCATTCAATATGCCACTCTGAAGAACCGATTCGCCGACCCTGAACTTGTCGAGACTCGCTCAGGCGATATTCTTGATGCCACCAATAATGGGTCAGCGCTGCAACTGAGAATTGAAACGATTATAAATTATACTGATTATATTAATAGACCTACACCATTCTTACCGTCCGGTGGATATACACATGAACTTGACCATGTTCAGCACACCCTCCCGAAGAAAGAGCTGAGCCAATCCGACGTTGATGGCCTTAATTTGAACATTGCTGTTCCTTCCGACGCGACTCCCGACTCTAAGCTTCCAGTCCTGTTTTTCATTCATGGAGGTGGACTCTCCACTGGGTCGAGCGCGTGGCCTCAATATGACCTTACTCGCATCGTGCAGCTGTCAATTGAGAAGAACGTGCCTATGGTAATTGTGACAATCGAGTATGACTCACATTTGCACTTCGATAATTTTTTGTATCATCTAACAATACTTCTAGTTATCGTTTGGGAGCAGCTGGTTTCTTGACCTCCGAAGAGCTGCGCGAAGCCGGATACAAAGCGAATAATGGTCTTCGCGATCAGCGTGTCGCTCTCGAGTGGGTGCAGAAGCACATCCAGGACTTCGGTGGAGATCCAGAAAATGTCACTGCAGCTGGCCAGAGTGCTGGAGGAGGTAAGTAATGCCATCATTGATACTTGAGTACATGACTGACCAGTATCAGCATCTGTCACTCACCACCTCCATTCCACCAAGCCATTATTCAAACGAGCCATTGCAATGGGCGGCTCATCGCTTCCTGTCATCGCCTTGCCATATGTAGCCCATGAGGCGAACTATGACCGAGCGATATCTGCTCTAGGACTCACCGACGCCACGCCTGAAGAAAGGATCAAGGCCCTTCTCGAGATTCCAGGCGAAGAGCTCGTGTTGAAACTTGCTCCGTCCACCCGCACTGCTGCTGCCATTGACGGTGACTTCATCCGACCAGGTGTCACATTTAACGAAATTTCCAAACCAGGATCTGAATTACTTCCCGGCAAAACATGGTGTCAGGATTTGCTGATCGGTTGCAACGAGCTCGACGTTAGGCATACCAACCCATCATCAAAATTCATATGTCGCTAATATATTTTATAGTCAAGCATTCTGGCATTCCTCATGCCACAAATCAAAGTAAACACCACAAAGAAATTCATCGCTGCGATCCACAAGGTCCTAGCCTTGTACCCCGAAGAAGCGAAACGTATTCGGGAGACATACGAGATAAATGACGACACACCCAATGAACAGGCTTATCCTTCCGTTCTAACCTTCATGAACGACATACTATACACCGCATCGACATTAGCATTCGCAAGTGGCTGGAAAGAAACCGGTAATGCCTATGTGTACTATTTCAACGAGGGCAATCCCTGGGAAGGACCATGGAAAGGTCACGCGAACCACGTTCTAGATGTCGCGTTTCTTTTCCAGAACTTCCGCGAATTCCTAAGCCCAGAGCAACAAGCCGTTGGTATTGCATTTGCAGAGGACATATTCAAATTCTGTTATGGGCAAGCATCTTGGCCAGCGACCGCATCGGGAGATATTGAGAATGGATTCTCGGCTCGGATTTATGGGCCTAGTCAGGAAGGTATTACCGCTACTGTTAGTTCGCAAGCTTTTGGAGGCGAGACTCGCCGACAAAGTATTCTATTTGATTGCGCGAGTCAAGTGCATTTGGATGAATTTATGAAGGTTGTTGGTGAGTTCATCTCAAACTGATGATCAGAAGGGAATCAAGTTTTATCTGTGGAACTTGAAGCGAGATTTGGTGTCGATCAGAACAAATTACATCAGAATAAATTACATAGTTCCTTTGAAAGAAACTTTGAATATACTAGCGTGTGAATGGATTCTTTTCCTGGTCAAGCGTGTGTGATTTAAGCACTAATCTGTATAAACTAGTAGTATTAGACCTTGGCAGTCACAAATTTGAAGATTTCACTCAAAAATACAAAATGCGATCGTGATTTTTTGAGCCGATGAGTTCAATTTTTTTAGCTGACGAGGCCTCATAGTTTTCCTCGTCAAAGTTTTCCATCGATCGAGGTCTAGTTCATTGTGTGGACTTTATGTGGAACCGACTCAGATCGGAGTAAGCGGACATTTTTCCCAAATTATCACCGCTGATCACACATGTGCAAGTGCACTTCCAAGTCTTCGTGATCAGCGGTGTCCCACGCATGGCATGCATTTTCTTTACTTAATTTTATTCCGAATAAATGCTTATAACATAGAATTTAACATGACGTGGTGGTTTGAATTTCTATTCTATTTTTATGGTCAATTCGCCCCCAAATCTTCTTATCTGATACACAATGACGCAGTAAACAATTTATATTTAATCTACAGGATCTAAAGGACTGGAGGACCAAAGCACTAAAGGACTAAAGGACTAAAGAACAAAAAGGTGGCTGTGATAAGGCAATTAGGCGTACAGATACGACGACAGACCACCTTAATGAGAGGCGGGAAGAGATCAGCCAAACTAATGCACCACTCACAATAGTGCGGGACGCCATGGCAACACGATAGTGCTATCTCATCTGATTTGGCCATGATCGGTCAAAAGCTTCATGCTTTTTTGCCTATTTTTCTTTTTTTTCTTGCGTGGACCAATGATACTGATCTCTGATTCGTATTTCAGGTACTAATACTGCCCAGTCTGCAGCAAAATCCGTAGCAGAATCTGAAATTGACGCGTGGGAGGCGTGGGAGGCGCACAACGATCTGTGATCCATTGAAAGGACTTGCGTCAGTTGTTTCATGCGGCGTAAAGAACCAGCCTATAGAAATAGATTTAAGAGTCTGGAAGTTTTAAGCATGAAACTAAATGCGTTGTCGTCGTGTATGTTATTGGCTCATCAAGTGTGTATGAGGGGCCGTGGTGGAGAAAGATGATAGGAACAAGGATTTCATTTGTGGCTGGTGAAAAGAAGAACAAGAAATTCAACTTTTGCTTAACTTATTGACCCACTTGATCCAGCCCCCCTCATAGGAAGTCATAGCAAATCAGAAAATGAGCCCATGCGTAAACCTAAGCTTTTCCAGGGTTTGGAGTGGTTGTGTACCCAGGAACAAAACTTACTACTTAGTCAGGGGTGTAAATATCTTCGTTGGGTTATTGTGTTTTCGATTTTCTGATTTTGTTTCTGTTTCTCTCGCCTTGCATTGCATTTTTTGTATAGAGTACAGAGTACCCCAGAGCATCATAGTATTCTTATCATGAAGTTGAGTCTCTCGGCTCGGGCTATTGCTTGGGCAATTACCCTCTCTTCAACTCACGCCTTATCTCCCCGCACATCAATCTCAGATTCATATGATTTTGTGATTATTGGTGGTGGCCAGGCTGGTCTCACTCTGGGAGGTCGCCTTGCTGAAGATACCAACCATACAGTTCTGGTGTTAGAAGCAGGTGGCAATGGTGATGATTATCGTGAAAGAATAGGTATGTGATCTACAAGCCGAGGTACCTCAACTTGAAACAAAGGAGAAGAAACCTAATATTCACAAAGATACCCCCGCATATTCATACTTTGATTCTTTATGGACAACTCCTTTAAATTGGGGATATTATACAGTGGAACAGACCTATGCCGATGATCGAGAGATCTATTGGCCCCGTGGGAAAGTGCTCGGAGGTTCGTATAGCCCTGATCCATGGCATCAAGCATCGAAATAACAAAAATTCCAGGAAGTTCCGCCATCAATGGCTTGTACCTGACTCGCCCGGGCGAATTTGAAATCAATGCCTGGAAGGACCTGCTTGGTGACATGGATGGGGCGGTTAATTGGGCCTGGGATTCGTTCTACGCCGCCATGAAGAAAGCCGAGAATTTCACAGGTTCCAGCGAAGCAATTGCAAGCGAGGCTGACATCCACTGGAACACGTCCACACATGGTCTGGAGGGTCCCATCCATGCCTCATACCCCGGATACACCTTCCCTCAGGTGGGCTACTGGTCAGAGTCGCTGGAGAATATCGGCATCGCGATCTCGGAGAATATGTATGGTGGAGAGAACTATGGCGCCGAACTCGCAACATCATGCATCAATCCTTTCAACTGGACGCGTTCTTATAGCCGAACGGGCTACCTGGATCCTCTTGCTGATAATGGAAACTATGATGTGTTGGCTAATGCCTATGTCACGCGCATTGTTTTCGACAATTCCACCTCGGCGGATAACTTGACTGCCACTGCTGTTGAATACACAACCGATAACGGAACAACCACATCGACGGTCAAAATTGGAAAGGAGGTTATACTAACAGCTGGTACTATTGGAAGCCCTGCTATCCTACTTTACAGTGGTGTTGGTCCTAAGGATGTTCTCTCTGAGGCTGGAATTGATCTTGTGTCTGAGCTACCGGGTGTGGGTCAGCATCTCCAGGATCACTTCGTAAGTCTCTAACCAACCCATAATGATGCGATTTACTAACTTGAGCAGAGCGCTACCTTGACCTGGGATACCGATGTGGAAACTGCAGGATCAATCTATTACGATGATGGAACTGACAAGGTTTGTCCCTTCAACAACACGGTTTCATGAATGTCTCTGACCAGCGCAGAATAATACACTCTTCCTCTCATACATCGACTCAGCCGTCGCGTACGTCAACTCGACTGCGCTTTATGGCACCAACGTCTCATCCATGGAGTCTACTATCCTCGCATCCATTGATTCATATGCCCCGAACACAACATACGACTCCGTCATCGCCGGCTACAAAGCCATCTGCAACTCCACCGCCAAGAACATCTTCAACAGCGCCACCGGTATCATTGAGCTTCTATTCATGAACAGTGATTCCAACGGTGATATCGGCATCACCGCCGCTCTCCAGCACCCATACAGCCACGGCCGTATCTACATCAACTCCTCAAACCCTCTGGACTACCCGGTAATCGACCCGAACTATCTCTACAACCCACTCGGTAAGTCCATAAGTCCACCACCTTCCCTCCTGTACCTCAAAATTAACTTCCTCAGATTACGAAGTCCTTCTCAAAGGTCTCCGAGTGGCCCGCGACCTCGGCGAAACCGCACCATTAAGCAACAACCTCACAACCGAGACCGCACCAGGCACAGATGTCCAAGATGACGAGGACTGGATCTCCTGGATCCGCAGCGAAGCAGGAACAGAGTACCATCCCTCCTCAACCTGTGCAATGTTACCCAAGGATTTGGGCGGAGTCGTTGACGCGAATCTACTTGTCTACGGTCTTGCGAATGTGCGTGTTGCGGATGCGAGCGTTCCGCCAATTGCCTTGTCCACGCATCTTATGGCCTCGACGTACGGTGTTGCCGAAATGGCGGCCAATATTATTCGGGGTTTCTATAATGGTGTGCCCGTCTCGCAGTCCTCGGGAACTGGGCATTCTGGCAGTAGCACGGTTACTGCTACTGGTAGTGTTAGCTCGGCGACGGGTTCGTCGTCGACTAAGGCGAAGAGTACTGTTGCGCCGAGTAATGGAGCTGTTGGAAGGGGTTCTGGGGTTTGGGCGATTTATTTGTGTCTTTTGGTTTGCGTGCTTGGAGTTTTTGTGTAGATTTGATGATACCATGTGGATTGATGTATATAGTGTTATAGTATTACGAAGTCAAGAATAATAGACCTTATGATCTCAATTGGATTCATCCTTTGCATAAACATACTAGTTATGGAACTTGAGTAGTATTCCAAACTTGAACTTCAAATATTGAAGCTCAAGTTCGAATTACTAAACCCGTTCATTCAAATAATTCGGAGTAGTCTTAATTTACAAGGAATGTGCCAGTACGAGTGATTCAAGGTCATAAAGGAGTGTAATTGATCAGAGCATTAAACGCTAAGCTAATAAAAAGACGAGAACAAGCTCTCTTCAAATGTTCTAGTGAATACCTAGTATACAGGTAGAGTCTTCAAAACAACAAAGTCTATACGAGTCCAATATTGTTTACAGAGTAACAACATCAGGAGTCTCCAGAGTCAAGACATGGGGCTGCTGCAGCAGAATCAAAGGACCAGCAACAACACTCTCAGCAGTGGGAGCATCCTTCTCCTTAGCAATGTTCATGATAATGATTCCAGAGTTGATATCGAAGTCCTTAGGGATAGTGACCTCGTTAACGTTGTAGTCATACTCCACACTAACAGTGTTAACACCGTGGTAGAAGACGGCATAGTAGGTAGTGTTAGACAGGAACTCAGGCTGGTTCTCAGGCTGGTAGAAAAGAGGCTGAATAACCGAGCCAGGAGTGGCGGTGGTTCCGTTACCCCAGATAGCAATTTGTGGCAGAGCCTGGCGGGGACTAGGGTAAACAGGATTGGCAGATGGACATTCGAGGATGAAGGAACGAGTCAACTCGAGAACCTGGTTGGCGTAGGGGTATGTGGTATCGGCAGGACCAGCGAAGGGGCTAACACGGTAGTTCTCGATAAGACTCCAGACGTTGTGACGGGTCTCGGTTTGGCCAATGGCCATCAGAGCACTCTTGGACTTGTCCTTCGTGGCTTCGAGCTGCAGTCCAGTCAGGAAGGCTTGGCTGGAGACTTCAATGTAGACCTGAAGTTCGAGGAACTCGGCTGCGCTGGTGTTGAAGCCATAGTCGTAGCTGCAGGGACCGGGCTTGAGAGAGTTGTCTGAGATCTGGTCTTGGAAGATACGGATGTGGCCAGCCTCGTTGTCACGGATGTTCACGATGCGCTCGTAGGTGGTGTTCTTGTAGCCGAGCTTAGTGAAGTCCTCGGGCTTGAAGGTCTCGACGGCCTTTTGGTAGAAGGAGTAGATGACCCATTCGGCGGAGAGCAGGTTTTGGAAGAGGAGGTCGTCGGAACCGGCTTCACCAGTTCCTGTGGCGGGGATCACTCTTGTCCAGTTGGAAGCTAGAGGAGTGTGACGACCTGGGTAGGTGGTGAAGAGGGAGGATTCACCGGGGACAGCGCTGGCAGCATCCTTGAGAGAGACTTGTCTGGCTGGGGCAGCCAGAGCTGGGAGGATTGCCGAAGAGGCAGCTAGTAATGTGGAGAAGTGCATGATGTAGGAATTTGCGGAATTAGAGGTAGAGATGGAACTCGGAACTCCAGTGAGGCTTGTTGATACAGAAAAAAAAGATTCATATTCGATGCCTCTCTCTCTACCTTTTTATACTATCCATGGGTCTCGCACATCTGGAGACTCTTTCATTTTGGTTCTTTGAGCGATGAATCATGAAATCAATTGCGCGTGTAGATCTCCATGTTGTTTACTCGCGGTTTCTACCGTAAAAAGCTTAGTGGTTCTATAAATGTGGGATATGGGGCGAAATCCGACCGATGATCGACATCTTCTGCCTTATTGGGGCGTCGTGGTGGATCCCAGATCTCCCGGGTATCCGGGGGCCATTTCACTTACCCATTTCAGTCCATTTCGCGACTCGAAGTGGATGAATTTGAGAGCCAGGTACACAATCTCAACGCTAATCTGATGACATCTAGATCTGATGCCCAGCCACGATCATCCTGCCAAGGAGGCTTCTTTGGTAACGGATCATTAGGCTTCATAGTACGGAGAGACTCAACACTTGGCTTCAAGTTCGACCCAACTTGAACTTCATAGCTCTCCTAATAGTGGAGCATAATGCATCTTCGCAGTACTTACTTCACACAATTATTCCGTGACACTTGGTCATTGCATCATCCTCTGCATGGACCCTTAGTGCAGGGGACCTATCGTGTTTATGCAAAGTGGAACGCGGCTCGCACTCATGAACGGATTAGTAATGGGGCCAAAACATGAAGAGGAGCCGATTTCATTGGTGATTTCAAGAAACGAGATCTAAACATAGTAGCTAGATGCAATTATGCATATACAGCCCTGGACGAATGCTGGAAATACGGTGTACACTGCCCAGTCTGGAGAGAAATCCGAACTCCGAAATCCGCACCTATGCAAGTGTTCTCCATATTCCACGGGCCTTCGGTGCCTCTTCCTTGATCTCAGAAATACCCGGTGACGTGTAGATCAGTACCACGGGGCAAGGTGGATAAACGTGGCTTTCGCTGATGTATCCGATATGATAGCTTAGCTTCTCTTCCAAGGTTATTTCGGAGTTTCTCGTAAAACATGCTGTCACGGCTGAATGTTGATGCGGCGATCGTCCTCCCTTACGTCGATTCATGATATCAGAGAGTGCCCATGTGCAAATGGTGCAGAATCCTTTGGATCGTTATTTATTCAACTATATCAAGACTGGAAGTTCATAGAGTATCCACCCGTATTGGGATCCTGCACAAACTTGAAATTGTCCGTGGACAATCCAAATGGCTTTAGAATGCCATTGCCAAGCTACAAGAGAAAATAAATGTCAGTTATGCTCGGAGTTTTGATCAATCATGTTGAAGGATTCTTTGAAAGGTAGTGGACTCACGTCTTTCATCTTGGACATCATCTCGCCCATTTCCTTATCCCGAGCTTCTTTGAGACGGTCGGGAAGCTCTCGGAGAGCTCGCTGGACAATCCGCCTATCTTCTGGAGGAAGATTATCCATTCCACTAAGAACTTTATAGTCCTCCTCTGCACCCTGCAAGTTCGCCCAACCACCGGATTGTAACTTCCCCTTAGCGCGTCGCATGAGGGCCTTGGCCCGAATTCGAAGAACATTGGTTCTTGTCTCATCAAGCTCCTTCAATCTTTGTAGTTCCGTCTCCTCTGATTCGGCATCATCTCCTGAAATTTCCACCACGGCGTCGTTGTCCTTTGTTGTGCTGCTCGTTGGCTTCGAATCTTTGTTATCGGTTCGGTCTGTGCCCTTGGGCGATTCTGTAGGGATGATCTTTTCAAGTCGTTCAAGGGACATGGTAGCTGTATCAATTGCAGATTTCCAGTCTTCTAGCTTCAGATAGCACGCGGATATGTTACACCGAAGCACGGCGACATCGTAGTCAAGGTAGTTCGGGCAGGAGGCGAGAGCGCGATCGTATGAGGAGATTGCCTGGTCGTAGCATCCAGCACTATATAGCTTATTCGCTTCATTCTTGATTTCCTGGGATTCTTTCAGGAGGCTCTGTTATACGTAGCAACTGATTAGCTTTAGCTTGACGCGGAGAGACGGAGGTCGTCAACTAACAGCTTCTTCCTCCGCAGGGAATCGCGCATCGTGGAAGACCTCATCATCGCTGTTTTCCTCATCTCCCAATTCAGCGGCGGTATTGTCGCGTTTTTCAGCGGAAGCAGGATCCTCAGTCGTCATCTTATGTTGAAGGTCAAGAAGAGCAGACGTTGACGGTCAAAATAATCACGGGACCGATAAGCAGCGTTTTTCCCCGCGCTGAGCCTTATCAAACACAATCCCTGTGTCCCGCTTTCATGGACCAATAATCACTCAACTTAGACGACAGACCATCATGGATGCGCAAAAAGAGTACGTTTTGGCTGAATATCACCATGAGAGATCATTCAATTGACCTTATACCAGACTCCCACGCATTCGTGCGTGTCTCTTCGACATGGACGGTCTACTGATCGATTCTGAGGACAAATACACTCTGATCACCAACGAAGTCCTTGCAATGTACGGAAAGCCGGAGCTACCCTGGTCGATCAAGTCTCAGCTGCAGGGTCGCCCCCAGCCCGAGGTACGTGGATAATCAACCCAGCGTCAGTTTATCATCTCTTACTAACGCAACTCTATAGGCCAGTAAGATTTTCCATGACTGGGCTCAACTGCCCATCACCCCTGAGGAAACAGCTGCCAAGCAAGTATCATTGCAAGCGAAATACTTCCCACAGTCCCAGCCATTGCCTGGTGTGGCCACACTTCTGTCTAATCTAGTGTCTACCCAGACCACAGATCAGCCCGTAGAGATTGCGTTGGCAACATCCTCTCACAGCAAGAACTTCATGTTGAAGACGGAGCACCTAAAGGATCTCTTTACTGCCTTCCCTGGTGTGCATCGTGTTCTGGGCGATGATCCTCGGATCGGCAAGGGACGTGGTAAGCCATTGCCTGATATCTACCTGCTCGCATTGGAGACCATCAACGAGAAGCTACGTACCAAGGGTGAGACCGAGATCAAGCCCGAGGAATGCCTGGTCTTTGAAGATGCAGTGCCGGGTGTAGAGGCTGGTCGTCGTGCTGGTATGCAGGTTGTCTGGTGCCCGCACCCCGGTCTTCTGGATGCGTATAAGGGTCGTGAGCAAGAGGTCCTGGCGGGCCTCACAGGATCTCACAAGGATGAGGAGAAGACTCCTGCTGAGAAGGAAGCTGAGGAGTTGCAGGCTTGGCGTGTCCAGGGCTCTGGAACCCCTGGAAAGCTTGGTGATGGGTGGGGCCAATTTGTTGGATCCCTCGAGGATTTCCCATATGGTCGTTATGGAATTCGGATACCCTAAATGTCTATATGGGATTCAAAGCTTCGAAAATATTCAACCAGTTGACCACAATACCAGAAAATATAAAGAATCGAAATTGAAAATATCAATACATATGATGCGCTTTACCAATCAAAAGGAATACGCTAACCATGACAGTGCACAATTTTTGCTGGCAGAGATTGGTGGTCAGGAATGAGATCGGTCTATTTAGGCGACTATCAACAATGTCCGTGTACCTGTACCAAGAGGGGCACAGCACAGCTCAGATACTCAACAACATTCGGGGGCTCCAGAATATTGACACTCCTCGGAACAATGAAGTTTATATGTTCGACTCTGTTCAGGACCTCCAGTGCGGTGTTTAAATCTTCGAGTATCTTCAGGTTCCCCAGAAAAACGACATTCAGATGGCAGGCTGTGCTCAGACTCCGTAGGATGGTTCTTGGAATTTGATTCTATCTACTTTAAGGCCGCTGAGGCCAACGCCAAACGCCCAGAATGGCATTGGCATGGAAATCAATTCCGACAAATTCATCAACCTCACCCCGGGGGATCGGCAGCACGCTTCTGATTCCCAGGCTACATATTTTCCTGTTGCTCATGCTCTAATTCTTCATCCTACGTTTTCCCTACGTTTGCCCGTCCTTTCTATATCCTTCTTCCATCTCTTCTTCCATCTCTTCTTCCATCTCTTCTTCCATCTACTCACTCATATATCTTTTAAGTTCCTTACCCAATTCTTCTATTCACAGCTATTGGACCACTAATATAGGTCCGAGGTCTGTAGTCCTTGGCTCTGCAAACACACATCTTTCCTCACTCTACATCGCCACAGTGGCACACCTTCCATCATCATCTCCTCCATCCATCTAGCTGGAGCACCACTTCTCCAGTTCTTACTATTCATTGTCCACTGTTTTTTTGCTCTCGAATTCCTTCAAGCTCCTCATCAAAACTTCTTCTCTCCATTACAGCCCTCATCATGTATGATATCAACGCGATGTCTGGCTTCACCGACGATTTATCGAAGGCCTTAGTAAAGAGTAGTTCCAAACCCTGCTCACCATTGTCCGTTTGAATGCGGCTAAATATACGGAGTATGGAGATTGAATCTTCTATTTTCGCTCATGCTGAAACCCAGATTCAGTCACATATTGACGATACGGTGTATACTAGTATAACTGATGATGATTTCATGGTTCAACTTTAACCCCGACAATGCTGGAATTTTCGAAAATAACGACATTGAGATGGTCGATTCTGCTAAGGCTCCCGGTATGGCCGACCTCAGATGCAGACAGAGATCATCAAAGCCCTCAAGTGCTTATGACATCTGGAATTTCAGCCTTGACTTCGATATCCCCCACTCAGGCTTATAACGGCTATGCGGCCAAATCCCATTTTCCCATAGTGAATTTTGACCAGCTAGCTTGCCGCTGCCAGTGGTTAATTTGTTATCACGACGTGTAGTAAACTTCCAAGGTTGAAGAATAGGTATATACTACCTGATGACCCGAGAAGCCTGCTTTATACTACTACCTAGTATATACATGTGCAGCATCGAAAGTTCACTTTTGGCGAAACTTGAAAAAACATCCCCTTCCAGATGTCTGATTAATTAATTCGGTATTTTGTTTACCTATTATCCCTGCTTTACGGTAATCCCAAGTATTCTATATAAAGCTAAAGTGAGATAAACTTGAAGCTTAAGTGACAGATAGGTAAATTAAGAGACTACTTGTAAGAGCTACATAGAGTAAGGGAGAGCTGATTTACTGAAGTACTAGGTAAGAGATAGCTGATACCTATAATTAATTAAGATTGATTAGATAGATTAGTGTATATATATATTATATATTATTTCTTTCTTTCTTCTTTAAATTATATAGGGGTTTTAACTCTTAAGTATATAGTAGATACTAGCTCCAGGCTATTATATATAATTTCTACTAGTGGGCCTTATATAGAATGGACTCTAGTATATTACTATATATCTTACTACTTAGTACTTATATATACTTCACCTTTACTTACCATCAACTTGAACTTAAACTCTGAATCCATCTTCTAGTTCAAGTTCATCCACATATCTTCTTCTCTATGGTTTGAACTTTTTTTCATACTGCCTCAAGTGCTACATTTTCTTATAACCCTTCTTCTATCTATTTATTTTATCTTCCAAGTTCAAATCTTCATCCCAACATTGAATACTCAAGTGCTTCAACCTTGGAAGTTCCTTACTTGCTCACTTACTTACTTCTTCTCTTTATAGCAATATTCCTCTCCTTCTTACTATCCTCCAGGCCTATACCCACTTCTTTTCACTATCCCATTTTCCCTCTCTAACATATAAAGTGCCTTTCCCGGGGCCCCGACCTCAGGAGTCAGTTCGAATCATTTTGCTCAAGAAATCCCTTAATCTTGGAAGATATCTGCCTCTAGCAACTAGATTATTCAAGGCCCTAGCCAGGGCGAGTTTGAACTTCTTGTTGTTCTTGCCAGCCATAATATGGCTGGAGATATATAGCCTGATTCCCTGCTCCTGCTACTGAGCAAACTACTACTGGCAATGATCTGGATTATACCATGATAGATGATGAGTTGATGGAAGCCATGATTAATTTTGACCTGTCCAATGCCAAAATTTTCCAAAACAACGGGCAGAAATATGGAAGTCTAGGTGCCGATTTCCCCGCTCCTGTTCCTACAGAGTCCACAGACTGACTGATTTTTAATTAAGACAAATTGCTCAATATGTGCTGAAAAACTGACTGAAGTACCTGCGGTTTGCTCAGATTCAAATTGAGCCAACCACAAATGCTCAGTTCTTCGACAATGATGACGTGCAGATGGTTGATTGAACCGAGGCCATGGACGATGCCAAGTGTCTCCACGCATTGATGACCTTTGACCCCAAGGAGGTCAAAAAGCCCACCGATAACCAGACGGCCAACATTTCTCATAATCCCGCAACCCCTGTCAACCATGGAGCTGGCACCAAGATGCCCAACACTGAGCATACTCCTCGCAACAAGGGAGCTCAAATGTCCAACTCTGCTGAGGTTCTTGATCATAGTGTCTGTCCCATGGCTAATACTCTGACCCTTGACTCTACTCAGGGTTTTTAGAATGTGAAAACTCTCGAGAAAAAAAAACAAAATTCAGATCTTAGACTCTCTTTTAGATCCACAGTTCTGGGCAACTTGACTTATCAAAGTTCTGGCAAAACAAAAGAGAATCAACGATATCAAAAGAAATTCGTTATTTCAGTGGTCTGTCTAGGATAAACTTACTCAGCACCAGGGAGCTTAAATATCCAACTATAGTAAGGTTGTTGCCCAGGTGATCTACCTATACATAATACCGACACTCCAACCCACAACTCCCGAGGTCTACTCGGGTCTTCCAGAATTTTAGTACACTCCTTAGAGCAACAAAGGTCAGATATTTAAGTCTGTTCAGGCTCCATAGAACAGCTTTCAGACTTTTGACTCTTTTCCAATATTCAGGTTCCCCAGAAAATCAGAACCCAGACTTTTGACTTTTCTTAGGTCCTGAAAAATGGTCCTTGGACTTTGACCCTACTGCGGTTTCCATGATTTCGACACTCCTTAGGAGCACAACGCCAGCCTTAAGTCTTGATTTCAAAATCTTCAGACCTTGGGACCTCAAGTGCTTGATGAAATTTAGCTCGTCAGGAACAAGATGGGCTATCTGGGCGACTTCAAACCCTCGCCATGCCCGCATGCAATGACCAGCTCAAATGTTTGTTGAAGGACTGAGTGACGAATAGCTTCAAACCTTGGTTGCCATTCTCCGCTCTAAGGTGGCGGATGCCAACCTGCAGAATAGCACTCTAATGGAAATCAATTACAACAATTTTATCCACTTAAGCATAGTAGATTCATGGTTTTCTCATCCTTTGCATAGCCTTCTTCTATCTTCCGCTTTACTTAATTCTTCTCTTCACGGCAACACTTCTCTGCTTCTTACTTTTTCTTGCCTAAATTCCCTGATTCATTGAGACTTGGATCACCTGGATCACCTTGAGAGGACTTGAACACACCTGCAACATGTGCAGTGGGAGTTTGCAGCACTTGGTATACCGTATGGGCGCTGACAATTTATCTGATAGGGATGATATAGTGTGTCCAGATATCCATTTAACTGAGCTTCCTGCCCAAGCACTCGGGTACTGAGGGCATATGTACTACTATTCCCAATTTCATTGCCACATGGCCGCACGAAGCGCGGTATAAGGACTTGTCGTCCACTGGTAGTAATACTATATGTATGGACTAAGAATACAAGACATCTGGAGAGAATCTGAGGATAGATCAGCGCTCACTAGGTAATCGTGTCACTACTAATAGTATCTTGATCCGGTGCTATCTTAGGTCCGAAGGCTCTATGTAAACTTGAAGTACAGACGCTGAAGTCCTGAGTAAAGTTTCTAATAGCTTCAACTTGAAGTTCCAAGGTTTGCACCTTCACTCTAAGCCCAAATATCTTTACATTTATAAGGTTTCTAGCTCTTACAGACCTCAGGCTACTAGTAACACTTAAGACCAAATACTGCTTACCGGCTACTTTATGAAACGCTTAGAAGAAGGATACGAGGAACACAGATCGAAGATAGCGGCATTAGAGCACTGAGGTTAATAAACCTCCTAAAAATAAAAATAAAAAAGCAAAACTCAGGGGGTATCCGCGAGAAAACGACAAAAAAGCGAATCCCAAAACTAAAAGCGAGCCGACGGGAAAGCCAGCTAAATGAGCGTACGTCTGTAAAAACAGACTGAAAAACAGAACGCCGAAACAGACTCCAGATTTCAAATTCAATTTGAAAAAAAAAAAAGAAAAAAAAAAGAAAAAAAACCAAAAGAAAAACCAAAAGAAAAGAGAAAAAGAGACGCCTCAGCGCCTCGGGCTCTTAATTTTCAAGAGCCTCCTTGCCGGCCTTGAGCAGGACGGACTTTCGGGCATTGACGACCTTGTTGCCGAGGACTCGGTCCAGGGCCCCCTTGGGGTGGTCGACGAAGGTCTTCACGTACTCCGCGTCGAGGCAGTGCTTGGCCACCGACTTGGAGCAGTCGAGAGCGTGGCAGACGGCCAGGAATCGAACCTCGAAGATACCGGTCTTTCTCTTCGCATGGGCAGGGGTCAGAGAAGCCCCAAGCTCGTGGCGGGTGATCATTGCCTCCAGGATCTCCCAAGCGGTGAGTTCAAATTCAAGCTCGGTAGTATTGCGGTTGTTGAAGGTTCTGATTGATGCCTCGCTGTCCTTGATGCCTTCCATATTCTTCAAAGCCACGATCAGCTTGCCAACGAGGACTTTCTTCTCCTCGTCGGTGGTCGGGATGGAATCGTCATCCCCTGGGCAGTGCTTGTAGTCGATCTGACGCATTGCGTTGCGGGCGGCCTCCAGAGAAGTGAACTGAGTCTCGTGGCAAGGCAGACTATCGATGGTGCGCTCAGAAGCATTGCCAGGGGTTGTAGCAGTCGGGGGGAGTTGCGGGAGCTCCGGCTTCCTCTAAGTCGGGGTTGCTTGGGGGGGGTTGGCAGGCCAAAGACAATCTTGGTGCCAGACCCATGGTTGGCGGGAGTTGTGGGGGGTTGGGTTGACCTCTGTGGGATCAAAGGTCATTAGGGCGTGGAGGCTCTTCGCATCGTCCGTGGCCTTGGTTGAATCCACCATCTGGACGTCATCATTTTCGAAGATTTTCGCGTTTTCGGGATTGTAGTGAATCATTGCCTCCATGAATTCCTCGTTGGTCATGGGGGCGACGGCGACATCGTCAGTAGAAAAATTGGTCGCGCCAAAATCAGCCGCGCCATTGACATCACCGAAGGTGAAGTCGAAAGTGTTTTTGTTGGCAGCAAACATCTTGTCGAAAGTGGTTCCGTTGACAGCAGACATGTCGTCGAAAGTGTTTCCGTTGACAGCAGACATCTTGTCGAAAGTGTTTCCGTTGACAGCAGACATGTGGTCGAAAGTGTTTCCGTTGACAGCAGACATCTTGTCAAAAGTGTTTTCATTGACAGCAGACATGTTGTCGAAAGTGTTTCCGTAGACATCAGACATGTTGTCGAAAGTGTTTTCATTGACAGCAGACATGTTGTCGAAAGTGTTTCCGTAGACATCAAACATGTCGTCGAAAGTGTTTCCGTAGACAGCAGACATGTCGTCGAAATTGTTTCCGTAGACAACAGACATGTTGTCGAAAGTATTTTCGTTGACAGCAGACATGTTGAAAGATTGGTTAAGAAAAGGAAGCAAGAAAGAATTGTTTCTGTGAAGAAAAAGTGGGTGGAGAGTTGGTGTTAAGAGAAGGTGGGTAGCAGGAAAGGAAAGGAAAGGAAAGACAGCGAGGTAAGAAACAAAAAGTGTGTGGACGTGTTGTTGTGAATGACCAGCCCTAAACTGAAATGGTTTGGTTGATCGTCTTCACTGAAAGACGGGGGCGTCTTCGACCAAATTGGGCGAGGACGTCTTCGTCAAGCAAACGAATTGGAAATAACCACAGTCGTGTCGCGCTTCACTGAAAGACAGAGGCCGTCTTCGCCAAATCGGGCGAGGACGTCTTCGACAAATCGGGCGAGGACGTCTTCGACAAGCAAACAAATTGGAAATAACCACACTCGTGTCGCGCTCGCGTCACTGTCCTGGTCCGAAGTAGAGCACACAAACAACCTTGGAAGATAACACCACCGGTGGTTATTGCTGCTCGTCCCAACTCCAGCCAAATAAACAACAGTAAACATTCGAAGGCGAACTCAACCACCCTTATCTTTTTTTTCTTTTTTCGTCAACATTGAGGCTCATGACTGCATAGACCATATCTTGAGGCTGTCCTCTCTAGTCTGCTTGTCCTTGACTGAGCCTTTTGCTTTTGAGTTACTATCGTTATCATTCTCCAAATAGTGGCGTTGCCCACAACACGTAGCAACAACACTCCCTGCAGAGTGAAACGCGATGTTAGTGACTGCATCTATGGAGCGTCAGCTACTTGATACACCATGACCTGCCTTGAATGTACAACAAACCGTCGTGAACTTTGAACTCCCAATCTGGATCTTGGCCACCAGCAGCATACACGGGGTTTTTCCATCCTCTCATGTATCCATCCGTACCACCTGCCCAAACCTCATGGCTACTATCTGTACCAGCAGAGATGACATCAATATTCATACGCTGGTTGGTGACAGCTCGGCGTCCTCGAAGATATCCGAGCATCTGCCCCGTCACACGGATATCGTAGACGAGGACACCATCACTTTTGCGCTCTGCAATATAAAGGTACCGCCCACATGGACTCCATGCAAGTTGGGTGACTCCTTTCCCTCCAATCTCGCGATTGGCCTCAGTCTTCGCAATACTGAATGTGCCCAGAAGCTCACCAGAGCCATTGGAGCTATAGAGCCCAACCTGTCTCGTGAAAGTTCCCGCAGCCAGAATCCCATCGCCTGTGGGGCTGATTGCCATGGCCGAGACGATGCCTTTCATGCCAATACCTCCTCCCACAGTCTGTTTACGTTTACTCGGGATTGTTGGTAGCCACGACACAGGGCCATCACTACCAGGCCGCGAGATATCGAACAGACAAATAAGACTGTCTGAGCCCGTGAGGAAATGAGTGCCTCCCAGGGTGGATGGATAGATCATGGAATGAGGGGTGATGAAGGCTTCTGTTGTTGGGTTCACCAGCGAATAGCTGGCCACCGAGACTGGGGCAAGAGCTGAAGCCAGGCGAATTGGGTGATCTCTTACCGACGACAGAAAAAGAGTAGTTGAGGGGTCCTGCAGATTGAAAAATGGATAGACTGCCAAGGCATAAGTGGGTTCTGCCGAAGGCAAGGTTGAATACGGGGACAAGTTATGAACTGATCCCGTTTCAAGCAGATCCGGTGGCCTGCAATCTCGCATTAGATGGAACTATGAATACCACAAAGTCAGGCCTCATAAGGGAACGAACACTATGAACGAGCGAATGTGGTGATCACTTGAGTTGGTTAAAAGAGTGGTACCATCTGGCGTCCACTCTGCGCTGCTGAAATGAGGAGGCTTGATGGGTTCTGGTGAATCAGAAGAAGGCGGGGCGACGACTACATCAACTTCAGATGAAGGTGTTGAGGCCACACATCTCGGTGCCCATGATCCAGTCATATCTTCCACCATGGTACGGTCAGGGAAATAGAAGACGCAGAAGATTTTTCGGCGATCTGATGACAAGTCTTCATGGGAACCCTTTTTCAAGGAGTGCAAATGAGAGACTTAGGGTCAAGCGTTAGAGAAGGAAGACAAGAAAGAACGATAACCCTAAGAGCAAGGGGATGAATAACGGCCAGAAGTGGTTGCAGAAGAAAAAGGAGGGATGGTTGGAAAGGACAGACTTGGGGTCAAGCGTTGAAGAAGGAAGGCAAAGAAGAATAACAAACCCAAAGAGCAAGGGGGCTAACATTCAGAAGTGGTTGCAGAGGGGAAAAAGGAAAAGCGGGTGGAAAGGATAGACTTGGGTCACCTGGGCAAGCGTTCTGATGATGACAAATCTTCGTGGGAACCCTTTTTTCAAGGTAAGTGGAAAGGACAGACTTAGGGTAAGTGTTAGAGAAGGAAGAGAAGGAAGAGCATGGGGAGGACTGGGGGCAGGAGTGGTTGCAGAAGGGGGGAAATGAGGGGGAAATGAGAGGATAGACTTAGAGTTAAGTGTTAAAGAAAGAAGAGAAGGAGGAGCAAGGGAAGAACTGGGGGCAGGAGTGGTTGCAGAAGGAAAACGAGATGTGAGTGAGAGGACAGACTTAGAGTTAATTATTCTGATAACAAGTCTTAGTGGAAAGAACAGACTTGTTGTCAAGCGTTCTCAAAAGACCAGCAAGAAACGCAGATGACGGCTGTTCCCAAATCCTGGATTTATTCACAGGTGAGAGCGGAGCACCCCTGGATGGATGGAAGAAGTGTTAAGTGTTTGCGGGATGATATAAGGTATAGAAGACTAAATGATAGTCGGATGATAAGTCTTTCTGGGAACCCTTTTTTCAGGTAAGTGGAAAGAACAGACCCGGTGTCAAGTGTTCTCGAAAGACCAGCAGGGGATACCGACGATGGCTGTTCCTAAATCCTGGATTTATTCACAGGCGAGAGTGGAGAGAACCTGAATGGATGGAAGATGGATAGAAGAAGTGCCGAGCGTTTGCAGGACAATATAAGATGCAGAAGACTATGCGGTAGTCTGATGACAAGTCTTCGCGAACCTTTTTTCGAGGTGAGTGCGAAGAACAGGCTTGGGGTTAAGCGTCCTCAAAAGACCAGCAGGGGATGCCAATTAGGGCCGTTCCCAAATCCTATATTCCTTTTAAAGCGAAACAGGAGCAGCCTTGGAAGAATGGAGGATGGATAGAAGAAGTGTCGAGCGTTTGCAGGACGATATCAATGCCAAGACCAGTCTTGATGAACAGCCTCGATTATACTCGTTAATCGTTCAAGGGGCAAACAAAGTCCACTGTGATATAACTTGGTTCTTTAAATCCGAAGGGACAAAATAAATGGTATATTAGTACCTTTTTGTGCGAATGATGCGTAAATACCAAATCCAAGTAGGGCTATATTGTTCATGCGTCGTTGAGTCTTCGGTTCGGATGAATTATTGACCGCCGCAAATCTTATCGGCGACGCGCAGTGAATGTTTGTTCTAGTGTAGGATTGAGGAATTGAACATTCCAGCCATGTTCGCCCCTAAAACCTCTGCTCCATCCTCTGGTGGATTGACCATCAATACCAACTCCGCTAATTCTCTATTGTGAGTAATCATATACCATATACCCCAAGCCCATCCACCATGCTGGTCACCATCCGATGCCCTCGTCGAAGCTTTATTGGAGCTTACGATTGAGAGCTCCTCGCGCCGCAAAAAAAAAGACTCGAAATTACCGCTCAGTACTAGCTTGAGCTCTGGATTGTCTGATTAGCTGCGGGTGACCGGGGGGAGTTAATCGCGCCCTTGATGAACAGCGACTAACAAAGCATCCCTTTGAATAGCGGTGGCACCAACACTCAAGCCAACTCAACATCAACCCCAGGAGCGTCTGGCACATCAGGGGCCTTATTTGGAAACACAACTTCGACTGCTCAATCAAAACCAGCGGCTAGTCTATTCGGGAGCACACAACCGGCTCAAACCACCGGTACCAACATGTTCTCCGGCCTAAGTGGCCAACAACCGTCAGGCGCGGCCAGCGGGGTTCTTTCGGGCGCAACCACTACAGCAACTACTCAACCTCAGTCGACCAGCTTATTCGGTGCTACAGCTGGGACAGGTATTGGCACTGGTGCTACACAACCAAGTACCGGTACGCTCTTCGGTGGCGGACTAGGAGCTAGCTCGACAACTCAGACACAAAAGCCTGCATTAGGCCTTGGTGGTCTAGGAGGAGGTCTGGGCAGTACGGCCACTGGAAGTAGTCTTTTGTAAGTTACAAAACCTTTCCTCCCCTCCTACTCCATAAATGAGATGAAACTAATCATTTCTTTAAACAGCGGTGCTCCTCAGAACACCCAACAGCAGACGCAGCAACCTGCAAAGCCCACCCTGTCTCTTTTTGCCAACTCAACCACTACACAAGGAACACAGCAACCGCTACAGCAAAATACAACTGCAGGAAACGTGGTTCCCGGCGTCAAGGTCGATGTGAGCAACCTTCTCCCTACCACCAAATTCGAGAGCTGCGCGGATGAGCTTCGTCGGGAGATTGAAAATATCGATACAGCCATCCTGGAACAAATTCGAGTGTGTCATGAAGTGGCCGACATGCTTCCTACAATTGAACAACAGGGAACTACGATTCCCAACGATGTTGAATTTGTGCAGAGCAAGCTGGACACCATCCAGCATGCGTTGGAGAATGATGCGAGTGATATTGATCAGCTTCGCGGTCTAGTAGGCCGAGATGCAGCCGAGGCTCAAGTTGCTTTCCGTGCTATTGACACTTTGAAGCTACCCCTGCAATATCAGTCATCAGGGGGCGGTGGCTGGTGGTCAATGCATGATCAAAAGGTTCCAGATCGCGGATCATTGCGATCGACTCGAAAGAATACGTTAGCACTCCCTGATGACGTGGAAGTTGACCAGTCCACCGCTACTACGGTCAATGGAGTCCCTGTCAACCTGGTGGATTACTTTTCCCAGCGTGCAGATGAAATGGGCAACGTCCTCGGTCGCTACAAGGGCAACCTGAAGGAAATCGAGGACCACTTGCACGGTCTGGAACTCAACTTGAACCGCCAGATTAATGAATTTGTCAGCTCCAAGTCTCGTGATGGTTCTAGCATCGGTACACCCAAGTCTGCAGTCAATGACCTGGCTGCTGTTCTGGGAGATGTCGAGGCTGGCATCATGGGTGTCGCAGCTCGTCTGGGTGGAGTAACTGAGCAAGTTCAGGAGGTGACCCTCGGGCCATTGGGGCTGGGTGACAGTCGACTGGGATGAGCAAACGACCGAGCTATCTTCAATCCTAATGTACAGTAATGCAATGAGCTGGTCTTTGAATATGCGATAAAATCATGAAACGGATTTATGGGTACCAATCCTTTCTATCTTTAGATTTCTGAATATCTAGATAAGATGATTTACTCCGTAATCTGACCAATTCCGAAATCTGTGTAGCTGATGACGCCTTCTGCCCTCGGCCATCCATGGCTTACAAACCCGTCTGATTGATAAGAAATAGTCTTACAGGATCATGAAACACGCCAACTACATGGAGATGCGGATCCAATGGAAGATCTCAGACGACTACGGAGTAGAAACATCCAGACCTGAGAGATTTGGAACAATCCAATGGGGAAAAGTGGATATGATAAAGCGTGCGGCGCAAGAAGCCGCCACTCTTGCGTGATCGCCTAGCGCCCAGTTTGCCGTACTAGTACCCTCAAAACTATGCTAATTCTAACCTCCACTTTTCCCGCGATCAACAAAACAAGAAGTACATGGTCTGAAAACAACATTGCGTACGCTTAATCTGTGCGTATGTAAATAGCGGTGAAGGAGTTTCGTGTTCATCCCCTACTCAGCGGCCTCATTTGCCATCATGGTTATTTGATAGAGATGGACCAATCTTGCCATCAACGTCACCAAGATGGCGTGATCCGCGCCCCCCTAGCCTCAGGCGGGCCACCACCAATTCTGGGGGAAATAAGCAGTGCTATTTCTAAACTGACCCCATGAATCCACCATTCTCAGTGTCGTCATTGGTTGAACCAAGAAATTCCACTCCCTTATTGCCGCGACGTCGGCGAGTTCTCATTTGTCCTGGGCCTGGCTTGGGTGATCACGTATGTCGATGGCGCGATCTCCGTAAAGTCCGGGGCACCACTAGGGAGGCTACGCAATTGCATCAGATCTTCAGGAGTTCTATTATGGGTCTGAGTCACTAGGGAAGTATCCACAAGAGCTCTTAGTCTCTCTCTGGGCTTTTGAAATCCATGTCTATAAAAGGCTTCTAAACTGCCTTGGCTGGTGAAGCTTATACTTCTGTTCCCACCTCAACCAAAGGATTGCTTCTTTTTAACTTTCTCTGTAATTGAGATCATTGAGATCATTGAAAACATTCAAAATGGCTCCGTCATTAGAAGAACCTATTGTCCCCTCTACACCGGTTGCCAAGCTCGTCGTCCCTACGAAGGGTGTCGCGGGTAACAACAAGTTCGGCTATATCCCTGGGCGTACTGTTGTCGAAAAACACACCACCTACGAACATGAAGACCTTTTACCTTCTTTCCCAGATATCCATTGGGCTCCATTGGAAGAGAATGTTCATGAGGACCGAGGTATCCATGGGGATCCTAAGTTTCGCAACCTCCTACAAGATGCCTCTGCTGTGTTCGACTATAACCCCAAGATTGGAACAGAGGTCCATGGAGTCGACTTGGCAAACCTCACCAGCGCACAGCAAGATGATCTAGCCCGTCTAGTAGCATATCGAGGAGTAGTCTTCTTCCGTGACCAAAAGAACCTGGATATTAATGCTCAGCGTGACCTGGGTCGACACTTTGGAACCCTACATAAGGTTAGTAATATATGCCAATCTACTTCGAAAAGTTCATCAAGTCTTGACATTTAAAATAGCATGCTACCACATCTGTTCCCCGCAAGCAGGGTCTTGAGGATGTTCATGTGGTGTACTCTGCTGATAATGCCCCTGACAACCGTGCTTTGTTTAGTCCCAGCTTTCTGTGGCACTCAGATGTATGTTTTGCACTTTGGAATATTGTTCAAATCATAACTAACAATTACGATAGGTGACATATGAAGTGCAACCACCATCATACACCATACTTAAGGTGCTCACTGGTCCCCCTAGTGGAGGCGGCGGTGACACCCTCTGGTCTTCACAGTACGCGGCATACGACGTCCTGTCCTCGCACATGCAGACCTACCTCAAGGGCTTAACAGCTCTCCACTCCGCAGACATGCAAGCCAATGACTCGCGTGCCATTGGTCGACCTGTACGTAGAGAGCCCGTCACTACAGAGCACCCTCTTATTCGAACAAATCCTGTCACTGGTTGGAACAGTTTGTTCTTCAACCCTGGCTTCGTCACCACTATCGTTGGCATTCCCAAGGGCGAGAGTGATGCCATAATTCGATACCTCACAGATGTGGTTGCTACAACCCAAGAGGCACACGCTCGTTTCCAGTGGAACAAGGGTGATGTCGCTATTTGGGATAACCGAACTACAGTATGTACCTCTACATCGAGTCTTATAAACATTATACTAACTAGTCCTTCTAGAACCACTCTGCGACATATGGCTTCACACCACACCGACGACATGCTGTTCGTGTAGCATCACAGGCTGAGCATCCCATCCTTAAATCCTCTGGAAAATCACAAGAAGAAGAGCTCAACGCTCTGTACGGACTGCCGGCAGTCAACAAGGATGGATCGCGCCAGTCAAACTACAACGACTAAAGGTTTCTGAGAAGAATGGAATGGGTCCAAGATACATAATTAATTTCCAAATCTTTTAGCGCTCTTTCATGCACAGTTAGCGAAATTCAGGACCTCAAGACTTATCTATACACCGCTTTTGCCTAGAAGTCATTGTATAGACAAACATGATCACGCACTTTTTAGGCGAGCGCGTTACTTCACATTAATCCCACATCCCCACTGTCTCTCTTCTAATTTCCCTCTCAATCATCTTATTTCATACGGTCTTTTCTTTGTCCCTAAAGTCAAGATGGATCTCCCAACAAACAATTCCCGCCTTTTAAAATATGCCCAATCCCGAGGTTTTGCCAGCCACCCATCTGAGGTTGAAGTAACGTCAATTTTCGTTGAATATGACCAGTTTTGCCAGCCCGACTTTGATTGCAACGGATTTCCAAAGAAATATCAGGGCTTCTTTTCTGGGCAAACCACGAAGGTTGAATCACAGAAGCTAGGTCTCGATCAAGAATCTGCGTATGCTCTGTGCGCAACACAGAGACATATGAGAGCTCAACCACAGATAAACTGGACCAAGACTCTTCCTTCATTAGATCTCTCCTTCACACCGCAATCTGGGGGCCCAATGGATACTGAACATGACGAGGACAACTTGCGCACCACCTTTTCCAAGACCGGGTTGGGGGTTGATTCTACAGAGCTCCTTACAACAAAGCTGCCACTTTTCCTACGTCAAGATCTTCTCCCGCCTGAAGGGGTGCAGGAAAGCAAGACAACATATGATGATAATTTTGAGCCAAAAAAACTGATTGCTGGCTTTTCTTCCCTCGCACTTATGTCTAAAGCACGGCACAGTGTCAGCCTGTTAGATACTGCAGTTCGGTGCGGTGCCGACCCGTTTGAAACAGAACCGCAGTCCAATGCCATCCCGTTGGAAACAGGTGTGAAATCAATGTTCCATCAGCTGCTAAAGATGCACAAGGTATTTTCTTTCTAATTCAGTCAAAGGGCAAGAAGCTAAAGCATCCCAGTCGGAGCTCGTTTGTCCCAGTGATCTTCCCCTCGTACCTGAGTTCACCACTTCACATGATACATCCAACCCCATCCACGCCCCCATCCCATTTCTACCATTTGAAACAGCAGTCTCATCTGACCTTTTGACACGTGCCAGAGACACCACCCAAGTAGGCTCTGTGAAGACTTCAGGCGAACCTGTCAACACACCAGACTCAAGTCCAGACACACTAGACAACAAAAAATCCAATACGGTATCAAACCACTTTTTCCCAGATTCAACAAAGGACAACATCAGCTCAGCTCATGTTGCACTTGAGGTAAACGAGATGACTCTTGATTGTGAGATGCCTTCGCTCAAAGACACTGCGATTGGCAATCAACCACGTCAAAGCTCCGTATCTGGATCGCATGAAAGCTCAATCAACCCAGCCTCACTTACCATGGGACTTGGTTCCCTATCGAAATTCATGGAGACAAGAGGCCTTAATACCTCTACTGAGTCTTCAAGCAATCCTCCATTCTCCTCTGACGTCTTCATGGATTCTGGGCAAAAACAATCAGACTCAACCCCCTCCGAGACCACTAATCAAGTTAGTGATACCGGCACCTCATATCAACTTATGCGTCTTGACACTCCATCCACATCTATTACATATGGAGCGGACGTGCCTTTGGCCATTTTCTTATCAGCAGACCTTCTCAGAACCAATCTCCCTCTCGTCCAATCTTTAGAGCAGCAAGACGATCCACCAAAGCTCCTCTATCGAGAATACACCCCATGGCCAAAGCCTATCAAAACAAACATACCAGTCCCAAGAAAGTCGAATTGGGATTTCTCCGAGATACCTCCAGAAGCCGATCTTATCATCGCCCCATCTGTCGGTATCATCCTCGCAACTGCTCAAGATCTCACTCAGCTCTATCTCCCTGGCCACGGTCCCAGGGATCCCGAAATCCGAAACACCCCAAACGTCACATCCCCTCTCCGAGAGCGTATCGCGCGTCTAGCCTCACGATACAAAACTCTCCACGTACTGGTCAGTCATCCAACTTCAAACTTCATGACCAATCCAAATGAACCCGCCTTGTCAGATCGACAACTACGACTTGACAAATTTACACATGACGCAATCGCCTCCATGAACGACTTTTGTCGCTTCTTCAAGACAGACATAGCCCTTGTTCATACTCCTGCTATTCCGGAGAAAATAGCAGAGTTGACAATAGTCCTCGCGACGATAGCGAGTTCGGGGCTACTGCCAATTCATATTCCGCCAACTTCATCATCATTGGACGAGGTCTTTGAATCGGTTTCCGTTCCTTCACTCCTTAGAGAAGATGAAACGCGTTGGGAATTGTGTCTTCGAAACGTGGGTCTGAATCCTTATGCCGCAAGGGTCGTTCTTGATATCCTTGAGGCTGGCGGGCGTGTAAGTGTCTCGTGCAGTCTTTCTCGGGGGGCAGTGGATCCGGAGTCTGCTTGTAGCATGTTCTTGAAAATGGGTTATCACGAACGAATGAGTCGTTTCCAGCTACTTTTGGGGGAACATTTGCTACTGTACTTGGAAGAAAATCTCCTGGATATTTACGATGAGCAGGAGGATGATCTTGATTTCAACTCAACATACCGGTCTTATTCTTTGTGAAGCAGTTCTAGCTAACAGCTCAGTGTGCGATAACGATATGAATGATATCTTCAATGGTGTTATGTGGAGAAAGTACAAGTTAAGTTTAACTCTCCTGTAGATCATCGAAATAAAGGAGGCTGTAGAGAGGAGATGGTCATAGAATTATCAACTGTCCGCCAGCACAGACACGGACAAGACAAGTTGAGATTGGTTTTAATAATACATTGGACAAAGACATGCAAGACCCAAGGCCAATCCAGCGCTTCAAAAACTCAGTAGTATGCAAAGGTGAACATGAGGTCAGGATACAGCCTATTTGACATGCACCCTGAACCCCGGAGAGGTATTTTAATTATTTTTGTAGGTTTTGTTCTTGAGATCGTTGAGAGTGGTCGAGCTCGTGACTTCGCTTCGATATAGTACACGCTGGATGCATTCCTTTCCGCCGATTGGGCAGACGAGCAAGCATTCAGATAAGGAGGAGGCGGAAGACAGAGTTAGATAAATGCTTTTCAGCAATTTACTCGCTGATCTTGGCAAGGATCCTGTATGGCATGTTAGCGTTATTCAAGGCTCGGATGTATTGAACATTAGTCGGGTTGGAAACATACTCAGAGTCACGGAAAAGGGTGAACTCCTCCTCGCCAACCTTGATGGGGCTGCCACCGAACTATAGAAGAAATTAATTAGTATCAATTGGGTATATGAATAGAGCTGACGCGCTGGGATGCCAGACGCGGAAGAGCTCGGGACAGCATTGAGAGTCAACTTACCATGGGGATCAGGACCTTGTCGCCGGAGGTAACACCCATGGGAAGGCGCTTGCCATCCTTGTCGAAGGCACCGGGGCCGACGGCGAGAACCTTGGCCTCGTTCTGCTCCTTGACACTGCTCTCAGGGAGGAAGATACCGGAGGCAGTCTTGGTCTCGGGCTTGATGCGCTGGACCAGGACACGGTCCAGGAGGGGGGGTGAGGTTCTTGATGTTACGGAGGATAGACTATTAAGATTGAAATTAGCATGTTGATTAAGGGAGAGGGGGTGTTGAGTTAGGATTTGTTGAGTTGGGTCCGGGAAAGAGAGAAAAAATGCGCGGGAGGACTTCAACACAAGTAATGCTCGATATCAAGCTTGAAATGGAAATTGAAGTGATAAACTGGGTGTAATTCAACTAAAAACGTACCATTGTGATGGAGAAAGAAGTCGTGAGGCCAAGAAGTGATGTACGTGGGATGGAGAAGGGAAGAGGAAATGTCCGGGGGAGGAAGATCTGGAGTTTCGCCGCGAGAAATTTCCAGAATGCCAAGACCCGTAGCTTGTCCCGAGGGAGAATCCCGATTACACACTTCGGCATCAAGGACAATTGGATATTACATAGTCACCTATTCCGACTTGAATAGTGAAATTACTGATAGATAGTACTCTTTACTGGTTCTAAGCTCATGCCAGGACAGACAAGCTATTTCCTTAAAATGATTCTCTATATCATCAATAGCATCCCGGTACTCCGTAAACAGCTCCGTTCTCCCGAATACAAGATTCGCAATCAATTTCAAGGTACAAAGAGGCAGGAAAATGCAAAACTAAAGGCTAGAATCAATAATTCATTTGTTATAAAACGCCAGTGTCCATCCTTTGACCCGGAATCCACATAAAAGATGATATGAGAACTGCTAAGCTAGAACGAAAGCTACCACCTCCGTCCACGTCCCCGGCCTCCATAATTACCGCGTTGATCGTAGCCTCCGTATCCCATTTGACCTTGACTTTGTTGTCCAAATCCTTGGCCCTGTCCCTGACCTCCAAAACCTGGTTGGCCCTGAGGACCGCCAGGTTGACCGCCCATCATCGCCTGTGCGCTCTGCATGAAGGTCATCGGGTCCATATTAGAGGGGTCAATGCCCTGAGCCATCATGCCCTGAAGCATCTGCTGCATCATATCGGGTGACATATCAGGCATACCGGGCATGCCAGGCATAGCAGGTGGGCCACTTCCAGGGGCACCGGGACCAGGAGGTCCACCAGGCATGGGAGGCATTCCCATTCCCAAGAAAGACTGCATATCGTCCATCTGTCGCTTCTGGTCGCCAACCTCCTTGCGCACCTCCTGTTGTTTCAGGCAATAGCTAACCCATGTGAACTCATCGAAGCCGTAGTTGAAGTAGTCAGAGATATCCGAGCCTGGCCGCCGCCAGGGCTTGTCATCTGCCGGGAAATCTGAGTCCATGTCTGTAGCCATGATGGTCTTGCCGGTCGACGGGTGAACGGGGTTTCCATTGATGTCAATGGTAGAGGTGTGGATAGCTGGATAAGAGGAGCCTGGCTTTTGGTTCTGGGGCATGGCAGGTTTCCCAGGCGCTACCGAGCCGGTTCCAGGGAGCTGTGTCGGGGCATCGGGACGAGGTGTAGCAGAAGGGGTTGCTGATTTAGAGACCGCCGATGAATCTGCAGAAGTAGGTCGTTGCGGATCTTGTCGTAAGCTTGCATGGCGTGGATGAGAGCTTCAAGGATTAGCAAAGAGTAATATGAATATGCTCATGGAGCGCACAGCTTGGGGTCTTACATCTCTGGTGGAGGTGCGTCGGCAGGGGCCTCTGTAATAATATTGAAATCATCCTAATCCTTCATTAGCAAGTTGTTCAGTGTGCGACAAACAGAGGGCAGCAATTGGAATCGAACCTCGTCAGACTCCTCCTCCTCTTCTTCATCGAAATCCTCCTCAACTGGTTGACTCAAAGCTGCATCCTGGGTGTTATTTGGTGCTTGGCTCGGTGTCACCGTGTCAGCAGGGTCGTAGAAATCATCCTCTTCGTCTTCCATTGTGATTGACATTTAATTTGAATGTTTTTGGTGTAGAAATCACCGCGCGACTGGTGACTTAATCCTCCGCAGGTAAATGTGAGTTTGGAGTGTTTGCACCTGGCTTGCCGCTTTGAGCTGGAAGTTCAACCACTTGGAAGATTGGCGTAGACTGGATTTCCGGTCCAAAGTTTTGTTCAAGGGTCTTTTGAATGGTAAAAGATGAAATTTTTTAGAGGATAAAATTTTCAAGTTCCAACGTCTTTGAATATGGGGAGGAGTTGAAGCAGAGTGAATGCTATTGTCCGGCTGTAGGTGAATGCCACTGACAGTGAATATATACTAGTGCTCAAGTGCTCACAAGTCATGCTCTACTAGGTACAGACTAGGAGTAGTGAATTGGAACTTGAAGCCCCGTGTTATCTACATATTAGGGCTATAGACATGGCTATCAAATTTCATAATAAGAAAAATCATCTTTATACACAAATTCAGAAATTGAATAGAAAATTTGACAGTCAATTGGAAGTGTTTAGCAACATCTTATCTGTACCAAGCAGAGCTGATAGTAGGTCACGTGCAATCCGCCATGAACATTGAGATGGCGATATTCAACATTTTGAATCAACTCATCTATTCTTGACAACCACCTTCGAGCCGTGTGAATTAATCTTGCGCACAACATGGCAGACCAGGAGAGTGGAACCTCCAACCAGCGGTCCTTCAAGGGCCAGGCCACCTCTGCGGAGGATATGCTCAAGTCGCAAACCGTCGGCTTAGTGCATCTATCGGACTTTCGCAAGCGACGCGCCGAGGTCTTGGAGCAGAAAGAGCGCGAGGCGCATGACAAGTCGCTAGGAAGATTGGCATCTGGTATTTCAAGAAGTGCAACTCCTTCCACAGGCGAGATAACTGACGGGTAAGCCAAGGGCCTCTCTATCCCACGACTTCTTTTCTGCTTAACACATAAGCTAATCGATTCTCCACTGGGTTAACAGATCGTCAACGCCTCGAAGTGATGGACCTCCCAAGAAGAAAAAGAAGAAGGCTCTTGCCAAGAGCAAGCTGTCCTTTGGCGATGACGAGGAGGAGACCGGGGAGGATTCAGCAGCAACACCACGCGAGTCCAGCATTTCCCGCTCCGGCTCAAAGACACCAGCCGAAGAAAGCGCAAAATCAGCAGCTGTTCGCATGAAGGCAAACCCAAATGCGCCGCCTCCACCAAAGGCCCAGACCAAGGCGGCGATAGAAGCTGAGGCGCAAGCTCGTGATACGCTTCGCAAGGAGTTTTTGGTCATGCAGGAGGCTATCAAGAACACGGAAATCCTTATCCCATTTGTATTCTTCGATGGCACAAGCATACCTGCCGGGTCGGTCAAGGTCAAGAAAGGAGACCATGTATGGCTGTTTTTAGATCGATGCCGTAAGGTCGGCGCTGAGCTGGGTGTCCGCGGTGCTAGTGGAGCAGCCAAGGCGCGCAAGGACAGTCGTCGAGAATGGGCCAGAATCAGTGTTGATGACCTGATGCTTGTAAAGGGCAATATCATTGTTCCCCATGTGAGTACCTCTTTCCCCCAGTGGCATCCGTGATTATTTATCTAACTGAACATAGCATTATGAATTTTACTATTTCATCTCCAACCGTGTGTCTAGCTTCTCCAAGACAGGAGGGCTACTGTTCGACTACTCAAACAAGCCTCCGCCAGAGCGATCAGACGACAATCCTTTGTTCCGACCGAGCGATCAGCAGCTGGAGGGCGAAGACAAAGACTCTGCAGAGACTAAAGTTGTAGATCGTCGCTGGTATGAAAGAAACAAGCACATTTACCCAGCAAGTCTTTGGAATGAGTATGAACCAGGCAAGGAATTCGAAGAAAAGATGAGTTCAACCCGGCGGGATGCAGAAGGAAATACATTTTTCTTTTAGCGTGATTATTCTGCATTATGTTTTATTCTTTCAGGGTTGAATATACCAGGTGTTTTGTGGCTTAAAAATAGATTCATGAAGATATTATCCATAGATGTTGGATAAAGGCGGGCACTTTTTTGCAGCCAAACCATTTCCCCAATTCTTCTCCTCTTCCTACCTCCTTAAAACAAGTCCACCATGGATCACTATATGCGATGCAATGCTCTCACTTGCCGTTCAAAATTGAGAGATAAGGCCGTTGTCACAACTTGCTCGTAAGTTGATTCACATATTACCAGAGCCATAGAGACTGACGGGTGTTAGTCACATCTTCTGCCTTGGGTGCGCAGATGGCTCAGGGCTCTCTCACTCCTCCATCCAGAAACGTCGGTGCCCTGCATGCCAGACGGGCCTTTCAAACCCTGATGATGCGGTTGTCACAGTCTTGAGCCCAACAGAGGATTATAAGACCAGTGTGCTAAGTGGCCTCGACCCTTACACCATCATGGAGTGCGCGGGCCGTGCGTTGGGGTTCTGGGCATATCAAAGTACACAAGAGATGTAAGTCCGTCCGTTGAAGATGAATCCTATCCCGTATGACAAAAGCTGACCGACTGGAATCTAGATGCTATCAAGAGTTTGTGAGCAAGAACTTCACCGAGAAGTATACTGGTCTTAAAACTGAGACGGATAAGGCTGCCTCCAACGCCAACTCAGAAATTTTCAGCCTTCGCAAGAAGGTCTCAGGTATCTTATTTTGAGATATGGCAACCAATGAATGAAGAACTAACTTCAAGATATCTAGATCTGCAAGCATCACAGGAGGAACTGAAAAAGAAGAACCAAGAGCTTGTTGATCAGTACCGCGAAAAGTCCAAAAAGCTATCTCAGATGACAACTCTGTACAACTTGCTCAAGGCACGCACATTACACTCTCAAATGGAGACTGCAGCTGCCAACTCTGTGACCAAAACTCTGAAAACCAACTCCTCACGAAGTGGTCAACCTACTGTAGCCACCCCATCGGGATCGTCATACGCCCCAAGCCTTCCGAACATTCCACAAACATCTTTCCCAAGAACATCTTCTTCAAGAGAGTCTGTTTCAACAATATCTGTGCCAAGAACATCTTTCCCCGTGGACGCTGATGGAGTTGAGCAATTACACCTATACCAAAAAAGTGGCTCAGCTGGCTCAGGTAGCTCATCCCGCTCCAACCGTGTGAGCAAGACCCCTGTTAAAGATACCTCAATGGGCCCTCCACTTTGGCCAGCCTCGTGGACGAGAAACCGTGAGTAGTGATATCAAGTGACACCATAAGTGGAATTGATACTGATTGACCATCTTAGGTGGATCGGGTGGTAGCAGCCTGAATCATCGCACTCGACTTCCGCGTGGTTCTTCCCGATCGAGCTCTCGTGGAACTATTCGGCCAGAAGTACTGGCAGTGGGATTCGGGAAGCCGTTTGATATCGAAGCACCAAAAAGGTGATATCCAGTTCCATTGATCTATACTTATAACTCCGATGAACGCGTGAAAGAATGTATTCATAGACCAGATGGCGTCTAGCACGGATCAAAGTTTGCGTTATTTTTTTATTATCTATACCCAGCTTATTCAAAAAGCAATGCATTCCTATAAGTTACCAATTGATGTTTGTGCATCACTAGCCCCATGTATCATGATCCGACCTTGAATCTCAGACCGCTGGCTCTCATTTATCGAGCTAGCACAAGACACAGAATACATGCATGTGTATGCACGCGTATCAGCATAAACCTGAACCCTTACCTCCCAGGTGTCAGCTACACCAAACAAACACGCAAGATTCAATTATCACAATCCCACATCTCCAGCTTTTAACTATCTTATCATCTCAAGACCTCTTTCCAGAAATGGTTAGCCATAGCCACCGTTATCAATCTCCCAGCCTCCCCAGCCTCCCGCTCGCCCGGATCCAGTCTCGGAGCAGCGGAAGCACGTCCACACCCTCGGTCCAACCACGCAACCCACGCACAATGAGATATTCAAGCACGGTCCCTACCTTATCTTTCTTTGATCGGGTGTTCCTGGCGATCAGGCTCTAGATCGGTGGGTTCTATTTTACGTGAATCCGGGGAAGCTCTGGTGGAGTCGTATATATTGTATTTTTGGTTTTGGATACATACGGGTATTTTTGATATTTACTTCTTCACGGCTGGCACTTAGGGCTACTAACATTCCTATCTAAATATTGTTGATACTAGCGACCCTTTAGATAGATTTGGTCCAAAAAGTTAACTGAATGAATATGATATTGAGCATGCCGATATCAAATATAGCTGCCTCTTGGCATATCTACGAATGCCCAGGTGTGTTATCATCTGGACCCTCTGGTAGGTTGGGCAGCATTATAAGACTTGAGATAGTTATAACTACTTGGGCAAAGAGCTTTAGCTATTCTGATTTACGGATCAAGAAGTGTTCGTATCATCACTGTATTATCCGATGGGAAATCATCTAAAATCCCCCGGGAAAGGTGAACATAAAGGAAATCTAATCATGTACGTCGGCACCAAAGCATCTGGTCTGTTTTTGATTTTTTCTTTTTCCTTTTGTCCGGGCAAGCAATAAACGCCAAACCCTTGACCAGCAAAACTTAGAACAGACGCCGTGGGATGAGGACTGTGTTCTCAGCCCGGCAACCCCGCGGGGTGGCATCATCCCGCAAAATTCATATCATGCCATGCATTATACCACACACAAACCCACATGCAACGAAGGGGAGGCGCAACGCTGCAAGAAATAACAAACAAGAGGACCCAAATTCCCAAAACAAAACCCGATTCACATTTATACGCCGAATTCCTTGACATCGGTCTTCTTGCCCTGGAGAGCCAGAGGCACGATGCCGGAGACGTGCATCTCGGGACCGTAGACGTGCATGTCGAGGCCGAGCTCGATACCGGCGGCCTTGATGTTCTTGAGACCCTCCTGGTAGTTGGGACCAGCACGACGGACCCAGATCTGGACCTTGTGCTCAACGAGGACAGGGGCAACGTCACGGATGGCACGGATGACACCCTTGAAAGTGCTGGCAACGTTGGTGAAGTTGGCAATACCACCACCAATGAAGAGGACCTTACCCTCGGGGTGCTGAGGAGCACGCAGCATCAAGTCCAGAACGGTCTTGGCGTAGTTGTAGGTCTGGGTCTCGGTGGGAGCACCGGAGTACTCTCCGTAGTTAGCCAGCTCGGAAACGAAACCAGCGGAGGCAATGGCATCGGCGTAGACGACGGAAGCACCACCACCAGCAACAAGGGTCCAGACACGACCGTTGGAGTTGAGGACAGTCAGCTTCAGGGAAGCACCGGTCTTGGCGTCCATGTCGGAGATGAACTTCTCCTCCTTGCTCAGCTCACGACCGAAGGGGGCGGGGAACTCCATCGGCGGACCAGCGTCGATGTTGACCTTGCCGTCGGTGGAGGCAAGAACGGGGAGACCCAGAGCGGCGGGGCTACGAGCGACAGCCCACTTGGTACCACACTCGAACTCAGCAGTCTGGTCGAGCTTGGCAGCCAGATCGAGGAAGTGAACGTCGGCGGAGGTGGCATCGGCGTTGGGGATGACAACCAGAGGGTTGATCTCCAGGTAGGTGAATTGGCAGTCGACGTAGACGGCGTACAGGCGAGAGATGAAGTCAACCAGGACATTGTGGACGCCCTTGGGGACCTTGCTCAGCAGGGCAGCGGCGATCTCCTCGTTGGAGGGGAAGTTCTTCAGGTTGACGGGAATAAGCAGCTTCTCGGCCTTAGCGTCAACATCACCGACATCGACACCACCCTCGTGGGTGAAGAGGATCCAGTCGCCCTGGAAAGATTATGTTAGTTTGTCAATTCTCAATTGCATACAAACTCGGGAAGCTTTCTCCAATTGCAAGTAGCACTTACCTCACGAACGGAGTTAATGTTAATGTAGTACTCAGTCTCCTGAGGGTGGGGCACGAAAGGCTCAACGAGGAACTGACGGAGGACACCGGTGACGGTCTCAACCAGGACATCCTTGGTGGCACGAGCATCAATCCACTCACGAGCCTCGGCCCAGGTCTTGTTCAGGCAGAGCAGACCGCTCTTTCCACGGCGCTTGATCAATTGATCGGGCTTAGCGACGAACTTGGAGCCGGGGGTCAACAACCAAGGGTAGGTAATCTCGGCCTGGTCGAGGACATCCTTGACAGTCTTGTCTTCGGGGAAGTGGAGAGAGGCGAGGCGAGGAGGAGGGTTGTGTGTCGAGGAAGCAGGAAGAGGAGTAGGCTTGATAACGGGAGCGCGAGTAAGGTGGTAGTTGAGGATGGCCTTACCATCGGCCTCGAGAATGGACTTGGCGGACATGATTGTATGTGTGAAGGGGAATATGGAGTGTGAAGAAGGAGAGAAGGAAGAGAACTTTTAGAAGACCCAAAGCTTAGAGGGGGGGAAAGAAAAAAGACTAAGACTGGAGAATACGGCGTACAAGGAAAAAAGTTGTGCTGGAGATTACAGCGTAGAATTGAGGGGAGGGATCCACCGGCTGTTGAGAGAAAAAAGAGCTGTGAGTTATGAGGTGGGGTATGTTGGGATTACAGCCACTATACATACACAGAGTAAACTTGAGCACTGTACAAGGATGATTGCACTGAAGAACCGATACCGCTATTTTAAATTAATTGAATATGTTAGAACTTGATTTGTGTAAATTATTTGATGAAATTGCTTTTTGGACATGTATACTAATCTGATTAGTTTAATAGTTCCACTTTGTTCAATGTTGGCCGGAATCCGAAATTAATTCTATTCAGGCAGCCCTAGTGTACATGTAGACGATGATGATGATGAAACGATACTGGTATAATCAGTCTATCCTAGATGAGAAATACAAGTCATCATGATTCTATGAATATATTAATAGTAGAATTCATCAATTGATCAGTTTGTTTTCATCATTTTTACTCTATTTATATCAATTATATCTTCTATAATAGATAAAAAATAGACCCTTTATAGAAGTAGACTTTGGTGGGGGTTAAATCAATGTAATAATACACTGTAATCAATACCGCCCCGCTGATCCAAGTGGAGCCCACAAGTATCATCGATACCCGGTACTTTGGGGAACTGTTGAGCTCCCACGGGAGGAGCTGTACACCGTATCTGCGAGTACTCTGGCCCCGCAGCTTTTTTTCCCCTCTGGTCCTCCTTCTCTTCTCTTCTCTTCTCTCAATTCCTTCACATAGCGGGTGTTTTGCACAAATACGTATGTTCTATCTCTTCTTTTATAATATCAACTCGCCGTGAAATATTCGGTCCCTCAAAAAAAACCTCACCTTAACACATCATACAGATTCATCATGCCTTCAACCTCTCTTTCGGCTGCCAGCAACGGCAACCAGTCTGCCAACGACAACATTACCCGCTTCAACCCTCCTAGCCGTGTCCTCTCTCCCCTTAACCACGCCCTTTTCCACAACAAGACACGATGCTTCGTATAGTAAGTCCCGCAAAAGTCCCCCACGTGAGGGGCATTCCCTCCACAAGACCACTCAATTTCCCCCTGATACCATGGGGGAGATGATTCAATTGAACAATTGAACAATCGAACAATCGAAGAATTGACCATCATGATAGTGGCATGCAACCCCGAGCCGTGCAGGGCATGCTCGACTTTGACTTCATTTGCAAGCGTACCACTCCCTCCGTCGCCGGTATCATCTACACTTTCGGTGGCCAGTTCGTCAGCAAGATGTACTGGGGCACCAGCGAGACCCTTCTCCCTGTCTACCAGGACACCGAGAAGGCCTTCGCCAAGCACCCTGACGTTGACACCGTTGTCAACTTCGCCTCTTCCCGTTCCGTCTACCAGTCCACCATGGAGTTGATGCAGTTCCCCCAGATCCGCTCTATTGCCATCATTGCTGAGGGTGTCCCCGAGCGTGTAAGTAAATCCGAATTGCAATTGGGAGTCAAAGAATGCAAAAGCTAACTCAAACATTAGCGTGCTCGTGAGATCCTGGTTGCCGCTCAGGAGAAGGGTATCACGATCATCGGTCCCGCCACCGTCGGTGGTATCAAGCCTGGTGCGTTCAAGATCGGTAACACCGGTGGTATGATGGACAACATTGTTGCCTCCAAGCTCTACCGCAAGGGTTCCGTCGGTTACGTCTCCAAGTCCGGTGGTATGTCCAACGAGTTGAACAACATTATCTCCCAGAACACCGACGGTGTCTACGAGGGTGTTGCCATTGGTGGTGACCGTTACCCCGGTACCACTTTCATCGACCACTTGCTCCGTTACCAGGCTGAGCCTGAGTGCAAGATCCTAGTTCTGCTGGGTGAGGTCGGTGGTGTTGAGGAGTACCGCGTGATCGAGGCCGTCAAGAACGGCATCATCACCAAGCCCATTGTTGCTTGGGCCATTGGTACTTGCGCTAGCATGTTCAAGACCGAGGTTCAGTTCGGTCACGCCGGTGCCTCCGCCAACTCTCAGCTTGAGACCGCTGTCTTCAAGAACAAGGCCATGCGTGAGGCCGGTATCCACGTTCCCGAGACCTTCGAGGACCTCCCCGAGCTCCTCAAGTCCGTCTACGACGCTGAGGTCCAGAAGGGCGTCATTGTGCCCGCCGCTGAGCCCGTTGTCCCCAAGATCCCCATTGACTACTCTTGGGCCCAGGAGCTGGGTCTCGTCCGTAAGCCCGCTGCCTTCATCTCCACCATCTCCGACGACCGTGGCCAGGAGCTGCTCTACGCCGGTATGCCCATTTCCGATGTCTTCCGTGAGGAGATCGGTATTGGTGGTGTCATGTCTCTTCTGTGGTTCCGCCGCCGCCTGCCCACCTACGCCAGCAAGTTCCTGGAGATGGTTCTCATGCTTACTGCCGATCACGGTCCCGCCGTCTCTGGTGCTATGAACACCATCATTACCACCCGTGCCGGTAAGGATCTGATCAGTGCTCTGGTCTCTGGTCTGCTGACCATTGGTTCTCGTTTCGGTGGTGCGCTGGACGGTGCCGCTGAGGAGTTCACCAAGGCCTTTGACCAGGGTCTGAGCCCCCGTGACTTCGTTGACTCTTCCCGTAAGGCCAACAAGCTCATTCCCGGTATTGGCCACAAGGTCAAGTCCCGTAACAACCCCGATCTGCGTGTTGAGCTTGTTAAGGAGTTCGCCAAGAAGCACTTCCCTAACACCAAGCTGCTCGACTACGCTATTGCCGTTGAGACTGTCACCACCTCCAAGAAGGACAACCTGATCCTGAACGTCGACGGTTGTGTTGCTGTCTGCTTCGTTGACCTGCTCCGCAACTGCGGTGCTTTCACTCCCGAGGAGGCCGAGGACTACCTGCGCATGGGTGTCCTTAACGGTCTGTTCGTCCTGGGTCGCTCCATTGGTCTGATTGCCCACTACCTCGACCAGAAGCGTCTGCGTACCGGTCTGTACCGTCACCCCTGGGACGACATCACCTACCTTCTGCCCACTCTCCAGAAGGGTGGTGCCGAGGGCCGTGTCGAGGTCAACCTGTGATTTGTTTCATGATTTGCAGCGCCGTCCGCTGGTGGCATACAGTCCATCCTCTGATTGGAGGATGGTGGAGTTTGGATGGTTGATCCATTTGTTTTATTTTTTTTTGCCTGAAGCAGTTTTTTTATGTATCTGCACAGCCCTTCCCAAGGGTAAACCGAGCTTGATGGACAATGCCACAAGTTTCAAAAACAAAAGGCTTGCCAATATTGGGAAACGGTGCCTATGCCCAGCTACGGAACTCTTGATTTAATTTCGTTTAGATGACTAGACCTCCTGGGACCTAATGAATGCCCTTGCATGATGAATATAAGCCTGTATAGCGATGAGGCATACCATTTAAGTGATCCGAATTGTAGACTCTTCCTCTACAGAGTTAAACTTCAAGTTTTCCAAGTACTTTATAGTAAACATGATGTAGTCAACAGTATTCAAATGTTCAAACTCATATTCTGTTTTGGGATGGCATTGCTACATAGGTAGTAGTAATTGCTTTTCTCTGCCCAGGTCACTTCAAGTTGTGAGTCGGCCTTCAAGTTCTAATGTTGTAACCCAAATCTGACCAGTTGACCGACCATATTCATGAATAACTTCGTGTCAATATTTCACATGTCCAAGTTCCACATATTTAAAATGCTAAGAGTTCAAGACCACTACTAGAAATCGAAAAATTATATTTTTCAAACTTTTACTAGTAGTTCGCTGCATGCCAGTGCGAACCTTGGAAGTCCGAGTCTTCTTGTATCCGGACTCTTGATGCCGATATCTATAAATAAACAATAACAGCCTCGCTGCTCGGCACCCGAATGTCCGCAACTCCATGGATTTTGTACCACAATAATACTCGTATCATTCCGAATTCCTTTCATCTCCAGCCCCAGACTTTCATACGTCCACTGACTCCCAGCATACGTGATAAAATCCGCCCCAGCCCCAGCGCCATAAGGACTACTCAACCGCGTAACCGTAAGCTGACTCTGACTCCCCAACCTCCGAATCCCAATTTCAGCAACAGGACGCCTTGTCCCCGAAGAAGTCTTATTCCAGTAATCCAAATTCACAATCACCACGTTTCGCAACCTCCTGATCAAAAGCCACATAGGCTGCAAGATAAGCATCACCAGAAGGACCGGAACTTGAACCATCAATATTAACCTTCGCTACCATCGTCTGCCCCGAATCCCCAATAAAGTCTGCTAAAAACGGCTGAGAATAGTAATTTGCAAAGACTTGCGCTTGTAGATCACCACTGGGGACAGGTAGCCAGAGATTGAATCCTGCGTGCATGGTCTGCTGGTAATTGAATCTCGATACACCTATACTAAGAGCATAGAGGTATAGATCTACAGCCCACAAAGCACTCCCCAAACGAGCTTGATAAGCGTATGAATTTGTCGAATCAAAAGAGTTCCCTATCTCATTGAGAACGTATGGGATAGATGGATGGTTTATTTTCAGATAGTTGATATGGTCACGGAAGTAATCGAGGTTTGCATGTGTTGTTGTAATGTTCATCAGACCAGTTGCAAGATCTGCTGCAGTTCCGGCATTATTTTGGTAATAGTGATGTGTGACCTCTTGCATAGAGGTACTATTATTATCTATGCCCAGATGGAAGATTGTTTCCACGTCGAATAACCATGCCGATTCAGATGGGTCACTGACTTCTTGACCTATATTGAACGCAGTGAAGAAGTAGGTTGGGAGATTGAGTTCAGCTCTGATAGCTATGGCATATCGAGTGAAATTAGGAACATAGGTTTCGTTTGTGAATGTCCCTTGCCATGCTGGTGGACCGAGGTATACATCATCTGTGCCGGCCACGGTATCACTGTATGCATTTGGCTCATTTTTAATTTGGATAGAGTGAATACTTTCAAGACCAATGCTTTCAATAGCTGTTTTAGCCCAGAGGAGTGTCTTACTGATATTGGTAGTTGCAAACGGCACTTGAACCATGTATTTCGCATTTGGGAAATTGTGCGTCAAAGGCCAGTAGTTTGGACCGATGCTTAACCCCTACAAATTTTTGAGTATTGTTTTGCTCGGCGATGGGGAGAACGGGGGAGGATTGTGTTGGTATGTATTTCCTGTAGTCAGCGGATGTACCATCGAGTCGAATAATCAGTTTACCTCCAGTGCGAGAGTAGATTGAGTTCATAAGATTGCGACTGAAGATGTTGATTCCGCCAAACTCGTCGGTTGCGTATCGAACCCATGAAGCTGCTTCAAAGGCTAGACCAGCAAAGTTTATGTCGACTTCCGAGGATGCAGTGGTTGGCACCGAGGAGGTGATGCTGATTGAGAGTGATGGGTTTGATAGTACTAATGAAGTGAAGGATTTCCAAAGTAGCCCAGAGGCTATTAGGTGAGTGGGTTTTAATAACATTATAGGAGGAAACGAGTTTTCGCTCCAAGGTTCAATAAGACGTGAGGTGATTCGGGGGCTGGAATCTAGATGTACATTCCAAGTCGATGAATTTTATATTTTTTTGATACTTTCAACTTTGTGGCTGTCATCATGATACTAATGAGAGGACAGTCTTCTTAAATCATGATCCATCTCCATGAAGATTGTGACGTGCTCATTTCATTGCGAGCGAATGGCTCGAGATGGATGTCGACGAATTGAATTTCAAAGAACTCGTAATGGCGATTAGACCCCGCAATGAGAGATAGCCATAGGACGAAGTACCTGCTAGGATTCCACAGGAAACGATTCAAATGACTTCTTGCAAGGACTCTGATCAATTGTGTGCTTCATTCGAGCTATGCCGCAATCAAAATGGGGCCGAGCGGCAGTATCCCAGGTGTTCTTTTTGCTTGCTGCATGTGGGCATAGCGTTCCAAGGTTGTATGATTAATTTGGAGGCTAGAATTTTAAGTCAACTTGTACCTAGATAATTTCGAGGTATAGAAAGTTATGGTGATATACACAGGGGTCAATTTTCATAGTATAAATGCGTAATATAGTAATGCGGGCACCTGGGGCGATCGATTGCCCCGCCATTTCCCACCTAGGTTGGGTTACTTGGGTACTAGCCTAACTTGACCTTGAAGTTCAAGAATATTGTCAACTAGTGAAACTTTTACAGTGAGCCCTGTAGGAGTTGCCAAAACTTACATGTGCCAGGTGCAGGACTCGCCTACAGAGTCATGTCTACTTTCACCCATCCAAGCCTTCCTGGGCCTAACCTGACTCGCATGATTCACCTTTTGCCGAGCAAGAATACAGACGCCCCATCGGGTGCACTCTTTTCGACTATGATCTATCAGACGGAGCTGGCGGGTTACACATCTATGAGGCTCTTTCCTATTGTTGGGAGAGTAATGTGAGGTCTGAGTTGATAAAGATCAACGGCTGTGCTTTTCTCGTCACGAAGAACCTCCATTCTGCATTACTGTATCTTCGTAACCATCAACTTCAGCGAACATTATGGGTGGATGCTATTTGTATCAACCAAGATGATTTGGATGAGAAGAACGCACAAATTCCACTCACGCGGAATATCTACGCCCAAGCTGGTCAAGTGATCGTCTGGCTTGGGGAGGGCCGGGACGGAAGAGACAAGGCGCTTGAAGGGATTCAGTGTATTGCAGGTCAGAATGAAACCACGCAATCCATGAGAGAGTTCCGTGATACAAGTTGGAAGCTGCTTCAGCGAGATTGGTTCCGCAGGATCTGGGTACGAACTCGAAAGCATCAACACTCCAAAATCTGTGGCAACTATTAACCACTCAAAACAGGTTCTTCAGGAAGTTGGTGTCGCACGATCTGTATCGATTATGTGTGGCCCTGTTCAAATCAGCGGTCACGCTTTCCGCGAAGGATTGAGTAGACTAGGACTTCCTCCTAGCCTGCAGTCTCAGATTAGCCCAGTCGCTTATCTAATAAATGGCGTATCTTTTCGACCAAGACGAGAAACTGATCGTCGTGGAGAGCTTTCTATAGGAGAGTTGATCAGCATGTATTGCAAGCATAGTGCTACTGTGCAGCATGATCGAATATATGCTTTGCTTGGTTTGAGCTCCGACGGCGCGCAGTCAGTTGCTCTACAACCAGATTACAGGCTTCCATGGCATGAGGTTTTCAAGAATGTCTTGAGCCATATATTCCCATAGTGTTCGATCAAGACATGGAAAAGCACAGCAACTGCTGTCATTCAAGGCAAAGGACGGATTTTAGGCCATGTTCATAGTGTCACGGAGGAAAGGTCTCTCTACGGCGGACATCATATCACAGTCATTTTTAACAAAGTAGCCCAGTCATTTGGTTATCAAAAAATATGGAAAGAGGAATGGAAAGTCCAGACTACTGCCAATTTGGTTCAAGAGGGCGATGTTACCTGTCTTTTGCAAGGAGCATCACAACCAAAGATTGTCAGGTTATGCAATGATCACTTCACAGTAATCTCAGCGGCTGTGATGCCCCAGCAAATTGAAGGAGAAAAGATCGATGACCCGCCAAAAAAAGGACACGATGTGACTGAACTGTGGGATATGCTTTTGACATGGAGCTTTCTTTTGGTTGATGTAGAGCCAGAGTCAGAAGAATCTCGGCTGGGTTTGATTAACAAGGTACCGGGATTTCAAGAATTACCCAGTGGACCCCATTCAAGGTCATGTCAAATTGTGTCCGTTATAGTAGATATTGCTGTGGGCACAGAAAGGGACTTGAATGAACGTTCAAAGAGCAAAGCATTGAAACGAATCCTTGAACAAACTGGAATAAGTGCTCCAATCATCGAAATGTTCCAGACCGCAGCTCAGATTCCGGACCTTATGGAAGTGTATTAATAGAAGTTGTTGCTCAACAGCAAGGCGAAAGTGGTGATGTCTCCGAAGAAGTGGTCAAAGCAGCAGCGGAGAATATTGGGGATTATGGACTGCAAGTGATGAATCTCTTGTTCGAACATCAAGGACAGAGCCTTCCAGTTTCTGAGCAAGTGGTTCAGGCAGCAGCAGCAAATACAGGAGAAAGTTGTGAGCAAATTCTCGAATGCCTATTTGAGCGTCGGTGCCTTCTCATATCCGAAGAAGTCCTCAAGGCAGCAGCAGCAAATACCGGTTGTTATTATAACGCCGCTCGACTCATGGCTGCACTCCTCAGACGACAAGAGCGGGGCCTCTTAACATCCGAAGAAGTTCTGAAGGCAGCTGCAGCAAATACTGGCAGTTTTACCCCTGAAGTCATGGAGGTACTCCTCAAATATCAAGAGCCAGAGCAAGAAAGCCTAATATCTGACGAAGTACTCAAGATAGCGGCAGCAAATACTAACTATCGTGCTCATGAAATCAGGGCTATACTTCTCAGACGACGAGAGCGGGCCTCTTAATACCTGAAGAAGTTCTGAAGGCAGCTGCGGCAAATCATGAAATTTATACCCGTCAAATCATAGATGTACTCTTCAAATATCAAGAGCCAGAGCAGAGAAAGCCTAATATCTAAAGAAGTGAGATAGCTAAACCACATAGATGCTCTAATCTCCCACGTCTCATGATGGTACTCCTCGAACGACAAGAGCCCCAGCAAGGCCGTCTAGAATCTGAAGAAGTTCTGAAGGCAGCTGCAGCAAATGCGAGCAATGATGCCTCTTAAATCATAGATGTACTCCTCCAACGAAGAATGGTAGAGCAACACCGCGTCATATCTTCAAAGGTGAGCAGTAAATACTGGGAAATCCGCGAAATGGATGATGAACAGTATTTTTGATCACCAAGGGAAGGGTCTCCTGGTCTCAGAAGAATTATTGAAAGCAGCAGCAACTGGAAAAATTGTGTCAAAGAAGTCGCAAAAAATCCCAATTGGGGGGATATGTTCGATGTTCTATTCCAAAGGTGAGGTGAAAGCGTTCCACTATTCAAAGAGGTGTTGAAGGCAGCAGCAGAGAATATCGGTGAAGATGAACCTAGAATTATGGAAATGCTCTGTCAAAAGAGAGAAGACCTTTTGATGCCCGTGTTGCAGAAGGAAGTTCAACTTCCTATCAACTGGCCATATCAACTGCCAGTGGCCATTTGATTCAGGCAAACATTAGGTGAATAGGCCAACGGTCTTCTGAAGGGAACACCGCCTGTATCTTCACACCCCTCTATACATAGAATAATCAATGTACTTCGTGACAGACCAAACCTCCTTTCCCAAGTATAATATATCGAACATTATCTTCAACGGTCTGAAGAGCCCATCGGAGCGGCAGTAATGAAGACCGGGGGGCGGGGCATCACACATAATCATGGAAGTACTCTTGGAACACTGAGGCGATAGTTAAATAGCACTTGCGCTGAGAAATTTCGTTTAATTGTACCTACCTAGATAGTGACCTCGGGAGGACCTCCTGGGAGGGTAACGTAGTGATGTGTAATCAGAATACACGTGTAGAGACAGCGTACCTACCTACCTAGGTAGGTAGGAAGACACCTGGACATACAATAACAACACCAAACCATATATTAGACGTGTGGAATGACCCCCTAGGGTCCGATCGGAGAGGTGTAAGAATGTGTATTCCTAACTAGTGCACAGCGACACTATATGGCGCGGTATCGTACATGAAGACATCCGATATAGGATGTCCTTCCAAGGTTTAAATGGAAAGCTGTCTGTATTTTTAGTATTCGTGATTTGATCACTGCCGAAAAGGTCCCTGGCTGTCAATGCAAGGCCTCTGATCAACCAGAGGTCCAGAGCAGGGAGATGTATGCATGGACAACATGGCATTCAATAAGCCGCCGATTCCATGATCAGTAGCATTTTCTTTCAGCTTATATGATTTGTCCCGACTTGTCCAGACGGGAATCCATTATTTTGAATTGGAGAAGAGGATGCTGGGTGATGCTAGAGCCTAGGTACCCAAGCCCAGATTCAACTTGACGATGACGGATAAGCCTTATCGCACCTCTTATCGCATCAACTCTTTTTCACCTCAACTCCACCAATTTTCTAACCCACATATCCCTCAACACAATGGTCCGCTTAAAGAACCGCTACCTCCTAATCGATATCCTGTATCCGGATCCTTCAACATGGCCTTCATCAAAATCCGATTCTAAATCCAAAGTCACGTCCACAACAAACGCGCAGTTAGCGATCCACTCACCTACATCCGATGCGCTGACAGCGGGACTTCTTGCGAAGATGATTCGCGAAGAAGTCAGTGAGCTATACGGAGATTATGGTGTCGGGAAGCTTGGTGGTGCGACTGCCGGTGGTATTAATGGTATGTTATATCAACTTTGCTTGCCTCGCATTGCATGCGCTAATAAGCTTTGGTCATCCAGTTAAATACCTCTCCCCTGCGACCTCAACTGCTATCCTTCGTTGTCCTCGTGCCTCGTTTCGTCTGGTCTGGTCTGCCCTTACATATATGTCCCATGTCCCTGCTCCAGGTGGTGATGTAGGACAAAAGCGGCCAAATGGAGGCCGAGAAAGACCTTGCGTGTTCCGCGTTCTCAGAGTATCTGGTACTATGAAGAAGGCTGAGGAGGAAGCCATTCGCCGAGCCAGAAGGGAGATTGTGCGCGTGAGAGGGGTTGAGGAGAAGGGTGTTCTTGGAGATTTAATTTCTGGAACATCTACAGCCGGAGAGAAGGAGAATGTTATGGACAGCATTATGGATGATAGCGAAGATGATATGGCCATCGACGAAGATGACTGATTTCGGTTCATTTTCAGATAAAAAGAATTTTATGACTAGGCTTGTCTGTATGATTAATGATACCCCTACTGAATATCCACATGGATTATGCGATATTATACATTGAATCTATATTTTCATTATATGGACATACCTTCATAAATTGCATTTCTATTGCTTGCGATGCACTTTCACCCCACTGTCTGGCATAGGTCCATTCCAATCAGCCAATTCTTCATCCTCGTGGAAATCATCCGGATCACCGTTAGCAGCTTTATGCGCTTCATCGCGCATCCGAGCCTCATCCTCCAACTGTTGTCTTTCCATCTCATCGTACTGATCTTTTGAGTCAAGCCATCTCTCCTGCACATCCCGTACATCCGAATGGCCCAGCCCTTCTCGCACTGCAACCTGCCAGATAGTATCATTGGCTCCCTCTGCAGGTCCAAAGGCATATCCAGACGCACGGTCAATGGCGTGAAGTAGACTCATCATGCTCTTTTTATCTTCGACGGCCAGCGTTTCGAAGGAGACGAGTCCGAATTCCTCAACAAGATTGATGATGGCTTCGTTCAGAGCGCTGAACTTGGAGTTTGCAAGGCGCGTGGATTCGGCTTCTAGGTGCGGTAGGAGATAGGTGAGGTCCTGAACCTCGGTATAGTAGTCTAGGTTGAAGGGGAGGTCGTTGTAGTTGGAGAGATTGTCGATTTTGGTGAGGACATTGAGATGTGGGAGGTCGAGTTGGAGCATAGCGCGGAGGGAAAGAAGAAGAGCGGAGATATACATTGATGGGAGTGTTAATGTGTACGAGTCAACGAGATGAATCACTATCAACTGTATATATAGCTGGTCAGTGAAATGCATTTGAGTCTGGAGAACAAAGTGACTAACCCGATAGCCCATCTTTTGAATTCGATAGAACATGTTCCGTAGAGATGAGTGATGTGTAAAAAGCTCTACCTGTCCAGGGCAGTCGAAAAGAACATAATCATCTATTGAAAACATGATTAACATACAAGCTTCTGAGACTTAAATTGGTTCTGCAAGTAAAGACAAACCTCCAAGCTCTTTGAGCCCATCTTCCAACCAAGAGAAATTCTCCTCCAACTCCTCGAGTGCATATAACGTAGCTCCGTTGGGACCAAGATGGTCCTCGTCCATAATCTCCTCGAGCGTTACAAGGTCGCGCACGTCCAGCGCGCACGGATATGAAGTCTTGTCGTTGGCGGGGTCAAGATTGACGATAGAGCACTTCCGGCCGATAGCACCAAGGAATTGATGCATACCATTGCAATATGTGGATTTTCCAGCTCCCGGGGGGCCGATGACCAGCTGAGCGAAAGGCATACTGGCGGCAGTAGATGGAGTAAGAGAAGACCAAGAAATTCAAAGCGTGTAGGTCACAGATTACAGCTTCAAATCGAAGATCTTTTTTTTCTTATCAAGCAAAGCGCGGGGAATGGGCGGTCTCCGTTGGCAGAAAAGCAACGGTGTAAAGCTGCAGCCGAACGGAGATCTCCAGGGCTGCTTCTTGTCATAGCACTCATAGCCTGCCCAAGATGTCGTCATCTAGTGAGTGGAAGTCAAATCCCGTAATCTCTATCACCCAAATCGCTAACATGCTCTAGATCAATTCACCGTCGCGTCTCCGCCAACAGATGCTATCTCCGCCTTGAAGTTCTCACCCGAGGCCGAATCGACGCGCATCGTTGTATCGTCTTGGGATAAGAACGTGTACCTTTATGACCTGCGAGATGAGAATGGCACAGTGGGAGAAGGAAAGCTTTTACAGAAATTCGAGCACCGAGCGCCAGTGCTAGATGTGTGCTTTGGCGATAATGAGAATGAGATTTATACTGCTGGATTGGATTGGGATGTACGCAAGTGAGTGGACCAACGGAGCTTTGGAATAGCTTCAAGCTATGCGAAGATTCTTCTACTGACTAACTACTGACGAAATTTATAGAATTGATATGAATACCGGCCAACAAACCGTGCTGAGTAGCCACGAAGCCGGCGTCCGCAGTGTTGTCTACAGCCCTGAGCATTCAATCGTCATCTCTGGCTCTTGGGACTCAACACTGCATGTGCACCGCACCGATGGCGGCCCCGATACCGAATCCCAACCCGCCGTTGTCTCGCTTCCCTCGAAACCCTTCTCCATTTCCCTCACATCCACCAAGCTGGTTGTCGCTATGGCATCTCGCGCCCTGCATATCTACGACCTGAAGGCGTTAGCCCTTCTCACCGCACAGGCGGATAGCGAAAGTACCAACGGTAACGGGTTGGAGATCGAGCCATGGCAACGACGTGAAAGCAGCTTGAAGTTCATGACCCGTTGTGTTGCTTGTATGCCCGGGGATATGGGATATGCTTCGTCCAGCATTGAAGGACGTGTTGCGGTGGAGTGGTTCGACCCTTCGCCTGAATCACAGGCGCGCAAGTACGCCTTCAAATGCCATCGTCAAACTAGCGAGGATGGATTTGATGTTGTGTACCCGGTCAATGCGCTCGCCTTCCACCCTGTTCATGGATCATTTGCGTCGGGTGGTGGTGATGGTGTTGTCGCACTGTGGGATGGAATTGCCAAGAGACGTATTCGTCAATACCAGAAGTATCCTTCCAGCATCGCAGCTGTTGGTTTTAGCAGCAACGGCAAGTATCTGGCCGTTGGTGTGAGCCCTGGATTTGAGGATGGCAAGGACGAGGTCTCAGAAGGAGTAGTTAAGCTCTTTGTACGCGAGCTTGGTGAGACGGAGGCTAAGGGCAAGGGTGCTAAATAGATGCAACCAAACTGATAGCTTGGGGATGAGAAACAATGTGGAGTCTTTGATACCAACACGATCAAATCTAATGAGACAATTGAATCGCAAAAATCCTAAAAAAATTCGATTACTATCTTTTCATCTCTAGTCCCCTTTCTATGAGAATCAGGGAAACAATCTTGGTATCATCTGTGCAGTGTATAGGTCGTCAAACAAATCGAAATCCAACATGGGAAAATAAACCAGTATCTAGTTTAATCCACTCTTTAAGAGGCCTTGCGCACCGAGACAGAGCCATCGGGCATACCGAAGTAAGCCGCAACAGGGCGCTGGCCGCCAACACCACCGGCGGCGGTAGCCTGAGGACCGGTCAAACCGGAGAAGATACCAACATCGAGGACACCGACAATCTCCTTAATCTTGTTTGATAGCTCGTTGACCTCCCAGACACCATCCTTGCCAGAGACCTTGCCCGCGGCGACATCAGACTGGGTCAGCATGACAGGGAAAGGAGCATCAATAAGGAAGAAGTCCTGATCCGTCTTGCGAGGGCCCTCCTTCTCATCGGGGTTGGTGCGAATAACAGGATTGACACTACCGAGCTCCTTAAGCTTGTTCAGGACGCGGTAAGCCGCCATGGGAGCGACCTCGATGGGGATATATTTCCAGTTAGTGAGGAGACGAGACTGGAGCTTGCGGGAGTCTGAATTCCAGTAAAAAAAAGTTAGCATTCGTCACAAAACATAAACAAAGTATAAGAATAACCCACCAGCAACGCAAATAAACTCCTTAGCCTGCATAGCAACCAGCTTCTCCTGGAAAAGACAAGCACCGCCACCCTTAATACAGTTCAGGTCATCATCGACCTCATCGGCGCCGTCGAAAGCCACATCCAGAACGGTGCCAGCGGGGATAGCATCAAACTCAACAGCAGTCAAGCCAGCGGTGATAATTAGCTGACGAGACTGGTAACCGGTTGGAACGTAGCGAGTGGCACTTGTATCAACGCCGAGGGCCTTGATAGCCTCGACAACGTAGACAATGGTGGTGCCGCTACCAATACCGACCCAGCGGGCATCCTTGGGGTAGTGGTTGGCGACAGCTGTCTGAGCAGCAGCGCGCTTAGCGGCTTCGACGTCGGACATGGTTGATAGGAATTGGACTCGAGGGAGATATAGAGAAGGAGTGGGTAAGTGAGATCGCGCGCAAAAAGAAGATTCAAGTTGGCGGGGCAAGAAGCTCGGAAGGGAGAGTCGGGAAGAGAAAAAAGGTGTGCGGAGGAGCCGTGGACCCATGGGCAAGGCAGTCAATGTTTAAATAAATCCCGCTTTGCTTTGCGCTTTTTTCTAACTTGGTATTTTTGGATTTGAACTACACTATAGCGTCATTGGCGTCGGGTGAGAGTGTGGGGTTTTGGAAAGTTGGGGAAATGGACTTGGACGTCTAGAGTGACCGGTGTACTCTATAGTATAATGGAGTAGTCTTAAAGTATTCCCTATGATTCAACATTTTCCTCTTTACAATTTGAGCTATTTATTCAGAATCGATCAACTTGTATCTCATATAAACCATTATTTACATAAAATATGATTCGGAGGACGGCCCGCCGTGTATACTCTGCACACCTGGACTCTATTACAGGTTTAGTGCCTGTACTGCATATGGATATGGTGGGGTTGCGGGATTGCGGAAGGTCTATGCACCACATCAGAAAGGAAATACCAAGCGCTGTTCTATTTCATCAAATATTATAGACTCTGCTATATCCATGGATATGAAGTAGTATTTAGTGTTGATATGCAACATTTGAAGCTCAAATGCCAACCCAACTTCATTCGTCTGATCTCCCAGTACTGCTTATGATGATGCTTGAAATGATGCAATGATGCAATGAGGCTTACAATGGTATATCTAATATTTATTAATAAAAAACATTTTGAAGATTCTTATGGCTCAAATTACTGTAAATATACACAGGATAATGATGCTGTAAAGCTCAGGAGTGTTTAAATGTTGTGGGTAATAACAATATGCTAGCTAGTATACTCTGTAGTCAGTTGACTAGGTATGATGCGTCGTTATGTCTATGGAGTGGAGTTTAGCTAGGGGGGTTCAAGTTTGTGCAAAAATAGTCCACGGGTACATGTATACTACTCCAAGTTGCATAGTCTACAATTAAAATTTGGAAATAATCTGATTTATCTTTCTCGCAGAGTTGAGTTGGAGATTTTGTAGAATTTTGTGATAATTTTGTTCCGTCTGATGCTGTACACTACTCCGTACTTCACATCTAGTTAAGATATCTAGCATCTACAGGCTTCATGAAATAATAATCTCTTTAAAATACCTTCTCACTCTTGATACAGTCTTAGCAAAAGTAAAACAAAGAATTAATTCATCACAATATCTGCTTTATCTCTGAATAAACATTGTTCAAATAATTTATGCCTTGACCATTAGGCAACGAAATGATGGCCCACTGCTTAGTCAAAGCGGTGCAGCGAGTCAGCGACAACATGCAACTCATTCCTTTACAATCATCGCGCAAGTAAGAGTGAAGGCATCTTGAGTGAAGGGAAGCTTTGGATCAAGGAATCTGAGTGATTAAAATTGTGAAGAAAACTCTTCAATTCTCTCATCCCCAACGCTAAAAATCCAACCACCTCACAACCATGACCAGCTCCTTCCCCGCGGCCTTGTCTGGCCCAACATCAAAGGAACGGAAATATGATCGTCAACTCCGATTGTGGGCAGCCACAGGACAGCAAGCCTTGGAAGATGCGCGAGTTTTGCTGGTTAACTCTGACGGTCCTCTCGGCTCCAGCAGCACCGGTGTTGCGGGCATTGCAGGTGTGGAGACGCTCAAGAACCTGGTTCTACCAGGCATCGGTGGATTTACCATCGTGGACCAGGCAATCGTCACTGAGGCGGATCTGGGAGTGAACTTTTTCCTAGAGGAGGAGTCTCTCGGAAAGTCCCGTGCAGATGAGACTTGCCGACTGCTACGAGAGTTGAATCCTGACGTGCAGGGATATTCCTACTCCAAGGTATGTAGTGTTCATTATTCCTTGCGATTACATGTATGGATATTCTAACTTTTCTGCTAGTCAATTACGGATCTTCTCACAGATCTAAATTTTCTTCCTCGACACAAGTTGGTCATCATCTCCGGTCCAACTAAACGCTCCACTCTGGATCTACTCTGCCAGAAAGCCCAGGAACTAGAGATCCCTGTACTGTACTTGCACTCAATTGGTTTCTGTGTGACATTCTCATTGCAACTACCTACTGAGTTCCCAATTGTGGAGACTCATCCAGACCCAGAGTCAACACAAGATCTGCGTCTCTTGAACCCATGGCCCGAACTCACTACCGCTGTGGCTTCCCTGGGAGACCTTGAGAGTATGGATGATCACCAGCATGGCCACATTCCCTACATTCTTCTTCTTCTCCGCTCCCTCGACCAATGGAAGCAATCACATGGAGGAAGTGCACCTGATAACTACAAAGAGAAGACCGAGTTCCGCGAATTCGTGCGCTCAAAGACACGCACAAACAACCCCGAAGGAGGAGAAGAGAACTTTGACGAAGCTGTCGCAGCTGTGCTGAAAACCGTATCTCCATTTTCCCTGCGCAGCTCGATCCGCGAGATCTTCGAGATGCCACAATGCCAGCAGTTGAGTGCCGGATCCGCTGATTTCTGGGTTATTGCATCTGCCATTCGAACCTTTTACAACGCACATGGCGTCCTCCCTTTACCAGGTTCATTACCCGATATGAAGGCCCAATCAGCAGATTACGTTGCGTTGCAGAATATCTACAAGAGCAAAGCGCGGAAGGACGTAGAAGAAGTCACGGCAACGATCCGTCAGCTGGAGACAACCCTCGGACGTACGACAGCGATCTTGGAGCGTGAGGTTGAAGTTTTCTGCAAGAATGCAGCCCATATCAAGGTTGTGCGCGGACGGCAAATCCCGCAAGTACGCAGCGATAGTGATGCTACCCTGTTGAAGTCTGTACGGAATGGTCTTCAAATGCCAGAGTCTCTGACCTCGGTTTTCATCGCGTTCCAAATCTTGGATGCTGTTGTTGATGAAATCCAAAGTACACCTGCTTTGAATGAGCGTTCCGTTGATGATGATGGGTTGTGGATCGTGCATAAAGATCGGATCCTGGCCTTGCTGTTACGTGATGACCCTACCCCCATCGACGAGGATACACTGGAGAGTATCGATAATGCGATTCAGGAGGTGCGTCGTGCTGAAGGTGGCGAGTTACACAACATTTCGTCCTTGGCTGGTGGGTTGGTTGCGCAGGAATCACTGAAGGTGTTGACAAGGCAGTATGTGCCTCTGGATAATACTTGTGTGTTCGACGGAGCTAGAAGCCGGAGTGAGATGTATCGGTTTTGAAAGGAATCCGATCTTGCATAAACTACTGATTAGGAGCCATGTCCTTCCTGGGCTTAGAGAATTCCAACGGCTGATTTATGAACTTATGATGCCTCAGAGGCTGAAGATAGCTATTATGAGAAATGAAATACACAGTCTTGGAATCTTCATCACATGTGGTATTTGCATTCATATGTATTGTTTTATGCAATGCACATCTCTGCGCAGCAAAGAATAATTGCGAATTAGATTGACCAAGTTCAGAAATGCAGCGTACATCTTCACTGCTTTTTAGGCATATTTTAAGGTAGATGATTGATCACCGCTTCCTCGGCTTGTAGTTCCCATGCTTCTTTCCTCCACGAGGCGCATTTTTAGAATCATACATCTTCTCCTTTCCAAAGGCAGCATCACCGATGCGCAGGAAACTGCTAACGCCCTGATCCACAACGGCCAAGATGACATTGCGATACCCATGTCGCAAGCGCATATACATCAGTCGTTCCATTTTCTCACCACTGGGCGGCTCAATAGGTGTACCTTGTAGTAAGGCACTTAGTTGTGGGAGAGTCGGGATAGTAGTCTGTTCACGAGTATTGATCACTGCGATACGGAAGTCGGGTGGTGGAAGAGCGCTTCTTTTCACTGAGGTGGAGGGCTTATAGACATGGAAGATTACCCGGAAAGGTGCTATCGTGTCAAGGGGATCTCGCTGCGGTGCGAGAGTTGGGTCATACCATGGGATGAGGCTCATCCTACGGTACACATCGCCTTAAGATAATATCGTCAGCGAAAGTTGAATAACTGTTGAGGGTAGAATCTTACCGTAACTGCGGTGAATACCACATCCCACAAGAGGACCAGCCGCTGGTGAAGCTGTGGAAAAGGGATCATCCATCCAGTCTGAGATACATGATAAAATGCCACTGAGCCCAGGTCCGCGTCGCCTTGGCTCGGTGTACGCGTCTGGCTCATCACCAGTAGTAGGGGTTTCCGGCTTCGCAGAGTCATCCCAACCCGATGCTCTCACAACGGAATATCCCAGCCTTTTGAGGCCTGTGTAAACGGAATATCTCTCCATTGTTAATCCGGCACGTCCCAAGATACACGAGTATGCAGCCTGCAAACTCATTGGAATAGAAAGGTCATTGTCTTCCTCTTCTTCAGTGGTACCTGTCATGGAGGTCGGCCACCTGATATCCAAACTTCCTCTTTCAATCATATAAATTGCTTCTTCGGGTAATAACCAGAGACGATTCCATCGATCTGCCTGTCCAATACCTTGGAATACGGAACCCTTTGCATTTGGGATAGTAATGCAACAATCTGGCGAAACTCCAACACCCTTTCCTGCGTCCTTGGGGGTTTCGACGTAGCCAACTGGGAATGTAGGACCATCCGGCGCATAAATTCCTATGACTCGATTCTTGGTATTGTGAATGCGCGGATGGGCGAGCGCATTGTGCATCGCCTGGCGGGAGGCAGAGAGGACATCGGCCTGGAATTCAGTAGGATTGGGTTCGAAGTCCTTCTCACCACGTTTCGGTAAACTGGTGGATGATGTGTCCGTTAAGCTATAGCAGTAGAGGCCCTTGTTAGCTCATAGTGCTCGAGTGCTGACGTTGAGAGAACGTACAAATTGAGGTGACTCAGTAGACGGAAGTCCTGTGTTTCATCGGACAGATCGGTTTCAATCTGGGATGCTTCCGCCCCAGGGGCGCGAATGGCATCTTCATCTGCATCAGCCATTGTGAGTGTGGAAGGGATGTATGGAGAAGTTATCGAGAAAGTAGCTGCGATGAGATGGAACGAAAATTGGGGCTTATCGATAAGATAAGAGATATTTCTCGGATCTTTGATAACCTTTTCCCCTCCTCATACACTCATACAATCGGAGTTAATCACTTCCAAAGTTTCCATGGACTCCCAAATATCGGACCAGAAGGATTACAATGCTATAATTCCCATAGTATGCTTTTATTTATTTTTATATTTTTGTTATTGGTGGTTGAACTGATTGGATATTGGCAGATAACGCGATCTGTGGAGAATGCGCTTAACACCTTTGGTCCCGACTCAAACCAGTATCAGACTGTTCTCCAGATTCTAAAAGATTTTGTGCGAGATATTGAGAAGGGGAAACTTGAAGGAACTGTCAATGATCAATCACTTGATCCGGATATGCTGAGCGCTGCGATGGGACTTCTTGAGATCAAGTAGCGATTGATTCGAATTTTGGGAATGCATGCCATTCGCCTTGATACCCATTGATACCCATGTCCGCAAATTTTATTCATGTCAGATTTGCATATTGCATCTTGCCAGCGAGCATTTTAACTCTTTATTGGGAACCTGGAATAAATCGGTATTTCAACTTCAAGTTGAAGGTTTCATATTTAGCCTCTTTGTATATTCAGAGGCATTGGTAGTAGCTTCAAATATTCTCGGACTTCAACTTGGATTGAACACAGTGCGGTCTACTAGTACATCGGAGAATTTGTAGGATTAACATATCATATTCGGAAGCATGACCAGCTCTCTAGAAGACACGGAATCAAAACTTGAAAGCAGTGATCAGAAAAAAAATAACAGTTACTGTTCAGGATATCTCGCAACGCCTCGAGACATCAAAAAGCCATCAATACCCCGGATCAGACCCAAATGAAAAAGCTTTGAATGCCATGTAACAAACTCCAAGCTCTATGCAATCATAAGACGTGACAATGATGGAAATAGACTTCCGGATCATGACCAGAACCTCAAATCATAGTCGACGGGGGTGGGATCCCCGAGCTCTGAGGTTTGAGCTGCGGAGCTGGCAATGGCGTGTTCCCTTCCGCATGGATGCGGAGAATCAATTATTACTCTCATCTTGAGAGTATTCGCGTAGGGGTGGTATATAGTAGGAGAAAATCTTTTGTCTCAGTCAATCAAGAGCTTCTTTTGGTTACCAACCATCGCCACACCGATATGACTGAGCGCGTTTGGATCACTAGGCCGGACGATCGATGGCAATGGCAGCATTGGATTATCTGGATTGACGTGTGCTGCGTCTCGCGCCGCTTGCTCAATAGCTTCCATTTCCTCTTTGCAACCCGCGTGGTCCAGCGGACACACCACAATGGGTTGCCTGATGGTAATATCTCGCGCAGATGTTAAGTGGGCCTATGTCGTTGTTAGTTTGAAGCAACGTTAGGCTAAAGTATAAGGATGACAAGACTAACCTTGACAGTGAGATAGTACTCCATTTTATACAAACTGGCAGTGGTGGTGAATCCACTGACACCATACGTAGGGAATGCCGTCCGACTGCGCGGCAAAATGCCCTCTGAGTCCCGCATGTCCTTTGCGGGAAACACCAGGCCCATGTTCGTGAGATAGCCCGATTGGGGTAGCCTGACCCCAATGGAATCGGTTTTCTTAGTCAATGTCTTGACCTTGCGTTGGGGCTCGTCGCCCTCATGATTGTAAATGATCTCCTCGTCAATACCAATGGTAATCTTGTTGATTGTCACCTTACGGGCCTTGCTCATCCAGGCTTGATTTGGTGACAGCTTCACATATACACTGACTGGATCTAGGGGTCCATATGACCATCGGGGTAGTGAGATGGCTAATGTGACCAAATGGTCTGATACTCGTTCTGCTGACTCGGGGCGATTGTACATGCCAAAAGTGGAGAGTGTGTCGTAGCGAGAGATAGGTACGGGGAAGGTGTATTTTCGTTGCTCCGAATGTCCCTGTTGGACTGTCACCACCATCTCGTAGAATGTCTCGGCGGTACGACTGGGCAGTTGCAAGCTTGCTGGAGGGACTCGTCGTGAAGAGTCGCGGCCCCCACGACCAAATGGAATGAATAGTACAAATGGCAAGTCCATAGCGATAACCTCTTCATGTTCCTTTCCAGCAGGACATCTGAACAACAGCATTTCCTTGCCCACGATTTCGTTGGTTTCCTTGCGGGGAGGTGCTAAGCGCTTTTTGGCTACGGAGTCGGCCGTCGGGTGGATGGTCTCGCGACGGAGGAGGGAGATAGTGACCAGGGAGACATTGACTGGCGCTGATATGCCAACACTCGGGCGGATTTCGACTTTACCTTCGATCCTAGGCTGGATAAGGGATTAGTCTCTTTGGCCAATGATCGAGTCTAGGGGATAAGAAAGGACCTGACACTGCCATAATGGCATGATGGCAGGGCGGGAAGAGGGCGCTTACCATCGTCGCAGATATACCAGGATATCCGATCAGGAAATTGCCATTCGCTGGACCTGAAACACGCACAAAGGCGGCCATCTCGATAGCGCTGTTCCGGCACCACCATGGGCACGCGGAGTAGGCGCTTTGAAGTTGTGGGGAACCTGCGAGCTAGACCGGGACACTGTCGCACGGTTCATATGGGTCTGACACCGATTTCCTTTGCAGTTTGTTCGGCTTTGGTGATTGCGTTTCCTGGACTTGATTGAATACGATCGAGATGAATCTGGTAGGAAGGATGGGAGGTCGGGGATAGCAGAGCTTCAGTGTATGTGGGGGGATAGGATGAAGGGTGATTTCCCAGCCCCATTTTACCGCCGAGTAACTTGAGCCTCGATTGCATCATTGAATCTCTTGTTCAAGCGGATGGATTTTAAAACCGTCGAAAATCTAGTTTTATTGTTATTGAGTGAACAATTTAGTTTATGTATTGTCATTGTTCTATAGTCCAAGTTTGAATGTTTATTTCTTTTTTTCCCTCCTAATATTGGGCTTTTTGTGCTTTCCACGTCATTGTGGATGCACCTAATCAGTATTCGGTCTATATTACGCAGCTGGGAAAGACCTGAGAGGATCTCCATCTCCTATTCCCCGAATAATTCACAAAAGAAAAGTTATGAAGCGATATAGTTTATGATATAGATCATCAATATAGATGTAGATCGAACCATGGACGCTCTGACCATATGGAAGAAATGTTTGGCTGGTTGCGGTCTGCGACCTATGACATCGCCGGATCTTGCATTCTTCCATCTTCGACTTGAACTTCAAGTTCCTCTTCAACACCATTGAGAACAAGACCCCAAACACATCCCAATTCAATCCTTCTTGCAATCTGGATCAATACTCTGTATTAATATCCATATCCGTCTTATCATGCCTCCTCGTCGCCGTGCCCCCGCACAGTCCACTCTCGCCTTCGGTGCCCAGTCCCGGATCACAAAGCCCTCAAAAAGCGCCACTACGATAGATAAGGGAAAAGATATTGACTCCCCGTTGACTCAAAAAACCGAAGAATCGATCTCCAATACTCCCGAGCCTCAACATGTGGTGGCCACCGAGCACTCCGCCCCCGCTGTGGCTGAGCTGGTCATGCGCCAACAGACGACGACGGATCGCAGGCCTTCACAAACACCAGAGGAGAAACAAGCGTTGAGGCTCACCTTGAAGGATCTGAATAAATGGTGGAACCAGAAAGAAGGAAAGCCAAAGCCGGTGAAGGGTGAGTTTGGTGGACTTGAATGGAGGCGGTTTGGACCCCACTAACGGCACATTGTACTGCAGTTCATGAGAGTGGCTTGAAGCTGGAGGAAAAGATTCTTCGTAACTTCGACCTCACAGGTCATTATGGGGTATGTTCAAACTTCTTCACCTTGCTCCATCGGAGTGCTGACAAGTTCCTAGCCATGCATCGGGATGAGTCGACTACAACGGTGGCACCGGGCGCAACGAATGGGTCTTAATCCTCCCATTGAGGTTCTGGCAGTGTTACTGAATGGTAATGAGACCAGCGAACGATCGCATATGGAGGAGCTGGTTGACTGAACGAAAACGTGTCCTGCTATATGACTTAAAGTCCTGATGTTTTATGTTGCATGATTAGTACTAAGATACCAATGAAGCTTGTTGGCTTCAACTTCAATCGACCAAGCTCACCATTCATGCTGGATTTTTAATATCGTAGAGATCGCCTTGCCAGTTCCTGACCCCATCCGAACAATTCTGAACTTCGATCCCAGTATGGGTTGTGTCCCACCATATGTATCCACATTATGTATTGTGATATCGAGACCTCGGAGACCACTGGCAGACTCAGAGCAGTTTTTTATAGGTCCATATGCCCCGGGCGGTGATTTTCAAGTTTGCTACTATGCATTTGGATGTCAGTTGATATCCTCGAATATCTGCTTCATTCTGAGTTATAGCGTGGCTTTCGATATCCATGTAGTTGGTCCTTGAACTGAAACTTGAATGACAGTCAAGCCATCGTATCAATCAAACTTGAAGCAAATTGTAATTGCCTATATGGAACCTTCGGACTAATGGCAGATAAGCAGTAGTACTACTAGGTAGTAGTACTGTTCATTTAAAATCATGAACATTGTTTCAACTTGAAATAGTCTTCAAAACGTAAAGTGAGACAATTGGCTGAAGTTTTGGACATCATGAGAAATCTTCGCCTTCCTCCAAGGCTGCAGAGAAGGCCTGATTTATATAAATCCAAGTCATGCTTAATCCATTTAGTACGCATGTGCACACTGGAATTGTCATCTGGACATGGAACTGCTGATGTTTCATGGCAGGGTGTTCATAGTGAAGGTGACAGTACATCCACGGTACACGGACCCCTTAGGCCCTTCGCCACTCAACTCCACACCCCCCCGGATTTCGGGCCAACGATCAGGACGGCAATCTCCCTGCAACGGAGCCCAAGGGAACCCTCTGGGTATGCGCATGATGCTGCTAAGTGTTCATTCCGGAAAGGACTTGCGCTTCACTAATCGTTATCCCTGCTTCCTGCCATCACCAAAAACCTTTCAGTCCATTCATCGCTTCGAGATTGCGATCCCATGTGATGAGCTATGCAATGACCCCACACTCCGTACTTGAGTCAATTACTGGTGTCCTTGGCAAATCTATTAGGAGCATCCTCTCTGGACCCTGAACGTTGGAGACGCCACAATGTCTTACTTGATTGAGGTCTACGTACAAGCACTCGGCTCTCGCACATTCTGGACCAAACCAGCCGTTGTTTGTCCTACACAACGTCCACGGGTCTACTTCCATGTTTTTGGCCGAGGCACATTCTGACTCGTCGAGACCGTCAAAGAACTTTGAACAGCAACAAACTACACTAGGATGGACATCGAATACATACTGGATGACCGGATGAACTCTTCCGAGTCTCACTTTGAATGCCAGTGTCGCTGGGGCTAGTACGATCTGCATGCAGGTACGAAGCACGCCGACAGAGAACAAAGCAGTGCAGGATCTCATTTTCAAGAATTGCAAAGTGAAAGCGCGCATATTGAATCTTGAAGGACATTTGTATTCACGATGCATACATACAAGTCCGAGTCGAGACCCGCGGGTCCATATTTCCTCCCGGGCAACTTGAACCCCTGGCCCACCCCCACCCCATCATTGAGCTATCCAGTTGAAAGAAAAAGAACCCCTGACTAAATATTCTCTAGAATGAAATAACTTCCTGTCTTCTGAGCTTAGACTTCCAGGTTTATCCCTCAAACTACGTTCTAGGTATGTCTAATCTGACGGAAATCATCCCGTGCCACTCCGAAAAAGCAAAATAGATTGTTCTTCTACGGGTGTCGGATGCAGACCTGATTTGGGATAGCCCAATGCTACGCTACCGGAAGCTGGGGCCTAGTGGTCAGATTGTCTTTCCCCAGATTTGCCTTCGGTTTACGTTTCCGTGATACGTTGTACCCTCCATACAATGGATCCCACACATCCTGCAGCTTTGGGTTAACAATACATCTTGGCTGAAAATATCTGAATCCCATGAGTCCATATCAGCTGCAGCCTATCGGGATACGCCGTTGAATACTGTTTCCTCTGTTTTGACTCCACAAATACTAATCTGCATTAGTGAATGGCAATGGAGACTGGGCAAAACGCATGCCGCATGGCATACAGTTGATGGCAGCGATCATTTCCAGCTCTTACGTATAAGGCGCTCAATGATGTGGGGCGTCACTCATTTCATGTTGTACCTCCACATTGTTCGGATGCATCTTGATGCTTTTCCGAGACCTTGTACGGGCTATGGTGCTTACACCCATCCAGGTTTTATACCAGCTCCCGTGGAAATTAACAGAGGCTACCTTGACCTTTCTGTGAAACATTCCAAGAATTGGACCAATTAGTTATCGATCACGCTGTAAGAGCTATTTTGAGATCAACTATCTTTTTCTACGCATCCTAGAGACACATCCTAGAGGCTCGCTTAACTCCGAGTCTGAATTCACTCATCAGCGCATTCTCCAGGTTTACTCCACAATAACATGCACCTAATTCAGTTTAGGAAGAAGGTACAGATTCAGGGTCCGGTGTCAGCCACCAGAGCTAATCCTGCATCGGCGCGGGGGATCCTGCTTTACTACCAGACGACTGAGTCAACCGCGGCCCTCCACATCATTTGATGTGCATTCCCCAGTGTTTAACACATGTGATGGGGCAACATTCAGTGCGACCCTGAAAATAGATTAACCTGAGTCTTTATGACAGCAGATAAAGCTTATAAAAGGTCGTCCCATCCGCTGTTCAACACAAGTTTCGTTTCTTCTGCTACAGTCTCGCTCGTTCAAGTTATAGTCTCCACTGTCGTTCTCGGTCTAGACTTTTTGTTCCCTCTTATATTCTCTCTTATAATATTCGAAAATGCAGTTCTCTCACGCTCTCATTGCTCTCGTGGCTGCCAGCCTTGCTAATGCTCAGCTTCCCAATGTCCCTGCATGCTCGGTATGAATTCACGTCCTCATCGATGATCCCAATTGCATCTCATATTAAAGTATTGTACAGTTGAGCTGCTTCGTCGATGCTCTGACTAGCGATGGCTGCTCCTCGTTGACCGATTTCGCTTGCCACTGCGCGAAGCCCGCCCTTGTCAGCGACATCACCCCCTGCGTCCAGAAGGCCTGTGACGTCGCAGACCAAGTTTGTGAGTGATAGATGACCTCACATAATGCTGAGATAAAGTTGAATTATTCATACTAATAATAAATGGTAGCTGTCTCCAACGTTGTCGTTGCTCAGTGCTCATCGGCCGGTCACCCCATCTCGGTGCCTCCCGTCCAGACCACCACTGCAGGCGAGACTACTACCACCAGCACCGGTTCTGCCGAGACCACAGCCACTTCTACTTCCTCAGCCATTGAGACTGGAAGCAGCAGCAGCAGTAGCGGAAGCGAGACCAGTGGGTCTTCCACCGCGTCGTCGGCTTCCACCGGCTCCAGCGGTACTACCGCCACCGGCTCCACCACCCCTAGCTCGGGCTCCGGAAGTTCCTCTAGCAAGCCCACAGGCACCTCTACCCCACTTGTCTCGGGCACCTCCGGCTCAGGTTCCGGCTCAGGTTCCGGTTCCGGCTCCGGCTCAAAGACTAGCAGTGGTTCATCTGCCACCACCTCGCCTGCATACAATGCCGGTGTCAGTGTTAAGGGTAACATGGCTGGTGTCGCTGCTATTGCCGTCGCTGCCGCCTACATCCTGTAAATTATTCAAACAAATTGCCCTATTCTTAATTCAATACCGGGATAAATTGGGTGATTTCAAATTTGTCCTTTTGTACTGTACCTCGCGCTGTTCTGGCTCGATGTACTTGTTGATGGTTGATGCCGATACTGTATAGTTGAGATCTTAATATAACAATGCTTCTTTGCAGATTGTCTCACACCATTATAATAAGCCAGGTATGCAGGTCGAACCTGAGGCTGATCTCGGATGGCTTCCCAAGGCTGAAGTTCGGCTGCAGATCTGATTGCAATATGCGCTGTGTGGGCAAACAAATACCCACATAATAGGTACAACATCGCAGTCCAGATTTGATGAAACAATTATCTTGCGCCCATAATGACGCTCTCTCTCCTATTTATATCGAACTTCTATAATTAATAAGTCCATCTTTGTTGTCATCGCCCAGCAAAACAATGAAATCATCCCAAATGCTGGGTCGAGAACTGGATTTGACTGTTGAATAAGCAAAAGTACTATCCATGGATGTCCACAATCCAGTCCCACGCTTTTTCCACTGGTGGCGCTCTACGTGGCCTGGCTCTACATATATGAGTATCCCCTACTATATTCGGATGTTTTGTGTAACTGTACATGACCAAAAGCGTCCATGTCGGTGTGATGAGCCCCACATTATGCAAGCCGAACCACGCGTATAGACAGACCGAGTGCGATGAACCGATCCAATTGTAGCTAGAATGCCAAAATATCGTCCGTGATTGGATTTAAGCCCTAGTTATGTTGAAATATTTTCGTAAAATTAACAGATGACTAGTACCTTGTGTCTTTCCTTTCCTACTATTAATATACTCAAGATGAAGCTTGAAGTATCTATCCACTATGAGTCTATGACTAGAAGTTGAGACATCTGGAGTTTGTGGTATGTATGGATAAGACTTGGAGCACTTTGAGCTATATGTAACGTGATGCATGTCCAGACTACTACTATTAGTGATCATTCATTTAGTAGTGGGGATGAGGCATCCTCGAATGCTTCTCGGAAATCATGTACATGTACCCTGAAAATTTGAATGACTAGTGGTGTAGGTCGCGATGACGAACAAAAGGACATGTAGAGGGATTCCAAGGTCTCCTTTTTAGGATTTTAGAATGAACCAAAACTAGGCGCCGGCAGATATCTAGAGACTAGCGATGCAGCTACCTCAAAGTGTCAGCTTCAGCTTGTTGATGCTGCCACCTGCTATTTGACGATCTCATCGATTTCCTGTCTTCCAATCCCGATGAGAATTTCAGCTCCACATCATTCTTCCTATTTGGAATTTATGCATATTCTTCCTATAGTTGAGCTGCAGCTCTGGGAACTAATGTCAAGTGACATGATCTTATCAACGAGTAAAATGAGTATTCGTGAGTCTACGTACTGATGCACTTCAGCGCTGCATATCATCAAATCCCGTTCCCAGTCATTGCCCCAGCATGGCTATTTTAAGGCTCTGCACACCTCTTTTCAGGTTGAGATTTGATAAGGGCTTGTGCATCGTGCAGTCACTGACCAAGAAAACTTCAATCCTACCTATTCTGCAACATTTGCTAGTGGAAGGCCTCTTACCATACTAATAGCGGAATTTACCAACGATGGGGTCGATAGGCACTGACGACCGTCTCGCCACTCATATAGTGGATGCGATTGCACAGGCTTGGCCTGATACACTGTATTGCATTCAACCGGAATCAAACGGGGAGGCTATTGTCTGGCACAAGATCACTTATTCTGCTTTTGCGAATGCAGTCAACCGGATATCTTGGTGGATAGACGGGAACCTACACGGAAAGCCAAATGGCCAAGTACTTGCGTACATTGGCGCGAATGATTTGAGATACTCAGTGTTTATGCTAGCATGCATGAAGACTGGGCATCAGGTAAGAGTTATCCCTTAGTTGAGTCTCACTTATAATCATCTGATCTCTCTCGCTAGGCTTTACTGCTTTCGACTAGGAACTCTCAAGCAGCCTCGCGGCATCTGTTTCAGGAGACCAAGTGCTCTATCATCGTTGATGGAACTGAAAAGCTCCGTACGCAACAAATGGTGGATGAGCTAGTGACTGGCTGCGCCGATATCCCGCTTCAGCGTTGGTTCATTGCTTCCATCTGGGACATCTTCTCGCCCGAACTAGAAAAAGCCAAGCATTATCCTCATCAGAGGTCCTTTGATGATCTGGAAGATACACCCACTATCATAATTCATAGTTCTGGGACCACGGGAAATCCGAAGCCAGTGATCATCAGCCATGGCTATCTAGCCACCTTCGATCGCTTGCGAGTCCTTCCCGTCCCACCGGGCCGACAGAATACATGTTTCTCTTTGCGCGCAAATGGGCAGCTCCGTTTCATGTATGGACCCATGTTTCACTGGGTTGGTGTGGTGTGCACATTCGAAAGCATTTTCTACCAGACGCCCTTTTTGATCCCTCCAGACAAGCCCTTGACGCAAAGCCTCTTCACTCAAATCATGGAAACAGACCACCCTCCGGTATGGGCATTGGTGACTCCGCCAATCATGGAGGATATGTGTACCTCAGAAGAGGGACAAAGGGCACTCTCAAAGCTGAAGGTACTAACCTATGGAGGTGCTCCAATGGCGCATGCGACCGGCGAAAAGGTAGCTTCCCTTCTCAGATTGCAGACAATATTTGGCAGCAGTGAGACTGCCTATACGCCCTCCTTACTTTGCGAAGATCCCGCAGATTGGGACTATTTGGAATGGAACCCATCATTTGAACACAAGATGGAAGACGCTGGCGATAGACTTTGGGAGCTGGTTCTTCCACGACCCGCCTCACGCTACCACCATGCCATCTTCTATTCTCAGCCCAACCTACAAGAATACCGCACCGGGGATTTATTTCTGCCACATCCATCCAAGCCCAATTTGTGGCATTACGAAGGGCGAAGGGATGATATCATAGTTCTCAGCAATGGAGAGAAATTCAACCCTACACAGGCTGAAAAACAGATTCAAACCCACCACCTCGTCAAACATGCGGCAATATTCGGTCAAACCCGTTTCCAATCGGCACTTCTGATTGAGCCAGAGTGGGATGATTTGGAAGATAATTGGTCTCCAGCTCAACTTGTGCGACAATTACAAACGGTGCTGAGTGAGGCAAACGAGCTTTTGCCAGCTTATGGGAAAATCTTCGACAGTCATATAGCGTTTGCCTCTCGCGACAAGCCTTTTGATTTGTCTCCGAAAGGTAGTCTGCGACGACGCACTATTGCAAATGACTACAGTGATGCTATCAACCAGCTGTACGAGCCCAAACTTGAAGATATCCCCACGCCAGACAAAGAGATGTCTGCCGGCCATCATGAGGAGTTGACTGGATCATCGATGGACGAAATACAACGTTGGATACAACATGAAGTTACGGTTCTTCTGCGGCTCGAGACTGTTGGTCTAGATGACGATTTATTTAACATTGGTATGGACTCTCTGCAGGCTATTCGACTCACTCAGATTTTGCGTAAGGGTCTAGAGAGCCAAAGGGACTCGGAACCCGGCCCACACGATCCCTGGACTGACAGCGCGATATATGACCTTCCGACTATCCGGAAATTGGCAGATAAACTTGGTCAACAGATCAATGGCGACCGAATAAGTGGGACCAATGCAGAATCAATTGGATGGCCTCGGGAAGATCGATTGGCAAGAACAATTTGGGAACATTCGCTGTTTTTAGGCTCGAAGGGGTTAACAATCGCACTCACGGGGTCAACTGGCGAGTTGGGCAGTTATCTGCTGAACTCTTTACTGAAAGACCCATCAATCGAACACATATACTGTCTGAATCGCTCCGAGGACGCCAAGTCGCGACAAGCATCAAGCTTTCGAGCCAAAGGTCTACCTGATGTGTGGATAACCCAGACGTCTCGCATTCAGTTCTGGCGCGCCAAGTTTGACCAAGAAAATCTGGGATTAACTTCACCTCAATACCGTTTATTACAAGAAAATGTGGATATAATTATTCACAATGCGTGGCCCGTGAACTTCAATAGGACACTTGAGAGCTTTGAGCCTCAGCTGATCGGCGTAACGAACCTACTGCGTCTTGTGGAAGAGTCGACTCGAGCCGAGTTCCACTTTGTTTCCTCTGTGGCAGCGGCTACTGGTAACATTCCAGAGAACATGCTAAACTCGAGGCATAAATTTTCTGAAACTAGACCATACTTAGGTTCGGAAGTCATGCCATATGGCTATGCTGAGTCGAAGTTCGTGGCCGAGGCTCTGTGTGAACTTTCCTGCAAGCGCAGTGGAACGAGGATCACTATATACCGCGTTGGGCAACTGGGTGGACCATCCACTATGACTGGAGGGATGTGGAATCCTAGAGACTGGTTTCCATCACTTGTTCGATCGTCACAGACAATGAAGATAGTTCCTGATAGTCTTGGCCTGCTTCCAGTTAATTGGTTACCAATCGTGAGTATCAAGAATACTTGATATCGCGATTCATTTCTAACCGTTCTATAGGATACTGCTGCTAGAGCGATGACAGAGATGATAGGCATTCGCTTCGAGCAGAAAAGAACTGAAAGAAGAGACTTCATAAATTACGAAATCTGCAATCCTCGTACCACAAATTGGACTAAATTGGCGCCCGTGGTGGCAAAAGCATGCGATGCAAAAGTCGTTTCGCTGGGTGAATGGGTGAAAACTTTGGAGAGTCAGGTAGCAGACTCCATAGCCGACGCTGAGACTTTCAACAATCTTCCGGCCCTGCCTTTGTTGAGTTTTTTCCAGCTACTGGCGACGTCTCGAGATCAACATCCTACAGATAGTTCCTCCTACTCTTCTACGATTTCGAATACGCTTAACATGATGGCGGAAGTTGATGCTCATTGGATGGAGCTGTGGCTGAAACAGCTGAAGACATGGATTCCAGATCTTGTTATTTGAGATAGTTACAACCACACACGTCCGTGATCACTCAGTATGGCAATAGCGTAGTATTCATTGCGGAGAATGAGATTTTGTGTTTCTAAGCATTTTGTTTCTTAAATTCAACCCAACACTCGTGTTCCTAGATTTTTGATTAATAAGGATTTGCTAAAAGATCGCCATGAGTTATGACTTACTTCCATCTTCGGTAAAGTCTCGTCATAAAAGACCTCGAAGCGGCTGGTGACCCCAGGACTGATATCCTTTTGTCGCTCATATCCGCTTGTGGTATATCGTCTGTAGATCGCTGCCAGAAGAGTTGTCATTTCCGCCATCGCAAGACTAGACATTGACCTGGTTAGCCACTAGTTCGGATATTCGATTGATTGAACATACTGTATCCCTATACACATTCGGCCCCCACTGGAAAATGCCCAGAACCATTTCTTCATCTCAACTAGATCACCACATTCCCCAAGCCAGCGTTCTGGCTTGAATTCCAAGGGCTCTGGAAAGACATGCGGATTCCGATGGAGGGTATACGGCGACATGCTAACCACGGTCCCTGCTGGAATTAAATATCCATCAATGGTTGTGTCAACTGGAAGAGATCGTGGCTCTGATGCTGGTAACGGAGCGTAGAGACGAAGTGTCTCTTTGATAACAGCATCAAGATAAGGCAGTTTATCTGATGCCTCCACAGTGGGATTACCATCCTCGTTACAGTCTTTTTCAGAGACCTGTAGGACTTCAGCAATTAGTTTCTCCTGATATTGTCGATTTTCCTTTCTTGAAAGTGCCCAAAGTGCGAACATCAAGGTATCACTGGTCGTGTCAATGCCAGCTAAGAAATGGTCGGCTAGCTCCGATGCCATATCAAGGCTATCAATATGAGGAGCCTTGCCGGATGTGACATGTTTCCATAGTTTTTCCATGATAGAGAGAGCTTCAACTGGAGGCTTATCAGATGCTGCTAGTTCAAATCTAGTAGATGACTTGTATGCATGGGCGCGAATGCCGGTATAAGTAGCAGGTTTTTGCATAGGCAGCATACCTAATCCTGTGACTAGTTTCTCTGACAACCCTGTTCTGCTATACAGCCATTTAGTGTATCCTTCCAAGTGCACGGCATACCAGCTCAGCTGCCTTCTACTCGGATCAATGATATCATTGATAAGCCTCCTATGCGCTTCATTGCCTCGGACTGCATTCGTTCCTCCGTAACTGTCTCCATATATGAATCCAGTGATGCTGTCAAGACTGAACCAATGCAAGCTTTGGAATATCTCCTCAGCGACATGCTTCTCCCGGTCAAGGAGATCCAGATATCCTTGCACGTTCTTCTCTATCAGAGGCTTTGCAATCGCATTCGGTGAGAGCATCGCGCTCTTGGAGTAAGCATGAGCCAAGAGCTTCTTCCTTTCTGTGTGTTTCTTCACTTCCGCAAATGTGAAGAGATTCTGACGACCGTACACATCGAACATCCGATAGAAGTATGTTCTCTCAAAGCCGGACCCGGCACCGTATATTGTACGCAGAGCAGTAAGAGAAGAGAAAGATACTTCATTTGGGCCAATGCGTACTGCCGTGCCGTACCCCTTGTGCAGGGTGTGGATTAATTGTGTCCTGACGCCCTTGTAGTCCTCGTAGGCCAATCTCCATTTTGAGGCAGCAAAGGCCTTCGGACCTGGGATTTTCCGAAGTGGTGTGGAAAAAAGGGGCCGGTAGAAGGTGCGATAAATGAGGGTAGTAAGGAATAGACCTGCTATGCCAGCTAAAAAGCTGAGCTGTGAGAGCTCAGGGCCTGAGATGCGTTAGAGTTGGCTTGGTTCCTTTGGATCTAGCGACTCACTCGAAGTAAAGATTAGTGTCATCTCTTTCGAGTGCTCAATCTCAATCTGAAATTTTGAATTGCAAGAAGGGTTAATTGTGGCAGCTAACATTTTCATAAAAGTGGTAAGTCTTATCACTGCAACCGAAGATATGGCCATAAAGCGGGGAAGATCCGATGCGGAGTACATAGTCTTCCAAGGTTTACTCCGCAGAGGATGTCAAAGCGCAAGCCTTATCGCTCACAAAAATGAGTTATCACACGATCATCGGATTGCCCGACTTACCATTCACATTCAGTTTCTTCTAGTCCATTGCTAAAGTTGCCTCTTAGATATCAATGATCATAGCGCGATGCCGTCAATCTATATCTGCCATATCTCCGAGTCGGCATAAACATCGTCTTTGCTTCTTGCAGTTGGAACAATACTACGCGAGAATACTAGTACTCTGAGTCACTAGCGACCTTGATTTTTCACCTTGAATATGTCTCCAGCCGCAATAACAGGATCACCCTTACCACCCGTGGCTCAAGTCACTAAACCCCAACTTGAGGATGTCGACGCTATGGCCACGATGGCACACCGAGGCAAGGCCCTACCCGGCATCCCGCAATTCGATTCGCACGCAGAGAAGAGACAATGGCAACTCGAGCATATGGCAGGAGCCTTCCGAGTATTCGCTCGCGAAGGGTATGCTGAGGGGATCTCAGGACACATTAGTGTGCGCGATCCCGAATTCGAAGATCGATTCTGGATAAACCCTCTTGCGGTACACTTTGGTCTGCTGAAAGCCAGTGATATGATCTGCATTGACCTTGCTGGCGATGTGGTGTGAGGAAACACAAATGGTTCAATCAATGCTGCTGGATTCCAGATTCATAGCTCAGTGCATCGGGCTCGAAAGGATGTGCATGCCATATGTCATACTCACTCAGTCCATGGTCGGGCCTGGTCTGCATTTTCAAAGCCTCTTGATATGATTAATCAAGATGTCTGCTACTTCTACAAAGCTCATTCGGTATACTCTGACTATGGCGGCATTGCCAACGAAGCTTCTGAAGGACAGCGTATTGCTCAGAGTCTGGAAGGTGGGAAAGCTGTTATTCTAATGAATCATGGTCTGTTGACAGTGGGTCAAACAGTTGATGAGGCAGCTTCTCTTTTCTGCTTGATGGAAAGAAGCTGTAAGATTCAGTTGCTTGTCGATCAGACTGAGCTTGAGAAGCACATCGTGAGTGATGAAGAGGCTGCTTACAATTTCAAGATGGCGAGCACTCCCGTAAGGCGCCCTGTTTACTAGTGGTGACTCGATATCAATGGCTGACGCTGTCTATAGGAGTGTCTATATACCGAATTTCAACCTCATTACCAGTATGAGGAGTCCTTGTCCTGTGGAAATTTCAAGGCCTAACTGTGGGAGCCATGTTTCACGGCTACGAAATAGATACTATTGTCGCATAAAATCTAGATTTTCTTACCACCTTGGCACTCACATTGCTATTATCGTTCAATAGAGGAGTTTGGAAGAACAATATCTGAATGCTGGAGGTAACTCAGTTGAGAGACCCGTAGGTACTCACATACAAAGAGGTGTTGGTCATTAGTCACCTGTAGATGCTACCTAGGTACCTAGGTACTTATTAAGCCCTGTGTTTGAGTATGTGAACATCCCTGTCTGAGAGGTTGTAAACACACCTAGCCAAGCACTTGAGTGCTGAGGAGGTGAACTCTCACACCTGGTTGTCCATGAGATGGCAATTTTCACCATAGCTTCCCCGTAACAGAATTAGTGGAAAAGATCTAGAGCAAGGGCTATTTGTCGGCATATCCGAAGCCCCCTCCTTGCAGATAAGATTGTTGGTTGATTTAAATGCAAGATAGCGGATCGCCCGATAATATAGCTTGTAGTTTGATAAACATCTTCAATCTGTATGGCGGCTCAGCCAACTTCCCGATATGTACCCAGTCGCGATTGGAATGCCGCTTTGACCAACAAAATCCCCATACGGTTGCTCCGTCCAACAGGGATTTGGCAGTTATTCCTGATGATATTGGATCTTCTTGTCATGCCAATGTTGATTCAGACGATAAGAACTCATTTGGATATGTGCTCATTGTTTGAAATTAGTCGAATCTTGAAATGAGACGCCATCTTATTTCAGAAATAACACAGTCTTCCCACTGAACGTTATCAGAGGTTGACTATTTACACCTTGATTGTGTTACCTCAAACATGGCTATGTCAAAACACCCTGGGAAGCAGGAAATCTCGACAGGGACTGGCAGTGACCACTCATTCAGTCCCAGCGATGATGCTGCTGTCGGCACTGTCTCCAATGTAACAGCTGGCTCACAGGCTTTGCATCGCAAATTGCGAGGGAGGGAGGTTCAGCTCTTCGCCATCGGTGGCGCTATTGGCACCTGTGAGTAACCGACCTGCGTACCTCTTAATGCAATAACTGACTCAATTCGCAGCACTCTACGTACAGATGGGCGAAGCTCTACCGAAGGGAGGACCGGCCGGTCTCTTCATTGCTTTCTTAATATGGGGAACTGTAATGTGGGCAGTGAACGAATGTTTCGCTGAGATGGTCACATTTCTACCAGTCCCGTCACCTTTCGTCCGCTTCGGCAGTGAGTGGGTAGATGATGCTCTGGGGTTTGCAATGTCATGGAACTTCTTCTTCGGTATAGCATTCCTCGTGCCTTTTGAGCTCGTGGCGATGAATATCATGATTACCTTCTGGACGGATAAAGTGCCTGTTGAGGCTATTATCGTCGCGATGATCGTTCTCTATGCGCTGTTGAACATGATAAGTGTTCGATATTTTGGGATCAGCGAGTTTTATCTTTCTATCTTCAAAGTGTTGCTGATGGTTGGCCTTTTCTTCTTCACTTTCGTCACTATGCTTGGAGGGAACCCTTTGCATGATCGTTATGGGTTTCGATACTGGAATAAGCCTGGGGCGTTTGTTGAATATCTTGCGGATGGGGGAACTGGGAGATTTCTTGGGATCTTGTCATGCCTTTACCAGGCCAGCTTCTCGTGAGTACTCAAGATCCACTTGGCCTAGCCCATTTATGAAGTATTGCTAACATTGACAGAATTTGCGGACCCGAATACATCTCAATGGTCGCAGCGGAGACCAAGAACCCGCGTAAGATTTTACCTCCAGCGTTTCGATCTTTTGTTTGGCGCATCCTTGTCTTTTTCGTCGGATCTGCGCTATGCATGGGGATTGTCATCCCATACAATGACCCAACGCTCTCGGCCATTCTAGGAGGAAGCATATCCGGTTCGGGTACTGGAGCCGCATCGTGAGTCTAATAGGCAGCTCTATCTCAAATTCCTATATTCTAATTCCATGCAGACCATATATTATCGCTATGGAGCGTCTCAAGATCTCGGGTCTTCCTCACGTCGTCAATGCGTTGATTATGACATCCATATTCAGCGCCGGTAATGGTCTCCTTTTTACAGCAACCCGTACATTACACGGCATGTCGATCACAGGCCATGCGCCTCGATTTTTCTCCCGGTGCACAAAAGCCGGAGTGCCAATATACGCATTATTCTTCGCTCTTTCTTTCTGTCTCCTTGCGTTTCTTCAGGTTAATACCTCATCTGCCGAGGTCATGAACTATCTCGTGGACCTCGTTACATGCTGTCAGTTGATTAATTACGCTTTTACGGCGTTCACATATCATCATTTTTACTCGGCTCTAAAACGACAAGGAGTTTCACGGGATACCCTCCCTTATAAGGGAAAATTCCAACCCTACACATCATATCTAGCTATGGGTGGCACAACATTCATGGTCCTTGCTGGTGGCTATGATATTTTTCTTAAGGGCGGATGGTCTGTACTGTGGTTCTTTTTGGATTATGGCATGATCGGGTTCTTTGCTGTGGCATTCGTTGGCTGGAAGCTCGCATTCAGAACTAAGTATGTCACTCCCGGAACTGCTGACTTGAGCTTGGGTGGCTTGAAGGAGGAGATTGATACTTACGAGGCTATTCATGCTATGGTCAGTGAGGGACAGGGAGATAACTTGAAGGTCAGTTTATGGAATAGGCTCGTTGGTTAGTAGCAAATAATAATCATTAATCTTTTATATGCTTTGAAATTCTATCAAGGCTATTCAAGTTCCTTTAACGCTGAAGAAGAAATGTTTGCGCTATCATGTTCCAAACTCATTCCGCATTTTTAAAATGCAGATCTTCTGGTTTCCCGTCATCTTGATTTCATGAATTCTGAGCTGGTAGCCCGAGAGCAGTCAAGACATTCGTCGGACCAAAAGCTTTCCACTCATCCAGCTGTTCTTGATTCGAAATGTAGACCGAGCCTAGCATTCCTGGGGTATTTGCCGTAACGCCATGGATATCTTTTGTACTTCGGGGAATAACAATCATCCATCTTGCGGTCATAGCGAAGTTATGCGGACATGCTGCCTCACTTTCAGGCAGTTGCAACGCATCCCTGGCCCTTTGCAATAATCTCGAATAAATTTCCAGTAGCTGCGCACTATCTTTAATTTGACCGCCCGACAACTCATCGAAGCGCTGGATGAAGTACAATAAAGGTGGTGGTCTGGCATCTGATCCAGGAGGACAGTCTGGGAAAAATCTGAAACCTTCCGGATATCCCTCATGGCCTGGGGCGGGGACCACCTGAAGGTGCTTATGAGCTCTGCTTGACCCGGCAGTAACCGTACAATTGAAGAAAACATAATGTTCCTCTTCCATTGCATGCATCATCTGCCACCCAGCATCCAAGTCCTCCAAATCCAGTGGCTCATGCTGTCTCCGATATGAGTCCACTGTCAGCAGAAGCAGCATGGGGCGGAGAACCGGAAATTTATTGATAACAAGATAATGCGTGTCATTGACTTTTGTGATACACACATCGGGATGATCCCGAAGGATATCACTTCCAGGACCAAAAGTACCGGATAGAAAATGCGAGTCTGTGCTTGTGGGTTTCGCAACGCTGATGGTGTCTTCAGCTTGCGGCTTATTTTTTAAGGACTGGACAACATGGAAACAAAACTGACGAGGGTTAGAATCATGCATGAAATGGAAAATCATATGATGATTTCAACGAACCATCATGCCTTTGTCGGCCACGAGAACCGGTTTGCTTGGCTGATAAGCGATGATGCCGTCAGAGACCAAACGATCAAACTTGGCGCATATTTCTGCATGATTGAGACCAATTGGCATCTTGACTGAGATCAAATTCTGGATACGAATTTGGCTTGGGATAGAATGTCCGGATCAATGACCTTGTGAGTATCTAGTTCGTATGTTGAGGTGAAAACGAGGTAGCATTGTCAGCGGCGATCACGCGATAAACCAGCCCCTCCAGCCCCCTTAACGGGAAGCTTAAGTGAACACGGAAGACTCCACCTGAGGCAACACCAACCAACATTCATGCTTCAGAGAACGCGACTTCCTGGAAGAACTTTGATGATACTTAGTCCTTAAGTCGATGAGTTGCCGATACTATTTTGGATCTGCATAATATCCACTTCAAGTTGTCAACATTCATGGGATCTGGACTCTGACGCCTTGCCTATCCCAATGTGACCCCCAGCTCGGGGACCAGCCGCGTGGCTTGTCATTAGTGCTTACCCAAACTCGTTTTCTTGCTCCAGCTGAGGTTGAGCATAGCGAAGGAGCAAATAAGATGCCGCTGTCGCTCGTGTCATTACCCCAAGGAATTTACCGCGGTTCAGTGGTTTTACAGCAGACAATCACCAGCCACTTCGTATCGGTGCTTGGAACTCTGATATCACCGAAAGAAGCTGGCGTCAGTACCAAGTCCTGCTTTTCCTTTATTCTCAAGAGTTGAACACGCTCCACTTAGCCGATATATTGAAATGTCAACAAGGATTCGTCCCTAACCCATACCCCGTAGCATGTGGGCGATCTCTTTCCATCCATTGGAGCGGGTTCATCACCCTAGCTTTTCGCAACGCAGCAGGGTGTTGTGCAGGCTCTAAGCAGTGGAATTGAAGGCCAATCAATCCTGTCATTGGCAATTGATAAGGACCATTATGGATCCATAGAACTGTCATGCCTCCCCTTGATTCCTTACTGATATCAGGGTTTGAGAGCCTCATATATGTCACACTTATTTCAAAAATTCCCAAATTTTTGACACTGAACGGCCTGTGTATCAAAAAGTTCCTGCTCTGTGCACCAGAATGTCAGAAGCTGCAGATCCTCTGAGTCGCGCAGAAACGGGAGATTTGACCAAATTCTCCAAGTTAGAAGCTTCCTTGATCAATACTGAAGTTGAGCGGCGTCCGAATTCGAGAGCACAAAATGATATCTACCGACATGCTGAGAAATCCGATATTGGAGTAAATGAACTTAAATTTGATTTTGATCTTGACACCAGTCACTATCCTTTGGATAATCTGAGCTCTCTTCAGCAGGTTTTTGATTCTGTGCAGTGCCATCATCATCTGAAGAATGCAGAAAACTTCTCACCTGGGACCCATATACATTGTCTCCAAGTGGATTCGCAGAAAGGAGGTACGTCCCAGCAACTATTAATTCTGACTTGATTTGGCTCTGATGGGTACAGAATGGCAAACGCTGGATGAGGATAGTATGGAGAGTCTCCTGTTGGTATGCAGACATTCAGGAGATTGGTTCAAATGCTTGATGTTGACCGTTTTACAGGAACTTGGCTGTTCTAGGCCACGAGAAGAAGGCTTATGTGCGCGCAAGATGGTTGTTTTGTCAGTCAACTGATCTGTAATGCGAAGCCATCACTGACGACCTTTCATAGCTTTGTACCATTGGTCCCGAGTGAAGGTACTTCATATGGATCGCGCGTCTTAATGACAAGAGAAAACGCAAGAATGCTATTACAAAGACTGGAAGTCAATCCAATGTTCTTACTCAACCTCATTGGCAGACCAGACTATTGGGCACCCCAAAGACATCTGGAAGCCGACCAATATGGGGACCTAATTGCTTGCGGTAAGAAGTACAACATGCTATTCATGAGATCGCCTTATAAGCTAAACTATAACCCAGATTTCTTCTGTCAGCATCCACGATGGAATCTCCAGGTCCAGAAATCCCCTTTATCTGTGTACATGCGCCATGATATTCGACAGGGTCTAACAACATACATCATCTCCCACCATGAGTCAGACACATCAATTGTGTCACTGAAATCTCTGTTGAATATTGCACTAAGGACAGCATCTGAAAAGTCCAGAGCTGCAACATTCCTCGACGGCCCTTTCGATATACATGTCATCTTATCCACACTCTCCCTTGAAGCTTCAAAATTTCATGTCGAGCGATTCCGAAGATTTATGTGGTCCCAGATCAATAAGGTCGACGATCATCTTGCCGGTCCCGAGACGACCGACCGAGCAAAGCTTGGAGACTTGACCAAGAAACTCCAGATCATCTCTCAGAATGCAGACTCCCACATTGCCAACGCTGATGTGGCTATAATCACAGCGACGGGTATCCGAGATGCTCATTTGCGCCTCAAGGGCTCGCTCACTGATTCCAGTCCCTTTATACTACAGCGAGTGGAGGACTCGATATCTTATGTCATATCCTCGATGGAGAAGCAGAAAATGTGGTTTCTCAACTACAAGCAACGGAAAGACAGTACCATGTCGCTGGTCTACAATTTAGTGACTCAGCAGGATGCTGCAAACAACATTCAAATTTCTCATAGCATGAAGCAAGACTCAACATCCATGAATGCAATCGCAGCTCTTACCATGGTCTTTCTACCGGGAACATTTGCAGGCACTCTTGTTGGAGCTGGCGTGTTTGGAGGCGCTATTACGGAGAAGGTTTGGCTCATATGGGCTTGCATCACTGTACCCCTGACTCTATTGGTCATGCTATGCTGGTGGCTGTATCAAAAAATGAAGTATCCAGTTTCTTATGGAACCCTGGTGGCGCCAAGCGAGAAGAAGGCGGAGTCGGATCTGAATGAAAAGAGCTACCCCAGACGATTTAGCAGCTTTTCTTTCCGGACTCCTAGAGCTGGACGACAGGATTCCGGCTTCGGAGGACTGACAGGTTCCTAAGCTTGAATTTCTATAAGTGGCGATCACTCCATTATGTAAACGGTGCCATCTGGATTTGATCGTCTACTTCAATGTGATAACCGGAATTTTACAAACCTGAATGTAAAGGAACCCAAGTTTCAATTTTACTTGCTCGAAAACTTGTTTGCAGACTACATACTACAGTAGATCTCTTATAGGAAAAACAGTGCATGATCTACCTCACTTTACCAAAGGTCGGTAAACAGGCTCCCACATTTGAGCGCGAATCCATTCTCTCAAATTCGCATCATCTGAAGGAATATCTTCTTCTTGCGCAAGCTCTTCGGCTACGGAGCATTTTATCACAGCCGCAGCGATATCAACGCTTATCTCTCGGACATCTGCCACATCAGGTAAAAGAGGCAGACGTGGATCCTTCAACGCTGGGGACCGTGCCTTCAGTGCTTCGACCGCTGAGACTAACATCTTCTTGGAAACAAGTCGACTTCGAGACAGAACCGCACCAAGACCAATTCCTGGGAAACAGGTGGAATTGTTGCATTCGGCAATCTCATAGCTCACGCCATCAAATTCGACTGGTGGGAAGGGACTGCCCGTTGCAACAAGCGCTTTACCATTTGTCCAATTGTAGATATCCTTGGGCTGGGCTTCGTGCAGGCGAGTTGGATTGCTCAAGGGGAATACGATGGGCCGATGCACGTGTCTGGCCATTTCTCGGATGATCTCCTCGGAGAAGGCTTTTGGCTTGGTAGACGTGCCAATCAGTACATGGGGTTTGATATTATGAATGACAGAGTAGAGATCTTGATGCTGTTCTTCGGGCCATTCCGTGTCTTCTCTTGCGAATGGCGTCTGTGCTGGTGTCAAGCTATCAGCCATGGACTTGACCAAAAGTCCTGGCTTATCGATGCACCTGAGGTATTCAGTTAGGGTTTTAGGAATTATAAGATGTGAGAGCTTGGTGCTTACCATATCTGTTTTGAGGCATCCTCTTTGGACTTTCGTGTCTCTGTCGCAATGGTATCTGCAATTTGATCTGCGATTCCTGTCCCAGCTGTGCCTGAGCCAAAAATAACGATACGGACATCCTCTAGCCTGACTTCACTGACGTGCAAAGCGGCTAACATAGCGGCCAGTGTCACACATCCAGTGCCTTGGATATCGTCATTGAAACATGGTATCTGGGACCGGTATTTGTCAAGGATTCGCTTAGCATTGTTAAGTCCAAAGTCCTCACTAAGTCCAGGCTGTTAGCTCACAGTCATAATAAAGGTTTCTGCAGCAGTCGGCTCACAAATGAATGTAGGCTTTAGGGAATCTTTGTCGAGCAATCTGGATGAAACTATCCACAAACTCGTCGTATTCCTTTCCTCTCACCCGGTTTTGGCGAAGCCCGAGATATAAGTCGTCGGTGAGCAGCTGCTCATTCTGTGAGAAGAGTTAGCCATATTTCTTGAAAATGATTTATACAGCTTCCAGGGGTTTTCACATCGGTTCCGCAATCAAGGACCACAGGTAATTGCCGTGCCGGATGTATCCCAGCACAAAGAGTGGTAAGGACGAGCTTAGCTATGGAAATTAGAATTGCACCAACACCCTGGTCTCCAATTCCCAGAATCTAATTTCATTATTAATACTGGCTCATTCAAGTGGTACTTTGACAGACTCACTTCCTCGCCATCACTGACGACGATGTAATCCACGTCTTCCTCATTCCCGAAACTTGACAGACACCCCTCAATAGAATCTTGGTCGCGGATATTCAGAAAGCATCCCTCGGGCTTGCGAAATAGGCGTGAATAGTTCTCAATGGCGTCACCTTCGGTTGGAGTGTAGATGATACTGAACATTTCTCTGATATGCGTTTCCAGTAACTGGCCGTAAATTAGCGTGTCACCCCAGAATTCTCTAAGAATATAGAGATGTATAATAGCAGTGAGGTAAATCACAGCGTGATAAACATACCTTGTAGTATAAAACTTCATTCTGGGCCTTCATACTTGCCATGAAAGTATTCTTCGCCAAGTCATCGGTACGACTACTGTATTGTTCGTATGCACGCTGAACTTGCTCATCAAGAGACTGAATATTTGGTGGTAGCAAGCCATGTAATCTGAATCTCGCTCGCTCATCCTCTGGGAAAGCTGAACCTTTGTTGAACTGAGAGTGTTGGAGCACTGTTTGCCCCTGTATAGCATGTCAGATTTGATAGCAAGCTGGGGATGGAGAGTAGATCAACGTACCTCATAAGGACATTTTAAGGGTTGATTAATCGAGCGAGGCAGGTTTTTGAATCCACTAGTTGTACTCATGATGGCGGTTCGATGCACGATAACTCGAATTCCCCTGCTTGAGATGAGAATGGGGGTGGTCCAATGTCTTGAATGTGATGTAAAGCGGGGAATCTCCCACGTGGAGGGCCTGTGCCAGGTTACTGATAACGATTCCTCTTAGAGTATGGTGTTAGCTTGCTAGTAAGACTAGTATTACCTACTAGGTACTAGAGTGACAATTTGGATTCAAGCATTTTATTGTTTTGTTGTTAATCAGTGATGTCATTGATGTCATCCCTATTAGGAGATTAATCCCATCAAATCGGCGATTTCTTTGTCTATGATAAAGAAGCTTACATCAGATGATTTATCCTCACTAGACTTGTATGTAAATCAAAATTCGGTCTGAATCCAACTTTGGTTTTTGAATTTGAATTCATGGATTATCATTTCAGACATTTGAAACGCCGAGTCTCCGTCAGTAGCGAATGGCTGAGCCATTGATCCTGAGTGCATGTTTTCAACTGATACTATAGCAACTAATCACACAACGCACATACTAGTACACCCTCACCATTGCTTCAAGATGTTCAGGATATTCTTGTACAGCAACAAGAATCCCCGAGATACAGCCCCACGTTTCTTTTCTTCCACGGGTTTTGTCCCAGGTTTCTTCCTCAGATGCCACTCTGGTTTCACAAAGTATGACTCAATCATAATTAAGAGGAACGCAGAGTGCCTCTTATCCTGAAGCCTCTCCCTCAAATGCTGTGTTTGCTGAGCCCGTTTTTCCTGTGTGGGACTCTTGCCTCGATGCATTCTACAACACCAACACTCCACCGTACAATGACCAAGACCGTGTGGTCTATGCGATGTCCAGTGTCGTTTTTGACAACATCCGCAATCGCGACTACAGCAACCTCCATTGGCAGCACAGTAGTCTACCAATTCCTTGCGCAGGTACCATGTACGATTCTTTCTGAGCGAATCGTACATTTTCTTCAAGGGTCTTTTGAAGAGGTCCATTTCACAGAGATGAAGTTTCTGCATTAGCTCATCGCACTTCTTGCTGAGGTCCTTTAAAAAGGCTTCCAACTCATCAAGGTGTTTTATATCCTCATCACTATGAAGGGCTTTTTGAAACTCGCGGTACTGTATCTTCAATCGCTCTTCTCGTTGGACGGTCATTCGGAGATCATTTTCAGTGATGAGAAGGTTGATAAATATTGAGTCATCCCATATGTATCGAGTACTAAAAATAGCTGTGCCACAATGGTTTTGGAATCGGCAGTCATTTCCAACTTTACCGCTAAAGTTGTCATAAATTGTGAAATGCTTCGGTCCACGGCGAGGTAATACCACTCGGTTAGGCATGTTGTCTATAGAGGCATATAACAAGACCAGGTAGATTTAGATCAACTTCACTCGGACTCTTGAGGGAAAAGAACAATCATGATTCGTATTGGGCGGGGTCGTCGTTAAACTTGAAGTCCGAGTCATCATGACATCCATGGATATACTCAAACTGGAAGGGATTTTGACAGTATCCAAGGCTACCGAGCTTTCTTATCAGTATCAGTAACTTAAAAATACAAACAACGTAGATTTCATATTGTACACGCTATGGAATGGGAGTATCTTCTAAGGATGAAAGACCAGACTTCTTTAACAAACTTGCGAGAACAACACATGACAAACCCCAAGAAGATCTCATGGAACCCACAGCCTCATAAAACCGCCAACCTCCTGTCGACAAGTAACACAGCTGCCGAAGTTATTCATGGCAAGACTGACTCGGCAATCCTCACAAATGCAAAGACAGCGACAGGGCCAAGTAATAATGGATCGATGCTCCGTCTGGCAGACCACGCAAGGAGGTCCATTAGGGCCCAGGGGTGTGGACCCTGATTCCCAGCCATGCGTGTCGGAGGTAGGGGCTGTTTCAGAGCGTCGAGAAATGATCAATTGCTCAAGCATCTCGGCCTCCTCCTCACCATTCATTCTGTATTTCCCAGCAGCCGAGTTGTTGGCTGCAGGCTGGTGCAGACGGGATGATAGCAGAACACGGGATCTCTCCCGCTCGACCTGCTTACGATATTGGCTTCGAGTCATTATGCGATCTCCTTGGCCGGGTGTTAGGTGGGCAGCAAGAATGCGGGCTTCCTCTTTGCTTTCACGATCACGGGGGTCAAGAAGACGAGCTAGAGTGCTCATATCTATGAATGAGTCTTGGGACGGTGATGTCTCACGGGAAAAAGCCGGATTGGGGTTTAATTGAGTGGGCGTCCGCCGACCATCTGATGGATAATCTTCCCAGTCAGAGTCCGAAACATTGGTTGATATCGAAACCACACTCGTGATATCTTCATTATCAATCGGAGGGTTATAGTCAGGCGTATAGTCCTGGTTGCCCCAAGAACCCCCAACCCTCCACCACGCATAAAGCTTGTCGTCTAATCGGGTCTCGTCGGGTGCCTCCGATTGTACTCTCTCAGTGCGTTCTCGCTTCCTGATTTCGAGTTCGACGTCAAAATCAAAGTTTTCTGGAAGTTCAAGTTCCCCATCATCCGTGAGGATCCAGAAATCTAGAGAACCTGGAGGTGAAGGTTTGCTAATGGTGCGGTTTTGACGTGCTTGGACCAATTTTTTCAACCACTGTGGTCGAGCTCTGATCCCCAGACCGTCAAGGACTCGGCTAAAACCATATGCAAACCATTGAGAGATGAGCTTGAAGATGGCGCGACAAAAACTTATCCCATGCCAAAAGCGGACAGAAGACCGCACAGCCCCAATGCCTTCAAGATGAGCCTGAGATCGCATTGCTCGCGAGCCATTCTTGGGTTTTTCGATCTTCTTCTCCTTATTGTAGCCACTTTCCCACGTCGAGCGGTTGTCTGGCAAATCAAAGCTAGCGAACCCGCGGGCATCGAAAGTGGCTCCTCCCTCAGCCTGGTTTGGCCAGTCTCCATAGAAGGAACTGTGTTGCCGAGAAGCCTCAATCTCAGTCAAGCGGTCATGCTCGAGCCATGTCATTTGTCTCGCGATTACCGCCTTACCCTCGTTGAGGAAAACGGCCTCACTCGCAGCGGTCAATGCGACGTATCCAATTCGAAGAAGAGTAGTGTAGAAATCTTCATGTCGATTAAAGCGAACACTATGAATCTGGTTCGATATCTGCATGTTCTCGTGTGCCAGGGCGAATCTTTCTCTAAGTGAGGGTGCGTTGCCATTTTCTGCTGGTAACGAGAACGCAGTAATAGTCACAGCCAGTCCGTAGATGACAACACATACAACAATACCGATGAAAACCAGCAAATGAGGTATGAACCCGACAACGCAGACGGTTGGGAATCTTGAAAGACCGGAATCGATACTGGTAGGAGGGCCAATCTGTAATCCTTGACACATGACCGCTAAGAAGCACACCCCCCAGAGAGTGGTGTTCAGAAGCCGGTACCGACTTTGCTTGCCAAATACATCCAAAACATGAGATGTCAGACTGTTGCAACATGATACCAAGATGAGAAGTAAGAGCTCCGGTGTAACATTCATTCGATCGAGAATTTGAGTCCGGGTCAACGATATCGAGTTCTCTCCAGTGAAAAATGGTTGGAGAGGACTTTTCTTAGGAAGGCCGAAAATACCGAGTCCAAGGGTCTGGCTGATCATGGATTCGGCCTCCGCAAAAGCGAGCGAGTGCTCAAATATCGACATGCCTGTCTCTGCGCCCACAGGACGCCCTTGCAGTGCGCAGACTAGCGTTTCAAAGAAGTGACTTGCACATAGTACGATGAATACTGGCCACAGCAAGGCAAAAGATCCGTGCGGAATAGATAGAGAGCTGGTTTCGCGGTCCATCTTCAGAGCGCTGCAGGCTTGCTCGTCAGAACCAGGTAAGAGACTCGACGCGAGCGAATGAATAAACCCTCCACCACTTGCGTAATCGTATGCTGATGGTTTTATTGGCGTTCCGTAGCGAATCCTTGTGTAATCGGGAGACGTTTGACATCGAAGTGCGCGTAGAGTAGACAATATTTGCATGGACAAGAGGACGATGGGAATTATACGGAGAGCAAGACGCCTCTCCCAGCCCAGCTGGAGGTGGCGTCTCGTGGATGCGTAAATGGTTATTCGATTCAAGATTATGGCCTGTATGGCTTCTTAGTGGGGCCCACTTTGTTGTTGTATACGGAGTACAAGAGTAGTACTTACCTCTATAAGGCATACAAATGACCAAACACTGGTAACGTATGCAAAAAACCCCCCCAACTTTGCGTATTGTCTCCATGAACTCCATGGTGTACCAGCCATTTCCTTCAGCTGTTGCTTGGGCCATGTCGGCAGCGATCTCAGCAGCTTGTGACGTCGCACTCATAGCCTCATGTGCAAGACTTGAATCCCCGGCCAAAGGCGCTGTTGGCCACAGATTTAGACTCACGTTCTCAATCCCAGCAAGGCGAGCAATATGTCGAGGGACTGTATTAAATGCGAAGGTTTCGGCGTGGTGTAGGGCACGGAGGGGGAGGGAAAGTAATTCGCGGGTGGATGAGGGAAGAAGTGAGGTGGTTTCAGAGGCCTTCAATACAGTTTCATTTATGCTCTGAGCCACAGCGGCAGGAGAAGTGCTCGGCACTGATGGCGCGCCAAAGACACCGAACATGATTGACTGCTTTTGAGAGATCCCCTATCAGTAGTCACTATCAACGATCCTCCAAGTTGGAAACGCTATGGGGAAACCCCCACGCCGCACTGGGTGTCAACAGACTAGGTGAATGTGTCAAATCACAATTATGAACAATGGGCAGTGTCAAAGGTAAACGGTACATTGAGCATAGCTGCTGTCAAACACATTCCCACAAAGAGGGGAAAGCGTTGGGATCGACGCATCTATGGAAGTCCGCCCGGGCACATGCTCCGGCTGAGTCAGCGATGCGGAGGCCCGGGGTACCTTAGGTACCTATGGATGGATAGGTATGGAGATGGTCAAGTGTATGATACTCCAGGCCTCTGGAAGTTGAGATAACATGGTTTTATGAATTATGAAGGTGATTTAAGAGCGGTATATCATGACTATTGAGGCAATTCTGTGAGAGCGCTCCACGTGACATGTTCTACAAACATGATACATAGTAGTATTTCTAGGCCGGTCTAATAGTAGTAACATCAGATGAATAATTTAAGATAAATGTAGACTACTAATATCTTTTAGGAGTGCGAATGAAGATTGTGAGGTTGCAAGCACCAGCTTAGCTAAATTTGGAGGTTTTTTTACTAATTCAGGCCAAAAAGGGCAATCTTGGACTGGCTTTAAGTAAAGCTACTATACCAGCTTCAAGTTGTCGCCTGAGAAGCCTATCATGTATCAGTGTAGGAGCACATTAATGCAAGCAACAAATGTCTTTTTGAGTGATTCAGAAGCTGCCATGTTCCCACAAATCCCAAAGCCCAGATCCACAGACTAATGACCGAAGGCACGAACTGCGGGCACAGTTGATATTGATCTGCCATTCATTTTAGACAATTCGTCCACGGATGTAGAAGGTTCGAATGTTTTGATGCTTGAATGGTCAAGGAAATACTGGTCCTTGAGGGATAACTTTTTTGTTTTGGAAAAGCAAGATGAATTCAGTCAGCCGGAAAAACAAACATAAGGGCCAGCCCTATTCAATCCCAAATAAGCCATAACTCCCCATATAATTATTGGAAGAAAAATCTGTACTCTCGTTGCCGCATAAGTTATTGAAAAATTTGGTCATCACACCTGTTATCACGCCAGTAGGATTAGCTCTTACACCTTGTTGTAGAAGCCTTTAAGGTCGAGGCCTGGAGGAACTCACATCCAAGTAGTCTGCTGCCATGAGGAGCTCCAAGCAGAGCTCGGCGGGAACGTCCATATCAGGTACATTGGTCATGTTTTTAGCTCGGCCGTGGTACATCAGGTATTTGCAAACCTGCTCAAGGACGACGCCCCTGGAAAGATGCATTAGCGAGGAACGAGACGTGAGGATGACTCTGGGGAAATAAAAGAAACTAACTCGATTTCTTCAAGGACACAGCGCCCACTGCGTGACTCGGCGAAGTTACCTAACAAAGTTATAGTTAACAGAGTTTCGCGGTCGCGCGACGCGGTATTCACATACTTGTGGGATCCAGCATACGCCGGATTGTGCCCGATACACAAGCTACCTCATATGGTAGAATGAACTCAAACCCATCGGAGGACACCAAACTAACAGGTGCAGAGTTGGCCGAATCCATCGTGGTATATAGAAACTTCCAAGGTTGGGTTGAAGATGAAATGAACAATTAGCCCGCGTGATCCCGTGAGCTTGTCTTATCGATAAACCGCGAACCATGGAACCTTGGAAGGTGCCTAGACCCTTATTAGACATTTTGACACCTGACGGGTAAGGCGCGATACTGTCAGAACTAGAACCAGAACTCCTACCTTTAACCTTCACTATTCTTCATCCTCTTGTTTATTTCAATGAGGGTATCTTTTTGAAACAAGATGCAGAAAGTTTTTCAAGTCAGCTCTCGAGCTTTGTGTAATCTGGGTACTCTCAAATCATTACCAAAATTGCCCACAGCTACCTCCATCAACTTGAACTCAAGAGAGACGATTCGATATGCATCTTCCGCTTCTGCAAACAACTTAATAGATACTACCAAACAAACTTTCCAGTCTGCAAATAGGCTATCGGGTCGGCGATGCATGATCACAGGTGGAACATCAGGTATTGGCTTTGCTATTGCTGAGAGGTTCCTGCAAGAAGGTGCATCATCAATCATCCTAGTTGGGAGGTCTCAGAAACGATTAGAAGCAGCGGCAACAAGTCTGCCATCACCAGAGAAGGTCCAGATTCTGGTCGGAGATGTTTCAGAAGCAGCATCATGGATTCGTGAATTGGAAAAAGAAATGGTAAGTATGAAACCCAGTACACGAGATCTCTTGGCAGCATGACCTAAATCACCTTCAGACAAATGTCGATATCCTAGTGAATTCGGCTGGAATCTCCATTTCAAACATTCTTCCACGATCCGAGCCAGAGGACATATCCAAAATCTTGCGTACAAATCTCGAAGGTGCCATACTTACGTCACGAGCGCTAATGCGTGCTGCAATCCGCAGCCGCGTGCGTAATCGCAATGCCACTGATGGGGAGACAAAGCCTGCTTCAAAATGCATTATTAATGTTTCCTCATTGCTTGCTCTGAAGGCGGGAACAGGTGCAGTGCCGTACGCTGCTTCAAAGGCTGGTGTTTTGGGTTTGACACGATCTTTGGCCGTCGAGGCTTCTGCATCATTAAAAGATGTCATTATCCGGTCTAATGCAATTGTCCCGGGGTATATTGAGACCCCTATGGTCTCAGGTATGTGACAACCCATTCTGGAAAATGATCAACAGTTGACTTGGCTAGATTTTACTCCCGGCGAGGTGGAAAGGTTGAAGAATCAGATCCCACTTCATCGATTTGGGACTCCGGATGAAGTAGCAGATGCAGCAGTGTTTCTTGCATCAAATGAATATGCCAATAATTGCGTGCTCAACTTGGATGGTGGGCTAAGTGCAGTCTGATAGAGTCCAATTCGGTGGAAGATTTGCGGAGATTTCAAATATGACACCCACAACAATACTCATTCAGAGTGTGTGCGACATGGCCGTTACGAGTGGTCAGCGACCTGCTTCAACTTGAAGGTCCATTCACATTTAAATTACAGTCAAGTGATCTCTATCCTAACGATCATAGTCGAAAGAGTTTGAACTACCAAATACTGAATTGGGCGGCGGTCGTACTTGGCAGCTATATTACAAAATCCAACCTCGGGAGAGTCCTCCGAGTCCCATATGCATATCTCATGGACCATTGAAAAGGCCACCATTAGCTGTACAGTCTTTAATTTCCTTCTTCAGATATTCGTTTCCGAAAAATTACCATTGTAAAATCATGAACTCGTGAGATATTTCTCAGTCGGACGTAACTTAGGATGCGATATGATACATAGTCAACGGATGGTAAGAAAAAGCAGCAGCCAAAAAAGAAATAAATAAATCTGGGGAACCTCTATTATCTTTTTTTTCCCATTGAAAAACACGAATTCAATCTTTCCACACAGGCAGAGCAGGTCCAATCTAGTCTTCGATCAAGATAGCACCTTCATCGTCTAATACGATGACACCATCATCATTGCCATTGGATGTTGGTTCTCCGGCAACCTTCTTAGCGACATGCCCATTTGCCAAGTCGTCGTCGCCTTCACGCTTGCGCTTTCCTGGGTTGGGGATGCCAGAGGCATCCTTTGATGAGGGTTGCGCAGGCTTGGGTTGTCTTCGAATCTCCAGACTCTTCTTCAGTGAGACGGGCGTTGATTCCTCAGAATCAGCGTTCGTTCTATATTGTGGGAATATCCTGTTAACAAATTGTGCAAGCATCATTTCAGTTTTGAGCCTTACCTTTCAATGATATGGAGTTCCAAATTGACACGAGGGTCTTGATCCTGGTCATCTTCGTCAACAATAGTGATCGAAGAGTCATTGTTGATGCCCAATTCTGAGAGTTTCTTCGAAAGATGGTCATCAAAGTCAAGGTCATAGATGACGCCGGAATCTTTCAGGATTGACAGCTCCTCACCATATCCTAACTGTGTTCGAAGCACACCTTCAACGATATCGTTGAGGGTGGCGGTCTTAGGGTCAACAAAGATATGGCCTATTTCGGTAGAGCATACACCACAATCTGATCTCGGGGGATTCAGAGAATCAGAGTTAATAGCGCGGGCTCCAGATCGCTCAAGGAATACCTATTTGGGGCTTATCGTCAGGATAGAAATTCCGGGGTTATTTGGTGAAATTTTTTAGGCTCTTACCATCTTTGCGTTGGTAAGCTCACCCTGAAGAACTTTGAATGCTTGGAGGACACACAGGCCTGCGGTCATGGCGTTTGTAGTCGCAATGGCAGGAATAATATTGCCGGCCATCTCTGCAACGTCTGTTAGTATTCTGGGGTATGGCATCAGTATGGATTGACTCACGTTTAGTATCGAACTTGGATTTGGGCTCGATATCAAATACGGCACTCCGCAGAATACCTGTCGCGGTTACGAAAACCAAGGTGTCTTCGTCATCTTTGTCAAATTCCAGAATCGGTTTAGGACCATTTTCTGGTTTATTCTTCTGGAGCTCCTGGAGGCGTTCACTTAAGCGGTTGAGACTGTCTTAAGTTAGCAAAAGTCACAGTACTTAATGGCCAACGACTAAGCCCACCTGTCATTGAACATAAGGAAAGCTTCAGGGAGTGTCCACTCCTTCTGGTCAATCTTTTCCACGATCTTGGGATCTAAGGATGCAGACTCCTCTGAGAGTTTATCCCAATCAAGTACCTGAGGCTTCTTTTCTTTGCACGTCTCTGTTGAGAGAAGATGTTCAATGTCTGTTTTGAACACCTTGACAAAAACTTTGTTTGTGTACTCTTCAGAGCCCATAGAGTCACGGATTTCCTTGATCTCCATGGTCTCTCGTTCCACATCGCTCATTTCCTTCTCTATATACAAACAAATCAGTAAATATTGTAGTGAGATAGGGGCTTGGATTCAACCGACCATTGTCTGCCGTTTTTGAGCGATCCAAATCATTGTTGTTGTCTTCTCCTTCTTCTCCTCCGGAGAGTAAACTGCAAATATGTAAGAAACCGAATGAGGAAAAAAACATGTGGCGATAACATACGGTAATAGATAACTCTTAGCCCATACGATACAATGAATTGGCTGGGTTGGCCGACTGTGGATGGTGCAAATGGGATAGGAAGTCGGGGTCTCTTTGGGATTGCAGTCATAGCATTCCGTTTTGCCCTGTTTCAATCAGCGACTTTCTTTTAAAGAGCTTGAAATCAATCGCGCCACGTTCTCTAGAGTTGCTACACACCTTCTCGATGACCTGGACTTGACCGTTGAAGCCCATAGTACCACTTTCAATCAACGGAACACCTGCAGCAAGGCACATTCGATTGACATGCCGTCTTGCCGCGAGGTTGTCCAGAGCGTTGAATACAAGGGTAAATGACTGGAACCAATCCACATTGAACTGCTTTTCCATTATGTTCGCATGGTAGGCTTCCAGCTTTGCCTTGGGCTGGAACTTTTGCGCAACTTCCTTGGCAACCTAATTAAAGCCAGCCAAATCAGAACAGTCTCTCAAGTAAATGCGCAAACCGCGCGATACGCGCGCAACGGTGCTATCGCGAGGGTCGCAAGGAAGGGGAGGGGAGGAAACCGGAGGATAGACGCACCAGGGCCTTGGATTTCTTGATGTGTTCATGACGGAAGAGGAATTGGCGATTAAGGTTACTGAGGTCGATCGTATCGAGGTCGAGGACGTGAATTTCGCCGAAGCCCGTGAGGACGAGGTTTTTGAGGAGTTCGCAGCCGATGCCGCCGGCGCCGACCAGTAAGACACGCGACTAGTAGAGAAAAAGAAAATATCAGTAACCAGGCATAATCAAGCGTTCTAAGCTCGGCTCTACCCCCTTTAGAAGCACTTACCGCTTTGATGGTTTGGGTGAGCTCGACCCCGAGCGAGCGCTTGACCGAGCTTGCGGGCATGACGGGCGCAGCGTCAAGTAGAGAGAGCGTATGGAATCACGGACGGTCCCAGTGTAAATGGGGCGTTTCCATTTCACGGTAAAGAAAGGCCGGGGCAGTGGGTGGGAAAAGAGGGTGTATAAGACCCGGAAGCAAAGGCCGAGAGAGGATGAGATGAGGTCGACTTTCGATGACGGCAGAGCTTCAGGTGTTGGACCCGCGGGCAACCTTGTCACGAATATACAGAAGATATGGACTCTTCCGGGCTTCTTAGCTTATTTATTAATTCATGGCAGATAAGGGTCTTCTCTTTTCTTCAGTCCAGGCTTTTGCTCTTTGTCATGATCTAGAACTATTTGGTGTTTCCCTGTCTGATTGCCTCTGCATTCCATGCGCCCTGTTTGCGGCTACATACAGGACCTTGCATCCCCGACTTAGTTGCCTAGGAGTGGAGAATTCTGGTCAATTGGGTAGATGGATCTGATGACTTGTTCTTTATCCAGTCTGAATCCTAATCAAACACGATCCCTGAGCTTTTCCTTAGTGGTTGAATAGTTTGGCAGTGTTTGGAGGCCTAATGTGTAAGAAGGTCGGAGGGCCTACTAAGGGGATATCAACCTTGGGACTTCAAAGTACAAAAAACCCCAGTACCAAGGGGGAAAAGGATCATTTTAAGTAAGGCCGGACTTGACTATCTTCAACTTCAACTTCAAATATTATTGTTCCCATTATCTACACATCAAAGAACACTAAGATTATCTCTCTCAGCCTCAGGCTGATTTACCCCTGCTTACATAACAGTGGTCTCTAACTATCCAAAAAATTGATGGATTTTCCCCGTGGCGAAAGAAAGAACCCTTCCCATCATTAATGATTGCATAGCAAGTGATTTGAGGACCTAGGTATCACTAAGCTGAATTGCATCATTCCATAATTTGGCCTCCACATCTTGTCTTTGTGGAAGAATTAGCTCCAAGCAATCCGACCATTGTGTATCTGCTCCTGTCACATCTCAGGAGATATAGGCGATACTACCACCAACACACCAGGAAGACACATTTATATTCATTCACATATACAATCTGTCTCAAAATTTACACAATGCCTTCTTTGGAACCAATTACTCCAAGAAATCAATTCGTCGATGCAGGGTCCGACGACGAAGCGGATCCAGAGCTGGTGGAGCTGCTTCGCCAGCATTACGGACTAAGCGGAAAGCCGGGGAAGGATGCTCCACCAGAGACGAAGGTGTTGGAGAGTGCTCAATACATCTTTGACAATGCCATTGATGTGGCTCTGAACCCAACCCAGGTCAAAGAAGCTGCAGAGTTCATTTGGCGTCTGATGCAGAAGAAGGCATACTCTACCCAAACATGGTCAGAGCATGAGCTGCACCCAAAGACCAAAAATGAGAGCACTGTGGACTTCATATTTACTATGGATCTGCTGAATTTTAGTTTCTGGTCTGAGGAGACAGACGAGTCCAAGCGTTTTTCTATTGAATATCGCGATAAGAAGTGGACCGGATATTGGAGTCTGGTTGCTGCTCTTCAAAGAGCTCTTGATGAAGGTACAACAGAACTTGCATAGATGGAGCTCATCTTTTTTCCTTGCTTTGTTGTCAAACAGGACTAATGATTGGTTTTCAGATATCCCGATAACAACCCCAGACTTCTGGGTGAATGAGTCAGAATGTACAGAAGAGCTACTTAGACATGTATTCCGATCTGCCACAGACGAGGAGATCCCCCCTGTTCAAAGAACGGGTGCAATGCCTGCGCGAGGCGGGTGCCGTTCTGTGTGATGTGAGTTTTTCTTTTAATGTTCTGGACCTCATGCAAGGACTAAGAGAGTCTTCTAGGAATTCGGTGGTAGCTTTGCAAACTGCATTGATAGTGCCAACTACTCCGCTGCGGGTCTTGTCAACTTGCTTACTGAGAGCTTTGACTGTTTCCGTGACGAGACAGTCTTCCATGGCAAGCGAGTGCGGCTGTATAAGCGCGCCCAGATTCTGGTAGCAGATATTTGGGCCTGCTTTAATGGCGAAGACTTTGGAGAGTTTCATGATATTGATAAGATCACTATGTTCGCAGGTGAGATTCCAACATTTGAATGTTTGCAACCTTTCACCCAGCCTCTAACACGCTCATATAGACTACCGAATCCCACAAATGCTACACCAGCTGGGATGTGTGCGCTACTCCCCTCCATTAGAAAGCCATATTCATCGCCTGAAGCCCTTGACGCCAGGCTCGAACTGGGAAATCGAGCTGCGCGGCACTAGCATCTGGGCCGTGGAGCTTATCAGGCGTGAAATTGAGAAGCGCCACCCAGAGGTCAAGACTGCTGGTAGATGTGAAAAGATCACCACTGAGGGGAACGAGAACCCTGAAGAGCCTGAGTCAAGTGAGACTCAAGACAAACCCCAGAAAACGTACGGGATCAATGCGATCCTTATCGATTTCTTCCTATATGACACGATGAAGAACCTGGAGGCAGAACATAACGAGAGTATCCCTCACCACAGGACTCGCAGTATTTGGTACTGATGTCCCTTTCCGCATTCCATTGGTAACATTGGAAGCTCAGCATATATTGGCGCTTGGCACGGCAGCCTTGGAAAAGAGCTTGATCTGATATAGCTCTGGCCTGGTCTTTTCAAAAAGATTCAAAAGCATCCTGGACATTTGGATAGATTCAATCTGGTTTAAAGGCAGTTGCAATTTACTCATAGATCATTATTTAATAGCGGCGCAAGATACAGAATGCATAATTGTAATTAATCTCAAAGGTTGAAAAGGGTATCAAATTCGTTCCTATCGCTGTTACTCCATCCATAGACTCCACAAAAAGATATCCCCAGCTTCAATTACGCAGCTGCCACCTGAGACTTGCTGCCCCCAATGCGAGCCAGAATATCAGCTCTCCATTCCACGAATTCTTCGCGGCGATCGTCACTAAGCCAATCCACACGGTCCTGCATCATGGTTCCCAGCCCTGGAAGAAGACCACCGTGGGTAGGGTTATTAGACCGCGATTGTTGGCTAGGTCCGCTGGTCCCATCATTCCGCTTTGGCAACTTCACACCACGGAACGCAGCATCTTCTTCATCAAGATTGCGGAAGGAAACACCATCTTCATCCTCGCCGTCTAGTTCACCTGCAAGTGGAATGTTCTCAAACCACTCCTGCTCATTTGCCCATCCTTGCTCCATAATCAAGCCGATCCAATGGTCCACATCATCGCGGTGACTTCTATCATTTGGGAGTCCAAGACTAGTGAGTGCTGTTTGGCGCATTTCAGTGAAAGTCTTCTTGTCCATCTTCTGGCCTTGATTATCGATTTCGCCATCAGCTGATGGAGTCGGATTTCTTCGGCGGGCCAGAACAAGGAAGTAAACAGCCACAACCATGGCGTAGACAAGTTCTTTGAAATCGTCATCGTTGTTGGCATTCGTGATTGACACAATCGGGTCTAAGAAATCCAGGGTCTCCTCGTCGAATCCCTCTTCGTTGCTGGACATACTAGATGTCAAGTAGAGAATTGAAGAAACACCGGCAAAAATATGTGGTGGAAGTGTTCTCGAGATCGGAGGACGGGACCAGGTGGTCGTCCGAGGTGCCGGAGTTGACAATGTTTTGCATACTGTGCGGATTGCATTCATGGCCCATGCTGGGGCATCGGGGATTATGGTGGAAGACGCCAATCCATTGCGACGGCTCGTGGAGGGCTTGAGTGCAGATTTGGTCGGAGTGCCAAGCTTAGCCACGCTAACACTTCTCTTCAAGGGTGTTGATTTGGAGGGCGTATTTTGCAGGCCTCGGGGTGTGGGAGCGGCTTTTGAAGGGGTCCGTCCACCTACAGATGCTTTCGCTGGTGTAGTCTGAGCGGAGGCAGTGCGCTTAGGCGTAGATACATAGCCACTGGCCGATCGCTTGATTCCAGCTGTGCTAGACGACAGAGACCGGTCGAGGTATGAGTAGAGCTTCTTGTAGACGCGCGGAGGACATGGTGGATGGCCGAGTAAAGGGGGGAGTTTCAGGGCTCGTGTCAGCCTGCAAATATGAGATTATTAGCACAATTGAGATGACAGATAATATAAGCTCCAGACGAAAGCTCCCAGATGACTTCCTACCTCCTACAGGCGATCTCGGCGCAAGCATATGGCCGGGCAATCTCTTCCTCGGGCTTCAAGCTGCTGGAAAAGCTTCGTGATTGTGCGACAAGACTCAAGGCCAAGCTCAGAAGTTCCTGAGGAAGATCATTGGCGTGAGTAGGCACCAAATTGCCCAGTGCTTGTTCGACCGGACGATTGTTCATGGTTGCTTGTTTACTTCAGATCCTGGCCTAGAGTAAGGATGAGAAGTGGTTGATACTTGCGATAACGATAACAGGCAGCACACTTTGGCCTGAAATATCCGGCGCCGAGGGTTTTATGCAGCATACTAACTTCAAGTTGAAGTTTGGAGGGTTCTTTTGTATGTTTTCTCAACCTTTATTCTCGGGTTATATATAGAGAGCTTGGAGTATTTGAATACTAGTAGTACCAGTCACCCCATGATGATAATGTGCTGTGTTGCTCTTAGTACAACCTCAGGCTTGGAACTTGAACTAACTAGTGAGTTGAGAGAATCAACGGTCTGACATATATTCAGCCACTGGCACTGCACAGAGACATCAAGTTGAAGATGCCAGTATTGGATGATACTCCTAGTAGGACGGGTTTTATTTTAAGACTTGTTAAACAAGGACTCCAGTTTATTTTCATGTATTCGAAGACCGTTAATTAGTGGAGCTTCTGACTTTTTTTTTATCATTGCATTTGATGGAGCCTGAGCTATACTATATTGCGGGTGAACAGCTGCCGGCAAGATTACCTGGGCAGTCACCGCCCGCCGGGGCCCATCGCCCTCATCCACTTTGCTTTCCAGCGTCACTACCATTGCCAGGTAAAGTGAGGAAGTATTCTCCAAAATGTCTGTGACTGTGAGTATTTCAATTCTTAACACGCATCAAATTCAAGAAATTCAATTCCCAATACTAATTTCATCTCTATACAGCTCCATACCACCCAGGGCGACCTTAAAATCGAGATATTTTGTGAGGCAGTTCCACAAACCGCTGAGAACTTCCTGGCGCTTTGCGCATGTGGCGCCTATAATGATACTCCCTTCCACCGTCTCATCCCGGGCTTCATGATCCAAGGCGGCGATATCTCTCTTGGACCAGTTGCGCAACCCTCAGGGACCACCAAACCCGCGCTCCCGTTCGAGATTCCGAAAGGCGGTACCTCGGTGTATCATCCCTCAGCAATGAACCAAGAAATTCACCTGCCAGCATTACGACATAACGCGCGCGGTATCCTTTCTATGGCCTCGCGACCAGTGAAGGACAGGTCAGCACCAGGATCGCAAAACGCAACTGGCCGGACAATTAATGGCAGTCAATTCTTTGTTGTCTTTGCGCCGGCGCCGCATCTTGATGGAGTTAGCACAGTTTTCGGGAAGGTTCTGAACTTGAGCCCGCAGGATGAGGGTGGTGATGTTCTTTCAAAGCTGGAGAAGGTCAATGTCAAGGTTGATAAGAAGGGCAAGGTTTCTCAGCCCAAAGAGGGTGACAACTTTGAGGCTCTTCGGATCAACAGCGTCACTATCCATGCCAATCCTTTCGCAACATGAGCTCAATGTCTTTTATCTTTGACCGCCAAGGAGAAAGCCTACCCCATGATCTCGAACACCATCTGAGTGCGACAGCCACCTACACGATGGTTTTATGTTATCGATCCACAAAGATAAAGTGAAATATCACGAATCCCTCCCAGCTCTCGTGGACACGTGCAAAAAGTGTTGGCAGGTCCTAGCAATAGCAGATTCCGCACTGCATAAAAATGGCTTCCTAATTGCAGTCTATCTTGATGCAAAGGCCCTTGACTTGAAACACTTTGTTCTAGGCAATTTCGGAGAGCAGAAACATCCTGCACTGCACGCCTTAATGTACTGTCAAAACATTTTTCCTGCGTTAAACAGTGTCCTACGAGAAATCTTTGGCTATGAAGTTGTCTGGCCTAGAACTTGAATAGAGGCACATCATGAAGATATAATAATCAAACATAAACTTTTCAGATTTTCAACATCCTTCCCCAACCAACCATCACTGGATATCTATATATGGGCTGAAAACAAATGTATATAACATCATCGACGCCATCCCCGGATATGGAATAAAAAGAAAGAAAAAAGACATCTCAAGTAGCATCATGAAAATAGACATAATAAATCATAGCCAGTATTTTGAATTAAATCATTTACCCATGGAAGCATCAAGCAGGTTGTCCATGTCAGCGGTGGCCTTAGGGTTCTCCTCCTCCTTTTCTCCTCCTCATAACCCTCGACCTTCATATCCTTGAGACCAAGATCATCCTCTTCTTCCTCGGTTCTCTCGTATTCTTCAATGGTAATCTGGTGGTCAATGGCAGGAGAGCACAGGTCTTGGACGTAACTGTTGGCCAAAGGATCCTCAAGGGTAATGGTGAACTTCTTCTGACCTGCAATAGCAAGGTCAAGGTTCTCGAAGAAACGCTCCCACTTGCTCTTGTCCGAGTTGGCCATACTGTCACCACCAGTGGCACCACCAGCATCGAAAATGTGGCCGTAAAGCTGGTCCTTGATTTCGGTCAAGAGACCCTCAACAGTGGTGAAGCGTCCGCCCAGAGTTCCTGGTTGAATGGAAACCTCCAGTTCTTCACTGGACATAGCACAGGTGTTGGACTTGAGAATGTCTCGTGACAGATCAACCTCATTCTCAACACGGAGGGTAATACGCTTGCCGAGAGGGGGGACTTCACCGCCGGTCTTCACATCACTGTTCTTGTATCCACAGGCCGGGCAGCTGGTACCGAACAAGTAGACCTCCTTGAAGTGAGGAACTAGACAAATTGTCAGATATGTGGTCACAAAAATGGAAAGCTTACATCAGACAAGACTTACTCTTAACTCGCTTAATTCTTGTTGAAGCCTGGGAGGAAGTGCAGCCAGGGCACTCAGTAGGGAGATCATAGACCTGGCCGTCGACGATATCCAAATCTTCGGGATCACCCATAGCACCGTTACCCTCCTCAACCATAGCAGCATTGGGATCATGAGAGATTCCAAGCTCTTCGTTCTGTTCATGAGTTCTGGGGTATTCGCGGCGAATGTACTTGTTACCGCGATCGGTAGTGTTGGGCGCGATCCAAGAGTTTCCAGTGGGGTCGTCCAATGAGACAGTGAAAGGGAAGCCAGTACGGTCCAGAATGTCCTTAAGCTTCTGGATGATGGGCTCAAGAGCAGCATAGAGCTCTGGGGCCTGGTCTACGCGCAGTTCCTGCTCACTAGAGAGGGATTCGTGGATGCGCTGAATGACTCCCTCGATGTTGGTGAGCTGACTTTCTCCCTTGGGCATCTCAATACCCAGTGATTCAACCTTGAAGATAGAGATATCGGAGCGGATAACCTGACGCTGGAGATCATCCTCGTTTTCGACGGTCAGGGTGTACTTGGCGCCTTGTTCCTGAACTGTATCCCTCTGAATTAGCAAAAGAAAAAGGACAAAACAGAAAGATAGAAGGAACACTAACTCTGCGAAGCTGACTTCACACTGTTGTCCTTGAAGTGGCAGTGGTCGCACTCAAATGACTCAAGAATGATATCCCGGAAGTAGGGAACGCGGAGAAGGAGCAGGCGAGTCATTCCCTATTGAAAGTGAATTTGTTAGAGATTTTGCGACAGAAATTCCCCAGAAAAAAGCGCAGATATGACCTACATTGTCATGACAGTTCATGCAAAGACTCTCCACCTGGACAACTCCATTATCATCATCGTCGCGGTCAACAACCTGACCAAGGCTTTGAAATTGGGATTCGTTCTCGTTTGACATTGTGAATAGGCGCACAGATGAGCGATGGGGGATATATGGTATGAAAAGAGTGTGCGCCTGTTAAAAGATAGCAATCACACAACACAAGAGGGGCTTGAAATAAAAGCTAATAGTCCAAGTGAAGCCCAATGTAAAAAAAATCTCAGCTCACCGCCCGTCCGAATCTTCCGTCATGTTCTGTGTCGCGGGGCAAATTAAGTTATGCAGGGAGGGGCATTATGCAGCTGACTAAAGTTATCCATTTATCCACCCGCTTCACCTGGGCACCAATCTAGATTCAGCAATCCATCTTGTCACCCCACTCAAGTCTCTAAAGCAGTATGATCAATATGAAATAGGCCCCTTGAATCCAAGAATGATAATAGCTTTACTAGTTTGACATACCTGACTACCACTTCCTCATTCAACTTCCAAGGTTTGAAACTCTTCTATGGTCTGGGTGTAAGTAAATGATTACATAATCCTAGAACATATGCTGACTAATGTGAATTGCCAAGATCCAGCTTCTCATAGCAAGCAGAGCTCATTCTGATATTGATTATCAAAACTGGAATTGAGGTGGATGATGAGTAATAGACCCGGATCTACCTAGATTGCCTCACAATGGAAGAGTCCAGCCATGTTCGGGAGGCTTTCCACAAAGCCAGCGTCTTCCTAAGCCCCGTGCTCGACAAAGGCATGGAAATTCTAGTATGAAGGCAGATTATTTGGAGACACAGCTAACATTATCCAGGCGAGATTGAGCGTTCACGAGGCACATCTTTGCTTAGGAGCTTGTCTCAGAAGACTGAAGCACCTCAGGGGGACGATGAAACCTCAAGAACTGCTGTTATTGGCAAAGCCTTGGAAATCCTAAATGACATCCATGACGCATTCGTTACGCCCATTGAAAGTTCAGAAAAATACAAAAATGTCGCTGTTGAAGGTAGAGATCCGGCTCTTGAAGATGCGAAGCGTCGCCGGATGTTGCACGCTTTGTTGGACCTGATCTCACTCGAGGGAATCTACCCGTCACTCTCTTCTGGGGTTGGTATCCCTCTGCAGCAAAGAGTCATCTCGGTTCTGCCAGCCGGCGTCATTGCCAAACAGACAGCTGTGCATACAAGCATTCTCCATCGCAATATGTCACTTCTTCGCCATATTGTTGAGGCCCTACTGAACATTCTGTTGGATCCGAGACCAAGCATTCAGCCTGTCATTCGGGGTCGCATCCTGAGCGATGTAATCAGTGGAACGGCGGATCTTGCCTTCAACAAGAATATCAAAGGATATGACGGACAAAGGAAATTACAGGCCCAGTTTGTCAACATCATCAATGAGTAGGTTTTTGGCACTTCTCATCAAAAATTATAGGAGTTTATCTTCTAACTTATTTTTTAGCACCCCAAGCGCAGTTCTGCTGCCTACATTGTCTGCCTTCCTTCAGACAGATACAACACCTTGGTTCAAATCGACAGTATCAAGTCAAATAGCTCAAGTCCCTCTTCGTCCGGGTGGTGTTCTGCAAACGATCATGTTCCTCGCCTCGCAATTTGCCCCTTCTCTCGGACAGGAGGCTCAAAGCGAGCCATCAAATGGACCTCACTTCACAGTCCAAGCTATCATGCAGATATCGAAGCTACTCTCCTCAGTGCCACAACATGTTGAGCCGTCAGTATACTTGACCACGATTGCTCCTCAGCTGTTGACACTTCTGGACGGTGATGACCCAGATCTCAAGAGAACTGTTTCCTACACAATTGGAAATGGGATTCTTGGGAAACGGGCTCTTGGGGCTCGTGGAATGATTGGACACACAATCTTCGTGGAGCCTCTATTCCGCACTTTAACAGCTGACCTCGATGAATCTTCGATGCGATGGATGATGCAATATCCTGGCTTTGAAAAAACTAAATCATCAACACCGAAATCAGCATCTCTATCAAAAGTCGTTGTCAATCATGAGATGATCGATTTAGCCATTGAGAGGTTAGGAAGCCTGGCTCTCCAACATCCAAATCCAGGCCTGGTCAAGCGAATCGTGACGCCGATTCTTCTGCCCCTTTGGGGGCTTGCCTGCTTCACAAAGGAGCAGGATTCGAAAGTGCTACATGAGAAGGTCATGGCACTTCTTCAAACCTTCTTCAGTATTTCGGTTGGAGTGCCCCCTCTCAAGAAGCTTGTTGATAACTTGCTATGGGATGGTGGATCGGCTTGGACGTACAGTTCCAGCTCCGATGGACATATCAGCCTGGTCAAGCGAATTCACGAAGGCAACGAACATTTGAACATGGTCCGATTGATTGACTCCCTCCAAGTACGAACTGAGCTTTTTGCCAGCTTATTAGCAGCGGATCCAAGTTGCGAAGAGTCGACTGGCGAAGTCTTCCTCTATGTCAGTCAGAAATGGCTTGTGCAGCCAAGCCCAGAAGATAAACCGCAGCAGCTGGGAGAGTCGGAGACAATTTTCCAGCGACTTATTAGTGCCAAAGTCGCCGAAAAGCTGCTGGATAGCTTCAAGAACACATTATCACGCCATCCCCTTCGCGTACTTGATCTAATTAAGCAAGTGATTGATGGTGAACTGCATAACCTTGGTGCCAAATCCACAAGTCAAAGTCAAGCATCGGGAAAGCCGTCATTATCATCACTCGCCAATATTGTCACTTCAGAGAACACGGCCGATCAAGATGAATCCAACAAAGACACATCGGAGTCATTGTCTACCGCATTCAGCTTGTTATCCACCGTCTTGGCGTCCCCAGAGTTCTCTATCTCAGAAATGATAAAATCTCTTTTAGAGTCAATCAAGGAAAAGCTTGATCGGTTGATTCCATTACTCCCTCCTGCACTCTCCAAGCCAGCAACAACCTCATCGATGCTTCTGGAGATTCAACTCACATCTCAAGAACATGATGATACCAAACCACCACCGCCTCATATCGCCGATCTCGAAACTCATCGTCAGGCATTATCAAATCTTAATTCCAACCTGCCACCCGTCCAAGCAGAAGGATTCTCTCTACTCACCCAATTAATCATCAACTCATCCCCTGTTCTCGATATCCCTTCAACTCTAACCCTACTCCTATCAATCATCAATGACATCTCCGAATCGACTGCCAACGAGGAATTCATCTACCTCAACGCAATCAAACTCATCGGCACCCTAGCATCCCGTCACCCTCGAACAGTTGTCAAAACCTTGGTCGACAGCTACACCGATAAATCCGAACAACGAACCCTCGATCAACGCCTCAAAATTGGCGAGTCTCTCCTCCGCACAGTACAAGACCTCGGTGAAGCCCTTACTGGCGAAATTGCGAAAATACTCGGCGAAGCAATGGTGACCGTAGCAGGACGCCGAGGCAACAAGCCCCAAGCTCAACGAACTCGCAAAAAACAAGAAGAGAAAGAGCGCCGTCAAGAGGAGCGCGAAGAACGAAAAAGACAAAAAGAAGCCGCCATGTCCGGAGGATGGAAGGTCACTACCGGGCCCACAGATTCCAAAGACGAGGTCACACTTGCAGACTCAGACTCGGAATCTGAATCGCCAGAACAGTCGATCCACGCAGCGAATATCGTGGCTGCATGGGCTGCTGGCGCGGCATCGGATGAAGAACCTGATGACCTGCGTGTTCGCGCTTCGGCCCTCTCGATCCTTGCATCTGCAATCACGACTAACGTCCGTGGCTTGGGACCTGCGGTCATCTCGTCTGCTGTGGACCTTGCACTGGCGACGCTGACACTGGAGCCTGCAGCTGAAAGTGCGATTCTGCGTCGTGCAAGTGCGGTTCTGATACTTGACATCCTGCGAGCACTTGATAAGATTGGGGAGGAGCAGAAGACAGCGAACATTGGATTTGGATTCTCACTTATTGATGATGGGAAGGGTGGGAATGGGAATGGTATGCAGAGTTCGGGATCTTCCACCATTGGCAATATCCCATCCATGCTACGCACGCTTGGATTCGTCGAGAGCCGCGAGGAAGATGTAATTGTGCGTGGGCATTTGCGAGTTTTGATTGAGAGCTTGGAGGCTTGGTTGGAGAAGGCTCTGATGTGGGGGATTGAGGGACTTGATGGAGAGCCGAGAATGGAATTGGGTGATCGAATTGCTGGGTTGGATATTGATCCTCTGGCTGGGCGTGGTCCTTTGAGGCCACGAATTGAGGAGATTGAGTAGGTAGATTTGATGAATTTACTTTCACAGGAGAGTGGATCAATATGAGAAATGGTTGTCTTTCTGAAGCTAGAATCTAGCATATTTTCATTCTTCCGTTTTGGTAGAGGCTTCAAGTTTGTGACAGTCGTAGTCTGACGAGTCTTCCAAGGTTGACGCCGTGCTTTGCGCGAAACTACATCCATATAGCAGCGAAATTGGGAAACTTGAAGGTATGTCCCCCCGGGCCAGCACTCAACTCGAAGTGCTTGGCCAGGTGTGTTCACATGTGCACATACCTACTTAAGTACTGAGTTATTAGTATCTAGGTACAGGTGACTGATGACCTACACCTCTTTGTATGTAAGTACCTACGGGGTTACCTGGAGGGAAAGAAAGGCTAGCTGTTACGTATACAGTTGGATATAGGAAACTGGTAGCCCGAGGGATAACTTGTGGGCGGATTCTACATATCCTCCTTTGGTATTACTATAACAGGCACCTGGGCAGTAAGTAAAAGTTCGGGAACCCAAGTACCTAGGTAGTAAATAGGCCCATAACCTTGGAAAAGACCACCTGTAAAGGAGACCTAGGCCCACTACTAGTTAAAGTAGATAAGAGTGATCACCGACCACTAAGACAGAATGGAAAGCAGAAGTTTGGACCCAGAAGGCCACTTTTTTTTTCTTCATTTCTGTTTAAATCTAGATTATCTAACATATACATCAAACATTCAGGATGATCAGGCACAGAAAGCAGCTCTAGATAGCATCATCCTTGATACAAATGAATTTACCACTCCGGAATCCATTCAACCGTGATGGCCCCCACGACCACGACCACCGCCACGGCCACCGTATCTTCCACGTTGTCCATGTCCATGTCCATGTCCATGGCCTCGTCCGCCATGCCAGCCAGAGTCACGACGAACAGTGGGTCGTGGAGTAGCAGCCAGGCGCTCCGCACGCTCCTCATCAGAAAGGGCAAACTTATTCGGAATGTCAATGAGGCGGCAGAACTGCTCAGTCTGCGGGCTTGGATACTCTGGTGGAAGTTCATTGGTAGTGATCGGAACGTTGGGATCGAAAACTGGTGCGACTTGAGTGAAATTCAGAGGCACGTCCATTAAGTTGGGCTTCATGACGTTTGCCTCAACCCATAGCTCTTCCACCTCAATGGCCTGACGGTAGATATCATCACCTTTATGATGGGGCGGCCAAGCAGTGACGTTACCAACCTCAAGCTCTTGTGCAAAAACGCGAGTAATAGCTAACCATTCTTTATCGTATTGAAGACGGAATGGACGCTGAAATTCGGCCCGGGCGGTATCGTTATTGACAGGCTGCACTTCCACCAGTTCCAGATATTGATCGTGACCACCCGGTTTGTCTAAAGCCAGGAATTTGGTTACTCTGTTTTGAATGGCCTCTGGAATCACCTTCAAAGCAGGTGGAGTTTGTGTGGGGCGGCTTAGGCTTGTGGGCAGCTTGCTGACGTTGCTGGAAAGGCTAGCTGGCAACTTGTCGCGAATAGCAATCGGGACGCCTTCATCGGCAGGAGACCCATCTTGGACAGTAATAGGCTCGTGAGCGACATGATCCTCAGTCGTAGTCATGACTTCAGATTCACCGTCACTGTCTAGGTTGATTTCATCCGTGTTCTTAACTTGTTGACGTTGACTGGAATCAGTAGGTGCATTAACATCTACCATTGACTCGTCTTGAGCAGCGTCACCTCCGGTCATAGTCATGATCTCCGTATTGGGGGGAGATCCTGCCTCAGATTCACTGCCACTATCCAGGTTGATTTCATCCGTGTTCTTAACTCGTTGACGTTGACTGGAATCAGTAGGTGCATCGACATCTACCATTGACTCGTCTTGGGTGGTGGCGGCATCATCAGTCATAATCACGGCTTGCTCTTTGGCCGATTCACTGCCACTATCCAAGTCAATTTCGTCGTTGTTTTTGACTTGTTGTTCATCAATGGGTGCGTGAACGTCTACCAATGAACGATGGTCGCCATGTGCTATGACCTTCTTCCAGGTTTGCTGGGCCTTGATTGCAGGTTGCGAAACACGAGAGGGATCATTGAACTCCATCCGAGCCCTCTTAGCCTCTGCACGGTCTCTCTGAGGGGCTGTTTGGGCAAATGTGTTCCAGGCTGAAACAGATCCATTCTCTGGGACGCTTGATCCACTAGGTCCACCAAATGTAGGCTTATGAGGCGAAGTAGGCTTGAAAGGTGGAGTAGACTTGGGCTTGGAGGTGGGATCAGCTTCATAGCCCCATTCTGCGGGCTCGTCAATAGACTGGGTTGTTTTCTTAAGAGAAGTGCCATCATGACCCATTGTCAGAGCGAACCGAGTGTGGAAGTGGGCAGAGAACCAATAGGCGGGACATAATCGATCAAGGACCTCACGGGCAGCCTGATTTCCAAGCCGGCCATGCTCAGAATCATCACGCAAGAACTTCTTTTTGCGAAAGAGCTGATGGGTGTTTCCATGGTTTTCAATGCCACGAGGCCAATCGTGGGACAGACCAATATCGACCTGGGTGCGTACCTGCATCAGCTTGCGTACATCAAGTTCGCGAATGTGGTAGATGCTTGAAACGTCCTCTGAGTTGTAAGGGAGACGTTCGTAGTGATGTTTGCGATAATCATATGGCTTCCAGATACCAGACATGCCGGAGATACGAAGCGGACCCAAACGAAGAACATTTGCAGCACCAAGGTAGTAGATGTTAGGAGCAACCCAGCCGCCGTAGTACAGTTCAAATAAGTAATTGCCGGCCTCATGGTTACCGCCACAGAAGATTGTTAAAACGGGTGCGACGCGTGCTCCAGAATAGTACTCATGGAAGTCCCCAATACTTCTGTACTTAGGCGGGACTGACATGCAGGCTGCATCATTTGCATTCCGAAGAGTCTGTGCACAGGGTTCATTAGTATATCTTGATTGAGATCGAAAGACCAAAGAAAGGATTCAACATACTTGAAAATCTCCACCGACGATAACACAGTCAACAGAGTCCCAGTGTTTCTTGCCCTTTTCAACTTCAATCCTTTCGTAGATTTCATTGAGGGCACCATGACCCTGCACCACAGCGAATCACACAGTTAGTTTTGGAACATGATTCATGTCACCTGGGGAAACCCATATAGGGTTGAGGGTGAGAGAATACTTACGCAGCCAACACAAGCAATACGCAAAGGGGAAGACATCGCGACGGGGTTGACAGGGTGAGGAAATGAGGAATTTGAAGTGAAAAGTGTAGAGAGGAGTGTAAGAAGCAGCAAGTAGAGTCTGGAAATGTCTAGACTCTATGCTTCCTCAAGTAGCCAGTCAACAGACGCGCCCACCCGAGGGCGCACAAGTTGCACAAGGAAAAGGTTAAAGGAGGCAAACGAAGCAAGGAGAAATGGGTTTGAAAAGGAAAGAGCAAAAGATAATGGATGTAACAAAAGGGAGAGTGGTGGGGTGGGTAGAAGAAAGGAAGAGAGAGAGAGCGAGGGAAGAAGTTCGTGATAGACTGATAGTAGGCTAAGAGTGACAGTTAAGCGGCTCATTCAAGTCATCCCAATTAAAATTTTCCACTGACAACCTCCTGCTCTCACTTGACTTTACAGGGAAGACATTATCTACTCAGATTTATAGGACTCTATTATTTACTGTTTCTATTATGCCACCAATTGAGTCATCCCATCTACGCTTTCTTAATGAAGCTGCCCAGTGGTTGGGTTCACGCAGTCCGTCCACCTCAGCCCATCTCTTAGGAGTTCATACGCGACTCCTTCATGAAGAGTTGAAACCTCTCAACACCCACCAAAAGAAACACCATTGTACTTGTGGAGATCTTCGATCTGGAACTAAAGTCACTCGAGTATCATCTAAGCGACAAGGAAGGTTAGGAGCCAAGAGGGGAAGTGCTGTAGTGTATAAGTGTTTGCGCTGTAAGCAAAGGACAGTACTTGTACGAAAGGCGCCCACTCAACCTCTTAAACAATCCAAACCTCCCAAAATTCCTCAATCTCTCAATACTACTACTCATTCCATTTCTGCCCCTACGAGTGCAGTGGCTTCCCCTGCACCATCCTCAACTCCAGCAGAGACTTCCGCACCAGAATCTACCTCCGCTGATCTCACTCTAAAAGCTGCCGACAACGCGAATAGCAAGAAACGAGCCAAAGCGCGAAAGCAAGGAGGACTCCAAGCTCTCTTGGCTGCGAAGCAAAAGACTCAACCCTCACTTGACCTCTTCGACTTCTTGCAGTGAGGCATCAATTTGTGCCTGAATTTGGAACCCGGCTCTACAATTTTCCGGTCCCTCCAGCTGTCTTATGCGGGGGAGAACAAGAACCTCTCGAGACCTTGATTTCCCGACACACAATTTCACACCTTACTTGTGAAATCCACCAAAATGTCTGATTATTCTCATGATGAGGATCATGATCCTCAATCTGATGAGCTCCGTGAAACTGCTTTAGTTACCCTTGAAGCTTTGATTAGCTCCTGTAATCAGCAAATGCAACCGTACCTGACCAACACAACCAACGCCGCTCTCCGATTCCTCAAATATGATCCCAACGTTGCCGAGATGGAAGATGACGAAGAAATGGGGGGAACTGAGGACGATGGGAGTGAGGACGACGCGACCGAGGACCCTGACATGGACGATGAATTTGAAGACTTCGAGGAGGAAGACGGATACAGCGATGTTGACGATATGAGTTGGAAGGTCCGCCGATGTGCTGCCAAGCTCCTCTACAGCCTTATTTCAAACTTTGGGCGCAACAGAGGTCTGGATGATGCCACTCTGTATCAGCAAGTCGCTCCCGCCTTGATCTCCCGCATCAGCAGGGAGCGGGAGGAAGGTGTGAAGTTGGAGGTGGTCTCTACACTGACGGCCTTGGTGCGCAAAACGAGTGAAGGATCTATTGTTCTCACATCGACTGGGTATCTGGATGCAGTTGGTGGTTCCAAGAACTCCCGCAAACGACGACGCCAGGACAGTGATGCCAGCATGGTGGACTTTGAGCCTGGTGTTGGCGCCTCCTCAGCTATCGATTCCCCAGTTGTTCCTTCATCCCCCAAATCCGGGCCTCAGGCTGACCTGGCTCGCTCCGTACCTTCAATCGTTCAAAGCATTGTCAAAATTTGGAAGTCAGCCTCCATCCCTTTACGCCAGGCCGCAATTGTTCTACTAAAGAATCTTGCATTGGTTCGCTACGGAGGCCTTGCCAATCACCTGCAGCAGATCGAGGATCTGATTGCAGACTCTTTGAAAACGTCTTCCTTGTCTGGTACCTCAGCTATCCACTCTAGTGCGGCTGTAAGCGCAGGTACATTGCAGATTGAAACGCTTGGCCTGATTTCCGCCATTGCGGAGACACACCTGACGGAAGCCTTACTTCCATTCTTGATTGCACTTGTGCCGGCTGTTGTGGATACTGTGGATGAACGCAACTACAAAGTCAGCAGTGAGGCTCTAGGCTCCGTCGAACACATTGTGAAAGCAATGACACCACCCCGTGTCTCTGCCAATGGCCCTGATGTTGCTACCCATTTGGAGAAGCTGTATGAAGTTGCCTATTCCCGTATCACCGATACTAGCGCCGACCTTGAAGTTCGCCAGCGAGCTATCCACGTCTTTGGCGTCGTCTTAGCTCGTACGTCAGGCGAACGTGGTACAGAATATCTCTCGATCGACCACCGATCTAGGGGTCTTTCTGTCTTGGTCGATCGTGTAAAGAATGAGACAACTCGTTTTGCAGCTGTCCGTGCCATTGACGATGTGGTTGTCCTCGCTGGTCACAAGAACGATGTGAACAGCGATTGGGTCAATACTGTCACCATCGAGCTGAGCGCCAACCTGCGCAAGGCTGACAGAGCATTACGCAGTTCATGCCTTGAAGCGCTTCGTAGCATTGCAATGAACAGCAATACCCGATCGCATATCAGTATCACCACCATGGTTGAGCTTGAGACTGCGCTCTTCCCACTCTTGTCAACACCCGATTTCCACCTCCTCACACCCAGTCTCATAATTGTTGCGAAGCTTGTCCCAGGTAACTCGCAGACTCTTGTGAATGCTGAGCTCATTACGTCGATATGTTCTATTGTCAAGCAACCCCTTGTGGGCATCGTCCTCAAATCCCTGCTCCTCCTGGTGAAGGTTGTTGGCGATGAAGGTGCAGGGGCAGACTTAATGCAGCGTCTGCTACAGGATGTCGGCATCTCCGGCGATCCCTCTGTCGTTGGTCGGGCTATTGGTACCTTGTTGGTGCATGGTGGCCCGAAGCTTGGCATCACGATGGATGACTTCTCTACCGAGTTACAGACCGCACGAGACGATGGTCGTAAATGTCTGGCGCTAGCGATTCTGGGGGAGATCGGGTTGCGGATGGGAAATGGTTGCAAGCTCACCCCCGATATTTTCATTGCCCATTTTGACTCTCAGTCTGATCATGTTCGCTTGGCCGCTGCCACTGCCCTCGGAAACGCGGCGGCGGGAAGTGTGAAAGCATACCTGCCAATCATTCTGAATGGCCTCGAAAAATTCAACCCTCAAAGCTATTTGCTCCTACACTCTGTTCGGGAGTTGCTTCAACATGTCGAAGTGCGCTCTGGGTTGACTGCGTCTGCTCTTGCTCTTTGGCAGGCCCTGCTCCTTGTTTCGCAAGAGGAGGACAACCGCGCTGTGGGCTCAGAATGCATTGGACGACTTGCCCTCATCGACCCTATTGCCTATATCCCTCACTTCCAGGTAAGTACTTGGTCTTTATGGCCGCTCTTTTCAAGAAACCCTCCCCTAATTCATCCATCTTTTACAGGAAAATCTCGCCAATCCTGACCCCGTAATCCGTGGTGTAGTCATATCGGCATTCCGATATACGCTGGCCGACTCCAGTCATGCCTTTAACGATGCTCTTCGTCCATTGATCGTGCCTCTCCTGACAGCCATGCTAGGAGATAAGGACCTGGGCAACCATCGCCTCGCATTAACCACTCTCAACTCTGCTATGCACAACAAGATGGCTTTGCTTCTGCCACACCTGGACGAATTACTTCCTGCTGTCTTTGACGACACTCACATCAAGCAAGAGCTGATTCGTGAGGTGCAAATGGGTCCATTCAAGCACAAGGTGGATGATGGACTTGACTTGCGTAAGGTTAGTATCCCCCATTTCCCCAGAATTCCAGCCTATAATAAGCTAATTATTTCGCAGAGTGCCTACGAAACTCTTTATGCATCTCTTGATACCTCATTCTGCCAGAATCACCTATCGGATCTCTTTGAACGTGTCATTTCTGGTGTTGGAGATGAGCAAGATATCCGTGCAGTCAGCAACATGATGACCTCCAGGCTTATTACCTTGGCGCCAGAAGAGACGGAACGCCGCCTGGATGAGCTCTCTGAGAAGTACACTGCTGTGCTACTCTTCAAACTCAAAGATAACGCTGTCAAGCAAGAGTTGGAGAAGGCACAGGAGGCATCTCTGGGAATTCTCAAAATAACCAAGCAGCTCAGTAATGCATACCCAGCAGCTGAGAAATCGCGCGAGGCACTTAAGTGGAAAGGATACATGGAACTAGTGCGAAGCAAGTTCAACTCACAGTTCCTGGCTGTCGATGTGGATCTGTGAAGTGGAGGAGGCCTGAGGTGTTTACCTTTTCTCTGAGATGGAGGCTAATCAGCCTAACGGTACTAGAACCTGACCAAATAAGTTGGGAATTGCAGTAGCTTTGTTAGTGTTATCAGACGAACGTGGAGTGAACCTTGGAAGTCATCCTGGAGATGATTCACTGCCAGTGGCTAGAAAAGCTGTACGAACTTTAAGTTAACATTACTGATGACCTCTTCATCTGGGCAGGTTTGCAGTTAGCTCATCAATACTTCTTTTTTTCTTCGTTGTGTAAGGAGTACTAGGTAACCCTCCATCTATCCATATACATATATGACCAACAGCCCACTAGTAGCTGGTACCTAAGTAAGTACTAGTATGCAAATCGTATGGCTTTGCTGGAAGATATGAATACACAATCCCAGGAGTATGCACATTCGTATGTATCAATAGTTACTACTGTAGTAGGTAGGCTTTTTGAGAAGGGGGTGTGTTGCTTGATGAGAGGTGTGGATTGTTTGTTACGTGTGGATTTGAGCTTGCGATTGAAACTTCCAAGGTTGTTTGTTGAGGCCAAAGTTGAATATGATTGGGATCTAGGGCGTCCATTAACAGCGCTTCCTACTAGCTAAGTACATCTCTCTAATTTCGTTGCTATAGCGCCGGACAAAGTGCGGTGTTAGGACGTGTACTCTACTACGAGCATGTCTGAATTCGTGGATGAAATGTAGAACCCCTCAGATTGGGTAAAATCCTTAATTTACACCAATCTAATGCTTAAAGCAAACAATTTCAGCACTTGGAATCGAGATCAAAGCGTCCACGTCCTCTCCCCACTGCTTCCAAGTCTTTGAAATCTTCTCCAAATCCTCAACGGTAGCCAGCTTCCCTTCAAGCGCCGTAGTGGCGAACGAAGACTTCAAAGAACGCTCCTGCCAGGTCTCACTCCACCACTTGACATCCTCCTTCTTCCCATAAGACCAAGAACTAACGGTATGTCTCGTATCCTCAAGCCCAGCCTGTCGCGCCCAAGAATGCAAAAAGCGACCTGCATTAGGCTCACCTCCATTATAACGAGCAACTTGATCATACAACTTCTGCCAATCTCTCAGTCCATCAATTTCAGGGAACCACATGAAAACACTGTAATCAGCATCACGGGCTGCCACGATTCCACCTTTCTTCGCCACGCGTTTCATTTCCCGAAGCATGCCGATCGGATCACCGACATGCTGTAACACCTGATGACAAAACACGACGTCGAAGCTCTCGTCTGGGTATGAAAGACCGTTACCGTCTCCGACGACAAAATCAATGTTCTTGATGCCTCGTGAATCGGCAAGAGCTTGTCCTTGGGGTAGGATGTCGCCTACGCGCTCCAGACCTGTGACGTGGCCCTGTGGGACGTATTCTGCCAGGTCCACAGTGATGGTTGCAGGGCCACAGCCGATATCGAGGATCTTCATATCTGGCTTCAGGTATGGGAGAAGAAATCCGGCGGAGTTAAGTGCTGTCCGTGTGCTGTGGGAGCGTAGGACTGATGCATGGTGGCCATGAGTGTAAGTGGCTGTTTCGGTTTTGCCTGACATTTTGGGAGGAGAGTATGGAAAAAATGTGCAAATTGACAAATCAAGATATGTTTTCGTTGAAATTATGATGTTCAAACGGGTTGAATTTGGATGGAATTGATGTTTCTTGTCCTGGTTTATATACTTCGAGAGTAGGAGGTGGGAAGGTAGATTTCATGACCGATATCGGCCGGCGTCATTGGTACACCGTACATGACCTAGCACTTGAGTTGATAGCTCAACCAGCTGGGCAAATGACCCATCTTTAATATAAAAGATTTCATTGGCTATAAGACTCACTGAGTCAGATCCAATGTTCACTTTTGAACAGAGGCATTTCGAGTTAGGATCAATGATCCGTTGCTTGGAATCCGAAACCGCACCCTACTAGTTGTGCGGGTACCCCAATACCAACCTTAGACATGCTGCATGCAATACCCAGGTGATGCCCAGGTGTCTACTACATAGTCATATCATAGCCTGCAATTGTTATACTTCAACTTATTGATGACTTATATCCCCAACAAATGGCTCAATTCCACCGTGACAGGTCCTTGCTCTAACTTCGGCAACATTGGAAGTCGTAAGGACCTCGTAAGGGCCACAGCTTCATGCCTATTTGGGCTTAGTTTTAGCCCGACAGAAAGAAAATTATTGGAAATACAATTACGTGCCCCGTATCTAAGGCCGTTGTCTAGCCCTGGCAGTCGGTTTTCAGTCAACCCCTTATTCGGGGCTTTCGTTCATCTCCACATTTCATCTATGCCCTAAACCGAAGCTTAGAACAACTGATTCAATTTTTGCACATTGATACTCTCAACAAAGTACAAAGCCAACATCAAGAATGGATACTTCAAAGGTGGAAGAGCCTTTGGAAAATTTTGTCATTTTAACACCAAGACTCATTATCCTTCCCACCCCATACGCCATCTCATCAACATCCTATCGAAGGCTTTATGCATCACTCCACGCAGATAAAGAATTCTGCAATATGGCATTTGGTATTCATTTCCCGCCTAGGCAATGGAGCGACGATGAAACGCGCGATGTGATTCAGACACGCGATATTGCGCGATGCTGGAAAGGACGCGGGATGGGTGACTTTGCCGTGGGGTTACGCCCACCAGAGATCTCAATGGGAAGCAGTAACGATATTGAGATTCTAAAGGGAGATGACTTTGAAGGAATTTCTTGTCTAAGCATCGATAATTTGAATGATATTATCTGGGTTGGCTATGCTGGTGTTCGTGATGGAACGACGACGTCAATTCCACCACGAGAGGCCGATGATCTTCCTCTTCCACCATGGAATGAAATGGTTGAGGTTCGATACGGTATGTCGCCTATGCACTGGGGCAATGGACTTGCGAAGGAGGCAGCAGAAGCTGTCATGCACTGGGCTGTGAAGGAACGAGGCGTGATCAGGTTCATCGCTGAAACGGAGAGGCCTAACAAGAGGAGCGCCAGAGCTTTGGAGAAGCTTGGATTTACTCTCAGTTCCACGAATTATTGGAAAGAACCTAGTGAGATAGAGTGGGAGCGAATCATACAATAAACCCCAGATTTTATTCTAAATCTTAGATTCTTCTGAATTTACTTCAATCTCACGCCCCACGACTCAACTCCCATAATCCCAACCCAGAGCTCCTTTAAGGAGAAAAAAAACAAGAGTGAGATTTTATCACTCAAAATGAGTCATAGGTCGTAAGACTTACGCTTGATCTATCCCGAGGTCAGGTCGTCGAGCTGATCGCCTGTAGGTCAAATAGCACTATGTTACAGTATTCTTGCCAGACGGCGTCACCTCGAACGGTCTACTTGGGGGAAGAGGCTAGGATTAGAAGATAGTGTGGTGCTAATGAATGTTCAGGTTGCATTCATTCCGTTTGTTTCCAGCAGCTACGGCTCATTGACACTGGCAGTCTTTCGTGTCCCATCGATCTCGGGCGCTCTTCCTCCAACCTCGCCGTCCACCGAAGCCACCGAAGCCCCCAAATCTTCTTCTCCAGAGCCCGCTGCCTGACCCTCCATAGTAGCATAGAAGGAACTGCGCTTCGGCAGAAGATAGTTCACATCAATGAAACGCAGGAGACATGTCATGATAATGACAAGAACCAATAACGCGAGGGCGGATTGCCAGCCATACTTGTAATATGGTGCTTGTGACGCAGGCCAAGCTAGTACCTGTGACCAAGCTGAGATAGCATAGTATCCCGCAACTGAGACACCAAGAATAAGTGTCCTAGCCTCGGGATCTTGCGGAATGAGATCAGCTAGCCAAGCAAATATTAATGGAGCTGTACCCAAACAGATAAAAGATATGAAGTAGGATGCATAAGCGGCGGAAATAGGAACCGTGTCAGGATGAGAGGTCCAGATGCTCATAATTATGCATGGGATAATACCGATGATTCCCTGTGCAACAATCAGAGTCCATCTCGTGCGCAGGGCATCGGAGAGAAGAGCCCAGATCCAGACGAAAACAACATTAATTGCAGACCCTCCGATTGGGATGGCGTTCACTTCTGTTACTTTCCATATAGGACTGCCATCTGGATTCTTGAGTGCTTTCAGAAACAGCGAGAAATACACGTATCCATATGTGCCTAACACTGTTGCAATATAGAGAACTGCAATGAAGTAGATCACCCAGTCAGAAAAGGCGCGCTTTGCACCGGCCCAGCTCATTTTCTTGGGCTCAGCACGGCCATGCCGAGCTAGTCGCTCCATTGAGAGTTCAGCGTGGATCTTCTTAAACCAGAACGCTCGCGGATTAGGCTTATTTGGTAAATCTGGGATCATGAAGAATCCGGCAAATCCCCAAACCACTGTGATGATGGAATTAATGACAAATAGCCATCGCCAGCCAGCGAGACCGCCGCTTCCGTTCAATGTGTCGGAGATTGCAGCTTGCATGGCTCCCGACATCATTTGTCCAACGGCTTGACATGAGTGGTAAAAGCCCATGCGCTTTGCGAGTTCCGTTGGTGTATACCAATACACTATGTTCACATTAGCTTGATTATTCGAGACAGCGAAACGGTAAGGTTTTCCTACTAAGTAGAGTCATCATTCCAGGCCAGGAACTGCTTTCGCAAAGGCCAAGAAAGACTCTCAGGATGTAGATTTGTTTAGCGCTTGTGGTCATCGCAATGAGTCCTGTGAATAATCCCCACAGGATTTCTAAACCGGGTAGCCAATAACTTGGTCGAACATAGGTCAGAATAATCTGAGAAGGAATGAGCATAACACAGTACGCAGCATTGAAATAAGTCGTGAATCTGAACAGAGTCAGTTGCGGCTAAATCAAATGGCTTTGAGATAAACTTACAAATTTAACTCATTTCCATGCAGATGGAGGTCTTCCATCATGCCCGACACATAAGCATTGTTGATGTTTTGTTGATCAAGGTATTTTATGACTATCTGGTCAGCTTTTAGCACTGAAGGACTGTTTCTATTGTACGTACCTTGGGATAAACAGCCAAAGGTCAAGAGAAACGTATCCAGGCGTCGGACGAGCGCCTTCTCATCTGGAGAGCGCTCGGTGCTCCCTTGCGGGTTCTCCGACGGTACATGCCGACGGAAAAGCCCCCCAAGTCCCATCGCAACTGGGAAGATGAAGAAAGCAGAATAGAGTGGCCCAAGAGAAATGGAGCTTGGAGAGTGATAAAGACTGTAAAAATAGTTTAAGATAAGGGTCATGATACCCAGCCACGGCCTGATCCTGGGCTTTGTGCCACGTCCATAGACGGACATGATCCCTGCAGATCTGAGGGGAACCTATGATGGGCGCGTGATAAGAGCTCGTGCAGCACACCGATTGCATTCCAGAGCCCCGCGAGGGTAGTACGAGGTCACTTGGTACCTGAAAAATATCTCCAAATTTGATACTCCAAATATGAAGGATCGGTGCTGTTGTTGTTCTCAGTTGTTCCAAAGGCAGGTCTAGGCGAGGCGGCCGATCGTGAGACATGATTGCACTAGATAATTATGTTCCAAGACTGCTCGTTGAAGGTTAGTGTGACTATCAAATGGAGTGAGCTTGAATATGATAGGTTCGATGTTTCGAGTCTGAGCCCACTCAGTGAGATAAGTAAATGGTCGCAGGAGCACGTAATACTTGCCAGGTGGAGTACATGGATGACCTCCAGGCCCATACTAGTATCATAGTATGTAGGTACCTAGTATTCTTCCCCGCACGGCCGATAACCGGACTAGGGATCTACTTGAACATATACCTTCCCATCAGAATATCTTCAGGCTCTTTTCTTACTGGCAAATAATTTCTTTGGATTTCGAATTTCTTATGCCACTTATTCCAAGCTATGGGTGGCGACAGTTCCAATAGTTTGCCTAGGGAATCCCCTTGCTTAAGCTATTGGCAACGAACAACTCGAGCCTTCCCGCATTTATTCGCAAATCAGAATAACCCAGTTCCTGCTCGAATCAAATCTGTGGTCCTCGGTTCTGGACTCTCAGGTAGTCTCACGACTTTTGAACTCCTAGAAGCCGGGGTGAAAGGCGAAGATGTGATTATTCTCGAGGCACGAGAAGCCGCCAGCGGAGCAAGTTCGCGCAATGCTGGCCACGTTCGTCCAGGTACATATTCACCACTGGCACACGTTGTTATCATCGGAATCGGCTAAATTATTTCAAGATGCATTTCGTGGGTACAGTGCCTACGCGAAAGTTCATGGCCCGGAGCAGGCATTGAAAATTATCGCCAACGAGCGACTTGTCTTAGAGAAGGTGGATGAATTCGTGAAAAAGCACGACGTGCAATGCGATTTCAACCTGACCTCCACCTTCGATGTGTGTATGACAGAGGAGTTTGCCAAGTATGAGGCTGAAAGCTTGAAGGCTTACGAACTTGCCGGCGGTGATATTTCTCACATCAAATTCTACGAGGGCGAGGAAGCGAAAGAGAAAACCGGGATCCCAGATGCAGTTGCAGCATACGAGTGGCCTGCTGGATCCAGCCATCCAGCTAAATTGACGCAATTTCTTCTTCAATCAGTGATGGAGCGCGGCGTTCAATTATTTACTTTTTGTCCTGCGACTGCAATTACCACAAATCAGTCTTCGCTACATTTGTGGGATGTGCATACTCCTCGGGGTATCATGACAGCAGAGAAGATTATACACTGTACCAATGCGCAGGCTGCACTCTTACTTCCGCAGCTCGAGTCATGTGTGACACCCAATCGTGCACAAGCACACTCTTTGGTTCCAAGTCCCGCGTTCGCAGCTACAAATGCCCTCCAGAGCACCTACTCGCTGCGGTACAGTCTTTATCACTTCTACTCGTTGATTCAACGACAAGGAGACGGAACGATTATCTTGGGTGTTTCACGATCAAATCCTACCTTGAGCTCGGAGACTCTGGAAGGCCGTTTCAGTACCGATGACAGTCATTATAACCAGGAAATTGCCGATGATGCACTACGGAGCTTTCATCAAATATTCCCTACATTTTCATCGTCGGATGCCCACGGAGAAGGTCTAGATCATTCATGGACTGGAATCATTGCTATGACACCTGACTGGGTACCACTTGTAGGAGGTATTGAAACCCTGCCTGGACAGTATATCTGCGCTGGGTTTAATGGCCATGGTAAATTGAGCTCTAGAATCATCTCCGACTTGTCTGGTGTATCGGGAACTAACTACTCATAGGAATGGCGCGTATTTTCACCTGTGCTCCAGGGGTCGCCAAGCTCGTGATGGGACATGACTGGTCCACTACAGGGTTACCTGAATGCTTTCAGTTTACGCCAATGAGAATTTCTCAACTATCAGAGGGCAATTTACCTTTCATATGGTAGATCAGTCCCTTTCTATTTGAGTATACAAATGTTCAATCTATGTATGTAAAATAACTCAGAATAGACCTGCTAGTGTTGTTTGTGGCAATCAATGGTATAATTTGGAGTAGTCCTACCGATAGCAAAGCTCTATCTAATATCATTTTGAAAGGGAGTGAAAAGAAAGGAAGATAATAATATTCAAACGTTCAAGTCATAATATAGAATAACGAAATTTGTACTTTTAGGGATCGAGCCCTGGAGCGTTATCACGATCAACTCGCCCAAATTTCTCAACTGCCGCGCAAGGTGCATATGCACATTTGTCTCTCAGGGCCGGGCCTTCTGTCGGCCACGTTGGTGTTTTATAAGACGATATCAAAGGTCAAAAATTGGCGTAAATTGCGTGTTAATGGTTAAATGGAATTATTCGTCGTTATCTGGAAGTTGTCAACGTTAACACATCCCAGCCTTGGAAAGTGGTCTAGTCTCATTGAACTCACATTTGTATCCCCTCCGGCTTCGAAGACCTCTTGGAAAATCCTCATTGTGACTTTTGATATGTATGGGTTGCGGTGTGGTCTGTATGGATAAGGAAGATGTCAGGGATGTCTGTTGTGGGTTATACTGAGTTGTAAAATGCAGCCCAGGGTCCAACTTACCAACAGAGGCAAAGGCTCGGCTTTCATCAGAACAGGAGTTCCCTGTTGAGAAGATCTTTTATAGAATGACAAAGCAAAGTAAAACAAAAAGGGAAGTGTAAAGGTAGACCAAAAGAAGTTCAAAGAGATGATTTGAACCATGTTGAGGAACGTGACTGGGAATACTAGCAATGGGATCAGGACTTTGACTTGGATTTCAGGCACTTGAGTTGAAACAACGAATCGTTGTGTGCAAATGAGGGGCACCCAAATCATAAGTAAATATCTGCCAGCCAAGCACCAGAGTCCTTAAATAAAAGGACAGAGTATACTTTGCTGCAACAGACTAGAAAGGGAATCTCCAAAGCACCGGAGACTCGTCAACAGCATAAAGGATTCCGAACCATTGGTATTTCTGCATCTGTATGAATCTTGATACCTCAATTACGCAATCCCAGTACCTGAGCATGGAACCCCGGCGAGCGGGTTCATGGGACAAACAGCATCATAGGGAATCTTAGCCTGAAGGGGGTTACTTCCTAGGTTCCGCGGCAGGGCATGCAGTAGATCACAATCAGTGGGATTCATAGACATATTCAATCCTGATACTCGTATTCTGTGAGTGTGTGATTCGAGTTCATTGAGATGATTGCAAGTAGTATCATCTAGTGACCCCTAGTAGGAAGAGTCAGTACACCATCCCGATATATGATATTCAACCTCAGACTCAACCTCAGACTCAGACTCAGACTCAGACTCAGACTGGAATAGTTTGACAAATGTACCTCTTGTGAGCTCAGATTCCAAGGAGGTCCATGTTCAGCTGAAAAATGATAACCGAAAAACCCCCACCAACAACCGAATACCATCAATTCCAAAATACCTGTCCGACACTCGAAACGCACTTATGCAAACTACTGCACGGCTTACACATCCGCGTCAATCAAATCCTTTCAAAGAATCCTCGAATGACCTAACTTACCTAACGTCCAAGTGGGCTATTCTTCCCCGAAGCCCAGAACCCAGGAGACCGGATTCGCGGGCCGTTCCCGTCCCAATGAGTTGGCTCTTGGGTTGGTTTACCAATGAACCGGGTGCCCTTTCTAATAAGCGATTCCGAGTTCTTGGTTCCAAGGTTGCCTTGATTGTTATCTTGGGATACCCAAATCTAATCTCATGGTACTAATCTTTGACCGCTTCGTTCAAGTTGAGGTGGGATAGGTCTTTGGCCTCTGTCCTTCCCAGTTGGGTAGGAGGTCTGTAGATCATGAGGCTGGGCCTCCGTTCCTTTTTTTTCCACCCTCCGTTTCTGACTGCCTACACTTACCCCGTATTCATGGCAGACACGTGCAGCTTTGACACGTAGAAATACCAAAGAGGCATGCCGGACGTAAAGTCGAAAGTGGGGTTGCTGTAATAATTATCCATTGAAATGATAAATGATAAACGATGTCGCTATGATCCAAAGCTTCTAACTCCTGGTATGCGAACATGCAAATTGTAGACTCCAAAGCCAGGAATAACCTGATGTAAACAAGAAGTGAGTCTAGTCAATAAGAAAAAACAAACAAAACGCCATGCACGCTGTCCAACAAATGCTCTAATGAGAAATAAAAATAAAATAAAAAAACCAGTCCGTCGCACATACAACTGAGGACATCACACCTTTTCAGTAATTGCTTTTCTCCGAAGAACACCCAGGTTCTCAAGCTTATTCCACGCTTGTCCCATGTCAGAGGACTCACCGCCCAGTGTGGGACGGAGCTCTAATCCATCAAGCATGTTTAGGGAGCCACTCGTGCCAGCATAGAGTAAAAGCTCCAGAACACGCCGGCGAAGTCGAGTACCACGATCCAAGTGACCGAGATATTTGTCATCCATCTCCTTGTCTGCGGGAGGAAGGGTAAACGGATCGTTGATATCAATATCTCGATCAGGCTTCGCATCATCCTCCCAGGTGACAGCCTGGGAGCCGTGATCATTGTGATCAAGGTCAGCCAAAGCCTCAGACAGATCTTGACGGCTTTCTTGCTGACGGGCAAGTGCCTTCTCTTGATCCTTCAACTTCTTGCGCTCGGCATTCGATCCATTTCCAGTCACAGCAGGAGGATAAAAGCCAATTGTCAGAGGGTTACCGCGAATGTCGAGTTTGCGGAGGGAACACGGGTTACCCGGTCGAGTTCGACCAAGTCGACTCAAAATCTGACAAACTCGTCGCATTCTGGAAAGTCTGTTTCCAACCATCATCACCCTGGCAAGACAGTTCATTCCAACTAATGGCTCCAGCTCAGTAAGAGAATTGAAGTTCATATTCAAAACCTTGAGATTCGGGAAGCTTGAGGCAAAGCCGCTTGGAAGAACCGGTAAGGTACATGCAGCAATATCAAGTAGCTGGAGTCGTAAAAGAGGAGACGATGGCGAAAGGACTCGGGATGCAAGTTTGTTCGATGATAAAAACACTTTCCGAACGTCCTTCACGGACCCGAGATCAAGATCCAAGATGATACTCGAGCTCTTGTCCTCCAGTCTGATTTGTTCACGTAAAGAAAGCACTTCCAAATTATGGCAGTGCTCTAGTCCAGTGATCGTTGACAGGGCGTTGTTGTCAGCATACAACAAGCTCAGAGTAGATAGATTCCTCATATCTAAGGTGGTCAGGCAGTTCCCAGAAAGTCGTAGTGCACGCAAGCTGATGAGGGACGTTGACGTCTCCAATTGACTGATCTCATTCGCGCTGACATCAAGGGTAGCCAGGGATGGTAGCCAGTCGATGTTCCGGACCGCAGTCAAGCAGTTGTGGCTCAAGTCGAGATCACGAAGTCGAGTCCTAGTCATATTAGTATTCGGACGATAACAAGCAGTCAAATAGTAACTCACAATTCGGACCCCTCGAAATCCACCGAAGTTAGAGAATTATTACTCAGCTTCAGGCTGAGCAAGCCATTGAGACCAACGATCCCTTCAATGCTCCGAATTTGATTGTCGTTTGCTTTTAGTTCTCTGAGATGAATCAAGCCAGAGAACCCATCTAGAGTTTCAATGTCGTTCCCAGAGATGTCGAGATATTGCAGGTTGGTCAAGTGACCCCATGATGTGAGATTAGAAAGACAGTTCCTGGGAATCTTGAGCGTTCGAAGGCTTGCTGGAACTCCACTTAACTGCCCAATCTCGTTATCGGATACATCTAGATCCTCAAGACGAGGGCAAAATTCACTCAATTTGTGCAGAGTGATGAGCCCCTTTTGACGCAGAACCAGACGGCGTACATGCTCCCAGTATGGCTCATAAGGCTCTACATCCGTGATATGCCTGATCAAGTCTTCTGTTGTTAGAGCAAATGTTCCATGAACTTGTCTCAGGGATGTTGGGTGGCTGCGGTTGGCGACATAGCTCATTTCCAAATTCAAGTGATGGTCAGGTTGATTGACTGAGAAATCCGCCAACGGGCTCATGTGAAAGCTGTAACTAGTATCATGATTGCCATGCTGGATTCGAACCAGAGATCTCTCGACGGTTTCGCCGCCACCGGGGGGTCTTTTTGATAGCCAGAGATTCGTTGGCCTCAGCAACATCAGAGTCTTCGGTTCCCTCCTCGTTGCGTTCCTCGATTCTGGATACCGGGCGCCCGACAAATGGTTGGCCTTCCACGGATGTTTCTCGGTGAGCAGGTGGGTGTGCAGGGCGCGAGTTTCCACTTTGTTTCATCTTTTCATACTGGACTGGCTCTCTCAGCTCGGCATCTGGAATTGGAGCACCCTCGCCATCTGATGCAACAGGCGATGAGAAGGATAGTGTCGCATCGTGGGTCTGATTTTTGCTGTCTGGCTGACCATCCTCCTCAGTGAGTGGTTCCATGGGCTTCCCACCAGACTCTTTCCTGGCCTGGATCTCGTCTGTACCCCATGAAGTCGCTCTGGTCCCAGAATTGGGAACACTTGATGTGAAGCGAGTAAGTCTGGACCGCATCGAGCTGGTATTGACTGAGGGCTCTCCATCCCGTGTGTGTGGTCGAACATCCCCCTTTTTGGGCGATCTGCCAGGCATCAGAGCGGGATGCGCTGGTAGATCTTCCGTTTGGCTAGCCAATGGACGCTTAGACGAAGAGGCAAGGCCACGTACTCGTATCATTTCTTGCAACTCATCCACGCTCAAGTCAGGAATATCCTGGAAGGGATCGTTATCGTCCTCGTGAGATACTTGAGGAACAGGTTCTTCTGCACTGTCTTTAACCCAAATATTTTTCGATCGGTCGTATGTGAAACCATTGATTTGCTCAGGGATCAGATGAGCGACCATGTCGGACGATAGGACGCCCTTAGCTTGGGAATTTTGAGAAGATCCTGTGGGAACAGAGTGGACGCTGAAACCAGACATTTGAGTGTTGATAGTCATCAGGTCATGAGCAATGGTTTCTGCTATATCATCTCCAGGCACGCTTGGTTTGCGTTTTCTGGAGGCTGAAACCAATCGCCGGGAACCAGAAGAATCTGGCTTCAGGTCTGGGTTCAATGATAATGCCGATCCAGCGGTATCGAATTCTCCATCCTCCCTTTCTTGGTATTGCTTAAGGTAATTGAGAATTTGAGGGTTCAATTCCTTGACCTCGCGCATTTTGCGGAGATCCAAGTTGGTACCATCTCGGCTCGGGGGTCGAGAGAAGGCTTCGCGAGTAGATTCGTCATCATAACTGAAGTCATCTTCTTCGCTGTCTCCGTCGGATTCTTGTACACTTGTCAACCCAGCAGCTCCAGGCCCAGGTCGACCTTTGGCTCGAATAAGATCCATTATCTTTGTGGCTTCGTGCAAGTAATCCTGCGTCGTGATAGATCCCTTTCGAGACGTGTCGCTTGTTCCTGTAATCTTGACGAGAGGGATATGGATATCACCTTCAATAGAAAAGGAATCCGAATAGTCGAGATCGTCGAAATTGGACTCGGAATAATCCCTACTGGGGAGGATCGTTGCCTCGTGTGTGGACCGTAGCTGACTCGGAGTTGGTGTTCTAGGTCGCTGCATAGACTGGGAAAAGCCCGGGGGAGCAAGGTATTCACTATTCTCCAGCTGAACGCCCTGTTGCATGAGACTCCTTTGCAATAGTGACATGCTATCTCCAAACTTAGTGGCAGGGTCTCCATTCGGGAGAGGATGCTCTGGCTCCGCACTGTCATCTCGCAAAATAGTTCGTCGGCGCTTGGGGGTAGGGTCTATAGCTGCCGCTTTAGGAACCCTCTTGGTCTCTGGGAATCCAATATTCTCCTTCTGGTTGATACGCGAAGAACCTGTCAGTTCCCGAATGTGGTCGAAATAGCTTTGGCGCGTCCAGGCAGATGGCTTCCGAGTGAAGCTAGAGCTTGCTGATCTGGTATATCGCAATGAACCCGGTTGTGAGCCTTGACGGAGGTATTGCTGACGATTTGAGGATACCCTTCTTGATGTCAGGCGAGATCCCAAGGGCTTTGGATTGTCATAATTCAATTTATGTTCGTAGGGGCTCGTATCCGAAAACCCGAACTTGTCCAATTCGCCATCCCCAAATCGGGTGAGACGCGGGCGCATAATATTCCGAGAGGAGCCACGCTCATGTCTGCGAGGGCTGATTTCACTCAATGGTTCATGTCGAGCGCTGAGCAGACTACGGTTTTCCCCCTTGCGGCGGGCTTCTTCTGATGGGGATGGTGGGTCATCTCCGTCCGAGCCAGAGTCATTCCCAAATGTTTCTTCGAATTGACTCATTCGTCGAAGAAGGCGATTATTTGTAAAGGTGTCATGTTCTCCGAACAGCTTTAATGGACTTCCGGACGACGGCATTGTTCCCTGTTTTGATGTTGCATCTCCCGATGTAGAGGGACGGACATGAGAGGAAGAAGGCCTGGGCAATACAGGAGATCCGTTTTTGGGAGAGCGGTTGAACAAAGGAGAACTGCGGGTTTTGGCGTTGGCAAGAATCTCCGGGGATATGAGATGAGAAGGAAAGGGCGAAGGAGAAAATTGAGGATGGAAAGGACGGTGAACTTTACGGCGACTAAAGTCCAATGTCCCCATTGAGAGATCTTGCGGCAAGGAGTGACTTGTCACATCCAGTAGACTGTCCTCATGAGGTGACCCTTCCGGCCGATGATCGCTATGGTTATAGAATAGAAAGCCATCGCTGGCGGGAGAGTCGGGGCGGCTGGTGTTTATTGACAGGCTCTCAAGCTTGTCGGTAACTTGTTTCAGTGCCGATTTGATCACCTCTGACGTGGCATTGCCTTCTATCGTATTGTTTCGGGTGAATGTAATCGGTGTAATTCCCTCATTGCGAAGATCTTCCAGGCCACTCGCCGTCCGAATATCGGTGTCCCCGCCGAGTGATAACTCCGACTGGTCTGCTTGCATGCTTCGCGGGCGCTTGTCGGCCCAAAGTGCCCGATGGTTGACTGTGCCAAACGGTGACTCTATGCCAGTACCCGAGAAGTAGTCCCCATTATCACCGTCCAAGCCTTCATTATTTTCATATTCAGGCCCCTCCTCTTTTGTATTCTCTTGTCTGGATGTCGCGTCGGTGAAATCCCACAACTGATCATCATGCCGCTTGAAGGGAATAGACTCTTGCTGACCAGCTCCCGATCCAGGTGTGGGCGGTTTAAACACGCTCTCAAGACCAATGGGCGCGAACAGATCACGCTGGTCACCCACTGGAATCTCCCCGCGCACTAGTCGCTTCCTCCATTCTGGGGTCAGCGCTCCCTCGTCCTGGGTCTTCTTTGGTTTGATCTGAACTGTATCGGTCGCTTCATAGTCTGACTGGGCTGACTGGACAGATACATTTGACACCGCTCGTAGCGGGGATCGTGTATCCATGGTCGGCGGTTGTTTGGCCGCGGGCCCCGGAGTGGGCTTTGCGCCGGTCTTGGTGGTTTTTGGTGTTTTGACGGACTTCGGGCTGGGTTTTGGACTCTGGGGGCTCTTCGGGGCTGACTTTGAGGGTGTCGTGGATCGCAATTTGGAAGGATTCTTAGGAGTGCGCGGGGTTTTGGGGGTTGGAGGCTCTCGCTTTATGAAATGGCATGGGCGAGTAACCTTCCCTTTGGCAAACAGGGAATCTCGTTTCACCGATCGGCGGGCAGCAGGGACTGGAATTCGACTGGGGGAATTCTGCACACTATTGCGACGAGGTGTAGATAAACCGGATTTCAAAGGTGATTCGATATCTGGACCCGGTGTCTTAGGCGTGGCTTGTTCTGACGGCCAGTCGTCCGAAAGACTGTCTAGCCATGGTTCGTTGCTCATTTTCGGGTTTGTTTTGATTTGGCTGCAGCGCGTATCACGCGGGGTTCGCGCTCCGATATAGGTTGAATAAATACAACCAATTACCCCCCATGGAGCCGCGCTTTTTAAAATTCAAAGATTGCGACCAAAACAACAGTGTTTTGGAAAACACTTGGGGCTTTGCGGGCTTTGCGGAGATGCGGTGTTGGTCCAAGCAGTCAGCTCCACTTGAGCTCCTTGTTTATTTGGCAACAGCGCAACACCCGTGTGAGAGGTATCAATGTTGGTATGAATTATAATAACTTGGAACTTGAAGGAGTTATTCTCTTCCAAGGTTGAATTATTGATCTCCCTCGAGTCTGGAAATTATGATTCTCCATATATCCATCTGGGCATAAATCCAGGAATCCACAAATCAATTAGTCCCAATATTGTTGTCATCACAATGTGTTGTCATGGTCCCACTTCATACACATTCATTCCCTTGACCGATATTTTCAGATCTAACTAGACTACTTCTGGCATCTACGATCGCTACTGATCTGTAATATATTAATATGCTCTTGAAAACATTTTGATATCATTTCCATTATGATGAGAGTCATTTCAAACGGTGATCCATGCTAAATATTTTTATGCAAGGAAGCTCTCATGAAGATGCGCCCTGGGAGTATAACTAGTTAACTTAAACCAGCTGCTTACGTGAGCGCTTTTGCCCGCCCGTGGCGGGCTACCTAGGTACCTAGGTAGTAGCCCTAGTCAACTGGTCAGTTCATTCATAACTTGAACGGTGAACCACGAAATTACTCGACATTCTCCAAGCAAGCGACATCAGCCTAAAGACCATTAAAGTATTGAAGCCTCTCAAGTGCTGTTGATTTGCATCTCGAAGGAGATCGACTGGATCCATCGCGCGGTTGATGATCGGGTTCGACTCGGAGCATTATGATATATTCTCGTACTGTAGTCTGAGTACCTTCAAGTTGCTTGAATGATCCCCACCTTTCAAATTTTTGGGTTGCTGCATACATTCAATTCATGTTTGGTAAGCTTCATAAGAAAGTAATTTCAAGTCAGGATGGGCTTGAGCTACCTGTCTTCTGGTTCGGAAATCCTTGTATATCCCTAACCAATGTTCCCGGATACGACAATCATCTTGTTGACCAGTTGCAGGATTGAATTCACAAGGAGGCTGCGTATTGTTGATCACATCACGAGTAGCCGCAATCCAGGGCTACCAGAAGAGGTCAGAAGATTTGAAGCAAAAAGTATTTAAACATACCAAAACTCAGTTTGACATACCTTAGGAACTGGCCAGTCAGAAAAGTGTAAATATTTGGCGTCTTTGAGGATTCTATCAGCATCCCACAGTTCTTCCGTGTTGCCAAGATAGGAGTCATGATTCTTGGAGCGGAACTCTCCCGTTAAAAGAGTATAGGGACGATGTGGTACGACCAGCGCACTATCGCCATACAGCTTGTTCATGATCTCCATGTCGTAGATGTCGTAGATGTCGGAAGGAGCGTTGGAAATTTCATCCATTATACGATCAAACTCAAATTGGGACGGTTGAATGAGCATGAGTCCAGAAGTAAAGATTAGATCCTTTGTATCTAACCAGTAGGCCCGTGGCATGGCGACCGAGCCAGGTGGGAGTAAGAATAACTCGTCCATAGCCTTGATGCATGTTAGGCTGCAGTGAGAAAAGCCACGGGTGACCAACTTACCTGTAGAAGGGTTGCATCCGAGTCCAAGTTAAGAACTCGATCATATTCTGTTTGATTAAATGCGAGGAGTTTTGTGTAGCTCGCTGACCATGGTGCTGCGCTCACTTTTAGTTCAATGTTTGGGGTTTTATAGCAAGTCGGGATGACTTACCACCTCCCCCTCCCTTCATAATCACGTCAACTGGCTTTAATTTGACAGCATACTCGTCCCTTGCAAAGCGAAGTAAACGAGCTTCTATTGAAGTATCGTTCTCAGATATGAGAAAACTCGAAGGGTACATTAACAAGCGATCGGCTTTGCTTCCAAGACGATGAAGAGCCTCGAAAAGCATGAGCGAGTTGCACAGATAAGATCTGTCGGTAGCATATTGGGTGTATGCAAATCGAGACCATTCAACTTGTTTCTCAGACAGACCACCAAGGTAAGAACCAGAATTACCAGGAGTCAGGTTCCTTTGAAGTCGCAGTAATGTCATAAACCCAAATACGGTGGAAAAAATGATGAGCATGGAACGAAAGACTCTTGGGGATATCCTGGCCATGTTTAATCTAAATTCCGCGTGCCTGTGAGAGCAAGATGTTGTAGAGTCCCTTCTCTTAGTCAGTCCATATTAGAAAAAATGTATGTCAGAGGGGAAAGGATGTTAGAGAAGGTGGTTGACGGAGAGACCCTTGAGGATTAGCCAGGGAGACATTGCCCAAGTGCTTCAGCCTTCATGTCAACGCCAAGAGATTACAACAGCTCAAGAGGCAATTCAATGTTATAAATGGGCGGTTAAGCGCTGACCCTGCAGGTCTCAAACACGCTAGAATCTACATTTCGCTCCTGATTGGCGATCATGGAACGCCTCAAATGAGGGTGATAGGTCATCGTGGTCCGTGCCCAAGTTCAGTGCCACTAATCACAACTTGAACCACGACAATCAATTTTGAAATTCAGTACTCCGTATTTGTTCATTACTTCAATTAAATGAGTAGAGAATGGTAACCTACGGTAGCACTCACACTACGGATTCTGATGTATCTATCATCAGATGTCTGACGATTATGCTTCTGTGCTCAATTTCCCCCTGGCCATAGCTAGGACCTATGCAGCTAAATAAAAGCAGCGAGTATTATTAGTCTAGGGATGCTTAGCCGCCCGGATCTTAGGGCTTATTAAATTTATTCTGTTCCAACTTGGGAACTTTTTCCTAGCGGCTATTCAAATGCTGCGGTCATCTAAAGTTCTACGAGTTTGGCCTTTGAGATGTTACTATTCTTCCTAAAACATTGAACATTCCATGGATTGACAGTAAGAACTGAGCGAAATCAGATCTCACCTTGTCTCAGATGCTGATAAGTGAGCTTCAAGTTCAGCTTTGCAGCATTCATTGCTTCATTTTTCTTAATAACCCGACTTGATCAGTCCCCAAATATTGGAAATATCGGCAAGTAAGTTCGTTCAAATGTTCCTCCAACCTTGGAAGATCTGCCCCCTGCCCAGGTGTAGCGACTCAAGTCAGGATCGCCAAGTCGAATAATACCTTCATTATATATCCATTTTATTAATGAGAGACTACTAGCGTTCCAATTTTACATAGTAACAGTCTGTAACCTTCCAAACTTGAAATGGGTCGACTACAGCAATGCTTTCTCACGCTTTCGATCCTTTGCCTCAAAAATGTTCTGTGCTCTGGGCCCCGAGAGATAACCTGGTCGGATACAAAGTTTGGACCTGATGGCCCTTGGCAAGCGGTCATTGTGTCCATGGGGAGCAACTACTCCGACCTTGTTGTGCCTTCATCGGTAGTGGCATTGTACCCTGGGGGTAGTTGGGACAGTAAAATATTACTCTCTTCCATCTGTGATAACAAAACTCTCTCGTCTGTGTGCTATGGGAATACAGCGGGTCTTTTTGACAGCGACATTTCAGTCACCTATGACAATACTTCAATCGAATTACCCCCATACGGGCCATGGAGTGATCTGGATTGGGGATATACAGACGCGGTTCCAGTCTATGCCTCAGCAACACGGGCTACGGACTGGATGACCATTGGCGGTGTTCCCATTCCTGATGTTGACCAGATCACCATATCTGCTGGATGGCAGACTTACCCTGGTGGAAAGACATACCCTCTAGAAGTTGGAACACTTTCTCTTGGAATTTCAAATATCAATCAGACATTCGGGGCTGAGATCAAAATCAACACAACCTTTGTCCCCAGCTACCTATACGACCAGCGGGGCTCCACAAACATACCATCATATTCTTATGGGATGCATATTGGGTCTGCATCTCTGGGAATCCCTGGCTCGCTTCTTCTCGGAGGCTATGATCAGAATAGAGTCATTGGAGATGTGTCTGCTCAGTCATTTTCAAGTGGAAGCTTTCCGATTGAGTTGTATGATATGAGTCTTGGGGTGGCGGAGGGTGGATCACCTTGGAGCTACGTCAATAAGACTGGTCTCCTGGCTCAAGGAAACTCCACTCCGGATTCAGGTCCCCAGGTTATCGTGGATCCAGTCAATCCATACATATATCTGCCTCAAAGCTCATGCGATGCGATAGCTGCTGAGTTACCCGTCACGTATGAAGCCGATTATGGCCTCTATTTTTGGAACACAACTGACTCGCAGTACGACAAAATTGTGACATCGCCAGCCTATTTGGCTTTCAAGTTTAGTAAGAATAACCTCAATAATGAGGAAATTACGATCAACGTCCCTTTTGCGCTCCTGAATCTCACATTAGAGGCGCCGCTTGTGAAAACACCGACATCATATTTTCCATGTATGGCCACCAACAGCACCCCTGTTCTCGGTCGCGCTTTCTTGCAAGCAGCTTTTGTTGGCGTCAATTGGCTGGGTGACAAGTGGTTTTTGGCCCAGGCACCAGGACCTGGTGGCTCTTTCATTGTCAATCCTATGACAATAAGCGAATATGAGGTCACAATTCCGGGATCTTCCAACAGCTGGGAAAACACGTGGAAGTCCTCCTGGAGCGTGATAGAAACGGAGGTGACGAAAATCAATAATGCAACAAGCACCAACACCAACGGCTCGACTATTACCTCAACTACTGAGAACAATGGCCTCCCCACAAGCGCCAAGATTGGCATCATCGTTGGTAGTACTGTATTCGGGATGATGATGTTTGCCCTTTGCATTGGGCTGTGTATTCGCCACCGTCGACGGCAGGAGAGATCAGTCAATCGAGTCCAGAGCCGTGAAATGAAAGCATTATTTGACAATTGGTCTTCAGCGCATCAATTGAGCCTCGTGGAAGCCCCAGATGGTGAATGGAACACAGTGAATGAATTAGACCACACCCAGCAAAAGTATGAGATGGGAGTAGGGAGAGGCCCCTTTTATGAGTTAGATCGAGAGAAAATTCCCTTTGGTGAGTTTGGCGATGGAAAAATAGCTCAACAAGGTCCCTTCGAGATGCCAGAGAGGACGTCTGTCTTGAGGTCTTCTAACTTTATATGAAGCGAACGTAAATCCCCACTGTCATAATTTTTTCTTTTACAACTTCCAGGCCTCTAAGCAATCCGAGTCGCATTCCCACAAGGCATGATCAAAGAAACTTCTCTTGAAGGAGATGCTGGAAGTCAATGAGCTCAAATGGGAAAGTTGAGTAAGGTCAACTGGTATAGTTCAAGGCAGCACTCTAACTTGTACAATACATGTATTGTATTGCCAGTGGGCGGGCTCTTCTGTTAGGAGGTGTGCCTATGGAACAGCTACAGGAAAGAACACGTATGGGGGGGAAGCGCGCGGAGGGGAAGTCTGCCCCGACACGTCGAGAGCTATCTACCTAGGCACCTTGGTCTGAACTATACAGACCACGTGATCTAACATCTTCCGATAATGATCTCTTGGCGGATCTCTTGGCAGCAGTAGACGAATCTTGGCACATTCAATTAATTTCCGGCGGGATTAGGTTGTTCCATGTTTTACATTCAATGTTTACAGTATTTAAATTACGTATAAAAGTGCCAAAGACCTCCGCAGGTGATTGCCGATACTTCAACTTCCAAGGTTGTATATTCCTCATACACATTTTCAGGGCAATATATTCCAACTTGACGTTCTCACCTATGCACATTCGACTGGAACTTGAACTCCAGGCCTTTTTAGCATCAAAACTTTGGAACTATGTCATTCACAAAACTTGCCCCACAAATACTCTTACAAATTGCGTCTTGGATTGACATCGAGTCTGACCTTGCGTCTCTTGCTCAAGTCAACTGTGATTTTTACAACACGCTCATCGCAGAGCTTTACCTGCGTAATGCAAAGAATCCAGAAAAATCAGCCATTCTCATTGCAGCTGCTACTGGGAATTTTTCTACATTGAAGAAGGCACTTCAAGCATGGAAAGTTGCCAGGGGCCCCGCCGAATTGCTGACTTCAGGTTCTTTCCCTGAAAAGTATCTCCTTTATTGTCAGCAGCGATAAGGGGACATACAGAGGCAGTAAAGGTGCTTTTGGAGTATGGAGTGGATCCAAATGAAAGGGACCATGGCAAGCGCACATCACTCAAGGCGGCGAGCACACGTGGACGTACAGAGGTAGTTAAGATACTCCTGGCGCAACCAAACATTAAAGTGAACGCGTACGACCGCGATAAAGGTACTCCAATAATTGGCGCCGCAAGAAATGGCCACGCAGAGATTGTGAAGATGCTACTCTCAGCTGGTGCGTTTGCAGGCTGTGTGCGCAAGGAAGGGCAGGGCCCTCTTCATTCCGCTATCGGGAATAAACAGCCTGAGCTGGTTCGTCTTCTGGTGAACCGGAAAGAGGTTGATCCGAACGCACTATTTCCAAAAAGAACCCCATTATAGATGGCAGCCCAGGCGAACAGAGAGGATTTGGTGGAAATTTTGCTTACGGATAAGCGGATAATTCCGGATTTGACAGTCAGCCACATGGGCCAGACACCGTTGTTAGAGGCTGCAATGAAAAACAATGATGCCATGGTTCGACTTTTACTTGAGGCTGGGGCAAATAAGGAGATCCAAGATTCTACATTTCTTTCGCCTGCTCCGTTGCTTGATGCTCCAAGTGCAGAGACTCGCTATAAGCTCACCCGAGATCGATTGTTGATGCTTTCGAATCCGCAGTTGCCTGAAGACTGACACATGACGAGCTCTGTTCCGATTGCTACACCTTTCGCTTGAAGATGATGCAAGCTACAGTGGAAGGGGACACATGTGATAGCATCGCATTGACTGAGAGTATTGCGCCTGCTTCTATATTCACTGGCAACTCAGAAACTCAGATATCATTGCAAACTGCTCTCAGGTTACAGTGGGAGTAGAACTTTGCATTCCACTATCTTGCAGCCCACTCTACCAGCTTCAAGACAATGATACATGCGACATGATTGTTTCACAAGAATCTGGCATATCAAGGACTAGCCAAATTGAATCCATGGATTGAGTCTGATTGTGCCAATCTGCACGTCGCTAGTGAAGTATATGGCAAGATTTTGTGCCTTGGTCCTCAGGGTGGCAAGTATGTGTCCAACACCACGAATATCGGCAGCACTGGGACAAGCACCGGCTATATGCCCTATGTCATTTCACCTGGCATGAATGCTACAGTTGCCAATGGCACCACGATTTATTGTGGAAAATGGCATACCGCTGAGTCGGGTGATACTTGCGCAAGCATTTGTATCCAAGAATCAATCACCTCTTCTTTGTTCCTCAAGGTCAACTCATCATTGGTAGGAGATGGCTGTTCTTCGCTTATTGCGAATGGTACATCTTATTGTGTTGGACCTATTTATGAGTGGGAGAGTCTTTCAAACACCACAACCTTTGAAGCAGTGGCTAGATGAGTGACAGCCATGCTGTGAAATAGGACTATGTCTAATTTGCGCTTGAGGAGATAGTGTAGCTTGTATCTCAAAAATCAAAGCACTTTGCAGTCATGCTTGACTAATAAACTTCTCACCTGTATAGTACTAGAGCCTTCAAGTTTGTAGAAAATCGCTTTTCAGCCAAAGCTTCATGACTCATATAAGTTTGTCTGATCTGATCACTCCGTGCTTAGATCTACTTAGTGAGCAAAAGCGGCAAGAGGGTGAGCACTAATCCGGAAAGAGAAATCAAAATTTGGGGAGAAATCCATTACCTATAGTAGTACTAGTAGAGTCGGAAGAGCTAAATGGGCTCCGGAGGTCTTCTAGTAGCCTAGTACATAGGCACTACTTCAAGTTTATATTGAAAATGATTTCTAAAGTTGCATTCAAGCCCGAGTCACTACCATTATCGACAGTCCTCTTTACTTCGAACTTAAGACCTAATCTGTTATCAGCATATTATACTACCCAGGTACCTACTTACTGTGGTACTCAATTTACCTTCTCTCAAGTCCTATTCGATCCGAACAAAGATTTTAATAGAGCACATGCCCTCATTTATGGGCTGGGGTGGCCACATGGTGATTCAGCAGGCAATAGAGCCTGGAGGGGCTGCAAAACAACCACAGCCCAAAGGAGAGTGGAGAGATGAGATAAATCAAAGAAATCGAAAAGTCTGGCGGCTATCTCGAGAGTGTGCTTGGCGAAAGAGACTCATTCTTTTATACGGGCTGGTGATTGGCGATGAAGAGTCTACTACCAGGCTTGGGTTTGAGATGGAACGTGGTCTAATCGACGATATAATGCTTGACCTACCATCGGACATACCGCGCTGGGATCCAACCGTGACATCATGTCCAAATATTGTCCAGAGAATCTTCCCTAAAACACAGACTGAGAACAATCTACACGAGGCACAGATGAATAATTATAACAACCTACGGTCTATAGAGGCTGGTCTTTTCAAAACACAAGATAGAGCCCGACGTATAAGAATGTCTACGCTGGATGTTACGGGGGAAATATCTCAGAGATGACATGGAAGTATTCCAATCGCAGACCTCGCAGAGGCCTTTAAAAAGATCGACCAGGCCATGGTATCTGATTTAGATGGGATGACCGACAAACTACCGTATAATCCTGGCTATGTTTGATTTATTATTGTCGCTTTTTTCTTCTTCTTGCTGGAGTATCAACTCCACAATATGTATTATTACTTTGTTTTCTTCTTTCGACTTCTCTTATCCTTTCTACCTTGGGATTGTTTCAAACCTCAAAGACTGTTTATTGGACCTGAATTTTAAACTCCTTAAATACTTGATGCGTGAAAAGTTGTTACAATATAACACATGAAAGGGCACCTGGGCAGGGTATGTCCACCAAAATCAATCAAACTCATTAAATCAGCAGCTTCTCAAAAGAGTACTTGCCAGCCTTCTTGCGTCGCAGATAGCTGATCTCACGGTTACTGCGAGCCTTAGTCTCACCAGTCGACTTCTTAACCTTGGTCCGAGATACATCCTTGGAGACAGGCTTCATAGACAAAGGCAGCATCTTGCCGCTGGCATCACCCTCATCATCACCCTCCTCAGGAGGAGCATAAACCAAGAGGTCAGCACCATTGATCTTCTCATGACGGATAAGGTGGGATGGCTTAGGAGTAGACTCCTTCTCAACCTTTGTCGCGTTGGTCTTTCCACCTGTAGTGTTTGAAACCACCACTTGGTCGGCAAATCGCAAGTACTCGCGCATAATGCCCTTCAGGTAAGTAGCCTCTTCAACACCACCAAGAGTAGCGGAAATCTCCGAACGCATGTCAGAAATGAGCTCCATCTCGCGGGTGGCTGCAGCAATGGTAGACGCGGTCTCATCATCGAGATCGTGGACATTGGGGAGGGCAGAGATCCAGCCTGAGGGCCCAACAGCATCCACAGAACAAGTAAGAAGATCACTGATGGTCTGGAGGGAGAGAGAAGGTGTGATCTGATCAAGAGTGATAGGGGTAGGGGGGGGTTTTCGGTGAATCGAGACATGTAGCCACCAGTAGCGAGAGAAAGACGGAGATGGTGGATCATGGAGATAAGCTCCGGGCGTGACAAGTTGGAGCGAAGAGATTTTGTGACAGAGGAAAGAGGATGAAGGTGGATTTTCTGAAGAGAGGTGTTCAAGCCCATGAAGATTTCCTTCACGGTGGCTGTTTCGTCACCCAAGTGACGGGTGAGCTCCTCCGTAGGGGTTATAGCATCGCCGTTGGTAATGGCTCGAGCAGTATCTTCCAATGCAGCGGAGCAGTTCCGTGCTTGATTTAAGAAGTGCTTCAATGAGTACGCCAACTCGTTGGTTGAGAAAGTAGATGGACCACCAATGACATGGTTGACGCGCTCCATGGATGAATCAGAGTCGATAAGAGCCTGGACAAAAGAGCCAGTTGGCAAAGGCTGCAGAACACGGGGCTTAGAGGCACGTCGAAGGGCAATCTCCACATTGTCAGCAGAGAGATGGCCCATGGCAACCAGCCAAGCACAAGTGACCTGGGGCCACAACACAACCCGCAGCTGGGATGACGAAGATGCCGTGATATCACCATTCAATTCTAAGTCCTCAACTGCAAAGATCTTAGATAGCAGGAAGAGAGTGGATTCGGGGTTGACATACTGTCCTGGAGCAGGCAGGGTCTGGGGCTTGTCCGAAAGACAGAAGTAAGACTGGACAGCCTTGTCAAAAAGCTCACCATCCTTCAACTCAGTGGCCTCATTGATGGACTTTGTCAGCCTGTTCCATTTCTCCACCTGCTCAGGAGTACTCAAGTGCAGCGAGGTCATATTTTCAGATCGGTGTTTCTTAGAGGCCAAATCCCACTGAGTAGCCGATGCGCCAATGCCACGTCCGATCGCATCAATGAGAAGACCATCGCGCGACCGCTTGAGAGAAGGTCCAGAGTGGCTGTGGAGAGAAGTCAAATCGAAAGCGATCAGGGTATGTCCCTTCAATGCGACCGCAATTCCAAGCTTGGCAAAGTAGTTGATGAATTGGACGGGACCCTTGGAACCTGTGCCAGACAGGACATCTCCAGCAGCCAAACTTCTTTGAACAGACTGATATTGGGTATCGTAAACTGCGACCAATGATTCGTTTGCGCCGATAATGCACTGAGGGGAAACTCGCATCACAGAAGAGAATTCCTCGTCCAGAGTGAATTTGGAAGTGACGGATGGAGCATATTGTGACAGATCGATATTGAAGAATCCCTTGTTGGAAGAGAGCTGCAGACTTCCAGACCCAGCATGGAAGTTCCAATGAAGCTGACTGCTGTTGATCTTGCCAATATCACTAGGGCCGGGTACTTGGATTGTTTGGAGGTGACGGAGCCGTTGACTTTCTTCCTTAGCACTGAAAGTAGCAGGGACTGAAAAAATCTGGACTTTAACATCTTCGAGTCCAAAGGTGTCAGCTCCATTAGGATGCGAAATCACAAGCAGGATAGAAGGCTCAGTTGTTCCATCTACCATATGGTCTCCTAGAGCAAGTGCAACAAGATCCTGACGTCTCTTGAACAAAGCCCTTCGAGCATCTTCCAGATCAACCAAGAAGCAGCTCTTGACAGTGTACTTCGAAGAGACTTTAGAAATTTCGCTGTGCTGTATACTCCACCGCTGAGTCTTCAGATCTGCTGATAATCTCCGCACACGGCCATCTTCATGAACTGCGATAACATCGAATGGATCGTTCTCGTCCTCGTCATCGGAAACGGTGGGGACGATGCCTACGAAAGCTGCTGGGCTTCGGGAGTCGGTGATAGTCGCTGTAGATGAGGAGATCGCTGGAGCGCTAGAGCCATTGCTGATCTCTTCCACGAAACACTTGATCTGATGCTCTGGCTTGGTAGAAGCAGCATATGTTTGTCTCTTGACTAGAGACTTCTTCGTAATCTTGCGACGGACCGAGCATGGGCGACAAGAAAAGATCGACTGAGGAGGAACCGCATACGAAGTGACGAGCTTGGGCGTTTGCACCTAAAGAAATCGAGTAAGAATTTTAGTCTTCACAGATTCAGGATTTGAAAGGCACCGATATCATACGTTGTAAATATTGACGGCTTCTCCATCCACAGCAACTGCAACTTCATAGCGCTTGCGCTTTTTAGCATCGGCTAGACTGTAGACATCGCCAATTCGAGTCTTGCCAGTGGAGGCATGAAGGGGGCGAGGCAATTGCGCCAGAACAGATGGAGACTGCAAGTCCATGGCGATAGCTGAAGAGAGATATGCAAAGGCCTTGATCTTCCCTTCAGGTCCTGTTCAATTGAATCCTCCAAGTCCCAACGAGGAAATCTGAAAAATTTTCGGATTAACAGAGGGGCCGAGGTCCACCCACACTAAGCCGCTCTAGGACTAGCCCATCTGAGCTAATCATGATGATCTAATCACCGACGCGACGGCCCCGGGCGCGTCGAGCGTGTTAAGGTGATAACTGATAACGACCCTTTAAGAGGTTTTGCTTTCATTGCTACCCATATTGGCTTGGGAGGATTGGATTCACTGGTCGGGACTTCAATCTTCTCAAGCAAGTGGATTCTCGAACTATAAGTTGCTTTTTCAAACATTCATTCGCCCATTCCCTTCCAATTCACTCAGATGTCCTCTTGAGCCTCTTATATGGATACAATAGTATCCGATCTGCCGCCAGCCATGGAACAGGGCGACCGGCAGGCAATTCACCCTTTTTTTCATCAAGGTATGATTATCTTTAAACTCATATGTATTTGAATTCTCACTGACTTTCTCTAATTGAACTGGCAGTTCCAAAGCATGGCCATTCCGACACCTCTCAAATCCCACCCGAAACACCTTCCGATCCATTCGCCTTTGCTTCTTCGCTGAACCAACTACCTGAAAACAAGCCAGACACACATGCAGCAGTCTCTGGGACATCAACAAGCTCTAAAATGAGAGATACTATTCCCTCAAGCCCGGAAGGAGACCCCAACGCTGGTCGGAGAAAACGGCGCAAGACTGAGAAGGCAAGGAATGCCGGAAATGAGGCCTCTCTCCGAGCTGGGCTGTCAGGATGGCTAGGTAAAGAGATACCTCCTCCGGTCGGCGCTCTGCAACCGACGTCAAGCACAGAAAATTGTGATCTTCAGACATCTTCTATACAAGTGGAAGTTCAACACCTCGACAACAATATAGCTGAACTCCATCCAATTGCTGCATATCCGGTGCCTCCAATTGATGAGACAGCTCCGAAACGAAAAATTGTGAAGCTGAATCTCAATGGGAGATTGCTAAGTTCACCCCCGCTGAGTCCCCCGGGAACTGCTGGACAGAATCAAGGAGTTGGCAAACGTGGACGGCCTAAGAAGTCTCAACAAAAACTGATTTCAATAAAGTACAACCCGGGCACGGAAAAGAACATTGCACAGATGATTGGAGAGATTCTCGATGGAAAAATCCGGCATAGTGCTTGCAAAAGCGCATCTAAGCTCGTGCCAAAGTCTTCGGTCTCAACAGCAAATGCTGGGTCTAAAAAGACTCAAACCTCAAAACCGACACACCCATTCTTTATGAAAAAGCCTGCATCAAGGCCACAGACAGATTCCTCAAATGCCTCCTCGCCGGGCCATACCAAGGCGCTGAATACTTCAAAGCAATCCTTCCCCTCATTCTCTCTCTTTGATCGCCCAAAAGTCAAATTCCCAGAACTTATAGATCCTCTGTGGCCATCTCGAGACTTTGTTCACGTATATGGAATCGATACAGAGGCATCCAATTCTTGGAATACTCTTAGCCAAGGCCAGCCTGATCAAAAGAAGGCCAAAGTCCCACTTATTCGGATTCCTGAGCATGAGAATGCCGTTCTAGCGAGCACTGCATCGGCTAGAACGGCTGCAAAACTTGAACTAACAAATGAGTGTGATTCAAGACCTACGCTGCGGCTTCCGACACGACATAAAACAAGTGGGAAAGTCCTGCAAAGGGCAGCTCATGCACAAATGTCTTCGAACCTACCTAATCAACCTGCAGGTCCAGTACACCCTTCTATCTCTAAATCTCAGTTATCGTTATCTCAGTCTCTTTCTGCTTTCGACAATGGAAAATATGAAACCCAGCTGTGGGCACACAAGTATGCCCCTAAAACGGCTGAAGATGTTCTGCAAGTTGGACCCGAATCACGAGTCCTTCGAGATTGGCTGAATCATCTCAAAATCACTGCAGTCGACACTGGGAAATCATCTCACGAGAGCAAGAAGAAAAAATCAAAACGCGAAAAGAAGCAGAAAGCCCAACGAAAAGCCGACAAGCTTGACGGCTTCATTGTTTCTAGCGAAGAAGAAGCATCTGAAATGGAAAATCTTTCTGGCTCAGATGACGAGCTGGCTGGCGATGTCACTGTTTCCACTCAACGGACTGTCGTACGATCTGGGGATAATCCTCAGAAAGGCTCTGACAAAGTCCAAGTCACGAATGCTATTCTTTTGAGTGGCCCATCTGGCTGTGGCAAGACTGCCTCAGTCTACGCGGTTGCTAAAGAACTGGACTTTGAAGTATTTGAAATTAGCCCTGGTAGCCGCCGGAGCGCCAGAGATATGCTCGAAAAAGTCGGCGACATGACTCAAAACCATCTGGTTCATCTCTTGCACGACGTAGACGAGTCCTCTTCGAAATCTCGGTGTCCCTCAGTGCTAGAAGAGCCCAAGCAAAACAAGCTGATGGGTTTCTTCAAAGGCCAGCCTTCCAAAACACCCCAATCAAGTGAACAAGCAGAACCATCACGCCATGAACCCGAGAACGATATGAAACGTCCCCGAGAGCAGAAACAGTCTTTGATTCTCCTTGAGGAAGCAGATATTCTGTTCGAGGAGGATAGGAATTTTTGGACTGGCGTGTTCACCCTCATCAGCCAATCTCGTCGGCCCATTGTAATTACTTGCAATGAGGAGAGTCTCGTCCCGATCCAGGATATGTCACTGCATGCAATTTTGCGCTTCCAGAAACAGCCTCCAAACCTTGCCGTTGACTACATGCTTATGGTGGCCGCAAGCGAGGGCCATGTGCTGAAGAGAGATGCTCTGAGCAAGCTATACGACGGTTCTGGCCACGACCTTCGACGATCCCTTAATGACATGAATTTCTGGTGCCAGATGGGCGTTGGCAGTGACAAAGCAGGACTAGATTGGTTCCTACCTCTTTGGCCACCCAGCAACAATGTGGATACGGACGGTGACCAGGTCAGGGTGTTGAGTTTTAACACATATGAGCCTTTCATGGGCTGGTTAAATCGAGATCTTCTTATGGACGATTCTCCCTTGGAAAAGGAGATTGAATCACTACGCAATACATTCCACTGGTGGCGACTAGGCGTTCCCGATTTGGAAGATGCGAGTGGTTTAAATCGTGCAGAGATCCTCCCTTCTGATCAGTTCGCTATGAAATCTAATCTGGAGAAGCTCGAATTATTGAAACATCAAGAGGACTACTCAGACAGTCGGAGCTCACTCGATATGCTCTCGTCGGGTTGCTGGGTTGACACACCTAATGTAAGCCTTGATCCCCCTTATAAAGATTATAAATAAGCTAATTTTATCCCAGGACTTCCTTGATACCACCGTTCCACCAATGCCCGAAGCACATCGATCAAACTACATTGATTCCTATCCGCTTCTACAAACCGACTTACGTCCCAAACATTCCACCCTCGACCAAGAAATCAGCTTTACACATGCTGCATTACTTTCTCGCCATTTCCGAGGACCTGCTGATAACATCGAATCCACATGCACAACCCGAATTTTCAACGGCTGGACCCAACTTGCCATGCGGCGTCAAGTATACCCTTCTACCAAACCTGCGTTCCAACATGTTTTTGGACCTATAATGCGGGCACGACCTTATGCCGCCATGGGACGCCTTGCACCATCTTTTGAAAGCAGTCTTTCTATAATAACCGAGGACCTTGCTCCGTATATTCGCGGTATCATGACATTTGACGCCCGTCTCAAACAGTACCGTGATCAACTATATTCAATATGGGTTCAGGAGCAGGGACACGGAGATAAACGTGCACGAACAACTCGTGCCAGTCGCGCTGCGCTCGAAGGGAGTGACAAGGCCTACACACGGAAGGAGAGGTGGTTCCCTGATGATACCAATTACTTTCAGGTACAGTGCACGGGCATGCCTGAATGGCAGAATGCCTTATATCAGATGGGCCATTTTCATGTCCAGCCTGCGATGCAAGCTACTCACGCCCATGATGGGAATGGAAGTCCCGTTGGACATTATGGAAATTAAATAGCGATTTCGGCGATGCTTTCTGCAAGATCTAATGATCTTAATAACGAAAATTATAAGAAGTTTATACGCATTATTTGGCATTTGCAACCAGTAGAAAACATTATTTCCAATGATTCGAGGTTATTAAAAGAACTCCTGGAAAGAAGTCGGATGGCGCAGCCGATCTTCGGTAATACCCTCCGACATCTACAGATAAGCTTGCACTTCACCTTTATAGGTGAAGGTTGAAATAGCATTTCATGATAAATTTTTATCTTTGAATTGAAGCGATCCATATATTCTTTAGATGGAAGATATCATAGAACGTTTCGCATTAAACATTAACTCCCAAATGATTTCAACTCACACATCCATTAACGGATTGCATAATACTTTCCATATCCAATTGATCCGCAAGATCCAGCAATTCTCGCGGCGGAAGACTAACTGAAGGATTCAATCCTAGTAGATCCCATTCAAACTCATCGCCCACATCCACTTGGTCAATAGCATAGACATCCTCATGCTCATCTGCACCAGGATTGAAAGCAACAGGTGGTAATGGGGAATTCGTAGATTTCGGAGTCAGCGGTGCCAGGATCTGCTCCAATTGACTAAGTTCTCGTCTTTTGAGAGGCGCAACAACACTGCCCTTTGAGATCAATTTATCCAGAACGCACTCGAGGTTATCGCACCATGTGCTATTTGGGATTAGTGATGGGGCGATAGAACGAATTAGGTATAAAACGAAGGCGGATGAAGAGGCGTCTTCGATTTGGAATGGTAAGAATGCATCTGTGGACAAATTAGTTTTGAACGAGTACTGTATTTGTAGATTTGAGATATACCCATCAAGTCATCGTCAGCTAGGGTTTGGAGAGTTTGTAGGATGGTCTGTGCTGAGTCTGCACAACACTGGAGGAGAGAGGAAACTGGAGGTGATAGTGCTATTGTTTGAGATGTTTGTCTCTCCGATCGTTCGATGTGCATGTGCAAGGCACACATAACCAATGGTCTTGTCGCAAGAACAATACACTTTAATCGTTAGATCTTTTGAAACGGAGATGAAAGCTGTAGCTCGAATACTCACATGGTGATGAGCCAACATAAGTCGAATTGCCATTTTCGAAGCGCGGCTAATCAAACCGTGAAAATGTTTATTCAGAAACAAAGTCAAATCATGGGAAAGCCCGGCTATGCCGTGCAGAATTGACTGCGTGTTTCGGATGAGCGAATCATTAAATTCATCTCCAACTCCATAAACAGCTTTAGATGACAACGTCAGTCAACGAAGTGATAGACAGTATAGCTAACCTGACTTACTTGTCAAAATTTGAGCCATCAACCTCGAAAGACGCACATGCAATGTCAAATTTATGTCCTCCACGGAGCTCTCCACTTCTGCGGGCAATCGAACTGTGATATCCTCATCTCTGATGGAGCTGGGTGCACCAATTAGCGCCGCGAATTCACGATCCAGCATGTAAACCACCCAGAAGATAGTCCTGCATCGTCTTGAAAGTTCTGGTCCTCCAAATTCTTCTGGGACATGTCTATGAATTCCCTCTATTATGCATCCGCGGAGAGCATGTCCAATCTTTCTAATAATGAGCACAGTAAGCTAAATGGGATAGCTGGGTCAGGCTTACATGTTGAAATGCTGCTCGTCTCATATCAATAGATTGAAGGTATACAGCACCAAGACTCAAAGCTTGAATGCATTTTAATGGGTCTCTATGCATGCCAGATAGATCTGGCAACAGAGCCATCGCTCTTGCAGCGTATTGATGTCCTGGTGGTGTTCCAGAAGGATTCTTGTGAGATAGAAAAGCTTTTCCAAACGCAAGAACCAAGAGGTACTGCGCATACCAATACCTTGATTCTGCAGCTTTCTTGGCGGGATTCTTGTAGAATTCATGGAGGTCTTGGAGGTATGACTCCTCATCAATCATGAATGATAAGAAGCCGAAATAGAATTTAACAGTGTTAAATAGGAACAGTGCATAATCCAGCGGAGGCAAATTGGATACGTCGGGAACCTCATCTGGAGATGCTGGGCGCCACTGTAGTTTGAAAGCCATTCCATCTAAATGCCATGGATCCGGTGGGCAGTTTGATTCTGGGACTCGTCTCCCTATGAGTGCTAAGACTCGACGGCAGAATGACCATGATGATGTAGGACCCATGTACCCTGCACAGTTAGCTGAGCACTACTATCGAACGTTGATCAGTTCATTTAACCTACAGAATCTGCCATCTGGAGTCTTTGCAAACTGTGGGTTGTTATCCACAAGAGGGTTTCTAGAAAAACGGGACCGATGACCATCGTTTTCCACATCAGGGTCATCTTCGATATTCCTGGGAGGCAATGCCTCTGTCGAATGGAGGGCATTATCTATATCTTATACCACAATAAGTATGTGCAGCGTGATTCAAAGAGCAGTATTCGACTTACTTTGAGTAATGTCTTGCCATCGCTGGTCCTCCAAGATCAAATTCTGATTGAGACCTGATAGATCGACATCATTCCCGACTTGGTAAGGAGACGTACGATCAGGGTCTGTAGGCTGCAGGCTATCACTTCTTTTTGATAATTGCTCCTCTAATTGTCGGAGGTACCTAGTTGACCAGTTAGCGAATGTTAGTAGACTCGGTATACAAGGCACATACCGTTCCGACACCGAAATTCGCACATCCTCAGTCGGAAAATGGCAATGCAACTTCTTCCGAGCGCATCTAGTGCAGGGCTCCGACCCCGAGCACTTCACTTTCATACCACGACATCGGACACATCTATACAGATTAGTAACTCTTAGTACCCCCCGACTCGGCCTTGACTCACGCTCTCTGGCACTTCTTGGTCTTAATTTTACTCGGTGCGGCAGGCATATTGGATTCCGAGACAAATAAACTATTCAACAAGAGTAACTTGAATGATAGTATCTGATAATTCACCTTGATCCTAGTATCAATGTCTTGTTCTGCGGGGTAAGTAGAGGAGGAACTATCGGGATGGCCACCCGACGACTGATAAGTTGTGATAACCATGACCTCCTCAATTTCCCCAGATGATAAGAATTGCGGGGCGATTAGAGGGGTCAAATAAATTTTATTGGACAATTGATATAGATCTTCAAGCTTGATCTTTGTTATCTTTATCTATGAATCCTCCATCTAGGTGGAGATCATGATTGATGTGATGATTTATTGATGTTTTAAGATAATAAGAACAGTACTAGATTCAAGCGAGATAACAGCACCATGAAACACGAATTTCAACTTCAACTTCAAGATGCAGAATTATTCTAATGAGAAGAAAGAATTGAGGCTAAGTTGGCCTAAAGCTTGGGTCTTAAAATCATAATTCATTTCTTAAGAACTCGTAATTATTAACCAAACATTCTACGCCACAGCTCAGTTCTCAATGCATCTACCATATGCTGTGTCCGTTCCACAGCACCCTTATTTTCAATCGCGCGACGATGAAGATACTGCATACACTCTGCTACCGAACCCCACGCCATGCACTTGAAGGCCTTTGGCACAGACACATTCGCAGCCGAAGACTGTTCCATAGCCCGTTCATAATTCTGCACGAGTTCACAACTCAGCTCATCTGCCATGCCTTGAATCTGTCCACATTCCAAAAGAACAGTAGGCTTCTGTGAGAGAAGTCGATCCTGGTGGGTTGCAATCGCTTTAGCAGCACTAGCAGCATTATGTGTAGCCAGGAATAGTGCAGCGTTGGGGAACTTCAAATCCTTCACATCCTCTGGCATACGTCGGCAAAGCATAGTATCAGCGATCAAGTCATAGGAGTCGTCGGTTTCTTCCTTCGTGTTGTGGATAAGAGAGCGTGTCTCGTGCTCGATGTATGCACCTCGAACCAACTTGATTCCCAGAGCCCATCCTTCCTGCGCAGCAAGCTTGATGTGTCGGTCAAGGTTCTCCTTGGAGGCTTTGAGATAACCCTGGATGGTGTTGTAAACCAAGGGGGCCTCCAATTTTTTGTTGTGTCTGCGCATGATCTCGATAGCCCAGTTGTCCAAACCAGTCTGCAACACTTGCTGCTCCGCGTCTAACCAGATACGAGAACCCTGTTGCTTTGTTGCAAGGCAAATCTCATCCATAGCTTTCACCATAACTTCCGGCATGGGCTTCTTTGCGGCCATAGCGTCAACGGAGATCGGACCCGCACCTGTGAGTCTAACATTAAAGGATGTCGTTAGATGATATCCACAGAAGTATGTTCAAGTTTAATAACTTACTTCACGGCAAGAAGGTCCCCAGCCCCAACCATTCGCAATGTCTCAAGAGTGCCATTTTTCCATTCCTCCACTGTCTCATAACATTTATCGCTGTAGGTGGTGGTACCCGACTCATCAAGAGCTAGTTGCTCCTCCGCATCGAGAACGATCTCCCTTGAATATCCCAAGATAACACCTTGGTATCCGATACTCTTAATCTGAGCGACAGTTTTTGAAACTTCCTGTCGGTTTGTTCCCGCACAAAAATGATTATAGACCGTCCATCGAAGAAGCTTGTTTAAGATAGGGTTTCGATCGGCGTTCAGGATAGCGGAATCTGACTTGCTGAGAACATTCAATGTAGCAAGTGCAGGTTTCAAGAATATCTTTGAGGTCATCAAAGATGTCAAGATCAAAGATCGTAGTAGAAGCTTTGTTGGTAGTCTTGCCATAGACGAGACCTCTATCGGGGCCTTGACTGGCGGGGCAACAGCCAGATCGTGGAAACCATGCTTCGTCGAATGGTGCCGCCGGGAAATTGCCTTTTGGACTGAGAGAAGGCGGGGGATCAGAGTACGAGGGAGAGAGGTAGGAGGAGATACTATCATCATGATATGTGGTGGTCTCCAATATAGAAAGTAACCAGACCTATTCATCTGAATATAAAAATGTTACTCAATGTGCGAAGCTTCTATATATATACAAAAGCTTGTGCGCTATCCACAACTCTATTCTCATGTTCTTCAATCTTCTCCGTTCAATTATTCGCTAGGATCTACCGATGCGTTGTTCAACGGTCAGCCGACTATAGTCGGGGCAGTCCTCCGACTCGAAGAGGGGTCATCGGGTCACACCCTACGCAGAACAAACTACAAATTCTCATAAACAGAATTTCTGTTATCAATGAATACTTCATTATTGGGGTGACCGGTTTGTTCCTCCGGCTCTGAACCGGGCCGGTCTACTCAGCTCGGATGGTAGACTGGTGTTTGTCTATGTAGGACATCTGGAAGGACATGAGCCTCGAGGCGTCCAATCGGAATATTGAAGATGCTCACGCTCAGATAAGAAAAAGAATCTTGCTCCATGCAGGTGGATAATAGTTGAAATGAAAATCAAAGGGGTGTGAATCCGTGGATATGTGAGTGGCATCATGACTGAATGCCCAGGTGACCATTCAAATGTTTTATATGGAATAGTAGTACTAGTAGTATATAATAGCTTCCAACTTGAAGATTCCTGAATTTCTGCACATCAATCAATAGTAACCAACTTCCAAGGGCTTTAAAGTATTTCATTTTTGAACATAAAATTTTGGAACATATTAGAATCCCAGAAATGTGTCGTAGCAAGCACTCAAGCACTGCAATGCACAGACATACACCGGGCATGCTTCCCCATATTGTGGCTTACTGTGCATAATATGATTTCTTATGCAGAGCAACATTTGAAGAAGTAAAAAGGACGACTCGTAAGACTACGTATTTATCCTGCTAACCGTTCACACAGATATGGATTGCTCAGATGTTATCGATTAGATTCATTCCCTTAGTAACCCTGGAGAGGAGTTGTTATACTAATACTATGTAGCAGTATTCCATACTAGTATATTCTAGGAACATCCGATTCAAGTTCTGACTCGGAGCGGCAGAATATCATGATCATGAGCGTGAAATCTATACAGGCTTTGATTTGTAGAAGACATCGATCTTGTGCCAAGGTTATTTTGAGCTTGAATTTACAAAAGTACCAAGATTTGAACTTAGCTAGTCAACTGGTATATTGCCGCTAGAGGTTCCAGGGATATGGATGGGGCTACCCGTTATCTCCCCTCAAGGAACCTCCTCTTCTCCATCACACTCCTCCTCCAGTCAATCGAGGAAGGGCAGGCCTTTCTTCTATTGCTTCTTAGCTGTGATCGACTTGTAACTACTCCGTACTAGCGCAGGCATTGAAAGTTTTCCAGCAGTTGTACAACCCAGCCACCGCCGGCCAAGCTAGCTCCGCCTGATCGGCACGGACTATTCGTCATTGTCCATAGCAATCACCTCCACCTGATATCTCCCGTTTGAACTTCCCCGCGCACTGATATTCCACACTCCTGCGACGCCATAATGTCTTTGTTTGGGACATCTCCCGATGCGGAGGACTCTTCCACGGCGAACCCCGCTCTCCGGTCCAAGTCGGCTCTCTTTGCGGATGAATCGACTGGTGGCTCGTCGCTCTTCGCGGATGATGACGGTGACGATAGCTCCTCACCTTGGAACCAGAATAACACAGCCAAGCGAACCGCTCGCCGAGATCTTGTGCGAACCTTGCTTCCCGCTACCGATGTACCCGAGAGCTATATTGATGCCTATGACTTGATATTGAATAGCGGGGATAGGGTCGGCTCCGGTGTCGGGCTGACCTCTGTCCGTGAGATCCTCTCCAGTAGTGGACTGAGCGCATCGATCCAAGATAAGATTCTTAATTTGGTGGTCTCTGCTGACCACGAGAGCTCTGGCGGGCTGGGCCGCGCCGAGTTCAATGTCCTGTTGGCGCTAGTGGGCCTTGCGCAGGAAGGCGAAGACCTATCGTTTGATGCAGTCGACGATCGTCGGAAGAGTGAGTGGTGTTTTATCAAAATGCTAGCTTAAAGGATTGGAAAAGAAACTGACAAATTCTGATATATAGAGCTCCCTCAAGCCAGGAGCGGCTTTCTAGACCAGCTACGAAATACCGACTCTTCGACTGAACCCGAACCCGAACGACCGAACACTCCTCCCTTGCAACAACAACACCTCCCAGAGCCAAACTCCGCACGTTCTCGTCAGGGTCGCCGGGAATCCTTGGGTGGTTTGGAGTCAGATCCCTGGGGAAGTCCAGAACTGCACCGTAATCACGACCATGGGTCCGCTGCCCCCATTGCCCCCGTTGAACAACGCTTCTCGAATGGCTACGGAAGTATGCGCTCTACAACCAATGCATGGACGAGTAAGACTGTGGACGAGACAAGTCACAGTGTGGTGACTCGGGCGCACACCAACGGCCGGACCGAGACGGTAATCCCGAGCAGTGCGGAATCTGGATGGGGTGGCCACATCCCTGTGCGCGACGAGGAGGCTGCATTTACCCCGGCTCCCAATCCTATCCTTGGTGGCTTTGCTCCGCCTGGTGATGGTCCCACTGAGATTGCACCGCAGCGTCGGTCCTTGGGACTGTCTCGCCCAACGAACCCCCAAGTCGAGGAAACGGTTACCATCAACCTCTTACAAGAGAAGGAGGGCATGTTCATGTTCCAACATCGCAATTACGAGGTGAAATCTGCGCGGAGGGGTAGTACTGTGGTCCGGCGATACAGTGACTTTGTCTGGCTTCTGGATTGTCTTCAAAAGCGATTCCCCTTCCGGCAATTACCTCTTCTTCCACCCAAACGGGTTTCAGGTACGTTCTACGCTGATTGAAGCGCTCCAAATTGTTTTACTCACCTGTTACCAAGTGAATGGCACTCACCTATCAGCGGATTCCACTTCTTTCCTGGAGAAACGGCGCCGTGGACTAGTCAGATTTACCAATTCGCTCGTTCGTCACCCTATACTTGGCCAGGAACAGTTGGTCGTGATGTTTTTGACCGTGCCTACGGTAAGTCTTGGCGCTATTCGTATTACCCATGTCGACGAAGTTGCTGACAAGGATGTAGGAACTCTCTGTCTGGCGCAAGCAAGCCACCATCTCGGTCCAAGATGAATTCCACGAGCGTGTTCTTCCCCCCGATCTGGAAGATTCTCTGCCGGCTGACCTAGATGATACGTTCGAAACCGTCCGCAGTGGCGTGAAACGATCGGCCGAGATCTATATTAATCTTTGCACCCTGCTTGAACGTCTGGCAAAACGGAACGACGGATTGGCAGCTGATCATTTGCGATTTTCATTGGCCCTGCAGTCTCTCACCGAGGTCACCAAGGATACGTACTCGATCGACACGAACGACGTCCCGTCACTGAATGTGGGGATTACCGCGACCGCGCGGCATCTTTCTGCAAGTCAAAGTTTACTGGAAGACGAGGCCAGGGCCTGGAGCGAAGGTGTCTTGGAGGATCTCAAACGGCAACGAGATTGTTTGGTCAGTGTTCGCGAGTTGTTCGACCGCCGAGACCGATACGCTCGTAACAATATCCCGCAGTTGGAGCGGCGTATTGAAACCAATGAGCGTAAGCTGCAAGATCTTCGGGCGCGGCCGTCGGGCACCGGTAAACCCGTGAAACCCGGTGAGATTGAAAAAGTTGAGGATTCGATTTTCAAGGTTAGTACGGAGTTGTGCCCCACAGCGGATCTTTTCTTCTCTTCTCTTTATACATATTATTGCTTCTTGTGTGACTCACCGCAACAAATAGGACAAAGAAAGTATTGTACAGCAACATGCTCGGGGAGTTTTCATTCAAGAATGTATTCGGGATGAATTGCTCCATTTCCAGCATAGTCAATATCATATCAGTCGACTGCATCAGGATTGGAGTCAAGAACGGGTGAAGTATTCCGAGTTGCAGGCAGATAATTGGAGACGATTGAGTGATGAAGTGGAAGGAATGCCGACGGGCGAGTAAGCTTCTGATTTCTTTTCTTTTCTGTCATTTTTTTCGGCATTGTTGATCCATAGAACCTTGAATTTCCCCAGATCTTCTGGTTCTTTGTATCCAATGTTCTTTTGTTGATTACGCGCGGAATGCGCGGAGCGGGAGTGATCATTCATTCTGATTGGAAAATCTTTTGCTTTTTTACTTTACTTGTGTACCTGTTCTTGTTCGCTTTTGGTCTGGATTCCAGATTCCACATCTTGACTTCTCCATTGCTTTTTTTACTCCATTTCTCCATCTTTTCCCTGTCATGTTTCCCCACAAATGATAATTGGTCCGGAGTCTCGACTTTGTGTTCGTGTCGCATGTTCAGGTGCACCTTGTTGGTTTTCAAATTGAGCTGAGACATTGGACGTGGCTTTTTGTTTTTTTTCCATATTCCCCTTCCAGTATCCCATTGTTTTGAATGTTTTGATTGTTTTGTCATTTTTTGGATATAGTTGAATTGAGTACTTTTGTCTATAAGATACACTACACCTCCAGGACTACCTCTGTATACACTAGGAATACACTGATACAATGACGTCCCTTAACTGGATCGATCCACTTTCAGCCACCCTGAATATCCACTTATCTTTATATAAACCAATTAACATTCTTAATATCATTCTTGGCACTCACAGGGCTGCCAATTGTACTTTTTTCTCCCTCTTTCTTGCGCTCGATGTCTGATCTTGGCTGCAAACGTCTTACCCATAGGTACCATAGGTACTATTACAGAACCCGCTTACAACTCACACGGGATCGACAGGGTTCTCTATAAATTAAATCGTTTCCGTTTTTTTTTTTTTTTACTTTAATTGTTTATTTATTTGGATCTTTCTCTTCTTTTTGAGTAATTCATCTATATATCTTCTAATATTTCTCTTAATTCTGCTCCGCCAAGCGTGGGGCTGTTAACCAAGGTCTCGGCTGACGAATACCGCTCGGTCCAAGACCCGTGAACCTGGACAAATCTCGTCTGGTCGTAGTGGCCAAGAGTTGAAAAAGCCCCGGACTACGTTGTGATCGCTTGGCTCGGAGATTCCTTTCCATGTTCTTTCTTCTTTTCTTTTCTTCTATTTGAATCCTCCTCCTTGCCTGAATCGCATGGTCGAGCTTATCTCTCCACTCCGCCCAGCCTCTCTACTTTGTACCGCGAACTTCGATCCCTCTCCGCTCCTCCCGCACGGTCCTGGATACCCTACGAACTTCCAAGATTGTATCGTCACTATTGAACTATACCAAGACCCTTGTTTTACTTCCCCTCGATTGCGCGACAAGTGGTGAACCCGTTACCCAGCCATAGGCTCGACAATCGTCATCCATATCTCGTTCCCATACTCTCTCACCAAGGCATGAGGAGCCACGCGGTTCAACGACGTTTGAGGCGGAAATCCATTTGGTAATTGAGTTCCCTTGGTTCGGGGTTGGGGAACACAGCTCTACTCTTGAAAACAGAGAGGAAGAGAGAGAATTACCTTGAAAAAACAAAGGGCAACCTGAAAGCAAAACAAAAACGCCCTCCAAAAACCCATACATATCGACCCTAGTTCGTGAAATTTCTACGATCGCTCATCATGGCATGGGATCATCTGGATATCGATAAGCCACATTTGGCATATATGATCTTGGGTGGTTTCACAGGCCTATTCATGCTGTGCTCGCTTTTTGTAAAAGAGAAGCTTTACATTGGCGAAGCAACTGTCGCGACATTATGTGGTATTATTTTCGGACCACATGCGGCTAATCTATTCGATCCCTCTTCATGGGGGAATGTCGACAAAATCACTCTTGAATGCTCGCGCATCGTACTGGTCGTGCAATGTTTCGCTGTTGGTGTCGAGTTACCCAAAGCCTACATGGAACGTCACTGGAAATCAGTGGTACTACTTCTAGTCCCCGTAATGACCTGGGGCTGGCTTGTGACCAGTTTATTCATTTGGTGGATGGTTCCTCCTTTGAATTGGCTGGAGAGTCTGGTATGTGCCGCGTGCGTCACGGCTACCGATCCTGTCTTGGCCTCATCCGTCGTTGGTAAGGGTAAATTCGCCAAGCGAGTTCCCAAGCATTTGCGTGATTTGTTATCGGCTGAATCGGGATGTAACGATGGCATGGCATTCCCTTTTATTTACTTATCGTTTTATATTTGGAAATATCGGCCTGATGCGAATAAGGTATCGCTGAATTGGTTCTGCGTAACTATCCTTTATGAGTGCATCTTTGGAGCTGTTTATGGCTTCCTGATTGGTTATTTCGCCCGTCATTCTATCAAATTTGCCGAACGCAAGGGGCTGATCGATCGTGAGAGTTTCTTGGTGTTCTACTTCGTTCTGGCCGTCTTCTGTGCCGGCTCTGGCAGTTTACTGGGTATGGACGATTTACTCATTGGATTCTCGTGTGGTGTTGGCTTCAGTAACGATGGATGGTTTACGGAGAAGACGGAGGAGTCGCATGTCTCTAACGTTATTGATCTTCTTCTGAACTTGGCTTACTTCGTTTACTTTGGTGCCATCATCCCTTGGGAACACTACAATGCCCCCGATCTTGGTCTTGTCCCTTGGCGATTGGTGGTGATTGCGCTTTTGGTCATTTTCTTCCGCCGCATACCTATCATGTTACTCTTGAAACCCTTTATACCGGACGTGAAAACATGGCGTGAGGCTCTGTTCGCTGGTCACTTCGGCCCCATTGGTGTCGGTGCTATTTTCGCTGCTATTCTGGCCAGAGCTGAGCTGGAGCACGATAACACATCCCCACTTCCTGAGAGCGCTCTTCCCCAGCCTGGAGCAGATAATTACTATATCGTGCAGCTGATCTTCCCTATCACGACCTTCATGGTTATCTCGTCTATCCTGGTGCACGGTTCCTCGATTGCAGTGTTTACTCTGGGAAAACGTATCAACACCTTGACCGTCACGCTCTCATACACTCAAGCCAACGAAGAAGGTCCTTCATGGATGAACCGTTTGCCCCGAGTGCAGTCAATTGCCAAGGGCTCTATGTCCTTCCGCAAGCCAGACGATCTCGATGCTTCATCCGATGAGAAATTACCGGAATATCCTCCTGGCACTCTTCCACCAATTGGTATGCCTGGCACTTTCCTGCGTCGGGTCCGTGATGAAGAGGACACCGATACACAGACCATCGATTCCACCAGAAAGCCTCTCCGGCGCAGACGACGCAAGCACCGCAAGCACGACGATGTTGGTGGGCCCATCAGCCAGTCTGCTATTATGCCGCAAAGACGACCCGAGCAGGAATCCGACGAGGAAAAGAAAGAGCTTGAAGAGCGGGATGCCGTGGAGCGTGGAGCTTCCCCTCCTACCGCTGAGCGGGATCGCTTCGGCCGTGAACCAGAACTGGAAGTGTTCCAAGAGGGTCACCACATGATCATTGAGGATGAGGAAGGCAATGTACTCAAGACTGAGGATACAAGCAACCTTACTCCTGAACAACAGGTGGCCCATATCGAGGAACAGCGGAGACGACTGGAGCAAGACAAGAGTGGTGAACTGGCTAAATCTCGCAGCAAGCCACATGAGAAAGACGAAGGAGAGGAGATCAAGCACGCTGTGGAGGAACAGGTTACACAGCAGGCTGAGAAAGCTCGCAGTCGATGGACTAATTGGACTGGTCTTGGGAAAGTGCGGCTTAAGGACAAGCAAGATGAGTCCAAGCCTACTGGTGAATCTTCCGGAAAGCCTCCTAAGCACCGCTCTGCCCATGCCTACCAATTTGGTAATACCATTATCGTTGAGGACGAGGATGGAGAGGTCATCAAGAAATACACCATCCCTGCAGGTGACAAAACAGCCAAGCCCAAGCCTGATGAACAAGTTGGACCATCCTCCCAAGCTCCGATCCGACGTGGTCTCACTCGTATGGGAACCTGGTTCGGCATGGAAGAAGAAGGAGGCGAGTCATCTCAAGCCGGCCAGAAGAAACAGAGACCAGTTTATCGAACTGAGACCGACGACTGGGCCACTGATGATGGCATTCGATTCACTCTGGCACAGAGCATGGATCTTGGTTCTGAGGGTGCGGGTCAGAAGCGTCGTATGAACAAGCACGAGTTCTTCCAACAAATCAAGGGCTTGGACGCCAAGACCCGTCGAGATATGGTTCAACAAAGTGATGCGCCTGCCCCTGTCAAAGAAGCAGCTAAGCAGGAAGCTAAGAAGGAAGAACGTACCAACCATCGTCTCTCATCTGCCGCCGCCACCGCCGCAGCTGGTATAATCCCCGAGAACGAAGAGGACCTTGAAACCGAGTCCGTGACGGATAGTCAACTCAGCAGTGAGGACGAAGGATTCGACGACGAGGCTCACGGCAACGTCGCCGCGTCACTCGCTAAATGGAGAGGTGCCACTTCTGCCCAGGAACGTCGCAATAACCTCAGTCCCGCACCACCTCGAACCCGTATACGTCGTGACTCCGAAGACGATGGCACAGAACGTATCCCACCCTCCGCACTCCGCGAAGCAGCAGGTCTCACCGCTCCACCTCGACAAAGAGAGGATGATACAGGCGAAACCCCCGCAGAGCGTCGTCGTCGTCTCGCTGCTCTGGGCCAGATCCGGAGTGACTCCGAGTCTGATTCCGAGGTTATCGAAGAAGAGTCTGATAGTGAAGATGATGGTGAACCTCGGCAGATTCCTGCACTGGGTAAGGTTCAATTCGCCGATGACCCTCGACCATCCGAGCAATCCAGTCTTGGTGAACAGTCTCAATCTCAATCTTCCGGCTCGGGATCAGGATCAGGTGCACGATTTGTACCAGGTCATCGACCACGCGTTTCATGGGGAGGTGAAAAGGGCCGAGATCTCTAAATGTCATATCCCATCTGCTTTTTTGCTCCGCTTAAAATGAGGCTTTGCTATACAGTTGGTCTGATTGATATCGAGACTCAGACCTTGCTATACAGTATATTGATGGTTCTGAACATACTTGTCCATGTATTTTCTTCGCTTTTTCTTTTCTTTCTCGAACTTTTCGCTTGCTGTGCATAGTATCAACTGTTTCCTGAACATAATGATGTAATGGTTTTTGTTTATGGATGACCGGTAATCCTGATGGATTGGTTTATGAATGTTATTGCTAGAGTGGTGATCATCAATACAGTACATAAGTATATTGAGCTTCAATTTTTCCAAGTATCTACCTAGGTAGCTTTACTATTATCAGGATGATCAAGTTCAGAATGTATGCTTCTGCCTAGTAGTAGTGAGTTCCGTGTACGATCACACGATATCAAATGTTTGCGAAGTGAGGGTTTCCTAATTAGGCGATTACACTACCTCCAGCTAAGTGAGTCAACCTTGGAAGTGAATGATTGTTTGTCCCCCAGACGCGTCCTCCACCGCCTCCCAGCCTATTTAATCTTCTTCTCTCTCTCTTCTCCTCCTTCTCTTCTTCTTTCCCCAGACCTGTCGGTGTCTCCAGCCCGAGGACCCACACCTTAGCGCTTGCGGCTTAAGTCTGGGTAGGGAGGGAGATATTAGCAGGTGTCCCGTCTTTTGGAGTTTCGATTCTTATAATTTCATTTTGAATACGGAACGGAGCGAAGCGAGACGTTAAGCCCGTGATCCTATGACCCAACCGAGTCTCTGGGATGTATCAGCTCAGACTGCTCTTGGCGAGGTGAGGTGGCCAGGTCTTTCCTGTCGAGGCTGTACTATGCACTTTGTGGGCTTTTGTGGGCTTTGCTTTTGTGGGCTTTGTGGATTTCGACCGTGGCTGGTCAGCAGCTGAGGACGCACGCACCTGAACTTACTACTCATACTGAAAGCGCATGATGAAAATAATATATGCCGTTCTGAGCTTTCTTTCCCCCCTGCACCAGCACCATATCCCCTATTCTAATGTTGTTGCTCTCTCTTACTCTGTATCCCCCTTTCCCCTCTATTTCATTTCTCTTCTTCTGTTCCTCTGCATCCTTATGAAAGATCCTCGAATACGCCGGTGCGCAGGACGCGTACCATCTGAAACTACCTACATGTACCCCATGCCTGATACACGAGGCCCGAGGGCCATGACCATGACCAACTCTGCACTCACCCTACAAGTCGCGGACTACTGTTTACCCCGTTCATCACACTTGAATCTAATTTCTGTGACTTCTTTGCATGTTACATTGGCTTATCATGTCCTCAATATAGAAAAGCTTAGGCTAAATCGACAGACAGCTAGCCTCTTCGGGACTAGCTCCCGCAGGGAGACCTAACCCATAAAAATATACTTAATCTCCTCCTGACCGCTTTCTATTTTCCCGGACTACCTTCTAACTACCTACTGATTAGTACTTCAACTATGAATTTGGCTACCAATTTCAATGATATTTTAATTTTTTTAAAATCTCTTAGTAAAGTAATAGATTCAAGTCAATGATTGAGAAAGTCCGACCGAAAAATATCAGTGTTTGACTAGCTAATAAGCTATTGAAGTTAAGTATCTTGAGATTTTGATTTTTCAAGACTGGCAGAAAAAGTGGCAGAGGTGTCTTTTTGGTAGGGGAAGTACTCCCGCGGGCACTAGTCCTAAAGGGGTTAGCGCCTGTTGATTTTGCACTTTGTACTGTCACGGTCGATTTAGCCCATCCCTATAAACATAACACCAACTAACTACTACTCTCCCTTTCCTTACTCCTGTAGAATATACTTGTCTAGCTTGGAAGAAACAAAATGAGATAAGCTGCTCTGCGACTTATTCAATTATCTCTGAATTCCCTTCTCGACGCATCGTCCATCCCGTTGACTCAAAATCCAGTCCTTCAAATCAAAGATACCATCATGCAGAGCCTCCGAATCCCCATCCCAAACGAAAGTCTTCCCTCGAACTAACAAGCCTCGATCGAGCTGAATCCAACAATCTTGAAGCTTGTATGCGGTCGTCTCATATTGGATGAGTCGATCTCGTTCGGTGATTGTTTGGATTTCGCATGCCATGCCGTGTACTGTGTTTCCTTGGGATCCAGATATCAAAGCTGGATAATCTCCCCACATCTTGTAGGTCCACCCGACTAATCTTGCGGGCCGGAGTTCGAGTCGATGGGGTCTTTTTAGGATCTTTGCGAGGCAGGAGGTATCTTGGAGGGAGCCGTAGAAGAAATAGTATTCTTCTTTGAATGCGGTGATTTGCTCTGGAGGATTCATCGTGAGGTGCGCGGTTCGTGTTAGGAGGTAAACAAGTTGAGAATATTTCCAAGGTTGGAGCAGAGATATGATTTGGTGAAGTAGATAATCAGGTCACGTCACTCGACGTTCTTCAGGTCTGTTTTTGTTTCGGCTCTGCTACCCTTGGTAGTTAGGTATAGTTCCATGGGAATCTCCTCGTTGATCCTTAACAGTGGGAAGTTATGTCATCGGTAATGAGTAGTGCGTTCATATTATCATGACCACCTGGGCAGTCAGGATAGTTTGCCTCAACTTGAATAATATTTGCTTGCTATACATTACTTACAAAAATCCCAAAAAAACATGAGCGTGCTGCGCAAAACCAGGCAAATCGCAATATGATTGATGGTCAAAGTGAACCCAGATCCTCCTGGCGACGCTCACGGTAAAAGTAATTTACCAAGGGATTACCCAGTCTGGCTGCTTCCTCAAAAAGCACTAATTTGATCTCCTCCGCATCCATCGCAGGTGAAAACTTCTTCTTAACGCCCGAAGAGATAAAGTAGACTAATCCATCTTGTATGTATGAGGAAAACGTAGACCAATTATAGTTTTGGGTTAGGTTTTGGTAGGCAATCCTCAAAACCCTTGAACTCGTGAAGAGAGATTGAATGCTATGCTTCCGCAAGGCCCCTACAATAGCTCTCTTGGCAGCATCCGAAGGTTCCCGTTCCTCAAGTTGGTATAAAAAGGCTTCGATGGCATCTTGGGGGAGGCATGTATATCCTCCCAGCATACTGATAGGAAATTCATTCTCCCAATCTTGTGTTTTGTCTAAGGACGATACTAGAACCCTTTCTGGTTTTAAAGCACTTCCCGGTGGAAGTGGAATTTGAAGTAGATACTCCAGAAGATAATACCTCTGAGAGTCGTTCGTGATGAGATGACATATGGCTTCGAAAGCCTTGTCTGACAAGTGAGGGATGTATGCTATTACGAGCCAAGCAGCATCATTGACATTTTCGTCAGGTTCCCTCGTCATGGTCAAAATGAGAGCATCAACAGCCCAGTCTGGCAGAGTACGGTTTCTGATCGCGAAAAGGGCAGCTTCTCTAATAGACAAAAGTCTGCTTGTTGTAATTAGTGCAATCATAACATCAAGTGCTTCGTCCGGCAGAGACTGCTCCCTGAATAACCAGCCGGCAAGTGATCTTGAATCAATTTCAGTTTCGTTTGTTATTCGTCTGACAAGAGCATTGATAGCTCTGTCTGGTAGAAGTTTGCAATTTTGAAGTGCCCCGATAGCAGGACATTTGAAGTTGTCAACTGTCTCTATCATTTGCGAGACTAAGGCATCAATAGTCGTGCTTGACAGGTCGTGGGAAGAAATTGTGCTGATAATCAGGTCTTGAACCAGGGATGAGGGATCCTTTATCATCTGAGCTACCAATGCATTTATGGTCTCTTCTTCCAATTGTTGATAATAAAAAATCGCAAATATTGTGACTCTGACATCACAATTCTCACTCTCGATCATCAAGGAGGTGAGGGTATCGATAGCCTCCTTTGTCAAATTCCTTTGCTGTTCAAGCGACGTAATCCATCAGATTTTAACCGCTGGGTCCGCTTCTTTGATGCTTTGCAACAAATACTCTTGGACAATCGCTGCGCTCTCATAAAATGAGAACCAGTTTGAATTTAGAAATTTGCATGCAGCAATTCTTAGGCTGTTTTCAAGATCAGAATCCCCCAAATGAGATTCCAAATCACGTTTCAAATAGCGTTTCAGGCACAAGGTCAACTTTTCGAAAACTTTTTCCGGCATTGGAGATAGTTTGCTCAAATGGCCAAAAGCATGCCCTGCCAAACACTTACCACCTTTTTCAAGAAACTTTATGGCTGTATCTAGGTCATTCTCTGAGGTGATAGCTTGGTTGAACAAAACTACAAACGAGTTGGCTTGCACTTGGTCACAGGATGACTCCAGACATAGAGTTCTCAGAATCATTCGAGTCTCTTCCGACAAATTCTTGCTCTTTCTCAAAGCACAAATAATCGCGATTTGCTCATTTTCTGAAGTCTTCTCATCTCCCAAAAGTGATAGGATCGACTTCTGGATAGTGTCTCTAATATGAGTTCTTTTTCCAAGGGCCCGAGAACTTCTGACAGAAGTGGTCCACTCTGCTTGAGCATTGGCCCAGTAATTCACAGGAAATTCCACATCAGACATGAACGAATGATTGTGCAATCCATTGGATTCGAACCAAGGCCACTGAAAACAAAGCTCTTCAATCTTTTCGCGATATTCCCTCATTGCAGTAGGTATCTCACTCAGACAGTGCATGAGCAGCGATATATGAGCAGCCCCCAACAGGTCCTGAGGCTCTTCCTTCATCCTTTGAAGCAGCCTACCGACCTGAATCTCGCTTTCGGAACACAGTAAGCCCGTGACAAATTTCCAAAAAACATCGTAACGACCACTATATTTCTCATTCTGAAGGAAGCGTTCTGGTGAAAGATATTCTGGACTGCTGTGCCTTGAAAAGTTGAGTGCTTGACACAGAAGTGGCTTTCCGGATATCCAGCAACGTGTGAAATATTGGGCTGCGAAGTATTCTTGAAAGGTTAAATGGAGGAAATGATAGGTTGAGATGTTGCGTTTCGATGAGTCGGATGTCCGTAAAAAAGAGAGTTTGTCAAGAATATCATCGGAAACTCCAACAAATCCATTTTGCTTGTAGATCTCTTCACGGTGCTTTTGATTGAACACGATGACATCACTCGTAAGACCAGCAAACGCGAGAAGTTCGAGGAAAGTTATCTCATTCCCGCCGTATATGTCAAGTTGACTCCTGTTAAACAACTTTTGGCTTTGGTTTATCTTCCCTAGTTGCAGAAGGTCCTTCTTCCATAACCTCACTTCAATTTCCTGGTATAGCGCGGTCATAGTTATGGCTCCCTCAGAAAGAAAATCATCATCCCAACTATAGCAAATTGCATCTAGCTGAATCAGGATTCGAACAAGACCCTGAATGAGCCAGTGTTCATCGATGAATCCGTTGATTGCGTCTCTTTTGTTCTCATCAACTACCTTGGATAGATAAGATTGTCTTCCTTGTCCTGAAAGCCCAGAGTTTCCAATTCAAGATCTATTGGGTCAAGACCATCGAAATTAACAGCATGGGGTCGGGAGGTGATGATTACGCTATGGTGGTTCAGCAAGTTTAACGGCTGCACTCAACATTGATTCGGGTGGAATCTCGTCTAGCCCGTCAAGTAGCAAGACTGTTCTGCTATTGCTCTCGGGTGAATTCACCAGCTTTCGCAATGCAGCGACAAGAATTTTCCTATCCAATCGTGACGAAGAATCTTGAAGATAAGTATCGATTAGGTCCTGTAGGGTCGGTTTCTCCTTAAGATCGCGCAGAGGTAACCAAATTATACGGTCAAACAACTCGCTCCACAGCTCACCACAAATGAAGTCGTGTACAATCTTCTTGCACAAAGTTGACTTGCCTACGCCTGCACTTCCGTGAATCAGGATTCGTCGTGGCTGAGTATTCTTTCCGTTTACTTGGCGCTTGTCAAAAAGCGAAGGCAAACCAATCATCTTGTCGGAAGTTGTCGAGGTAACAAGAGAGCGCTCGGACAGAGTGAATGCGGAAGGCAGTCCAACATCGCTTGAAGTAGCTTTGCGCTCTGAGGAAATTTCGACGATGGCAAAGTTGATGTAGCACTGATCTATGTCAAGTAACTCGCCAGAGAGACGTCTGATTTCCAAGTGACTTTTCTTGTACATATTTGCCAATTCACTGTCTGCATAAAACTCCACTGCTTCGAAGCAACTTGGCAATGCAGCATCCAATAACTGCGATTCTTCCCTCGGGCCAGTTATCTCGATGGAAAAGAATGGGGTGAACCCAGGATCTAGCTTCGTCTTTTTCTTAAGAAATCTGAGTTTAGGCGGCTTAGCATGCCCCTTCCAATCAGGCTGATGGAAAAATTCAGCAAGCATGTTGATCCATATCCACGGGAGCCGTCTCTTACGGTCGATTTGTGACAATGCTCTAGAAATTAGATCGGTTATGGCCTTGTGTGTGTCCTTCTCGGAATACCAGGACCTTTCTAGCTGAGCAAAGACAGCACACCAAAATTGATCGGCAGCTTTGGAAGGGTTGTGTTCAAGGAAATTCTCAAGCGTTTTGAGAGCTTTGGCGGTAATGAGGAGATCAGTGTAGCGAAGAGCTCCATACCAGTCTTTCTGCTTGAAGAGACTGCTCATGTTCTTGGCAGTATCCTGCAGGCTTTGAGATTCATCCCAGACTGTTTGTGCTGATGTGACCAACGAGCAGATCGAGCTCAACAATTACATCACTTGTGGAGTCACGTCAACAAATCTTGAGGGGTCAAAATTTGGAACAGCACCAGCAATCTTAGCCAAAGGTATGATGATATCACTTGCGTGGCGCCAGACTGCAGCTGCAGTGCTTTCATCATTCGATATGCCAAGCAACGCTTGATATGCATAGCTGGCAGACTGGGCTAGCCGAGGCTCTTTAGTGTCTTGCAACTCCTTTAGCGACTGTCGCAGAGGCTCGTGTATGTTTTCTCGGCTGATACCACTGATTCCAATATCCCCCATGGCATCCAAAATGACAGAAAGTGTGTAGACCAACTGATGTTGTGTTTCCGGCTGAGAATTCTCCTTGGCGTCGTCAAGGCGCGCCGTCAAGCTTCTAAGCACTGGCGCAAGCACTGCCACAGGGCCAACGTGCGAGGCATCAGAAGCTTGGCGAATTATGCATGCAAAACACCTTAGGACTTTTGGGTCAATGACAGTTTTATCTGCCCTACCCTTGATGACTTCATTTGCAAAATTTCGAAGCAAGACATGGTAACCGTCGGGATCAACAGCAGATGATAGCTTCGTGGCCTCGATCATGCGGGAGGAGATCGCATCATCTTCGAAAATATGGACCATGCGAGATATAAGCGCCCGTAAAGCTGCCTTCTCTTTTCCCTGGGCTCTTGGCCAACGCCGAAGGAGATCGGAAGTTGAATGGGGCTCAGAATATAGCAGGTAATCTGCCATTTTGAATTATAATTTCAATTGTAAGGTGACGGGACGTTGGAATGTTGGCGGTTTATTACTGTTCATGCATAGCATTGGTCCACAAGTAGGGAAAAACCACCTAGTTAGTATATACGTATATCCCTCTTAATTCAGCTATCTCTCACTTACTTCTTACTTATCTCTTACTTTTAACCTTAAATTATTAAAAACTTTATATTATAATGATAAAATAACATGCCATACCAGTGAGCTAGGTGACCAAAATTGATTAAAGGAAACTGTTTTTTTGCTGTGTGGCCATTATAGGTCCCCGTACCCTGTAGGTAGTAGAAGGCTAAAACTTGAAGCGGACTCTTCAAGTCATCCTATGTAAGACTAAACAACTATACTAGACAAAACAATGAATTTAAAATTGAGCACTCGACTCTTTCAGTGCTTCACAAGTTGATACAAACCCAAAACAATTTGTGACATTCCATTCCCATGCTTCTCTCGCACCAAACGGTGAGCCTGTCGCTGTACCATCACACAAGAGCACACAGTCAAATCCTTTATTATAGGCATCCATCAATGTACTCCCAACACATTGATCGGTGTTTACCCCAGCAAGGAGAAGTAGAGTAATTCCCTCACGGCGTAAGAGATTCTCCAGGTCAGACTCTCTCCCAGATAACCCGGACATGCGATTCTTGTATATTAGCACATCTTTCTTCTTGTCGTCAGACTCAGAATCAGAGATATGGCAATGTCTCCGAAATTCTTCTTCCAGAGGTCCATATATCCCAGTATTCCAGAAGTCCCGCATAAGAATCTTTCCACCTTGAACATTCTTCCCGTGTCCAATATCGACAGCTCCAAGCTCAACTCCGAGGCCTTTATAAAGAGCCGGGTTCTTCACGCGAACCATACCTGGCTTGGATGATAAAGAAACATTCGACTCAGGTGATGGCATAGGGAAGCTTCCAAAAGTCCGCAGAACCCCCGGGGGCATGGTATTCAGATCTTGCTCTGTAAGTCCCCAATTCAGCCATATGACTCGAATCCCGTGGAGCCGGGCAGCAGGGATGCCTGTTTCCAGAAGAGTCGAAGCAGCTATCTCGCCGAGCGTAGGCTCTTGGCTTCCAGCTTGGCGACGCAGAGCCGGGTGTAGAAAGAAGTTCTGCATGTCGATAATGAGGAGAGCTGTCTTTTCCGTGCTCACACGGATTGGATACGTGGTTGTTTTAAGGGTTATGTTGGTACTGGTTGTTGATCCTCGGGTAAGGTCCATGAGTGCGGTTTTTTTATCGTAGTGCCAGGCATTGGTGTCATCCTTCCCTATCTGCTGGGTAGACGTGAGGCTTTTCATCTTGTTTCAGTGGAATTGAAGGAGTTTGAATGGGAGTTGGAGTTGATCTCGTGTTGTACGGGACGTGCGGGGACTGGATGATGCGGGGATGATGATAAGTGAGCTTCTCCAACTGTCAATCTGGTTAGACTGAATTGGGTGAGATATAGTAGCATTTCACAAGTCCTCATCCTGCGCTTCGCGCGGCTACCTGGCAGTGAAGCAGCGAGAATTTGAAATTGGGAAATGTATGTCCTCAGCACGTGAGTTCTCAAGTGCTTGGCCAGATGTGAATGGGTATGTTCACATACTCAAGTACAGGGCTCAGTCCGAGTCAGTAGCATCTACAGGTGGGTGATGACGTACAGCTCTTTGTATGCAAGTACCTACGGGGTTACTTACATGATTACCTGGAGGGGATTTGAAGGCTAGCTGCTGTATAGTTGGATATAGGCAACTGGTAAACCTAGGGAGATCTAAACTGAGAGATATCCTACACCTGGGCAGTGAGGGAACTCGAAAAACCACTGCTTGAACCCCAGTAGAAAAAGAGGCCTATAGTAACATTTGAATGCACATGGGTAGCCACCCAATTAATATACTATACACCTGGGCATGAATTCAAGTCTGAGGAGAAAAGTCCAGTTGTCATCTTGAATGCGCCAATTTTACAATTTTATTTAGAAAGATTCTGTACTAGTACTTAATATTTCGGTTGTAGACATATCATGCACTTCTTTTATGTAGACTTCTCTCAAGGTGTTTCCTCGAGACGAGGCCATCTTTCACTTCTGCCCACCAATCTGAATCTACACGAGACTGCTCTTCTACCAGTGTCCCATCCCCCAAATTCCACCTCACGCCAGAAATATGGAAGGTTTCTGGTACCCAACGTCCTCTGGCTCTCGCTACATCGTCGGCGACAAGGTCAACCTGACCTGGCAAGCCCATGCACCCCGAATCAGCCTCTACGAGACATGTGCAGACGACCTAATCTATCTGGAACGTGAGTTCCTCCTAAACCACTCACATATCAAAACAAATAATACGAGCTAACAACAATCTCCTACACAGGAAATGTGACAAACGTCAATTTCTACATCTGGACAGCAGCCAACATACACTTCCAACACAACATCTACGGTGATAACGGGTGCAATTTCCGATTACAACTACTATCTCCGAGGGGCGAGCCTGGTGAGGAGGTGTACAGCAGTAACTCCTTTGGTGTATCCAATCGAACAAACGATGATCCCTCTCCTACCTCATACAACTTCTACAGTCCCAATGCCCCGACCATGACTCTGACTGTAACGACACACCTAAGGGCAACCACCACGATTGAAGATGTTACGGTCGTTATTCCCAGTGCATCAATTTCATCATCCGAATCCAGTTCGATGACCTCAGATCTGCTTCCGAGTACAAGTACAACAATGACTTTAACCACGGCATCATCATCGGCAGATTCAAGCAGCGGACTCTCCTCGTCTTCGAAACTGGGTCTCGAGATTGGGATTCCACTAGGTTTACTCACCCTGGCTATCATCTTTGGTCTTTGCAATTACCAGCGACTGAGGAATGCTGGGCAGAAGAATGTCGCACGGGTAGCGGAGGTACCCGCAGATGGGACTCATGAAATGGGGAATGATACGATGGTTTCGGAGTTGCCTGGCGATGCTCCTGTAATTCAGGGGGAGCATGTTAGTGAGATGCCTCGAGTGAAGTACTGAGAGGTGGATTCTCGTTCGGCGAACCACATTGGATTGACATGGGGAATAGATTCGGTTTACGGAATTTTGGACTGGGCTGTGTTAACATTTAAGAATCTTCTCGTTCAAGTTGTGATCTCCATGTAATACAACTGTGTGATTACCTAGGTAATATTTTATGTGTTTACTAAACAGTATACCTGAAGGGTTGTATAGGAGTAGGCGGCTAGTCGGCCGGGATATAGTTAGTTGCCCACATGAATAAGGTGGAAGAACGCCACCAGCTGACTTGAGCAGGACGAACTATGGAGAAAAAATTGGTATGAAATGCATAAACGTGAAATCGGTGTGGTATCCAACAAGCAGTAAGAATCATTTACAATAATCAAGAATCAAATCTTTATCCTTCCATCGTACTCTGAGACCGCATCACACCCCTACCAAAGAACTCACTCACAACACCAAACCCATCCCGCGAGCGCTGAAGTTCCGCTTTGAACAGATCATGCTGATCAGCCGAGTCGACCTGGCGCTGACGGATAGCACGCAGGGTGTTATTACTCGGTGCACAGACAGGGCACTGTACATCATCATCGACGCGGTTAAGACAACGTTCATGGAACGAGTGTTTGCATAGGAAATGCACCGTAGGAAGATCGAGGGTACCACCGCAAGATTGACAGCGGCGAGATTGGAAGACGACGGGTTGAGAAGCAAGGGATTCGAGTTCCTGTTGCTTTGTTGTTGTTTCTGATTTGTAGCTTGAGATGAGACGGCGGTTCTAGTAGAAGTAGGTTAGCTTTTGGAGTACCAAAGAGAGACTTGAGTTTACTTACCGTGGAGATATCCTTGCGTTCTCGTTCGATATTGTCGCTGAGATATTTTTTCACTCGGCCCATAGTCACCACGGCATTATTGCTGAGCGCCTGGATGACTTGTAATGGGGAAAGCAAGCCATCCTCGTCAATGCGGCGCAATACAACGTCTAGCTCGTCGCCTGCCTCTTCGAGGATTTGCGGACTAGAGGCAAAATACGTCAATGCATCGATGTAGAGCTGTGGCTCGTCAGGACCATATCGCTTTAACGCTTTAATGGCTCCCTGTGTGTCTTTGGCGGAGGTAAATGATCGGAAAATGTCCAGACGAAGACCTTCTTGTTCTCGCACGAGTGTGGATCCCTCGCGGAAATTCGAAAGATCAGAAAGAAGGAGAACATTAGATGTAGAAATCGGAATCTGTCAAAGTTAGCGAAATATGAAGCAAATGATGTTTATCGGGACACTCACATCCTTGCCCTCGATCAATTTCTTGGCCTTGGTCTCCCATTCCTGCTTCTCAGCTGCATCTTTCTTCCCCTTGGCTGTGTCCAGATACATCTCGAACAAGGTTGTGAAAAGATCCACCTTAGCCTCCTTACTCAAGTCAGGCTGCTGTGTAAGTGTCTCCAAGAACTCGATAAATTCCCGAGGATGGTCCACAAAGGCAGAGAATGCAGTGCGTGGTTTCGGGACCTCATAACCAGGCGTTGGCTCAACAATTGGCTCTTCAGTAACTATGGGTTCCGCTACAGATGCTGGGGCTTGCAATCCTGATCCGCCAGTCATGTAACGCAGAGGAAGGATTCCAGCAAGACTCTGGAGGGTGCTGGCTGGCTGGGCCTGCGGCGCAGCAGGCGCTTCCACAGTCGTTCGAGGGCGATACTTGCCAGTGTAATAAATCTTAAAGAGTTCCGTCGTTTGTTCAGGGCAATGATTTAGCAAAACACGTGCATATTTCATGAGGTTTTGAAAGGCCTAGTCAAGTTAGCATCTTGTCGTTTAGAGCTTGTCTGGGGGAAAGCTTCACATACAACTTCAGGCTCCAAGCGCCAGATATACTCTACCGCCTCTGCATACTTTTTAGAATCTTCGATCAGGATATCAACTACCATGTCATTTTCGCCATGTTTCGTCGCAAGGTATGCAGCCTGCTCGTAGTATCCACCCTGGCGGCACATTGCAATGGCAGTCTCTAGATCAAACTTCAGCTCGCCAGGAGCCTGAATGAACGAGTCTAGTTTGCTGGTGTCTTTCAACTTCGCATAGCAGTTTAAGAGCAGTGTGGTATGGTCGACGGTCGCTCGACCATGGTCATGTAGCTCTTCCAGATACTCGATCAAGTTATGGATCCGTTGGGTATCCAGATACTATATCCTGGTCAATCTTGAGATTTCTTGCTTATAATCAAGCTAAAACTCACCTTGCGAATAACCTGTGATGGTTCAGTGTTATCGATCGCTCGTAGATACTGCTGCATAGCAGTATCATAGTCTCCACGTTGATACAAGAAGTCACCGTACTTGCGGTATATGGCATTCTGCTGGAGTGGGTCGATGCCAATCTTTTGCGCAAGATTAATAGCCAAGATGTACAGATTGCGCTCGTACAGAATCTCCAGTCTCTGCTGAAGGCTCTTTTCTCGATACCGGAACATCTAAATCATGTCAAAATGCCATTCACCATCATCTCCGGAAGGGACCAGCGCTTCAAAGTACCTACCTTTCCATCTGTCATGAGGAGGTACAGATCCCCCCCACTCCATGAAAATCTGCTTCATAGGCGACGACAACGTCTCATTGTGAGCAATAAACTTGAGATCCGTGTCCAATAACGTGAAAGTAGTCGTTCCAAAAATCCCATCTGCCGCATTCACCCCATACTTCTTCAACGGGTCCGACTTCCCAGAGCCAGCCTTGGGCGGACAAACCAGTGCTACGTAATCGCGGAAACCATTGATCGATGTCTTCTGGCTTTCAAACGCATAGCTCGGTCCACGACCACGAGGACCATAGGTGTATACTGCATCTTCACGAGCAATCAGAATATCACCCGATTCCCGATCAAGCGTCATGCATCCCAATCCACATCCTGTATCTTCCAACACACGAGCCGGCTGGCCTTGTCCTCTACCCGCAATAACAAGGGTCAAGATCCGGCTTGTAGTTGAGATGTACAGGGCTGTGACCGCTCCCTCTTGTGTTTCCAGACCAGTAATTGGTTCCTCCGACTCGAACACGATCCGTTGTCGGGCACCCCGATCGTGAATCAGATCACCGCGGATAATCGTTACCGAGCCGTTGGCGAATCCGACAGCAACCTGCGAGAGATCTTCGACTGCTGCGAATGCAGAAATCTATAACTATGTTAGCAAACATTTGTTTCCGAGTTCCACTGGAAATTCGCGCACCGGGAACTGTCGTCGGGCATTCTGGATCGAAACGGTCGATAGGCACCGCGGGCCCCCATCTTTCTTCTCGGTATCCAGTGCCCAGACTTTCAAAACCGGCTCATTCAATAAGTCTTCCGAGACGGTGACGAGTAACGAGGTTCCATTGATCTGCTTCATGTGTGTGATCGCACCGGTATCATGCGCTTTGAACGAGCGCAGAACGCGGAAAGACGAGGAGACGATGTGGACGAGGCCATCGTTTGTGCCGAGGAATAGATTCGCTGATCCTGTGCAAAGACTTGAGAGATCACTCTGGTAATTCGAGTTAGTAGGTGGCAGAGCGAGGGAATAATTGGAGAAACGTACACCGAAGTGTGCGGAGCTCTCCTCTGGTAGCCGAACCGGGGAGACGTCGATGAAGTTGAACGCTTTCCACTGCGAGAATTGTTAGATATAATCAATACCTAGGGGGTAGTGGACTGTTCGCACTGATGTCAGAGCCATTTGAGCAGCTGGCGCATGGGCGATTCAATGATGTTGACGGAGCTCAGTTGGAGGCGGCCTGGAGCTTATCCCCGCGGGTGCACGGACCACTTGGTTCCTGCGGATCCATATCAGCGAAGTATAGGACTGTCTAAGGTCAAGCCAGAAATATCTGTGAAGGTATGGTGGGAAAGAAATTTAATGCAGCGGTTTGGCAAGAAAAAAAGAAAATTGAAATTCAGCAGGATGAGGGATCGAACCCAGGACCTTCAAAATCAGAAATGCGTGAATAGCCTCAATAGCTCTCACTTGATACATCCATCGCCATCCGATAATTCCTTCTATCTCGCTCAATTATTTTTATTTTGAGGATCTGAGAAGTGAAATAGAAAGAGGAAGATTAGAAGTATAATGGGTAAAAATATGAAAAATTCCAAAAAAAAGCATTATTCCCTGGCCGAAGCCAGATACCCTCCCACCCGCCGGTAAAGTCTCTGCCACTGAAGATGGGTCCAGCGTCCGCATTTCAGTACCTTTGTCCCCCAGAAGGGTCGCCGACCGCTAGACTAGCAGAGCAGAGTGGTTACCTGGTGACCTTTTTACTCAAATATAAGGGAGAACTTCCAACCATTTTGTGTTAGCGTCTCCTCCCCATCCATATACTACAGGACTTAACATCAGCAATAAACTTGAACTAGCGAGAGATGTAATTTTTGGATTTCAGTAGGTACTAGTTGGAATGTCTAATATCTACATGTATGCTCAAATCACCATCAACAAGGCTCTATCGGATTATAAATTCTACTATATACAAGTTGTTGAAAGTCCTGCTCTGATCTATCTTTCTATGGTTTGTCTAGCTCTTGGACCCAAGAAGCTATGTACACCGAATCCTTGTTACTTGCCTAAGTAAATGCCAGTGGATCAGCAAATTTGTAAATTTGTTGTCATGATATCTATGAACATGTTCATACTGTTCGTAAATGGGCCTGTTTCCAGTATGGAGGTCAAAGCACGCTATACACGGTGAAAATAAAAGCAATTAAAAAGAGACAAAGAAGCAAGGGGAATCAAGTTAAGCCAGAAGAGTAGCCAAAATAAAAGAAACATCTAGCGCCGAGAGCCAAAATAAAAAATGCCCGTCTAAAGGGATGTATCATCAAAGCTGAGATGCAGAGGGAGCTGCCTCGGACGACACTTGTCCCTTCTGACTTGATCGTCCGACATCCTTCATAAAATCAAAGCTCTGTTGTAGCCAAGTGCCAGCATCGGCGAGAGCCTGGTTGAGGTTGAAACTGTCTGCCCACACGCCGGCTTGTCCATCTTGTGAGGCGGTTGGGGTAGATCCACTCAATGCCAATGGCAAGGAGGTTGTTTCAGTAGTGGAGCGGTTAACGTGAGTATCAACGTGATTGTTGGGTGGTGAGTGTTTTGGAGTAGGGCTTTCATGGTGAGATCGTTGAGTAGGGTCTGGAGAGGGTGATGCATTCTCCGCAAAATGGAGTGCTCTTGGTTTGATTGGGTTGGTCTTTTGTGGGGAGATAGAGCGAAATGCTCGTGGCTTTTTCCCTGTGCTGAAGGTGAAAGGTGTGGCAGCATCAAGCATGCACTGGGTGCTCATGGCATGCATTTTGCCCTTCTCGGATTGTCCAAAACTGCGGGGTGGAGCCCTTTCCGATGTGCCAGGCCGAAATAGAGGAGTTTCTAGTGCGAGGAGGGACTCATCTGCTGGGTCTATTCCACGCTGATGGCCGGGTGTGACACCATACTGGTGCATAGGGCTTTCCAAATCGTCCATGAAGGACTTTTGTGCAAGCGACAAGGCAGCCTGAGTAGATAGTTGGGCATCTGAAGTAGAATTGACCTCTGTACGTGATGCTTCTTTTGGTAGAACTGTCGAGTGGAGCGACGGGATACGATCAGATATGCCTGGTGGAACAGGAACTTGTTGAGCAGATGGGAGTTCCTCATAGGTATCTTGTTCTGTCGGAGGAGGAAGGGATGTGTTGGTCGAGTTTCCTCCATCTGTATCATCTGCAAATCTGATACTCTTTGACAGCTGTACTGGAGGATTCGGTGGACCCTGGTCTTGGATATCCTCATCAACTTCCATCAACTCGTTATTTGGTACAATCTCCGGCTCCATTTGATCTCCTGGCTCTTCCACATCTTCTTGCTCCTCATCTTCTTCCTCATCCTGAGCAGCCCCAGCTACTTCGTCATTGCTGTCTTGACTGGGAGAAGGAGCCGGCTCCGCGGTTGTATCCTCCATAACAAGTGGATTCGAAGACACTCGAGGGCTCAAGCGAGGCACACGCAGCTGTCGATACTCAAATCGTGCCAGCTGGGATGTTGAAGACATGACTCGAAATGAAGTTCCCTGTTCATGGTGCTCGAGGGAATCGATGATATCATCATTAGCGCGGTAGGGCACATCTCCACCCGAGCTCGATTCCGAACTCTCTGGAGGCGATCTCACTGCCGGTGACTGATGATTGATAATCGGCTCTGAAGATTTTCGCGTAATATGTGTGTTTTTGCGAGGCGTTAGATGAGGCGATGCGCGAGATGACACTGGAGCTTCAGAGATTGATACATCGTCTCGAGACCGTTTCTCTGCGCTTCTGCGATATCCACTGTGCGGCGTAGGCGAGGTAGGTGGTTCAAAAGTTCTGTAGCTCATGTGTTTCGATTTTCGGTCCTTTTTCAACCAGTCCACAGAGCCCACGCCGAGAAATGTATGATCATCCTCCGCCCCTGACGCTGCGGTATACGTCTTGGGTAATCGGGGCGAGTCTCGAACCACAGAACCTGGATGAACAAAAGCAGACTGCGCTCTTTGCACTGATTTTGGTATCTCAGGCAAAATCGTCTCTCTGGCGACATGTAGAGGAGAAGTAGCAGCACGAGAAACAAGCGTTAAATTAGATTTATGCTTGACATGCTTCATATTTGTCTCCTGTACACACGCCGGAGCTGGAGCCTTCCTGCTAGTATTCTTCTGTCCCTTAGCTCCAGCCAGTGTATCTGATTTCGTAATAGCCCTCCTCTCTTTCCTCCATGGATTCTTCCACCCATCATCAAAGGGTCCCCGTAATGACGCTGAGGCAATGAACAAACGTTGACCCCGTAGATATGATTCGGCTAAGCGTTCGATTCGGTGACGTTTCGCAGCACGAGCTTCATCGTCAAGCTCGTCGTCTGAGCCCAGAAGGTCATAAGGATCCGAATCGACATGGGGAGGTAGAAGGGAGCATTCTTCAAAGGCGACCGGAGACACGGCCCGCGGCTGGTGTGGCATCGGGGTTGATAAAGGTTGTGGCGCAACTCTGATGATTCAAGGCTGCGTTCTTCGTCCTCGAATACTGCGACGGAGCCGCCAAACACAAGCCCCTATGAGGGCTTATCGTCATTTCTGTTGAGAGTATCTTCGGGCAGTACAGGTAGGCGCCTAACACGAAAAGCAGCACTTAACGCGTGAAGTTCCCCAGCACCTGGGCAACGATGCGGGGCGATTATGTAATAGGTGACAGATCTGGCCGAGGTTTTACGAAGTACGAAGAGGAATAAAAGTCAAGTTCAAGATAATCATATTCACAAGAAGTAAATAATTAGACAAGAAATTGGAGAGGGGAAGAGGGATGAGGAAAAATGAGAAGAAATCAATACACAAGTGCCACCGCAAGAGCAAGCATCCATCGTGTCAAGAGATGTGGAAAGCGTATAGATAAAACAAATCATGGTCATCAGAATCGAGTACAACATTCAAATACAACTCAAAGGCATTCACGCTAGCAGAAGGCGTGCAAGTAGATAATATCAGGAAACATAAAATTCACATAGAATGGCATTCATCCATACAAAATCGTCCGGGGTATCGATATCGAAGTAGCGGGCCATCGAGGCAGACCGGGATAAGTAAGACGTATATAGAAAGATGTTGATAGAGTGGCCGCACATAGAACAGCAACAACAGTAGAACATGACACTGAAAGAGAACTTCATAAGAGATTCGTTATTAGGTGGTCATCATCATGGAGTGTTCGGTTCGTTCCTTCATTCGCATAGCTTGGGCTTCAAGGGAGCGCGCCATAAGTTTCGTCACTGGAGAAGGATGTTAGCATCAATGATCATATGCAAAGGTATCAGTGACTCTTACCTGGCCAAACAGCAGCCCTGTCTAATAGGCTCGCCGTGGCGATCAATATTTTACATCCGTATCCTCCTTCCACCACACTTGGCAGACTTTGCATCACACTTAAAGCAGACATCGAGTTGTTTAGCACTTGTCGCTGCATTTTGGTCTCCATGTTGTTTAGTATCTCCTTAATTTTGTCGACCAACTTGCAATCTTCGTCCTCGAGTAACATAACACCAGGCACCTGAGTCAAATCAAGATCCTCCCGACCGAGGATTCCAAGGTATGGACCGACTCTTTCTTGAACGGTAGTGATCCACTCAGCTAGAACCTGGGCGCAATCAAAGGCACACATCGCACACTGAATTGGAAGTTCTCTTGATGAAAACTCAGCAAAAGTGTTGCCCAGTCGATCCGACATGGAAATCGAGTCAGCGGCATAGAAAGCTGCTTTTCGCAAATGCTTTTCACGCTTAGATTGACCGCTCTTGTAAACACTGGACAGAGTCTGCATGGGCTGATCCTGGGTAGGGGTCTTTGAGATCACAAGGTCCGCTACTCCCAGATCATTGATCGATTCTCGTCGGCCATCGAGTGAACCGGTGAGAGAGGGATCTAAGAGATCAGTCATAGTTGTGTCGACTTGTTGGAAAACTTCAGTGCCACGAGCCAGCTCATCTGCCATGCCATTCCAATCTCGCTGCCAGAAAGCCTCTTTGCATCGGCCCAGGTTGACAAATAGCCGAACATATGCCAGGTCCAGTAAAGGAATGCTATCTGCGGAGAGAGGACCAGCCCCAAATGGGTTCGGGCGTTCCAAACTGTGCACAGGGTTGCTGGCCCAGGCTGCCTGCCATGCTCGCAGTGCAGGTTCGATATGCGATTGCATGGCCTCGGTCTCTTGAGCAGTCCATTGACGACCCATATGTCGTTGCCGGGTTTCCCAGATATAATTATGGAGCGAGTAGATAAGAACGAGACAGCCAAAGGTACTAGGCCGGTTTTCTGCGTGCTCTGGATCATCTGTGCTACCACCACTGAAGAACAAGTTTGAAGATTGATTCTGCTGTTGTCGTTGGCTAGCGGTCAGCAGGGAAGTCAGGGCGGCTGAGAATGAGGCGGATTTATTCGCAGCAGTCGAGCCACCCATCTTCTTCCACGCTTGAGGAGACTCCGCAGCCCAGAGGTCTTCTTCACATGGCAGATCAAGTCGGATCTCAGAGTTGGTCAAGGCGGGGGCATGATTATATGCTGATACAAGGAAGCTAGACAAGACGAAAATAGCGTACAGGGTACGCTTCCGCTCTTCTACCACCTTCCAGTTGAGCCAATCTCGTCGTTCCTTCGGTTGACTGAAAGACGAGGAGGTCCAGCTATCAGCATCACCATGTCCGTCAATTCCAGCAGTGAGATGATCTTGCGGCAGATTCTTCGGCTCCAGGTGATGTGTCAGCGCAGCTGCACGAGCTAAGCTGACTAGGGCAGCGCAATGTGTACTGGCAATATCTGCAGAGGTCTTATCTCCGCAGGTATGACCATAGATCACATTTAGTAGCATCGCCTGTACCAGCCAGAGCGGCGTATTGTGAACCGAATCGTCACGAGTAGTACCAGCACGGTTTAGAGCTGCTGACATATCGGCTTTTCTGCGCTCTTCTAGATATAACTGGATCATTTTCTTTGCGGCTTCGAATAGGTCCTTGGATGCAGCGGTGTCATGTTCGTACAGTGCACCGATGGCGGCCATTGAGAGGATCAAACAGCCACCTCCACCGGATACACCAGTTGAACTGAGGTTAAGGTGCCCGCTCGGCGTGCGAAGGTTATTGGTGTACTCGGGGGCTTGAAAGTTGAGGGTCGGGGTATGGAGAAAGGGCATGTGAGGATGGAAGTAGTTGAGGTAAGCTGAGATATATCGCTGCATGTCGGAGGTACTTGGTAATTGACCAGAGCTGTTGAAGCCAGTCGAGCGGGCGAACAAATCTCGGCTGTGTTGGAGTCCACTTGCGGGTTGAGAATACTTGCGATGATTGAAGCCAGTGGGTTGCGACATGCTCGCTAATAGAGCCTGTCGTGTGGAGTCTGTAAAGGTATCCGTTGAGAATGGGGAATGTTGACTTCGAAGGGCACTATTCGGGAAAGGAACGTTGAGAGGATTAGGAGATTCTCCGCTTGTTGCCATAGAGGATGATAACATACTCTGCGAATGTCCTCCCACGATGGGCTGGCCGACCGAGGTCATGGAGGGAGGTGTAGCATAGGTCTCAGCGAACGGGTTCTGGGCCATCAGTGACTTGGGCGAGACGGTCTCTGGGGCGATTCCCAATTCGTTCAAGGTCGTCGGGGAAAAGTCAAGGGTGGCGAATTGGTTGACGGAAGTGTGTTGGGGGAATGGGTTGTGCCAGCCATTGGAAATAGGGATACGGTTTGGGCCATCAAGCATAGCCTCACTAATACCGCTTTGGCTACCCGTACTCATAGCTGAAGGCGATGACTCGTCAATGACCGAGTCATTTCCATTTCCCAACGCAACGGCCGCATCAAAGCCGTTCATCCAGTCAAAGTTCATATCATCGTCCATCATGGGATCCGTCGCGGAATGCAAGCTGTGGGAGTTGTGGCCAAATGGGGAGGAGGGGGAGTCACCAAAACCCTGGGGGGGAACCTGCGAAGTGTAATTGTGCCGGATTGATCGTGCTTCCATGGCCCATAAGCATACCGTCGATGCCCAAGTCAAAGCTTCCATAAACAGGGGCTGTTCGCAATCCACCAGAAATATCAATCGGTAATCCTGAAGTTTCAATCTTGGTCAGACCGTTCACCGAGGGATGGCCTGAGCCGAATCCCCGGTAATCCATGTTTGACCCTAACGAGGATCCCAAGCTAGCGTGGTAGGAGTGTCCTGATGGGGTTGGAGCCGAGGATGGGTTACTCGAGTTAGCAATGCCCAAACCGGCCGCATCAACATGACCAACGGTGTTGGCTCGGGGTCGCATCGAAGAAGATGAGTTGTTAGCGATGGAATTCTTGCGCACACGATTATTGCCACCTGGAGCTGCACCGGTACTCTCACGACGACCATTTCTCGGACGAGAAGAAGGAGTGGTAGTCATGTGGAGTTTCTGTTGATGCCGAAGCAAAAGATCACGACGCGCAAAGCAGCGGGCACAATCCGGGCACTCGAAGGGCTTCTCTTTAGTGTGAGAGCGCTCATGGCGCTTCAGATGCTCCAATCGCGCGAATGAACGACCACAGGTGGTGCAGACATGAGGCCGAGGCTTGTCTGTCTTCGGGGGTGGTATATTCCCATTGGCAGCTTGACCATTGGTCTCGCCTTTCTTGTTCTCCTTGGAGGGAGCTAAGGATTGCGAGTTCAGAATTTCGCAGGTCGAAGGGGCTAATTGGTTCCAGGAATTGGACTTACCAGGCATATCTGTGGGAATTTCGTTGATACTGGCTAAGTCCACAAGTTGAGAGGTAGTATAGTCTTGATCCTGAGCAATCATAGGATCCAGCAGCATCCTAAAGAGAGAAGCCGCACGAATTCCTTCAAATTGACCAAAGAATCGAGATTCTTGGTCTTTTTTGAGGAATCAAAGGATCCGTTTGAATGGATTGAATGACAAGGTCGAAGCTTTTCGATGGAGAAATCAAAGATCTCTCTTCTCAGTATTCACTCCCGGAGTGAACGATAACGCAGGTTGAGATAAGTTTACACTATTGTCGCATCAACGACTATTCTGGTGGGATGACATCAGGTCAGCATGATCCTTTTTTTGACTTTCAATTTATTTATTTTTTGTTCTCGCCGGTTCTTCTTCGCACTGAAACGTGTCGATCCAGAGTCATTCGATAAGAGACCCAGGGTAACGGGAAACGGCTATTCATGGGACCATTGCCGGAGCGGATAAGACCCACCAGTGAGAGACAGCAGGTGTACAGCTTGAATCTATCAAAGATCTTCTTTGGGAGTGGCGAAACGAACTTGGTCGAAAGTCGTTCTGGGGATTTAATGGGAGGACTGGGGGAAAAACAGGTTAAGAGGACCTGCTGCCGGTGGGTAGAGAAGCCGAGGATGGTCTATTGAGGGGAGTTCGCAACATCAGCAAGGCAACCGGCTTTAACCATTATTCAACGGACTGCGCAATACGGTCGCAATGTCCCCCAATGAATATACGTACCAAATTCAAGGGGGAATGTGAAGATGAATGACAAGCTTCTCAAGCATCCATTGACCAGGAGGCGAATTCAGCTCCTTACACCGGTGAAACTCTCAACAGTCTTATAATCTCGCGATGAGCATGCGAGTGGATAAGAGCCGGAGATAACCGATATGGTGAACAATGGGCGAACCCAGCGATTCAAAACAGCGAAAAGGACTGTATAGACTGAAGTTGGGGAAGTTAGGAAGAAGGAGAAGAGTTAAGTTTGGGAAGAAGAAGAAGATGAATCCAGCATGGTCAAGGTACCTGGGTCGTGGGGAGTTACATACCCGTGGTCGGGTGGTTCGTGGCAGTAGTGGCGGCTTGATTACAATTGGGTGTACGAAATACGTATTACAAGTTGGTACTTACTTATTGTTAAGTATTATGGAGCTCTGATGATCTCAATTAATTATTTCACAATTTACAGTATATCAGTTGATTTGTACAGCCCTGGAGAGTAAATAACCTTGGAATTTAGGTATTATTATCAGGTACAATGATGATTCTCAGGTGCATTCCGGGTAAAGCACGTTCTTATCCCTTATCTAACTATTACAATTCCACGCACTTTATATTCCAAACAACTTGAAGTTTACAACCCAATATCTCAATTCTTAAATTGTTCTTCACTAAATGACATACTAAATTCATAGAATTATCGATTCCATAAGTACAGTATGATCATGAAATTAATTCCAATTACAATACTTTATATTACCGGTGGACCTCCGACACGGGCGAGCCACGCCAATAACTGGACTGCGATTACCCAGAGTGATACCAAATAAGGAGTAGCCCCGAATCTTACAACCACGCACGGTCTGTTCACCGGATTGCCCACCAGTTCCTGTACTTATCGAACAACGCCCAGTAACAGTGGCCAGTTGCGATTGGTTCCGCCACATAGTTACTTTCTTGAGTCTAGTGGCGTAATCGGGTAACGCCTAGTATTTGGTCCGGGGTTTGGTGGACGAAACTGAAACAACGATAAGAGTCATAATCGGATCCGGGAAAGAGATGAAGATAGGAATGATTATGAATAAACGGAATAGAAGAAAGTTGAATTAGTTACTACCTAGTATAATTGTGTTGAAGCTCATAACTGACTTAATTTACAGAGTGAATATTTTCTACGTAACATTATGCATCTTGTACTCTTTTACTCTGGTATTCTCTGTGTACTCAAGTGCTCAAGTTTACGGCGCCTCTTCGGTCGTACATTTCTATCGTCCATTGGTCAACCATCCATCCTTCCACGCGGACCTACGTAACTACCTCGATCTCTAGTCCGATATTAGCATTAATTATGGTCTAACAGTAATAGTTTAGTCCAAAAGACTGCATAAGTCTCCAAACTGGGCAGGGCTACCTATAACATCATCGTACTTATACTCTAGAGTAGATATCAAATTCGTCTCAACTTTACTTCATATTCAATAAACATTACCAGAACTCATGCACCTAATACGAAAGGGATAATTTAAAAAGACTACCTCGTGACGCCCTGATCGGCGGGAAAACGGTCGAAAACAGCGAGGTTGGGGGAAACCTGCGACAGTGTCCCGGTCACGGTCCATGATGTGGCCAGGTACCCATAAGATCCACCTGGCAGGCCAGGCTGGGAGCTGAAGGTCTGTGACTGGGCGTTCCAGTGGGCGGTGGTGAGCGGATGGATCCGCAAAACGGAAATAAGGGAGGGCCATGCGCCATTTTTGTGGGGGAATTTTAGTCTAGGAAAATGTAAAAAAAGAAAGGAAAAAAGGAAAAAAGGGTTCGTGTGGGGGATTTTCATTCTGGTTATTCCAATAGATGGATACTGGTGCTTTTGGCGACTTCCATGTCGCTGATGTAGCCATGGGTGTTATTCGTTCGGTTCCCTTGAACGGTCTTGACTTCTGAATTCAGGCACTGGTTTCTTCATGTCTTTCAAGTTGCCACCTGTCTCAGCCGGGTGTCTTTGATGGTGTCAATGTTCCAAGGTTGATGAGTATTATGAGGATGGGAAGTAACTCCAGGGCTAGCTTGAATTACGGGGAAGAGCTAGACCAGGATTTGGAAGGAATTTGGCTTCTCCCGTACAGGCACAGGTCCGGCTCTAAGGTACACACGAGGCAAAAGGCAACCCCAGGTCTGACTGAGTAAGGAAACTTCTTGGTTTCTAGAATACTCATGAGCACTGGTCGGTTAACTGTTTTTGACTTTGCACGTTGCAGCCACGCCGGTTTGAGTTTGGTCGCACGGAATTGGGGGAGAGAGTACTTCAGGTATTCCATTGGATATACTGACTGGCGCGCGGTCCACCTACTCGTCAGTTTTGGCTGGTGAATGCGGCTGGATCTGGGGTTGCCGTGCCCGACGATCGCTCCTTTTCTTCTTCACCTTTTTCATCTATTTTTTTATTTACTTTGCTACTTTTCTGGGGTTCTTGCTTACCCCGGATGTTGGCGGAAACCCGGGCAATCCCGATGAGATGGAGTTCGGTGGGGGATTCTATGGAGTACTTGTTCCATAATTCCGAGAACAAAGAGAGGAAAAAGAATAAAGAAATAAAGAGCACTTGAAATTAACAGAATACAAAGCAAGAAAGAACTTGAAAGCCGCAGTGTTTCATACACAAAATCTTGAAAAATCAGTGTTAATTTGTTGAGTCGCACGGACATCTCCTTTGCAGAATCCCCAGACCCGAATATGCGCGCTAGGGAGACTAGATCACTAGCGGCGAGTCTGAGAGAGCTGCAGGTGACCCGAGATGACTCCAGGATGGTCTAGTGACAAATGAAACGTCCGCACGGCCCAGCCACTTAAGCTGCATCACGGGTGGGATGATCGTGGAAATGCCGTTATTACTTTTACTGGTCGTCTCATCTGCATATCACTGCTTTGCTTGAGTGGACAAGGAAAGAGGAGAGAACCCCGGTGGTTTCAATGATGTGTCCCCGTTGATCCCATGACTGAGCAGTTTATCTGCACGATCGAGATTTGTGTTTCTAGGGGATTTGTGTCACTGAAAGTCGTAGACAACGGATCGTTCAATCTATACTACTCCATCTACTCCATCTATGATCTATTTTCAGAGTAAACAAGAAGCTATCACTTCCCATTTCTCCAATTTGTATTGGTTCCAAAGAATTGCCCATATTCGAAGAAGCCCCCAATTCCAATGACATAGGAATCCTGTTACAGAGTTTACAGAGTACTATGAAATACTTGATTAAACGGAAATAATAATCATGCAGGTCCAAGACCATCATTGGGGAAGTCAATTAATGCCATCTCTACTGCACCCTCGGGCGCACTATACCTTTTTCATATTAACCAGGGCCTGCGCCACGACACCGAGAGACTAAATCACGTCCCCCTGACTCAATAAACTTACCCCAAAAATTTTCAGCTGCGTCATTGCACTCTCCAAGGCTCTCACCAAAGTACTCCGTAATCGGGCGAGTCAGGTCCAAGCCAGAAGACGTTATTGCGTAACCGCGCTTTGCGGCCCCGAATCGCTGGCACCAACTTGAACCTTGGAAGTAGTGGACTCTACGGAGTATGTGCAACAAGTACAAGCTTCTATAACAAGAAAAAAAAACATTTGCATGAATGAATAATGCACAGCTGACAATGTATAGTTCCGTCTAATAATACTCTCAAACAAATAGACATAATCAGAATACAGAAATGTCCACAAAGCAAACAAGTGTATGTGTGACCTCAGCCCAAAAATGCCACAAAGTCATTAAAAGCAGAAATTCTCCGAGGCTCCGATGCACGAATCCTGGTCCTGCGTACGGAGTACAACGGACAGATCACCGAGTGGTCTGTGCTATTTGTGCACATCAAGTAGCTCTAAAGCCGATGGGGACTACGGAGTACGCGAGCTTTTTGCTCGGATATTAATCCACTTAAGTCCATTCCGGACTGATCGGACTTCAAGCCATTTTGGCCTCTCCGGGGAAATAAATCTTAGATCTTTCATTGGCACAATTACCCCCTTAATATTCCCATGTCATCATTCTTTACCACCTTTGGCCAGCTGCTGAGCCCGTGAAGAATTACATACGTCGATAGTCTCATTGATGATTGGCTAGATTAAATCGATCTTGTACATTCAAAACTCACTTGACCTTATATTTTTATTTGTTTTTTTTTCTCTATTTGATCTACTCCGTAGATTGTTCGTGCATCTGCATTGCTTCTGCAGTTCTAGTGCCTGTAGTGGACCTGGCAGTTGACCTTACAGATCCCGGACTAAACAGAAAGCCAAAGGATAAGACAGAAAGCAGCACGTTCTCAGTGGCGTTTCGTGGGAAATCCTGTACTTT